CGAGCTTCGCTGAATCGCAACCCTGCGCATAAGAATACATGCAAATCATCTATCTGGCCTAGATCGGCTCCGTTATGCTTCCATTTCATCATGCTAAGCACGGAGGGAAGCGAAGTTGGTCGCTTCTGACGACATCGAAGCACACTCTCCTCCCTACATCTAAGGGCGGGAGCTAATCAAGGGCTTCGACCGCGGAAGATCTGCTGTACTCCAGAAATCAGAAAATGGATATTTAGGTATCATGTAGGGTGCAATACATACAGCAAGCGGACCAGCGGAGCCCATCAGACAAGACGGTCAAGACGCTGTTGGGCTCCAGTAGCTAGTGCGGTGGATTAATGGTGTAGTGTAGGTTACAACAACACAACTCCACTTCGTGTTCCAAGCGTACATAGTTTCTTTAACTTGTTACCTGTCTCGTCTCTGCTAAAATGCCAGTACTGGGAAACAGTACTCTTCAAAACTCACGATAATAGGATCTGTTAAAGTAATGTGTGGGAAGGGGGGCCCGACGAGACAATTCAGGACTTGTCGCTCGTACGTTAGTGACCACTGCTTCTAGAACCATACCATGGAACAATCTGTTCGCGTGTTTCTAAATAACCAGGTAGGTTATGGTATCGAGGGGTCGAGGAATCGAGGGGCTTTGAACCCACGTTTCCCAGGGTAGGATCAGTGCTCATACTAGGGAAGGGGGGGGAGGGGGGGTGAATTCTCATGGGGCAGCAATTGGGACACGCATGGCTAACGATGCGCTGAGCTGCCTCTTTTCACCGAATATGTAAGGACCTAATATCATAAAACGACGAAGCGGTCTACGTCTTTCGTCAAGTGGAAGTGTTAATAAGCCTCTAAGGTCCTGCCACGCTAACGCCATGACACGCGGTCAAGTACGGGGCAGTCATTCGGCATTCCGTGAAAGAGCCTTAGGAAGAACGTAGAGGGTTAGGAATCCGTCTTCCTCCACTTTAGAACGTCTTAGACAGGAGACTTAAAGAATTTCGGATAGCCCATCCCGTGATCTTGAGGGTATCCAGCATCGGGGAACCTGTCATCGCCGTGGGGCGGTGGGACGGACTTCCGACTTAACGGGCGTTGCAAGGGACTAAGGGGGGGGGGGGGGTGATGGTGTCTGGCCAACGTAATTTACGGGGAACATTCAACCTTGAACCAGGGAGGGATGATGTTTTCCTAGACAATATTTCGGGTATATTAAGAAGATAGTCTTCATTTTATACGGACAAGGATATGAAAAAGTTTTCTTCTCTCTCACCGTAGAAAGAGATCCTTCTGTTCCGTACTAATCACTAAATGGCAAGGTGAATAAGATGAAATATTTTTGTTGATTCACGATATTGTGCCTCGTGTGTATTCTAGATATGTAGGTAGTTTATCGTCTTGAAACAATTAGGTATCTAATTAGTTACTAAGCTGTTCGTTGGAATACACACAATTTACTCTATATATGATACTATGCAACCTATTTATGTGCCTATATCATTGTGACTTAATGATCATCAGGCTGGGGATGAGCCCCTCATCGAAGCCGTTTCTTTGCCCCGCTCCCAAGTGTCAACCCCTCACCACTCAGGAGAACGGTGAGGGCAACATGTTGTGTAGTTCGGCAAGCCATAAGGGAGGGGGTCCCGGGGACTTTGCTCATGCACGAGATGGAGGTAAGGCAGGTGTGTAGGTAGTCGGCATTCGAAGCTTTTGGTACTAGGTACATATTAGCAATGCCATCTACATATGTATTTTCTCTACTATCTATCTATCTATCGAGGACCGTGTGCCGTTTCTACATTCATCATACTCATCTTTTGTATTTTTATCTAATATCTATCGGAAGATAAGTATAGAAGGATAAGAATTCCAGGAATTTGGGGTCGGGATGTCCTTATTTCGGCAGCATTAAGCCTCTATTCTCCAGTCTCTTGCATGATGCAAGTGAGGCGGATGATCAGCTTGCAGCTTAAATACCTAGTAGTGTGTCTAGTGTAGGTATCAGGCATATAATCTACATAGTATCAACTGATTCGACAGCTATTTTCGGAAGGGGTTCGCTGCCCCCCATTTGTGCCGCTGAACACGTAGATAATCGCACACACCTACTACCTATGTATATCACCTACTATGTATATGTAGGAAATATGTACACACTTACCTGGTAGGTATGTGTGCGCATACATAGTCTATAATACTCACATAGCTATATGTAGATACCTGCCTAGTAGAGATCCGATTTTATATCTCATATGTATGTATCTGTTTAATCTGTTTACTTGACAACATGCCTCATCGCCATTGGACCTAGATCTCACGAGCGACGCCTGACTGAGAGCACACTATTATGTCTATGTCAGTAGGAAGCTACATGTAATTAACTATGTGTTAGCCCTTACTAGAATAATCTTATCAGAGGATCCTACCCAGACTATTATTACCCTTCTCTGACAGACTGATACATAGCATATTATGAGTCCAGATGTCTCTGAGATGCATCGGAGATGAAAGATAGGTACATACGACCGTCATCTGTTCCCCGCCAAACTAAAAGAGCTTCAATGCTCCGATTCTCTCGATGGGAATATTATCATATCATGTGCAGCATCTCTTTCTTTTTGAAAGAAGGAATGTTTTTTCTTTCTTTTTTTGGACACGACACGGACGGGTCACGGGTCACAAAATGAATCGTGGCACGCCAAGTTGAAAGTGGAATTGTACAGGGTACGATGGAGACGATGGAGACGATGGAGACGATGGAGACGTGTTCGGATCCCCTGCTTGGTAGGTACTTGTATACATACTAGCACATGCAAGACGGACCCCTCGGCGTTGCAGGGGTATGGTTCAAGTTCTATTGCTGTTCTTTCATTCTTCGATTATCATACATCCTGGGAAAATACTAGGTACTGAGTACTCAGTACATGCTCACTCATAATAAGTCTCATATTCATTACTATGGAGTGACATGTACTGGCTACACATGCATCCTTTCACCTTTTATTTCCCCACCCCACCGTTGCCCCCCCTTTTTTGTGGCTGGAGGTTTGAATTGGATTCAATGTTCAATCCAATTGAATTTTTTTTTAGAGCTGATCTGTTTCTTAAACCCCCGCCAAACATCCCACTCGTTTCAATAGCTGCTTCGTACTACAAAACCTGCCAACTTTTCTTTTTCTTTTTTTTTATTGAAAATACCCCTCCTGATCGCAACCGTTCAATGTTGTACTTGCATTTTTACATATCAACAACATTGATATAAACATTACACTTAGTCACCGTTACATACCAACTCCCAACTTCAATAGCTCCATAAAATATTTATCCTGATGCATTAAAAGAACCATTCAATGCAAGACTAAAATATTTCTTATTAGCGGTGTGAATAAACATGGCGTTTGCACACCGCATCGATAGCACAAGAAGGCCGATTGAGTTGAAGCGAAGACTACATATCTGTATCCTAGATAGTAAATGTTAGGTACATGCAACTGTAGGTATGTACCTAGAACTTAGAAGGTGCTTATCTCCACTAAAAGTAGCACTGCCCTTGTTCAATGTTGTTCTAGCTGTCGGGTTGCCCTGTAAACCGTTTTACAACCCACCACCGAGGTACCCAAAAAAAGCCCTGCATAACACCGCTAATTACAAGGCCAGAGCACGTACCGTTTGGGAACCCGTGCAGCCGGCCCGCATGCACTCACTTGACCTAATCTGGCTATCATCATTCCCACTTTACCGTAAGCATAACTTGTAACTTACCACCTTACCACTTTGGCCCAGAAAAGCCACAACCCGCCTCACCTTCACCACCATGATACCAACCCACTTTCATCACCCACTCAGAGCCTACCCACTTTGTCGTTTTGCCAATCCGACTGGTCCTTACTCTTTCCTGGAAGTTCAAGTCAAAGAGCAACGTCCCCGCTCTTCGTTACAAGCTCAAGTGTCTGCTCGACTAGCGTTATCAAGCTATCTCCTCGTACCCAGCCGCCTTAATTTGGCATCCTGGGTACAATAAGGTTACTTAGCGTGTCCAATATCTAACGCGACTTACACGGTTTAATGTCATTAGTTATGTTACACGGCAAAGGATTGAACATGCCGAATTAAATAATTAAAAAAACAAAAATAAAAAAAATAGGAAGGAACATCAATTGTCATCATTAGAAAGAAGAAAAGGGTACAACTGTCCGGTACGTACCTACTTTTTCTTTTTTGTTTCGTTCAATCAGATCGGGTCTTTGACTCCCAAGATTCCAATTCTAGCCTACCAACCTTTGAACCGTTCACCCCTCCCTGCACTAGCCACTTTTGCATGGATGGATTGGATTGGATTGGATTGCACTCGCTGCACAGCACAACACAAGCACAGCACAGAAGAGGAACCTCCCGCACAGCGCATCCAATTTTCCCTCCCTCATTTTGAACCGACCGTTGTCCCTCCTCAACTCCTCATCCCTTCCCCCCTCCTTTTTTTTTAAATTCCTACTTGATTATTTCCTTTCCATCCTCCTCCATCAACCCCCCCTCGAACCCCTCTTCCATACCCTTTTTCTACGATCGCAACCGCGCATCGCTACTTATTATTTTATTACATCGTTGTTCTTTTTTTAAATTCGTTTTTAAAAAAAGACGATTGTAATCTATATCTCGAACACATCCCCCTCAGTGCTTCGAGAATTATCCCCTCGGCCTAGGCCGCATCCCCCTTATACAAAGCATATTCCATGATCCCTATATCGATACAAATGACCAACCAGCAGCAGTCGAGTCAAGAAGACACACTTTGAATCCCACGGGAGTGCGCGTGTGCGAGTGAGGAGGCAGGCGATTTCAACTATCGGCCTGTGCAGGGTTATTCAAGAACGAGCAAGCATTACATAGCTTTACGGAGTATAAGACGCAGTCGTTGTCCCAAGTGAAACCATCATTGGATTCGGAATTCTTTCTCTCCTTATTATTATCCCCGACCAATACAACAACTACAATTCAAAATGCCCGGCGCCAGCGTGGCCGTTCTGCCCACCTCCGCCACATCAACTCCGGCGCCCCGAAAGACTACCGCCGCGCAACCAGAACGAAAGTACAAATGCCAGTTTTGCAATAGGGCCTTTAGTCGAAGCGAACACCGGAGCAGGCACGAACGATCGCGTATGTAGCATATGTGCCTTTTCTCATTCCTCCCGATCCCTTTGATCCCGTCTTGAACCCCTCCTCTGTGTACCATCACACATCCCCCCAGCGCAAATCGCTACCCCTCAACACCTCGAAATCATTTGTGATTCATTGTCATTGCATGCGTGTATTGCCTCAAGCTAACAAGAGTCTTTGATAGATACCAAAGAGCGCCCTTTCAAATGCATGAAGTGTAGAAGTACCTTTGTGCGACGCGACCTTCTTCTTCGACATGATCGAACTGTCCATGCCAAAGATGGAGGGATTCCTCTCCACAGTGACGGCAAACGTCGCGCTGGCGCTAATGGCGTTTCCAAGTCTCGAGCTGTCAGCGGTCCGTCCAAGTCTTCTATTGCTATTGATACTTCGACCCTTAGTGAGCAAATCGAGGCCAGTAGCGAAGGAGTCTTTGATGTGGAACACGCTGCTATGTTGGTTGCCGACCTTCATCACAAAGCGACTGCTGCAATGCGCGACAATGCAAGCCCTTATGAGCCCGGCCCATCAATGACTTATCCACCCACCGGCCCTCAGTTAATGGATCCCGCAGTCGCCTACTCCTCGAATCCTACCCCGGTGCCCCACAGTGTGCCTTGGGATTCTTTCGCACCACAGTCAACAGTAGATGCTAAGGCTCAGCCTACATCCTCAAATACGTCTGTCTCCTTCGAGTCGCAGCAATCCTTTGCTCATGTAAGTACCATACATACTGAACCTACCTTTGCGCCGTCATCCTTTGGCACCGGCTCCAGCGTCGTTGCGCCTATGTCACAACCCATTACAAGCCCACCACCATCTTCCAGCACGGGCCCAGTGACCTCCATCCCATCTCGTACATTCTTTACAAAACTTTCAAGCTCCTGCGCTAATCCACCTCAGGCTTCGGCGGGCTTCAAAGCACCACAGATTCAAAATGATGAAGAGCGCAATATGATCCTAGACAACATTCGAGCGCACGATACCGAACACGCGATTCCGGATGGTTTCCGTGTACCCAATCTGCCGTCGTTAAATCGTTATCTTGCGACTTACTTTGGGCTCTTCCATCACCACCTGCCATTTTTGCATCCGGCATCATTCAATGCCACCCAAGTCTCCCCAGCTCTACTGCTAGCAGTGCTATCAATTGGCGCTCTCTATGCCTTTGACCAAGATCAGGCTTATATGCTACACATTGGATCAAAAGTGTTAGTGAACCAATTCTTACAAAACAAGGAGAATTTCAGCTCGCGAAAATGCCCCTTATGGACCATGCAAGGCTCGCTTCTCAACATGATCTTTGCTAGCTGGAGTGGAGACCCGAAAGGGCTTGAGTGGGCTTGCTCCATTAAGAGCCTGCTTGCCAATATGGTTGCTGGTAATCGCTACGAACTGAAGCTTCGACAGGATAGTCGTGAGGGTGCGCAGCCCACGCGCGATGAGTGGATCGAAGACGAAGGCTGCCGTCGTACCTATTATGCCGTCTACATTTTCTTCGGCCTGCTAACGTTGACTTACAACCACACTCCTGCCATTAGCTTCAATGAGTTTGAAGATCTCCAACTACCATCGCAAGAGACGTTTTGGAATTCCAAAGTCACAGATGAAGCTGCTTGGCAAGAGCAATTGAAGTCAGCTCCTGCAATTACCTTCCTGGTTGCTCATGACAACTTGTTCCAGGGTGTATCGTTGAAGTATAGCGCTTTTGCGACGCGCGTTATGATCAACGCATTGTTCCTCGAGGTGTGGTATCACAAGCGAAGCCCTGAAGCGCTACAAGATGTTGTGACTGAATATAAGCTTCGTCTCGCTCTAGAGACATGGGAGAAATCTCTAGATCTCTGCGAGCCCGAGGCTGATGCAGTACCCCTAAGCGCTCCTCACAAGGGTCATCCGTTGATATTCAATGCCAAGGCCATGTTCCGTAACGCGCGTGCTCGTCTAGAAGTCGACTTGAAGACTGTGCAAGAAGCTCTCCGATACCATGACCATTACGAGGTTGCTGCAGCCATGTCGAATGCACGTGACAGGGTGAAGCGCTCAAGCGAAATGATCAAGGTTATTGAGGAGTGTTACAACTGTATCGAGACAGCTGTTCGCCAGGGCGTGCGCTGGGTAGCTCGTACTTCACCAACGAATTGGAGTATTGAGCATCCTCTATGTGGAATGGATCTAATGATCACTCTGACCCTTTGGCTGTACCGTCTGGAACATGACGAAGAAGCCGCTTCTGAGGAAGAAATGGCTATGTATCTCAAGGTCCGCATGCTCTTTGAGAAGGATGCAGAGAGCGCTATGAACTCTCAACAGCTGAGCGCTACTGTTGCTCATCTGTGGGGCTCTATGCTTGATGAAGTGGTCGTCTGGGGGTAAGTTGATAAGCGATCCTATTCTGTTGATCAAGTCACTAACTTTACTTTGTAGCATCACCAGGCTCATGGGCGAATCATTCCGCCTCCATTCACAGGCTCTAATCGGTTACGTAGACGATGTCGAAGCATCTTCTAACGTTTCAACGCCTTCTATGATCTCACAAGGAGGCGATGAGGAAAGTGTGTATTAGATAATATATCATGAGACTAACGATTTCCTTTGTTTCCGATACTAATAGGGGGGAAGGCGGTGGGGATGAAGAGTCTCCGAGGCCAATACCTCCTGCGTCGACGTTTATTCTCGTTTCGGTTTCTATGGGAAAGGCGTGAGGGGGAATTTTGCTTCTGGTATTTGCTGCGTTTCATAGTGCTTGCATCCGAAATCTGCATCTGTTCAATGGTCGTTGGAGGGCCTGGAAATGGTCGGCTCTCACGGATGGCCTGGTGGAAGGGAGGGGAATCTTCTGCGCGCAATTATGCGCAATCTAATGTGTGATGCAGTTGGCTGGCTGGACCATTAGTGAAACTTCTTTTCCCCTCTGTTCTATTAGCTACGGCACTTTATTCTCTTTAATGCTGCTGCTTTTTTTGTTACGTTACTTTTATTTCCAAATTTTGGAACCTTGTCGTCGCCTTTTTCTGCATGTCAGATACCTTGTTCTACATATTGGCTGTCGTTTTTGTTCCATCTTTTCTTGGCTGTTTTGTTTGCACTCACTCGCGGCTCAACCTCAACTTCAGGCTCGGATTCAAACTCAGTTGATTTTTGGTTATATTTCTGTTCTCCGTTGTTCAAATTTCCTCCTCTTTTCCTTTCTCTCTCCTTGAGCTTTTCGCGTCTTGTCGTGTAATAGAGCTAGCAAACTGAGTAACTAACCTTGAGAAATGGAAACTCGAGCCTGGCAATTCGGAAAGCATTGGCGCGTAACAAATTGATTTTTATCTTTTATTTATTTTTTTCATCTTTTATTTTATGTTTACAGCATTGATTTCCGGATCTTCCCAGATGGATTGGAAGTGGTCTGTCGAATTATAGATAGTCACACACACGCGTCGAAATTCAATATCAATATCACTTCTCTCTCCCAATATGGACCATCTGGTGATCTACATATACTTATAAGTGATTAACATGATGCATACTTACCTACATATGTATGTATATCTGTAACAAGCAGACGCCACTGGCTTCCACTGACCTAGCTGGGGAGGTGACACGGAAGACAAGAGCAAGCCTCATTACTTGGGTTAATTTAACTTCCCGTATCTCACGCAGATGCCATGACAGCAACTTTTCCCTATCTACCTGGGGTTACTTACCTATATGTAGGGTTACCTACCTAGGGTAGGGAATATTCTGCAGGCACCCGATGCCCTCGAGGGCTGCTTCCCTTACTTCCTTTTTACGTCCCTTATTTCCCTTATCAAGGTCCCATGGCCCTCGGGAAACAGCGAGTTAGATGTACGTACCAAGCACTCACCTTACCTGCTCCATATGTACCTACTAGCTAGTATCTACTACCTACATACGATAACCTCGAAAGTTCTTATTTTAGATTCTTCAACATTGGATGTTCCCATTGATGGACGATCCTTACATGTAGTGCTCGGTCACCATATTTTGTCATTGGTGATGGTGTTTACAGTCGTTCGCTAGCTCGATGTATTGGCTCACACGAAGTTGGGAAAGTCTAGCTCCTCCTCACTCGCTACATCCGCTCCTTTTACCTTGTTAAGTTGCCGCCGGCGAGGGAGGCATCCCTTTGCTCAAGTCCTTAAATACGACGACACTCGTTCACAGCACTCGCTACTGCGATATCCTGGTAATATACACCGTATTCAGCCAGCCATGAAATATTCACGAGCATCCTACCACACGATGGCATATCTTCGCGTTCTAGCTTCTTTGGCCATCTTCTTCCATGTCGTGTTGGCGGACTGCGAGTGTGGATATTCGATAACATCAACCTCTGGTGAAAGGCAGTACGTTTTTACCGATCTATTAGAAAACGACTTCATCCACTTAGACCTCACGAGCGATTCCCAAAGCTACGGAGAGTATGGATGGGCACCACAGGAATTCAATATGTCCAGCGAAGTTGCGCGAGGCCGCTACGGCGAGGCGTTTACTCCACAAAATGTAATATCAAACAATATTGCTGAAGAGCAGACCTTTGAGGGGCCTGGGTCCAAGGGGGGTGATGCTGGCCTGAATCTTGTGGTCAGAAGTGAGGTCCAAAATGGTATGGTAACCGGCGCCGACATATCAACGACAGACGTTCATTTTTTCCACGGCACGTTCAGGGCAGGTATCAAAGTCACTGATGTTCCGGGAACATGTAGTGCTTTCTTCTGGGTAAGCGATAGATGCCACATGGATAAGCTACACGATAAAGGAGAAAGGGGTTCATATTTCGCCCCCAAGAACATCAGGTCTTGCTAACCCCTCTCTATCATTAGTACATGAACGATACCCAAGAGATTGATATAGAGTTTTTGTCATCAGAATTCAACAGAACCAACAGCACATTCCCGGTAAACCTCGTACTGCAGTCTCAAGAGTCAAAAGACGCTGGGTTTGACGCCTCGAAGACTAGGGACTTCCAGAAGATCAACTTACCGTTTGATCCTACAACTGCATTCCACGAGTATCGAATAGATTTCCTGTCAGATCGAGTAATATTCTACGCAGACGACGAACTGCTCACAGAGATGAACGGAACAGGAGTGCCCTCCACTCCAGGCAACCTGCAACTATCGCACTGGAGCAACGGCAACATGGGGTGGTCGCAAGGCCCACCGGGGACGGACGCTACCACCACCGTCACCTACGTCAAGGCATATTTCAACTCATCGTTGGAATCGAGACAGCACGACTACCAGACGCGATGCAAGGACCCCTCGGCCCCGAACGCGATTTGCGCTATTCCTAGACATAACGCTACTTTCTTCTTCAGCAACGTCGATAATATGACGCCTAATCAGACGACGTACCACAATAATGGCGGTGGGCGGACGAGATGGTGCCGGCGGCTGTTTACGTTTATTGTGGCGCTTGTGATTGGTACCTGGGTGGCATAAGAAAAAAAAAGCCATACTTGTCATGGCATGGTATGGCGTGGGTGGTGTTGTGTGTTGTGGTGCTAAAAAAAGGAGAGTGTGAGAAAGACAGAGGAAACGTGATACATATAGATAATGATGAGTCAAGAAGATGATGTATAATGGGCGCTCTGATTAGGTACACAGTAAGAGGAGTTTACGTAGGTATTTGTCTACTTGTCAGTTATATATATATTTATGATATTCCTTCGTTTTGAAGCAGAACTGATAGGTCGGTGATGACCATCCACCCCTTTTCTTTGCCTACGTGGGTATAATAAGGTTCATTCTAGATGCCCCCTGAGGCTAAGGGCAAGGGGGTTTGAACATAGACGTGGTTTATGTTATTATTTACCTACCATTTCTCTCCTTTTCTTCCTTCGTTGAAGGAAAAGGTGAAGTACGCCTAGGAAGGAGTAATCATTGATAGCTGAGGTTATTGAGCCAAGCTCAACATATTCACGTTGGAAAATAAGTAGGTAAGCAATGTGCAACGTTGCGCCCTCGTTCTTTTGTCATTTTTTTTTAAAAAAAAAGAAAGAAATGGGAGGAAGGATAAGAATCTCGTGACCGTTCACAGATGTCGCCGAATTAAAGGCGGGAGGGTGTGGGGAGACAGGAAGGAAGGGAGGAAATCAGATTGATGCGGCCTGTGCTGGTGACACGGCTTGTTTAGTAGGTACTAGGTAGGTAGTTAGGTACCTAGTTTTTGCCTATGGCTGGTAGACGGATACATGTAGACAGACAAGTTATTTTACCTAATGCTGGCTGGTTCGAATAGTAAGTAACAAGGCTGGTGCACAGTGACACGAGGCGTGGTGGTTTGCTTGGACATCTCGTCTTGTGACTGACGGCCGAGGCGATACTTACCTAGGGTTAGTAGGTATTTTTCCTTAGGTACAATACCTACCTATTATTTACTTAGTTATACGTATAAAGTCTGGAAAAGTCATCCGGGTGGATTGCCGGGAATGCGGAGAAGATGGTGGGATGGATGAGGCCGGGGGACTTTTGAGGAGACTTTTGATATGTTTTATACAATGCCTAGCTATTTACTTATTTAACATTAGTAAGTAGGCAAGGTAGGTGATTTATTAAGTCTATTGTTCCCACCCAGTCAAATCGCGCGGCGCTCCTGTTCACCTGCCTGATCGGGATTTCTCTATACCACCCACCTCCCCTCCCCACCCCCTACCATCATGCGCGCGTGCTTCTTGTGTTAAAGGCGGAGAATGTGGTAATTAGGTTTAGGGACGTCACTGGAGTGTAGGGAGGGGGGAAAGGGGTGGTTACCCTCCTCGTGTGCGTATGTGGGTTCATGAATTAGTTGCATGATGGATGTTAGGCTAGTAGGTTAATGGGGACGGTAGGTAGGTAATGAATGGGCTCGTGGCTTGCAGTTCGGAGACTTCCAACAAAAGATCGATCGGGAATGGGGCGATCGTGGAGAAAAATAAGAGACAGAAAAAACGCCACAAAGCCTTTTTCTCGGGCTTTCTAACTACCTAACTTCTTCCTTCGCTTGGGGTTTGAGGATACCTACAGAATACACGGGTAGATACTGGTAGATGGGAAACGCCCGGTTGATAGGTATTACATAGTAGGGAGATCCTTTAACATCTGTAGGTACGCATGAATGAAACCACGAAGTCACTTGTACCTATAATGTTGCAGTCCAAGAACATTGAACCAACACTACATACCTAGGTAGACACCAAAAATAGTAACCACCTTGACCATGCTAGTTGACGATATCCAGGGTCTTTTACTAACCGGTTTGAATCTGCCAATTTCTCGTTTGAGCCCCTTTAAACTCCCAGGAAGTAGGCAAGTTAATGGTAGCATTCGAAAGGGATACCTGCCTGTGCATGTAAGTTAGTTACCTGTACAATCCTATAATAGGGCAAGACACAAGCACAACCTCTCAGGATCTTGTGTATCGTCCTCAGCCTCACGCCAATGGTATGACAAGAACAACTGAACGGCCTCTCCATGCATCTCTTACATGTTCGAATTGTCATGGGACGTGTTAAAGAGGATCGTGAGCGGCCGGGCACGGCCCGACGACCTTCGAAGGGCGGGACGATGCTGCCCTTCGTACGCCGGCTTCCTTCAACCTCCGAGACATAAAAAAACGCGCGTGTTCGTATTTAGGTAGACCTCGTCGTTGCACTCGATAATTGGCCCTTTGGTTTGAAACAGCTCTCCAAATTTACTTGCCCAGTAGGTAGGTAGGTAGCTAGGCGGCCCTCCACCTTTTTTTTACGACTGGACAGACAGGGTTCGATGACCACCGACTTTACTGGAGATGAGACGTCATCCCTCATATATTTTCCTGTTTGTCTTGGCTTTTTTTTTTACCTGCATTCCAAGTTGCTCGAGGTTACATTTAACTACTACCTTTGCCTTCCAAGTACCGACCTTAGGTGGTTATGTAGGTATGCTATACCCACTGCTATGCCTTGCCTCATTACCAGCTAGGTACCCTACCTACCTAGGTATCTAGCCAGTTGTAGTTACTAGTTACCCAATCCATCAACGAATACTTCACAGACCGCTATAAATACTTTTTGAATCATGATACCTCGCATTTACATTGCTTTGCCATCCGTCATACGTCATGTATATTCGAGCTTGGAGAGGCTACCTACTCCCGCAGCTACCATGTTGTTGGAAATTTAATATTGGCTTAGATCATTTATCACATGAAATCCATCACATCGTTGACACATGATGTCTCTGCCATGAAGCTTGGCCTTGATGGGAATCCTGGGAAAATAGTCCGAAGGGGAGCATCCCGACATGCACGGCGATCATGAATTATACTTCAGGTACCTGGGCACAGGTCAACGAGGCAACTTTCTGGCCATCAAATGATCTCAGGATTAGTTCACAAGCCCAGCTCCAAGAGGATGTTTGATTGAACAGTTGGTTCTACATCTTACGTATGCAATATTACGATCATAAAATCGGTTGGCTTTCCTTCCCGTTTCATTGCTTCTACGCCTCTGCCTCCCAAAGGTCACAGGTCGTTCTATCCAGCAAGGAATCTCGAGCACATGCTCGCAGGGTATTCCCACCAGAAGCTTGGAAATAGTTGGAACTTTTGCGGTCCTGGCATATACGTACCAAAGCCATGTCTTTCTTATATTAAAGCCACAAGAAGTCTTCGTGTTTCGTTCACAAACTTATAGCAACTTCACATTTGGATTAAGTGCCACTGATCTCGTTCAACTCGAGTCTGCCTATGATTTCGTTATCTATATCTCGAGATCAGTCATTCATTAAATACCCCCCTAAACTGTAAGATCGAAAAACCATTAAGAAGAATCAAGATGACGAACCCTACGACCGACATCGCCCTCAAAAACAACACGGGCTCCTCCGAGGCCTACGCGTACATCACAGGTCTTGATCTGAACCAGAACAATGTCCCCTTGTTCATCCAGTCCGACGGCAAGACCGTGTACCACCCCTCCTCGCCCTCTGCGACGCAATCCCCCCTGGAGGCCGACATCGCCATCTCCCTCGGCGCCCCCGGGTCCACGACAACCGTGACGATCCCGCAGATTGCCGGCGGCCGCATCTGGTTCAGCACGGGCTCGAAGCTGACGTTCCTGCTGAACCCGGGCCCCGCCGTGGTCGAGCCGAGCGTGACCAACACCGCGGACGCCAACTACAACATCGTCTGGGGGTTCTGCGAGTTCACGTACAACACGCAGCAGCTCTTCGTCAACATCTCGTACGTCGACTTCGTGTCCCCGCTGCCCATCGCCCTCGAGCTGCGCAACACCGCCGGCGACGTCCAGACCGTCCAGGGCCTGCCCGCCGGCGGCCTCGACACCGTGTGCGAGCGGCTGGCGCAGCAGCACGCGCAGGACGGCGCCGGCTGGGACCGGCTCATCGTCAAGGGGCCCGACGGCAAGAACCTGCGCGCGCTGAGCCCCAACAGCGGGCGCGTCGTCGACGCCACCCTCTTCGACGGCTACTTCCAGCCGTACGTCGACGCCGTCTGGAGCAAGTACGGCTCCGCCGACCTGACGATCAACACGCAGGCGTCGTGGGGCAACGTCACGGGCCGCGTGCAGGACGGGTCAGCGCTGACGTTCGCCAACGTGGGCTCGTTCGCGAAGCCGAGCGCGGGCGACATCTTCAGCTGCTCGACGGGCCCGTTCGGGAACTACCCCGCCGCGACGCGCGACGAGATGGGGGCCCTGGGCGCGCGCATCGCGGCGGCGCTGAACCGCGCGACGCTGCTCGACAACCCGACGCAGCCCGACGCCGAGGTCGTCGCGAACTACTACGCCAAGACGCCGACGAACCACTACGCGCGCATCTGCCACGAGACCAACATCGACGGCCGCGGGTACGCGTTCCCGTACGATGATGTGGTGCCGTCGGGCGACGCGGGTCCAGACCAGGCGGGCACGGTGTTCGATGGCAGTCCCGAGCTGCTGACGGTGACGGTCGGGGGCCCGGCGTCGTCGTCGAATGGGCCGGCGGTTGGAGGGGGGAGCGGGAGCGGGAGTAAGGACGGGGAAAAGGGGGGCAGTGGTGGGGAGAAAGGCGGGAAGAAGACGCCGGCTGCGGGCTCGGGATTTCTGAGTACCATTAAGAGCTGGTTTAGTGCGCTGAAGAGGGTGTTGCATATTAAGTGAGAGAGTGATGAGATCCGCATTATCGTTGTCCCCCTATTCCTGTCCATATTCCTATCCCCTATCCCCTATACCCTTTCCCCCCTCCCCCGGCATGGCATAGCATCGAGCATTGTGTTCTGCATGGAAATTCGGTGTCTAGGATCGGTCGTTTTCATCTCCCTAGGTTGGTCTCTTTTCCATTTTCTTTTCATGGGTGTTCTTGCCCCGGGTTTCTTTCCCCCCTTTCACCATTCATTCATCTGTCTGCCTGCATACCCATGGACCATTTGGATACATGTACATACATACTCAACCTAGCATTTGAAGGTATGATACGGAAGTATTTCCTTTAGTTATTTCTTTTTATTTCTTTTTCACGGGTTCGGTCTGGGTCATCATTCACTGTATATAGTTTACCTACCGATTGTACATATCAGTTTTATGAATTGGTGTTGTTTGTGTCGTTTAGTGAATTGGATGTCAACATTGAAGTTTCCAAGTTCGTTGCTGAACCAAAATAAGGTTCGATAGTTGCATATCTAGTGCCAGTCTAGTTGCATTTATGCACCGTCTTAATACCTAGTATGTGAAATATTGAAGTACTACTAGTAGTATATAACTTATCGAACAATAATACATATTTACCATTCAAACTTCGACTTCCATCGTCATCTTCCTTCAACTTCACCAAATCCAAAACCGAGTTGCTCTCTGGCGGGTTTACTATACGATTCATTAGGCATGACCAAGATAAATCATATGCCATTTATTTCTTGTGATTGGGGCTAGTTTTCGCTTTGTACGCTGGTAACCGCCAACTACATATATCTACTTCGAACATTTCAGTCGTACAACATGAGCCACCAGTTTTCATCAACTTTTGATGCCCTCCAGGCTCATTTCACCCAAAAACCAAGTACATCGCAGCCGGATGACACTGTACCTTCCAGTCAGCCTCAGAATCCCAGTTCTGGCCAAAGTAATGGAGATTCAACTCATGGTCCCGAAAATCTCAACTCAGACAACAACCATGTGTCTAAACCTGCACGAACTTTGCTCCCAGGGCCACCTAGTCGTGTTTCTGTCCCTGGGCCAGAATATCCACCAGTTCAGCCAAACCCACCTTTGTATCCTCAATTCGGTTCAATTGTCGAGCCACCAAAAATGCCCCAAACCTCAGGTTCAAACATTCCAGGTCTTGATGTTATGAGGGAATGGAACTGCCGTCCCATCCTGGAAGGACCACCCACAGAACCTGTTCCGAACTACATCTCTACAAAACCCCCCGTACCAGCTTTCACAATGAAAACACCCCATGGCGAAACGACTCGTCCACAGTCGCAGCTTCCTACGGGCAGCCAGCAAAGCCCGCGGGCTGGTGAGTTACCTCAAGTAGAGATGTCAGAGATTGAGGAGAGCGAAGAAGAAGGTGAAGATGAGTCAGGAGAGGAAGAAGAGGAAGAGGAAGAGGACGAAGAGGAAGGAGAACCCATGGACACTACGACAGATGCGCTTCTAGAACGACAAAATGAGTTGAACAAAGAAAATCCCTTGCCGCCCCTGCCTCCGATGCGTGGATTCGCTAGAAAGTACTTTATGGGCGATGATAAACCTCGCCTCTCTGTCCGAGAGCCCCGTGGGGGCCGAGGTGCAAGAAAGCGTGGCCCTCGCCGAGCTGCTGAACCCACTGGCGACATTAAGTATCGTCTCAATTTGGCATCAAACGCCTACATGGATGGACGCCTCGACGAAGCTATTGAATACGTAGAAGATGCTATACGTATCAATGGTGAGACTCATCGTGCCTGGGTCCTGCTAGCTTCATTCCTTCAAGAGAAGGGCGACACGAAAAAATATTATATCGCAAAAATTGTTGCAGCCACTTTGCAGCCAAAAGATATTGATGGTTGGCTCCAGTGCGCAGAGATATGCATTGAACTTAGGGATGAGTTTCCAGACGAGGCAGAAGCCAAGCTCGGTGAAGCCTTGTTTTTCTATTCAACCGCCCTGAGGGTTGATCCCACGAACAAGCCGGCGCGCCACGGGAGAGCCGCCTTGCGACTTGAGCTTGGACATCTCTTAAGCGCAGCTAAGGATTATGTGTTCCTACTTGATAACTGTGCTTTCGACATATACGCCTTGCGAAGCTTCGCAGAAGTATGCGTTCTGCTTGCGGATACTGGAAAGTCTCAACTCAAGGATAGGCCCAAGGAGGCAATAAGTGCATACTCCAAATGTATCACACATTTTCGAGAGAATGGCTTTGACCTTCAGTACCCGTTTGATTGGGAAGACGTTAAAATTGTTGTCGAGCTCCTCGTGTACATCGAACAGTTCAAAGATGCCATCCACGAGCTACGGTCACTATCAAGATGGCTTTTGACCCGTTCCGATGAGCAGTTCTGGGACAACTTTGACGATGATCGAGAATGGGATGTTGAAAGCACCCGAAGGCTTGAGACTGAGGAGTATCAACACGAAAAATACCCAGATTCATCGTATGGTATGAGCCTTCCGCTGGAACTGAGAACGAAACTTGCCATTTGCCGTCTCAAACTTGAGCAAAAAGATGAAGCCATGGTAAGATTGCGAATATCCCATAACCCAATTTGCTGTCGTAAAGGCTAATGAACGACAGTGTCACCTGGGCTTTATTGACCCAGAGAATTCAAATGTGCCTGAACTGCTCTCCGAATATCCACACCTAGTACTGGAAGGAGCTTCAGCATTGTACGAGACGGGCCATTTGTCAATGGCTCTGCGGTACTATGAACCACTCCAAGCCGCCGACCTCCTTGATACCGAAGCTTTGGTTCGGCAAGGCCGGTGTTATTTGGATGCAGGCGACCAGAGACAGGCCGAAGAATGTTTCACAGCGGCTATTGACCAGGATGAAACAAACAGCGAGGCTTGTATTGATGCACGCTATGAATTAGCAAAGATGTACGAGGCTGTCAGGGAAGAAAGAGAAGCCTTCATCCTCGTAAATGAAGCTATCAAATTACAGGAAGCTCGTCAACAAGCTCGCGAGGAGCGAGAAGACAACGATGAAGATTTGGAAGATGACGATGAAAACGCGACATTGCCCATGACATTACTAGGGGACGAAGCTAAAGGGAAGATGGGAGAAAAGAAGCTGAAGCAAGCCAAACCCAAGCGGCTACCTAAAACCAAAGCTGAAAAACCGAAACAGAAGCCAAAGGAACGAAAACCCAAGTTGGAATCGAACGCAGCAAGGCGACGGCACAAAGTGTTTGCTCGGGCTGAAGAATTGCAATTGGAAGAAAAGAGAAGGTCAGAGGAACTGGCCGAAGCATGGCAGGTTGTGCGTGATTCTCGGGTTTCATCTGAAGCTGATGCTAAGGGGCCTTCTAACGCATTCATGTTCGCTGCCCGAGAACTCGTCGATGACTTCAGGTCATACAAGGACCTGTACCCCTGGGAAAAGTACCTGGCGAATCTTGGTATCCACCAAGCTCGTGAGAAGGCCGAGGCTCATAAGGAGAACTCCAACCTGTTGGCAATGGCAGATCGTTTATCACACAGTGAGTCTTGTTGGAGCAACGCTGGGGGGATTTATATGCTAACTCGGTCAATCACAGACCTAAATCCAGACGATCCCAACTCAGAAAGACAGCTAAAACAGGTAGCTGTTAGTTATAGGGGCGTTCCTTTTGATGAGTGGTTGGATCTCCTTCTCGAGTACGCCATCGGTCTCGCGCAGACCGGAAAGTTTCAAGATGCGTACAAAGTGTGCGAATCAGCGCGTGATGCTACAGTATACTCCAAGTCCAAGGAAGACATGTTCCTAATACACGTGACGTGGGCCGGTAAGAGATAAGATCACATCCAAGACTATAGTGTATTGTAGCTAATTCACGAACAGCATGTGCATTACGTGGCAGAGACGAGGAAACATGTGTTGCCTCGGCTCGTTGGCTTATGAGGGAGTATCAGTTTGATACAGATCCATACCGCATGTTCTCTGCTATATCTAGATTATGCCCGTCCCCGGCATCGTGGTATGCTTCTGGTCCTGTCCAGAAGTATATGCTACGACAGATCAAGCTCATGGATCGCGCCATAACGAAGGCAGGAGAGACGGAGGATAGCGGTGACGATGATGGACCGCCCAGTGGCCGAGTTTATCCGAGTAAGGAATTGGACATCACGTTGCTGATGCTCTATGGGCATATTCTATTCATATCGAATAGCTTTACGTACGCATTAAGTAAGTAATGGGGTCTTTAGGAGCGACTAGCATAACGTTGAAGTATTAATATTATTGCAGACTATTTTATGAGAGCATATTCTCTTGATCCCTCCAACCCTCTAGTCATACTGAGTGTTGGTCATTGTTATATTCACTACGCACTTAAGAGGCAATCCGAGAATCGACAATATCTTCTCACTCAAGGATTCTACTTCCTACATGAGTACTACAACATAAAATCTGCCTCGCCGAGCGCAGCGCAGAGACAAGAAGCACACTACAACATGGCGCGCAGCTACCATGCCGTCGGCATTCCTCATCTTGCCGCCGACTACTATCGACGCGCTCTTCGCGAAGTTCCCGATGATTCAGACAACGGCATTATGGGGAGGAATGACTTGACTCAGGAGGCTGCGTATAATCTGCAGCAAATATGCTGGGCTGGCGGGGATATGGATGCTGTGAAGGATATTACGGATCAGTATCTCGTTCTATAGGTTCGGTGTAGAAGGCCATGTCATGATGCTATTGATGGCATGACATGTATGTACCTACCTAGGTTGGGTATGTAGGTAACATGCTATCGATACGTTGAATACATGACCTGGGATGATCCATGCTACTAAAATTAAAAGGAGTCTTGGGCTAAGATAGTGGTGGATGCTGTGGAAGTTTATCTGCATACTAAGTGCATGTACTGCCATGTAGGTCGGAAGCTTCATGTGCCTGCCGTGCCTAGTGCATCCCTAACCCTAACAATAACCCCTTTCGCACAACATGATCAAGAACGATCATAAATGTAGAAATAAAAGTGTCACATTAGGTAGGTAAACAATCAACCGACTAAGTTAGCCGTCACTAGGAAGAGGAAGAGGAAGAGGAAGAGGAAGAGGAAGAGGAAGAGGAAGAGGCATATCAGAAGTCTTTGTCACTAGTTATTCTGTTTTGCTTTTCCTTGGCTACACTAGCGGTAGCACAACATGCCAACCGAACGTTGCAGAAAAAGAAGGTGAGTAGGTTTGTAGGTTAGGTTATATACAGCATACATACATATATACATACATACATACATACATACATACAGCGCGGCTGCAATATAGGTACATACGTACCTACTCTAGGTAAGTTGCGTAAAACGAAGGGAAGGGGGGGTGAAAGAGAGAACTAACCTACTAACTTAGAGTTACAGCGTTGGCTACCTATAAAGGGGAAGGGGAAGGGGAAGGGGCTTTCTTAAATCCTTTTTGCTTTGAGATAATTACTTTCTTAAGGGGGTGTGGCTGGCTTTTTCGAGTCAAACTCCATCCAGTAGATCAATACCTACCTAAGGTATATCGACGTCGAGGGGAGGAAGCATCATTTGGGGCGACTATATTAATAACATGACTTATTAAAAAAAAAAAGGCGTCCGTGCCATCGTCGGAAGGTGTCGATTCGGGAGTATATGTAACTCATAAATATATCATTTTGTCAACAACAGCAACAAAACGAATGACTCAAGAAAACGGGTTGTTTTGCGGAATTGGTTATTTCCATGATGATGATTGATTGATGTTGATGATAATAAGATGGATGGTATTTCGAGGTATTGCTTTGCTTGCTTGCTTCTTCCAACTCTTCTTCCAGCCTCTTGCCCTTATTTGAAAAACCAAGCCAAACCAAACCAAACCAAACCATTCATCCATCCAACCAACCAAACCCCCTACTCAGTCAGACAGGTAACGGGGGTAAGACCAAGTGAAAAAGCCAAACCAGCCCCCCGATGCCTACTCCGTGCGCCGCACACACACACACACAACACACAACACATCACATACCAAACCATATGGAAATATGAGGGTTTCAGGACCATGCCATTATAAAAAAAAAAGAGAACAAAGAAGAGGGAGCCCGTTCCAAGAATCGAAGGTGAGGGGTCGTAAGTGAACACAATTCATAGGCTAATACAACATAGTCAAGAAGAGGAAAGAAGACAAGAAACGCCGGTCTTATGCGAACATGATAACAAGAAAGGGATAATGATGGGCGGCTCTATATCGTGCCGCGAAGCCGTTGTTTCCGGGCTAGCCAATCCCCGAGCATGTTATCCAATTGCTATAGAAATGTTAGTTTTACCACGAAATAGCGAGACATTACCGCTGAGGTCTAGGATAAGAAAACTTACTGTGGTGATTTCGGCCAACCTCGCATTCTGCTCTCTGAATAATGAGCCTACGATAGGATGGTCGGGGCTAGCGGGCGTGACATCATTCTTGTCATATACGATGACCAGCAAGTCTCGGATGTCAGAACCTGAATCGAAGAATGCATGGAGGCTGGCATCGTTCCATGTGGAGGTCGTTGCGGTCGAAGTAGATGTCGTCGTGGAATCCTGCTTTCCATGTGTTCGGGTATCGACATCGACAAGATCTGGGGATGGCGAAGATACCGGTGACGACCGGTCTTCCTGGCTAGACGTATCGGCCATGAGGGCGGGTGGGTTAGGCTGTGTGACGGGTGAGACTTGAACGGGTGATTCTGACAGACGTTCCTCAGCAGCAGGATGTGTATTTGTTGTCGTTGTCATCGTTTGATCACTCATTTCAGACACAGAGGTTTGAGAAGTTTGAGTGCTGACGTAGCTGTCTGGATATGCTCCCGGTAAAGTGGGCCGCACCTGTTTGTCCTCGGATGGCTGCAGTCTGGGTTCAGGAGCAGATTTAGCCGGCTCCGGTGCATTTTCCTCTTCCTCGGGCGAGTCAAAGTCGTCAAGCTCCACTCGTGACTTGGCCTTCGTAACTTTAGGTGGTTTGGCTTCCTTTGAAAGCAAAGACTTCGGGCTGCTCTTCTCCTCTTTCCGTGGTGTGGTATCGGACTGATCAGATTCAACCATTCTCAACGTTGCTGGCGGCACATTCGACACATTGTTGCTTCTAGCTTCCGATGCTAACATGGGACCACGTTCTGTGCCAGGCGCTTTACGTGTTGGTGAAGGATCGGCTCTGGTATGCTTTTGAAGTTTGCCCGGGCTGCGCTGTGACGCCGCCGCTTTTTCAGGTGAAACCTCCCCACTAGCTGCTGCTTGGAGCTCGATCGACTCTTTTTCTATCACTTCAGTACTACCATCCAAGGACCTCTTGCCAAACGAGTCGTCATCATCGTCAACAGATTTCTTCCTATTATTCCTCGAGAAGAAACTGCGAATAGCGCTTGGCTTCTTCTCCTTTTCTTTCTTGTCCTTATCCTTCCTCCTCTTCTCGTCCTTGACTTTATCAGGAACCAGCTCCTTCTCGAGGCTTGGCCGTTGTCGCAAAGAGGAAGAGTCTTTTGACTCGCTCGACATCCGACCTTCATTATCGTCTCGGAGCAGGCCGGGCGTAAGCGTGATCTTCTTAGTCTCTATTGTCTCATCCCTGAAGAAAGAGTCTGTGTTCCTGACAGTACCATTCCTCGTAACCCGCTCAGGCTTCACTTCGAACATCTCGTTGCTATCCCTTCGAGCTTCTCCTGGGGCACCCAATTTCGCATTCTCATCCCCTTCTGCTGTGGTCGAGTCTGCCTTGACTTGCTTAACGCGAGGTTTGAGTGGCTCCACCTTTGCAGTTTCGTCTTCTGACATGTCATCCCCGGCTTGTTGTGACGATGATTTGTCTTGGGAACCCTTTTGTTGAGTTTGGTTTTCACCCTCTCCGTCCTCTTCTTCCTCGGTAGAGTAGTCTATGTCAGAATAGTCAACGTACGTTGGTGCTGTAAAGGTGACAGTTTTTTTCTTCCTCCGAATAGCTGTCTTTATGACACTCTTAGATTTCTCTGCTTGGTCACCGAGCATTGTCGCCGACAACTAAGTCATAGTTAGCATTTTAATAGATGTTCCTGAGGCCTAGCCACCTACATCAATGTTCCTGTGCTTATTGAGACGAGCTAACCTTTCGGTGGGCGTTTCAATATGCTCTGCCGGTAAGTATCCTGGAAAAGAATGTGAGCTAGAAATCGAGTTAACTAGCGACAATGCCACACGTACCTATACTAGAGTCTTTCACGACCCTTACAAGCCACCAGTAGCTGTTGCTATCGTCAAGGAGAACCATCGTGTCACCTTTAGCGGCATTGGCTTGACCTTCGACTGTCGCGACGAAAGTATGAAGGGCGTAAACGAACTCGAAATCGATATCCTCTGCGTCTTGTAAGTCTTCGCTGCCCCAGCCAACTTCAATGAATTCAGGTGCTAGGAAATGGTCGTCATCATCATCGTCATCATCATCCTCTCCGGATACATTGTAAGGTAGTAGAAATCCGTAGGGCGAAATAAGGTGCTCTTCGTCGTCGAGTGCGAGTCCTCCTTCCTGCGTGTCAGACTTCTGATCCGAAAAGGAGCTCTTAATTATCGAATCCGGATCGGAACTGAATGCGCGATCATCCTCCTCTTCCCCTCCTTTAAAGTCCTGTCCCATTTTATCTATCGGTATCCCCGTCGCGTCCATTTCCTAAATGCTCGATTCGGTATCCGATAACGATAGGTCGTATAAGTTTTCGACATCGTCGTGGTTTGCGCGGTCGGTCAATCCAGTATACTCACCAAGAAGAGGATGATGACGATTTGACTTCTCAGCAGAAGCCTTGCTTGCCTGCTGGTTAAGAGGTTGTAGAGGTTGATGTGCAGCAAGTTCGAGATATGGTGAAGATGATCTCTCCTCGCTTAGTACTGGGGAACTTGGGGGATCGCGTTGCATAGACCAAGGGCGGAGCGAGTCGACGCGCCGTGGCCAGGCATGCGGCGGAAGGGTGTACCCACCATCTTCAATCGAAGGAGAACTCGATATCTTGTCCATCATATCGTCATCCATGTCATCGTCGGTGTTCGCGTCCATGTCTCCCTCGTCGGAGGTACCGCCAGCGACTCCTCCATTCTGCGCGATGGCAAGCGCATCGTCGGATTGCATCTTGTTGCCATTCAAGGAATTCGCAATACCGTTAACGAGCTGTTCGGCGTATTGTTGCAGATCTCGGCTATTGTTGTCACCATCGGTCCACGAGAGTCTGGGGCTTCGAGCTTCCTCTCCGGCCCTGCTTTCCTGAACCTCGCGTATGGTCTCTGCCTGGTGCGGCGCGAGCGACCCGTCCGGGGCTGTACTGGAAAAGGTTGGCTTGTTTGACTTCGCAGAAGGTGCTTCTTGACTCTGAAGATCAATGGTATCTGAATATCGAAAGGGAGAAAATGTTAGTTTGGCACAGCACAAAGATAAACAATTCACAATTCATAAGAGGTGGACAAGGGGTTGGGTTGTTGCATTGTAATTTTTCGTCCCCTGCCAGTCCTTTCTTTCAAAAAAATACCCAGAAATGGTTGGTTTGGTTGGTTGGCATGGGCATTGGCTCTCCGGGGGCTATATGTAGATCAGACTTACCAGCCCGAATCATCTGGGGTCTTGTCATTGTGTTAATTTGTCAAGAGGTTCCCAGTAAATTCAGTTCCCTCGGATCGGTCTGAGATCAAGTTTGGAATTGGTCCACTCGATCATAACAGCAACGCAACACACAATCTGGATCCTGTTGATTGAAAATTCGTCCTGATTTTTGACTTTTTTTTCCCCTTCAATTCGGCACCTTTTCCCTTTCTCCCTTCACTAGCCTCTTTTTCTCCCTCCCTCGTCCTTGTTCGGTAAATGGTGGGATAGGTGGATTGTCGCAAGGGGCTGGACAGTACAGAGTTGCTCGGGGACGCCTCGGCCACGGACCAGGCACAAATTGCCCACCAAAGGGAAGTGGTAACTCTATTTCCTCGAAAGTTGGTACAACTTAGACGATCGGCATGCGATTTTAACGGCTCGTAACGTTCGTAGATCTCGGGCCAATTGTTTGGTGCTTTATCTCTCTAAATATAGATAATAACCAACTGGAAAGAAACATAGAAAAAAAATGGGCAAGTTGTGAATGTTGTTGGGTAAGAAGGGGATAAGGAATGGAGAAGGAGAAGGATACTATGTATGGAGATGTCTAGTATTGTAGGTATGTAGATGGAGAGAGTGGTATCATTGGTATTATTAGAGTGTATCTTTCCATACGTACTTGTATCCTCCAAGTCGCAAGGTATCAAGGTCGCAAGGAAAAAAAAAAGATTAAAATCAAACATTATGGAATACATAAAGTCAATCCCTGCTGTACATTATGTATGGTGCATGCCTACATTGCCTAAGTTATTAAGTAGTAGTTACATACCTAAGGTTAATAGGTAATGTCGGGTACTACTAGGTAGTATTACGGTGCTAGCCTGCATACTGGATAGTGCTATGCAGTACCTATATCGGTTATACTATCGGTCACTCAACTAAAGGACTCGGGGGTGACTACCACTCAGCCTACTGCAGGTGATCAGATACAATCGAGAAAGATGCGAAAAGGGAGGCCCTGCAGATTGACTGTCCAATTGGGCCTGGCTTGAAACATGGCTAACAGGGGGTTTTGAAAGAGTGGGTTGGTGGATGAGACGAGCATGATAGTCAGACAGTGGCCTCTAGTTGCTCAGGGCGGTTGCTGTCAGGCAGTGTCAGCTTTAATAGGTAACTTAGTACCTAACTACATGTAGTCCCTATCAAGATGTACTCGGTACCTACAGTACTAGGTATTGTACAATACAATGAAAGCCAGCAGGCAGATAGCCCTGGGCAGATACACCGGATGAAAAATACAACGCACTGTAGTAGCACGTAAATCTTCAAAATTTCCAGAAGGTGCCCAGCCATCAATTAGAACCATGATGTCGCTTTTTATACTTGACATCCATGCCCGTTACCACTCTTATCTCCAGTGTATTCGTTTTAGCACGTTTATTAGTGCTTGCAATTTCTATTCTTGCATACACCTAGCATGTACCTAGCGCTTATCCATCATGTAATGTTACTGTAACGCAAGTACTAGGTATGATACGGTATGTACAATACCTCCTATGTCGTCGTACTTCTCGTGCGTTGCTCTTATTTGACTCCATTCGATCTTCAAATGTAGCCAAAGATTGTATCTCCATTTTTAGGTGTGCAGTCGTACGTCCTATAGCCTAACAACCTACCCACTGGTACCTGGCTCGATCAAGATCTATTATCTACTCGTCATGGGAATGCAGAGGTAAAGGCTATGGGACGAGATGGCTGCCTCACACATACACACACATCTCAACGATCTATTAGGCATAGTTACTACTAGTAGTAGTAAAGTTTACAAGAATAAGCCTTGGCATATTCTCGTATATCCAGCTAGCCGGCGACTGGAATTCGTGATACCTTAGGTACCTGCCAACAGTTACCTACATGTATGTCTTTCCGACTCTTTCGAGTATAACATTGAAGGTTGCATTCGTTGCCAATGGCTGTGTTGGCATGTATGCACATAAGTCTGAGTAATAAACAAACCCAACCATTCCGAAGACTACTATGAGCGGCCTACGTGCAGGTACCTGCTACGTACCTGATTTGCACAGAATTGTAGAAACAAATAAACAAGCCAACAACAAAAACATTCCATCCAACATCGAATATTTGTTATTGTCTCTCAACTGCTGTATTTTGACCTTCAATACTTCCTCTGCCCCTGTCTTGCGGCCCTGCCTACGGCAGACTAGCCCCTCCGGTTCCTGCGCTAGTGTGCCCGAACCATGAACCGTCTGTGGGGAGGATCGCAGTTTTGGGTTCGACCAATAATTCGATGGGTAGTTAAATAGCTGCCTACGAACCTAGGTTAGGTAGGAAGTTCGCGAATGGGATCCCACCTTAACTACCTACAGTAGGTATGTATCTTCAAAATCCATATCGAAATACCTTTTCCATACAAAATAGGAAAACAGAAATACCATCTCGTATAAACATCCACTATTAAAGCAACCATGCCCCTCCTCAAGTAACCATTAGAGGTTGTCAATGTTAAGCAGCACTGTCATTGTTACATATTCTATATGTACTGTAAGTATGTAGACACCGCCTTACACTTTGAGACCGCTCGAGAAACGGTTTTCCGTGAAGGGTGTGAGCCAAGGAAACCTTCACATTGCTTTTATCGCTCCCCCCATAGCCATGGGCCAACTTCAGCTTACGTAGCAAGAATTTCCTTGTGGCTGGAGTCCTGACATCATGGACTTCGTTAGGTTCAAAAGAGCCTTCACTAAGTAAGAGCAGAGCTTCGGATAAAGCTTTGAGGAAATGAAATTCCCATGGCCGTGATAAGGAGTATTTATTTTTATTCAAGTCGGTCAAACCCAGATTACAGCGCTGTAATCCCACAATGGGAAAACCACGTGTCGTGTACTGGTTTCGAACAGATCTGCGACTCCACGATTCTCCTGCCTTACGAGCTGCCCTTGATCTAGATCCAGCCACTTTATGGCCCATATTTACTTGGGATCCTCATTATGTATACCGAGCCAAAGGAGGAGTCAACAGATGGCAATACCTGTAAGCCCGCGTTCTAGATTGTTCAACTGGGCCGAATGTTGATCGTGTTAGGCTCGACTGCCAGGCTGATCTTTCGGCCTCTATTCAAAAACTAAACTCCAAGTCAAAGCTCTTCATACTACGTGAAGCACCACAGACTCTTTTCCCCAAACTATTCAAAGCTTGGAACGTGACACACCTAGTCTTTGAGAGAGATACAGATGCTTACGCCCGAAGCAGAGACAAGGCCGTAACAACGTTGGCCGAAAATGCCGGTGTGAAAGTAATTACTCGGTATGGACGTACATTATGGGATAGCGACGAAGTCGTCGCATATCATGGAGGAAACCCAACCATGTCTATCACCCAACTTCAAGCGGCTGGGCACAAGGTTGGGGAAATACCCAGGCCTATACCAGCTCCCAAGTATTTACCAGACCCGGGAGAGATGCCCATTAACTTCGAGCAGCAAAAGCCAGAAACGGAACCGGATCTCAACGCACCACATCGTCGTGGTATAGACAAAACGTATTCCTATATTGCAGGACCCAGGGGCGACTTCGCTATCGCGACCATCGACGAGCTTGGGTTTTCAGCAGCAGCCACAACACCGCATCGTGGCGGTGAAACGCGCGCTCTCAAAACCCTGGAGGAAATTTTCTCTAACGAGAAATATGCTGCAACGTTTCAAAAGCCAATAACCAGCCCAGCAGCATTTGAGCCACAGTCAACAACTCTTCTGTCGCCAATGCTTCACTTTGGTGCGCTCTCATCGCGTTTGTTTTACTGGCGGGCGCAAGATGTAGTCGAAAAGTACGGTAAAGGGGCGTCCTCGCCTCCTGAGAGCCTGACTGGCCAATTGCTGTTTCGAGACATGTACTTTGCTGCGCAGGCCGCAATAGGGTCACCTTTTGGTATGCAAATTACGAGCTCATCCATGTACTCCTTTCTAGATGGTCCCTAATTTTGTGGTAGTCCAAACCCTGAATAATACATACTGCCGTTTTATTCCATGGCATCTACCCTCAAAAGTAGTCGGCAGCGATGCAAGTGAAAATATTAACAACGGCGAGTATCATGTCGACTCATCGCAAGCCGAGGAGTGGTTCCAACGTTGGAGGGCAGGTATGACGGGGTTTCCCTTTGTCGACGCCCTGATGCGCCAGTTATGTGCCGAGGGCTGGATCCATCATCTGGGGCGACATATGGTGGCGTGTTTCCTGACTAGGGGCGGTTGTTATGTACACTGGGAGCGTGGAGCCGATGTTTTCGAAGAGTGGCTGATCGATCATGAGCCAGCTTGCAATGCCGGTAACTGGCAGTGGCTAAGCTGCACCGCGTTCTACTCCCAATACTATCGTTGCTACAGCCCAGTTGCGTTCGGGAAGAAATGGGATAAGAATGGTGAATTAATACGAAGATGGGTACCCGAGCTAAAGAATTTGGATGAAAAGTTCATTTATGAACCTTGGAAAGCTAGTCAGGCTGCTCTTGATAATGCCGGCGTGAAAATCGAGGGCGATGGGCTCCATGAAAAAAAGGCCGGGACTTACCCAACTCCGATGTTTGACTTTGGGGAGAGAAGAAGTATCTGCATGGCTGCGATGAAAAGGGCATATTCTATCGGACTACATGGAAATGATGACAAAGTTAAGGATGGGACTTGGAAAGAGGAATTTGAAAAAGCGGGCGAAACAGAGATGGAAGGCCTTGGTGGCAATAGCCAGGAGGAGGAATATGAGGAGGAGGAGCATTCGAATAATGTTCAGTATAACAAGAAGGAGAAAGGAAACCGGGGCAGTAGCAAGCATGCAAGAAGTCAAAGTGCCGTGGTCAAGGAAGGGCCAATGGACAAATTCACTAAAAGATTAAGGAGATGAAGTTACACATAATTTAACCTTGGAACCTTGAGGTATGTTAAGTTACTCTATATCATACTAGAAGCAGTAGCGATTACTCTGCTTTGGCACGTTTGCACGATCCCCTTTCTTAGTACCTACTCCTATTTACCTACCCAATCTTCTATTAGTAGCATGTAGTTGCCACACCTTCCAGAACAGCTTAGATCTATGTATATGGATTCGTCGTAAAGCTCGGCTGGTTTAAACTTGAACATTCATATACTTGCTACTTGGTTAGACATAAATCAGTCTTATATTCCTTCGACTATTTATATTCAGCCTTTGCCACCGTTTCAGGCATCCCAACGAGTCCCACCGCCACAAGCAAACATTACTGTATGTGTAGACGTATCATCTAATCAGAACAGCGTCTAATAATGTCAACTAAGCGATCAAGGCAACTCCGAAGATCAATTTGTCAAGGGGCGAGAAGACGAGCTTTAACTGTGGGTTCTCGTCACGCGGGGGAAGTCGAGTTGAGCTTAGGCAACATGGAATTCGCCGCATCCCCAAAAGACTACGGGACTGAGCATTCACAAATCATCAAATCTCACACGTTAGCGCCGACACACGCCTTCAAAACTGCGACAGCCACCTACCCTCTAACCTCTCCGTTAGCGAGCCATGAAGAGATTTATATAATGGCACTAGCAATTTGCTTCTTGGCCCTCCTAATTGGATGGCTTCTCATAGTATGCATACGAACAAGCCTCTACTCTCTCGCCCGCAAGGCGAGAAAGAAAGCCCAAGAAATAGACCCAGAGAGCGGTATATTATTAGGAGGGGAGCATGTCCCTGAGGAGGGTTCGTCGCTTCTATGTAGCTTGAGAAATGTGTCGACGGGTAGTCTAATCAAGTCAGCTGGGGGAAAGAGTTTGGACTTCGCCAATGGTATCACGAAGGAAATAGGACCGATTAGGAGAAAAACGCGAAGCATTCGCTATTTGGATGAAGAGGCAGCTGTGGGTTGTAATGAGGGCGAGGACGATGACAGTATGGAAGTGGGTGGCTATTTTTTACGCCTAAGACATGGGATAGCGGCTGTGCTACCTGCATAGAGGAGGAAAAGAAGTCCCAGGACCGAAGAAATCGCCGGCGTATCTTTCGCCTACTTCAGGGGTCTGTGAATACGGAAGACGAGCTGTGAATGGCTTGGTACCGTTAGTAACTCGAGCATCAGGACTTCAATGTGGAGATAATAGGGAGCTTGACTGAGAAAGCAGCGTCCTGGGAGCCTTGTAGGGTTTGTTTTTGTTAACTGTATACAACTTTCCCTTTATGTTAAGCGCATGATATTGTCATTGAGCCCTGGAACCTCATGCTTTCAGTCAACTACCATACCCCCACTTCCCGGGATAGGCCTCATTTATGTAAATGAACTCGTTCCAATTACGCCCGCCATTTTTAGGATGGTCGTCTATCGGTGTTGTTTCTGTTGTACAGGTATAATATCGTTCGCAAGGGGGCGTTTTCGTCGAGAACTGCCCGCATCTAGATAGAGCCACCACCTCGTGCTAATTCATGCCTTCCTTTTCAATTCCTGGGATGCTTGCTTTAAAGTCCAATTGCACTCCTCGTAAGCTCTGCCGGCACCAAATCCGACTCCCACAAATGCTGGCCATGCTCTTCGTCGGAATAGGAGGACTGAGAAGACAACACCAAATCCGAGGCCTAAGGTGGACTTAATGAGCATGTTGGAGATGCAGCGATCCCACTACAATTGCCTTCATGTTAGCGACTCCATGAACAGCTGTGAAAAAATAGTGGAGTTGCGCCATACCTTCTCGTTCAAAAGTGCCTCGCTCACAGGTCGGGAGACCGTGCTGGGCGGCGCAGGAACCGATGTCTCTGACATGGTGGACGAATACTAATATAGGTTAATGATAAATAAGTTTTGACTTCTACCTGTGCAGTTACAGGGGTTCATACCTTGCGGGTTGGAGAGTTTAAGTGAGAGTGGTGCAAATTGAATTATCGTCAACTTGAAGTAATTTATAATTTCTACGCATTCAGGTTAATTTTGGAGCATGGATCATGCAACTGGCAACGGTCGATAAGTCGCGGGAACCCGAAGGCGGTGAAAGCTTGTATGTGATTGTTTCTGGGCTAGCGTAGAATTTATAGTTAGTTATGCGGCAGAAACTTGTAGCGGGGAGCTCCATTAAAAAAAAAAGTTGGTTTTACTAGGATATACAGACATAGTTACAACTTACTATTAGTTAGTAGCTTCAAATGTTCAAACAATGTTCGTTGAATAGAAAATATTTCAGCGTTTGACAATATGCCCAATTGATCATTTTCACAATGAAGGCCAATGATGACTTAGAGGTGAGCTTTTTGGCCACATCATATGGATAAGCCTACTTATGTACATATAGTCAATGCGCAATTGAAAACTAACAACTGATTTTAGTCGCAACGGCTTGCTCTCATCAGAGCCGTCAGATCCCTCGACGAAGACAAAACAGTTGCCCTGCCCGAAAAAATACAAACACTTTGGACATTGCTTTCAGCAACTAAAAGCACAAGACTTCATGGCGTTGAAGAGAACATACTACGATGGATATTCAAACACATGAGCGGCAATACCGAAACTGCTGAACAAGTCCGTCGGTATCCTCTCACCTGGTCCATTCTTAGCTATGTGTTCCCCCAGATCCCGTCGCAATCTCTGGGGAGATCACTTGCCTCGCTTCGCTTTGTATCAGTCTTACATCAAGCCCTTGGAGATATCACTACAGCTCAAAGAAAGCCCCCGGTATTACCAAACCAAACGAATGGGATAGCACCGAAGAAAACGCGGAAGAGGAAGAGAGATGACAAGTTTCCTTCTGACATTGAGGAACTTCGTACCCCCGAAGGTTGCATAAAATCAGCTACCGAACTACTTAGGGCTCTGAGCAACCTCATTGGCCAGGGAAATCATCGTGTAGTGTCGAATGCTCCCGACCGAAGGGTTGGTGCCGAACACATCAAGTCGCTTTTTTCCTCATCCAACGAAGAAACTAGAGATATCGCCGCGAGATTGATATTGACATGCGATCGCTCATTGAGTGTTCTTGACGGTGGTCTTTCGCAAGATCAGGCACTGTGGATCAATACTATCACAACTTTATGGAATATCCGCCTTCACAATAAAGATGACAGCCTTGATTTTGCCAGGCACATGTATATGCCCGTCACTTCAATATTGACGAGGTTGCGCGGTATAGCTGGGGTCACGCCTGTACCGGTGGCCAGTGATGCTGTCAAAAGCCTTTGGATACAGCAGCTCGAGCAATCTTTGAGCGCATACTTCATCCGCCCTGCCCGGCACATATTTGCGATAGATGGAAACTTCGAGGTAATAGAGACCGCACTAGAAGTCTCAAAAAGGAATATAGGCGGCTCAGTCATAGCTATGTGGGATGTAGTAGCTACCGTTCCTCAGGACTCAAGCAATCCCAAGGCCAAGGCAGAGCATTCATCATGGGCTCAAAGTGTTTTCAAAATTCTACTCAAAGCTATTCAACCTCTGGAACCCTCGGGTCGAAATCAAGTCATTGCTCACATGTTAGACACGGCGATCAAGAGTGATTCTGTCCCAAGTACAGAAGCACTTCGTGTAGTATGTAGAGAACACGCACTTATGGTAGACGAAACCAATTGGAGCCTGATCGCCAAAATAATCGCTTGCGATGCCGACGTGTTCCTGATGGACGATACCTTGATCAAAGTCGTTTTCGATCGAATCAGTTCTTACTCGAACGAAGCCTCTTCTACTAAAGATACAATCGCTACCGATATTATTCTTCCCATAGAAGATGCTTTTGCGAAAGCACGGAATTTATCAGGCTTTATTCAGAAATGGTATGATTGCCTCTGCGAGAGCGTCGGGAACTCGTTGGACCAAGCTATTTGGTTTGACGTGAAAATCCGAGATCGACTCTCTAGCATTCTGCAGAGTTCGTTAACCAGCACACAACTTATGCGTGTCCTAGAGCGTCTGGACACTTCCGATGCCAATAGTGGTGCGCTTTTAGTTGTCGTGGATGCAATCTCTACTAGGGTTACTGAAGAGGAGTTCATCAGGAATGCTGACTCGAAAATATTCAATGCTATCTTCAAGGATAAGGCCTATGAGAACATCCCACCTTCAGTACTGTCATTAAGGTGGCGTATTGCTGGTAGGATGGCCTCTTGGGAAATGACAGACGAAGCCAGCCGACTTTGGAAGGAATTAAAATCAACTCTTAAACGGGTTCTTAAGAAAGGTGCTTTAAATGATCCTGAGACCTTTGAGGCATTCAGCTGCTGTTACAAGCTGTGGCTAGCTTTCTATCCCGAAGGCAAATATGAAGGGGATCTATCTAAGTTAGCCTATTCGTTCCTCCAAAGGCTCATCTCCGAGATGAAAACCAGTCATGACCTCGCTGTGTTTCAATTCTACATAGATCTCGTCTTCCAATCCCTCCCAATGCTCGTAGGATCGCCAAAACAGGATATCAATGCTCTGATCTCACTCATCGTGGATATATATTGGCATATTGGACAACAATTCACACTTGAAGGTGATATACAGCTTGGCCATCATATACGTTCACTTTTGCGCAATCCCGATTGCGAGGACGACGAAGCATTAATCGATGCCCTGATATCGCAACCCCTCGATGCTCTCGATAGTGCAGAGACACGATCAGGCTGGACACAGCTGCAGAGCCTCGGGCTACTTCGAATTCTTTCCGAGTTTCCGAATGAGGTTTTCTCGAAAGGACGCCGCAAACGCATTTTGTCCTCCTGGAAGAAATGGAAGTCGGCGATAGCTACTCATGCATCTCAGGACTCCCAATTCACAATAACTATGCTTGGGTTGTTGACTAAAATCATGCAGCAACCAACATTTTACGAAGTACTTATGACTCGATGTTCTTTTCATAATGGAAACCAAGGCTAACGTTTTTGATAGGATATGGAATTCGACGATCTTGTCGATTTGTCTCTAAATATAGAGATACTTGATAAGAATGTTTATACGTTGTTAGAAAAGCTCATCGATCTAACACTAAGGTCAGTGGCGCAACGTGTTCTCTGCAAATTTCGTATGACATGTCTAGTTTCTAATTTTGCTACAGACAAATGGCCACCGATACCGAAGGATCTTCGCTGACTTATTTTGCTGGTGCATCAAAATTTGTAAAAGGCATTGTGCCAGATGACTCAAGCCATACAAGCCCTCACATGCTTCTAATGACAGGCCTAGCTTCTGTGCTGCATGCATTGCCTCCAAGTAAACCGTATATTTCTGCCATCAACGTCGAAGAAATCACGCAGAAACTGGAACATATGGTCCAAACCAGTCTGTCTAGATTCGCATCTGATAGGAAGACGATGGAAGTGGCCGCAGCAGATGAGTCAGTGTTGCTCTCGCTTTCCACGACATTAAAAGGAGCCGCCTGCGTCGTTGATATCAACGAGGGAAAGCCCATCACACTTGCGGAGAAGACAGTCCACCAATTAGAAGCCATAAGTGCGACATACATCTCAAAGGATGTCAGCGTTGGCTGGGAGTTGCGTACCTTCCTTCTTCATAACTACCCTGGTCGATATGATACGGCAGCATTCTTCACGCAGCTAGAACAAGCATCTCAGACAGTGGATGAGGACGTAGTATATGCCCTAGTGGACGTTTTCGTGAAAAGTAAGGACAATGGCGCAAGAGACCAACTGCTTATCGATTTACTTGGTGATAAGCTTCCTACCAGCTCCGTCGGACTCCTACTTGCAGTCAGGAGGCTCATTGAGCTGCACCAAGGTGAGTTCCTTTATACCAACTATGACTAATAATAACCTAATCTGATGGCCTCTTAGGTTCCAATTCTCCATCAGGTAGTGGTGATAACCATGGCGGTCTCAATTTGGCAGCCGTCTACGAGCGACTTGCTTCACAGCTAAGCTGTGCCGAATCACTTCATCATTTCAAGCTTCTGTCGGATATTTTGGCGTTGCTACTTGAAAAGCACGCCAACTCGATGACCCAGTTCAATATTGAGATGACGCTAAGTAGCGTTGTGCACGTATGCTCACCGGAGGGCCCACGTTTCCAAGCCCCCAGGGCGGCGGGGGAAGTGTACGAGAAGTTATGCAAACTCGTGGCCATTGTGCTCAGACGGCATCGACTTCGGCTGAGAGGGCACTTTCCAATTCTGCTTACCACATTACACGTGCTTCTTAGTACTCTGCTTGCCGTCCCCGATGCTGCGTCATCTCAAATATGCTTGCCGTGGCTTCACTCACGGTTGCAGTCGAGGCATGCCGAGCGGTTTACTCGTTTGGTCACATTAATATGCGAGCCGAGCGCGGGATCGGTAGCGAGAGAGAGATTAAGTGATCTAGACTCGGCGACCGACGCAGCAAAGCGGGCCGCAGGGCACCATATGTTTACTATTTTGGAACTGTATATCAAATTGCAGCTCGAGGCTGCTATCCCTCTGGACATCAGAAAGGCGCTCGAGCCTGGTGTATACGCTATTATCGATATCACACCGCAGGGTTGCAGAAGGATATTAAATGAGTCGCTCGATGCCAATGGGCGGGCGATCTTTAGGCAGTTGTTTGCGGATTACAAGAAGTTCGGGAAGTGGACTGGCGTCTAGTTGGATCTTGGCTTGCTGTATACTGTATAATACACCCCTTCAAACTAAGTAATGGCTTAGATAGGTAGATATGATATTGTAACGGTTGTTGTGGGGGAGATCAGATCAGAAGGAAAGCAAGCAGACTAGCTTGAAGCTCTGCTACACTACCTACGATATAAATCGTATATACCTACCTGTAGGTAACATCAAGTATACCTACTGTCTGCCTACAATTCACATTCGTATATACCTGTATTCCCACCTACTTACCAAGGCTTACCTATTACGCGACTTGCCTATCACACGTGGGCGTGAAACGGTGGCACGATAAATTTGGCATACGACTATTCCCAATTTCCCATGGAAGGGGGGTATGAGCGACTTCCGCCGATGCTTTATATCTCACGAGAGATATGTGACTAAGAAAAACGTAAGGTTTATCGCTATTCACGGCCACATACATACTGAGTCATACATATCAATACCTATACCGAGCACGAAATAGACACAGAAACCGTTCACGGGGATAGACTCTGATTAGTTTAATGCGGCTTACCATTGCGCCATAGGCTATGTACATACATACTATGTATACTATGCCACTATGGTATTGTATGTACAAGTTGTATATGCTTGGACTACATCATTGTCAATAGATTGTCAATACATATGTCATTCTAAGAAATCACCTAACCTTAAGGTCATTACCTACCTAAGCAGTGCTCGGCCGATATATATGGGATTGGCATGGCTAGCAAATAGTAGCAATGACTGGCAAATGGCTAAGGTACCTAACTAGTATTGAAAGGGGCACCTATAAGCGCACGACCCGCTGGTCTGGAGACTTTCACACCGAGACACGGAAGTGGACTACTGTTCCGAGCCGCAGCGGAACGGCCGCCTTTCGTTTCCTTTGCTCCCTCCCTCCTTGAGTCCTTGGAGTCCCTCCCAGCCTTATTATTCCTTCTTTTCTTAGGCAGGTACACACTGTATAATCTCTGTATTACGACCAATTGCCACTTATTTTATAATTCGATCACCCCATGTGTCGACCAATCTGATCCGCGTATTGGCTGTCTACCTATAGGCGTTGAATTAAGTAATAATGTAATTATGAGCCCATGTTTTCTGTGTCCAAAAAGAAAAAAAGAAAAAAGAAAATCCAAACCCTTGAACCTTTTCGGGATCCCCATTTCCCGGGCAAAGACCGAGAGTGTTGTGCTGGTGAGGGCCAAATTTACTTTCGGCATTGTGGATATTTATTATTATGCTCCGTAGGTGAGATCACAATCCAGAATCGTCAATTCGGTCCAAGAAGGAAGGAAGCCTTTTTGTGTTCATAGCGGCGACCCATTGGCCACAACGGCGATTACCACGTGGGAGGCAGAGGCAGCCATTCTTATCCGTTCTAGGTTTTACTAATAATAATACTGTAGTCCAGAGGTATTCCTTATACTACTTGGTATCAATCCTACTCGGGTCATACACCTTTATGGTAGGTAAGTAAGTATGTAGGTATAATACTTCCTAAGAACCCTCCTAGGCGAGCGAATCGCATCCGACCGGCACTAGATGGGAAGTCATGTCATGAGAACAAAGAAGCGAAGACCGATCATCCCGGAACGCGGTTCTTTGGTTAGGGATGCCTTGAATTCCCGTTGCAATATAAACTCTTTAGTTAACGTGACTTTCTCGGGAATACGCTCGGCTGAATGGCCCCCCTTAGCATTCAGAAAAAGCCGGGCCGAATTCTGTTTCCCATTTTCCGGAGGTAGGTAAAGAAGTAAAGCTAGAGTCGACGCCGGCATATTTGGCGAAAGTACCGGTAGCGCCGGGACTACACCGTGGGATAAAACTTGGGAGGGAGCCATGAGAAGGAAAAATAAAAAGCGGGCTAATTACTTATACCTACTGATTACATGCTTAAAGTAGCAAGTGTCTCGGATGCTATGGCACCCCAACACGTGTCGGGTAACTCAACCGAAGACAAGGTTTTGTATTCTCTCCTTTTTTTTTTTTTTTTTTTTTCTTCTTTGGTTTGGCATGTGTTTCCTTCTTTCTCTAGTGTACTGTAGTTGAAGGAAACGTTGCACACTTTGATACATTACCTACCTGATACACAGTGGATATGTTTGAAGTCGAGACCAAGCTGTAGGCGCAAGACAACTAGGTTACTAACCTAGGTATGTAGGCTCACAGGCTATCAGGCAGTTGTTAGTATTGAAGAGTTTAACAAATCCGCCACAGTCGGTAGTATTATTAACTGCGCCTCGACTAATGACCCATCCTTCTTCCCATATCCATTTCCTCTTCCATCTCAATACCCATCTCAATATCCATATTGATATCCATATCCATCTCTATCCCTTGGGTATGTATACATGCCACCGTCACCAGATCAGATCAGAACCTGTCGGCAGTGAAATAGTGAAATAAGGACGAATCAGAATCCTTGGTTGGACTACGGTAATCTTGGCTTTACCGAGCGCTCGTTCCTCTTTCTTTTTTTTTTCTTTCTTATTTTTCCAACTAACTAACCCTACCTTGGTACTCAACTGTTCTCTACTTTTTTTTTAACGGTGTTTAATTTTTTTGGTTAGGGCGGCTTGCCTCGGTGTCAAAGTGATGAAAGGGGATAAAGGCCCCTAGAAGGACTGGAAGGGAGGGCGTGTGAGTGGTGCGTCGGAGCGACGCCGCGGCAAATCCGTACCATTTCTAGCGTAGCTCTCATCACCTCTCGGTCGCCCTACACGGCTTAGACTGGCAGCTTGGCGTCACCCCGAATGTCGCATGTGGGCCAATTGCACATCCATAGCCTGATTGCATACTTCTGTAGTGCTGGGTATTTTCCACCGGCTGCCTAATCCGGACTGTTCTGGTTCCCCCCTTAGGTACCGTCGCGGTAGTCGTAGTGGTATCATGTACGTCGTATAGGTGTGTAGTGCACTGCCAACGGAAGGGGGGAAAAGATGAAAAAAGGTGTTATCGGCCATTATCCCGAAGGTATAGTCGGTGATATTTGCCTTGTTCCCTACCTACGGTACCCTACGTAGTTAACTTACTTCCATTAGCACCATTCATAGTGGTCTTAGACTCTTAGTAGTACGATTGTATATGTAGGTAGTCTTAGTAGCAGTTACTAGATAGGTACCTACCTACATACCTACCTACCTACTTACTTACTTACCTACCTACCTACCTACCTAACTAGCAAGCCAAGGGACATATCGGATGAAGCCACGCCGTTCCCTTTTCTTTTACCTGCTGGTTTAGGGTTCTTTATATAGGAATTAAACGGTTTCCTCCCGCCGCCGCCGCCCTTACAAACCCCCCCTCCCCCTTTTCCCTTAATATCCCAAAGCCCCCGTGTAAGTTGCAAATGTAGCTGGTGCTTCTTTCTTGCCTGACATGCCCGTCATAGTCAGGCCTTCAGATCACGGGTCGAGATCCTGGGCAGGTCGGAGATATAGGCTCGCATCGTCACCCGAACTGCTACTGCACTACACCTTGACCGACGACACGCGCACCAGCCCGCCCAGAGCCCGGCAGCTGATCCAGAGCTCCTTCTCCGGGCTCGAGCGCAAGGACAACGTCTTCGCGGCCAAGAATGGCTTCGTCCACGCCTGCGTGGACGCCTACAACGAGCACCACTGCCTCGTCATCCGCCCCGAAGATGTCTGGTTCGCCATATTGACCCAGTTCAGCGCGTACATCAACGCGAACTCGGAGGAGCTGCACCGCCGCTTCTACAGCACCACCACCACCAGCGGCAGCAGCAGTGGTGGCAGTCCCCAACAACAAGATGGCCAAAGAAACCATCCACACCAACACCAAAATCAACAACAACAACAGCAGCAACACTCACAGCAACAGCACCACCACTACCACCAAAAGGAGCTGCACATCGACGTGGACCTCGACGGCGTCGACCACGGCAAGATGGCCTTCGCCATGACGAAGATCATCCAGGAGAACATGCGGGACGACGAAGGGCTGCGGGAGTGGGTGCTCCCGGCCTTCACGACGACGACCAAGGTCGACCAGGCGGTCGCGAGCATCATCTTCATGGGCTCGATGCAGAAGTACTTCACGTACAGCTGGGGCACGCGGTGCGGGATCCCGTCCGCGACGCTGCTGGGCGAGGAGACGGACTGGATCCGCATCCGCGAGCGCGCCGAGCGCCTCGCCACCTTCGGCTCCGAGCCCGGCCGCTGGCTGCGCCTGCTGCGCCCCGTGCTCGAGGGCTTCGTCGCCAGCTTCCGCGACCCCGAGGGGGAGAGGGCGAAGAGGTTCTGGCAGGGCATCTGCGACGAGCATGTGCCCAACGGGAGCGGCAGCGTCACGTACTCCGGCTGGATCACCGCGTTCTGCTTCTGGGACGAGAGCGGGCGGTGCCTGCACGGCAGCCCGAAGAGTGGTGAGGGCCAGGGGTGCCAGGAGGTCCAGCTCACGAGGAGCCAGATGCCCAGCGGCTTCTCCAAGGTCCCTGTCACCCTCCTGAACGACGGCGTCGAGATCCCCACCGAGATGGTCGCAGGCTCCATGGCGATCAGGGCGCTTCGGTCGAGGGATCTCGTGGGTGCTGATAAATCCCGGATACGACGGGGTGCTGCTGGTGCTGCGAATGGTGCCGGGGCTGCCGGATACGACACGATACAGCCCGAGGTCGGATGGTTTATGTACAAGACGTAACCACACGGGAGAGGCTGTGAGAGTCAGTTTTTTTTTGGAGTGGTTTTTCTTGTCCCGTTTCTAGATCGTTATGGTAAGTCCAGACAAGTAACCTACCTACCTACCTACCTACCTGCCTATGCAATACCAATGGGCTGGTTATATCGTTTTTTGGCTAACAATGACTGCAGAATACCTAACTACAAACCTGGCTACGAACGAAAGCACGAGGAATCGAGAACCTCGGATTCAACGAGCTTTTCTTTTTTGGACACATATACCTATCAAACCCCCCACTCGCTACCTCACACCGGGCTCCGACTCCTAATATTATATCCTACCTACTTGACCTTCCCTACGTACCTATCTACCTACCTACGCCCTCTCCTTCCCAGATATCTGGGCACATAGCGATGGATCCTCAAAACCTCCCAAAGAAGGATTATACACCGGCCTGGATTACACAGTACCGGCCTCGGCAGTTGGCTCCCCACCCCAACTCCACCCCTAATGAGCCTCGGCGTGGTCTGGCGACTTCCTCTTCCGTTAGGAGGGTAACCAGACTTTGGGATAGGAATAGCTCGCGCTATAGCGAGTATTCCTCATTATTATTATTATCATTATTATTATCATTATTATCAAATTTGAAGAAGGATGGGATCTGAGCTCGAAAATCTCGCATCGTCGTATCCGGCTCTCTCTCTCTCTCTCTCTCTCTCCACATTGGCCGACCTGCTGGAAACGCCGATTCATGACTGGGTATTCGGATTGGCCGGTTTCATCTTCTTTTTCCTTGGTTCTACTAGGGTTTCGGTTATGTCTCATATCATAATGGCTGCTCTGATTTTTATAAATCTTGGGGGGGGAAGCATTTCACGGACAGCGTTGCGGGGAAAAGGGATAACGCGATCGTGATTACCTAACGCCCGGATGTACGGGACAGAGAGAGCTGGCTCAAGGGAAAGGCTTTATACCTACCTACTAATTAGCATTGTCGATAGTTAACCTATCTACCTACCTACCTACCTACCTAAGCTACTCGGTGAAGTAGTTATCTACCTACCTAACCTAACCTAGATGCATATTCTGGCGTAAGTCTCAGGGGATAAGGGGGGCGACACTTGGATTTTAATAATTTGATACCCAGAAAGCAAAGTGGAAAATCTCTACTCTTGGAAGATAGCATTGTCGTCGAAGCTGGGAATTCGGCTAGGGTCTTTATATAGTATCTAGTAAGGTATCTTTAACCGCCTAGCGATATATATATATACATATAGGCGGCGACGTCATGCATCTCAAATATACCTACCTATCTAGTAGACAGTCAGTTCCATGAGGATTGAGTTCCTCATAAGTCCTTTTTTATGGATGAGTAGCATCAGGTATAGTTCCCTATATATCTCAGGCTCCTAAATGATCGCTTAATCTGCGATTTCAGAGTTACGTATTCATACGAGGCTATCACCACTCACTCCTACTGACAATACTACCGTTGCTCTTGGAAATATACCTAGGCACCTATCATATGGCGTACTAACGCCGAGGACAGGTTGCCGTATAATGACGTAAATATAGGTAACATACTCAATCATACTTATGTAAATGTAGAATCCAAAAAGGGGGGGGGGGGGGGGGGTTGGGACTGAAACTGAACCAATAAAGTGCAATATACGTCGTCTCTGACCTCTTCTCAGATTCATTGACTGAACTATCTACCTAAATTAGTTAGCAAATACTTATCGAGAATGTAACAATGCCATCCAAAAATCCAGGCTATGCAACCATGCCGAAATGCTCACGATAATGTAGCGTTGACGCCGCGTTTGCGTCATATCATATGTACCTACCCGAGGCGCATCAAAACGACCTCTACTATACATATTGGTATCCCATGAAATAAAATAAAATAAAATAAAAAACACTCCAATTCTAGAGCTAATGTTCCTTCTCCTCAAGTTCACGCATGTATTTCACAAATCTCTTTTTATGAGTCTGCATTGAAGTTAGTGAGTGTCTCAGGTACGTATGTGCTTAAGAGAGTAATGAAGAGCCGCATAAACTTACCATCCCAGCATAACGCCCATTTCTCAGAGCGCATATATACCGTAACCCAAGCTTAGCAAAGCACTCATACACTAGGTCCATCGGGGACATAATGTCTAGAGCAACAGGAGCTGGATCAATGTAGGGTGTGAAATTAGTCGGGTCCCGCTCCGGAAGCTCCTCGTCATCGATGTTCGGTACGTTTGCCATGAGACAGAGGTCGGTACTTTCATTATCGAGCTGATCCAAAGCGTATTCTAAATCTGGGGCTGGTATTAAGCCAACAAGGATGTCGTCTCTGACTATCGGTAGTCCGCCATCCAACTCTCCAGCTCGATGCAAAAGCTCAAGCTGTGAACGAAGTTTGGTGGCTGCAACAAGGGGCGACTCTGTGATGTCGATAACTCGCTCACGACGAACTCGAGAGACTATTTCGGCAAATTCCGAAGTGAAAATTGGCTTATGCTTGTTGTCTAGGAACGGATAAGCATTCATGTTGGTGAGCAAATCGTAGATGCTGAGCGGCTCCAATGCATCCGCCGTCCACTTGGCGACGAGTATAGCTAAAGAAAATGGCAACACATAATCCAGGCTTCCTGTAAGCTCGAAGAGAATGACGGCAAGGGTGACGGATAATCTCGTGACGCCGCACATCGTCGAGCCCGCAGCAATGAGCCCGTACACTCCCGGTTGGACGCATGTGGATTCTTGAAGGAGAGGGCAGGTTCCCCAAATGCCCCAGTGTGGGAAGCGAAGCACTATCCATTGAACAACATGGCCGACGATTCTGCCCATGAGACCACCAACAACCATGGATGGTACGTATATACCCGCAGGAACCTTTATGCCAAAGGTGATAATTGTCAAAGAGCCTTTTATGATAAAAGCGATGAGCAATGTTCGAAGTATACCAGGTATTTCGTCAATACTGGATGGGCAGAGGCCTAATTCGTCGTCCTTATTATCGTCGTTGCACGGTGCTGCGAGATTCAACAGGAGTTTAGCCACTGGAAGCTTGGTCAGGATATTCCAGTAGCCAACAAGTCCAGTTACCAAGGCCACCAGAACAACCTCGAGAAGTGGATGGTTCTTAATAGCAGGGATCTTGCGAAAAGAGAGAGCCCATCGACGCGATGCTTTGATGAACAAAGCACCGGTAATGCCCCCTAGTACACCTACTAGAACGAACCCGAACATTTCAAACCACTCCCAGTCAATTTTATACCGAACTTCAAACATGACAATCTTGTCGGTGCCATATGGATCAAGAAACTTCAAAGATAGGGCTGCCACGATGCAGCAGAAAAAAGTTCGAAAAAGGGTCTTGGCTGGAAAGTAGTAAGCGACCTCTTCGAGACCGAAGAGAACACCACCAAGAGGAGCCCCAAAAGCCACGACAACACCTGCTGCCGCCGCAGCAGACAAAACCTCGCGCCTCTTAGCATCATTGCGATCATACTTGGAGAATATTCGGCAACAGATGTTACCAATGCATGTTGCAATATGAACGTAAGGTCCCTCTTTACCCAGACTCAGACCCGAGGCAACACTTAGGATCAACCCGACCGTTTTGATGATAAGAGTCTTGAGACCGAGAAAGCCGTGTAAAACAAACCCACTAAGTATGACACGAACTTCAGCCACACCACTCCCAGCGGCGGAATAGTACACCATCGGAGGTGGAGGATCGAAAGTATTTCTACGTGTCCCTCTGGGACTGATGTTCTCATCGTCGTCGTTCTCGTTGTCATCTGGCTCTTGGGAATAGTCGGCAGCTAGGTTCTCATCGAATGTTGACATTCGGTAAGCAGAAGGGACTACTGTCTTAGTTGTGAGCGCAAGTAAGCATGCCAGCACCGAAAGAACAAGGACAGCGATTATATAAATCCCAAAATCTGTTCCAACATTGCCAAAGGGATGGCCTCCTAGAACCTCGGACCAGGATCGCCAATCGGTACATGGCCCATGAGGGCAACATCTCTGTCAACAATGTTAGCTATTAGATGTGCGATGTCAGGCAAGACATCCCTTGGCAATTGCATATTACCTTTTCTCTGAGGTACCACCCTTTTGCGCAATAGCCATCCTTGTAGTCGAAAATGGTTGTCTCTGCTACATCTACGCAGTAGGCTAGCAAGGCTACTAGGACTCCCACCACGGCGCTCAATATCCAGCCCTGAGCACCATCAAATATAACCCTCGCCCTACCCCAGAAGTCCTTCCGGCTCCGTAATTGCTTGACTCGGTAGGCATCGGCGATGCTATCGTGTACCCAGTCGGTGGAGGTGAACTGATCATACCATATCCGATCGTCGGCAAGAATGGAACCCTTTGACTCAGACATTGGATCTGGATGATCAGATATGGCCTGGATCAAACGTTGGCCCCAAGACTCATGTCGATTGTGGAAGCGCGAGACGTGAGATGCTCCGGCAAAGCTATGGTTCCTTGATAGGTAGCCTCTTGGGGTTCCTACAGGACTCTGAATGCGTACGCGGGAGCGCGAGGGACGAAGAAGAGCGGTATTTTCATCTGGGGTATCAGGTATCGAATGCCGCCTACTTCTTCTAGATTGGTGGCGTTGGTGTGTTGGAGACGCTGGGACGGATAGATTAGACGCCTGGGAGGGTGGTATGGTATCGTAAGAAGAGTTATCGGCCATGGTGGGCAGTAGTTGCGGATTTAAGACGGGTACTGGTTGGGGGAAAGGAAGGATGCTGCGAGGTGCGTAATACCAAGTATGAGGTGACTTGGAGTATCAAAAAGGCAAAAGATGATCAAGATGGTGGGCAGCTACTGGCATAGGCAGGCTGAAGATAACCTCACAAATTCGTTTTCGATGGCATAGGCGCACAGCATTCAGTAGTAGGTACCTAGGTCAGGTAGTTGTAGATATCAATGTAATCGGGTGATCCGGAGGCTCAATAATTTGGATCAAAATCCAATGATATTGGATGATGTGGTATATTAGCTCTTAGGTGAGTATGTAACCCACCGGGCAGGTTGAAGCTATCTGGCTATCGCGTCTGAAAACCCATTGTGTTTGTTGTATAGGGAAGTGATGTAAGTTGCCCAGTCTTCCTTTGCTATGTTCATCGAAGATAAGCCGGATGGATCTAAAGGTTGTAGTTCCAAGGTCAAACCAGAGTGACAGGTTCTTGTTAGTGAGGCAACATTGAAGGTAAAGAAGGTATGGTTGGTTGGTAGGCACATTGAAGCAGAACAAGGTATTTACGGACTAGTTACTACATGCCAATACACTTGAATACAGAAAGTACGTAACGGCGTCAACAGGGTAGGTGGACTTACATAGTAATAAAAAAAGGGTCAGATGGGTCAGATGGGGTATAGTGGAGTCTGCGAGTATTGTGTGATCAAGGGATCTACTACTACATGTATGTAGTATGTACTATGTGTGTGTATGTACATCAATAAGTAGTTACCCGTGACTTCAACATCAATGATCGTACGTACGTCGTACAAATGTTTCCAAACCATCGGGTACCTATTCAACGATTAATCGTGTTACCAGTCAAGGAAAGCACATGCGTATAATATGTACAGTAGTACGCCACGCCTGCCGCCAATATCTTCTTAAAAGTTCCGAGTTCTTCAATGTTTTTATGTACAGACACATGCACATGTACGTAGTTAGTACATAACTACATACATAAATTCTAAAACACATGTGCACCACATGGGATAAGAGAAAACTAGTCCACTTTAAGTATAAATCGGCACTTAAAGTTCAAACCAACGACCGCGCCAATTGACAACTACATATGTAGGTACATTGGTCTACTCTAGGTACATTAGACTTAGTTAACTACATTGCTCACAAATGTTTTTCTGATAGGCCATTTAATACGCCGTCTTTCAACTTCATCACTAACAAATTGGCGATTGACGCTGCATGCGCCCATAGGTAGCTACACCGGATCAAACAGACTGCTTGGAATGGTTATTTGGATCCATCTAGCATCTAGAGAGTAATACGGACCACTTCTTAACAGCAGCATGGGCATACAATAACAGCATACCTCCTTTGTCCATTTGTCCATCATGACATCTAAGCAAGGGAAGGTGTCTACCGTGCCTAAATTCTCCTCGTTTAAACCTAAGCTAGATGATCCCCAACCCCCAAAAGAGAACAAGGTCGTTGCATCTAGCGAACTTAACACTCATTCGACCTATCAGAAAAGGGATCGTCATGCCTCGGCCGTGGACGCATCTCACCATACTAACAAAGCCCACTCTCTCAAATCATCACAGCGGCCACATCCACAAGATCAGAATAGGAATACTCAATTCCTCTTCGATACACGCGGTGACCCCCTGATTAGAAGATATGGCGGCAATAATCCTCGCCAGATTCCCAGGTACCGCCGATTTGGGTCTGGTCGTATTCTTGGCATTGATGGCCGTATGAGGGTCGATCAATCAGGGAGTCGTGATGAGTTCTTCTTACTAAGCCACCACGAAAGCCGCTCATTGCTTGGCAATAATAGAAATAGTTCGTTGGCTAAAGCTGCTCGTTCTAAGTCCCGCCCTATTAGGATTCGGCGAGAGCAGTCACAGATAGCAACAGGATCTGAGGACTATTTGCCTCTCAGGCCCTCGAAAAAACGAAAACGAGCAAGTGCTGGGTCGGGGGAGTCCTCAAACGAGGAAGAAACATCTTATAGGTCGATCCATGGAAAGAGTAAAACTCACGAGCATTCCGATAGTGAGCTAGACTATTCTAGTGAGGCATCCGTAGACGCAGGCAATCGAGGAATAGATGACTCCGTGAGCTTGAGATCGGTTGAATTATCTAGGAGGGTACGTGACAACCCTCAAGACATCGACGCTTGGTTCGAGCTAGTCAACCACCAAGACATCGACGCTTGGTTCGAGCTAGTCAACCACCAAGACATCATCCTCCGATTAACTTCGCAAGATGGCCGTCATCCTACTATGGCGGAAGTCAAGAGCTATGCTGATATTAAGCTGTCCATGCTTGAGAAAGCTTACGCCCACGCCACTTCAGATTCTCAGCGGGAGAGGTTGCAGCTGAGGATCATGCAAGAAGGTTCTAAGATCTGGGACACCAAGACTATCTTAAAACATTGGGGAGAAGCCCTGAAGAAGCACGGAACCAGTTTTGAGTTATGGCGAGACTATGCAAGCTTCCATCAATCGAGACTATCCGCATTCCAATATGAGGAAGTCAAGCAAATTTATACTGAGAAGCTGCGACAGTTAGAAACAGAGGCCTTGGTGAAGTGTGCCCATCCAAGCCGTTTTCAAATATACGAGCAGATGATTTACGTGTTTCTGAGGGTTACACGCTTCATATCGGATGCTGGATATAAAGAACTAGCCGTGGCAGCATGGCAAGCTACTTTCGAACTGACATTCGCACGCCCACCAACTTTACCAGAGCGGCCAGAAAATAAGATACCAAGCGGCTTTCAAGACTTTTGGGAAAGCGAAGTATCACGGATAGGAGAGGAAAACGCTCAGGGATGGGCCATGTTTGAGCGGCATGGTGAGGTAATGGAGCCCCCCGAGCCTAGGACTCTAGATGCATTCAAGTCCCCCATTACTCGAGATGGATATAAAGCTTGGTCAATCGTGGAACAATACAAGGCTAAAGCATCCATTTATCCAGCTCGCACCATGGATGACGGAGCAGAGGATGATCCATATCGAGTCGTCATGTTTGCAGACATACAGGACATCCTCTTATATTTTCCGACAGGAGTTATTCCCCACATTCGAGGTCTTTTACTAGATGCTTTCTTAGTTTTTTGTCAGCTACCCTCAGCATTCTGCTCCAGTGGTGTCATTCATGATATACTTCAGGACGAGTTCCTCATCCATGGTCCAGTGAAACTCGCTGCCTCAAATATATCTTCAGAGTTGTCCACGAATTCCGAGGAACAGAGTACAAGGCCGCCAGACTTCTTGCATGACTACCAACGGATGCAAATAACACCAGATATTCTCTTCCCATTACCTAACTGGTTTACCTGTATGAAAAGCATTCGAGATGAGACTCCTGTTGAGCAGTATCAGTGGATTATTGTCACCTTGAAGCAACTCGTTCGAAATTTTGGCATCCGAGAGCTATCGCCTTATTATCTTGCCTTTGCGTCAGTCAACGAGCCAGGAAACGAAAAGAAAACGGCAAAGGCGCTTCTGAAGCAAGACCCCACGAATATTAATCTATATAAAGGCTATGCCACATTGGAATGGACGAAGGGGGACAAGGACGTAGCACGCAATACAGTGGCTGCTGCTCTAGGTTTGCCGGCAATTTCCAGCCACCAAAGGCTTTCCCTAGGAATCTTTGGCGCGTGGATGGAACTGGAAGACTGCAAAACGACAGGAAGCATTCTTCAACTATGTGTCTCGTCGGATGACAGTCTACCCAGAACCTCGAAACCGGATGACTCAGCGGTAGCTTCCGCAGCCCAGATCCTAAAGACGAGGCAATTCCTGTCGTCAAATCGAGACTGCTTATTATCTTCAAGCGATCACGAGAACGCAATTATTTATGCCGAAGGCCTGGCATTGCTCGAGTATCTAACACAACGAAGCAACAAGGAGCCGTCCAGTGGGGCTCAGGGCGATATATGGTCCGCAATCTCCAGCTTCTCCGCTTGTTCGGATGAGTTAGTTTCGCGCGGCCTCGGAAGCAGCTCATCCCACGAGCGTTTGCTTCAGTCCGCCGCTCGCCTGCTTTACCACCATGCTAGCCGAGGGTAAGTGTATCAATTCGTCCCCCGGATACAGGCAGCAGATATACATGCCCATCCATACCACAAGACTTTAAACTAACACTTTCCCTCCTCCAGACCTTTCCGAGCCGGATTCCTACGCGAGCAGCTTTCCAAGTACATCGCCCTGTTCCCGCAGAACACCCTGTTCCTCCACCTCTTCGCTTGGCGCGAGCCGCGCCTCTCCCTCGACGACAAGGTGCGCTCCCTCCTCGACCGCACCGTCCTCGCCTCACCCTTCGACTGCCTAACCAGCCGCATCTTCGCCATCCGCCACGAGTCCCAAGCCGGCAACCTATTCTCGACCCAGGCCGCCTTCGAGCGCGCCCTCGCACCGCGCCACCACCCGGACCTCTGGATCACCTACCTCCGCTTCTGCCACGCCCACCCCCCTCTACGCCCCAAGGCAAAATCCGTCTTCTACCGCGCCCTCCAGCACTGCCCCGGCTCCAAGGCCCTCTTCCTCGAGGCCTTCCGCTCCCTCGCCCACGACATGATGGACTCTTCCGAGCTCCTCTCCGTCTACCGCTCCCTTTCTGACAAGGGCCTCCGCGTGCACGTCGACATGGAGGAGTTCGTCCGCGACTGGCGCGGGACGCCGAGGGAGGAGGCTGGGGAGAGGAAGAAGGGGAAGAAGGATGGGTAAGGAGGGAGAAGGAGAGGAGGAGGAGGCAAAATTTTGGGCCCGAGATAGGGTTTGCTCATATCTAATAGACTAACCTGCCTACCTACCTACCTACCTACTTACCCACCCAGATACCTACCTAAGTTAGGTATGTAGGTACTTATTTACTACCCACGACCTATGCCTCTTCACGTTGCAAAATCTCCAGGGCTAGAAACGTTCATGTATACATACCTAGGTACCTAAGCATCGTATAGTTCCATGTTAGATATCTATCCAGGTGTTTCACATTTAAGAGGAATACAGATTGATAAAAGGAGACAGTTCAAATATCATATTGCAGTGTAAAATTCTAGTTTTCATAGTCTCTGATTAATACCGCCTCTAGCTCGACCAAAATTGCCTCGTGAGAAGATAGTGCGCTTTAGATCATAGCAGTTTGTATGCACGTTATGTTATGCCCTCACGACAACAGCTTGGTCTGCCGGATTTCCGAGATATTTCTTTTCTTAACACTATTTCCCATCGTATCTGAACTTGGACCAATCCCCTTTCCAAGCCATGTATCTGGACGTGTAACATATCCTCTTCCCTAGACTTTCCTAGACTTCCCATATAAACCGCATTTTGATCCTCTAGCCGAGGAAAACCCCTCCATATCATGCCTAGTACTAGTTGGATCCCGAGTCACTAGAATAGCCCATACACATGTCAAAGTCCCAAATTGATCATAAGTTGGTGGTACTGGGCTGATTCGTCTCGTCATTAGGTTGCAGCGGCTAGCCCAGCTTGCCCTCTGCCTTCGCTTCTGTAGACGTGTCAGGGGTTATGCATATCATTCCCGGGGGCGAAGGTGAATACCTTTGACCTGGTCAAAAACTTTCAACATCTTCCTTCGCGCTCCAAGGGCATTGACGCCACGCTCTTCTAGAGCTTTATCGTCGAGTTCGACTAAGTCCGTCCATTTCATGTCCTTCAAATTGTCTGTGTACTTGTGCAATCGGAGGCTTCGTAACCATGCAGGAATGTCTTGCAGGAGAGTAGGGTCGGTGGGATCCTCCGGGGGTTTCGAAGTCCCACGTCGACCACGCGGGGATCGACCACGATTGATATCCGAATGATCCGATAGATAGCCCTCAGGTACGCCCACACCAAGTTGGCCCATGTTGATGGCGCCCAGTCCGTTGTTCAACAGCGGATTCTGCGAGCCGTCATAGGCGCTTAGGAAGCCATTGGTTTGTGGGGAAGCAAATGACATCTGGCTAAAACCTGTTTGCATCGCAAGACCGGGGGAGTTGGGGCGGGATCGATGGGTTGCGAATCCACCCATGGCTTGTTGGTTTTGCAAAGCAAGCATTTGATCCCTGTTCAAAACCTGACCATGCTCATTGACCATAACAATATTTGCACCAGGCATGTTTTGTAGCCCGGGAGACATGGAGCTCTGGCCCTGGCCAGGAGCATCATTTGATCGGGCTCTTCGGTACTTGCGGACATCGTCGAGCGCGAAACGGTTGTTAACAGTAGATAGCGCAGCGAGCTTCATAGCTGTCGCATTGGCAACCATGTCGGCCTGGTTAGGGGTACCACTGCCATTGTTGAATGTCCCAACCATAGGGGTGTTCACCATTGAGGCCCAGTTTCCACTTCCCGCCGCGTAGGGCGAGAATAGAGGCAATTCATTGTTGGATTTATCCGGGGCATTGAGGACGGTATTCTGAATGCCAGTATTGCCACCCATCTGTGGGCGAGGCGATCTTAAGCTCGCAGAAGGCGGTGGCTGAGCAAACTGGCCCATAGGGGGCTGGCCAGATGATGATTTGGGTCGCGATGCGTTCTGATCGTGACCAGCACCCCAAGGTGATGCGGGATTCTGTGTGTTAGAGTCGAGTCCCTCCGATGGCGCAGAAATCGTTGGTGCGGCCAATGGGCTTCGCGCATCAACGGCTGTGCTATTACGATTTGACGGAGGCTGATTACCGGTTTGCTGGGTAAATTTGGCCTTTTCAGTAGCAATGGCAGCCGCAGCATCGGGAAACATGGCATTGATAGTCGACGGGTCAAGGCCAGAATGTCTTTTGGTGGCTGCTTGAGGCTGAGAAAGGGAGTTCCTAGCTGACCCTACATTCAGCTTGTTCATAGCATCACTCAGACGGTTTGACATTGGGTCTATCAAAAATGGGAAAACATTAGCGTACTGGATACAAATCAGGGAACAATCTTGTATGGCATACCTTTGTCAAAATTGGCTGGCGATAGAACACCGGACATGGGATGGTTTTTACCCATTTGTTGAAGCACCTGTATGAAGAAACGAATCTGGACCTGGGTTGTCTGTTGGAGCAAAGCATATAAAGCAGCAGTGCGTTCGGCCTCGGACAGGACCCGAAACCACTGTTCAATAGCACTGAGTTCGTCTTTGAAATCCTGGTCCAGAGTAGCAGCAGCCATTTCCTCCAGAGTTGTCTCATATTGATCGATATCGGCTATCCACTGCTGAGTGACTTTGTCCTGGGGGTCCGGATCGGCACCGCCCTGGCCTTGACCCTGTTGACCATAAAAGTCGGACGAGGGACGAATGCGGTTCGAGGTCGGGGGGCCGGCAAGGGCGGCCATGTCGGCAGACGCACGAAGATGGTGGTTATTGGCACCAACGGTTCGTGATGATGGCGGGCGTAACGACGACGCAGTCGAGGCCTCCGGAGTGCTATTGCGGTTCATAATAACAATAAACCTCTGGTAATCTAGGTACCAATAATACGAAGTGTTTTTGCAAGACTATATTGCCCTGTGAATATTTTCCTGTTTCTAAAATAGTGATGACAACGGAATCAAGTGTGAGTCAGGTAAATGGTCGTTTGGTGGCGGTCTTATGTCGGTTAGAAGAAACAACTCGGGAAATGTTTGCCTAAGTAGTAGAGTGGCAACGCAAGGTCTGTGGCATATGCCTAGGATGCACTGTCAAGATATTTTCGAGATTCGTATACAATCGGCTTCTGTGACGACAATACAATGGTCAATGTGACCAATCCAAATATTGCAGTCGACTAGGTATTGTGGCGGAGAATTCGAGTGGTTACAACACCATTTATTGTAATACAATCCAGGGGGATTGTGTGGTCAGCTTGTGACACACCCGATGCGAATGAATCGGTGTGGAGTAGGTTTGTCGATAATCAACTCAACAGGAAGCGCGGTGAACTAGCTTTCCGTAATCGTGGTAATTGTATTATAATTGTTTTGGCAAGGCTCGAGTTCAACTCTCTAGCAGAGAACGACGGTATGATACCTTTTCTTTCTCTCTCGAACTCCTGCAGTAGCCTGCTGACCTCAAAGGAGTCTTTGAAAGGAGGCAGTTGGTAATGAAGTGATTATTGGTAATGCAGAATATTAGATACGGTGACTGGGAAAGAGGTGTATGTTAGCAAGAAGTACATTATCTGATTTTTTATTTATTTTTTTGGATTGTTGAAGGTTAAGCAGCACAAGCTTAGGGGTAAGGGGTAAGCCGTGAGGTGAGGATGGGAAATGGTCGAAAGATGGATTAGTCTGAGGCTTGTGGGTTGATTCGATTTAATAGAGTGAGGCCAGTAGACAAAGTCCTAATGATACGACACCAAGGACATTGAAAGCCTTGCCCGACTCGCCCGACTATCGTTAAATGGGGGCCGATTGGCATCGGAATTCCATGAATACATAGTAGTAGGGTCTTGATCGACTTAACCCCCAATGTCCAATATACCGGAGACCAAATACCATCTGCGACAAGACTCAAGAAATGCACGGCATGCACATCATTGAGATGCAAGAAAGGAAAAGAAAAGGAATACCAAAGCAAACTTACCGACAATAACACTCGATTCAACTAACTTCTACTCCAAGGCCAAAAAGAAAGAAACCAGCGGCAGGAATGCCCTTGAGCTGCTGAAGAAGAAGATGGTGAAAGGTGAGGGAAGAAGAGGAAGAGGAAGAAGATAAAAAATAAAAAAAAGGAAGCCGTATGTATGTAGAGAAAATAGTGGCTAACGTACTACCAAGTACCTAGGTTAGTACCTAGTACCTACCTACATTGTTTGGGGAGACACAAAACATAGAAAGTGGAAACGGTGAACTCTTTCGGAAAGATCCTTGATCACAAAGGCTGCAGCGCCGCATAGGCCACAACCGATATAACAGTGTTGAAGAGGATGCTGTAACGTGCATGTGCGTACCATGTGTGGTATTGTACAATACATTAATAGTAGCAACAATAGAGTTGGAATAGCTAGACAATTACTTCAAGTTTACATCAATAGTACCTATACAGTAGGTACCTAGTAGTTAGAACATTGAACTTCCAAGTTCCAATGCATCGGTTAGAGGCTTGTATGCATCGTGAATGGTGTGGCTCGGCGCTAAGGTTCAATCTAAATGTGCGACAGCAAGACAGTACGTGACTTCGTCTAGCGGCTGTGATACGTTTTTAGGGGCAGACGTTTGGTTTCCAGCCCCTGAACGGCCTCCCTATGGGTACATGTAGATACACCTATTTTTCTGGAGCTTGGAGCTTCAAATCAATTGATGTTCCCACTAACACACCCTCGTAGTAGGCTCGTACACGACGTACAGTACAGGTATCTGCTACGTACCTGGTAGTGCAGCTAGAACCAACCCGAAACACCAGACCCTGACCATTCGGCTTGGGGCTTAATCATCCGCACTAGGCACTATTCCATCCACTATGGCACTACCTGCACATGTGGTGCTTAGCGCTAGTTACATATTCCAATGGGGGCGGCAGCCAAAATCCAACTTGAACACGCCATGTGCGGAATAGTATGCCCGAGTTTTCGAGGGTTACTGTACGGTTTTTTTCTCAAGGGGATTTGGCTTACTAAGCGGCCGTGCTAGGCTCAAATAGGAAACTTTTTCCACTTTAGGAAGGTGGAGATGTTGTTCACGTAAGCTTGTGGGTCTCTAGGGGAGGAATTTTGGACTTTGCAAAAGAGGAAGGTTTGCCAAGACTCCCAAGCCACATATTGAGCCACATATACAGCCACACCTATGGAAAAGTGCTCAAGGCTTTAGAGGAATTTTGAAGTTGCAAAAAAGGAAAGTTTGCCAAGACTCTCACGCCACGTGGGGAGCCACATATGCAGCCACACGTATGGAAAAGTGCTTAAGCTTTCAAATAAGGAATATTCAAGGTTTAATATTATCATAAGCCCTGGAGACATTCAAATCCGTCGGCGGCCATCAAGATCTGATTAAGCTACATATCACAGTTGATAAGAATGGACAATATATGTATTTAATTACGTCAATAGCCCGTGCAAGAAAGTCGGAATTGGCTGGAATCGCTGGAATTATGGGTCCCAGAGGCTGCTCTCAGGCTAGTGCAACGCAAAAGATTTAAGGTTTTGACATGATGATTTGATTGGGTGCAGTATCTATTGGATCACATGACCGGCTTTTTCAAGCTGCAACTCTTTTTTTGGATTGTAGGAGCCATCAACACTTCTAATTTAACCCTTCTTATTCAATTCAACTGATTAAATTGATCGGATTGAATCAATCGGATTGAACTGATTGGATTGATTGATTGATGGATTGATGGATTGATTGATTGGTTGATTGGTTGATTGGTTGATTAATTGATTAATTGATTGATTGATGGACGGATTGATCGAATGCAGCACCTTTCGGATCACGTGACTGCCTGCAACACTTTCTTTTTTGGTATGGCAAGGAACACACCGGCCATCAACCCTTCTAATTCAACCCTTCTTATTCAACCCTTCTTATTCAATTCAACTGATTGAATTGATCAGATTGATTGAATTGATGGATTGATTGAGTGAATAGCTGATCTGCATATCCTGTTGCAAGCTGGCTGGCTGGCTGGCTGGCTGGCTGGATAGCTGGTTGAATAGCCCGGGCCAGCTCATCCAACGCTGGATCCAACGCTGGATCCAAAGCTGGATCTAATAGCTGCTTGAATAGCTGATCAAATACCTGATTAACGATCTGATTTGTTGAGTGATTAAAGACCTAATTGAATAATGAATCAAACAGACCAAGGGATTAATGCAATCAAGGGGATCTAAGAGCTGATCGAGAATCTGAGCAAAGATGTTCCGGTCATGTGACTTTAATCAGGTCCTTAATCAGTTCTTAAATCCCTTGATCCCCTTAATCCCCTTGATTCCTTTAATCTAGTATTCAATCAGGTCTTTAATCAATCAATAAATCAGGTTGTTGAGCAGCTATTCAAACAGCTATTAGATCCAGCTTTGGAACCAGCGTTGGATAAGCTGGCCCGGGCTATTCAGCCAGCTATCCAGCCAGCTTACAATAGGATATGTAGATCAGCTATTCAATCAATCAATCCATCAATCCATTAATTCAATCAATCCAATCAGTCCAATCAAATTAATTCAATCTAAATCGATCAATTCAATCAGTTGAATTGAGTTCAGTTGGAAGGTTTGATGGCCCCTACTATACCAAAAAAGTGTTGCAGGCAGTCGCGTGATCCGAAAGGTGTTGCATTTAATCAGTCAGTCCATCAATCAATCAATCAATCAATCCAATCAGTTCAATCCGATCAGTTCAATCCGATTAATTCAATCAGTTGAATTGAATTGGAAGGGTTAAATCAGAAGGGTTGATGGTTTGTATATTCCCTACCATCCAAAAAAAAAAGAGTTGCAGCTTGAAAAAGCAGGTCATGTGATCCAGTGAGTGCCCCCAGCTGCCCACATCAATCCAATCAAATAACTTTTCAACAATATGTGGCACCACGATGCAACCGGATTTAACTGAAAGAGCATTCAATTGCCAATTGATTGATTTGGATCTCGAACTGAGGCGATATATGGTTGCAAAGTTATTCAAGTAAATAGGTTGGCAAGATGGGGCCACATTAAGAGCTCTTTAGAGCTATTAAGGGCCTTTAGAGCCGCCTAAGAGCCCTAAAAGCCGCCTAAGAGCCCTAAAAGCCGCCTGGGGTCATCCTAAGCTGTATTACGTGACCCTTTTCAATAGTTACATATACAAAAATAACTTTTCAACTACGTATTGCCTCAATCCAAGAGCGGTATCAATGAATTCATAATTGAATTTGCTTTCAATTGAACCCGGTTGCACCTTTGCAGCTATATGTTTCAGAAAGTTATTCAAGGTTGAAATTGTTGAATAAGGTTGAGCTCTAAGGGCTCCAAGGGCGCTAAGGGCCCTTAGAGTGGCTTCAAGGGTGATCACGTGCCTCCCGTTCTGCCACCTATTTACTTGAATAACTTCATGACCAGATATAGCATCAATTCGAGACCGGTATCAATCAATCGGCAATTAGATGCGCTTTCAATTGGGTCCGATTGCAGTATGGTGCAATATCTGATTCAAAAGTTATTCAAGGTGGAAAGAGGGTTGAATGTGGTTTGGGTTAGGGGCGGCGCTAGATTAGGCCCGGATTTGAAGATTTAGGGGACCTAGCAGATGTACGATACCTAAAAGTGCACCTAAGGGCCCCAGCCTGATCAAATACCTGATCAAATACCTGATCAAATACCTGATCAAATACCTGGTCTATTGATTGATTGAAGACCTGATTGAATATCAGATTAAAAGGATCAATGGGATTATGGGGATCAAGGGATCTAAGAACTGATTAAGGACCTGATTAAAGATGTTCCGAGACTTTGATCACATAATGTGATTGAAGTCACATGATCGGAACACCTTTGATCAGCTCTTAGATCCCTTTGATCCCCTTGATTGCGTTGATCCCTTGATCCCTTTGATTCAATATTCAATCAGGTCTTTAATTAATCAACAAATCAGGTCGTTTATCAGGCATTTGATCAGCTATTCAAGCAGCTATTAGATCCAGCTTTGGATCCAGCGTTGGATGCACTGGCCCGGGCTATTCAGCCAGCTATTCAGCCAGCCAGCCAGCCAGCCAGCCAGCTTGCAACAGGATATGTATGTAGATCAGCCATTTAATCAGCCAATCCATCAATCAATCCATCCATAAATTCAATAAATTTAATCAATTCAATAAATTCAATCAGTTGAATTGAATAAGAAGGGTTCAATTGGAAAGGTTGAATAGGAAGGGTTGAATTAGAAGGGTTGATGGCCCAATAGTGTTGCAGGCAGTCACGTGATCCAAAAGGTGCTACATTCAATCAATCAGTCCAGGAATCAATCAATCAATCCAATGAGTTCAATCCGATCAGTTTAATCCGACCAAGTCAATCAGTTGAATTGAATAAGAAGGGTTGAATTGGAAGGGTTGAATAAGAAGTGTTGATGGCCCGTGTGTTCCCTACCATCTAAAAAAAAAGAGTCACAACTTGAAAAAGCAGGTCATGTGATCTAAAGGGTGCTGCACCCAATCAAATCGTCTTATCAAGACCTTAAATCCTTAGCGTTGCGCTAGCCCGAAAGCAGCCTTTAGTAACATTAAAATTGGGTCCGAGAAAACTCGGGCATTTGTGGCGCGCGCGAGCGTGTGCCCTCTAGTTGTTAATACTGTCAAGCATTATACTTCCTATGTATCTGGCACATGCATACAAGTAACGAGTTAACTAGGTTAGATGTAGGTACATAAAGTAGGTAGTTGGTTACACGTCCGTGTCCTCTCCTTTTCTCCAATGATTTCCATACTTAGCATGCCGAAATGGGATGTTCATACGTAAGATCCTCCCTTTGGTTTCGATGATTCGAATCTGTCTAGCACCTATCTAGGTCACATTGATGTAGTTACTAATTATAACTATACTTATAACTATACTTATACCATGTAGGTTAAATGTAGGTGAGCTTAAATGATAAGGATAGGTACATATATCAATGGCTTCAAGCCTCCCAGCAGCAGCCAGTAGATAAATTGTATCTCAAATTAGCATCTTAAGATATTGATATTATGGTATCTTTGTAACTATATAAAAGTCATCATACGACGTAGTGTCATAGCGCTTTTGACCTAATAGAAGATGATCGGAACACATCTTGTCTTAGTAGCAATAACAACGACTCTGACGCCGCTCTTCTTGAACTGATAAACTGCGTAAGTAGGGGGTGGGAGGTGGGAGTAAATCGATTTGGACCAAGGCTCCGTCAACTATCTTACTTATTATGCTTGCTTGCCCTCTAGGATCACACACTACAGCATCAGAACTAGTCAATAGATTCAATGGCAACACGAAATGTAGCATTTCGGTATGTTGCCTAGCCTCCATGCACCCTTGCCTTAGAGCAGGTCGAAGCACGGGTGTTTGGTAATGGACTGGCGAGTCAATCTCGGCACGAGAAGAAATATCCTTCAGCAAATAGGCATGGGGTAGGCCTAGAGCTGTACACACATATGCCTGGGTTTTTTTTTCACGCATGATTAAGTTTGGAACAGCTGCACCAAGTTCGAGGGGTAAGGGGAAAACCACGAATGGCTAGGAACTTGAGACGTGGGATTGGTGACCGTATTTCATTCGGTTACCTCATGGTCTTCACCGTAGAAGATCGTGCCTGGATACAAGCAATAAATGTATAACCTTGACTCCATGATCGTGCCTCAATGCCCCCAAATTTGCCCTGATGCGCATTCGCGAAGTCGTGTCTCGGAACCTAATATTGATAATATTGGCCACCTCATGCCGTCTCTCGCTTGCCCTCCTTTAGTTCTTTCTGTAGAGATAGTTAGTAATCGTTCTCTAAGGATATTAAGCAAGAGAGCAAGCCCCGTTTCAGTAGCGGTAGGCGAATGACATACCAGAGCGCGCATCGTTCCGTGCAGAGCATGTCGATGGTTTCTTCGGAACTTGGGGTCGGTTCCCTTCAGAGACGGGTATCTGTTGGTCTTTGGCTTCTTGATACTGCGCGTCGATTTAACAGTTAGAGGATTCGATACTTGATACGTAGTAGATATTTCATGGATATAGGTGAGTTGACATACCCGTTACGGTGAGCCTTGCGCGACTGGTTGTGCTGCGACGAGTTCTTGGATTCTAGAATTAAAATGTAAGCGATATGACTCTGATATAATGGAATATATCATTATTTTCACTGTAACTTACTCGCCATTGTGACTGTATTTGTGTCGGTCGGTCTGTAGAAACACGGAAGTCGACGATGATTAATGTTGCCAGTGAAAAAGATGTAAGGTGGTTTGGTGCGTTTGGTATTGCCCAGTTCCAAGGTTGTGGGCAGAAAATTAAGCGAGCAGTAAAGCCACATGAGCATAATTACATAATTCCGTGGCTGCGAGAGGGGCTCTAGCCTCAATAGCTAAATAGGCCCATATATTATTTATAGCGTCAACGCTATTTTTGTATGCCTGCTTACATACGTACCGAGGCAGCTGTCAGCAGTGAGAGCACTAGTATTCCGTACGTTCAATTGATTTGACAGGCTGATGCAAGTGTCTAACAATATTCTCAAGAACTCCAGGAGAAATTGTGGTTTCGGTAATATATTCAACGTTCCTATGGGTTTATCTTGGTAATGCCATTAATACTCCGAACTCCCAAACCAATTAATCGACGCATCAATGCAACCATCCCGTCATCCTCTATATAACAGGCATTATATGTATCACAGATCTGTCTTTTCCAACTTTCGATTGACCTCGCGGAATTTCTCTCTAATAGGGAAATGCTGAAATATCCATCAGGCTATTTGGAAGTGATAGGAATGGCGACCTTGGTTTTAGAAGCAGCGGATGCCGCCAATGCCGCCGCCTTAGCGAGCTGCTCTGACCGAAGCTTGCGGACATATCTGAACAGGATGATAAATAGGAATTCCATTCTAAAGGACGTCATTAGTAATGTAATTTCAGGAATATTGCCTAGGTACCTAGGTAGATATCCATATAGACCAAATTGGGACTTACCGCTCTTTAGTCATCATGAGTATTCCTTGTACTAGAAGGCCTTTTACGATTTGGGGCCCGATGCCTTTGAAAAGGCCCGTCAGGCCTTCGTGCTTGATGATGAACTGCATTACCTCGACAAAACCCGTGAAGGGCTTGCCTTGTCGTTGTGGTGGGGGCTTCGATTGTAGCCCAACCTTAGCAACTATAAGTGGTTGTGTCACAATGGTAGCTAACGCTTTCGACATAGCGCCGAGGACTAGAAGATCATAATTAGCCTGACTCTTTCTCCATGTTATCCTTGGCCAAAGGATGGCAAGGTAACTCACGAAATGCTTCTCCGGCGGTCAACCGAGTTTTCCCAGGGAACATGGCCCCCTTTAAACGTTCGTATGCGCCATATGTGATAGCAGGATTAACAACCAACACCAAACTGGCCTTCAATCCTCTCCAAAGCCCAAATGCACCATCCTCGCTCTCAATGACTTCGCGAGCCGTTTCTATGAGACCTTTCCTGTCCGCCTTGCTTTGTGTCTGCTGCCTCGTCGTAACCACAGCCACTGGGATTGTACATATTTGAGCGACGGCGCCGGCTAAAGCGCCAAGCATCAACTCAACAGCCGTGGGAGGTGGCGCAGGGATCTTTTGCGCTTTGAAGTAGAGCTCTCGCACAGTCGAGTACCAGTAGAAGTAGGCAAAATTGGTAGAGGCGACACCCAGTAGAGCCCCGTTCATGCCTGCATATAAACCTTTAACTCCATCTTCGGCGACAATTTTGGTAATTGCATCCCATGTCGAGTGATAATGGGGGTCGCCCGAGTGTTCGCTCGTGTCTCCAGGCTTCCGTTTGACTTGGACTTGGAGACGTGTTTTCACTCTAACCCAAGGGATAATTGATTAAAATTGGGATTTCGTATGATGGCGACAATCTCCTAACATTGGTGTTTACTTACATATCAAGAGGGTATACCAGCGCATTTGCTAAGACAGCGCCGGTAGAACCAGCTACAGCGAGTCCCCACGATGGTAGTGGAGCTGGTTTTGACTGGACAGCCATGGCGACTAGAGAGAAAGAGAATAAGGTATTCTAAGGGAATAAGGAATATATGTACCACCGAGAGGGTCGCGTTTCCAATATGTACCTAGTATCTGTCTAGAACAGAGGCATCCAAGATAATGCAATTCGAATGCTGAATTAAATAGGTAGGTGCTTGGACTTTCGGGTAAAGTGGTGGGTGTATGGTTTATAAAAAAAAAAAAAAGGAAAAGTCGAACACGTCCAAATTGTCAAGTTAATTACGGCAACAATACATTGATTAATGATATATGAGTTGAGGACCAGTACGCATTTTTGTGTAATAAAGCAAATGCAAGATGCTACTAAAACAGATGTAAAAGAAAGATTTACGATGAGCTAGAGCCAAGGACAATGAAGCTATACTGACGTTGTCCGCGAAAACCGGAAGATCTACTTTAAAAAGGTCGCAAAGCCGAGTTTAAAAAGAGAGCTTGTGAACAATGAACCTCGGTCATATTCCTATCGGCATCTATACGGTACCTAGGTACCTACTGTAGTCTGTGTCATTCAAGGGTCCAGAATTTAAGTTCTTCTAGTACATAGTAACTAACAGGGTATCTTAGGAAGAGGGGCCTGGAGCCTGTAGATCCACTCCGGGACTATGTTAATCCATTATCTAGGGCTCACCAGAGTTACTTCCATAATTACCTAATTATACATTGCAGATGTAAGTACTTCGTAGCTCCTACATAGCTAGCACTTCCCAGGTCAATCAGATCAAAGATCACCTGTAAGATTCAAATGCAAGTTTCCGCTTTTATACCTCTGGTACGCCTGGCGGACAGACGGCAGCAAAGAAGGACCAATCATTAGCAACTGTTGTTACAGTACATAAACTCATCACGCCGGATTCACGACCATCATATTCCCAGCTTCGTAGCTGCGAGGTAACGGCAGGTAAAGTTTGTCTGTCCCTCAAGACAATGCAAACAAATATACGATATTTTCGTTTCCCTCTTTATTTCATCATCATCATTTAAACCCTCTTGTTCCTAGTACCATATGTACCCTGTCGACCCCTTCCTCCCCTATACGTACGTGGTTGAAACTTATAGGTTGGGTTGTCTTCAAGAGCTATGTCAGCTATATGTGTTGTGACGGGGGCTGTCTCTTTGGATACCTGACATATCTCGTTGAACACAATCTGATAGTATACCTATCTCCTATTACTTCTTCCATGTACTGTAAAACTTAGACCGCTTTAGCTTCTTGGAAGTTGGGGGTTATGGTGTTGTCCTCACTTGCCAGCCTTAGCTAACTTGGGGGTCGTGCCGTACTTTCCCTTGCTGATCTATATCCATATCAAATCCGAGTTCTCTACTTATCACCCAGACACATCCGGTTTGCAATCTCAATGTTATCATAGTCTGGAATAGACAACCACTTAATTACATACTATGGAGGCCTTGGCAAAGGTGAACACCCATATTCCAGTCATCATCTTCAGGTCTAATAGTGCATATATAGGATCGTGAGGCATTAGCCTCCAAAACACATGGCAAAGAAGCTCTCGATCACATTATAACAGCTGCTGAGCTGTACTTCAAAGCTGCCCAAGAGGCGTCCAGCCCTGAGGAAAAGAAGCGCCTCATGAAGAAGTGTCAAGCTCTTACCTCGCAAGCTGAAGCTTCTAAGAAGTCAAATCGACCCAGGGGTAGCGTAGTGGCCACAGAACAACGTCTAATGCTGCCACGACAAACACGCGACATCCCGAAAAGCGAACAGGCTATCTTGCTTCGCGGTTCTCGCCTTCATGGAAATGTCTTTCCGCCTTGGGAATCAGACCCCGGAGCAGACGAGTTCAATGGTGATCTCTTCTACGACAAGTCACATCTCTCCTTATCTCAACGTCAGATAGATGTCTTCTCTGGTTGGAAGAGACCACAGGAGATCATGATTGACCGTGGTTTTCTACCCAACTCTAACGAACAGTCCGATGATGATCTCATGAAAGCCCAGCAGGAATGCGATTTCGTTCAGGACATAACGACGGATTGCTCAGTCGTTGCAAGTCTTTGTGCTAGTATTCGCCTCTTGGGACCCGGACCTAAATCCATCCTGCCGGCCTTAATGTTTCCCATCGACCCGGAGAATGGGCAACCCAAGACCTCCGCCAACGGGAAATACGTGTTCCGTATGTTCTTCAATGGCTGCTTTCGAAAGGTAGTTATCGACGATCGACTACCCACGTCTTCAATAAACCGCACCTTTTATGTAGTAGACCGCCAAAATCCAAAGCTGATCTGGCCGGCCTTGATCGAGAAGGCATACCTCAAGGTTCGAGGCGGTTATGACTTTCCGGGTAGTAACTCAAGCACCGACTTGTTCACCTTGACTGGCTGGATCCCCCAACAACTATTCCTACAGAGTGATGAAATGGACTGGGACAGCGTGTGGGAACGCGTCAAGAAGGCCTACGACTATGGAGATGTAGTTGTTACAGTGGGAACTGGACGTCTTTCGACAGACGAAGAAGAGACATTAGGGCTAGCGGGCGAGCATGACTATGCCGTACTTGACATGTTCGAGGAGCCCGGGTCCAGAAAACTACTAGTAAAGAATCCCTGGTGCGATGGTCTCGCATGGAAGGGGGTTGCGTCATCCGAAGTATTATCTTCACGGACAGCATCCCACCATTCGGCTGTGCTAAAGCCTGGCTCATTTTGGATCAGTTATGATGACGTGGCGCAGCACTTCGAGTCGCTTTACTTGAATTGGAATCCGAGCCTATTCACGAAGCGCCAGGACCACCATTTCAACTGGGAAATCCCCGACAGCTCCATGGCCGAATCCTTCGCGCACAACCCCCAGTACTCCATGTCTGCCGATGCTGAGGGTCATATCTGGATTATCCTCAGCCGCCACTGGCAGGATCGAGAGCTCGACATCTTGCGGAGCCAACGTACTACCAGCACTACTAATACTTTGGCTGAAGTTTCAAGCAAGCTCGGCTTCATGAGCATATATGTGTTCACCAATGCCAATGGCAAACGTGTCCAGCTGAGCAGCCAGCCCCTATTTCGCGGGAACTTCGTAGACTCGCCGCAAACTCTTGCGCCTCTTGAGGCTGCCCCCGGCGTCAAGTACACTATAGTGGTGGCCGCCCAAGAGCTACCCTTACCAAAGTACACCTTGACGCTCTCTTTCTTTTCGCGTGCGAATTTGACTGTCGCCCCTGCCGAGCCTGCTCTAAAGTACTACACCGAGCTCAAGAGTAGCTGGACACGTCGTACTGCCGGTGGGAACAGCGACTCCGCAACATACCTGCAGAACCCACAGTTCAGCATCACGCTCTCACGCGCAAGCCCACTCTCACTTCTAATCTCCACGGCTAAGGAAGACCTCTATGTTCACGTAGATCTCGTCTGGGCGCGCGGTGACCGCGTCACGGCCCTCGGTAACCGCGATGTTCTCGCAACTTCGGGCGACTACCGGCGTGGCTGTGCGCTAGCCGAAAGCCCGCTCGTTGACCCTGGCACATACACAGCCGTGTGCTCGACGTTTGATCCTGGCTGCCTTGCCGACTTCACCCTGCGCGTCGGCTCTGACATCCCTTGCACTATAACCCCGATAGCCGCCTACGCCGCGGGTCGCCTGCGCACTAAGCTGCCCGATCTCGCGTTTCGTCCGTCCACGTCTACGTCTACCGCCACCTCCATCACCGCTTCTATCTCAGCCATGTCATTGAACGATACGGAAACGAATGTCGAGGTTCATAAGAAGAAACGCATTGCCGTGTTCGTGGATAGGCTCACCCGTGCGAGTGTAGTGATTACGAGAAGTCGTTGGTCTAACACTATTGATTCTACTCCCTCTTCTAGAGGCGGCAGCGGCAGCGGTATTAGCACCCCGCGCTCCTACCCCACAGTCCGCGCCACGCTGGAGTACGGCACAGGCCCCGACAAGTTTATCCTCGCCTCTACTGACGGCGGCGACACTATCAGAGGCGATGGTAATTACAGCAATAGCAACAGCAACAGTAGCAATAATAATAATAGTAGTGGCGAGTTCAGAGAAGTCGGCGTCAACGGCCTACGAACCCCAGACTTCGACATTAACCCTGCTGCTACTGCCCGCCTATGGCTCGTCGTCGAACAGCTCGGCTTATCGTACCACTCCGTGGCCACCGCCGATCCCGCCCTCGACGCTCTACACGTCGATATATTGAGTGATGCGCCTGTGCACACTGGGGCTTGGGAGACGGTTGATGATTGATTATTTTATCTGATTATTTGATTAGCTGGGTTTATAGTATAAAGTCATCGCTTTCTATACAGTAGGGGGTAATAATAATACAACGTTAGAGAAAGTTGCTTATTACCTACCTAGGCAGCAGTGCACTCAGCGAAACGAAACAAAACAAAACAAAACGAAACTACCTATTTCATGAACACGAATATTAAGATACTTGGAAGGAAAGAAAAGGGACATAGAAAGAGGAAGAAGGAAGAATGGATAGGAGGTATATGCAAACTACACACTACTAGGTACCTTACCTAAGTTAGACAGGTAATTAGTTACCTAAGTTATATATATACCTAGGTACCTAACCTAGACCTAGATAGAATACGCAGATCGCACAACATGACTTTCATCAGACATTGTACCTATATAAACGAGGTATTGGTTAGTACTAGGTAGTAGTACCTAGTAGTAGTAAATCAAGTACATGAAAACCTACCTAGGTAGGTACCAACCTTGGAAGGGAGGTAACTATGTGAAGCAAAGTGGCTCATACTACATACATACATACCTGCTTTTTACTCAGCGAGTACATAACCCCAGCATGACATGGGCATACCTACCAGCATATGCATCTATTCCTCCTATTCAGACCACAACATACATACATAGGTACGCAGGAGCAAAGTTTTAGGGGGGAGGGAGTAGATATATGTGATAACATAGATATTTCTTTCATTTAATTTTCTCCACGCCAAATAGCAAACACCATGGGAACTGTTAAGTGTCGCTATAAGACGTAAACATGGCGACCTACATAGGCTAGCCACGGATTCTCCCCTCTCCATCATCAGCTGCTCTGAACGAGTGGGGGAGAGGGGGGAAGCTGGTATTTCTTTCGCTTGCAAGTGTGTCTGTGTCTTTTGTGAATTTAACAAAAATATCCTCCGCCATGTGGCACTGTGCCCCCCTTTCAACTATGAACATGAACGAATATAAAAAAGCATATGGTGTTTTCGCCGGGTCAGCTACCTAGCTGAGTGATAGTCTCCTCGTAGACAGTCGTAGTTTCGTGGTAAAACTCCCCTCTCAAGAACCCTCGCACCTCTGAAAAATGGGTTAGGGGGAACAAGCGAGTGAGTATAAATAAAGCAAATGGATGCGTGGAATGGTGAAAAAAAAAAAAAAAAAAAAAAAAAAGCAAATAGGGGGAAAAGGAAAAAGTGCGCCCCTTTGTGGTATATTCGTCTTGCGCCCAAAACGCCTGCTCCCGCCCATTGAGGTTTGAATTGCAAAACCCACTCCTCAATCAAAGTCAACACAACAACCTGAGTCCAACTGTTAAGACTAACCGCCCCCCGGGATATCATCCTCTCCATATGTACATCTAAGATTCGAATGGCAATATATCGTAGCGTCGGAGGCAATCATTCCTCACATTCTTCTCATTTTCGTTACTTGGGTCTCCTAGCAAATGCTATGGAACAAGGCGACGTCTCCGTCCCCGGTTTGGGCCATCTGGACGTTGGGAAAGCACGTCACGTAGGGCTGGATCCTCCTTGTCTTTGTCGGTATGATGGACTCGAACGTGTCTATTTCAACAATTAGACATTGCCCGGTTTTCCTGGGTTAACAAGAGAAGCCAATAGTTCTTACCTTTGTAGATTATCCGGCCTGGGATACTTGTGCTCCCGATCTGGACAGAAGGGGCACACGTAACCAGGCGAATCGTGCACAAGTCCATGTCGGATCATCTCGTTTTTTCGCTTGAAGCCCTTCCCACCTTCGCTCCGCGGACAGCCTTTTACAGAACAGTAATGTGGCCTGGCGGAAGAATGCACGTTCGCATGCGAGTTTAGCAAATACTGCGTCTGAAACGGGGGTGCCATGCAGCCTTGTACCGTGCAAATGAATGCGCCAACTGGGTTTGTCATGTTGTCAATACTCATCCGCTCCGTTATTGACGTGGCAGGGGTTGAACCATCGGCATTCGGCGTGTCTGCGTTACTACCGCTGCTGTAGTCCAGTCCAGTCCGGTGATGGCTCGCACTACTGCTGCTTGAATAGTAATAAGGACTCATGGCAGGCAACGTGTGGACAGGAGAGGGTATGCCTTGCCGATATGCCTCGTTCGGTGACATCGGAGGAGGTGAGGCATGGCTTCCGGATATCCCACCCATACGTGGCGGACCACTTGGAGGAGAATGAGGGAATTGAGCATGTCGTATGGATAACTCCTTTGGTGGGCCTGTGAGCTGATCCAGAAGTTGAGATCTGATAGATGGTAATGGGTCGTGGCTAGTTGAATCGGATTTCGGGGATACTTCTTGGATCGGAGGTAATTCACCATGGCCAGACGGAGGACTTAAACCGGGAGGTGATCGAACATTGTTAGGATGCATCAGAACCTGACCTGGTGCATATTGCATGGGTGAATATATCTCCTGCGATGCCTGCGAGGAATACGGGGATATTGGCGCAGCAAGAACAGGTCTATTAGTATCTTTCATGGCACTATCATCTGGTGCGTCATCTTTTCGAAACCCCTGCGCCAACTTCGTCTTTTGCGCACCGCTAGGTTCATCGTCGGGGTGTTGCGAATCGTCCGAATCGACACTCTTCGTAGCCGCTTTGACTGCAGCAAGCATGTCCACGGCATTTGTCGCGAGAGACCGCAAGTCTACGGACCCCGATCCCGATGCATCGGTAGGACGTGAGGTGTGGTGCCGTGCAGGAAGAGGGGACATATCGTGACTCCTGCTGTCCTCCTCATCTCCCGACCCATCGGCGGATTCTTCTGTATCCCCTTTACTATGATCGTCGTCGTCGTCGTCGTCGTCGTATTGAGCGAGAGGTCGCGACCACGCCTCGGCGACTATATCGGGACGTTTTCCACCGTCGAGATAGTGGATCAAAACAGCATCACCGAGGCTCGGACGAATCTTTTGTCGACGATTAGAAGACTTCCGACCGGATCTAGGAGAAAGACTGACTTTAGGGAGAGGTATAGCCGGCGGGGACGGTGATGGCTCAAGCTTGGGGCGGTGAGGTTTCATCAAGGGACTGTTCTGAGGAAACACGTCATCCGGATCATATACGTCGCTAGCTGAAGGGTCGTGAGTGAAGGTTGAACCGACGGTCGTCATGCTTTCGCTCATTGGCATGGAATGGCCGTTACTCACGCATTTGGGGGCTCAAGTCATCATAAGGGAAACCAAGAGGGGATTTGCCAATTTCCGTAACGGGAGCCAGGACTGATTGCGCCAACGTGATTCAACACAATCAAAAGTGGCCGTCAACCTCCCATTCGCCCGTACCTGGTAGGATATTTAGGATATTTAGGATATTGTTTTTTGTGAATTGCGATATATTACTCAAATGTGCAACACGGGCGTGCCAGAGTCGACTGGAGAAGCGGGCTCAACCGTGAGTAATAGTGACACAGGACACTGGGTTTGCCCACCGCAAAGAGCCGCACGCGAATCGGTGGGTACTTGGACCCTATCGCTAGAGTATGGGGTGGTCGCGCGCTATCTTGCCTAGAGTCGCGGAGTTCCTAGGCCAGAATGCGCAATGATCGCAGAGACCCAGGGAGGGGGGGGAAGACAGAGAAATGTGCCAAATAAAGTAGAGGGAAAACAGGGAAATAATGAATGGAAGGGGCTCAGTTAGAATCAAAGCTTGGGGGGGAAGGATGCGGTTAATGATGGAATCAGGTTAGACGAAAGGGAAAAAAGGTACGGTGACAATAGATAGACGGCAAGTGTTCTTGGGGGGGAATGGGGGGGTTTGGAAAGGATGGTATAACGGAGACTAGCTTCTAAGGTGGATTTTGAAGTTCACTGCCAAGGTATTAAAGCAGTATACCCTCGTGCTCGTGACCGCCGAAGATTCGAACTTGATATTGGGGTAGCACTATGTAGGTACGGATGGATGTATGGGATTGTACGGTTCTGTTGCTGTTTCTGGTGGTCTTGCTGATGTAGGTGCCGATGCTGGTGCTGGTGCTGGTGCTGGTGCAACTGAAAGCTTCGTAGTAACGTTCTTGTAAGGCAGGGCAGGGCAGGGCAGGGCAGGTCTCGTCAGGTTCTGGTCTGGTCTGGTCTGGCCTGGTAGGGGTAAGTATGTAAGGTTTGGCGCAAAATAATGTAAGGCGGGGAGATGCTGCGGAGCCTCGTCTTTTTCTTTTTTTTTTCTCTTCCCTTTTTTATTTCTCTCGTGGTGGGATGGGTAGCGGATGGGCTGGGGTTTAGATGGGAAGGGTTCTGTAGCTAATAGTGTCAAGGTAGGTAAATTATATGTATGTACTACTTGGTAGGTAACTAAGTACTAGGCAGCGTGAGGTATGTAGGTTAGTAACTTGACTGGGTTAAAAGATGGGACAAGATGGGAACATCAAAGCACAGGCATATGTAGACCAAACATCTCTCTCAGCTACATTAGTATCCTATGTAGGAAAGCCAGAGCTACTACATAGTAGGCAGCTGCTAAGGTTAGGCCATTTAGGTTTGTATAGGTAGATACCTTGTGCTGCTAGGTAAGACTGGTAATTGGTAAGTACATATACCTGGCAATTACCACTGAGGCCAATGGCTGTATCCTTCAATATTGGATTTGGTGCTGGTAAAACCCGATGGGATCGGATCAGTCAAAATTGCCAGATTGCGCTGTGTGATAAGGTAGGTCCAAAGGGCAAAACCCGCATTTAATAGGACCGGGGTTAACTGTGTATAAGCTTTCTGCTTGTACAAACGAGCAGGGGGTCTCTATCATCTATGTAAGTAGGTTATGTACGAGGTTATGACAACACCTAGGGTAGGTATGTAGGTACTATTCATGAATGTATGTGCATAGTATGATAGAGTATGTATCATTGATGTATGTAGGTTAGGTATGTAGTAATCAGGTCAGAAACAATCCTTCTTTCGTCATGTTCGTCCTTATGTATTTCTTGAATTTCTTTCTATTGGGAATTTAACTGGTAGTGTGAGGGATAGGACGGAATGGTAAAAGGCTACAAATGGAAATGATATGGAAGGTCCAGCGAAACAAAAGAGAACTCAAATGACATGATTAAAATTAGATAGGGACGTTGATATAATTAACGGCAGACAATAAAAAGCACGTAAATATAATATTGAAACTCAAGTGCTACATGTATGTACATATGGATATTGCATAGTGTTATGGTGTATATATGCACGGGTAGACAGCATTTGAGCTTTACATAAGTAAGATACTAACTATTAGTTATCTATTATATTAGCTGTTGATGTATGTAATCTGGGAAGACAAGAGACAGGGACGTGGTACCTACGATGTAGGTATATGGGTTGAATTCCCCGCTGATGATCGATAGGGTTGATGGCAGGAGGTTGAATGAACCAGGAAGGAAGAGGCGTGCGGCGAAGAATGCGGCTACGAGTGGATGATCCAAGAACTGGATTCATGGGAAGGTTCCAACTTCCCAGGTCTAAAGTTACAACAGTACCTGCTAAAGCAGTACCTACACACTCTAGGTAGGAGTATGTATTATGTCAAGGGCAGTACATAGCACATGGCACTCTTCTACATTGGAGGGGTTCAGTATTGCAAGTATCATACTCCAAATTCTACATCTATAGCATGTACATACATAGCTAGGCCGATGTAACTAGGCACTGCGGTATATTCCAGGTATGTACCCTCCAAGATGCCTGCCGGCGGCCTGGGTTTATCCCCGTATCCGCCGTTTTAGTTCAACTTTTAGTCAATTTATTCTTGCGACTTCCACTGGTTCGGATGTTACAAAGCCTCATCAATCCTTCCCATTCAAATCTTGCCCCAGATTGCGATGCTGCTTCCAAGTGCACAGCGCCGTGCAGCGCGGCAACTAATAGCCGAACTAACTGTAGGGTTTGGGGTCTAGAAATAATTATCATTGTTACTATTAACATTCATTAAAGTTCATTAAACCTTGGAAGTTGGGATTCATGTACCCTTGGTCCCTTAGGTATTGTAACAATTGTACATACCTAGTTAATTGTACATTCATGGATGTACTGTAGTTTCTATTCTTTAGTATCTACTCTTTAGTCTCTGCTCTTTAGTCTCTACACTTTAGTCTCTACACTATCATTGAATGAACTATTTATTGGGCACATAACCACATACCTAAGCCAAAGTCGGATCAGATCAGTCAAGTCAAATCAGGTCAGGTCAGACCAGGTCAAGTACACAAGTTGCACAATGCACAGGCCACTGGGCACTTTTCGGGCAGTAACCAACAAGGACAATTGCTGACCTGTTTCTCATTCAGGTAGAGATGCTTCTCAGGTGCCTACATACCTAGGCGCCTAGGTTAGGTACGTAGGTAATACATGTATGTATATACCGTATGTAAGACGATCAGAAATCGGCCACGGGTGATAATAATGCGAATACAATATTACTTCGATCGACGAGTCTTTGCGTCCACCGGAACTGGGGTACGAATGAATAGAGTGGGAATCTGGCTGTCAGATGGGGATATCCAGCCCGGCTTTTTGCGGGGATAAAAAGGACACTGGAGCAAAGCATTGCGGCGGTGCCGTTATAGAGTACCTACCTACTACCTACTCCATACATGTAGGTTACTTCCAAGGTTAAGTAGGTAGGCAGGTACTAGGTCAGCTAACTATCTGGGTAGTATTGGAAACTTGCGGCGGCCCCAGATAACTATGGCGATCCAATATGTATCTTCGGAGGGGTGTGCTGATGAAACTCCCATTCGTCGTTTATTCGGACGTCGATTCATTCAAAATCACAAAACGAACCTACACGATATATACAGTCATTAGTCGAGTTAAGCAATATGAAAGAAAAAAAAGGGGGGCCGCTTAGTAGAGCAGGAGAGGGTAATTAGTTGAGGAAATGATCAAATGTGTGCATGTGTGTGAAAGACACTCACTCCTGTCTCGCTGGTATTCACTTTGCAATTTTTGGGGGTAACTTGTTCGGCATGCGCCCTCGGTTACCCGCCCTATATTGCGCAAGAGTGAGCAGATGCAAAACTTACCCATCGATTTGTGTGGGCGTACATGTCGTCTATCTCTCTCTTTCGTTTTCGTGTAAGAGTGTAAGTATAAAAAACGACGCGGCGGCGCAAGTTGAATCCACAAGAAGACCAGGTATTATGTGCCTACCTAGGTTAGTAGGTTAACGAGCATTGAACACCTCACCGAGGGACTATTATAGGTAGGTTACGACCTCCAGCTACATAATATCTAGGGCTACTTACCCATTAGAAACACCGGTGCCGCAAGATCCTTGGGGTGAGGTTTGCGATGTTCATCTAATTATCTTCTCAGGTCTACAATAATGCATATACGATGGGGCTGCCAATAATTAAAAAGCTATCAATAGCACAGATATGTCGTCGACAAGAAAAAAAAGGTGGGATTGCAAACGAATTTCGGTATTTAACACTATGAAGAAACAATTAACCTAGACGCATCGTGGCATGGAGCGAAGGCCTAGCCCTCCAGCCATGACGTGGACTTCACAATGCAGTCCTAATTACCAGCCTACATACTATGTAATGACTTCCAGGGCTACATATCACATATCGCACGATGATACAGCCGCATCTGCAAGCCGCTGACCGCAAATCAACCCAGTGGTGCTCGAAATGCATGGGTGCCTGGGGGAGTAGTATTGTCTTGTCTTGTCTTATTAATCTACCTCTTACTAGAACTAGAATGGGGAGGGGATGGACGGATAGGTGTGGAGGGTGGAGGGTAATACGACCGAGACAAGAAATGGGCTAACTATTAGGTATCGAGTCGATAGAAACATTCGGACACACACAAAATGCGTCTCCCGTCCAGGTTACCAAACCTTGGGGTTGTAACTTGTGATCCTAGTGTAGTTACGGTCACAGAAAGAGGAGAGAGTGACTTACTTACAGGGTCTCGTTCTTGTGGGGATTTTGATTTTTGGGGGACGGGGAAGGGTAACTTGGTATGGTATTGTATTGTACTGTAGGTTACAGTAGGTAGGGAACTTGGGAGGCCTCTTAATTAGCAAATCCATATTAGAGGACTTGCCCAAAATGGAGTGAGCGCGAGAGGATTCGATCGCTTTGATAGCCTATGTCGAATCTTTTTTTTTCCCTCTTTTTCTTATTTTCCCTTCTTTTTATTAGGTATTATCATTCTCTTTTCTTACGTTGTACATCGCCAATCAACACCGAGGTATACATATCTAGGACTTATAAGTTACAGTATACGCGGGCGAAAGAAGTGCCCAGCAAGACGCAGGTTTGCTAATTAGTATACCTACCTACCTATTCCGACGACTAAGATTATAGGAGAGTGTGGAATCTGTGGATTAATCAAGTAAGTAGTACAGCGACTCCATCTTAAGAGAGCGGGAGACATCAGTAGGTAAGAAACAAAAAGGGCAAAAATCCCCATGATCCGTCATCCCGTCTGAGTGAGATGGAGATATGCATTTCTTCTTCAAGTGGGGTGGGAAGAAGAAGAAGCCGAAGAAGAAGTAGAGAAGTTGATGGAGGGCAGATGGAGCTCCGGTACCACGCGAGCGCGATGCCTACCACCTACTCCATACCTTCGCCAGCATTTCACCTGCATAAATGCCCTCAAAACTTAGTATGTACCCTATTTCGTGGTATTCGTTCCAAGTTGTCATCTTGGGTGGTTGCAATATAGTTACCTAACCTACATACCCTACATGTAAGTATGTACTTTGGCCCAAGTAGGTACAAGACATACATACCTATACCTATACCTATACCTATACGCATTGCACGCACACACGGGATGGCTGGGTATGACCATTAATACCGCCTCATAAGATTTCATCTTGTTTTGTTTCAAGTTTCTCTTATTTATGTATGTAGGTTAATAGGTAGGTACATACATGTCATGTGTCTGTTGGGAGCATTAGGAAATTCCGGATTCCTTCCCATCTTCTATAACCCTAGGTACGAAGTATAGAACAAATAGAACAAACAACATAGTTAACCTATAGCATTATAACTATTACCCATCTCCCACTTTCCCTTTCATGAGGATGTGTTGAGGACACACACACACACACACACACTTTCACCCCCATCGCATGATCCTACTAATATCAATATTCATGCTTGCTTGCTTGCCTACTTCCTCCCTTCCAAGAGTTTGCTTTGCTCCCCCAAATCCAATGCTACTCGCGCACGACCCGGTCTAGGTCCGGTACGCAGGACGAAGATCGGCCATGCTTCGTTTTGCATTGCCAAAAATGCCAATAGGAGCATCTTCTGGCTGTCTTATTATGTCTTATAACTGGCTACCCAATCTAGCTATCAGACCCCTTATGACCTTACAGTATGTACAATACATACCTGCACGACCCCAAAGGAAGGACAAAACCACCTGTTTTTTTGGGGGGGGGGTGTTTTTTTTTTTTTTTCTGCTAAACGCCGTCCGCGGCTGTGTTGGTTTTGATTTTGATCATATGAACCTATCGCCGTCAATGGGCAATTACCATTTGATTTGCCGGCAATGCAAATACTTAAATGCATGAAGAACTCAAGTTTCCAAGCGATTTGGCGGATCCATCCTTTTTTCGAAAAAAAGAATACCCACCGGTTTACTACATGTTTCCGGGTATTTGCATCGAATCCTGTCCGTCTACCTATTCTACATATCTATCTATGCTATGTATCTATCTTGGGTCTGACTACGTTGATGCGTGCTGCTGCTGCGCGGGCGGTGGTTCGTACGCGCAGCCAAAGGGGGCGGTGTCCAACTAGCTGGAGAGGCTCAGCGTACGAGATGCTGCAGTGTCCAAACCCCCCCGCCTCCCCCCTTCTTCGGATCATCTGGGATTGTATGTAAGTAGGTATGTAGATATGCAGAGAGATAGGATACCACGGAATATATTCTGAAAGATAACCGCCATTCCATCATCACTTTCCTACAGTACATACCTACATACATACCTAATTACTGGGAGTTACGTATGTAGGTCGTTTCAAAATGACTTCCACCCTATCCGCATGCAACATGTCGCCACTCTTTTTTTTTTTTTTTTTTTCTCAAGTTCAAGTTCAAGTTCAAGTTCAAGTCTTACATACCCCCCCCCCCTCCTTTCGCTGAGCCTCCCTATGAGCCGCACCTAACCTAACACATGTCTTCCCGCAGTGGTCCAATGAGATGGGGGAGATGGGGGAGAATAAGGGTAGGACCGAACAAAGTCGTACAACCCAGGGGAGAGGGAAGGAAGGCTAGGCCAGCCAACCAAATCTGATGGAATAGGATACATAGGTTAGGTTAGGTAGGTAGGTAGGTAGGTAGGTACCTAACTAACCTAGTGACTATATGTAGGTAAGCTGGGCTAAGTACATACATACATGCGCACGCCAACTGAACTGCGGCGACTGCCCTTGGACGCCATAATCAGCAGCTTGACTACCTAGTACTAGGTTAGGTTAGATGAATACCTTATTCCTTCCCGCATGAAGTGGCGCATTTCGCATTCGCTTGACATGAGTGTACAATACAATGGTATGGCATGTATGGATTCTAACCCCAGGCTAGGTAGGTAGGTAGGTAGCTAGGTAGCTAGGTAAGATAGGAAAATTCCGATTCTTTCTTACATTGTACCTACGAAAGCCCCAAATCTACAAGAGGCTTTTCGATCTATCTACTACATATGTATGTAATTATATATGTGCCTTAGTAAATAAAGTTCCGAAGATACGAGTTCGGCAGTTCAAAAGCAGAACAGGGGTCAGCCTCGATTAGGGGAAGGAGGGGGGAAAATGTCAGCGGAATTGGTAGGAGTAGTTACATACATACATACATACATACTAGGTATTGTGCGTTCCATGCGGTACATATGTATAATCCGCTTCGACTCTTCATCTCTGAACACGTGGAGTCGAATGCTGGCGGTAACTAGATACATATATCAATAGATAGGTAGGGCGCTTGCTTGTCTACTACTATTGCACCGCAGAGCGCGAATCAACGTCTCCCCTCCCCAATTTCCCATATGCATTTTTTGGGGTCATTCCCCCTCCACTTACTAATAGTCCTAATCAATGGTTAGCAATACCTACATGATATGATATGATCCAAAGTGATATGATTTCTCTCCATCTTGCACGATTTAGCCTACATACCTCACCTTGCCTTACTAACCTAGGTACAATACCTTACCTATTTCCATATGCAGATTTCATAGAACTAACCCCCAAATCAAAATCCTCATGACATCCACATAACGTACCTATGTATAATAAACTAGGTTAGGTATTATACTATACTATACCATATACGTAAAACCCTCACGCCAACGAACGGATCTTCGTACGAGATCTATCTATCCATCTATCTATCTTACTACCTACCTACCTACCTAGTACTTCTGTTATCCCATCATTGCCCCACCCCGGATATGATTCCCCGCATTCTAGAATGTCGAGAAGGAAAAATGACTAAATAACTTATTAGTCGACCCGAACTCGGCGCGTCCCCGTACAACATGTATGTGCAACACCTACCTAGGTATACAGTAGGTGAAGTGATAAAGCCGGTATCTACAGGTTACCAGAAGGACATAGGACAGCAACGAACCACTGAGATCTCATTTGAAATTGCCGAGGCGTATTGCACCGTATCACCGTCCAAAGATGGAGCTGCCGCTTACGATGAATGCCGTTGTGTTCGACGGCCCGTACAAGGTTTCGCTTCAGCAGAGACCGGTGCCTAAACGTGAATCAAGCCAGCTCAGCCTTTTGATTATTTCTTGCCTCTCTGTGTGGCAGCAGCACCAAGTACGTATCTCAACTAACATGGCTTTATTATAGTACAACATGATGGAGACATTGTAGTCAAGGTTAATACAACAGCTCTCTGTGGATCGTGCGTAATTACCCCTTTCCATCGCACGTGTGTGGTCAGCCTCCTAATACTCACAACCCCCTTTAGCGAACTTCATGCTTTCCGAGGCCACCAGCCCTCTGACACCGGATTCATCATGGGCCACGAGTTCACCGGTACGGTAGTAGCTGCGGGAAAAGATGTCCATTCGGTTCAGGTTGGCGATAAAGTCGTGTCCCCTTTCACAGTGTCCTGGTAAGATCCTCGGGATTCCATATATGGTGAATGTGGTTAGAAAATTAACGCATTCCACAGCATGAACTGCTTCTACTGCAAGAACGGATACACATCTCGGTGTGACCATAGCTTATTGTTTGGCTCGGAGAAGTTGGATGGTGCTCAAGCTGAATATGTACGCGTACCTCTTGCTGATGGCACGGTAATGAAGGCGCCTGCCGAGATTGAGGACAATGCCTTGGTCCTTATGGCGGACATATTCCCGACGGGCTTCTTCGGCGCTAGAAATGCTTTCAACGCCCTTGGGTCGCAAGACCCTTCCGAAGCCACTGTCGTTGTCATTGGTTGTGGACCGGTTGGGTTGTGTGCAATAGTCTCGGCCCTTGAGTACAAGCCAAAACATCTATTTGCCATTGATAGTGTTGACAGTCGCCTCGAGCTAGCAAGAAGCCTCGGTGCGGAACCTCTTAACTTTATCACAGGTAAAGAGACTATGATTCCTCGAATAAAAGAAGTTACAGACGGGCGAGGGGCCGATGCAGTTATTGAAGTAGTTGGTTTCAGCCCTGCCCTGAGGACTGCGTTTGATGTGATAAGACCTTTTGGCTTCATAAGCAGCATCGGCGTCCACAACGCCGAGGTGAGTATAGCCCAGGCTACGCTTAGCTGCGTACTACGACTGACTTGTTCTTAGATCCCTTTTAGTGGCGATGATGGGTATAAGTAAGTGATGCCTTATTCCACTCCCTTGCTTTGCCTTGACTGATATTGGCGTAGCAAAAATGTAAGGTTACAAATGGGGAGGTGCCCGGTCCGGTCGATTTTTGCCGACGCACTCAAAGTCCTAGCTAAGAACCAACATCGGTTCGGGTAAGTGAACCCCTTCTAACATGTAGACTCAGGTAATGAGAAATCTGTCGTAGCTGACAAGTAAATTCTCATAGATTCATGTTCGAGAAAATCATGCCTCTTTCTGGGGCTGTAACGGGATATGACTTATTTGACAAGATGAAAGTCCAAAAGGTCGTCTTCAAGCCGTAGCTGGATGATGAGGGGACATATTAGTTCTGACGAGGTTTGACAATGCCATCATGCATAAAGTAATAAACGATAGTGGAATCGTCATGTATCGTAGCTAGCAAAACCCTCTTGGCTCGATCTGGAGATGTTGAGGCCTGTGGTGGCATAGAATCGAAAACACTTGCAAACGACCTGAGAGTCCATTTTTCAGCTAGATGAGTCGGTAACACCCATTCGACTAAAGGCGCTTCTGTAACATTATCTTTAGGTTTCTGATGGGACTTGAGCATCTCGATTTGGTCGTCTGGATGTAAATAGAGCTGATGTGGAGGCAAGCCGGAGATCAGTGGCCTGGGCAAAAGTGAATTGTCCACGGGGGAATGAGTTATGATTTGTAAGTCTGTCCAGTCATGTTGGTATCGAAGATTGTCAAGCACTGAAGCTGCAAGATGTTCAGCTAATGTCTTCTCTGCCATTATGATAAGTTTTTTTTTCTTTTTTTACAATCTTTCTCTGTCGTTTTTTCCCTTTCCTGTTATATTTCTGCAACTAGCTGCTTTTTTACGTATCGAGTGTCATAAAAGTGAGAACCTTTTTGGCAAAATACCTAAGGTTACTAGCAACAGAATTATGAGCGGTGTAAAGCGGCAGATCTCTAGTTTACATAAGCTGCATGATAACCGCACAGACAATGGGACTAGAAGTCTAGAACCTTAAGCTGTGGGTACTTACATATATGTATGTGCCTAGGTTAGGTATGTATGAGATCTTTAGATCGATGTCAACATTTAAGATGTTACACAGAGCATTTGGGTTGTGAGTATGTGAATATGTACACAAGTAGGCGCCAATCAGGTTTCTTAGATGACATCAGAATTATGTGATAGCTTCACAAATTACACAAAATACAGCTATGTACCGTTAACAACTGGCATTGCGCTGGGGAATTCAACGAAGACCATATACGAATATAATATTCTAACTATAGGCTGTTGCGAATCTCGGTAATATCTCCGTATTTCGTTTTAGCCAGTGCATCTTAGAGGCATATTGCATCAGGATAGTCTGACTGCCTAGTAACATAGTTACTACCTAGGGTATACTATTTTATTTATATGCTCAGTGCTGTTCTTTTTCATGTCACTTATGGGCGCTGTGCCGGGAATTTATCTGCGTCATGTTGAGGCGCAGATCTTACATAGTACCTAAGGGATCTAGAACATCGAACATCAGTAGTGTAGAACAACAGCCGTTTTGTAGTTGCAATACGCCTATAGCACATGCCAAAACACGTTGTTCCTTGCACATGTGTGTATTTGATGCCGCTGCATCCGTGACTCTGGACTTCTTATAAGTCTCTATCTGTATTTATTTATATACATATTAATAATTACATTGTAAATCCATGTCAAAGCTTAGCACTGAGCTTTAATGTTGTCGATAGTACTAGGAATAGATGATAGTAAGCCACTAAGGTACATAGACAACTAATAATTACTTGACCTCTTTAGGCGTGCATGTGGGCGAAACTCGCACCTTTCAGCCAATCACATTCTGTTACAGCCTAAGAAGACCATATGCCAAGGATGTTCGCTGCAACATATGCGAATTGTGCGAATACTCGTACAACATGGGAATCCTGACCAGGTACTTACCTTACCGTACGACTCTTTTTTCTAAAATTCCTGCTTCACCTCTTTCCATTTAGTATTTACAGACTATTCTATTGTTCTGGTTTCTTGTTTTCTCAATTGCCAGCGTTCTCGTTATTACTCTATCTTATTATTGTCTTCCTCCTCTCTACTCTATCATGGTAATGGGCTTATAACCTGACTCAAACGATCTAACCTGCGTGGTTACTAAATCGGTCCTTCGTCTTGGTGGCTCCCGAACTACTCGACTCGTTTCCTCATCCGCCACCTAATACCTTCTACGACGTCGCATCTACTCTTATCGCATCTATTTCCTCGTCGCTCAGTGTTCGACTAAAACCTTCGTAGCCTACCGAATACAAATACGAGAATAGGCAGCATCTAAAGATGCCACCAGACTCGCCAAGGATATCCAAAGAGGGTCAGGTTGACGACAATGTTGAACGAGCCACGACAGTTTCGACTGCAACCGAACAAAATGCTTCTCTAAGCCAACGCGCGGCTGCCCCGACAACCCAGGCGCTGGGGGACGCCGGTCCTGCGTTTTTCTCTAACGCGTCTGCATCGAATCTCGAGTTGCAAGAATATTCAAATGGCTACCACTTTCCACCGAAATACCCCATCAAGGAGCAAATCCAAACGGGGCTTGTTGCATTCTGGGACTTCTACAACACTGGATTCGGCTTCTTTCTCACCATCTACTCACTCAATGTCATAGCCTGGGGTGGCATGCTTTTCCTCCTGCTGTGTAATGCGGCACCAGCGATGTGTTGGGTCAACGGCAGGTTCGATTGCAACGATATCGATTCCCAACGTCGCATATGGATAGAAACAGACTCGCAAATACTGAACGGACTATTCTGTGTTACCGGGTTTGGTTTGGCACCGTGGCGCTTCCGTGACTTGTACTTTTTATTGCAATATCGCCTTCGAAAGGATCAGAAGGCTCTACGGAGACTCGCAGGAGTGCATCGGGGCTGGTTTCGGCTTGCGGGTTCTGAGAACCTACCGGTCAACCTTGGGCCAAAGAATATCGAAGAAACACCCGTTAATTTCAACGTTGACAGCGTACCCTTTCCCCTGACCAAAATGCCGGATGCACCACCAACCGGGATTCGGGCACCTCCTACCAAATTGTGGAAGCTGGATTTTGTCATCTACTTCAATGTTGCCAACACGTTCCTACAGGTTGTGTTATCATCATTCATGTGGGCATTGAACCGGTACGATCGACCAAGCTGGTCAACTGGTCTCTTTGTTTGCCTGGCATGTATAGCTGGCGCTACTGCTGGCATTATGTCGGGCATAGAAGGCAAGCATGTCAAAGCTACGGAAGGTGTTCCGGTGACCAAAAGGGACATTGAACGTCTAGCGCGCGATAAAGAGTTGGGCATTCCCCATTTCAATAACATCGGCGACAAAGACCCCGAGATAGAAAAGGAAAAGGCAAGGAAAAAGAAGCAAAAGAAATCGATTGGAAAGTCGGAGAGGTCCAGTGTGGCAACCGATAATGAAAGGCAGGCATTTTGTGTTTAATCACGGCGTTTTTGAGGTTTTATAGAGCGTGTAGCACTGTTTTCTAGTATATACCTAACTACCTGTCTAGGTTAGGTGTCTACGTATGTAATTTGCAGTACATTTATGAAATTACTGTTTTCCAAGGAGGAGAAAAGGGATAACTATATCCAAGGAGTACCCAGTTACTATTTAATCATGACGGTCATGTTCTAAGGTGCATGCGCAGGTACATAATGAAAGACTGCTCACGCGATGCGCATTTCATTCATTAAACGAGATTCGATGTTAGTCACATGTACCTATCAGGTCCTATACCTATCTAGTGCATATTAGGTAACAGGTATGCTCATAGTAGGTAGTTATGTGGTCTTGTGGCTGAAAAACGACGTTATCATCAGTTCAGCCACGCGGCCAATGCTTTCTGATCTGCTTTCTGATCTGACACACTACATGTATGTACAACCTTCGCCTCGTCTTCAACTCAAGGGGCTTCAATCAAGTTAGTAGAAGCTCCGTCACAGCTTCTGCATCTACTATTAAAGGTTCACTGTCGCAATTCAATCAGAAAACTAGCATCTCCAAGTTATTGACCTACAATTGTACTATCGTCGTTTATCCCTCTTCCGGCTGGCACGAGATTCTTTAAGGGTAGATAGATAGATCACTTGGGTGAAGTTACCATTCCAACGATGGCGTCCAAGGCGCTCATCCCATTCCTGGTGGGCATGATGCTGCTCACCGGAGTCGTGAACACGCTCTTAACCAAGTATCAAGTAAGTCCTATTATGACCCTATAAATCCTATTAGCCCGCAGACCTCGGCAGCCTTGCTAACCAATCACTGGACAGGATAACCAATGCGTCCGCGATTGCGATAGTTCCGAACCCAAGGATCGAAAGACGTTCATGCAGCCCGTCCTGCAGACGGCACAGATGTTTGCGGGAGAGTCGGCGTGCTGGATTGTCATCGGCCTCATGTCCCTCTACGAACGGTACACGAGCAGAAAGGATCCCAAGGCAAATGGATACCAGTCGGTTGCCAACGGCGATGCAGACGATAACGATGATGCCGCCAGTATCAACTCGGAAGCTCCTCTTACTGGCGGTGCACCGGCCAAGCGTACCTCTGGGCCCGATGGCCTTCTTAGGGGTTACGGAATTCTCCTGTTGGCGCTACCTGCTATTTGCGATATCCTCGGCACGACGCTCGTTAACGCTGGTCTTTTCATGGTCGCTGCTTCCATCTACCAAATGACACGGGGCGCGCTCGTGTTGTTCGTCGGTCTGTTCAGTATCGTCTTCTTACACCGCAAGTTGCACCTGTTTCAGTGGGTATCCTTGGTCGGTGTTGTAATCGGCGTTGCCCTTGTCGGACTTGCAGGTGTCATCTGGCCCGATTCCAAGGCCGAAGCCACCGATGTTTTGCTTCAAGCCGTTGATGATGCGACCTCTACCGAGGGACTTCTCGCTGCCCTCGGCGTAACTCTGATCGCTGGTGCTCAGATCTTCACTGCCTCTCAGTTCGTCCTCGAGGAGTTCCTATTGGAGCGTTCCAACATCGCGCCTCTTGAGGTCGTGGGCTGGGAGGGCTTGTTTGGTCTTGCTGCTACCTTGATCATCATGCTGGTTATGCATCTCGTTGTCGGAAGAACTGATGCTGGTCGCTACGGCATGTTTGACATGGTCGAGGGTTTCAGACAAATGTTTGATTACCGATCCATCTGGGTATCCAGTCTCCTCATCATGGTTTCTATCGGCGGGTTCAACTTCTTTGGTCTTTCCGTCACTCGCAGCGTCAGCGCTACGGCCCGCTCAACTATCGATAGCTGCCGGACCTTGTTCATCTGGATGGTCTCCCTCGGCCTCGGATGGGAGTCCTTCAAGTGGCTGCAAGTTGCCGGTTTTGCGCTCCTAGTCTACTTCACCTTCTTGTTTAACGGCGTCGTCCAGCCACCGTTCGAGTTCCTCCGCCCCACAGAAGAGGTTGAGGAGTTGCTCCCCGAGGAGCCTATCGAGCATAACTAGAATTTGTCCTTGGGCTAGTACTTCCTAGAAATATCTAGGGGCATTGCCGACTTGATTTATTATAGCACACAAGTCCTGATACTTGACATTGTGACAGATTCGGTTGTTTTTCATGCAAATGGTATATCGCAACTGCATTGGATGGCGTTTGTTGGTGTTCATATCGTTGTCATTACTCTCTGGGCACTCTGGTTTTTGTAATTATCACACATTCTACTGATCCAGACGCCCTCGCTTTTATGTTCCCTGGATCATACTGTTCTGTATACTATAGGTACCCACCCACCTACCTACCTAGCTAACCTAGGAATCTAAGTTGGTCAGGTAGGTAATCGTACGGAACATACCTAGGGTACGGTACGTATTACTATTAGGTACCACCTACATATACTAATATCAAGAGATTGAATATTGATACAAACGCATCTGCAAATTCTGTTTGACCTATCTAACCCAAGTGGATTGGATGATGCCAATACTTGTTGGGAGGTTCCGAAGGGGAGACTTGTGAAATACATACATACTTACATACATCATACGTATATCACGGGATTCAAAGTAGTTGTTGGCTGTGGGTATGTAAATACCTACCTAGGTAGCAACTTCTTGCCATGCGTAAATTAGACACCTACCTAGGTTAGGTTAGGTTAGGTTAGGTATATCTTACTAGCTATCAGGCACCCTTTTCACACACATACGCAAGCGAGTCTATACCTACCTACATACCTAGGTAGGTACCGAACTTGCTATAACTATCGTCAGAAATAGGATAATAATATATAGACGTAGTACATAGATTCATTTCATCTCACTATCCATCCAGCCTTCTTAAACCGAACTAAACTAAACTAAACTACTTTTTTTCTTTCTTCATCTATGGCATCAAAGAACCACACACCCCAAGCCATAAGATAAGCAACCTAGGAAGAGGGATATTCTTCGAAGGGCCCAGGCCCATCTTGCTGAACGCCCCTTGGTAGCCATGTTTTGGAGATGGAGTATGGAATTCGGAATTCGTTGATTGATATCATTTGACAAGACCAGGCATACGGGGAAACCTCCTCCGCCAAAAAAAGCGAAATTCAAACGGAGGAAGGAAGATAGATCCCTTTGCCGCTCCCTTGTCCTGCTCCGGCCCTGCTCCGCCTAGTCTAAAAGCCACTGTTCCCAAAAAAAAAAAAAACAACAATAACAAAAAAACAACACCATTGAATCAGTGCCCAAACCAGCCAGCCTGCAGAAACCCCGGGAAAACGCCTTCAACCTACGCATACCCATGCATACCCATGCTAACGGAAAACGGCGAGAAAAGACAAAAAAAGAAGAAGGAAAAAACAGGAAGAGATATACTGCCTTCTTATAGACGAGAGTTCAGTCATGTCCCTGTGTTGAATGAACCCATTCTCATGTTACTCGACCCGCCTCTTGCCTTGGTTTTGCCTTGTCCTCCTCTGCATTGGTTGGTTGGTTGGTTGGTCGGTCGATGAAGCAACGCAAAATAAATCGCTGGCCAAAACAAATCCATACGACCGAACCCTTCCCCCTGCCAGATCTGAACCACGGCTATATCGTCCCAGCTGGGTTCATTTCCGTTCGGCCGATCGTGAGACAGATATGGATGTATGTTGGCTGGTAAGGTAAGGTAAGGCAAGGTAAAGTAAGTCACGGTACAGTACGGTAGTATAGGTAGCGGGAGCCGAGCCGAAATCTTAGCTATGGATCCATCTACATCTAGCTGACGCTGCACAGCAGCTCGGCCTCGAGGATGAACTTCCCCTCCTTGTACTTCTCCGAGGACTCGTAGGCGCGGTCGTACTTCCACCCCACGGTCTCCTTGCACTGCTTGCAGGTGATGTCGCGCACGATGTGGCGCCCCGTCGTCATGCTCCGCTCCGAGGGTTCGCCGGCGTCGATGTTCACGACCGTGTTGAATAGGTAGGCCTTACCATGTTGGCCGCGGAAATTCTGCACGTGGGGGAAAGGGGGAGAGGGGGCGAGTCGTTAGTCAAATGGGACTGAAACTAAAGAGAGAGAGAGAGAGATGTAGATGGAGATGTAGGTATAGATAGGTTTAGATATGGATACAGATTTTTCTGGTGAATGGAGGGTAACTTGGGGGGGGGGGGGGAGAAATGATGCCATACTCGACTGATAATCTCATCATGGTTTGCGAGGTGGGCTTTGCAGTTCTTGCACCCATAGATCCTACTACAGTTGAGATACGTGTTATATGCGAGACCCATCGTGCCCGAGGTATCCGGAATTGACGAGCTGCTATGACTAGCTGTTGGTTGATCTTTTTCTCGTAGATGGTTCGATCGGAGTAGGGCTCGCTTATTTTACGGTGATAGATGGTGGTGGTGGTTTATCGGTTTGATTATACGGGCAGTATGCTGACTCGGAGAGAGAGAAAGAAAAGACAATATGTATGTCTGTATGTATGTAGGTAGGTAGGTAGAGAAGGAAATCAAAGAGTCTAGGTGCTCAGTATGTATGTAGGCACCTAGTAGGTAGGAACTGGTCTCCCCTTCTATTATGAACTCGAATACCTAGACTAGTACTTGGACCTTTGTTTGTCTAGGTTAAGCAATTGCTAAGAAAATGGAAGGGCGTAAGAGGTAAGACAGCCTCACACGATGCAAGTTCCAAGGTTATGTTGGTTGGTATAATGTTGTTTGATTGCTGTATGTAGGTGCTATAGATATAGCTGAGTATGTGGTACTACTAGTAGTATATCCCAGTGTGCATGTGGTGCATGTGGTAGGTGTGGTAGGTGTGTAACGACTGAGGTCACCCGGAAGGCTACAGTGCTTATCATTAACGGTGTCGGTCAAGTTGCTTGTTATCTTACTGACGGCTTATCAGGTTTTCTTGCATACAAGACCCCGCAATCTACGAATATACACTACAGGTACCTACATACATAACTAATATGCATCCACTCTAACTATTTGGCGCGGTATTGTACTAGGTACATATGCAACACTTGACCCCACCTGGCAAAGCGGATGCTACGACAAATACAATGACAGCACGCTATTTCGGTGTTTGTCAACGTCAAATTTTTAGCAAATATATACTACTTACTTTTAGTGTACGAGGTATATATATAGTAACATTCTACCCACTTCTCGATGAGGCTGACAAGCTACTAATTCCTATTCTTCTCAGCAGACACAATATACATGTATATCAAACATAGACTTGGTACCAATGGTGAGTCAAAGTGAAATAACAAATAACAAATAATACTGATTCTAGTCTACTTGAGTAGAATCCATATCATCTTCCTCTTTGTTGAACTATAGTAACATTCAAATATGTATTATACTTGTTCAAAGCAGTACGGCGACATCACCAACTCCTTTGTACGTCTACAAAGAGTCTTGAGGTTGCCTATGCACCAGGCAGTTCGCATGAACACATTCGTTTTACATGTTTGAGATCAAAAAGTATACCAGATCATTTTTATATATTCTTAATGTAGCCGGGCATAGCTACCATCGCTCTTAGGCCCACGTATCTATCAATCATCAGGAGTATTTACACGAAACCGCGAAACAGGTCGCAACAAGAAAAAAAGAAGAGAAATATGCACAATCGAACCGGGTCGTCATAATACAAGACGCCACTAATATGGATCCCAATCCCCAAGTAGGTCCGGGAGATTCCCACATAGTGGTATGGCTAACTTCGTTTACCACGAGAAAGCCTCTTCAATGAAGTCGATGGAACTGTCATATTGTCTCTTCCGTACCGCAAGCCGCACTTCATCGCTGAGGGCACCAGGTCCACAGACTGATACGCCCATGGTTCCAATCTGCTGTTCAGACTCCATAGAGATGAGTGTCTCGATGTTAGGTCTACCGGGGAACATCTGGACGGTTGATGACGGGCTGTGAATTTCTTTCGTTGAGCGTGGCCTGCTGACAAATAGCATGATGCGCAGTACATCACGCCGTCTGTCCATGGCTAGGATTTCTGTCATCCAGGGTCGAATCCACTCTAGATGTTCAGGGCTCTGGATAATCCACACGAGAACAACCTTCCGCGTGGCTACTGTGCCGTTGGCGAATCCTGTAACCAAATCTCGGACATGGGGGACTGCATGGGTGACGCCTACACCACCAGCGAAGAGCATGACCGTACCATATGAATGCATCATATGGTCTCCGCCATATGGACCTTCCACAAGACAAGTGGTCATAAGTCGACCATCAGGACGAGCGGCGGCTCTCTGATACAAGGTGTGAGTCATCCCGGTCCTTCCTCGAACGATGAACGACATGGTGGTTTTTCGTAGAGCAAGCACATCTTGGCGATTCATGGCTAGCTTATCCGATGTCAAGTCCTCGGCCTCCTCACTCCATGCGAGGGAAAAGGGGTGTGATTGCCAAAAACTGATTGATGGCAAATACAGATACGCATGCTGGCCAGGACGGAAAGTCCAAGGTCGAGCCATCGTTACCGTAATTCGGACAGCATTTCCAGGCAGTGCCTCAATGAGGGTCTTGGTTCCTCCCTTGCCAATGTTATGATAGGCAATGCGTACAACACGAGTGAGTCGATCGCCAGCCCAAATGGGTATGACCGGAAGCAGCCACTTCATGGCTGAAAGGTCCGCAAGATGATACCAAAGGCCGGCGATGGCCAATGCGGCGAGAAGGATATGCAGAATCTTGAATGATTCATAATAGGCGTGTCTAGCGATGCTTGCGGCCTGGAAGAAGATGGCAACAAACGCGCAGGTGCCCTAGAGAGTATTAGTAAAAAGCTTACTAAATTAATATGGGATATTTCTTACAAGGAATCCATATAAGAGAAACGGCTTGGAGACCGTAGCCGATAGGGCTGCTCCCCATCCTTTTGTCGATGCTGACGCAGCCCAATAGGCAAAAGTATGGCATACGGCCTCGAGAATCACGATACGACCAAACCAACGATGTAGTAGGTTGAATGTGTCGAACGACATCCCGAGAAGGTTAATAAGGGGGTTATTTCTTCCGGCCATAAAAAACAAAGGAATCATGTTAACGGTAGCCAAAGTTCCGCTGCGGTTTCTCAACTGTTTGCAGGCATCGTTAAAACTTCCGGCAAACGGGATGTTGATAACACAGAATGCGACGTTGGTGGCGAAATAGGCAAAGAGAAATAGGAATTGGAAACGCGTGGGTAAGGTGCCGACATTGATGGCGCTGCTCAGTTGGAATTCCCGGTTGTGTCGTTTTCTGAATAATGGGGAGTAAAGTAGGTTCTTCTTGATCCAGGAGAATTTGCCGGATGGGCGAGCATAGTATCGCTGTGTGTCGTTCGTCAAATTCGTGACCGTTCGGATATATCTAGCGAGACCCGTCGTGACCCGCCAAACAATAAGGGCTGCCGAAACAGCACCACAGACAATCAGAAGGTAGTTTGAAAGTGATTCGTTTTCCATAGCCGGCGTCCATCCTGCCGCTTGGCCCTCGCCAGCGTCTCCTGCCATGATGATAATAATAGGATACCGTGACTGTGAATGAGCGCAACCAGCTAAACCACCAAGAGGTTTAGTTTGTTGTAAAGTTCGAAGATGGCAGACCTATTGATATATGCCCAGGTGTTTTTCGTCGTGAAGGTAAGTGAAAAGACAGGCGCACTGGAGGTTAACTACAAAGATCCAGGAAACATGTATACTGGCAATCAAACGAGGTCAACTCGATTTGGCGTAACGAGTGCGAACGAATGAGAGCAACAGCCTGCTGTGACTAAAAGGTAGTAAAAATAGGCGTGGAAATCCTCCTTGATGGCAGTCCCGAGTAACTTAAGATCGAGTCTCGGCGAAGCACCGAGATGGAAGTGGGATCAGTATTATTTAAGTTGGGTGAATCGAACATCAGGTGGTGCAGGATTGGCTCCCCAGGCGAAAATAAAAAATGAGGGGACAAAGAATTTCGGAGGATTCTACCTTGATCGGGGATGGTTAACTTCAGAATAATGCCTTGTTTAAAGGCGTGACAGGGGCAATGTTACAAATGAATGAAGAATTGATTGGTGGTATTCAAGATCTGGCCATTAAGAAAAGGCCTGAATGCAGTTGAAGGAATGAAACGACCGGGAGGAGAGGTCTAGATAGAGGTTATGTCTAATACCCAGTAGTTGGTTCGCATTGCCCAGAAAATGACAAAATGTATATGAAAAAGGAAATAAGTAATAAGGAGGTGAACGATTAGGTGCTGCGGACCATTCTTGTGGAAAACCCTAGTACGTACCTGCGTACCCGCCTATCCGCCTGGGGGTGTGTTGCTCAATTACGTCGTCTAATGCCGGTATCCTCTTTCCATGTGCCAATCATTGCACTTTCACCCCTGGGCATCTAGGAAGAACCAGAACACTAAATAGTACGTACCTCAAATCACAGTCACAGGAGGGGTTGGCACGACTTCCCCCTCAAACACGCACACGTCAACCATAATAGTTATTAATATTTCAATATTTTTTAACTGTAACTGTTACTACTATGCATTATTTTTATGTCGGTGCTGGTTACATATTCTCAAAGTTCCACAATTTGTAAATGTTAGATATTTTATTGAATGTATCCTTTTGTTTGCTACAGACCCTAGGTACTAGGTAGTATGTATTATAATCACGTATAATTGATAGATTATGTAAGGTAGTATGATACTATGATGTTCTTCGTTTTCGGTATACGAAAAAGAAGTACATCTCGCATGACAATGTCCCTCCCAATAAATGGACCCTGTCGGTCAGATACGAACAAATCGAACTTGGCAGGTACCTTACGTACCTAGCAAAGTATGGGGATGGACCGATAAAGTGCCACCAATGCAAGGTACGCCAAGTCCAGGAAACAGCAAGATTGGCCGAGATTTGGAGCTAAGTCGGATCCGACAAGGGTTATCCCATGCCTTCCAAGACAACGGTAGAAGCGCATCCTTGCCTTTGCTTTAGTGCTCCCATTTCTTAGGTCTTGTCCATAATTTCGATGTTCATCGAAGGTTGAACCCGTAAACTGGCAGACTGGATCCATTGTCAATGCTTTATGGTATTTTAGTGTACTAACCTTACGTTAACTAGCTGTCATCTAGCTGACTAGCTACCTAACCTGGGCAGTTGGTTACTTTAAAATCATTCGTGATCCGATCTTGGCCTTACATACAACCGTGGGGAGTATCATGATCGACCCGCGTACCTAGGTAATTATGTACTTATGTACCTAACTACAAACCTAGTATTATTTGAAACGAATCTTGGCAACATCGAGGGCCCTGCTACTATCACTAGCACTTGGTATGGGCTTGTTTAGTATCGTATTAGGCGAAATCGATTATCCAATCGCGGCTCAAGATAACCTATCACCAGTCCTTGCACGGGACAGCCGGCCGTGACGAGAAGACCAATGACAGTCTTCTAAAGGCATTTTACATAACCTCCATACTCTATGAGTCTATGTTTGGGGCTGGCAACCGCAGCCGAAGATTTTCTTTAGAACGGTTTCATATTTCTATTTTCTTTTTTTTTTTTCGTCTTTTTAATTTATCACATCTCAACAGTTACGACGGAGCATCCTAAACCAACCCAGACACTCTTGACACTGTTAAAGACGAAGCGGCTTAATGCTCTCTGGTTTCCCTAGCAATTGAGAGGGTACGTCATGCCCTATTCGTCATACACCCTTAAGAGTAAAACATTGTGCAAGAGGCTAAAGCTATGTCTTTCTTGTGTCTAGTTTAAGGAATGCTCCGTTTTGGCCGTTCATGATAAGTCGCCCCAATCACGTTGACCGAATTATCAGGTGATCGATCGATGCCCTTGACGGAAATAGGAAATAGAGGATCTGAATGTCTGGCTCGGACCAATTGCGCAATGGGTGCATCATCCATCCACTACGTATGCTGGCGCATAATTATTTGATACACCAAAGAAGACATCTCCAACGAAATCGATGTATCAAGACCAAAGGAATGGAGAATTGCCCATAGTAGGCTCTCCACTACTAGATTCCTACGGCATCTATCTTATTCCAACATCCTAACAGATGCTTATGGATCACGATCACTCCATGGATCCATAGGTAGATGATGGTGATGAACACTGGGATGTTGCTGATCAGGAATCCATTGATCGATAGCATATCTAATGTAGATAGGTAGACACCATGTACGTTATAGAAGGTGAGTAATCGAAAACAGCTCATGGCCGCGCGTTACCCTTCTCTTCGCCTCTGCCCTATTTCGATGTGATACATGGGCAGCCCTGACGGTGTTTTAAATGTTTTAAATACAATCCGACGCTTAGCAATTGTCGGAAAATCTAGGCATAACCGAGCCAGTCAGATACCCAAAATAGTCGTTTCGCCTTCCCCTCCTCGGCCTAGATCTTGACATGAATAGTATCTACATAGTCGTTACATGGGTATCTACTTAGTATGTACGTAACACTGAGTAGGTTAGGTAAGTATGCATCTGAAGAAATCTATAAGCTTTAGAACTTCTAGGCTTCTTGTAGCGCTATCGGGCTTTCCTCAACCCCCCTGAAATGGTCCCGGTTACCATGAAGGCCAGCACTATTTTTAGAAGGTATATATCAGATGCTAACACAGGAATCACCCCACGCAGGCTCGCCATCTCGAATATGGTGGTGCCAACCATGACGTGGCTATCCATCTAGCGCTTCTCTTTCCCTACCTTCTCGAGATACTAGTCAGCAGCATCTAGCACAGCATCCTCAAAGCTTTTCGGTTTCCTACCTAACAGCTTCTCTACATCGTCCCCCTTATATTCGACGGCCAATGTGAGTACCTTGCCTCTCTTGAATACACCCTCCGCAACCGCTTTGGGAAACGCCCTTTCGACATAATCGAAAATATTCTCGTAATCCACCTTGATCGCGGCCCCAAAGTCTTTGGGCTCCCCTGGTTCTGGGTCGCGGAAGGCTACTCGCAGGTAAACGTCCGCTAAGTCGTCTGTGTGTATATAGTGGCCATGGACAGGGTACGGCGGTTCCCCGCCTAGGATACCCATTATCAAGAAGTTATTAGAGCTATTATGGGTTTGCATCATGTTGGCATCGAGCGCCAGCTCGTTGCGACCAAAGACGTAACCAGGCACAACGTGAGAAATGGCAAAGTGCGGGTTGTGCTCCTTGGTGAACTTGTCCGCGATGTGCAGCAAAACCATCTTGCCCAGCGTGTACGCTTCGAAGGGGTTGCCGAAACTAGACGGAAAGGGGTCTGGCAGCGGCGTGCGCGTAGATGCAGACGCAATGGTGGGGAGTGGCCCGACACCAAGGTTCCCGATGACAGATGAAGTGATGACAATGCGCTTTACGCTGGGCGTCTTGAGAGCAGAGGTAAGCAGGCCCAACGTTGTTTTCTCCATGGGCTGGAATATCTCTGTCATGGGATCGTAATATGGCATAGGGACAGGTGCCGCAGCGTGAATCACGTACGTTACGCCTTCCAGAGCAGAGTCAAAGGCGCCCGCGACTGTGAGGTCGGGGATGATGACGCAGGAAAGGCGGTCGAAGTTTGGCACCGCGGGGTTCGAGGTGACCAGATGCGCTTTTCCCTCTGACCTGGCAGTAAAGCGCACGGTGTGACCCGCAGCAAGAGCAGCGATGAGAATACGGAAGCCGATGAGGCCTGTGGCCCCCGTGACGAGTATTGTCGTAGAAGCAGACATTGTGTGCTATGTGCCCTGTCATTATTATTTTGCGTTTCTCAAGTGTCAGCTACCCTATGTAAGTATCTACGCAAAATTCTCTTTCCTTTGTCTACCTAGGTAGGTCCTAGATAGGCATCCATTTCCATTTTCTGTTTGAGGGGTACCGTATTATATGTATGTGCCTCCTTCTAATCACCCTAGCCTAGGTCATTAGGGCCACATGATGAGGATACCTATTGTTACATAACCAACCCAAAAGGCATAGAAACAAAGCCATCGTAGTTATGAACTTATCTACGAAAGGAGGGGGCGGTGGTCTGTACATGCAAATGTCCTTCTTTGTTCTCTGTAAGTTTTGCTGATAGCACCTACGAAACACTACTCTCGGGTTGTATAGGTATATTTCATTCTAGTCATTTACCTAAGGCAGATTTCGACGCCCCTTTTACCGCTTGGCTAATCTTACTACTGACCTTCAAATCCCACATCAGCTTATTAAACCCCATTCGATTCCCATTCCCATCTTCTGGCACTCTCAACACCTCCCCAGGGCCGTCAAACATCGCCGCCGCCCTGAACGCCCCCCCAGCGTGCGTCAGCAGCAGCTTGAAGAGGCCGCCCTTCTCGCTCGCGTGCCTCGCGACCGCCCGCAGTCGCTCCACCAGGTACCGGACGTCGTCTCGGTAGCGGTACTCCAGGCAGGCGAGCCAGTCGACGACGCAGAAGAGGACCGTGTTGCCCGGCAGCTGGAACAGCAGCTCGTCGAAGACGTCGCACAGGACCTTGAGGTCGTTGTCGTCGCGGATCGCGCGCGCTGTGCCGACCTTGATGAAGTAGAGGTCGAACTGGCCATGCAGGTACAGCAGCTGCCCGATCAGCGACCGCATGATCGCGTGCACGTTGGCCTCGGCGTCGCTCTTCGCGTTCCGGTGCTGCCCCGCGAACCAGTGCAGGCATAGTAGGCGGCGGGATTTCTGCGTCTGCTGCGCCGATTGGATGAGGTGCGCGGCCACGAAGGACATCGCCGGCGTGCTGTTGTTGTCGAGCTCTTCCGCATCATCCCGGATAAGCAGGACGCCGTTCTTGGGACTGAGCAGCCAGTTCGGCAGCACGGGACTCTCTATCACGTACACGACCCGGTCCTGCTCCTTTAGGGTGAGCTCGCTTCCTCGGTGCATGATGGCAGCCAGGTCCTCCCAGGGGACGTCGGGCTCGTACCGGAGGATGGACTCGCACAGCACCTGTCTCGAAACGACTTTCCTTCTCAGGGGTTGCGGCGGAGTCGGTGCGGGTTGTAGCAACTGCCCAGTCTGCGGATGGAGCTTTGGGTTGCTGCGCAAAGCTTCTACCAAAGACTGGAGAAGATTCTGCGTGGCAATGCTTTCGTGATGTATAGCAACGCTTTCGTTATATACATCACGGATACGACGAAGACCGTATAAGCTGGCTGCATTCTATATTATTAGCCTTGGCTTCACGGAGTAGGAGATGTTTCCATGGAAGAAGGGCATACCTAGGTCTTTTACGGACAGAACTGCCGTCTTGAAGTCATTGATCTTGTCCTCCAGCTCCTTCTCATATATACTCTGCTGCAAAATGGCCTTGAAGTGCCGGCCCGCAGACCTTTGACCATACCAGTTGATGATGTGCTCCAGAACCGCAAATATCGAAAGGTACATGGACGACACAGACTTGTATAGCCGCCGTGAGGTATCCAAGTCTTGATTATAGTCAATCATCAACTGCGCCGACTCCACCTCCTCAGGAATTGCCGCCATCGCCTTAACCATAAACTCCTTGATCTTGTCCATCCTGGCCGCGGCACGCAGTATTATCTTGAAGCCGCCGCAAATCAGACTGGTATATTCGCTTTTGTCGGGCAGAAGAACCAGCCAGCCCTCCAGCATCGGCGCCTTCTTCTGCAGCGAGCGGAAACACCCGCGCACCTTGCCAAAAGGAGATTCCCTGTCGCCCTTCTTTCGGTACTTCATCTCGGCGATGCTGGCTTCCTCGATGACTTCCGACCAGCTATGCTTGCCGTAAAGATTGAAGCGCGTCTTGTACTTGCTCGGTAGATCGTCTTCGAAGGTCTGCAAAACTTCTGCGAAGTGCTTGCAGTGTGTGTCCTCATCTTCACTTTGGAGAACTGGGTTGTCTGCCTCATTGGGGGGCGATTTCTCTTCGGAGCTATCACTTTCTCGATGACTGCTTTTCGGGGTTACCGCATTGATCTCAACTCGGCTTTCTACGAATTCTTTGGCAGGGTTGGATAGTTGGACAGGCGGTAAGTCCCTGCTATCCCGGAAAGGCCCTTTCATATGCGCAAGGCTCTTGCTAAATAAATTCGCCATGGCTAAACTTCCAGTATCAATACAAAAGATTACTGCACCAGCTTTTAGGATATAGATTATTTCCTAGATCCTATAAGGCCTAACCGTAGTTCAACTTGAACCGAAGTGATATGACGGGAGATAGAGAAGAGAGATTTTAGGTGTTACTACACAATCAAAGAGGACCCCGTCAACCTTACCGATACTATAACAGCAATAAGGGGGGGGAAAGGCCTTGGAACGCTATAAGGCCTGAATACGAGGGATGATGCGACGCTGGCTATGCTGCAATTGTGTCCTGCAGGCTGCAACATCTGTACATTTCTCACCGAAGTTACGGTATGTAGGCAGGCTCTGCTCTTCACACCAATAAGCAGCTGACGCGTTGGGGGATGATTCATAAGCGTATGCTTGCGAAGCGAGATATTTTTCGTTCAGCCGCAACATGGGCACAGGAAATTCACCGAAGGAGGTCACCGGAGGAGGTCACCGACTATTTAGTATAGTAATGGTGTTGGTAAAATATTTGAATATTCCGGGAAATGTATCCCATTTCACCACCATCCTCGACCACCAAATATGACTCAGTTGGCAGCCTGATAGCACCGGCTAGGCACCTACATATAAACTACATTACTTCGTCCCAACATACATACGTTTATTAACTCGCTATCTGAGCTTTGTACTCAATGCATCGGGAGTTGCGGTACTGCTCGATTGACATATAAATTCACAACCTTCCCATACCTTTGTGACATTCCATTAATAACGCTAGGCCAGAAAGCACAGCAGCCAAGTTCAAGCCAACGATGTCTGGAGAAACCACCCCTAAAGAGCCCATTTCGGGGCTATCCGAAAAGATGGCCGAGGATCTTCAGCTTATGAAGAGCCGGCTTGAGGAGATGGAGAAAAAGTACGAGCAATATTTGAACAAGCAAGACAAGACTGTCACAAAGAAGGAAGATGAAGAAGACACATCGAAGCGTAAGGCGGAGAAAAAGGATGAAGACCTTGACGATGAGGATACCCCCCTAATCGTAAAGGTGAATCGTCTCTCTTGGACACAATGGCGAAAGATTCGAGTGGCTGAGAACGAATGGGAAAATATGACCGACGAACAGAAGAAAAGGGGGGCGAAAAAGCGAAAAGCCAAAACAGAACGTTTCGTCATTGATGCCGTTGCTGATACGGGAGACCTGGGACTCCATACCTTCACAGAAACGCAGGACTTGGCCAAGCGCTCTAGGGTTCCTGGCCGAATCCGTATCAACTCCGAACATATACTGGATGTCTTGAACAATCTCATCAACATCGCTCTGCCTCGGAAATGCCAAATACTTCACCCTTATAAGATCATCATTGATCATGTAGATGAGATTGAAGGGCACATGAAGGTTCTGGAAGATGAGCTTTTCAAAAAGGAATTGAATCAACTTTCGCCAATTGAAGGATGCAAAGAGGCAGAGAAGGATTCGAAGACCCAAAGTAAAGAGAAAAAGCCCAAGACGAAAGTGGAAGAAGACGTCGAGCTTGCGCAGAAAAAGGTTGCACACTACAAGTGCTTCATGGAGCTACTTGAGACAGATCTAGCACCAGAGATTGAAGTGGCAAAAGCAGTAAAGGAACGAAGAATAGAGAAAATCATGTTCTGTCATTTGTGGCATCTCTTTCCACCCGGGGAAACCATTTACTACCAGAATGCGGATCGAAATCAGCCCCCCCAAGCAGCCCAGGTCTTGAAGGTCAGCGGTGGACGGCCTAAACTTCCGAATTCGAGTCGGTATTATGGTGTAAGTTTTCTATTTATAATGGTAAAGGGCAGGATGTATAGGTATCTAACTTGATTGTAGTGGCAACTGGAATTGTATTATACGGGAAAAACTAAGGCTTTTCAGAAAGTCTCTCCTTTTACGATTGACGCATTCCATCTCGACTTCGACGGGAAGAAATACCGCCTCGTCCAGGATAAATACGAAATACAGAGGTACACCGGAGAAGCCCCCATAACCTCACTGTTGGCCTTCCCCCTTCGCTTTTTCTCGGAGTCGATTAGGATGGAGACTATGGATATGCTGTTGAAGAGAGGCCAAAACTTCCGGAGCTTAGCTTCGGTGGACGTAGCTCACCGTGAATATCGTGGCATGACACTCGATGACGAACGAGAAGATATCGATGGCCGAGTTATCATCGACTTTAAACAAGCCCCCGTCGTCGTTCCTGGTACGTCCCGCAACAAATCTAAAGGCAGCAAAGACGACCGTGATGAGAATAAAGGTCGTATATTCGGAATACTCCCTTTCACTCAAACCAATGAGGTGGAGTACCAGGAAGTCATTGGGACCAACGAAGATCTTGACTTGACCTTATACGATGACCATGCATACGATGTAGATAAGTCAGATAAACTTTTCTCAGCCAACAAGGTTCTCCTCGCTCCATTACAAGAATTGAGCTCAGACGACTTGGACGACGAGGACCTGCGTCTCCTTCCTGGGTCAGTATACGCATACATCCTCCGTAGTCGGAAATACTGTAAGTGCCATCTACAAAATAGGGGGCCCAACACTGATAGCGTACAGGTAAATGCGACATCAACCTCATCAAGGAGATCAACCTGAATAAACAGGCCTTCGATGATCTGGTGCTCTCGAAGCATTACAAAACTCTTATAAAGTCTCTAGTTGAACGAGTAAGCACACATCCTATCCCATTAACAACCTTACCTTTTAGATTGATGGGCTGTGGGTGATGCCTCTTAATACAGGCTAACTTTTATAACCAATATTACAAACCAAAAGATAAATTCTAACGTTTAGCTAGCACTCCCTCGGCTCAAGGCCCGTCGAGAAGAAGGGCGAAGAGGCGAAGAAGAAAGATAAGCCAGAGATTAGAAGGACGGGTTCGCAGGAATCTCAACACCACGAGTCTGGCCAGCAAGACACCCTTAGCATCGTCAAGGGCAAGGGTCGGGGCCTGATCATTCTACTGCACGGCGTGCCCGGGGTTGGCAAAACCTCCACAGCCGAGACGGTAGCTGAAGCCACCGGACGACCTCTTTTACCTGTCACCTGCGGTGATATCGGGGAGAGCGCTGCCGATGTAGAGAAGAATTTGGAACAGATCTTCACAAACTCGCATCGGTGGCGTTGCGTGCTCTTGCTTGATGAAGCAGAGGTATTCCTCACGAAGAGGAACATCCAGGATCTGACACGAAACGCGATGGTGTCCGTCTTCCTGCGCGCTCTCGAGTTCTACTCTGGAATTCTCTTTCTCACAACGAACCGGGTTGGCACCATAGACGAAGCTTTCAAATCGCGTATCCATATCAGTCTTTATTGTAACCCCCCTCTTTCTTTTCTGTGCACTTGGGAAACTGGTAGTCACTAAGTATTTGGACTAACCATTCATCCCAGATGCCCCACTGGACTGGAAGACATCCGAGATGATCTGGCTCGTCAACATCCGCCGCTCGCAATCGCGGGTCGAGACCGACAAGGAAAAGATCATCCGCTTTGCCAAGAAGCACTTCCATTACTCGGACGACAGCAGCCGCTGGAACGGGCGGCAGATCTACAACGCGTTCAAGACGGCGATCGCGCTCGCCGAGTTCGAGCAGCAGACCGCGGAAGAAGAAAAAGAGGGCAAGGGCAAGGGCAGCGAGAAGGGCCAGAGGCCGACGCTCACCGCGAAGCACCTGCGACAGGTGGCGCGCGTCGCCAAGAAGTTCGACGAGTACCTCCTCGAGACGCAGGGCGGCGAGACGGCCGCGGCCCTGAACCAGCAGCAGAAGGTGCGCGCCGACGACTTCGGGCTCGGCGACGAGCGCGTGCTGTCGAAGCTCAAGCAACGGCCGACCAAGAACCGCAAAATAGACTTCGACGAGCTACCGTCCACGTCCACGTCCGAGGACGACTCGGACGATAGTGACGATGTGTCGGCGTCGTCGAGCGAGGAGGAGTCGGAGTATGAGGAGCCGGTCAAGAAGTCTAAGAAGAAGGGCGAGCCCGGAGGTAAGAAGGGAGAGGATAAGAAGAAGAAGAAGAAGAAGTCGAAGAAGAGCACGAAGAAGCCGGCTGATGATGACTCCGGTGATTCGTCATGATGGGTACAGGACCTCAAGTTGTAACTCTTTGATTGGGAAATTATACTCAGTAACGTGAAGGAGGACACATGATTTGAACGTATCTCATTAATTATAACATTATACAATTTCATTCACATTTAGATTCTTTGGTCATATCGGTATTCTACTAATCTAGGTACTTACCCCTATTCCCAATAGGTCACGTGAGACACTTAGCAAGCTACGCCCACCATATCAGAGGAATTCAATAATAGCTTATATGCCTAGGGAACAACAATATGTACTTACCTAGGCACCTACTATGTGTCTGTATCTAAAGATAGGTAGCAAATAAGTAGGGCAATAAATATCTGAGACAGTAGCCTGCTTAAATTTAGTGATAGCTCAGGTATCAGTTCCACGATATCGTCGACACAAAGAAGATGCCTTCCATTAGGCTCCTACCGCATCCCAGTACTTACGAGTTGGCTATAGCGCGAACTAGGAACTTAACCTACCATAGTTTGAGAGAGACATGTACTTTATAAACTGGGTAGGCTTTCATAGTCTGTAGGCCTACACATCTCTGCTCTTCAGTCGTTCATTCAGATTTCATCAACTCGAAGCATTCGAGGTAAGCTAGCTTCCAAGACAACCTTTCGTTCATTACAGAGCTGCATTCGAATCCAAAACAAATGAGTAAACAAATACCACTGTATGTCCGGGCGTACGGGGCCGCGTGTTCCATAATTCACCCCGCGACCCCCTACCACATCTCCGTGGCGTACCTCAACCGTCTCACCTTCATCCTTCTTGTGTTCACCACCCTCACAAGCTTAGCCCTCGTCTCCGCCACCGCCGCCATATCCCGCCGCTCCAACAACAACAACACCAACAACAACGCCACGATCACAGCCCTGACCATCGCCTACCTGACCGTCGTCCCCCTCATCGCCATCCTCGTCCTCTTCCTCTACACCCGCATCATCTTCTTCAAGAGACACCCCGCCCGTTCCCCTAGCATCCGCTACGCCGAGCCACACACCGAGTACCACGAGGACCATTATGAGTATGGTAGCCGGGAGGAGCAGGAGGAGGAGGAGGGGACTGCGGAGGGCTTTACAGAAGCCCCGAGTCCGCAGGTGGGCATGGCGGGGCTGCGAAACACCGGGTTCGAGGATTTCGAAGCGCGGCCCTCTCAGACGTTTCCCTCAGGCTACCCGGTCCCCTCGCCCGCCGACTCGTATCGCAGGCGCGCATACAGGGCGGCGGCGGCGGCAGTGTATGAGGAGGAGGAGGAGGAGGACGATGGTGAGGATGGTGTCGCGGCGCTGGAGATGTACGGGCCGCTGGCGAAGCTAGCCGGCGGCGCGATGCGGGGCGCCTACCCTCAGGGGCCGGGCGCGGCGCAGACGTTCCCCTTCTCGTCCGAGGATCTAGAGTTGGCGGATGAAGGCGTTTATGACAGCAGAGGCGGTGCCCGGTTCGGGAGGGGCGTGCCGTCGCGCTACGAAGTGCGCCGGTACCCGGAGTACACGGAGAACACGGTCGCTCGGCAGGGCAGCATGAAAGGTGTTGTTCAAAGCCCGACGAGCGCTTTCGGTCCGAGTCTGGAACGGATGCCGGATGGGGCTTGGGGGCTGCCGAGGCGGGACGAGATACACCAGGACCCGAGGAATAAATGATACCTAGGTCGTTTGCCTAGGTACCTAGGTTAGCTGTGCTTGAAGGTTGGGAATGCAGGTTGACTAAAACGAGAGAGAGAGCCGTGAAGTCGAAATACTCAACGCTAAGAGCATACTGGGTGTACATTCCATTGTTAGTAGGTTGGAGGTAAGGCCCAGGGTACACACCGACCAGCGCCCTACGCTGCTGAGCTACAACGAAGACCTTCTTCTGCGCTACTTAGACTGGTTTCTGGCTACTCGTAGGTGGGCGACAAATGCCGCGCCGGAGTGCGTCTCGGCGGAAAGAGTCTCGCTTCGTGCTAGGAATCGCGCAGCTAAGGGCGGTTCGGGACGTATAAGTAAGCACCGGCTTACCGATGGCTGAGGGGAGGAGACGTACGCCCGGGATGGAATTTGAGGAAGCCGAAAATGTAGTTAATGGGGATGGACGGTGCTACCTTTTAAAGTACCTACGCAAGCTGTGGGCAGAGAAGCTGATGAGTGCCTACTAATTGATGGCAATACCTACAAAAGAGACTTATTTCTACGGAGGAGAGAGAGAGAGAGAGAGAGAGAGAGAGAGAGAGAGAGAGAGAACAAGAGAACATCTAATAAGCATAGCGGATGGCCGTATTAAAGCCAAGTTCGAGTTTGATTATTATCAATTCCAATTCCTATTGGTGCCAAAGCAGCGATCGTTCCTCATCGAATAGTACATTAAGTCTGTAGTACAGAGAACGGCTTTGATGTATTCATCAAGTAACCACTTATTTCACAATCATCGTGACTTCCAAGTAAGGGTCTTCTAATGAAGATCCCTAGTATTAAGTACACCCATGAGTATTTCGATGTGTTCCCAAAAGCTGCCCCATTTCTACACCGGCGAGTTCAAGCGAGTATTTGTACATATGAATATTGTGCATGTTTCAGTTCAAGCGATGCTTTTGTCAATCTTTGTTCACGATGAAATCAATACTCATAGCATTGGGACGAGCACTGGGGGTCTTGTTCACGATGGTGTTAATATCCATAACATTTGGACGAGTAGTAACGGGGTCCTTGTTCATAATGGAGCTAATATCCATAACCTTTGCGCGCGTGGTAGTAGAGTCCTTGATCACAACGGAGCCAATATCCATAGCCTTTTGGGGAGTAATAGTAGTGTCGTCCTTGTTTAGGACGAAGTCGACGCTCATGGCCTTGTTCTGGTTAGTGGGGATTGGAGCGGATTGGCGTTTCTTGACTCGAAAGGCAAGTGCTTCTCGAAGATTGGTAGGGTGATAGTCCGACTGCGGCGCGGCGCTGTTCAGTAATGTCATCTTGGATGGACTGTGTAGAGTACTATAGACGCGGGGTGGCTCTTTGCCGCCGATTTGCTGTTGTCGCTTTGGACTTTGGACGGGAAGAACGCCAATGCTTTCTTGCTGTGTTCCCTTCTTGAAAGGGCATTGATGGATAGTATGCTTCGTATTGTCGACATTGGAACCGGGTGGAGCGGATAGTTTACGAGGCTCCATGGCTTTGTGCGAAGACATGGAGTCTGCCATCATGAAGAACACGGTTGTGATTAAATTCTGAAGTTTGAAGTAGGTTCTCGATGTATGGTGAGTAGATTCGTGGCTGGAGTATGGACAGAGCGCGGTTGCAAAATAGATATTCTACCTTGAACCTGGCCGGGCTTGGGTGCTCGGGAAGGAAGTAGGATTGTTTGCAATTGAAAATGAAAATATAATATATGGTGCGTTGTCCGTCGACCTTGGTACCTCATAGACATCTCTCAGGCCTACGGTGACTTCAGAGAAACTCCACACTGTGAGTGGCCACTGTCTTTTTGAAGGTGAAAGATACCTAAGGCATCACTTGGGACTGGACCCGTGAAGGGCCAAAGCTTGCCGCAATACTGAGTAGGTAGGTACCTTACGCGAGGAGATGGCCCTTTCCTTGCTCACGAAGAACCTGCTGTACAGTCTGAAGTACATTGGCGTGTATTGCCTTAGGAGCAGCAACAAAGCCGTGGTTGGCGGTCATCAGTCTTCCCACACCCAAATCGATAGGTTTGCCATCGACATCTGTGATTTTACCACCGACCTCTTCGAACAAAAGCATGGCGCCGGCATGATCCCAAATCTTGCCAGTGCGGCTGCGCTTCTTGTAAACCCAAATAGTCACATTTGCGAGCCCTACCCCAAGAGTAACCCATCGAAGGACCCAGGCTAATAGGTCGCACCCTTTAGTCTCGATACCGAGTCTGTCCATGACCAGCTGGTGCACATCATCTACCCCAGAATCTAGCATGTTGTAACAGGACACTGGCCGTAATATTTGAGATGATTCATCATTAGCATGTGGTTGGATTTTACGATTTTGTGTTTGGTCGTCTGGCGATGCCGTTAATGGGCGAACATACGTGCCATACCCCTTTGCGGCAAATACGATAGAGCCCTGACCTGTTGGGTCCAAGGAAGTGTTCGTGATAGGACTACTAGCATCAGCAGCTATTGTCGGACAGCCCACAATGCTTAAAACTTGCTTACTTCCTTCTAGGAGCGCAACGTTGATGGCATATGCTTCGCGTTGAACAAAGGTCTTGGTGCCATCAATAGGGTCAAATACCCAGACCCTTCCGGCAAGGGGACCTCCAGGTTCACCAAAGCCGCACCAGTCGATCATCTCGCACATCTTCTCCGGAGACTCAGGTAATACGCATAGTGACTTTGTATCGTCCCCGTTCAGAGTCTGAAGCAAGGCCCACACACGGTCCAATAGCAATGGGTTGCTTCTCAAGTCCGCTGCTGACTCTTCTCCGACAAATTTGTCATCTGGAAATGCCTGGTGAATAGTTGCAGTGAGCAGGGCTTGGATGGCAAAATCAGCTATAGTGACGGGACTGAGGTCGTCTTTCTCAAGGACACCTTTGTCTTCAACTGAGATTATCACTTGGCTAAGCTTAGCTGCTGCCTTGATTGCCCCTATAGCAACACATAACTCCTTGGAATATGGGCTATCCATTTTAGGATTATCTGATATTTATAGAGTTTAAGTGATTATATTTTCTTATACGTGTTTGTGAATTTGATATTGCTTTAGGCATGAGGAAGTTCAAGGGTAATAGAAGAAAGAGAAATGTGAGATGGAGATTTTTATGATTAGGGGGAATTGGTTATGTAAGGTGATATTTAGCGGGGTTAAGTCGGGCCGAGTGAGATCTTAACTAACATTGAAGTGCTTTAGGTAATCAAATGCTAACTAGGCAGCTCTGGGCACTTGTAGATAGGTGTTAGGCAGCTGTCAGGTCGCAACTACCATAAAATACATATCGCATCTAGAACATTGAAGTTATTACTAGGTAGTAGTAGGTACTAGATATGTACACAACGTCAATGATTCAATGTTGTAATACGCATACGTACTAGGTATATACTATTACCGTAGGCACTAGTATGTACGACCCTAGGCATTATGATACATGCATAGGTATAGTTTATACCATGTAGTACCTAGTAGTACCTAGTAGTACCTAGTAGGTTAGGAGGTAGGTATGTTGCCATCTATATCTTCAACATATACTCTTTTCAATGACCTTCGCATTGCACACTTCTTAATCGCCAATTTCTCAATCAATACTACCTATCTCTGTTCCTTAACACTCTCGAAGGTCAAGGACTATGTACAGAGCTGGTCCGTCGACAACATAAGTCAAGATCACCAGTCTGAGGATCCAATGAAACAGTTCCTCGTTCAGTTCAAGGGTAAAATGCGTATGCAAACGAACATTCAGTCCACTACGATCGAATGTATCAACTCTATCACCAAATACATCAAGAAGTTAGCAGATGACACTGGAACTGTAGCAGCTGTAACCAGCCTAGACCTGAGGACACACTCTTTTCCACATGACATACTACTTACTTGGATTACTCGACTCGGCAGATTGACGTCCCTTGGCACTGAGGGTGGATCAGTACTCAACTACAAGGTCGCAAAGGTCATTTCCGAATGTTGTCCTCACTTTGATGATTTAATTATTTCCGGACTTTACGGTTCATTTAATGGACTCACTCCGTATGTCTGTCTATGTCCAACTGTCATCAAAGAAGCTAACAGGACTAGTTCCAGTATGCCACAACATCCCTCTTCTTGTCCGCCTGTCTCGTACTTTGAGAAATAATTATCATAAGAAGGAAGATCACAGCGTCTCTGTACAATATACTAAAAAATGTCAGATCCAGACTATCAAGCCAACATCACAGATAAAGATCTGGCCGCTTTCTTTCAGGCGTTGCGCCCGAATCGCTTAAGAAGATTTCAGCTGATCGGAATGAACAGGATTGAAAAGCGTTCCATAACAGCACTAAGCGTACACGCCACCTCTCTACGAAGTCTAAGACTGGGATGTCTTGAGCCAGAGGCCATGACGGCCCTGGGTTCGCTGTCGGGATTTGCTGCCCTAGAAACGTTCATACTCGAGGACCGGACCCAAGGCAGGACGTATTTGGATAAACAGGAGCTCAAAGACGTTTCGACTTGGATTAGCAATTGCAAGTCGCTCCGAGACTTGAGCTTACATCTTCGCGATGCCTTAATCCTGGCCAAGGAGGCTTTCAGTGGCCCCGATATCCGTCTCACATCATTTTCCATCGCCTATTTCTTTCCAGAAACTGAATCGGAGTGGTGGACAACACTCGGGTCCCAAACATCCCTTAGAAATCTAACCATTGGTGACCCATGTGATGAACTGGAATATCATATATCATCTGGTCTAGAAGAGTCGCTATGCCAGTTGAAGAGTCTCGCATCCCTGAAAATAGACCGTTACTCCGTAGTTAACCCTCATTTACTACGACGTGTCGCCAGCGAATTACCCAATCTAGTCGAGTTAAGTTTCACGGACTATCCTGCTGCTGGGGAAGGCTCAGCGGCGGCTGCTTTGACCAGCTTTACCCAGCTAAGGTCCTTGTCTATCGAAAGCGACTGTGGGTTCACCGAGAAGGGTATTTATGACTTCATTACGAAGCTTGACCCTATAAAACACAAGGGGCTCAAGATTCATTTTAGCAGATTTGGTTGGTCGCAAATGTCAGGCACTTCACTTCGTCGAATAGGGCGCTATGTCGAAGAAACACTGGGCGGTAAATTCTATCCCCTTAATAACACCTACATTGGTGTAGAAGGGGATAAACTTGCTAATGACACCTCTGACCAGGTCTATGAGATGTTATGATAGACATGAGGTAATGAACTATCCATGAGATCTAGGTAATATACATAGGCATACCCCCAAATTCCTAGGTGGTGCTTGCTCTTACCATGGTGCTAAAGAAATAGGTACTTCATTATTCATACACATTCTCATTGAGGCTTCCGTGCAAGAGCAAACAAACTACGCATCATGAATGCTTTAGACTTTGTTCAGTTTACTTTTATTAAAATCCAATGTAGCTCACTCAAGGGCACCACCATCCATCCACCAAGCATCATCATCCTCCATGTCTACCTCTGGTACGACCTCGACCTCCTCATTCCATCCCAAGCCAGACCTCGCGACCCCGTACTGCGCGTCCGGATCGCCTAGCCATCCTGCAGTTACTGGGACGCCGGTCGTCATCGCGAGCATCTCAGCGGCCGTAGAACCCACACCCCCACCACTGCCACCACCGGCAGCGTTCTCCGCGGCGCCCGAAGCCTGGCCTTGTAGTTGCGCCACGTCCGCGATGAATAGGTCGAGTCCCCAGGTGTTGTTTACGTTGTTGTCGGGAAACGCCTGCATGTCAGCGTCTTCGGCGGCGATACTGGCGCTTTCTGGTTCCGGCGTCTGCTCCTCCTCCATCTCCATGAGCATGTCTTCGTCTATCCATATGTCCGCAGGAAGGTCGGCGGGCATGTTCATGTCCACGTCCATATCCATGCCCATGTCCATGTCGTTGTTCGTAGAAAAGGCGATGTTTACGGCGCCTTCGATCACCAATGCCATCTCTTGGTGTGCAGCAGCTGGCATCTCTACGTCTACGATTAGCGTAGGGAAAGGGAGGCTGTTGTGGCACTCCCAGCCGCAGGCATTTGGCGACGGCGCGTGGACGGTGTTGTGGTCCTGGCCGGGCTGGCACGCGGCGGGGTGGTTGTAGTTGAAGGCATCGGGCGAGAGCCCACTTGCTTCCATCGCGTTGACTCGCTCTAGCTCCAACTGAGCGGCTGGGCAGGTGTGTCTGGTGAAGATCGCGGAGTGTCGGCAGCGGTACGTTACTTCGATGTAGTGGCACATCTTGGCGGCGTTCTTGTTGGTTGTCTTGGGTGGTTGGGGAGTTAGTAGGTAGGCTTTATTTATATGTAAGTGTATGAAGGCGGATGAGGAGAAGGGGAAGGGGAAGTGGAAGGGAAGGAAATTGAAGGTAGGCATCTATCTATCTTACTTGGGGAGATGATTTGGACGCAAAATAGCTCGTGGTGACTCGTGCCGACCAAACCTTCGCAGTACTGTTTCTTTCGTTTCGAGGTTTGAGTGAGTTTATGTGTAGGCAATTTGCTTGTATCTTCAGGTTACGAAATGATATTCCTCCGTGATAAATGTGCCGAGTAATACACCTGGGCTTTGACAGTGCTCGCAGTAAAGTGCGAACGACGAAACTGGCTGTAAGATGTCACCGTAAACCGCTGCTGGGGTGTGTGGTATAAGAACAGTACCCAGGTAGGCATATATTGGTTGGCTGGCTCTTCAGGCTGCTATTATTAGTGCAGATGCCATCTGAATATGTAAGTAGTAGGATGTAAACAATTAAGAAGTAGGGTGGAAGTGTATATAGAACTTGGTGGCCAAGCAAGAAGCCAGGAAGTCGATAGACCCTCGTATGTCGAGGATTGAGTGATTTAATTCACCATGGCCTCCTGATTATTTGACTAGGCAAAGATATGAATGGCTAGTCGGATCAGATAATGGGATGATGGTAATTCACACGATTTTCGATTCTTCGTCCAGTCTTGAACAAACAATGAAGTCGCTGTATAAACGCTGCACCAGCAGGCAGGCACCTTCCATCGCACAGACGACATCGCAGATATCGGATGAAAGACATCACCATCACCATAAGCGACTGCCATGCCGATTAGCATAAACTCCTCTCATGTGACTGGGCTGGGATCGCAGCAACGTAGGCTACGCCATAATCTCATATATTTGACTTACTACAGGGAGATGGTAAGGCACTTCAGGCTCATAGGGGTGTCCACATTGCCAGGCATTGAGTTCAATATCTCCTGTCATTGCGAATACCGATACATGAGAAGTTACAGATGCTTTTACACCCATCTTAAGGTCTTGTGTGGGTATATATAATAACTGGCATCTGATACTAAAAGGCCATTGGTCAAGCACTACACACCTATATCCTCACCGGGATGATTGGGATCTCTTAATTATTCGAAAATGTGTATATACCTACACATATGATCAATATAGGTAGAACTTCGAAGGATCAAACGAATAACTTACTTACTTGCCTTACCCAATGACGTAGTACGGAAGGGCGAAGCATCTGACTGAATACTCTCGCATGAGGGAGAGGGATGAATCCTAGGCACCAACATTAGAAAGCCACCTAGTATGCTGTGAACACCTAGGTAGACACCTATCCAGCTTCTGTATATAGTAGTACTTTGTGCTAATATGATATACATCTATACGGGTCCTCCAAAGGGGTATCTATGAGTCTGTTCCCTATATCTGGTCTCCTAAGTAGCCAAGTAATAACCCTAAGTACCTAAGTACCTAACCATGCAGTGTGTGCTCGCTAGAAAAGAATGAAAGAGGCAATTTCGAAATACAAACATGGAATAGCAATCACAGCAGTTTAACTTGATGAGGTAGATCCTTATATGTTTACACCATTTCGTTGAGCTTCCATCTGCTCGTGGGCAGCCCAATGGTCCCCATCTCTGGTAGCCTCAAATTTGCTCTTTGAGGCCATCTTGTCGTTTAGTTCTTTCGTGATAGTATCCACATCAACGTTGAGATAGTCCCTCAGGTATTTTCCTACGTCGGTATTTTCCACGTTACCCCGGATGGCGTTTGTTCCAGGACCGCCAGTACTGTAGATGTTGACATCTACGGCCGAGTGGCCATGCGTGCTCCATCCGATCTGTGCACGAATGCTGATCATTCGGGCGAACAAATACTGGGCCTGGCCGGGGTTTGATGTCAAAACCGTGAGCTCTTCGTCGGAGGCATCGTGGATACCAAGGCCAGCAACTACCAGTTGCTCATTTATATACTTCTTAAGATGGCCGGTCGACTTATCAGTGGCACTAGCAACATGTCTTTGAAGGAGGCGGGCAAGATGTTCCGAAGAAGACGAGGCGTTGGCTAATACGGCAGGATACCATAAGTATTGTGGATAATTGGCGTTGACCTCTAGAATTGTAGTTAGCAAATATTCGAATTGGGTTCGAGCAGTGAAACTTACGTTTTGCCACTGATAGTCCACCAGTCTCATGGTCACTTGTAGCGACAAGAACTCCCGGAACGTCACTCTCTTCGAGGAAATCAACCACGGCTTTAAAAGCTTTGTCATATTCAAGAACTTCTCGAACTTGAGCAGCCGGGTCGTTCCCATGCCCAGCATGGTCAATCCGGCTCCCCTCAATCATTAGGAAGAAGCCTTTGTCGCTGCCCTCAGTCGCCTTCTCCAGAGCTCTCAGGGCCGTTTTGGCCATCTCGCTAAGACTTGGGTAGACGTCATTCATGTTGCGCCTGTCGAGTTCAAACGGGATATCCGTATCAGCAAAAAGCCCGAGCATGGGAAGAGGCACCTCTTTCTTGCCCTCCCAGAACACATCAAATCCTGCTCGGTCGTTAATATAATTCCAACCGTAATCCTTTTTGGCCATCTCTACGACATCGACGTTATCCGCTCGGCATCCTCCCTCGGTCCCATTTGGCAGGAAATGACATCTTCCACCACCAAACATCAAGTCTACCACGCGACCGAGTGGTCCATTTCCAACTTCTTGTACTGCAATATCATCGTTTTGTTGGCGCACATCGACATGACTAGCGAAGCAAGCAGGGGTGGCATCAGTAATGTCAGTCGTGACAACGAGACCGGTCTTGTATCCGGCTCTCTTGGCTGCCTCCAACACCGTCCCACAAGGCGTAGAGTCAGGCAGCATAGATATGGCTCCGTTATAACTTTTCATTCCACAGCTAAAAGCAGTCGCACCAGCGGCGCTGTCGGTTACGAGAGACGAACTACTCCGCGTCCGGCTCGTACCCCAAAAGTGCTTATCAAGTGTGAGAGTGTCGCCGTACTCAAGGTCGTCTGTGTATTGTCTGAAACTCCGGGTCAGAGACAGCGAGGCAGGGCCCATGCCATCAGACACCATGAATACGAGATTACGCTTGCCGGCAGGTTTATCGATGGAAGTCTGTTGTTGATGGGATACCCAAACGGCGAGGACTAATACACCGGCGGTAGCCAGGAGTGCCCAGGCGAACAACAGGGCTTCCCGTATACGAGTGTGCCATGGTCGACCGGAATGTGTAGCTGTAGATCGTCCGCGGAGTGCATTGTCGGAGTCGCTCAGCGATTCGGACTCGCGACGGTCATCGGCTAGAAGGGGTGTCGTATCACTAGCCTATATGATAGAAAATGCCGTAAGTTTAGCTAGTTCATAAAATTTACGTAGGTACTTGCTTACCATGTTGATTTGGAGTCATTTGACAAGAATACTTTGTGGTTAGAGAAATCGTAACTATGATGATTGCTGAATTGAAATGGATTTCGTAGGTTAGTATCTACCTAACCTAGGATATTTACTACTATGTATGTATGTATGCTAGTACCTAGGCAACTAGGTACATGTTGTAGGTTCAATGTTGTAAGTTTAAGTCCGTCCTGAACTTAGAATCTGAGACGCGCAGCTCAGCTCAGTGCTGCATGCAATACGAGCCCCACAACCTTAGTTCCCATGACGTTATCATATGAAGCAATTTGGCAGGGTTCAGGTTAGTTACATCGTTTCATCTTATCGGCAGTAGTCTCTAAGATTAAATGGTATAGTTGAATATTAAGGGATGAGCTCATTACATACATATCTAGGGTAGATACCTAGTTACTTAACCTTTGGTATAACTATGTATGTAATGAAGTTGCACAAAGCTTACAGTTACATAAATCACATAAATTACGTGGTTCCCAATTTCTCAGATCTTCTCATCAACAACATTGCGAAGGCCAAAAGCCATTCTCAGATATTATTTGTCTCCGCAGCATATGGTATACATGATTTCGGCATGCTGCTTAGCCACCTCCGAGTGAGAGAGCTGCGGGAACAACTTTTTATAGGCGTCAGCCAACATACCGAAACTGTTTGCAATGTACTTGTTGACCTGTCCATATACAATGACTTTCGGCGGGGGTATCTTATAGTCTTTTTGTGGCGGACGGGCCTCCATAACGTAACCAACCGTCTCGAGAGCTTTCAATGTCCCAGCCTACATGTATGTGTACCTAGATAGGTGAGTTTGTCATATATACCACGAGCCGGTGGATTTACGGGCTTCTTGGTGTCAAGCTATGGATTGAGAAGGGCGGCTAGTATAGCCGGAGACAGGAATGAGTTGTTAATCCTTGCACGTGTGCTCACACTACCTTAGCTGCTTGAATTGAAGTGTAATCTTGGTATATAAGTACCGATGTTCGAAGAGCCTCAACCTGGTGGCGGGGCACCAAGCTTGGCGTTGGCACATGTCTTAGGTATGTAGAAAGACAGCCCTCAGCGTTCTGTGGTAAAACTGGGCGCGGATTTGGCTGCTCCCCGTTGCGTTTCGTACATGTGACAACTCTCTTTTTCACTAGGCTAGTGCTTTATTATATTTCCGTTGGCACGCCTTCGACGACTGCAAACAACATGGACCCGTATCAAACCATCCAGTTGCTCTGAATCGCCGACCACACTCTTCATATGCATACCTAGGTATATATACATAATACAATGTTGCTCTATATCAGTTGTCAATAGCGTAAACAGATGCAGGAGGAATAATATGCAAGAAGATTGCTTTTAAGTAAATACGGCTGGGATATGAACCCTCGTGAGGTCTGATTTGATATATCAGCAACGAAGCCTATGTACCTAGGTAGGTACCTAGGTAAGCGGCAACATTGAAGCCTTAAACGTCGGTGAACTTGGGATCCAGAAATACTAACCCCTATTCTACGCCAATAATGGAAAATCTACTTCTATTGTTAATGGTTGCCTCGATTAGATGTCGGTCCAGAGATAGGGGTAATAGGCCCCACATAAGACTAGCACCTACATACTGTGTACCTAGGTAGCTATATGGTATTGAAGCTTTTGGATACAGTTACGCCTGCCTACCTAGTAACTATCTGGCTTTACGTGGGCAAATAGTCCTGTCCTATCTGAACTTCTGTTGTCTCAATGAAACATAGCAGCTTGACCGTAAGAGCTGACTGGACACTACGATGAGAATCGCTCATGGTTTTCACCACCCATAAAGATTAATGAATTTCTGCCTTGCTAAGAATTCCAGCTCAAACGTTTCTCTTAGATGATCACAAGGAATGACGAAGTAGTTATTGTTGACAGACGGACGTGGGCAAAGCTACGTGATCCGATTGAAAAGAAATCTTTGTAAGCTGTGTACAATGATGAAGCATAGTAAGTTCAGCCACGAAACAGATCGGCAGTCTTCAAGAAAGATCATTTAGAAATTAGGCTCTTTGTTTCTTGGGCGGATTAAGTAATGCCATGAAAGAGCTATTGTATTCTCATAGTTTCCCGAATACAATACGATTGTTCTTTTGTATCTGATTGTCCTCATGTTGTATATTAGGCTGAGCAGCACTGCGTTCATAGCCTTCCATTTTATCGTTCTCTACAACCCACAAACCCATCATATCTATACAAGTTGGTCCTATACTATTTTGATAACAGTCCGGTACTTTATCGAAATTACACTTTCAGCGAAACGAACCCCTACCATTCACCATGCAGACCATGAACTTATACTTGGCCACAGCCATTTTGGCAGCGACAGGCATCGCTAATGGCCATATGATCATGCAGAACCCCAAGCCCTTCGGAGGCCCCGACCTGGATAACAGCCCACTCACTTCGAGCAACTACCCTTGTAAACTCAAGGGCGATCCGGCCACCTTCTACAACACGCAAGGGCTCGACAACACAATGGCGGTTGGGGAGACTCAGACCTTGTCATTTAAGGGATCGGCTGTTCACGGCGGTGGGAGCTGTCAGCTTGCAATCACCAAAGACATGCAGCCCAGTGCCTCGACATCATGGGAAGTCATCCTGTCGATTGAGGGGGGTTGTCCTAGTAAGTCTGGCCAGGGCGCTGACACATATGACTTCAAGATCCCAGATGGTGTAGCGGCCGGGCAATATGTATTTGCGTGGACGTGGATTAGTAAACTCGCTGGCCAACCCGAGTACTACATGAACTGCGCGCCCATCACCGTGAATTCGAACTCGAAGCGCTCAGACTACGGCCTAAATGATACCATGCAGCTTGTATCTCGTCAAAGCCAGTTCCCGGAGCTCTTTGTGGCAAACCTGGCCGATATCAACTCGTGCAAGACATCGCCTGGCTCAGACCCTCAGTTCCCCGACCCAGGACCAAACGTCATGCGCCCGGGCGCGACCAACAAGTTCGCGCAGATACCGGACAATGGCTGCGTTCCAAAAGGGGCGAAGTCATCTGGAGGATCGAGCGGAGTCAACAACGCGAACGCCGGCCCAGGAAGCGCGGGCTCCGGATCTGGTGCAGCCTCGGGCAGCGCCGCCCCGACTAGTAGCGCGGCAGGGGGCAGCGCCGCGCCTTCAGGTTTCGTAACGAGTGTCTCGTCGGCTGCAAGCAGTAGCTCCAGCGCCCCCGCCCCCGCCCCCGCGGCCGCTCAGAGCTCTTCTGCTGCGCCTGTAGCCAGTTCAGCTAGCCCCGCGAGCTCCTCTAGTCCCATGGGCAGTGGCGCGCCTACTTCCGGCTCCACGGGAGGACTCACCGGAGCGTGTACGGCCGAAGGTATGTTCAACTGCATTGGAGGCACTTCTTACCAGCAGTGTGCTTCTGGCTCTTGGTCGGTGGTCATGCAGATGGCGCCCACGGTCAAGTGTGCCGAAGGACAGACGATGACGCTTTGGGGTCGCGATGAGACACCTTCGCGCCGGATCGGCCGCAGAAGCCAGTAAGTGTATATCTGTGGGTAGGTAGATAACTTGGTAGGTATCTAGGTAGGTGCATGGTTATATTCCGAAGTATATATCGTGCCTCTAGTAGGTAGGTGGTTGCATGAGCAAAGATTCATTGGTAGCCCCGGAGGGAAATGGAACGAATTCATCCCGATTTCTTTTTCCCCCCTGTCTTACTCAGTAGGTATGGAGTTGAGAAGAATGAAAGGCTAGATGATGAAGACTGTCGATTTGACCTTCAGGCATCTTTTCTTTAGCTTAATATATAAACTATACAGTACATAGAAAATAGATAGTGTATATAAATGAACATCAATGTTGATGGAATAGAATCAAGATTGATTTGGTAGAAAGAATACAAAGGCACATGAGATTAGTAAGATTCATAAGCTGGTTAAAAATAGGGGTTACCGACAGACCACATGCACGTAACCTACTACAGATACATAAACCCATGCTTCTGGTGAGACACATTGGATATTTTTTTAGCATCATCATCATTCAGTGTCTGCCATAATGAATATGTCAAGCCATTCTATTCCTATCTAGTTTCAATGTGAATACAATAGAGAATCATGCGCTGTTAGCATTTCTACTCTCTATTTCCTTAACAACTCGTTCGCTTAGTCCTGCTAACGTCGTTGTCCTGTTTAGCAAGTCCAAGAATGGCACGTCAACTTTGAAGGCCTGGTAGAACCAAGATCGAAACTCTGCACCTCTCATACTACCCATTCCATACGCGTCTAGGGGCTTGATGATATCCACCTTCTCGAACGGTATAAGCACAAGGTTGCCTAAACGCCTCGAGATATGTTCTTGCACTGTAAGATCTAAAGTACCTAGGTGTATAACCCCTATTTTATAGAACCTTGAAACGGTATCAAGTATTTTACCGTATATCGTTATATCTAGTATTACAACGCATGTTCCGTTTTCTTCCCCCAACGTCTTCAGGAGGTACCTGGGTACCTAGGGTAATCGTTGACTGAAATCCTTTGGGAGCCTCATTCGAGAACCCATGCCTCCCGGACGGGATATCTCTAAATACCGAGTTTTAGTACTAGTAAGCATGTCAGGGTATTTAGCATGGTAGGTAGGGCCAAGGATTCAGCTCTATCAATCGCGTTTTCTTGCTGGTTAGCCCACCTGCATGGTAATGGGAAACACCCTGGCGGGTAGGGTACTATAACTTTGATACATTATTGTCGGGCCGTAACTCCAGATAGTAATACCCAGGTACCGGTGTAACTACTGTATACCAGGTATTAGGAAGGAATCTAGAAAACATGGAATGCTACGGTACCAGTAAGATACCCCTCAGAGTACGTCACGTGACGGTATAAGCATGTAAGCCGATATTAAGACGACGTCGTGTCTATAACGAATAGGTAACTACATCCAATAGCTGTGTTATAGACTATATATCAACTTGGCTTCTGCGGTATAGAGGTACCTATCTACCTACTTAGACTATTCCAGGTCATAACCTATTAGAGTCAAGCCATATTACTTTCGTCCTCATACCTACTACCTTTGTCTTTGCGTTATCAAGACTGTCAGCATGAGTTTGGACATCAGTGGAATTGCAATAGTTACCGGGGCAGGTACGGAAGAGTGAAATCCTAGTCTCTAAGCCTTCAGTGTTCCTCTAACATGGTAGCTACTCGGCAACAGGAAGCGGCATTGGTAGAGACTGCGCTTTGGGACTTGCGGCGGCTGGTGCTCGAGCGGTTGTGTTCGCGGATATCAACCTGGAAGCGGCTAAGGACGCGGCTATGGCAAGCTCTGAATTCGCTACAAACCCTAACTACTCGGAACTGTCACTGGCGGTTGATGTAACTGACATATCAAGCGTTATTTACATGGTGGATACTTGCCTGGAACGTTATGGGAGGATTGACTACCTAGTCAACAGTGCTGGCCTCGGCGTAAGTATTGTTTTATTTCGCTTCCGTGCAGTCGGGAATCTTTGTGGGTGCAAAGCTTACTTACTTACCAACCTTGGAATTGGAACAGGTGAAAAAACCCGCCGAGGTTGCGGAGGCTGACTTACAGGAGTTCGACGACTTTTACAGAGTCAACGTCAAGGGTACGTTGCATTGCATACGCGAGGTGAGCCACGTGATGCGTGAGCAGACTCCCCTTGAAGCCGTCGGCCGAAACGGCCCAAGGATCGTGGGCCGTGGATCTATCGTGAACATTGCCAGCCTCAACAGCTTCTTGGCAAGTCCGGGCATCGTGCAGTACACCACGAGGTAAAAAGTCTCCGAAGATGCTACCTTGAATAATCCTAGGTATCATAAGCTGATCTTGGGGTTTATTACCCACCTATGCAGTAAGCACGCTATGCTAGGTCTAACGAGATCTGCAGGTGAGAGGAGCTAACCTGCACGACGGGTGCTTGATCTGATACTGTTCTGACTACTGACTACGGCGTTAGCTCTTGATAACGCTTCGTATGGGATCCGGGTCAATGCGGTGTGCCCTTCATGGGTCCAGACGCCCATGGTCGACGCCGCTCTAGAGGGGAATCCTCCTCTCAAAGATGCAATCCAACACATGATCCCGCTGGGAAGGATTGCGCAGGTAGAGGAAGTTTCGGATGTGGTTGTGTTTCTTGCAAGTCCCAAGTCAAGCTATGTGAACGGTGTCGGGTGGCCTATCGACGGGGGTTTGCTGTCAGGACGAGCCTTGTAGAAGCTGGAATATACATCTATCCTATTCTATGACCTGGAGAAAGAGACGGGGAGAGCCTAAGTCCGGTGACTGTCGATATTTGCCTACGTCAGGGAATATACCCTTCACATAAAACGTAGGGGCTTGCTACTAGATATCTATGAAGAAACCGCTATTGAACTTCTCTCAACATCAAGTTATCTGCCTACATACCTAGCCTATTTTACCATCTATCTATCGATATTTACATCGATACTTTTGTTACTGTACCCGTTTCGTTACCCATCGCCATGTCGTACCATGATAAAGAGTTCGGTCCTTAGACGCGCTGGCCCGCGGATGACCTACGTCCCATCACGAGGTTCATCATGACTCACCGATCCAATGGCAAAGCCGTCTTCGTCGATAAGGGCGATGACGGCGACCACCACAAGATCATGGCCAAGGGCAAGGGCTTCGCCAATATCATCTACAGCACTAAGGAGACTCCGGTCAACACCGCTGACGATGTCGACATCAAGTTTGCCAAGGCCAACGAGCCATTTCCCCCCTAAAACTTGTGTTTGCGTTTTTTTCTTCCCCCCTCTCCCCCTTTTTTTTCTTTCTTTCCGAGGTTACTATAAAACGTTCTAACATCTTCCACCATGTCGTTGTTTTCAGGCATCCACATCCCCAACGGCACCGTCGTCCGCATGATCGACTTCGCTCCCGGGGCAGAGAGCCCGATGCACCGGGCCATGTCTCTCGAGTACGGCGTCGTCATCGAGGGCGAGTTTGAGCTGACGCTCGACAGCGGCGAGAGCATCATCATGAAGCCGGGAGACATGTCCGTCAACCGCGCCGGCAACCACAAGTGGCGCAACGTCGACCAGAACAGGTCCGGACGCATGCTCTTCGTCCTGCTGGATATCGTGCCGCCTGTGGTTAATGGGCAGGCGCTCAAGCAGGACTTGGGCGGGCTCGTGGTCGAGTATGAGAATGCGAAATAAGGAGGCTGAACCTGAGTTCGTTGGTACTTAGGATTGGTTGAGGTACCTAGTTAGCTGGGAGTCTAGGCACTTCAAGATAGCCTTAGTCTACAAATCGGAGCTTCTTGCTACTACTGGCTTTTGAGCCAAGGTTTTTCTTAATGAGATGAGTCGTGCTAGGTGGAGAGCCCTTCTATGGAGAGTGATTTTTTGATACCCGACAGTCCCACTGAAAGAACTTGGTTCAAATATTGCCTTTATCTCAGCCTCGGTCTCTCGCTTATATTAATTATAGATAATCTGTAAGAAAATACGACGGGATACTAGTTAGGGTAGCGAGTATCATGTACTGCTTGGATTGATCGTATGTAGTGTATTCGCGTTGTAATCTCTAAGTGTTCCCTAGCCTATCTTGACTCTATTTCCGAGTTTCACGCTCCTTCGCGATTACCAGTCTAAGCCACCTCGGTAACTTTGGGATACATAACTGCGACTGTTAGGCGCTTCGCAGAACAAGGATATCTCGATCTGCATAATGCTACTTATTGTGGCCTTGAATGAGATGATATGTAAAGTGACAAACGCCATACTAATAAAGGAGGTAGGCAGGTGCTGGCAGGTGTTCGGAAAAACACTCTCCACCTAGCACAACTCTTTAATGTGACGAACATGTGGCTATCGAGTAGCAACCTTGGAACACTGGAAGTCTGGGAATGGAGTCGAACTAATATTGAAATAAACCAACCTAACCTAAGGTACTGGTATTTATTAAAATTATGGATGTTCTATAACTGGTTTTTCTAGTTGCTTCTTTTACGTGCTAGTTACTAGGTACCACCTGATAGGTGCCTAGTACCTACTGGTAACCAATTAACCACTACTCGGGATGTTCTACGGGACTCGACCTTGTCTTCTTCCAATCTATGAAGGATTTGCTTGATCTTCAAATCTCTTAGCACAAAGTCTTGTTTTTCCTACACTACTACGCCGTATGGTAGTCATCCGTCTTTTTGCTAGTAGCCAATCAATCTTGTCCAACTTTCCTAATGAGGTAGGTTACTCATATTTCTGTGGGGCTACCTCTGTGGAGTCGCTCGAGCTACCAGCAGTAGCAGCTTGGCCGGGAGTTTCGGTGGCATTTGCTAGAGACTCGGGGTCTTCGGCCGCGGGGGGGTTGGCCGTGGGTGAGCACGTGGTAGTCAATGAAGAACGCGACGATCAAAATGACCACGCTTACCGATGCGCACGCCGTGCCGAGGATGAATGCACCCCTGAGACCTTGCATGAACCCTTCGAGCACGGCGGGTATGTCTTCTGCAGAGAAAACGCGTCGGATCTCCGTGGCGCCGGTCGAGACTACCATTGTGGGGTCAATCTCTGGCCTCAGCCGTCGAATAGTGTTCATCAGCTGGTTGCCGAATATGTTTTGGCCTACCGGCACCCAGATGCCGCCCAACAGGTTCTGGATGAGGATCACGATGCTTCCAGCCATGGAAATGTCCTGAGGCGGGCTGATGCCTTGCACGACGACCACGGGGGCTTGGATCGTGAGGCCGTATCCTATGTCAGCAAGGAGCTGGTAGCCAATCCATTTGCCGGTAGAGGTGTCTACGTCACAAGAGCGTGGGCCGAGCGAGAACAGCATCTGCGGCGCCTGCGAAGGATCAACCACTTCCCCTTCTTCCTTTCCATCTGACTCATGATCATCATCCCTGACGAGCCAGCGCTCAGGGCGGAACTCGCCAAAGTCGACAAAATCCCAATCCTCCACAGCGTGGCCACCACCTCCTGCTTTCCAGGTCTCGCTGCGCAACCGTTCGCTGATGGGGAACGGGGGCGAGAAGAAGCCGGGCTCGTTGACGGCCATAAAGACGTTCGTGCCCTTGGAGATGGTGTAGCCCAGGAGGGGCGCGTCTTCAGTGGTGGTGCGGACGTGCGCGGACATGGTTAGCGCGGTGCGGAATATCTCCTCGGCCACGGCGTCCAGGTAAGGGAGGCGAAGAGCAACGATCTCAGTAATCGTGGGCGGCCTGCCCTCAGCTGCTGCCTGGGGTAGGGCTCGTCGCATCTCAGTGCGCAGGCGATGCTGTGCGCTCTGGTTATTGGAGAGGTGCTTCAGGCCCCAGAGGAGAGAGGACGAAGAGGTGTCGTGTCCGGCGATCAGAATACCAAACAACTAGAAACGATGTCGGTTAGAGTTATTCTGTCATCTCATTTCGCTGGAATCCGGGTTCTTTCTTACCTCGTCATACATCGATCTACTCTTATACGCCGGCGGCCGCTTCTCCTTCGCGGTCGTCTGAGTCTCGCGTCGCAGAATCTCGTCGATCAAGCACCTGCTATCCTCATCCGCCACCGACCCTTCGACAAAGCGCCGCGCTGCCTTCTCCAACTGCTCGGTGATCATGTCCTCCTTTAGAGCCTGCGCCTTCCTCATATGCGGCAGTTGTCTCAAGGCCCAGTGGTGCAACTTGGGTACTGGGGACTTGAGCGTCATCTCTAGACTGTTGGTGAGAGCGATCAGAGGATCTGCGAGGGCAGGCATCGGGCCTGGCGGGAACTCAACTGGGCTGTCGTTGTCGTCGGGGAAGCTATAGGGCCGTGGGAGGAGAGATGCTGCATATGCGCCAAAAGCACATCTGCAGATTCATCGAGGCTGAAGGTGGACGCCATGATCGCATCCAGCATCATGTTGGTTATATCATCGGCCATCCAGAACGCACGGCCATGAGCAAGCTTGGACTTGAGTTTCCAGAGCTTAATCATCTGCATCGTCTTGTTGTGCAGCTGTGGAGCCATCACCTATTCCATCGGAATTAGTTGGAAAACTGGGAAATGGCTACGTGTGGTGAGTTCTCACTTCATTCAGCGTTCAGCGTGCTTGGAACCATGATTCCATGTAGCAGCTTTCTGTTTGCCGCGAACCTTGGATCCGTAGACTTCATCGTGATTTGCCCCTATTGTATTCATATCGCTGATGCTGTGTACCTAGGGCTATCGCATGGATTTATCGCAAAGTGGTAGATCTATTATATATCGTATATCTTATGATAGGCTTAGATACCCATTATGTCGTTGAAAGATTGCGAGTTTCTATCCATTTGAATATAGGGGTTGAAAGGGGGAAAGGCAAAAAAAGGGGCGTATAAGTGGGGCCATCCTCCGAGCGCGGCCATGCCCTCAATCCGGCCAAGCGTACGTACCCACAGCCGCAGCTGTGAATGGCGAATGATTCCTTTGAAAAAGTTGAAGAAAAAACCTCAATTTTTTTCTTTCTCAATACACCAAATTATAAAGGGTCATTCTTTCAAATGGCGACACACTCGTCTGCCCCGGCATATGTACTCGGCCTGGCCTGTTTCAGCCGAGGCTTGATGGCCATATTCTCACCACGCGATGAATACGGCCGTGTCGGCCTGCCGCTTGAGCCTCACTATATAGCTATTGCTGCTCCTCCCTCTCCTTCCTCCTCCTCCTCTTCATCGTCATCATCTTCTTCTTCAGAGAGTCAGCTCCATGGCTATGTCGAAGAGTCCGGCGTATCACCGCTTATGTATTTCAAAGGAATACGTGAAGTCAGCTACGGCCTGGTGCTGATGGCACTGCAGCGGCAAGGCCACGATGACGCCGTCACGACGGTTGCAGCAGTCTTGTCACTCGCAAGGCTTGGGGACGGATTAGTCGTCTGGATGAGAGGAGGGAACCAGCTCAAATGGAAGGCGTCCGGCCATTGGATTACGGGAGTCGGGCTTTTAGGGTGGGTGGTTTGGAGATGGAGAATTTAAGGAGACTTTGAACCGCTAGGGATGGTATAGAATAATAGCATTCTTCCTACTTAGGTAACAATCAAGCCGACAACCCATGATAGTTTCACCAAAGAATCAGTCTACCTAGTGTCCATACTTTCTCGCTATATTTCGATTTCTTACTTGGTTACCACCGTACACCTCCTACATTCTTCAGCGCCACATTTGGCGCAATGAGTGTTATTTTCAACGAGCATCGGTCCATCACCACATTCACACTGTGGGTATTTAGTACACACGGAGAATAGGGGTTGAAGGTTAAGCACAAGAATACATACACAACACCAATAAGGTTTGGTTGTAGGTGAGCTTTTTCCAACCGTTGCGCAGGGGAGTGTCGTCGAAATTTTATCCATCGCTGCGGTAATTGTAGAGACCTCTACTATAGATAGTAGACTATATTTGGTGCTCCTTGTTATGTCTTCGTCCATAAGTTCGCATGATAGAAAAGCATTAACCTGGTTATATCTTCAAGTGATGCTCGACGTAAGAAATTGGCATAAGACTTGTCGTGGAAGTGCGGTGGTAACACGGAAGTATTCCATGTATGGGGTTTGATGGATCAAGAAATGGCACTCAATGTGAACGACTCAGCGTAAAGGGGAGGGAAATTTCCTTCCCTCGCTGTTCTAGTCGATGATTAGGGGAATGACCGCCTTAAACTACCTAGTAGACCAACATTGAACCTCCAAATAAGGAATCATGTTACATTTATATGATATCTGTTATTCACAGATATTAGACTAATAGGTATATATTTAGGAATAGTTTACCAAACGCTGAACGCCAACACTTTGAATCTTGCGAATTCAGGGGCTACATAGTTACTACTGGACTTTCAATGCTGCTTAGTCATCAAACAGTAGTAAGTACCTAGGTACCTAAGCTAAGCTAATAGGCTATGATTTGTTACATACCTAGGTTAGGTACATACCTAGGGTACTACCTACTAGGTACCTAGTAACTAAGTTGGAATGGGGGGTCCCAGGCCCTCCTGGTCTTCTGGCCCCCTGTCTATTAATGGATCTAGTCTAGCCGCCTTTAAGATAGCGCGGTACATTGGAAAGAAAGAGATAAATTTCTACAATCTAATTGGTTAAAAAAGCTCCAACTGCCATTCTGAGCATAGCTCCTCAAATCCAGCCAATTGAACCATCCCACTGTTCCCCCTTAGGGTTAGCCTTTTTCTGATTTCGGTCCTAGTGCAAATCATATGCTTAATTCGGACAAACGTCTCATTTAGATCCGGATAAACCTTGGCTCGCTTAAGAGGCTTAAGCCTTTCCACTAGCCGTTTTAGGCTAATACATCTAGCTTTAAATAGCCAATCGGATCGGGAGTTGATCCACTGCTTTACCTACTTTTTCGAAAAGTAGCTTTCTGATTGGATTGTTAGCTTCAATCGGAAAAACCATTTAAGCCGCTTCAAGTATGTCACGTGACTTACGAGGGGTTTGAGTCCAATCAAAAGGCTCGATTTGGATTAGCTGAAGCAGCCGTTGATTTGTCCTTGTATGGTGCTTCGTATGTAGCTGGTGTTACAAGGTATTTTTACAAAAATTAAATAATATGATTGGTCAGCTGATGAGGTGATGAGATTTGATTGGCTGAATAAAAAAGAAAAAACAATTAAAAATGTAATGGTGGAAGTACATGAATATATAAATTAAAAAGCGGAACCTCTGTTAAACCGCGCACTTTTATTGGCTTTTAAAAGACGCTACTTTACAGGGGGCCAGAAGACCAGGAGGGCCTGGGACCCCCCATTCCAACTTAGTTACCTACCTAAGAGCAGTTTAAACTTCTGAACTTGCAACTTGAATCTAAAAAAAGAAACAAAAGACTTTTATATCCTTTTTATAGTCTTTTACATAATACCTACTTGACTACCCTCTATGTGCCTAGGTATACTACTATAACCTAAGTAACATGGAGGTTTCCAACAACAAGTTCGAAATCCGCCCTTACGTCGCCGTGTTCCTGATAACAGAGCGGTGTTTGTTTCGACGCTGCTGCAATGTCCACTCGAAGCCAAGATGTTCATAGGTTGGTTCAGATTAGATAGCACTAAAAATGACGCGTCATGCAACAAGGTCAGGTACACGAATGGGGCCACCACACTGATGGTCACAATGAAGCGGTGTCGTTGATTTAAAAAAAAATTGGGTTTTTATCTTCAATCTTGGGGTGCTATTCAATGTGTTACTGTTACTTAATGGTAGACGGTCGTTATATACAGCTAGTTTATGAAGATGACGCCAATCATCATGAAGTTGTCAGCGCTGATGCTGCTGCTTGTTACCGGAGGAGCCGCCTCTCCCACCAGCAGCAGCAGCTTTGGACCCGATCCCGAGAGCGCTCGCAAGAATGGTCCTCAGATATTCAACGCCGTGCACAACGCGATGCGCGAGTTCGGGTCAGCGTTGCACCACAACGGGATGTCGCTATTTCCCGGAACCATCTCCGAGGGAGTCCTGTTGTACCACGGATCCCCCACCACGGAAGTGCCCGAGACGTTTGAATGGCTTGCGTTCGAGATAGACCACGCAGAGACGTTTGCTCGCGGCCCATTCGGGCTCCCTAAGACCACTCGTCTAGAACACTATACCGAACCCCCCCCGCCCAAGGGGGGTCGGCCGCCTAAGCCTCCCCCCTTCGAGCGGAGGCCAGGGCCAGGTTACCTGCACGTCTATCAGGCGACGCGGCCGCTAAACATACTATACATTGACGGGACGGCCGCCGGAAAGACGGACATGGGCACGCTCGACACCCAGGACATCCTACTGGCCGGCAACCGAAGCACGGTTCCGTTCGCCGAGTGGGACAGGGCTCGAGATCTGTGCTCCCTGGCCGCGGAGTGGAACATCGACGGCCTGGTGCGCATGGAGCCCGGCTTCGAGGTGATACACTGCGATTTCACAGATGGCCTACGACTGCTGTACGTCAACCAAGAGCCGGCGATGGATGCGCCGGGCGCCCCCGACAACGGCTGGATCAATGTCTTCGAGTGGATGAGGGCCGCCGCGTCGCGGTACTACGGCATCGGCTCGTCGCGCGTCGTGCTCGACTACTCCGCCATGGTCTCCGCCTTCTTCTACCCGCTGAACCTGACGAACCCGAACCCGAAACGGCCGGAGTTGCCCAGATTGCTAGGAACGAGCGATGCTGAGATGCATGCTGTGAAAAAGCACGTTTCTGCTGCCGTGGCCCGATCCCTGTCGCAAAAGCAGACGCCCGTAGACTGGCAAGGTGTCACAGACATGATCGTCACGCGGTATGCGCGCCGTTTACTCTTCATCGCGGAGACGGATTCGCTGGACATCGTGAGAAGCGAAGTCAACAACCTGTTAACCGTCCACATTGATTTCTCTGGTAACAAAACCGACGAGGGGTTTACATTCGCACGGCAGCGCTGCACAGACTTCTATCTACAGCCAGTGCAGGTGCGCACGCCGGAAGACGAGCTGATCTACGCCGCCATCGAGAACACGACCGCCACAATTTGCAAAGCGCTATTCGACACGCGTCAGCTTCTCGTCGAGGGCCACGTAGCAGACGAGGCGACTGCTCTCAGCGCTACGAAGCAGCTCTTCGGCTCGCTGATGGAAACCCTGCGGTGGGCCGAGTGGAAAGACTGCGGGCCGTGCCGATCGGACGAGGTGTGCTTCATCGCGATGTGGCCGTTCGGCAACGTCGAGGACCACGACAACCCGAGCTGCTTGAATTACTCCATTGTTCGCGACCGCAACAACTATTGGAACATCCCGGGCCAGTGGCCGGGGCCGATGCCGAATTGCACGATGGAACACTCGTGTGAAAAACGTGAAGACCTGCTGCGGAATGAAGAGCTGTGAAGAAGTAGGAGCTTGTGGAATGCGCATATAAACGATGGTGACCATTGCTTTCGATATCCCTATAGAGCTCTTTTTTTTGTTATATACCTATATAGGCATACTACGTGCGCGCTGGCGAATCTCTGGTCTTACTTGATGAGATACATACACGACCTTAGAATATGAATTGTTTTATACCTTCAGCTTGCTAATTTGATGTTGTTCGTGTTGTTTCTCCTCGACTTCTTGCGGTCTTTTATTGTCCCTATCTTCATGTCTATCCTTAATACGCGTAGGTATTCGTAATTGGGTAGTAGTCAAAGTTGGCTTTCGGTGTTTTAATGCCGATCAAGGTATTCAACCGTATGTTTCAATGCTATCTTCCCCATCCCCTTAAAGTTGCCTAGGTAGGAAATGTATGCATACCAGGTAGGTATGCATCATGGATCATGGGCCTTCTCATGGACCTACCTAGGTAGGTTAAGCAGGTATTCAGCTCAGCTCAGCCATCTGTTATCTCTTTTTTAGGGATGCAACCTCGAAATCGCCTAGCTTTGTGTCTCTAGCCAAGCCAAGCCTGCCGCTGGTGTGATATCAGCTCTCAAATCCGCAGCCCCAACGATAATCCTAGCTATCTATCCTCGGTACCTGCCTACATACAAATTACATAACTACCTAGGCAGATAGATCAACATCATGGCGATGTTCGTATATTCGCACCAGCGGGGGATATAAGACAAGTGCTTCGACCGGAACCCTGGGGCAACATAGGGTATTGAATACCTAAGTATATTCATTCGAATTACCTGAGCACGAGGTTGGTCTCATATCACTATGGTGCTCATAAGGTCACCGTCGTTCGCTGTGTGGTACACTGTCGTCGCGGCTCTTGGGTGTTCTGCTCGTATAATTCCGCGCCAGAATAACGGGACCCAATGCCGTCAAACGAAAGTCGCTATCCTCGGAGCCGGGGTGGCGGGTATCACTGCCGCTCAAGCGTTGTCGAACGCGTCGGTCTCAGATTTCCTAATTATAGAGCGAAATGACTATATCGGCGGTCGCGGTATGACAAAATTCCGTTGTTATTTGTTGGCGCATGGAATCAAGAAGTCCATGTGCATTCATTTACATACCTAACTTATAATCGGAATGATGAGTTTAGCTGATTTTCACTGTAGTCGCCCACACCGAATTCGGAGAGAAGCCTGATGGGACGCCTTACATAGTCGAGTTCGGCGCGAACTGGGTTCAAGGACTGGGCTCAGAAGGGGGGCCAGAGAATCCCATATGGACGTTGGCAAAGAAGTATGGGATAGACAACACGTACTCGAACTACAGTGCTATACTCACGTATGACAAAACCGGCGCGACAGATTTTACCGATCTGCTTGATGAGTATAACGATGCTTACACGACGGCGGAGCAGGATGCCGGGTACATATTGACAGACAACCTGCAGGACACAAGTATGCGGGCGGGGCTCAGTGTCGCCGGTTGGAAACCCAAGAAGGACATGAAGGCTCAGGCAGTCGAATGGTGGAACTGGGATTGGGAGACAGCGTGGCCGCCCGAGCAATCCGGATTCTTGTTCGGTATTACTGGGTATAATCTCTCGTTTTACCAGTTCAGCGATGAGAATAATTTTGTGTGGGATCAGCGAGGTTTCAACACGTTTGTTATTGGCGAAGCATATGAATTCCTCAAGGAGAACGACACCCGACTCTTGCTGAAAACTGTCGTGGAAAAGGTCACGTACAGCCCTGACGGTGTGGTTGTTCACCTTGATGATGGCGGTTGCGTCGAGGCTCAACGTTAGTTCGCGTTCCTTTCGTTCCCCCTATTTTGAAAATCCCCATCACATGATCGATTTACTTTCACATTGGTGGTTATTGCCTCCTCCACGGCCACAGCTGCTAACTTAGCGGGCCTTAGATGCCGTCTCAACCTTTTCCCTTGGTGTGCTCCAGAATGACGTGGTCGATTTCGAACCACCGCTGCCGCGATGGAAACGTGAGGCCATCGAGCAGTTCCAGATGGGGACGTACACCAAGATATTCCTCCAATTCAACGAGACGTTCTGGGACCGAGATGCCCAGTTCTTCTTGTACGCCGATAACATCACTCGCGGTTATTTCCCAGTCTGGCAGTCACTTTCAGCCAATGGCTTTATCCCAGAGTCTAACATCATCTTCGTAACTGTGGTTGACGACCAGTCGTACCAGGTTGAGCAGCAATCAGACGAAGAAACCCAGGCGCAAGTGATGGCGGTGTTGAGATCTATGTTCCCTGATATCGACATCCCAGACCCAATCCATTTTATGTATCCCCGATGGAGCCTGGAGGAGTGAGTAACGCGAACCTAGCCCTCACTTTCTAAAATTTCCGGCAAAATGAGCTTACAACTGACCAATCTACTCCCTGCGCAGATGGGCCTATGGCTCGTACAGCAACTGGCCAATCGGCATGACGCTCGAGAAGCACCAGAACCTGCGCGCCAACGTAGACCGACTCTGGTTTGCCGGCGAGGCTACCTCGGCGCAATATTACGGATTCCTGCACGGGGCTTGGTTCGAAGGACGTGATGTAGGGATGCGCATTGCAGGTTTGCTCGGCCAGGGTGGAAATTATGAGTGCGATGGTAATTCGACCTTGGGCTGCGGGTTGATGAACAATTATGAGCCTCTCCTGGGGACAACGTCCTTGAACGAGTATGATGTGAACAACGGGTGGTCGGCAAGTAGCTTTTCCACTTGGGGCTATGAAGAATGAGATTGAACTCGTGAATGCGCGTTTGCATCCCGTTCTCTATACTATTTCCAACCGCCCAGGTACCCATTTTGATTAGTGTACATAGCTTACTTTGATGTTTTCTTCAGTCGTCAATGACCTCTGTGCTGCTTAGTGGACGATTATCGTGTCTCTTCCCAAATTCGGTCCAAGGCCTCCTGTCTTACCTCCCAGGCCCAATGGTGGCAAGTCTGGTGAACGACAGGACTCACATCTCCTGCACTTTCTTCGTCTGCGTCGTCGCCTTCATCAATCACGCTCCGTATCCCCTTCTGCACATACTTTTTGAGCAGAGTCCTGCGCCACCGTCCCGTCTCCCCGACACATTTTCTCCATCTACTGATTTGGCGGTCATCATCTGCGCAACGCCGACCCAGCCAGAATCGGCAGTACCACTGGAACCAGCCGCGCACGTCATACTCATGCGCAATCCATCCCGCAGCCTCCCATTCCTCGATGCTCTGGCCGCACGCTACACCGTATTTGTTGACTTCTGGATCGTATGCTTTACTCGTGAGATACCTCTGCACGTCAAGGCCGGCGGTCCATGACGAAGGAAGTTCTGTCCAGTCTTCAGAGATGGTGGTGCGAAGATGTTGCGAGTATAATGGGCGCCAATAAGTGCCGCCAAAGGAGCCTTGGCGAATTATGTCCTCGGGAGACTTGTTAGGGGTAAATGAAGGGTGCGAATCAAAGTGGTAATCTCCTTGTAGGTCGCGGGCGGGAGGGCCCGCGACAGGAGTCCACAAGGACCAATTGGCGATCAACGCCTTAGCGTCTTGGTTCGGCGATGACTGAGGACGGGAGGACCCAGGAGCTGATGCTTGGCTTTTACGAGGCAGACGTTTTAACCTTTTCGACGGATTTGGCTCATCCTGGGTATTGTCGATATATACAGGATTTACTAACGCGTTTGCGATTCGTGCTGATGTCCTGGTGGGTTTACTGGCCTCTGGTTTGCGACGCTTCACTGCAGACGGCTTTGAACCCTTTTCTTCTTTTATATCATTTTGAAGCCCAATGTCTTTCACCAAGGCCTCGTTACGCTTGATATTCTCGAGCCGGCGAGCTTCATATTCTGACATGTTTGATGTTGGCCACCTACCTGCTAAGGTACCTGGAAGTATTCAAGTAACCTAACCGATATGTAGGTTACATATATATGTAGGTTACATATATATGTAGGTTAGAAGAAATGATGAAGCGTCTGTGAACGTCAACTACGTCATATATCCCAAGCCACTAACCTTAGTTTATCTCACTACCTTAAATCTATGTACATGTATGTCATTGATGCCGGCTCTAAATTCTAGTACGTAGTACGTAGTATGTACTATGTAGTATGTACTTCCAACTTTTGAAGATTCAAGTATCAAGGTTCCAGACCACTTTGTGCATAGAATTGCGAAAAAGATGCGGACCCAATGGATAGGTAACTCATGCTAGCCCCGATTTCATTACGCTAAATCGGCTTAGCCTACTAAATACTCCACATCAACAGCGCTATGAACGTCAGTTTTCAATCTCAACCTCTTTCCTCTTAAAATTCATACAGAGCAAAAATGAGAAGGAAAAAAAAGATAACAATCTAGACCAACCCAATTCACTTCCCCGTTGGAGATAGTGACGGTTTTAGCCAAATAGAAAAAGAGAAAGAGAAAGAGAAAAAAAAAACTTGAAAAATTATTCAATAACGAAGAGGACACTATCAACGCGTTTTGTCATGGAACATCGCATCCAAAGAGAAAATCAACTCAAGCACTAGGTTATCGAACACGCCTTACGTAACCGTCCAATTCATCAAGAACAACCACAAGGAAGCAGATCCTTTCCTTTCTAATCGTCAATCATGTCGCGAAAGTCTTCCGACAGCACGGTGACAGAGAAATTCCCTGAGATACCTGATATCAGCCTCACAGCGCCATCGCCAATGCCTGATACTACTACCACGGCAAGCGCGCCTGCTGCTGTTCCTTCACGAATTCCTTCTCGACATGGATCACGACATGGATCTCGTGTACATTATGCCTCGAACATAGATACCACCAGCCCAACACAAGCGCCCTACAACTCCATGTCCCCCAACACCGGGTTCCGACGCCGAATGAGTCGATCCAATACATTCAGGACAGTGGAAGAATTTGAGGACTTCGAAAGTCAGCCAGGTTGGCGGCCAGGTGCCGAACCTGGTATTGACCCTTCGAAGCCTGATGGTGGACAAGAAACCGTGCCAGACCTCCATGCCGAATGTCAGATTACCGTTGTCGACTACTCCCAAGATCAGTTGGAGGTCCATGAGCTAGACAATGCCGAACTCATCGAATTTGTCAAGCAGCCACAGCCAAGCTGGGTGAAGTGTCGGTGGATTAATGTCAATGGCCTATCATGGGATGTCATACAAGCACTAGGTCAATATAAAGACCTCCACAGGCTGGCAATCGAGGATATCATGAATACGAGGAATCGAACCAAAGCAGAATGGTAAGCACTTGTTACTTCCAGCTCATAATGGCGCATTATCTAACACATACTCTATAGGTATGCCAACCACGCATTCATCATCCTCACTTGCCAGAAATTGGTCCGCTTGATCGAAGACGATAGCAGCGACGACGAAAGCTCAGATGATGAGTATGAGGAGCCAAGCAGTAAAGGCAACTCTGTGACCAAAACTTTCAAAAAATGGTTCACTAAGAAGAAGGTGGAACATCCTACAGCAGCTTCGGTACTTGAGAGCGGTGCGAGGGTGCCTCCGGCGACTGGCCACAGCTTCACGCATCAGCCTACGGGGTTCTCTGATGTTTTTAACCCCAACACGCTATGTACGCTACAAAGATATCATGCTTCACCCAACACGGCTCGAACAGAGTATATGGAGAAGCATTCGGCGATGGTATCTAGGGGCGTGGCAGTTATGGCCGAGCAAGTTGCTATGTTCATCACCTCGGATAACACAGTCATCGCCTTCTTTGAACAGTCAGCCGACGACGTGGAAAAGCCAATCCTCTCTCGCCTGGCGAGTCCAACCACAATCTTGCGACAGTCTTGCGACGCTTCCATGGTGGCCCAAGCTATCATCGACGCGATCATCGATATGGCCATACCTGTTACGGCGTGCTATTCCGATGTTGTAGGTGATCTAGAACTTGACGTTCTTACTCATCCGTCGATTAAGCATACCAAGGCCCTGTACATCATTGTGTCCGAAGTCAATAAGATGTTCAGTCTTGTCAATCCCATACAAACGCTCATCAACGCGTTGCGCGACCACAAGACGAAACTGACCGCGGAAGATGTTACCAGAGAGTTACAGAATCCACTGGGGGGTGTTATTATCACTGGAATGACATACACCTACCTAGGCGATGTGGTAAGTAGGATATGGTAGAGGTGGTCCTATCCCGTGTTTTTGACTAACTCACTTTTCTCTACCTAGTACGATCACTGTATTCTCATTACAGAAAATCTTACCCAGATCAAAGAATCGGCTAACCATATGATCGACCTGATCTTCAACACCATTGCCACATCCCAGAACGAGAGCATGAAACAGCTCACTATTGTAACAATCATCTTTCTGCCCATGACCTTCTTGACTGGTTACTTTGGGCAGAATTTCGAACATTTCAGCGCCCTCGAACTTGGTGTATCGTACTTGTAAGTAATAACATGCTTTCAGTTACCCTCAGCCCTAGTTTCTGTGGGAAATATCATATACTGATTCCAATATAGTTGGTATATCGCAGTTCCTGTTGCAATAGCGACGTTCTTGATCGTGATGCGAGAGATGATATATGAATGGATGGTTAGATTCTTCCAACGTAGACATATCCTCGGCGTTAGAAAGCGACGGAAGGAAGGGGTCGAGCGGGCCAAGCGAAACAGAAGGCCACAACCGCCGCGGAAATTCTTGTGAATTTTCAGGAGGAAAATTTTGTCGAATTGGTCGTACTCGGGGGGTTTTTTTTTTTTGCATAAATGATACCTACCTACCTAGACAGGCGCTTTTGTATATAGTAGAGGCCATTGCTTGTTGGCCGGACCAGATTTTGCATATAAACAAATGATACCCCTGTGGAAATACGGTAATGTGAAGAGGAACGCTTTTTGTGGAAGCGAAAGGAGATGTTGGCTCTGACGACTTTTTGGCGACCTCGGGAGGATCCATGTGTGACGTGAAACCCCTGAATGCGACAGTTGGTAAACTCCCCAAAGCCTAGGTACCTATCATCTCATAGGTTAGTTTTTATCTCCTCCATGGCCATGCCTCTGTGGTGGGATGGCTTCGCCAACTTCATTGCTATGGTGCGTATATCACTTCTTTCACTCTTACTCTGAGAATCTCACCAACACCCAAGTTCGGCGTAGATTTTGTGTATTACCTTCACGGCCTACTCAATATCAATTCTATTTGAAAGAGACCGATATCAAGGCATGAACAGAGAGCACAAAGGAGTCAGCCAACTTAACTTAGGGTTATCGTCACTAATTTTCTAGGTTGGGCCCATAGTATTGGAATTGAGGCTAGAGTCGGGTTAGGGTTAGTTAGTTAGGGCCCATCACCTACCTACGCTAAAAGGGAGGGAGGAAAAAAAAGAAACCAAAAAAAACCAAAAAAAGAATTTTCAAGTTGCCTTTTTCATTTCTGAGAAAGAAGCATTAGGAATTGAGCCCAATGCGGGGGTCGAACCCGCAACCTTGAGATTAAGAGTCTCACGCTCTACCGATTGAGCTAACCAGGCGGATTAACTGAACTAGTTGGAGTTGGTTGAAAGAGTACAGTGTTATTGCCCTCTATCTATCGCGTCTAATCCATGGATATCCACTACCTATCTACCTAGTATCTAGCATAAGTTATTCTTAGCGTGGCAAACGCAGAGAAGAGATTTTTCATAAAGTCTAGGTTGTCCTCAAGATATGTGGTCATCCGGAGATATGATGCTGGTTGCCGTTCTATCCACCCGAGCTTACTAGCCTACAGAGTCGTGATACCTCCCCAATAAAGGGGGATGAACTATAGTGTCTGGATGTCTGTCTGCCTTGACACGGAAGAGAGATAAGGGGTTTATTAAAACACTTCAGGTCACCATGACCAACCTACTAACCAGGTACCTCTAGGTAACTGCTTCGAATAAGATTCTTCATGTATCATATGTGTATTACATCTCGGCTCCCAACTTGGTCCGCGAGGAACAAATGTACAAGCTCTTTCTTCCCTTCGCAATATCGAAACACATCTACTACTACACACCCCGAAGTCAGCCAGTTCATCAGTTTGAACCAGCCAACCCCCTTCTCTCTCTCCCTCCTTCCCGCGTTTAGATCCATCCCATCGTACCTAATACCTAGTTTTATCGTGCAACCTAGGTAGAGCCTTTTGTCGACTCACTTCAGCTGCGCCACCCAAGCGTCGAACTGCTCGGACTTCGCGGCGGCCAGGTCGAGGGTGAAGATGCCGTGCTCGGAGTGGATGCCGATGGGCGACGCGGGGTCCGTGACGTCGATGGGCGGCGCCGCGGACGCCGCGAACGCGAAGCTGGCGGCCGTCGCGCCGGGGTCGAGGGCCTCCTTCGCGCCGCCGTTGTGCGTCCACGTGCTGCACCCCTTGCACAGCGTCGTCAGCGTCCAGTGCGTCGCGTTCGTGCCGGATCCTTTGAGCACGGTGTGCTCCGCGGACTCGTAGACCTCGGGCTGGACGTGGGCGCTGGGAATGAGGCAAGCAGGTTAGTATTTAAGCTAGCTACCTAGGTTGTGTAGGTATGGTCCCGCAGTCTGGGGAGAGAGAGAGAGAGAGAAAGAGGGAAAGCTCCAAACTCACCTCGCGAAGCGCGCCCCCGGCACCGTGCTGTTCCCGTTCGCCCAGCCGAGCGAGATGGGGTTATACAGCATGCCGCCGCCCCAGGCGATGCCGGCCCAGCCGACGGATTTCGGCGCGACGATCTGGAGCAGGATGTCGAAGGGGCCCTCGGCGACGCTGGGGATCGCGATGCGCCAGGTGATTGGCGCCACGCCGACCGAGATCTCGGAGTAGCAGACGCCGGTGGGCCCGTCGCAGTACTTCGCGGACGCGGCGACCGGGGCCGCGAGACTAGGAACAGCGAAGAGGACGGCTACGGCTGTAGCGAGGCGAGCGAGATGACCCATTGCGCATATATATATATATATACCTTGAAATGATGAACGTGATAGATCTGTGTATGAGCTCCTGTATATGCCTATCTACCTGACCTAGGTATCTAAGAGAAGCCTAACTAGTAGCCAGCTAGACTGGGCTAAGCGAGGCCTATATACATGAAAGGGCGTCTGGGATAGCATATATCCGGGAGATCAGCCTAGAACTAAACCTGGAGGCCTGGGTGACGTATCCGGGGCTGTGAATATTAAATGGTACTTGCACGGCATAGAAGCCTCCGTCACTGGAACTTTTGGCATCTGAAGATGACGTCCGGTATGCTACATAAACCCCTTAGAACCTCATTTGGTAGAGTACTCCAAATATATATCTAAAGAGTTTATCTAAATATGTTGGTACCGATCAATAGGCTAGAAATCAATATTTCCAGAGTATTTGGCATAAACAAGTTTGTCTACCTAACTTTTAAGCGCGATGTTGACGATCTCTGTTTATGATCCTATGATAACCCCAATTCAATCTAGGTCTCTATGAATAGTTGCTTCAATAATCCCTTCTACCCACGTGAGCTCTTGTCTATCTGAAGGGATGTGCAACTCTTCTAGCTTGTTGCTATTGTCGTCATTGAGACTAACTAACTGCACGGCGATATCTGGGAGCTTAACCAAAGTCGTGCGTCGTTCACAACGTTTACTTATATCTCTACAGCCCCAGTTTCGAGAATCGAACCCTCGAGATATACTCCAACTATCTATTTTCTAGGAATTTCTTTTTTTAGACGCCTCTCCTCCGGCAGCCGAAGAAGCGAAGAAGCGGACCTATATAGGTCGGTAGTTGCATAGTAGGTAAGCATTATATCCTCACCACATCATAGGTAGCATTGACGCCCCCATCCCCCAAAATCCTGCGCTCATTAGCCGCCAGACGCCGTTTCCCCTTTCCTCTGTGCTCTCTCTCCAATTTCAGAACAAGCAAGCATTCGGCAGTTGTCGTTTGAGACAATCTGCGGAGCAGCAAAGCGCGAGCGAACCACGCTTTTGGTAATGGAAAGGGGGTAAAATACCCGATTGCTGATTGGCCCCCTTACCCCTATCCCTACCTATCTAATGGTACAATACTATATTATGATGTAGCATCTATGTACCCCGCCCCTCTGGATCCGAACGGTTCCCATTCATTTAGACTGCAGAGGCTTAAGTCAGGGAGCAGGGCTAGCCCTAGAATGAGTAGGGTAGGATGACGGAAGACGGTAGGGCCGCGATGTGACACAGAGGGGGGGGGGGGGGGGGGCATACACTATTAACACACCTAGTTAGGTACTTTCCCATTTGTGCTTGATTAACAGTTGATCCGCCTTGTTTTTTGGTGGTTAGCATAAATGGGTTGGTAGGTAAATTCGAAGTTAGGATGCGGCCCAATTGAGTGACGCGGTTAAAGAACTTTGAGTTACACTTCGAGACCCTTCAGGTAGTCTGTCAAGCTTTACTAGAGATGTATTCGGGAATTTATCCAAGTTGTAACCAAAAGCCCTCAATATCAGAGTAATTCCTAACTACCCACCTACATACATGTATGTAGAGGTAGATTCGATCTAGCTTGGCGGGAAGTACTCCCTTCTACGCCCTGAATATGCCTACTCTCTAATAGCATCAATGTTAGGGAAGAATCAGGCTCAGCTCTTGATGAAAACACAATGTTTAGGTACTCTATAATTGTACAATAACCATCTATCTACCCAGGTACCTTCCTAAATACCTATATGAGTTTTCTTTCTGGTCCAGTAATCCCCCAAGTCAAAGAAACTATATAAAATACAGACCTACCTATATATGCAAGAATGTTGTCCCAACCCAATGCTAACCAACGTAGTTAATGCAATATCCTATCCATCCAATCAATGTCCATGTCCTGCTCCATATCCATGACCACGTCTAAGCCACCTGCGCAGCGGAGCTGTTGTGCTCGTTTGAGTAGCGGCCTTAGCATCCCCTGCTGTACCAAGAGGTGCAGTGCCCATCGGGTAGCTACTAGGGAAGGGGGCCTCGACAGTACTAGTAACAGTCACTTGTGCAACTGTCTGCGTGACAGTCACCGAGACCGTTAAGGGCTCGCAGTCACAGGCCGCGCCCGACGGCTTGGAGCCATGGGATTGGTACACTGTTGCAGTATTCGTAGTAGACGACGTTACGATAGTCAAAGTATCGCTGCTGGTTGGGTAAGAAGCACCCCCAGGCGAGTTTTTCGAGCTAAGAGGAGCTACTATCAGTTGACTGGCACGCGAAGAGTTTTAGTGAGCATTGAGCACATAATTAGGGGGAATTAAGGGTATATGACTAACCTTGAAGCTGCGCTGACTACATCAGATGCTGACGGCGGGGGCATCGCTGCGGTACTCGATGGTTCACTCATCTGGTAGCTCGGGACATCAGCCGTTCCCGAGGATGCTATGTAGTAACTGGTAGGGGTAGCACCTGATGATACAGAAGCTGGAGTCTGAGCCTGCGGTATGATAGTATCATATTCGATTACCGTCGTGAAGTAGTTGCCTAATGTCACTGTTGTGCCCGGTCTAGAGGCGTTGGGGTACAGTCCAAGCGAGCTAGCCGCAATAGCCGCGGTGCCTGCAGTGGTAACCGTGCCAATATCTTGTGTGGGGTAGTATGAAGGAGGTGCAGGAGTATCAACAAAGCTGATAGTCGACGTAACTACGATAACCGATCCACTTACAGTATTGCTAAGTGTAACAGCAGCGGTAGTGTACTGTGACCCTCCAACCACGGCAGACGTGCCCGAAGTTGGTTTGTCTGCCACAGGGCAAACAGTAGTAGAGACAGCAACGATCTCTGTTGTTACCGAGCCTGATGCAGGGCAATTCGTAACTCCTGGTGCACAACTGGTAACGGTGTGAATATTTGTCGAGTAAATAGTCGAGGTCGTGTAAGTCGGCGCAGATGTTGCGTACGATTGCACAGGCGATACGTGAGATGACTCAACTAGATGACTACTTGACCCAACCGAAGGCACTGACCCCATCGACTTAGTGGTACCTTCTGGCAACGCTGTAGCAGTCTCCTCAACAGGACAGACCGTTGTATAAGCTGGAACGATCTCAGTTGTAACCGAGCCAATCTTAGAAGAACACTCAGTCGCCCCAGACTCGCATGAGCTGACCGTATAAATACTACTTGTGTAAACCGTAGATGTCGTCATGGCAACGCTATATGTAGAGGTATTTTTCAATGTGGCATATGACGAAATTGATTGAGCCGGTACAGACGATTCCGTACCCACCGCAAGTGCCGAAGACGTCCCTTGGATGGTTAGCGATTTGGAGATTGGGCCTATGGTCGTATAGAGAGAGATAGACTCCGTAGTAACCTGTCCCAACCTAGCAGGGCAGTTTGTAACATCGGGTGCACAAGAGGTTATGGTATAAACATTCGTGGAGTATACCGTCGATACAGTGGCCCCCGTCGCATTGTTGAGTACTGGAATAGATGAAGCTGAGTAGCTCAAAACTGGCGCCGTTGAGCTACCAGAAGCATACACGGTAGAGTTTTGGAAACCAGTGCCAGAACTAAGGAGGGAAGAGCTTGTTTCGGCGGAGTTTACTGAGCTGGCTGTGCCGGAGACGCTGCTAGAGCCTAGTTCTGAAGAGCTAGTTCCTACGGAGTTAGATGAGTTGCTGACGGTGTGAATACTGCTAGAGGTAGACAACGGAGCTGATCCAACCGACGTTGGATGAAGAGAACTCGCGGAATACGTAAGTAAAGATGATGAGGATGGGATGCTCTGTGCGGCCACCGTTCCACTGTAGGTTGTCCCATCAAGAATGGTATGAGTAACCGGGCAAACAGTGGTGTATAAGGAAACCATTTCAGTGGTCACATGGCCCACAGGGCAGTTCGTAACTGTAGGAGCGCAAGACGTAATGGTCACAATATTTGTTGAGTATACGGTGGACAATGTAGACGTGGTAATCTCGCTACTGACGCTATACGTACTCGGCATTGTCTGTGAAGAAGATTGGACTGCGGAGGTCGAGTACACTTGGAATGAGGCACTCATATTAGCGGTAGACGAAGACGCTGACGCTGAGCCTACAATGTTGGAGGATAAGCTTGAGTGAGCCGCCGCAACGCTGCCAGTGCTGGCGGTGCTTGAGGGAACTCCCTGGGATCCACTTGACTTAGTAGCAGATGACACTGTTGTTGACATCGAGATCAATTCCGTGGTAACCTTTCCCACTGGACAATTAGTAACACTTGGTGGGCATGATGTAACGGTATAAATGTTTGTTGAATATATCGTGGAAACACCGTTATCAAGTGGGCTTGTTTCGCTAGATTTAGGGCTTCCGGATGACATTGAATAAGAATATATAGTATCGCTCGTTGTACTAAGAGATTCAGACTTAATTGCCGAGCTAGATGAGCCTGGATAGCTGGAACTAGATTCTTGTGAACTTGAGCCAGATGCCTTGGTTTCCAAGCTGCTAGCGGAAGTAGGTCCAGTCGTTGAAAACACGTTCGGGTATGTAGGCTCCTTAATCCCACTGGAGCCAGACTCGGCCGTGGTGCCGCTGCTAGTTCCTAGCAAGTATGAGCTTAGACTACTCAGAATTCCACGGCTGCTGGTTGGGGAGCTTGTTGGATATTCATTGGGACCTGATGAAGCAGGCGTGTTTGTTGATTTGGTTATGGATTCTGCCGTGGACTTGGACAGTGGGGACGATGATGACGATGACACGCTAGCAGCTGGATATGTAGCAGCGGGTTGGGTAAGAGAAGAAGATACCGGTGAGCTAGCATCGTACGTGGGATACCCTCCAGAACTAGATGTAGATGAATGGGCGCTAGATGGCGGACTGACCGGATACGTAGCAGGTGATTCGATAGGGGATGAACTAGATGCATGGGCAGAAGGTGAATTGGCTTCATACGTAGCATATCCGGTAGAGGAAGAACTTGAAGTATGGATGACAGAGGATGATTGAGCTTCGCTAGCAGCCGATGGAGGACTCATGGGATAGCTATCATCAAACGCGTCGTTCCTAGCAAGCCTTGCGGGACGAGTCGAAGGACCGCAGCCGTCCGTGATCTTCTCGATCGAATCGGCCTTCCCACTCTACCCATTGTTAGTAAAGGTTTCTAAGTAATACGGGTGATAAGCATACCTTATCCTTATAATTGTACTGGCAGGCCGGATACTTGTTTGTGATATTGACGCTCTTGACATACGTAGTGTAAGGAACGCCGTCCATATCTATCTCGCCACCAGCCCAATGAATAGTCCAATAGTTGTTCGTTGGATCACCACCTCCCCATACTCCAAGTTGAAGCTTCATGGGGGACTGAGGAAAGGCAAAGCCGCTAGGAGTGTCTTTGGCCAGAACGCTACGGACAACCTTGTCATCAACGTACCAGTTCATGTGAGTCTCATCCCACTCAACCGAGTACTTGTGAAACTGCTCTGTTGGCTTGAAAGCATCTTTTTGGTAGGTTGCCGCATCATCCCACATCTTTCCCTGTGAAAAGATACTCGTCTCGATAGCCCACATCCCATCCTTAGGTGGGAATGGCTGCTCTCCGAACTGGTTGCCAGAGAATTCATAGTCAATCTCATCTTGAGTATCTGACCATAACACGGCGTTGCTGATCACACCTTGACCTGGAGCAATTTTCATTTCGACATCGTAACGGCCTCCAAGCAGGTAGAAGTCGGTCCACATATTCGGGGCATCTCCTTGTTTCGCGTAAGAAAACTCGGCTCCATTGGAAGTGAACTTGACAACTTCAGAATCTGCAATGGTCCAGTCTGGAGGGGTGCCTGTCTGCTTCGTAAAATCAATATAATAATTACTTTCCGATAAAGCCTTCTTCGGTTGGCAACTCGTGTGAAGGGGGTTACAGTCTGGTTGTAGTTGGCCATTGGCGAATTCGGCTATCAAGCCCAAAGCGCCAACTAAGCCTATGATTCCATTTTTTGACATTTCGATAACTTAAGTTTAGTCTATTATGTTATTAGTATTAGGGGTATCGTTGTAGAGAAGAACTCCTAAAAGGGGGGGGAAATGCCGGTCATGATGGCCCCATCGTTGGCCATATTAGTGATTATGAGAATAAAGCGCCATTGTTGAATTTTCTCCTCAATTTTGGCACGACAATGTCAAAGCAGGGATTGAAAGATTCCTTATTTGGCTTCCCGATCCGGGAATATTATCATCCAGCTGGGCTTTGAGGGGGGTCAGCCACCAATGGGCTTGTAAGGTGACCCTTTTGCCTTGACATTAAAGGGGGGGCAAGATGGAAGAACAGACTTGTCATAATGAAACCTAGTACGAGTATACGGCTCTTTCATGAGCCACGAAAGGTCTTTCAGGAATTACCTAAGTATTCAATAAGAAAATCAAACCTAGCTATTAATATCTTTTCGCTCGCAAGCCATTGTAAAGTGTCATGACTACTACTATCCATGATGTAGGAAAGCACGGTATAGGCTGACGACAATCTTCAAATTTGACCATGGCTTTCTTTAGAGCTTAAGGTTGGAAGTTAAGATACTTCATTCGTAAGAATCATTACTATGTATGTTTGACGGCAACCTTGAGGCGTTTGTCCTTGTAGAAGTGAAGTGGACAAAGGATAGGTACATGTAGTAGGCACAAAAATATCGATCTCGTCTCTAGAGTGCCTAGGATATCCTCGGTAGGTATAGAAAGGTTTGAAGTCTTCAAATAAAATATGATTGGCTACAGTATGTACAATACATGGTAGGTACCCTACCAAATAATTGTCCGATGCAAGCAACTTGAGTTGTAGTACATTAGGTACCCTAGGTAGTACTAGGTAGGTACTACTAGTAGTACATACTATGTATGTAAGAAAGAAAGAGAAAAGAGTGGGTCTCGCACCTCAGCCGCCTCATTCCAAATCTGTTTCCAACGGGGCAGCAGGCTGCGGACTGCCTGCGGGTTGCGGACTGCGGGCCTCACCTGTCACCTAACCAGACTACCTTACTACCTAGTAGGTACCCTGTAGTTCAATGTTACTAGGTACTTGTACCATACAATCAATTAAATCAATCAATCATCTTTTTTTCTTCTTTTTCTTCTTTCTTCTCTTGCCTCGTGCCTCGTTTCCATGCAACACACACAACATTGCACTCTTTTCCAACCTTGATTGCCCTGCATTTCCCGCATTCCTTTTTTTTCCCCATGCATTGCGTTAATATTATTCCTCTTCGCAATCTAGCCACTCCCTTTCCGCATGTTATAGAAGATATCCTAGGTATACTCCATTAATAACCACGGCCCAACATCACGTTGTCCCGCATCCGCATCATTACCGCTACCGCCGTTATTATTATTATCCTTAGCAACAACAACCTTTACGCCATCCGGTGCTTATCCCCCGCCGAACCGTTACTAAAGGCACCTTACCTACCTATCTATCACAGACACACCCCTATCGCATCGCACTGACACGTTAAGAGAACGATGGGCATCTTTAGCCAAAAGTCTAAAGTGAAACCCGCGCCGCAAGAGGTCCGCGTGGAGAAGGTCAGGGTTCCGGCCAAGCCGCGCCCCTCGCGACCTGGCCTGGCCCCGAACAGCAGCAGCAGTAGCAACAACGGCCCGCGCAAGCCCACCTCGGGCCCGTACTCCGCGTCGCCGCGCCCCTCGCCGAAGCCGCGGCTGTCGCGCCCCACGAGCGCCTCGCCGTACCCTTCGTCCGCGGACGAGCAGCGACGGGGAGGCGGAGTGCTCGCCCGCAAGCGCAAAAACATCACCAGCACCCCGCGAGACTCGCCCGCCTTCGGCAACGACTCCGATGACGATGACAACGATGAAGACGACGACCCGTTCCGCAAACGCATCCGACACAGCGAGACGCGATCGGTCGACCTGAACCGCAAGCTGCGCCACAAGAAGGCGTTCGGCGATGAGGTCAGAGACCCGCGCATGATTCACGCGGCCGATATTGCGTCGGTGGCTACTAAGTGTCCCCCTATTCAGGGCGCCAACCCAGAAGAGGTCGCCATCGAGCTGCAATATCCGTCGCGGTGCACGCGCGAAAGGTGAGACTACTGACTAACCCAACCCAACCCAACCCAGAGGGCATTACGAACTTAACTAACACGCGAGATGGAAGGTACGAATTGGTGTGGCAGAAAGATAAGATCGATGCAGTCAAAGATATCCTCTCCGTACTGGAGCACGTGGCTGAGACATATCTCACCGATGACGAAGCGAAGCCCTTCATTGATCACAACGCAAGCTTTAAGCGACAGATGGAACGCGCTATCAGCGAGAACTACAGAGACGTCGCAGTTTTTAGAACAGCACTACAGAATTACAACGACAAGCTACTACAATTGGTTGAGAACGGCACAGTGGCCAGGAACATAGATGAGAATCACCACCTCCCGCCCAGCCTCGTCTCCTTCATCCTCAACCAAATATACGACCGCACCGTCGCGCCCAAGGTGGAGATGCTCACCAAATACGAAATGGGCAGTGACAATGTTTATGGCGAATTGCTACACCCCTTCATTACAAAGCTACTCGTTGAGCAAACGAAGATGACTTCCGACCAAGTCTTCATAGATCTCGGTTCTGGGGTGGGCAATGTCGTACTCCAAGCGGCACTCGAGATCGGCTGTCGAAGTTATGGCTGTGAGATGATGGAGAATGCCTGCAACCTTGCTGAGGCGCAGGAGAAGGAATTCAAATCACGATGTCTTCTCTGGGGCGTCGCGCACGGGAGGGTTCATCTCGAGAGAGGCGATTTCCGCACCAATGCGAAAATATTGGAAAAATTAAAGGAAGCGGACGTGATACTCGTCAACAACAAAGCCTTCACTTCCACTCTCAACGACGCCCTTATCAACATGTTCCTAGACCTCAAGAAGGGCTGCAAAATTATCTCGCTAAAGTCATTTGTCCACGAGAACAAAACAGCTATCAACGACGTCGCAAACAGCATCCTCGACGTCGAACACTATCGCTATCACCAGAATTGGGTGAGTTGGGCCGCATCTGAAGGTGACTACTATATCTCAACGAAGAAGTAAAGTAGAAGGTATCACGCAACCTAAAAGAGAAAGAAGAATCGAATCAGCATTCATATTGATCTGTATAGAATAGGGAAAGAAGGCGAAAGAACACGCGTTAAGGATACCACATTTGCATAGACGAGCGTCATTGAAAGGATACCAGAGCGAGACCACTGCGGTTAGCACTTACCCTACAGGTGTGAGGGTGTATAAATAGAACACGGCGTCACAATACATTCGTACTGATATCTCTTCCTTCCATCATTCTGCTAGGCCAGGCGTCCGTCACCTCCGACTCTTACTACCAGGTGTTTCGTTTTCCAAGTTCATGGCATCCGCCTCGTGTCGCATCCTCTTCATCCATCGTTCCACCAGTTCCTTATTTTCGGCAGAAATCTTGGCTGCTTTCTGCTCCGTGACGTCTAGCTGGATGTTTAAAGTCAAGTTGTCATCTTGTATGTCCTAATGATACACGTCAGCTCCAACACAATATACCCGCATGACAATCCCCGCTATGTAACCCATTTACCTTGAGCATCTTGTTCTTTCCAGCAAGCTCCTCGTTGCGATCTTTTAATTTCGCTTTGAGGGCATTCCTCTCGGCCGTTAGCTCGTTAATTCGCTTAGCACTTCCCTGGGTCCCCGACCGCAAGGTTTTCAGCTCATCTTGGGCAGCCTTGAGGCGGCCTTGTAGCTGGCCCTTTGACCGCAGCGCCTCGGCTAGCTCTAGTCTCAGCTGTGCGATGGTGGGGTCTGCACTGCCGGCCGTGTCGGTCGCTGACGTAGGTTTGCCCGAGGCTAGCTTTTCGGTCGACGGGGATGGTTTCGTAGTAGTAGAGGTCTTTTGCCACAGAGCCTTCTCGGCCTCGAGGGCGGATAGACGATCGGCAAGCTGGGAGCCTGCGGACACACAAAGTTTCGTTAGTTAGTGCAAAGAAGGCGTCAAGAAAAAAAACAGCCAGTAGAGAGAGTATTGGTGGTTGGTGCTGACAGGCTTCGACGAGGTCCTTGTTCACAGGATTGTTCCGCTCTGCTTCTTGCAGGGAGGAGAGATAGTCGTTTCGCCAATCGGGCATGTTGATAAGCTAGGCTGCCTACTACATAATACCTCTGTAGCACTAGGTAGTATTGATGAGTATATACGATATGAAGTATGCAAATGATCGGTATTATTCAACGTCTAAAGCTTTTTGTGAGCTAAGTTTATTTCAAATGTCTTCAAGTTGTGAGATTAGATAAGTTTGATTTAAGTTCGGTGGCTTTGTGCTCTGAACATTGGGTTGTGGAGATAACTACTACTAGTACATAGTAGATGGATGGCGGTAGAGGGGTAGCAACTTATGTACCTACCTACCTAAACTACCTACCAATTTAATACTACACTACTAGCGAACATGATGGAGCCGTGTCATATGTAGCATGCAAGCTTAATGTGATCCATAAATATATATGGTACCCACCAATAAGGCTGACGGCAATTCTACATAGTGCTCTTTACCTAATACTACATACATGTATGTATGTATCCATTACAATGAATCGCCATCAGTCATCAATGCCATGTGATGTGTACATAGGTATACTACCATCTTACCAACTCCTTGGGTGTTGGATGTCTGATATTGCAAAACTGTAGTGTAGTTATGGGGCCATTCCTTTTAAGAACATGACACCGGATAGGAAGCTCGACGAATTCTAGGCAGGGTACTACATAGGTAATTCTCGCCATTTTTAAAAGTATCAAAGATTCGAAATTTAACATCGCGTCTGGATGGCTGGCAAAGGCAAAAAACGTAGGTTAGTGGGAATCATTACGCAGAATCATGGCAGAAGAGTAAAATGCACCTTACACTTCCCATTCATCGGGGTCTTCGATTGGCATGTCCATCTTGAAAGCTGGAATGTCCTCCTCACGTTGGGTGCACTGCCGTCTCATATTGAGATTGCCTCACTCTCACTGCCTACCTAGGTAGGTACCTAGACACACCTTTTTCGCCACCAAGCTGAGACTTTCGGTCAGAGGACTGTATATAATCCAAAAGAGGGCTTGGCTCTAGCGATGATTACGTCGTGCATAGCGGCGACACGGGCACTTTCATCCTCGAGAGAGGGAGCCCAATGAGGCAGTAAAAAGAGAGGGAGAAATGAATACGAAACGGCCTCATACCGGGACTGCGTATAGATTCACCTACCTCCTTACCTAGGTAGGCGATAAGCAGGCGGCCCAGCTTAGGGTAGTAAGCTATGTAGTCCTGACCTTGAATCCGTTGGTGATACCGGCCTAGTTCGGTGAGTTATATCTTAGTTTCGACGATGAACCACCTGGCACGCGAAGGCATCTTGGAGGCCGCAATTCCGGGCTAGCTTACCGAGGAGCACCCGGCCTACCTCGATCCGGCCATACTGATAGATGTTGGCGCCTAGGTATTGTCGCGGACGGCCGCCGCAATCCGGCCAAGCACATTTGTGAACCGCACGGCCACTCCCCGCCCCCAGAAGCCTGGCGCGTACTCCTTCGGTGTGGATTGCGGCAATCAGAGTCCTATCGGTTTGCCGACAGCTTCAACAGAAACGACTTTTTCGCTGCTATGAGACCTCCCGTGGCATTGCTCCAAGACAGGCGGGCTTTGTTGCCGAAGCCTAGCCTGTGTTTTGAAATCTGCAAGATAAGTTCATCAGTGTCACCGACTGGGATGACGATGATTAGGTAATATATACTTGAGTATAAGTATGTACATTGCCTACATACCTACTAAGCACCTGACTGTAGATTCTAGGTAATGAATGCATGTGGAATGCAGCAAAGAGCTAGAGTCTTACGTTTACTTACCTAGTACTAATACATAGGCCATTGTATGTGTGAATATATATTCTTCTATCTGGGTGATATCTCGCGAGAGACGCCTAGTTAGTCTTGAGCCTCGATCTGGGACGAGCTTGACGACGGGCCAGCAGGCGGGGGACTCCGTTGTTTCATGGTCTCCCTGCTACTGCATACGGGGCGTTCGGGAGAAATAAACGCAATGATGCTCACGCCATTGATGCCAATTTCCAACTGCATGCCAGACCTAGAACCTCTCGAAGCTAACACGGCCCGCGGGTCGGCCGATTTGCTGAACTGGGAGTTAATAGGATGCGGATAAGGCAAGGATACGCGGTGGCCTGGGAATTAAGAAAAAAAAAGACGCAATGAAGGAAGAACGCGAGTCTCAATAATCTCTCGAGTGGGTTAAGTTTTATTCGTCAGATACCATACCATTATGTGGCATACATATGTATATATTGCCTGGGTACTAGGTAGTAGGTAGTAGGTATGTATGTAGTACTAGGTAGTATTAATGACTGCATTATAGCTCTATGTATATCAAAGCTGGTGTAATTCTCATAAAACAACTTTCAACTCTCGAGAAAAAAAAAGAAAAAAAGAAAAGAAAAGAAAAAGATACTTAGGTACCTAGACATCCTACCCAAACGCCCAAGAGGCAAAATGTAGAAAGCCGTGCCTCGGGTATAGTGCTGCGGGTGGCCGAGATAATTAATTGATCACGGATGCGACCCCAATGCCGGGAGAACTTGGAGTTGCATATAATTATGTGTGTACTTAAAACCTATGTAGAGTATGACTACATATGTAAGTCCTACATATGTAGTGTGCATTCATTGATGCTATTGTATTGTAACAGGCGCTCTCCTAAGACAACCCGGTTGATCACAAGGCTGTTTCGGATCTGGCAAACCTCTATCATTCATGTATGTATGTAGTCATCCCTACTTACCTAAGTAGGTAAATGGTGTATATAATAGTCTCCTACTAGGAACTCAGGGAGATATTAGGTATGTAGCAGATGATTCGTAATCTTTTTTTTTTCTTCCATTTCTTGTCAATAGAATAAGGATACGATAGAGTTTAATTGGCAAGTTTCTTGTTATGTCAGACTGGCAAACTGTTAGATCACAGACAGCACTGCGGCTCTACATAGTGTAGGCCATAGGTATGTAGTCTAGAATGGATCGAATGGATCTAAGGCGATCGGTTAAACTGAGAATGAAGACTAGAGGACCCAGCTGGGAGGAAAGTAGGAGGGAATGATGTCATGCTGGACTCTTTCTTGGTTCTTGGTTTTGGTTGTGGTTCATAGTCGATAATAGATATGGGATTCTTCAATGCTTTTAATGCTTTAATACTAAAATAATGAATGCACTTCGTAGGGGATGGATGAATTCCTACCCCTTTTCGTATTAAGTGGATTTGGAACAAGTTGACCGTATCTTTGGATTTTGGACAATGAGCAGTGAGATGCCCGTGCACATGCCGCCAGCAGAGTCCAGCTACATACCTACAGTACCTACATACAGTACCTACATACAGTACCTACAGACTACAGTACCATTGAATGCATTGGGCGGAAAGCGTACAGCACATAGTTTTGTATTACATAAGGTAACAGAAATGTGATAGTGATACTAGTGATACTAGTACAGTATTACATACCATGTTTAATTGACCTCGAAACTTGACTCACATCCATTCATTGCAAAGACAGCATTTCCTTGGAACCTTGGAACCTTGAAAAACTATGTACTAGTTAGTAGCTTAGTGCCTATTAGTACTAGGTAGCAAGCAACTTATGTAGGACTCTACCCGAGATCAAGCTAAAATGCACATACTTTAAGGACCTACATCTGTACCTTAGTACCTAGTGCCGCGGGCATGTAGCTTACCTTTTAGGTAGGCACCTAAAGTTAAGTGCCTTCATGCGACACATGCATGTGCATGTGCAAGAAGAACTTTAATGGTAAAGCTCCAGGGCTCTAAAGTGCTTGTGGCTTGCGTACTAAACCACTTAGTAATGGTAGGTATGCAATACTACTTACTAGTAGTGGCATCAACCTTGAAGAGTTGAAGTCGAACGTCAAGCATTGATTGGTCCGACACGGTGTCATTTGCATAACAAAGAAGGAACGCGAAAAAAACGCGTCCTCGCGTTCCAAGGAAGCAAAAACCAGCGACCCGAACGAATCATCTTTTTGCAGCAGCTGCGGCGTAACCCTTCTAAAATCTTGAAGCCAATCATATGTGGCTGTTGCATTAATTGAATGAACATTGAATTGAATCTTCGCGCCTGTCATCAGCTATTGAAGTAAGTCCAATTCTGCACTTATTCTGCACTTGCGCACTCAATTGCCACAACTACAAGTTGAATGGTAACCGGAGAAAGGATTGAAGAGTGCATATGAACATTGAGGCGATTGATTGGTGTGATGGTAGAGCATTTCATTCAATCAATTGATGTCAATTCTTTAACCAGAGCCCCAGTCCTCTCTTCTTACATCACACCTGACCTCCTAAATTCCATTTTACACTGTCTTGATCCTCAAGTCCCTCTCCGTTGCTTTGCTTGTTTGGTTGCTGGCCCGCTTACTTCGGTTCGATTTTCTTCTCTACTCCATTGTGACAATTCCATTGTAACAATCATCAATCATTCCTCAGCAGCATCACGGGTCAAATATTTCCAACAAACGAGACCCGGTCATAAATAATTTTGCATTGCCGGCATATATCCCTCCGTCACAATTGGATAGCCGGCAAGGTTCAAGCTTGCTTGCTTGTCTGCTATTCTCACTGCTGCTATTGATCTAGGTATCTATCTACATATCTAGGTACTTGACCTAGTAGGCTGATAGTTGAACAATACATACCAAGGTAATACTTTCATAATACTGCATTTGGAAGGCCATCTTTCAAATCCTTACACAATCCCCACTGGCAAAACTAGGGATACCCTTCGACATTCCTTGCAAACAACCTTGAAAAGTGTCGGGTTTTTTCTTCCCTGTTCTTCAAGTTCACTGTTCTTCCTACACTTGTACATACCTAGGATAGTACACTACGCACTCTTCCTTGCTCGGTTGCTGTCTCTTTCGATATTCTTTGAAACAACCTTGTTAGGCCTCGTTTGGCATGGTCATATCGTGTCAGCTCACGACGGCTATCATCCAATCCTCTTTTGCATTGCACCTGCAAGTTACAACCATACACCCCACGGCGGGTCTACCTAAGTGGACCTTTTGCTGAGCTGGCGTTTTACGTTGGACCAATCCGATCAATTAACTCAGTTGGTTTTCCATTAACCCCATTCAGGTCTGTTCTCTCTTGACCCGGCTCCGGGCCCTGGTCTACCTAATCCTGTCCTTGTCTGCCTGGTCTTTCCTCTGTGCCGGTCTTGCAGATATAAGTACCCTCTATATGTAGGTTAGTGCATACATGTACCTCAAGTAGTGCTAGACAGCCTAGACTCTAGTTGTAGTACATGTACTCCAGCGCAAGCACATCGCTCTGCAGCACTGAGTCCAAAAGACTTTCTCCAACGCCCTGTAACCTATTCGACGCATTCGCTATCTCGATCCCCCACGAATCTGCCCTCGCCCTCGCCCTCACCACTCGCCCTCACCCTCACCCTTCCCCTTCCTTTCCCCCTTCATGTTCCCCTTCCCCTCTCTCTAATTAATTCCATTATCCCTTCAACTCCATACTTACCACTCATCAGTTACCCTATCTACTCACTTGCATCACGATATCATCAATGATCTCATTGAAATCATAACTATCGTGTATATCATTATTTGCGCTCTACGACATCAGTTCACTTTTGAGACCCTCTATCGTTTAGGCACGTCAACTGCCTAATACCTGGCGCGCCACAGGTCACCCTTGCTTCGTGGCTCCACAGCTAATTAAAGTCATCCGCGGTGAGTCTTGAGTACTAGATCGTTCCATCCTCACCACAAGTTCTTCCCCCCCAATCGTTACGCAGCCCATGAAAGTGGGAATAACCTTACCTCACCTCATCTCACCTTGCCCTGCTCTGCCCTATCCTATCCAACTTGACTCCTCATGAGCTACATCCTCGGTCACACATCAGTCTTATCGATCGCCTACCTTGCAACAACTAAGATTATTCAATCCGAACAGAATTCTACCACAGAGCGACCAAGGATTGACACCAATTGGCCGAAATGGCCAAACCCACGCGTTTTGCGGCTAACACTGAGCCGCTACACATATTCCAGGACGAATTCTACGAACAACCAGCACCGTCTATCAGCCGAGCACCGATGCCTTCCGTTGGCAAGCAATCCTCTCCGCGCCGAGCACTGCAGGCTTCTAGTGGGAACGTGATATTCAATCCCCCCAACGGGTACCAAAAGCAGCACTCACCGTTCAAAGCGACTGGGCGCGCCACCGCCTCTCCTTTGGGCCCCCTCAATTCTTCCCATGGCACCAAGCTGAATGCTGTTTCTATACTACCACCATCATCCCAGGAGCAGGCAACTACGGACTCGATGCTAAAGAAGCAACCAATGATGTCAAGATTCAAGACAGTTATTCAGAAGCCGACGGGTGAAGCGAGCGCCAACTATGGAAAGGAGAATGTTCATCCAACGTTATATCCGGCACCATCAACCTTCAATCTGAACTTGGAAAACTATTATCAAAACGCACCACCGAGGAAGCGCGCTTTACTGGAGGCCGCACCGATCCAGGACTCCAGACCGATGAAGAAAAGCAAATTGGAAGAATCTCCTCTACCGCCTCCACCGCCTCCCGACTCATTCCCCACAATTAAGGACGACGGCACGAAGCCTAGCCACAGCTATGCCCAACTTATCGGCATGGCCATTCTACGTGCCCCTCAAAGGCGACTGACTCTATCACAAATCTACAAGTGGATTTCAGATAATTATTCGTTCTACAATGCGAATGATGCGGGTTGGCAAAACAGTATCAGGCATAATCTTTCTCTGAACAAGGCCTTTATCAAACAGGAGAGACCGAAGGATGACCCTGGCAAAGGCAACTATTGGGCTATAGAGCCTGGAATGGAACATCAATTTATGAAAGAAAAGCCCAGCAGGAAATCTAGCACCAGCATGGGCAACGCCCCTTTCATGTCCAGTCGTGTTGAACCTGCACGTCTGGAGCCTACTGCTTTCCCCGATAGTCTCCCGTCTCTGCCTCCGGTGCTCCCGGCCCAGTCCCACGAAAGTATTCATGACTCGATGTCATCACAAGCTCCTATCCAGTCTGTGCATGAAGTTTCATCAGATGCCACTATTCCTCTATCCGATAATGCTGCCCCGGATGACCAACCGGACAAGAGCCAGGAACAGAGTCTCCCCGCAGAGATAAGCACGTGTTCTCCACTCCCCGCCACGATGCATTCTTCACCTCCTATTCCCCGTCGTTTAGAAGCTCGTAGTAATACTCCGCCACCCATGAAGAGAGAGGCTCCTTCCTCCGGTCCACGCAAACGCACCCACGGTCGCAAACATGCTTCGATGGATGCATCTATGGATGATAGTGGATACATCTCGTCCTTGGAGTCTTCAGTTATGCGTCCTAAGGGTACTCGACTACTTAGCTCGGGAACTGATCGTCCTCGAATCAAGCGAGGACGAGCAGAAGAGGAGATTGCTAGACTGCGCGCTTCGTCCTATGATAGCCCTACCAAGGGACGTTCATTTGACTTCCCCCCTCCATCTTCGTCCCCATTACGGCAGGCTAAAGAGGCTGGCCAAATGCTACCCCCCTTAACTCCAGCTGTCAAGATCAAGCCACCACCGAAGCCGCCTGCTTCTGTTTCACCAAACACGAACCTTCGCCTACACCGAGAGAATGTCCGATCCATGCTCAATTCACCTCTTCGTCGTGTTAGCAGCTTGGACGATGAAATAATTCCGTGGAGCCCGGCATTCCGGATGGACGATTCGCTCTTTAATATAAATGACTTCATCAATGATCAAAATGACTTCGACGTATACCAAGATGCGTCCCTTGATCCTTTCTTCTCCGCTGCAGATAACGGCTCTCCTATGAAGCGCTCAGCTAGGAAAATCTGCTTTGACAGGTCTAGTTCCGCTCACGCTTTAAATGATATCACCAACTCAGTCTCCAAGAGATCGATCACATCGGCTCCTTTGCTGAAGGTCTCGGGTTCAACCCCTTTGGCTTATGATACTCCGAGCAAGCTACTCGAGGGGCTTTCCCCTCCTGCCAAGCTGTACCTGCAGTCTCCTACAAAGAACATGTCTCCTACCAAAAATGCGTGGATGAACATGGATGACTTTTGCACTACTCAATTCTTTGAAGAAGGAGGGGTGGATGAAGTGGACGAAGGTGCGGGCATGGATATCCTTCAAGGCTTCGAGCGAATTGGTGGTAGCCAGCCCCCTGCCGGGCTATCCTTATCCAAAGGCTCGAAACCGTCTCTCAGCCGAAGCTTTAGCACAACATTCTAAATGCCTTTGCTCTCTCGTGAGATATCAGGGTTAGCCTCCTGTGACGATACTAACGAATAATGACTATTGCATTGGTTTTCTTTTGGCCCCGGAGTCTTTTCGGCAGGATAATGTCGAACACGCCATCTTACGCACACCCTCGATGACCATAGACCTCACCGCCTACCTTCATGCCTCACGGCTGTCTTGTCTACTGATTTTATAATGACGAAATGCGTCTGAACGTACATAACACTTCTTACTACTTCCCCAACACCCCTAAGACGAAATCTGGATTTCTCGTCTACTTTTTTCTCCCTTTTGAGTTTTTTGTACGGCGAATTTAGGGTATAATCGACCCTAGTGTCATTACCTGCTCTATCCCGATGCCTTTTTGACCGCATACTCTCACAAGAGAAGTGGAATGCAACTGGACATATGAGATGGCGTTTGTGAAATGGAAACATGCTTGCAATGGAAAGGAATCGGAATCGGAAAGTTTGGGCGGTAGGCAGGCAAAGGAGTGAAACAGGAAGCATGTGTGGAGGGTTTCTTACTACACTCTGCCAATTACCAGCAAACTTGCGGAGGAGTTTTGAGAGTTCTGAATTAAGAAGCACGGAGTGAGGAACGCATTCTCTTAACTAAACCGGGTCGGACAATGTTGCTTTTTTTGTGTGGATGGATTTGATTTTTTTGATGGTGTTTTTTCACTCTTTTTGCTCTTGACTTTTTCCACCTATGGATGGATATTAGGTAGGGCTGAACTACTTTCTTCAGCAAAAACAACCAAGCAAGCAAGCAAGCAAGCCTGGCTAATATCAAGATACTTTTTTCCATGCATCCATTGCCTACCTACCCAAGACTCAAGTTTAGTCAAACCTGCTAATAGCGACTACCCTCTTTAGCGATATCTTCATATTAGCGATATTAACTTGGAATAGCGATATAAATTCGTTAGCACACCCCAATCGCTGTTAACCAAGAGGTTTTACTGTAGTTATCTGCTTCAGCTCTCGTGACTTATTCCACATAGGATCATTCATTGCCTGTACCAGCTTCTCCTTTGCTCGGCGAGAACTTGGACTAGGTATAATGAATATGCACACGCCTAGGTTAGCCTATTTACTCAAGAAGGTACTGAGTAAATATCGCATCTCCATATGTAGGTATGGTCGTAATCATGTGCGGCTCTATAGACAAGACAACGTCTATCATTGAAAGATAAGTACCTAGTTTCATGATGAGTTACCGGGGGGGTATCATTCAATTATATCTCGCCGTACAATACCTATACATACATAGCAAACCCAACCAGCCTACTACTACATGTACCTGACCTTATGTAGTACCTAGTACCTAGTATTGTACATACATTGCAAGTGCAGTGCCAGATACCTATTGTGAGTCCAGTCTGACTGACAATGGTAAACGCTGCTACACCATGACGAAATATTAGGTTATGTTTGTAATCCGTGAAGAAGCCACCATGTATGTCTATCACTCACACGTAGCGATCCCATGATAATAATAAAAAGAGGCGCCCGTTTCCCAGCCCGATAAAAAACGAATAAAACGCCATGGCCAACATGGATATTACTGTTTCCCTCTTTCCCTAGGTATGTATGTTTGCTTCCTCCAGCTAGCCATAATAATAGCCAATAACGCATGGGAGACTTCCTTCTCCTCCCAGACCCAAGTATCTCTGCACGTGGCATTTCTATCATCTATCGTCTATCCTCTAACCTAAGCTTGAATGGAAGGTGGAGTTCAAGGTAGAACTCAAGGTGGAATTCCAGGTGGAATTCCGGGTCGAGTTGAGGGTCGAGTTGAGGGTAGAAGGACTGATGAGTTGCCACTCAGAATCGCTGCCCGACTCCAACGGCGACCGCGCTGGCAATAATCCCTAATACATGCCCATACGCGTCGCCCAGCCGGAAGCGTCCTTTTGATTCACGTTGATCTGGTAGGGGAAGGGGTTCGTCTCGCCGCTGGTGGTAATCGGTGGGATATGATCCTTGTGGGAGTTGGCGTATGTTACGATCTTCATGGCAGTCGTCAGGAGGGTGTGTTCCATAGCCTTCCGGACTTTAGCACGTTCTACGTTTTGTGCCGTGTTAGTTATCATTTCCCGACTCTACTTCTTTTTCCGTCGCTAACTCCGTCTGGCTTGCCCGGATCTGCTCGGAATGGTAGGGGGGAGCGATAAAGATTCTTACCACTCTCCGTGCGCGGCTCGGCGACGGTAACTTTAACGGTCCAACATTCCCAGCATACTTCCTCGTCGCCACCTCCATACGCGGCCCGCATGTACCATGTCTTACGGCGCTTCTTCTCGAAGAACTGAACTGAGATGTGACCCCTTCCACCTCCGCCACGCGAGGTTTGGTGCTGTTGGTGGGAATGTGTTCGTTCGGCATCGAGCTCGCGCGCCAGCTCGGCGGCACGCTTCTCGATCATGGTGTCAAGTTCGGCATCTTGGACAAAGGGCAAGGTAATGTCGAGAACTTCGCGCGAATGTGGAGTTAAGGATGGGAAGAACCGGTGGAAGAAGATGGTATGCAGGATCCCTGTAGATTTTCAAGATATTCCAAGTTAGCCTATGGTATGGTTATTTAAATACAAATGTAAATAGATAGATATAGATAGATATACAAGCGGTCAAGATAGGATATATGATCAAGTAACCTAGGTAAATAGGTAGCTAAGAGTAGATATGGGGAAGGGTCCATTTCTCGGGTTTCGTGGAGGGTAGTGATAGGATAGGATTTAGGGGGGAATTTGACGACGACAATGACGATGTAAAAACGATGGGAATGCGGGGCATGTGATTGGGTGATATGCATATGGATCTTTCTTTTTTTTTTCAAGTTCAATATTTCACGCTGCGAACACGTTACCTCGCACGACATCGCGTACCGAAGCTGGGTCAGCGAAAGCTTCAAGTATAAATTCTTGTGGTGCCTGTTGCTCCATGGTAGGTAACAGGTAATGGTACTGCGGAGCTGAGGTTGAAGTTCTCTGACTTCTGCGGTTGCCGGTTTGTCGGCTTGGCTTGACTTGACTGGATTTGTTTCAAGAACTTGATTTGATTCAAGAATGATTGATCCCTTTTCCTACTACATACATATAAGGTACAGTAGTTAGGTACCTCAGGTAAGGTTTATGTCATGAGCCAACATTGACATGGGCAAATGAGCAGATGAACAAATGAGCAGATGAGCAGATGAGCAGATGACTATTCGGCACTATAAAAGTAATATGGACTAAGTCGGAATGGTATGGAACGGCTGGAATGGTTAACCGTTAGAATAGTTGAGGTAATCAAGAATGGAGGGGCCCCTCCCCTTTCTTTCTTCAATCTTCCCCTCAACTTTTAAGTTAGACTTTTTTAAAGTAACGTGGGGTGAAATTACTACCTAGTAGTACCTAGTAACTACCTACGTACTCACTACCTATTGGAAGTATGTACACATACATTTAACTACTAGGTACAGTGCTAAATAGTTAGTGCATTACATAACTTACTATGTATGTATGTCAATATTGCAGTTATGGCAAGGTACAAAATCAATGTCATTGGGTCCTTATCTTATCAATTGATTCCTGATTAAGTAGTAGTCGCGCTGCATGGACCGAGGCACACGTCACTAACCTCTTATGTTATGTTATGTTTGTTCCATACGGCGTACCGTGCCGTGATTGTGCTGTTTTATGCTTGTGCTTTCGAGTCGCACCAACCAATTTCCACCCAAGAACATAATATGTACCTGCCAGGCTTATTACCTAGTACATATAGATGCAATACAATACAATACTATACATTGAATAACTCAATTCTTTAAATATCTTTTTAAACATTGAACCTTCCCAGCCTTTAACAGATATCATTCTCTTTTCTTTCCACTTCGGGGACTTTTGGTTCCTGAAGCCTCTCCTGGCTGCCAGAGAATGATATCAGCTACGCGGCGATGGTTTCGCCGTAACAGGACTCCTATAGCTGTTGGTGTTGGCGTCATCGGCGCCGGCTACCTAGCTACCCAATATGTTCTAAACAAGATCAATGATGCGCGCGAGCGTATGAGCAGCGATCGCATCGCGAAGGAAAAGTAGGCATTGATCACCATTCGAAACTATGTCGTGTCCATTCCACGCCCAGCATCTAACGTTTCTTGCAGCCTTCGTCGACGATTTGAGCAGAACCAGGAGGATTGCACCTTCACAGTACTAGCCCTACTACCTACTGCTACTACGAATATCCTCGAGACGATGAATACCGAGAAGATCACCTTAGAAATTCAGCAGATGAAGAGCAGTTCCAAGAGTTTGCGCAGCAGTGGGGAAATTTCAGCCACACCGCCAAGTATCGCCGACACCACCATGACCGAGGAGGAAGGAAAGAGTGTAATGAGCATGCAAAGCGAGAGCGGCATACACGCAAGCCAGATGACTCTCCCCTCCGTATCTAATGCTGGGGAGGGCTCACAAGATGGCGGCCAGGCCGTTCAACGACCCAGAAAAACGAAGAGACAATTATGGGATGATCTAACGATAAGCTGTAAGCCCTTAACCTTCTTCTATAACCGTTAAACCCATTTCCTGTGTTTGCGGCTAATATAACCCCCTATTTTTCTAGCAATAACGCGCGCCTTTACTCTCATATATACCCTAGCTCTCTTGACTATGCTTACACGGATTCAACTTAATCTACTGGGACGACGAAGCTACCTATCAAGCGTAGTGTCTCTCGCGACTGGCACCGCCCAATCTACGATAAATCTTGAAAACAACGACGACGACAACCCAGAGCATTCGTATGGCAGTGACTTCGAGACGAACCGAAAGTACCTAACCTTCAGTTGGTGGTTATTACACCGCGGCTGGGTCGAGATCATGGAGAACGTCGAAGCCACCGTTCGTGAAGTCTTTGGCCACCTAAGCCCCCGAGACCTCCTTAGCTTCGATACCTTCTCGCAACTTACCTTCGAAGTGCGCAAGAAGATGGAAGCTAAGAAGTCAAATGAAGACGGCACCAAATCGGGTGCTAAGTGGTTGCCATACCTACTGCCACCAAACAAGATGGAGGATTTTGTGCTCAAGGAGTCTGGCGTTTTAGGGGACAGTGCCGCAGCTCCAGATGCCTCGTCTACGTCGGGCTCGTCGGAGACAGCGCTCCGCCGCCTCCTTGACGAGACGTCTGACCTAATAGAGTCACCAGCCTTTTCTCACGTTCTAACTCTACTCCTTGACGCCGGGTTCTCCACGCTCCTCTACAAGAAGGTCTTCCCAGGGGCGTTTGACCTACCAGCATCTACTTTCATCGGCACTCCATCAGCCCATCTAGGACAACTCGTAGGCCAACAGGCTGCCGCAACAGCAGCGGCTTCGAAGGTGGTCCTGCTTCCCAAGATTCTATCTGTATTAACACGACAAGCCCACGCCATCGGCAACGGCATGCCAAACGAATACCTACAGGAGATGGAACAGGTGCGCGACCTCGAGGCCTTTGCAGCCGTCGTCTATTCGAGCAACTGGGAGAACGAGATCCAGGATGAAGAGCTAGCCGCGGCAGCCGCGGGAGTAACGGCGAGAGCTACGGAAGACAAGACAGGAAGCAGCAGTCCGGGTCCAGAAGGTAGTCTTGTGGGTCGGTTCTCACAGACGTCTACGCTAGAGGGTGAAAGCATGGTCGTGATCGATCCGTCGCAGTCGCAGCAGACACATACTTCGTTCGAGACTGCCTGGGAGAGGGCGACAGACACGGCCGCATGATAATGGCAGCACACGTACGGTTCTCGTCGGTAGTTCCCTGACTCTTAACGTATTCAAACTTAGGTACTTTAATGAAATGAGATAAGATCTAAGGAGGGAGGGAGGGATGGAGGGAGTATATAAGATTTTTTTTTTAAAAAAAGAGTCTATTCAAATCATGGCGTACTGTAATACTGGGCTGTGGTTAGGAAAGCAGCTTTACAATAGAAAGCATATCAGGTACTTTTTTTTTTTTTTTTTTTTTTTTGCTCGTCATGGCCATCATACCTAGTATCAATCATATCAAGTCCGCAAGAGGACTCTCAACTCCTTGGGGAAGAGGTACTACTACTACAACTATCATGTGACACCACCTCTAAATTCCAGCGTGAGCCTCGTCCCGGACTAGGTACGACTGGGTAAGATATCTAAGGTTAGTTAGCTTACATGAGCCACTCCCCAGTGCGCTTGTAGCTTAGTTCAGGCTCGTTCGTCCTCGGCCGCCAGTCCATCTATTTCGGGGAGACTTGGACTGAAGCGCACTATTCGTCCAAATTCAAGATTGCCTCGGCTTCATGCTCGTCTCGTCCCGTTCCGTTCAGTCCCCAGTCCACACACTCCTCGCAAGCTTCGGGAGTTGTTTTTGCATCCGTGTATATACTTGATTTGGTACCTAGGTACCTACCCTACTTAGGTACTTTTTTTTACCGTTGCCGTGGAGCTTTTTGGTGTTCACATTAACCCCCTGATGAATTTATCCAGGCCCATCTCGAACATCTCGTTCTTGACTCCCTCGCCGCCCTTGTGCTCTACCGGCGACAACGGATTCTTGACAACTAAGTGTGATAGGTAAGGTTAGCGAGGTGGGTTCTCTCTCTTTGGGGGTGCGCGGTCTCTTTCTTAGCTTGAGTCTTCTTTTGTGTATACAGGCTATCCGCCCGAGCTCTTCTGCTATCTGTATGGACGACAGCCGGGCGCAGAAGGGGGAAGGGGGAAGGGGGAAGGGGGGGGGGGTCGTTGGGCAGTTCATGCGAACTCTCTCCCTCCTTCTACCCTGTCCCCCCTTCCTATCCGTCTTGTATTCCCCTTGACTAGCCCTTCCAGGTGGAACGCAATAATATAAAGAAAGGAGACTGGGGACTCACCGTACTCAACCCAGAGGTTGATGTAGATCTGGTGGAGGACGTTGCGCATGCTGAGGGCGCCGGGCTCGGTGAGCATGGCGAAGCGGAGGTTGGTCGGGGTCTCGTAGTAGTGGAGCTTGTAGTGCTGGGTGCGGAACGCGATGAAGGCGTCGTCCTCGCCGCCCAGCTTGCGGACCATGTTGCGCAGGCTGAAGACCGTGCCGAAGATCAGCTTTGCGTCGTCCGAGGCCGCGGTCCCTTTTCCGCGCCGACGCGGCCCCGGGGGCCCGCCGGTGTTGCTGCTGCTGGTGGTCGGCGCGGGAGGCTGGGGGACTGCGATCGTGTTCGAGGCGGTGGTGGTGGTGGTGCTGTGGTGTGGGTGTTGGTGTTGTTGTTGGATCTGCTGTTGTTGTTGGAGGGCCGAGGATGGTTGTTGCGACGGAGGGCGCGAGGAGGGTGGGCTCGTGATGGAGCTACTGGGGATGGGCCGGGGAACCCATAGCTTGGAGTATACACACTCCGCTGGGATTGATCAGCTGGGGGTGTGTGGTATCGTGTTCCCGGCGCATGACCAGTTGTCCACCTAGTTGGCAAGGTATTTGGAAGGTATTAATGCCAGGACTGACTTACTGTGACGGTCGAAGATGTAGAAGGAGTAGACCTGTATAGGCATGGCTGCTAATAAGCGGCTGAAATCACATGCCCGAGTGAATGGAAGGGAGTGGGCGAGGTTTGGTCGATGTATGTAATGTAATGTACTATTTGGTAATATCGGTATGGCAATGTAATGCAATGTAGTGAATGTACAATACATGTATTTGTTGGTTTGGGTTTAGGATGGTGCAACTTCTAAAAATAATCAAGAACTTGGAATCATCCACTTATTAGGATCAGATGTATGTACCTAAGAGGTAAGCACCGCTGCACCGGCAAGTCGGCACATGGCTGAGGTACTAGGCACTGGCTGACAGTGGCTGTACCTAGCTGTACCATCAACATTGAATATGTACTTCAAAATGTTTAACTTATGGGTCTTGATTTGCGGGCCGGTCCAGGATACAATGTAGGTATTATCGATTTACTACCCTCATAGCCTACATATATAGAGTCTATAGACAGCTTTCACAGACCAACAACATTGAATACACCAGAACTTCAATGTTTTAATCTTCACATCCATAGTAGTACTATGTAAGTATGTAGGTATCCATGAATCACTTCTACAACACATACCTACGTATTGTTTCTCCCTTATCTTTCCACGATACTACATGTATGTATCAATCGACAATTAAAGAGAGGGGTTGCACCGTTGCATACATATTGTTCAGCTCTTCAGGGTCTTTATAGTTACTCCATGTACCTACCTAGTAACCTTGAAGCTTGTTCGAACCCGGCGGGGAACTGCTGTGCTGCAGCAGCGACAGGGATTGCATTAACAGTTTTGGGGGCCATGATTCGCCCAATATCGAGTTATTAGTGCATCTAGTTGATTAGCTATTGGGCTGAAATAGTATCTTTTTTTTAAAAACAGGGGTTTTATGGCATGGAAACATGGGGTGTCGTGTTGATGTGTACATACACAGTTAAGTATTATTAGTGTCGTGGTACTAGGTAGTATAGGCATAGGTAGTATAGTGTGGTGTTACGAGGGGAAGAGCGAGGAAACGAGAAGGAAAGGGAACAAGATAGAGCCTTCCAAGGTTGAGTTTCTTTCCTACGCGTATTTGACGACAACATGCTACAACAATATTGGAGATTACACTGCACTAGGTTAGGTAGATGTATGTACCTATAATATGTATCTACATATAATGAGGGCAGTACCTACTTTAATACAGAATTAGAACCATTTCTAGGGAACTTCAACATTGAAGTTTTCTTTCTTGTCTCACCCTTACTTTTTTGTTCTTTGATCTTTCCACTATTTCATTGAGCCAAAATCGACATCTCCAAAATTGGATCTGCGTTTTGCTAGAACGGATTCAACAAAGGAAAAAAAAAAAGAAAAGAAAAGAAAAGGAAGAACTCCCCCCAAAAAGGAAAAAGAAAAGGAGAAGAAAGCCCAAGATACCCACGATGCCACCCGCATCTACTACAACCTCACCTCCAACTGCCGCCTCGGCAGTGGCAAGCGGAAATATCGAAACAGAATCCAATGCGCAAGATCCCGACAGCACCCAAAGTTTACCTTTGTCGCCTCAAATTGAAATACAGCAATATGTCGATGCGCTTGGGCGACCGTCACTTGTCTCTCACTTGTAAGTCTATAGGAATAAGTATTGTTCGATAATTTGGCGTTGTTGCCCCGCGATTGTCTTGGCTATCGTGCGATTTTGTATGGATGTATGTGTGACTAAGACATCAATCGCTATTTCCTAGGTCTGCGCCGCCTACCGCTCCTCGCTTTCAAAGCCCCATGAGGCAACACAAGAGAACGCCGTCTCAACATCGCGAAATAAAAGTTAGTAAGATTGTGGAAGCAAAGATAGATAAGGCACCAAGAATCGCAAGCTAAAATCTCACACTAGGAAACACTCAATGCCAAGACGGAGTACACAAACGACGAGACAGATGGGAGGTCGCAACAAACCATAAACCAATACACCATCAAGGAGGAGATTGGGAGGGGTTCGTACGGTGCCGTACACCTTGCTACAGATCAGTTTGGGAAAGAATATGTGAGCATGCATGAAGATTAGAACTATATGTATACCTACCTAACACCTCTTACAACAGGCTCTCAAAGAATTCTCAAAATTGCGCCTCCGAAAACGAGTCCAGTCGAATATTTTACGAAGACCCGAGGGGGGGAGACCACGGTCTCTCGGCCCCGGGCAAGGCTTATTCAATGTTCATAGAAAGCAACTAAGCCATCATGATGCTGCCGAGGCAAAAGATGCCCTTTACCTCATACGAGAGGAGATCGCCATCATGAAGAAACTTGACCACCCGAACTTGGTGCAACTGATCGAAGTCTTAGATGACCCAGACAATGACTCGTTATACATGGTTTTGGAAATGTGTAAAAAGGGAGTTGTCATGAAAGTCGGTCTCGATGACCAAGCTGATCCTTATGATGACGAACAGTGTCGCTACTGGTTTCGCGACCTGATTTTAGGAATTGAGTATCGTGAGTTCCAATCAAGGCAGCCTCTTGGTAGAGATGTACTAACTACATACCATCCCAGTGCACAGTCAAGGTGTTGTACATCGAGATATTAAACCAGATAACCTCCTGCTCACTGAAGATGACGTGCTGAAAATCGTGGATTTTGGAGTGTCGGAGATGTTCGAGAAACCAGACCGCATGATGACCAGCAAAGCTGCGGGCTCTCCCGCCTTTTTGCCGCCTGAGCTATGTCAAGCCAGGCATGGCGACGTCCCAGGGAAACCGGCGGATGTTTGGTCCATGGGAGTTTCTCTGTACTGTCTCAAATACGGCAGATTACCTTTCAAGCGAGACAATGTGCTGGAGATGTATGAAGCAATACGAACCGAGGAGCTGCAAATACCAGTCGATAACGAAGACCCGGCGTTCGTTGATTTAATTACAAGAATTCTGGATAAGAATAACGAAACAAGGATAAGTCTGCGGGAGATACGAGTAAGCCCAGACAATACCCTCCTTATAACTACAAGCGGATGCTAAGCTAGATAGAATCACCCTTGGGTCACAAAAGGGGGTAGCGACCCTCTACTTTCAGAAGAAGAGAATTGTTCAGATGTGGTGGAAGCGCCCAATGCTCTCGAACTCAACCACGCGTTTACGCAGAAGATGGACCACCTTCTCTGCGTGGTAAGTATATTCTCTCACCATAGAATATTTCGTGCTGCATACTAAAACATTGCACCAGCTAATGGCAATCAACCGATTCAAAGGACTCATCTCCAAGAGCAGGGTCGTGACACCAGAGGTCAGAACGCCACGAACATCCCTCGCGCCAGGTTTTGCAGAACACATGGCCATCCCTGAGGACTTGGTGATAGAAAAAAGCTCAAATCCGGAACCTCAAACTCCTACACAGCCGTCCCGTCAAAAATCCATCGCGGAAGAGGCTGCAGAACTCATAAGGCAACGCAGGGCTTTTCTGGCGTCCCAGCAGCACGCTTCCACTCATCCACCGGCGTCAGGTGGGGTGGGTGAGAAGGGTCATGCGCATGACTTGACAGACAAGACACCCTTATTGCTAGGTATCGGCACTGGTGGACATGACGATTTCGCAGGTTCGGATCCTCCAGCCGATGTCGTGTCTGACTCGCCTACCGGGATCGAATTCGACATATACGACCGCGCTTTTGAAACGGAGATCAAGCGTATCCGTTCCGATAAGAAGAAGGGCCGTGCCAGAACTTATCTTACGCGACTTGTAGGAGAGCAGGAGGTGAATAAGTATGCTGGTGACGACTGTATGGTGCTGGATGCTGGGAAATCACCAACGAGCAATGTCAGTTTTCGTAACTCATCGGCCATAGGAAGAGGCCTGAATCAGCTGTATGAGGTGAAGGAACGTTGGCAACATGATTCTAATGGGGTAGAGGGAAAGCGCGGAGCCTCGGAGGGTGTCAAGGAAGCGGTCGAGACAGTGAAAGAGAAGGGCAATCGTTTCGCAGATTTAGTTACGGCCATGAGGAAAGACTTGAAGGGACAAAACTCGAACTAGGAGGTAGTGCTTAGTAAGCACTCCGGAGTCTCCGGCCTATACCCCCCCTATAGTTGAGGGAGAAAGCGGATTTCCTATTCTCCAAGGTCGTGATGTGACCTATCACCTTGGACGAAATCCAGTAGCGATATTCCATGAGTATGAATAATCCAGAGGCGATGGAAGGATGGTCGCTATTGATCAAGCGGGCGTTCGGGCTTCGGACAGAGATAGGAAAAGCAACTTGGTAGGCTCGGATTTGGGCGGTTCTCTTAGCATACCTGATATCACACAAGGCGCGTAATCGCGAGGCATAACGTTGAGACATGCATCATATACATTATCTAATACAACATCTGCCTGTCTAAATACACACCCAGATAGCCAACGAGCAGGCAGTTGCTTTCGTAATATATATGTGCTCATGCAGAAGATTATGTACAAATAGAAACGTCCATTCGGAGATTTTATTCCTGGGATATGTAGGTAGGAAAGGAGAATCCATTTTCTATCTCTTGTTCGTGACCAAGATCGACCGTTTTAGATCTCTACTCCCGTTTCCTCCCTTTCTTTTGAGTTTCGGTGCTGTTTCTAGAAAAATACCTACCAAGTATGTGGAGGAATGAAGAAATTCAAGAGCGAGAATGAGAGAGAGTGAGAGAGAGATTGTTGGGGGTTCGTCCCCTCCTCATCCTGAGGTTAGCAGAACGTTGCACTGGGCCTGGCCTGACGAGCATGCGCACGCAGCGCATTTTGCTGCTTCTGCAGAAAACAGGTTAAAAGGCGGGCGCATAACTTAACCTACCTGCCTTTGCCTGCCTACCTGCCTACCTACCTATATATGAGCTTTGTTTTTTATGCCGAGCTGGACATACATAGTATATATATCGGTAGCTGGTTATGATGGAGGTTGGGCAGGTTAGATATGGGATGGGATGGGATGGGATGACCGGGGCTGCTTCCATGCAGGTAGCTGCAGTCACATTACATACATTACCTGCCTGCTTGTCTGACTAGGCACCTAACCGACCTGCCTACCTAACCGACTTCAGCTTCAAACATACTCACCGCAGGTTCCGTTGGCATCGAGATATCTAGGTATATAGGTATTAACCTACTGGCCTTGTATAGGATGAGAGAGTACCTACCTAGGTAAGGGGGGGCCGGTGCACTAGAGTTAGACGTGAGGTAGGTATGTACACTATGCATATGTAAGGTAGGCAGGTTGGTACAGAGGAAGGCATATAAAAGGTAGTTAGGTAGCTACCTAGGTTAGTATAAAATACAAAAAAAAGAATTTTTAAAAATAAAAATAAGCCACCAGATAGACCAAAGAGGTTGCAGGATCCCACGCACGTGTAGGATCTGGTTGGATGCTGTAGGTAATGCTGTAAGTAAGCACATCTTGCGTTTGGCACTTTTGAGGGAGGGGGGGGCAGGGAGGCGAGGGTAGAGGCAGTTAGGTAGGTAAGAAAGATTGACGTGATGGATCTGAAACCGGCGGCAAGGTTGGATATATGTAGACATGTACAGGTAGGCATGTAGTGTAGGTAGCTGAAGATATGTATGTGTAGGTAGGTATGTACATGCATACACCGCTAATCAGCACACCGATGGTTATCGCCGTCGCGTTTCGTGAGGGTTGGCCGGTTGAAGTTTGGTTGCTATCCATGCACAATACAATACAATACATACATAGCTACCTATATATTACCTAGGTTAGGTAGTTATATTATACATGTTCCTCTTCAGGGGGTTAGATCCTGATAACCTAGTTAGTTATGATCATGATCGCAATGCCTATTTGGTCAAGTTATGTCACAGCAAATCGAGCTAGCGTTGTCTGAATTGATTCATTCTCTTGTTCATAACTTATATATAACCTACCTTATATGCACTCCGTCTATTATACTATGTATTTACCTCCTAACCTGTATTTGGGAAACCTGGGCGATATCTCTTCCCCTCACTCCCATTGATACCTAGGTATACTATATTAATATTTCATTCCCTTTTATTATGTACTATACTTGCATATTGCATGTGTCTTTTTAACAGTTCATACAATAACTACTTCTTTTATATAGAGAACCATGGATCCCAACAACCCCAGAACTGTCCCCCAGCTGGCGTAGAATCCACCAGAAGGAACTAACCTAGCCCCTTTAAGCGAGACGATCTAGATCTCTATTTGGTCTGGTCTGGGCTCCCTCCCTCTCTCTGCTTCTGATACCTACACTACTCTCTCGGCTGGCAAGGCGCAGCAGTGGTAGTTCGGCAGCTCTAGCTCTGCGTCTTTCTTCTTCCTCTTCTGGGGGCTGAACCTTGATTTTGTTATTTGCTTGGCTTCGGCAATTGATAAAAATCGGGGGGTTTTCTTTTTCTTGGGCTCGGGCTTATGTAGGCTTGGGAGGGGAGCAGGAGGAGGAGGAGGAGGAGGAGGAGGAGGAGGGGGGTTGAAGAAAGGGGGACGGGCCGTGGTCAAAAAAGAAAAAATACCTAGAAAAGAAAAGCAAAAAGCTCGGTCAATCTAACAACGAGGCATCCAGCTTCATATCGCTACTGTACATTGGATACAAGACCTCATCTGGATAAGAATAAAAAGGTAACGGGAATAACTACCCCTTTCCATAGGTACTCTGCGTTGGGTGTTGTAATCCACGCGTCATCCTTGAGTGTATACCTACATATGCCTACCTAAGTGCCTAGATAAGTTAGTGTATTCGTCCTTACTCTTCGCCCTACGGATGAGCTGTGTGAAACATATTGACATCCCACGCTCATGTACGTAAGGATACACCAAAAGTTTCCGTAGGTATATATCAGTTAAGTAATTTGGGAGTGGGGAGAGACGAGGGATTTAATGAGCGACAGCCGCAACCCGCATAGCCGGCTACGCCAGTGATTGGGTGCAATCTCCCGAAGAGAAAAAGGCATAACATATCCAGATCAGTATCATACAATGGCATCATAAGGGGAGTGCAACAGCAGCGGTGGAGCAGCATTGCATATGACGCCACCTGAAAAGTGACCACGACCACCACGACCACAACGGCCACCAACAGGGGACAAAGCAATATTCATACATACCTACCCTCACTACACTACTCCCCTAACCTACTTACTTACTTGCTCAACCCTTTTCTTGGCTCCGAAAAGGGGGGGTACACTGCGGTTGCACGCCCCAGGTTCTCCGGTTTCCTTTGATGTGCGTTTAAGGCAAAGAATGCAACACTCTAAACCATCGAACGTGCCAACCGCGGCGACTGGATAGGTAGATCCCTTAGGATTCCCTCAGGATCTAGAGCTTGTTGCGATCACTTTTCCCCGGTCATCTATTCTCTCGTCCGAGTAAACTGTTCCCAGTGTGGGCGCACAATACCCTACCATCGGAGTGGCCAGTCAAATCTCAAGAAGGAAACCCTATCCGACATTTAGGTATGCTTTCCGTTGGGTGGGCGCCCCCATCATGGACCTTTGATCTATAAAGACGTGTCGGACAACCAGTCAGTCAATCATTCACGTCTCCTGACCATGAAGTTACAATATAAGATCACCAGGCTTATTTTGTTCCGCCCCCAGGTGGTTGGTGAAAAAAAAGAGGTCAGGCTATCGAGTAATTGGCCCAAAACAGCATTGTGCAGGAGAAAACCACCAGATCCAAATCAGGCTCCCTAATACCCTACGAAACCATATTAGACATCAGATTTCTAAGTTCAAGCATTGAATTTATTCTTGTATACATACATAGTAAGTGAGTGCCCTTACGCTACATATCAATTGGGGGCTTTCTGTCGTTGTAATTCGCCGTACGACCTCCCCTCGTCCTCTCATAGTTTCCGGGAGGAGAGACCCAACACCGAATGACAAAACGCTACCATTCTTCTGCGGTGTGAGCGGTGTGCTGCAATACCTACCTACCTACCTTATTTACCTAGGTTAGTGGTATATATGCGAATTCGGGGATCCCTTGCCTGGCTGCAGAAGCTGGCCAGGGTGGATATATAGGTATGTAGGTAGTTAGACAAGTATCTAGGCCAAGTTCGTAACACCACTTGGAGTACAGTATCAACGACATCAACAATGCCTACGTGTCTACCTAGTGTCAAGAATCCGCTGTAGAATTTGGAAAAGGATGCTTGGGTTGGGGAAGGTGAGGTAGATGGCTGTGCGCGCCACCATGGAACTAAATATTGGCATCAAATACGGCGAGGATGATCGACGTAACGTCCATTGTGAGACATGTGGATATCGGACTAATAGATATCTGATCTTCGGTGCATGATGACAAAAAGGTCTTGGCGTTGATATCTGTCCGCTCCGGGTTTGTCGATGGCGTACAGGAACTTCGTTGTCACGCTACTTCTGTCTGCGGGTGCGTAGGCGCGGATGCGGGACGCACAGGGTGACTGCAGATGTGACGCGCCACTCAGTAGGCATGTAGGTACAATACAATACCTGGAGTCCAGCTGGAGCTGATATAACCAGATAATGCACAGCCCCGAAACGGTTATATGTCTAGGTATTGTAGGTATGAACGGAAGATGCTGCTCGATGGTCAAGCCTAACTAGACTAGAGATACTACTATGTAGAGCTCGGATCTAACCCCAAGCGAATGGGAGAAGGACCCATGATATCAAAGAAATATCAAAGAACTGAGCTCATGACCAAGTAACGGCATCTTGGTGAGTTAAAAAAAAAAGCATTGGGTGCTGTGTCGATTCCTGAACTATCTGGAAGAACCTGTGCGAAATATAGTAGTGATTGGTATATCAGCCATAACATTGGCCAATAGCCTACTCCTTTAAGGTAGATCGAGATAAATTATATCATAATTCGTCAACCTTTTCCAGACTACTGGGCCCAATTGCGATCTCGTCTGGTTAGAAGCCAAGCCCCCCGTAGCCTTATGACATGTCCGTTCCACTCGTATAAGTATCAGGGGCCGCGGCACGCCGGAGCCGGTTCGAAAATGAAGAACCACTTACCCCTTATATTCGTATATGTAGTCCATGCAGGAATGTCCGCTGGTGGGGTCCGTCCGGAGGTCTCCAGACGAATGTCAATTCCTAACTACTATAACTAGTATGTATTAATAAAAGATAGAGAGCAAAAGAAAGCGAGGGTCTTGGCATTTTATGGAACCACTCCAGCCCGCATAAAATAAAAAAGGTTGTCGTTGCTTCAACTTGATATATGCATGTAACTAGTTATAACTACCGCTGTAGCTATGGAAAGCTCTCGGCTTGGCGACTGGCCGGGCTGCAGCAAGGATTAGAGCACAGATGCTCGGTGTCCACAGCGATAATGACATGAGCTTCTCATAAGTAAGAGAGTGGGTCTTATGTAGAAACAAAAACCAAACTTCTCTTTGCTAGATCATTGATGTATGGCTGGCTTCCTTGGTTTACGCTTGCTTGAGTTGATATCCGACATATAAGAATTAGGGTAGGTGTTGGCGCATTGTCTTTGGGGTAAGTAGTGTGGTGGACGATTCGTAGCGGTGAGTGTATCCGAGCTTGCTATGCCGTGCGTTCAAAGTGCTCGGTGGCGGCGGGAGCGAGGTTCCCGATCATAGCGGATTCATATACCTACCTGGTACATACCTTAGTAGTATTAACATGTGGTCTGTTCTTGGTACGCGGCAGTCGAGCTGGAGCGTAGCACCAGGGGTCCAGTCCAGATCAAGTTGTCTCAGTCTCATCTGGTACATGGAGATTGCTAGTTGATAATGGGAAATGCCTCATCTAACAGTCAGCAGAAGGCTGGGTCGAAAATGCCGGAAAATGCAACGCTCAGATGACGGGGAGCATCTTTACGATGCTCCCGTAAGCTACTACAACTAGTTAGATAGGATATCAATCTTCCGAGCTGGCTGGCTGGGTATGGTACCATCGTTTGGGATTATCGCTTGGAGGTATGGATATATGTCATATAAGTGCTACGTCGGCAGTCGGACGAAAATCTTTTCCATGGTGATGTAAGAGGAGGTGATATTAGTATAGGAGCGACAGTGTTATATCCATAGGAAAAAAGAATGTGAAGAGGTGTCGAAGAAAGATGAGGTCCTGGTCTTCTTCGAGTTGGTGAAAACAACAGCATTCGTTAACTTTTTTCATATTCCTTCATGTTAATATCAGAGACTGGTCTAGAAGTGAGCGGACGCAGAAAGGCCAGTAAGGTTAATAATGAGATATCGGGGGAAAAGGATGATTCGGGGAAAAGCCGATGTTAATTTAGCATGAGGCTCTTTGACGATGACCTCGTGGTATCTAAATACAACACATATATTTATATTTATATATATGTCGTATATTGGTCGAGGGTGGGAGGAATAATGGATGCATCTATGTAGGATCAATCAACAGCTTAATGAAATTGTATAGTTCATAAAAGACGGATCGCTACTTGTAACATACCTACATACATAGCAGACTACCTATGTACATATGTAGGGTACCTAGGTCCTAGTAGTATCATGATGTTACCCAGGTAGGTAGGTACATATGAACAGACCAACCAGATGCAGCTACCTAATGCATGCATTAGTGCACACTGGTCTGTACCTACTACCTACGTACATATTTACCAGGTCTAGGTATGTAGGATATGTTAGATTGATCAATCATAGATTGAGGTACATGCTTGCTGGGGAAGTAAAAGCCCACCAATTACGGCTTTAGAGTCGACCATGTAGTACATACTATTAGTTAGTATGTAGCCACTTTCCATCGCAATTGCTTTACAATATTCTCCCTCTCCCTCTTACGCCGTACACATACACTACATAACATATGCTGCACTGGGACTGGGCTGCTCCTGTTCTTTAGACTTTTCATCCGTGTTACCCTCAGGGCTTTGTATTACCCTGTGAAGGAGATAGCCTTGGAGGTACATATATAAATCTAAATTTAAAAATCTAATATTAACTTCTGCTACTTGATCTAAATATCAACGGTTAACGATTTTGCATACATACATACCTACATACCTACATACCTACATACCTACATACATATATATGTAAGAATTACGGGATGATATTCATTACCTAGTACACATGTGAATATTTACAATACGATATACCTGATTGGGACGGGGCTCATCCCATTCAATGAATGGGTTTAATAGAAGACATACGAAGTACAAATTTCATTTCCCTTTTACTTCAATGTTCTCACCCTACATACCTACTGGGTATAGTATGCACATGCTTTTTTTTCCTTTTCATACCTGCATAACATAATTCGACATATTACATTAGCTACCCGGTACCTAGTAGCTACCTACATACATTATGTATGTATTGTACAATACAATATCAATGTTACTATACATACATATCTAACCTACTACTAAGCTACATGTTAGCTAGCAGTTAACTACATACTAATCAATACGTCCTTGCCTTGATAGCATACATACAGATTGTAATGTATTGTACTATGTAGTATGTAGGCTAAGTGCCAGTAAGTGGTAGCCTGTAGGTTACGAATACAAAAACCCTGACATCACCTACACACAACAGCCCATCCAATGCCCTTTTTTTGACCCTCCTTTTCTTGTTAACCTTAGTAACATTGAATTCATTCCTCAGCCTAGCTAGGAGCAAAAATTACATTTCTATTCGTGGTATTGGCCATCTCCACTTGGATCGACTCAAACCTGGCTTCCAGCGAATCTTAATTCTAGCTACTTCCGTCTTGCCGTACCTCTTTTCTCCATACCCATTTCTGTATCTCTGTGCGGCGTGCGCCCTCTCTTTGGTTTTGGCTCCCTCAAATGTTAACAATGACCATCTTTACATCGTCAAAACGAAATCAAGTCAGACCTCACCTGCGCCATCTCTAACATTAGCTGGAACCACTTCGAGGTTCCTATAGATTCATCTGACCGGACCACCCAAGTCATCCGTCTCCCTCTTATTCATCAATTCATCAATTCACCACTTCACCACTTCACCACTTCATCAGTTCATCTAGTGTATTCATCCAGCCTACCTACTTGCCTACTACTTCATCTATTTCACTTTTGCCCTTACCTTTGCATCTAATTTGCATGAGTACCTACATAGACCATACCCGAGGTGTTACGGTACAAAGTATTGATTGAAAGAAAGCATAGAACGATCTGCCAAGCTGCCAGCTGCCAACTAGACCGACATTACTCAATCATCTGCTCACTCATTACTCACTGCTTGCTCACTCAAGAATAATTAGTGGGAAGAGGCAAAGTTTAGAAGAAAAAAAAGAGAGCGAAAAATCCCACACCAATTACTACGGTGCGCTTTGCGATAATCACCAAAAGGCAACAAACAATACTTGTCTAGCGCCTAGCTTTTGGAAGACACTTCTACTTATCACGGTTAAAAATTTCTCTCGATAAAGTTTTTTTTTAACTGAAAAGACAGAGAGAGAGACAGAAAGAGAAAAAAAAAAAGAAAAAAAAAAAGAGGAAATCATTGACATAACCGGTCCTTCCTTACCTTACATACCTTCCCACTTCCCGCAAATCGCGAACGGTCACCATTTTATTTTATTTATTATTATAAGTTGGGACGACCTAGACTCGCGCAAGCGTAGCAACTAAACTACTATCATAATAGCCCAGTTTTTGCCTCCCCACACACGCTCTTGCCCTACTTTGATTATTAACTTGTTGTCACGGGAAAGTACAAATTCCCATTGTCCCGCTTCTATTTAAATTTCTCTCTTCTTAATTCTTCTCTTTCTTTTCTTGCGATTAAAAGTCAAGCCCCATCTTGCCTCGGTCGACACGCCGTTTTGCAATTCGTCATTAGTGTCGCCATCTTTTGGGCGTAGCCCACCAAGGCGACCTCGAGCCGCCAACCACTTCTTCTCATTCGCCAAACTAACCCTCCTTCCTCCCCGCCGGTGCCCCCCCGTCGCCAAGTATTATTTTTCCTAATTGAGACTTGATCAATCATAGCGATCACAGGACGAAAGAAAGATATTAGAATTATCATCATCAGAAATGTCGAGCGTTTCGGAAAAGACGGTCTCCCCCAGTGCCTCTAAGCAATCGTCAATAAAATCTGTCGACATATCCACGAAATCTCCAAGATTACCACCGCAAAATGGACAGACAGCTACCGAATACCTTCATCCCGAGGGTCAACCGAAGCCACCCGAGAAGGCCTCTTTCAAGGACAAGTTAACTCGAATGTTCTCCAATAAGGATGACATCCCCAGGTCAGCCGTTGCCGACAGCTCTCAATTAGCGAAGCGCGCCGTTCCAAGCCCTTCTCCGAGCCAAACTGCTGTCACCACTGTCGCAAAACCAGGACCTGTCGTTCGCAAGCCATCCGCGGCTGAACCCCCGGCAGCCCCTAAATTGCCTCACCATCAGCGATTTGTTCCCAACCCTGACGTTCAAGGCGGCCATGAGCATTACCTCAAGGGTAGTAAGCGACAAGAGAAGCTATCCGATATGTGGAAGACCCTCCTGGGCAGAAAGCAGGACCAACCACCAGATGCTGATTTGTCCCTGGTATCCAACTGGGTAGATACACTCAAGCAAGAGAAGGAACTGCTTGCGGGTGACAAGAGAGGGGGCCCTAATCAAAGCATCACCCTCGTTGAGAAGTATGGTAAATGCCAAGAGGTGGTTGGACGTGGTGCCTTTGGTATCGTCAGGATATCGCACAAGAAGATGGAAAACGGGGAGAAGCTGTTCGCCGTCAAAGAATTCCGCCGCAGACCCGAAGAGACGGAGAAGAAGTATAGCAAGCGCTTAACGGCCGAGTTCTGCATTTCGTCATCTTTGCGACATCCGAATATCATCCATACTCTAGACCTGCTAAAGGACCAAAAAGGTGACTATTGTGAGGTCATGGAGTATTGCTCTGGTGGTGATCTCTACACGCTTGTCCTCTCCGCTGGCAAGTTGGAAGTGGTGGAGGCCGATTGCTATTTCAAACAGATGATGCGTGGTGTGGAATACTTGCATGAAATGGGTGTGGCACATCGCGACCTCAAGCCCGAGAACCTACTTCTGACAAGTCATGGCGCACTCAAAATTACGGATTTCGGCAATGGTGAGTGCTTCAGAATGGCATGGGAAAATGATGCCCACATGGTATCGGGTCTCTGTGGATCCGCCCCATATATCGCCCCTGAAGAATACATTGACAAAGAATTCGACGCTCGTGCTGTTGATGTCTGGGCTTGCGGTGTTATTTACATGGCAATGCGGACCGGGCGGCATCTTTGGCGGGTGGCTAAGAAAGACGAGGACGAATTCTACGAGCGTTATCTTGAAGGACGCCGTGACGAGGAGGGTTACGGCCCAATAGAATCACTGCACCGTGTAAGTCTCTCACCCAATCAGCCGAGCCGAAGGTGGTTATTTTTTGATGAAATGAATTAACGAATTACATGCAGGCTCGCTGTCGTAATGTGATCTATTCCATCTTAGATCCTAATCCTACGCGACGTATCACAGCATCTCAGGTGTTAAAATCTGAATGGGGCCGTGAAATCAAACTCTGCAAGGCAGGTGAAGAGGGTCTATAAGCGGAGGGACCTACGACAAGCAACTCCTCTCAACCAAGGGTCAATCTTACTTCCCATGGTGTCTTTATCCTTGTGGTCAATGGTGACAACTCTTGATACCCTTCACCGCCTTGTTAGGGGGAGCAAGCATGCACCACGAATTAATCAACCTTAATCACACATGAGTCTTTGAAACTCTTTCATGAACGAATATTCTGTTTTCATTCCGCATGGAGTTCCGGTGAGATCACAGTTTCTGTCTGGCATTATCCTTCGATTCTCAAGCTCGTATTCTTCAATACACATTTTCTTTTTACTGTCAACTCTCGGCTAGGCAACCAGGAAGGATTCTACTGTGCGTCGCATCGGAACAGGATAGGTGATAGATGCGTCATGCGCACTGCGAGCGAGCGCCAAACCAAGGGTGACTCTTATATCCATTGTACAAGAATAGAAGCATACTCGCATTCTACTGGTCTACGCGAAAGGGGCAGGGGGCAGGGGGTGGGGGACTGAGGTGGGAAAGGGGGGGGGGGGGGGGGGGGGGAGAGGAAGGGGAAGGGGAAGAGAAAGGATTCTCTTCGTTCGATTCATTCGATCGGTTGATGGTAACTTTGGTCCAGAACGAATATGAAGCTCAATTCATTCAACCTTATTCGTTCAAGGAAACCCCGTAACTCAGAAAACTCTACATAGGCAGTTTGCAGTCCAAGTCGGAAGGCTTCGCCCTCTTGTCGTGATGCCAGACACGAACATGGGGTGAAATATTTTGAACGTCTTGGCAAAACATTTCAGCAATGCCTTTTGAGTAATAACAAATTCATTACCTAGGTACTTTGTATTGTTTTGGTGCCCCTATCATGCAGTAAATATGATTCATCATCATCTACAGCTCCGAGTACCCTACCTAGTAGTATAGGTGCTCACATCATCCCCTTTTATCTCCAACCTCACCGTCGATTCTTCCCCTTTCTCTATTATTATTTACCCTTCACCCTATGTCCTTTTCTTCCACTTGCTAAGACCAAGGCTAATTCATCAGTTCAGTCATAGTCATGGTGAACATGATACGAGTATGCGAGGCTACTGGAGTAGGCATGTATGTTTCTATGTAGGTACCTAGGTAGGTATGCAGATATGCGACGTGATTGCACTACCTGCACCGGAATCGTGATTCAAACGGCAAGTCAATGTGCCAGGATTGTAAATATTATCGAAGAAGCTCTCGAACGCCACAAGCCCGGTTGTATAACAAGCATGGATGGAAGATGGGGGGGGGGGGGGGGGTCGACGGAGAGCATCTATCATGTCGATCGACAACTCTAAATCCGCTGGGCCAACACATCATGTTTTGATGGCGGTAACATGGCGCCTTTGCATTTCATGATAAAAAAAAAGAGTTCATTTTGAGCATGTTTGATCAAGCCTACCTAAGTGACAGCTTTCAACCCCGGCGTTTCTTCTCAACGTCGAGCGCAAGGAAAAGGATTCGAATCAGAGCCATTTAACTATTTCTCTTTGAGCCTGCCTGCCTGCCTGCCTACCTAATCCAACGAAACAGAACACGCCAGCCTAAGCTATGTGCTGCTGGGGTGCAGATACCGGGGGGTGTTCTCACTACCTGGGTACCTACAACGATATCCAAGTCTTGATCGCCCATCGTGAAGCTATTCCTTTAGGTAGGAGCAATGCCAACATTATCCGTTTGAGCTCCCAAGTGGCCCGAATCCGTCATGGGAAAGTGACCGTCCGACCAGGAGCAGAGAAGCCCGTGGAGTGCCCTTCAGACAAAAGAAAAGGGCCGGGTGTTTATTTACAAAGAATCGTCGTCTTCGCGTCGTACAGTACGTAGGCTCTGCTTCGGCGAAAATGAAAAACATGAGCTGGGAGTGCCTATGTCGCCCAAGTTTGCGAGTGTGGCCATTCACTATATTATGTATGTCTGGAGAGATAAAAAGTATATATATATATATATATTTTTCTAAAAAAAAAAAAGAGAAGCTATAAATAAATAACTATTTCGCAAGTAACTACTGGTTCTTGGAAAAAATTCTTCCCCATCGGTCACGCTCTACACATTCTAGTTACCTATACGACCAAGAAAAAGCCAACGGTGCGACTATGGAAGAACAAAACACGTGCTTTTCAGTTTATATATTGAGGGAGGACCTTGTGTGGTGAACCCCAAAGCATTACCTAGCGACAATTATTAGTGTTTTGCGAAACGGATATACATACATAACAACGCTTGTAAGAGCACAGGATCTACGCTGCGCCAGGGTGTTCTTGGACGAAGAAGCAGAGCCAGCGATGAGGCGAGATGATGCCGGGGCCTCTTGCTGGCTCGGGGGGTAATGTAAAGATTATCGCTGTTTATGGAATCAAGAGACGTGGTTCATGTTATTAAAGACACCTTGTCGTGTCAAGGGAGCCTTCGAGAGAATTGGCATGGGTGCTTGGTGTCAAGACTACGGAAGATATAAAGATGGGGGATATGAAGGTGGAAGGAAGTAATTCTTCCGGAACATGGAAGGAAGACGTTATTGATATCATGTAGCATTTAATACCTCCTGGCACTTACGTACCTAGGTAGATATAACATACCATCAAACCTGAGCAGCTGTTTCCGCACATTCTGGCGTCCATGAATTAGTTTTAACATTGAGAATCTTGTTAGAAAGAGCCGTATTATGTACCTATTACCAGAACCCCCCCCTTCCCCCCTTTAGTCCCAGACTCCTTTTTCGAGTCATACCGACCTCCTACCCACGAGCCCTGTTTGTCTGGCTACCGATTTCCACGGTTTTGAATAAATACATGTTCCTTTCCCCTCCCTCGGCCTGCCCCTTATGGCCCGGCATCTGCTTCATCCCAGCCCTCCACAGATGTATCGCTCGTCATACTTCATGCTTTCTCCTCTGCGCCAACGAACTCGGTGAAGCTGAATTCACCTCCCAGAAAAAGACAAAAAGCATCACATACCCCCCCAACAATGACAAAGGAAAAATTAGCAGCACCTTCACTCTTCTGCTAACACTGGATACTGGTCATCCAGACCCTAAGAGATGAGGCATCTTACATGAGCCCCGGTGCCTAATTATAGCTAGCATGCCCTCTGCAGCCCTTGTGCTCAACGCCGCCATCTGAATCGCGGAGCTAGCACTGCTTAGACATTAGATCCCCCCAGTCACCACCCCTATCCGGCACATGAATGGCTCACGCCACGAAACAAGGCCACATGCGTGAGATTGTTGGCAAACAGGGCATCAAGTCCTAGGTCTAAGACTTTACCCGTCAGCAAAACCATTCTTTTTGCCTCCCAAAAATCCTCCACGGGGCTGATATACGAATATGGCGGTATGTATTTCGGGCCGTGGTGTAGCGTAAATTCGTGAAGTTGCAACAAAAAACAACCTGATCCATCCTGAGAAGATGATCGCCAAGTCCTCATGAGTGAAACAGATCCCAAGCTCTCTCACATAACCTTAGGAACTCTTCCCGCTTCTGTCGTTGTGTCTCGGGACTATCCCGGCCAGCCCCAAACGGCCCCCTCCGCGTCGCTGCAGGACCATGACCAAGAGGTGGACTGCTTCCCTCTTCATACTCGGCACGAGTTCTTCTCCTGCTCGTACCTCGGCCCGCATCCAAGGGTCCCGGCCCATTTCGGGGTGATGGGGGCGTGGGGGGTTGGTGTCCCGTGTAGTGGACGAGCTTGGGTAGTAACTCTGGTCTACCACCGGACAATTCATGCTGCACTTCTTCTGCTGACTTGTAATCTCGAGGGCGACCCGACATGGGTGGTTGTGATGGAGCCGGCGGCGGATGGCCCGGCGAAGCCAATGGTCTGTGGCTCGAGCCAGGATACAACGCTCGGTTGTTTGGGTCGGAATGCGATGAGAGCCCCTGGTTGCCAAACACATCGGAGATTGGGGGCAGACGATTGGCCGTTTGGTGGGCGGGAATGTGGTGAATATGGGATGTGCTCGACAGATTGGAAGGTTGGTTGGTAAGGTGTCGAGTTAGGGGCTGCGGGTTATGGCGGCCAGTAAATGTCTGTCCCAAAGGTGCGGACTGGATAACCCGCTCGTTGGCGAACTGCTCGTGGGACGGCGCTACAATGCTCAACCCCGGAGGGGCCTTGTTTCGTCGAGACATTCCTGGGGTCTTTGCGGCAAATTGAGAAATAGAGTCCTTCTCTCTTCCAGTATCGGGACCATCACCCTTGGCGGATTGCTGTTGCAGTCTGGCCTCAATAATACGACGTTGCTGCTCTCTGACATTCATGCTCTGTTGTAAATGTTCCTTCATTACGGGATCTTGGGTGACGAAGCCAGGCGATAAGCACGCTATGCCGACCTCCTGAATGCCGAGCCCTTCTCTTCCTAATGCCGGGCGTGCTGTTGCAGCGCCCGACCCGGTGATTGTGTTCTTGGAGAGATCCAGCTTTCGCGGACGATGCCGGGTGGTCGGGATACCTGGAGACCCAGGCTCCTTCTTCACGATGATCTTTGGCGCAGAACCGCCCGACACATTTCGAGTGCTATGGCAAAATAGTTGTTAGATTTATTTACATTAATGTATTTAGATAAACTAAAAGGAATATAATGTGTGATAGAAGACTTCTATTTTCTATTTTTTTTTTCACTTTTCTTTTTCGTCTTGTGTGATGATGGATGGATTTATGACGGATTGAAGGATTGATGCAAGACGAAAAAGAAAACTTGGAATAAAAGGTACTTACGCGCTTGGAGGGGAAGACTTTGCCGCAGTCTGGGCGGCCGATCTTGTGGGACTTCGGCTGGTAGTTCGTTGCGATGTAGAAGTACAAGTATTGGCATTCGGTGTGCCCGAAATCGCAGCCAAAGTGCGTGGGACGGAAGGTGATGAGACCGGCGCAGCGGCAGTTCCAGTCATCATAGAAGATGTGGTACCCGCAGCGCTGGTCGCAGGAGCCAACTCAGCATAAGTCGGTCTATCGTGGGGAGCCGGGGAAGGGGCCATAGCGATCGCCGCGCTCATGATGCAAAGTTTTGTATGTACGAAAAAGCTCAAGCTTTTTCTTAATATGGAAATTCCAGGTACGATGATGTTAGTTTGGGATTGAGTTTTCTCCCTACTTTCCCTTTTCCTTGATCGCTTGTCGCCGATCCTCTCTTATTTTATTCCCGGCTGAAATGGCTGATGCGCCACGCGGGAGTTGGCAGCAACGATATAAATGAGCGCAAGGTATGGGAAGCGTTGCAGCGATGGGACAGGGAAAAGACGCTCCAGACGTCAGCGAAATAGATTGAACAAAGATGAGGCGCACTTTTGTGTCCTCCTTCAACTTAGCGCTTCTGCGCTCTTGCAGGCCGGAGTTGCAGAAAATTCGGTATTGGGCCCCGATTATTGTTGCAAATGCTTGTGGCCAGTAGCGATAGCCTTGTCCTTTTTCTCTATCTATCCGACTTCGTATTGGTTGGTAGGTGGGCTTGTGTGCCAAACGCGCCAGTAGTTGATTAATGGCTCGATTTAACCTATTAATTCCTCAAGATGAGTTGAATTACCTTAGCTTGCCAATCAAGCAGAGCAGGAAAAATCAGAATTGGGTCAAGACACTTCAGCTCCCGAGTAAGCAACCGATCCAGTACTTGTATCGGGTTTGTGATTCTTTCTCAGGCCTTGAACCGTACGGATTAAATCTAGACTGGTGTCGAACGTATAGTCTTGCAGCCAATTGCTGATAATATAATATGTCGATGGGATGGAGGGAAAATCCCGGTCACCTAGATATTCGGATGTGGTCGATATTTCGATTCGATAATCGGCTCGAAGGTTGCTCCTGGAGATCGGATCCGAGATATTTTGGTTCGACCTCTCCTTTGTCTGTCCTTTTCCGGTTTTAGGTCACTACGAATTGTTCTTGCTCTTGCTCTTGTTCAGTCTTAATCTTGACTTGATCAATATCTTCTCTCAGATCGACTATGGTTATTAACGAACGCGCCCCAGCTCTTTTCTCTTTAATGATCCTTCTCAATATCGTACCGATACACAGGACGAAAGTTGCAGGCGATGCTCGGAATTTCTTGATGGGCTGAAATGGGCACTCGGAACACAAAACGAGCGAATCGCTATGGCTGAATGGCTGCTGATCGATGGAAATCAACGTATTACTACGGCGTTGGGTGTTGAACGAATACCAAAAAAAAAATATGGCTTGAATGGAGGGGGTGAAGAACGAGAAAACTGGGAGATTCAGAATATTCGAACGACACAGCGCGAGGCTCGAGTAAATTGGAGATATGCAGTAGATGGTATATACGATGGCAAACGAGACTCTTTCCCCTCGAAGAGAATTTTCTTCTTTTTGTTTTAGTAAGTGAAAAAGGGAATGAGAAATGGGGAAACTGGCAAAGGGAAGGAAGATTATAGAGTGAGGAAAGAATTGTAGCGAAAGCGAAAGGACTCGACGAAGGGACAAGTGTGAAAAAAAGTATGGATGGGAATTAAGGTATGTAGGGTAGGGTATTTTAGTGCAAGTATGTAGGTTAGTTAGTGTAATAAGTTGTAGATAGGGTAGGTAAGTTAGTGGTTAAGGTTCGAAGGAAGGGAAGGGTCAGGAAGTGTTTCGAGGCGGAAAGAGGGGCAGTTCTGATGGGCCGACCTCCCATGTTATTAGCGGGTATCCTTCAGGGACAAGAGGGCGTTTCCAGAAGCACAGACAGTCCTGCCCTGCAGCTCCCTTGGGTGTATGTATTGGGATGATGTCGGGTGTATTAGAGTACCTAGTACTAGTACCTACAACATTTGAACATTGAATACACGTATGTAGGCTGCTAAGTAGGTACTAACTAGCATAACCTAGGTACAATACATCATTGATCCATTAACTACATAACTACATACCAATACGCTACAAGTTTCCAAGTTTATAACTAGCACGGACCTGTGGATGGCCCTGCACGCTAGTGTGCCAGGTAGACACTAGAGATTCAAAATCCTCTCCCAATCGCGATTTATGAAAGGGGAACACAGTTGACACAAATAGTGTGTGAGATAAGTGTGGGCTCCGACAAACGTCTCGAAGGTACATATGTACCCTGCCTAGGACCTACATATGTAGGTACCTAGGGTACGTGAATTTTGAAAGTCTTGAATTGAATTTACTATGTATTCTGCGTAGTGTAGCTAACGTAGGTAATGAAGTCAATACTGATGTATGTAGGCAGGCATGCACAACTTACGACCCATGTCCATGACCAGGCACCATGACAATGACATTATGTATGTAGGTACAATACAATAATTAGCTATCAAATTATCAATGATAAACTGATATTACATAGTATTATTAATGTAGAACTTCAAATGTTCAATGTTGTTACCTATCAGCGCCATTGCTTCTATATATTATACATAGACATACATACATCCATACATACATACATACGAATTCCAAAACGAATGGGAAACTAATCAACGCGATAGACATGACATCTTTGGGCTGTCTTACACCCCTCTCCCCCTCCTCTCCCCCTTTCTCCTATCTTATGTATCCCCTTATGACAATGTAGGTAGGTAAGTATTCCCTAACTTGTACTGTATTTCAATGTTGGTCTAGATGCGACAAGAAACAAACGAGCAGCAATTCAGGCTGCATGGTGAAACCCAACTAAGTGGAATCCTCTTCTTCCGTTTCTGCTGTCTCTCTTCTTTTCTTCTTCCTCTCTTGTTTTTTTTTTCTGACCCTTTTGAACCCACAACAACATAGTCGCCACATGCAGAATTTACCAAACAGAAAATAAGTATGTACGTATTACATATGCGCTTGTAGAAGCTTTCGTCCTTCCCCCGGTTTAGGCGGCGGCGAGGAGCAACTGGTGGGTACCATGTTCTCGTGAACGGTCAGGGAAATAGAAGGTTTTGTGGAACTGTTTCCTTTCTCGGGAATCTGACGATGGATGGAGGGCCCAGCTGGCCAGCCAAGAAATGGAGCCCCGTTGCTCTGCCTCCGTAGTTTGTTTTACATTGATGCTTAGCAACCCGCCTAAGCCATCTAAATCCCAGTCCAAGGGATGATTGTCTTGAGTATGATTGGATGATTGGATGATTGAATCCTACGCCACCGATCAATTTCTGAAATTCTGGAATTACGGTAGCTGTTTTATTATTATTTTTATGTATTTTCCCCTTCTCTGTTCTACTATGTACTGGCAGCAACAACTTTGCAACTAACTAAGCCTGCCCATCGCAGCCCATCGCATACATAGGTCAGTTAGTCATTAGTATGTAAGAGTAGATAACTTGGGCGAAAGGGGGCAAAAAGGAACAGCAGAACGAGAAAAGGTGATGGAAGGTCAAACCCCAATCGAATTCATTTGGCCCTACTACTAGTAGTAACCTAGAAGATTTACACAAACTATTGAAATGCGAGGTGCTGGATCAACTCTCGGCTGGGACGATTCAAGATTGTTATTCGCCCAGTCACGTCACACAGGTCGGCGAGGTTCCTAGGCGAGGTATATTGTTAGTCTACAAGGGGACATGAAGGGACAGGAAAAGGGTTGAATGATGATGGATGTGATCCATTAGTCCATCCGTCTATCCATCCATTCATACATCCAGTTGAGTATCCCACTCGTCCAAAAATGTTGCCGCATGGTCCACCTGGTCTGGTCGTATACGACTGCAACATCGATTTTCAGGTGAATTCAGGTGAAGCTACTATACCCAGACTAGCGCAAGTTGTAGGTCGGCATGGATGTTTGTTGCTACATATGTAGAGCCTAGAAGTTAGGGTCTTTGTCAGATCAGATGAAGATTATTACATAGTATGTACACATTACTATGTACACACTACTATGGACATACTACATATGTAGTACCTTGATCCTTACTTTTTAACCCGAAAAAGAACACCGTCCGTTTGGAATCTTGGAAACTTCAATGTTTTCTCCTGCTCTAGCGCTATAGCATTGCATGCCTACTACATTCTATACTAGGTATAACAAAATACCATACAATGTAGTAGATGATATATCGTTGTAGTATTATTTGCATGTATAACTACCTACCTAACTTACAGGTATCGAAGATGAAGATGGGAGGATTCCATAAGGAGTAACCCCCCTCTTTGACGAATAATCCAGCCTAATCTAGGTACAGTACATATGTATTGATTGATAAATGCGTACATACCTTGTATATACATACACGCATACATACTAGGTAATGTATATCGTATATATAATATATAATATATACAACATAGTCATGTATACACAGCATTTGTAAATTCACCAAAGGCTTGCTATAATAACACCTTGACCATCATGGAAGAAAATAATCACATGAACTCCCGAGTCTATAAAAGCGTCTGACTTTGGAGATGCCGTCGTGTTTCAGTTGTAAGCTCCGGCCCGGAGGAGAGGGGGGAACTGGGGCAATTAGAATAGGAAATAAGAAAACCAGACGGCGGGATTGCGGCTTGAACTGCCGCATCGAGAGTGACGAGCAAGCAAGCAAGCTCTTTGTGGCGGTGGCCCGTGAACAAATCATTCACAAGCTAACAGATCGTCGTCAAGGGTAATTTTGGGGAGGGGGAGCTTTTTTTTTTTTTTTTTTTTTTTTTTTTGCGGCATGGATAGCTTCGTCTTTTCTGTGCTGTAACTAGTTAATACTACATATGTACGCGTAGTGACTGGTGATGTGGAGGTGAAGTAAGTATATTAACATCAGCATCAGTTTAAGAAGGCGATAAAACAACGGTTTCTCCCCCTTGTTTTGTGAAGAATGCGATTTCTACCTGGGGTAGCTAGGGTACATAGTTATGCTGTATTGTATTGTATTGTACAATTGTCAATACTTGACTTAATTAGGTAACTAACTAACTACTATGTAACTACCTAACATGCGCTAGGTACGTAGCAGTTGCCTAGGTGCCTCATCAATGGGGATCATCCATATAGAAATGATGAGAAGCAGACACGTGCTCCTCTCTCATACATTTTGTGTATGTGAATTTCAGTTGGCTTCAGTTAATTTACATCAAGTATGATAGGTACATGTTAAAAGAGAAAAGAGAAAAAAAGCTTCAGGTGTGTAAGCGCCATTGGAAAGTTGAAACATGAACCCTTGGCTCGTGTCCAATCCTAAAAGTAAAGAAGCCAGAGTAGAATCCTTGTCCGGTGACGATATGTATTGTACTACCACAGTTCAGTACATTGGTACCTAGGGTACCTAGGATACCTAGTAAATAGTAGTAATATTTCTCTTATTAATTGTCCCTCCCGTGCCGTGCAAGTTTAACATTACGAGACTTTGTTGTCTCACATTCTCGACTCACCAAGTTAGATCTTATCTTCCGCGGATGCCATTGGTGATGAAATATTATAAAATATTATGAAGGGTCTTTGATCATCGCATATCTGTATTGTATGTCTGCACAACTACCTGCTTATCTGTATCGTACAACATACATCCTACATACATCCCACATACATATGCATATCCCTCCTTTCAACGTCCATGTGCATAGTGACGAGAATTCGTTGGATTACTACCTATTAGTATACATAGGTGATGTATGTATTCTACATATTAGACCCACCCAAAGGTATTATAGGGAGGGAAGCAGCTGGGCTTTCGAGGGGCATCCCGCATATTCAAACCCCGACTTTTTGAGTCACCACATAATAACTACATATAGGTACAACTGTGCAGACCTGTAGGTGATACTACTCTTGTGTCTAAATTAAGCTCACACCTCTTGATTAGGCATAGGGCGATGCAGTTTGCCGCGCGGCAGTGGAGATTTACAATAGCATGTCGTGGGCACTGCATACTTTATATATATGTAGGTAGCCGGTTGGGGGCTGCATCTTCTTATAACATAGTTACCTACTGTACATACCTAGGTAGGCATCTAGGAAAGATGGAATAGGAGATAGGGGATAGAGGAGAGGGCTGAGGACTGAGGACTGAGGACTTAGAAATTTTAAAAAATAAAGAATATAGGGGAAGGGGAAAACATGTGCTCCTACTCGCTATTGGAACGCTCGACACAAGTAGGCTCGATGCCGCGCTTGGAGACTCCCACCATCTGGAAGCGAAAATCCCTAAGCGCCATTCCTCCTGCTACAAGATACCGTCGGCTATTAAATGGTAAAAGTACTATTATTAGTTAGATAGTACATACGTAATAAGTATGTAGCCATGCTTTCCATCCCGTCCTTCTACACGTGTAGAAGGCCTACATAGGACAACCAGGCCAACAGAAGCCCATCATCCCACATCCCACAGCTGAAAGCTACGAATATAGATGAGGCGGGCGTTTCCATAGCCCCAGCTGCCCATATACCTACATATAGGCAGTGTATGCACCCCCGAATCTCTAGGTGATTCACAAATCATACAACGAATCCCACGGCCCAATGTCGACGCCCCCCTACAAGAAGAGGAAAGGGAAGGCCGATAAGCGAAGAAGAAGAAGAAGAAGGCAAAATCCTCCGCAACGCCGCGAAGCCGCAGCGTCACACGTTGATTGCTGATTTATGCCGCAAGCTACCTACCTACACTAAGAGTTCGTTGAATTAGAGCCGGGGGAGGGGGGGGGGGGGGGGGGGGGGGGGGGGGAGGAACACGGATCCCTACTCACAGCACATTCGGATTACTACAACACAACCAACTAGGTACTGTATCTAGACGACAGATCTCGGAAAGGGTCTGATAGTTGTTACCTACCTATGTATGTATTTCCAAGCCCATGGCCGGGGTTTTTCTCTGATCGGAGGAGGCCTGGCCTTGGAGCATAGCATGTGACGTGATGTATGTAAGAACTCAAGTTTCACTCTAGCCTCCCTAGGTAGGCATTATGGATCGATAACCCACCGGAGGTATGTAATGTAATGTATTGTACAGTATTACGTAGTCAGGCCTCCCTACTGCTTATGTATTATTATATGTAATACCTACCTGTATTAAAGAAGCTTTTCCGGATTCAAAACCGTATCATCATCCGCGAGCATCAATCACGGGAGACATGAACACAGTCCGGATAATCGGCGGACGCCAAGACAACGTACAAATGATGGGAGCGCTTCTAGGCAATGGGCAGAGCCTGAACATTCATTCAGATGAAAAATACGCACGCACGAACATGGCAAAGCAGATGCTTACCTATGTTTGTTCAAGACCGTCCGGTATTTGCATCCGTCCCATGTACATAAGAACTTACTATTTCCCCATATAATACCTGGGTACCCTTTCGGCATAAACACACACACACCAATCTGATACCAATTTACCCCTGACCAACGTCTCCGAGAAAGCCCTGGAGCACATACATACATCATCAACAATGCAACAAATATTCTATAGGTATCTATGTAGGTATCTAGGCAGGGAGGTTATATCTGAACTCCCTCTATATGTCTAATATTATATATGCTAGGTCGGTAGTTAAATACTTCCGTTGGCAAAGTGAATAGGCAAGAAAATAGTCGATACCCAATAGTATGCGAATAGATTTCTTATACCCAAACGTACAAGGCACGCGTGTGCCCTTTTCCTATAAAAAGAAAGCACACAGGACTCCCATCGCTAATATATGTACCCCGATGGCCTTAATAGGTAGGTATTCAATGCGCCCATGCTTGTTTTTCCATCATTTATCGTTGTTTTTTTCTATTGTCCCGGTTGGTTGCCCGTGTCTATATCTTCCAATCTAGATTAACTAAAGCTTGAATATCAGACGGTAGTCCGTAGTCCACAGGAGACAGGTATCACGCATCACGCATCATACTTCGCCTCATACACTTAAGTCTCCCGGCCTCTCGACCCCTCGTCCAATACCCTTCCTTCGCCCTTTCACCACAGCAAGCAATGCCCTGCCCACAGCCTCCAAATCACCCAGCATGGTAATATGACCGCGGTCCGTACTGACGCGTCCATCCTTGACAAGCTCGTACCCGTCTGGTAGCATGGCCTCACGTGCGAGCACGACACCGTCGCCACTGCGAAATACGAGGTCATCGTACGCGTCAGCGCATGCGATCTGCTCTCTGGAAGCTACATGCACCGCCCACACCGTCGGGATCTCCTTCCCATAAATGACAGCAAGTGGAGGATACACGTTCGCCTCTGTATGTTCCGGCCGGTGCTCTGTCTCCGCCCGGAATCGTTTGATCTCGGCCAGTGTCCGTGTTAAGTACTCTAGATTACGGCTACGTGCCCCTGTGTCCTGCTCATGCTGCCGGTTCTGAGCGGCCAAATTGGCGCTTGCATCTCCTTGTAGCGTGCCCAACTGCGGCGCTAGGGTGCGATCGTTGGAGAACTCGATTTTTCGCGCGGCTTCTGTGACGGCGTTGCGTGACGGCGACCTAGACTCACTCGCTGCGCTATTTCCTCGACTTCTCAGGGGCGCCGGCAACCTCTCGGAAAACTCTCGTAGCGAATTGAGTGGACCGGTGCGGGACTTATAGGGGGGTAATGCTGGCTCGATACACGGACTCCAACAGTACTTGATCCACTCCTGCGGGTTGTAAAAATCGACCGGGTACTGCTCTCCCGTATTTTTGTTGATGTAGCAGAAGCCATCTTCCGGTAGAAATATAAAGCTAGTCCTTAGAGAGAAGTTGACTTGTGCAGTCAGGACCTTCTCGTTGAAGAGTACAGCATCACCGTTTCTGATAGGGCCCAAGATATTGATGCATCGCTGAGGAGTCCCCGCAAATATCACACCAGAGAACAGATCGGGTCGTTGATTTATGGCGTGACGAGTAATAAACCCCCCGAGGCTATGTGCGATAACCATTGCTCCGCTGCCCTTCGTATGGCCTGTCCCCTGGTTCGAGGGTAGTTGCTCAAGAAAGCTGATGAGTTTGCGTGAGAGTAGATGAGGGCTTAGCCGCCAGTCGTAACCATAGTCGTACACTCTGAGCTTCCCTGTCCTAGCATTTTCACTTTCTCTCAGTCGTTTGAACAATCGTTTCGAGATGTCGACCGGTCCTATATTTTTGAGCATCCCGGAGGCATAAATACTTTCCTCCATTCTCTCCTCATCCTCAGCATCTAGTCCGACCTCCAGGTTAACTTTTCGAATATTCAACCCGACCTTCACCGGCACCCAGACTTGACGATTGGTCTTTGTAGATCTCAGCACGGAACCGCGGTATCCGCCCATGATCACTATATCGCCTGTTAGTAGCTCTAGGGCACGGTCCAAGTCCGACATATTATCATCCTTCGGTGTCAATGGCCCGGCTTTGAGGTTGGGCGAAGCACGCGTAGAATCCGATAGAGACGTGCTTGACTGATCAAATCCCAACAGCGAGTTTCTCTTCAGCGGAGCGGGAATAATGTCTGGTAGCTGGGGTAGTTTAAACGTTGGCCTATCCCAGCTGTCCGTGATAGCCTTGAGCCTACTATTCTTCTGTTCCCGAATGCCGTTCCATCTATCATCATCACCAAAGGAGGATACGCGCGATAGTGAATGATAAAGCATGGACTCATCAGAGGTAGACCTTCGCATGGCCCGCGGTCGATTGGATGCTCGAGGCAATGCAGTAACACCGTCGGCACGAATGGGTAAGGTCATAACTGATTCCCTATTTGTCGATGAAGTTATGCTCCTGGAACTCGGCGTAGCCGGTTCGGCGAGGAAAGATGCATACTGCTTTGTCTCTGCCACATCACTACTTGAGAGGGTAGTTCGTTTGGTATCTGAGCCTATGGTCTTTGCCGACGAAGGTCCAGAAAAGAATGACTGAAGAGATATAGACGGTATGGATGGCATAGATGGAAGTGCGTCTCGTATTCTCTTGAGTGCATCAGCACCCCCAGACGAAGAGCGGCGGTGCTTGTTCTGTCCAAACACAGATGTCAATGAAGGCTTCAAGCTAGGTTCGTTTTGAACGACCATCTGCTTTGGTCCGGACAGCCAGGGTGATGGAAATCTTTGCGGCGGCTGCTGACTCGAAGGCAGTTGGCCGAGGGAGAAGCCCCTGATTTGACGCGTTGATGCCTTGGCCGCGTTTGTCTGATCCTCTGATTCACTTGGCGGGCCTATTGATGGCGAATGCAGCGAGCTTCCTGTTTCCGGCGTTATTGTGCCTTCGGCGACACTGAACAGACCACCACCTGGTAGACGCTCCAAGGCGGCTGCCTTTTCTGCTGCGGGTGTCTTTGGCAAGGTGAGCCGCGTGGCTGCTGGGCTCAGCGCCGGCTGTATCATGGACTGGGCATCATCTTGATCGATGTACAAGGGCTCATCATCTGGTGCACTATCGGAGGTTGGTGAGGCCTCTCCATCTGATATCACCAGGCTTGGCGGCTCTAGTATGGCCGGTAAAGGCGATACCCGTGGTTGGCGTGTCGGTGTAGTGGCCATACTGCCCAATCAAAAGCCAATGATGCTAATCAAGCCAATCCGATATCATGGACTACCTAATAAACCTCCGAAGATGGTTAAAATCACCAAGGTTGATGTTGCTAACAGAGATTCGTAGGCGTTGCATTGGATAAGTAGATAAATTGTTAATTCACGGTGTTGATGATTTGTTGGGCTGCATAACCGGAAGCACCGGGGAAGATAATTGTTAACGGAACTCGAATCTCTTCAAACAATTAACAACCCAGTTAACTGCCTAGGTAGATAGGTAAGCTCGTGACTCGGGGATGAATGGCCGGAGATTCGGTAGTGCACGCTAATCCGTGGACGGGTCAGAACGGGTTACCGAATAAGATGTATTGACGCTATCGAAGGTAATAATAATAGAACAGTTCTGGGTCTTTTGGGTCTTTGGGCCTTTGGGCCTTTGTGTCTTCGCATGAACCTCCTTGCGTTAGGCAGCACACATTGAAGTTCCCATAGTTATAATTGCATGTGAGGAAAAGAAAAGGGTTGAATCGAAAGAAAAGAGAGTTCTAAGGTTAGGGGTCTAACGGTTTATTCAAGGTTGGGCCTAACTAATACATCCATATAATAAGCAGCCTACTACTACGCCGTAGTTACTTACTACCTAGTATTATGTATGTATGTGTGTATGTATGTAGTCCACTTAGGTACCGATGTATGTACCTAGTAGTACATGCGTAGGTAAGTAATTAACTTTATGACACGTACGTGCTTTCCTAGACCTTCTGAAGACTGAAGACTAATTAAGTCTCTTTATGTTCAACGTTCATTGTTGTCTTTGTGGTTTCCCGAGGATCAAAAGTTGTGCCTACCATGTATTGCATGTGGTCCAAACACTCCGATGTCACTAAAAAAAAACATCGCCAAATTGGGCGGTGAAAAGCTGCGGGAAATAAAAAGAAGGCTGAACGTTTACTATCTAAAGACGTCATAATATGCTTTATTCGTACATAATTACATATGTGGATCTTTATACAATGTGGACATTGTGGAGAAATCATTGAATATAACGCCACAGCCATAATAGACTTCGAATAGGGCAGGAAGGCAAGTTGGCTGGCTAGCTGGCTGGCTTATTTCCTTGATGGGAGATTGGTTGTTTGATTAGTCGTACAGAGCCGGGAATGACGAAAGATTAAGTTGACCGCTACTGCAAGCGCCAGACTTGAACCATGATCCCCGTACCTATTAATATACAGTAATACAATATGGTTCTGTATCATACTATGTAGATATCTCTCTTTACATACTACTACTGTAGGTTAGTAGTATAAAAAAGTAGTATAAAAAATCGAGGGGAAAAAAAGAGGCTGAAGGATACGTTGACAAAGCCCCTTCAAAGTCAAGTTACCAAAAATGAGTTAATTATGCCGGAAACTCGGTGCCCAGGGTCTCATCAATCTGCTTGATCTTCTCGACCGACTTTTTATGTCCAGGATGAGCATCTAGCCTATCAATGTAGGCAAAAAACTTGGGAAACAACTTCCTGGGCCCTCCCTCATCCCAAGCCCCAAAGGCCTCAAAGCTGTCCTTGGCCGTGATGAGCGCGAAGCTTAGTAATACGTCCGCTCCCGTGAGATCCGGGCCGCACAGATAATCGCCTCCCGAGGTTTCCAACTGCTGCTCTAAGAAAGCGAGCTGTTTCTTTGCATTGGGGAACACCAGCTTGGCGATAAGCTGATTGGCCACTAAAGACGTAATCGGACGGAGGAAGAAAGGAACGGTCGGCCCCTTTAGTGCCCCGAGAACCATTCCGAGGTACAGCATCGGCATTAACGAGCCTTCGGCGTAGTGAAGAAAATATTGCCACCGAAGCCACTGCTCAGTCTCACCGCCGACCTTGCCCTCCTGTCCATCTTTCCAGCGCTTAGGCATCATCGTGGTCTCGCTACCGAAGTGTTCGCAAAGGTACTGAGTAATGAACCCACTCTCTGCCAAGACGATCGGCTCCGCAGATCCCGGAGGCGTTACGGAGATTACGGGCGACTTGCCCAGTGGGTGAACTTTCTTCAGTTCCGGTGGCGCAAATCTATTCACTCGGCGGAATGTCTCGAGCTCATAAGGTATATTGAGCTCCTCTAGAAGCCAGAGGATGTTTTGAGCACGAGATCGCTCTAGCCTACGCGAACGTTAATCCTGACTTCGACGTTGACTGGCCCGGGAGAGCAACGAGGAGCAATATTAAAATAGGGAACCCACCAGTAGAGCTTAACTTTGGCTTGGTCGTCGGCCATGTTCAAAGATGCGGTTTATGACTTGGGGGAATAAACTTGGATTCGATCAAGTTTTAAGATTTAAGGTAACAAGAATAAAAGTAGTCACAGTAAAGGAAACATTCATCCTAGGTATAACTGGGAAGACGTGTTGTATTTATTCTCCCAACTTCTCGATCTAGTGTAACTAACTGAGAGCTTAGAGCTTTAGAGCTTTCAAGTTGCCGAGGTCTCCTTGGCATCCTTGGTAGAATAGAAATGATGGTTGTACTAAGACGACATCATACTATGATCATACATCCTAGGTTAGATAGTTACTACTATGTATGTAACTATTGAATATGCATAGCAAGGTTTAGTTATCTCAATTGTGGCTGAGTGGCCCACATTATGATGACACAAGCCTCAGGCTCTTGTACAATGTACTCACCTCAATCAATTCAATCAATCATGATTGGAACTTCAAACGTTGAAAGCTTGACGTCTTAAAATAAGTCACCCTCAACCAGTTCGACATCATTCAAGCAAGCAGCCTTCCACATAAACCTACTCAGTGTGCCGCGTCTGCCTATCTGTCGCAAAGATGGCTGGCTTAGAGCACTACCGTACGTCTTCCCCTCAAAACCTCTACTTTGCGATACTATATGAAAGTAGTCACATACGAAAGCAGGAACTAATATTGGACGACAGAAATGGCGCAGGACCCGGCCATCCAAAAACTGGGAAGTACGTATTAACTATACCGACACACCTTTTTTAAAAAAAAAAGAAAATATCGAATCGCAAGCTTCGTCGCCGATCTGAACCGTGCGCAAGGCATTCAACAGACACACGGAATAGGCCTGCTAACAATGATGCGATGCTATAGACATGACGACGAACCGACACAAATACTTCCGCTGGACCCCGAGAACAGCGCGCATCTCCTTCATGTACCTCGTCTTCGTACCCACCATTCTCGGCATCGTTGCATATAAGACAGATGTGAGTAGCTCGACCGATCTACCATTTATATGAGGCAATCTTGCAAAGCTGGGTGCCTATACCTACGCATGTGCACGGATATACATATGTGGATAGATTCACTGACGCGCGACCTACGTATAGGGCAAATGGGACTTCCGAGCAAAGAGGAGGGGTGACTTGGTCGTCGAATACTAAACCCGACATCGATAAGACGCCATCATTATGGGGACATCTGTGTATGAAATTAACGCCTCATATAATGCAACAAGAAACTTGGCTTATGAAACTCTCTTGGTGCTCATGCTATGTGAAGGCTATCAGCCATCGAAGGGTCTCGTTGATACGCTGCAAGACACGGCCGCTGATTCTTCAAATAGCTTGGTAGTCATACTATCCAAGTTTCATCATATTCGATGCTACACAAGTAGCTACAAGTAACGGAGTGATGATCATTAGTAACATCTTATTACGAACGCTCTCCCATTACACATTGATTTTTTTTAGAAGGCTCCTCCTTTTTTATATCCTCTGATGTCTCACCTCACTCTACCGTGGTATAAGAAATCCTCACCTGCACCTACCGAGGAACTTGAAGGAAATAAGAAGAGTTGCAAAACATAGCAGCATAGCTTCACACATATATGGACGACGATAGGCCACGTCGTGAGTAATCGTCTGCTTTACTAAATAATGAATCATAGCTATATGGCATAAACATTCGTATACCAAAATCCCAACCCCCCCAAAATCATCCATGCGTAAACCACTCATAAAATGCATCAATAAAATACTGCCAGAAACGAAGAAAAAAAAAATGCCAAACTAGAACATGAACAATGCTATGGGGGTATCTATCTTCAAGCTGAATACTGAGAATTGACATCTACACATTGAGTCGTCTGTCTGGGATGAGACAACTCTGCCTGATGACTAGTTAGTAAACCCCAACCTTCCCGAAAGGATACTTGGGCAGTTGGTAGTTGGTAGGTCAGGGGGTAAGACTACAGCCTACTAGATGTGATAGAAGTAGAAGGTAGCTTACTCACTTTGCCACAGATCCATAGGTATAGAGCAACATGTACAACCAATTTCTTCTTTTTTTGTTTTTCGATTTTGGTTTACCATCGAGCCCAGTTGGTCTCATCCCTCCTGATCCTGACCACCTATTGAAAAGGGAGAGGCAGTGGAAGTGGGGGGGCACTTTTCAATTTTACCACGGCCATTATTTCAATATCGTCCTTCTCTTCTACCTCGCCCAGCAGCTGGGGGTTCGGGTAAACGTTCACCCCTCCGCCACTCTCCCGATGGTATAACGCTCCGATTTCCGAATCTATCGTACCCTCTTCCGCTATTTCTATCCCTCGCAGATCGGGGATTCCCATTCTCTCGCTCCCTCGCCCCGAACATGTTGCCGGGTGGACGTCCTACCATAGCTCTAGACTCGCTGGAAGTGCCACCAAGACCTGATCTCGCACTCGAGGTCGGCGCAACTGAGCCGTCGGCAAGGGGAGGTAGGATGGCGCAGGAGATGAAGTCACCAACGACGAACCTGGCTTCCAGCAGGGTTTTGTCGCCCTCGGTATCAAGCTTCTTCTCCTCATCTATATCTTCGGGGTCGAGTCCTCGATACCCATCACCAATCACCACGCTGCCCAGGTCCTTCACCGAGTATCGTGCAGTGGTCTGGCCTGCGGCATTGGTACGTGTGTCTGGGAAGATGAGACGGAAGGCTACACGGGTGCCAACTGCCGGGTTGGGGATCAGGTTGGGCTTTGCGGCAGCAATGATGTAGGTGAGCTCGGTTAAGGTGCTATCGTTCCAAGCATGTATACCTATGTGTGGCGGGAGACGTTCTGTGGTGAATTCATCGGGTCTAGGATTTATAAACAGTATAAGCGACATACTCGAGCATGTATGTACCTAGGTACTGTGTAAAGAGAATGATGTATATGATATATAGACAATATGCATTGTCTCGGAAAGAAATTGTTGATATCGGGACTTGGAACAATACTTGCCTGTGAAACGCGCCAGTTCGATAGAACAGCCGCAGCATAAAAGGTGGTGTAGTGTGACGGTTCATGGCGATTGTGGCGATTGTGTCTATCACTTCTCCCCCAAATAGCACCTTTGGGTATATTCAGTGAAGACTTTTAATTCATGGTTGATGTATAATGAAAATTCCTTAAAAATCTGGAGATCTGGAGAACACTAAAATGTGTTGTTGTTTGTGAGTTGGTGAGTTGGTGAGTCGTGGATTCTTGGATTTCAGCTATGAAAGTTGCACGCTCAATTATTGGTGCAAAAGAAAGTTAACGGACGGGAGCTCGCAAGCTTCACCGATAAGATCAAAGAAAAGGCGACGTACTAGTTGTAGGGTTCAATGTTACCGCAACCATCCATGTTAAATAAGGTTTAGGGACCCCACCTTCAATACCCCTGATGAGCAGTAGCAGCATAAATCAGCGGCTAGAAGTCTTTAGTGATGTAACCAGGTACCGCCGTATGGATACCACCGTATGGATACCGATGTTTTTGTCATAATAAATCTGCTGACATCGTTAAAAAGTTCAAATGCTGTACTACTACTAGTACTCTTTCTAGGTATTGTACAGTACATGCTACAGCGCTCGCCAACTCACCCAATTCATCATTTAACCCAAGATTCTCTATCCAGACAAACCACAAATACCAACCTCCAATCATACAGAAGACTTTTGATCAAAAAGAAAAGAAAGAAAACCTTCCATCTACACTGAGAAACACCGACTCTTTCAAAATGGATTTCGCATCCCTAATGTCGAAAGAAATCGCCAAGGCGAAACCAGCAACACCCACCACTACCACCACCACCACCACCTCCAATCCCGACAACGACAACGACAACAACACCCCCCCTCCCAAGAAATACATCCGCCGCTCCGAAGCCGAAGCCGCACGCGAAGCCGCCTACCTCGCCTCGCAACGAGCCCTCGAGGAAAAACGGGCCGCCAAAGTCCTCGAGAAGCGCAAGCGCGAGGAAGAAGCCGCCGACGAAGCGCGAGCGCGGGAAGACAAGCGGCGGCGCCTCGAAGAGGAGACACGGCGGCGACGCGAAGAGCAAGCGGCAGCCGAGGAGCGGCAGCGGCGGAAGCGTCTCGGGCTGCCGGAACTACCCAAGGAGGACCGGGAGGGCAGCCAGGACGGGGACGTGGGCGCAGACGAGGACATCCCGGACGAGAAGCTGATAGCGAAGCTGCGGGAGATCGGGGCGCCGGCGACGCTGTTCGGGGAGACGCACCGCGCGCGGCTGCGGCGGTACCGCCGCCTCACCACCGTCGTCACCACGGGCCCCATCCCGACGACGCTGCAGCTGGTCGAGGAGAAGGACATGAAGGTGTCGGGCACCATACCGCAGGACAAGGCCGGGCGCCTGTACCTGTTCCGGCAGCTGGCCTCGTACTTCACGATGGTGCTGCGCGAGTGGGAGGCCGCGCTGGCGCGGGAGTCCCAGCAGCGCGACACATTCGCCGCCAAAGCCGCCGTCAACGCCATGGTCTCGAGCCGCGACAACATGGTGCCCCTGTTCCGCAAGTTCGAGAAGGGCGAGCTGGAGGACGACATCCTGAAACCCGTCGTGGAGATCGTGCAGGCGGCGCAGGACCGGCGGTACGTCGACGCCAACGACGGGTACCTGCGTCTGAGCATCGGCAAGGCGGCGTGGCCTATCGGCGTTACGATGGTGGGTATCCACGAGCGAAGCGCGCGCGAGAAGCTGCATAATGGAGAACGGGGGCACATCATGAGTGACGAGGTCACGAGGAAGTACTTGCAGAGCATCAAGCGGTGTCTCACGTTTGCACAAGTGCGTTGGCCACCTGAAGATATTAGACAGTTGATGGGGTAGAATGATTAAAATAGAATTGCACTGGTACTTTGTACCCTATGTAGTTGCGGAGCGCACGCAGCTGGGAAACCCAGCAGTACCTAGTCGGGTATTTTCATGAATTTCATATGCACGCCATCCTCATCAGCAAACCAACCCAGCCTCGTAAAGCCTTCCCCAAAGGACTCTTATCGCAAATGTTCCGTGACGCCTCCCTATCCTAGCAACTCCTATGATCATAGGCGTGCTTCCATTCATAAGCCATATCATGCTACTCGGTGCATGATATATTTATTTTTGGCGGAGTCCTCCGAATCTGCGTTTTGGAAAGTGAACCGCCCCCTATTTTGTTCGTCTACTCGAGTATAATTCTCTTACTTTCGCCGTTGTAATCGTGCCCTCTAAGCCATCGCATCGGCCGAGTTCAGTGGTCTTCTAGCATCGTCCGCCCAGATCTCGCCCACGCCAGGGAGGTTACCCGCTCCCCCACCGCCTCCTTTTTGAAGACCTTTGACATCGAGATTGGCTGCTGTGATGCCCATTCGTCGAAGTCGTTCTATGACTTCTTGTTCGTAAAGCTTGATGCTCTGGAGAGCTTCCCGTTGCATATCAACCCGGGCGTTGGAAGAGACAGTGCTAAGAAGCTGGATTAAAGGCTTAGTAATGAGTCTACATTCAACAACGACAACTTGACTTACCTTGTCGATGGTGTTAATTCGAGCATTTAAAATGCCGCGTTTAATCATGTCGATAAGCTCTTTCTCAATAGACTCTCCGGGCTTGGCGAATATCGCGTTCATATTGTCAAGAGTGACGCACGAAAATGGGTAAACGTACTGGACAATACACTTGTCACGGATTTGCGAGTACAGCACGGAAACATGCTTCTGAAGATGAATGTCGAGAAGGTAGTCATTCCGATAAGATTCGAGGATTGCCAAGCATGGCGCGTATCTTCCGCTGATGAACATAGAGATAGCCTTGCGGATATGAGGCTCCAGTTCTAAGTACATGCGGAAGCCAGAGTTGTCCAAGACTTGAGACTGTAACTTGGATCGATCCATCGAAGCAAGGGCGAGAAGTCCACCGTAAGTGGCGACATCATTGGGGGTGGCAATGTTATTGTATCGATGGAAGAGGGCTGGTTCTCCAACCTCAAGGAAGCATTTGGCAGCCTCGTAGTACTTGGTAGAGCCGAGTTGTGCCAGACCAGCAACGACCTTGTAGTAAGGTTGGTCCGCAGCCATCTCCTCGTTGGTCACGTTAATCCCTGCCGTTTTGTTGATACTGGACAATATAGATGCCCACTCCCGTCGCTGTATCATCACACCCATAACGTGCTTGCTTATGTCTTGTATATGAGAATGAGTGCTAGCATCAGGTCGCATCTTATAGTACGTATCAGAGGCGGCACTAAGATCCCCAATTGCCTCTAGATGTTCACCAAGATCGCGATGGCCGATCTGAACCTGTTAGCACATAGTGTCTCGATGCTTTAGTTTCCCGAGATATAAATCCATACCCTTATGCTTTCCTTGATCAAGTTGTTCTTATAACCCTTCAACTCTTGCTCAAGTCGTTGGGTCTTCGATTTATTCGCCTTTTCAGTCGATAATACCCAGTGGTCATCCCATTTGGCCTCGGGCTCGTTAGGAGCAGCAATTCGAATACACTCCCAAGCATCGCGGTATCGCTGAATGTCCACTCCACCCTTCGCTTCGGCTATAGCGGCCTTCAGGGCATCTACACATAGAGGAACGGAAGATTGGCCGATCAGTAGTAGTCTATCGAAACGGGTTCTACCTGTTGGAATGAGTCAGATACAAGAGAAGCAAGACATGAACTAGCAACTAGAGAACGAACCTTTGTAGTTGGAGATATATAGATCAAGATCGAACTTCGGCGGCTCTGAGGATACATTCAAGTTAGCCAAAGTTATATTTGTCCTAGCCGATTAATCAATGAATGCAATATCCATCTGAAAACTATCGCCTACCTTTGACGACGACGTTCCCTTGGTTATCCATAGCAGTGAAATATTCGAGGAGGTGCTGGTCAGCCGCCATGGTGCCAGCGATCGAATAGGTGCAAGTACTTCTGTAACTTCTGGATCCTTGAGCTGTATCTTGAATCTTGATGATAATGCTTCAGTAGGTGAGTAAGTAAGTACCCAGATGAGGGATGCTAGTGACGATGCTGATATTGGTAGTATTGGTGTTGGTTGTGGTGGTGGTATTGGTATTGGTATTAACGATAGAAATTCAATGTTCAATGTTGTCTAGAAGCTGCGTGAGCCTACTAACTACGGCATAGTACTAGTAGTACATAACTACATCAATGATAGATGTAGATAGACGGGTTTGGAGGGGTAGCTTTGTTACTACATACTATGCATTTAACAGGTACGTATCGTATCAGAACTTGACTTGCATCTACCAGTGAGCGGTCTCTTGATATAAGCATAATCGCCAAGACAGCGCGATCGGATACTCACATGCGCATTCTAGTACGCGGGGTGGAAATGAATTGTACGAATTATGTAAGTCTTGGCAGGGAAATCGATGGTACGGCGTACTATGCCGTAGATCATAAATGGAAATTACCCTCGCAGCTGCTCTGCTATTGGTGACAAAACATCAGATTCAGCTCGACAGGGGTTCTAAGGTTTTAGTTACCAATTTCCAACTCACGGCAAATTAAGCTTAGCGCATTCTCTACTTTTGCTTAGAAGCATTACTGATCATCAGAGGTGACATTATCGATAAGGAAACCTTGTATATTAGATCCTGAGCTTGAGGATACTACTACGCCGTATCACCTTCACTGTTTTTTAAGATACATATGTAACTATACTACACCTTCGCATACTCTCATATTCAGTACGAGACTACCTCAGCCCCATGAGATCTCTCTCAGTCTTCGTTCATAAAGTATCAGTTTTTTATTTTCAGCTATGTCCCAGCTTCTTAGTACTATCGCCGTATCAATACCCGACCTTCTGCTACGAGTTACCCTACCCTAGGTTAGGTATGTCTTCGCTAAGTCTATAAAAATTACCTCTTCCGGTCCCCATATATAGGAAAGGATCGCGTAGGAAAGATTGTAGTCGGAAGCGAGGCATGGGGTAAGGTTGCCAGTATCGTTGTGTTGCAAGAGCCGCACCGTAGAGACCATGAAGTGGAATGTAACCAACACTCAACCAAATATTGGCCAAATGAAGCAGTCACTCTATGATCCTTAAGAATATCCTGTTTTCTTCTTTGTTAACCGGATTATCTTTGATTCAAACAACATGGAAATCTTCTTCAACTCGAGTTTCTTCCGCGAGAATCGAGCCGCTTCGTTGCCAACACCGGCTCAGATCCGCGCTCTAAACGGCAGGAACGGCGATATAGTCACCTTTGATGAACCACCTCCCGTCAAGATTGAGGCTCAAGACCAAGGCCAGACATTCCTATACATGTCGTTAGTCGACGGAGACCCATTGACTGAGAGATGGCCCTGCATGACGACGCAAGAACGGCTGACTATCTGTGCCGAACTGCGGTCAGCGGTATCTGCGTGGCGCAACTTGAGGCAGGACGAAGACACTTGCTACATTGGTCAGTGACGAGCATGCATGCATACAACATATTATGTTACTCTTGGCTAAAATGGCTGACCCATGAATTAGGGAGTATACACAAGCAGCCACTAACAGATACCTGCGTTACGCAGAGAACCTATGTCATCGGTCCCTTCCAAGATGTAGATGCAGTCAAGCAGTTCCATGACACAATGCGCATCTATATTGCAGATCCTGAACCCATCGTGTTCACGCATAGCGACCGCGTCGCGTGCAAAATCCTAGTGAAGAGGAACAGTCCGAAATTAGCAGCTATCATCGACTGGGGCCAGTCGAGATGGTATCCTGCGTAAAATCATGGACCCGGTAGATGAAGTGAAGGTCTGGCATCCTTTTCTACTCTTTGCGCTGCCGAGGTTTTGAAATCAATATCTGCGGTGCTGCAACACTTATTCTCGGCTTCATGATAGTTAGGAGTATTGGCGTTAGAATGGTATTGGATGCTTCTATTTCTAAGTTTATCATAAGACATTGCTTTAACGACCGACGGACCAAATAACGCAATATGCTATTCAATGACTGAAAATAGCTTTCATGATGTGTCTGGTAATATAGTAGTTATGATTTCAACTCCACGAGACCCCCTATATTATAGAACAAACCTAGCACGTCTGGTGTAATGCTCTATGACGAACATAACTTTGGGGCGAGCAATGGTGGTCTAGTTTTTGTAGCTAATATCTACCAGGTAATATCTACCTAGGAGATAAGTGCGGGAGGACCTGTAGTTATATTACTATGGAAAAGAAGAGATCTATGTAAGTATGGAGACTCTGGTAGTTAACTACATAGTACGGTCTGTATTTTTGCGCCTACATTAGTTAACAGCTTCTTGAGAAAACGGTCACTTTCCGTTTAACTAACCCAATCCATTTTCAACAATATGTGTATTGAAAGTTATGCAAGTTTTGTTCATTTTGGCATCTGCAAAAGCGGCATGGCTCAGGTGAAATCCCTATTCCAATTCAGGGCAGTCCATAATTACCAGTACCTTAGTACCTATAACTACCTAGACAATACACAGAACGACATGAACCACCTACCTAGGGTAGGTATTGGTGCGCACGCACTCTATTGCATTGCATTAATAGTACTAGTTATGACACTGTTATGTAGTTAGGTATGTATATACTCCTAGTAGTAGTATCACCAATTGGGCTCCTCCGGACTCCGTCCTCTAGAGACCCTCTCCGCCGGCTGATTAGGTAGATATTATGAATATGAGCCTCTCAAGTTAAATACCTACCTGACATTAGGGACCTAGCTATTATAAATAAGATACTAACTACATAGTACAGAATATTTGCATGGGCGTCCATAGATTCTAGAATTTCTTAGGTGCCCCGGCTGCTACTAAGTACATAGTTATAGGTAAGCCCTGATATTCGAATATTTTTACCAAGATGATTACAAACTATAATACAGTATAGTTCTCCTTTAGTCACAAGATAGCATACTGTTCCCATGTATGTATCTCTTCTTCTTCATGACGGGCCCTGAAAGATGTGAATAGTGCCAAGATCTAGCTCAAGCTTTGCGTTGCAACGTGAGCTCCAATCATGGCGAGTTCCGATCCTTAGGAGCCTTGTCGGTGGAGAGGGCCAAGAACCACTGAGTGCCGGTTTTCCGAGATCTCAGCTCAACAGACAAGTGACATTTCCGGTTGTTCGAGAATAGTGCGAAGAAACTTTTTTTTAATTATGCTGTTTATGGGTAAGAAAATGCAAATGTCGTCCATCCCATGTCTTGACGAAATGTAGATACTGCTGCCTTACTAGATTGCCCATCGGTTGGTCATCAAGATTTCCTACCCACCTGTGTGGTAGGTAGGTTCCATACGCAGACTCAAATCATGAGCCGGAAAATGGCTTTTACCATGTAGTTATGTAGGAGAGGTTTGAGGTAGGTATGCCAAGACTAGCGATGGACTCCCCGCGTCGGTGATGTGACCTGCAATGGTACCCTGTGTTCCTGGCCAGTAGTTCTCCTAACGTTGTCCACGAGAAGGCCAGGACAAAGGTCCACAGCCAGTGATTCGCACAGCGCCACAAGGGAAAGGTTCTTGATCCCATTCCGTACATTCTTCTCCGGGAGGTTTTAGCCTCTTGGCAGATATGCTGTCATGAAGAAAAAGCTCCAATGGTTATCTTCTATGTCATACATTTTTGTGTGCTGATGCCCGGGCTATAAATAAATGCTATGATATTAATCTTGATGAACTGCCAGGGTTAGATTTATGAAGGAACTGTGATTTTACTATGGTAGGTGAGCCTCAATCCTAGGACCAGGATATGTTGACGATATGTGCCTAAATATGTTAGGTCGCCCGTCTATGTATGATTGGAGAGGATGAAAACATACCTAACCTACACATATATAATATAATTGCTGGACACCACGCGTGTAGCCTTTCATGTTTCTCAACCAGCATTGATATACTAGGTAACTTCAAGGTTGAACATTGGACTGTCCACTATGTATATGTACCTACCCTAGGTATACATAGTACAATGTTATCAATAGTTAATCGATGTGTCAACCAGTTGACGGCTCAATGTTGTTGTTGAAAGTTTAAAATCACATCAGCACATACATATGCATATGTACCTATGTACCTACAGTCCGTGTGGGTACAGAATCAAAAAAAAAAAGTATTTAACTAGACCGGGATGATCCGTCTCTGCCGTTTTGTCTGCCATGACTTGTGGTACTTTTCATCGGATTCATTAACTCTATCATATTATGGAGGCAGCTAAGTGGACATTAGGGTACTAGGCAAGGTACATAGATCACCTAGACAGGGTTGGCTGAAGGTTCAAATGTTCGGCTGCCCCGCCCTTGCCCTGCAGGGAAAGTACAGACAATGCAGTAGGTTAGACTGTAGCAGTGTAGCAGTAGCAGTATGTACCTGCCTACAACTGCATCAGTGCATCAGTGCATCAGGTTGATTACATAGGACGTTCTGGGTGTATTCTGCCCAAACACCGTGACCTTTCTATCAACATCTCTCTCCACTTAAGCCACCATGTCTTCTTCCCAGCTGTTCAATCCATTGTCGTCTTCCCCCTTTGGAATCCCGAACAATTACCTCTTAAATTGTATTATTAACATTGAACTTCAAGCCTCTTTACCTGCTCCTCATAATTACCTGTAGGGCAGAAGATCTAAGCTGCAAGCCTTAAGCAGTGTTGAGACCTATCATTCTAATCTTTAACGTCGACTCAAGACCGGATCCTTCCGACCGCCTCTTTTTTTAAGATTCTTTTCTTTTTTAAATCACACCAATCCGTTCTGCCCGTCTGATCTGTGTGTTCCGTTAGTCGCCAGTGCTCGCACCTACATATAACGCCCATCACAACATTCGGATACGACAATCTTCGTCCCATAGGTAATTACTTTGAGCCTCTAACCTATAACTAGTACACATTTTTTTGTTGCCGTAGCCCTACAGCCCCCCCATGCATCTGTTTCGCTAAGACCATCTCAATAAAGGGACATACGTAATAACGCGAAACTACCTTCTACCTTTAACCCCTACCCTCTTTTTTCCCTTTTCCTTTTTTTTCTTTTTCTTTACCAGGTACATACATATCATAACATAACATAACATACATGTATTAGGTATGTAAGTACATACACATCTATCAATACATACTAGAGTCTAGGACATATCTTGAATCACCTAACATCTCGAGTCTTGGGCGCCTTGTGTGCTATTTACCTGCTTGCGCTACTGCATCAGCACCCTCCACCATCCCCATCTCTTACCTTGGCTACCTACCTTTTCTCAATTAACAGCCTTTGCCTTCCCCGGTTCCAAGCTGTCAGTGCATAGATAAGGACTACCTACCACCTTTAATTCTCCTTCATATTCTGCCTTGGTATTGTTCTATTTTCTGCTTTTGTGGTTGATGGTGGGACCATTTACCTTGTCATTACGTTTATTCGCAAGATCTCAATCGGATTTGAATTAAAATTATACCCGCCATCTTTTACTAAGTACTGACCTTTTTTTCTCTTTTTTTTCCCGTATAGTATACGTCTGCGTCCTGGCGTCTGTCGATCTAAGCAATTCTTCCAAGAGCGGCGAGCCTCCTCAAAATGCGTTGGGAATACGTCCGTTATCTACTAAACAAGTGAAGAAATTGAGAAAGAAGACGGTAGCGGGCTGTCCTTCACTTCTCCGAGAAGAGTGCCGGGCCCGGTACCAACAATTAGCCGGACATGACACCTCTTTCTCGCTCTTCACACACCCCTGCGAACCGCGCAGCATCTGTCAAACCCGAGGCCTCAGGGAGCCAGGCATCCGATGACGAGGATTCCACATTACAGACCTTGGGAACAGAGTCTCAATCTGGGACGCCGTCGTCCGCTCCCCCGGGTAATCGCGCCGAGAGTGCCAGCGAAACCCCTTCTGTTCCTCTCCAAAAGCGCCGGAGAGTCACGCGCGCTTGCGAGTATGCAGTTTTCAACCTAATTCCTCCTCTTCCTATTGTTGCTTTCCTGTTTTTGCCTCACGAAACACGGTCCCCCCTATTTTTGTCTTGTTTCTTTCTATTTTCCTTTTCTATTTTTACTATTTTTTTCTATTTTTTTTTTCATAATCTCTTTTTGTGATCTACATGAAGTGGGAAATATTTGTTATGTAAATGAACTATAACTAACTTATTTTTGTCAGTGAATGTCGTAGGAAAAAGATAAAATGCGATGGCAAGCAACCCTGTACTCACTGCCAGGTGTACAGTTACGGTAACATTTACCCGTTGCTGACGACGTCTCAATTTAGCTGATATCTCTTAGAATGCACCTATGACAAACCCTCCAATAGGCGTAGGAATCCGGCCCCGCAGTACATTGAGGCATTGGAAAACAAGTTGTCGAGAGCGGAAGCGTTGCTTCGCAAATTCATGCCAGATGTCGACCTCAATGATCCAAGTCTAGACCCCGCTGTCCAACAGGAGTTTCGCATTCGGGAGCAAGCCAAACTTCGAGGTACTACATCCAAGGGGAAGCAGGCCAGCTCATCATCGTCTCTGGATGCCCAGTTACATTCTATGATCGAAACCGTTGGCCAACTTGACCTTGACGACAAGGGCGATTATGATTTTCATGGAACCTCTTCAGGTTCGGTATTCTTCAAGAGGATGAAGGAACATTTCCGCAGTCTACTTGGCAGGGACTACCAGATCCCATTTCTTCCTCGCCCGCCGCGACCAGCCGGTGTTGCTCTTGATTCGCCAAGGTCGTCGTCAAGCTCGCGACTGCCACCAAGCCACGCACCCAGCGTGTACGACTTACCTCCCAAGGGGAGAGCTCTCGCTTTATGCGCCGAGTCTCTTAACAACGCGACATGTCTCCTACGAATCGTTCACATACCTTCTTTCTACAAAATGTTGGACAATCTATATGATAAACCGGCGGATGCACTTGCAAAAGACAAGAGGAGTTTAGCATTAGCGTACTCCGTCATGGCACTTGGATGCATGTACAACATTCCGGACAACGACATCTCGGATATGCCACCATACAAGATTTCCATGGATGAAGCGTAATTATAAGGCCCTTGTAACCGTAACCTAGAAGTTCGTCTGTACTAACCCATTCGCTTTTCAGGGTCAAATATTATAGCGCTGCAAGGATGTTGCTACAGGATATAACCGAATGTCGAGATCTCACGTCACTTCAGGCATTGCTGTTCATGATATTATTTATACAATCGGTATCCAATTTAAGTACATGCTATGGCTTTGTAGGGATTGCTTTGCGCTCCGCGTTAAGAATGGGGTTACACCGACATCTACCTCATATAAAACTGAATCCCATCGAAGCGGAGACGAGAAGAAGGGTATTTTATATATGTCGGCAAATGGATACGTATGTATCTGCGTTGCTAGGATTCCCCTTACTTCTGAACGACGAGGACATCGACCAGCCTTTGCCAACTCCTGTGGATGATCAGTATATCACAAGGGACAAAATACACATTCCACCCCCCGGAACCCCTTCGTTTTTCGAGGCCTTCAACGCGCATGTAAAGTTGATGGACATTTTGGGCAAGGTTGTGAAACAAATATATCCCCTGAAAGGCATTGAGCAGAATGAGGGCACAGCCGCCGAAGGCGCTAGGGAACCTTACGCATCTTATATGATTAGCTATGGGAAGATTAAAGAAATGGAAAAGGAGCTTCAACGATGGAATGAGGAGTTACCAATTGCCTGGCGGCCGGATCCTGAAGGCCCTGTCGAAGTTGTCCGGTAATGTCCAAGTATCAAAGGCAATCACGGGCTTTACTAACTTGTACACTAGGGTTCGCAACCTTTTGAGGTTTACGTTCGCCCATGTGCAGATGGTGCTATATAGGCCATTTTTGCATTATGTTTCGCCCCGGATTTCGGCTGGCAAAGACGTGAATGAGCGTGCTTATGCCTGTGGAGCCGCCGGGATAAGTGTCGCCCGAAATATCGTCCACATTGGAACAGAGATGCGGAAACAGGTTTCTCTCGTCGGGCCATACTGGTTTACACTTTTCACCGAATTTTTCGCCATCATAACATTGGTCTTCTTCGTGCTAGAGAATCAAGACAAGCCAGGGTCTACGGAGATTCTTGCAGATGCCGTTGCGGGCAAAAATATGATTTGTGAACTTTCGAGGAAGAGCTTGGTTGCGGATCGTATATCTGCCTCTTTAGCTGTAAGTTCAAAATTTTGCGATTGTGGCGGTGAAAAAATGCTAATTTTCAACAAAGATGCTCTTCGAGCAATTGCCGGATAATTTGAAGGAGGTGAAGGCAGCGTCATCGCGGAAACGCCCTGCTTCGGGGGCATGTGATAGCAACACGTCGATATTCCTCTCGACATATGCTACCGAATCAACGTCCTCCCATCCTAATAAACCCAATGGCTCCCAAGGCACATTATCGAAAAAGGCTGGGAAAGCCCCAGCGGTACCCATCACGCAAGGCATACCGGTCGAGGACCTTCCGCAGCCAGAACTCGGCGGGTCATTCTCCTCGAGTTTTCAGTTCTCACCGTTGGACTTATCAATACCGTCACCTGATTCCGTGACTGCGGCGGCCCTGCATGAACCAAGTCCCATGGACCTGCAGCACCAAGCATTTGGTGGAAGCAACCCGATTAATGAGCTTGATGCTGTGATGTTTCCCTCGGACGATCCCTTGGCATACCCCAACCAACCACAAGTTGATTTCGGGCCTCATCATTCCGGTATCTCTAATGTTAGCCCTGGGGATATTTCACGTCACGACCCATCCCAGTACTATATGCCTGACTTTTACGAGGGCATCGAAGGGCAACTCATGGGGCCGTTACCACCGTACTTATTGCAATCTCAAGGGCAGCCAGGCTTTAACTTTCCGGTCGAGATGTATTCGGATCCAATGCTACAGCAACTCCACTCTATAGAAAATCCAGCATCACAGCCGCAGGCTCAATTCCACTCTGGCCAATCACGGTCGGTGCGACGACGGGGCCAGCAGTCAAGAGATATGGAAGAATTACTAGCTAATGCGTCGTGGCATGGATCATTTCCCCACCGTGAAATGGACTAGGTCAGGTTTATGAATAGAAAAAGGATACCCCCTTGCATGACTGCAACACTGACTTTCCACGAATCTTTGCTTGCTTAGATGATTGTACGGGAGACGGAGTTTTGGGGCAATTAAAAAAAAAAGTATTTTGGGGGTTGACGTCGATTATGGGGCCCCTGATATCTGTGAATGATGATGTTCGTGTCATAGATGTGTAAATGTAAGGGCATATAAGACTTGATAATCACGCCCTGCTCTCTCGATGGTGGCAATCACGAGCATCTCAGGATTCTCGGTAGGTAGTATGATGGTTTGCCACAGAGTGCGAGCAGAGGGATGTACATAGAAATCAAACCAGCACATAACTATTAGCTTGGCATGTAAGTGGTAATATCGAATGGTGACGATACAAAGGGGAGCAGCGCTCTGTGCTTCCGTATTCGCAATATCGGGATTGACAAAGTGTACCCTAGGCGGGCAACGTTTGGTATTGCTATCCGAGTCGAAGGAGCTAGCCCACAGAATGGGTAAGAAGATAGAAGTCAGGCTCGTGGAAATGATTCTATTAGCACAATGAGTGCACAATGAGTGGAGAGTGTGGACACGGCGGCGTGGAAGAATCGGAGTATATAGTCCAAGGGGGCGGGATCTCCAAGCTCGTCAGAGGACCCAGATGACCCGCTGGCCCGCTAAGGAGGTTTTGGGTATAGTAAGGACTGCACAACGGCCTTACTGCAGGTCGGTTGACTTCAGGGGGGGTGTCGATGTGTCGAGGAATGTTCTGGCTCGTACGCGTGTAAATATTCTATAGGCATCGTGTTGAAACGCGAACGGCGCTCCGCCACGTGAGGCCGTTCCAACCAGACTTCACCAGCTCAGCTGGCATAAGCGCAGTTTACCGAATGGGATCAGCCGGTTTGGGCACTGGATAGGGGCACGCCCCGAGGGGTTGGGCCAGAACGTGTACAACAACAAGCGCATGTCACCCCCCACCTGTTGCCACTGTTTGATGCTGTCACTGCTCTACTCGTCGGACCAAAAACAAAAATGATAGCTTTATATTCGAATAAGTCGGTCGGTATGGAGGCTATAGATATCGATCACAGCCTGGTCGTTGACGACGAGTTTGATGCTCTGTACGTGCAACTACCCAATTTTTCCTCCTCTCCCCCCTTCGTCCAAAGTCGTCGTCGTCGTCGTCGGCTGTCTCTCAGCAGCAGCAGCAGCAGCAGCACGGGCAGCAGTCGTCGCCGTCGCCGTCGTCGATAGGAACTCATTCCAAGATGGCTTCCAACGTGGATCACCATACTTTCCGCTGCAAGACGAGAGGCCTGCTGCACAGCGCCGTCTCTGCCGCCGTCGCTGTCGTTTTCAGCATCCCGTTTATGTCGAGGCTACCACTAACCGATGTTGTGGGCCGCAGGTCGGTCGAGGTCAACGTTGCGGAGCTGGATGCTTCCAAGGCTAACGAGAACGTGAGGAAATTTCCTGGTAAGTAGAGCTATTTAACTAAGCTTGCAAGACAAGTCCTGCGTTTTTACTGTAGCGTCCTACCTACCACCTCCTTTTTGAAAAATGGAGAGAGAGAGAGAGAATTATGAACAAACCTACCAACGACCAAGCTGGTAGAAGGATATACTCCATTACATCTTACCCTACCTACATTCAACCTATTCACATATCTTCTTTTGGAAGGAGATGGAGCTGTAAAAAAAAACCAGAAAAAAAAACCAGAAAAAACAGAATTGGGCAATTCTCTGCTACAGCTCTTATTCATCCCCAGCCTTTCATCGGATCAAGTGATGCGATGTGCATCTGCAACTCTAGAAGAATTATCTACATGTACTATTGCGACTTTTCTTTTTTCTCCCATTCGCCGTCTAGATTACATCAACATTACTACATTTATTCTACGTACAAAGACATTCTAACATATCTACCAGCTAAATTACACGCAAGAAAAGTCGCCAAGGAACTCGGGACCGATACAGGTCTTATTTTCTTGCCTGGACAACTGGAATCAACATGGGAGGACTCAGATCAGGGTCCCCCGTTTCGACAACGCCGATAGTAAGCTCACCGCCTGCTCGTATTTACTATTTACATCAGAGTAAAGTTACTAACCAGAATACCTAGTTTCTATTACCTCACCGGGGCTGATTTCCCGGGCTGCAGCGTGACATATGATATCGCTGCAGACAAGCTCACGCTATGGATTCCGTTTACGCCTCCCGCCACGGTGCTCTGGTTCGGCAACACGCCGTCGCCGGAGAACTGTCTCGCAAGATCCGACGTGCACGACGTCAAGTACGTAGGTGAACTGCCAGGGTACCTAAGCGCTCGTCTCGCCACTGTGAAGACCTTGTACGCCCTTCGACCATCCCAGCTGCCCAAATTTGACGGCTTTGAACAAATGAAGCCGTCCCTACGCATCGACGTTGCATCACTACAGCCCGCCATGGACGAGGCCCGCCTGATCAAATCTGAGTACGAGATTGCCATGATTCGCCGCGCTAATGAGATTTCCTCGGCTGCCCACAAGAAAGTGGCTTCCCTCATGTACGGAATGAAGAACGAGTGCGAGGTCGAGGCTGCGTTCATTTCTGCCTGCACCGCCGCCAATGCCCACGCCCAAGCCTACCCTGTCATCGCCGGATCCGGTGCCAATGCTTCGACGCTGCATTACAGTGCCAACAACGAGAACCTGGCCGGCCGTCAGCTCATGGTCCTCGACGCCGGTGCTGAGTGGTCGTGCTACGCTAGTGAGATGACGCGCACGCTGCCCATCGGCCCACGGTATAAGCTCTCGTCTGAGACTAAGGCTATCTACGAGCTGGTTCACCGCATGCAGAACGAATGCATCGACCGTATCAAGCCGGGTGTTGTCTTCCGTGATCTACAACTACACGCCACGCTTATCGCTGTCCAGGGCCTGCTCGATCTCGGCATCTTGCGCGGCGGTACTGCTGAGGAGATCTTCAAGAACGGCACTGGTGCTGCTTTCTTCCCGCACGGCCTTGGCCACCACGTTGGGCTTGATGTTCATGACGTACTGAGTAGAGACCTCCTCCGGCCCGCAGGCGAAGGCATGTGGGGGAAGCGCAGGCCAATTGGCCCTCAGTCCGTCCGCGCCATGATCAAGCAAGCCGCCCGCGACGCCGCCCACAACGCCGCCGCTACCGCCAACCCCTCCGACTCATCCTCCACGCCTAGCAGCAACAGCAGCAACAGCAATAGTAGTAACGCGTCACAACGGGCCCCATCGCCCGCTAACTCATCTCCGACCCAGACCGCGGCACCGCCCCTACCACCCCGCTCCTCGCCCCCCACGTCTCCCAAGTCAACACCCCCGAAATCCGCCTCGCCGCCTCCGATCAGGATCATCGCGTCCTCGCCTCCGCCACAACTCCACCAGCAGAGCCGGACCGGCAGCATCGGCAACGGAAACGCCGGCAACGGGAAGAAGAAGGCAACCGTCACCAACCCCACCAGCACCAGCACCAGCAACAACAAGCGCGCGCACCACAGCACGCTGCAGCCGAACATGATCGTGACGGTGGAGCCGGGCATCTACTTCTGCCGGCCGTACATCGAGGCGTACTTTCTGCGCCGCGAGGAGCACGCGCGCTACATGGACGCGGCGGCGCTGGAGCGCTTCTGGGCCGTCGGCGGCGTCCGCGTCGAGGACTGCGTGCTCGTCACCGAGAGCGGCCACGAGAACCTGACGACGGCGCCCAAGGGCGCGGAGCTGTTGCGGCTTATGGGGTACTGATATGCACGGCGATAGCAGCATCAGTCTCGACCTATCAATATTAGCATCCCTACATGTCTACCTAACTAAGCCTACCTACTTATATCTATCTATCTATCTATCTATCTACCTTGCCCGAGAAACTCCCTCCTGGGTATATACACCTTAACCTATCTACCTACCTACCTACTTTATACCCTCTCGTACCTACCTAGTTTTTTGTGCAAAGCCGAGTATATACCTACCTACCTACCTATCTACCTATCTACAGTTAGTCAAGCCACCTATGAAAGGGAGGAAAAGAACAGCGATGGGGGGAGAAAAAAATGGAATTGTTATTGGAAATGGAAGGATGGATTATGGATTATGGAATTCTTTTTTTTTTTTTTTTTTTTGAAATGGGACGAATGAATGAAACGGATACATATATGTTCTCTTTAGGTCTTCTTCTACTTCTTCTATTCTTCTCTCCCTCACTTACCTACCTACCTACCTACCTACCTAGGTATACACACACACACCACACACAAAACACGCCACGCCTAAACATAACCTAGCATATCTACATACACATTTGCATACCACCGGAGTAGGAACCCCCCTTTTTTAAACCAATTTTTACAATGCTTTCTTTTCTGGAAAGGGGGTTTGGGAGAAAGAAAGGGGCCGAACACAGCGAGCCACCTTGCCTAGGTATATATAGCTATTCTTTTTTATTTATTTTTATGATATGAACTTGTTGTTGTTTATTTCTATACCTACCTCTTAACCTTAGGTACCTACCTACCTAGTTAGCATTTGGGAGTTTCTTGTTTTTATTTTATTTTATTATCATCATCGCTATTATTCTTCTTCTATCTCTTTAACTGTAAAAAGAGACGAAAAAGAGGTAAAAAAGGCAAGAAAGGAAAGGAAACGAAAGGAAGGGTAGCTTGGAGAAAAAAAACAAAAACAATATTACTTCACATCACATTGCATATATATCATATATCGTATCATATCAACTACCTACCTAGGTAGTCAGCAGCTGTGTATCTCTTGATAGGTTTTAGCATTCGTTTTTTTGGAGTTTGTATATCGGGATACTTATCCTTCTTCATCCTCATCCTTCTTCTTTTCTTCATCATCTTTATCGTCTACTAAATACATAGTGTGAGGGGAAATTCTGGTCTTGAAGATATGTAATATCAACCTTAGGTTTAGATTCATTACGAAATTACTATGCGTTGTAGCCGTGATACATTCTAGCCAGGGGCTGGCTAGCCCATGAACGCATTGAGGATCTAGGATAATATACCTCTGCTAGGTATTCATGCATGTTGAAAGACAGTCAAGCCATAAAAAAAATTCATTCCACATCCAAGTAGATAGGTACGTATTTTATACCAGGTCTCGCGCCATATCTCGCCCAACACCCAATGTATCGTCTCCCATATTACCTGTTAAACTCATAGATACTTTTTTGGCATCGCCTTCTTCCGTTCGTGGTAGATGTAGGCGCCCACTATTAATACTTGACTTCCAATAATGATGAATATGAGCTTTCCGTGCTTCGGCGCCGTCTGTACCGCCACATGCTCTAACATGCTGCCGTGGTGTGTGCCCATGAAGCTCTTCACCGCATGCTCCGATTCCTTTACCTTCGAATTGATATCGTTTCGCATCTCCCGCATCTCTCGCTGCATCTTCGAAATCTCGTTCTGGAGCGAGTCAAGTTTATCTAACCTCGATAAGATCTGCTTCACATCATCCACCGATCTTGAAACTTCTTCGTGTCGCTTCTCGCCGAGGTTGCCCAGACTAGCAACTTGGCGAAATATGGTTGAAAGATGGTGGTTGGTACTTTGCAGACGGTTGTGAAGGTCTGCGAATTGAGCTTTGGAGCTCGTGATAGAGTCGGCCATAGAGTCGGGAATAGAGTCGTCGAACATGTTATCCGTGTTAGGGTTGTTCTGGCTATTCTGGTTATCATTTCTGCGGCCGTAACTCGTTTGCGCCTGCGCTTGCCCCTGGTTCTGATTCTGGTTCTGGTTCTGGTTTTGGTTCTGGTATTGGTTCTGGTTCTGATTCTGATTTTGTTGTCCCTGTTGTGTGGGCGCATCCTGCCTAGCATCTAAATTTTCCGTCATGGTTACAAGCTTAAATATCTCGGCGGAATCGGGATTGTCGCCTGCGGCTGCCGTGATACCGAAGAAGTAACCTGGAGGGATCGAGATCTTGTCGCTTTCGAAACATAGCCGACCATCAATCTCCACCTTGAACACTTGAGGTGTTTGCCTCAGCTTGATCTGAGAGGGCCGGCCCAGGTTGCGATAGGCATAGTTGCAATGTCCAAACGCTAAGCTGTCCACGTTATGGTGTGTCTTAAAGTCGGTAGTGCCGTCATTCAAGAAGCCCCTGATCATACCCCCCGAACCGCCGTGTTGATCCAGAACGAGAGCTAGACCGTCGAATCTGTTGACCGTATAAATACTAGATGATCCAATTTCTTGGGGTCCTTGTCTCGCAAGCCAGATATTGAGGTTACCAGTTCCCCTTTCAGGGCCGTTTACTCTCAAGTCAACATCGGCCACCCATTGCGAATATTTGTTTGGCAGATCAGCCCATACTGCGCCTCGAGTATTCCCTGGAGCTGGCGGAGTGAGGATCAACTTGTTGGAAAGGACTTCGGGGGCGTTCGGTATGCCCTGTATGGAAAACCCCGGTACACTTGCTTGGCCTCGATCGTTTATCCTAAAATGCTTCCATCAGCCTTTCAGTATCGGAAAGTACAATTATAATGACAGGAGACCTACCTGCCCGTATAGCCGAAACTAAGCTCACTAACAAGAAATTGTGCCTGCGCTGCAGCAAAATTCGCGGTTGCAGTCAGCCCAAAGGCAAGGGTTGAGGATTGAATGAGACGCATTCTTCAACCCAGGGGTTGGCTACTTTGAAGCGGAAGCTTTTCAGGGAATACAGTGTAGTAAGGATAGTAAGGATAGTAAGGACAATATAGGTCAGGTCCACGGGTATATTATATTAATCGTGAGAATAAGCTTTCGGTAGGGATCGGTGAGAGTGGGAGATCAAAGGCAAAGAAAAAGGCTCTCTAAAGTATTCGCTATGCGCAATTCGCGATATTCGCCGTATAAGGACACTTTGCAACCAAAGCTCCTAATGTCTTGGGGGCCACAGCTCAAGGAATGTGGGGGAAGCTTACTACTAGGTAGGCTACCTAGGTAAGTAAGGTACTTGAAAGACTAAAAGAAAGGAAGAGAAAATACAAGGAATTCAATGAGAATATGGAGAAGCACTGCACAAATACAATCCAGGAGAATTGAGGAAGTTGAAAAATCTGTGGATATGAATTGGAGATGGAAAAAATAAAAATAAAAATAAAAATACGATCCAAGACACATCCATGGATCAGATTGCCAATTCACAGCCTCAAACCTTACCTTCCTTCCTAACACAATTGATGTACATAAGGTACAACAGTTACTGCTAGTGACATGTACGTACTACAATGTAGTTAACTATTCCAGAATCTGCGCTAACGTCACATTGGCATGCTGGCATATATTTTTATGCCCAATCCCTGCTTTACAAAGAAGTGGACACAATCTACTAGGTTAGGCTACTACCTGTAGGTACTAGTACCGTACTACGAAGCAGCCTGGAGCTGTGCAGGCGTTCAATGTTTGTGTTAGATTGACTCGATGAGAGATACATACATTATGTACATAGTAGTATTTCAATGTTACTATTTCTATACGCATATGGAGAATCGAGATACCAATCACAATTGATCGATGTAATACAATTGCCTACGATCTATGATTCTATGTACCTAAACTGAAAGAGACGCACAGACCCATGCTTAAGGTACGTACCCTACTACATAGGTACAATACCTAGTACCTAGTACCTAGCCCAGACATGGGATTGATGTTGCACATCGGTAAAAATACGTACCGATTCTGTGGAGCTTGACTACTAGCCTCAATTGACTTCAATTCTTCAACTCACAGTTGCGACGCTGGCAATGTAACGTGCGTCTATCTTGTCTATCTCTATCAAATCTATCCTTTTTGTACATATTGTGACCGTAACACTTACACACTCATACTCGAACATTTATAAACCTAACAAAACTCACTGTCATGACTCCTAGTCCAAATGACTGAGATATATCCAACTATTGCGCATTGCGCAATAGTTGCAACTGCTTTCAAGATCCTTCTTTTCCCGGCCTAGTAAGTATACCTCCTCTCATCTCATCCTACCACCTGCACCGCAATGGACAACTAAACCACTCCCAAGCAAATCCACAGACTTTGAGGTTCACAGGAACTGGTTAGCCATCACGAATAGTCTACCTCTATGGGAATGGTATTACGAAAAGACGTCAGAATGGACTCTGGATTATCCACCATTCTTCGCATACTTCGAATGGGTTCTTTCTCAGGTAGCAAAGCTAGCTGACCCAGCTATGCTTCGGGTCTATAACCTAGGATATGATAGTTGGCAGACAATTTACTTCCAGAGGTTCACCGTTATCGCCACGGAGTTGGTCCTGATATACGCTCTCCAACTGTAGGGGTTGCCTAATATCTCCCTGCTTACTTAGTTTGTTTTACTAATGTGAACTTATGAGCAGATTTGTCGAATCTTCACAAACAGTTACCAAGCGTGCAGCACAGGCTGCAGCAATCTCAGTCCTTCTCTCACCAGGTCTCCTTATCATAGATCACATTCACTTTCAGTATAATGGAGTTATGTATGGAGTCTTGATCTTGTCTTTGGTCCTGGCTCGTCAAAAGTCCGGTCTCTTAGTCAGTGGCCTTGTCTTCGCCGCCCTCTTATGCATGAAGCATATTTACCTTTATCTTGCTCCAGCGTACTTTGTCTACCTGCTTAGAACCTACTGCTTCTCGTCCAAATTTCGTATTCAGTTCCTCAACTGCTTCAAGCTCGGATCCGGCATTATTGGCATTTTTGGCCTGGCGTTTGGGCCATTTGCCTTGAAGGGACAGATTCCACAGATCTTGACCAGGCTTTTCCCTTTCTCACGTGGGCTTTGCCACGCTTATTGGGCGCCAAATGTGTGGGCCATGTATTCCTTCATCGACAGGGTGCTGATATTTGGTGAGTAGTGTCCGATATTCCAACGATACACGATACATGGGCAATAGCTAATGAAACCAGTGGCACCACGGATGGGGTTACCGGTCAAGATGGAGGCAGTAAATAGTGTCACGAGAGGCTTAGTTGGGGACACATCTTTTGCAGTGCTTCCTGATGTCACCCCTCGGGTGTGCTTTGCACTTACTCTCCTTTTCCAGGCAATACCGCTTGTGAGACTATTCCTGCGTCCTAACTGGGACGCTTTCATTGGAGCAGTCACACTCTGTGGCTACTCCTCCTTCCTCTTTGGATGGCATGTTCACGAGAAAGCTATTCTTCTTGTGATTATTCCATTTAGCTTGATCGCTCTCAAGGATCGACGGCACCTTAGTGCGTTCCGTCCCTTGGCAGTATCTGGACATGTCTCGCTCTTCCCACTACTCTTTACCCCTGCAGAGTTCCCAATCAAAATAGTCTACACCGTGTTCTGGCTGATACTATTTTTGATGGCATTTGATCGCATGGCTCCCCCTTCAACCCGACCACGATTCTTCCTCTTTGACCGGTTTACGATACTATATATCACGATTAGCATACCCCTGATTCTGTACAGCTCGTTGTTACATCAGATCATATTCGGCAAGAGTTATGAATTTCTCCCATTGATGTTCACTAGCTCTTATTCGGCTATAGGTGTGGTTGGTAGTTGGATAGGGTTCATGGTTGTATACTTTACATCGTAGTGTAGTATGGCTGACGGCATGATGCAATTCTCAGTGTGTCTCTAGGGCTTGCCTACCTAGCGTAGAGTGATTATATTATAAATTCGACAACTTGGACTGTTTGAAATGTGAGTGTGATGATCTTGTTATTGAAGTACCTACTACATATATAATAGTGTGTAGTTTTCAATGGCAAATACTGGGTACCCTGGTATGGTATATGTATGGGTAACTTCACAGTAGTAAACTTTCCGGTTTTGCTTTTATGCAAGGCGAGTTGATTGATTTTTTCCCACGTACATACGTACATACGTACATACATACCTAGTACATACTGTGTGTATATATATGGATAGTATGTAGCCGGCAGGTGATTAAGGTAGGTTAGGTAATTAGGGAGGTGTGGGTTGCTTTGGTTTGGTGCCAACCCATATGGCATAGGGTAGACATCAACTAAAATTCCCTGATGGACCCAGTCTCACCAACGGCCTGTCGGTCTTAAACAAATTATTCAGTCACCCAAACAAAGATGTATTAATTGACAGATGAATTCTAAACTTTCAACACTAGATGGAGGGAATGCGCGGAGGTGTATTGAGAACCCTCCTTGGAGAATTGCCACATTGCCTGCATCAATGCGGCCTAGGCGACTTACACACGATCATGTCTTATGACGGTATAGGGTTGATATATAGCTGCACTCGGATTAATATTTAGCAGAAAGATGAACAATTTACTAGGCTGTTAGATGATAAGGCGGGCTTTAATTAAAGGTATTCATGGTCGCTGTCCGACACGTGGTTGGCCTGAAAGTGGCCTTGTGAGGTCATTGTCTAGATCGAGGGACATGGGCAGAATTTGGGTTCGTATGGGACTCTGGATAGAAGAGATTTCTTATATTGGCAGTAGTTCTGGTTGGAGTGGTCAAAGGGATGATATGGAGTACTCTTTGGAATCGTCTTGAATTGGCGATCAGAATGAGTATAAGAATGTGGTGGTAAGTAATAAAGTTGATATGACCGTGTGAAGAGAGTTGTCGATGGGGTAGTAGGAGTGGTTATTCAAAGGTGGACACGACTTTTTGAAGGCCATCCCAAATAAGCGAAAAAGACCCACCTGCGGAGACAGCTTTGACCAATAACAAAACAAAGTTAAGTGGCTTAACCCCCGTCATCCCGGGGTCTGGTTCTACTTCCCGCCCGCCGTACATAAGGTACCTGAAGGTAGCGTTTCCCTTCTTCCTCCTTTGCCCTTCCGCCTTATTATTTTTAGTCCTCCCTCTTTTCTCCTCTCTACTTCTACAAAACTTTTACAACAATAACTTTGCTTGTCGCGTCGACAATCTGGCTTTCCTTTTCAATCAGCAACCACCACTGGAAAAACGAACATAACTTGTATACTGACATCCTTGACGCGTCTCTCCTACAATAAGGAACAATAAGGAACCGCGTTCCTAAGTAACTATAACTTGAATTTCACTTCCTCACATGTAAGTAGCCCTGCTGCTCTGCTGCTCTGCTGCCCTGCTGCCCTGCTGCCCTGGGAGCATGCAAGTTATACATACTATGTATTGTACCGTACCTACATACAATATACAGTACAGTATATACCCACCCACCATTCATCCACCATCCATCCACCATCTGGCCTGGTCCTCTCTCTTTCTTCCTACCTACCCTACCCTACCCTACCTTACCTTAACCTGACCTTGTCCTGTGCTTGCTGCACTGCCAATTTTTCCACACTTACCCAATTCCACAACAACATCAATATTCAAATCACTTTCTACTCAAACCCACCTACTAGCTATCTGGTAGATCAAGTATACTCATCTCATTTCCTTCTTGATCTATACTTTCACGTGCGCCGCCAGAGAAGGCTGACATTCAGCCTTGCAGGGTTCATTGTACGGCGAGCTTTCCAACCTTGGCTGTTTCCATAGTCATCAGTCACAGTCACCATGGTAAGTCGTCATCAGACAATGACGCTATCCTTTAGGGGAATACTAAAAAAGAAAAAGAAAACAATAACTAACTTTCATAGGTCCTTTTTAAACGCAAGCCGGTGCAGTTTATGCAAACTCCACCACTTGACGATGACTCCGTAGAGGTAACTTGACCTGAGAGATCCCATCTGTCACACAAAGTTCACACCCCCCTCAACTGACAAATTTTTCGCAGGTCTGGCATATCCCTCAGACCGGCGAGATATTCATCACATATGAAGCGTATCTAAACCGGTAAGTGCTTGATAGAATCACTACATGATATAGACATCACGTGCGCTAACCTATCATACATAGCATGGACTTCTATAGACAGGTTCGTGAGCTTGAGATAGGCTTTATTCCCCTTTAGTCATAAACTTACCTGTATTTAGCCGCGCTTTATCTGTCAGATCACCGGCCACTCTGGCCTAACGTTCTTTGAAGCACTAAAGAGCGAGGTACGTACCTTCTCAGATGTAGACGCCTCTTACATAGATCTATCGCCTCTCAGTATGTATACTAACTAATAGCGTAGCTTGCTGGCGCCCAAGAGGTTGACCAGGCATTCCCTGAAGCTCTAAAAGGCCCCATATTGCGCCGGGTACAGTTTCAGACCATCTCGCGCATCGATACTTTAGTAGACATGATCTATGATGAATTTAAGGCCGACTACTATCCTGGAGAGGCTGTGTCCATACACCTCATAAACGGAGAGCGCCTAACTGGAATTGTTCGAGATAAGGCTCGTCTAGGAAGTAAGGTGCTCCCTGACGGTACGCTTACACTTCCTTATTCGCGATACTCCACTAGCATTGACGGCCGTGCAGAGGAAGCTGTAGTGGACAGCGATCATATCTACCGTGACAGGCGAGTTTTCACAAAGTCAGTTTTACGGTCTTTTATCAAGAAGACCGTCACAAGGGAAGCATGGAACGGCGCACCCTGGCTGGTAAAGCATGATGTTGCCGCACAATATCATATTGATTCACGAATACCGCCACACCTACGCTACGACAATAAGTTACTCGAGCGCAAGCAGAATCAGGCGTACAAGAAGGCAGCCAATGGAGCTGGAGCCGGAGCCGGAGCAGTCACACAAGATATGAACGGCATGAATAATCAATTCCAGAACTTTGGACCAGCAAGATTACCAGAACTTAAGCCGGCGCCGAAGAGCCAAAAAGCCATGAGAGCTAACCATCATGACTTAGAAGTCCAAGGTGATTCAGGTATGTTCCTGACACAGGACCAAGGACCACTTCCACCTGTGCCGGGTAACCACCCTTTTCATTTCCCGGTCCCCTTTCGAAATAGTATGCCGCCCCCGCCTCATATCGTCCCTCCTTCAATGCCCGAGCCACCCCCACCGGCTCCACCCCCGAAGTATCCCATTGAGGACCTACAGCTTGAGCCCCGTGATGACTATGTTCGTCCTGCGTTGAAATTCATGTGCAGCGATCCTCCGGAGGGTGTCGTTGATAGTGGCGCACGAAACGATAAGATCCTTATGAAATCTATCGGGCCATTGCTAGAGACGTGGGATACGCTCAATGTTTACTGCGAAGTCTTCAAGCTTGACTCCTTTACCTTTGATGACTTTGTTGAGGCGATGGAGGTTGCTAACGAGGAAACCCCCTGTGAATTATTTACCGAAATTCACTGTGCGCTACTCAAACAGATAGTAAGCGCTGAAGCAGACGGTGGCAAGCTTTTGGTTGACCTACCAGAGCCTGATGAAGATGACGACGAGGAGAGCGCATCCCCGAGCCCTGAACCGGAACTGGAACCGAAGCCTACCGCCCGGGCCACTAGAAGCAGCTTAGCTAAGCTGGAGGCTGAGAAGATGAAGGCCGAAGCTGCTGCCGCGGAGAGAAGCGTCGAGCCAAAGATCAAGCATCGCGCTTCTGATGTCTTATCAGACTTCGATTGGGTTGAGCAGCTGAAGAAGCGTGAATTCCAGAACGGAGGCTGGCAGCTAATAATGGTTGGGCTTCTACACCAGTTATCCAAGAAGCCTCGTTACACTGAGATCTGCGAGGATTTGCTAGCACATCTTGTACCTCCTGAGATTGAGCCGAGCCAGGAGACCGTTCGCCAACAGTACGGCAAACTCGATCTTAATCTTCGCATCTCTGCGCTCCAGACCGTCTGCTTGTTAACCATTGACACCAAGGCAGTTCGTGGATATATGGAAGAGTGTGCCGAAACAATGACTGGCTATCGAAAGGAGAAGATTGAATGGCAAAGAAACCGAAAACAAACGTACGTCGAAACCTACTGCTACTGACTATCTAATTATCAAGGATTTTGCATACTGATTATTTTATAGCATTGAGGAATTGAAGGCATTGAATGATCAGCGCAAGTTACTTCTCCCAGAGAACATGCCCCCGTCGCCACCAGCCGATGAAGCGGAGATCGCGAAGACAAATGGCGACGTGAAAATGGCCGACGCCGACGACTCGCCTGAGGAGCCAAGTGAAGAGGCTGGTGATAGCGACGTGGATGCCAATGCTCGCCGTAATCTACGTAGGGGGGGCAATCGGGCAGCAGAACGTCAACGTAAGCGCGAAGAGCAGGAGCGCAAGAAGGAAGCTGAGCTGGCTGCCAAGATGCCTAAGCAATCAAAACAGTTCATCAAGGTGTTGAAGGATATTCGGAAAAAGGAGGAATACATCAAGAAATGCGAAGCAGAAATCGCCATCATCGACAATGACCTTCGAGAAGCAGATTGTGCACGAACTCGTATCCTCGGCAAGGATCGATTCTGGAATCGGTATTACTGGTTTGAACGCAACGGGATGCCATACGGCGGATTGCCCACTAGCTCGACGGCGGACGCAGGCTACGCAAACGGCTGTATTTGGGTACAAGGGCCTGACGACATGGAGCGCGAGGGCTATATCGACATGCTTCCGGAACACCAAGAGGAATACAAGGCCAAATTCAAGATGACCGTACCTCAGCGGAAGAAGATGGAGGAAGGCCGTACCAGCGTCTTTAACGCCCGCCAATGGGGCTACTATTCGGAACCTGCCGATGTGGACTCACTCCTCAACTGGCTTGATCCCCGAGGATTCAACGAGCTGAAGTTACGAAAGGAAATCCTAAGCTACAAGGATAAAATCGTCACTCACATGGAGAATCGGCTCAAGTACACCGGCTCAGCAGAGGAAGAGGAAGAGAAGGAGCCAGAGACCGAAAACGAGAAGAAGGAGGAGCCTAAACGCATGAGTACCCGCACCAAGGCACCGGCGACTCCAGAGCCTACCAATTTTAGATGCCTGGCCTGGGCCAATAATGTTGCAGTGGAAGAGTTTGGACATCTCCATAGCGAGCCACCGCCACCGCCGAAGACAAAGAGCCGCAAGGCCGCAAAGAAGGGCCGCAACTAATTGTGTGGTAGCAACCATACGTAACCGCTTCTCCCAAAATTTCACGACCGAATGACGATGAATTTGTGTTACACGACACTACCTTTAGCATATAGACACGGAAAGAGGCAAGGAAGTTACGAGTAAAAAAACGGGCGTTGGCAAATGTCTTGTTTTTGTGGTTTTTTCCCTATCGAGATTCCCTCTTAGAAGGAGGCAACGAGTAGAGAAAAACGCTGAAGGCTGGCGTGGCGTTAAGGATAAGGGGTGGTTTTAGCATTTATTTTTGCCTGTCCCCCACTGCTTTCTCTGGATTCATGTTACGAGTTGGCAGGGAAACTTCACTTCATCATAGGCGAGAAGGAAGCTCTTCGTCTCCTTTTTGTTCGTTTTTGCAAATTGTTACTTTTTTGCAACCCTTCACCCCCCCACCACCCTTCTTCACCACCTACAGCAACATCCTCGACACAAGAGGAGGTGGGATACTGCTTGTCGTCATTTACCATTGATACAAACGTTTCACAGGGGCAGAATCCTTCCTGTAATACGTAGGTCTCTTGACTACCTACCTATTTTCTGCAGAGGCCCGCTGAGGAGACGTGGGTGGACGGAAAAGGATGGCGGCATTCTTCATGCGGTGGTGAATGTACATATGGATAGGGAGGTATATGTACATACTTAGTTAGGTACTGGTACTCGGAGGTTGTCTACACGTGTGTACTGCCTACCTTCAATGGTATATGTACTACATAGGTACATGTATATGTAGATAGTAATAGTATCCTCCCTCGAGAGAGAAAAGAAAGCCTTATGCGTACTCTTCTCGGCTGTGATTTTCGGGTTTCAATGCTCTATTAACTTTTTGATTTATGTGACTGACTGACTGACTGACTGACTGACCTTTTGCCTGCCAGCCTACCTAATGTATGTACTTCATTATTGATTCAGACTACGATCTTGAAACTCAACTACGTAATTAGCTAGGTACCTAGGCAGGTGGGCTGATACATTATACATATAGGTAGGCGCCCAAGTATGTAAATACCACCTACATAGAGAAAAAGGGGGAAACCACAACAGCCAGTCAGAACATGGTAATCACAGCATACCTGGCACCTACCTAGGTATCTACTCAACGACTACACAAGAAAGGAAGCAAGAAATTAGATATTGTTTGTTTGTTTGTTTTGGGGCACTTATGCCCCTAAAACCAAGTTTTATTTATCTGCAAACGTAGACTCTAGATACACAAACGGCGAAAGCATGCAGCATCTCCCCTCCATCCGAATCAGTTCTTGAATTGCCATTAATGCCATTAATACCAGGTCGATGTCATGCTAAGAATGTTGCTTTTCTTCCCTACTTGATGAAAAGCCCGAGGGAAACATAAGAAAGGGAAGGGAAGGGGATAATAAATATAGGTATCATGATGAATGGAACGGGATGGGACATCTAATCTTCCCCTTCACATCACCAGTTTATCTCTTTTCGTCGTTAAAAAGGCCATGCTAGCAGCAAGGCCTGTGGGCTGTACTGGTTGCAAAGCATATGTGGGAGGGGATGAGCTTTATGTGGCTGCTTTGTGAATCAAATTCGCGACTACTGACCGGATCTTCCTTGAGCTCTGATCTCAAATCTCTGGGTTACTCATGAGTGGGCTAATATGCCTATTAATATGGGAATGCTGTCCCAGTATTAGAGAATTTGAAGAGCGCGAGGGCATTCACATAATATTGCGAAACCGGTCGTTATTGCTGGTCACTATTAGGTTAGTATCAATACAAGCTGGCATCAACTGTGGCAGATCAGTTGACATCCAAGCAAATGAGGGCGAGATTCGTTGATATGACATGGTCAAAAGACGACTGTGTCGCCCAGCGCTCATCCTGCTGCAGCGGCTGATGCCTGCTGCAGCGAGGGCTGTGGTCGCTTCGCCGGCGGAGGGTTGCCCTGATGTGAGTTAGTAAGCTCCCGAAAGGTAGAGGGATGCCCTAGGATATCTAGGTGATAGTCGCGACATCGGCTATCCACCATTCATCTCTACATACTTCGGACGAAGCATTACGCTTCTTGGGACCGAGGGCAGCGGTAGTGTTGCCGTTCGCAGCCACCTTTCTTAAGGGCCGCATAGGCTTCACTTCGCCCGGTTCGAAAACATCGTCCGGAAGATTCGTGCTATAGATATTTGAGTCAATGGTGAATAACGAAGACATGCTGGAGTACCTACTTCTTCACGTGCTGGATGCTCAAGTAGTTCAGGTTTGCGTCATACTTTTCCCACTGACTACACATAGCCTTGAACATATTGACTTGGTACGACAAGTCTAATGATTTGGCACCTATCACGTCATCAAGCTCAGGTTAGGAATCACAAATCATGTCTTTGCCGGCGTTCGGAGTTGGATAAATACTGCAAGGCTCAAATAGACAAAATAAAAATAAAAGGGAGATGAGAGGTGTGGTGAGGGAGGACACTTACCTTCGGCAAGCTCGAGGCCTACATAATGCGTCGTGGTGTATACTTTGGTCCCGTTAGAGGGCACATCAGGGATATTGTCGATTTCTACCTTTGGGTTCTCAGGGTCGGACTTGATGTCGAAGCTCGTTGATTCGTCGTTATCTACGTTCGTACCGGAACTCGCTTCTGTCTTGACCTCAGTCTTCACTTCGACTCCGTCATCCGTCTTTACTGCAAAGTCATCTTCATCTTCATCACCTTGAATAAGATGGGCCAGGCTTCCGTTCTGCACCTCTTGGCATTCTTCATCGTTCTTGATCCTATGCATCCTTTCGTATCCCTTGTTGAAGGGGCGCGCAATGGCGATCGAGGGGAGTCGTTCTAGGTCACCCACTAGTACTCGGACCTTGGATTCAATAAACCCAGACCATATCTTATGAGCTTCCTTCGTGGTGCTTGTCGAAATGACCGCCAGGTAATACTTGTGGTCAGTAGTGAAGAACGTATGTTTAACAAACAGATCCTTCCAGACGAGCTTTCCAGCCCTTATCTTGTCCGTCAGTTCAAAGCCGCGCTCAAGCTCGCGCTGTATAATGGACATTGTTGAGTGAGTAATGTTGAATGTTGCACACATCTGCGGGTAAGCAGGTGTGATGACAGGCATCAGATGGTAGCTATCACTCTTGTATACCTGCGGCTAGTTAGTCTAAGGGAATACCAATTTTAGCAAGGCATAAGAACACTGACCTTGGGATTCCAGACTCGAACATTGAGTGGACCTTCGTCCATAGACTTCAGTTGCACAGGAATGGGCCATTGCCAGGCCTTCATAATCTGAAAGAACTTGGTGACAATGGTAGCGCTTGTAGCTTTGGGATATAGTTGACAAACTCGTGCTACCATCATAGCCCATACCACACCGCCTGGGAAGCCGATGATGTTGGCATATATTGCTCGGCGCTGAGCCCATAGTTTAATAGCTCGAAGGGCAAGGCGAAAAGTACTTTGCTCGGGGACGAGGTTGAGAATCTCTTTGGTGACCCTTGTGCCGTTTAGAGAACGAAGTTCGCGATCATCCAAGCCGCGCAGGTATTCATTGTTAGTCAAGTTGAGTTGTCCATGAGGTGGGAACTGCTTCAGAGTAGCTATCCTCGAAAAAATCAAATCAATGCTGATACCCCAGTACTCGAATTTGATGATAGGCACAAAAGCGTCCTCGACGGCCGTGAGATCTGTGACAGCGCCCTTAGGGGCCATTTCTTCTAGTAAAGAGGGGAAGTATTTGAAGTAGTCATCGCGAGTTACGTATCGAGGGGCTGTGACAAGAGTATCAATATCGGAACCAGGGCCATAGACGCCTAGACAGTAGCTTCCATAGGTGAAGACTTCGCCACGAGCATCTCGAACAAGAACCTCATTTTGAGGTTCCTTTTCCCGGGCTACCCGTCTCACAAATTCGTCGGCGATGCGTTGAATATCGGCAAGCACTCGCTCTCTAGTCAAGAAGTGTCTTGTTAGTTTCTAAGAATATACCTCCAGATAGTGCCCTCAACTTACCTCTTCTTAGTCTCAGCTGCAGATTCAAATGTGTTCTGGCGTCTAAGTTCTTCTAGAAGCAAATGTGTCGATTGTGTTTCGACAGGCGTCGGCAGCGCAGTCGAGATCGGTGCCGTGATGCCCCAGCGCGGATTGGCCATGATGATGTTGAGTAAGATACCAACAGTTGGATACCAAAGATAGTTATTAAAAAAGTAGACGTGTAGAAATCTACGCAATCAAAGAAGGGAATAATCGCGCGGCATCAGGACAGGAGGAGGTAGGTTCGATGTTCAACGGCGTCCCTAACAAACAACAAACAGTGTCAATGGGTGACTCTCGATGGAGACGTCGTAGTCACGATTGGCTGCAGGCTGTATCGTCGTAAGGTTAGAGGCGCAACTAATTCACTACCATAAGCTGAGACTTAGAGGTGGCCGAGTCCGCATGAAAATAAAGAAAATGAAAGAAAATGACGGGATAGAAGTGATGATACGCGGAGGGAGAATAGATGTTTTGGTTTGAATGATGACGAGGGAAGAAAATGCTGTGTATGTAGGTAAAAGTAATATGTAGTGAGTAGATTGAGAGATTGATTACACTAGAACAAGGTACGCGGCGAACATTCATTATTAGAATCATTACTAACATTCATCAAGGTTACTAGGTACCTAGTACTAGCCTACTAGGTACTACTAGTACTATGCCGTACTAGTACATACAGTGTAAATGGTGGAACTTAACCTTAAATAGTTAGATTCAGCTTTAAGCACGCGCTTATCGATAGCGCACGTCAACAACTTATACCGGAAAGGGCACAAACCTGGAAACACCGACATCATTAACCGATTAATTAATTGATTAAAACACAAAATTCACTACTAGGTGCATGCATAATAAGTAGGTCCATAGGCACATTTTAGGGATTAAAAGTTGCCTGTAATATGTATGGCACTGTATGTATATTTTGGCCTTGCCAAAATAAAACTACATGATCCAAATGCTCAAACTTGCATAGGTAGGTACATCATACATACCATAACCTACACTGGTCCTACAGACGTACCTAGTTGAACATGGTATTTTGTTGTGAGTAGGGTTATCACCTCCAAAGCGACTCTTACAACGAAGGTATAGTTACATATACGAGGGTATCTTAGATGTCCATCCCCCAATGTCTCGCCCACTCATCTGCCAGTTGAACAGGATCTGTTTGCCAATGATGCCTCGATAGCCAGAACGCCAGACCCCCAACCACCCCGAGACTACCTACCACTTCTAGAGCAACCCACCCTCTTGCCTTCAAGTCTGCTGCCACTTGAAGCAATCCTAACGGATCCTGATGTTGTTCTGTCCTCTTGGAGAATGTGCGTTTGGATGCTCTCCTTGCTTCCACCGGTCTGTTGCCGTTAGCCTTACGAAGAGCCACAAGTGTGCCATCCTGCACACATTCGCTTAATTTTTCTGTAAGCCAAACCGCCCTTTCCCCCCGAGCAAGTGCTTCGTATTTAGCTCGCTCGCCAGCTAGACTGCGCTGAAGATCAGCAGCCCAATCTACTACGTGAAGCTGTGGCGGGCCTTGATCTCTATGTGCACCGTTAAGGCGAGCTAGGGCTAGGGACGTGTGTGCTTCCGTCTTATTTTCTGATGGTAGAGCTAAAGTGGACGATGGTGTTGCACCCGCGAAGTTCAACGGCCTGTACAAGTGGCGCGGTCGTGACGAAGTAGTCGTCCTCCAATCTAGGTACTTCTTGGCAGCGGCATGTCGGAGCCAGGATACCCCGTTTGGGCTGAACACAGTTTCGACCAAATATCTGAGCTCCGACGTGATTAAGGGTTGGACATAATCAGAACTCATTAGGAGACTTGCGTCCATTATTTCATGGTCCGAGCCGGTAGTGCTGGATACAGCGTAAGGAATATCCGGCACCAGTGTTGAAGACTGTTGGCTGGGCACCGCTATGAAGCTAAAAGGCTGGAGACCAGCTTGCCGGAGCTGGCTGGAAATTTGCTCTTTACACACTACGAGCTGTTCTGGCGATAATGAGTCGGCACGAGCTACAACGGGAATGACATTCGTTAGGGGCATCAACCGTCGAATGTATTCCAAGTCAATTGGCCTCATCTCTTGAAGCTTGGTCAGTAACTGTTTCTTCCGTGATACGAAGTTGACCTACTATGAGATATAAGATAGAAAACGACATCGACTTGAAAGCCTCCGCCGCCTCCAAGCATATTCAGCATCTCCGAGTCACTCAGAGAATCTGAGAACATCCTGTTTAGATGAGCCTCTACGTATTCGACACAAGGAATAATGGTCTCCATCGCCTAGGTCAAGTCAGCACTTTAAGCACCAGTCGTAACTGCAGACTCACAGATGATCCATTCCGATAACCAGGTGTATCTACAAAGCATACGTTACGCTCTAGAATACTGTCACCTAGGCTTTGGCGCCTTTCCGAATTATGAGGTTCATCCAACATAGACCACCATTCCGGATATGGCTTAGTACTGGCATATATTTCAGATATGCCAGATGTTGAGTTTGATGCCCTCTTCGATGAGGTGGCGCGCTCCTTGGGCTTATTTCGCTCTGCCTCCGAGAGGATAGGGTCGACATGAACAATGTGCTCGCAGATTTGGACAATTGCCTTAACCATGGAAGTCTTTCCGACACCTGAATGACTAAACATTAGCTAAAGATTTAAAGCGTACAGACTTGGCAGGTATAGTACCAGAGTCACCAGCAAACAACACCTTTAGTCGCCCCAGGCTCTTGCCTGTTTCGGTGAATGGGCGTCGGCTTGGCATTTTAATACTAGGCATTACCAACTGAGGTGTATCACCACTTTCGAACATGTTGGAGCAACTTTGGTCGAGGGGTTCGTCGTCGAAACTGACAGCATGCTCTGACCAAGACTCGGTAAGTGAGTTCCTCCGAGAAGATGGACTACTCATGATAGATCCAGTATAGGATGTACCCAGCATCATGGGTGTTATAGGCCGCGAAGGAGACGAGTGGTTCTGGGATCTCATCGAGGCGGGACTGTGGGTAAAGATGGAGGCTCTCGATGTCGGGGAGCATGCAGAAGTATCGTCTCTTTCCTTTTCCGATTGCCACGAAGGGTATCTCGATGCATCGACCTCTTTCTTGTCTTTGCGAGGGGGCAGGATATTAGCAGCAGAAGTAGTAGTAGTAGCAGCCTTCCGAGCATCCAGGAAACGACTATGAGGGTTTTGGTTTTGGTTTGAATGTTCGATATATGAATCAATGGAGGATTCATCAGCAAAGACAAATGACATCTGGCTATTGGAGACAGAGGCCATAAGGGGAGCGGGATCGTGGTCGGCGAAGCGCTGACGCCCGCTCCAAGCGTCTTCGCCAGGAAAAGGTCGCATGATACAAGATCACATCTAGATTCGGTTGGAAAAGGAGTTACAAGAGGAACTACTTGGGATTATGATTTTTACAGATATGAGTAGTTCAGTGTTGAGATGAAGTTGGAGTTATATGTAAGTAGTGTAGATACGTAGATGCAGATGCGTAGATGTTAAGAGTCCAAGAACATGCATGTGTACCGTACCTATCTTTGCTGCAACTAGTTGAATACTAGATGCAGTAGATGGGGGTAAGATGACTGGGAGAGATGGTGCTATGGCTGATGGTGCAATGGTTAATGGGCTGGATAGTTTGTAGATGATGACATGAAATGGTTGATTGGGGTTGATTGGTGTTGATTGGTGTCTACTTTATGGGCTGCGTGGTTGGAGTCGCCTGTGAATGGCTGAATCTGGTTGAGACCCCCGCATTAGATAAAGCTCCCGGCACCTCCTGAACAGGCTGAGCTACACAACATACGCGGTCAGGTGCAGGTTGTAAGTTTATGGTACAAAAAGAATACGGAATTGAGCTCGGACCATGTAAATAATGAGTCGAGCCATTTGAAGTTTGCGGTGTGAATGGCACTGAACGTAGGTACCTAGGTACATATATATGTAAGTATATGAAAGTACCCCTTTTACGATCAATTGATGTGCCAGACCTTTCAACATCGAAGATTCCCCCATTTGGCTTTTGCTTGACGATAGTACCGTTGACGCTAGTACAATTCTAGTAGTATGGACTCAGGCAGTATGTAGTCTGTGTATGTAGTCTGTGCAGGTGGTCAAACCGTTAACTAAAGTCCCAAATCATTTTGGGTTTGGCCATGAACTAATATGTATACCACTAGTTATGTGCATACCAAGCATATGCAACTTCAACTTGAGGTTCTGTGTGTTAAATACATACGTAGGTACAGCATTGAATATATGTATGTAAGCAGGGACATTACATAATGTTCAGAGTCCAGAATAACCCCTGTCTCTTTTTCCGCTCGGTTTGCCCCTCATTCCCTCAACGGCCCAACAGGGATGCAAGAATGCCATGTCATGTCATGTCATGTATTTCCATTTCTATTCCTGAATATTTGCAAAGAATACTACCCTCCTGAAAGTGACCAATAACCCAAGATTTACTACACATTAAGCGCCCTCATTCAGCAATAATCACTGTTAAATTCCCTTTATTGTCGCTTATCGATTTTTTTTCTTAACCGGCCTATCTCCGTTAAACGATCGGTCTTCTACATATCAACCACCACGCGCCTTGCATTACGACAAGGCCTTTTTAATACCTCCCTCTTCCTACCTTCACCACGACTTCCCCGGATATTCCCCCAGTTTCCAACTCCCGCAGGCAACCAGATTCTCTCGAACTCCTTAGTAAGACTTGTACTTCCTCCGATATTCTGTTCGACCGTCAATACACTTCCCGGCCACGCCCCACTCGCGGCAACATGGACGCCAAGAGACATCCGAGCTCGTTCCAGCAGCTCGAAAAATTGGGAGAGGGCACTTATGCTACTGTATGTCCCCTCCTACTCCTGTCCTCTCATGCGCCCAAGTTAAAACAACTTAGAAATAATATATATATAAAAAAAACTAATATAATGCGCGCTATAGGTCTTCAAGGGACGGAACCGCCAGACCGGCGAGCTTGTCGCCCTCAAAGAAATTCACCTTGACTCAGAAGAAGGCACTCCGTCGACCGCGATCCGTGAGATTTCCCTTATGAAGGAGCTCAAGCACGAAAACATTGTTGCCCTTCACGATGTCATCCATACCGAAAACAAACTCATGCTAGTATTTGAGTACATGGATGGTGACCTGAAGAAGTACATGGACACGCACGGCGACCGGGGCGCTTTGAAGCCCATCACTATCAAATCTTTCATGTTTCAGTTGTTGAAAGGCATCGATTTCTGTCATAAGAATAGAGTCCTCCACCGAGATCTAAAACCTCAGAACCTGCTTATTAATGGCAAAGGCCAGCTCAAGTTGGGCGATTTTGGGTTGGCGCGTGCGTTTGGTATTCCTGTAAATACATTTTCGAACGAGGTCGTCACCCTGTGGTACCGCGCTCCGGATGTCCTCTTGGGAAGTCGAACCTATAACACGAGCATCGACATATGGTCGGCGGGGTGCATTATGGCCGAGATGTATACGGGACGACCGCTCTTCCCTGGTACGACCAACGAAGACCAGATCGTCCGTATTTTCCGCATAATGGGCACGCCGACAGAGAGGACCTGGCCCGGTATCACCCAATTCCCCGAGCACAAGTCTAATATCCAAATGTACGCCACGCAAGACCTCAGGGCTATCCTACCGCAGATCGATCAAGTCGGAATCGATCTTTTACAGCGAATGCTGGTCCTTAGACCTGAGCACCGCATTAGTGCCCATGATGCCTTACTACACCCCTGGTTCTCTGATTTGGCCATGCAACACCAGATGCAGCAGCAGCAACAACAGCAGCAGCAGCAGCAGCAACAGCAACAGCAACAGGCAATGCAGGCGCAGGTTAGGGGATATGCACCTCCCGCGGTGCCATCGCAAGGCGTTTACGATCCCGGCTACTAAGCAGCAGCTTGTAACTGATGTCAGTCAGGCTTCCTAAGTACCTACGTTGGCCACCCCATCCATCCATATCCATTGTTCGGGGGGAACTCTTTGAAGGTTGTGTAAGGAGTGAGTAGGTTTTTTTTTTATTACAAGCACCTGGGCAACTCGGCTTTTTGGGGCAAATAATGGGTGGGCTGCTGGTGGTGTAATAATGATTGATGCGACGAAAGTTGACATTACATGGCAAAGGGGTTATGTTATATTTTGCGGTCCGGCGTTCGGAAAGAGTCGGTTTTATACAAACGCTTAATTCATAGACGACGGCTGCATCCAAGGGCATTTTTTTTTCTTCTTTTTTTTTTTTTGGTGAAGGAAAGGAAGGAAGAAAGTAAGACGCGTTTTATCATTTTTGAAAATGGAAAATGGGTATAACCCCCCGGGTTTCATCAGTCCACCGTTTGTTTAGTTCGTAGGGATTCGTGACATTCCCCCCCCCTTTTTACTTCGCCCTTTCTTTATGGCCGTTGCTATATTCGTAACCATAACCGTGACCGTAACCGTATTTGTAGGTAGTCCTAAACCACAAAGGCGTAGGCATACCAGTCCATAGCCATCCCCCCCTTTCCCTTTCCCCTTCCCCTTTCCCCTTCCCCTTTCCCCTTCCCCTTTCCCCCGTTTTAGCCTAGCTTAGTCCTTCCTGTTAACCAAGCCATCATCAACATTACTCCTAAACCGCTTCTTGTCCGGCTCCCTCGCCCACGTCTCCGCCAGTTCATAGCTAGGGTCCTCTTCGTCCGTATAGCCCATGCTCCTCCTAACCTTCAGCACTTCCTCGCGGACTCGCCTCGCGACCTCGATCCGCAGGCTCACGGCCTCGTGGCCATACTTGAGCTCGTCCGTCAGCTCGCCCATGGGCAGTAGCAGTGCCTCTTGCTGCTGCTGCTGCTTCGGGTCCGCGCTCCTTGTGTGCCGGCGCACGAGGTCCTGCCAGCGGGCGCGGAGGTCGCCGAACGTCTCCTCGGCGTCGAGGAGGTCACCGAAGGCGACGCGGAGCTTGACGGGAAAACGGGGGACGAAGCGGGGCCAGGTGCGGTCCTCGGGCATGATGCGCTGGGTGCCGTCGATGAAGATGGGCAGCACGTCGGGCATGGGCTCGCTCTCGAGGATCAGCCGCGATACGCCCCACTTGAAGTAGCGCATGAAGTGCTGCGGGTGCTGGTGCACGCAGGCCTCGGGGAACACGTGGACCCAGCTGTGCCGGTTCTGCAAGTACGCTGATGGTGCTGGGTAGGAGTCTGTTCCTGTGGTTGAGTACGTGTACGTGAGCCCACCCGAGGTAAACGGGTCGGGGACGTCTCCTCGAGACTCCGAGGACAGTGCCTTTGGGCTGACGAAGGGTTGCGATGATAATAGACGAATCGCTTGTGCAACGGTGGGCTGGAAAAGCCCCCCGTGTGGCGAATGCTGCAAACGATGGGTTGGCAACACTTGACCATAAGAGAAGAAAGACTCGAGAAACCTGGTGATGAGCGTCAGTTTTATATGCGTTTCAGGAGAAGGGGGAAGATGAGAAGGCGGAGCGCACGCACTTGTTCTTGAAGCATATGTCATGAGCCCCCAGGCCCCATCTGTGGTTGGAGGGATTGAAGGCATATTTCAGCGGCAACACTCCCCACATGACGGGATCGTCTAGTCTGGATAAGGGGATAAGCTCATGAGACTTGGTACTTTCAGGTAGGAAGATGGATGTTTGGTCATATTCTTCTTTACTCACATACTAATATGATTCGAAACTGAGAATGAGATGAAGATTAGTTCTTATATTACGTGGTTACAATTTTAATTTTATATGAAGTGGAAGTATGTATGTAAGTCTCATACCCGTAATGAGGCCCCTCTGCCTATTCTCGACATCTTTCCGCTGGTCGAGGATTTCTAAGAATCGCTCAAGACCGGTGACCTCGACTGAATTCAATCCGTACAGGAAGCCTCGACAGACAGCTGAAATCAATCCTATAGAAAGGGAAGAAATGATGCGCGATGGCAGGCTTGGTTGTTGCTGCGGCGGCGGCGGCGGCTGTTTATTGGTTTGAGATGTAGACATTTCGACTTGGTCGGATGCCATTGATGCTTCCACAGGATCTCGAACTGCATAACAAGCAAGTGACCAATTCAGTATTAAATATAGGTAAAGAATGACTTTAGGTAGTGAGCGTCATGGCCAGACTAGATCATGTTCCATGAAAAATATATATATTTACTTAACTATATATATCTGGCGACGTGGATCGATATAGATCGCCAAGATCGGGGTTTTTTCTTTTTTTTCTTTTTTCCTCTCTGAAAAACAAAAAAAATGGCGGTAATAAAAACAAGAGCAACATTGAATTGAGGTAACATTGAACTGTACGTACTTGCTGATGCTTAGATACCGTATATTTTCGGCATTATGGTCCTCTTGTTAGCTCCACTTATTAATGCGCTTTACCTAATTAGGGTGATTTACCCCAAGGTTTATTCAACTACACCTCATTTCGGAGGGATTCTTATCCGATTCCTACAATATTGGCACGCAATGTCACGTGTCGACACGTGATACCTGCTCTCCAATATCTACGTTTATCTGTTATTCGTTAATAAATATATGGATATTTGAAGCTTCTTAACTGATGCATAACAGTTTAGACCTATCCTTATTGAAAAAACACAAGAATAAGATAGGTAGAATTATGATCACGTGGGTTTTGATAACACTAGTACTAGAGCCTCAGCACTGAGCTAACCACATTGGGCAAGGCGCACAGATAAGTGGAGCTAACAAGAGGACCATAATGCCGAAAATATACGGTAATTCAAAGTAACTCGGTACTGTATGTAACAGTCGCGCGGCCGCGCCTGCAGGGACGGGATGATATCATTGGAAATATTTACCCCTGTAGGTAACTATCCGTACTTGCGTTAGCTAAGGTTGTATCGCATCTATCGATAAGCTGCAGGTTCAGGTACGTATTTGTCTCATAGGCATACCTACTGTAACCTACATATATGTAGCACTTACATATGTACATCAACATTATAACAATTCACATCACAGCTATCCTCAATTTCCCTATCATCAATATCATCTACCGTATACTCGTCTTGCTAGAACCTATATGGAATAATTGCTTCCAATTAACTATCTACCACGGTAGGTACCAAGTTCAACATGTCCCACAGTAAGTCCTCTCATCACCACCAAGATACAATCAACTTCCCAATTCCAAATTATCATAATCACCAGCGAAATCACTTACTAACCGCCCCCTCCCCTTCTACAGGCAAACGGAACACCTCCCGCGCCGTCTTCACATCCCACGAGCGGGATCTAGCCCGACGAGCATGGAGCTCGACCTCGGCGCGCCTGTCGCGCGAGAGCTACCTGCCTTTTTCCTCGTGCGGCCTCTGCCTCGAGATCGCCCAAGACCCTGTGTCGTGCGTGCATGGCGACGTCTTCTGCCGCGAGTGCGCGCTCAGCAACATTCTCGCCCAGAAGAAGGAGATCAAGCGGCTAGACCGTCTGCGCGAGCAAGAGAGCCGCGAGGCCGACGAAGAGAGGACGCGGCTGGAGGCGGAGGAGCGCGAGCGGGCAGTGCGCGAGTTCGAGATGACGCAGATTGGCTTAGATGCTAAGCCGAGGAACAATAATACCACAAATAATAACGCTGCTGCTGGGGGGAGGCTGACCGAAAGTCGCGATACCCCGGTAGCGGCGGCGGCGGCAGTAGAAGAGGCGGTCAATGGCGCGAGGAAACGCAAGTTCGAAATGGACGAGGAAGAACTAGCGCGAATAGCCAAGGACGATCGAGCGAAAGCCCGGAAAGCCCTGGACGACGAGAAGGCCGCAAAGCCCACGCTACCGTCGTTCTGGACACCATCCGTAACACCGTCGTCGAACACGAAAGATGTGCTGCACGAAGTGGCCAAAAAGACGAAGAGTACACCGATCTGCCCTGCGTCGAAGGAAGATAAGCCGCACGCTTACTCGTTACACACGCTTGTCACGGTCAATTTTACCGAGGAGGAGGCAGGCGACGACGCGGGCAAGGGCCGAAGTACCAATGGGAAGAAGGAACGCATACGCGTGTGTCCCTCATGCAAGAAGGGGCTGAACAACGCCTCGAAAGCGATGCTCGCCAAGCCCTGCGGACATGTGCTGTGCCGGAGTTGCATCGACAAATTCATGCGGCCCTCGCGGCAGCAACATCATCACGATCCGCACGCGTCAGCGGGCGAGGCCGAGCGAGTGCGGTGTTATGTCTGCGAGGCGGACCTCACCGAGAAGAGTGGGGGTGGCGATGGTGGCCAAAAGGGCAAGAAGAAGGAGAAAGACAAGGAGAAAATGCAGCCCGGTCTTGTGGAGCTGAGGAGCGAGGGCACGGGGTTCTCGGCTGGAGGTGCGAACCAGGTGCAGAAGTCGGGGATATCGTTCCAGTGCTAATAATCTTGAGGCGTGAGGTTCTCTTGTAGGTTACATAGATAGATCGGGATTGTGCTGTAACGATGTTACCAATAATGGTATAGCATTGTACGATCTACGAGCGAACTACTCCTTAACGCCCCAGTTCGAGGAAGGCATTTAATCAAGTACGAGATATACGGAATATAGAGGCAAACTCATGTTTACACATTCCAAATATCGTATTGAATTACTCAGACTAATGCTATACGAAGTAAAGTAAAGTAAAGTAATAAACAACCAAGACCAGGCGCCTTTCGAATACCCAACCTATTCATCCTAAGTAGGTAGTGATCCGTCCATCCGGGATCCAATCCATAAATCCGATCCTGACCCCCCCTAAGTAAAGTAATAAAGGAAACTTGAAAAAAAACAAAAAAAAACATGAAAGCTCGATGGTTATTTCGTTCATAAGCCACATACACATGTAAGTCGTTCGTCTTCAACTCGTTCGCTTCTTTCTCTTCTCTTCTCTTCTCTCCTCCATAGCTTTTTCAAGGTTAGAAAAAAGAAAGGAGAAAAAAAAAGGGAAGCGCCAACTCCAAAATATTCATATCCCCGTTCATGCGTGTATGTATGTGTGTAGGTATGTAGAGTAGATATGCACATGTAGCGTGACATGTGCAAATTACAATTACAAAACAACCTTCAAAAAACCAGGGGGGTTTTGCACTCCCTGGCAAATTAGTAAGACGTTGATGATTGTCGTCGTTGTCGTTGTCGTTGTCGTTATTGTCATTGTTTCGTTGCTCTTGTTCTTGACGTTGATGTTGCTGCTGCTGCTGATGATGATGATGCCACAATCCGTTTCCGTTTCATTCATCCAATCCAAATTCCATCCGGTCTCGAGGAAATATTGTTTTGTAGCTGTAGTTCCAAAAAAAAAAAAAAAAAAAAATTCCCAAATAAAAGCAGTCTTGTAATCTCCCCATCCCCGTTCCCCTTCCCCAGACAAGAAAAAAAAAAGAAAAAGAAAACATGGCTTTTGTTGCTTCCACCTCCCTTCCCCTATTCATCCCTTCGTGAGATGGTGGCATGAGATAGATCGATAGATATTAATGAAGGAAGGAAAAGATGACATTAGAAAAAAGGGAAAATTGCCAAAGAAGAAGAAAAAGGAGGGGGGAGGGAAAAGGGGGTAAGATGGTTGGTTGGTTGGTTGGTTACCTCTCTCTCCCCCCCTTATAAACATTCTCTCGTCTCTCGTACATGTTGCATATACTTCATTTCCATTTCCCCATTCTTTCTTTCTTTCTTTCGTTCTTTTTCTTTCTTTTTCTTTCATATCATTTTCTCTCCAGAGGGGGGGGGGGGGGTTCGTTTTCATTTCTCCCCCTCATCATTTCAAACCCCTCTGCGTCCCATCAATCATGTTCGCCACCACATTGACCACGAAATCCTCGACCTTCTGCTGCGTCGACGCCGACAGCGAAGACCGCCTCTCCCGCCTACCGCTACCACCAATTCCTCGGTGGTGAGCGAGCGCGGGCAGCAGCGACTGCGGGATCTGCTCGTACTCGTACGACGGCGCGTTGTCCATGCGGTACTGCAGGGCGCGGAGGGCGCGGCGGCGGGGGGCTGGGCTTGACGACGCTGCGGGGGCGGAGGAGGAGGTGTAGTTGTTGGAAGGGGATGATGATGGGTAGGAGGGAGAAGAGGCGTAGGCGGGAGCGGAGTCCCGGGCAGGCATCCGCGAGGAGGAGGAGGAGAATGCGGGAGGCGTGTAGCGCGGGGTCGAGCTGTAGGGGGTGGCTGCGGACGGAGCGGGGACGATCGACGATGGGATGGGTGCGGAGACTAGGGTTGAGAGGGGCGCCGACGCGGGGACGAGGGCGGATGCGGGAGGTGGGGGAGGGGCGGAGGTTGAGGCGGATTGTACGCGTGCGAGGGCGAGGGCGGAGGATGGGACGGTAGGTGTGGCCCTAGGTGTGAATGCTGAGGCAGGTGTCGGTGTAGGCGCCGGCATAGACATAGGTTCAGGCATAGGTGTGGATCTAGGTGTATGTGCCGAGACTGGAACCGGAGCAGGGGCTTGGACTGGGGTCGGGGCTATGGCTGGTGCTGACGAAGTCACCGGTGCTGGTAGCGATGGTGCGGCTGCTGGCGTCGGCATTGATACCGGCACAGCCTCAATCGAACGCGTAGCACTTTCTTCCATCAACGAACGTGCCGCCTCGGCAGAAGGTACGATGAAAGTCTCCTCCGTCACTGTCGTCGTCGTCGTCGTCGTCGCCCCCTTTCTCGGCTGCCGCCGCGCCATCTTGCCCAGCCTACCCATCCACGAACCAGCACTTGCATTTGCCTCACTCGGAGTATCACTACTCCTTCCCCTGGCCCTGCGAGCACGCACCTCGACCAGCATGCTAGCCAGCATGATGTACAGCTTGAACAGCAGCTTGTGCACGACGTCCTTGGCCAGCATGGTGGTGCCGTGGCCCAGGAAGCCCCGGAGCAGCTCGCCCTGTATGCCGTCGTACAGCGAGCCGACGCCCTCGTTCTTTGCCATGTACGCCACGGTGCCGAAGATGCTGTTCTTGCCGAGGTTCTTGACGGCGCGGAAGGGGTTGAGGTTGTAGCCCGCGTCCCGGTCGAGGACTCGCTCGGGCGGCGCGACGTTGTTGCGGTGCGAGGTCGGGTCAGAAGGTGGCATCTCCTCCGGGGGAATCTCGATCAGGGGCTCCGGCTCCCCGTAGCCTCCTGCCTCGGACGCCTGCTCTTCCTCCACCCGGTGGCCCCCTGACCGAGAACCCTTGCGTGAACGGACGGGGGGAATGCCGGCTTGCATTCGTGTCTGGGCGGTCTGGAAGGGGTAGGTGATGGTGGAGGCAATGACCTTGCTCATAGCGGCCAGGAGGAACGTCATGCGGGCTCCAGGGTTGTCCCATTTCTCGGCGGACACCGTCTTGGTCTTGAGAAACCCTTGCAGGTAAAAAGTAATACCAGGATTCAGCGTAAGCACCAGGCTGGCTGAGTATCCGGACCAGAGGCCGAGGATACCCTGCTCCTGTCTGATGGCATTGATTATTTGGCGGGTGCTGAGGTCTCTGTCGTCGTCCATGAGAGAGGCCGCCTGCTTGCGGGTGACTATGTTGGAGAAAGGGGTGGTGAAGAACTTGGAGCAGGCACTGGCGGCCATACCGACGGCCACCTCCTCAAGCACACCGAGGGAAGCCTTCCCTCCCCTTGCCCGGGCCCGGCTGAAGAGCCGAGCGCTGCGGAACCACTCATAGAAGAGAAAGAAGAGGAAAGAGTCCAAGACAGATTTGGCTGCATCTTGAGCCAGGCCAGTATAGAACGCTTTCAGCCCGCCACCGGAATTCCAGATCGCCGAAAAAGCCTCTGCGATGCCACCGGAGGTTGGTTCTTGTGCTAGACCGGTTGCTTCCTCTTGACCGTGGTGACTTGTGGTAGTGCCGTCGGGGTCGTATTGGTTGAGGCGGCCCTCTCGGCGTAATTGCCTTTGGACTTGAAGCCGTGTAATCACTAGTGAAAGAGGATAGAGAGTACATGTCGAGATGAGCGTGCCGGCGGAGCCCGAGATGGCGTGATGCAAGGCCGGGAGCAATTTGTCTGGTGATATGCCGTTGCTATTGGGGTAGCTTGACGATGGCATCGTTGGTTTATCCGGAATTCTAGAAAGCTAAGTGGCAGGGAGCAAGAAAAAAAGGACGCGAATGGTTTATATTCAAGAACTAGGCAAAGTTCCGATTTGGGCGCCGAAAGTGTACAATACGAAATAGGAAACGAGAAAATAAGAGGATCTCAAGGATCTCACTGATAGGCCTTACACCAACCGAAGCTCGGATCAGACTTGAAGGTATATAGGTCTGTGTGAGCTCGCCGTCTTAGTGGTGCCAAGAGGGTGCTGATGGATGATCCTATTCAGGAGAGGATACCGCCCACATGGTTGTATATACGTTGTATGCCTACCACCATGTACGTACTAACCTAGGTGGTATACCGTACTGATATCTGTTTACACTCCATTGGATCGACAAGAGTAGTACAGGGCCTCAAAGCATATGTACGGTATGTTTATTTACATTATTTGTTGCATTGAAAATTTGATGAGTGAATAGAATGTTGTGTTGTTGTGTATTGTTGTGTATACATCCGTATGGTAAGCATCTTGACGGACCCGAGGCTCGGGGTCAACTATCTAGGCATACAGGGGAATACTGTCCAGAGAGTGGCCACGGCGTGTCTAGTGTAGGTAGAGGGGGGGAGGAGGACAACATTCAGTGACTGACGACGTCATTATTATCGTCAGACTATATTATGTATACATAGTACCGTATACCAGGGACAATATTATGTATGCAGTGTACTAGGTAGGCATGTTGGTAGTATGCTGATAGTATGCTGGTAGCATGTAGGTAGGTATGGATGTATGTTACAGAACATACACATCCATGGGATACACAAACAGAACATACATCTACATGTACAGGGCTCACTTTATGTACCCCATACTCGACCCATTTTCCATCCGTCTTCCGTATAATAAGTGGGTAGGCACACTTGTCTCCATCCATTCCATCATCGTAAAAGCTGACTCCATAAAATAGGGGTGTTTCCGTAAAGGAGCTTCCCGAGCCCACATTGGCCAATAGGATATCTATACCGACACCCGAAGAGATTGGCGAGTTTACACGTGTACGGTACCTACTATGCAGTATGCATTCTGTATGCATTCTTCATGCATTCTGTGGTCTTTTGGTTAGGCTCTTCCCTGTGCCGCCACTTCGGGCACCGACACGTGTGCAGTGCAATATCAGCTCTCACCCGGGTCCTACATGTAGCGTCACCAAAGAAAACAACACTCCAAGTAGTGGACTTCAATCTTCTATTCTTAACTCGTTCCGCTCCAAAAAAAAATAAAAATAAAAAAAATAAACAAACATGTACGTACATCGTACATACATCGTACATACCTACTTCAAGACGAGTCCCATGTGGTATCGTATGAACTTTGCGCTTATGTAGGTAGGTAGACATCCTACAGCTCAGCTTATGGCAGCTGTCATATGGAACCCAATGCTTATGCCTACCCGTGCCATAACGAATCATTTCATGCCTAAAACACCTATCAAACCTGTCCAACGTAACGCCTCAATTGTGCTTGCCTGTTGGAAAATGCAGACATTAAAACCCGTCTGCCCTGAGCCGGTATCCCCGATCAACGCCTTTCCATGATCATAATTGATACACCCCCACCCAAATCCATATTCACCACCCAACCTCCATTCGCACATCCTTATTAACGACGGAGGGGCTCCTCATATGTTGGCGGGTATCACAAGTAGGTATGCAGTCTTGCGGCTGCTTCTAGCCCCAACGATTGTCATCCAAATATAATCACACCTCAGTTTTGTTCTGGTAGACTTGCTTTCCACCCAAGGTAAGGAACCGCAGGCCCATCTCGTCTGAAGCCGGGTTGATATGTATTGTCACCTTAAAAGCTTCCCTTCCTAGGCGCGGCTCGCCACGGACGGCCGTCGTGAAGCAGCCTGCATGCTGAAGCTTGAAGATCTTCGTGCACTCATCGAACCCATCATACCCATGTCTGGTTCGCCTGGTGCATCGTCTAAATCCATACTCATATCTAAGTGGTTCTCTGGAAGCTTCTGGGCGCCATACCCGACCACTTTAAATATATTAGTTCGTCCACCATTTGTTGCCGTCTGGAGCTGCTCGTGAAGACGTGCGAGCTGATATGTTCGCTTGATGGGTGCAAATATGGGTTGTGGTAAGACAGGTTGTGGGTTCCATCGAGCTAGCGCTCCCATGACCGCTGCCGTCTCCTCATCTGAGTCGACGGGACCGGCATTAGCGTCGTCGTCGTCCTCTAGAGGAGCGTTCGCATCTAGTGCAGCCTCTACTCAACATTAGTCGTCAAATCCAATCATTTATCAGGTCTGACAGTTTGTTTCTGCTTACTCTGCTGCTTTGCTTGGTTCTTCTTTTGGTATGCGGCAAGAAGCATGTCGTATGGAAGTGATCTGCCTGCAACCGCACGCTTTGCCCCCATACTATGGCTCTTGCATGTCAAAGATCGTGCGCATGGTTGGCCGTTGGGCAATATGACACCACATTGTTTCTCGACATCGACGGGACCTATGGATAGTTAGAATACGAACACCACAGCTTCAGGCATACCAGTTCGTAATGATGTTTATTACCTTTTGGTTTGGGGGCTTTTGGCTTTGGCTCCTCCTTTTTCTTCTTATTTTTGGGTGCCTTTTCGGCATCCCCTTCGGCCTTGCGTTTCTTGCCTTTCGGTTCACCATCTGGCTTTTTACCACCCACCTTCTTCGAACCCTTACTGGCGCTCTTCTTCTCTGGTGACCCGTCGTCGTCGTCATCGCTATCGTCATTCATCTTAGCGTCCCCGTCTTCGTCAGCTTTTCGCGCCTCTTCTTCTCGAGCTTGTTCCTTTGCACGCTCTCTTGCCTCTCTTGCCTCTTTCTTTCGCTGTGCTTTCTCCTTTTTGATTCGTAGGCATTGCGCGATGTGCCCCTTTGCAGCGGTCCTGATGATCCCCTTCTTACAATGCTTGCATTGTTGGAGATTGAGGTGATCTTCGAGTGGTCGTCCCGTCGCGAAGGTTTCACGAGAAGTCTCGTCGAGTTGATTTACTAAAGGACTGGGGGGCGAGGTGCCGGTGGTAGCAGGGGAATCGGTATTTTTCGATTTCTTGTCGTCTGTATAAGATAGGTAAGTAGGTGTACTATTAGTAACTGGCCTTGAAGGATATGAATGATAGATAGGTAGGTAGGTAGTAGTAGTAGTAGTAGTATTAAAAAAAAGAGGGCGCGACATACCGTCAACAACACTACCGTCTCTCCAGTTACCAGGCTTCGTGGTCTTCGGCACAGGCTTCTTTAACTTGATGGCTGCATTTGGTTTTTCCTTGACGACCTTTTTGGAGGCAACATTGATTGTGCCTTCATCATCGGGACCTAGAACGTGGGGCAGAATAATTCGAATTAGCACGGCGCGTTGCGTTGCGGTGCGCTGCAGTGCGCTGCGCTACACTAGTCAAGTCCAATTGGTGGTTGCATACCTTTTCGCCCCTCTCCTCCAGTCGCCATTCTGGTTGGCTTTGGGTTATCTCGTCACATTTACTGGTGTAGAGAATGATGTTATTGGCATGGCATAGATGGAAAGAAGATTAAAAATCGGAAAAGTAGTTGGTATGTCGATGATGTCGATGATATCAATGATGGAAGTTGGTAATGTCGTGTAATTAAACGAGGTCCGTCCTTGTAAGAGAGACTTATCGCGCTTGGATCATTGATAAGATCAATTTGATCTTTATGGGGTTAGCAGGTATTAATTACCCTACGCACCAGTCGCACCTAACTTGAACCTAACCTAGTTAACTGTTAAACTGTTACCCAGGGTATGTAGGTAGTTCAAACCTTGTCTCATTGAATTGTATTACCCGCAGAATAGCCGTGGAGTGCTTAGGTTTTTATATGGAATATTACGGAATATGAATTTGAAGGAGTTCAAATCAATCATGTTTGTTGAAATTCAAATAAAAAGCAAAGGATCTTCCCTGTCAGAATTTATGTCTTAGCGTTCGGGCTAGCTCCGGATTAAGCTTGCCAAACCAACCTGGCACTTGCGCCTTGACAGGTAGTTACCTATTAACCTAGTACTATCAATGATCAATGATGTATGACAGGTACCTACATAGTGTCACTACCTAATAGATATGCCAGTGTAGATAATATGTAGATAGTGGCGTCTACTACATAATGTTTATCCATATGGATAACTCTACCTACCTACCTAGGTAGGTACATAGCTACTAATGTCACCTGGCAGTAACATTGAAGATATAAATCAAGCAACTTCCGAAAATATGTAAGCCTAGTATCGCCAGCAACCTATAAATGCCTCTCGCCTATATGCCTTGCTGCCCCCTTAGTATGCCTAATGACAATGAACCAATAAAGCATACCCCTTCGTATCCCCAACCGCATCCATAAACGCCCGCTAGATTGAAATCCTTAGGTCAAAGAGTTTATATCATTTGACAAATCCCCCTTTTTCTTTTTCTTTTCTTTTCTTTTTTCTTTTTGACCCACCTTCTCTGTCAAGCTTGAATTCCTACCTGCATGCTCGCTTCTTTATTTAATTTTGTCCGGTGCTCCTCCATCATTTCCGATAACGCTAAAGCGTGTTGCATGCCCATCTGCTTCCAAATCACTTGCAAGGCGTTGTGGGCCCAACTCCAAAACTCCAGAGGCACATTTGGGGCGCATCCAGCGACCATGAGGTGCCAAAGAAGGCTAGGTAACCCAACAGCACCGGAATTGCCCATCCCACGTGCCTCGAAATTCCGCGTAGACTCAGGGTCAAGCATCGGATGATGCCAGTGCGATGGTGCACTTGTAAGGATGTCTTCAGCCAGCCGCTCAATGGTGGTGTAGCATCTTGTTTTCCGAGCCGTAGGAATGTTCTGTTTGCTTGAGATTGGATACTCGGTAACAAACTGGACCAGTCTTTGGTTAGCGAGGATGCGGGCCCAGCGGTAATGATTCCATATCCGACTGCCCCAAGTGTCGCCATAAGTGTGATATTTCTTACGGAAAACCGCCGCAGCCGGATACTCGCCCTGGTGTTCTGCAAAAGGGAATGCTCTCGAAAGGGGGGTTTCTAAATTGTCAAACACGTCATCCAACGTGAGAAACTGACGTATGAGATCATTCGTAATATAATGCTCGTCGGTGAGTACAGTATGGTCGGCAATCGCCAACAGCTGAATAAGTCGAGCAATAGCAAGTGCCAGGTCAACGGAACAACTCTCTGGAAGCCCATCCAACAGCTGCTTGCAAAACTTGAGCGTTTCAAAGAAACCGGGGGACAGAGGTGTGTCTGTCATTTGATATGGAATAAACTATAGTTTGTCAGAAGCTAAGCCAGGCGGAAAGAAAGGGACGGCACGATACCATTGAAAATAATAGTTGCAATACACCATGTGCACCTTTATTAGGGGCCTGTGGAAGAGGCAATACGGAACGTAAGACAGCCACGGCACCATTAATATGTGTATTAGCTGAGCCAACTGTTACTCGAGGTCCTCTTCCTTGGACAACCTACACCCGGTGAGTGCCTCTTCATATAGATAGGTTCTAGGCGTTATCTTACCTCAAATAACGCAAGCGATACGACACTTCGCAAGCGTGCTATCAGACCGGCAGGATTGTTACTAGCGATCAGCTGCCCTGTCTGCTTCAAGGCCGTAACGTACTTAGACCGCGCAAGGAGATTCATGTTCTTGTTTCCTAATAAATTAGACATTCCTGCAAGACCTACGGCTATCATGACGTTTTGAGCGGCATCTGCGTCGGAAAAGTAGGCCGCTACTTCATCCCGTGTCCTTGGGGAATCAGGGTGGTTCATAAGATAACGGTTGATATAGAACTGCATTCCTTGCTGTTCCACGTTCAACCCTATTTTATTGGGTATCCTGGCAGGAGCAACATTGCGTGATGACAAGGGAGAAGCTAAGGATGGGCTATCCGAAATAGAACCTGATGAGTCGTCTGCCCATGTTGGAGAGGAGTTTGAAGCCGAGCTCTCGCTCGCGTCTGTCGGAGAGCTTGAGGAGCCCCATTGAGCATGCGCTTTCTGTATGACCTTACTACTCTCATCTCGAAACATGAGAGACAACTGATCACGATAGCCAGGACATTTCTTGCCTACTCGAATGCATTGCGAGCATTCGGGGCGTTTTTTATCGCACTATTACCTCATAGTCAGTTATAAGTCGCATCATCCATATAGCGGCTCCGAGTGACTGGGTAGGTATGTAAGTAAATCGAGGCCAATGCAAACGATGTAGTCTAAATCTCGCAGCATCCTTGATGCGAGACCATCTATGATATCTCACCTGCATGGCAGGAATTGTGGGTGTAGGTATGGAAACGAAGGCAGTGAACCTAGACGTACCTTTATACGTCGCGTCCGACAGTTCTGGCATCCCTGGGAAGCCTTCCCACAATAAACCATGATGAAAGAAAAAAGCCAGAATAGGCAAGCTGAACGAGCAAATCAGAATGATGTATTTTGGTCTAGCAGTTTAGTCGTGCGTATCAAACTCTATAGGCTCGATGAGTGGCAGCTGTCGTTGGTCGATATTGGAAGTGTCGGGTGGTCGAAAAGGGAAAGCAATTCGTCAAGGCCGTGGGGAATAAGAAGGATCATGATTATGCTAGAACTAGCGGCCCAAGTTTGGTGCTGGTTCGCTCCTCTCCGTCACCGCTATAAAAGGCTCCTCGACACCTCTTCAGCTTCCAGAGATCCTCTCAAACAGATCTTTTTCAAAGATTATCCTAGGATAGGGTGTCTTGAGATATGTCTTGCAGCAGCTCCCGTAATGATGAGATAAAGTGCGCTGCACGTGTCGAGAAGATCGGAGCCAACGGTGTTAACCGACAGCCTTCAGCAGATTTCAATGCAACTGTGTAGGCCAGGCATCAATAACACAACGCCGGGAAATTTGGACTCTTCTCTTAGTCGTGTTGTCAAGGATCTTGTTAAGGATATGAATTATACTCTTATGCTCTTCTCCTCTTACAATGTAAGAATTAGAGAAGAGTATACGGCGTAGTAGAGTATTCTGGCGAGAAAGTCCAAGCTAACGAAAAACGGACCCTGAAACTCGAGCGCTACGAAGGTTGGATTGGATTGGATTGGATTGGATTGTGTATTGGGGGATTTGGGCGAAGGGGGTGCCGTGAGGTGGGTTCACGGTATTAAGGAATAGGCAGTTATACTGTAACTATATCGAACCTCTCCTCTTTGCTATCTCGTCAGCCTCGTCAACTCCGATGTTGTCAACACTACGCTGTTAATCTTGTGGAAAGGGTGGTTTTCAATGACAACATTGAATGCTGCAAAATGACAGGTCTGCAAGTAAATCTACCTACATGTACTAGTAGCACTAGAGGTAGGTAGGCAGTAAGTATTTAGGTACTGGGGGGATCTCGAGTTCCTATCTCGCTGGCTAAGAAATGTCAGGTCTTGGCCATTAGTAATGTATACATGGGTGGGTTTTCCGTTTTGAGACTCAAGTGCTTTTATTTCACCTTTAGAAACTTGGGTTGTTTGAAGCTCGATAGTACATTGGTATATAGTAGAAAAAAGGTAAAAGAAAATATGAAAAGTGAAGCTACCAAATAGGAATTTCCCCGCTTCATTTCTGACCCAATTGTTCGTCCGATGTGGGGGTTAAGAGACATGGTTCAGGATCTTGTTGCTGATCGTATTCAGGGTCGTGGAAGGTCTTTAGTAGACTCTTTACGGTAGTAGGTAGTACTACAGTACTACTAGTTACTAGGTATGTATTGTACTATGGTGTAAGGTTTGTTCAGGGGAAGTCGCACCTTCTCTAGAACATTATCCCTACATTATCCCTACACTATCCCTATCACAGATTCGGAAGCTAGTACTAGCTAGGTAAGCACTGTATTACATCGTAACATGGTAAGCATCGATGATCCATGGATAATCCAATGTACAAGGTTACTAATGTATCAATACTACCAGGTAACTACATGTATGTGACTATACATAATGGTACTTTACTTCATTCCGAGGTCCTCGGCGTGAGTTTCAATGTTGTTATATGTAAGAACATTGAATTATCACATTCTACATATCCTACATGCCTACCTACATACCTATATCATATATATATGTGAGTTTACGTATGTATTGTACATACTAGGTTACATGACTACTAACTACTAGGTAGTCTCAATACTAGCTGTGTATTCCTCCGGTCTGACATAACTAACCCCGTAACCCCGTAACCCCGAGAGCCTCCCTAGTACCCAAACCGGCCTTGAATCTCACATCTCACACATTGGCTTGACACATTAATAATAATTCGGGTCTTTAAATGACTCCTATTCGCAGATTCGCAGATTCGCGGATTCGGTAACGAACGATGAATAAGTTGGTGTAATGCTGGGATGGTAGTAAGATCTTGACTGTCGAAACCGTCAAACCCTGCGCTCCCGGGTAGCCTCTCTCAGGAGGAAAGGGGAGAAGGGGAGAAGGGGAATTCTTTCAAACACAAAACTTTCCGAATATGATCGTCACAATACTACTATGAGTACTACTATGAGTACTACTATCTACATAGAATGTAGGTATGATAATTCCACCCTAGCCGAGACGAATGTCATCATCACTCTTCTAATATACATTATATTTGCCTCAGTGTTTGCCTCAAATGCTAATGAATGAAGACCCTGCCCTTCGATGACCTGTTTCAAATGCAAGAGGATTCTTATTCCACCGGCACTCATCGTTGAATAACATCCAATCGATCAATGTCAAAAGCAAGGCGGGCGTGAGGTATTTGCCGCCAGGCATATACAAATCTACCTTCCCAGTCTGTGCTGTACGTCGGAAAATAAACGCGGGTGACAACGTCCCACTTCATATTGACTTCAATGAAAGTACAGTACACTGCATCATACAGTGGCATACACATGCATATATTATATGTACTCGCTAGATGAACGCACTATATCACTATGTAGGTACCTAGGTAGGAACCCATCAACTATCTCGCAGTCGTCATTGGCCAATACATATTACAAAAGTTGCTGCCTACCTATATATACCTAGATATATATCTATCTACATACTGGGTACCTACCTAGCAGGCATGTAGATATGGCTGTCTCCGAGCACTTCCGTCGATAACGATGCTCAACATTGAAATGGTGGGTAGCTATCACAGTGTACGCGTACTCGATAAATAAGCACTCCTACCTCAATCCCGACCTAACCCCAGCAGACCTTCACGTCACGAGGGAGGGGGGAAGTCAGCAGTTCGCTCCTCCGCACAACTTTATATCTCTCGTGGTGCAGTAGCCGAACCGTCCTCACTGCCCAGCTCTGCTGTAACGACTGGATGCTTCGGAACGCTGAAGCCCATGAACGGAAGATACGATCTGGGGAAGAAGAAGCAGAAGCTACAGACAACCAAAAATATAGGCAAGGTATATAAAATATACATGCTGAGTTACGACTTGTTAGCCTATGAGAATGCCTGTTGGAATACTCATTGCTAACCGAGCACTTACAAGTATTCATGCTGCATCACGGTGCCATGTCCACCTTCAGCGAATTCTACTACACGAAATACGGATCGAACCTGGCGAGTGATGTCAGAAGAACCGATTTAGTAGCTAGGGTATGTGTTGACGTACCAAAATCATGACGCACGATGCGTTTATGACATGCAAAAGCCGTCTCCAGCTGGGGTTGATGTTTTGAGACGACCCCTTACGGAAGATACCCCTATTGCCCACATCGACTTCATCCAGTCCTCTTGACTGACGACCTTCTTCGAACCGTCGGGAGGTGAAGTAAAAACGAGCGGCGACGACTGTGAATACCCCAAATGCTCCGATTTGTAAAGCGAGACCCCGCGGCGAGCGCGACGTCCTTGCCTGTTTTCAGCTTTTTTGCCGCATTCGCATCCGTGGCCTGAGTACTTGATGCGCTGACTGTGCCGATGAGTTGGATAATGAGCGAGACAACATCGAAGGCGACGAATATAGGCGTGACCCAACGAGCTACACTAATTAGCACAGGATATAAGCGCCGAGGGTGCTGGAAGACAGAATACACACGTGGGATCCAAAGAAGCCTCGTAGTTCTTTCGTGGGCAGGGACGACGTAGATGGCGCCAGCCATCAGTACAGGCGCGAGGATGCTGACGCAGAATTAAACAGCGTACAAGTTCAGGTTGCCGGGGTCGTTGGCAGATAGAATTCGATCGGCGTATCCCACGACTTCCACTGCGGCAAGGCTTCTGTCAGCTTCCGCACCCGATCGTTACACACCGAAGAGTCCACCTGCTTAGTATCGCAACAAGTTGGATTGACCATACCCAGGCTCTCTTACGGAGGGTCATGTATCCGGACCAAATGAAGGCAAGGCCGAACAGAGCACAATACACTGCAGCTACCGGGCTCGAAGGGTCATAGTCGTAGAAGGAAGCGTTTCTGAGTTTTGAAGCCATGTTTACCTAGGTACATACAAACAACTAGACTGTTCAGTCCGGTATACGCCTGGGCTGGATAAAGCTAAAGGTATAGTTGGAAGCAAATGTAAGTGTGAAACCGGCCGACCTAGTTACCTAGGTATATAAGGAGAGGACAAGAAGAGATAGCTCTCGAAGGTCTGGACCTGCTAAGCAAATTGAATTGCTGGGCCCCCAAGAGCAGCGTCGACGATTTTTTCTTCTCTCATGGTGTAGTAGTATTTCAGTGGACCTTCACGCCAGGAAGAGCTTCGCCCCCTACTGCAACACCATTACCATGCCCCAATGCAGGAGTCATTAGTCCAGATAAGACTCGGTTGACATCCAGCAACTTCGAGACTCTCTAGGCACCAACTACATAAAACAGACAATTATCATTATCTCTTCTTATTATCCTTGACAAGTCTCGCCCGCTTACGCGTCCGATCTTGTCACGTTAACGTTAGGGCTGAGTTGCAGCTGAGGCTCTCTTGCTGGTCCTAAAGAGGCTACCCCCCAAGTATCTATTCGATCCGACATACAGCTGGGTACTTCTGCTTCGGGTATAGTTTACGAGATGCTTGGCTTGGCTAGGCTCGGGCCGGGCTTGAATGGATCTTACAATATCCGTACGTACAGCTTTCATCGTACGTCACGTCACGTCAGAACGACATCCCAATAAATAGCAATCAATTTATATCATACCCAGCCCCCCCCGTTCCACGGCCAGAGGTTTTGTTTAACCCCATAACGAGAACGAATATCTGCTACCTACCTATACCTAACCTAGCATGTAGCTTACCTAGGCACGTAAAGCCCGCCTTATCTGCATCTGCCCGCCGAATCAGGCATTGATTGCATGGAACTTGGGGGCGTTCGTAGACTATACCAAGTTGAGACATCCCCATCCACCCAATATATTCTTCTTAATGAAATCTCGTATCTTGGGACCGCACCGTTTTCTCAATCATGATTGGACCAATGGTTTAAAAAGTAAGCAGGTAAGTAAGCGCATCTTACACCATGTAGGTACATGTAGGTACTACGGGTGATCTCATCTCCCTCCCCCCCAGTGCCACCGTGCCTCGTTTTACAACGAGAAATCATGCGATGCGATTGGCTACCCACGAAAGGAGACTTTGTGGTATGGGATTGGATGGGATGGGACGGCGGGGATCGTTGAGAAGGATCTTGTGGAACGTCAGGACATAGGTTGGTAGGATACATGTGTATGTTACCGGGTTTTTACATATGTGAGCTATCATCAACCTTCGTCACCCCCAAGACATTCCTAATATGAAGTACATACCCATCGTGCGTGAGAAGATATGTAGAACAGCCCCATCCCGAGCACCTTTGACTAAGCCCGCGCAGCATGAATTTGGTTGGTTTTTGGTTGTTTTTTTTTCTTTTGGTAACAGGAGCCCTTTCAAGATTCCTCCCGACCTAGGTCGGCGACTTTTCTTGACCCGACTCGGCCAACCCTTTGACTTGAACAGGTTACCTACCTAACTTAGGTACCTAAGATATATATTTTGTTGATAATAGGTATTGTCTATGTAGTAGAGGTCAATGGCCAGAGGTAGTTGCAAGACTTCAACGACAAAGGAACATCTCTATAGCTACCTACGTGAAAGAGCCGTTTGTTGCTTCTCGAAACTCATAACAAACCCAATGTCTATCCTTTGAGTGTGCGCATAGTATATGAGCCGACATGGCTTTTCCCCCCTCATCTCATCTCCGCTCAGATCCAACTCACTTTGATTATAGTTAAGCTGGAATTAAAGACTTGGGTTACCTTATTTGAATTGATAATTATTTCTTACGATATAACCTCGAAGAAAGGGGTTCCGATCTCACTCACAATGCCAGGGGCTAACTTACCTTCCACGGGCCGGATCCCAGCCAAAGACGAGATGGCTAACGCCACCAGCCTCTCGCCTTCTCAGCACGTGTACCTCCTCGCCGACGAGCGCACAATCATCAAGTCAGGCCCTCACACACGCGCAGCCGAGGCTGCGGCCATGGACTTCGTGCGGCAGCACACCAGCATCCCGGTGCCCTCCGTCTACAGCGTGGACCGGGACGCTCTTACCGGCCACGTCCGGATCGCCATGGAGTACATCCCGGGCGACCCGCTAGACCGCGCCTGGGCGCACTTCACCGCGGAGGAAAAACTCTCCGTCGCATCGCAGCTGCGCGCGCACTTCGACGCGCTGCGGCAGATCGAGGCGTCGTCGTCGTTCATCGGCAGTGTTGACGGCTCGGCGTGCGCGGACCCGTACTTCGCGCACGCGCCCGGCGCATACGGGCCGTACGGCAGCGAGGCCGAGTTTAACAGCGGGCTGTTGGAGGCGTGGGAGGCGAGGCACTACCACAACGACGACGACGCCGACGATGATGATGAAGACCCATTCGCGCCGATATTCCGGGATGCGCTCCGGAGGACGATGCGGGGGAACCGGATAGTGATGACACACAACAACTTCGACCCGAGCCATGTGCTGGTCCGCGGGGCCAAGGTGGTGGCGATCCTCGACTGGGAGCAGGCGGGATTTTACCCGGAGTACTGGGAGTATTGCAGAGCGCTGTGGAGACCGGATTGGGACAGCGACTGGATGAAGGATAAGGCCGTAGACAGTATCCTCAGCCCGTATCTCAAAGAGCTGGGCGTCATTTGGAATACTTCTAGCGTTTCATGGTAAGTTCGTGGTACATATAGACTGAACAGGTAGGTAGGTAGGTACCTACTAGATGTAAGGGCCCTAGGGGGGGCCGGGGGGTGACTAGGTACATGTAGGTGTAAGCCACTGTAAGGGACTGATAAGGTACTATTTTGTAGAGTGTAGAGGTGAAGCGAAGACGTAATATATTTACATACTATGAATACGATTGGCTTGGGCTTGAGATGCTGTGTTTGTTCTGCTGGTTACCCATGCTATGTTTGTTATGCCTACCTACAGACCGGCGGGGGGTTGCATGTCACATATCACATATCACATCCATTTTCAAATGTTTGCTCTGGTGATCTTTAGGTGTGACTTACCCAACTTTGCTTTGGCTCGCAGGCTACAGCCTCACCATCTAAAAAAAATTTTACCCTTCGTTCTTACACTCCACTGACTCCAGTCCATTCACATTGAGTCCACAGTCCGGAGTCCATCACTATGACCCACAACCACGCCACCTACCAAGCTCGACGAGACTTTGTTCAGGGCCTGCTGCGTGAGAAACTCAACCTCGAGGTAGTACCTAGTACCTATGAAAGTTCCTATTGCGCTGATCGTCAAATAAATATATTAATCGTGCACATTAGGAGGACGTTGAAATCGGCGATGTTCTGTACGAAACCCAATGGCCCTTTACATATAACAACTTTGTCTATCACTTCGGACCTTACCGCGAAATATGAACATCGGTAGCCCGGCTGTGATCCGATTCCTGATGGCACTCAGAAATCCATATTCCGCCTCGCGAATCCTCACACAGAGGGGGTGAGATCCGAAACCCGGATCGAAAATGAGGTAGCCATCATCAATCTCGCCACCGCGGCGCTTAAACGCCTCCAGCTGCCCATAGTCCCCTCTGTCCATACCTGGGACAGTGCCGCCGCTGCCCAGTCTTCGCAAGGTTATCATCCAAGAGCTGATGTCTGGCCAACGGTTGGATGAATAGTTTACATCTGTGGATCTTGAGCAGAAGGGCACAATCCTATCACAGATGGCCGAATTGCTCAAAGGTTTGCAAGATTGCTAGCTCTTCAAAAGCATAGCTGAGTTTGGGGAGGGGAATGACGTCTGGCGAGAATGGCTGGACGGTGAGCGCGGCCTTGACCAGCGTGGGAGCTGGGCTATGGCCTTCGTATGAAGCCTCCTTCAGAGGTCAGCTGGAACTGGGGCTCCAGATAGCGGAGATAAACACTAATGCAATGATGGCATGCCAATGGTGTCAGGAGTCGTTTGGATGCTTTCGTTGAACATGGCCTCCCAACTAAAGTTGCATCCCTCAGGACAGCACAGAATGAAGCTATCATTCTTGCTGATTTCAGTGAGTCTTACCTACTTCTCTTGCTGGTTCTTTATTCCCAATTGCCAAGCTAGAGGAACTGGATGTGAAAAAGCCCGCGACCATAGTGGGCATTGATAAGGTGGCAGATGTTGACGCCGTCCTTCGCACTATCTTGCCCTGGCGGCTCAGTACTGCTGATGCCCTACAGATGCAGTTGGATGAGACGATCATGAAATATAAGGAAGGAAATGAACGGCAGATTGTGCAGTTGCTTGAACGTTTGAGATATTAGTAGTCTGCCTGGGTTAGGAAGCTAGGTTAGATGGTTATACATTTGACCCCTGGGAGTGAGATAGATGCTATGTACCTAAGTAGTACCTAGTAGGTAGATTAACATTCAAACCATACTAGGTAAGATTGGATGAGACAGAAGGCTTGTCCTTCTATCTGACTTTGTACTTCCATCTGACTTTATACTTCCATCTGAAGAAGGTGTCTGTCAAAGTTCGCCCCGGTGTTTCAAGGCTGTGTATTATAAATCCCGAACGTTACAAGTTAGAATTATACATATCCATGGATATATACATACGTTCTAATTATACACCACCCTAGGTAGGTGCCCTGGAGGTATTTAGGGGTTGTATGCATTTCTCAGACGCTCTTCACTTCATACAATTTCTCTGGGGTGAGAAAATCTAAACAAAGACTAGGTAGAAAAGCCAACAGAAACACACGACTTATTCATCCGTTACAATTCTGCGGAGCGACGGTATTGGGATTATCACAATTCCACCGACTACTAAAATCTTCAAGAAGGTTCAACGATGCTTAGGTATAACTAATAAGGTATCTTAGCCCCCCTATAACCACCTAGGCACCCACAGAGATAGAGTACCTAGGCACTGAAACCGAGGCACTGAAAAAAGCAGACAAGGCAACACCAGACTCCATTTGTTTCGTCGCGGATCTCCAGAAACATGGTCTTCGAATTGCTTCCATGTTTGCCTACCTACCTAGGTTAGGTAGGTAGGTAAGTAGCCGAAGAAGTTTGTTTGCCGACGCCTATCCATCCTTTGCCCTCATATCGTAGCCGGGTATCAATCATCACTATTCGTAAAGAAACTCGCAAACCCCTTATCACCTTTACGGTCTCCCTTTTCGATTAAAATACCCGGCAAATTGCAAGCAATTTAAATTAGTAAAACTTTACTAATTTGATATCTGGAAAATCGTCGCTCCGCAACAATTTTGATTTTAAGTACTATTTCTTAATTTTTTTATTTTTTGAAATACTAAACATGTAATCATGCCTCCGGCGGCTCCTGCGGAGTGCTGCTCGCTCCGCTCGGAAAGGAAAACAGATTTAAATCACCCAAATGTTTAATCCAATTAAAAGCCAGCCATTGGCCAGTTTGAGTGGGCACTTTCTTTCACGTACGACATAGTAAGGCAATAGTTACATAACAATCACGTGATGGTAGGTTCCTTTCACATCAGACACCGATTACATAATACTCACGCCAGTGACGACGGGTTCCTTTGGCATGGATTACGTGGTACTCACGTGACGGTCGGAATACCGGCGTAATGGACGAACCGGACTCACACGTGAAAAGAGTAAATTATACTTCCCTCCAGGCCACGTGATATTGTTGAGAATATCAAGTGGCCCCATCTACTAAGCCTAGATCAACCCATGCGCCGGGACTTACTGGTATTAGGGCTGGGATCGGCTCGGCCGGATGGGGAGAAATTGTCGGATTGGGGGGATTTATGGGTATAGGAGGGAGGTTCGGAAAGCCGGTTGTCGGAGGCCGGCTGTATTTGGGAACCGCTTGCGGCGATGGGACTGCCCCAGGGGGGATTTACGGCTGATGGTACATGTTAGCGTCAGGGATAAACCCTCCCGGAAGCTCTGAAAGCTCTCCTGGAGCAGGTCACGGCAGCAGCGGCGGCAGCGCAGCATTCCGGGGCCGGCCGACCCGCCTCGGAATGGGTGTATCAGCCATTAATTCAATGGATCAACTGGGTTGGGGCTGTGTGGCTCTTGAAAAGCTCTTGAAAAGCTCTTGAAAAGCTCTTGAAAACTCTTGAAAGCCCTTGAAACCTGAAAAGTGGTTGAAAGGAGGAAGAAAAGAATTACAACAGCTTGGGGGTTGAGAGCCCTTATATAGACCGGTCTAGAGCACGCTCCATCAGTACGTACCCTAACCATCCAAGGCAAAAAGTTAGGCAAACTAAGCGCTAGTAAGCCTATTGAAATTGAAGCCATCCTATTGGCTCAAATCTGGACCTATTGAGCCGCTAGTAAAAAGTGAAACGTTTGGAGCCAACTTTCAAGCTGTTGATTGATTGATTGGGTGCATCGCTTTTCAGCCCCCAAATCCAGCAAACCACCTTCCACACCACCTTCAACACCACCATGTAAATCAATTATTTCAAATATTTCTTGAAATATTTGATTTAGGTGGTGGTGTTGAAGATGATTAATAAGATGGATTAAATGGATCAAATGGATCAAATGGAAAAAAGTTGAAAAGAAGAAGTTGGAATGGAAGAATTAGAAAAGATGGATTGGATTAAAAAGATGGATTGGATTAGTCAGCTTTGATTATTAAGAATGGAACTGAATGGATGGAATTGAATGAATGGAATTGAATAGAAAGTGGCTGAATTGAGGCTGTGGAGGCTCAGCTCCTTATCTTATCAGTTTCTGCGGGAAACAGAGTCCGAGCTTGAAATTTTCACTCATAGGCACGGCTCCACTACACGATTTTATTAAGTAAAACTTTACATTTAACTCGTCCCTCCTTAGTAAAGTTTTACTAATAAGTCAAGTCGTAGACCAATAGCCTGGTCTAATTTCTATCAGTTTACGATCTTCTTGTCGAAATATAGGATGAAAGCGCCCCATACTTACATAGCAGTTTTGCAAGTCCGCGTCCCGTCCAGTCCAATTGCAAAAGAGTGTGCCGAAGAATTGCATCTTTTCGCAGCCTTTTAACCTGCCAGCTCGTATATGGGATCGCTGGCTAGTTCCGGGGCCTTCGGTTCGCTCAGGATTGGTTGGTGGTTACCACCCGCTACGGCCAGAGCCTGGGCCTGGTCGTCCTCGCTTTGGGGTATAGTGGCTCGGCGGACGCGGTAGATGACGTACAAAAGTAGAGCCACGATGGCGGTACCGAGAACCGCTCCCACAGCTATTCCTGCTGTTTCGCCCGTGCTTAAGGTTGAACTGGATGATGCGTCTCCCTGGCCTTGGGCGGGAGTGAGTGTGATGGATGGCACTGCGGTTGGGCTCGCTTGCGAAGTGGTATTGGTGGTTGCTGTGGATGATGTGGCTGAAGATGGCCGAGTGGTTGAAGTCGTCGGGCTGCTCGTACTGCTCGTGGAAGTAGAAGAGGACTGGTCATCTCCGGGTAGTTCATTCTGGTCATCATTCAGTGCACAGGTATTCAGCTCGCAATGGTATCCCCATGGGCAACAGGCATCGCCGCATTCCGGTAGGTGTCCTTCATGCCACGACGTCTGTATGTCTGAACTCGGATCAAACAGTTGTCGGCTCAAGTCGCAAGGAATATTTCCAATTTGACTGCAATCAGCGCCGTCGGGACAGCATATAACTGTAGTATTGGCTGCTAGGACAAGGCATGTTCTACCTTGTTTGCAGCACGAACTGGCAGGGGCAAAGGGCACAGAGTCAGTGCAGAATGGTGCTCCATCATCGCCGCATTCCGCCATGTTGATTTGACTGCTGGGTAGAATTAGAATAGTAGTTTTCTGCTACCAAAGTAGTGGTCTTGGAGAGTTTGGATGTGATAAATGTTAGGTAGGTAAGTAGGCACCTAACCTTAGGTAAGTTGTATGATTGCCAAATTTACCTAGGTAGATAGATACCTATATGTATGAGAAGCGCGATTAGATTCGCGATACCGAACGAAGAGAGAGGAAAATATTATTAAAAAAGATGAAAATAAGGGGAGAAGGAAAAAAAAGTAGTCAGAACTAAGGTTTCTTGAGATGATCAGTTGACGTCGTCGAACACGTCGTACAGAGGCTTGGGAGGTTTAAGAGGAATAGAAAAATGGTGTTTGATATCCCTCGTTTTGAAATTTTCGGTTTGTCCCTCGAGTAACTCTGGACTATACAGTAGTGATACTAGGTACCAAAAGGGTGATAGATAATGGGTAATGGTTTAATCATTAATGAGCGATGATGTACCACCAAATGTCACGAGAGACAGCTTGTATACAGAGCTTGGGCCTTCTATCGACCCTTCAACACTAGATACCTACTGCCTAAGAAGGGCCATTCGGTCTACATAGATTTCATCCCATCATTTGATACTTAAAAAGCTTTTCCCTTTTGGTCGATAGATGATCTTTGTTGGGTATAACCTTGGAGGTGGACGATTCTTTGCGTTACACGAGGACAACCCCCTAATCAAACATTTGTGAATGTCCAACAATCCATATACACACTATGAATGAAGGTCCCTTAACTAAGTTAACTTATCCCTTGAGAGTCAAGAGGTATTTAATGAACATGGAACGTCAATTTCTCGCACTCGGTTCTTCCATTGACTATCCTTTTGTCCTTTTTTTCCCTTTCCTCCTTTCCTCCTTTTCTCCTTTACGGGAGTACCTTAAGGCGTGGCCATTGACATCCAAATTATATCGATGCCATCTTTGGACATACCAGAAGAGATAAATCTCTGATCCTATAGTTGTATATAGGCTTGATTGAAGAGGTATTGATGTTTGTGGCTTCTTCTAACCTTCAATACAGTGTTTTTGGGCCATTTTTGTCGATTTAACTCGATCAAATGTAGTTGATTCCATGAGTGTAAGTGGACCTGGCTAACTAGCATGTTGTACCAAACTGCAGCTTTTTGTTTTCAAAGTGCTCGAAGTGGTACAAACATCGACAAGACCTCGAGGTGGTCTGAGCTTCACAGTTCGTGCCCTATCTCATCTATCAGTACCGTATCAGTAACTGCCCCGGTTAAATCTCGGCCATGAGGTGACGTGACGTACCAAATGAATCGTACCTGGTAACATTCCAAGTTGAATGTAACAGAAATGATGCTAAATTTTGTGGCTTTCGAGCTCGATTAACACAATTAATTCTCTCCAAATTGATGGTTTTTTTTTTTACAAACCCCACGATACCGCCGCATTCACACATCCACGTCGCCTCGATTTTCCTAATGCTTATTCGATAGCCCTGCTTTCCAGCTCGCCTACAGCTGGGCTAGCTGGGTATTCGTCTGCAGCAATTAATAATGCGCGAGTTCATGGATTATATCCAGTCCGCCTTTTATGCTGCAACTAGTTGGAATCGCGACAGCAGCTATGCCTCCCTTAATGCCACATCTGACGCCCTATTAAATTTCCCAACCCCGAGGGGTCTTCGCCTCACTCTCTCGTCTCTCGCTACCCCCCGCTTTGCCACCTCATATCAGCTCGGCACAGTTGGTATAGTCGATGGCTCCGTTTCATACCTATACTCAACAGTACCTCTTAACGATGCCATAGCCCAAAGTGAGGATATACCTCTCCCGGATCTCTTGCGAAGTTACCGCCCACTTGCCGAGTTGCCGCGCAGAGCCGGGAAGCCAGGCGTGAAAACGGAAGAAGAAGGTGGAGGGCTCGTGAAGGATGGGCTGGCATATGGGAGGCTCTACCTCCCCATGTCAATGTTGGAGGCTTTACTGGTCAAGAGGATTTCACCTGCGCTGCAGTTACAGTTGAGCGCCGTATCCAGCCAAACATTAAAAAACGGGGGCACCGTGTTAGGCATGGCGCAATATGACGAGGGTCGTTATACGGTAGAGGGCCTCGCATCCACGGATGGTGGCTTGCTCGGCGTGCGGGGATTATACAACTTTGGGGGTGACGTTGGACACGTGAATACGCCAGCACCGTTGACGGCGGTGAATGGAAATGGGGGAGGAAATGGTGAACGCATTTACGGCCGCTTTAGCACCGGAGCGGAGCTTTACTACGGAACGTTGAATAAATCCGGTGGTATGAGTCTCGGAATTCGATTCGCGACGCTGCCTACGCATAACGGCACACCTCTCACGGCGACAATGACAATTAACCCGTTAGTAGGAAATATAAGTTGGACTTACGCGGTAATGGCTGGCAGCAATTGCTCCCTTGCAAGTAAGATGGATTTTAACGTCCACAGTTATGAGAGCGATTGGGCTGTGGGCATGGAGCTCTGGAGGAAAAGGGGTGCTTGGTCCATCGACCAAGAAATAAGCGAAACTCCATCAGCGCCACCAGCGCCACCGATACCACCAATACTACCAATACCACCAGCACATATAACACCCGAGAAGAGCTTCCAAGAAAATGTGGATAAGAGCACAGAACATCCTCCCAAAATATCAGAGGTGGCTGATAAACTATCGGATAATTCACAATCGCCGAAAGTAGCAGTTTATCCAAAAATCAAAGAACGAAGCTTTCAAGCTAAAATGGAATGGAGGTTAGATGATCCAGATGTAGATACATCAATTACGGCGGGAACCAATGAAAATGTAGGAGATGACGAGTACTCGGGCGTTTTGAAGGCGCGCCTGGACCAGCACCTACGAGTCGGGCTCTTATGGGAAGGCCGAGTCAAATCTTTGCTTTTTAGTCTTGGGAGCAGCATCGATTTGCGCCGGCTCGACTCCCCCTTCCGAACCCTTGGGCTAGAAGTCCAATTCTCATCCTGAAGAAGACCAATAGGCAAGCCTCGACTCTCCTCGGTGGCCGTTTTGCCCGGAAGCTAGGGCGCTTGCATCGGGCTTCTACCCATATCTTACGATGCCTACCTCCTAGTTAGTACTGTATTGAGTAGCTAGAAGTTGGTGGAACGGTTACAACTCCGGTTGTGGCCACCCATGGCTATTGGCTACCTATGAACCACTCGGGTACCTATTTAGTACTTGGCAGTGTCGGTCATTAGCGATGCAAACTAAGGCTACTTTCCGTTGTGAAGCGGAGGAAGTATGTACCTGTGGCTATCGATTCTTCAATGACAGCAAACAAGCTGTAGTCATGAATAAATGCGACCCAGCGCCTCCGGGATTTGAGCACCCTGATGCCTTGAAATACAGCTTCGGGTAAGAGATCTTATTACCGAGCACGGCGGGGTAGCCCGGGTTGATTACCAAAAAGAGTTGACACCCCCATGGACAATACGCCAGTATCCTTTTTCTGCTATAGGACATAGAGATTCGGCATGATTTCAAGTCGGGCAAATGTGACAACTTGCCCACCGTCCCATTGTATCTAGCCGTACATTTGAACCATCACCTTATTCACTATCGCGATATATATAGGCAACCATTCCGAACAGGCCATGAATAGGCCGACGCTAGGGAAGTCTTGTTTCAAACAAGCATCATAGGAAGAACCACAACTCAGAGCATGTCTACATGTCTATTAGCTTCTCCACAGATGTCACAGCAAGTGTGCAGAAGGGCTGATCTATGGGGCCCCTACTTTCTTTACCTACAGGCTACGGCGTAGTAGGGCCTTACCGACCTAGGCAGCCTGGGTAGGCTGTTAGCCTTAGGTAGGCCGCTACTAGGTAGAATGTAGACCCATTAGATCCATTTGTTATCTATTTCAAACTGAATGACAATGGCATAGCATACATCGATACTTGTCATGGACAGCAGGCTCGAACCTGAAGAATCAACATGCTAGGCCTTGATAGCTTGATCATATCGCATCTCATCTACTATGTACTGACTGTACTGACTGTACTGACTTGCGTAGTTGAGGAAATGAAATATAACATGAGGCTATACTTCGTCTTGATTCATGTCTCACTTCTATTCTTGTAAGTAGAATAATATTGCATGTGGCTTCAGCAACAGCAACAGCAACAGCCAGCACCAAGTTCAATGTTCAAAATTCAATGTCATGATGGATAATATGGATAATACAGAGTACATACATCATGATACATAGTACCTATGTAGTACTGGCCCTATCGGTACGTACCGAAACCTGGGGACCTTGATGGTTAGCTCATCTGGGTTTTCCACGCGAGAACCCTGAGGGACAGACTAACGCGGGGCTTACTTCCATCATGCTTGATTGTGGCACTGAACAACGAATCACACGCTGCGCATCACAGCTGGTAGAGGGATTTAAACGTCTCAGTGCCTAACGCAGTTAGTACAGAATGTGAAGACTGAATGGGTTTTCTTCTTTTTCTTCTGGTATCCGCCTACGTACATACTCAGTACCAATCATAAATACATATGTAGAAAGTCGTTGAAAACTTCTTGATAGAAGTTATTGAAACCATCATATAATCAGCACAGGACTACAGATGTCCTTGACCACGTCATGAATGTGGCTGCTGGGTGTAACTTATAGCAATCAGCCTTATTCATATCATATGTTGCACTGGTACGACACAACGTGGGAAAAGGACGTTGGTTTTACCTTTTGTCACCAGGCAGCCAAGCCCTGTGAAGCGGCCTCTTGGTGATGATGTGACATCATGGGCTATATGGATACAGGCATGGTAATGAGATATAAAAAGAGAATATGTAGGTATACATGTATTTCGGTATTATGCATGTAGGTACTATGTGGGATGCAACATTGACATGACATGCCGCCCCTTTGACATTAATGAACATTTGAAGTCCTTACCCGCATTTGTGAGGCTTATTTTCCCTTTACATAAGTACCTCCGACAAAACCCTACATAAGGCTTAGACATTATGTGTATCGTCGCATACCTAGTGTTTAAAAAAAACAACTGAACCTCTACGCAATACTACCGGAAAAGGTATAGCATATTGAACAATACTAACAATCAGCTGAACTAAAAACGGCCCCTTCTCACATGCACTTCCCAAACCAGCTTGGGCGCCCGACGAGGTGTGTGCAATGTACCTTGTCTAAGCCGGTCTAGGGCAAGCTTTTCAAGGGTCCTAGCAGGGAGGGACCATGGCGGCCTTTTTTTTTCTTGCTGACCATTGTATCGACGCCGTACGGCTTGCTTAACTTTACTTAACTGCATATAAACTTCGACCATCAAGGTTCTCTTTTTTCGCGTTCTTTCCTTCTGTTTTTCATCTTGTTCTCGCTTGCTACTTCTTACCTGCCAACTGACCCAACACAAACATTACTGACAAAGGGTGACCTATTACAAGACTGGAGTGTGATAAATGCATACTGTGTCCTAGTTATTGTCCTAGTTATGTCCTAGACGAGTTGAATGAGACAAGTTTTAGCCAACATTGAACATCATTAACTTGAAAGTACTAGATATACATACATATACAGTAAATGACTTTTAATAGACATCTGGATGTATTCTATGTTATATGACACTCTTTTTCTCTTCCCCCTGTCTAGAACCTTCATATTCCCCAAGGCTGTCGCGCTTCTCGTCCCGAATTTACTACACAGCAGTGACAGCACTGATTGTTCACCCTCATTTATACATCACCCGCCCACTCATAGACTAGGTTAGTGTCTTGCACTCTTACTTCTACGTGACTAGTTCTTATGTACGACCTAGAGAACCTTCAGCCAAAGCATCTTATTAGATCTCTATCTACGAGATCGTGCGAGATCCCGCCTCGTTCCGGAACCAGACACCAACCATCCTTCTAGATCTTCTTCTAGATCTTTGAGAATACAGCGGAACGCGAACCGAACCCTTCTATCCATAGGGGTTTGTCAATCCTGTGTAACTAAAGCGCGCAAGGTGGTAGTCATTACCTACCTATTATATATCACCGCTGTCGTCGTCATCGTCGTTACCAAACCCACCGAATCGGCCCCTCTTTCTCCAGAAGAAATCCTCATTTCTTGGGAATTATACGAAGCCCATCAAGAGGGCTAGTCAGCCCAGCTGGTTAGTGTATAACCCCATCAAGGTCCTCCTCTCTTTAAGACGAGTCATTTGAGCCTAGCCTAGCTTACCTTAGCTTCCTTTGAAATTCTTCACTTGCTCCATCTCAAAAAAAACAAGCCCATTGTTTCCCTTCGCTTTGGCTGTTAATCAATACTTTATATATACTGTCTACTTCTTATTGGGCTATCTCGTCTTTCCTATATCTTGGCCCATTCCCTCACCACCACCGCGAACAACAAAATAACCTTCAATTTGCCTTCAAACTTTCGCTAATTTATGTTGTCAGCCTTAGGAACTAGTGGATTCTAAGCTGGGACTTAATCCTACCTTCTTTTTATTCCATCAAGGCCTTTTGTTTTGTTTACATACCTTTAGGCTCTAACTATTTAAAGAAGGGACTTCCCGCAGGAATTCTTTACGCCATAACTTGTGATCATTATTCGTGGCTGGCTACCTCGCATCACCATAGTTATTTCCTTTCGAAGACGCTTTACCTAAAACCTAGGACCTAGGTATTCATTCTCTATCTAAAACTAAAATAATTAGTCGCCAACAAAATACCCAAGATGTCGGTGCTATCCACGGTTTGGGATTCCATGCTCAGAGCTCGGCAGGAAGATGGATCCTCTGATGCGGCTCCCGAGTCTGGCTACAGTGTCACAATAGATTGTGACGCCGGAAACGAATATGACGGGCGAATGGGACTACGGATTTCCTCCATTTTCGTCATCTTGGTTGGCTCTTTGATGGGTGCTGTTTTGCCCGTATACCTGGCTCGTGGTACTAAGATGAAGGTCAATGGCTCGGCCTTTTTCGTTGCGAAATACTTTGGTTCAGGTGTCATCATAGGAACGGCCTTCATGCATCTTCTTTCGCCAGCATTTGATGCCTTAAAGTCGCCCTGTCTCCCAGATGGTCCTATCAATGACTACGATTGGGCAGCTGGTATTTGTTTAATGACCGTGTTCGTCATGTTCACCATCGAACTTCTTGCCAGCCGCTTTGACTTTTTTGGTCACGACCACGATCACTCGGACGCCAAGGCGATCGATCCGTCATTGGAGATTCTCAAGAAGGATAGCCCAGTTTCACCTGCACCGAGGCACGACTTGGAGGCGGGTCAAAATAAGGAGAGCGGAAATGAGTCTATCAACCATGAATCAGGTTTCCCCACCGATGTCAGCTATCCCCCTGGAGGCGAAGATCACCTGGGTCACCAGCGCGACCACCACGAAAACGACTCCTACAGCGCTTTCGCCGCGCAGATGACGGCGCTCTTTATTCTAGAGTTTGGTGTCATCTTCCACAGTGTCTTTATCGGTCTCACACTCGCAGTTGCCGGCGAAGAGTTTACAGTTCTGTACATCGTTCTCGTGTTCCACCAAACGTTTGAAGGCCTCGGCCTTGGCTCGCGACTGGCTACTGCCCAGTGGCCTAGGTCCAAGGGTTGGATGCCGTACGCGTTGGGTGTTGGTTACGCTATTAGCACCCCAATTTCCATCGCCATTGGCCTTGGCGTGCGGTCCACGTTACAGCCAGGAAGTCCCAAGACCTTGATTATCAACGGTGTCTTCGACTCTATTAGTGCCGGTATCCTCATTTATACGGGTTTGGTTGAGCTACTCGCCCACGAATTCATGTTCAACTCGTACATGCGCAACGCCGGTCTCAAAGTCCAGCTCTTCGCTCTCGGCTGTGTCGCCCTGGGTTGTGGGTTAATGGCCGTGCTTGCCAAGTGGGCTTAAACCTTGCATTAAGAAAGGAACGACAATTTTTTAAAGGAAGTTATTAGTGGTGTAAGAGGGAAGGAAATGAACTGACGATAATCTTTGATGGGTTGGAGTACTCGCTTATACCCTCGCACGGAATTCGCAGCCCTGAGCTGCATACGGGTTTATATGTTCGGAACTGTTAACCTAGAGCTCGACGCTCACACGGTGTACTTGTGAAACTCCATCGAGGATAGGAGCCAATAGAGGGCCTAGATTAATTATAGAAATCATCACATATTACTAGGTTAATATGGTGCGTAGAGTTAGCAAACATCTATTCGGTAAAATTGTAGCCTATAATATTCCCTTGTTCCTGTTTTGTGATGTGTTCCTTTGAATACCAGCCTCCTGATGGCCTTCTCACCTTCCTATATGTAAGTAGGGAATATGGAGTAAATAGTAGACTTGTTGATGTCTTCTTCTTAATCCTTGAGTGAGCACATACTTATAACCTACTATGTAGCAACTGATACGTAGTCTTCCCGCACACGCCACAGTCAATATTTTGTCAGGCTGTTGCTTGCTTGCTACATACCTACATATAATATACATCTGATCCTGGTCTCCAACAAAAATATGTGTGCGAAAAAAAGCAAAAGCAGGAAGCACATGAGCTCTATAGAACCCGACCCTCCCTCCCCCTGGTCGTCATACTCTAGCAAAGTCCTACCGCTCACATATCATATTATAAACCCATGTTTCTACGATATAGTGACGCTGTCACGGATGGGGGCCGTTCTCTGTCGAGTAGGTCGGGAGGTCGGGAGGTAGGTAAGGTCGTGTGAGTGAACGTGCGTATGTACAGGTAGATAGGTAGCTTCGCTTTGGGGTAGACGAGGGCTTCCAGCCCCCGCCACTTTTATATAAGAACTGTGTGTATGTGTGTGTGTGTGTGTGTGTTGATTTCGAACGAGATATTGTGGTAACGTTCCGGTAAGCTACTCAGAGCCTGCCTACCTTACTTATACACCGCTATGTGCTTATACAATATCTGCTTTACTAGCATCGGAGGTTTTCTGATATGATATAGAGCAGTGTTGCGATCGAAGACCTATACTCACCATCCTGATCTATCCATTGTTTCCAGCATCGTAAGTCAAGACTGTCTACCAAAGCCGGTATAACTAACCACAACCCCCTATATAATTTCTGCCCCTCCCTTCAAAGCAGAACATTGTGCCCCTTCCTTCCCGCCTACTTATCATACCACCAGTCCTTCGTTCCAATACTCACTGACCTACTCTGACTTACTTAGTAGTCGTAGTAGTAGTAGTAGACATGGACGAAAACAAATACATCGCGGCCGCGGAACTCGGCCTCCAGCCCATCCACCTAGCCTGTCTCGAGGGCGATCTCGAGGAAGTGATCAAGCTGGCACGCGAGCCAAAGGCCATCGACGCCCTCACGGAACCGCCTGCCAGGGCCGAGTGGCGGTATAGGGAAACGCCGATGTACGTTATACCTAACTATCTATTTACAGATCCATCCATTCACCTTCCAGCCCTTCCTCTTTCATTCATCTCAGCCAAAAAAGGCATCAGTGAGGTGGATGAAGGGTGCTGGATAAGTACCTGAGCTACCCACGTACCTTTCCACCTACCTATATATATATATATATACAGACACCACCAAACTAACATCCTCTCCTCCCCCTATACAGCAAACTCGCAGCTCTCATGGGCCACCTCGAGATCGTCGAGTTCCTCATAGAATGCGGCGCCTCCCTAGCCCACGACGGGCACCACGCGTGGTCGTACGCCACGGACGACGGGCTCGCGCGGCGGCGGAGGGAGTTCTTCACGAAGACGGTCGGGCTTGGGCGTGAGCACGACGGGGCGGGTGCGCGCAAGAGTATATATAACCTCCTCTCTTCGCCGGGGAGGAGGAGTGTTTTGAGAGCAAGTATGTGTGTTGGTATATATCTGTCTTTGGTGTTTTTCTTTTTCTTTTTCTTTTTTTTTTCTTCTTTTTTTTTGCCTCCTTTCTTTCATTTCTCGTTTTTTTTTCTCCTTTAATAACTTGGTTGGTTGAGGTGGGAAAAGGGGCGGGGATGATTTCGCGTATACTACTATTTTTAAAATACTCTTACGATATCAATCGCTATCATTATCCTGAAAAGAGCAAGAAAAAGAAAGAAGAAACAGAAAAAACAAAACAAAACAAAACAAAAGATAAAAAGCCCCTTACTAACGCCAAAATCCCTCATAGTGCGAGGCCCCCGCGCCGACCTCGGGTACCCGGACTACCGGCTTGCGAAGCAAGGGCGGGACATCGTGGTGTACGCGCCGGTGCTGCGGATCCGGAGCGACATCGCGCTGGACCGGAGCAAGACGATCGGGGTGATCACGGCGAGCAAGGGGGACGGCGAGGTGCTGATGGCGGCGCACAGCGGGTACCGGCTCGGCGGCGACCGCGACACCGACAAGTGCCTCGACACCAACCAGTGGAACTACATCGCGCTGCACCACATCGCGGCGTTGATCGGTTTTGTGTTCCCCGGGAACAGGCATGATAATGGGGCGAAGAGGGTGGATGATGATAGTGAGTGTTTACTTGCATACTAGTTACCTACAGACCATACATATATCCCTCGTCGAGTCCGCTCCTTTTCTTCTTAATGTCTTCTGGTGTATTCTTTTCTTCCCCCTTCTACCAGCACCACCCATCTATCTATCTATCTATCTACCAGCCTATCCAAACAACTCCACAAAAACATACAACCACTAACCCCCTCCCCCCTTAGTGCACCGCGGCCGCGCCCACGCCGGGCACGTCGAAGTCCTCCTCGCCGCCTGGTACAGCGTCGAGCTAACGCGGCGGTCCTCCGGAAACCTCGCCGCGCCTCTCGACTGGCTCCTATCCCAGCTCCACACGCTGCGGCGCGCCATCCTGGGCCCGGCCCGCTCCGCCGTCATCATGATCGACTCCCAGCCGTGCGCCACCTGCCTGCGGTTCATCAACCGCCTGTTCCAGTACACTGGCTTGCACTTCTCGGTCAGGGGCGCGGTGGGGGTGGGCCCGACGCTCGCGACGAAGGACCAGAGGAGTAATATGCGATTTGATACTTTTGGGGATGTGTTTCCGGAGTCCGAGGGAGAGGAAGTCGAGGTAGGGGGCTGTGGGGAAGTTGACGACAATGATGATGATGACAATGATGACAACGATAAGATTAGGGAAACGGGTGAAGCTAGTATCGGGCTGGGAAGCCCCTTTTCCGTGGTTCGGGAAACGGCTGCTGCCGCTACACCGGATGTACGCGGTGACAACATCAACACGGACGGGATATATGCAGGCAACACCACGCACATGAACAACGTACAGACAGCAGCAGCAGCAGCAGCAGCATCATCCCAACCATACGCAAACTCCAGCCTCCCCACCCCTCCACGCTCATCCCCCATACCAGAACCTGACACCAGCCAAGCCACCCCAACCCCAACCCCCGCAGAACACACCACCACCACCATCATCCCCGTAACCCCCGCGCGGTCACGGATGCAATGGCCGCTCCCCGAGCACCGGATCCGCACGCCTCACAACCGAACCGCCACCGAAGACCCCTTCCGCGACATCCCGTCCCGTCGGCCGCCGAACCACTTCGAGCTGCTGGCCGAGTATAAGAAGAAGACGCCCGTGTACCATTTTCCGGGGTACGAGGCCGTTGTTGCGCAACAACAACGACAGCAGCAGCAGCAGCAGCAGCAGCAGCAGCAACAACAGGCTTCTCAGCAGCGACGGCTGAGAGACCGGCTGCGCAGGAGCCAGGGGCAGCTATCGCAAAGACTGGCGACGCCGCCGCCGCTGGTGCCGTTGGCTCTAAGGGATGTGGAGACTGGGGCGGTGGGGTGGAGGAGCAGGGGCGGGGAAGGGGAAGGAGAGGTTGTGCTTGTTGATGCGATGGGCGATAGAGACGTGGGCATGGACGGAAATAACGACGACCACAACCACGTTGATATTGTTCTCGAGAGCATCGAAGTCGACAACAGCAACAGCAACAGCAGCAACATTGGAGCAGCTGCCGGGCGCGCGTACTCGACGACGCCCGCCAGCAACACAGCGACGACCACGCTCGCGACACAGCGGCTGGCTGCAGAAGTAGGCTCGCACATGAAGGACCGCAGCAACCATTTTGCGGCGCCGGGGCTGGGGATTTTCTCCTACAGCAGCTTCGAGCCTGTTGCTCGGGATCGGGAGAGGGGAGACCATGCGGATGCCCATACCACTGCCAACGACAACGACAACGCGCACGCACATGTCGATACCCACAATCACCACATATTTCCGAGCCCAAGCCCAAGCCGAGAAGTCCACATGAAAGGCAGTGACAGTGACGGGATCAACGACATGGGGGCGAGAGCCGAAGTCGAAGCCGAAGAGGACGAGGACGAGGACGGCTACTACATGATCCGCTCGCTAGTCCGGCAAGCGCAGTCCGACGCCGTGCGCAACAACCATCTTCCTAGACGAAACGAGGAGGGCGAGGGAGAAGACCACATGGATGCCACGCCGTGTCCAGTGCCGGTGCCGGGCGTAGTCAGACTGCAAAAATGGCGATACCACCCCCAGCCACGTCCCCAGCCACGTCTGGGAGCGGCGCCGTGGGCTCTTAGAGTGCGGGATGGCGTACGGCCCGTGAGCAAGTTCCAGCCGATGACACGTTTTCCGTAGGTAGGTAAACAACTACCTACAGTTATGGGAGGAAAAGGAGATAAGCAGAAGGTTTAGAAATCTGCTCCGTCTCGAAGTAGTTCAGTGAATTTCGGGGGGTGGAGGATTACTATAAATGGCCTACCTAGGTAGGTTCCCATATAGTAGATAGTACTTAGTTAGCCCTCCAAAAAAACATAACCCGCTGTCACTCACTGGAATAGTCGCGAGTTGAAATGCTTAAACTTTCTTTTATTCAGTCTAGGGCTCAATGAATTCTCATTTTGAGTATCACACAAAGCAATAGTCACAGTCACCATTAATCCAAGTCCAAGTCAGCCTTGATGTTCCGTGGGGAAAAGAAGCGGATTACAAAATCCACCAGCAAATTCATTCAGCCGTTTTCAGACGCCGTGCCCAGAAACCTATGCTACCTAGACCGAAGTAGTAGAATCATTTCCACATGGTATCATGTTTATTCCTCATCCTCCTCCTCCTCCTCAGCCTCAGCGGTGGTCTGGGCAATTCCTATTGATACAAGTCAGTACGTGCTTATCTCCAAAACGCCAAATAATTAAGAGGCGGTATAACATACGGTCCAAATCTCGCTGGCCGGACTGAGTGATTCTTCGGCCACCAACTTCCTCATCATGCTCTAGAACGCCAATCTTCTCTAGGGATTGCATGATCTTGCGGTCGACGGAAGCGGAACCGTCAACGTGCTTGGAAGGGCGGGTGCCACGGTTCTTGGCGTTACCGTGGGCTTTGCGGAGACGGCCAACACCAACGGTCTTGCGCATGTAGACGTGACGGGCAACGGCGGCGGCGCGGACGTAGTACCAGTCGATGTTCTGAGGAGGAAGCTCGCGCGAGGGACCAGTCTTGACGGTGTCAACCCAGCCTGTATGATGACAGATAATATTAGTACGCATTGTTCCATAATACAAGGAGTGGAAGATAGACGATGTAGAACGTACCAGGAATGGGAAGCTTTCCCTGGCGCTTCAAGAAGCCAGCATACGCGTTGATGAACTTTTGCGCCTACATTTCCAAAGAACCCATCAGCAAATATTCCGTCATAGGAAGTCTTTCGACCCCCTCACGCCTGCTCTCAAGAATGTCCCATTGCTAGCATCAAAGGGAGGTTTGTGCTGTTGCTGCCTCGGGCCGGGATAATTCTCGATATTGAAGTCATATTGCGCCATGTTGAGCCGAGAATGGCATGGTGTTTTCGAGCTTGTTCACCATTCATTCATGGCCGTGGGCATGGGCATGGGCAGTTATTCATGGTGGGATGTGAAAAAACCTACGTCAACGTCGCGAACAGAAACTCCGCCAGTCATTTTTGCGGTATTGAATTTGTCGGTGATTTGCTAAATAATTCGGCGACCCGGTCAAAGGAGAGATATTGTGGTGATTGAATCGAAGGTTCGCGCAAGAAGTTGACGGAGTGCGGAAGAAAGGTGTGAGGTAAAATATTTAGTGAATTAAAATTGATGTGACGGAACTTGGCGAGATATTCGAAGTGGGGCATCACGATTCTTGGTAGAGATTAGGGCTTGCCCTTTGGTATGGTACCCAGATAGATAACTAGTGCCTTAGGTAAGCAAACCAAGAATGGCCTGTGCTTTTCTAGATAGGCTTGGCAATAATGTGCATTTCTCCACCCTCAACATGACGAACTCCAGATCTTCAATTATTTAACAATAGTCAACCCAGTGAACCCACCTACATACCACAGATACATGTACACCACATGTGCACCATTACATATCGGTACATACTTTGAATACTTATAGGTATTCGTGCAAACTATTGCCTTCTCATTTTGCCAATAAGGGCTGTTGCTGTTCATCGAGATCGACTTCGAGAAAGTCGCCCAATGATTTCTCCAATGTCTGCCATGTGGTCGAGTATGTCCAATCTTCACTACTCATGGAATCGGCCTTTTCTTATGTATTGAAATATCAGCCTCTGGATGTTTTGTGTTTGCTTGCTGTTCGTCTCGAGAGGAGCCCGATGCTTCGTTAATTATAGTAAGGTCTACAGCATTCTTTCATCGGGCAGAATGCCACTCTCCCTTCGATCCTGAGATGTGATTTGTGTCCACGATGCTTTTTCTTTTTTCATCGCAAGGGGGATTTCTTAGCATATTTATATGGCTGAGATTCCACCCGCCATGTCTCTGAAATGGCAAGACGTCATTCCGTACTGATTGTCCGATGTCCATATACTTTGTAGTCCTCGCTACCTTAACCCTTATACCCCTTTCTCATATTCCTTGTTACTTGACAATCTTATCTCGAGCCCCCTTATGGATCGAAAATTCAACATGGAGCCTTCAGTGTTGGATACCCAGCTATTTACTCAACTAGCTCTCAGGAAATGTAACTCCATCTCTAGTATTCGACAAAGAACGCCTTCCTTTGGCAGAATCCAGACTAAATCCATTCGAAGTACACGCACGCTGGATTCAACTTTCATGGCCGATTATCACAATGAGCTTGATACTCTTCGACGCAAATGGGAATCGCGCGTATTTCAGTTTTGGGGAACATATTGGGATAGATCTCCTATCCCCGAAAGTCTAGGCCAAGAATACCTTGCGACAAATCGACAGGATTCTTCTCACGTGCAACTTCAGTCGCCTGAGCCGGCCCAAACGTCAAAAGATTATCCTCCGAGGTTCTCAATATTCGGCAGAGATCTACGGCAGTGGCACATGTATCTGGAGTTGAAGAGACATCAAGCCAAAGCTGTTATCTTGAAGCGGAAGATTGACCATAAATATCGACACGAACTTGGATTGCGTAAATGCAAAACTAGCGCTGAAGATTTTCCAGTTGACATCAATGATCTGGCTTGTTTCTGGGAACCCTGGTACGTGACGGAGTATCAGCCAAGCCCATACATGAGGCAGAAGGCCGGGACAAATTACACGATCAGAGAGTATTACTCATCTGATCATCGACTACGATTAAGGAAAGTCCATCTTGATGGATGATGAGGCGGCAAAGACCAAATCATAGGTCGAACCGCATGATTTCGACAAGCTGGAAACCGCAAAGTCTAAATATATGAGCCTGAACACTGACTGTAGTGGCTCATCATAGTTTAAGCAAGGCATCGGACGCGCTTGTTGCAGTTTTTGGTGGGAAAAAAGGAGGGTACGGGCTACGGCTGTCTTGAATTTCCTTATTATATCAATGGAGCCTATTGCTATTATATTTAGGAATCACAGACGACGACCGGAATATTTCACGGTCATCTTGAAGACTCGATATAAGCTCTCTCCGGGTTCTTTTTAGTCGTCTTCTGCCTTCGTACATGTGCAATAGGTACCTAACCTAAGCATGTAAGTATCATATTACCAAACCAGATCACAAAATCATCACACAAGAAACAAGACCACAACCAATAGGTTATGTAGCTTGGAAGCTACCTCTTTTGGCTCATCGTAAACTAAGACCATACAATATTGTCATAGGCTAGCTAATCACCTCAAGCAATTGTACACCGCGAATTGAAGAAAACACAAAGGGCCAGGCAAGCCGAGCTATAGCATCCCAAAACCTCCGAACAGCATGAACCCGTGGTCGATCCGAACGTCTAGCATGATAAAAATGGGGAGGGGAGAGGATCGGGTCGGGTCGGGGGTATATTATTTTATCGTTCCATCTATACAACCAACATAATTTTTCCCTTCCTCCTTTTTTTTCGCGTCCCCTTATAGCGCAAACAGACGACCATGGGGCTTCTCAATACGGGCGCGCAGGTCCCTCTCGTTATGGGCATGGCGCTTGTTGAGGCCGATCTCAGTGCCGATCTCGATGCCGAGGGGGGCGCGAGCCTTCTTAGCGACGTCGCTGACAGCCTTTACGTGGCTCCAGTCAGCGCTGTCCTCGCCCATACTCCAGGCCATGACGCCGCCGAGGCCGAGGGGCTGTAGGACGTCGGTGAACTTGCGGTTGATCAATTCGGGAGTGTCCCAGGTCCAGAACACGCGCGCCTCGCTGTCCCAGTACCACATGCCGCCCTCCTTCTCGTCCACCTTACCGTTCTCGAGCGCCTTGTTGAAGAGCGTCGTGATGTCGGCGCCCGGGCACTTGCCGAAGTTGCCCTGGCATCCTAGACCGCAGTGGGCGGGAGTCGCGCCGCAGAAGCCGGCGGTCGAGCAGCAGTTGCCCTCGGCCTTGGGGCCGGAGCAGCCGAAGGAGGTGCCGGCGCCGCAGCTGCCGTCGGGCGTGTCGGTCAGGTTCGTGAGAGCGGCGGGAGGGTGCAGGTTAGCCTGCTCGAAGGTGATGGCGCCGGAGGTACCAGCGTCGCTGCCGTCGTCGTTCTCGCCCTTAACGATGGGGCAGCCGACGGGCTCGTTGCAGGTTACGCCCTCGGGGGTCTGGAAGTACTTGGCGTAGTACGCGATGCCGAGGTTCAGCTTGTAGGCGGGCAGACCTAGGTCTATGTACCGCTTGGCGGACTCGAGGGATCCGGTGACGGAGGAGTGGTGTAGAGTCGCATTGTCGCGGCGGGTGATCATGTCGTAGGACATCAGGTTGACCATGTCTACGGCGTTGAAGATGGCGGCTGACTGGGCTGGGGTGTAGGCGATCATGTCATGAGCCAAGGCGGGGACGGCGATGGAAAGGGGCTTAGGGGCGATGGCGTTCTTGATCTCCTGGAGAAACAGTGGGAATGAGGTGATCTCGCAGGTCTTGTTCTCGTTGGGAATCTGCTTGTAGTCTGCGCCGTTTCCGCCCGGATACTCCCAGTCGATGTCCACGAAATCGAAACCATGGTCTGCGGCCATCTTGGCTACATTGTGGGCGTAGGTGGTCCGTGACTCTGGCGTCGCGGCACCGGCTGAAAACCCAGCTAAGTCGCCCCAACCGCCGATGGCGATGCCGACCTTGGCATTGTCGTCGAACATGGCGCGGACGTCTTTCACTGGCTTGAACGGCTCATAAGGACCTGCTGTCCCAGGGGCGAAGAGGGACGAGTTGGCGAAGGCCATGACCACGTGGGTTATGCCACCCGTCACGCTCTTGTCTGGCAGGGTGGTTGTGTGATATCTAATGGCAGGTTGGTTAGCTACATTGGTTAGCCTTATACTGCACTGGCGAGACTTACTGGTCGAAATACACGACATTTCGGAACTTTGCTATCGGGAAATCGGCTACAGCGAGCCCGGCCATGACCAGGCCGCCCAGTATGTCGTTGCAAAACCTCATGATGAACGTGATGATGGACCTAGAACTACGAAACGAAAGAGTAGAATTTAGATAAAAGAATGGCTACGGTTAGCACTACCGTATGGGAGGATTTTTTTTTTTTGGCCCCTAGTTCCAAAAAGGAGAATCGATTCCATTCTCAAGCGTCTTACGGTTCTTTTAAAGAGCCCACGAACCCCCGTCATGCTCCAGTAGTGATCATCATTGCTCGGGGTGAGAAAGGGCTCCATTCAGCCCTGAGCCTATCAAGACAAAATTGGTGAAGGGGCGTGGGCAGGGAATGACGTGTGGAGGTGACATCCTACCACGAGACTGGCTAGCTTGATGATTGGGCAGTCCGCTTCGTTCCCATTCAGCTACGGCGTATAGTATACCCTGCATACCCTGCCACGCAAATTAGGATCGCTAACACAATCTGGGGTGACAGGGAGGACAAGGGGCGGAAGACCGTTGACGATGGATCTACACCGCGAACATTTCATCTCGTTCATCTTATGGTATGCACAGAATTAAAGGAGCAATCTGCTGGCCAAGCCGATTTGATTCATGCCTTCACAGATTGCCATTTCTACTTGCGACTTAGACGCGTTTCCGAACTCTGAATGAAGCAGCAACTCATGTGAGGGAAGGACTCTTGGCAAACCAGCAAACAACAATTGCCGGCTGGATGTTTCTAGCGCTTCAGGGAGACTTTTAGAAGATTGAATGTTCGGACGCGACAGCGGTGGAATACGAGCATTGGGCCTACATAAGGTTAGGTGTGTATGTATGATCTATGCATGTACATAGGTCCTTAGTAAGTAATGGAAGTCAATACCTAGTTATTATTGAATCATCTTGCTTTAGGCTAGAGTTGCTGTATATACTGCTGTAGAATATAGGAGGTACTGCTAGTAGTTAGTAAGTTGTAACAGGTAACTAGAATCTACGGCGTACAGCTAAAATGTTGGTCGTATAACAAAATAGCAGAAATGGCTAACGAATTCAAAGTGTTCGAACTAGAAAGACTGAGCCAACAAAAGACCCCTGATATGCCTTTCTAGCGCAGTAGGCTAACCTATTCTTGAATTAGAGGGCCCCAAAAATAGTGTCATGGCCAAAGTTTAGTCAGCCTTGGCATGTCTTTGAAACCTTACTAGGTTAGGTACGTTAAAGTAGCAGGGCGGCTCAGATCCAATGGACGACTCTCTATGCACCTGCAGCTAGCTACCGAGTCCAGCGCTCTCAGCTACACACCCTAGGTACTAGGTAGTTACCGTTTGTAGCTGCCTCTGTAACCGCGCAGCGTTTCTCTTTTTCGTTTCTTTTCATTGCGTTGGAAGAAAAAACGTCTGACCGTTGTAGTCCGTGGCATCATCAATTGCTTGGCCGAAGACATAACTACTATGTACAAGATTCGATGTCTCCTTTTAATTGTATTAGGTTAGTAGTATATAAATTTAGGTGGCCGGTCCTCTCATGTAGGATCCGTAACCCTTCAGACGCATTCGACACAAACTCATTCAATCACAATTAACCTATAACCGCCAAAGTCAGAGACAGGCTGGACCAACAGTACTTAACTTACATCTTGATATTATACATCTACAGACCTCAAGGTTGGAATAGATGACCGTCAACAATGCAAACATGCTGGAGTACGTGTGGCTTCACTAGTCATGTATAGTCAGGCCTGTTACCTAAACGATATTGATATCTCAAAAGGATAGTCAGTATTAGATGGGTATTGTTCTGTTGTGTCGTGCGTGGTGGCTGAGATGACTTGCATGAGCGCCATTTGATTCATAACAATAATGGAGTTGTGGTTGAATAAGTTACATGGTGACTCGCATGTGAAGTTCATATGTATTCGACTCGACCTAATTCCATTAGAGATGGCATTTCGTAACTTCTCGACTTGATTTTAAGGGGGAAAAACATAATACATAGGTAGTCAACTACTCCGAAAGTTGACTTATGTCACTGTGTACATAATAACTAAGTAGACTGTAGTACGCCTTCACCGACAAATCAATGATGGATTGGCAGGGCTTTTACGGCAAAAAGTGGAATCTGCTAGAAAATATCATCATATATACAGTATACTCCAGTATATATACAGTATGCATAGATTGTATGTATACTCGGGAGTCGGGTCAAGCCCGAGACAAGATGTTGGTTCCCGCGTAGTACAAAGTCCTAGACTGGCGCTAGACGTATCACCATCGACGATATCAAGCCGATATCGAATTGTTTTTTGTCTGTTTTTGGAAGTGCAAGCTGAAAGATTGTTTTGATTGGGCCGGACAGTTTGTTTATCGATAGGATTAATAGCCAAGAATCATGAGTTCAACTCAATTGCTTGATATGAGTGGTGGGTGGCTTGTGATGGTGGGGCATAGGGGCGTAGATCCACCAATAAAATCCACTAAAGTCAGCTAAAGTTAGCTAAAATCCATGCCGCCTTGCAGCTTTCGCAGCTTTTGTACGTCGTACTAATTTTTCTCTCTCAAAACTTAAGCTATTTGTTTCCGTAGCAACTATCCATGCAACTCAAGTGGGAGCGTTGAGACAAATTCTAGCAAATAATAATTCGCGCTTTTTGTTGATATTCCCTAACAGGCTACCCTGACTGCATCTCAACCTTCCCCTCCATTCTAGCTTCTCAGACACCGTCTCAACCGGCCTCTAAGACCCAGAACACATCATCATTTCTAACTAACTGCACCACTGTACCACTGCACCACCGCGAAATCACCTGCATCTCATACCCTGTGCATATATTATTTCCCCGACTGCACTTGCGCATGCAACAAGCACGAAATCGCTTCCGTTGTACCTTTGATCGCCTGGGATGCGTTTAATGACCTTCTCGCGATTTGCCTTGCTTGACCGAGAGAGCGCATAACTGATATTTACTGCTCAGATTACTGTCTACCTGGTAGTTTACTGTAACAATCGATACAGCACTGAACCCATACGTCAGTCGGCCGACACCTGATCAGACGAGAACCACCGGTTTTATCGCCGGTGTCAATGCGTCGCAGAGTGACATAAACAACCCCCCTTCATATTGATATCGCTTCTACCTTATCACAAATACAACCACAACTGTACCGTTCTACCAGCGTCGCCGGTGCGAATTACCTCAAAATGGATGCCAGCTACCTTTCCGAGCAGGTTAATATAATAGTTAGCCAGCTACATAGCCTCTTCGACGAGATTGGCGTCCCTAATCATGATCGCGAAAATAGAGAAGCAGAGGTATGTGAACTAACATCAAGTTGTGCTCACATACTATACAAGACTAACACGACCATTACGTAGCTCTTCGCAGCTCTCTCCGATACCCTGAACAATCAGGTGCAACAGGTGACGGCAGAGAAGAAAGATATGCTAGAAGAGGCCCAACGAACTATCAATTTGATTCGCCAGATGGAAGCATCTCTTGAGGGCTCCCGATCCCAGCAGCGCTACTCTGTAGAGGATGATGATCTTCGCATCACTTTCCCACTCACAAGATGCCTATCGAAATTGAAAGAAAAGCATACGCAAATAAGCAAGCTTCACCGTGAAAGATTCGAACAGGTTAAGAGTAAGTTGATCACCGGAGAATATCAAGACAAGAAAATCAACCCATACTAATTGGTCTCGTAGAACTTGTCCAAGCTCTTGAGTCCTATTCCTCCCATCTCGAGCCGACATTCATCAAAATTACTTTACCACCTACGGGTCCGAACCAATCTATTCCGGCCAACTTCGATCTTTCCCCTGCCTACGTCAAGAAGCTAGACGACGAATTTACTCGAGTCTACGAAGAGTACACGCGACGAGTGTCCACAGTCGAGACTTTGTCGGAGCACATTATCCAACTATGGGCAGAGTTGGGTACGCCCCAGGCACAAACTGATAATGCAATTATGAAGTACTATCGCCATGCCCCTGAACAGCTTGGTCTACATGAAGATGATATCACCAGACTTCGTAACAAGCGAGACAAGTTGGCAAACGAGAAGAAGGATCGCGAGAAGCGTATAAGAGACCTCAGGGCCTCTGTCGAAGCTCTTTGGGAGAAGCTAGGCATTGAAGAATCAGAGCGTAAGGCGTTCTTGAACGGAAATCGCGGCTGCGGAATTCGACAGATCAACGAGTTTGAGGATGAATTAATGAAGTTGAATGAGCTCAAACGACAGAATTTGCATCTATTTGTGGAGGATGCGCGATTCAAGCTTCAGGAGCTATGGGATGCTCTGTACTTTTCCGAAGATGAAATGCTCGAGTTTACCCCGGCCTTCTCTGACGTCTACAGCGATGCGCTACTAGAAGCTCACGAACGCGAGATCTCCCGGCTTGAAACATTAAAGGATCAGCGAGCACCTACTCTGGCGCTAGTTGAAAAGCACCGCACTCTAGTCCACGATCGAGATGAACTTGCCACATCTAGCCAGGATGCGTCTCGTTTAATGATGCGTGGACAGAAAGGAGAAAGACGGGACCCTGGAAAGTTGCTGCGTGAAGAGAAGATGCGCAAGAGAATTGCTAAGGAGCTGCCTAAAGTTGCAGCCGAGCTTGCTAAGCTTCTAGAGAAATGGGAAGACGAGTACGGTCGTCCATTCCTTGTTCATGGCGAAAGGTATCTAGACCTTCTAGAGCCTGAAGGTCCCAAGCAAGCTCCTGGCCCGAGATCCAAGACCCCAGCAGGTCCTCCGCCATCAGTAAACAAGGCGCAGAAAGGGCCAGTACTTACTCGCGCCAATAGTACTGCCAGCAAAGCTGCTGGTATCATAAGATCGAAGACACCGACTGCGAATGGAAATGGTAATGGAAACGGCACACTCAAAAGAGCCCCGACGTCAAATCACGCATCGAAGGAATCGAAAGATTTGAAAGGGAGCCCATCTAGAATTCCAGCACGAGTTCCCTTATCAAATCTTAAGCATGGTAACAACTCACCCGAGAGAGCCCGGCCTGAATCACGATCACAGGCGTTGCGTTCTGGTCAAGTGCTTATGCGCGCACCTCCCCCCAAGATGAGAGATCTGGGACCGCCTCCTGAGTTGGAGACACCGATGAACCCTTATCGAGGCACCGGGCTTGGATCAAGCTGCCATGTTCGCGCGGTTGAACCCGAGGATGTGTATGATGACAACAGATATGACCGCGATTCGTATTCGACATACAGCAGACCTGACTCACGCGAAGATCCGCACATATCAATTCATAGCGATCGACTGGCGCATTCCAACTACCCTCAGGCACCTCCCCCGAGACAAATATCAAACACCTCCACAGTTGTAACTGGTTCAGAGAATTGGGAGACGTACGACGATAACTCCGAGCCTGAACCCGACGTCTCTGACACCTACTACGCTAAATTACGAGCTGCGAGGGGAAAGCGATTCACGCCAGAAGACTCCTACGCTCGCCCACAGTCCAGTCAGGCCAAACGACAGCGTGGCTTACCTCCTTCTATGCATGCAGGGCATGCCATGATTGACGATGCAGGCAACCGAATTGTGTCGGGAAGCGAGTGGACCGATGAAGACGCTTACTGAGCTCTTCTCGCCAGTCTCCCCAATGCCCAATACATGGACAATACACGGATAATGAGCTTCTGAGGAAATAACGCATGTTAACGTTATGATTCATGGGATGCTTACCTAGTTACGTATTTGACGACATGTCAACGACGGCGCCCTTCCGAAACCCCCTTTCACGTATTCTTCTCAAGTCGCAGCATAAACCTATTTTCCGTTTGCAGAAAGAAGGCTACGTCTCTTTATTATGTTCCTCATATTTCATTTAATTGCATTAGGACGCCGACTGCCGCAAGGCCTCTAAAGGTGGAATCTTTTTCGATTCAGCAACGCACGATGTCAAGTCAAACACTGGTTGATGAGGCTAATCTGGCTACACAGTATTGCCCGAGACATTGACATCGAGACATTGACATCGAAGGCCGATGGTGATTTCAAGCCTGTATGCGAAATTACATAACCCTATTGATGGCACATAATCGGAAAGGAAATGGAGGGCGAAGAGGTGAAGTTTCGATGAGCAAAACAAAGTCATGGAGGTGTAAGGAATATCTGGAACAGGCGTCGGTTTTGCAAAGGGCGTTTAGGATGGAAAGTGCATAACGGATTTGATATTTGAGGTTCGTTCTGGTTGCCTTTTTTTTTCATAGCCTCATGACGAGTTGCACAATTCGTTATGGTAGCAAATACATGACCCGGCTTGAAGTCGGTAATTCATCCTGAACATGAGCATGAACACGAACATGAAGGATCTGGTGATGTGTTGATGCGTTTGTAATGGCTTAATACCTAGTATAATAATGCTAAAATACGGCGTAGTACATGTAAGTACACACGCGTGTCCACGGGTTAGCCGTGGTACTTGTACAGTATTTACCTAGTACCTACGTAATAGTACCTAGTATAGTTAGGTACATAATTGGTACCAGACTACTAGGTAGTACATGGCACATGATGGCAGTAATTGGTCAGGTTCAAAGCACCTATTTCAAGTTACTATTTACTGTACCACGTATGACATCAATGATGGATTACATCCATGATATGTATGTATGTTTTGAACTACATATGTACCTACTACTAGTAGAAACGCATCGATCCCTGTTTCGACTCTTTTCAGCTACTACACCAGTGATCAATTAATAGTACCTTCCTGAGGCATGTACTAATTACAACATTGGTATCTTTATAGCGTTAAATGATTAACATTGGAGCATGTTTCAGCCCTACCTCGTACCTCATCTCCTTATTTGATTACAACATTTTGGTGTCTTACTTCGAAACTTCAACTTTTTGGTTGAATCTATCTGATCTATTTACCAATGTGGGACTGTATCCATTGATCCATTACGTGACAATGCCTATTGTTCACGCAATATATCGCCTATAAATGAACAATTATTGTTCTAGACCTCCAGAATCAGGTGGTCCTACCTATCATCCGGCCTCATGCCGAATCCCCCGAGAGATCGTGATGACTCTTCTCAAAACGCTGCCCTAAAAGGCGCGTTTCTAGCCTTCCAGAAATCCATACCCAAACCTCCATCTACGACTACTCCCTCTTCGAGAACTGCTGGCAATGATGCCCTCATTGCCGCCACCTCGGCTTCGCGAGATCAATCTCGAACAACTAGTCGACACACAACGGGCAACAGTGTTCAGAGTAATGCCAAGCTCGAAGCTGAACAGGGGTCAACGAGCCAATCCGCCGGACAGCATCTGCAGCCATCATCGGAGCATAACCATCGCCCTTCCACTTCCTTGGGACTTACTAGCAAACAGTCAATGACAAACCCTCGTTCTCCATCCTTTATAGCCGCGACCCTCGCCGCCAGCAGATCCGCCAGTCCCGTTCGTTTACAATCGACACAACAGCATCCGTATTCTCAACAAGCTGCAAGGAAACTGAAAAGGCATAGCCCCACCCCCAATCAAAGCGCTGCCAGCTCAATGACGAGTCTTGATTTGGCAACGGATACAACATCGATACCACCAACCAATGCTCTGATATCCATGTTTGAAAAGAAGGAGGATGATACGGATCCTATCAAAAAGACCACTGCGGCATCGGGGAGCCGCAAATTACGTGGACTAGGACCTGAGTCTCAACCTCTGAGCCCTCCAAGGACTATTAGTCCCGTCTCTAAGATCGAGCTATCTCCCCCGAGACTGGCCAGTTCCATGGCATGGAACAGAGCAGTGTCCCCGTCATCTTCCTCAATTGGTTCTACCATCCAAGAGAGTTCTAGCGAGCCCCAGAGTTTATTAGTCGAGGTGAAGGGACGCCCGCCGACCCCACCACCAACAAGAGCGAAGAAAAAGGAAATCAATGCATCTGCACAAATTATAGCCGCAGGGTCCAAGGGAAAGCTGCGTGCTTCGACACCATCGTCATCATCCACCGGGCAGACAGACCCTATCATTATCTCCCCCCACCCTGGGCGACATGCCTCACAAAAAATAATATTAAATGATAAAAGTGACCATGGCTCGGTGTCCAAAGGCCAAACACGTCCACCTATCACTGGATCGCAGTCACCCGCTTCCCTTCACAACGTGCAAGGGCCGTTCCCACCAAAAGACAAAGTGCATCGAAGATCAACATCATCGAACGACACCTTCGTCTCCGCCTCATCAGCACTAACCTTACCACTGGATTCTCCTGTCCGAGGTAGATCTCGGCCATCCAGCCCGACTACGATACGACCTAAGCGGCCCATGTCATCTCAACCTGTATCTACTACTACTACCTTTAAGACTCGCCCACCTGCTCCACCTAGGCGGAGACAGCAACCCCAATCGCAAATACCATTAGACTCGCTCACAGATGCCATCATGGCGGGCTCCCTAGCCTCATCCCGCCTTACACCCTCCTCGACGGGGCCAGCTTCGCCGCCTAAGCTACCACCTCGCCATAAACACGCGCTGCATATGCGGCAAACACTACGGCAACCCCCTTCCAAATCTGACGAGGAGGATAACTCCTCGCGCGCGCGTTCGCGCCGCCGGAAGTCGCTAGGGAAGTTGGGTGGGAAGGGAAAGCATGCCCATCACGAGGGAGCGAGAAAACGGTGGCGAGATGAGATCACGGCGCGAGAGCGGAAGAGGTATGAGGGCGTCTGGGCGAGCAATCGGGGGTTGCTTCTCGCCTCTCCAGATGAACAGTCTTTCCCACCCCAAGGCCAGAACGCGAACCCAGAAAAGGAAGCGCAGCGGAAGAGGGAGTGGGAGGAGAAAAAGGAACAACTCGTAGCCAACGTGATAGTAAGGGATCTATGGGCGCGCAGCCGGCTGCCGTTCGACGAGTTGGCCGAGGTGTGGGATCTAGTGGATCGCCGTGGGAAAGGGTTCTTGGATCGTTCAGAGTTCGTGGTTGGTATGTGGCTCGTGGATCAGAGGCTCCGTGGGAGGAAGATCCCGAGGAAGGTCTCGGAGAGCGTGTGGGGGAGCGCCAGGGACGTCATGGTTGTCGCTGTCAAGAATAAGAAATAAGCAGCAAGGGGGCCGGTTTTGGATATTGTCTTCGACGAGTAATGGTGTGATTACACACAGGTAGATAGATGCCTAGGTTAGATAGCTTAGGAGGAAGGTTAGTTGGCTACTAGTGAGAGTAGGTCATGATACCCCCGATATAGGTTTAGCGTAGAATATTTAGATGGTATTCGTTTCATTTCTTGGGTTTGGTTCCATGAGCTTAGGTATCTACTTATCTATACAGGCACATCCACTGCCAAAAAGTAGTGGATGAATTTGAATCGCAATGCATCTTCTAATCAACCTCATACTAGGTGACAGGAGGTCGTTGCTACCCCTATTATCTTTGACACTGGTGCTCAGCCTCACAGCAATATCTCATATTAAGATTGACGTGTGATATATGAGAATAAAATGAGAATCTTTATCCAAGGAGAATGTGAAGACAAACAGCAGATTGTTTCTATATCTAAGATTAATATTCGCAACATTGAAGCTCTATAGAGTAAACGTATATACGTACGTAATTACCTACCCTAGCCTGTAAGTACTGCCCAGTGCCCAGTGCCCAGTGTTGCACATAGGATTGATGTACCGAAGCTAAACAAATTCCCCATACATGTACATGGTGGCTAGTGACACGCGTAATGTTTAAAACCAGCTATTTTAAGGTTCAATGTTATTCAAGGTACCTAGTACGAAATACTACGAAAATACCGTATATTTTCGGCATTCACCAGCCATTGAACTTCTACTTCTCTTTTCATCCCAACCTCGCCCTCGAACATGAACCAACATCATGCATTCTGCGCACATCACAACCAAGTACAGTAAAAAATGTTGATCAGGTCTCCGATATGGTTACTAGAGCCCGAAGTCCAAAATCCAAAATGGTCCAATCGCCGCCATAGTAGCGAATTCAAGCGCTGCCAGCGGGTCTTAGTTCGTTTCAAAGCTGGCAAAGAGCTGACGACGTCCTTGCTTCTAACTCGTGTCCCCCGTGGAGGCGCAGTCCAGCGGGTGCCGGATACAACCCCCACAAAATATAGGATACGAATCTTCATCGAGAGGCTGAGAGCCTCTCTTTGCGCGTGCTCATAGCCACATGGAGGACGCTTGTCAAAAATTTTATCCATGTATTGCCCGTTATTCTCGGCGTCTGACCTTTGTTATGCCATTATTCCGTGAGGCCGAGTCCTCCGTAGAGGAGGCGCTCTTTGACCCTACCTACAACCTGGCACTTTCTACATACCTGTAGACTTCTGAACTTCTAGGCCTAACCAACCTTGTTGAAACATGTATTGTATGCTATGGCATGGTAGTTAGCATCCATACAAAAAGGTAATCCGCCCTTCTCGGGCTTCCTGTAAGTTTTGGTCTATGATTTCGTTCTCTCTTTTGTTACTTTCTTTCCTCTGATATACATCACATACCTACTATATTATTATTTCTTATTGTTCAAGAAATCAACATCCCCTTCTTTTCTCGTACATAAATTGCAGCCAACATGATTCCTTCGTTATATGCATTCTTGACTGCTACCGCCGCGCTGGCGGGGACGGTGCACTCTATGCCGCAAGACGGTAGTGGATACGGCGGATCGGCTTTCTCGACGACTTCTTCGTTCGCCGTAGCTGGCGTCAGCACGACAGCTTCCGCATCCGCGTCCGCCGCCACTTCGACAACCGCCTGCAATAACTCACCCGATCTGTGCAGCCGCTCGTACAGTGATATTACACACATGGGTGCTCATGACTCCTCCTTCCTCAGAGACGAAAGCACAAGCAACTCGATAGCGGGCAACCAGTACTTCAATGCTACAGTCGCCTTAGACGCTGGTCTACGTCTACTACAAGCTCAGGTCCACGATAAGGATGGGGTCATAGAATTATGCCACACATCATGTAGTTTACTTGATGCTGGCCCGCTCCAAACTTGGCTAGCATCTATAAAGTCGTGGATGGATGCCAATCCGAACGAAGTCGTAACGCTTCTCATTGTTAATTCCGACAACAAAGACGTAGCACAATTTGGGTCCGTTTTCAGCGGCTCGGGGATAGATCAGTATGGGTACACGCCGTCAGGCAACGGGTGGCCGACACTGCAGGAGATGATCAGCGCAAATACGCGTTTGGTCAGCTTTATTGCTTCTATCTCAGCGAATACCCAATATCCCTACCTTCTATCCGAGTTCGATCACGTGTTTGAGACAGCGTACGAAGTCACCTCGCTCGAAGGCTTCAACTGTACCATTGACCGCCCATCAACCTATGACACTGCCAGCGCCGCCATCCAAGCAGGGATGATGCCGCTCATGAACCATTTTGCGTACGACGTGCTTATCAGTTCGATCATGGTGCCTGATGTAGACAATATCGCGACGACGAACAGCCCGTCGACATCTACCACGGGAAATCTAGGGTTACACGCACAGAACTGTAACCAGGAGTGGGGCATCAAACCCACATTCGTGCTCGTCGATTTCTACAACGAGGGTCCTTCGATCGACACAGCCGATAGCTTGAACGGCATTACAGCCGTCGGCCGATCCACCGCAGGTCAGAAGACTGTGACAGTAGCCACAGCTACAGCTGGCCCAAGGCAGAGAGACCTCGGGATGGGCACTGGAGCACTGGTGGCTTTTATTGCGGCTACTTTGGTCCTTGCCTAGATTTACGGATCGAATCATGATGAGATTGATTGATAGATATATGTCAGAAAAGGCGGTTGAGCGTGGTGGGTTTTTTTTAACGATTTGGATGCATAGCGATGGCGTTGTACTATTTTGCGTTTTGTATAGGGGATATATCCTGGTACCTACCTAGGTTAGGTAGGTGTACATTTAAGTACTACATTATGGCGAGGGTGGGGGAATGTATATAAAAACATTCAATGAGGGCAACCGATCCCAGGTACTAGGTAATCTATGTCTAATACTACTAGTAGTACATACAGGATAATCCAAGGCTACTAGGTACTAGGTATGATGCAACTACTACATAGTACCTATACATACCAATACTATATATAAAACTAGCAAAGTTAAAAAAGACGATATTTAACAATATATATCCTAATACCTTTTCTTTTACACCTCACTCTCTAATTATGTATCCTTCAATTATTGAGTTAGTTGTGTCCTAAAACGATTTAACCTCATCTACTAGGTATGATGATGTAAAGCCCCTTACACGATGATATTCACAAGCGTTGTCATGACTCGGCTTGATCCGGCAAGTCCAACAAATTGTACAAATATAATATGAGAATTATCCGACGATAACTTGAACATGTTGACGTGACCATTCTTCAAGTTCCGCAGTCTCGTTCCCCTCTATTCTGATCCAAAACTCCAAGGGATTTTGACCTTCACCACCAAACACTCTATTCTAGGCAGGCGGGCTTGAAGATAGGGACTTCTAGGTTTCTGTGTTCGATATGTCTCGCATCTCTTCGATAATCGACCGCAGCTCAACTCCTGGGAATGTAGACGGTACACCCCCAGACCACTTCCCATCTGATGGGGGGGTATACGTATGGCGAACGGCCGTTGTCATGCCGTTTATCACCTTTATCTTCGTGGCCCTGAGGTTATATACTCGACTATATATAGTTAAGGCGAAACGTCTCAGACTCGATGACTGTATGTCACTGTACTAGTATCCGTTATCAGTTATCCGTTCATTGTGAAGCAGGCCATAGTGCTAATATTCCTTTTTAGGGGTTGTGGCCTTGACTATGATAGTCTGTACCGCCCACTCCGTGCTGATAGCTAATGCAACATATAACGGCATGGGCCTGCATGTATGGCAATTCACCGAAGAGCTCACCTCGCAATACCTTCTCTGGCTTGGCATCGTGTCCCTCTTTTATGTACTTGGCCTTTGCGGTTTCAAGAGCGCGCTTCTCTTACTGTACATAGAACTTTTCGGCGTGTACACAAAGTTCAAATGGACGTGCTACGGGACCTTGTTTTTCACCGTGACCTATCTATTCAGCAACTTGGTAATTGAGTTCTTGGGGTGCCATCCGATCGATAAGAAGTGGCATCCGGAACTGCCGGGGAAATGTGTCGACATCACCGTGTCCGTTATCTTCTACGGGGCTTGTAATATGGCCACTGATTTAATTATTGCCATCTTGCCCCTCACGATGATATGGAATCTACAATTGGCATCAATATGGCATAAGGTTGGGCTAAGCTTACTATTAAGTAGTGGTTTTATGTGAGTATACCTACTGAACTCCAATTGGCCAGTGAGCTGTTGCTGACAAGTTGTTCGTATGGAGTGCTTGGGCCTTTGCCGTAGTCCGCTGGGGATACGCTACATATGGCGGTAAGTGCTTGATTTCGAGAGGCATTTCTTTTCCTATACATCCTCGTTTCCGAGTATAGGCTATTCTTGGAAGTCATTTTCTATTCGGGCTATAACAACTGACTTTTAACTTAGTAACCTCGTCCCCCGATATTACGGGACTCGGTGGAGTGGCCTTTACCATGTCGATACTCGAACTACACACGGGCCTTATCTGTTGCTGCACGGCATCCCTAGGACCTCTGTGGAAAGGATTGGTTTCGTGGTGGGGGAGCTGGAATATCGTTGCTCACAGCGCAGGATCTTCATTGCCTTCTTTTGTCCGTAAGCCTGGCAATGGCGGGACTTCTGGCGGGACTGGGGGACCGAGTCACCTGAGCAACGGCTCGGCGCCCTCAAACAAGGGCGAGATGTCGCGTAACCAGGCAGCCCCTACGATGAGCTACCCAGGCACGACGCTGAACGAAAGTCGTGAAATTGTTTACGATTCTATGAGTACGCCTGGCTCGAATGTCAGCGCCTCTGTTAGAGAAGATGCACCTCCAAGACACGTGGAAGATGTTTGAAATTGTATGTCCTGAGATATTGGATACAGCTGTATGTCATTTTCTTGTTCCTGCTCTTGCTCTTGCCGAATCCCTTGCCGGTCATTCTAGCCTTTTCACTCAAATATCCGACTTTTGGCTGCGCCGTACGCCAAAAAAAAGTTAAATGGAACACCAAGACTTCGGATGGTGATAGTGCTCCGAGTAAACATCAGGTTACATTCTCACTATAGCATTTCCCGAATTCGAAGGGGCTATAGGCACCGCTTTCGGTTTAAAGTAACATTGCGATCACCGAAATAGATGCCCGGTAGCTCTTGGAGAGTCTTAGAGAGAGCCAACTTGAACCCTATTCAGACCTTGCATGAAGCAGGAATCCACATATATTCTCTAGCTCTTTCTCTGTGCCGTACGCTAGACTGTCACTATCCAACTTCCCATGTTCTTGGCTCTCGTGAACTCGTGAACATATAGGAAACATATAGGACATGTCAAGGAGAAAAGTATTAAATACCTATGTTTCCTCCCAGGTAACTGGTGATTAGGTAACTTTCACGATTGTCTTCAACCTTTCAGCTGTTCGCGATCATGATGCTGTGGCGATTGCTATTCCCGGCTTTGGTCCTCAGGGCTGTGGCCAGACCCTCTCCGCAAACATTGGGTTCGGGTGTCACTGTACTCGTCGAGAATGATCTCCAAGGTTCGCTACGCTGTTAACTGTCCTCGGTGGAGATGAAAACTCCTTGCTGACTTGTATGATAGGTATCAATGGTCCCACTCCCAATGCTGGGGTCTTGCTTCTGGAGGCCCATTCATTAGAGGATGCCAGCGGCGCCTGTGAAGCATTTGGCGAACGACTCTGGTCCCCTGAAACAGATGCAACGGAGATTCAAAGCGTATTAAACTATACGAAGTACCTGGAGTCAGGTTCGGGCCTCACTGAGTTCTGGATAGCATCTCAGAACGGCTCAGGCCGAACTATTCGAGCGGATGGCCTTATGTCGGCTATTGAACCATCTCAGGCTACTCAATTGCCAATCTTGTGCACGCAGTCGGCACCGTACTCTAACGAGACGTATGCAGACACGAGTGAAAAATGGCAAGTTACGGTGAACTCCAACAACGAGAACATCACAGGGTATGAGCCTCCTGAACCGCCGTATCTCAAGAGCCTACGTGTTAAATGTTTTTACTAGGTACCGTGATCACCTCAGCTTCCGCTTCTTAGGAGTTCGCTACGCTCCGCAGCCTGAGCGGTACACGGATTCTGTACCCTATATCGGCGCGGGCGACCAAGTGTCTGCAACAGAATTTGGTTCCGAATGTATCCAATCCGCGTATGGATTTGCTGGGTCTGAGGACTGTTTGTTCTTGAATATCTGGACTCCCTACCTTCCAGGGCCTAATTCACCGAAGGAGAAGCTAAGGCCAGTAATGGTGCGTACCGGAAGCTATCTGCCGTATATATCTAAAGAGATTCCTAACTAACACTTGGTCGCAGTTCTGGATACATGGAGGCGCTTTCTATGCTGGAAACGCCAACGACCCCATCACTGACGGAGGGAACCTAGCGTCTAGAGGGGATGTTGTCGTGGTTGGCATTAACTATCGGCTGGGCACAATGGGATTCTTGGCATTGAACGATGGCAAAACCAATGGCAACTTCGGTATTGGTGACCAAATCAACGCCCTAGACTGGGTCATAAAGAACATACAAGATTTCGGTGGCGACCCGAACAGGATCACGATATTTGGGCAATCCGCCGGCGCTAATAGCGTTCGAGCCCTGATGGGTTCTCCTAGAGCGATCGGGAAGTTCATTGGTGCGATACCTGTGAGTCCTCTGGGGGGGATAAACTACGGCGCAGAGTATGGCAAGTATTACACGATCGAGGAGGAGATGGAGGTGGTTGGAAATACGATTCTGGCCGAAACCGGTTGCGCGGACGCTCCATCCCCAGTGGACTGTTTACGAGGTGTACCGCCAAATGAGATCGAGGCCTTGAGCACCAGGGCAAGGTTCCTGGTCGTCGACGGCACTTATCTCACGGCAACCGAACTTCCATTAGAGGGGCCTACCCTCCCCTTTCGTATCATGATGGGCATTACTCGCGACGATGCGGCGCCCATGGTCACTTTCCCCAACACCACAGACCAAGCAGCCTACCTCAAAGCCAATGGATTCGAAGTGCCCCCTTCAGACCTCTTTCCCATCCCACCCATCGCCAATGAGACCTTGGCATTATTCCAGATGGCAAACCAACTGGCGACGGATGGCATATTCCGCTGCATAGACCAGGCCACGGTGTACACGGGCCTGCGGAACGACAGGTTCCAGCCGGTCTACTACTACGAGTTCAACCGAACGTACGCGCACCCCGGCTGGCCCAACCTCGACGTGTGCGAGGCGCCCATAACGCCCTCGCACCCCAACGGCGACCCAGACGGCGAGTACCTCAAGTGCCACTCGGGCGACCTCTACTACATCTTCGGCAACCTGGGGCGCGCCGGCCTGCCCATGCGCGACGAAGCGGACCTCCCCTTCGAGCAGTTCGTCGTCGACTCCTTCGCCTCCTTCGCCCGCTCCCTCGACCCGAACCCAACCGCCGACTTCCTGCAGGCCAGGGGCTACCTGAGCACCCTGGGCGAGGTGCAGCGTCCCGGGGGCACTTGGCTCCCGGCCACGAAGGAGGAGGGGGGTCTGACGATCCGCACGCTGCAGTGGCCGAGCGTTCACGAGCCGTTTAAGGAGATCAAGCAGTGCGAGGCGCTGGGGCTGGGGTTGGATTATTATGGTAGGTAAGTAGATGGAAGGGGAGGGGGGGGGGGGGCTGATATGATATATAGTTTAGTGTTAGGGTTAGAATTGATGAATATATGTTTTTTTTATTCAGCTTGAGGACTTATGCGTGACTTAGGTGTTGATTGTTAGGTGAGTTAGAGCTTGCCTTTGCTATTGATGTTATGGGGATAGTATAGTAAGTACCAGTGTATGTTAGACATATAGTAGGTAAGCTTTAAGGGGTGTGTTGGCTTCATCATGTATTGGTTTGATCACCCCTTTCTCTCTTTCCCCTTTTCACTGCCTTTGTTGGCTGTGAAGGTTTGTTGTACCGCTAGGTAATACAACGCGTCGCTATGGTATATGTAGGTTTATATAATAAGTAGTCTCAGTGATGGTTGTCCTTGCGTTGCTGTAGGTAGAGAGGTGGCTGTGATGTGATCAGGTACCTGAGGTACCTATTAACGATGATTGGAAGTTGAACGTCTTGTATTCAAGCAGCGTATTGACCAGGCCTTTATGGGTTTCTAGGTATGCCCAGAGAACCTCATACCTGATGTGTGTGTGAGTGTGAGAGAGAGAGATGTACGTAGCATATTTGCTTTTGGGGCTTGACCGTGACGATATCGTCTCCCTAACACTCGAATATCCCCCATATCGTTTTTTTTTTTCGAGGCGACAGTGTCGATAGTGTTTGTACTTGTCCTTGGCTACCTATCTGTGTACCGTACCAGACTCGTCCTCCTTTCAAGATCCCTCGAGAATATTGGCCTAGGTGCCTGGCCAACTAGTACCTACTTACTACGCAAACCTTGGAAGCCCTGCTGGCATATCTGTGTTGGCAAGTTTACACACAATGGGTCATCGCGTATACCTCCCACTTCGTTCGACTTTTCTTGGTCTAGAAATAGCATGTTGCCCTACACCTACCTAGAACTCCTCAACTTTTGCTTCTTCTTCTCACAAACCCAAGGACATGAACATCTCTGGTTTTCATTTCCTACCTTCCTATCTCTCTCTGTCTATCAAGACAACCCTACAAGTTCTATTCAACCTCTTTTTGATTGCCAACTTGCCAACTTGCCAACTTCCAATAAACAGACTGCTATCTATGTGTGAAGATACAAGATACGATACGTTGCTGTTCAATAAGGAAGGGCAATTTTTAATTCTGTGAGTGATATGTTGTATCTCGTCCACAGTGCCTATTACACGCCATCTGCCTACTACATAGGTACTTACCTACCTTTTACTTCTATCCCTCCCTCCCTCTCCCGCATCTCAATATCTTCTCTGCTCCATCACAGGCGTCCCTGACCTTCTACCGTTTACTAACCACACCCACCTCAGCAACCCCACCACCAACCACAACCACAGCAACAGCAACAAACAAACATGTCCACCACAGTAAGCCCCGACCGAATCCACATCGTCATCGCCGTCGCGCTCTCGACCTTCTTCGTGTCCATGTGCATCCTCTACAGCTTCATCCGCTGGGAAAACCGCCGTCTTCGCCGCCGCCGCCGCAGCAGCCGCCGCCGCAGCCGCAGTCCAGCCGGGACCCGCATTCGCACCCACGGGGGCAATGTCATCGAGCTCTCCGCAAGAGGCCCGAGGGGTATGAGCCATAGGCAGAGACGGTGGAGGAGAGGAGGAGGAGGAGGAAGAAGAATGGAAGCTCCGCGAGCTGGGGATCTGGGACGAGAAGCTGATGGTAAGTAGGTAGTAAGCTTGCGCTTTCGCTTTCGCTTTTGCCCGCCCCATCCATCCATCCATCCCACCCTCTTTTTCCCTCTCTCGACATTTTCACATTTTCTTAAAGAATTTATATATAAACCAACTAGGTTAGGTAGCTAACATTTCTTTTTACCAAAAAAAAGACTGGAGCCCCCGAGACCCGCGCCGCAACGCAATGTTCATGGACCTCACGCCCCACCCTCCCACCCCTTCCGCCTCCGCCTCCGCGTTTTCGTCTCCGGAGCGACAACAGCAGCAGCAGCAGCATGATCAAACGACATACGAGCCTATCAAATGTCCTGCTTCGTCGTCGACGGCCTGGCCTCGAGAACAGGAATCAGACGATGATGATAATGACGAGGCTAAAGATGGTAGTGAGGATGGGGATGGTAATAATGAGGATAGCATTAAGCCTGAGGATGGTGATGGGGGGAATAAAGGAGAAGGGGTGGGTGGGGCAGGAGAAGGACTAGAAGAAGGGCTAGGAGGGATAGGGGAAGGGGAAGGGGAAGGGGTACAAGAAGAAGTACTACAACAACAACAACAGCAACAACAAGAGGAGGAAAAAGAAGGGGAAGAACAAGTGGCGGGGCCAGCATCTGGTGGGGGGTAACTAATAAGGGGGGAAAGCCATCGAATCCAAGATTCTTGCAAGGGGGGGGCGCATTTTAAAGGGGTGTTCTACGGCATATTTCCTTTTCCTTCCTTTTCTTTTTCTTTTTTTCTCTTGCTATGAAGTTTTACCAGGCGTGGGGGTAATATGGTATGGCATCGACCCAGTCTCGGACTAATCTGGGAGTTCAGCATCACGATGCTGGCTTTGCTTGATCCTGTTGGAATTAGCAAAAGTGATACCTAAGGTCCAGGTACGACAGGGTATCTAGAAGCTGGAATGCGACATACCCGTACTTGGGCTGATACGAAACTTCTGGGATTGTCCGTTAGGTATCATGTTTCTTCTTCTGGCATGGCACCTATAAAATAGGCACACTAATCGATGCTTCTACCTACATGGAGTGATTACCTTTACAAAGAGGGCTTATTCGATAGGGGTTGTCTACCATTAATACCCAAAAACTCAAACTTCACACGAAACTTGAATGCATGGAAGTAAAAAGGACGACAATAGATACTACTAGGTAGATCACATAGATACTTAGGTATATTGCTACCAAAACTATCAGGACTCACATAGACCAAACCAGCCTTGCCAAAATCCAATCCTCTAACGGGAGGGTACAAGTACTTCACTCAAGCCGCCGAGTAATAAGCATATCCCCAAGAGCCATGCCAATACGAGGTATATTCTTAATTCGCAAGCAAGAGGCTATGCTTGCTTGCTTCATTTTCAAGATACATGATAGCATAAGCCCTCATTTCCCCCTTCTCATTATTATACACATTCCTTCCCTCCCCCGGCTAACCCGTCAACGCCGGTTTTGATGTTGATACATTGCCACTACTACCATCACTTTCGCGTTGAAAATCATAACCGCATTCCGAACGTTTCCCCCTTCGTTTTAAATGCAATACCGCAGGGAATATTTGACAAAAAGAAAGCATGTTTTAGGATTGTGTGAAGCAGGAGTCAAGTATATAGGCTGTTATGGCATGCCCATTCATTCATTCGTTTAGAGTCTAGTTCCCCGGTCCTTTCAAAGGGCGAGAAGGTAAACTTCCAGAGGGCATGCTGGGGGGCATACTTTCAAAAGTCCACTGGTCGCCGCTGAAATCCCGGTTCGACGTGAATTTCGCCTCGAACGGTACGTACATTTGCGGCATGAGCTGAGGCTGTGAGCTATACGGCATTTTCCTCTGTCTGGGTTGTTTCACTGTGTCGCCGCCAGCTGCTGACCCACTGCTGGAGCTCTTCCTTAGGCCCTTCATGATTTCACGGAGCTCCTTTTCGTCGTTCGTGATCTGGGCCTTTAAGAAAGTGAAGTCATCGGGATTCTGAGAAGCGTTCAGCTGCGCCATGACAGGTTGCCTAACCGTATACGGTATGTCCTTTAGTTTAGGGGCGTGGCGTGCTGGAACGATGGCCGGGTCGAGGTACGCTTCCGCTCCCTTTTCGAGTAAATTTTCAATATCATAACTCTCTCCTGGAGGAATAGGTGTAGCATGACTCGGCGTCACACAATCCATGTCCACCTCTTTGCGAAGAACGTGATCGATATCAATCGCAGAGAAGTATGCACAGGCTTGTGGCAAATCATCGATACCGACTTGTTGGGCAAACATGGCCCGAGTCCAGAGATTGGCAACTTGAAGAGCCATCGCTGCTCGATATTTGTCCTCAGTCTTCACGAGATATCTGATTTCATCATGGACACTGATAGCAAGACGAGCGTCGATGTTGAAGCGTCGGGTTAGATAGTCCATGGAGACGATCAACAGATGGAGATAATCGACACCCGATGACTGAATTGCCCAGTTGATTCGGGAAGTTAGATAGCCTCCTTTGCTGATGTATCTAGCCATCAAGGCCTCCGTGATTCCAGCGCCAAGGACCGGCGTACGTGGACGTTCTTGTTCGGCAAACTCTTCAAGCTTGTTGAATACAAATGACTCAGTTCCTCCTCTCCAAAATGGTCGTTGATATAGTGCCTTCTTGTTCGTTTTTGTGCCCTTGGTGGCATGATATAAATTTCCAGCAATCTCTGAAGTCTCCTTTTCAGACAGGCTTGGATTGAACTGCCTGAGTAAGGTGGAAGCAAACTTGAGCCCGGCACCGTAAATTCGGCCATAGTTAAAAACTTTGGCATCGTTACGTGTAATACCCAGGATAGATGCTGTGCGAGAGTGAAGATCGGTTCCTGCAGCTTTGGTGCCTTCCAGTGTCATGAAGCCGATGGCATTCCCACCGTGCATTTTAAATGTAGCATCCCCCATGACACTGGCGATCCAAAGCTCTTCGGAATCGACATCAGCACCAACGAAGCAGTATCCCGGGGGGGATTTGACCATGGACTTCAACTCAGACCCAACCCGGTTCTTCTTCGCGTTGCTGGCGGTCAGCCAGGTATTTTCGACGGCTCTCCTGGTAATAGTTCCCATAGGAATAACTTGAGGTAAAATATACCCTCGGTCATCCTTAGGTTCCTTACCGGACGTTTCTCCATTTGTAAGCTTTTCATTTTCGTAGACAACCATTTGAGACATAATCCTGTCTCGGGCGCTGATCCAGTAAGAGCATGAAGCATTCATATCGAGTGCCTCTTTCGCCAGAGGGTACTCGGATGATAATGTTTCATTGTTAAAGTAAACAAGATATCCCTTCGCCAACGGGTTCACACACCTCGAAGACGGCCCATCTTTGTGAGGGAGTTTGAAGTAGACTCCCTCCAAGTCGTTTTTCAAATCCTCTATCGGTTCGTCCGAAAGGTCACATCGGACAAGCGTTGTCGCCGCATATTTTGGCACTTCTGAAGGAGGCACCTTAAAGATCCAGCCATATTTGGTAGACCAGACCAAGGGATGGCCATCCCATACAAGTCGGAGAAGGAGAGGGGCGATCCGAGTTCGGACTGTGAGACTGATAGGGTCATCAACTTTCTTGAACAAATCTTTATACCATTTGGGCATTCCCGGCTTCTTCTGGCGAGCGGCAGGTCGGGGCGGATCGTTCTTTTTCTTCCCTTTTACCATCTTGATTTCCTGGCCAGACCAGTCCAATTGCTTCAACCAGGGATCGTTACCCCATTTTTCGGCGTCATCTTTGATTTCGAGCGCTTTCTCCGCAAGCGAAACCAGACGAGCTTGGACATCGTTGGATAACTTGCGATACGTCGCCTCCGCGTTGGCAATATATGCGTCCCAGGACTTGTCGACAGGGAGTATGACGGAAGATAGATGTCGCAACGCAGCAAAACTGACTGGATGGGGACAGACTTTGAGGAAGTTGGGGAAAACAATCTTGTAGACTCGGTGGGTGATCGCCACATCCGCTGCACAATAATCCAGCAGCTCGTCAAGCTTGCCGACAACTCCGGCCCTGTCTAATTCTCCGAATTCGTTTCGAGCGGCTTTGTCGATGGTGACGTTTAGATGAAATTGAGCGACATCGCGCAGAGAATTTATTGAACTACGCTCAACCCAAAGTTCCTCCTCGTCTTCACGATCGACTGCCAAGAGGTTTGCGAGCTCAATATTGTCTGTCTCTTTGGCGATTCTTTCTCGAAGTTCTCTATTTTTCTTGTGCTTCATCCACGTGGGTCGTTGCTGTGAGCACATGCCATTTACAGCGACGTGCAATGACATGGTGTCAATAAAAGAGTTTCTCGACTGCTTCAAATTGTACTCTTCAAGAATCCTTGCTCTATCGTAGCCAATATTGTGGCCGATGATAATGCGGTCCTTGGTTGGATCGCCGAGTGGAATTAGATGTCGATCGCACTCGGATTCTCCTAGTAGCCAAGGTGATAGCCAAGCATACCACGCTGTCGGACTCATTGCACAGGCCATTACAGCGTAGGAGCTTTCTTTCCACATTACCTCCACATCGAAGCAAAGCATATTGTCGTCAGGAGCATCGAGCTTTTCGGTCCGTCCATCAGGGTAATATTTGGTCCACCCGCTTCGTTTGACCCATTCTCTTGGGCGGGGAGGTCCATTTTGTCTCGCAAATTCTTTTGCGTATGAAAGGAAGGGCTCGGCGCAATCAACGCCTAGTTTATGGAAATGTTCATCCAAGGATTTCCCTTGGAGGCGTGGAACGTCAAAAGCAATGGGAGCAGTTTTATCGGTATTTTTTCCGAACAGGTCATGACGGTTCAAATGGTCTTTAGATAGTTCTATGAGTTCTTCTGGAGGCGGCTCACAACCTCTAGGGAAGATCTGCTTGAATACATGGGCACTGAGTTGTTGCACGCCTATTTCGTTGAATCTCGCCTCGGACGGTACTGTGACATTGGGTTTAGAGAGCTGTGGAGGAGGAGGAGGAGGAGTATCCCAAATTAAGAATTATGGACTGTAACTAACTTGCAAGACTTTTGGGGTGGTCTCGTAGAAGAGATTCACTGTGAGATTCATTGGCGGATTGCGCAACTGCGGCAGTAGTCTGCATTCTCAAGTGCGACAGCCATGGTTTGCGCAAACCATGAGCATGATTTTGCACTTGGTGTTTGGCTAGTCGCACAAAGGTCGCAGTGGGCGCGCTCCTTATGCGACCTTGTACAGGATGAAGCATCACTGTCGTCTCATGAAGATCATGGTGGGTTGGGAAATAGTAATTGTCTCAGTATATTTTTTCGATGTCGATTGCGCATGTCATGACGAACGATGGAAAACGGAGAATGGGGAGATGGAAATCTTCAGTGGTGATAATTCTGATAGCCCGAGCTTTGAAGATTTGATAAGGGGGGCTTTGGCCACCTGGATCCATAGAGTTAGTACTATTTAGGTATAGCCTGTATATCACCCCACCACACAAGCTACTCAGTGCCGTAACTACAATTGACATTTGATATTTGTCATTCACGTATTGATGCATATTACTAGTTATCCGTTTGACTTGCAATCATCATTAAAGGCATAGATGTATAAATGGTATACTTCGTACTACTAGAAGTAGCTGATATCAATCTGAGAGACAACTTGAACCATCTCCTGAACGACATAACATATGTACATAAGAAATAAAAATGGAAAAATAGTACATCATCAGGTCTACCTCACCCCTGACAATCATTTCGCCTATCTCTCCTACCAAGCGGAACAGATCGATGTTGGCTGCCGTCGAAGAACTTTACCAGAAGGATTACCTATCTGCTTCTACCCGAAGAACAGACGACATGGCGGAGCCCAAGTAAATGTATCATTCGATGTTGAAAATGATTCATCTCCAGCACCACGTTTTTTCCAGAAGGATTTGGACGAAGAGCTCTCTGGCCTTAGGTAGTACACCACGATATAGAAAAAGAAACCCCAAACATTGAATCCCTCTCAAGTAGGAGGTTTCCTTCCTAGAGGAGTAAGGGGGAGAAATCCGGGTCCTAATCACATAAGTGATGATGATTCTACATTCGAAAGAATCCATACCTACCTAAGTACCTGGACCTGCATAGTCGGCAATGACTCGACATTAGGTAGTCTGCTTGTACTTACCTACTTATTATCCACCAGAGACACTGCGAGAACCATCTCATCACCACGACAGGTCTGGACGCCCCCCTTCGAAACAAACACGAAGTCTCATGAAACAGAAGAAGAGCCAACCCTTATCTAAGTATCCCGAACCACAAGCCATGAAATTCCATATATATAGGAATCTAGGTAAAAACTTGGTGAACCGTCATGCTAGGGGAGCCGATCTGTGGCCACGAGTAACCCTATCCCATACGCGCGCACGACATCGAAAGCTAGGTTGTTGATGGGGGTGAGAGACAAGGAGGCAGGAGGGGGCCACACATCCCATCCAAGGGCTCGGTAGCTGGGACATGAGAGGTTTGACCGGACTGGCCCCCATGGAAAGACAAGATGGATGACGAATCTAGTCTCGCATGACGACATCACATCGCCGACGGCATCGAGCAGCAGTAATTCCACTAGGTATGTATGTAGGCAGGTACACATTCCACGCTTCTCCTGTGGGTAAGTATGGGTGTACGTAGGTATCTCATAGACATATGGATACCTCCTACTACTGCGTGAACATATTGTACGTATGTGACTGCCGACCTAACATCAGAACTAAACCCCTATCTATACAACGTGGTCTCCACCCCGCGTACGTATCGCAATAAGACATTTCCCTGATAATGAAAAAAAATGCCACGAGCTCTCGCGTACCTATTGCGCGGTGCGATGGTTGTAAGTTGTAAGTTGTATGTTGTGGGCTTGTATGTTGTATGCATTCAGCGAAACCGTCCACCGCCTGGGTTGAGGTAGTTAGGTGGTTAATGTAGTTTGCCTGCTGCAACCGGTTGCCGAGAAAAGTCTCGGGCCAATTTGGGCGACCCGGCCGACGACAAGCGAACTTCGAGTCTTGAGTCAAGACATCTCTGATTACCATGTCTCCCCGTTCCCGAAACTCTATATCGAAAAAAAAAAAAATGGTGGAGAGAGAGAGGCGAAAACGAAGAAGAAAAAAAGGAGACAGAGGGTCGGAGGGAGGAGGATAGCAAACTTCGTGTTTTTCGGACATTTATTGTCGCTGAACTCGCCAAAACCCCCTTCTGTCTCATTTTATTATCCCCCTATCATTGTCCTTCCTACCCCTATCTCTAAGTAGTGTTTGTTTCCTTCGTAATAATACTAGCGTGTCTACATAAATGAACACGACAATATAGTTAAATTAAAGACTATCTTTATCCGATTATTGTTTTGATGAATCCCTGATGAATCCGTCGAAAAATGGGAGAACCGTGGTTATTAATAGCTTTCGAAGACTACTTACCACGAAGGGCGTGCAGTTCCCTCGAGTAAGCGGAAACCCGAAAAATCGGATGCGGTAGCGCCAGCGCGGTAGATCGCTCAGCACCTTGTGCTCGCTCAGTTCGTGACACCGGCACGGAGCGTTGCACGGAAATAGTGGGGGCAGAAGGAGGAGAGAGGCAGGCTGGAGTAATGGAAAGGAGAAGAGTGAGCACACTGCTCCCGCCGTATGTCCTAGTACAGAAGGGGGAACAAGAGGCAAAAAGAGGAAAGATTGTGTAGTATCGGCAGTTGAGAGATCCAGATAGTCGCGTGCTACAGAGATCTCTCTCATTTATGCTCCCACATAAGTCTCAGCCCTTCCCGAAACCATCTGGAGAGATTTGAGGGTAGGGAGTCACGGCCAGACTCGATACTATGCACTGCCTCGATAGCTCTGCGAGTGATTGACCATGGCCACTCTATGGACCCCGTACATATAAATACGAACCCTTTGGGCTCGATGTTTCTCTAAGTCTAGTATGTTATAATCCTAAGTCGAGTCTCACCACCACCAGTCGTCGTCCCCTCTCAGAGTAAGAACGCTCTATGGATTCAAACATATTACCAGCAGCAGTAAGCGGGAATGTCAATGGGCGTGCATCATCGTCGTACAGACGAAAAGACAGCCTTGACGATACAGTCTGGAGTTGTGATGCGTCGACTATACCCAAGCATGACCTAGACGGCAAGACCCTATCGCCAAGCTTAAGAAAGGATGACTACCAAAATCCATCGAGCCTCGGCAGTGACTCAGAAATGAAGAGAGATGGGGTTGACCCGCGAGCCCATATCTTCCTCGGCAGGCCCATGTCAGTCATTCACGAAGTCGCGTTCTTCGTTGTTGTGTCGACAGCCAACTTCACTCCTCGTACGTCAAACCCTGAATCACCCTCCTCCTCTTCTCCTCTTCCAAGGTTATCAACGGCAAACTGATTGAGATTTGATAGATTCCGGTTTCCATCAAGCACTTTGCATTCTGCGACTTATAGGCTCTGACCTGGGTGTCACGAGCCCCGGGCAGCTCGTATGGATCATCGCAGGGTACGGCCTTACGGGGACGTTTATTCTCCTAGCAGGCCGTCTCGGAGACGTATATGGGCACAAACTCATCTTCCTCGTTGGAAATGGCTGGTTTGCCTTGTTCTCTTTGGTCGCTGGGTTGTCCATTTACACTCCCAAACCATATGCCGTCTTCCTCTTCGCGCGCATCATGCAAGGCGTCGGCCCAGCACTGCTAGTACCAAATGCAGTAGCACTATTAGGCGTCACCTATGTACCTGGACCACGAAAGGCCATGCTGTTTGCAATTTTTGGAGCTATGGCTCCAGCATCTGCCATAATATCGCCCGCATTTACAAGCTTGCTGGCGTTGGCGCGTTGGCCTTACGCTTTTTTTGCGCTATCTCTTCTATTGATCGTTATCACAGTTGCCAGCTTGCTCATAATTCCTGGCGGGCTGTCTCCCGAGAGAGGGAGAGTACCTGTACGAGGTTTCAAAGCCTTGTGTACCGAGTTGGACATCCTTGGTGCTCTGACTGGAGTTAGCGGCCTTGCCCTGATCAGCGTTTCGTGGAACCAAGCATCCGTGAATGGCTGGCAGAACCTGTACGTTCCAACGCTCCTAGTAGCAGGCAGTCTATTATGCGTTATCTTCGTCCTTGTCGAAAAGCACGCCAAAAAACCTCTAATACCACTCGAAGCTATCAACTCGGGTGTAGTTTTCGTCCTCGCGGCTGTCTTCTGTGGTTGGGGGTGCTTTGGAATCTATATTTATTACATTTGGGGGTTTTATGAGGTACTACGCGGCGCGTCGCCCCTGTTGGCTACAGCGATGCATAGCCCAATTATAGTCAGTGGCGTTGCCGCAGCTATTACCACAGGCATGATCATTCATCGAGTTGGGCCTGCCGTGGTAATGGCTCTCGCCTTGTTAGCTTTTACCATCGGTACTACTCTTATTGCGACAGCCCCCATTAACCAGACGTATTGGACACAGACATTCCTCTGTAACCTGATCATTACCTGGGGAATGGACTTGAGCTTTCCGGCGGCGACACTCATGCTTTCAGACCTAGTTTCTAGTGAACACCAAGGTATCGCGGCTAGCTTGGTCACGACGGTGGTGAATTACAGCGGCGCACTGGCGTTGGGCGTTGCTGGGACAGTCGAACTCCAAATCAATAATGGCGGTGTGACCCCCGAGGATATCCTGAAGGGATATAGGGGAGCTTGGTAGTGAGTACACTTGGACCCCCTTTTCTATCCTTTAAAAACGAGTCCAAATCAAGGCTGGAAGTTCCTAGCCAATCCGTTTGGGATTCGTTACTTTAGAGACGCCTAGAGTGGAAATAATAACTGACTTATCTCGTGTAGTGTAGCTATTGGACTGGGTGTAGTTGGTCTTATCTCATGTTCGATCTTTACTTGGAAGTTTTCAAAACGTCAAAGGAGCACAGGTCAAAACTGATCGGACCTTTGGATGTTAGCAAGTCCTTCAGCCTTGGCGTTTTCTGTCCACCTGGTAGTGGGCATTTGGTGTTTATTAGCAATAGCGATACTCCGTTTCCCGGCATGCGAAGGCTCCAACTGCAGCTCTGGAGTGATCTGATATTTACCTACCCAACCTAGTCCTAGGTAGTAAGAACTCGTTGATAACTTGATATAAGCATAGGCTGATTCCAACCATGAAGAGTAAATATAGTCGTGGCATATGTATGGTTACAGACTGTAGCTTTGAATAGCCCCGTGCCGCTTTAGTAGCCGACAGCAAAGCTCGGCTACATGAGCTTATGCGGTATATTGGCCGCAGTAGCCGAGTAGGGTTATCTTCCCAAGTGGCGACCAAAGAATTTTCGTTCGTTTGATGATATGGCTAACTTGCTTGTATGGTAAAATCCGGCATTACGCAAGACAGGGCAGGTTTTTCACCACAACAGTGGTAAGCCGATATTCAATATCTCGGGACATCTTGTAATTCGCTGCGGAATGCTGCGGTACGGAGATAGATAGCGAACGGCCGAAGAGTAGTACCAACTACATTGTGTACATGATAATGTAGTTACATACCTAGTAGTACATATAGGTAGTGCCCTCACTCAGCAGCCATGTCGGGAGATGAGGCGGCTAAGGCTGACTTGGTTGTAAACTCTAGATGTCATCCATTACATATTAGCACCCCTATGTTATTGTACCTACATGGTAGAAGACCATACGCCGGCAATGCATACGAGGCTCGGTTCCGCAATCTAAGATGATGGTCGTTCCCGCACGTGTGATATCCAGAAGTAGGCACATAGTATGTACGTTGAACGGTTGTAGAATACATACATCACATATGGATGCGTGTATGTAGTCCAAAATGTTACGTGGCCCACTGTATGTACAACAGCTGTACATTATGTAGTATTGGAATTCGGGCTACGTACCTCAAGGCTTCAAAATGTTTTGTAGAGGTATGTAAGCAGGGACAGCTTCAAAATCGTTGATGTTGAAGGACATTGATCTGGAATATCATTGATGTATTGTGTACATGAAAGGGCCGGTGGATACATCAGACTGTCATCAGTACATAGATGATAGTACGTGGGTACTTGTACAGAATACTACCTAGTACTAGGTACTAGGTACTAGGTACGAATATATTCAAGTTGGTAATTGAAGCTGCACAGGGCCACAGGCTACACATGCAATACGTGAGGGGGTAGCGGCAGGCTCTTCCAGGCCCAAATGGGCAACCGATAGTTTCGTTGGTTCGTTGGTGGGGGAGGCGCATCCAAGGAAATGTGAGGTGCATGTGTAAGAGAGGGGAGGTACACCTGTGCAGACAAGTCACGCCGTCACGGACTTAACGAATTATGTAGTAGTTGGACAGTCTTGGACTAACTACCTAACTACATAGCAGTAGTTAACTAGTAGTAGTAACGAGTAATAACTAATAAGCACTGGACCTATATAGTAGGTACATAACCTACCTATGTAGCCACTTTAAACGAAACCTCAAGCTCACCTCATCTCCTCGTGCCATAAAAATAAAGACGGAAGGGCGAGAACGAAAACTTACCAGTGCGATCGTGTAAAATGCGCCTCTTCCTTTAAAAGAAAATTCCGAGACCCGACGAAAAAAAGAGATTATTTTTGATTTCTCACCTTTACAACAACACGTAACAATTTTATTATTTGCATCAGCCAACGATGTCCGAGCAACGAAATGTGGGAATATCTTGACGAAGGAGAAGGACGATCATATTTCTGTCGCCAGGCTATTACCAGGATCCCAGGATACTAACCTAGGAGCTTGAATAAGTGTTTGCAGTGCACTGATCACACTGGCGTATTCTTTTATTTGTGAAAAGATACATACTTAGCAACTCCAAAGCGTAAGAGTCAATCATCGGGCCACGGGCAACAGACAGCAGGCGATATCAAACCACGACTGATAGACATCTGGACGATACAGTTTTGAAGGTTGCTATCAAGAGCTTCAAACCTGCGAACGATCAACTTCAAGTTCAGGTTCAGAGACAACCAGCTAGCTGGAGACTGACGACTCGAGAACGAACCAGAAGATTTAATAATTATTTTGTTACTATCAACCCCGATAAGCAGATAAGCCGGATTGAATGTCGAAAAGTAACAACGTTAAACAATAGTTAAAGTTAGAAATACTTTTGAAGGAGAAAGAAGGAAGAAGGAAGAAGGAAGCAAAATAAAAACGGTCATTGAAAACAAAAGCAAAAGCAAAGGCAACAATGGCCCAAAGAGGTATTATACTTCCATTTTAAACTTCAATATTTGATGTTCACTCATTTCCCTATCAAATCCATACCTACATACCTACATACCTACATACCTACATACCTGCCTCAGGCACCTTGATTTTATACCTTCAATGATTCCATCATAGTACACACATACACATGCACACAACACATTACGGAGTCTTCAGTCTCCAACTTCCTTCCTTTTCAAACCTCAAAATACTCATACTTTCCTGACTCAATTATTCATTCATTTTTTTTGTACAAAACACACAGTTGCAATACACAACACAGCACAGCACCCTGCATAGTACAGAACAATACAATACAGCACTGAGCACAGTCTGATTAACTACCTTTATCCTTCTCACAACAACAAAGCAACAATCGAAAAAAAAAACCCTCTCAAAACCCTGACTAAAGAACATACAAACTAAATGCGGATGGGTGGAAACTACTAGTAAATCTAGCGAGCCTAGTATCCCAAGCGGATCTTGACTCCTCTCACATTAGCGACGTTAATTCTCTCTTCGATATCGAAACCACCAACATATTCAACCGACAATTATTTGGCGATCCCTTCACTCTACCTCCGAATCCTCCTAATCCTAACCCCGCCGTCGCAAACCACCAATTTTATTCCAATAACTACCACCTACCTTCACTACCAGATTTATTCGCAGATCGCCCATTTCCCGATACCTTCGATCCTTTTCACGTCAATTCTTTCGCCCCGCGCTATCGCCATCATAATCCGTCATCACACACAATCACCACCACCAACAGCCACTACCAGGAAATTATCAATCCTGCCCCGGCAAGACCAGATCCCTCATTCCACAGGTCAAATTCCAATCAAAGTCGACAGGACCGTCATTCTTTAATACCCACGCGTCCCGAAACCCCCTCCGTTACTTCAACGCGAATACAACAATCGGGACAGTCGTCCACCACCTATAATCCCTACTCCAATTTCCCTCAGCCGAACAGGCTAGACCACGAACCAACCAGCGACGACTTCTACCTTGCTGCCTTGGCCGAAGGGAATTTCTCTTCGCCTTCTCTGCCAGCAATCAATAGCAGCCCCCTCCCATCTATCCGCACACATTCTTCTGGGCTGCCAAAGCCTCTTGAAGTTGGCGAAGGATTGCCGTTGACTCCATCTCACGCTCAAAGAACGAATAAAGCCGGTCCAGTTGATTTAACCAAAGAAGAGCCTGATCTTGAACCCGACGTCGACCCTACCACACCCACCATGCCTGCCGCCAGAAAGCGGAGTGCTGCTGCCTTGAGTAATGGCGAGGCACGCCCTGCTGCTTCCAAGCGACGACGACCTTCCGCGACGTCTCCATCTTCTTCTGGCCGGAACAATAAATCAAGATCCAAACAAACGGCCCAAGCCAATCGAGCCGCTTCCCCCTTGAACGTTGACGAGCTCCTCAATGGTTCTGCCGATCAAGATGGTCCTGAGACCATTGATCTTTCTAACGCTGTCGAAGTCCCGGAGGAGCTGAAAGCCCCCAAGGTTGACAACCGAATCAAGTTGGGCCAGTTCCAGTGCGTTATATGCATGGATGATGCTTCTCAATTGACTGTAACACACTGCGGTATGTGCAAGCCCTTTTCTTTACGTGATCTTGGATTTAAAAAAAAAAAAAAAAAAAAAAAAACTAACTGGTGCCACTTTTAGGTCATTTATTCTGCTCCGAGTGCCTGCACACAGCTCTCCACATCAATAACGTTAAGAAGACTTGCCCGGTTTGCAGAACAAAGATAGATCCAAAAGAAAAGAGAGGAAAGAACCTGAAGTCCTTCTACCACCTCGAGTTGAAGGTCATGACCGCCACTAAGAAAGGGAAGCGCCCTGCTGGTCCCTCGTAACCGATCGGTGGTTGTCGCTTCACTATCTGCTCCGATGTGGTGCGGACGCAGTTCAGACTAGAAGTGTACGATAACGTACGGAGGTCAAAAGGAGCAATTATAGAACGACGGTACGCCGCAGGGCTTTCTCAGCAAATACCCGGACTGGGACGAGTCCTTACAATGTACTAGTATCCCCCTCTCGAAAGGGGAGCATTTCACGACAACAAGAGCAATAACAACGGATGGGCATTTTCTCACACGGACGGACGCTGAATACGGTGTGAGAGTCATTCTGCATGGAAAGGGGAGTTTTGATTCAAAACATTAACGGCGTGATACCCATATCTTGTTTTTTTCTTTCTAATGGATCAGGAAATGACAGCAAAAGTGGCTTGCGCTTTGCTTCCTTTTTCCATCCGACGTGGTGGACACGGGTCGAGTACATAGAAGACAGTGTTTCGATATGAATAATAGTAAGTTACATATGCACTACTAAGTGGTAAGGCCACTGCTAAAGGATTGACGACTTCGTCTAAATCCTTCGTATGTGTACCTAGGTAGATACATGATGAGTGATTGATTCTTTTACTCGCTACTATCTTCTCTGGATCCAAGCGGTATACCTACTTCCCGCCCAGGGCCTCTACTCCCTCTATGGGTGTTTGCCTAGGTACCTACATGCTGCAAGCACTACAAACATCCTAAAGGTAGCTTGGTTTACGTGCTTCCTGTGTTCATTTCCTTCTTTTCTTTTACAAGTGTATTTATCATCATCATCATCATTATTATTATTATTATTATTATTGTTTATATAGATTTATCGGGTGTACCTATCCACGGGTATACCTACTTATATGTAGTCATATAAGTAACCTAACCTAGTAGATACCTATCGCATGGATACGCCCGTCCACGGTCCATCACCATCCGCAAGGGGGGTGAGCACGCATCTAACCTTAGTTAGGTAGGTACCTACCTAGTAAAAACAAAGAACCCGAGCCAAACAAACCAAAGCAAAAATTTAGGATCTTAAATAGCTACCTACCTAGGTTACGGTACCTAGGGTAGTAGACAAGGCTATAAAATCCTCCTCCTCCGATCCCCAGCCGTCCCCGTCTCCGTGAGCAAGCCCTCCCGATCGACCACCACCATCCCCTCATCATCAACACCATAATCAACACCGACATCCACATCATCAATATCCTCTTCCACATCATCGACAACAACCCCGTCATCAACGACCCCTACTACATTCCTCCCCCCCTGCGAATGCGGCCTGCCTCCTCCTCCTCCGGGTCTAGGAACCTCTTCGGCACCGTTGAGCACGTACCAGCAGTCCTTCTTGGTGAGGAGGCCCTGGAGGACGCCGCGGTCGGTGAAGAGGACGTAGCGGACGCCGAGCTTCTGGAAGTAGGAGACGGCGAGGTGGAGGGTGCCGCGGCTGGGGAGGGTGAGGGGCGTCTGGTCCATCCAGGGGCGGAGGTCGAGCGTGGTGCGGGGATCGGCGAGCGGCTGGTGGGAGAAGAAGGTTTCGGTTTCCGGGGGCAGGCTGCGTGGGGACTGGGTGCTCACGGCGAGGTTGTAGGCGAGCTCATTGCGGCTGATGTAGCCTAGCAAGATGGCGTCGCGGGGGTCGCTGACTACGGGAAATCCGCGGTAGTCACAGGACTCGAGGACGGCGCTGAGAGAGGCAATGGTATGCCCTGTAGCGGTCAGGACGACGAGGTCCTCGATGCGGGTCATTATCTGGGAGGCGGGAACGTCGGGAACGTGCTGAGACCCGCCGCCCTCGTCGCCAGAGTCCAGGAATGGGTACTCGTTGAAATGGATCCAGCTCTCGTAGATACCGCGCCGCGAGAAGGCGTCGCCAACCCACTTTGACAACATCACGGCCACCATGATGGGCAAAACGTATGATAACGCACCTGTAAGTTCAAACATAATGACCACGATGGAAACCGTCATGCGCGTAACGCCTGCGAGCGTTGCTGCTGCCCCGATTATGGCATATACACCCGGTGTTACACATGGCCGGCCGGCATCACAGGCACTGAAGGCGAAGAAGTCAGGGTGGTTGTGCTGCCAGATCTCCATGATAATGCCGACTGCCCGACCAGAGAGGGCGCCAATGGCCATAGAAGGTAAAATGATGCCGGCTGGGATCTGTAGGCCAAAGGTAATACTAGCAAGGAAAAAGCCGAGAACGGAGGCAAACAATAGTAAGACAATGGTACCAGCTGTCGCAGCTCCCGTCTTACAAAGACTGAATTGATCATCCAGAATCAGGGCGCAGTCGGAGAAGAGTGAAGAAACGAGTTCCGAAGATTGTGCTCGCATGTAGAAATTAGGATAGTTGATGAGTGCTGTCCAGAAGGCCACGATGACTACTTGGGTCAGGGGGCCGGGAAGCCAGGGCGTCGACTTCTTCCATTGTGCCACACGCATATTGGCTTTGATGAAGAGACCACCGTAGATGCCACCGAGGATGCCGAGAAAGGCGAATGGTAACACTTCGAAGTTGTGCCAGCCAGTACTGAACTTGACTTGGTATAACACCAGCTTGCCGGACCGGAATGGGTCGAACGCTTGCAACACAACGGCTGCTGTCATGGCGCACACAAAGCTTTGCCACATGGTTTTGTCAGGGAAGTAGTAGGACAGTTGCTCAAGACTGAACAATACGCCTCCAATAGGGGACCCAAATGCAACGGATATCCCTGACGCTGCCGCTGCCGAGAGGACCTCCCGTTTCCGTGCTACTCTGTCAGCATATGTATGTGGTGTCATGAATATTCGTAATACACACCTTCATTATTATTGATATTTGGGAATAACTTGATGAAGAGATTTGCGCAGCAGCAGGCAACATGTACTAGGGGGCCTTCTTTTCCTAGCCACATGCCCGATGCGACAGCAAGACACTACGGTTCAGTTAGTCATATGCAGTCTCAGGGGCATGAGAGTAAAACATACCAATCCCAAAGACTTAGTGATCAGTGTCCAACCCCCTAGGAAACGCCGAATGACAAAGCCTCCTAATACTGTCTTAATCTCAGGTATACCGCTATGTTTAGCATAAATCGCATACTCCTTGACGAGAAATCCAGCCCAGAGAGCAAATGTTACCTAGTTGCAGTGTGTTAGCGGACCGAGCTAGAAAATGGCATCGACGAACTCACAGAAAGAGATAGAAAAAAGAAATATTCCATGAACCACTTCCCGCCAGTAGATCTAATGCCTAAAGCAGCAGCCCAGGGCTTCCATCCCAAGCATTTGTCGCCCTGATCGTAACCGTAACAGCAGAACTGCTTATTAAGATAAAATGCGCCGCCCTCGGGTCCAGAGGAGCAGTAGCCTGTCTTGATGTCTCCTAACCAGTCCGAAGCTACATCTATAGCGGCTGCTAGTGCACCGACGGCGATGCCTGTTAAGACAAGGACGACCCATGCCTGGCTAGAGTCCAACAGCTGCTGTATATATCCGACTATGCCTGTTGCGCTAGAGTATAATACCCTCAAACGTTGACGCTCCTTTGTGTATTCGAAGATCCAATCAATTGCCGTCAGATCCTCATAACCTACTCTCCGGCCTGGGCCCTCGACATACCAATCCAGCGGAGCTCCATCTTTCGGACCGTTCGGGGGTGTACGGGGGATGTTGGCAGTTGGATCGAAGTTCAAATTATGTATTCGTGTCGGTGTGGTATCTCCGGAATGCGAACGCGAATGTGAACGCGCATGGGAGGGCTGGGGTGAAGTGATGCCTAGACGATTGCCGGTCAAGGTGGACAGCAATCGAGCTGGCTGGGTGAAAACGGACTGTTTCTGCTTTCTCTTGAAGCTCATGGGCTCGGCCAATTCATCTGTTAAGGGGTCGTCCCCTAGGATATCTCCATCGCTCGCATCGAATATGTTATCGAGCTCATCTCTTTCGTCATGGAGCTGGGCGTTGGGTGATCTGGAGGAAGAGGAGGAGCCTTCTTCTTCGTGTGTGTTTATGAAACTCCTGCTTGTTGCCATATCGAAGGCTTGAAGATGCGATATGCCATATCGCAATGTCTATATTTGCCTTTGTAAGGACTGAGTACCTATACACTAAGTACACTGAATCTTGCGGCTTTGCGATCGACAGAGCACCGCAACTTGGGAACTTTGTAACCTTGTAAAACGAAAGGAAGTACGTAAGGTTAGCACGTAGTGTACCTAGGTAGGCACTGGGCAGCTGGTAGGTTGGTAAAGGCAGGGATGCTAGGGATGTTTAAGTGCCCACAGCACTACCGATAAGCGATAAGCATGTGTGTAACGTCAACCATTGTTACTGTTACCGTTGACGTTACCAACCTTGAATGATCTTATCCTTTATCCTTTTAGCGTCATGTCGTCTCTTGTGGTTGATGATTTATGAGTTATGATTTATGATAAAATAACGAATAATGAATAGAAACATCGCACCAAGAATTAAACCAAAAAACCAAATAATATCTAATCCGACGTTAGTTAGTTACTTCTTTCAATTTTTCATTTTTGAATCCTTTGAAGTATCAAACTGTTGGGCGAATACATAGGTATATCAAGTACATATGTAGCAGCAAGCCTTTACTCAAACTCATATAAGTTATAAGAAAATAGGGGGGAGAGGAAGAGAAAAGGAGAAGGAATATGGACGTTCCAGAGATTTCAAAACTTCAAGTCCAAGATGATGGCCAAAACGGCCCAAATACCACCACGGACCCATCTATCGAAAAGATACAACAACTTCTCAAGGCAAAAGATGGCACCTCCCGCTTTGTCGGCTTGGCCCTCTTAAAATCCGTCTTAGACAACTCGCCAGAGTTACAACGTGATGAGAGAACCATCACTATGTTATGGAGTTCCGTATCGCCCAAGTTCCTGGACCGTCTGTTACGCACCGGGTCTCAAGCCGGCCGGGGACAGAAGAACTCCAAGGATATGCTTGATATGGCCGTTGCTGTCATACACACTTTTACTGTATTGTTGCCTCAAGAGTCAATAAATCATCCAAGTCTACTAAACCGAATACCAGGCCTGGTTAAAGGTGTTCTTCATAGGTAAGTAATGTCATTGCGTGATGTTATATGTTATGTGTCTACCTGCCCAAGAAGACACTCCCTCCGTATAGGTACTAACGAGGATCAGCTCTAAAGAGACGACAGAAGTCATTATAAAAACCCTACTGACACTCGTTGCTGTGCCCGAGGGTGCCAAATGCTTCGCCAACCTTGACGTTGATGACTGGACCCCCCTCGTAGAGATTGCACCAGAGCACGCACACGTACTTACGATATTCATCTGGGCCTGGGAGAAGGGCACTGCTGAACTAGGAGACGAACAGTCTAAAAATGGAATGCGTTCTAAGATCGATAAAGGGATTCAAGCACTTGTATCTTCTTTCATAGGCACTGACGCCACCAACCTCCTAGAATTCATATCCCACCTCTTACGAACTCTCGACGAGCATGTAGGTTCCCCCTATATACAGAGGTCCTTGCTGAATATATCTAATATCTATTCAGCTCATTCCACAAAATCCCACATGGCTTGGCTCGGTCACTAAGCTCATACATAACCTATCCACCAACAAGCCGACCGCAGCTAGTCGTTCCGCATATATAAACTGCACTGGCGTACTACTCCTCGTCTATCCAGACCCAGCATTCGAACTCCTATTTGGAAGCGAGCAATATTCGTCAAACCCACCTGCCTATCTTTTCATAACCCTCGTCCTGGTAGACCTCCGCGCCACCCTACCGTCTCTCCTGGAGAAGCTCAATGACCCGGATTACCCACAAATATCACAGCGTCTCACATCCGCTCTCGACATTCTGACCGTTTTCATCAGCCGTCTCATTGCTCTTGATGGCCTTGAAGACGATTCGACCGAATCTAACCCAGAAAATAACTGGTTGAAGTGGCCTCCAGAGCTCATCATCAAGCTGAGCAAATCTATTCACGAGACTATCGCCATCATAATAGAACACCTGCGTGACCGTTGGGATGCCTCGACAGCAGGGGCTCACGGCCTACATCCGGAGGCGCGCGCAGGGAGTGCTCACACCAATGCCGGCTCCCACAAAACCCTTGCATGGGACTCGAAGGACTCGGCCGCTACCACAGACGCCTTCATACAGTCGGCCATACGCGCGATAGGGCTCTGGATCCGCGACGACGACAACGACACTCGGCGGAAAGAGGCAGCCGGGCTCATGGACATGTTCATGGAGCTGTACCAGACCAACCACGGCGTCTCGTTCCAGACCAACCGCGTGGAGTACAGGCTCCCCATCCTTGCCGCTCTCGAAGGCATCCTCCGCACCAAGAGAGGCGTCGAGGCTTTCACGACTTACGAGGGGTGGAAGATACTGTCGCAAGATCTGCGCATGGTCCTCCAAGAGAGTTCGGCCTCCTATCCTCCGCCTGAAGTAGATCTCATCGGCGGGACTCGGATCGCCGTCGTGCTGCAGATTCTCGCGGACGAAGTCAGTAGTACCCCGGAGGAATGGATGGGCCTGGTGACGGCCGTAGCAGCATACGATGTCCCCGCGGCCCCGAAAGGCGCCGCCCGGGAAGCTCTTCTGGATTTTCAAACAGACGTGCTGAACCTCGCCGTTACGCTGCTGATGAAAGCGAGCCCGGGCCTAAGGAAGCGGTATGTGCATTCGGCGAGTGCGATACGGGGCATTGTGAAGCAAGTCAGGGGTACGACGGATGAAGGCAGTGATGCTGCGAAGGGGCTAGAAGATATGCTGCTTGACCTGGATACACTTGTGGACTGAGGAAATACAATTGCCTGGGTGGTGCTCTACCGATCGTGGTGGAACTTTGCTTCGAGCGTGTTTCGCTCGAGTCTAGCCATCGGTGTTCGTTGTCGATCTAAGTAAATGTATTTCTCTTTTATGATATCTACTCTATTCCTACCCAGGTAGGTAGGTAATGAAGGAAATCTATTCAGCCGTACCACCTTACGATCTATGATTCTCAGCATCGTTATCTCGGATCCAACTGTAGATCATCGTGTCCATTACCCGCGATGATAGGAGACAGACAACACAACACTCGATACTTCGGTATACAAATCTGCCCACATCTCATCCCAAACTTGTCTAATGCTAACCTAGGATACGATCTATCATAGACCTAATATAGAACGGCACATGGTAGGTAAGTAGCTGGCTGCATACCTACCTACCCAGATAGCCCATCCCCAGCTCGGCCCAAAGCTTCGCTGAGGCTTATGCCTATTACCCACCCGTTATCTATCATCTAGGTACCCAGACATCCACTGTAAGCACCTTGTAAATCCTTGCGGCTCGCCAAAATACCTACCTACCTAGGTAGGCAGCGGCACAGCAGCTCGTAAGACTAGACTCACCTGCCTACTAAGTAAGCGAGGTTCTATTTACAAGCATCCCACGATCCCATCAGATCGTAGCACGCCCAAAACCCAAGTAATCTAGATGGCTCGCTATGAACCAAACCTCTAACTATGTCTACTACCTACCTACCTGTGTGCGTGTCTGTCTACCCAAAAGATTCGATCGCCCGAACCGAGCCTCGCCCCCCTCGACCAAAAGGAAAAAAAAAAAAAAAAGCTGTTATCAGACCGTGCCGTCGCCACTCAAGATGACTAACCCTCCCGATCCGATTCACACGCCACGTGGAAGTGGCATGGAAAGAGAGGGGAAGCGTGAAAAAAAAAGAAGGCCCCCCAAAGAACCACAACTCTCTCCATAAAAAAAAACGCACGTAAAACCACGCCGCGAGCATGCATACTTACCTACAGACCTACCTACCTAGATTAGACGCATCTCCCGATTCTCCCCCGCCCCCGGCCCCCCTCCCTCAATACATACATTGCTAAGCTAAGCAAACAACACCATAAATAACCAACCCGCCCAACAAAGTCCCGGATCCCTCGTATGTAAATAGTCTGTTTGCGCAGAAACATTCGCCACTTCCCTTTCCTTCTTCCCCTCCCTCGCCCTCTTTCAAGATAAAAAAAATAAAAAAAATAATGGAACTCCGATTTAGGAATAATACGTTGGGTACCTAGATAAGTAATTTACAACTGCTGCTGCTGCTGCTGCGATTCACCACCCGATGGTATGACAGGTAAAAGTGTGTAACGGGTAATATGTAAGAAGAAGAAGAAGAAGAAGAAGAGACAAAAAGAAAAAAGAAAAAAAAGAGGCTCAAGCCACCCGCCTTCCCCGGAAGGAGTTACAGATAATAAAAGCACCTCGGTAGTGTATGTGTGGGTGTGTGTGTGTGTACCACGGCCTATCGACGCCAAATGCAACCACCCACCGAGTAAGCCATCGTGGAAGTGTAACTTGATTAGTTACCTAGTTAGTTAAGCAGTAGCCAGGCAGGTTAACTGAACGTACTTTCTTATTCATTCACCTCATAACCTTCACTGTATACTGCATCACTAAGCATCACCAGATAGGTATCCGGATAGATAAATGGGTAGGTAGTAGATGGCAAATGGTATATACAGCTTACATATATACAACACCTCTCCAATATAACATCCATAACATAACATGACGTGATATGACGTAAAAACCCAATCTAGCTGCTAGGTATGTAGGTCTCTAGGCAAAATATATACAGGATACTCTAGGTAAATAGATATTATCCCTTTTTTTCCACTTTCCCCCCCTTATCCCGTGACGGGCAGGTATCCAATACAATACAACGAACCCGCCGTCTCCCTTAAGCACGCACGCGTGTAAAAAAAATAAAAAATAAAATATAAGGCCCTTTCGTCCCCACAGAGTGTTCGTGACTCTACAGCAGCCAAGACACGAATCTCCTATAGAAGATAGCGCCCTTAGACTCGGGCTTGGCCTCGAGCATGACAGCCTGAGCAGCGAGGAACTCCTCCTCTTCGCGGTCGATGACGTCCTTTCCGGTGTAGAAGTCGCACTCGTGGGGGCGGACGCCCTTGCTCTTGGTCCAGACCTTGTGGCCGCCGATGAGGAGGAGGAAGATGGGGATACCGAGGTAACCCGTGATGAAGGTGGGATACTTGGTGCTCCAGTTGCCAACAAAGACGTCGAAGTTCTTGGTTAGGGCGATCAGGCAGCACATGGCCAGGGCACCGTAGGAACCGGCGAGGCCGAAAGGCGCCGTGTATGGCATCATATCGTTCGTTAGGCCCTGTGCGCGTCGTCCGCGGACGAACCAGATGTGCGTCACCAAGATCGAGATCCACGTCATGAGACCGAAGATGGTGGTCAGGTTGACAAAATGGCTGAAGACGTTCTTGGAGTCGTCCGAGACGTTGAGGTAAGCCAGGAGGGCGAAGCAGGCAGAGGCGCCTAGGGAGTATAGCGGTACACCCTTGTTGTTAGTCTTTCGGAAGATGGCCGGGGCCGCGCCGTCGGAAGCCAGACCGTAAAGGGTTCGGCTCGCAATATACAGATCGGAGTTGGCGGCGGAGAACACGAAAACCAGAATGCAAGCATTGAGGATGTGGTCGAGGGCGCGGATGTTGGCGAGCTTGATGGCGACAACGAACGGGGAAGCGTTGGCGTTGCCAGCTTTGCTCGGGTCCTTGGAGGCAAAAGACAAGAGCTCCGAGTTGTAGGGTACGCACATGCCGATCAACAGGATGCTGATACAGTAGAATAGGACGATACGGTAGAAGGTAAGTCGAATGGCGCGAGGAATGGTTTTGCGCGGGTTCTGGGCCTCGCCGACCGTCACACCGACCAATTCGGTACCCAAGTAAGCGAAAGTAGCTGTGACCATGGTAGACCAGAAACCAAGGAATTTACCCCAAGATCCTGTCGCGATGTAAGGACGGAATGCACTATTTTCAGTTAGCATCGTCGCTCATAAGTTTACCGAAATATAGAGAATATAAGAAATCACGTACCCAGGATCGTTCCAGTACCGGAATCCTCTCGGGTCACCATCTGCGCCACCGGCCGCGATGACAAGAGTTAGGATAATGACACCGATGATGACAATGACTTTGAAACTGGACAGCCAGAATTCGAATTCACCAAAGAATCGAATACCGAAATAGTTGATACAAATAATCGCGACGAGGAATATAGTAATCCAGACACCGGGATTAACTCGATCTCGAGGCAGCCAAAATTGGATAACTATGGCGGCGGCGGTAAGCTGATTAGGCGTGACAATAATGTATTTTATCCAATAACTATAATTGTGAAGAAAAGGCCAAGAGTTAGTATAATCTTCAAGTATACCCAATACAGAAAGGCACGGGTGGGAGGAGATTAGGTCGATATCATTATATCAAGGAGTGGGCAGCCACTTACGTCCAACCGAGAGCAAAACCAAGCGACGGGTCGCAGAACCGAGAAGCGTAACCAGTGAAACCAGCAGACATGGGAAGCCAAGCAGCCATCTCACCCAGAGCGGCCATAACCAAGAAGACGACGAAACCGACGATAGAGTACGAGATGAAAATAGCGCCGGGACCAGCTTGCGCAAGAGCTTTGCCAGTACCGATAATTAGACCAGTTCCGATAGCGCCACCGATGGCAATCATAGTAATATGGCGAGCCTTGAGACCACGATGCAGCGCCGTCTCAGCCGAAGTCTCGATACCGCGGATGTGTGATTGCTCGAGGTCCAGATCAGTGTAGGTCATCTTTTCCTTGTCCCCTTCCGGGGACGAGGCACTGGACCTGTGAACCACGCCGGAGCGGTCCATGGCTGAGGTTAGGGGTATTTTCTTATTCTTTTTTATTTTCCTATTTTCCGACAATGTAGGAAAGCGAACAAATAGCGACGGGGAGGATGTTCAGCCTCAAGATTTGTTGATGATCGGAACAAGAAAAGCACAGAGAGGAGAAAGGCAGGGGAGTCTGGGTGATCCTCAGCTAATATATATTTACTTACCATCAGTTTAGACCAAGCAAGCACATGCGGGTAACGAGACGTCTTCCAACCGACCTACCTAGTTAACCAATCAACCAACCCCCATTCATGGCCTGTCGTACATTATACATACATAGTATGTATATACAACGTAGCAGTAACCTCAATTGCCACAGACATTTCCAGTCTGCCACACACGTGTGTACATACAGTATGTACATTTGACATTCAGTCCTGGATGGTCAGTAATCCTAAGTATAGGAGTCCCGCCAAGGCGGCGGGGCCCTGCTTATCTCTCCAACTCTTGTCCGTGAGCCAGTTACGTACCTAGTCATAGCTGGGCAAATACTCAAATACTATCATTGACCGAGACTATCCATACTAACCCCGGTCTTTAGCCCCTTGGCCTTGTGGGTTAACTGATTCTGCTTTGACCCCGGCAGGCTGGATGGTGAATATGTATGTACATATGTAGGTACGCAAGGTAGGTACACACACACATCTAATTCAGCGAAGAAGTCGCGTGCTTTTCCTGGACTTTCTTCGGCGCCTCATCAAAGAAGCAACCTAACCAATGCGTGAGGTTGAACGGTTATGTAGCATATCCGGGAGACTGTTGGGAGAAGCTTGTACGTCGAACTGCTCCGAATGCTACGGCCGCAGCATACAAATCACATGTGATGTTTCATGACAGAGGATTGAGCATTTCGAAATTATTACATATTTCGTTCAAATGTCGAATGCGGGTTCCTGATTCCCCAGCCGTGCTGGCCATCGTCATTTGCCTAGGGTCAGGTCACGAACCAAGTACAGCCAACCAAATCTCAGCTGGGCAATGTTAGTTTTCCGTCATCCCGGCGTGTGTACATTTTCGTGGTAGTAAATTTATTAAGTGAGTTGCTGCGAGTTGCTGTAAGTTGCTGTGAGTATGTAATGGATGAAAATGGAGAACGATGGAGAAAGATGGATACTAAAATGGGGTCTTGATGGAGACCGAGTGCCCATAATTGACTAGTGTGACGGGTAGACAATTGGGAATTTTGGGACAATTGGAATTGAAGTGAGAGATTCGATGTTGTGAGAGATAAGGGTTACACGGATGGGGAAGTCAAGGTCCAGGGGTCCGGAGGGAGCTTGCTACTAAGTTCAAAGGGGATAATATGGGCCGTCCCTGAATATGGGCCGTGGGGCGACTTAAGGCTCGAGCGCCCAATTAAAATCAGTAATTCAAATAGGGGTTGCTATTTTTATTATAAAATTCATGTACCATTCGGGTTTTATTTTTTTTAGCTTCTACTTTTAGCTACCACCTTTTACACTGTCTTTCAACCAATCAAAAAGCTTTATTCTTATCAAAATGCCCCGCACAACTCAATACCACCAATTAGCACTTGAGCAAGCTATCCACGCCGTGCAAAACGGTACATCTATTCGGAATGCAGCTTCTAATTGGGCAGTTCCAAGAGCCACACTTTATGGACGAATCAACGGCCGTCGATCAGCCGATAAGGCCCACCTTTTACGACAACGCTTATCGCCTTGCCAAGAGGCTGATTTGGCTGAATGGATCAGATGCCAAGACGCATTAGCCTTACCTCCCACCCATTCTCAAGTTCGAAGCTTAGTCATCCGAATTCTTCGAACCAATGGGGACCACCGACCGCTCGGTAAAAAGTGGATCCCCAAATTTTTAGCGCGGAATGAACCAGCTAAGACGCTTCGAGCAATCCCATTAGATTCGGCTAGAGCCAATGGGGTAACTTCGGAAGCAATTAATAAGCTTTTTGATCGCATCGAGGGGGAAAGAATTCAACAAATCCACCACTCAAATCGTTGGAATATTGACGAAGTGGGGCTCCTTCAAGGGGTTGGGTGCAACGGCCTTGTTCTTGGCCAATCAGAAAAAAAAAAAACCTTGATAAAACAAGATGGGTCACGTGAATGGACTTCCATTTTGGAATGTATTTCAGCCGATGGGAAGAGCTTAAACCCTTTGATTATTTTCAAAGGTAAAAAGGTTCAAGAACAGTGGTTTGAAAAGGAGCTAGCCCATTTAGGCGGCTGGCGTTTCACAGCTTCCGAAAACGGTTGGACTGACGATAAAATCGCCGTCAATTGGTTGACCGAAATATTTATCCCTGCAACAGCCCCAGCAGATCCAACTGAAAGGAGATTACTCATCCTTGATGGTCATGGAAGCCACGAAACGGAAGAGTTTATGTGGGCCGCCTACCAAGCTAGGATAACCCTGCTTTATCTGCCGCCCCACACCACCCACGTCACGCAGCCTCTTGATGTGGGCATTTTCAGCTTAGTAAAACGTTATTACCGAGCTTTTCTCCAAAATGAGCCAATCAGCACTCATTACTCTTGCCCAATTGGGAAAGCTGGCTTTTTACGGCTTTATCACAAAGCAAGAGTACTAGGGATCACCCCTGACACAATCTCTAGCGCTTGGCTTGGCGCTGGCCTTTGGCCAATCGATCGTGAGAAAATTCTTCAATCCCATTTTATGGTACAACAAGCGGCCAACCAACCGAGCGACGACCAATCAAATCAACCGTTTCGTAATACCCCACGCTCTGATTGGCTAGCTACCCCTCGAAAGTCACGTGACCTTGCGGAAGCTTATCAAAAGATTGTTGAGATTCAAGCTGACGAGCCAATTAAACAACGCATATTTGAGAAAGCAGGGAAAGCGATCGATCAATTGATAAGTCGGTTAGCCACAGCTGAGGCTGAAAACGCTAACCTAAAGCAGTTAGTCGAGCGGGCAAAGCCTCGTAGGCGACGGCAGGTGAAAATGGATCCAAATGATGTTTTTGTTGAAATTAGGCATGTACGTGAGACTAGGCTGGAAATAAATCGCAGGCTAAACCCAAGTAGGTCTAGTGTACAGGCCTCATTGGTTGGATTTGAGGAGCTATGCTCAGAATGGCAAATGGACGTTTTTTAGCCAATCATGTATCAATAATTTATCTCTTTTTAATGCAGCTCTTACTATGTACCACGCTTTGCCAAAAGTGGTAAGGCCTAAGCCCTAAGTCGCCCCACGGCCCATATTCAGGGACGGCCCATATTATCCCCTTTGAACTTAATACATAGTACTTTATTAGTTACCCTACTGCGTAGTATGTAGGTTTTCTCAAGTTCAATGTTGTTTGCCAGCTTCTGTTTCTGCTTTCTTGTTGTACATATGTATGTATACCATGTCAACGGTCAACGGCCAACGGTACATACACACACCATCTTGACATATGACATATGTAACGGTGTAACTAACACAGAATGGTCTGGGGCAAGAACGCTACATACCATTACCTGCCTATGGCCTATGCATGTCCCTCTTCATACCTTCTATATGTGTAGGTATTATGCATCAGCTGAAAACCCTGATAGGCTGACAACCGTTTATTACATCGTAGTACCTGCTAAAGTATGCCAAGGGGGCCACAAGCCACTAAGAGAGCGAAGCTAACGATAGCACGACGCACCACAGTTGATTGGCTTATTTGCTATATGCCATCACCTCCGAACTTCTAACCAATCATGGCCAACTTAGATATCGCAATTCTGCTATAACCAGCGGCTTCTAGACGAATTCCAATCCCATTATCCCACAACTTGCGCACAAGTCCTTGAACTTGACATCCTTCCATCTTCCTTGTTCCTTAATCCTTTTTTTTTCCTGCTAACCAAGACTTAGCAAGTAGATCCTAACCCTAGTAGGTGATTTATTCCTTACATAATTACACTACAATTACATTACAATTGCACTACAATTGCACTACATACCAAGATACTAAGACATAGTACATAGTTAGTACCCAGGTCCCAGGGTATAAGCGTATAGTAGGCTACATAATAGTAGGCTACATAGTAGTAGGTACATAGTAAGTATTACCTAGTACTCCTTCGTAATTGATTCCGGCTCGACCGTGGCTGGCGCCGATAGCTTCATCTACTACTGCTAGACTTGCAACTAGAAAGTGAAAAAAAATCTATACTACCTATCCTAGATAGATACCTATCTAAGTACGTGGTACGTGTTCAACTTCCAGTGCTTAATCAAGTACCTACACATACAATCCTTTTTCGTCCTACTCTGGGCCCGCCGTGCCGCTGTGGGCGTATCTCTCCCAGCTGAAGCATCCAGATCCATTCCTAGGATCATCGTATAACTTTTTTTTTATCTGATATCAGGGCTACTCTTCTGATATCTAATGAAATAAAACCGGCGCGGGTCGTCTATCCTCGTTAATACCATCGGTCTCGAACTAAAAATAGTAGAAAAGATAACGTTAGTTTGTTCGGTATAGATATTAGGCCAACAACTTTGATATCATCGTATTAATACACTTACTTCGAGAAAGTCGGTGGCGGTGACAACGACCATGAACGCTTCGGTTAATTCACTGACACGTTCTGAGAGCAGCACATCTATCTTCCCACCCCCGGCTCCGATGCCAGCTGAACGCTTGAGGACGTGCATCACCAGCATCCTGTGCTCGGTCAAGAAGCGTCTGCCTTGCAACACGTTATGTGATCCTCGACTAACTATCGCGGCACCGATGATGCGGGCGACCTTGACCAGGAGGGTATAGTGCCTTTCCAGAGCTTTGCTGTCAGACGAATCTACCTGCAGTTCCGGATCCGCTGAGAACAAGCCAGACTGCTCGATTGCGCGAAATAGATTTGCATGCAGAACGTTCTTGGCACCCTCGCGCGTCTGGCACAGCTGCAGGAGGAGCGCGAGCTTAGCGTTGAGATAATTTTGCTGTGCCGTGTCACCTAAAAATCGCCGACTGTCAGATTACTGAACGTCAAGAATGTGAATAGTATCAGAAACTTACCTGTCCGATAAGCGTTCTCCCATTCTGCCAATACGCTGCGGAGAGAATCGACAAGTATGCCGATGAAGTTCAGCCTGTTGAGTGCCTCCACCACAAAGTTCTCATTTTCCAGTTTGCCAACTTGCACCAGGGTGCTCAAGAGAACCAAGGCTGCTGACTGGCAGCCCGCATCTCCGCCAAACGCGTCGTCGCAGACCACACCCAACAGCTTCTCGCCGAACGCCTGTATCGTTCTTGTCGTTTTTCGAAGACCTGACGAAACCCCTTGTCCATGGTCCACGAGCCCCGTCAAGTAACGATAGCAAATACTGTAGTAAACTGCGCGTAATTCTTGATTTCCAACCCACTTTGAGATTGCACTTAGGCAGATCTGAAGAAGCTGGAAAAGCTTGTCGCTAATCAGATTCTCCACTGCCCTACTCTCTTTGTCTGTTGAGGTCATGGTTGCGAAGTCGAGCTCAAATAGTAGCACCTTCGCAAGGTTGGCCAGCTCGTAAGCAGCACGGGGATTATCCGATCCGTATGCTTCGAGGCCGGGCAGCGTTGCCTGTAGTGTCTGTAGGAGGAACGAGACTTTATTCGTACCTTTGAAGTCGTTGCAGTTGGTCATTACCATTAGGAGCCTCGACCACGCCCTCAAATTCTTGAGGTTATATAGCTTGACTTGGTTGAAACGGTTGAAATACCTCAAGTACTGCAACATATGTTCTTCTCCTGCCTCGATTTGCGCAATGTCTTGCTGTAGAACTAGCTGACCAGATTTGTGATCCTCGTTACGTTTTAAGAGTAAAATCTCCTGGACTTTGACTAGATTATACACCTGATTGAAATCGTCGTCCTCTTCAAGACATGACTCCAAACCAAGTGCTGTATACGGCCCAATGTCCGGCGAGGGAGCTTCAAACATACTTTCTTGAGGTAATGAATCGTGAAACTCGAACACCGAAGGTACAGGTATGACGTCTAAGCCGTCTACCTTGATTTGGCCGCCAAGGGCATCAAATATCCGTCGCTTGAGCACAGGGGTATGGCCTTGTGACACAGTACAGAGCTCGCGAGTGATATATTCGAGCGCCATGGCTCTCATGGAAAGGTGGTTGACGTAACCCTCAGCTGCGGGGGATGCGAGGAAGTCGGGCCCAGAGATTTCTTCCCTCTCCCACGTCAAATCTTGCTGGGCTATCAGATCTTGCATGAGAATATGGAACAGAAAGTCATTATCTCTGAGTTCGTCCAGAATGATGCTAGTCGATAGTGAAGATGTCCAGAGTATTCTAAGAATTCGCATCACCTTGTACTTTAAATTGATGAGCCATCCAAGCATAAGCCCCTCTTCGCTTTTTGATGGGACTTCGATGATCACGGGCAATAATGTATGGAATAGGGATGACCTGCTGTCGAATGAGCTACCGGGTGTGATCTCGAGTGTACTAGCACCGCAACGAAAACCGAGGAGTAGGTGAGCGACTGTCGGGTGATCCGGGCTTGCCCGTAGGCAAGAGTAGAGGAAATCGAGTATGTAGATTTTGATCTGGTATTCTGGCGAAGCGTCTTCCTTACGGAAGTCTAGGGGACACTTGAATTCGGCAATAAACGAACCAGCTATAGTAGCAGCATCGTTACCTTCCTCTAGAGCCATGATAGCTTTGTTGCGATGAGACAGTCGTGAAGGTCCTGACTGCCAAGCTGAAATCATCCTTGGCGAAGCAGAAATCTTCTCCAGAAGTTTTAAGCTAGCCAATGTCAAATCTGGATGTCCTATACCACAGAAGCTGCCAAGATCGGATATCAAGGTCATACTAGTCATGAGGCCATCTTCTATGGAAGCAAATGCCCCATTTGATGTTGGTATGTACGGCGATCGACTCTGTGCTCGAGCTTGCGGCTTCACAATTGGTCGAACGAGGTCTATGTAGGTAGCTTGAAGGTCTAAGGCTTTAGAGAGTAGCTCAACTGCGCGCAAAACACTCAGAATCAGAGGCGAATCTGGCGCCGCTTTTCCAATGTCTGTGGAGTTTTGATGTATTGTGTCTAGAATGCCTTTCATGAACTTGCTGTCATACATCCACTCCATGGCCCTAGCGAATGGGTGGAGGGCGACATAGTTCTCGAGAGTTTCACTATGAATAGCAGACTCTACATTGACATTAGTCTTATTACTGAATACAATCAGATCCTCATTGAAGTTGGAAATGCAGGTGAATGCAAGGTCCAAACAGGACAATCGCAAAATCCTCTGCTGGAGGACTTCCGGGACATCCTGAGCGCGTATTGAGAACATGTGCCCCAAGGCAAAGTCGAGGTACGGCTCGATCCCAGGACGCATGCGAGTAGAAGCACCAAGGTCCTCAGGGTATGGTAATACGTCCCTCAATGAATTAAATTCATCTGGAAGGGTCGTCAGGGTTACTAGGAACTGGATAAAGGCGCTGGCGTCGTCGACCTGTGGACTCATCTCCTGAAATAGCGCTTCCATGTAAAAAGATGGGGGCAGAGAACTTGTGGAAGAGGTTGGGGCCCTATTTGAAGTAGGGGAAAGAAAATGCCCCGTGAGGCATGACTCTATATACCGCCATATGGTATGATTCAGCTCGAGGGACTTTTGGTTGAGGAGGGCGGATAGTGCTCTGAATGTACATGCTCTGATCCGAGGTGCAACTAAACTGCTAATCACTTGGAAAAGCACCTCCAACAGCCTAGATTTGGGTAAATCAAGTAGATAATTACGTGCAGCTTCGCTTTGCGCAGCAAGTTTAGCCGTTAGTCTTAGGTAAGATTCCAACATTGCGGCAAATTCAGGTTCGGTCTCAGCTTGTTCAGCGTGGAATCTCCCAGCTCTCTGCACGTTGGCCTGGCTTGTAGTAGGTTTCTCATTTCTTTTGTTCGCAAAATAGTCCAACTCGTTGATGATATGAGACCACGTAATGGTCAGCGGCCTTCGAATTTGATGGCCTTCGTCTAGAAGAAATTCATGGGCAGAAGTTGCAGACTCGGAGTCCTCAGATAGAGACTGAAGCATTTCACAAAACGCTGCTTGCACCGGTGTTGTTGCCCTCCGGGATGCCCATTGCAGAAAGCCCGACAAGTTGCTCTCAGGATCAGCCCAGAACCCGTCTGCAGCCTCTGGTCGGCCCTCGAAGGAGAAGGCAATGATGAGAAGGAATCTCTCGAGGTCATAATCTTGTTCTTGGGCCTGGCTAGCTTGGCGTTGTTCATCTTCCTCGATCTTCAGCCTTCGAAGCACGTCGGGCATGTTGGTTATGAAGGCATCCACAAATGTCTCTAGTTTTGCAGCGAGACGATCCTGTAGAGGTTTGGAGAACGGAATAGTATCCGTGGGTAAGGTCGGGGTCCTTTTTCGTAGCCATTGACGTAAGGCTTTTCGAGCGGCATCTTCCCACTCGGACGCCCTAACATCAGCAACAACTGCAAGCAAGAAATCAAAAGCACCATCCCTCAAGGCTTCAGTAAAGAGTTTTGACCTCTGCCCATCCTCTTTTTTACTTGTTAGCTGGTCCAGTACATACGTATGAACTGGGAATTCTCATCTCACCTGCATCGATATCAATGCCGGGAAGGCCCGAACCAGCAGCATCTTCCATATACCAACCACTATATTCGGCAACCCACCAAGCTTTGATCGCGGCGTTAAGGAAAGGCAAGGTTCGCATGTCATCTGACTGTTGGCAGATGACTGTATTCAGTTTTCTGGCCTGTTCTATGGTCCCGCTCCCCTCTGTCGAGCCGAATAATGTGATATAAGTGCCAAGTATGGGCATGAGATGAACTAATGAGGTTAGCTACTAACATATATTGCCATAACAACTTCGAGCATCCCCATCCAAATAAAATGCAGAGATAAGAAGAAGGGTGCAAATAGGACTCACTGGTACACGAATCATATCTAGTTGACATCTTCAAGACTCGGAGAAAATCTATAAAGTCCTGCTCGACAGCCACATGTTTCTCAATAGCGTGACAAAGGATGACGGAGAGGAGTTCATGCTGCTGGATCAGACTAATATAGGTAAGCTCAATAGTCTCCTGAAATTGAACTTCGCTGGCACGGCCTAGCACTGCGGCACTCGTGACCTGCTCAGTAAGTCTTTGGAGCCAACCCCTGATTTCGTGCATAGTAGCCATACAGGCAGGCACGAATCGCGGCCGAGACAAAGAATTAGCGGCACCAGCAGCAGGAACGCTGGCTCGGAGAATGTTCTCGTTGACATATTGACCAAGGTAGCCTAGAGAGTCACCAATGTCTTCGTCTAGAAGCTGTTCTTCCTCCTTGGAAAGCTCGAGAAGTAGCAACATGCAATTGAGCAAGTAATTCCTTTGCTGATGGAACCTTATCACGGCACATTCTTTTTTGGAGCGCCCCAGGATAGTCTCGTCTTCTTCGGCGAGGATTGTCAGCTTTGCTGCTTCGGTCTCGTCTAGTTCGAGGCCATCGGCGACCTGCAAAACGAGCTCTTGGAAGTCCTTATTCAAGGTGTATTCTTCATCGAAGGCTTTGACTTTCCCTATAGGTGGGCTGTAAGCAAAATGAACAAGGCGGGTCAGGTAGTATGGGGCGAGATCAGAACAAACCTGATAGTACAGCATCCCGGCTTTCTTTCTTCCTCGCAGGCTTTTCCAATAGGCCCTGGAATTTGCCAGCTACCGCACCTAGCAAAGGGGACTGTGAAAGCTGTGATAGTAAGAAGGGGCCTTGTAATTCGCGATCATCTTTCAGGACCTCGGTAATGGTGACCAATTCCCTATGCAAAGCCTGGAAATTTTCCAGACTACCATCATCCGCCATGGTTCGCAAATTCGGGTTCTATCGCATCGTCGCGCAGCGTAGCGGGAGGGATGAGTTCAAGATGCAATGCAATGCAATATGTGCGTATTGCTAGTCGAGTTAGCGAGGTTTATTATTTGCTGCGTAGGTTCGTTGGTTCGTTGGTGGAGATATTCCGAGTTGTAGCCTTGTTGGTAGTAGAGGTAGAGGGGCGCGATGTAGCTGGAGGGTAGGACCGGTAGGTATGTAGCTTATGTAGCTATGCCTTTGTAGATTTATTTGTTCAATGCCCTTCTTTGTTAGATTCCAACAGAAATTGATCCTGGACGTGTCAAAGCTAGTGGCCCACTTATTACTACCATGCAAGTATCCATCCGCGCTAAAATCTACATATGTAAGTTACATAGTTACATGTATTACATAAGCGGGTCGGTACAACTTATTCAACTGTACCCAAGTACTAGTAATTGTGCCTGCCACTGCCTGCCACTGCCTGGCCCGCTATGTAGTACAGCTTGAAGGCGGTCAGGGTCGGTGAAGTTTCTGCCGGCAATACCTAGTATATTTGGCCTAGCTATAACTAGATTTTTGTGGAGCTCTGGAAATAAACAGAGGTCCAGCTCTCAGCAGCTCTCAGCAGCTCTACAGTTATTCAATGTTATGTATAGGTAAGCTTCCGCCCTGCGACCTGCAAAAAAGAAAAAAAAGGGAAAGCGATCGTGAAGCTAAGAATCTCATTTCTATCTATAAATGACTTTTCACAAACTTAAAGAAATCGGAATGGTAATCAGTAACATACTACTTCGTGCCCAGTAATAAACATCGTGGCCTCCAGCTACTTATAATTTCCAACAGCAAAACATACGGGTTACGCGCCATCTCATGTTTCGGTCGCTTTAGCCGAACTATACCAACTCCCTATAAAATTATAGATGGCACAATCATAACAAGATGGCGCCTCGTTTAAGGTCACGACAAATCACTATGGATGGCGCCCGAAGTAAGTTACATTATACTCTTAGAAATATCATCTACCTACCTATGTAGGAGATAGTAGTTCGGTATAGGGCTAAAACTGAATACATAGTTGCCATCGAAAGTAGTAATAGTAGCACCCGTTCTTCTGGTTTGGATGGTAAGTTTGGCCTTCGATTTTTATTTCAGATGAAAGATGAAAGTACTATAATATTAACCCCTTTCAGATTTAATCCATATCTTCAAAGAGCAAGCCAAAGCCTCGAATTTGTGAGCCCGTCTTAACAGAGCCCTATATTCCAAACTAACAGTCTCCAGCTCAACCCTTGATGATAAGAGCTACCATATAACATTTGAGGCTCTATTTCGATGTGCTTTGACTGAAAAAAGGGCTTACTATAGCAGCAAAAGCACTGCTGCCAATAGGCTTACCAAATGCGCAGAAGCTGTCCGTCTCGGTGTCGAACTAGGCGCCGGCAAGATTAAGCGGAAAACCGTTCTTGCTGTGATCGACCACATTACCCAGACTCTACCACACCCTGAAGATGAAGTAGTCCTGCCGCTTGTCCAAGATTATATCAAAGCACTAGTCGCTCTCCTAAGTCATGCTACTTATGTCGAGTTGCTTGCAATGGGAGATGGGGAGGGTTGGTTCACATGCGTTGACTTTGCTATTGATATCTTGACCTTGTATCTAGCAGCCACTGATAAAGACCTAACGGCTTCGAGGGCTTCGCCGGCACCCGGAACCGGACAGTCGTCTTTGACCTTGTCAACTCCAAGATCCACAGCTCCGTCCCAAAGAGCCAGCCGAGTTTCGAGGGGCCAACTGCCCGATCTCCTGCAATGCCTCCTTCACCTTGCAACCACTCCGAATGCGCCGCTCTTGCAACGCTCAAAGGAGATGTCGTCTGTTGTGATTCAAATCCTACAGCTTCGTTCCCTTGGAATAGGCCAGTTGCATCAGCTAGCATTCGCCTTGATTAACCGGCTGTTTGTTGTGTCCCAAACAGATGATTCTGATCATGCAAGCTCTCTAGCTATGGATTGCCTACCATTAGTGAGCCAATGGTGGCAAACGAAAACCGCATCTGCTCACGATGCACTTCTCAATGGCGTTCGAGTCGAAATGTTGAGGCTTCTACTGAACATGCATCTCCAACTCGAATATTTAGTAAGGCAAGGTAACAAGCCGTCGATCCTTAGTGACATTGAAAATCTTGCCGAATTATTCTGGAGCGAATATTCTAGACGGGAAGAACGCGCTCGGTTTCAACAAGATGACCTTACATATTCCTCTGCTCCTCGCAGTGGCACTGTCTTCCAAGTGCACTTATTTTCTTTACGGCCCTGCAATGTCGACGGTGAGAAACACTGGGCGGCCGTGCATGTTCTAGCCCTTCTAGAATGTCTCCTCTGGAAAGGTTCTCAGCAACCTCACACTACTTCTATTATTGATGAACACCCGCGGAAGAAGCAAAGAACGGCTGTGGGTTTTAGTCGCCTCCGCCAGAAATTACGGTCTCTAGACCACTCTATACAATATACCGCTCTACAGATCATACCATTCTTTGTATCAGGCCTCAAAGTCGAAATCGATGAGATGTCTGAACTTCTGTCTTTCTTAATGAGTCAAGTTACCAGCAAGAACAACCAAGTATCGACGTGGGCCATGATTGCTTGTGCAAGGTTGGTTCGACATGTTCCATATGAATACTACACGCTAACTATTGGAAAGCTTAACTCCTCAAGCCAGCGCCCTTGACGATTCTCTCTCTGTACACTGGAAGCAAGTATGGCAGATTGCAGTACGATCGGTCAGCATGACTGCAAACTGCCGAGCCTCAAGCATCCTTCTCCATTCTATCATAACTAACAAGCTAGTAACATATCGTGATATCGCTGACGATATCAACAGCATAGTTACTACCGCTGATGTGAATGGACCAGCTGTTGTAGTTGATTCCTCCCTCGTACTAATGACAACTCTTCTTCATCTTCGGAATCAACAACTACCTGGCGCCAGTTATGCGACTTGTAATCATGTAGTTCGCTGGATGTTTTTCAGATGGGATCCTGGTGAGTGAGCCTTGACTATCGAAGTCTATCCTAAATCTGACTTATTATGCAACTGCAGCCGATGCGTCCTTTATATCGTCTTATTCTAGTCACGTCATTCCGCTAGATGTCGTCAACCTAATACAAGCTGCCTATGGCAATCCAGAGGTGGTCTTGTCCAGGCCGTCTCAGACGATTTCCGGTCCAATTGGGGAGACGCTGAGTTTACTCCAGAACCGTGAAAGCTTGATCAGATATCTGCTTCTGTTAGACCCTATTGCTCCCCTATCTGATACAGAACCCAGCAACCAGCCCCCTACCGCTACAGCTGCACAGTCCAGCGATAGTTTGAATACGCATGGCACGAAAAAACTTGTCGCAGAACTCTTCTATCCAAAACTTGAGGAGGTCAGAGCTCTATGCGAGAGTTGGGATAAACAGAAAGACAATTCCGCCCAAGTAACTCCAGAGAAGCTTCAGAGTATTGTCTCTTCCTTGGTTGTTGGTGCTATTGCCCTCCCTGGAATTCTCGAGGCGGATTCGAGGCAATCGCAAGAGATACATCAACTCGTATTTGCGATTCTCCAAACTGCCTTAGCTGCTGTCTCAAAGTCCTACGAGAACCAAGTGCTTTATGATTGCCTCCTTGTATCAGTCCGGCCATACATGCCAGCGCTGTCGAGTGCCGAGTTGGGAAAGTTCGGAAGAGAATGGATGTATCTTCACAAATTGTTTGTTGATATATCTAGCGCATTTCGCAGGAGGGCTGGAAATCAACAATCCGACTCCAACAACGACGACGATTTCATGGATCTTGATGACGACTTTGACACCAAGGAACGGCGGTCTAATATATCATCCAAGTCACTTGAAATATCCCGGCGCGATTCCACCATTGTGTTGCAAGGGGCAACCTTCTATGCTGATAGCATTCAAAGACTCCGCCTCTTTGATACTCTTTACGAGGATAATGGTCAAATTGGTCTTGTACCAACGTCGTTTCTCAATGACTTCCTTGACTTATCGGATGAAGAACTCATTTCATGTCGCTGTTTGATCAAAGATTTATTCGACTCCGACCTCATAATAAACCCCGATGATGCCGATAAAGTGATCAACAGGATAGGTCAACTGATTGGCAGCACGGCTTTCTCAAGTTGCGAGGTTGCTCTGAATGTTTGCCTTGATGTAATGGAAGGGCTCATGCCAATATGGTCTGACAGCGATGGTGACATCTCTTCTAACGTAGGGGATCTATATCACTACTTCCTCAATTCTGGGCTGAAGAATAATATCCTCTCACCAAGCGCCCAGATATCACTATCTCGATTACTCTTCCGTCTAACTCTAGTTAACGAGAACTATCCACAAACAGTTAGAATGGCACCCCCAAGCACATCGCTGTTTGAGTTACTCAGGAGCGCATCGATGCCCGTGAAATATTATATCGGAGCCCGCCTACCCAGCTTATTTGGCCGATATGTCCTAAAATCCCATGATGGGATTTTGGTTGATGTTTTAGATGTCCTCCCAAGTAGAAGCGATTTTCTCGAAGGCATAGCATTGCGGCTCTTTGTTCTCTCCGAGTTAGCACGAGAGTGGCCTACCCTTCTACGACGTGGCATATACCACATCTTTGAAATCCCCGGGGAAATTCCAGGTTCGAACAGACATGCAGCGCGTTGCCTGGATAATATATCTACCTCCCTAAACCTTGAGAACACACAACAACTGTTCGATCTATTTGCACCCCAGCTACTTTACACTTGGCTTGAAACCAAAGATATCGACGACCTACCGTTTATGATTTTCAGCTTCTCATCGCTAGAAGATTTGCTACGACGTGCACAGTCTGAGGTAGTGGCCTTGATGGTGATGCGGGGACAGGATGAAGAAGCCGCTAAACTGGCGACAACTCTCGGTGATAGCCTGCCTGAACTAATTCAACGCAATTTTTCAAAGATTATTGCTTATAGTATGGCTCACGACATTAGTATGCCAAAAATGGAACAGCAAAAGAGTGGCGAAAGTCGATTGCGTAGGATTCTTGGTCGAGAAGCCTTTCTTGAAGGTATATACGTTCACTTTGCCGACATCGTCGGATTGTTTTTCTGCCTTATCGACCAGGAGGACCCGATCGAAAAGTCCTGGGCTAGAGAAGAGAGCTTTTCCTATGCCGCTACAATTATGGCAGAGATCAAGAAGCGTGGCCACTCTGATATCGTTTTATCCCCGAATCAGCAGCCAATGTTCCGAGCCAAGTATCTCACAAGAGAGATAGCACTTCTATGCAGCCGGACGGAATACGAGATAACCACGCTATGGACGCCCGCACTCGTAGTAAGCGTCGCCAGGAGACTACTTCATGGCATTCATTCGGCAATGGGACCATTACACACATGTTCTGTGCTTAGAAAAATCCGAGTGCTCGTTTGTCTAGCTGGTCAAAATGCCTGGCAATCGTACCCGTTGGAAATGTTGCTACAATCCATACGACCCCTAATTGTTGATACTGAATGTGCAGACGATGCACTTGGAATGAGTCAATATCTCTTGGAAAAGGGGCGAGAGTCCTTGTCTCAGTCGCCTTCATTCCTGGCTGGCTACGCTTTATCAGCTCTTGCTTCCCTCCGCGTATTCTTAGAAACCAGCCAGTCAAGCACGACGCAAGAAAGCCAATTCAAAGCTACTATGAGTAAAGCCCAGAGGTTCCATTCCTGGTTCACAAAATACCTAGAGGATTACAACTCACCTTTCTTCCGAGGCGACGAGCAGCGGAATGCCTTTGAGGCTATTACGCGGTCTGCGGCACACGTCCAAGCAGCTGGAAATGCAGAGCGAGGTACTTACGAGAGTAGACTTCTATTAGAAATTCTTCAAGATGGGGCACATGGATCTCAGTTGTTAAATGAGCCATCACGCAAACTCGCACTAGAAATGCTTTGCAGCCATTTCACGATTCCGGCTTCGCACAACATCGATGTGGTCAGCTCTGATGAAGAGGCATTGTCTTGGGTAACTGTTGTGTGGAAGAGCTGCCAGGCACAAGGTCTAAGCAACGAGTACCTTGCTTGGGCAGGCCGTGTAGTTGGTAGAGGCTTTGCCGCGTCTGGTCACGTTGATCCAGACTTGTTGAGAGAATCCGAGTTGTCGAGATACTACAACGTATCAATAGATGCCTCCGGATCAGAGCATGGCCTATTAAGTCTTCTACAGTCTTTGACGTCGGATAGTGATTGCTACAGGGCGGGACTTGCAGAGTCTGCGTTGAGAACCATCGTCTCGGATGCCGCGGCCCAAGGGGAGAACAGCTTGTTCATAGCATGTCAGAAGGTCCTATCTGATCAGCTTCTCGTGGCATCGGATTGGGCATCGTATAGAACCCCGCCGTCAGATAACCTGCTTATTACCCCTGTCCGCGAAGACTATGCTCTCTCTAGTGAGACATTCGAAAGCGCAAAATGGGCTCAGATTGTCAGCGTATACTTGGCACAGTCATATCCAAAGAGCATTATTCTAAGTGCTCTACCTCCTATACTCACCAACGTCAAAGGCTTTGCCCAACAAGCATTTCCCTTTGTTGTTCACTTGGTCCTCCTCTTTGAGCAGGAAAAGCAGCAATCTGTCAAACGAAGTCTCTCAAGTGCGTTAAAGATTTGGCTTAAACTGGATTCATCGCATGCAAAGGAAAACACGAGTCTTCTCATAAATGCTATTCTATATCTGAGAACACAACGGCTTCCAAAAGAGAATTCCATAGCTGACCGAGCCCAATGGCTCGATCTAGACCTTCTTTCAGTTGCTTCGGCGGCCGCAAGATGCGGCATGTACAAAACAGCGTTGCTATTCGTTGAAATGACGATCTCTGAAGGGTCTCGTGCATCTCGTCGTTCGTCTGTCAACCGAGCTCAAGAATCCACGGATGTGCTTATGGATATATTCGAAAATATCGACGACCCAGATGCCTATTACGGCCTCAGCCATACCTCAAGTTTAAGTAACGTGCTCGCGCGACTTGAATATGAAAAAAACGGCAGTATGAGCCTAGCATTTCGTGGTGCGCAATACGATAGTCATATTCGGAGAAGAGATCCAGCGGCCAACCTCGATAGTCAATCACTAATAGGGACTCTTGACAACCTCGGACTATCAGGGCTATCACATTCTTTACTTCAAACCCAGCAGAACATAGACAGTTCATCCACCGCCGTAGATAGCACGTTTAGTACAGCTCGACGTCTTGAAATTTGGAACCTCCCAGCCCCCACGTCAACAGAAACCCCTTCAGTTACTCTATATAAAGCATACCAGGCTTGGCACCAGGCCACTGAACTAGGCCCAGCAAGAAGAGCCACGTACAATGGTTTCAGCGAGACCATGCGAATGGTAGTTGGAAAAGAGCTCAGTCCAGCCCGCCTCCGCCATTACTTAGGGACGTTGGCCGTTTTAGTGGAGCTCAATGATACTGTTGAGGTGACCGACTCAAGCGAACTTGATAAAATATTGGCTTCATTTTCAGATCGATCTGAGTGGATGAAGAGCGGACGGTACGTAACGAAACGAGACACCCTTTCAACACCGTGTGGTCACTAACATCATGTAGGTATGAGGATGTCAGCCAAATATTATCCTGCAGAGAAACAACATTGAGTGTGCTAGCCCAGACCTCCCAGCGCCGCGATATGACCAGAATCGACCCTCCAGAAGCAACCTTGGCACAGATTAAGTCAATGCTACTATCATCTAGTGTCTATAGATATCATCGAGCATCCCAAGAATCTCTAAACATTGCAACATCTCTTACAGATCTAGTGTTGCCGAGTGTAGATCTAGGATTGCATCTCGACTCTGTGGCTAAATTCGAGGCCGCTGATTCTCTCTGGGATCACGGCGAAATGATATCCTCTATCCATATGTTACAAAGCATTGGCGATGATCCAAATCCCAAAAAGCAGACAATTCCTATCAGCCGGCCCGATCTCCTCGCGAAGACTGGATATCAAATATCGGTAGCCAAGCTAGAGAAACCAGAAACGATACAGAAAGATTATTTACAACCTGCTCTAAAGGAGCTTAGGGGAAAGACTGATGGCCGAGAGGCTGGTAAAGTCTATCATCAATTCGCTACGTTTTGTGACGAGCAGCTGGAGAACCCAGGTGGACTTGAAGACTTGACTCGTTTGCAGCACCTAAGGAAGGGTAAAAGTGACGAGGTCATGCAACTTAAAAGCCTCGTGTCCAACACGAAGGAGTCACAGGTCAAGGCGAGATATCAAAATTATCTCTCGAAAGCAAAGCAGTGGCTTGAATTGGATGAACAAGAACTGAAACGAGTCGAACAAAGCCGAACTGAGTTCGTGAGACTTAGTTTAGAGAACTACCTCCTCTCCCTCGTAGCCTCTGACGAATACAACAACGATGCGCTCAGATTTACGGCTTTGTGGCTTGAGCGGGCGACTGAGAATTATACCAATGAAGCTGTCGGGAAATACATTCACAAAGTTGCGAGCCGGAAATTCGCTCCGCTTATGAATCAGCTTACTTCGCGCCTGCTTGAGCAGAATAACCTCTTTCAGAAGCTCCTCATGGATCTCGTGTATCGTATCTGCGTTGAACACCCATATCATGGAATGTACCAGATATGGTCAGGGATAAGATCTAAAATAAACGACAAAGATGACATGGCCGTGTTACGGCGGACAGCTACGGATAGAGTTGGGAAGAAGCTTGCCCAAAATAGTTCGACCTCGGCATTGTGGACTGCCGTTGACAAGACAAGCAAGGCTTATCATATGTTTGCGTCAGAGCGTGATGCGTCGCGCTATAAGGCAGGTCAAAAAGTTGCCGTTAAGGACTCAAGTGCTGGTTCCGGTCTGGCCAGCGCTCTGGCAAAATGGCATATCCCTCCTCCAACTATGCAAGTAGAGCTCTCAGCCAGTCTAGACTATAGTCATGTTCCGTACATCTCTAAGATTGAGCCAACCATGTCTATCGCCTCCGGTGTCAGTGCACCAAAGATCATTACGGTGGTAGGCTCAAACGGGGAACGATTCAAGCAGCTGGTCAAAGGTGGCAACGACGATCTCCGCCAGGACGCAATCATGGAGCAAGTCTTTGCGGCCGTGTCGGCCGTGTTAAAACACCACCGATCTACCCAGCAGCGCAACCTTGGCATCCGAACATACAAGGTATTACCCCTTACTGCCGTCTCGGGTCTTATCGAGTTCGTCTCGAACACTATACCACTTCATGAATATCTCATGCCCGCCCACGAACGATATCATCCAAAGGACCTCAAGGGATCTCAATGCCGAAAGGAGATTTCTCAGGTGCAGAACAAGTCGTCCGAAACGCGTGTGTCCACTTACAAGAGAGTCACCGATCGATTCCAACCTGTGATGCGTTATTTCTTCATGGAGCATTTCGTCGATCCGGACGAATGGTTTGCCAAGCGTACAGCGTATACCCGTACTACTGCAGCAGTTTCCATATTAGGCCACGTTCTCGGCCTTGGCGATCGTCACGGCCACAACATCCTCCTCGACTCCAAAAGTGGCGACGTGGTCCACATCGATTTGGGTGTGGCTTTCGAAATGGGTCGCGTGCTACCGGTCCCGGAGCTGGTGCCTTTCCGGCTCACACGCGACATAGTGGACGGCATGGGCGTCACCAAGACGGAAGGCGTCTTTCGAAGATGCTGCGAGTTCACGCTGGACGCGCTGCGGGAGGAAACCTATTCCATCATGACCATCCTCGACGTGTTGCGTTACGATCCCCTGTATTCCTGGTCGATGAGCCCAGTCCGCATGTCGAAACTGCAAGGCACGCGCCGAGACGGGGAAGAAGAGGGGGCCGACGCCGCCGAGATCGACCCGAAGAAGAAGAAGAAGGCCGTCGCCAGCGGCACTATAGGCGTTGTGAACGAACCAAGCGAGGCCGACCGAGCGCTCGAGGTCGTGCGCAAGAAGCTCAGCAAGACGTTGAGCGTGACAGCCACGGTCAACGATCTGATCAACCAAGCAACGGATGAGAGGAATCTGGCGCTTTTGTATTCTGGTAAGTGCTTACCTACCCCCTTCGATTTTAGCCCAGCTATTATCGGACTTGTTCTAACATTCGTAATTAGGATGGGCTGCTTATGCCTGAGCACATACGTATGATACCCGATGTATAAAAACTCTCTAGAATACCCCAAGATCATCACTATTATGTATATACGATTCGGAAAAGATGGATAGATTGTATTTGTGCGGCTAGGAAGGTGGATATAGGTCAATCCGTACCTAGGATACGTAGGATATGGAACTATGGTATTTTGTGGTACTGGTCAAAGAAATGCAAGTTTTCGGATTGGTACGTGGATATGCAAAATTGCGTAGAGGTATGATGGTATGTTAGGTAGTTTGTATGAAGTCATCTGAGCTACCTACCTGGGTAGGTGGGTAGATCATTACACCGGACTGCGAGTCTTCGTGGAGTATATTGTAAAATCCAAGTGGGACATGGTACGCCATCGTGACACGATGCTGTAGATCGTGGGCGGTTTGTTGTAGATAAGGCTATTATCTACGCTTGCAAAGTCTCCCCTCTAGCCATGTAGGTATTTGGCTGCATGTAGGTAGATAGGCATGCATGTATATAGGTAGGTAAAATATATATAGCTGAAGATGCCTATATATACCTATACATCGGTATTTATGCCACTCTTGATCGGAATCAGAATAGGGACGGGGCTGAGAGATGGGGCTAAGGAATCCTGTGTGCTATAAATACACGGGCCTACCTAACTGCCACCCCCCCTTTTCTCCTAAAATAGCGTGACCGAGATCATACAGCGACCTCCTGCTTTTGCTCCTGCACCAATTCCTGTTCCTGCTCCTGTCTAGCAGCAGTAGCCTCGGCCTTGGCGCGCCGCTTACGCGCCCTGCGGACCTCGATCTCGACCTGCGCCATCTCTGCGCCGACAGCGACCAGAGCCGGGATCACCGTCTCGACGGCCTCGATGCTCTGCGCTTGGGCCTGGCGGAGCGCGAGAGGGGTTAGGAGGCCGAACCAGCGGATCGGGTCTTTCTGTTTCTGTTTTTGTTTCTGCTGCTTCTTTTCTTTGGTATCTCGAGGAAGAGAAGAAGAAGAAGAAGGGCCGGCTTGCTTGCCTAATCCTTCTTTACCGGAAAATCCCGGGATGGCGTTATCATTCCCAGCAGCTTTCTCCGTGTCGGAAGGCTGCGTGGCGTGTGTTGGCGGGTCCTCGGGGGATCTGGCTTCCGGATCCTCCGCCGCCCCCTTTTTTACGGTGAAGGTGAATAATCCACTGGTGACGGTTTTCTGGTCACCACCACCACCACTACTGCCACCGTCATCACTACTCGTAGGTTCTACCGTTATTCTCCGGGTAGCCTGCATACGCTCATCGTAGTGGTCCTGACCAAAGCGCATTCCTCGCTCGGCGGCGAAGTTGGCGCGGGCGATGTTCTGATACATGCCCGTCTGCAAGTTGCTGAGCTGGCCTCTTAGGGCTGTGTACTGGTGGAGGAGATGCAGGTATCGCTCCAGCAGCTTGTCGATGTGATCAGTCTCCATGGTTAGGACTAAGAGGTACTCTACTGCCTAGTAGTTTGGAGATTTCATGTGTAGATTCTTTGCACTGCCGTTCCTGTAATATTTATGTACATATGTAGATGGATGTTGATGGTACCTAGGTACTTGGGTACACTTCGTTGGAGACATGCAGATGTGGATCTCTCGAGGTTAGTTAGTTTGATACGCCACATGTGGCTGTAGTTATTGAAACCCTCTTTTGGAGAAGGACCCCCTTTCTCTCAAACCCCCACTTATCCCCTCTCCCTTCAATGCTCTTCCACCTTCAAATATTTCTTCATTCCTGTCAGACGTCACCTTGTAAGTTATAAAAGTCTCACTGCATTTATTTCATATCATTCGTTGGCATCGCGAATAGGAAGCAACGGGAGGAAAAAAAGAATGAAAAAAAAGTGACACCAAATACCATATGTCCACCTTCATTACTACCGCTCCTAAAGCTCCTACAGCTCCTACAGCTCCTACAGCTTGGCACATGCAGACTGTCCAAGTACCTAAGATCTCTTTTTTATCATCTGCAAGACACACCGATGCATTGTGAGCCCTACCAGAGGGTCCAAGTGGCCGAAGGGGGGTGACCCTCCTTCTTTGCTGGAAACCGGCCCAATAACGACCGTGGGCGGTTAGGATTCGAACCATGTGGCCAACCTCGGAGGGTTTTTCTTGGGGGTTTTTTTCTCGGCTTGGGTATGTTTGTTTGCTATCACCTTTTCAAATGTGCCTACATACTGTACCTTCACAGCTACGCAGCTATGTACGTAGATGTTCCCCCTCCACATTTCTCCACGTTACTTTCCAGACGATCTTGCGTCCTTTTTTTTCTTTTCTCCCAATACGATGTCGCTGATAAGGAGGCGGGGACAAGACTACCGTACTATCGGTAGGGCATCACACAAAAAGCGACCTCTGGAGAGGGCCTTTGCCGTGACGAGGGTTGTACTCATCTGGTCCCTCCCTGTGCCACTGCCTATACACATACATGTGCTATGCTGGCGAGCTTCTTTCTACAGCGCCAAAATCGCCTGACCGTTGCTTTGCCTGGCTGCCACGTAGTACCGGTGTCCCAGCGTCCCAGTTAAGAGGGTGTACAGAGAGAATGCTTTCTGATCTGGGCGAGAGGATGCCAATTGGAGCTGCAGATACCCTTCCTTCACCCTTGATCGACAGCTTTGCCACGACCGAGATCTCCAACCGTCGTGGAGTAAATTACACACTGGATATGTATGTACCCTAAATACCTAGGTGATGAATTCTCTTGGCCTTATCCCGAACATATTCAAATAGCACAGTCAACGCCGACCCAAGGAGCCAGACGCCAGACGTCAGACGCCAGACAATATACACCTCATGAAGAGGCGGCTAGATGAATGCTGCCGTGTCGGAGCTGCAACACTCGCTCCGAGTATAGATTGAGGATGTGAAGGGCCCGACGAATGATCTTGGTTGTAAGATGTGTTGCAGTTAGTTCGTGGTGTTTCACTGCAGATTCCATGCATCTAGTAACTCATGTTTGAACCCTTGGCTACCCTGGAATGATCGAATCCGATCCGTATCTCAGCTTCGCAGCTGTCAAAAAGTAAGGCTGCCGAAATTCTATGCAAAAGAAAGTTTGCTTCCGCTCCAGATATATTACAGTTTACCCTACTATGTATGTAGCTAGTAGGTATGTACTATGTAGGTCGGTGTGTAGACTTATTAAGTGCCTACTTACCTGGGTATATACCTATATGTATCTAGGGTACTGACTTCCACGGATGTTCTAGAAAGGAGCGCAGGGTTACAGTTATGAGGGCCCTTCCCACCTTGTCATTGCTTACCTAGCAGCTGTCTAAGTGACTAATACCTGATGTTCAATAAGGTATGTAGGCGCCATACGTCGTCATGAAGGGTCGTGATGACGCTGCATGAATAAACGACAACGGATAAGACCCAGGTATATATGCACATGCGCATGGCGAGCTGGGTTCATCGAATACGAAAACTAACCCGAAGGGGGCGACTTTGTCATGCTTTTACCTCCAGATGTCGAACCAAACCGAACTGTAGGACATACAAGTCTAGTAACAGCACACAGCACGTTGGTTTTTTTGGGGATATTTCTTCTTTTTTTTCATTTTTTTTTTCAGCAGGCTTATCTTTAATTATCAAGATCCCCTTAAGAGGAGGATCTCGTTAAACAACACGATGATATTTAATAACAGCTGTGTCGTAAGAAAAGTTTTCTCGTTAAAATTATTTAGTTAGTTGACCCCATCCTGGCTCCGTGTTGATTTCCCAGCGTGCACCACCCCCCTTAAGGCTTGAGGGCGTAAGAGATTCCGAGAGCATTGCGCATAAACTGGTCATCGCTTCTGTTATTCAAGCACACATATATATACTAGTATATACGTCGTATATCATTTCATTCAATGTTAACAGTACTACTAGGCATGTATCTATGTATGTGCGTAGTATTTGTTGGTTTGGGCTATTAATCCTGGATATTCAGTATTGTACATATATCGGTAACATTGAACTATGTATATGTGTGACATGGAATCATTGAATTGATAAGTCTGAAATACCTACATACATACTACTAGTAGTAGCAGCATGTTGAATCACAAATTAAACAGAAAAACTGAACAACGCATAAAGTTTCAATGTTGTTCAGTCGGGGCCAATGATCAAGTCAATTGACATTGCTGTGGTGTGATCAATGACTTGATAAGTGACGAGAATGTGACTTTGCGACTTTCAACGTTGTAAATTCAAAGTTGAGCACGCCCAGGCGGCCCAGCACAGGGCCAGCACTGGCCCAGCAGGCCTAGTACCATCAAATGTACTTAAGGTATTGTACATAGGCTGAGTGCTTGTTTAATTGCATAAATCCTAGAGGAGCTAGGCGGTATTGTGGGGCAAAAAGGGGATTACCTAGGCAGATTCAAGTTGAAAAAAAAAACATTGAAGACACATGCAATGTCTGGAATTGATAGGTATGGATAACTAGGTACATAGGTACTTTCATGTACCTAGGGGGGAGTCGGGGGACAGACATCAACATTGAAGCCAGGATGGATAAAGAAAATTGAAGTGGGAAAAATGGCTAAGAGAAAAAAGAAAAGAGCACGGGATTTTGAGTACGTACCTCTTAATTATCCCGTTTAGATGTTTAGGTCTGTGCAAGAACGAATCAAATCATAGTACAAATTTAATGTTACTTGCATTTAACTCAGTGGTGCAGCTGGTGCAGCGTGCTATCTACATGTACTTGTATGTACATGCTAAAATCACTGCACATGTGTGTTTTCAACGTTACCGAACCTTACAATAGGTACAGCACGGTACTCATAGCACCTAAATAATACCTGCAGGCTGCACTACATACCTAGTTACTCGCAGTCTTTGCACTACTTACACTTGCGCTGTACACTAACTGATCTGCTAATCTTATCAACGCTCCGGACCCTGCCAATTCTCCCAGTAACTTGTCCCAAGTTCCCAGTTCCAGTTCCAGTTCAGTTCCAGCTCTAGTCGCATTTGCAACAGTGCAGGTGCAAGTGCGAGTGCAAGTGTGCAAGTGCAAGGTGCAAAGTGCAAGGTGCAAAGTGTAGTTGCAGTTTGCAGTTCACAGGCAGGTCTAATCCAGTCTAATCCAGTCTAATCCAGTCAAGGCCCGTTCCTGTTCTTGTCGCCCTCGAATCCTTCTTTTCGTTCCGCCAACACTTTACCACTTTACCACTTTACCACTTAACCACCTACCTACCACTTACTGCCTACCTACCTTACCAACTTACTAACCTATCTACCTACCTAATACTTTCTCCATCTTCATCTACTTCCAAGTTCCCTCAACTTCAACAATTACAAGGTTCTCTCTCTTTGTAATTGATATTGCATCTTTTTCCTTTTTTTTTAAACACCCTCTCTCCCGCCGAGTCTCTCCCTCCACCCCCCAGTCTTTTCCCTCACCGCCGTCAACTATCGAGGTTTAGACTTGAGACATTGTCCCTCTCAGGCTCCATAACCCCTCTGCCATCTTTATTTTATTTTATTTTCCTTCGACGCCTTCTTTTTTTTATCCTCTGCGAATTAGCCGATACCCGCCGACGTCTATCCAGCTTGCTCGCGATAAGAGAAGCTGCACCATCGGGACATCGACGTATCGCTCTTGCTCCTGCGAAGGAGCTCTAGCAAGTCAATATGGTGGTGGCCACAATCAAGTCAGTAATCATTACTTCCTTCTTCGTCTTCTTCTTCTTCTTCTTCTTGTTCTTCTACTCGCTCCCCTTTATCCCTTACCCCATCCCTTCCCATCTCATATCCTATCCTATTTCATCATCTAGTCTATTCTGGACACAAACATCACATGGAAGAAACGCGCGGCTGCATAACCCATCTCTTTGAGAATGTGTAGACCTACATCAATGTCTCAACAAAGATGCAATTCACGCCGCTTTCATATCCAAATCACGCGTCACTCTGTCCATCCTATAATTCTCTAACATGACGCAATCGCCTTTCTTGGAAATACTATATACTAACATGATACCTTGGCTTACAGGTGCGTGGTTGTTGGAGATGGTGCTGTCGGCAAGACATGTTTGCTCATCAGCTACACCACCAACAAGTTCCCGTCGGAATATGTGCCGACAGTCTTTGACAACTATGCCGTCACGGTCATGTGAGTTCCTCGAACACTTTTCCCATCACTCTTGCCATTGGCGCGTTGGAGACATACTATTCATCACCAATTGGATCCATGTCAACGCTTTGAAGTGGCCATGAAGATAAGCTAATATAAGCTTTCACTTCCAGGATAGGAGATGAGCCGTACACGCTTGGTTTATTTGATACCGCCGGACAGGAAGATTACGATCGTCTTCGACCCCTCTCGTATCCCCAAACCGATGTGTTCCTTGTCTGCTTCAGTGTCACTTCCCCCGCCTCCTTCGAGAACGTCCGGGAGAAGTGGTTCCCCGAGGTCCACCACCATTGCCCTGGTGTCCCCTGCCTTATCGTCGGCACTCAGACAGATCTGCGAGAGGACCCTAGCGTCCGAGAAAAACTATCCAAGCAAAAAATGCAGCCTGTGCGCAAGGAAGATGGCGAGCGTATGGCCAAGGAACTCGGTGCGGTCAAATACGTGGAGTGCAGTGCCTTGACCCAATACAAGCTTAAGGACGTATTCGACGAGGTTTGTAGCTTCCAACCCTCATAAGATATATGATGGTATAGCAAGTTGCGAGTTAAAATACTGACTATTCTTAGGCGATCGTCGCAGCACTGGAGCCACCCCCGCAGAGGAAGAAGCCCCATAAGTGTTTGATATTCTAATGCCGCCGCTCGACCGAAGTACCAAACATTTCTTCCCTCTTTCGCCCTTATTGAGCAACGTCGCCACGGAATTCCAAGATTGGAAGGTTTACGGACATGTCGTTCTTGGGCAATTTCCACAACATATGCATTTTTCGTAATAAGGGCGATCTTTAGACATTTGCGCTTGTGATACCACAAGTGGATAGGATTCAGAATGAATCAAAGTTTGGTGGAAGCAACACCGCATCGATCAGGGAAGTAGTACCGTTGGAACAGCCACGCTAGGGATGTTCCTATAGGGCTCCAAGTCTAGCCTATCTACAAACTAAGGTACTTAGGCAAAGGAAAGACTTTTTACAACAGTACAGAAAAGGTCTTGAGGTTGGTGATATAAAGGAGGGGAAAGAGAGAGAGTGAAAATACACCAAGGGTGAACAGGGGATCAATGGACTTGGGCAGAAGAGGCGGTTTGCGAACTACAACAACTACTTTCCCTCTAGACAAACAACTTTTCAAGTCACATAGTTCCCCTGTCTCTAGTTTTTCTGCCCCCTTTATTTTTTCTTAGTACTTTCTTGCAGCCAGGGTTTGGAGGGGATTCATGAACGCAGGTAGGACTTTGATAGGATGTTTGGCGATCGGAGTGCATCTGAATTGATTTGATCGTCTTCCCATGTTTTCTGATGCTGGCTTTTCTGACCCCCAAAATTGTGAATTCAGTGAAAGCAAGAAGAAAAATCGAATAAAAAAAAAGCCCTATCTCCAAAATCTTGCTCTCAGCCGGTTTCAGTCCGCCTATGGATTTCCACGTGGTCATGTTCCGCCCTGAATTCAACTTGCGCGTGTCTCCGTATGGCTCCGTAAGATCTCCGCATCGGGAAGGTAGCACGAGAGACTGACAGCAAAGAATGGAAGATTTCCGACTTGGACCGAATGTTGTTATGTGTATATGGTCAGACGCTTCCTAGTGTGTAATGAAGTGACTGACAAACAGAACAGACAATAGTATTAGTAGCTTGGCTATATATACCGTTACCTGTTAACTGACGAAGTTACATACTACATATATGCGTGTCTCGGTTAGAGTGAAGTGTGCTTACATGGTATGGTATGTACGTCTATGCATGTATAGGGCAGATGGAGGGAGTGAGTGGCGGGGTGGGCTCAAGTTGGCAGATTGATTGATTGATTGATTATGATATCTACATGACTTGAAGTTGCTCATGTACATATATATATATATATGTGTGTGTGTATGTATACATAGGTAGCGTCGAGAGGATTGACGTAATAGCAGGTAGTTAGTTAGGTCAGGACCCGGTTACTACCACAGTACTGATTGACTGACTGACTGACTGACCGAAACCCAAGGCAGAACTATAGGTAGGTAGGTATTACCTGGGTTAGGGGCGTTTGCGATAGATTGTGGCTGGGCTTACCGACATTATGTATCGATTTCGACCCGTCGGATTTTTTTGGGGAGTTTACAGTACTTCAGATGCTTACCTACCATGTAGGTGGGTGGGTGGGTGTTATTTATTACATGTAGGTAGTAACTGACTGACTGACTGGCTGGCTGGCAGGCTAGATACTACTACCTATGTAACCTATATAGGAGCCCTTCTCGATCTCTCTCTCTCTCCTTTTCTTTGCAGTTGGGTGGTATATTGGTAGGTAGGTAGGTAGGTACTAGGTTAGATAGTCCGAGACATTGCGGATGAATGGTAGGTACTGTAAGGCGGGAGTTTTTTTTCCGGCTGCGGCTTGTTTCTATGTAGTTAATTCTTCTTTGGGGGGGGGGGGTTTGGTTCTATATACATAATATATGTACAAAATACCTACCTACCTACCTTACATACGTACTACCTACCCAGTGATGTAAGTAAGTATGTATGTATGTATGGCGTACGTATATCAACCTTGCTATTCGTTGTTCCTTCATATATAAAGTAGGTAGATATGACTATAATATATCACAGGAAAATCATGCTCGTATTCTACACCTGCATAAATATGTGGCTTGCTGGCTACATAGTTTGGGCTGTGCTATAAAGGTATCAGAAACGTGGGGGGCTTGCTTTTCCTTTTTTTTTCTTCCTTCTTTCTTTCTTTCTCTTCCCCTTCTTTCAAAGCCTCGGCTTAGGTATGTACATACATACTGGTACTCTACATTATAACCTTACCTAGGTTAAATCTAACTACATTGGCAGACGTGGGAATTACCAAATCATTACATTACTTCTCGCCGGAGCCGGGACGCGCGACTCTCTCTATGCGTCGGTGCTACCGATTCTAACCTACATATTTATTCCTAGTACCTAGGTTAGGTAGATAGCCAAGAGGTGAGTGCCGGTGTCAACAAAACAGGGGGAAATAACAGCCAATGGAGTTCAGTGTTAGTATAATTACCTAGGTTAGTACCTATGCTATATCTGGTTTCCAGATGTGTTCCTCTACGAACTTCTAGAATTATTATTATTACTATTATCATGAATCCCCCCCCCCCCCCCCCCCCCCCCCCCCCCCCGACTCAATGCGGTTCACTGCGGATCACCGCCCGAGTTTAGCTTACACTTGCCATAGGTAGCTTAAGTGCTACTGCTAGGTAACCTATAGGGTGGTACTAGGTAGCATCTAGTATGTGTAAGCGTTTATCTACCTAGATCAACCTATCTTACTCCGCTCCGTGATCGCGGACGAACTACAATACATAATAGCTGTAGTCTTTATGGAGTAATGGCTTGGGGGTGCTTTTTTGTTCTATCGTATCTATGCCCCCTCACTCTATCTCCCTATCTCGGTATATAAGTTTCTAGGAGTTATGGGCTTGCTCTAGTCTTTTAGTTACAGACTAATTATAAGAATTGTCATTTTTCTTTACCCCCTCTACCTACCTTCTTACACCTGAACCTCCTTCGTTGCGTTTACTTACTTGCATTTGCTTATCTATACGCTGTCCGGCGTTATAGCAAGCCGTCATATAGATACCCCTCCCTGTCTTATCTTACGAAGTACCTATGAAGCTGAGAGAATCTCTCTGCCTCGCCTTGAGCTACGGCTCGGCGGTCGTCCGGGCCTGTGCTGGCCACGGTGATCAAGTTAGGGAATGGAGTCAAGAAGAGCTCGATGAGCTGGAGATGAAATGGGGCGCCGAGGTAAGTCGAGTTTTCTTTCTTATTCTTGAAAGTTCATCCTATCCTATATCGTTGAACGGTATACCCGGGGTAGCTTGCCAGCTCAGTGTTTTGAGGTGTTAGCTATGCTCAAGAGGTATACAATCGCCGTTGTGTTGTCTTTGCGATCATCCTTGTCCAAAACTCTATCTCTCCACGTTGATTACTTAGATTGCACATGCTGATAATCATGTGTGTCCAGTGGGGATTTTCAGGAATCAATGTCTTCGCTCACCTCGAGTATCATAAATGCCTGACAAATCCAACCGAACTCTTTGATATCGCCATCATCGGAGCCCCTTTCGATACGGCTGTTAGTTACCGACCTGGTAAGTCAAATTATACTCCCCACTTCCCCTTTCCTATTTCCCTTCCGGCCTATGCGATATTCCATTTGTGTACTTGCATATACAACACCTACCAAAAACCTGTGTGAGTACGACTAACCGATCCCCAGGTGCTCGCTTCGGCCCTCGGGCCATCCGCGCGGCTTCAGCCCGGCAAACTTCCTTCCGGGGCTTTAACCCACGGGCAGGGATTAACCCGTATAAAAGCTGGGCGCGGATCATAGACTGCGGCGATATCCCGGCAACGCCGATGGACAATGCGGTAGCGGTTAAACAGATGACGGCGGCATTCAGCGAGCTCGGAGCCCGCGCCGCCGTATCATCACACCTAGCACCACGACCACGTCTCATGACGCTCGGCGGCGACCACAGCCTCTCACTGCCGGCACTGCGCGCACTTCACGCAGTCCACGGCCCGATTCGCGTACTGCACTTCGATGCCCACCTCGATACCTGGCACCCGGCCAAGTACCCTAGCTACTGGGCATCGGAACAGTCGCGCTTCACGCACGGCTCCATGTTCTGGCTGGCAGGTGACGAGGGCCTCATCTCGAACGTGACTAGCGCGCCCAGTGTACACGCAGGGCTTCGCACACGGCTCTCCGGCACTGGGGATTGGGATGATGATGATAAACAAAACTGGGTGCGAATTAGCGCGGACGATGTCGATGAAATTGGCACGAAGGGCATTGTGGATAATATCATGGAGACTTTAGGGACGGAGGATCCGGTGTATTTATCCATAGACATCGATGTATTGGATCCGGCGTTTGCGCCCGGGACCGGAACCCCGGAGCCGGGTGGATGGACGACTCGGGAGCTGATTCGGATCTTGAGAGGTATTGAAAAACTCAACTTGGTGGGTGCAGATGTGGTAGAGGTAGCGCCAGCTTACCAAGGGGCGGGTGAAGAGACAGCACTTGCGGCGGCGCAGGTTGTGTTCGAGGTTCTCAGCAGCATGGTTAAGAAGGGATTGGAAGGTATGGGGAAGACAGGGGCTGAAGAAGTTACGGTTGATGATGGGAAAGATGAGTTGTAGGTAGGTGTGTGTGTGTGTGTGTGTGTGTGTATGCGTGCGTAAGAGCAAGAAGGAAAGGGGGGGAGAGATCTATGTTGAGATTGGAATTACCGTCATATTTGGTGTTCAATGTTGATGACTCCCAAGTCCCGGATGAACCCGATATCGCAAGTCAGTTTCGGGTTACTCACCTATGTAACACGAACGCTCAAATTAAATCCCTTGAAACCGTAGTGCTTCAAATTACACACGGCCTTCCGGTGCTTATCTCGTACTTCGTATATGAGTCAAACATGGAATGTATAAATTCCGGGTAAAAGTTGAAATTGAAAAAATTGAAATAATTAATGGAAACTTTGGAGACATTTATATTTGAGTTAAGAACGACTGACTACATAGTACTTACTTGCACCTACCTACATACATACCTAGTAGTAGCGTAGTAACTAGCTATTGGCAACTGCGCACATAACCCCGCCATCCCACCAACCCACTTTCCACAATTCTTCACACATCCTATTCCATCCCACCTTCCACCTCCCTCTGCCTCTGGTTGGTAGCAAACTCTTGTCCAAGTTGCGCAGCTACTCAGCTCCCTCTCCCTTACCAAAACAACTCGACATAGAGAACTCGACATAGAGAACTCGGCACTACATACAGTAATCATGTCTGCCGTAGAAGAATTGGCCCAGCGGGTCAAGAACGATGCGAAGTCCTACATCGACACTGATGCAGGCAAGGACGACGAGACGGCTGATGGATCCGACTCGAAGCCCTACAAGTCACTGGCCTATGCCTATATCCAGAACTTCGAGAAGCCTACCCCACTATACCAAGTTCGAGCTTCTGTCACCGGCCCTGTTGCCGCTGATGAAGACCCTTCTGTGCGATTACTATGGAAAGAACCTGCCAAGAGCGCCGTGAAGAAAGCTCAAGGAGCTCTCGATGCGCATAAGAAGAAGGTCCAAAAACAGCAGCAACAGGCTGCAGCCGAAGAGGAACAGAAGAAGCAAAAACTACAGAACCTCGAGGCTGCTAAGAAGATAGTCATCAAGCAGGATGAGTCACTACCGAAGCCAATACGAATCAAGATTAACCGCAAGGACATTGAGCTTGGGGAAGGTGACAAGAAGGGCACGCGGGTTAAGGTCTTTGGAAGAATCCACCGTCTACGAGTGCAGAAGCAGGCTACCTTCATCACCTTGGTCGACGGCTATGGACAATTGCAGTGCATATTGGCTGCCGGCGACCTTACAAAGAATTACGATGCTCTAATCTTTGCCCAAGGCACCTCACTCGCCCTATACGGTGAAATGAAGAAGGTACCCCCCGGACAGAAGGCACCCGATGACCGTGAGCTGCATGTCGACTATTATGAGGTTCTGGGTGCGTCACCTAGTGACGAGGATGCCATCACCAACAAGGTCTCTGCCCAGCAGAACCAATGGGATGCTCAGATGCTTGACAACAGACACCTGGTCCTCCGAGGTGAAAATGCTTCTGCGCTTATGAAGATTCGAGCGGCTGTCGAGGGAGCATTTCAGAAGGTCTACGAGGACCTCAGCCTTACGAAAGTATCTCCCCCGGCCCTCGTCCAGACGCAAGTTGAAGGTGGCGCTACCCTCTTCAGCGCACCCTACTATGACGAAACGGCCTACCTTACTCAGTCATCCCAACTTTACCTCGAGACCGTTATTCCTAGCCTAGGAGACGTCTACTGTATCGAGAAATCTTTCCGTGCAGAGAAGAGCCTGACGCGCCGTCATCTTGCAGAGTACACTCATGTGGAAGCTGAGCTAGATTATGTCGATTTCAGCGAGTTGTTGGACCATCTAGAGGAAGTCATCTGCCGTGTTATTGATATTGTCCTGGCCAACCCAACTATCGCAGCCCACCTAAAGGAGCTCAACCCTACATTCCAGAAACCATCTCGTCCCTTCATGCGCATGAAGTATACAGATGCGATCGACTGGCTCAATGCACAAGATCCTCCCATTTTGAACGAAGAGGGCACTCCCCACGTGTTTGGGGACGATATCGCGGAGGCAGCTGAGCGCAAGATGACAGACATCATCAACCGACCCATTTTTCTAACGCATTTCCCGGTCGAGATCAAGGCCTTCTACATGAAGAAGGATCCCTCCGATCTTCGGGTGACCGAGAGTGTGGATTGCCTCATGCCCGGAGTGGGCGAGATAGTTGGCGGTAGCATGAGAATGGAAAACTACGAGGAGCTGCTGGAGGCATACAAGAAGCAGGGGATTGATGCCAAGGACTACTACTGGTATACTGACCAGAGGAAGTAAGTTGTGTTCTCTCGTGTCTATAGCATAATAGGGCATGACGTCGACTAGAAACTAATTTTTGATAGGTATGGTACCTCACCGCATGGTGGATACGGTCTCGGATTGGAGCGGTTCCTCGCCTGGATTGCCAACCAACACACCGTCCGCACCACCTGCCTGTATCCTCGCTTCATGGGACGTTGCAAGCCTTAAGCGGTGAAGCAGATATTTCGGTCTAGGTATTCCGGGTCTCTGTGCAAAGCTTACCGCCGCCGAGATCCGGAAATTCGGCTTGGGAACACGGGTATTGTGGACCACCGTAGTAGGATGTGAATGGAGTTGGGGAGAGCGGTCAAGCTCTGGAAGATATCGATTAGACAATGCTTTCGGTGCTTGGGGCAAATAGGGGCTGGTTCGAGAGCCATCTCTTTAACTAAATACGAATTGTGATCAAAACTCCCGAATCATTCGTAGGCAATTACCGACTCCTTTTTGAATAAGTGCTTACACCTGGGCAAACAAAGTTATAGAACTTGGTTCTTTGGGGTTTGGAATTGGGTTTGCTTGGGACCAAGAAGACGGTTTTGTTGCTATCGTGGCTCTCGTAGCACGGTCCATCTGGCGGGCTGGGTAAAAACCCAACTATCGATAGTTTTTGGCAAGGTGAAAAAAAGCAGAAAGGAAAAAAAAAGGAAAAAAAATCAAGAGGCTGACAGGCACTAATAATCCTCGTTTTGGGTGGAATCAGCCTACGTCACCAACTTCGTAAAACTGGATTCGAAGGTAGGCACATGTACAATACAGACAGTAGCTTGGTAGGCTGGTAGGCAAAGCTTGGATTTACGGGTGTTCCGAAGACTACACGATCGAGGCGCGGGGAGGTTATGTTGGGTAGAGGTAGGTCCAGAGGTAGGCCCAGGCGTAGGCGTAGGCGTAGGTGTAGGTGTAGGTTAGGTCTAAGCTGACCAGTTGACCCCCCCTAAGCTGCGGACGCAAACTGACCTGACGAAAACTAACCAAAGCCAATCGGAATAGGACCGCTTATATAATTTATACTATGTACACTGTTGCATATGTACATAACTACTTGAACTTATGTAAATGCATAGCCTAGAGATATTTTACTATGCTGTGTGTAAGGCTGGGGGAGGTAGGGTTGACATCTTGGGAATGACCGCATCTCAAAGTCTGTGCCTCGGTACTCACTCGTACTCACTCGTATTTGCCTCATTGGACGTGCGAACTGCCAGTAGATATGTAGTGTACCTAGGAAGGCTTGATTTGTGTTCATACGTCGTAGTTAGTGGTAGGACAATACTGTATGTGCGTATGTATGTGCGCATGCAACTATTCATAAACAACAATAACTACACGGTCCAAGCACGAAATGTCACAGCGTCGTGATCCAATCATACTACGGCACGCACGATGGTGGCTTTTTGTCTATTGAGAATTTGAGATTTATGTGCTACCTACCGGCGCAGCCTACCTAAACGGTACTTGGTGTGATTTTTTTTTTGCGAGCTACCACGAGAGAGAGAGAGAGCGGGATTGGGGGGATTGATGTTCAGGGCAAGATCTAACTATTTATTGCACATTATGGATGTATCTAATATAACATAATCGAATACTAAGGAGTTAGTAATTAGCAGTTGCTATGTATAGTTATATCTACTGTAGTATGGATGGATGGATGGATGGATGGATGAATATATGTATCAATTGATGCATTCAATGTTACGACAGTAAGGTACATACTGTAAGTAGGTCGGTACATAGTTACCTATTAAAAATTAAATAGTAAAAAAAAAAAAGGGTTCAGATGTTCCTACAGGAGGCAAAATTTTGTTCTGGCATCTGGCATCTGGCATCTGGCATCTGGCGCGTGTGCGTGTGTGTGTGGTCGCACCGCATGCAGCATTTCGCGCTAAAACATTGCGCACCTCGGGTACCTTGCCGTAGCGTCGCAGGGACTTTAGAAGTTCTTTGTTCGGGTGGGGCCAAACGCGTGAGCAACTGCTGGACTGATGAGTGAGCAGCAGTTGTCAGTTTTTGGCCATGGCTCTTTTTTTTTTTTTTTTTTTTTTTTTTTAGTTTCAATCGGGAAAATAGGGGTATTTGTCTTGGCTTGCATTTTTTTAATTACTTATTGGTTCATGTGGTAGTGTACACTAATACTTATGTATGTAGGTATTATACATTATTCAAGTTGTTTCTTTTGTTCATTAATACAAGGCTTATTACTATATTATTCATGTATTACCTGGTGATATTTGCTCAGTTAAGCAAGCAAACAAGTAACCAAGAAAGAGTAGGCAACCTATTAGAATCAAGGAGATATTAGAAACCGCATTGAAAGTTTATGTGCTATATACTGGAGTCCGGGATTATTAACAAGTCAATTCGATGCTGCTAGTTCTAAGCTGTATCAATGATATGTTACATGTATGCATTTACCAATCAGTAAAGACAGCAGACATTAAAGTGCTTGACAAGTTGAATGCAAGGGGCGGGCTAAATGCAGGAACTCCTGTACTACTGTACAAGTTTACAACCCGTTCTCTGCGGTCAAAAAGGCTATTATTGCAGGAGGATATGCGGGGAGCGTTAGACGGATGATACGATTAGATTTCAAAGTTTTCCCTATTGCATGGGAGCACATGCACACTTTTTACGCCTTTTTTCATGTTGCTAACTAATAGTTAGTTACTTCATGTACAACATTGAAGATGAAGTCGAGGGGGGACCGGACCCTGGAACGCGGAGAATATATCGAACTCGAGGTCACGTTAGTCTCACGCCGTTGGACGAAACGAATAGCAAATGATGCTCTAGGAACTTTAAGTAGAGGCCACTAAGTAGCCTAACCTTAGTTTCTAACTAGGCCCTGCTGCTTCGTATCTTACTGTACTATGCAAGTAGGTAAGGTATGTAATGAATCCCAAATCCAAAATGTCGAGATGATCCTATTATGGCCCGACCCCGCGAGGCCCGGCCAGGCTACCCAAATGTCCTGGATTTATTGTACATAGTAGGTTAGTTATTCCAATGTTGGGTGAGGCGGAGACAAGTGTATATACCTACTTTTTCTCCTTACAAGAAGGTATGTGTAAAATCATTCGGTGTCCCCTAGCCGGTGATCCTCTTTGCATGCGTGAAGATAACCTGGTCACCGAACTCTCATGCATAGTTACCGCATGGTGTGGTTCCCCTGATCTTTCGACGCACATATAACATACATGCATACATACATATATTGTACATAGATACTATGATAATATGTAATATCTGCATTGAGCTGTTCACGATCATCTGTGACGCTCGTGTCTAGGCCTCAACCTCATGCCAAGGATAGCATGATCGGTCTTTGTCTGTAGGCTAAGAGCCTCATGTGCGCTGAAGAGAGTGCATAAATGATAATAAATCAGGATTGAGATGAGAGGAATCAAATATCAAATATGGATCAAATACATTTTAAAGACGTTAAGAAAATAAATAAATAAGTAAATAGATAAAAAGATATTAAATCAGCTTTCTATTTTAGAGCACTAACAAGATAGTTCCGTCTTTTTAGTTCAAATTAAGACACCTTTAACAGGCTATACATGATGTACTCATTAAAAGATATGGGGAAAAGGCCTGTGGAACATTGGATTGGATGGGCCCTCAAAGTTCTTAGCGGTCCGAATATTCTAGGTTAGGAAGCATTGAACGTTAAATGTTTAGACGAAACCGTTGACATGAGGCTGAACTTTGATAATAGACAGGCCGCATGACAGTTAGCTACTGTACATACTATGTATGTATTTGGAAACGTTGACGTTGAAATTCCTTAAATCGGTCTTTAACTTCAGTGTTTTTATTTTTGCACCTATCCTGTCGACTTGCTTGATGAAACATAGGTACCTACCCTAGTACATAATATGGAGAATTATGTACTGGGTGAGCATTGAATCGAGCCTGGAAAATGGAATGAATAATATTTTAATACCGAAACATGTAACTCGGCATATTCGACAGTATGGGGCAGTACTTATCAATGTTCATAGGTAAGCTCTCCGATGTTCACCCCCCCTTGTCCTGAAGCAGTTTCCTGGTAAGGGATCGCTAGGGGGGTGAAGGGTTTAAGGAGTGGTACACAGAAAGAGCATAAAATTGGTACGGGACTTTGAGGTACATTGCCTTAAGTACCTCCTCAACTTAGATGTGACCAGGGCAACAGCTGGGCTAACTTTGAAGTTCGTAAGGAAGTTCGTAAGCTCTCCAGAGGGCTCAGGGCTCAGGGCTCATTGTTCAGGAAAGAACAGCATCCATGATTGAACAGAGTGGCCTGGCACTTGCCTGCCAATGCCTGGAGCCCTGTAGGTTTACTAGGTCAGGTTATTCAAAGTGGAAAGTATCGAAGTGGGAAAGGGTGGGAAGGAGGTGGTTCTAAATGGGCTTAGTACAAGTTGTAGCTGCAGGGAGTTCATTAAAACTAGCGCCCCCCATTTTGGACATTCTGGCAATCTGCACCAACCCAGTCATCCAATTACTTTCCTCCATTTTTCTGCTCGTCTCCTTCTTTTCACTTCCTCCCTCCATCTCCTTCTTTTTACCCTCTCCTTCGTACGGAGTAGTTTGTTCAGTCTTTCATTCTCCCCCTACTTACCACCTCTACCTACTCCTCTTCCTCATCCTTATTCTGCCTCCTTGTATCTTACCTATCCAATCCTTCTTCGCCGTCCCGCTCCTATTCTAGGGCTCCCTGGTATCCGCTTTGGATCTTCTTCTAGCCTTTATTTACCTACACTCATTCGCTATACTTTTCTAATATTCTTGTGAACTTGCATCGCCAAGATAGCTTTACCCCTTTTTTTCGCCCAAGAGACAGCTATCTCAAGTTCAACCTGTCTGCGCCAGCCCTGCCTAGCGAATCTATAGGCCCGTCCACCCCCCAAAAAGAAAGTCTACCGACAAAAGCTTTGTTGTGTCTCGTGGTGACTTGGACTTGGTCAACCTTCATTTCTAAGTAGATCGCTGTCTCGTTCGCTTTGGAGGATAATTATTCGTATTGTCTTTGTTCGACGTGCTCGGATCGACCAACCTAGATCAAAGGACCAGAACGAAACCTCACCGGGACTCGTCCTTCACCGCGTCGACCCCTGCTCCCGACTCACCTTTTTCGTCCTGGTCAGCTGCTAGGTAATAGCTCGTTCAACTATTAGATTACTGCACTCTTTCGATATTTTCAGCCACGGCCGATCCGATTATATCGCGTAATCTCGGCGAGAGACCACCGATCTATTGCATATAGTCTATATTCGTCTTCCTCGGTGGTGCCTCTTCTTTCGATTAGAGATACCCAATTATCTTTCAACTTAAACTATTGTTTGGACAAACTCGAGGTTATTCCATTTCCATCATTGACAGCTTGTTGTAATAGTCAACTTTGCTTGCTACGTTAGGATCCTGTACTTTTTGGATCCTATTTCTGCCTTCTGTCCCCGTGCCTCTTTTCGGCACGCCTAATCCTTCAAAACGGCGGTACTATCGCACGCCTCCCGGGACAGCCTTGTCCCTCCTCATCTTCTCGGGATGCAGGATCTCTCGGCATCTGGTGGCATCCCCACTGGCCCTGCCGCTAACTCGGCAGGCCGGTTCGGTCATTCGTCTAAGCCTTCTAATAGCGATACTGGTTTTTCTCACGGTGCCTTCACCTCTAATGTCTCTGGGTTTGCTGATAGACACCCTCGCCGAGGTAACATTCCTTCGATCAATACTCAGCAGCAAATGAATCAGCCCGCCCATAATACCAATCACGATATGACCACGCCCGGCACAGGATTTGATATGCAGTTTACGCCTCTCCTTCCGTCTCAGTTGCTTCTGGGCAGCCCCTTTCAGCCAGGAACCCCTGCTGCTTTTGCTAGCCCTCAGTTCCAGAACATGTCTGCTTTCCAGCACAGTCAGCAGCACAATGGGCAACAGCAGCAGAACATATCGAGCCCCGTCCAGCAGAACATTTCTCCTCAGACTTATCAGTCGATCGTGTCCCCTTCGACCTACGGCGCCCCCCAGTTCTTCCAGCCTCAGTCTCCCACCGGAATGCAGATGCAAATGCAGCCCCAGTCGCCAACCATGAGCCCTGGTGTCGTGACCGGAACTAGCAGAACTGTGTATCTGGGTAACATTCCTCCGGATACGTCTGCTGAGGAGATTTTGGGTCATGTTAGAAGTGGACAGATCGAATCTGTTCGTCTTCTTCCCGACAAGAACTGCGCCTTCATCTCTTTTCTGGACGCCAACGCAGCCACTCATTTCCACTCTGATGCTATCTTGAAGAAGCTCTGCATCAAGGGACAGGATATCAAGATTGGATGGGGCAAACCATCTCAGGTCCCAACCTCCGTCGCGCTAGCTGTTCAGCAATCTGGAGCTTCTCGAAATGTGTATCTCGGAAATCTGCCGGAGGATATCCCGGAAGAAGAGCTACGAGAAGACCTCGGAAAGTTCGGTGCTGTTGACACCATCAAGATTGTTCGCGAGAAGAACATTGCCTTCATTCATTTCTTGTCTATCGCCAATGCCATGAAGGCCGTTCAGCAATTGCCTCAGGAGCCGAAGTGGCAATCTCCTCGCCGCGTATACTACGGCAAGGATCGTTGCGCATACGTTTCTAAGACTCAGCAGCAGAACGCAGCTCAGTATCTTGGCATTGCTCCTGGGTATGCCCACATGCTGACGGGACAAGATCGCGAGGTCATTTCTAGTGCACTTGCCCAGCAATCTGTCGCTGCAGCAGCTGTTGCCACTACCGCAGGTGGCATTAACAACTTGGGCAACCGAACCATCTACCTCGGTAATATCCACCCGGAAACCACCATTGAGGAGATTTGCAACGTTGTTCGTGGCGGCTTGCTCCACCACATTCGATATATTCCGGACAAGCATATTTGTTTCGTCACCTTCATTGATCCGACTGCGGCGGCTTCTTTCTATGCCTTGAGCAACTTGCAAGGCTTGATGATTCATAATCGTCGTTTAAAGATTGGATGGGGAAAGCATTCTGGTGCGCTCCCGCCAGCCATAGCATTGGCTGTCAGCGGCGGCGCATCTCGAAACGTTTACATAGGGAATCTGGATGAGACTTGGACGGAGGAGAGGTTAAGACAGGATTTCTCGGAGTTTGGGGAGATCGAACTCGTGAACACGCTACGTGAGAAGAGCTGTGCTTTTGTGAATTTTACGAATATCGCCAATGCCATTAAGGCCATTGAGGCAGTACGAAGCAAGGATGAATACAAGAAGTTCAAGGTGAACTTTGGAAAGGATCGCTGTGGAAACCAGCCTCGACAGCTCTCGCAGCAGCCACAGTCTCCCCGTGGTGATGGTGTGTCGTCACCTCCACCAGTTGGGAGCGGAAGCGGTAATTCTCCTACCAACCCAACATCACCCCAATCCGCCAACAGCGTTAGCCTGTTCGCCAATGGGAACAATCCGCTTACCATGTACTTGAACCAAGTGTCCCAACAAGCTCAACATCAGCAACACCAACAGCACCAGATACTGGCCTCTCAGCAGGCTGCTCTCTTTGGGACTGCTGCATCGTCCCCCAACGAGCTCTCGCTTGAGATGCCCCAGCAAGGTCCGTCTCATGGACAGTCGGCCAGTATCTCCAATGCTTATGCATCGAATGGCTCTATCCCTGGTGCTACCACCATCGGTGGACTACTGGCACCAGGTAATCAACGAGGGCAGCATAACCGTGCTGTGAGCCTTCCGGTATTCGCGCCTGGCTTCGAGAATGGTGGCACTAGCCCAGTTAGTGGTGTTGGAGGACCGAACGAAGGGGAACGTAGAGGTCACCAGTATCAGGCCAGCTTTGGCGGCATGGGTTCTGGTCTTGGTCTCGCATTGAACGGATGGGTGGAGGAGGAGGTTGCCAACTAAGCAATCACGCACGACCACTTCCAAAGGTTATTGGTAGGGAAAGATAATATGTTGTAATTGCTGCGTTGGTTTTCTTCGGCGTTCTTTCTTCAGCTTTGAACGGCTACGGTTGTCATTTTTATATGATCTTTGTAAAACCTCTTGAACACAACTTTCCCGCTCAACCCGACATACCAAGAAAAGACATTGGTTGCTAATCAAAATTCACCTACAAACACTACTTTAAAGAACGACGGCAAGATGGGCCCAAGGCCATACGTTATTTGCGATTGCGATTTGGACAAACGAATAAGGATGGAAAGAAAGAATAAGAAATGGGTCTCTGAAAAATGAGGTCCGAAGGCCGGTTTGATAGGATGGTGCATCGGAGAAGATGGGATAAGGATAGAAGGATTAAACTCGAAAACGAGATATGGCCCGACTAGCAGTTCTCGACCGTCGTATGGGGATGAATGATGGTGATGGGTATGTTAGTAGTGTATGTTCCGTCACGTATCTCTCTAGCTCTACTGCTACCGTCGTCATAATCATCATCGTCGTCATTGTCGCGTACAATCTCTCTCTCGTCTTTGATAGGTTAGGAGGGTAATAATACAACGAAAGAAAAACAAGCTCTCTCTAAGTTTATTGTTGGAATCGTTCATGTGCGTGCTGGTTACCTATGAAACCTCATAACTGCTATGACTATAACCATCACTATCACTATCACTATTACTATTTTCTCCTTGCGAGCAAGATGGGCTGCGATTAGCCCCTGTTTGCACGGTTGTGTATCCCCTAGGTTAAGTTGATAGATCAACTTTGAGATCTTGCAGATTCTCTAGGCTAGCTAGCTAGCTAGCTAACCAACTAACTAACTATCGGTGCACGAATAAATAGATGTAGGTACATGTAACTATGTATAGTATGGTATGTATTGTACAGAGGGTCCTCTGATTTTTTATTTTTTTTTCCACCTTGCGTTAGAATCCTGCTTCGCGGACCGACATAACTATTCAAATCTCTCATAAAAATTCAGCACTAGGTATACCTAGATTTTCCATGGCACGAATGAATCATTCATTTACTGTCATATAACCTAGGTAGGTAGGTCGTGGGTAGGTCGTGAAGATGACTAAATGGAGATAGATACCGAGATAGGTAGGTAGCTTGGGTATCTCAAGGGGGGGTGTATCTTGATAGGCATGGTAGTAGGTAACTAAGTAGTACCATGAAAGCGAACGAGCTTTAGTTACTCATTCTAGTAGCCGGCAGGCTCGGGCTTAGTCGGGAATGCTGGGCCCTGGACATCTGCCCTGCACTGCTGCTTCCAGTTGCGGGGGACGAACTTGTCGACAATGGCCTTAAAGGCCTCGAGGGTGCAGAAGCTCTCGTCGCCCTCGAGGTGCTTGCCGGGGGCCTTGCAGCCTGGCACCGTGACGACTTGGTCGTTGTACCTTATGCGAACGTAGTAGCTGTTCAGCTTGGCTCGTTCCGCAGCCGAGAGCTCACCCGTCTGCTTTCGGCCTATGCCTGGTGGTGAATTGCCGGGTTTCGTGCGGGCCGAAGAGAATACGGAACTGAACCAACCGGGCTTAGCAGCATCGACGGAGTTTCCTGTCGTCGCACCCTCTTTCTGCGTGCTTGCTGGTTTGTTGGTGGTGTCTGCTTTCCGGAACATCTCGATGGCGATATGGCTTGTGTAGGGCGGCCATTTGGCGTTCTCGTACGCGCCCAAGCTAGCTAAGACGGCGGCAAGTGTTGTATCGTGACACCCGCTCAGTCCAAATCGGATGGGTGTAGCTCCAGCCCCTTTCTTCATAATGCTGGTCTCCAGCTTCCCGGCTACCTCGTACTCGCCATCAGCTGTAGAACTCTCGGCGCTCCCTACCATCCTGCCTACAACGTCACCCAAAAGCCCCCCGATACCTAGGGTCCTGTATTCCTGGCTCTCCCTGTAACCTGCAAACCATTCCTCTACCCCAATCTTGTCGATAATCTCACGCGCCTTGGGGTCGTAGAATTCTTTTGGAAGTCGCGTCTCTGGGCCATGCGCTAAAGTCGAGTTGATGGTATCCATGATACCGCTCAACCGCGGACGTGAGTCTACGGCTACACGCTGAGACTCTTCGGGCATCCATTTGCCCAAGAGCTTGGTCAAGTACGCCATGTCGTCCGTCTCGTTCCAGCGCTCGGCAGCGCGGCGCGCAAATGCGCGAGAGAGCGCAGCAAATCGGCGGCAATTGCTGTCGTTAGGGAACAAAGTCTCGTCGCCCGGGGCTCGGGTCAAGATGGGTGGGGCGGGGAAGGCAGGGGCTCGGGTGTGCGCTGGGTATAAGCCGGTAAAAGTTTCTTGCACAGATTCTAAGGCACGGGGGATGGGCGTCGCCCGCAAATAAAGGCCATCGGCGTTCAGCAAGACCGGTGGTAGGAATCGCAACTGATCGACATATAGTGTGCGTAGGCGGGAGCCGAGATCGAAAGTGGTCTCCCGGCCTTTGTCGGTCAACATGCCCATTTCACAGACTCCATCAACCTCTCCAGCGGGGCCCGCAGCTAGTACGGGCTCATCATTGCGACCGAAGGTTTCAAGCCGGCGCTTCCACTCCAAAGTATTGAATTGATTGGTATGACGGTCCAGTACAGCGGATTTCAGTTGGCGAACGGCACTGCAGTAAGGCCAGAAGGCAGGGAGACCGGCGTTCTGAAAACGAGCAGAGACAGGGGAACGTTCACCATGGCGTAGCAGAACTTGGACGAGCTGGAGTTCAAGGTTAGACGGGTAGAGGGTCTTGAGCTCTTCTTGGGTGTAGGGTGGTGGAGGCGTAAGGGATGTCATTTTATCTTGTCGCAATTCACGGAGATTAGAAGAGAGCTATAACTATGTACAGTAAGAGTAAATCTGTATGGCTGGATGAGTCTAAGATATATATAAGATATATATATATATATATGTATGAAAATGCTTGTATGTTCTAGGTTGTCATGACTTTCAAGAGTCAAAATTTGAAGATTGAAGATTGAAGATTGAAGATTGAAGATTGAAGATTGAAGATTGAAGATTGAAGATTGAATCTTAAATCTTGAATCTTGACTCTTAACTCTTTACTACTAGTAGTATGCTCTTTCCGTCATCTTTGTCAACTGGCTCTTACCCTGTAGGTTACCTACCTTAGGTTCTCACAGTCACAATCTCATTGGCTCAAGCTCTGGTACCTGAACTGTGACCTGATGTCTAGTCTGAACTGACGACTGCCTAACCTTATGTACCTACCTAGGTTAGGATACAGTCAGTAGTACTCAGTTAGTCTCAGTACTACGCTCCGTACTGGCATGTACCTTAGTAATATGGGATAATCGATAAGATAACTAATAACTAGTTAATAAGATAACTAACCTTAATTAAATCTCGCGTCCACTTTTCTTCATCCTCTAAATTGAACTTTTGTAAATGTCAAAAGTATACCTTTTTGAACTTTTCAAACTGTTCGATATACTAGGAACTCCAACGTACTTTCATGCTTATGATATGACATGACATGAAGGGCTCTAGGACAACTTGCCTACTATGTCGTCACATTATAACGACTTCGGGCAGGTCACGCGCTTCCCAATGGGAAGCTCAAGCAGCTCGGCTATCGAGTACCTCTGCGTCGCCTCCTCAAGATACAGCTGCTGAGAACCCAAAGCACAATTCAGGGGACAATCCAGGGTCATCTAGGGTCCGAAGAGTGTTACCTTCACAACAGAAACTCAATCCTACTACACCATGGTCGAAAATTGGTCGAAAAAAATTGCCGCCTAGGGATTCTGCCCGCACGGATGCTATATTCCATCAAATCGTTGGCGAGCAGACCACGAGGATTAACACCTCACCAGGCGAGGCACAAAATGGTACCAACATGGATCTGGCCCTCGTTCAGGCAATCGGCAAGCTTGGGCATATGATCGACAAGGGCCAATCCGAAGCAGAGGCATACGCCTACCTCAAGACCGAGATATATCCTATGCTGCGCAAGCCGGATGTCACTATCCCTCGCGTATTTTCCCAGGTCGTGCTAAGACTGATGGATAATATCGTTGCTGCAAAAAGAGAATCCCCACGTTCTCCTGAACTACCAACAGTCGCTGATATATTTCGAGTATACGCCGACATTGGTGAGATGAAGCCCCAGCGATGGGCTACGCTCGTGGGAGACTTGGTACAAAGCATCGTGAATATTGACCCATCTACTGAGAAGCAGGCCACAACTCCTGTCGACGAAAAACTTGCGACCCGTGACGCCATGCTCATTGACCTCGTTGAATCTTGGAAGGTCTTATCCCTTCCCGGGGTTGTTCCTGCTACTCCTGACAATGACCTGACCGATGGATTCTGGTTCCCGAAGCTCAACAAACACGTGCTGGTAAAATCCTCAGGGCTGGGGAATTTTCCTGCAGCATTAGGCAGTCTTTTTTCACAATACCATGCAAATCAACTTGGTGCTCCCGTGGCCGTGCTAGCCATTGCCACATACACTTTGCTCCTTGATCCCCAACGAAGTAATATGATAGCTAAACAGAGTGCTGCGCGCTTCATCTTTAAGGTAGCATACCTTATTACATTTGTAAATTATGGAGAAGAAGCCCTCCGCACCGATGTCTTGAATACATTCCCAGGGCTAGAAAACTATATCATGGGCCAGTGGCCTATCATCAAAAAGAAGTTAAAAGATACGGTCGACTCAATGAGTTCAGGGACTACTTTTGCACCACCTTCCAACCATGTTTCTTCAACTACTCCAGGGACGATTATTGGGCCTGTCGTGGCTAGCCGCCTTAATCGAGCTTTTGTGAACAAAAACCCCAACGAGGTCAGCAATTGTTGGCAGGGTTTCGTCGGATCTGGCGATGACATATCTCCAGAGAGGGTCATGGAGCTTCAGAAAAATGCGGATCTCTTTGACCTTTTTATCAACATTTGGATGGGCTTAAACAAACCTGATCGCGCAATAATTGCCTTGAATACTTTGCGCAAAGTGGGCCTCAGACCGACGGTGAAGACTTGGAACAGCATGCTCGATGGCTGCAAGAAAGCTCGCAACATCAACGGCCTAAAAAATGTGTGGGCTAAAATTGCAGCCTCTAAAATCAAACTTGATATGCGAATATGGACTACGCGCGTGTCAGGATTAATGGAGGGCGGCGATTTCGAGGGCGGAATCCAAGCCCTACAGGAAATGGCACAGTTATGGAAGAAGAGTCGCGTGGATGAAAACGTTAGCGCTGTTGAGCCGACTATCGAGCCCATCAATGCAGCTCTTGTCGGCCTCCTACGAAATGATCAAGTCTCAACCGCTGAGAGCCTCCTAGCTTGGGCCAGCCGACAAGGCATTGAGCCTGATGCCTTCACCTTCAATACCCTACTCCGTCGTTTCGTTCGCGACGGTCGCCATGAGGATGGACGGCGGCTCTTTTCGATCATGAAAAATGCAGGTATACAAGCCAATGAGGCGACTTTTACCATCATTCTCGACTCGGCTTTCTCAAAAATTGCACCCAACGATGTAGAGACGCAAGCGCAGACAGTAACAGATGTGCTCAACGAGATGGAGGCAGCTGGGTTGGAAGCGAATATGCAGACCTATGGTAAGCTAGTTCATACGCTGCTACAAGCAGGAGGCCAGGCTCAAAAGGCTCTTAAATTCGTACTCGCACACTTGTGGGGTCAGGGCCATGAGATTTCGCCGCAGATATACACGATGTTGTTAGAGAATTACTTTGCGCGAAGCCCTCCGGACCTAGACGCCGTCGAAGCGCTACTACAACGTCGCCGTTTACTCCATCATAATGACGTAGACCGCATTCTTTCCGATCGAGTTATCAGGGGATACGTTATGGTAGGCCAGACGGACAAGGCGCTCGACATGTACTACCAGGTCAGCAATACCAACACTACCATTTCGCTGTCCACGTCAAGGGATCTACTCCATGCGTTATTGAACGAAGGCCGGATCGACGAGGCGAGGGGCATCGTTGCCAATACGAAGAAGATGTACAAGGCCACGTTTGAGGAAGCGACCGAAGCCTCTACGTTCTGGAGGCACCCTTTCTGGCAATTAGCTGTCAACGCTGGCATTTTCGACCAGGAAGACCCTACTACCACTACTTCTGTGGGAAATGGAACACGTACCTAAATGCTTCCCCTGCCTTCACCCAGGGAGGTAGGTTTGGTAGAGCCAGTCGGCGTGGATGTATATACTTGAATGTACCTAGCAATAATGTTGAGTTCGGATACACTTCGAACGTGGACTATATATATGCGCCTTCTGGACACCTAGGTGGATAAACAAGTCGATTGTAAACTACCTTGGCTAGGAGATTTACCTATGTACTACTAGGTAAGGATCCATCATACGATAAGGCGTTAACTCATTATTGACATATTTTACCCAACACCAAATAGAAATATGAAGTAATCGTCGTGAATTTGTTTTGTTTTCTTTTAATAATAAAAAAAGACCAAACCAAAGCTGCCTGACTGGGTTTACCTACCTACGTTAAAGAGGGGGGGGACTCCAAAAGGAAACAACACCCACCAAACAAAAACGCCTTCCCTGTGTTATGTTGTGTTGTGTTGTGTTGTGAGATATAGGTATTCAAGTAGGAGGAGCAAAGCAAACTAAGTAGATAGACGGACGGGTGGACAAACATGGCTTTGGTGGTATGTAGGTAAGTAAGTAGGTAGGCAGGTAGGTAGGTAGGCAGGTTATCAAGACTCATCCATGCGATCCTCGACATCCCTCGACATCGACCTCGTCGACCTCGTCGACCGCCCGTGGCCGGGTGTTGTTGTTGCTGCTGCTTTCGCTGCAGCGGCAGGAGCAGTAGCAACAGCGGCGGTGGTGGTGGTACCTGCACCTCTACCCTTCCCCCCTTTCCCTGTCTCCGGTGCAGCACTCGCTTCTGCGGGGAAGAGCGCAAACGAAGACCCCACGCGTGATACCTCTCCGCCGGGGATGCGGCCCCCTTCGCCCTGCCACTCGCCGTCGCGCACCTCGCCGTGGCGGCCGAGCTCGAGGCCCTCGACGCTCTCGAGGTAGCGCTTCGTGGCGCCCTCGACGTACTCGAGGCGTTCGCGTCTCCAGCTCTTCTTTTTCTTACTGTTGTTGTTGTTCTGGTTTGCTGTTGTTGAGTCTATGTCCATGGTATCTTGGTCGTCGTCATCGTCGTTATGGGAAGGAGTAGGGGGCGGGAGTAGGTCTGGGGCGAGTCGTTGGAGGGAAGTGGAGAGGGCGCGCAGGGCTTGCATCTGCGAGAGGGTGAAGGCGGTGGTGGTGCTGAGGGGGGCTTCGGAGCCGCCGTCGGTGAGGGTGCCCTTGTGGTGGAGAAAGGCGAAGGGGCTCTTCTTTTTGTTGTTGATAGTTTCGTTGCCGTTGTTGGGTTCGGCTGCGTTTTCACTTGGTTGTTGTTGTTGCGACTGCTGGCTACCCGCGCCCGAGGGCTTCTCCGTCTTGATCTGCGTGTCGGGGTGGCCGACGAGGGTTTGCAATTCGTTGAGAAGCTTCTCGTTGCGCGCGCGTTCAGCTTCGAGGAGGGCGTTGAGCCGCATGCTCTCGCGGAGCTTGCGCCGCAGGTGGTTGATGGTGTCGAGGCTTGGGCTGTTGGCTGTGGATCATGGTACAGTCAAGTTAGCAAATCTGTGCCATATGTAAATTTTGTCGGATGAGTTAAAAGGTAGGCATACCCGACGGGGATGAGATAGAAGAAAAGTCGAGTCCCTCATAGTGGGAAAGACGTATCCAGTTGCGGACGTCGGCGGGTCGTACGCAGAAGATGTTTCGCAGAACGTAGATCTCGAGTTTGTCGAAGTTACGGTCAATGCTGGCGCACAGCAGAGTCTCGAGCTGGTGCGTGCCGGACTCGATCTCGTTCTTGGCCGCCTCGGCCGGGTTTAGCTGTTGCGCTACATCCCCTCCTCCTCCTCCTTTCCCGCGAGTAGGTTTAGGGGGCTTAAAGCCGATACTCGAGGGCGGCGCATTTAGGAGGCCTTGCTCGACGCTGTTTAGAGCGCGTTCGGCGAGGATGTTTATGCTGTTGATAATATCATCGATAAGACTCTACTGAAGTATTAGTATACGCCCAATTGGCAGACACCTAGTATATATGGCTCAGGGGAGGTCATCCAAATCATGTAGGTAGGTAAACAGGGAATGGTAGGCAGGGGAACTGAATTACTAACAACGGGAGGGTATCCGAAGTGCTCGGTCAAGAGCACAGTATCTGAGTTCGCGGGCGACGTCATGATGGAGCATCGTCAGTCTCATGGTCCCATGCGTCGTGGTCGACTTAAAATACTAAATTGATAAATTCACATGCAACTTGCGACACGCGCGACGCGACTGAAGTTCATAAATGTATGTTATCCATCTTATCGATAAAGATGTTAGTTTACTTACTGTACCTAGTTAGCTACTTGTTTGGTGGGGTTTTACTTCAGCCTCAATTCAAACCTTCAAGTTTTGACTAATGAACATTCAGTATTAAAGCGGGTAAGTATGTGGCTGATAAATTAAACAAAAACAGGGGGCACGTCATAGCTTTATCCAATTTGAACTCCTCTAACAGTCTAACCTAGTAACATTGTCGGTATGTAGGAGGGTAGGTACGAGGTACGGTGTACGTGGTACATATAATTACAGCATTCAATTTTTAAATTTAAATGCCCATCAAACACTACCTAGTACCTAGTACATATGTACCATGTATGTATGTAGCATTGATACTTAACACTTAAACAAAGATGTATACAACATCCCACTTCCAAACATACCTTATAAACAGGTAGCACATTAGTCCTTACCATGTCCGATTGGAAGAACAGTCTCAAGGGTGGCTGGCGCCCTGAAAAGGGAGGGCCAGGCATTAGAGACCAAGTAGTAAGGAAGCACATTCTTCTGTTCACTACATAGGATTGCATATAACTATATATCATATCATATATATCATGCATACCTAATATACCTCTTATCCATCCCCAGCACGTGCTAACCCGAGAATCAGAAAAGCTTCATTGGCCGAGGAGACGACTCGTCGACTCAATCTTCCAGCGAACACACCGCAGCTCCACTATCCTCGCTACGTGATCCCTCCTCCTTCGGTCCCCCTCCGAAGCGTATTGGTGCCCGAAGTCCAGCTCCACCACCGCCTTTGCCCTCCTCGACAAAGCCCAATGGACCGCCGCCCTCTCTACCCCCTCGACTACCTCCACGAAGCAGCACCGCATCCCCCGCCCTAAGCCCTGTTTCTACCCCCGGGGGCACCCAGTCTCCCAGCTACTTCAACCAAGGGGCCATCAGCCGCCTCGGCGCCGCAGGAGTCTCCGTGCCAGGCTTTGGGATCGGTGGAAAATCCGCCGCCCCTCCACCTCCGCCACCTGCCCGCTCCCCTACAGCCACATCCGCATCCACCCCTACGGGAGGAGAATCATCGGCAAAGTCGTACAGCGGCCACCTCAGCGATCTACAGGGCCGTTTCTCACGGTTCAGCACGAGCGCTTCTGGTCGCAAAGAGCCGGTAGCTGCACCAGCCGCACCGAGCCAGGGTACTACGTGGGCCGAGAAGCAGGCGGCGTTGAAGACAGCAGCCGCCTTCAAGAAGGATCCGACGTCCGTTTCGTTCGCAGATGCCAAGATCGCCGCAGGAACAGCACATAACTTCCACCAGAGACATGGGGACCAAGTGGCATCAGGAATGAAGACAGCAAACGGACTCAGTCAGCGATTCGGTGTGAATGAAAAGGTGTTTGGGAATAATGGTGGGCAAGCCGGACAAGGATCGTCGTCTCCTATGTCAGCATTGGGGCAAATTTCAGGGGTCATCGCGAAGAAGAAACCGCCACCTCCGCCGCCGAGTAAGAAGCCCCAGTTATTCGGAGCCCGCAGCGAAGGGGCCGCTCCTCCTCCCGTGCCGTCGTCTACGAGACCCAAATTTTGATAACCTAAGGCATGAATTCACCAACAATTTCTTAGTGTGCGAAAAGGCAATTCACTCGGAAGAAAAAAAATCACCAATTAGGTTTCATGTAAAATATTCGCAAAACTTTTGGTACTCGCAATGCATTATCATTTTGTCTAGGAAGCAGACTTCAGCTGCGTGATACGCCAGATAGCATTCGCAAAAAACGAACTTATGTATCAAGCCTAGATCCAGCGGGTTATAGACAGAAGAAAAAGGCGTCAGGTCGTTTGATATGATTCGTTTATGACATTCGTTGTCAGGTTTTCCGCCTTGATAAATGAGGCTATTATCTTAAACCTTCATCGACTCCACGCCGTGCTTCCAGATGGTAATATAAGGAGTGATACCGTCCTCACGGTAGTTGAGGAGGACAACCCTATTAATCGAGTATTAGTATAGGTATCTAGGTAGGTAGGATATATATATCAACCTCATGGGGGTCTAGAGGCAAAGGCTCGACTTACATTCCGTCAACATCCATGCTCTCGCCAGTGTAGAATTCGTAGTCCTTGAAGTTGCTGATGATCTTCTTGGCGAATCCCTGGGCCTTAGTCTGGAAGTCCTTGACTTCCTCGGGGGATGAGCCGGTTTCCTGAAGGTGCTTGGCGAGCTTCTTCATGTAGCCTATAGTTGATGTTTTAATTAATGCCACCTAATATCATTAGGTTAAATATAGGCTTACCCTTAAGATATGCCAAATATGTGGCCTTGTCAAAGCTGGTGGGCTGTAGACGGAAAGAGTGGATGATGTTGTTGACCTTCTGGGCGCCATCCTCAGTACCCTCATCAGCCTCCTCGGCAGATGCGTTGGCACCAGTGTCTGTAAATTCCTATCAGCACACACAAATATTTCCTAGGTGTAAAATCGTGGACAATAACATACTGACTTCGACTGCGCCGATTTCAATCATAGCACAGTCAGCTTCGTAGGCAATCCCATCAATCTCCTTGACCTCGAAAGAGTCAGACAGGAGCTCGTCCTTGCGCTCGGTGAGAACATCCTAGATGAAGAGAAAAAGTCATGTTAATAAATGATGGAAGATAGTTGTTGTGTGATATTCATTAATATTCTACTAAATAGGAAGTGAAAATGGTTGGATGGTAAAGACGTACTCTGAAGATAATCATATTGTCGGTAGCTACGAAGCAGATTAATGAGCGATAGACAAGGTGAATGAGGTGTAATTATCGAGGTCGAGGAAGAAGAAGATTGACGGTAGGGATTGTTATTTTCTGAGTGGAAAGTACTAGTCGAGGGGGAGGAAGAAGAAGAAGACGGCTTTTTTGCGACAAGTTTAATGAGGGGCAGATTTTCTTACTGGCGGGGGACCCTTTAAAATTTTGGGCAGGAGGAAAGAACCTTAGGTGGGAATTTGAATGGAGGGGCGACAAGCGCTAGGCCCAATTCAGCTTCTCGATTAGATCTAGATTTTCTGCTTCGACTTTTTTTTTTATGTACTAACTATGTAACTACTGTACGTACCTTAACCTTACATAATATTTATGGATGTATCATGTACCATACCTCTAAGCCTGTCTCGTCCTAGTGCATTTCTTCAATGCTCACTCCCGAACGCCGAATATATTGTCGGAAATAACTATTAACATATGCTCTTCTAAAAGTTCTCACTGTTTCTGATCTCCCAGGTGTGGCAACATTAGTCATACGATGCATACGATGCCTGGTGTATACTGTAGGTCAGATATTTCACACTGTCGGGCTGACGAGGTTTCTTGGTGTTACCTGACATGTATTTTAAGCTTTGAGCTTTACAGATCCAAATGTGATGGCGCATATGCATATTTGCATATTTTGATTTACATTGATGCTTGTTACATAATCAACGGCCTTCTATACATGTAACTATGTATGATTCATCATCAATGATCCTACATTACCAATTGAAGTCATATTACATATAAATTGTGCATTGAAATGTAGGTACAACCATACAAGATCTACTGCTAGTCTGCTACATATATACCTAGTACCTAGTACTGTGCAGCAAACAGTGTAAGAAACAGGTGATCTCGGACTTGACGGATAGTAGTCTGCCGAGATTGATGAAATTGATAAAAAAAATAAAATAAAAGGGGGTCCAGCGTGAAGATGTGCAGACAATGATTCGATGACGGGCCACTAGAGGACCCAATAAGCATTAACGGCCCTCACGCGCTAAAAGTTTGATGCGTACTATGCCGTACCTAGGTAGGTACCTAGGTAGTTATTGAGGAACATTGAAGTCACATAGCTCTCCCAAGTGCCAAAAGTGCCAAAACCTCCTTACAAACTTCAATGCTCCCTCCCTACCACTTACCAACCTAGTGCCTACGCATTGCACACAACTACATTCCTTCTTCTCTTTTTTTCTACGACGACGATCCTTTTTATTTTATTTTAACACTTCTTTTTTAAAGAACCGTAGACCTTGCTTTTACCTATTTTGACTTGAATTGCCCCCCCAATCCTAATAATAACCGCGCCTGGCACAACTTAGTCATGGCTAATAATATGACGTCCGTCACGGACCTCCCGCCGCTCCCATCCTACACGGCCGTTGAGGCACCAGATCTAATATCATGGTGCCCAGACTTCTATCTGTCAATTCTCGCGCCGACCGTTAGCTACTGGGTTGTCTCCATCTTCTTTCACATCATTGATGTCCTTGACCTCTTCCCCCAGTATCGTCTACACACGCCCGCCGAAATCGCTCAACGCAATAAAGTTTCGCGATACGAAGTTCTTCGCGATGTCATTTTCCAGCAAATCATTCAGGGCGTCATGAGTGGCGTTCTGAGCGCTACAGATCCTCCATCATTAATGGGCATGGAGGAGTATGATGTTGCTGTATGGGCAACTAGGGTTCGTCTAGCGCAAAGGGCACTTCCTGCTCTACTAGGTATACTCGGCATCAATGCCGCAACAGTATCGAAGAATATGGCTGTCTCCCATCCGCTCTTGGCCGGTGTACTCGCTGGTGGACACTATCCTTTCCTTACCTCGGACCTCTCCGGCCCAGACGGGATTCCAGTGCCAACTTTTGCTACTTGGGAGCTTCTAGTCGCTAAAGCTATCTACCATTTGATCCTCCCAGCCCTCCAATTCTTTATTGCCGTCACCGCTCTCGACACTTGGCAGTACTTCCTCCACCGCCTCATGCACCAGAATAAGTGGCTCTACAGTTTGTCTCTCCCAATTTTGGTCTAGGTATCTAGACAGACAATGATGACTAATTAATCCTCTAGCTACGTTCCACTCGAGGCACCACCGACTTTATGTTCCCTACGCTTACGGTGCGCTATACAACCACCCATTCGAGGGTTTCCTTCTCGATACAGCTGGTGCGGGACTTGCGTACAAAATCTCTCTGATGACTCCGCGACAAGGCATGGTTTTCTGGGTTATGTCCTCTATCAAGACCGTGGACGACCACTGCGGTTATGCCTTGCCTTGGGATCCTCTGCAGCACATTACCTCGAATAACGCCGCTTACCATGATATCCATCACCAGAGCTGGGGAATCAAGACGAACTTCGCCCAGCCTTTCTTCACCTTCTGGGATAAGCTGCTAGGCACCATGTGGCAGGGTGACACCACGCTCAAGTATGAGCGTTCGAGAACGAGGGCGGAGGAGCTCTTGGAAGCAGAGGCCAAAAAGATATCTGCAAAGGCCCAATGAACACCTCGCCATCAAATCTGCGCTTATTTAGTGCGTACATTCGCTGTATCATTCTAGGGACGTTCGCTGTTTTTCTAAGGCGTGACGGGGTATTCTGGATTCATTTTGATTGAAGAGTCATGAGATGTATACATCCGGTGAGCATAGGACGGGCGTTTTCTTCGAGTCAGTCGCTACGACTCAAAACATTGATTTATTATAAAGGGGGTTCGGCATTGTGGTGGTCCCGTCCTGTGTTTGAACATTGAATTTGCTTACAGGCTCGGATATTTTATTAGGCTCTTGGCCTTATACTGCCAGTCATGACTGATGCGGTAAATGACGGGCCGATTCAGGGGGTTGCAGAGGAGAGAAAGAGAGAGGGCTACGGCGTTGACGTTGGATGCTAGCAACAATCTGGATTGCGTGGCACCTTGACTCTAGATAGTCACTGCCATGGCTTCTCACAAGTAATGATAATAACAACTGATTCGATCGCTGCATAATTATGTTTGATATACTCCATGTTGCAATGTGCTTGATTATGTAAGCTAGGTAGCTATATCGACCGCTTTCTGTACTTTCACTTTACTCTCGGGTGAGGAGTACTGTAAGGAGTTGCAGAGAACTACATACATCATATATAAGGCCTTAGGTACTTGATTGTATATTGATTATCTTCCTCTGTTTCTATTTTTCTAACACGAGGATTCGGTTAAAGGATATACTACTAGGCACAGTGATGTAAGCTACCTAGCACTTGTTCTCAAGTACGATTTGGTTTGATACCTATATTGTACTTTGGTCATTAAGCTGGGTGCCCTGAACGACTCGACTTTCTGGACTCAGGTTGCTAGATTGGTAGGTCGGCGGCAAGGGAAATTCGTATGTATTGCTGCTGCTGCTGAGATACTGAAACTACCGAGGAGGCTGATTGCATGAAGGGGTGTATATCATCGTGGATCACTAATAACTATCTACACCCAGGAGGTAGGTAGAAACTTCACCGTCCATGCAGACTACTAGGTATACTCAATAGTCAACACCCATCTACTCTCTATACTTAGCAGCAGGTATGCCTCGATCTGTGTTCAACGAATGTTAAGGCTACCTAGCTAGGAAGAATCCATGGCTAGTAAGTACCCAGAAGCGGTCTTGAAGCAACGGCCAGATCCGAGTAGGACACCTACCTAGGTAATTATTCGTACACTGGGTAGCCTCCTGTGCTATTTATATCTTCTATTCCTGGGGAAATCTGACATAACTAAGCGTTTCCTTACGAGTGCCTACATCATCATTAGGCTACTAGAAGAAGTAGGTTCAGGGCCAGGAGTACCAAGCATCTCCCTCCCAATAGTGTATCCAAGTACTATATATTCAACATACCGTGGAATATTAAGTTCTATAAGGGGCAAAACTGGCTCACGAGTGCTCAATTGCCTAGGTGCCTAACATTATATCGCCTACACTCCAGACTGATTTCATAACCAGATACCTACACGTGGTTGATTACCAGGTAGGAAACGTGCCTTCCGGCCGAGTCTAGGAACTACTTCTTGCCAGTTCCAGTCATGAAAGTTGAGAGCACAGCTACCTAGTCAAAGCCTCGGTAAGATGCCGAGTAGCCAGGCTAGGTAGGCATGTAATAGCCTTGCACGAAGTTTTGTCGCTTGAGCGGCAATAGGAAGAGAATCATCTACCTAGCCGTCATTACCTAGCAGACAGTTAGAAAGGGGTGATTGAACAAGTAGAAAAACGATGGACCCTCTCCCAACCCCATTTTAATCTACCAACGCAGCCAAAACCGAGCCTCCAGACTATCAGAAGCCTAACCCACCCAGGCTTTCCTTCTTTGCCTCGGGGAAGTCCTGTAGCACATTCCCAGTACACCGAAGGGGTGGAAATGACGAACGCGGGCCTGGACCGTGTGTTCTTCACCGACCTAGTGGTAAGTATGGATGTCTCATGCTTGTTTGCTCAGAAAGGCAAGTAAGGTACCTAGGTAGGTAGTAGGTAACGGCTGGTTCGTCGTAAGCGTGTGTGTGCGTGTGTGTGTGTAGCGTAACGTACATTAAAGCAAACTCCCCACCGGAAGAAGCGATAAATAATACTTCATGAACGGTGGAATGGAACTGGTCTGAGACATTTCTGAGCTAGGCGGTCTAGGCATAGGACGCCACGGATAGAGCCGCAATGCCTAGCGAAGATATGTATGCACGCAGTGCGGCTAGCAATGAGTACCTGTATCGTTAAGGGGAGGCAAACATACAGCGAAATCACCTTAGAAACCGGAAATCCTCATAGGCAGGCAGGTAGCTAGCTAGAAGCTGACGTGTGCTGCTGAGGATGAAGGATTTGTGATTTTATACCTCCTATTGCATTAACGACTTATGCGCTGGAAAAAAATTAGTAGCTAGCGATGTCTCCGCGGGAGGTTCCTCAACGCCCCAGACATGCTGAGGCCAGAGGCCTGCGTAATCTCAGTGTTGTTAGCATTTATCGTTGTTGTTAGGTAGCGTTCTGGAATCAGTGCCCCCAGGCCCTGAATGCAATGTTCTACTTCTTCGCCAAGGCCAAGTATACGACGTGTGTCCTCTGGACCTATAAGGCTGTATTTTACGTACCTACGAGGAGGAGGAGCAGGAGGGTCTCGTGCCATGAGATGCAGACGGGCAATCCGAATCATTTTGATGGCATCATATTTTGGAGCGAATGAGATGTAATAAACGCCGGGCGTCAACTTATTACTTAGGGGGAGGTCTCAGGAGCGACGATATAGCGCAGAGACTGCACTGGATTTGTAGCTGCTTGGAATATAGGGGCAAGATGGCTGTATCCATGGCTACCGACATAATTGCCAGGCTTATTAACCACCTAAACATCCATTCACTAGGAGGTTAGGTATGCTATAGAATCAGCTAGTCGAACGATATCCCTGTTCTAGAACAGGTTTGGTTTTGCTTTAACAATGTGCCAGATTACTGAGCATGAAGCAAGCTATGCTCGGGGACAGCATAAGCATAGTTCGGTGAATGGAGAGGATGTCATTAGCTTTAATGAGTCAAATAACAAATAATGCCTTTGATTTATCATCAGTATGATAGAAGTCACGATCGTTGAACGAATCCTTTGCCCTAAGTAGAAAAATGGCCTGGAGACAGGGCGTCGTTCAGCTAGGGTGGATCTGTGTCAGACTATGGCTCATAAGTTCATAACCTAGTCGACGCCGACCCAAATAGTTGGGACGATTTACGAACTTTGCATGATGTCAATGGCAATAGCTGGTTTGCTTTTTAAGAAAAATCTCCCGAGCCAATGCCAATTTGTTCCTCAACAGTACGCCTCATGTGTCATGAAGCAAAATTTACACAATTATTATGGCGTCTGGGACCAGCAAGCCGGAACCCCTTGACCAAGGAGACTTGTCCTTCGGGGCGCATCCTCAACTAGAACGGATAAAGTTGAGGGCCATTAAAGACTCATCTCTTGTGGTGGTGATAATGAGTCACGACAGTAGGACGTGTTCAATGTTGCTTTTCGACGCCCAGGTAGCACATCCTAAAAACCCCCACGCTAAGCCGAAGTCCTTTTGTTGATTATACTCGGTATTCTCGATCTCTAGTGTTGCAGAGTACATACATAATAGTATGCACAGAAAAACATTGACAAAGCTGAGACCTGATTCGGATAATGACATGGATAGTCCTGATATCAAATGATGTATGCACCTGTATGTACTATGTATGTAGGTCGGTGACTAACAGCTAGTAACAGGCCCATCAATGGCAGATACTCGGCGATCTCTCGTATTGTCGTCGGACTTGAGGTCGACTGGGATCAGGCATATGGCATCCGCATATAAATGGGCGCCGCCCGCTGGCCCGGCAACTCGGGGCACTAAGAAGATGTGGTGAGCTTCCAGAAGCGTACGATGTCAAGCTGAAAGCGCCTTTGCAGATCATGATGTTTCACCGACGAGGTACTGTATGTAAGGAAGCCCAAACGGATGGGTCGGGTTTCGTGCCGTGGCATTCTCTTAATGGTTGTTTTTGAAACTTCTTCACTTCACTTCATTTTACTTGTTCTCCATTCACAACCACACTCTCGCATATTGGGTCTCGTACTTTCTCTCGTATGTCCTGTCGTTGCTAATGGGTTCTTGAGTTGAAGGCATATGCAATGCAACTCAGCTAATAGTTTCAGCCGATATATGCAAGCCACAACCTGTCATTTGGGTTCTTTAACCAGTCAACCGGGATTACCGTAATTGCGTTCACACCATTCCATATTAGTAAGTAAATTCTTCAGGTTCTTCAGGAAGTTCAGGTTCTTCAGGTTCTTCAGCATTACGGTAAATACCGAGGTGCATAAAACTCATTTTGGAGTATTATGTAGGTAGGTAGGTAGGTAGTTATGTATGTTACCGTATGTATGTAAATTTTGTAATGTTATCGCCAAGAGATTCGTGCTACGCGTGAGATACGCAGCGTTACACGCATGACGCGAATATTGAGTGCTGTACATGTTCTGGATTCTGGCCTTGATCGGTAAGTGTTGCTTTTTTCTTCTTTTCTGTCCAACTGATCTCCTGGCTTAAAGGGATGAATATAAAGTGTTATGTAGGTTGTAGGTTAGGTATTATTTAGAATTTTAGATAGTTCAAGTTGGTGACATAAGAAGGAGGCAGCCTGTCAAGCCTCGTTATTAGTTATTGTAATTGTTAGTTATCCAATTATTCCAATATCATTCTAAAACAACATGAACCTTGAAAGTCGGCGATTTGGCTGCAAAATGGGCTGAAACTTGGGGTATGCAAGAGCTGGAGAACGCTAGTCCTAGCGTGTTCCAGTTGAATGTATTGTACATTGTATTCTGGGTTCGGTTCAGTACATGTACATAAGCTACCCTAGGTTAGTTATGTAAGTTCAACATTGAATGTTGTGGAAGGTGTTCATGCTAGCAGCCGTTCGTTCAACGTGACCGGAAATATCTACATGTACCTATAGTTAATGTACCTAGTACGACGTAGATAGACAGCTACAACAATTCTTTCTGCTATCGAGTACGAATATGAAACAATGAAAGGCAGTTTTGGAATACCATGGTCTCGGGCTTTCTTTGTTGTACGGTTTCGGGTATTTGATTACATATGTAGTAGTTTATTGTATTTTACATATATATTCAATGTTGTACTCTTACATTTGTAGTACATACTACTACATGGTAAAGACTCCAGTTGAGAGAGGAGACTTGAGCAATTGATCCAATCGCATTCGAACAACACTAGTGTACTAGGAAGCTACGGGCACCTGCCTGCAAATAACATTACACAATCCCGAAATATCTAACCAGTCTAACCTAGCGTGTTCTGTACCTGAGTTATCCTAGCTATATCCTGGTCACCTAGGTAGAACTAGATAATTTCAACCAATAGGAATCAGGAATCAGTTTTCCCCTTTTCCTCTTTCGTCTCAATGAATCCCTTCATTGGCCAATCTCGGCCAAGATCTGCTCCACGCTGTCCCCATCAGACTGTCGTCATTGCTTTCCTTTCCTTCTTCTTGATCCTCTATTAAAATACCAGGATCTTCTAGTTGGCGTGTGTTGGAACTTGGATTGAGTTGAAGTGAAGGAGTGAGTTATTATTATTGTGTGGTCAATTTGGTATCTAACTTTTATCGTCGTCGTCATTATTTCGTATAACGTACATTATCTACATACCTACATACCAACACGACTATTCAGCCATTGTATTTACCGAGGTATAACATACTGTAGCCTTGTCTACATACCTATACATAATAGCTACAATTCAATTCTCAAACGCGATATCCACATCTCAGCTTTTTCAATACATTCAGGGCATGTATTGTACATACCTCCCTCCAATAAATATTACATGCTCTACAACTTGACTACAAGGCTACCTAGGTACAAGGAGGTAGTACGGTATGGGCCACCAAGACTGCTTTAGCATAGTTCTCCCTCGACGCCGTTCTCAAGTCTGAGATGAAATCTCAATGGAACATCTCCTAACCTAGTGACTTTCTGGCACTGCCTCCATCTTGGTAGCAACACGTACCATCCCTTTTTCTACCTATAACGCTTATAACCTATAACCTATAACCTACCTCCTAGGTACCCTCAGTGCTCCCTTACCATCCGATAATCTGGTACGTACAATACAATACAATACAATACCTACGCTGAAAGAGCCCTGGAGCCCTGGAGGAATCTCGCTTGTCTAATTTTAAGCGCCGTTCACCGTGACTGACGAATTTAAAGGCGCTACGGTGAGAGCCAGGCTTGAATACCATTGGCCAATTCCCTGGTTTGCCTAATCTCGAAGAGTCGCATTGCACTGTTGCTACGGTTCCTGCGTCTGTCGAAACATTATCGACAAAGTTAGCAACCCATCTCAATGTTCACTGGGCTATCTTGGGTTCTTGAGGAATTCGATATCCAACCGGCGGCAAATATTGTTACTTATTGACTGTTCCCTGGCCTGATCGACAATCTCACCCTTACGCGGTCGTCAGCCAGTCTCGACTATATTGTCCTTATACATATTTCCATTTCCATCACTCATTTCGTCATGGATCCGACTACTACTCTCTTTACTTTTATGCTGTAAGTTTCTACATTATCCATGAGTGCTTATTCCGGCTCTTTTATATATCTATAACGATCCCCCCTCGAGCCCATTGCTTTTGTTTGGGTTTGATATTGTTTTGTTGTTGTCATTTATCATTTCAATCATACCACTCGCTTCCTTACCTAGTACACACATACATACCTAAATAGTACTCGGTATAATCATCTTTCGTTTATTAATTTTTTCCTTTTTCCTTTTTCCTCTCTTTATATATATATATTTTTCGCTTTGAAATAATTTTTTCTTATTAAATTCTGTTCTCATCCACTTTCTACGGCGTCTATACTCAATCGGCATTTCCCGTTCTCCACCAATTCGCAAGTGGAAAAAAAACAAGTGGAAATGCTATTTTGAAGCCACACGGCATAACATTCCTTATTCTAGAATTCCCGATCTTCTAGGATTACAATACGACTCGACCAAACCCAGTCAGTATTTCCGGGCAAGGGTTCCACGCGAAGGTTAGCAACTTTTGTCATTCACTGACGAGAATATACCACTCCCTGTCAGCCCTGCCACGGGGCTTACCCAAATAGTGGAAGATGTGCTCCGTTTTCAGGCACCATCTGCTAAGCCAGCCACTCACTCTCACTGTTCCTGTCAGAGTCTGCCAGAAGCAAGTTGGTGCTCTGGTCTAGTGCCCTCAGCCCGCTTACATCCATGTCCTCTTTATGCCCCATCCCAAAAGTACCGGGAGTGGCATCTCTTCACTTTCACTCACCCACACCCCCTGCTTTCTTACGTCGTGTCTCTCTAAGTGGCAGATACTACTATGGATGTACGTACTTGCTTGGGTACATCCATGGATACCATCAATGATCCTTGGAGAAACATACCTAGGTATACATATACATAGTATGCATGCTGACTTACATACGTTACCTACTGCCTTTATTTATCATTCACTGGTTGCCCAACCATTGTACACCTCGATTTGACAACGAAGCTTACCAACTTACAGTCAAACCCACCCTTCTGTATCCTCAGTCCGGCTACTTGGATCGTGGGACAACTTCTCGAAGCACTACATCATGGAGCGTGATGCTAGACGGGACCGTAGCCAATGGCGAGGCTGCCATACCTTCAACAACATTGTATGCGACGGAGACCGAGTCGGAAACCCTAAGCGCAACGGAGGACTAAAGATGGGGCAAACATACTATTATTATGTGAGTTTACGTAACAGCCAACGCCGGCCATGCCTTTACTGACGATACATATAAGTATGAGACGGATGGGTCAACGGAAACGCATGACCACACTAAGCCCACCACAAACATGTGTCCTTATCTGCCTGGTCAGACCGTCAACACCCTCGAAGTCCCGTTGGAACACAATCTTTTAAGAGAGCGAAGTGCTTCCATGAACTCTCTTCGGGGCACTGACTTCCAAACGATGGACCCGGAGGATAGGTTCATGACACCACGACCAGCACCGCCAGTACCTAGTCTACCAGACCTTCGCGTTGGGTCATCGCCAGCCATGTCACTTGTTCATAAACGATCAACTCGCTCGCTCTCGCCTGCACCTCATTGGACTGGTGCTGCTCGGCGGTTCCTTGGAATCAAGAAGTCATTCAACCGAGATAGTGACACCGGTAGTGAGACTGAAGTTGAGAGTAATTATACGAGACAAAGTCGGCGCATAACGCCGTCGGGAAGCATTCGATCTCGTGATATGTCCCCAGAAGCCTTGGAGAAGTTTTTGTCTGATGATCGGCCGACGTCACCCGCTCCTTTTGGGCCGGCCCCAAGACTATTCATACCCGAAGAGCTTGTCGAAGAAGTTGACGACGACGAAGAAAATTTCGCGACATCCGCGGTATCCGAGAATGCGCCATATACGATGCTGTCGCCTCCGCCATTCCAACGAAGCCCCTCCGCATCTACAGTCAGGGGTAATGAGAACCCATCAACGGCAACCATTGTTCCTATGGAATTTCCACTGGAAAAGACCACCACATTTGGTTCCATTAATGGTCAAGATAACACGGATAGTGTCGAAGTGGCCCTGCCTCGGTCTCATTTCTCGTTCTCGACAACATCGTCGAGCTTGGCCTCCCCTGCATCTCCTGCATCGACTGGGTCTCGTGATCCAGGCCAATTCTCCTTCTTCGACGAGACGGACGAGGATGAGGAGATTTTCTCTAATGGGGACGAACCATTCATTCTACGTGGTTCTTACCGAGACAACAGAAACCGCAGCATCCCAAAGAACATACACACGCCCATCACGGGCTATAGCCTTCCCCAGCCTACATCGCATAACAAACATGCTGAGGTGAGCCACCTACCGGCGACACTAGGATCACCGGAGTTAGTTGCGAGACTCGACAGTGGTGTGCCTTTGGGAAGTGCTAGTCTTCTCAGCCGCCCCAGTATTGATACTGGGTTCGACGATTTAGTAAATGACATGGGCTGGATGGCCGACGTCATCCAGCCCAAGTATATCTAAACTTATCTCTTATACACCTATTTACGATATCCTATTTCTCTCTTTTGTTTTCACACATCTATAGACCGGGTATAGAAATTGGGCATGTGTTGTCACCAACCATTAGAATATTGGAGCATGGGCTTCTCAAAAGTAAAGCGTTGGAGTTTACGATGTCGTATTATTTTACCACCATCTCCTGTCATGGTATTTTGGCGCTCGGTTGGGAAATCGAGGACGGGTTATTATATCCTATACCACTGGTTATTTACGCGAAACACGGCCGATCATTTGAGGGCAGCGCTGGTTGCGCTTTCAAAAATTTGTCGTATATTAAGTATGGACGGACGGACGGACGGACGGGAGGATCTAATGAATGGGGGATGGAGGGAATGACCGGGATGAATTACGCCTCTCTCGGGTTCAAGAAAGGCCCTCGTGACAGTATTCACAGGGCGGATTTTACTAGGTCAGGTTAGTGGATATATCACTTTGGGTATGTAGTGTACGATGCATGTAGTGTATGTAGTGATACCCGTTTCATGCAGGTACCGACAAGCCGGGCAGCTAATGTTCGATCTGACTCATCGGATCATTTTCTCTCTCTTCCAAGTCATACGTACCTACATACATACATACATACATCATCAATACTAATTTAACAAAGCCATTCATCACCGAAACGTTGCTACGTACAATAGGTGACCCGAACAAACGCCTGATGAAACTACATGTACATAGATATCTATCTACATGTAGGTATACGGAATTCAAGAACCATATGTAGAGCTGACAGGTATGTATGTATTGTACTTACAGCTAACTGCACGTGTCAACTTGACGGCACAGCAGCGATAACATGGATGTACCATAGCACTAACTTACCTATCTGCTAGTTATGTAGGTAGATGCAGGTACGTATGTAGGTACTGTAGGTGAGAACGCTACGCTACGTATGCACCCAGACACCAGGTACATACCACTAACTCTGGGTGGCAAGGGTAGGTTAGGTACAGTAGGTATATGTAAGTGGTGATATACCTATTACCTACACTTCCCAGCGTACCTATATAACTAGTTATGGGGTAAAGGGTCTTTTTTTAGCATCCTTTTTTTTTTTTTTTTTTTCATCTGGACTATTGACGTACTAATCTCGTTTTACAACTCACACGTGGTATAAAGAAGGTGCCTACCTACCTAGTGTACGAAGTACCCGACTACCTATGCAAAGTTAGTGGTTAGGCAGACAGGTACGTAATGTATGTATGTATGGATGGATGTATGTAGGATGCGATTAGGACGACATCGTGTCAAATGCGGCGCAGTAAGGGGAGGATGGATGGATGGATGGAAAAAACGAACGAACGAACAAACAAACAAACGGGCAAAGCCGACGCTAAGCCAAGTACTAGGTGTAGGTATGTACCTATGGATGCTAGTCGCGATCCATCGCGTTTATGATACATACATCATATGTATGTATGTCCGGTCGTTGCTACATGTATGTGTAGGTAGGTATGTGCTGTTCCGGATTCCGAGGGTGGGGTATGCAGTTATTCGGGATTAAGAGCTGGAGATGCATGTGAGGATGAGGATGAGGATGAGGATGCGGATGCGGAAGAAGAATGCCTAGTACATGGTATGTAGGTATATGCCATGTATGTATCTCGTATAAGGCTGAGAAGACAGGGAGTGCGAAACCGCGTACATCATATTGAAATGCGTACCACTATGTATGTATGTCATAAGTCGAAGAAAAATCAAACGTCCTAGTTATTGGTTTACTCGTATTCGTGAGTTTTATTACATACCGTCAGTTTGCCGTCTTACGGCTTACGTATGTAGTTATCGTAACCGCCACCCCAACCCTTACCCTTACCCCTACCCCTACCCCAATATGATCATCGTTTTAGATCCCTTGAGTAGGTAGGTAGGTGCCTAACCTAGGTGAGTATCACACCTTCCATCCTGACTAACAGTCAAGTCGTCCTTGTTATAGACACTTACGTTAGTAATAACTTAGTATACTCCTTTAACGTCAACATATATATAGGCATTCTTCCTGAGGGAGGGGGGTACGCAAACTCAAACTTCCCGTGTTTCCATTGGGTATCTTCCATATACAATGTTATTCTACCTGTCCCTGAACACCACCCATCCACCAAAACCAAAACCAAAACCAAAACCAAACCCCATTCAAAGGTTGTTATGGGCCATCCAAACCGAAACAAGCGTCGTATTGTTAGGCTATACGAGAATATCCCAATGACTCTTCTACCCTCCCCATCTTCAACTATATATAACCCATCCCCCGTGCCCTGTGTTGCTTAGAGGTAGACAAGCAGTCAGACCTCGCCCCTCCTTATGGACGGCCATGGGCGTAGACAACCAACAGTCATCTAGGATTCGCTTAGTACGGATGAATATTGGGAACTGATTTCGAGGTCTGAGCTGTCATGCGAGTCGTTTCCTTCCCTTTAACATTGGTCCCTGAGATTCGTATTGACCAAGAAGGAAGACTCTGATCATCCCAGGCATCAAGGTACTCCCTCTCGAACTCAAGTGCATGATTACGAGGATCACTCCTGTTCCTCTCCAACACTTCTAGCGCTTTATTGGCTTCGGATCTCCAGAAATCGTCTACCCACTTCAGCAACCCATTTAAGCGCCCCTCCGCCGACTTCAATTTTTTGACCTGAAAGGTCCTTTCCGGTTGGGCTTGAGATTGGAGGAATGACTGCTTTTCCTTCTGTACCGCATATTCCCGGTCGGCGTCAGACATCGGGAAAGATATGATTTGCTGATTAGAACTCAGCGCGTAAACAAACTGTGCGAATTGGTGGTGGTTGAAGCTGTTGTGCTGGCAATCGAACATCGCAAGTCCCTTGTTCAAAGCGAGCACACGACAGAGTTCGCTCACATCTTCTGCCGTACCTAAATCATGGTTGCGAACGCGAAGTTGACGTAGCGTGTTGTTCCACTTAAGCCCGCCCATGGCTCCTGTCAGCTCCCAGCCCATATGGCTGTCTTCCAGTTTGCCGCTATAACCAGAAAGGTCGAGATATTGTAATGTATTATTTGATTCGAAGAATCGAGAGAGCAGCTCCGACGTTTTAGAACTCGCACGATTCGGAGGTCCCGTTCCCACCATACTCAGAAACTCGATGGTTTTGTTATGAGCAAGTGCCCTTAAGAGTCGGTTGAAATTCGATTCGTGATGAAAGTGAATCATATCCATATGGATTTTTTTCGGTGCTTCACTGCCATGGATTAAGTCAATCCAATCAGTTGAACCACTCTCAAGAGGATTCTCATTCAGTAACAAATGCATATTGCGGCCTGCACCGAGCCGGCAAAAGAGTCCAGTGACCATATCTCCCGAGAGACCACAATTGACAAGAGCGAGACGACGCAGGTTGCAAGACTCGTCAAGCTCAACAAACTTCATGATACTATGAAGAGTATCGGAATTGATCTATAAACATGTATACGTTAGCACGATCCCCATGGTGATTTGCATCCACGTTGGTCTCTTACCTTCCACCCAGAGAGGTCCAACTCTTCTAGACGCCAGGGTTCAAGACTTGACCCAGTGCTCCACGGTTTGAATAAAGGGCCATCTAGATTCCCCTTGATGGAGTAAGCAAGGTTTAAGCATCGTAATCTACTTGACTCGTTAAGAGTCTCCGAGGCCTTTATTGCCTCTATGCGGCCCAGATTGTGTGATAAGTCAAGAACCTCAAGAGTCGAATGTTGCTCGTGCAAGCCCTCCCAAAGTATTGCAAGTGCATTCTCGTCAAGATGGCAATTCGATACAGACATTTTCTTCAAAAAGCCCGGCCTCTTCTGTAGAACACGAGCTGTATGAATTGTTAGCCCATCTAAGCGAGTTACCATCACTTCTGCGCTATACTTACAAAGACCTGCTATATCAGACACGCCTAGGCGATTCCCACTCAGGTTAATTGAGTTGCATCGAGTCTGTAGAGACTTCCAGAGGAGGACGATAGGTGGTATAACTTCACACTCTCTACTCATTGGGCCCGGGGAATATTGACCATTCTCTGATGGCGAAGTGGGCATATTGCCGAGCACGTTGCTGAGATCAATATGCCGAATAGACTCAGACCCAAGTAGGAGAGCTACAATCTCTTGGAACAACACAGAAGAATTCTCTACAAGCTCGTACTCGGCTTTTGTAAGACTACGATTTCCTACAACAATATTAGCTCCATATGGCATATGCATGCATAGCTGTTGCAAGCAACTAGAACGAATTTAACGAACCTGTTCTGGAGAGCCAAGTTGTAGACTCCAGTCTTGCAACGTTATCGGAGGTCTCAGAAAGACTACTGAAATCGATATTGCAAAACGACAACGACTTGAAGAAATCGTTGAAGCGTAAGGCACGGAAAACAGCCAGGAGTTGGTGGGCAGTATACTTAGGCTGTCCCTTTGGGGCGAGGAGACAGAACTGAGGTGGGTTCCGCACATTCTTCCAATGCACCATCCATTCAACTGGAGCGCAGTTGTATCCTTCGATGAAAGCTCCTAGAGTCGTCTTGAAACCACAATAATCCTCGCCGTTGGGGAGAGGCATTTGTGGGGCTTCGCCGTCAATGCAGAAAACTTCACGGCGAGTCCACAGAGGCCAAGTCGGCTTCAGATAGGTATCTGCTTTGTACAGCTTTGATGAGATGCTTCGATGGTGCCGGCTGGAAAGCTCTAGCTTCCTAGCCTTCTCCAAGGGCAGTCTACATTTTCCAGGAAAATATATGGTGAGCTAATAATCTTGAAAATAGTTGATATGCCACCAGTAGACGGGACCAGGTGGATGAAGATAGGCAAACTTACCGAAAAACGAGGTCAAATCTTTCATCGTTAAGGATGACGTTGACTTTGGAAAGAGTCACCAACCCGAATTGAACAAGATTAGGATTAATCCTCAGGCCCGTTGAAGTTTTGGTGAACTGAGCAAGAACACAAAAGTTCTTGGTAAATGCTATATAGAAAGATGAATGATCCCTCCAGCCTCTCTTCGCCTCACCTGAGTTTGATCTCTGTATTGTATACCGCCGCCGAGGTATAATAGGATATATCTCCATCCGAATGGCTCTATGCTGTGTTTGATGAGGCTCTAATATATGCTTAAGCTCTAGTTCAACATCAGGGGGAGTCGGCTCTTCTAGAAGAGCTTTGGCGCGTACTTTAATCGCCTGTCGAATCTGCTTTAGCCATTCATTACGATCCTCTGGGAGACCAAAATCTATTTGGAGACATGTAAATGAGACCCCCCTTTGATCGTCCCACCAGACTTCGATACCAAATGATGGACGGGTCCCTTCGTCGTTGAACACAGACACGACTTTCTCCAAGGGGATACGTAATTCTCCATGATGGCTATGATCCTTTAAAGAACTTGCCGAACTATTCGGACCGGCGAGGTCAACGACGCTACCATTCGCCGAAAGTTGTGGGAATCGCTCAACTGCAGCAGAACGACTCTTGAACTTGATCAAGGCGAAAGGGGTAAGTACCAGGAATTCTTTCTTGGACTTCAGAATAGATGTCTCTGGTAGGAGAGGCCCCGACTTGATGACGGTAGAAGAATCACCAAAGATGCTAGCGCATTGACTGCCTGTACCCGAAGGACTCGTAGGTCTAGTCGAGGTAGATATCCGTTCAGTGTTATCTTCGGTTGAAGACTTGGAGGGCCTCCGGATCAAGTCTTCCTTTAAAGATTCAAAAGTGCGATTCTTCGTCAAAGTCCGCTTCCGACTAGTGATTGGTGAGGGAAGGTCTGTCTCGGAAGAGCTTGAGATCTGTGAGCTAATACTGAGCGACCTTAACCGCAATGCTTTCACAGCGGAGAAGGATGCGCGCCGCTGAGATTTCGGGATTTCTCTTCGGTCAACTAATCGCGGAGGAACTGGTCTCAGATCCATGCTTGAACTCGCGGAAGCCGAGAGATAGCTGAAGCGCGGAGTGATACACCTAATGAAGGGTCATTCCAGATACAAGGGTAAGGCCGGGTGTAGCTTCGGGTGCTTCGGGTGTAATCGGCGCTTGTGACGAGAGAAATATCGGCGGCTCACGAGAGCATATTAAATGACTTGGTGCCAAAGCCAAGCGGCAGATCAGAGCAGAGTGAACTTCGATAGGTCACACTCATCTGGGTACTAGGTAATATGGTATACCTAGGTCTAGGTAGTCTGTACCTATTTCACCTAGTTTACAGCTTGCTTGAGCTTGCTTGAGCCTCAATGTTGCCTTCTCACTGCTCAACTGACCTTGTCATGCTCGGTACTAGGTATATGTCTACCAGGTAACGAAAAGGGCTACCTATATTACAAGGAAATATACAAAGAAAGGGAAAGAATTGGTCGAAGGTAGAGGCCCCGAGACACACTTGCAATTATGTAAGTTAGGTTAAGGTACACGATTTCCCAAAATGTTTACGATCAACTTTCCAAGTTTGATGGCGCATATGTTAGCGTTATTGGGTCTGGCCGGAGTTGGATGAGGGTACCACATACCATACAGGCAAATTCTTTGTATGTAGGCACTATTGGGTGTAAAGGGTGTAAAGGGTGTAAAGGATGTAAAGTTGGTTATCGCACAAATCAACATTGAACCTGTTGCACCTGAAATCACAAACCTATGCCCCGGTATATACATACTAGTACTAGTAGTATGATACTACTAGCTATTAGATAGATGTTAGTACATAACTTGGGAAGGTGTTAGCACTGTTAGATAGGTGCTAGGTACCTAGTAGTGCTTAATATCAGTTATGAGGTAGGTACGCTGCAATGATCTTCCTCCACGAACCGGTTTGGAAGGACCACTTGGTCCAATTAAACTATTAAGCTAGAGTCATGACCATTCATATCCCTCACAGTGACGTATTCTATTCATTAAATAGAATGTGCCTGAAATACATAACTACATAGTATGTAATTACAACGATAACAAACATTGAAAGGCCTGTGCGTTGCCCTTTTTTCTTTCTTTCTTTTTCATACTTGCAGCTTTGTCTGCGTGTATTCATTTTAATGGAGAGATTTTCGATGAGGTGGAACACGTAGGGTCTGTTAAGTATGTATTGTGTATATACTACTAGTAGTAGGGCTGCTGGTTGGGTCAGGTAAACAAAAATCCTTCAACTGGGCAGTCTGGGCTTCCATTAATAACTACATATGTACCAAAACCCTCCATTGAAAATCATTGAAATCCATTCAATCTTCTCCAGCTCTGCAGCTCTGCAGCTCTCCAGTCAACGTCATCGTCCGTGCTCCATTTCCCCATCAGATCCCCTGATACAGATGAAGCATGGATGTGTTATGGTCTCTGATGTCTCCAGGTTATAATGGAACTTCCTTCTGCCTTACACAAACCAAGAGCAAATCTCCCTTCACGAGATCACGAGACAAACACAACTAAATGTGATTGGAAATGCGGTGTGGGTAGACCGTTAATCCTGGATGTATGTAGTTCTAACTTCTGCAAACTGCATTTCTTTGTTAATAAATTGTCTCGAGGCTTGTGTTACTCGAAGAGTCGATCCGAGACCAACGAGATTGATATCTGATATGCATGCCTCATACCTAGCACGATATAAAGAAGTGCTTGACAGGGACAACCATGTCGTTGAGGCATGTGAATCCAGGGCATTCCCCAACTCTGCACGTGTTAAAGTATGTACATACTACATACATACTACTAGGTACCTACTACTAGTAGTACATCACACATACCTAGGTTAGTACATAGTAAATAATCCTTCTTCATCTCCCAACCAACTATATTTATTCAGCATTGACGACGACGACTTGAAATAATGCTTGACATTGAGCGCATAGCATGACACTACATGTTTTACTTAAGTTCTATGTATATCGCCAACTTACTGATCTATCACTGTCAATCCACTTACTTACATCTACGAAGTCGAGGTTCATATGAGATATTATTTAACCTAGAAGTTACTCTAAGCAACTCGTTACGAAAACCCTAGTCTCATCCTCGAGGATCTCGGGATTCGCTGCTGCGTGCTATGCAATTTAAATGAACCGCTGATTGCGTTGTCCTACCCATGCGGGAGCGCCATGATGTTTACAGCCGCAACTGGCCAGATGGTCGGTCAACAACATATTAAAACTTTGAGGCCATTGGAAAGATTAACTATACCTAGGTAAGCATAACTTGGTGGTTGATTAGTACTTCAATGTTGTCACTGCTTGAAAGTTGACGCATCCTTACCATATAGATGCAACACTGTCTGGTCCTAGATCAACGCTAGTAGATTCCCACAACTTCCAGATCGTCGTATAATCGATCGACCCCTTGCCCGAAAAGCCTCGGTATGGTACATAGTTATTGGGTAGTAGTTACTGACAAATCCATAAGGCTCAACGGATGGACCGAGTATCTGACGATGATCCGTCAAAGCACCTGGGACAATCCAGGATCTCGTAGAGAAGAAACACCAGGCATCGCGGTAGCTGAAGTCGGCGAATTAGCCACGCTTGTGATATTATCACCTTGTGTTGTACTATTATGTACGTACAAGCCAACCGGCGTTAAATTCTTCATGCGATGATGCAAGGCTCGAAGGACCGCATAGGTACGGTACGGTATCTAATAACTAGTGATAACTACTCCATGACTTGATATACATATCCCCAAGCATGTATATATGTTACACCTGGAGAACCCTCAAGATACATACTTCAAGTTGGAACATTGGAGGCTGTTCCGACTTTGATATCATACTCCAAACAGTCATATGTACATCTCTTCGCAAATAACAAGGTTCCATACGGTGAATCGGAGATACCTTCTCCTCGGTGAGAGAATCATGGGATAGCTACATGTACTGTATGTACTATGACCCACAAGATCATCATACATATGTACAATACATGTATGTACGAGGCTACGAGCCTTCGTAGCCTCTACGAGACCCTCTGTAAGGGCCGGGGAGAGACAAAGAAGAAGGAGAAGAAAAGAAAAAATGACTCTTTTGGAAACAACAACGTTGGCAATCCCACGTTAAACCACACTGCCGGTAAGAGGCAAGTGAGGGATACAAAATGGCTCCATGACCGTTAAACGCCCCGATGTGCCCAGCTTATCCGAGCTAGTCGAAACTTGGAGGGTTTCATGTTGGAGATCGTGGCTAGACCCCCTATCAATCAACCCCCTGAAAACCCATAGTACCTAGGGCACTATGCCCTCCGCCTTGTAGCACCCCTCGCTTTTCTATCCTCTAAGTGGTTGATAGGCATGACTTGCTGGAGCGGCGTAGGTTAGTGAAAAGCGAATCAGCGTAGACGCCCAGTGATCCAATCAACATGACGCCGCTGTTAGCCCTTGATACTGGAAACCTCTACAAAAATATTTATATTATTATTACTATTGTTTTTCAGCTGACACGCAGTTTATGTTCGGCAAAGTCCCCACCACCTCGTTGAGTCGTCATGAGCACAAAACACTAGCTCTTTGGAATACGTATACCTATACGTAGAAGACCCCTTTTTCAGGAGGGGGCAGTATTGTTACAAAGCAAGATACTACCTCCATAACATTACAGGTAAGGCAATAAATAGGTTAGTTTCTAGGGACAATATGCGCATCGAGACTTCTAAGCCACTGAGGGCCTGAGGCAATATCGACACGGGAGCCTTCTGCCCATTGTTCGGATCGAAATTGGCTGTACGGGATGTACCCTAAAGGGGTACGCGCAGCTATATTCCAAATGGGGACAGAATGTGATTGTAGCCGCCCGTACTCATTCCTGTTAGTGAACCCCAGCGCTGCCTATATATATATCATGATGCTTTAAAGGTTGCTTCGTGTATACTTACCTGGTACTATCGGGTTATATTGTTAGATATACCTACATATGCACACATATAATCTACCTAGATGGGCGAGTAGTTATCCCGAAGGAGGAATCCATTTAAAGGTCTAATCTCGCATCATACATGGTGCATACACCTAGGTAGGTACCAAGATAGTACTGTAGCAATGTAGCAATGTAGTAATGTAGTCCTAATGTAGATGACTGTCGTCTGAGTATTTAGGATCATTGCGTGTTTTCCGCCCTATGTATGGAAGCGATCATTCATGAAATCTCATCTAATAGAACGATTATGTGGATGAGTCGATGACGGGACCTTTTCGATGATCTTACTACATGTTACACCTACTGAATAGAGGTAGGTAGCGACCGTGCGCTTGCTGACGAGTTTCGAAATATCCATACTACATGTAGTAGCTACCGCCGTTCTTCTTTTTTTTCTTCTTTCTTCAAGGTTGTTAGCCCAATCATAGTGGGGGGAATATGTCTAACTAGCACAGTAATGATACCGAAGAAGTTAAGAACACATCAGCGAATTAAGCCTATTGTGCGTAGCGGCAGGAAAGGTGAAACCAGCGGGCCGGTAATTGAACTAGGTGCAGTTGGTAGTAGGCGGTAGGCGCGTAGACGGTAAAGCTAGAGGCCGTAATAGGGCAGGATAGACCCCATCAACATTAGTTACTATGTAATAAGTTAATGTTTTCTTTCTAATGTTCTTTAATAGTGCAGGCATACATAGGCATACATAGGCATACATATGTACATGTTGACCCTAGGTAGTAGGTAGCCCTGGGGGCGTACAATACATGCCTACCTAATGCCTACCTAATGCCTACACTGTACCTCCTAGTACAGTAACAACCTTGAATGTTGACAGTACTAGGTATCATTGATGCGCAGTAACTAACTATGTGCTTGCCATTAACCACCCTGTTTGAGCCTATTATAAGGAAGTGGGGCCTAGGTCAGCTGCAACTAAAGAAAGACCCTGGGACAGTTACACCAACACCAACGAACTTCTGCTTGGTACTAACCTTTTTAACCTCAGGTACCTGGTAAATCGTTCTCCTGTAATTAATTCCCCCGATCCCAATCCTTCCCCAAATCCACGTTTCCACATAACATCGTCGAAACATACAAATCTACACTCTCTCTATCGTCGACACTTTGCCTAGGTTTGCGAAACCTCCCTAATTTATTTCTTGGTTTCGACAAGATTCGCTGCGTCATTCAATTCAATCTTTGTTCCAATTCCACAAGGATCACCACTCCAGGAATAAAGAAATACTTTCCCTTTTCTCCATACTCACCTATTGCCCTCGATATTTGATATTTTCCCTATGCGTACCTGACGATAACTCCCATCCATCTTTCACAATGGCAATGCTCGCTTCGAAGTCGTCTTTCCCGGCTTCGCTGGCCTCGTCGGGTTCTACTTTGGTTCCCGGCGCACAGTCATCTAACATGCCCCCCGCGAGGAGATCCCCCGCTGTCCTCGCTGCTGGTCAAGCTTACGCTAGCCCAACCGAGTCCGAGTTTTCTGATCTCGAAGGGCCTGATGCAGTCAAGAATTGGACGGAGGACCAAGTCTGCGAATATCTAAGGAGTGTTAAGTGTGGGGAGTATGAGAAACTATTTAGGAGAAACAACATCAATGGCGAAAACCTACTGGAGATGGATAAGGAGGTTCTGAAGGAAATGGGCATCGACAAGGTTGGCGATCGAGTTCGACTATTCCTGGGCATTAAGAAGCTTAGAACCAAGGCTTATGCGAACCAGACGAGACGCAACCGGGTAAGCTATATTCTAATACTTACGACACTTATGTCAACCGTGCTTGATATATATTTATGGATTCCATTCTGGGATATCTTCTAATATGAAATGTCTCTAGGATTCTTTCGGGGTGCTTGATTCCCAATACACCCCTTCATCATTAGGATCACCGCGACGTTTCTACGCTACGAAGCGTGCCATGACCGCCCCAGCTGACAGGAGATATTCTCGACAGATTGATATGTCGAGCCTAGCCATGAACCCAATGACCGAGCTTGCGAAGTCAGCCTCAAGGCCAACCTCCCCAATGCCTGGTACCGATCGATCCACAGGACGGCATGCATACCAACAGAACCAATCGCATACACCAAATTCTATTGGCCGTGGGCCTACTTCACCGACTATGCAGGGTCGTCTGGTAATGACCCATACGAGAAATACTTCCAGTCAGGATGGTTCGCTGATGGCTGCTTTACCACAGGGTCAAGATGTCATCCGCGTCATCTCCACCGGCGGTGGTACGAAAGTTGTTAAGATCGCGGACTGCAACACATGCGAAGAGGTTATGCGGGTGACACTACGAAAATTTGCGTTACGAGAAGATCATGACCGAAACTATTGTTTCTGGGTATTAGCCGGCATAGACCCCGATCCTACGCAATGCCGTCGTCTCGGCGATACCGAACTATGGCGTATCATTAAGGATCAGAAGCGGCCGGAGAGAAACCGTCTAATTCTCCGAAGAGTGCCTTCCGGAGAGCCTGGAGAGCCCGAACTACAAAGGGCCGCATCTATCGCCATGGAAGAGGCGCAGCAAAATCATACTGCAGCACTGGGTAATATTCAAGGCAAGAAAAGCCAACTCAAGGTAGAGAGTGTGATGGGTGAGCCCTGGAACGAGGGGCTGCAGCAGCCGTTGTCGCCAATATCGACCCGCGATCGTGAGAGAAACTTGCATATTGCTGCTATGGACCTAGAACGGCCTGCCTCCAACGATGCGCAGGTCACCCCGAGGAGGAAAGGTGTTCTGAGGCCATTTGGTGGTCTGAGACCACCGAGCGAGTTAATTACCTCCGATCTCACTTCATACTTCCCTGATCACCCAAGGGAGGATATTGACAGGACAGCCCGTTTATCCATGCGCAGGTCTACGCGTTTGAGCAAGGTAAACAGCCGACTTAGCGTTGCTAGCAACCTTAGTTTCGCATCGAGCATCCAAGATGCGCCGCCCATTCCAACCATTGCGGATACTTGGTTGAATAGCGGTCAGCTCGCCAAGGTTAGGGCTCGTGACAACCAAGGCCGCATGCCACACCCCTTCCGAGACTCTATCGCCTCGTCGGTCCTTGACACCCTGCAAGAGGAGTCTCCAATCGAGCCGAATCGTAAATCTTACGTTTCATTCGCGGATAGCAGTTCTGATAGCAACCCGGTCAGCATCACAGACCCAGAAGGACATGTTCGCCAAAGCTATTTCGACGAAACTAGCACACAGGGCTCTGGCTCTCTCAAAGAAATTACTCAAGCCCTGAGTGAGGATGGTGAAGATGCTGACGAGGAACTCCAGAGCTTCTTAGCTGGAGAGTCCTGGGATGACAACAAGTGGATGAAAGGTGCCTTAATCGGCCAGGGATCATTTGGTAGTGTATATCTGGCCTTACATGCCGTGACTGGAGAACTCCTTGCCGTCAAGCAAGTCGAGACACCCTCTCCCGGTGCCAATAGTCAGTCAGATACTCGAAAGAAGAGCATGATCGAGGCACTCAAGCGCGAAATTAGCCTGCTCCGGGATCTTCGACACGCCAATATCGTACAGTACCTCGGATGCAGTTCATCTTCTGAGCACCTTAACATTTTTCTCGAGTATGTCCCTGGTGGCTCTGTTCAGACGATGCTCAATTCGTATGGCGCTCTGCCGGAACCCTTGGTCCGCAGCTTTGTTAGGCAGATTCTGAACGGACTATCGTACTTGCACAACCAAGATATCATCCACCGCGATATCAAGGGCGCCAACATCCTTGTCGACAACAAGGGCACAATCAAGATCTCCGACTTTGGGATTAGTAAGAAGCTAGAAGCCTCGAATATTCTCAACGGTGCCAACAACAACAAGCATAGGCCCTCCCTCCAGGGCTCTGTGTTTTGGATGGCCCCTGAAGTGGTAAAACAGACTTCGTACACCCGTAAGGCCGACATATGGTCCCTTGGTTGCTTGGTTGTCGAGATGATGACTGGAACACACCCATTCCCCGACTGTAGCCAGCTACAAGCCATCTTCAAGATCGGCGGTGGCAAGGCTGCCCCAACTATACCAGAAAGTGCGAGCCCCGAGGCAACCACTTTCTTAAGCCAGACTTTCGAGATAGATCACAACCTGCGCCCCAGTGCAGATGAGCTTATGCTTAGTCCATTCTTGGCTCCTATCACCTAGGGGGTGTGGGATTCTTTGATCTAGCCTTTCGTTCTAGACAGTTCTTTCTCGATACCCCTTTTGCGACGATATATATTTTGATTCTCCGATTACGGAAGATTAATTTCTATGGACACCCACACCCAGACGGCAACAACTTTCGGGTGCCCTTTGGGTCTCGATCAACCGCGTTGAACCTCGCAATTCTATTCCGTCGCGACCCTCTCCGAAAATGGCAATCATGTCTGACCTTCTACGATTGCCATGGGGTCGCATATTATTAAAATAAGCCAAAAGAAAAAGTAAACCCCCAATCCTAGGGATGGGGATGAAGGGAAATTGCCGTCTTTTGATAAGTGCCGGTGAATTTTTATTTGATTTTACAAGAGCAAACATGGGCATTTACACAATGCATTGATGCGGCGAAATGGGGAATAGGCAACTTTTGAGATTCCGTCGCCGGTTCGTCTCGCTCTACTTTCCTAGGTGTGGCATTGGAAGTTTTTATGAGCCATCATTAGAATGATGGCTGCTATGGGATTTAAGAAAGGTGAATGCATGGATGAGAGTAAATGAATTGAGATGATTTTCTCGAATGCCTTCCGCATTCGAAATGCGAAGGCAAGTAATATAGGCATTGTGGCCTCACACGAGGCTCCGGAATATAAAGATGAACGTTGGGAGATATTCCTATGATTATGAAACTTGCCAATGAATTGTATTGACTAGATCGTGAGATGAGCTTAAGCTTGGAACCTATCCTCCAACGAATGTTTCCACCAGACTACCCCTATCTACATTACTACTGTCACGTACCTGGTAGCCTTGTGGCCAGCCTCATTAACATATAGTTTAGGTACTAGGCAGGCAGCATTGCAAATAAGTCTTGCCGTCGCAAACGTGCTCAAGTAGATTGGGGTAACATCTGGGGTTTCGTTTTGTTTCTTTTTGTAAATTATTTTGGCCTTCTTTCTTATTTTAGTAGTTTTCAGTTGCCCCTGGATTAAGGTCGTTGGGAAATATGCCAATTTTAGGCCTTTTGGATCTGTACAGTTCATCTCGGCGTGATACACGCAGCCGTACGCTGACGGCAGTGCCCCTTACGCAGAGACTCCCATTCCCACCCTCTATCCAGGTCTCCCACGTACGGATCTCTGAGTTCGGATCTTGCTCGGTACTGGCGAGCCTGACACACACCCGCATGGGTTCGGTAACGAAGAGGGGGGCTAGGTTCCTGTAGTCGAAACTGCGCAGCTTCTCATGCTCCGCGGTCATCTCTCGGCCGACCACGGAGAGCATGAGGGTGACAAGGAGCGGGCCGTGGACGAGTAAATTGGGATAGCCCTCCACCTCGCGGCAAAATCTGGTGTCGTAATGTATCAAGTGGGAATTGTATGTTAGTGCGCTGTACTGGAAGAGAAGACCCGGCGTAGGTGTAACCGTGATGGAGAAATCGGGGGCATTGGGGGCTATGTTTTGGAATGTCAGCCACGGGCACAAAGTTCATGAATAGGTAGGTCTTATTTTAGAGGACATAAAACATACCCTGAACGACCCTCGCCCTGTCTCGCTCAGCCTTTGCCAAGTTTTCTCGTACTTGTTCCGGGCTCAGCCCTCGCATGAAGACCAAAGTTCTCCGCTCCAATATCATCCGAGACAGAGGCATTGACTTAGTGCCACCGGGACCTTTGTATAATGACTTCTTCTTGTACTCGCGCACCACGTCGACAAATATCTTCTCTTGTCCCTCGGAACCCTTGACGGTGACTGCCTCTATGTGCTCACTGCATAGGGCAGGTACAAAATCCAACCGGAAATCACCGGTATATTCTAGAGAGCCGCTGGCCCACATGCGCCGCACAAAAGGGCCGCCTGGGCTGTGGAATGGGTCCGTGCCATCGGCGCCCAGCTGCGAGGCGGTCTTCTGCAGCGGGAAGTATACAAAATGGTGGCCCGGAGGAAGCGAGGATCTGCCGTTGACCTTCTCCACGGATGTAGCGCCCAGCTGGTATGTTCTGGCATGGCAGCTCTTTGGTAGGAAGTCAGCGAGGGCTATGCTGAGAAGAGTCGAGTTGGTCGGCGACACAATGGTCCAGGTTAACTGGGGTGGCCTGCCCAGCATCTCAGCCTTGATGGCCTCGAAGTCGATGGGCGGCTCATTGGAGGCGCTATAGCTGCGACGACACCAGACTGGTGAACAACATGGCTTGATGAATGGACGGCTGAAACTCCCAAGTCGTAAGGAATTGCGCAGTGACATGTGAGAGACTTTCATTTTTTCATCGCATCCATTAAAAAAAAAGCATACATCCAACAAGGAAACCAATTATAAACACAAATGCGAATTATACATACATACCTCAATGCTGAATTCAGCCGAAGAGAAATGAAGTGAAGCAAAATGATATACAGGTACCTAGGTACCTGCCAAGAATGGGGACAGGTTCTTATCGATAGGGTATTGTACCTAGCAGTACATACCAGTAGTTACCCTGTAGTTAACTAGGTACCTAGTACTCTATGATTGATGCCTGCAGAAATCGCGTCATAATTTCAATTAACACGGTTTAGTGTGGAAAGTCGCGTCACGTCGTGAAAGTTAGTTTAGGCCACACCTTCTGCCTAGCTATAGGCTCAAAATGGATTTGATACAAGCCAATTTGAATATGATACATAATATATGCACATAAGTTGCCTTGAAGTACATAACGTACCCCAACTCGTGACACGCGAATGCCTAAAGGAAATCAATTTCGATGCGGTGAATTTAAATCCATCATTTTTCCTCCAAACACCAATTTTATGAACTTGCCCCTTCGTCGTCCTTTTATTCATTTTGCGACAATCACCTCTACGACGAAACTGCTCAACATGTCACCCAAGCAAGCTACCTTGGGGTACGTGAGATCTTCTCAGACCACCTTAGGGTGGGTCTTCCTTCTATGCCTCTATGCTTCTATCCAATACAACTTGCTGCATTTTTTTATGTTCCTTGCTAACAAGTATTTTATAGCAAGTTCTTTGGCCAGCCCAATGGCCCAAAGCCGACACAACAGACAAAGCTTTCCTTCAGCACAAGGTCGGCTAAGAAGGTGAAGGAGGAGGAAGAGGATCCAGAACCAGAACCAGAACCTTCTAGCAGCGAACAGCAGCCGCCGTCACCCAAAGTAAAATCCAATGGTGATGCCAACGAAAATGCCGATTCTTCAAAGGGTACAAACCTACCGTTCGATGCCTGCAACTGATGAAGTGTATAGCTAATACATGTACACACAACCAGATACGAAGAAGCGAACCCGATCCAGCGCATCAACTAAGGGAAAGCCAAAGACTAAATCGTCTCCAACAAAAGTTAAAGCCGAGCCTGAGGAAGCTGATGAGGAGGCCGACGAGGAGGTTGAAGAAGTGCCGGTAACAAAAAGACAGCGAAGAACCCGCCCTCGGGTTGAGGAAGATGACGATGAAGACGAGGTCATGGTTGATGTAAAACCAGAGAAATCTAAAAAAGCGACTGGTACTGGTAAAAAGTCACCCAAGAAGCCTACTACCAAATCCACCCCCAAGAAAAAGGCGGCATCTGCACCTAAGGAAGAGGATGACAGTGATGCCAAGGAAGAAGCATCGGAATCGGCATCTGATATTGAGAAAGAAGAGGATTCTGATGGCGAGGGAAAATCTAAGACCGCTGTCAAGGCTCGAGAGAAGATTCAGACAATGCTCAAGAGCAAGGCGAAGGACCCATATCCTGACTGGAAAGCAGGCGAACCAGTGCCTTATGCCGCTCTGTGTACGACCTTTTCTCTCATTGAGCTTACGTCGAAGCGACTTCAGATCACGGAACACTGCGCCCTATTCCTTCGACAAGTCCTGCGTCTAACCCCCGACGACTTTTTCCCTACAATATTACTGATGATCAATAAACTCGCCCCAGATTATGCCGGCATCGAGCTCGGTATTGGCGAATCACTAATCATGAAGGCAATTGGCGAGACCACAGGTCGCAGTTTACAAGTCATAAAAGCGGACCAGAAGGATATTGGGGATCTAGGTCTTGTCGCAGTCAAGAGTAGATCAACCCAACCCACTATGTTCAAGCCTAAGCCCTTAACCATCAGGGGTGTTCACAAAGGTCTCATGGACATTGCTACTGTAACTGGAAACGGCGCGCAAGGCAGGAAAGTCGACGGCATAAAAAAACTGTTATCAGCCGCTGACTCGCAATCGCCCGGTAAAGTCGATATTCACAAAGACAAGGGTGGGCCAAGTGAGGCCAAGTACATAGTCCGCTTTCTTGAAGGAAAACTCAGACTAGGTTTGGCAGAAAAGACAGTCCTTGTCTCTATAGCACAGGCCATGATCTGTCACGAAGCGGAACAGAAAGGAAAGGTACCGAGCACCAAGGAGATGGAAGAGGCGGAAGCTATACTGAAGACGGTATATAGGTTAGTGAGCCTTCTCCCCCATCAAGCGACTTGATCTAACGTAAAATAGTGAACTCCCTAGCTGGGATGTGATTGTTCCAGCTATGATTAACAACGGCATCATGAGGTTAAAGGAAACCTGCAAGCTTCGCCCCGGTGTTCCCCTTAAACCCATGCTTGCGAAGCCTACGAAGGCGATCACGGAAGTCCTAGATCGATTTGAGAACCAAACCTTCACGTGCGAATACAAGTATGATGGCGAGAGAGCGCAGATCCACTACGTCGCTAAAGACCAGTCGGAAAATTATGTTGATGCTCTACCTGGTGCTGGGAAAGAAGCTGCTAAGGGTGTCGCATCCATCTTCTCAAGGAACTCGGAGGACTTGTCCAAAAAATATCCCGACATCCTTGCAAAACTTGATACCTGGATTAAGGAGGGCACCAAGAGCTTTGTGCTGGATTGCGAAACCGTTGCATGGGATGTGACCGAGAAGAAGGTTCTACCCTTCCAACAGCTGATGACTAGAAAGAAGAAGGATGTCAAGGTGGAAGATGTGAAAGTCAAGGTCTGTGTGTTTGCGTTCGACCTGCTCTACTTGAACGGAGAGCCGGTAGTCGAGAAGTCTCTCCGTGAGCGCCGTGAACTTCTACTCGGTGCCTTCCAACCAGTGGAAGGCGAGTTTGCATTTGCGACGCACATGAACGGCCAGGAACTTGAAGAAATCCAGGTATTCCTTGATGAAAGTGTTAAGGCTTCTTGTGAAGGGTTGATGGTCAAGATGCTTGACGGTCCCGAAAGTGGATATGAACCTAGCAAACGAAGTCGAAATTGGCTTAAGGTGAGATCTAACTCGAACTTAGCTGTTAAATACCCACTAACACGGTAACAGATCAAGAAGGATTACCTGTCTGGAGTTGGCGACTCGCTCGACCTGGTGGTGCTCGGTGCCTACTATGGCAAAGGCAAGCGTACATCTGTCTACGGCGCTTTCCTTCTTGCCTGCTACAACCCAGCTTCTGAGTCTTATGAGACGGTCTGCAACATCGGCACTGGGTTCTCGGAACAGGTTCTCGAAGAACTCCACAAGCAACTCTCCGAGATAGTCATCGATCGGCCAAAGCCATTTTACTCACATTCGACAGGTGGACAGCACCAACCAGATGTTTGGTTTGAGCCACGTTATGTCTGGGAGGTCAGGACGGCAGATCTTACTCTAAGCCCGAGATACAAGGCTGGGTTGAAGGAGAACGTGGATCCAGCGGGTGAGAAGGGAATTAGCTTGCGTTTCCCGAGATTCATCAAAATCAGGGATGATAAGAAGCCCGACGAGGCGACAAGCAGTCGCCAAGTGGCAGAGATGTACAGAAAACAGGAGAGCGTGACAAAAAGCAAGGGTCCATCAGTTGATGATGATTTCGAGTATTAAAAGGGGGTGGTGTACGATCTGGCTCCAAGTTTATGATCTTACTAGGTACCTACAGTAATTACCATATAGTATAGTATCTACCAATGGCGAATGATTGTAACGAAGTATGCTGTTTTGGCAACTACATGGACACCTTAGTTAGATGTTGTGACATGAAAAAGAAGGCAGCCGTGATGACTCAGTCAATATTTGTATGGTTACCTAGTAGGTATGTATCTGCCAAAACTGATCGCTCATATCTCAATTCTACTGATCAGGGGTTCGAGTCCGTACCATACAACCACCAACAACCACAACCAATAACAAGTAGGTAATACAGCGTTCCAACAGAACATCCATGGTGGTGTCGACACTTCTAACGACGCCTCACATGGCCCCCACAGACTCTCTGCCTATGACTTACTGCCACACGGTGATACCAGCCTATAGATTTTTGTCTTTCGACAACCAGATGCGATGCGCTGCGAGAAAAAAAACTTGTCGGTTTAAGAACTGAGAAGAAACTGGGAATGCGTGAGACTTTTGCTTTTGCTTTTATTTTCTTACTCCCCCCCTCCTTCTTCTCCCATCAGGCAACAGGCGGGTTCGGAGAGGGAAAAGAAAAAAGATATGCACGCTCGATTGGCTGAGCCGGGCCCTGCGTAAACGTTCAGCAATCATCACGTACATACTTACATACGATTCCGAGTGTATGAATCCCGTCATTTTTTCTTTCTTTCTTTCTTTCTGTTTCCCTGCTTTTAAGGGTCAGGGCATATATGTATATATATATACTATGCTATGGAGGTTGATGCGATGGTATATATCTATCTACCTACCTACCAGATCAACACCCTCACTTTCTCCCTTGCGACACTTTTTTTTTCTAACTTCCTCAGGATAGGTACCTACCTAGATACTAAATATAAAAAAATCCCCACAGACTAGCCCACGAAGTTACCTTTTTTCTCTCACTCAATGAATTCACCCCCTCGGCCTCGATCACAGTCTTCACTACTACCTAACAGAGAAAGAAAAGAGGAGGAGGAGGAGGGGGAGGGGGAGGGGGGGCTGAGTCGAGAAAGATGCAGAAGTAGAGAACGACACAAGCTCCCTTCCAGAGCACCGAGACCCACGCACTTCTCTCCTTCCACGGCCACGGCGGGGGAACAAGATGAATTCAAGCAAGAAGAGACGGCAACGACACACCCCACCACCACCACCACAGCAGCAGCAGCAGCCTGTCCCTGCGCCTGCCACGAAGAATCCGCAGCCCGCGAGGGGCGGCCGCGCATCGCGTTCACGGAGACGCGGTACCTCGTGTGTCCGGTGTGCTGGGTCGACGCGTACGTCTACGCGCACAGCAGCAGTGATGGTGATGGTGATGGTGATAGTGATAGTGGTACCAACAGCGACGACGACGACGACGACGACGACGACGAGAAGCATAAAAGAAGAAGAGAGAGGAGGAGGAGGAGAAGGAGGAGACACGTGAGGGGTCAGGAGTGCGAGATGTATCTCCGGGACCGGGGGCTGGATCCGAGGGTCCCGGCTTCGCGGCAGTGTTAGTGGGTATGGCCTAGGCATGCTTGTATAATTTTATGAGGATAGGAAGGGAAAAGGAAAGGGAAAAGGGGGGGGGGGGGGGGGGGGGATATCAAGAGAAATAGATATGGGGGTTATGGGAAAAGGGGATATCAAAGAAGAAAGGGGGGTTACAGGTACCTAGACTAAGCCCATCTATATCTATACCCATTTACAAAGGACTTCCACGACATTTCAGGGATCTAGGTACTACTCAGATGTATTCCCTAATCTCCTTCGATACCTGCCTATATACCTTTACAGGCTGATGTCCTGTAGTTTACCAACACTCATCAGTTATTTACCTAGGTAGGGACTTAGTTTACTGTTTTACGGACCGGGCCTCCTTTGCCCCTGAGGCGTCGTACATGCAAGTGTGATTCAATATTCTAAGCTATAGATCATGCTGTGGTTGTATTCAACCCAAACAAATCCGCTCCCAACACCTAACAATGCTCTAATTTCACATACCGCAACTGAGGAATCGAGAATAAGCAGATAGGGGGAAAAGAAGAAAAAATATATAAAACTGTGGGTATAATAGATGTAAATCTTCAAAAAAAAGTGCTTATTTTTTATAAATTCTTTCCCCGTCGCTGGAGCCCAACCAAGCCTTATTTTATTTTACTTCATTCTATTTTCTTTTTCTTCTTTATTCACAATACCGACAAAAGCGCCGCAACGCCAAGCGGCAAGGCCATGGATAGCATCGGAATGGAAGCTATCGCGACTATGGTAGCAGCGGCGCTTTCGTCATCGCCTAGACCGGCGTTGCCGTTTCCAGTGCTAGTGCCTCGCACGATGCCCTCAGTCGCAGCAACGGGGTTGGATACAGCAGTGGCGTCGGGGACGCTGGAGCCGCTGGCAATCTCCTGGACGTTGGACTCAGTGGTGTTGAAGTTGGTCTGCGCGAGGGAGATCTCATTGTTATCGATGTCGTACACCACGTACGCCGACCGGAGGAACGTGTCACCGAGCACGTTCGTCCCACTACCGGCGGGCGCAATGCCGAAGAGACAGGCTGTTACGCCATTCGAGAACGTCGGTCGTCGACCGTTGGCGGTCACCAAGTCGAGGACCAGTTCGTTCATCTCGACTGAGATCTTCACGCCCGAGAACACAAAGTCCAATGTGTCCGTCTCGTCCTGCAGGGAACAAGGTACGTACGCGGCGGCCTGGTTCGTATCGTATTGCGCCTCGACATCGTCGTAGATCGCCTCCACCATGTCGTTTGGTAAATAGGTTAGCGAGGACCCCGAATCGAGAAGAACTGCAAGGGCCTTGTCGCTGGCGATGGTTGTATTGCCTAGTGTTAAGGAAGTTAAGGTGATCATGAATTCCGAGAAGACGCCGTTGTTAGATTGGATGGGAAGGGTTTGGAGGCTCCCCGTATATTGCGCCGTGTCAACTCCTCCGAACAGGATACTGCCCAAATTCGCATCCAAATCGTTTAGCCACAGGCTGTAGGCATTTCTCGAGGTCAGTCCGGACGAGACCATCTTCATCGGAAGATTTTCGTACGGCTCCAAACCTGCCCTTCCAACCTGCACTTCATTGGTAGAGTAACCGATTCCAAGAATGCCTTGCTCCGAGGTACTCTTGTATCCAACACCAAATTGGAAATCACTCAGCGAGGTTTCCCCGATGGTTATTGTGTCGGTAACATAATCTCCCGAGGCTCCCGAGCCATCGACATAAGAAATATTAAACCAGCTCCCAACATACCCATAGGTGGAGGACGAGTTGGCCGAATACGTTCCGGCAAAAGAGCAGGGCTCAGACGTCTGGGAGCAAAGTGTCGAAGAGGGTGTATTTACCCACAGATCGCTGCTACCTGTATCCAGGTGCATACGTACAGTCTGCGGTGGAGTCCCTAACGTGCCATTCACGAAATATAACGTCTCCTATCAACAGTTCAGTAGGGAGACTTGGTTATCTAAATACGTCCATATCATACCTCATTGTCTAGTTCTGCCTTAATCGCATCTCTCCGTCGTAACCGGTCTCGTTTTACAGGGTTTGATATGGTTTTTCGTTGTGTAGATAAGCTTACCACCTTGGGTTTACTGGCGGTATTTGGTACATTACGGGCGCCTAGCGGAATCGCAAATATGCTTGCTACGAGGGCAAGTGCCGCTGTTGTCGTTTTCATGTCGTGTGAAGTGAAGTGAGCAATGTTTCGCCGGGATCGGTAAGAGAATAATAGATATATGAAGAGAAGTGCCGAGATAACTCTATCCCACCTGTCTAAGGCAGATGATAACCAGTACCAGGCGCTATAATCCAAACATTGAGAGTAAATATCTATCAGTAAACGTCAAGGTAAGTACCGCACTCTGTTTAATACCGCCGTATCCGGAAGAGGAGGCAAAAGGAAAAAGCCAATAACGCTATAGTGGAACGGGGATTCGTAAGTGATGCGCGGCCGGCCAGGGCTAGGAGATAAGTGTGCAAATGTCTGCAAGTCTGGAGGACAACTACGACAGTACAAAAGAAGATTGGAGAAAGAAAAAGATCGGTGACAATGGTAAAGGAATATAATAAGGATAATGATAATGATAATGCCTAGATATTAGATATTATCTGAAAGGAAAAGCAAACCAGCTGCTTATAGTGGTGTGAATAAGACACAACGGGGTGAGTTTGATAGTTACCTGGAGTGTGACGAGTAAGAAGGAAGATACATACATAACCTAATACATGTAGTTAGTATCTAAGCCACTGGGCCAAGTTACTCAAAATACACATCCATTATGGCATTACCCCAAGTCTCCAGGGCTAGTGCCTACATGTACATATTTAGCGCACTTCCTAGCACTTCCTATGTATTGTACCTAGGTACTAGGTAGTTAATAACCCACGATTTAGCCAATCGCTAACAATCCTAACCAGACCCCCGAACAATGGTGAAAAAGACAGGGGCAAAGTCCGCGCATAAAGGCCGGGCTTGGCATAGATTGGCATAGATTGGCGCAGGTTGACGCGCGTCCGACAACGTCTTCGTCAGTCCTTGAATGTCTCCTGATTCAAAATCATTTGGGGGTTTAAAAGACAAATCCCGTACCTACATGTGTATACCTACACTAACGTGAATCGTCTGGCCTGAATCACAAAGCCTACGAGTAATTAGATAAACAATTTGTGAAAACACCAGTTCGGAATTGTGGTAGTAGAAGAACACCTGCCCAAGGAGGTAACCTCAGGATCTTGCCTAGATGCTGGGCATCTGGGCATCTGGGCAAGACAAGGCTTAGGAAGATCATTGTTGAATGGATGTTGATACATCATACGTTTAGTTGTATCAAACGGTTGAACAGGGGTCCAAAGGGATCATTTCGGCTGGAAAGGGGTTTCCTGGAAACACATCAGACAACGCTGAGCCACGGATGTCGTAGAACCGTTTAGTGACTAATGTTTCACCGGGCTGAAAATAGCACGCAGAGCCTCGATCCCGTTAACCTGACCAGGTTCTTTTATGGGTTTGATAGGTGATTTATCCACCTAACCCAGTAATGTTATCGATAGATCTTCCCGCTGAGTTGACTCGCATAGAACATTGATGAGGGTATCAAGAATAAGTGAGGGGCAAGTTGCTGGCAACTTGAAGTCATTAGGTAAATACATCATAAAATACATCATATAAAAAGTATTTTTTCCTTTTAAGAAAAAATGAAAATGCGGCTCCGCGTTGCGAATGCACAATAATTAAACCCTTTAATAACATATACCGGGTTTCTGGTAAGTTCAGGTGTTAGCACGACATGGCAGTTACAAGTTGTGTTTGACTTGTACATAGTCCCGCAGCTTATCCCGATCGAGACTAGGCCCTCACGAACTTCAGAATTTGAACTACATTCTAGGTACATGCATATGCATAGTAGTAGTAATTACTATCAATACATATGTAGTACAATAATCTTGAAAAGCCAGGCGGTCAAATTCGCAAGGCTTGACATTAAAGCCACTCTCGCCAAATAAGGGACTATGTGCGTTGTCACCGGACATAACGTAAGAAAGGGCATCTCAATACCTAATAGGTGCTAGTAATTACTAGGTATACAAGGCATGCAGGCACATATGTATGTATATAGCCCTCTGCGCATGTCCAGAACACCAAGCTCACCACTTCGACATGTTCAGCTGACCAACAACACCAACAAACTATTAAATAACGCCACCGCCCTTCCTCGGCGCACAGGGCCAAGTCATACCCGCACAGGTCAGCGTACACATATGCATGCAGAACACGTAAGGACATACGCGCCTTCCTCATTCCCTCATCACGTTGTCTGCTAGGTATGCACATATCTATACCCCTTTCCATGTATGTAGTTAAATCCGAAGCCGTCGTCCGTAGATAAACATCGATATACATGTATGCACATATGTGCCTACTTATATAAAGACGAGCAACACAACATGCTTAGGTATGTAGGCAAGCAACTTTGACTTTGCTGTATAAGTATATATGTGGCGTGGAATGTTCATATGTGCCAAGGTACCTATGTAGGTGGATAAGGAGTTAAGAATAGAGTGACACCATTTACATGCCAGGGAAGATTCTAATGAGGCGTGGTACCCAAGAATCTGAAATTCTCTCTACCTACCTTTCGGGTAAACCCCGAGCTTCAAGGCCATGTACTAAACGATGAACTCGATTTATCGTGTAGATCGTACTACAAAACACAAAGCCTAAAAGTTAACCGCACTGAACCCCTAACTCCGCAAAGACGAGTCAACCGAAGTCTGGTCACGCGCGAGTTCTTTCGCGGCATGTTCGTATGATTGACTTATCCATTCCGAATCAGGGAAACCATCGTGATTTTATAAAACAGCGCAGTCCACTGTACAACCCTAGCTCCCAATCACCGAGTTCGTTGGTCCACTCCTAATCCTGCCCTCGGACGCTCTACGTCTCATCAATCTTGTCAACTTCAGCCTTCGCCTCTTCCCACGTCTCCTTGTTCTTTTTGGCCCATTCGATCTGGCTCTTAGCATAGGCAAGCTGGTAGGTTACTGTTAGCCTCAATTCTAGGTTCCCGGGGAAGATAGTCTTACCATATAGCGTTTGAGGTCATCTTCCTTCTCACTCTGGAATCTCTTAAGGTCTTGCAAGATGCTGGCACTTGCATCCTTCACATCTTGTTCCGCTGCTACCTGGGCCTGCTCAAGCTGCTCGATACTTTCTCGCGTTTTGCCAATAGCATCACGGCGTGTTCTCTCTGGATCGACGTCAGCAACACCTTGAATCGCATGACGTATCGGTCCAAAGATCTTGTTGGTGATGGAATTGCCACTAGGGGCCTTCTTATGGTTCGAAATAGAGGCTGAGCGTTCGGGGAATCCCATCCTCGCTGAAGGTGCCGCTGAAACATCGGCATGAGTAGGCGGAAAGTCTGAATCGATAGAAGCCGTGTCTTCACTGCCATCCCTATAGTGGTGTGTCGAGGTTTCCTTCATGCTAGATGACCTTCGAGGTGGATGTGCCTGGTTACCCCCGCCGAACTGTTGACTGCTGCTGAGATATTGGTCAATTCGTTTTGCTTCGGCTTCACTGGTCTCCAACTGTTCCAAGAGAGCCTTCTTCTTCACAAGCTCCTCATTAGCCAACTCCTGTTGCACCCTCTTCAAAATCCTATACCGTAGTACATTTCGAACTACGCCTGCAAACTGTGCACTTTCCCTCATGGGCTCAGCAAAGCTCGCCCCGAGCGAACTTGATAGCTCTTCCGTTGCAATGTATGACGAGTCTGCAGCTTGACCCACTCGCTCAATCGCCGCGGCGAGAGAGGGCGAGGGCTCTGATAGCGCAAAGGCGTTGAACTTGGCGCCCAGGTCAGATAGATCTGTGGATAGAGAACTCAAGTGATTGAGTGTGCGCCGGTTCACCTTCTCCATCGGGCCCATCAGTGCTTGTTCCAGTTCCTTGATAGAAGCCTCGAAAGTGATGAAATAGGGATCTAGCTCCTGCTCATTTAGGCTATGGGCTTCAGGAGGAAAACGACGGAGGAGTTGAGAAGCGACTGTGCCTGCGCTATCGAAGACGGGACCTGGTGGCTGGTTCACGGGTGTCTTTAGCCTGGCCGAGGAAGCCGGGACTGGAAGATACGAGTGTGCCGGCGTGGGATTTGCGGTATCTAGTGGTGGTGCTTTCATAATGGACTTCGGAATAGACGCAATAGGGTGTGAATGCAAAACCTCATTCTACCGTCAAGTTAGCTGTGAAAATGCGCCTGTAGAAAACGAAGGCGGGCATACCCAGCTGACGTTTGGGTCCAGGAATCTCCATAAGACCCCATCATTGAGCACTTGCTCCATACGTCGACAGCGGTTCAAGAAGACTGCTAGCATGCGTTTCCGCAAGTCGATAATCTGCTGATCTTGCTTTGCATTGGTTGGATTTGCGGCATAGTCTGCCATAGTATGCTTCTCGGGGATTGGAGGAACGATTAGAGTTGGGTGAAGCCTAGTTAGCGCATCACGTAACGATGCGAATTCAGAGTATCGACGTCGAACTTCGAGGTCCTAAATTCCACGTCAGAAAAATACATACTTAGAGAGTTGGGGAGCCAAAGGTCGATGACGCACGCCTGTTCTAATAGTGTAAACAATGTATTTACCACCACTTTCTGTGCTCTTCCCAGCATCGGTGATTAGGATGGGAAGCTCGGGGTTTTCATAGAGGATTTGCTCGATGCGGCTATCATAACCGCCTGGCTTCCTTCGTGGCGCTTCATGGTCCCGAGACTGAGCACCATACTCGTCGTCACTCTCTGGCTCGGCAAGCTGTCGCCCATAGGTCGGGAGCGGTGGCGCATCTTCGCTAGTAGAGGATGGAGTGTTGGGTGTCTCGAAGCGATGTTGGTCTATATATTCCCAGTCGGGATCAGCCTCGTCAGGAGAATCATCCAGCGCTATGTTTTCCCACATTATTTTTCCTGGATCCTTGCAAGAGCAAAAAGAGGGGGATTTAACTTACAGTCATGAGAGCCTGGGGAAGTAGGGTTTGCAGAAGATGAAGTGATAGAGTCGCGACGGTCGAAGCTTGTCCCATAAGGGTTATTGTCTTCTTCATCGTTCCACATAGTGAATCAGTTCTGCGTCTAAAGTAACGCGCCGAACAAAGATAAGTTTAAAAGTAAGATATCAAAGACGACGGTTCTCTAGTAAGCCAGAACACATTTGATTATGGACTATTGCGATGTGCGTCTGTGATATAACGGCGATGACGACGGGGGGCGGGGGAGGGGGTACTGTGCGTGAACGAATGAAGGCGCCGATGAACTGAGTATGCTGTAAGGTTCGACTATGAGGAGTGGCGTTATTTAGATATTATTGTATTCTACTACTAGGTAGATAGCGTTCGTAGTCTCAAGATACTTGGCGTCGATGAACAATGGAGACAATATTGCGATGTACATGTATGTGAGGTAAACGGAACTTCAATTGACCTTACGTATTTCATGGATGTATACGAAGAAGAGGGAACTTTAGATAGGTGGGATTGATAGCTGAGCTGTGGGTTATCGAGGTACCAAGACTAGGTACATACTGTACCCACCCAGTTGCTGTACAGCCTGTAGTTTACTACTAGTGTAGTAGTAGTCATCAGCTTCAAGTTTTGGAGCATGAGGGTGAGGTCATGTCTTACGCCGTACTTACCCTAGGTAGTGTATAATTGGGCACTCGGGCCACCTTTTAATGCTCCAGAGTCCAGCATACTAGTTAACTAATAACGCTAGAATGCCCCTCCATAACTCCATCCCGAACTCCGAGATCGAACTCTTAGTAAAGCTTCATCCATTTGTCGCAGTCGCATACTATTCATATGTTGTACAGCAGCATTAATCTTGAAATCATGTGTAGTCCTATGTAGTGTTTGTACTGAATATGGCCAACAATAGATATTTTTCGAGGCTTTCATATCCTCCAGTTTGCAAACATCACCCTCGACTACAAGATAAGCACTGAACAATGTATTAAAACATAACGTCATCAACATACAACTTAGAAGACAATGCATAGACAAGCTAGAAATCCAAACTCGTATTCATATTTAAACGCATTCGGAACCCTCTTCGCGACCCTAGTAACAAGCTAGAGATAGCAATGAAAGTGCTGCATCGCCTGGAGGCAGTGTTATACCAGGGACACGGTGGGAGGCATCATGCGCAAGCGCAGAGGGCGCACTCCCTATGTATAAAAATAAGAATAATCATAGATCGAGCCACTATGTGGCTCTTTCAGAGATTAAACTGAAAAGAACAGATACTACACTTGATCTAAGCCAAAAGGCAAAGAGAGCTGAAGAAAAAAAAAAAAGGGAAGTAAGTATGCCAAAGTGGAAGGACGCGAACATTAAATAGACATTACCTGCTTAGGCGGTAAGGCGGGCAGAGGCAGGCAGAATAATTGCACTAAACCCAATACAGCCATTCTAATTGCACAAGGTACGTACCCAATTAATTACCTCAGGCTGCAAACCCCCAGTGCCAACTGCACATGTGGAGAATGGCCCAAGCTTCTGGCTGATTACGGCTTCCCCAGAAAAAGTATATAAAGATCTCTGGTCCTCGCGGCATTTAGACCTTTCTTCTTTTTTTTTTATTCATACTTACCTTGTTCAAAGAACCCTCGCTCAAGAATGAGGGTTCTTAAGTGGGAAGACCTGCATTGCACAGCGTGGTGTCAGCCCTCTTCTATTATCCCTCGTGGATCGTAGTGAGCGCAATTTTTGATTTTTCAACTTCGGTTTTCGTTATGATCGGTGCCGCGACGCATCGCCATGAAGAAGACAATAATGGAGGTCTAGAAGATTTGCCTACCCATCCCATAACCTGCCTATGATCATACGCTGGACATGGAATCTCTACCTCTACATAGTACATACCTGTGTAGGATAGTCTAGCATTTCTGTAGCTCACTCGTGTAAAGATTGTGATATATATGTATCTACTCAACGTCGGTCTACTCTGATAACTGTATTATCCATCACCGTCACTATCACCATCTCTGCGTATTGAACTGTATCTATGGGCCTTGATAAATTACATATTTATGCTTCCAAAAATACAATCAGGAACCTATGGATAAAAAGGGTATCATATTCTTCTATGCTTTGTATGCTGCATACCAAACTTGTTCTACAAGACGACCTCTGTGTCGATGGCTCGCTTTATAATCCTGACTAACGCCTGTAAGTTCCCTCAAGGTACAGTGCATATACCATCAAGCTGCCTCCTCTTTTCCCAGAAAGCCAAATAATAAAAGAAAAATAGGAACCTTTCCAGTCTGATGGATGGTAGCATTGAATTCCTGAACTCCTGTGTGTCTATGTAGTAATCCTCTATGTCCTTGACTTTTCCTTTCATGCTTGCTAACTTGACTTGCGACACCGAGTCGCGTGCTGGAGCATCACAATCGAATACCTGTGCCAAGTTAGCCCCGAGATTTGTAGTTGCGATCTATCAAGGCTCTGTAGACTTACGTGATGATTCCCCCTATCGCGATGAAAACACCTATGACCGACCAATCACCAACCGATCTCCCAGACGTAACCCAGCCCAATGCTACAATTAGGCATGTCTTTAAGTGTCCGACAACTGTGCTTGACACAGGACCAGTCTGGCCAACAATAAAAAACTGCGACAAATTAATCAAGGCGGCAAAGACGCCAGACTACGGTGTATGCTGTCAGTTGCTAATACGGGAAACGGACAAATTATATGTTGGCTTACCATTAAGATCAAGAGCCATCGACCCACGGGAACTTCCGTCCACGGTGGGAATGTGTCCACAAAAGGGATGACGTATAGCAAGAGGATCGCTGAGATAGGAGCCTGGTTGAAAAGTAACTGCATGCTTGATACCTGCAGTTTTCGTTGATAGTTTTTGATCCATACTGTGTATAGCGACGAAGCGAATATGCCGCCAAAGGCGAACATCACGCCTAGGCTTGACGTAGTTTTAATATTAACGTCCTTCGTTGGAAGTGAGTCGAAGTAAGAGACCATGCCAACCCCCAGGCAAGCGGGAACAAGAGCAAGAATTGCATTTCGGGGCAAGATGGAGTTGTACAAGACGAAGTCCATAGTTGCAACAGTCGGGGTAAGTAAAATGCGCGCAACTTGATAAAAGGTTACGGTGGAGAATGCTAACGATAAATTCGGGAGGATGACATTAAGTGACATGGCGATGGAGAGGGGGATGATCTCTCTCAAGGCGATACGGCGGGACGCGAAGTACGCGAACCGAGGTCGCGATAATGTGAACAGAAGCAGCCAGGTCATGAAGAAGTGGAAAGCAGCGAATGTCAATTGCGCCAGCCGTAACGAGGGATCAGAGAAGATGGCTTTATTTGTGAAGACCTAATTTTGATGAATATCAGCGCCGTTCGCGAAATCAGGGGTTGAATTTTAACGAAGAGACATACAATGCCTATTGTAGCTAGAGTATTAACTACTATCCAAAATACAGCCCATCCGAAGCTACCTTTAGATGAACTTTCGATATCTTGGCTAGTGGTGTCCTTCTCTAACAATCCCTCGCCTTGTTCGGCATCCCGAAGTTTGTTCTCGTCCATAACGGCGTACTGAGAGACGCAAGCATTATTTGTGCTACCGAAACTGATAAACCCATCTCTATCATTCTGAGTTTCTGTAGATGAGGAGGCACCAGAAGAAAGTCGGCTACTCAAAGATGCCATATCAAGCTTGAGCTTCTAAGTGTCTGCTCGCCTGGACAGGAAATACATGTGTAGCTGTGATCAACAGTACGTTGTTTGCGATTGACCAGTAGCATTCGAAACGAACCAACGTATGTACAAGGGAGTAGCGGAATAGGACCAAGGTATTATGTTATGGAGTGTTCCTTTGTGGGGAGAGGGAAGTGTGTAGGCTGGGCTGGGCTGGCTGGCTGGCTGACAGGATGATAGATAGAATTAATGATATTGGATGACAGTAGATAGAATCTAATTCTAGGTGTTTGCATCGTACATAGTTGACCCGGTGGGCGGTAGGCCGCAGGTTACTGTTTTAGCCGACCACGAAGCGGGAACGGAACCTAGCAGAAACGAAACTTTACTGGCCGCAGGCACGAGACGATCGGTACTAGAGTATCCAGTTGCAGGGATATCAACTTGTAGTACAAGTTTTAAAGTTGTACAGGCAGACAGGGCGGACAAGGTGTGTTATGCAAGATCAGCACTCTAATGAATGGATCCCTATGTTTAAGAAGTGCATACCTCCAGGGCTAATTATATCATATGTACATGCATGGATGTAAGTTCAACAACATTGAAGAGCATTGAAGAGCATTGAAGTGATTCAGTGATTCAGTGATTCAGTGATTCAGCGCGATACGGTACCCTGTGCCACTAAAGGCTGTAACTTTCCGTTCCTTGTTCCTGAAACTCTACAATGCACTCAAGTTCTAAGCCACTTGGATTGTGTAGCTCAGGGCTTGAAATGAGTTGAGGTTTTTGCTCGTCAGGTACAACGATAAACAATGTGTTTATTATAAACTTACATCCAGTACTTCGCTTTTACATGTATAAAAATAACATGGATATGATTTGTTCCATGGTGTCGGTAACTCGGCAGCTGCTCGAATAGGTACTACATAAATAATCATGTCGTTTTTCATCGAGACTTTAGGACTTGGGAGTGGTCTTCTATGATATAAATATCGATGTTCGCAGCGGCGGGTAGATCTAACTAGAGAGACATGGTCAAGACCATGTCTTAGTATATTAAGATCCGCCATGTCGTAGGATGTGAAGACCACAAGATGTCTTCGAATACATGTTTTTATAGAATTACATTTGATTTCAATCAAGTGGCATTGGGCACGCGAAAAAGTTTAGGTATAAGTTTGTGCTGCATCTGAGGATTCTCACTGAGCCGAGACATCCATTAGTTAATGCGTTGATGAGAAATCAATCATGTATTCAAATCGACGACTCGTGGCTATGGGTCAAAGTGGCTGCCGATATAGCCGTTCTACAATGACGTAGGTATTATAACTGAAGCTGTACACACCTACCTTGTAATAGGCTTGTATCAATTAAACTCCTTAGGTAATACATGTATGTAGCCCTAGGGGCCTTCAAGGCTTCAAGGCTTCAACAATGTTGATGCTTGCTACATGTTTAATGTCGCTTCTATTGACAAAGTACTACAGAAGTAGTACGGTCTCAGAAGAGTATCACGATGTAGACCTTGGGCAAAATTACAGTCTAAGATTCGCAGGCCACGAGCTGGTAACAAAACATCATGATAGAAATGATGAAAGACATCAAGGTTAATACAATAGTACCTACATACCTATGTAGTATGTAATAGTTAGAGCACTGAAGTACTTGAAGGCAAGTACCTACTATGTAGGCATTATAGATAAAGTTCAGTGTTAATCTTCAATGTTATCTTAGCATGAAATGGCCTGGAACAGTTTGTGATTATAAGTGGATCCAAGGTAGATGTAAGGCAAAACTTTACCCGCGTACCTGCTTTATTTGATGGCCGATCGTTGCCGAATGATGCATGTACATACATAACAGTAGCCCTGGAAGTTCCATTTGAAGCCTTCGAAGTTCAAATGTTGGTTTATACACCTACATAATTAGTACAAAGTTTTCAAACATTAGACACGAATTACTTATTTTGTCCTGAAGATGTAAATTTGTTTGATTTACATATGAGATCTTCTCGTGGTATGTTTGTAAACTTATTGACTCTGAAGTCTTCAACCTAATAACACTACCTAGGTACTACTACTTATACACTAGGTATCCAAGGTACCTACCTACCTACTTGTCTACCTACTCGGCAAAATTAGCCATCTTGTCATCTTGCCATCTGATCTCAACCTGGTGATATCTTCTCACCATCCCGTCCTTTTGGCCTCTATAGATTAGAGATTCGGTAAGTCAGAAACTGTCTTACATTCCAAAGGCACGATGTCCAACTAATTGTAGTTGTACTAAAGATCTGCGCCCGGATATTTGACCACCTACAGCGCTGCTGTGCTAGGTGAAGAAAAAAAAAGAATGGACCTTGTTACACATCCCTCCTGATCATTTATATCTTATTCTGCATTCGACCTTTCTTTCCCGAACATCTCCCAGAAGCTTACATCCTTTTCTGAGTCTCGGACTTGTCTATTAGCTGTACAGCTACCAAGATCTCTCCTTACGTATCATGACGGCCGTACATGTTAATGGCACCAACGGGTTGCATTGTAAGTCATCACCCGCAACATACCCAAAACTGATCAAGCCGCTTATCATTGTGTGTGTGTGCTGCGCACATGTAGCTCCTACCAGAAAACCCTCAAAGCCTAGGTTCTTTGAGGACTACGGAGTCTGGAAGCAAGCTCCTATCTTAGTCGGATCCACCAAGTTTGATCCTTTACCAGATGTTAAGAACATCATGATCACCGGCGGCGCCGGTTTCATGTAAGGTTTTGCGAATCTCAAGGTTCGACGCTGCAGCTAATGAACGCCGAAGCGCATGTTGGCTTGTCCGTCATCTCACTCTTACCTATCCAGAAGCCTACAACATAGTCTCCTTCGACAAATTGGATTATTGTTCCTCGCTGAACAACACTCGCATGCTCAATGATAAGCGAAACTTCACTTTCTACCATGGCGACATCACAAACCCTTCCGAGGTTCTCGACTGCATGGAGCGCTTTAACATAGATACCATCTTCCATTTCGCTGCTCAGTCGCATGTCGACTTGAGCTTTGGGAATTCTTATGGGTTCACTCATACAAATGTATATGGCACCCACGTCATGCTAGAGAGCGCAAAAAAGGTCGGGGTGAAGCGGTTTATCCATATATCCACCGATGAGGTATATGGCGAGGTAAAGGATGACGACGACGATTTGCTAGAAACGAGTATTCTATCCCCAACTAACCCATATGCTGCGAGCAAGGCTGCCGCTGAGATGCTCGTTCACTCGTATACGAAAAGTTTCAAACTTCCCGTGATTATTGTCAGAAGTAACAATGTGTACGGACCACATCAGTTTCCAGAGAGTAGGTATATCCCCGCTCTAGTGGCGTTTGGTAGTAGTGCAGCTAGTTAACCTGAGAAGTAGAAATCATACCCAAATTCGTTTGCCTCCTTAATCGCCAGAGGCCTACAGTGCTTCATGGCGATGGGAGCCCTACACGGAGATACCTATATGCTGGTGATGCTGCCGATGCGTTTGATACAATTTTGCACAAGGGCACTCTCGGCCAAATTTACAATGTCGGATCGCACGACGAGATCTCTAACATCCAACTATGCAGAATGCTCCTCAAGGAGATGGATATCCCCCACGAATCCCAAGAGGATTTCAATAAATGGGTTAAATACACCCATGATAGACCCTTTAATGACCATCGATACGCCGTTGATGCCACCAAGCTTCGACGTCTTGGCTGGAGTCAGAAGACGACCTTTGCCGATGGGTTGAAGATTACCGTTGATTGGTACAAACGGTTTGGGGAAGAGTGGTGGGGTGACATTAGCAAAGTTCTGAGCCCTTTTCCAATTGTGGTCGAGGCCGAAGTAGTGTCGGACAAAGAGGAGATTTGTGATGAGCCTCAGGTTTCAAAGAAACGAAAGTCGCCTGGTTAGGTGAAGAGCGAAGCTTTGCGTAAACAGGAGGGAAAGAGATATATTCTTCGGCAACTGATGACACTGTTTTGAGTGATGATGAAAGCATTATCGGAGTTGAGGTTCTTTTCCTTGGCGAGTCTCGAGTTGGGCAGGGCTCAAGCATGACTTTATTGTAATAACAGATATCATGGAAGACATGAGGGACGTGAGGTGTTTTTCATAATCAATGGGAGAACTACTAGCTAAATGCTGGCGGCGTTAGGTATCTTGTAGTAATTAGCATCGACTTGATAAGGGTGTTATAATTCAAAACTGTTTCGCCAGGAGCTCTTGAACGGTTGAACCAGACGTCCCTTGCCCATTCCGCGGCCATGTATTTCGTTTAGAGTTAGACACCTGGGTAGGTATTCATCGCATTCATATCATTCTAACTGAATTGGTCGTTATCTGGAGGGATCTGTTAATAACTCGCGCTTGTAATTGGAAACCATTACCCCCTTATATCACTTGCAGCTTATTATGTCGTCAAGTTCCGGTACCGTGCCCGGCGGCGCAATAAATCGGGAGCCCGACTATTAATGTTATAAATTTAAATGTTGGCTTCCCCTTGAAGACCTACATAATCTGTAAGCACACGTCCCCGAGGCGGTGGTTGAATGTAGCCGTAGCATCATGCACCGGTGACCGGGGCGGTTGATTCGCCAAAGACGTAGCGTCAGGATTTCCGGGTGACTGGACCGTCAGGATAACCGGACCAATGAGGTGTGCAGTGGGCAGGCAAAAGTTCCTAGAGGTGGAACAGGACGCATTCCATCCATATATCAAAAGGCGTTAGCGACCCGAGGAGGAGGAACGGCAGGCGGCCACGAATTTGGGTCGGATTTGCAATTTCTGGAAGGGTAAGAAGGAATTTCAAGGAAGGAAGGGAGAGATGTAGTATCTAGAATAGTCAGTGATTTGCATACACGTGGGTCATTTCCACTCCACTCCACTGAGCCCACTCCTCTTTTGAGTCTTTTCAGTAGGGTTTCTAAAGTGTAGCACTTTTCGGAAAAGTGCTGAATAGTGTAAAGTGCTGTTTAAAACAGCACTTTACACTTTACACTTTTCCCCACTTTTCCCAAAACATCACTAGTATACTACCGTTACTATCACCACAATAACTTACACTTAAGCTTTAATCCATAATGTTTAGGGAATATAATATCGAGCTTGCTGTCGCTACGATATTACGAATTTGTGACTATCACGATATGCCTCTTAAAGACACGCGAAAAGGCTCAAACTTGAAATAATATTACGGCTACAAAAAAGCAAAAACTCAAATTTGGTATATTCAACCAAGATATTTATCAGGAATTAACTGAATTCATATCTTAAATATGGGTCCCAAATCCTAAATATATGGGTCCGGAATATTTCCGGCCCGAAAAGTGCTACACTGATTTGAAAAGTGCAGGTTTAGAACTGTTTAGAACTGTTTAGTGCACTTTTACACTTGTGCAATCCGAAACCCTACTTTTCAGACTTCAAATGTTTATTTGATAGATCAGATATTCCCGAAATTGCATACCCTAGGTAGTGTTATAGGTATTGTCTTTGTCATGTGTTGTAGTCACTGGTCAGTACATAATGTATACATACCTACCTATGTATTGTACAATACCTAGTGTAGGTAGAGGATAGTGTAGCACTCTACCAGTGTTTACTAGTGGTCTAAACTCACCGGGGACACTCCACTAACGGACGGTAGGGGCGGAGACAGACGGGATTTCCCATTTTCAGGGCTGTTCGGGGACTAATAAAACGAAGCTCGCTTATTAGACACTTTTTCGGTCCCCCAGTCCTTATGGACATCTGGAGCTACCAAAGTACGAGGTACCTAGGTAGGCTAGTTGCAACATTAAAGAAGATTCGATATTGAAAGCACTTGACTAACTACCTAATGTCCTATGTATGTAATAGTAATAGTAATTCAGTCTGAAGATATAGATATGTAGGTATGCCAAGTAGTATACTATGTACTAAGGCTGTAAGGTTCAAATATTCAATGTTAGGTTGAAAAATGTAGGGAATAGAATAGGGGGTAAGATTCCACTAGCATGGGCCCCAGGTCACGACATGCACATGGCTCATAAAAATACGTTCTATTACTAGATAACTACAGTACTATATGTCGTACTATGTATTGTACGTAGTAGTATCAGCTGTACTTCAATGTTACTATGTAATACTGCCTACGCCTACATATGTACCTACTAAGGTACTTAGATATTTTGTGTAGTATTGTGTAGTATTATGGATACATGCATGGATATAATCCCCGTTCATTGGATCAAAATCTGGGCTTAACGGTTACACCCAGTTTCTTAGTATGCAGCTGCTGGTGCTCAATTCGGTAGCCAATCGTCGTCATATTTGCCCTTGAATGGTTCCTAATGGTTCCTCTAGTTCCCTCGTGTCCATCCATTTCCCCAAACTCGTCTAACATTCTAGTCCCTCATCCTCGTTACACTACCCAATAGTCATCATCCACTTGCCAATCTCGAGATATCAACCCTCTGACCTTAATTTTCGCCTCGTGGTCAACGAATATTCGTTCGCCAATGTATCACTCACTTGACAATTTACCACCTTCAATAACAAACTTATAGTATAACCCCACCTTTTTACTTGAACGGACATCTTGAACGACTTTCCCTACGCCTTTGTTTTCGTCTGCCTAGTATAATCTCAAAAATACAACTACATTTGCTTGCGACACTATCGCCGATTCCCATAATTCTTGGAGTTGACGGAGGACTATGGCACTCGTCTAGGTGAATGAAAAGGAGTTGTCCGCGACCCTACTAAGCCACCACCGCTACCAGCAACAACACCGGATCCTTCCAGTGTGATTGAGATGAAGAAAAAGAAAGGGGCAAGGAATAATTCTGGGCAGGTTAGGATATCAGATATTCCAGCCGCAATCATGCCATCGCGAACCACTAGTGTGACCGATTCGTCTATCGAACCCTATAGTACCGAAAATGGCGGTAGCATAGGAGAGCTTCCCGTCCCCGACCTAGACGACGATGTATCCACCGAAGATTTCACAAGCGATTGCTTGAGTTCACGGACAACAAGTTACGCCGATCGAGATAGTCGCATATTAGAGCATGCCGACGGAGTTGAGACCAACCATCTCGACGCCTTGTCTATCTATTCTCCGACCCGATACCTACCCCAGGCCGTTCTGTATCGGATAGAATATCCATATGACGATGAAGATACTATGGAGGAAGAAACCTTGTAAGCTCAGGCATGGACTATTATTACTATGAGGGATGGTGCTAATGCACGACAGAAACTCAACAAGATCAATAAATGAGGAACTCGAGTATATCATGGAGAATGGCCGACGTTATCGCGGGTCATATTTCATGCCGAACGACGACGATGAACAAGTTCGATTACAGCTGATAAATCAAGTGTATCTGAAAACATTTGACGGCGAGTTAACGAGTGTGCCTCTGGAAGCACCCACGCATATTCTAGATATCGGCACCGCTGTTGGTGAATGGGCTATAGACATGGCCGAGCTCTATCCCGACTGTGAAGTGACTGGGACCGACATATCTAACGTTTTTGAGCGACGTGCTCCGCAGAATGTTTATTGGGAAATTGACGATGCCGAATTAGAATGGGAGCGTCCGGCGAATTACTACGATCTGATACATTTACGGAACATGACAGGATCATTTTCTGACTGGCAAAATATCTACCGATCTGCTTTCACCTGCCTTAAGCCAGGCGGTTGGATTGAGCTGCTGGACTTCGATGACACGAGGGGAATGAATAGTTTCCACCAACAGTTCCAGCCTGGATCGGTAGTACATAAGTTAGTACATGATGCCTTCGAAGCTTGCGATACGTACGGAAGGCCAATGGGTGTTTCTCATCTGGAACCTAGATTTCTAGTCAATGCAGGCTATGTTGACGTCCAACTCACGGAGCACGCCATTCCCTTGAGGACGGAGGACGGCTCGACAGGAAAATTTTGGCTTCTCGCAATCTTAAATGGGATTGAACCAACCTATCTAAGGCTTTTAACGAAATACAAAGGATGGAAGGCAGAAGAGGTCCGCAGAGCTTGCGACCTGATCGGGCAGGAACTTATGGAATTGGCACTTGATCCAAAGAGAGCGAAAGGATTTGTCATCAAGGTCAGAGTCCTAAAAGGGAGGAAACCAAATCCCAATAGCCAGAGCCGATGGCCTAGAGGGCCATCACACAAATCAGATTATAGGACATCAGGCGAGGTGATAAATACTGATATGGAAGAACATAACTTGACGGATGAGGAAAGCGGATATTGCTCCACTATATCCCACGAACCACCGAGTACCCTAAAGAGCGACCTATACGATTCTGATTCGGAGGAGATACGACCAACCGACATGAAATCTTAAAGTTGGCTCATAACTATGATCACAACTATGGTGATCTTAACCACGCCAAATAATCAAGCAAAACCACTACGCACACTAGGTATCTACCTACCTAGTAGTGTGCGTGAGAGACTAGTAGAGCAGACGGAGCACAATACTGTGACGAGAGGGGCATAAAAAAGGATTCAGTCACAACCTAATCCTATGCACCCTCTTTATTCTCACGCCGAGGAAGATCACCATCCAAGTCATGACCTGAACGCTTTAACGGATGACTGAGATGTGCTGAGCAGATATGCTTGACCACACTGACAAAATGATGGGGAACAGACTGGATGACGCAGAGCTTACAGCTCATTTGTGCCTAGAATGGTCCCCTTTATTATTATTTTTTACAAGAATCTGTTATAAATGGCATAATACAGAAGGGGGGGCTCTTTGGGTTCCAGGGCGTATTTGGGATACTATCGGCGTAAGGCTTTGTACATACATACTATTTCCCCATACCCATTTTTGGATTTCATGTTGCATAGGTAGGGGTAGCGAACGAGCAAGGGAGTTGCTTAAGGATATATTTTTTGGGGATATTTTGGAAATAAATTCACAATATTACAAGATTTGTAAGAAATATTGCGGTAACATAATTATCATGTATAATGTACTTCGTCTATATGCATAGGTATACCTAGTACCCTATGTATATCATTATCTTCTTTATATGCATATATACCTTATGTACTTGTACAATACGCTATACCGTATACATACATAACTACATGGATGTTTGGTACCTACCTCCCGAGTCCCGCCCCGAGCTCTACTACTAGTCTACTACTATGTACAGAGTCCAGACCTGGAGCTTCGAACTTGAACCCAAACTTACATCTTCTGCCTAACATTCTCTACCTACCCAACCCACAACACACAAAAACCCTCTTGAACATCGTCGCGACTCTGTCATACAAACATGACCATATAGACCTCTAAATGGCGCTAGACGCAACGAACGGATTTGCTGCCGCCAACGGCGTACACGGCCTTACGGATGGAAGCTTACCTATCTTCGATGTTGAACGAGTACAGCTCCAATTCTCCATCGCTGCCGACTTCGTTGCAGCCCAAGTTGCCAACAATGTTCTTGTCCTGGCCTTATCCAACGGACGTATTTTGCGCATCGATCTCAATAGGCCGGAAGATATAGATGGTGAGAGAGAGAGTAGAGAGGATCTATGACTTGAACCTAAGTTAACCTAAATAACTTGATAGATATCGACCTTCCCAAACGTGTCTCCGAAGTGGGCGTCATCCGGCGCCTGTTCCTCGACCCCACAGCTTCTCACCTGTTAATATGCACCTCTCTCGGCGAAAACTATTACCTACATACACAGTCACGACAACCGAGGCCTCTCAGTAGATTACGCGGCGTCCCCATTGAGTCTGTGGCCTGGAATCCATCTCTGCCTACTGCCACGACCCGCGAGATTTTGATAGGCGCCTCGGATGGAAATATTTACGAGACCTTTATTGAAACCTCTACGGAATTCTATAGGAAAGAGGAAAAGTACCTGAAGGCGCTAAACAAACTCCCAGATGGACCGATCACGGGAATATGGGTTGACAGTATGGGTGGGAAGTCTGATTTAAGGAGGGTAGTCATCAGTACACAGAGCCGTCTATTCCATCTTGTGGGCAGAGTAGGACGAAGTGGCCACGAAGGAAGCGGGTCAATCTTCACAAGACTATTCGATTCCGAGCAGCCCGTTATTCACGAAATTTCGAGAAGCACAACCGTCGGTCCTTCGGCACTCGCTATCACCCCAGATTCCCCCAACACAAAAACCTACGATGACGTGATCCCAGATCGAGCCTTCGCGTGGCTTTCGTCGAATGGCATCTATCATGGGAAGCTCTTGACGACTCCCATTAACAATGATCTGGGAAATAAGGTATTCGCTGAGTCGAAACTTCTACCAAGGCCTCAGGTAGTGTCTACCGAGGCCTCCGGGCGGAAGAAAACCCCATCTGACTTGATTGATGCGATTGCCTTAACACAATGGCATGTCGTTAGCCTCGTGGGGGGTCGAGTTATTGCTATAAACCGATTGACCGGCTCCGTCGTATATGACCAGGTCATTCTCGACCAAGGGCAAAAAGCGTTGGGCCTCTACGTTGATCAGCAAAAGAACACTTTCTGGCTATTCACATCCCAGGAGATTTTTGAGATCGTTGCCAGAGACGAAGATCGAGATATATGGCGAATCATGTTACAAAGACAGCAGTTTGATGTGGCCTTGCAGTATGCTCATACTCAGGAACAAAGGGACGCTGTGTCGATGGCATCTGGTGACTTTCTTGTCGAGAAAGGTCTGTTCGTTGAGGCTGCTGGTATATATGGGAAAAGTAGCAAACCGTTTGAAGATGTTGCACTGGCCTTCATTGATCATGGCCAGAATGATGCCTTACGGAAATATCTCATCACAAAACTCGCGTCATATAAGAAGTCTTCTACTATGCAGAGGATGATGATAGCAACGTGGTTAGTTGAGACATTCATGGCTAAACTCAACAGTCTTGAAGATACTATCACGATAGAAGCAGAGTCAGCCGAGAATGGGAATAGGAGGGACTCGCGGGATCAGCTCGACGCTGTCAAGAACGAGTTCCACGACTTCGTCAACAAGTACAAAGCCGATCTAGACCGCAAAACAACTTACGATATCATTAGTAGCCACGCTCGAGAAGACGAACTCTTGTTCTTCGCTAGCGCCGCTAATGACTACAACTATGTCTTGTCGTATTGGGTCCAGAGAGAGCGATGGACAGAGACTCTGAACGTGCTCAAGAAGCAGACAGATCCGGAGGTCTTCTACCGATATAGTAGCGTCCTGATGACACATGTTGGACACGAATTGGTCGAAATAATGATGCGTCATCCCAAACTTGAGCCGCGTAAAATCATTCCGGCCCTCCTGGATTACAATAGAAATTTTAAGGGGACTCTTCTCCACAATCAAGCTGTTCGGTACTTACAATTTGTCATTAACCAGCTTCACTCTACGGACGCGGCTGTTCACAACACTCTTGTTTCTATTTATGCATCCCACGACTCGAAAGACGAGTCTGGACTTCTGGCGTATCTTGAATCTCAGGGCGACGAGCCTAATTTTGATCCTGATTTCGCACTTCGTCTGTGTATCCAGCACAAGCGAACCCTCTCATGTGTACACATCTACACAAATATGGGACAATATGTTCAAGCGGTGGATCTCGCCCTATCACATAATGAAGTCGAATATGCTTCCATTATCGCAGACCGGCCGATGTCCAATCCCGTCCTTAGGAAAAAGCTTTGGTTAGCGGTAGCCCGCAAGGTGATATCACAATCCAACGGCATTAAAACGGCTATCGAATTCTTAAAACGTTGTGACCTTCTGAAGATCGAGGACTTGATCCCCTTCTTCCCAGATTTCGTCGTGATAGACGACTTCAAGGAAGAAATTTGCAATGCGCTCGAGGATTACTCGCGCAATATCGACACTTTGAAGAAGGAAATGGATGAGAGCTCACAAACAGCGGCCAACATCAAGATGGACATCGCAAGCCTCGACCACCGCTACGCTATCGTCGAACCAGGAGAGAAATGCTACGTGTGTGCGCTCCCACTTTTAAGTAGACAATTTTTTGTATTCCCATGCCAGCACGCCTTTCACTCGGACTGCCTCGGCAGAAAGGTACTAGAACAGGCCGGCGTCGCCAAAAGCAGGCGTATCAAGGAATGTCAGATCCAGATCAGCAAGGGTCTCGTCAACGGTGCTAAGAAAGAAGCTATGGTCGCAGAGCTCGATGCTTTGGTTGCTTCGGCTTGGTAAGTTGAGCATATTGTCATGCTATAGGGTGATCGTCAAAAGCTAACCAGTTTTACATAGTATTATGTGTAGCGACTATGCTATCAAACGTATCGATGAACCGTTCATTACGGCGGAGGACGATAAAGGAGAGTGGGCTCTATGATTGCCATAATCATTGCAGACAGTCGCACTCAATTATTAACTTGGTACCTGCGTTCTTGCCGGCAGGCTTACGATATGATATGACACGGATATTTATGTCATTCCAGGAATTTCACGGGGGCGGGGGTTGTTCCTACAACATGAATCAGGAATGCGGGATGGGTAGATAGTAAGTGGTGTTTCTTCGACTTTGACTAGGAGCTTAACACGCGTTGCGGAGAGGAAGAAGAGAAAGGGAAGGAGAGAAATTGATACCCAAATGCCAGATTCTTTTCCCCCACACGTATCTTGGAGTCGCCGAGTTTGCGTATATACGAGCAGTTTTATGAATATACATAGGCTTGTTGTACCTATCTATCTATAGATGCGTCAAAGCTTACTTGTTTGAATTTACCCCTTCTGCGTGCTAGGTCGGTGCCTACCTATACAAAGGATAGGTTTACTTGGAGGTTAATGGAGGAGGGATGTCGGGATGTCCGCCTCTTGGGAAGGCTGACGGTTTACGTATAATTAGGTATGCATCTTCTATGTAGGTAGGCGTGGGGTGAGACACGGGAATATCATTGATACTAGTAGTGAGTAGGTATGTTGGATGTCTACCTACCTACTAATGCTGAAGATCTATCTAGGTTAGTATATAGGCGATGTCGTGTCTTACATACCTAACTACCTAGTACATGTACTGTAGGTATGTGAGTGCTTATTAATGCTTAACTTGCTCGCGCGGGATTGTTGTGGCTGGATGGATGGCTAGATGGTTGGTTGGTTGGTTGTAGGTACATGGGCAGGTAGGTAGGTATTATATTGTATAAGTAAGATACTAACTATGTGAGACAGCTGAGTCTAGTAGCTATAGTTAATACCTGTGGAACATACATACATACCTACCTACCTATCTAGTTGCTGAAAAGCTTTAGATATGTATGTTTAAATTTCCCCAAATCTACCTACATACTTGGGAATGCTTATCTAAGTGGTGTGTGTGTGTGTGTGTGTGTGTGTGTGTGTGTGTGTGTGTGTGTGTGTCTTGTCTTCTGTGTTGGCGGAAAAAACAGAAATAGAAAAGTCTAGTTACAGAGATGGGGCCTCATGCAGCGTCGATCAGCTTACCGGGGTTTCGGATGGCTACTACGTATATATTAGATAGGGTATTCTGTATCTACGGGGAGAAGGTGAAACTGGAGAAGAGAAACACAAAGAGATGTAATAGCTACGTACTAGGTAAGATAGAGTAGGTAGTTACATACCTAGGTAAGATAATTGGGGGTGAAAGAAAGCAAAGCCTTGCCTTGTCGGTGGGTGTTTTACATACCGAAACAGATGGATTCCATAATGAGGCTGATGAGCTGAGTATTTAGTTGGTAGCAGGTGTAAAAGAAGTCAAGCCCCTTCTTATCTTATTCGAAGCCTCCGGATATGAAGGGGGAAACAAAAGGAAAAAAAAGATTCGGGTTTGGTCGTACAGTTTACGTGGAAATATCTACATAACTATGTAACCTAGTTATGTATCTCTTAAAATGTACATAGTATGGTGGCTTGCGGCTGGCCCAGTTCGTGAGGATTTGCGTTACGTTGGAAGACGACTTGAAGCGACGTTTCAGATTCCATGGCATGGTCCTCCCAGACCCGGTCTTGGTTACTGATTGGTCCCCTGGGCATAAAGCGATAGCTGCACATCTTAAGGCGCCATCTAGTTTGGTTTGGTTCACGAGCCACATATGACATAGATTACATAGTACCTAATAGTTACATCTGTAAGCTCTACCTACAGTACTATGTAAGTTGTCAGTAACATTGAACCTGCTACTACATGGTAATAGTACATACCTCATTTAAAAGGGTGCCCCCCCTCTTCATCTACTTGACGCCGCCTCTCATATGCAACGTCAGGGAGGCATGCCACAGCTCCTTCCAAAATAGGGAAGACACTAGACGTTTCGACCATTTTGAGCATTTGAGTGGTAACGGCTTGCTGTTTTCAAGACAAATTCTGAAGGAAAATAATGTCAGTTTGAATTAAACGCCCCGAGCTAGGGCAAAGGACAGCAATATGTGGTCGTGCATGAGCCGAAGAGCATGGGGATTGGCAGACAACAGACAAGAAGGACAAGAAGCATGCAAGCGACAACCGGATCCAGAGTGCCATTGTCCGAGGTGGAATCCGATACGATAGTTGAGCACAGTAGTTATGGATGGCATGTCGTCATTCTCGTTTACCTGGTCAGCAATTGCGGCACTACCACGCCTCTCCCGACGTGCTTGCACAGGACACATCTTCCTAAACTGTCAAATCAGCGTCCAGGTTTGGACATACGAGTCCCTGCGAGTCCCTGCGAATCCCTGGGCAGTTGTCAAATTCTCCATAGCTGCTGAATCGCCAATCAAGCGGCGGATACCCCTGTTTCGATAAAACCGAATAAAAGGGACGAGTGGAAGCGCTGGATGGAGTAGGTCAATCATTTGCTACTTATTATCATCATCAGGCACACAATATATGGATATGGATGTTGAGTACTTATGTACTGTGTAATTTCTGCGAGTGTGAAAAGAAAGAAGAAAGGAATAGAAAAGCAAAGTAGTTATGTGTGTGTCCATGGATAAACGTAGAGGATACGATATCTAGGGTATTTGTCAAGTTTGAGAAAGATGAGGAGAATAGTTGAAAAGGCACTAATAAATATGCGCATGGCTATGTACTAGGTTAACCTAGGTATGTATGTTACTAATGTATGTGGAAGAGCTTTGAGATGCATGGACATCCCGTTCAAGTTGTTTCAACATCAGGCAAGTATCTGTAGTAAGTAGCAGGTACCTACATTGATAGTGCCATAGTGCTAGGTAGGCAGCATGTTAGGTAGCATTGTGTGCTGATTTTGTGTTCAATATTCCCTAAAGAATTTTACTTTCAGGGCACAGATTGTATAATACTTCTAGGGCTACATCCTACATACCTAGGTAGTGTAGGTACCTGGAGTGTAGGTACAATACAATACCTACACTAGCATCTGGAGACTGGAGCATGGGAGCACGGCCCCCACCAAAATCCATAGTACCTTCCCATCCATTCCCTGCGGCGCTTCAACTTTTCGCACATTCATCGTCCGTCTTTTTCTTTGAACCTCCTGATAACTAATTATTATTACATACAAGTCTAGTCTTGACTCTTCTCTATATTCCTCCACAACCTTTCCTCTTCCCTTTTTTTTTTTTAATGCCCTTCTCCAGGCTCTCCCTCTCCCTCTCTCCTCGTCACCTTTTATAATTCCCCCGCCTCTAGATCATACGTAGATCTTTAATGGAGCCTGTATATTGACCCTGATCCGTTTGGTCACTTGTTTCCACTCTTCAGAGGCCCTTCTTTTTTTTCTTCCTTCTTTCTTCCCTCCCACCAAAATATTTCTTCAACGGGGGTTTTCGTCCAGGAAGGGGGAAAAAATAAGAGAAAAAAAACCACAGGTTAATTAAAATTGTTCCTCGTCAAGAAACGCTATATTCTTCCATCCAATTCGACTTGGACCTCGTTCTTAGAAGATTACGACACTCCTTGTATTTTCTACCTTGCAGGCCCTTTTTCAAGTTGATTTGTTCTATCCAATATCATCGCCTATTTCGACCTCACCCGGTCGCTTGCTCACCTCAATTGTAATAACCCAACAAGCAGGGAAGAACAATAAATCTTGTGGGATTACTACCTTCGAAATTTCCACTCATTCCATTGGTATACTCTACCCTACGGCCTCGTGTGCGACTTAATACACCGACCACGCCTGTCGAATTGCTGGTGTGGCTGGTTGAGCCCCGTCTTCTTGACCGCGCATTGTAATAGGACGAAAAGAAGATCAAAAATCGGCACCGCGTCATTCCGAACTCTCTTCGATTCCGTCACCTACTTCTATACGAAGTCAAACTGCCCTATACTATCATCATCCGTGGAGAACTATTACTACTACTTCTCTTGATGAGGGTCGGATGAATTGAAATAATCGATAATGTCAACTACTAGACCTGAACACCTGACCCTTGGTTACCCACCTAAGAGTGCCAACGGTCGTTCCACATCACCAACTACCAACAACTTACCTGTCGACTCGCCGGGTGCATCCTCGGTTAGATCTCCCTTCGGCATGTCTGGTGTCTTGAACCCGCCAGGCAAGATGGCAGGTAGCTCGCGTTCTGGGGCTGGTTCTCCTTCGCACGAGACTGCCGGTTCGAGTAGGTTGTATTCCAAGAGGTATGTCTTTATTTCTTTTCATAGCTTATTTAATATATTCATATCTGGCTTTGTTGAACCTCATTATATCTAACACTCCAATCATAGAGCGAGGGAAATCCAAGCCCAAGAGGGTGTTCCTGGCTTGTCTGGAAATCCCTGGGGTGGCCCCCCAACCAGTGGTCACTCGACGCCTCTACGAGAAAATATTCCCGAGTCACCCACCGATGGATTCCCAGACTTTGCGCAACTACCTACCCCCGACAGCTTACCATCGACACGACGTGCACGAGCAGGCACTGTTCCGTCCAGATTCCCAGCTGGTGGCATAGGAAATGGACTTCTTAATCTTCCCCCCATTTCTTCGCAATCTGGCCGCCCAACTCCATCCCAGAGTCCGTTCAAATCACCATCGCCAAACTTGAACGAAAATTCCGACTCTGCTCGATCTTCAAACCTCTTGTCAAGACTCCGAGCTGGATCAATGCCACAACGCAGTCCCTTTTCTCATGGCCCTGGTAGCAGCTCGCCGTTCGGGCCTTCGGTCTTTAGTACCTGGAACCCGACTGGCCGTGAGAGAGGCAATACTCTTGCTAGCATAGCGAGTATTGGATCAAATGGACCAAGCTCGCCGGCTCAGTCTGCCTTTTCGAAGGAAGGGCCTGGAGACAATGATGTTCATATGAGGACTCTCGACTACCTAGGTTTAGCTGAGACTCCGCAGCCCGCTCGTGCTCAGTTAGCTACACCTTACTTACCCGGACTTGCAGACTTCAATAAGCAAGCAAACAACCGATTCCGTTCGTATTCGGTCAACAACAAAGATAAGTACGCAGAGGAAGAAGATGGCTATGATGACGAGAGTCTGGCCCTCGAGAACCAGTATGCCGCCCATCTTCAGGACCAACTGGCTGCTACCAATGCTGCTATTCACAGCCATAATCTAGCAGTCCAAGGTCTTCAGGCTTTTGCGACTCAGGCCTCAGCTACTCGGCCACGTGCTCGCACGGCTGGAGTTTTAGAACTACAGGGAGCAGGCTCAAGATTGATGCGAAACTATTACCCTACCCCCTCGCGCCTTGATAATGCGATGTCTGCCGCTGAGATCCGATTGCCCGAAGAGAAGGAGTTTGATGACCTCCCAACAGCTGTCGCTGCGATGAATCTAGGTAGATCGAACAGCCGGAACAATGGCCTATTGACAGCCGAGGAGGCTGGTCTTGAGGGCCCTACGAGTGCACTATGGCTTGGCAGCATCCCGACTTCGACCACCACGTCGACTCTGACTGAAATGTTCAAGTCATATGGTCCAATTCTCTCCGCGAGAGTCTTGACGCACAAGAATTGTGGCTTCGTTAACTTCGAAAGGATCGATAGTGCTATTTCGGCGAAAGCTAGCATGAATGGCAAAGAGATTTTCCCTGGAGCTGGCCCAATTCGTATTAACTTTGCCAAGCCACCTTCTGCATCGAACACACCAGGCCATGATGGAGTATTCCCAAGTCCTAGCCCTGATCCATTCGCGAAGAACCAAGATGGAGGTATCTCTGGCGCCGCCACTGCTGCCGGCGATCATGCAGCAAATGCCTCGAATGCAACGAATGCTGTACCGGTGATTCCCTCTCTACGTGATATGATGACGGACATTATGCTCATTGTCAAGTCATTTGGTGCTACCGAGGACGACACGTACCGCATATCCCACAGTCTTTCGCAGTCGGTTCAGTTTAATGCGTTCGTTGACGAAATCCCTCCTATCCGAGAGCCTACCCACACCAGAGTTCACGATGCTCCAAAACTGAGGGATATTCGAAAGCGCATCGACAACCAGAGTTTGTCCCCGGGCGAGATAGAACACATTGCTACTGAGATGTTGCCAGAGATCGCCGAGCTGTCCTCAGATTACCTTGGAAACACGGTGGTCCAGAAGTTGTTTGAGCATTGCTCCGACAACATTCGAGATCTGATGCTGGCTAAGATTGCCCCTCACATGGCCGAGATCGGTGTGCACAAGAATGGTACTTGGGCAGCGCAGAAGATCATTGATGTTTGCAAAACACCACAGCAGATGACCTTGATTGTTCAGAACTTGCGACCTTACACTATTCCACTATTCCTAGATCAGTATGGCAATTATGTTCTGCAGGGGTGCCTCAAGTTCGGCTCTCCATTCAATGACTTCATCTTTGAAACCATGCTTAGCAAGATGTGGGACGTTGCCCAAGGTAGATATGGCGCCCGAGCCATGCGAGCGTGCCTCGAAAGTCATCACGCGACGAAGGATCAACAGAGGATGCTCGCTGCCGCCATTGCTCTTCACAGTGTGCAACTAGCCACCAATGCCAATGGCGCCCTTCTACTAACTTGGTTCTTGGACACGTGCACGTTCCCCCAGCGACGTAATGTGCTCGCTCCTCAGCTCGTTCCCTATCTCGTCCATCTCTGCACGCATAAGGTTGCCTATCTTACGGTTCTGAAGGTCATCAACCAGAAAGCCGAACCAGATGCAAGGGACGCCATCTTGAGAGCTCTGTTCTTTGCCCCCAAAGACCAGATCCTGGAGGCTATCCTGAACGATCACTCATGCGGCTCTACATTGATCTTTAAGGTCCTCACGACACCCTTCTTTGACGAGAGCATTAGAGGCCAAGTAGTCGAGAACGTGAAGAGTGTTCTCATTCGCATCAAGGCGCAGCCTAACCAAGGCTACAAGCGCCTTATGGATGAGGTTGGTTTATCTACTCGCACTGGAGGAGGAGGAGGAGGAGGCGGCGGCGGCGGCGGCGGAGGGTCTCGCGATCACTCCGTGGGTAACAACACCTCGACAGACCGACAACGGCCGACGTCTCGTCAAGCTCAAGCGAATGCTGCTGCCGTGCAGCAAAACTCTCAACAATACGGCAACCAGTACCTTAACCCGCTCAATCCCGCTAGTAATGCCTCGAATTTTGACATGAGTGGCTTCCCGGTGCCTAGAAGTGAGAGTGCAGAGTCTGGCATGTCTTCCTTCCCATCTTATGGCCAAGGGCAAATGTTTAATGTAAACAACGGATCGATACCCCCGACAAACCTCCAACAATTGCAGTACCAGCAGAATATGCTCCCACGCGGAACACCGCCCATGAACAACTACTACCCTCCGATGCAAGCAGGATTCGGGGGAGGTTACAACAACCCTAACGCTTCCATGGATCAATATCGTGGCCAGAACGCCTCGAACGGCAGCCCCATTCAGCCGCCTGGAGCTCCAGCAGGTTTCGCGCCTCCCGGATTTGGAATGGGCGTGAACATGGGAGGCTACGGATATGGCAATGCCATGCCCTACGTTCAGGAGCAGCCAGTGAACGCCAGGCGCGGACGCGTAGGTCAAACCACCCAACAAAAGAGGTCGCCTCGACCGTAAACTACGGACGGCGCTGACAAATGAACTTCAGAGATGATCTGAAAGGTCACCTTTACTGTTTTGCATGAAGCTAGATGCTTATCTCTACATTCACGCATCTACTTTCTCGACTTGCGTGGCTGTACTGATAAGGGAGTTGGTTGGCTGGCTTGGCATGTTTGATTTTTATTCTCAAGTTTGCAGATGAACAGCTATGGGCGATCCACCCAAGGCCCGACAAAGAGATCGGCATGGTTACGCTGTGGAGGGCAGGAAACCACACTGGTATTACTTGGATCCCCGTACGACGTACGGTTTATTTCATCAAACTGGACCCGTTTACGCGATTCTTATAGCATGGTTCATCTTCATTTGTAATTCTGCTGCAACAACAAATCATGAATGAAGGGATTGACCAACTTTACCTTATGACGACGACATTATCACTGGGAGGAAGCACCTGTGAACGAAGAACCTTTCGGCTATGTTTTATCATTGATCATTGATGTACAAAGTCAGTTTCCACGTGGACGAATAGAGGTTCAACTAGCTTCTCCGAACTTTGACGCAGTTGTGCTCGCAAGAGGCGATAGAAAGAAAAGCACGAACGCAGGAGGGGTAGGCTGGGCATAACCATGGCTGAGACAAAACCAGAAGTTATGGGCGGAGAATTTATATTATGGCCGCCAAGTCATCATGATGACAATGGAAAACTCGACTCGTTTGTATTGGTTTTCACTTTAGCCCCTGTGGCAACTCGATTACAAGCAAGGGGGAAGGATGGCGTGGCCGACGCACCCTGGTGGACGAGGGAACTGCATGACTAGTGAAGTAAATGGATAGGAAAATATTCTTAAAGTGCCGAATGAGTTTTATTTCTGTACACCGTTTCCTGTTTCGTCTCTTATTGTGACTTAACTTCTGTGATACCTTGCCCTAATGTTGTAATATCTTGAATGGCGGTGAACGCCCTTTTCTCGAGGTTGAATCGATAATGGATATGAAGAATGCTGTTTACAATAGTTTTGCGCCCTGGTGGGAATCGTGGGATGACGATCCTCCAGTATCCTACTAGGCTATCCAACTAACGTTATCCCCAACTAGGTAATTGGCTTCCTGGGTTCGGAGATTAACTAAATCGAATGAAGCCATTTCATTCAAACTTTGATGATGATTCCACACTTAACTGTCTATGTAGGCAGATAGTTACATGTAATTACTACCTAGTACCTATGTAGTACGAAGGCTTGCTAAGTAAGTTACTCTACGGAATATCATTGCTACTACCTATTACCCTTGCCCTTACTCTTACTCGCCTACAAACTGTTTGCTATGTACAGTAGGTAGGTAGGTTAGGTAGATACTAGGTAGGTACCTCATGCAGGTTAGGTTAGGCCAGTAGTTAATCAATTTGAATCACGATAGTTAAAAACCTATCAATTTCGAAAGTACAAAAAAGGGGGGGGTGTGGGTTATAATATTTCCATTTCAATAGACAGACACGCGGACACAAGACACATATATTATTCCATTAGTCTGATTTCAAGTCCACGCAAAAGAGTTCTTTTGCATGTCGTATGTAGTTATCAGTATCATGTGTGTGTTCGTTCCTCAATGTTGTATGTCTCTGTATGCGTATGGATTGTAGTACCTACTACCTAGCGTGCCCTGTGCCTACTAACGTAGGGAAAAGGGCATTACATGGATATTTCCCCTAATGGAAAACAAGAACGAATAATGATGGAAAACAAGAAAGAAGGAGAGAGAACACCCAAATAAGAAGCCAGCGCCGTTTTCCCTACTAGTATAGGAGAAAAAAAGACCGACTGATTCACTGGATAGGAAGAGAGAAGACAACTATTCGTATAAATAATAGTTGAGGATTTCGCCCAAGACGATCCACTCCTCTCTCCTTTCTTTCTCTGCTTTCTCCCCCCCTTAGAGAAACACTTCTTCCCTTTGAACACGTAAAAACGCCGATCCACGATCCACCTATGACTGAGCTTCTAACCACTCATATGAGTTGGTTTGTTTCTCGTCCTTGCTGTTTTCGATTAGGGTTGTCGAGAAAGTACCGGAGAAGAGGGATCGGAAAATTAGAAGAAATCGACAAGGGAAACTTTGTCAGGCCGCCGTAGGTAAACGAAATTCCCTTCCAGATTCATCCTCCCATCCCCCCCAACTCTGGTGCCGGAAAGCCCGAGAGGGCATTATGGAGGTGTAGAAACCAGCGTCTATGTAGTCGAGGGCCCCTTTTGCGAATATGAACAAGTGAAAAGAAACCATCGACGAAAAAGATAAATAGTCCCTCGAAATTCTCGAGTTACCTGTGACTGCTTCCCTCAGAATAACTGACGGATGCTCTTCGTCTCAGCCCTGAATGCAATGCCCATCATATGCATTTCCCTCTTATTAGAGTATTGATACAACGGATTTCGATTAGGAGGCGTATGGAAAGATGGGGGTTTCAATCTTTGTCAATGGTAGAAATTGTTGGTAAGAAAGATGGTGCACTATGACCTGTGCTCAAAGTCTTCGATATTATGTCCTTTGGAAGAGGGGACACAAGAGCCGTTTGCCAACGCCAAACGAATTAGGGATATCATCAATATGAATTCCACCCAGTATTGTCCGAGAGGAATGCAGACGGATTGTTACTAGTCAAAGACAGGTGCACCGTATATGCTAGACCATACGGGTTCACCTAGACTTAGTCGACCTCCATGGCAGAGCTATCGTCTGGTTTGCCACTGCCGGCCTCGGAGTCGTGAGAAGCACTATTCCCAACAGTGCTAGACTTATCGTCTTCAACAATAGTCATATTGTCATCTTCGGGGATGACATTGGGTAAGCGAGCATCAAACCGTGTCGCTTTAGGGGTCTCGCTACCTGCGACGGTCTCTGGAGTATGGGCGGTTTTGCTTTGTAAGACTTCGCGAATGCCCTGCGTAAGGCATTCGACTTGAGTGAGCATGGCTCGAAGAGAGGCAACATCGACTGTAGCTAGTTTACCGGATGCGATGCGCTCGGCGTCTCCCATTGCCATCATAGAGACCATTGCGGGGCTCGCGTTAGACTGCATTCGTTGTCAGTTATAGGGGTTTGGTTTCGTGAGTTGCATGATAACTTACGATCAGAGCTTGATGCAATTGACTCATGCCATCACCCTGGTTTCGAGAAAGCTGGGCAAGATTTAGGGCCACTTGCTGCTCCTCGAGGGTTGCTGCCTTGAGAGGTGTGGGGGTAGGGCGCGTTGCGCCGGCTTGAGCGGGACGCTGGCCATAAGGATGGCTACTCTGTCGATATTTGCGATTCTGACGGACACTGTCAAGACTAGATTAGCATCAAAAAGTCGGAAGAGCCACCGCGTCTTTCTTACCGTTGGATGAAGTCTAACTTTATGCCTTTCTCGGACACTCGTTGAACGCGGCCATAATTTACATGTCTGCCCCAACCGTGTTCACTTTCATCGTTGCTATCATCATTGTCGACTTCTATGAAGCCGTTGTTGGGCAATCCTCTACTGTAACCTTGCTCGATGGCTGGGACATCCTTAATCTTGCGGTGCCGGTGTGCCGGGGCGAGCGTCTGCTCGAGCATATCTTCTGGATGGCACGGACAACGCCAGGTTCGAAGGACTGGTGGTATAGCCAGAGGTGGATCAACACATTCAAGGTGCCAGTGAAGCCCGCACACCGAACAAGGAATAATCATGCGGCTTTCCGAGGCACCCTTCTTGCAATGATGACACAAGACAGGCGAATCAGCATTTCTGACTCGATAAAAGTCGAAAGGTTCCTCAGCCCCCTTCTTGTTGGATCTATAAAGCCAGCAGAGTTAATGAACTGACTACTTAGGTAGTTGAGTGGATGGTTTGAAATGGCTTGGACTTACTTGGGCTTGGGAGGTGCAATCTCCTCGTATTCGCCGTCAGGACCAGTTCGGACACCTTCAAATTGCTCTCGGACATCTTCAGGAAGACGAAACGATCTAGGATTCTTTCGGTCCAAGGTGTCGAGTAGGGAGGCAAAGATGCCCTCATTCTTGCCAAAGGGTGGATAATAATTATGCTTGCATTCATTACAATACCACTCGTCCGGCATGCGCTCACCGTCCATTGGGGGATCGATGCACAAGAAGTGAAATGAATAGTGGCATCCGTCACAACACACTATCTCCCCATTGCCGCCACAAGTGTAACAGCAGTCATCATTCTCGTCCTAGTTGATAGATTTTGTTAGCATGAACTTGAAAACGTGGAATACTCGGGTATCTGATGGATGATCTGGTGGATGTAGTAGTAGATGTAGTAGTAGTAGTAGAGTTTCGGCCCAAGCGGTAATCGGGGAAGGATCTAATGATCCAATCGCCACCGCCCGGACTTGCGTTTGTAAAGCTAGGGCTAAGCCTCCCTCGGCCCACGATCGAGGAAACTGACATAAGAACACGTTGCGGTAGAATCATCGCTTGTGTCTCCCTTCCCAAATCTCAACCCTCCAATTTCCCTTCTTTTCACAAGAAAGGGTAAATTTGACAAAAACAAAACGAACAGATGAATTATACTTACTGAATTATGTGCCAAACTGTTGCCTATAGGGCTCGGTCGCTCCCCGTTGCTGCGAGGAATTCCCGCAGACGTTCCTTTTTTCTTCATCGGTCTGCCATGTGTAAAAACACCTTCATTAGTAAAATATTTCTTAATCGTATGGGTATAGATATGGGCTTTGGCCAAATCGTCCACAGGGATGGATTTCCCCGTAGAGGTTGAACTTGGCCCAACGTGAAATCATGTGGTGCCACATCGCCACTTGACTGGGCCTTGCTTTGTGACAGCACAACATCCGGTCGGGTCACGCTGTGATTAGAATATCGCAAATTCAACATATCGGAACCCATGATAGAACATATAATATAGGGAGAGAGAAGGGGGGGGAGAGAAGGGAGAAAAGAGAAGAAAATTAAGGACAAGGTGAGGAACTTACGAATTTTTCACGCGTAACCCTGCTCGGGGTTTCTTGGTAGATCGTAGATTGGCAGGCGTCGCGGCCCGCGAGTTGCGCGTCGAAGATGGGGGCTCTAGATCAGCCTTGAATGATAATGCAATTGGCGAGATGGACTCGTCAACATCCTCGTTGTGTCGCTTAGCAGCTCGGGCAGCTCGGGTACTCAGGGCTGGAGTGCGGGATAAGCGATTCTGCTCAACGACTGGTGGTGGAGGTGGCACAGCCAGCTCAAAGGACAGATCTTGATCTTCCAAATGCGAAGGTTCGCGAATGAAGCTGTTCTCAGTAGAATCTTTGGTAAGACTGATTGTTTCGAGTCGTTTCGCCAGCTTTTTCTGAGTAAGTTCATCAGTTTCATCCAAATCTCCAAATCTGCTATCAAACTTAAGACTGCTCTTCAGGCCAGTGCTTGCTGCTTGCTGCTTGTTACGAGTGGTGGGATGGGAAATAGCAGAAGGCATGCTGGAGTCTCTGGTTGGAAGGTTGTGACGAGGAGTGTTTTGTGAAGAGGGATGCTTGAGAGATGCATTCTTCTTTTTGGCTGCGGGTTTCTGCTTCTGGTTGCTGATTGGCTGGGTCGAGTCTGCCGGGATTTGTGCATTATTTGGCTCGGCAGCCATGGGAGTAGGATTGATACGGGGATGGGGACTCGAACTGGGACGCGCGACACCGAGATCATCATCCACCTGATCCATATACTCTTCATAGTCGTCCGGGACATCGTCTGGAACTGATGACAGTGTCGATGAACTGCTTACTGATCCTGTCCGCATCTTCTTTCCTTTGCTAGGCGACTTGCTGGTCGTGCCACCTTTCTGGCTGTTGACGTTGGCTCCATTGATCTTAACTGGGCTGCTATTGCCATTCACGATGCTGTCATTATCTAGCTTGATCTTCTTGCTGACGTGATCATCAGCCGGAGTGTCGTGAAATACACTGAGATCCAGTTTGATCATGTCCTCGTACGGTGCAGTCTTGGGCTTGTGAGGAGTAAAGCCACTGCCGGTAGAAGGAGGCACAAAGTAGTAACAGCCTTTGTTATCTACCTTTCCCTCTTTTTTCTTATCACAGACAAGCTTGTTGAATTCTTTGAGAGTGTCAGGGTCTGCGCGTTGATAATAGATGTCCTCAATCATAGAAACAAAATGAGGATCAGATGAATGCTCATCATAGAGCAAGCGCAACGCCCAAGCTGTAGGATAGCGGTAATGTCGCAGAGCTTCGTCTACAGCTGCCTCCACAACTTTGTCTGCGAGGTCCTTATCAGGTTCGCGGTTAAGAGTGGAAGGGGGTGGATGAAAACGGGGAGGGGAAGGTGGGTGAATGGGAGAAGACATGGGGGTAGGGCTGGGCCGTGCACTTCGTCGGCGGACAGAGTGGCGACGCGTATTGTTGGGGGTTACTGAGATTGATACTGAGGTGTTTAATGGTCGCGACTTGGGGTTTTGCGGTACGTAGTCATCATCTGCTCCGTCATCTAGTGGTAAGACAGTGGGCAGTAGAGGCTGAGATAAGGGCGACAACGGCGTCGCATCCACATCAGCGGTCGTATCCATTTCTGTATTCATTTCTTCATTAGGCGATGCGTCTCTCACGCGTGGCGCTTTCTCGGGTGCTGTTGTGGTAGTAGCGATGTATGGTTTTTTAAGAACAATACGAGTCTTGACAGGAGGTGGAAACGGATCTCCGTTAAGAGGAGATTTTTTTTGCATGGCTGCCTTAGGAAGCGTACCGAGAGGTGCCATATTTTCGACCACTCCGCCTCTGATCAATCCTGCCTCCTGGAAACTGGCTTTGTTCTGTATCGGCGGTTCGAGCCAGCGCTGCATGAATGATCTTTGACCCTCACTAGTAAATCCTCTATTGTGTCCGGAAGGCGAGCTCGAATGTAAAGGGCTCGAAAACCGGGATCGGCTGGCTCTGTGGTTTGTGGACATTGTAGTGGGCGACCGTAGCTCTTGTATGTTTTTTTTTTCTTCCTAAGGTTTCCTTCTTTTTTATCTCTCTGTTGAGATTTTAGGGGAGGGGGGGAGCGCACACCCCTTTTGTTCGTTTGCCTCTCTTCTCACCAGCCCGCGCGACAACGTGTGAATCAATCGTGCAGCTGCTCAAAGGTATTAGCTTACAATCTTTTGAAACTTGATGGTACTAAACCTACTTTTCTACGTCGATGAATTCTATCGACGGGGCTCTTCGTCGCGCTTTTTCTGTGATGGTGTTTGTCCTACGCGGTAGGGCGAAGGGAGGGTTATGCGAGATTCCAGAGCTCCAAAATTCGGAGTGGACGGCGCCCGCCACGACCAGGGGCGAACACACTACCTAAAAAAAAAAGCCCACGGGTACAGCACTGGGCAACATGTACTGTATTGTACCTTCAACTTTCCACCCCCCCTAATCAAGAGGGCCTGCACTTCAATTTTCTTCTACCCTTCCAGATGTTCCTAACCTTCCTAGTAGTAGCAGCAGTAGTAATACTACTAGGTAGGTAACAAGTATTAATCCCCTTTTCTTTTCATAAAATCTTCAAATCTTCAAATCTTCAAATGCTCCCTTTAAAAATCCAGATGTCGGAAATCTTTTCCAAAGGTAACTATTGGGTAAGTACCTAGGTATGTTCTGAAATTATTGAGCTCCAGATGTCTGTTCTTTTGACTTTCAAGTTATGCAAATGATTAGGACAGTAGTGTACCTAGTAGTTTTCTAGGAGGGTATGTATGCTACTACATATGTAGTACTAACTATCAAATAATTGATCTTTGAAGAAGAAAGAGGGAAATTTAATGTTGTTCTTGCCTCCCCTGAGCTCATCATCTAAAATCAAGTACGGAGTACCGTACCTGCCCTTGGGCTATCTACCCTACCTACCCTACCTACCCTACCTACATACCTTGACTTGCACTTGCCCGGTCCAGATATTTATTCCCATCAACCATCAATCATTTTGCATACCTACATACCTACATACATACCTACATACCTGAGTAGTAACTACCACTAGTAACTACCACTACTAATACCACCAATGCCGCCAATACCACCTGATTAAAATCAACACCACCACCCATCACATGTCCTTCATCTTTCCCCTTTTTCAAGTTTATCTCAAGATTTCTATCTATATACTATCCACTATATATGTAGCTATCTACTATACTATATATGATCCCTTCAGATATATAAATTCCATCTTTTAACCGGCTTATCCCGCTCCCCTTTCCCTCCTTCCCTGCTGCATCTATCCCGTTTCCTATCGTGTAGTTGTACCCTCGAAGACGATCACGCCACGTAGAAGCCTAGGGTTCCTGACTCACCCTTACTGTAAGAATATTTGGGCGAAACCACCAATGCGCCCTAATCCCGAGCCCGCAAATTCACGTCATCAAGCCCACCGCTAGAAACTGAATTTCACCCATTTTGCTTCTAAGGATAAGTAATCATAATGGTAGCGTCCCTATTCTAATACTATCCGCCATGTCACTGCCAATCTACCTAGACAAATGCATACTGCCATACCTTGGGTAGCTTATTTGTAAGTACTAAGGAGTCTAGATCCGTAGATGGTTAGCATAAATTCGCCGCGTGGGGCTATGTCCTCAATTTGAGTGCTTCCGGTCAGGATTTGATTCCCATCTGTAGGTATATACATATATCTCGTATATCTCACTTCAGCATGCTTTATATTTCTTCTTCTTTGTTTGTCTTTCTCCTCTACGGGAACTAATAACACAGATGTCGAGACCTGAATAACCTATTCTCTCCTTGATCACGCAAGATCCACCATGCGTTTCCAGCTTTCGGGCCGTTTCGTGAAACTCAGAACAACTCAAGTTAGGATGTTGAGCCAGGTAAGCACGCGAGAACTGTTAATCGACAGGCGTAGGAATACAACGCCCTGGCGCCATTGGTCATATGTGTACCAACCACGACTGAGGCGAGACTGACTTGCGGAATGCGTGCTTTCAAGTGCCCAGGCCATGAACGTATTTACTCCTCGCTCTCCTCCTCATCATCCACGCCCTTCTTGGCAGACTTCTTCTTCTTCTTGTTCTTACTCTTGCCCTTATTCTTGCTTAACGGCTGTTCCAGTATCTTCAGAACCTCCTCGTCAGTGATCTTCTTGTCTGACTGGACCTTGTCTAGGTCTAGCGCCGGTGGGGCCCCAAGTTTTGAAATGCCGTTCTTTGTGATAGCTGTTTGTGTTAGCTTGTAGGGACTTAAATGAGGGGACGAAGAAAGCCCGCAGTCATACCAAGTGTAGTTAATAGTCGGGCAACTGGAGAATTGTCCTTGTCACCAACTAATTCGTACTGCCGTACAACCCCCTGGCGAACACCTTCATAAATTCCAACCTTATATTTGGTATCACCTCCTTCTTCCTCGAGTTGCCTTAGGCTGAAAGGAAAGTGGCCAAATTTGGTCTGGATGGTAGACAAAGTCTTGCGCGCGGTTTGCGACTTTAAGATATAGGTGTTGTTCGTCCGACGAAGGAGAGTTGCTCGCTGGTCAATGTTCTTGACTTTGCCTGACCCTAGACTCATACCCATCTCTACACCCCATACCTCTCCCACTTCGGGTGTGCCATCCCCCTTGGAACCTTCTGCGGGAGCGAGGACAATCTTCTTCTTGCCTTCGATATCATTCCGGTCGAAGAGCCACGACGTTGTGCTCTCTACCAGGTTGCATTCGTAGGTTTTAGCAATCTTGTCCAGGATGGAGGTAATTTTCGTCTGAGTAGGGGGCTTGGCTGCAGCTGCCTTTGCCTTTTCCTCATCACTTCCGCTCGCTAATACCCCTGGTGGAATTATGAGCCGTAGGAGGACTTCGTTGGCATAATGCGTAGCAAGTATCAAATCGGCAGATCGGCCGGTGATGACATCCTCAGCCTGATCTTTGGACGGAACAAATATTGTGTCGCAGACAATGGAACCAAAGCCATCAATCTGAGCGCCAAGCTGGATTTTCACAGGCTCTCCAGCCTGAAGTTCGACATTCGCCTCGGCGGTGTCAGAGGCTAGTGGAGTATAAGGTGTCACATAGGAAGCCGGGGATACAGTGGTGGGATGGGAAAATCCTGCATATATCTAGCATGAGTGGAAATTTACAAGATATCAAAAGGGGGATTCAGATTCGACTGCCTGCTTACCCTTCAATTTGGTTGTACGGTAGACTTTAGCAACTTCTTCTTCAATGAGCTTGTCTCCCTTCTGGCAGATGGTGACAACCTTCTCGCCTGCAACACATAGCTTAGATACGGCGGCGAGAACCTTTTCAGAGATAGTAGCAGCTACTCTGTATTTGGTCAGAGTGTCTGGATTTGCCAGGGAATAGTCTAGAAGATGGCACGAGTTAGCTACGGGTTGACTTATCTCGAGTCTCGTGAGGTCAATAGAGGGGGGGTATAGAGACCTCGAACGAGGTACGGATAGCTTCGATGGTGGGGTAGTTCATAGAAAGCTTTGCTCAAGTCGAGGTTGCTTTAAAGAAAAAGAGACGGACGAACCAATTTCCTTCTCGTCGGACATGGCGACTTCTTAATAATATACTGGCTTATTTACTTTTTTTAAAACAAGAAATATGACTTGGATGTATTGGTAGCAAGTGGTTAAAATGAGAAAGTGGAAGTAGAAGTGGGCAAGGTAAGAGGTAAAAGGTAAGGTCTGGTGCAATAAGCAATCGGATAGGTCACAGGTATTTTGGTATTTTCGTTTAGCTGCGGGGCTTTGTGCGAGCAATAGAGAGGGGCAGCATTGTGACTGACGACCTGGTGACGTTCTTTAACCTTTAGTTAATACATAGTAGTTACATAGGTAAGGGGGATTGCAGGTCCGTGTGTCCGACCATTGACACTACACACTGTAGTGTGTATCCACCCCGCTAAGAGAATACATCGATATATGTATGCTGACTGTCATTTATGTAGCTAGATAGCAATATGAAATAAAAGTACTATGTAGATGTAACAATTCAAAAGAGGTACTTAAGATTTAGCTGAATAACACGCCAAAATTCATGTTCCTAATACTTCCTATAATGTTCCTCTAATTCTTTTGGTCGCGGTTCGTCGCGTGTCCAGCCTTCTTCTTCTTCCTATTTGCGGTTCGTCTTCATCAGCCACTATTAAGGATTAAGAACATCCTTCTCCCCAAAAAGTCAAGCGCTCTTCTATGTAATCCGATCCATCGCGAACAGAATACTATTACCACCATTACCACCATTACCACCATTACCACCGCGCGCAACAATTGATCTGCTATTCCTTCACTGCCGACATCTAGTGCTAGTGACGGCCCCGTTGTGCACTGCGACGCCAATTCGCAATTTGACCCGTGAATTTTCAACACAAAACAAACTAAGCCAACACAAGAATCAGTACATCGAGAGTGATTGATCCATCACTGTCAAGCTTGACGAAATACCTTCCTCCATGTGAGGCTCCTAAGTCAACTATGGCGACTCAACAGGATGCAGAACCCGCTCCAACGAGCGCTGTGGGTTCTGCCGCCGCGGCCTCGTCCATGTCAAAATCGGATAATTCGTCAACTTCTCCTCCTAAGAATAAGTCAGATGCGCCGGATGACTCAAACCCTAGCGGCCATTCAGGTCGCGATGAGGACACCTTCAAACAGTTTTTAATAGGCCAGGCCATTGCTCGAGATCACATACACTCTGCTGCTATGGTCAGCGACAAAGATAGACAAAATGAACATAATAAGTCTCAATTCAAGATGATCAATGATTATAAGCTGTTAAGGACCGATTACAGAGCTTGGTTTACACCTAGTAGACTTTTTGGCGAAGGTTATAGTGGCTATGGTAATGGAAGAACCGAGATTGGCCCACAGTCGCACTTGGTATACCCGAACCAAAAACCTCCACCCGGCAAGCGACAGGCACCTGCTCTGAAATGGAAGAGGAAGGACATGAAGCAGCAGGCCGAACAACATGAGGAGTTGGTTCCCGTCAGGCTAGATGTGGATTGGGATAAGATCAAGTTGCGCGACACCTTCACGTGGAATCTCCACGAGAGAATTGTCGGCGCCGAACTATTTGCTGCGCACTTGGTAGAGGATATGGGCTTGAAGCCACCCGCTGCCCAGCCCGTTTTTGACCAAGTTATCCAGCAGATGCACGAACAGCTAAACGACTTCTACCCTTTTGTATTCTCCGACGAAGACGCGTTAGATCCCGAGTTGCCTTATTCGGCTTGGAAGAACGATGAGATGAGGATATTGGTGAAATTGAATATCACTATTGGACAGCATACCTTGGTTGATCAGTTTGAATGGGAGATTAACAATCCCCTCAACTCGCCCGAGGAATTTGCGGCGAGTATGGCTAAAGATCTAGCACTTTCAGGGGAGTTTACCACTGCTATAGCCCATTGCATCCGGGAACAGACCCAGCTTTTTACTCGGAGTTTGTATAGCATCGGACATCCATTCGATGGTAGGCCCATTGAAGATCCAGATTTAATCTCAGCCTTCCTCCAATCGCCGCTACCTTCGGTGTTCCGACCCCAGCAACAAGCCAAGGACTACGCTCCGTACCTGTACGAACTCAGCGAAGCAGACCTAGAACGAAACGAGACGGTCTTCTCCCGCGAACAAAGAAGACAGAAGAGGTCTATCAACAGACGAGGTGGACCCACGCTGCCCGATCTAAAGGAGAGGCAGAGAACCATACGCACCCTCGTCGTGTCGTCTACACTTCCGGGCGCAGCACTTAGTGTAGAAGAGAGCAGGCTCTACAAGCGAGTTGCAGGTGCACCAGGCACGGGGCGGAGGAGAGGTCCGGGTGCACGTGATGGTGATATCTCTGATTCTGACGAGAGTGACGACTCGGGCCCCGATTCGCCCGCAGCATCACAACTACCCGGTACGACAAGGACGAGAGGCATGAGGGGTGCCGCGACTGCCGCTCAACAGCGGATGGCGAACCTCGGCCGGTCCGAGACCCCGGAAGCCACAATACACCATCACGAGACCCGAACATCTAGGAGATTTGGACGCGAACTGACAAGAGAAGATACCGAAGAACCTCAGCACTTTTATGTGACACTTAAGATTCCGAATAAAGAGAGGTTACGGAGAATCTCACAGCGCGATCCTAAGTTGAAGCAAGGGACACCGGGTGGATCGCAGACACCCTCACAGTCTCATGCTCGTGCTCATAGTATTTCTGCATCTAATAGCATGCCTCCCCCTTCTACACCGAACGTCCCGACTTCGACAATCCCTGCGACAACCCCCTCGAACACTATACCCCCTGGACAGGTCGGGCGTGTTGATGCCCCTCCGCCAATAAACGGGGCCCCTCCTGTTGCCGTAAGACATATTTTCCACTCATCCCTTCCTCACCCCAACCCCTCCCTCTTTAGGTTCTCCAGCAGTCGTTATGACCTTTAAATTAGGTCGACGATTGGCGGGGGGCCTTGTTGTCATCTGGCGATCCAGCACTCATACTCACTACCTTTCACAGCCCCCTCCACCTGCGTGGCTTGTCGCGGCGCTTGAGAGATTCAAACAGGAGCCAGCCTACGCGAATGACCATTTCGAAGGAACCATGCGATACACTGCGATCGACAGCAACACAGGCATGGCTGCCACCCTTCCGCAGCCAAACCAGCCTGTCCCTCCACACATACGGTTCTACTTCCTCCCCCGAATTCGCTGTCTTGACTGTCCTGGCAAGCTCTATACGCCAGGCCCCGACATATCAGCTGCGAACTTTGAAGTCCACCTCAAGAACAAGGTACATAAGGAGAAAGTGGAGCTCCGGCTCACATTAGCCAACAGCACAGCTGGCGGGACCGCGTAGATACATAAGGTATCAATCCCATGCCCAGCTCCACTAAGTCAAAATTCATGGCATCATACGTAATGAAGGCAAACTACAAGAGCGGTATTGGTAAGGAGTTACGTGCGTTTTTCTGGAGAGCATTGTGTGAACCCTGTAAAGACCTGTGTTTTACTAGAAGAAGAAGAAGAAGAAGAAGAAGAGAGAGTGTGTTCTCGGCCGGCTCGGAATGTCGGTAGTCCACGTGGGGAGTTCAATGCCAATAATGCTGTTGAAGGGGGGGGAATTCGAGCGCGGAGTTTGTATCAATATGAGCCGTCGACTCCGTATAATATGTAAGCCTTCCCTACATAGGTACTTAGAGATAACCCCTTATTTAAACCCGACAATCTATTTTCTGCGGATATTCATTATGTATCTATGTGGTGATCAGGTTTGCGGGTTTATGATATCGTCTACAATCTGCCCTACGTAGTAAACACTGTATGTATGTACAGTACGAAGTATGCATGTGGACTAAAGAGATGATTGCCATTGATTGGAGGTTATTTATACAGTTCTTATTGGTTAATGGTCCCAAGTGGATCCAATGCATGCGCAATGTTGCTACAGGGATTAACGGCTGATAGAGTTAGTTGATAAGGTGGTAGCGGCGCAATTCACGTTTGAGTTTGGTAGCCTTGCTTCTTTCCGCGTTTCTCTATCGCGGAATGAAGCTTAAAGACGCATGCCTCCTTCCGCGCACCTGGTTTGCGATGGGAGTATTAGGTAGCCTTACTAGGTAGCCTCGACTGCGACTTCCGGGGAAGAAGATCTATTGAATGCGATGAACTGGAGTTTGTTCTCCACGTGATTCTACACAGTACCTAACCTAGGTCAATGATTGTCAATCTACCGCAGTCTTTCCCTTGTATCAACTTGAACTCTTCTTTTCAATTACTTTTCCCATTCATCCTTTCTACCTCAAGTCCTACCATTTATTTACATAATACCTGAAACCTACCAACCTACCAACCTACCTAGGTAGCTATTGGTGTTTCTCTACCCCTCGAGTCGCTTTGCTTCCACATCATTTCCTTCTTCGAAACAAATACTTAGTTGTCATTCACAAACCTTTGTTTGTCTTGCCTTGTTCTGCCTTACCTCAAGGTGTCTCACCTCCCTCGAAATTCCAACACTCGTTCAACACTCGTCCAACATGAATTGCCCAATACAGTCCATCGATGAACCGGGCTTAAAGGTTCCCAATGATGTAGCTATAGGTTTGCGCCAGCAAGTCGCCGGTCTTCTTCACCGGAATTCAATCAACTTTCCTGGTGCGCAACCCGTCAGCTTCACGAGGAAGCACTTGGACGTTTTAACGCGTGAAGAGTAAGTAATTGATTATTTCATTCACGACTTGTGTCGATGCCTAGCCTCTGCGTGAGACTAACTTGCGCCTTGCGTTACAGCTATTACGTCTGCGAAAAGTCCGATGGAATTCGCTACCTCCTATACCTTACCGCCGACGAGAATAACCAAGAGACCCACTATCTAATCGACCGCCGAAACGAGTACTGGTATGTACAGGCAGGCTCACTACACTTTCCTCTCCCGGGAAACCACCAAGCCTTCCACAAAGGCACGGTTCTAGATGGAGAGTTGGTCATGGACAGCCTGGGCGATGGACGCTTTGAGCCCCAATACCTAGTTTTTGATTGCCTGGCCTTCAATGGGCAATCAATGATGTCGCGAGAGCTACAAAAGAGACTCGGCTACTTCCACGAGCAGATATTCAAGCCGTATAAGAAATTACTAGATGATTACCCCCAGGAGAAGCAATACCAACCCTTCTTCATCAACTTAAAGGACATGCAGATGGCTTATGGAATTCGGCTGATCTTCGAGGAAGTTATCAAGCATTTAAAACACGAAAACGACGGCCTTATCTTCACAGCCCTCCACAGCGAGTATAAGCCCGGAACAGATCCACACATCTTAAAATGGAAGGATGCCGACGAAAATACAGTCGATTTTGTGTGGAAACTGAAGTTCCCCATGGTGGAACCAGATGAACAAGACCGTGCGGAGGGCATAACGACACCCTATATCGACTATGAAACCACCCCTCAAGTTGACCTGCTCGCGAATCATGGTAGTGGCAATTACCATTTTTACGACACACTACATCTTGAAGACAGTGAATGGGAGATATTGAAGGGCCTAGGTGACCCCCTCGACGATCGTGTGGTAGAGGTTTACATGGATAACCAGAAACGGTGGCGGTTTTACCGGTTCAGAGACGACAAACCGGATGGTAACCACATATCGGTGGTCAGCAGCGTGATAGACAGTATACGAGATGGTGTGACCCGCGACGAGCTCGAGAATCATAGCAAAGTCATCCGAGATAACTGGAAAGCTAGGGAGAAGGTCCGGAAATAGGCCAGGATGCATAATGTCGTGTTTCTAAGAAAGAGGAAGAGAGAACCATAGGGCGACCAATCCTTGGACGGAGTTCGGGAGTAATCAATGGCTTATGATGGGCGGTCTATAATGTACGAAAAGAGGACCACTTACCTACCAGGAATAGGTAGTTAATGGGTAGTGTGTACGTGAATAGATTTCAGGATAGGGTGGTGATAAAAAGGTCGATCGATTACTCAAAATTTCTCCTGCCGACATGAGATGAGAATGGGGGTTTATTTTAATATCCATAATTTGAGATGAATGAATTACCATAAAATGTGCATATATAAATAGCATGAAGAACGTAGTGTATTGTAGTATTCGTAGGTATGAATGTTCGTATCCTGAATATCTGACTTGAACGAGACGAGGAAATTCGTCGTTTTGGTGAGAACAAGAAAAGGGGGAAGGGCGTATTTCCACACGGGTGAGAGGACGATATATATCTCAGATCTATTCCTCGATACTTTACTATATCACGTTATACTGTATAATAAAAGGTATTCTGCATTTTAGGTCTTGGGCGTGAACGGATATCCATGAGGGTTGGGGACCTCTATATATGGATGAGCAGACGTAGTTTACCTACCTATATGTAGGTATGTGCTATCGTGGCCTCGAGCAAATGCCCTTCCCGGTTGCTTCGTTTCTTAAGATTCTTTCTTCGTACGCCTACCTGGCTAGCTCTACCTACTATTTATCCCTCTAGGTTACTATAAATACTCGGCTTCTACGTTGCGTTGATACGCAGACAGGCAGGCAAATAAAGCCAGCATAAACACTCACATCAACATCCACAATCAAGCAAACTAAGTAAAGCAAGAAAGCAAGCAGAGCAAGAACAGGAACATCATATTCTCTCGATGCCTGGAGTACCTACACTACAACTGTATACACACGACCAAGGGTATAAAAAAACCGAGCAGGAACATTAGATCCATAGCATTAGGTAGATATACCTAACCTTGAATCGACAGAAGATTCCCATTAAAAAAAAGAACAAGGCATTTGATATAATAATTTTAGGATTTTTCTCCGTAATGAGGAAGAAAAAAAAAAGAACAGATGCAAAGCTAAGCGACAAACAACAACAATAGCCTCCACGAAGAAAACCCCCCCTTAACCAGATCCGAAGCCCGCCGCCTAAAATCACACCGATATCATCATTGCATTTCATCCTTCTTTCTTGCTGCTGCTTTTAAAACGTCACCACTTTTCATGTCCTTACAGTCGAGAAACGTAAACTAAGGAGGTAGGTATGTAGAGTAGGGGGAATGTTGTAAATTTTAAGTTCGCGTGCCAAGGTAGTATCCCTTCTCTCCTGTATCCTGATATAACCTTCTTTCCGCGTTCGCATTCATCCGTCAAGATCTTGCCATGGTTATGTGAACCATGGCCTTACTGTCTTATAGACAGACCTATGCTTTCTGCAACCTATTCCGAGTCCTCATGATCGTCTTCATCCTGTGCTACTGCTTTTCTAGATCGCGTAGCTCGGGTGCTGACGGCCCTCGTCGTCGGAATTGGTTTTGCTTTCGCCTTACTGGCAGCGGGCGATGACTTGCCCTTGGCCGCGCTCGCCTTGACCGCAGGTCTCGAAGCCAGAGCCTTTGTCTTTGCAACAGGAGAAGCAGCTGCGCGACCTCTTCGTCCATTTGCTTTCGGCGGGGATGGCGGAGGGGCCTCCTCTTCCGGGCTATCTTCAACGTCACTGAGCTCACTTTCTTGTGCTTCTACTTCGCCGCCCTCTTCCGCCTCCTCCTCTTCCGCCTCTCCTTCCTTTGCAGCTTCGGGGGCCTCTTCAAGATCCGACAAATCCGAGGAATCTTGATCTTCCTGCATGGGGTTCCCCTTTTCATCATAATACTCCCATGCTGCTACCCCCTCCAGCATGTCCTCGTCGTCTTCCGAAGAGTCTCGCTCAATATACGTGGAGCTTTTCCTAGAACGGCCACTACGCCTACGGTCTGCGGAATCTACGGCGGGAGACGATGAAGTAGCTTTCTTTGATCTAGAAGCAGCCTTGGCGGATTTTACGGCAGCTTTCTTCGAAGGGCCTTTGGCAACCTTTGGTGCTGATCTCGCTTTTGGGGTGGCTTTAGGGACCGTTGTCTTTGTCCTTTTTTGCGCAGGCTGCCCTTCAGCGCGTTCATCTACCCCCTTACGTTTCTAAAAAGTGATTTCGTTAGTTCGAAGTGCAAAGAAAGGGGCTGTAAAAGTTGTATGACTGTACCTTTTTCTTGTCAATCGACCTCATCAGATCGTCGAGCATTTCATCAAGGCCTTCTGGAAGGTATTGCTTCTCGGCAATTTCTTGGGCCAGATTGTGACTCGGAAGTGCCGTGTACAAACCTATAGGCAAACCAACCTTGCCAGAATATGCCTGAAAGATCCAGTTCTTCTTGTCTTGCCACTTTCTCAAGATGCTCTGAGCGAGATCGCTGATTACGTAGAGTCTTTCACTCTCTGCTGGGGTGATGCCGTCTCTCGTTTGCTTCACTCGTTCAGCATACTTGTAGATCATGCCGAAGTTAGCTTCGGTAGCAATATTGCTAACATAGTATAGCAGATATCTAGCATGATCTATCAAGTCGTCCACCTCTGTGCTGTAATCTGGGTGATGTGCCAACAGTGAGATTAGCCTGCCCATCGTTGACTCCATAACACCTTGCTTGGCATCTCGGAAGAAACGAGCCCTAGATCGTATCCACGTTTCGATCTGATTCTTGAAACTAGTGTCTGGCTCGAATGCCGTCAAGAATATCATCGTGTAAAACCGAGGTCGCAGTTTATTTTGAACGAGATACTTCTGAAGTTTCTCGACAAAGAGACGACGAACCATGGCGCTTGGGTCTTGTGTCAAGAAAGCCAATTGGTTGAAGTCGGTATGGGAGAATATCTCCTCGAAATGCTTCAGAGTGCATAGTTTCAAGAAGAGCTGACCAGCAAGGAGTCGCAAACGGGCCTTGTGGTGTTTAGGGGTATCCTTGACCTTACACATTTCACCGGATTGCTTGAGTAGAGTTCGAAGGAGTTTGAAGACCGGTTTCGCGAGTTCCTTGGCCTCTTCTTGGTCCTTGGTACCCCGAAGGCGATTGACTAACAATTTAAGTGCCCAACACTTAACTTGACCTTCTTCGTCAAGCTCGGCATCGGCAACCCACTCAGGATCTGAGTCCTTAGCATCTGCGCGAACTTTGAGTAGGACTTCCTCAAGGACTGTGTCGATGATTTGATCGTTAGCGTCAGCTGTCACCTTGGGTGCTAAAAGTTCAAGCTGGCTAACCGCCGCAAGCTTGGTGAGAAAATGGGGCGAGTCGTATCCCCAGTTCTTCATAATCCTTTGTAGAAGGTCCGTTGCCGATACCATACTCTTATCGTCTTTCCTGGCCATCATAATACCTACGGCGTATTTAGCAGCTTTAGCCGGTTCTCCATGCAAAGCGTAGCTCATCAATGCTTGGGTGAACTTTCGGTCATTGGGAAGCTCGTCAGGATACTTCTTCGAATACGAGGAACAGGCTTTGAGGGTCTCCACCATAGCTGTCTCGTTCGTCTTATCAGCATTTGGCGCGCCGTCTACCAGATCCTTGCAGAGTTGTCCAACGTGTGTCTTGAAAAGATCCGGGTTGTGCTGGGAAATCTCGTTTGTGATCTCCTGGGCCGCAGCGCCGAGCCCGTCCCTATCGCTCTTAGAGCAATCCATGTAGGTGGAGAGGTGGCTTCTGTTAAGCATAATGTAGGCGGAACGATATATCAAGGGCAATAGGGTTTCCAGCATATGAGGCTTGGGTGAGCCCTGGATCCTCTTCACGAACTCTTTTACAGCCCTGTGCATGGTCTTGAAGTCACTCTCCGTGGAGACAGCGAATTTGATCAATTGGTAGCAGCGGCGGTCATGCCAATTGGCAAAGTTATGCAGATCCGCCTCAACTTTGACTGCGTCGGGAAGGAACTGGGCCAGATACTGAATTGTCCTCTTCAGATTCTTGTTGATCATATCCGCATTGCCCTCTGGGTTTCCTCCGTTGAAAGCATCGCACTGGCGGACTAGGTTCTCCAGCACCTTTGAGAACTGTGGCTGCCGTGCTTGTAACGCGTGAAATGCTTTCCTGGCATTGCTATCCAAGTCCTTGACCAGCAACAAGATTCTTTCGGCACGAATCCTGTCTTGGTCATAAGTCGGATCGGCAGCCTGGGATTGGGAACCGCCGTTCGATGATTTGGATCCCTTAGTCTTAGGGGGCGGCGGGAAAGAAAGGGGGATGAGGCATTCAAATACAACACGTTCTAATAACACATTGAGCTCCAAGTCGTTCGCGTAGAATGTGTTGAAAATTCGAGAAGGGATGCCTGACAGGGCCGAGATGACTGATTCTTGCCCAGCTACTATTTCACCGCTGCCTACGGCCCATAACTTCCCCAAGAGAGCCATTGCCTCGACACGAATAGACGGACGTTTATCTCGACAGCGATCTGCAAGAGTAAACAGGACTGAGCCTTCCTTACTTACGCCCCCTATTGAGGCTAGCTTCGTGACAATGTCACGGAAGTTGAAGGTCTCGATTGCCTTAACGGCAGCTAATCTCACTTTCTCATCGTTATCGTTCAGTTTGTCTCGCAGACCATTGACGAATACCGATTCATCTTCGCGACTGAGACCTATATTGCCAGCGGAAGTTGAGACAATATAGCCGACCGCTGTTGTCCACGCCGCCCGAATCAATGGCGATTTGTCGTTCTTTCTGCTAATGAAATTGTGGAATGCTTGCGAGTGTGTTTGTGCGAATGATAGGGGTGATATCGGTGTGGTAAGAATGCTAGTGGCCGGGTGGTCTGGAATCTCATCCGTCAACTTTAGAGGCGGGTATGCGGCCGGGTCAAGTTCTGGAGAAGGAGGTGGTCCTGCGGCGCCAATACCAGATATCATGTCGCCCAATGTCTCAGTCGCCAGCAATCGTAGTTGTATGTTGTCGGCGGAAAGTTCAGCGTCAACCTGGGGGATAACGTTCGGCAATACCGTAGGCGCTGCTCGCCACAGCTCTCGCAGAAGTTGGTGTGCTTTCCGTAGTTCCCTAAAGTCTGCCTCCGATGGTCCAGTGGTACCATCCTCGTCGTCCGAACCGGCATCGTCTTTGTGGCCGTTGCCATGTCCGCTGCTTCCAGAGACGTCCATAATCACCTCACTGAAGTATTGACCCACATAACGAGCCATTTTTTCTGGACACGAGTTACACACCGTCTTGGCCATAACATATGCTTCTGGCTCCTCTTTAGGTAGAAGAGTCGTTTGCTTCCCGCCAGCGTCTGACTTTTCCCGGTGACCTCCTGGGGGTGCCGCTCGCAGGAATTGGGCCATTATAACGTCTAACACTGCTGGCGAGAGAGAAGGGCTCTCTTCAACCAGGGTAACCAATATGTCTGTCATGTGAAACTCGACATCTTTGGCGACTTGTTCTCCCGATGCAGCTTTGGAGGATCCTGAAATGCCATCGAAAAATGATGAGAATAGGTGGAGTAGTAATTCCTCTGCATTTGTAACATCGTTGATTAAAAGAATACTCTTGACTTCGGCAAGAGATGTGAGGACATATTTGTGTTGCGTGTTGTATGCATTACTCGGGTCCCAAAGCGCCGGCAGGATGGTCTTGACAAAGAGGGAAAATATCTCCTAGACCGCAGGGAAGATTGAGAGTCAGTATCGGCACAATAAGTCACTGTGAATGGATATCACTCAACAAACCTTTAGCTGTTTTGGAGTAAAAGGAGCCTCTGGAGCGCAAAGCTTCAGTATGTCTACTAGACATGCAGCAACAAAGGCTTTGACTCCAGCTTCCCTGTGGGATAGGAGATTAGGGGAAGCTAGCTCTTTCGCGACGTGGGTAAGAGACTCTTTGTCAATGGTCTCTTGGTCTAGATCAACCAACTCCTTCGAAAGCTTCTCTAGACGACGCAGAAGCTCGCCAGTCGCAATTGGCTTTCCTGCGCGCCATGATAAAGTCTCGTTGAATTGAAGACTGACAAGCTCCTCTTCCATTTCCTGGTCGTCCTCCTCGGGGACCTCGTCCCTACGACGCGCCATAGCGGTATTTCAGTTGACTTCTTAGCCGAGAGGATGATCTTGTAGTATATTTCCTAGATTTGATTCAGTAAGTCGCGGCAGGGTTCGATGCGTGCGACTATGACTTTGACTCGTCTCGTCTCGTCTCGTCCTGGGGAGCGGGGCGGACGAATAAAGTCGTGGAGGTATAGGATAAAATCGAGCGCGAAACGACACCAGAAAATATGGATCAGATTGAATTACAGAAGGCTACAATCGGTATTGAAGAAAGACGGGTTAGTTGGAGTGGGATGATATGGGTAGGAGGAAAAGGTTGGTGGGAGGAATTTGGCGGAAAGAATAAAAATGAGTGAGGGATTGATTAATTGACTGATTGATTGGGATGATTGACGATAAAATGGTCTTTTCTCGGGGAAGGTGTTACGCGACGAGCCCTGCAAAAGTCAATCAATCAATTTCCAATGTCGCGTGTGCCCAGGACCCAGGTACTAAAATACCTGTACCTTAGGTACTGTCACCGTACTGTACTAATAGTGAGTATGTAGGTATTCCTTGCTTATCTAATGCCACCCTATCAACATAGTGCATAGTGCTTCCTACATATACTGTATCAAAGTTTTGGTGTGCATACTAGGTACCTAGCTTAATACCCTAGGTAACCTGTGCAGGCTGTAAGCGCATGCACTATGTGCTTCACCCCAGTGGTTCTATGATCCGCACCTAGGGGCGCAGATACCCCAGATACGTACATACTGTACTGATTTTCAACGTTGAACCCTTAAGAAAAAAGAGTTCATCCATGGATCCACCAATTAGGTACTGTGCATTGAATGCACTGTACATGGACGCTAGTGAGGAGCTTGGGCCACATTACGTCAAAATAGTGCATAGGCCTAGAAAGGTACATCATCAAAGTGGAAAACAATGTACCTCTAAGGTATGCATACGCCTATGGCAGTACTTGGCTTCCTAGCGTCTTCCCGTACCTGAGGCTCTTGCGAATCTTGAACCTCAAGTGCTCAGTTGGGACTAAACACCAACGCTCATTGGCTGGTGCAATTTACGTACTCCTATGTATTTCGTCGCTATGGAAATATTCAGTCATGTTTTAAAAGAATCGTTTTTTAATAAAAGATATGCCATCGTGAAAGATGGTATTATCTAATGGCTAGGCCATTAAGTCGTATGTCAAGTGTAGGATCGTAATATAAAGGCAGCGTGAAAGCTTCGAAGTTGCTATCACGAAAAAAGAATATGGACCTATGTAGGCCTATCATTTTTACTAAGTTGAATCTCTAATTTTCTTCATTTATATAAGTGGTTATCAATGTGAATAAGAAAAAAGAGTATCCCAGGAATAATATCATATGTGTGAGCAATTTGTTTGTAGCTCTTAGGCTTCTCATTGAATGCCACTACAGTCTTCGCCTCCCAGTTAATGACCATGGGAGGAATAGATGAAATAGGCAATTCATTTGTATAACATAGACTTGTACTATTTGAGGCGATGGAAGAGGTTTGCTGGTATCAAGTGGATGTTTGTTGATGTTGGTCACGTTGATCTGAAGAGTGCGATATCTAATTTTGCCTGGTGGTAGACGATATGATGCTATAAGAAAAGAATATATATAAACGAAAAAGAGTATCATGATAAGAAGCATCCATGATATCAATGGATAGCCGTGAGAGACATTCATGCAAGTGGCTGTTTGAGTGTATCTAAAAAATCGAAACGTAAACAACAAGAATAATAGATCAGATGCGATTAATTAGACAATAATGAATGCCCTGGACGTCAGCTGGACAATATGGGACGAACAGATGGTACCTACCTAAGGCAATTAATTGATTGGCCGCGTATGATTGGTCTTGTGCGAGTTTGGCCGGTGGGGGACGTCTTTTCCCATCTCAAAATTGGAACAACAACTCATCTACAACCTTCCCGCCCTCCTTCTACTTCAACCCAAACACATATTTTCTTTTACTTCTACCAACGCAAACAACTTCCGAATCGACCCAGTCAATTGCCAAAACGCATTCATCGATATCTATCGATATTCATCCTTTCAATCTTGTAAGTGAAAGCTCCTGCTAATTTTTCTCTCCTTTCCCATTGCCTTGTTTCTCTCCATTTCGACTCATTCTCGAATCTCAGCACATTTTTGCATATTTGCGCATTTCCACGAGACTCGTCTTTATTTGTGAAGTGCGTCCACCTCCTCATGAAATTTCCGCACCCTCAGGCATCCAACAACCTCTCTCGCGTTACCCAGTGCCAGCACCAAAATCAGAACCCACCCCAACCATTATAAAACGCTTCCCACTTCCCTCCTCCGTCGACCTTCTTTCTTTCCTTTTTTTTTTATTTTTTTTAAACCGCCCACACCTTCGTTCGTTTGTTTTCCAACTACAAAAAATAAAGCATTTGTTTTTATTTCTTGTTCCATACACTCTTTTTATCGTCTTTCGACATACCTACGCTCGTTTCTTCAATACACCTTCCACTAATTCGACTTCAGAATATTTCAAGATCACGATTGAATCGTAAGTATTTTCTACTTCAATTGATATTGTCTTGTCTACAATACACGATGAGCCTTATACATATTCCCTCGATACATCTCTCATGTCAATTGATTCCTTTCCTTCACCATCATCCTATCCCTTGATCCGTTCTTCCCATCACACACATTCATCACCACATCCATTTACACAATTATCAATTCATATAATCATCATCATCAAATATCTATCACCGGCACAAATTTCTATTATATTATCCAATTACCTCGTTCCATAGCATCTATCCTTCACTTCCCTTCCATCTACACTTTCCTTTTCAATCCAAACATCCAAACAACGTCTTCGAACATATACACATCATCAGCCATTTTACCCAACGTTGAATGACAAATAACTAACTTGACTGGAATCCAAAGGATGGGAATCATGCAGTCTCCATCCATGTCTGCCCATAACGAAATGGATTCCGCCGAGAAGGACGAACGTCCTGGCCTAATCGAGGAGCACCGGCTACGCATTACCAGCGTTACGGAGTGGATCCCGGTGGCCCTTCCGGCCCAGTCCGATGAAGAGCGCGCCGAGGAGCAAGAGGCGCGCTGCGGTAAAATGAAGCGTAAGTCCCTTGAGCCCCTAACTAACCAATCTAGACAACACCTTCTCTTCGTTATTGTGAGGCTAACTAATGCTTATAGTTCTCCGCGCCCTCTTTTGTGTCCTGATCATCGGTGCCCTGATGATGATCATCGGACTCGCAGTCTATGTTATTGGTAAGTACACACAATGACCTACTATCACTCACTGAATTGTACTGACAATTTTCATAGCTTCTGGCGTCAAGAACGATGACCAGCCCGAGGGCCCGCCCCTGAGCATCAATGTCGGTCGCCGCCAGGTTTATGGCGGCTATGGCGGATACTCCTATGACGGTTACACCGACGGTGGAGAGTTCCCAACTCTCACCATCACCGAGGTCCACTCGGCCACCGCCATGGCGAACACTTCGTCCGAGTACCCTGTCTTGACTTCGACTGTCATTGACTCTGGTGTCCCAACTGTCACCCCATTCCTCAACGTTACTGAGTCATCGGGCTACACCACCGTTGCCCCCTTTGTGAACACTACCATGACTTCTCAGTTGAGCACTGATTTTACCTCAGCTGCCATGACTGACAGCACTGTTACCTCCGAGACAACTACCACCGGTAGCAATGCCACTATGCTCACCATGACGTCTTTTGGTATTCATACCGTCACCGTCCCTGTCACTTCGACTTTTATGCCCGGTAACAGCACTACCAAGATCCCCACCGGCCCCTACTGGACCAACACCAGTGCCGCGATTACTAGCACTGTTACTGAAAACACCGTTGTCAATACTACTATGGAGGTCACTCCCATCCCGATCATGACTACTGGTGGTGCCGATGCTATCACTGGTTCTGTTGTATCGTCCGCTAGCGACACTACTTGCACTCGCTCGAGCACTTTCTCGAGTGCCTCTCGTGTTGGAGGTACTATGACTGCCAATCGTACTGTCACTGATACCATATACACGACTGTGACCCCTTCTGACAACTGCACTACTCGTGCCTCTGTGACCGGAAGTGTCTACACCTCTTCAACCGCTGGGTAAGTATCTCCAACTCTTAAATTGATAAAAAGCACATGCTAACATACATCTTCTACAGTAACGATGCAATCACGGGAAGCACTACTGAGACCAAGCTCCCGGGCACCGAGACTGTTACAGTTGTCCAAACCCTGCCGGCCCCTACTTCGTCTATGCAGAGCTCGATCGACACTTTCACCTCGACCGAGACGGATACTGTTACCCCGCCCCCCTTTACCATTGAAGCCACTGCTACTGTGACCGATGGTGAAGAGCATTCTACTGCGTTCACGAAGACCGGTTCCGATACTGTTACTGTTTATCTGATTCAGCCATCGACTGTTACCAAGACCGTTGACCTGGTACCCACCTTGGCTGAGACCTGTGCCGCTCATGAAACCGACACCACCACTGTCACTGTTGTTACCACAGTCCACGATGGCCCTGTCTCAAGCACCTCTTCTGCCGGTGCTAGTCTTGCGATTACCACGGTTACTGTTACGATGAATGCCCCTATGTCTCAGCCCACAGTCAACGGTACAAGCAGTGTCATCATCAAGACTACTGGAGGCGTTGACGGTGCCACCGGCTCGTTGTCCCACACTCTTCCATCGTCTACTACTTGCAACGAGACCACAAGCAGTGCCACTAAGACTACTGGAGGCGTTGACGGCGCCACCGGCTCGTTGTCCCACACTCTTCCATCGTCTACTACTTGCAACGAGACCACAAGCAGTGCCATTAAGACTACTGGAGGCGTTGACGGCGCTACCGGATCGTTGTCCCACACTCTTTCGTCGTCTACTACTTGCAACGAGACCGCGAGCCACAGCCCGCCCGCCACCATTTCCGAGCACTCCCTCGATGTTGTCACCCGTACCTTCATCACAACATTCACCACGGACCTCGGAGTAATGGGCGCCATGGCCGTGACCAGCAGCACCCCCACCGCCGCCGCGACCCTCAACCGCAACTCCCTCAACAACACCGGCAGCACCTTCAACAGCACCGGTGATTTCAACACCAGCCGCCCCGAGTCGATCCCTCTGCCCCCGACCTCCCCCGACAGCATCCTGCCTCTCGGCTGGAACGCCACCGGCTTCAACACCACGGAGTACAACGGCTCTGATGTGATCATCACCGCGACCTCGATCAGCATCTACACGTACCACCTCCCGCCGACCACCCTGCCCACCGCGCGTATAACCACCAGCAGTGCCGCCAACGGTACCTCCGCCGGCATGTCGCTGCGGGACCGGTTCGCCTGGGACAATGAGAACGGTAACGGCTACCCAGGAATGTCGTGCGTGGTCATGGTATCGCTGTTCCTGTCGTTCATCCTTACCATCTGATGATGCTCAAGGATAGGATGGCCCTGTTACTTTGTGTGTTTTTGCACCAGGTACTTATTCTCTTCTTTCCTCATGCACGAGGCCCCTGTTAGGTGAAAAAAGGCGGAATGATTTGATGATTTTTTATGAGACTCAACGACTCACGGAAAACTTTTTACCTGTCTGTCTATGGGGATGGTATTTGGCTTGGCTTGGCTTAGGCGTTTAAAAACCTATGGTTAGGCAATTTGCAATTTGTCATTGATACCCCGATGGTTTGACGGCACATGTATGCAGTAATAAAAAAATGAATGAATGAAGAAACTGCTCTCCTTCAGAAAATGATTGTGTAGTGATAGTGACCTCTTGACTTTGTGATGATTAGGATGATGATCGTGGTTGTGATCCAACTGTTGCTTGTCTAGGTAGATATTCTAATGAGTGACTTCACTGTTCTTATGTACATGATAAAGCATCCCAAATTAAGCATGGAAGCCAGACACACCACACCGTTGTAGAATTTTATTACGCGAATTATCCCTACTGCAACATAGCATCTAAGCTCTCTCCCAATACCCCCTCAATCCCCACGATCCAGCGATGTGTTTCCCTCTCCACATCTTCATCGTCATCATCCTGCAACTCACTTATGTAAGGCAGCATCTCGGGCAACATAGACAGCCACTCTTCACCCAGCCTATCCGTGAGTGCTTGCTCACATTTGACAGTTGCCAAACGAACCGATGACTGCTCGGAGCGCAAGTGCTTCAAAAGGGAGGTGTTCAACGCCTTTTGGTGCTCTTGAGAATCGGCGGCGGCAGCCAACTCGACGATGGCAGGGATTAGATCATCCATCAAGTTGATGGAAGGGGCGTGAGTGAACTGGGAGACTAGGACAGGCGCCACGGCATTGAAATGAGCTGGGGCTTGCCAGAAATCGTCTTGATCATGCTCGAAGCACATAACAAGCGTGTGTAACACCTTCTTCCATAACTCACGTTCCTCTGCTTTCTTCGGGCTTGCGTTGTGGAGGATATCAACCGTGCTATCAATGGCGTAGGATGCGTACCCAGTGACAATCGACTTGAGGCTGCTGAAGAAGGAGAGCAAGAAGCTATATACGCTCAAAAGCCGAAGGTTCTTGCCTTTTGCATCTTCTTTCGGCAAGGAAGTAGTCCAATCCATCAACTGAGAGAATATGGGTCGGAATGCTGCGTCGTTAAGTTTGTAGATCATCTTGAGAGCGGCGTTATTGATCGCCTCTTCAACACGAGGCATCTGTCTCAAGAAATCCTCGTTTACCTCGGATTTGGAACATTCTATCCTACGGACATCGAAGGCATTGAGGAATATGGCTGAAAGGGCAGCAACATTCTTCGAGATATCTGCTTTGGAGTGCTTGTCGATTGCAATACTGAGAATGTCGAGATATTCTCGCGTAGCCTGAAATCGTTATTAGCTCTACCATTGCCCATATAACTTGGTGTATTAAGACTTACAACTGGACCGAGGCTCGCTGCGGTAACCCAATTTTGCTCCAGGGCGGAAAATAGCGTCTTAGCATCGACCTGCTTGGCAAGCAACCGAAGACATTGGAGCCTAGCATCATTGGCTCCACCTCCTGGGCTCGACTTGGCGGACGCGCTGGAGACCGCAAGAAGGTGCCCTAAGTAGGACCCGGACAACATGTATGGGAGGTGCTGGGCCAAAGCTGCCATGAATGCGTAACTAGCATTATGTAGTTCAACTCTTGGGGATTCGGTTTGAATACTTTGCGTTATATATGTAAGCGACTTAGGGATAGCGGATGGGAGGATTGGGACAACCCCGTCCTGAAGTACGTCAACCAAGGATGCTAAGCAGAGTAATGCCATAATACGGAGCTTATCATCATCTTGGCCGAGGCATTGATCGCTGGCGATCGTTGAAGCCGCTGCCGTCACAGCTTCGGGGTCTTTCTTTCCATACTTCTCAGAGACCTTATCCACGCAGCCTACAGCTATGTGCTTGTAAGCCATATCGTCAGAAACCCTGATGATGGCTGTCAGATGCGGTAAGAATGCAAGCAAGGCCGCTCTGGAGCTAGCATCTGCTTGACTCTCCTCGTCGATTCGAATCTCAACAGCTCGTAGGACTTTCCGGCGTAGGACGATGTCAGGCCGATCTAAGAGAGTTTCGACAGATTTGATAAATTCTCCAATGGAAAGCAGATTTAGGAGCTTGGAAAGAGCCTCCCCACACCGGTTGTATAAGCTCTTGTGTTGTTTCAACGAGTCTGCTAGAATCAAGAGATCTTCCAGTAATGTCGAATAGAGCTCACGTATCTGGGAAGCATCCATGTCGTCCCGTTCAGTGAGCTTGCTGATTTGTGTCGTCAACTTCTTACTAGATAGGAGATGTGGAACTAAGCTCAATTGGCGCAACCCGATTTTCTGGGGATCCCTTTCGGCTTGTTCGTGGGAGCCAAGGAGAATGGAGGATAGGCTGGGCCTCGGCTGAAATAAATCACTGATAAGACCTAAAAGCTTGATCAAAGACTGGAGTTGAACCTCAACTGTGAAGTGGTTGAAGACTTCGGTAGCAAAGGACAACACTTGATCAGCAGTGCCGTACATATTTGTAAGCATGGCTAGCAGAGCAAATAAGAACTCCTCGGCACCAAGCGTTTCTACAAGAGACACGAATAGCCCAAGCCGTCGATGCGATGGTATGTGCTCGTACGCCGTCACAAAACTAAGAAGAAGATCGGAGGCCCCTGCTAAAGGACTTATCTTCCCCTTGCGGAGTGACTGGATAAGAGGTGGTACGACCTCCTTAACTGTCTGATTTATCACATGAGCAGAGTAGTCGTCGCTTTGGCGAAGGACGGAGCCTCCCATATGTGTGAAAATAGGCATGACACTGTTAAGCACCAAATCTGGAGCGACATTGGCTAGCTTTGCGACAAGTAGGAGTGCCGTATTTTGTACCGAAGGGCTCGAGGATTTCTGAATGCAATTAACAAGGAGGTCACCATGCCCACCCGTGCTATCGATCTTGAGTGACTGATTCTTCTTGTATGCGGGAACCATGGCTAATAGACTCCGAAGGATGAGGTTCTGAAGATAGCCAAGCTCTGAGCCAACAAGTACTCTGAAATGCTGAAGCTCGGAAAGGGCATTGAACAAAGCATTGAGCAGCTCCGGGTGTTTCTCAGGGTCAGAGCCCTCGACGAGTTGTAGAACAAAGGTCACTTGCCTAAGCATTGCATTCAACTCTGGGGTTGCTTGTGTGCCTAGTCCTCGATGAGCATCAGAGGAGCTGGTTCTCCTACGCTTTCCTGACGGTGGCTCGGTAGCCATCTTTGCCGCCGGCTGTAAAGACTCCAAGAAGAATAGCAGTATATCCGTCGTAAGCTCGACATTCCTCAGAAGGTTGGCCGACTCGGTGGAAACGACGCCACTGTCACCTAATGGGTCATTCTGTGACAATTCGAGCATCCGCATAGACACCAAGTGTCTTGCATCTGTCTTCATGGAAGACCATAGACTCTCGATACGTGAGAAGATGATACGAAGAAGGTTCGGTCTTCCTAGGAGCTGCTGGGTTCCCACAACGTCCAACAAAAACTCGAGACCATCTTTATCATTCGGGAGCACTACTTCGACACTGCTTCGATCGACAATCGACTCATCAACGTTTTCTTGTGCACATAGACGGCTAGAGTCATCAGAGGATAAAGACGACCACCATTTAAGTAAAGGTAAGAGCAACTGAGTACGGGTGGTGCCTGACACTCCTTTGACTTGGTTTAATGCTGCTAGGATGCGGATCTTGAGAGTGATAAGTGGTGTGTGGATGGTGTGGGAGACGAGAAAGCTTAGGATGGAACGTCGTGTTCCGTGGGAAAGGTGGCTCTTCTTATCCTTGTCTCCATCAGCTGAAGTTTTGGAGCTGCTATTTAAAGAGCTTTGCAAAACTTCGATAACGTGGCCTGTATTCAGTACACACTCCTCTAGACTGGGCGTGATAATGCTCTTTAATAGCTTGTGGCAGACATCCACAGTCATCCAAGTCAATGGCTCGGTGGTATCGTACAAATCCTCACTGGCCCACTGCTTTGGACTCTCTGCTTTTAATTCTAGCTCTCGGAACGAAGACTCTAGAATAGTAATTAAGTCTGCGGCGGCACGTCGTACCCTTTTCGACGGGTCATTTAGGGCTGCAAAGCTGTAAGGCAGAAGAGCCTGGAAGTCCACGCCGCTGCAGTCATCATTCTTCAAACGCCGCTTTGCCATGTCTAGAGCTGCGACACGAACCAATGCTGGATAGGGTCCACACCAAATACGCACAAGAAATGTGAGATAAAAAGGGGTTTCGCTTGCTAGGTTATGCTGTAGAGGAGCAAGTTCGTCGAATGCCTTGATATTATCTGGCTCCGGAAGGCTAGAAAGGAAAACGGAACATAATTCGGTAAATACGTCCAGAGAATCGGTTCGTAGACACGACTTCGTCGACGTAGTAGATAATTTCCCCACTCGCTGGAGAGCAGATTCAAAACTTTCGACAAGCACTGGCACATTATCATCGTCCATCATATTGACATCCTCCTCTTGAGGTTGAAGTGCAAGAACTTTCGGCCGAAGATCAGTACCGAGTCTCATTTCTAGTGCGTCTATGTCGATGTCGGTGTCATCAATTGCCTTGGTAAATATTTTCCCAGCATCTGTATCCATATGCGCCAGTCGGATGATGATAGATGCAAGCGCTTTCCGTACCTCACCTTGTGTATCGACCTTTTTCTCGACTTTGTGAGCCGCCAATAATAGACTCTTAAAAACGACGATGGCTTGTTGGTCATTGAGCACCGAGCCTAAGAGAAGCGACTCGACCACCGGTAGCCCTTTTATATCCCCCTTTTTGTGAGCCCTGTCTATCAGAGCGAGGCAGAAACCATTTGCTAACTTTCCAATGTTGTGCTCGGTAGCAACATCGGGAAGGAGACTCGAAAGATTAGGCACCTTTAGTAGTGCTCTAGTTACCTTACCCGAGATTTGCTTAGCGGAACGGTATTGGGCAAGAATCGAGAGGCACACAAGGCCAGGACGAAGGGATTCAGTAGTCCATCCAGCAACAAGCTGGTCCATAAGAGCACTTATGGCGGCATCATCGAGATCACCTTTCGCAACGAAGACTGATATCACCATATAAGAAGCGATTTGCAAACTGGGGACCTTATGCAAGACTAGAGCATCGCCGAGAGTTGGCCCAATTTGATGTAGCAAGGTTTGATCGTTGCTTCGTTGAATACTGCGGCGACCAGATCGCATTCTGTCCAACATGCCGTTCACAGCTTCGGTCATAACACTGCCCCAAAACGATATTAAAGCAGGATAGTGTTGTTGAGCTTTGCAAGCATCGAGGGTATATATCGAGAGGGCAGTGAGAAAGTCCGCATGGTGCGTGGCTTGGTGAACAATAATGGACCTCGGAGGTTGAGTCAACGACCGTATATAAGGATCTAGGAACCGGTACACTTGGGGTATCGTGCTTGGGAGGATAGACAAAAGTGTTACGAAGGCTGGTATGGTGTGATATGGTAGGAACGTCGTAATAAGAGTGGCAGTATTGTATTCATGAATCCTATTGCACGGGTAAGGATTGTACGCTAATAGTATTTGTATAGAGAGAGAGAGAGAGTAAGCCTACCTGAACCGCCTAATAAGCCATTCAATTGCTTTTATGGTAGGCATGAGCCTCAGACGCGCGCCGGCTAGGTGGAGGAACGAATCTATCTTCTTGTCGAGCTCCGTGTTTTCGGCGGCTGTCATTTGGCTGCGGTCTTCATTTTGACTCTGCTCGCTGAAGATGGTGGCGCCAAAGGGAATGAAACGGGCGTCCAACTGACATAGTTCTTCATAACCTTGGTAGCATATGCTATATAGGGTCTGGTAGTTCTGAGACGTAGCAACTCGAGGCTCGAATATCAACGATTTTGAATGGGCGGCCTTCTGCGCCTTGGTGTCAAGTGTTGACTTCGAATTTGTGGCAATTTGCGCGAGTTGCGCAGCTAATGCTGTTGCCATTTTTATGTTTTTATTGATATAACACTCGAATATCCATCAGACAACACTCAGCCGAAGTCTGAGGAGTTGAGGAGTTCTGTAATATCAAACGAATTGAACTTCGCGATAGCGACTGAAATAACGATTAAACGATTGAACGATTGAACGTGAACTTTTTTTTCTCTTAAAATTTTAGCGGGGAGCAAAGTTTCGTTAGTGCTATCTTAGTAGAATTATTTACTGATTTACTGATAAAATATCTAGCAAATCATATAGTTTATATAGTTTAGATAAAGAAGGTGTCCACTATTATCAACGACTAGTCTCAAGTGCTTGTATCCATGGTTGTACATGATGTATCAACCCTACGTACATTATGTATGTAGGTACATGTAGCATCGATCAATGATCTTGATAATACGCATAGTAAGATTTCTTGCTTTTAGATCAACTTTAAAAGTCTCTAACAGAAAATTCAGTGGGTCTTCAGATGCCATGATGCAACAATCTACATATGTCTAGCCAGAACGAGCCTATGAAGAGAACTACAAGTCCCTGGATTAATCTCTGGCAAGAAGCTCATTGGATACAAATCTTCAATTGCTTGTCCAACATTAAAACTTGTCGAATCGGATTGAAGCAGGTGCTAGAAGATCAGACATAGTTACCGGGTTAGGAACTTTAGATCATGAAAATGATAGAACAGCGCCTTCTTCGGTAGCGACCCTTCCGTACTTCGGGGCACACCAAGCCTATGGATCGCAGAGTAGGGTTATACCTTTGCGTGTAAGGTTACATACATGTCCACCATTCTGACAATCCGAATTTTTATTTTGTATTTCTGCTTTATTACTTACCTGTATCTTCCTAGACACTGACCTGGACTATATATCGAATTTTGACTTCTCTAAGGTTAGACGTTCCAGTTCTTCTCCTGTGTTCTTTTCGAAACTATGGCCGTGAGTGATCTATCTCTATCGTCGAGAGTCCCTTTAAGGTTAATTTGTTAGCTAGAAACCATATAACCAGATAGTTCTGTTTGGGGACTCTCTCTTTCAGAATGCTAGCCAGGTTCTAGATGGCTTCTCCTTCCAGGGTGCCCTGCAGGGTCGTACGTTGTGTAACCCATGAACCACTCGTGTTTAGCTGTACACTGATAACAAATGTATAGAAAGTATTCGACATCTGGACGTGGTGAATAGGGGGTTCTCTGGCTATAACACGAAGAACGCCTTGGAGTTGCTTCCCCAGATATTTCTGCCGCCGTCGCCCTCAAACCCCAAGATAGAGTACCTTGTATGTCATCTAATACGTCATGTACCTGCCCCAGGTTAGATTCTGACCATCGAATACTATAGCTGGTACTATTAGGTGCCAATGATGCTTGCCTCCCTATGCCGACAAACACCCAAGGAGTTCCGGTCGACCAATATAAAGAAAATCTGACCAAGATCTTAACTCACGAGCACATAAAAGCTCATAGCCCAAAGATCTTACTGGTCACGCCTCCCCCAATCGATGAAATTCGTATCACAGAGCTTGACATGGCTATGGGCCACTCACAAGCGACACGGCAAGCGGCTGTCAGCGCTACCTACTCCGAGTCGGCTAGAAGAGTAGCTGCGGAGATTCCCGGAGTCGTGCTTATTGACTTGCAGAAAGCCCTCTTGGACAAGGCTATCTCCTTGACCTCGGAATTCGATACGAGCGGTCCTCCTCTGGGATATCCTCAAGGCAAGCGGGGCGCCTTGGAGCAGCTATTGCCGGATGGGTTGCACATGAGTGGAGGGGCCTACAAGGTCCTCTATGACCTTGTTCTGCCACACATCGAACCATTCCCAGCAGGCAAGGGAGTATTTCCTGATTGGCGTGTGCTAAATCCCGGTACACTTTAATCGCTCATAGAAGCGTGTTTAGAAGCCTAGGGATAGTGGTGTAGGTTAGGTATTCAGATGGGTATGATTATTTAGTCTTAGGTGAGATGTGAATAGTAATATAAAAATGAATATTACGTTGAGGCCCCTTGAGTCCTTCAAAAGAGAATAATTAGTAATTATGTACCTATTAGGTATGCATATAATAGGTAGGGCGGAGAACGCTATCGAAGCCATTTCGCTCTGGGCACCCCTATCAAGACCGGGCACCCGGACACTCCCAAGAGTCCCAGCTGCGAAAAATGCTGCGCTAACTATCTTCCGATTAGTTACCTTACAGATTGGGGGGGAATGGAGCTTAGTTATTACCAGAGCCCTTTCCGCGATCCTGGTAAACCGGATGCTCTACATATCTGGATGCTGGACAGATGTCCATAGTCACGTGATACAAAGTAGGGGTATTGGCTAGCTACAAGAGCCCTTATTAACAACTGTAGGTAGGTACTAAAAAAGTAGTACGCAAAAAACAAAGAAAAAAATAGTTAAAGGCACAAGTTACTAGTTATGTACTATGTCGTAGAATCAATGGTCTGGGGATCCATGAAGGCTAGTTCAAGTTAACTATCCAGATTCCACATGCATACAGGTAGCCCCAGCAGGTGTGGCGCTCCCCTCTAGGGACTGCCGCTTAAGGCTCAAGTAGGTACCGCAGTCTGTAAACGATCTGGGACTAGTGTCAGTCTAGTCAGCAGCCGCTCGAACAATGCGCTAAACTCTCATTGCCCGCTAAAGAAGTACTATGTAGTTAATTGGATCAATTGGAGAATGCCTGGACTTGCCTGAATATTGAGTCACGCTAAGGGGGGAAAGTTAGTGAATTTATAAGGGTGGATAAGTGCCCTGGAGCGCTGGAGCCTATGAAAGTGAACGGTCCTTGCTACTCCGTTACCTACCACCAATCAATATTTCAATGTTTGTGTGAGAATGAATCCGTAACCTACCTACCTAACAGCACTTTACCTACCAACCAACCTACTGATCAACCTACCTGGCTAACCTAGTACAATACATACTAATCATCGCCATTTCAACCTCAATCAACACTCCAACTTTCCCAAACACAACAACTCATTATCCTTCAACCCTCCCAAATTCTTTTTCTTCTTCTCCCTTCCTCAACATCTTTCCTGTCAAGTCGGATACCTACTTTGATACATCCTCCGCTAAAAGTATTCCCCCATAATCCATCTTCTGTGCCTCCAGATTGCCCACCCTGAGTCTCGGAACACCGATTAGAGTGTTATCCCTTCCTCAGATACCTTTTTTTTTTTTCTGACGTCGACTACTATTACTCAAAACGTCCTACGCCTGTAGATCCTATACGAAACCAACTCGCCACCGCCGACTAATCCAACGGGACATCGACCCCTTCAAAGGCCTTCAATTGCCGTACATCTCCATTTCGGGATCGTGATATCTTGTTACCTACGTTAACGCCGTTTTGGTGCTACGAGAATCGCCTCACCCTTTCCGACTACGAGGCTTTCTAGAATCTGCCCATCTTTTCACCACAACCAAGCTGCTCGGTCTATATTGCAAGCTAGCATTGCTTCGCCGCCTCCTTCCCCGCTCTAGCCACCTATCCGCCGGAAGCCTTTGTGTTTCGACCTTAGACAAGTACACTGTTGAATCTCGGCATATATCAAAGTTGAAGTTTTACAAACTACTGCTCTGATAGTACTTCGCAAAGTGGCCATTAGGTCCCCTGCGATGAGGAGGTGGTGGTGGACCTCATCTCTTACGTATCAAGGATAGAGGTCGCAGCGAACGAAACGGCGAAAAAAAAAAACGTTGCGAGGCGTCGTCATCTAGAGCTACAGTTTAGGTCGATGGGCTACACCTTCCCGCATCGGCCAATGCTACCGGTGGGCTATCCAAGCTCGTAAATATATCACCCGATCGTGTTATTTCCGAGTTACACTTCAGCCTCGTCTTTCAGCCTCGTCTACTTGACCTCACCTTACGTTTAATTTATAGCTTGTCGTACCGCTAAAGATTGAGACGCCTTTTACTTGGTTGGGTATGGATTCTCGCTTCCCTGTTTCCCCCGCAGAACTATATAGTGTCCATATGGACGTCAAGCAGATGCAGTTGATTCAGAACAATCATGCCGAAAGACTTTCTCGCCTGGAGAAGCGACAAGCTGACGATGCCGCTATCAAATCCGTTTGGAATTCACCATTTCCTAGTGCTTTAAGCGGCACACCGCAACACGGTTGGTGCTTTTCCCATTCCTCATGCATAGGCCCGTTCTAACATATCTTGGATAGGGCCGATCCAGATGCCCACGAGTGAGATGTTTGACGATTTCGAGGAACAGGGCCAGAGTCTTCTGGGCAGTCTCCATCTTGATGCTGAAGATGAACCCGCAAGAAGGGGTGCCGCTTCTAGGGCGAATAGTGTTCGCTTTGATGAGAGTGCTCTTCAGGGCTCAAGTTGGGCGCAGAATGGTCGACATTCAGGGGACTTTGGACCCATTCGACCTAGCAGCGGCTTAGGCAATCATAACATAATGGAACGTTCGCTGTCTCATAAGTCAGATGGTAGACACAGTTCTGCTGGCCATTCAGTACATTCGGTCCATTCTCACCACTCTGTTGCCTCTGGCCGTGGGAGTAGTCTAGGTTTGGACACGACTTATACCCCGGGTGGCCAGGATGACGACTCACCAACTGGTATACCGGAGCCGCCACCAAGCTTGTTTGTGCTGGGTTCTGTGCCTTCTATCATTCGATGCTGGCTCACTGCAAATTTCGCGCATGACACCTTGCTCTATGCAGACATCTGTACTGGGTCACAGAAGTCTGTCCTAGAATACACTCTAATCAAGGAATTAGACCTCCTTGACGATATTCATCGAGATTTAGATGGTGTCCACCGAATTCGCTTGCCCGTGTATCTGACCGAAGCAACGGTATCTCAGCCAAGCTCTCGAGGAATGAGTCCGGCTCCGCAGATGCCGAGTCTTGCGTGTACGTTCGAAGTAGTTGGCCTGGATCAAGTCGAAAATACAGAAGCCAAGAAAGCTATCCGTATTTTCATTGGTAGTGAAACACTGAGGGAGTATTCGGCAGATGTCATGTTCTCGCAGAATCGGATGACCCTCTACAGCAGCGAGCGTGAGAAGCTGTCTGTGCCGTTCGTACGCCCCGAAGATAATAATGTTTTCAAACACATTCGTACGATGGCCGTATTTCCCGAAAAGCCAAAACTGAACGCCACTGCTCGTCCGTTTGTCTTGGGCGAAAGCAAGCAGCAGACGGCGGCACCTGCTCAGTCGAATGGGATGCGGGCGAAAGAGGAAGATGACGAAGAAGCCCCGGAGCTGGCATCACCTTCGTCTGAACTGACAAGTCAGCAAGCCACGGTTGGAGGACCAAGTACCGTATCGGAAAGCGGCGGTGAAAGTGAGAGGCAGTACAAAGGCACCGGCACGTCGGAGTTCGGCACGAAAGAGCCCCAAATCCAGTCAAGCGACGCTTCAAGCGACAATACACGCCGAACATCCTCAGCAGCGGGTAGCATCTGGAACTCGTGGCGCCATGGACCTGCCCTCAATGGCAATGAATCAAAGGAGAGTGTTCTGCTGAGTGGGTACCAGCCTGCTGGACGTGGGAGTCGCAATATGAAGGTTCTGAAGCCGATGAAGTCGACAACATCGTCTTCAGCCCGAACAGGGGCAGCTTATGAACCAACTCCGCCACCCCGAAGCAGTGGCGAGCCTCGACGCAAGAGCCAGGTGGGAGCTGATAGTGTCAGTAGCAGTGGTAGCAGCATCCGATGGGAGGCGAAGAAAGTGCCGATTGGAAGCGCAGAGACGAAGCCAGGGCCAGCTACTCGTGAGACTCGAAGCGTGTCGGGAACTCCTCGTACGTCGACCAATCCGATTGGCAGCGCATCGGCTTTTGCGTGGATGAACCCATCGAGCAAACCGAGAACGCCAACTGCAGCAGCTGAGTGAAGATTAGGTACCTATAGTACTTAGTAGTACGGGCTATATGTATGTTTGGTGATGGTTTGCGGTGCTCACATTGTCATCCTCCTACTTCTCCTATTAGGATCGCAGTGACTCTACTTTTCGTAGGCACACATGCTTAAGAAATTCAATAAATAAGAAAAGTTGAATCAATAATAAGCTTGGAAGATATTGAGTGCCTAAAGTACTGTACTTAACCTTAGCTAAATGCCTTACTAAGGTGGCCTAATGATCGATTGTAGGCTCTTATGACGTAGGTATAGGCTAACCCCGCTAGATACATACCTACTAACCTAATAGTTTCAATTACACAATTAATAACAAAAGGCCGCATCATTACGCATACACAAACAGGTTCAAGCTTCATCAACTGGAAAATGTTGAAAGACACAGTCGATTACTCATTATATCTAGTGACGGACTCGACGCCCGCGATCCTGGGAGATGCAAATATCTGTGAGGTCGTCGAGGCAGCTCTAAAGGGTGGTGTCACTTGTGTCCAATATCGGGACAAAACGAGTGATACAGGTGTGCTCGTCTCGACAGCTCGGGCACTCCATGCCATCACTAAGAGGTACAATGTCCCGCTACTTATCAACGATCGTGTAGATGTAGCACTCGCTGTCGGGTGTGAGGGCGTACACATTGGACAGGACGACCTTGGTAGGATTTCCCATATATAATGATCTATTGTAATCCACCTCTATGCAATACGGCGGAAGTATTGACTACCTGCCTGGTAGCAGAGGTGGTGAGGGACAGACGAGTTGACTCCATGATATAATGCAGATCTACCTACCGCTAGAAAACTCCTAGGAGAGGACGCCATTATTGGCGTGACTGCAAGTAATGCCGCCGAGGTGGAGGCGGCGTCAAAGGGAGGCGCCGACTACCTAGGAATTGGGACTGTGTTCGCCACACCAACGTGGGTAATTACAAGTCATATCTCATGCAATCGACTCTAATATAAGCATACCTAGCAAAGGGAACACAAAGAGCATCATCGGTATAGAAGGCCTTCAGGAGCTCCTGCTTAAGATCAAAACTGAGGATTGGCTGGTGAAGACAGTATGCATCGGCGGCATCAATGCGTCCAACGTTTCTCGCGTGATTTGGCAGAGCAATGCCTGGGGTAAATCACTCGACGGGGTCGCCGTCGTGAGCGCCATCATGGCGGCGCGGGACCCGGAGGCGACCGCGCGAGAACTCCTCCAGCTTGTCATGTCCCCGCCGGCATTCGCAAAGGCCACGGTCACCACCGCGCAGGAGAGAAGGTCGCCCGAGGAATTCTTGTCCCTCGCAATAGATGTCATCAAGGCCGTCGACGCGAGGAAGCCGTTGTCGCATAATATGACGAACCTCGTCGTGCAGAACTTCGCGGCCAACGTGGCGCTCAGCGTCGGTGCGAGTCCCATCATGGCAAACTACGGCGAGGAGGCGAAAGACCTGGCAAAGCTGGGGGGCGCCTTGGTGATCAACATGGGTACAGTGACGCCGGATGGGCTGACGAATTACCTGAAGGCGCTTAGAGCGTACAACGATGCTGGGCAACCCGTAATATTTGATCCCGTTGGGTGAGTTTTTTTTGGGCTGGTCTAATATATAATCAACTACCTTCAGTTCAGTGTAGTAGGCTAATATCAGGACCCCCCCACGTATAGTGGCGGCGCAACTGCCATCAGACGATCCGCAGCCAAGTCTATCCTCGGCGGCGGCTACGTCGATGTGATCAAGGGCAACCAATCGGAGATCTTGTCCCTTGTGCCAGGTGGGCCTGCTATCCAGCAGCGCGGCGTCGACAGTGGAAGCAGTGGCCAGAGCATACGGGAACTGGCATCGGCGATTAGGGAGCTAGCTCGACGGCAGCGGAACATTGTGGTGATGACGGGCAAGATAGACCTCGTGACGGCCGGGGAGGTGGTGTTTGCAGTGGAGAACGGACACGAGTACCTGGGGATGGTGACGGGCACGGGGTGCTGCCTTGGCACAACGATCTCGGCCATGGTCGCGGCGTACCCGCATGATAAGCTGGCCGCGACCATCGCGGGCTTGGTGTACTACGGCATTGCGGCGGAAGAGGCGGCGAGGCGGGACGATGTCAAGGGTCCTGGCACGTTTGTACCGGCGTTTATTGACGAGCTGTATCAACTGCGGAAATCTACAGTGGGGGAAATGGATAAGGAAAACTCGATTTTGTATCGGAAGGCGAAGGTCTTGTTTGCATGTGTGTCTTGAGATATATACATCATGATATTTCTTTAAGGGGGGACTGGTAGTAGTCTGGTACATACCTGACATACCTACCTATGTACCCTGTATCAGATCATTATGTAATTAAGTCATCACGCCAATTATTTAGTGTCTCTTTCTCCCCGCTTCGGCATCTGCTAGTAGTAGTCTAGTACCCCATCTCCCCCACACGAGCACCTTTCAATGTTCACCCGCAGTATAGAACTAACTTAACCTACTACGGTATATTACATACCTAGGGTACCTAGTAGGTATGTACCTCCAGGGCTGTAGATAGGTACATAGTTGCTAATTCTCGGCAGCTTTCGATTACTTATAGCTCGGAGTTTCTATTCTTTGTTGCTTTGTTTGCCGCTTACATACACAGGAAGCCTTCTAAACTTACCTACTACTGTAGTAGTATACAGCTTCTTGATGAATTACACGAGAATATCAAGATACACATTTGCTAGAGGACTACGCTCACGGCCAATCGCATTACCATCGTCTATCAGTTTCCGCCAGTCCGGGCAGAGAACCTTCATAGCTGCCTATACCATGGAGAGCTCCCCGCGAAGACATTTCCGTGAGTTATTATATATACCTACCTAATCTAGCTTCATATTTGTAGCCCGCAAGAATGAAAAGGGGATGATGGAGACTGACAATCTGCAGAGAACCCGGTGATCTTGTCAGTATGCTCTCGACGGATGGATGTCATGTTCCCCGTTTCCGTGATGAGAATCTTGGAAGAGCTATGAAGGGTTAACTTGGGATGATCCAGCGTCTGCGATATCCAGGAGAAGTTCCGCAATGCCATCTGGGAATTCGATAAGATGTATGTATTGGTCCCTACTTCTCTCGGACAGCATACCTACCTATTTACTCGCCTAAAATTCGGTCTTCTCATCCCCTTGCTTGTTTCCATATAAGCATCTACATACCTGTATATTATTTAGATGTGAAGACTAACCCGACCCCACCCTTTCCTTACCCCATCCAGCCTCCTCACAGCACAGAAAGTCCTCCGCGCAGCCGGAACCCTCAGCATCCCCGTCGTGGTGACGACGCAGAACGCCGCGAAGCTGGGGGACACGGTGGCGGAGCTGCAGCCGCTGCTGCTCCCCTCGCCGCGCGTCACCCTCGCCGACAAAACGGCCTTCAGCATGCTGCGGGTCCCCGCCGTCTCCCGCCTTTTCCCACACATCAAGGACGACGGCGGTGAGCCCAGCGAGGTCGTCATCGTCGGCATCGAGAGCCACATCTGCGTCACCCAGACGTCGCTCGACCTCCTCGCCCGCGGCCACCGCGTCTACGTGCTCGCCGACGGCGTCAGCAGCTGCAACGAGCAGGAGATTCCCATCGCGCTCGCGCGGCTGCGGGCTGCGGGGGTTGTGGTCACGACGAGCGAGAGCTGGCTGTATGAGTGCATGGGCGACGCGGCGATCCCGGAGTTTAGGGAGATTGCGAAGTTGGTTAAGGAGAAGAGTGGCGATACGAAGACCACGCTTGCGAGGTTGCTTGGGGGACGGTTGTAGGATTGGATGGGGATGTCAAGTGGTACGATGGGAATTAGGGGTATCTACCTAAGGTGAGGTCTCTAGTTATGTCAGACATCACGAGGACGAGGACGAGGACGAGGACAAGGACTAGGGGATGTATGTTTCAAGGTACACACCATGTTTCGTTCTGTTACTGTCGAAATCTTGAGGGGTTGGATCTCGACAAATACTTAGCACTTGGTATAGATCTATAGATCAGAGAGCAGGTATTTCATAGCCTAACTACTATGGACCTACTACGATACCTCACAAATCCAAGAAGATTAAACTCTTAACAATCAACTAGGCCTATCATTCTCTACGATTAAGCAAGCAAAACAAAGAAGCACATCTTGATAAGATTCTTGGTGCTTATAGAAAATTGCCTTGGCTATTTAGGTTAGATACTAACCTAGATACCTACTTAGGTAGATAACCTCGAAGGGCGTCCTCGCCCTTTTATAACACTAGGCACCTACATAGGTAGCGGTAGGAACATCTACACGAACCTCCAACCAAGCACACCCCGCCTCCTCTCCGCAGGCGGCGGCGCAGGGATATGGAACGTCGTGATCGACCTCGCCGCCACGCTCCCCGCGACCGCCCCACCAGCCGTCGTGACCGCTATCGCCTCGCAGTTATGCGTCTGGTCCGTGACCCAGCCGGTAGCGCCCTCCACGCTCTCCACGCCCACGACCTCGACCGAGACAGCGCTCGCCGCGGCCCCCGTGCTGATCGCGACGACCGCCACGCTGCCATCGGCGTTCCGGAACGCGGCGGTCCTGACGCCGGAGCCGGCGGAGCTGGCGACGCGCACGGCTCCGGGGCGCACGAAGCGCGACCAGTTCGCGAAGGCCCACAGCCGCTTCGAGACCTCGTAGCTGTAGGGGCTGGCCTGGTCGACGCGGACCAGCTTCTCGTTGGTGTTGGGCGACGGCCACTGCACCCCCTCCCAGTACACGTACCCCGACACGTTGTAGCTCACGAGCGCGCTGTAGATGTTGTTCGCCCAGGTCAGCCCTTCGCCGGCGCCGCCGAATTGGTACCACGACGTTGTCCATTGCCCTTGCAGGTCGCATTGTTCGGAGAGCCAGACGGGGACGCCTAGAAGGAGGGAAGGGGGGGAGGGTGAGTATTTGTGTGTAGGGGGTAAGGGGGGGGGTGGAAAGGGGAAAGAGGGGATGGATTGTTACGTACTATGAACTCGTTAGCTTATATTCAGAGCGTGTGGAAAGAGATATGTATAGGTGGAGAGAGAGGAGAAAGCAGCATCCAAGCCCATCCTTGTGATACATACCGAGTATTCATAGGCGAGCTCGGCCCGCCCGTGTACGAGTGCGACGTGACCATTGCCAACAGGTCCTCGGCGCCCGCCGACTTGATCGCGTTCACCATGTTCACCTGGTTGCCCCAGCCCTCCGACTCGCAGCACCCGATGCCGACCTGCGACGTGAGGTTCGCCGCCTCCAGCGCCGAGTGCAGGATCTTGATGAAGTCCGCCGCCTGCTGCCCGTTTGAGTTCATCCCCGCGTAGCCCGGCGAGAACTCGGGCTCGTTGAGGAAGCCGATGCTGTGGATTGGGGGGGAATGGATGTGTTAGCTCAATGTCTCAATACTTAACCTAATAGCACAACAAGAGAGTGAGGGAGGGAGGGAGGAAGGAAAGAAAGAGAGCTAAAAAGATATAAAAGGATAATAGATGGGTAGGTAGCTACCGAGTAACGGGAACGCCCTCTTCGGCGTAGAACTTGACGTATTGGACCAGGTAGTCCGCATACGCCTTCCTCCAATCGCCCGTGCGGCAGCTCGTCCCGGGAACACCGCACAGCGTGCCGCCATTATTCTCATTCCCATTCGTCTTCATATACCCGGGAGCGCTCCAAGCATCGCCGTAGATCTGGCGCACGCCATACGTATCGTACGCCACCTTCGAGAGCCACAGCTGCCCGGAATCCTTACCATCCCACGCATACTGGGGCGCGGCGTCGGGGCCGCCGGGGTCCTTGGGCGCAAACGTGTTCATGTGGTCGGAGCTGCTGTCGGGGCTGGACCCGATGCCGTTGCGGATGATGGTGAGCCCTGCGCCGCTGGTCGCGTTGAAGAGCAGGTCGAGCAGCTCGCGCTGCTTGACCTTGTCCGCCATGTTGGTGATCAGGTTCGCGCGCTGGAACGCAAAGGAGCACCCGAACCCGTCGATGGTCTGGTACGTCTTGGACAGGTCCACGGTGATCGTCGAGCCGGCCTGTCGACGGCTGATGACCGGGAGCCACGACGGCACGGCCGAGACGAACGGCAGGGTGCCGGCGGCTGCGAGGAAATCCGTCAATCTCATTTTTTCACTACTGTACTTACTAAGACTATCCCTTGGAAATATTCTCTAAGGAAGGGGCCTATTTCTTTTTTGGTGATAATTCATCTCAGCACCCCTTTGCTCTTATGAGCTGATGATAGTCTCTATTAATCCTCCAACACGGCAACGACTGGCCTGATTGATATTTGCCGGGAAGAGCATCCTAATTAGTCGGCACTGTTCTAGACTACCATTATATCTTGACAGTAGCATCTACGTGTACCGCAGACTACCATCGAGATATCCCCACATGTGAAAAAGGGTTAGATTTGCTTCCAAAAACCCATGTAGTCGTCTTGTTAAGCTCCGTGAGATGTGACCTCCGCGTCTTGGTTGCGGAGCACTCGTGCCTTTTCAGATTGACGACGCCCAAGCCAAGAGCGGCTAAATGATCGACGTAAGATCCTCTTCACCGAGGCACCTACGTCTCTATTTAGCCAGATGCTGGTCTCCGCGTACGTAGCTTGTTCTAGGCACCATGGAGGAAGAACTTGGGCCTAAATATAAACATAATGCTAGGTAAGTATTAACCGTCCTTGGATTTCTATTCGCTGTAGTGAGCCGCTGTGGTGAGTAGTATATAACGGTAAACATGCACATAAATATGCCCTAGATATCGGAAGGATACGCTTACTTTGAAAATGATATGAATATCTATAATAAAAAAAAAGGGGCGAGGGCACAACGGCGTCATTGATGCGCCCAGGTACTTGGGTTAGTAGGTACTTTAGCTGTAAGCCTGACTCATTATTCTCTGGTCATAGGGCGCAAGGATCGACGAGTCCCTGAAATACGAAAAGCCGAAAAACCTTGCACATTAGATTTCACGAATTGGTAGGTTTATAAAGCCATAGTTATGTTTGAAAAGTTCAATGAGCGTTATCCATCTGCCAAGCAAGATGGCGCTGATTGTATTTGTAATGTAATGTACTGTAATCGCCATTGGGCTGGGTTATATAGTTGACCTCGATACTTCGACGAGAGTATTCTTCCAGTACGGGTGAATATAAGAATCAGATTCAGAATGTTACTTAAGATCGCATGCTTTCCAAGGCTCCCGCTACGCTCGAAAGAACGTGGGTTAGGTTTGATGAGCTCCCCTTATGCGGGCATATATTCGTCTCTTACGAGACTAAGAATGCAATTAGGCAGAGGTGCTCACCACCCTAGCCGAGTTTTGAATCTCGCGTTCAAGCAAGGTCTCCATGAAGCCATTAACCGGCTTGGAGTCCTTGATTTCCTTGGCGACCTTTTGATCGATTTCGAGCTGTTCATCCGTCCACAGAGGTTCCGGGCCGTTGGTCTCAGCCTCACCCACACCAATGAAACCGCCCTCGGCTGCCCATTCAGAGGTTCGCTTGATATTGAGCTTCGTCCAGATCTCGTCAATAGCTGTGACAAGCTGATCACGATACTCCTTCGTATGACCTGGCGTCGGCGTAATTCTCAGACGCTCCTGGCCAACCGGTACAGTTGGATAGTTGATAGATTGCACGTAAATCTGGTAATCGCTTAGCAGCATATCCGAGGCTTGCTTCGCAAGCTCGGCGCTCCCGACCAAGATTGGAACGATGTGCGATGGGTTAGGAATAACAGGTATATCTCTGGAGTTCAATGCCTCCTTGACAGCCCGTGTATGGAGTTGTTGGAGCCGTCTATCTCCATTATACTCCATCTGATATTCAATAGCAGCCCTGGCACCAGCCATGGTCGCGGGAGGTAGAGAGGTGGTGAAAATGAAGCCTGGGGCCAGAGATCTTATGGTATCCACGAATTTTGCACTTCCAGCAATGTATCCGCCAACACATCCATATGCCTTACCAAGAGTGCCGGTTATGATATCTATACGATCCATAAGCGTTCCTTGGGGCTTACCTTGCTTGTGGGCTTCATAGTCTAGATGCTCGGCGACACCGGCACCATTCGGGCCATACATGCCAACAGCATGGACTTCATCGAGAAAGGTAATAGCTCCATATTTATCGGCGAGGTCACAGATCTCTTTGATGGGGCCGATTGAGCCGCACATGCTATAGACGGACTCAAATGCGATGATCTTGGGTATGTGAAGTGGCAAAGAAGCCAATTTAGCTTCGAGGTCCTTCATGTCATTATGTTTGAAGACAATCTTACTGGTCCCGGAATGTCGAATTCCCTGGATCATCGACGCGTGATTGAGGCTGTCGGATAAGATGACGCATTCCGGTAGCTTGCTTCCGAGCGTCGCAAGTGTCGCGTCGTTGGCCACATAGCAGGAACTGAAGACAAGCGCTGCCTCCTTTGCATGTAATTTGGCGAGGGTCCCCTCGAGCTCGACCGCGTGCCTATTGTGTCCCGAAATATTTCTTGTGCCTCCTGCACCTGCACCATATTCGTCTAGAGTATGGTGCATTTCCTTCAACACCCGAGAGTTGCGACCCATCCCGAGATAATCATTGGAGCACCATACCGTTACTCGGTCTTCCCGGCTAGCCCCGTGAGCTTGGGGGAATTCCTTAGCGAGTCGGTTGATGTTGTTGAAGTAGCGGTAAGACTTGTCCTTGTGTTTCTTGTCGAGTTCTCCCTGGTAAAAGGCATCGTAATCGAATTTACCACTTGAATTCGCAGATTTGCCCACGGCAGCGGCTGCATTGGCCTTGCGATTGGCGGGAGCGGTTGGGGGGAATTGGACTAGTAGGAGTGACATGTAAGTCTACGACTCTCAAATAGTGCTTAGTATCGCATCTATGGCGCACAGATATACATACCGGACTCGCGAGCAGTGAACATGGGAGTATCAACGGCTCTAGCTTCATGCGGGCGACTGGTGTGGATTTTGGCCTTTCCCGACTTGCATTGACCAGAAAAGCTGCGAAGTCCAGCAACGGAGGCAGCACCAGAGACAGCACAGGGCCTACCAACTCTAGCAGACTGAATGGCAAGCGCCTTGCCCATGACAGGGCAACGCTGGCCAAGAAGCTGCAACTTGGAGATGGTACCACCACATGGCGAGACTTGTGCTTGTGGACGAGTAGAGGTAGACAAGGCCCGAAGAGTGGCGGGAGATGCCTTTTTCAAGAAAGGGCACATGGCCTTGGACTGACGAAGTACGGCGTCCATGTTGACAATAACCCAATATTTCTCACCAATTGAAATGTTGAATTGGAAGGAGGGGTAATGGGTAAGGAATTGAATTGAGGTTGGTTTAAAAATCAAAATCAAAATCAAAATCGAAAACCGAAAGAGAAGAAAAATGGTTCTCGGAATAGTTATGTAGGTACAGTAAGTTCTGTTTAAGTGTCACAAATGCACCTAGCGATTAACATAGACCACTTGATGACAGATGTGTGAAATATGATTGGAAAACTATAAACTACACTATAAACCCTGGAACTAAGAACATTTGAACTTGAAGGAACATTGAATACTACTAGTGGTACCTACATACATATGCAGTAGCTAATAACTACCTAGTATGCAGGGCTCTTAGGTATTTACATACAAATACTCTAGCATAACCTTGGTGGTTTTAAGTTTACGTTGGGGCAAAAACACCGGTGCTCCCGGCGTGTTTAGCAGGGCAGGGTGCTTTACTATGTATTGTATTGTATTGTATTGTATTGTACATAGTAAAAGGCTTGAACGACCGCTCGGAGCCTCGGAGTCCTGCTATTTCCCCGCTTAGTTGTTCTTTCATCCTTGAATTTCTACAAGGAACATGCTCACAGTTTTTTCACACATAACCATTCTCATTGGCTCAGCATGCGGTTTCTTACCCGAACAGGAACTGGTTTCAAGACCCACGTGCCGTACTACCTAGTACACGCCAAGCTAACCCGGTACTTCGTAGTATCGTATGTTCCCAAGTTTGAAGTTGCTAAAAATGCTAATATTCGATGATCTAGAAGGCTGAATTCCATTGGGGTCTATTGGAGTCTTTTGGGGTCTTTTGGGGAATTCGTGAGTCAACCGATCAAAAGCCGATTGCCTTCTTAGGAAGCCTTCTGGGGAATGTCTCGCAATTCTCGTATTGCAGGCGGGATGATGTGAAGGTTTCATATTTTGTTACTAAGACCCTATCACTGAATATATGTAGCAGCTTATCGTTGAAATAGGTATATGCATTGTCATGATCCCGACGAGCAAACCCCGGAACTCTTCTCAGTGCCTAGAGTAGGCATTAACAAAGTATGCAGTTGGATTAAGTGCAGATTGCATATTGATTGAAAGGCAAAAGCAATCATTAAGTACTCATCCCATGGACACATTCTGTTCCTTCATCGGGCCCGTACTCTCTCAAATAAGTGCCTACATAATACGCACTGCCCACATGTAGGTATATACGTAACGTACTGCGAGGTAGTTCTTGCCAGCATACCGATTGTGCTACGCTTCGCCGAGGAGGAAATGCCAACCTAGTATCGAGACTATTAACATTGATACGGAAAGATACTCGTGTAGCGCGAGCTTCAATGCTATTCTGACGCATTGCCGTAAATTGCCTTTTTTTCTTTTCTCGAAAATAATGAAACAAAAGGCGGCGTATTCGGTATTCTCATATCGACCATTAGATATCTTTTCTTACTCGAAAACGCGAGTCCTTAGCTCCCAAGCTCATAGTTGCCAATGGTCATTATTCACTTACATCTTCTTCGGCTCGGTCCTAGTAGTCTCTAGACAATGGAGGAGCTGGAGGAGCTACACGGCGACTACAAACATAATCCATGCCGGGACGTAGGCGTTCCCGCAACCTTGAAGCATGTTCATCTTTTAACTGCCGTAGGCCAATCCAGTATGCTTGACTTTGGTTGCCGCCGATGCTTATATTTCCATTGCTAAACAAAGGGGAACTGCTAGTGCCGCGTGAGTATAATCGACAGATGCTTATCTTCGATTTCCCCAACACCTCGAATGCTGCTATCCGGAATGCTGTCGCTGCGATACGTCGTGGGCTCGAAGTTGTTTTCAAGCCCTGGCCCTTCATGCGGGGAAGGCTGGGGCCCTTGTTCCATCCTCACAAAGCCGGCCTGGTTCAAGTGCGATATTGTGACCTAGATGACCTCTCGGAAGTTCTATCCGATGTGTTCAGGTGGAAGGTTTATGAAGACGGCCCTGGCTTCAACTACAAAGAGCTCAGGGAAAGCGGCATGCCTGTGTCTCATTGGAAGATGGAAGACTTTTGCATGGCGCCAGCGCAAATTACTCTGAATGAATGGCCACCAGTATGCACTGTACAGGCGACCTTTCTCAGGAGCGGTGGCTTGGTCCTTTGCTGGGCCTTCCAGCAATGCGTTATAGATAACCGATCCATCAGTCGATTCTTCCAACGATTCGCAATAGGCATCCGTAATGAGTTCAGCGTACTCAGACTTCCTGGTTAGTATATAATCAATTGTGCAATTTGGTGCCATAATCGACCGACTGATGCTGAAAACGATGTAGAATATCAAGTTCCCAGCATCTCCCAATACATCAAAACTACTGTTGTCGAGGGCTTTGAAGCATTTCCAGAATGGCACATCATTGGCGACAAGGTCCAGGATATTATTCAATATCCAAAGAATCCTAGAACTTGCATTTTTGCAATGAAGGACGAAACTGCCCAACTATTGAAAAACGCCGTACTGAAGTATCTTCAAGATCCAACCGCCTTTCAGCATACTAAAGGTATACAAGAATGTGCCGTGGCGCTGCTCTGGGCTGAAATTACTCGAACACGATACGTCAACTTGAAAATATCGAACTTGGAATCAAGACTCTTCTCTCCAGTAGATGCTCGCGAGAAGCTGTCACCGTCACTACACAAATCGTACTTTGGCAACATGTCATTTACTGCAGTTGCTACAAGGACAGCCAGCCAGCTCATTAGCCTCAGGTGCCATTCAGGGCATTTGACGGAAGACCGCTCGGCATTCATAGCTCAGGTGGCGACCGCCGCCGTGGCCTATTTCCAGAGTATTAAAAGCCTGAATAATGATGAGATTCGGCGCCGTTTGACGTTACTACATCAACTAAGGAGGCCCATTGACGCCCACGAGACCTTCCACGAGGCAGCTCGATCCTGCATGACCGGTATTAGATTGTTGTATTCACACGACATTGAAGCGTTTCCTGATTTCGGCATCCCTGGCGCAGGGAGGTGTGGTATTGACAAAGCACCGAGATGTATACGCAAGCCGTGGTTGTATGATGTTAACACGATATGCCTCATGCCTAAACAGTGGTTACCAGGACTTGGTTTTTGTTAGGAATTCACGATCTGTTTAGAGGATTGGGAGATGGAGATTTTGCGGAGAAGACTCGAGTCAGGACCATGGGGTTTTAAAGTCGTAGACGATTCACGTGTCTCTTCAGCCTCATAAGGGTTTCGCCTGTTGTATTACGCCCAGACAAGGAAAGAGCCTTTCTGGGGAATAGGGGTAAACTGGCGTGTAAACTGGCGTATCTTACTATCGTTTACGGCTCCGTCAATAGGCAACCTGGAGTCCCATGCTGGAGACAATTGGGCGTCAGGCTTTGTGGGGTGAAGAGGATTCGACACGTTGGTGTGGATGAGTGATTGAATGTTGGGCGCGTCGAACATTAATTTCTTACCCACCCAAATGTCTAAATACGAAGAATGCTAGATGCCTATGTTGGTAGCTCCATGAATTCAGACGAAATATTGGATTTTATATGTTTATACTATCTCCCGATGACTTTTAGGGATGAATGATATATGTAACATTGAATACAGAGGTATGTCATGTACTATTTGAACTTTGAATGGCTAACTACTATGTAGGTACTAGGTACCGGGATTTAAGTTTATGCGGATGCAGGTTGCCGAACGGAGAATAACCCAATCTCGTTTAACGCATAGATCCACTAGTTATTCGATAAGCTTTTGTAGTAGAATCACATGTGCTACCTAGGTCCTAGGATGTAGTTATGTAGATTACATTGAATGTTTGTTTTTTTACCACGCTCATACGACCCAAATGAAGAAGTAGAGTTACTCGTAGTACCTATCTAGATTCTACTATCTACTATTAGGTAGTATCTAGTACAGTTAGTACCTAGTAGTAGTAGTACAAGCCCCTCAACAAATCAAAATGGCTACCTACCTAGTACCCCAGTTGTCGGTGAGAAAAAGAAAGCCCCAAGCTAGAACCCATATGGGCTGCTGCCACCACATGCAGCAGACCTCTTAAACCATTTTTACCACTCACCACCTAGAAATATTCTGCCAAAACCCTTACCTCATGAATTCAAAGTCCCCCTCCACCATGGGGACACGAATGGTCTTATGACTATGAACTCGATTCCCGACCGCGACCGTGACTAACGAACGTAACTAACGAACGTAACACTACCCGACTTCTTTTTAAAGGCGTCTACTATAGTTTGATTATAGTTAGATTTGCTATTGTTTTCATTGGCCTCGCCACTTGGACACTTGACCTCTGACCTCCTAAAATATCCCGGACCCTTTTCCTATTCACCTACCTACCCGACTTACCTCCTACCTACCTACTTAATCTACTTATAACATCTGGCTCTCTCTTCCCCACGGTACGCCAATGTTCTGCACAGCATGTCCTTCTTGTCGATCCTAGCCTACTTCCTCGGGGGTTATGCTGCCCTCGTCATTGCTTTGTACATGCTTTCCGTCATCATTCCTATAGCGGGCTTCGTTGCTCGTTCGCTCGCCGCATACATCTCGATAATAATTGCCTCTTTCTACGGCGTTTTGGCGTCGATAGTACTAAGAATCCTTGGTCGCGAACAGATCTCGCAATGGACCACAGCCCGCGCTTTCAAATATGTCATGGCTGTCACCATCGGCGTCACTTTCGAGGTTGACGACCCTAAGCGACATCTCCAAAATATTCGGCCAGCCGTATTCATCGGGAACCACCAGACCGAGTTAGATGTTCTCATGCTTGGATGCATGTTTCCTAAATACTGCAGTGTGACTGCCAAGAAAGCGTTAAAGAACATACCGTTCCTGGGATGGTTCATGGTATTAAGTGGGACTATCTTTATCGACAGAAAAAACACAAAGGACGCAAGAGAGGCGATGGCTGGTGCCGCTGCGGAAATTCAAAAGCGAAGGCAGAGTGTTTATATGTTCCCCGAAGGCACACGTAGTTATGCCAAGGAGCCTGGCCTTCTACCGTTTAAGAAGGGCGCATTCCACCTCGCAGTGCAGGCCGGAGTGCCTATCGTCCCGGTGGTAGTTGCCAACTATTCACATGTACTCCACATCAAGGACTTCATATTTAAATCTGGGAAAATTCCCATCAAAGGTAATATGCTCCTTGTGATCCCTCGTTGGCTTGTAAACTGACATCCTTGTAGTCCTAGATCCGATTTCTACGACGGGACTGAAAGCCGAGGACGTTGACGAACTTACTCGCAGTACTCGAGAGCTCATGCTTAGGGAAATCGTAGCGTTGACGGAGAAAGCTCAGAACAGACCTCTTGCGGTGCCTGCTACGAGTGGTGATGGTGTCGTCCATGCCAGTGGGGTTGACGCAACGTTATCATGACGAGGGGGCACCGCTCGTGAGAGTTTTGTAGTTTAGAGTGTTCATATCTGCTTCATTCCCAACGCAGGAGCTGGTGGCAGATGCTTTCGGGGTTCTGGAAGACATGGCTTAGAGACGAGTGCAAAATGCATTTGATACCCATATAGACTAGATCATGCGGTTGATTGTGCATCTGGGGAGGGTCGTGCTATTGTGTTAGTTACACTGGAGAGGTTCTAACAAGATCAGACATCACACAGCAAACCAGATTTTGAAGGCCTCCAACTTTAGTGTCTGGATGTGTCGTTGGAAGCATTTCGAAGCCTGGAGTCGAAGTGTAGGTTGGGTGGTCACTTGAGAGCATGTTGCATTTGCGTTGTGTTAGACTAAATACCTGGCCTTTGGTACCATTTAGCAGTTCGTTCGCTGCTCGACGAATAAAATACCTGGTTGAAGCATAGTATTAGAAGCAGTGAGCACTAATATGATTGATGTTGCGTACCCCAATGTCTCGGGTCCTTCTAGGCCCCCTTTAGCTTAGCACGTGTGAATCCTTTGTAGCCGCGGCATATTAACATTAACCCGTGTTGAGAAAAAAAGAGTTAGGTACATAAGTAAGGGATTGATTTTGATATCTGATCTAAAAACACGTGCTCTCCCCTTTTCTTTCTACAACTACCTAGGGTATCTCACTTTATGTGTTATGACGTAAGCGGAGCAATCAGTATTAATACATCAATAATTATGTAGCACCTTCTTAGGGCAAGGTACAAGTGAGGCAATCCCGATTCCCGATCAAGCATCCATAACGTTACTTACCTACTAGGTAGTAGGTACCTAGGGCAGGGGAGGTACATACATACATACATACATATATACATACCTACACTAGCTAACCTACACAGTGATAGACCCTGATGGACCGATCCTAGATTTCATCATCAGGAACAAAGAGCTTTAGGGTTCCTTGGCACATCATGTTTTAACGTACATAATCTTGATAGCTTGTCAATCTATTGACCTATAGTAACCCCCACCACGTGGAGACCTTCGTATTATGTATATTAATATCTACCTACATACCTACTAACTACATACTATCATACTATCATACTACCAACTTCACCATCTGTACATCATCATGTATGACGTTTGCTTGATGGTTACTTTACCCCTCCAACTACTTTTCTTTCTCGTGAAATATGTATCAATGAGCAAGGAATTAATCAGAAGGTAGGTAACTGACTTGTTGCCAGGAACCATTCTCAGCTTGGTGAATGTGCGCCATGAAGAAAACATCCCATACACTATAGTGACTATACAGCTTAGGGAGAGCTAAGGATAGCATCTTGTCCAAACAGGGACAAACCTACTGCAGTCTAACATTGGCCCAAGTATGTACTTAGAATATGAGGAGAAATGAGACATCTTGTCGCAAGATGTGCTGCGAGTTATGGAAGATGACGAATCAACTCAACTACTACTACTATCTAGCTGAACTTGGTACAGACCAGTATATCCCGCACGTGTGTACGTATCTTGGTTAATATGACGCCCTCACTACTCCTTCAGCAGGATGCAAAGAGCTGGAATAGGTAGGCTGCCTCCAATGTCTACCTAAGTACCTACCTAGGCAGGTAGGCTGTGAAGCTGCTCCCCGAATCAAATACGCCGGGATAGGTACTACGGGAAAACAAGATCCACCATGGCTCCCTCGCTTTCGCCGAACCTACACATGCCTTCCTTGGAGAAGGTATCCAACTTAGTGACGTCGTGCTCCGTAGCCCCGAGTGAGCATGCTTCCTACAGCTTCCTTCTCAGAGCCCCCCTTTCGTTCCCCCTGGATCCGGGTAGTCTAGAGCATTCCTTTTCCTAGCTACTAGACATGTATCTAGGTAGTCACTAGGTAGCTTTTACCATATATATCGTCGTTCCTCCTCCGTCTCTGGTCCTAAGTTTATTGTCTCTTCTATATACTATCATCCAACTCGAAAGATATACTGTAAATACCTACTCACTTAAAACAACATCTAAACTCATCATCCATCAATATGTCTTACAACAACGACAACAACGACGTGAGTACCGATGACCCCCTATACAAGCATGAGTGTAGCTAATATATGGTATTTTATAGTCCAGCTACGGTGGTAGCGGCAACGACTCGTACGGCCAAAGCGGCGGTCGTTCGGACAACGCTTACGGCTCGAGCAATTCTTCTTCCAACCGTAAAGACAACGACAACGACAACTCGTTCGGCTCGTCTCGTCAAGACAACGAGACTGGCTACGGTTCGTCAACCAAGGCCTACGGCTCCAGCAACAACGACTCCAGCGACAACACCACGTTCGGGTCAAGCAACAGCAACAGCCGCCGAGACAACACCGACTCGTACGGGTCGAACGACAACAACAGCGGCAGCGGTAACACCTACGGGTCTAGCAACAACAACGACAGCAGCTTCGGGTCCGGAGGCAAGACCGATACTTTCGGCTCGTCCCGCGACACCGACAGCTACGGCTCTTCCAACCGCCGTGACAACGACAACAACAACAGCAGCAGCGGAAACACCTATGGTTCTAGCAACAGCAACAGCAACAGCAACGACAACGACAGCTACGGATCGTCCCGCAACACAAGCTCCAACGCGTACGGGTCCAGTGGAAACGACAACGACTCCTACGGGTCTACTACCAAGAGCAACACGTTCGGCAGCTCCAACGACAACGACTCGTACGGCAACAAGAGCAGCTCCGGCAGCTACGGCGACGATGACAACAACAACAACTCCAGCCGCAAGGGCGGAGATAGCTTTGCTGGCAAGGTTTTGGAGAGTATGTTTTATCCCCCCTTTTTGTCCCCCTTTTCTTGGCTTCTGGTACCTATACTAACTCTTTCACCCACAGAGGTCGGTTCAGCTCTCAACAGCGAGCGTGTAGAAGGCAGGGGCCGTGAGAAGCGCGAGGATGCTTCGGGCCGAAATGATGACTACTAGACTGTCAGATAGATAGGGGTGAAGTTAGGTACATATTTGTTGGGTATTGTCGAAGGACGACTTTAGCAAAGGGATAAGTTTTATAATCCAGTCTACTGCCATAGTTGCAAGACGTATATACGTATCTGAATATAATCACTTGGTGTTTATAAGTACCTCATTGTGCCCTTTGAGATGCTCTAAAATCGTGGTAATTAGGGAGTGGATGCCGTAATGCTGTGTGTGCCTACGGTACATAAGTACCTACGTTAATGTACGTCTACAACTCTACGCGGCGTTAAGTCTGTCAAGTACCAGGTACACTGTTGACGTTTACCTTAAGGTACTAACTTCGTTGTCATAATACGTGCTTCTAGGTTATTTAGTCACCTAGGTAAGAAGTAGGTAGCAGTGTCACGATAGCATCAAGAGCAGGTGCTTAGCAGAAATATTTGTTTGTAATTCGTATGCTTGACATGTTATAAATCTTCGATACCCTAACTCTTAACACCCGGCCCTATAAATGCTCCAATCCCAATGTCCTAGGTAGTACCCTCCATCTCTGAATGCCCTCATTTCTTTTGTACATTTGACTCCATCATGCCAAAACACCGTAATGCCCACAGGATTAAACCCAACCACTTCGCCAATAGCCCAGTTACATGGCCCCCCTTTTTTTATTTTGATCCGCTTGCGTCCGATTGCTTCCCAGTCGCCGCCCGCAGGATACATCCTCCAGCCCCCCATCCGAATTTCCTGCCCAAGCCACCGCGAGCCCGCGAGGTCCCATCCTGCAGGTCTGCCTTGCCCCTCAGCCTCACATCTGCTCGGGGGGCATGAGGGCGTTCGCGCGGACCTCAGCCACGCGGAGCGCCGCCTCGAGCTGGTGGTGGGACAACCTGAGCTCGGCGCCGCGCAGCAGGACCTCCCGCGCGTCCGCGAGCGCGAACAGCTGCCGGAACGCGGCCCGCCGCTGGTGGTGGGTCGCGGCCAGCTCGGCGACGCGGGCCCGCACCTCGCGCAGGTGCGGGTGCGGGTGCCCCAGCATGAGCACGACGGGCTCGAGCGCGCGCGCGACGTTCCCGCCCGCGCGCTCGACCGACTCCCGCAGGATGAGGAAGGCCGGGTGGATGTGCAGGGCCGCGAGGGAGGCGTTCTGGGCCATGTGCAGGAAGTCGTCGAAGGTCTCGCTGCGCACGCGCAGGCAGGCGTAGAGCTCGCGCCAGTACTCGGATATCTGGGCGCGCCACTCGAAGACGTCCCGCGCGAAGACGACGTGGGGCTGCTGGGGGCCGGCTAGCTGCGCGGGGTTGTGGAGGACGAGGGCTTGGTTGTCGTCGTTGGCGGCGGCGGGTGGGTTCATCAGTGCATGCGGAGCCTGCACCTGTTGCTGTTGAGGCTGTGCGTGCTGGCCGGGGGCAACGGCAACGTCCTGGGCGTTTGGAATGTTGAGGTCACCAGGTGCGTTGGCGGGTGCGTTGGGGGCGGCGGGAGGGACGTCGGCTATATGAACGTCGGGAACGGCCTGAGCATTGGCGGCGACGGCGGGTACTCCGTTGAGAGCCGCGCGCCGGGCGGCTTCAGCTACCTTCCGCTGCTTCTGGAAGGTTCGCAGGTGTCGCCGCAAGCTCCTTTTGCTCGTGTAGCTGTGGCCGTGGCCATCCAGATCGCAAGCCGGGATGTAGCACCAGAACATGCCATCCCTTTCGATGATGTCCTCATCGAAGCCCTGGCGGTTGTGGGCCCGCATCCCGAGCTGGACGTTTATTCGCTCGAGAACTTGGGCCATCACCTCATCGTCGTCTACCTGGATATCTAGTCTGTGGGCCAGGACTAGACAGATCCGACCAAGATGACTGGTCGCCTGGTGCTCTTGGAAGCTCCGGTAGGTAAACTCCTTCCCGCACTCGGGGCACCGCACGCGTTCCTGCTGAGGCGCTGCATCCATCTTGTCGGTCGATGGATGCTAAAAAAAAGAGAAGGTGATAAAGAAAAGTAGGGGTGTCCAGTGTGTAATTTCTTTATATAGAAGATTGAAAAGGTGTTGGGATTGTGTGTGAGTTAAGGGAGGTTGTGTTGGTGAAGGTGTGGTTGGTGAATGGGCAGTTATTTCTCTTTTGTATGTGTGCAGAGGAAGTGTTGCATCTCTGGGAATGCTGGCAGACTAACTGACTATTTATAGTATTTTCGGTACAGTGTCGAAACAACCGATAATGAGCTGTCTGCAAAGGTACCTGTCTGTTGGCATGATGCTACCGCACTTTTGCCTGAGGGTTCAGGCACGCAATAATTCAGGCACCCACTTGCTCGCTCAGTGGGAGAGGTGGCGCCATCTCACAATACAAGTTGTATAATATACACTGTATCAGATGTCGAGGTTATTTGTACTACGCAAGTGCCCTCTAAATTGCTCATAAAACCTTACGCGGTTATCCAGGTTCGTACTTCGGCTGTGCTTGATCGGGTGTGTTAGGGGGCAACACGATACTTGTCATAGAGATCAACTTACTGATCTATGAGACCCTTGTGCTGAGTTCTTACTGATGATACTGGGTCGAACAGCGATAGCCAAGTATCTTCTTAGATATATAAGGTAGGTGATCATATCTAAGAAACGCCCACATACATGAAATTGATTAGCCTGGGATCCTGTATACGCCTCCGTCTGCTTACCATGAGATGCCTTACATAGACCGTGAGCAAATATCGATAAAGTCAGTATGATACTAGGCACTTACTGAAAACAAATTCTACAATATTGCTCGTATAGGGCTCGTCCGACTAGCACGAAAAATAGCCATACTGTTAAATAGGTAGAGAACTAGAACGGCCGAATTAGAGGAAGCAGGTGGCGGTTATGGCTTTACAAATCAAGCCCCTTATTATTTACACCCAACACCACTCTTAATGATACGAACTTTATTATGCTTCTAAAATATTTTATAAGTAGGCAACTTTCGGCTATTAGGTATGTAGGAAAGGGATTGGGAATGAAACCGTTGGAGTGATATCTACAGCCCTTTTATACTAAGTAGTAATAAGATGCATATTGTTTTACAGATTGTTTTCCAGCATCTGCCAAATATTTGAGTCTAGCCTTATAGTTGATGACATCAACTTGATGCCATTTCTATAAGGGTTTACATCTTATACATGCGTACAAACCTAGGTACCTAAGGTAGGATAAATTTGGTTTGCTATATCGCCAATAAAATGCCTACCTACCTAAGAGAAACGGAACCTGAGATGTTTGTAATGTTAAAATCTCATTAAGGACATACTTACAAGTTACGCACCTTAGGTATTTGCGAATGGCTTCAATCATAGAGTAATCTAATAAAGGGGCCAAGTGGGCCTGGCAGGTACAAAACACAATCGCCACCTAGTATGGCTCATCGCAATGAGCTTGTTGTAATAAGGTGATAACACAATCTTTTTCCTGTTTTGACCTTAATGTTGTAAATCCCTTACTAGTGAAGGCAATGACTCTATAGTTTTACATCTATGTTTGTATTTCATTGATAAGTATATATTCTAGAAAATGATATTGATTGTATTTCGTTCTCATGGTTGATTTCAATTATGAAGTAAGGTACCTAGGTCGATAGCTAGATACGTTACAATGGCGGCGCAGATAGGGGGAATCATGACACTCACTCATATATGCAATTCCTTCTCGCCTATATTCTTGCCTTCTATATTGCAAATGTTGTTACCACCGAAGAAACCATTTGGAAAGAATAGTTGTAATATCTAACTAACATGCTCACTTTCGTAGCCTCCAACTCTCGGTAGACGTTGTTATTTAATGGGGTCCGTCCGGCCCCGAATTCAGCCACACCAACCGCCCGGTTATTTCCTGTGCGCTAGATGATGACTTCGACGGCTAGGTACTGGGTCGAGCTAGACAGACAGCCTGCGGTACAAAAATGTGCGGAAGCGCGAGGCGGACGCCAAGGCGGACTACTTCTACGGGCCTGGAACTCTAGTAACGGGGTGGGAAAGCGAACCAAAAAAAAGTCCGGACCTAGATCTTGACCGTAGTACACCTACCTACACCTTCGGCCGCGACCGTGGCTTCACCTGGAACTTGAACTTCTACAATTAGTCTGTATAATACCTCGGCGAAGATTACGGGGGCCATGTTAGCTAAAAGGGGGCGAGGGGGAAGAATGTACGTATGTGTTGACGCAGTAGAGTGGCGTAGAATGTATGTCTCGGGAAGCTGGCAATTTTTAGCACGTTTCAAAGAAAAACGAACGTCTTGACTGTTTCGTTCCTCAGCATCCTCTGGTTGCAGTGTGATCTCACAACTTCAAGGTTGCTTACTGCTGCTATGTAGGTATGTATGTACCTAGTACTCTAACACATATGTACCGTGTCGTTAGTTGGGGTATTGGAAATACGGTAAGTTTGGCATATAACGTTGGAGGCCAATTGAAACGTAGCCTTTGAACCAATCAAATCTAACTATCAGGTAGTTATTGTATTACTTTTTAATGAGATAACCGTATATTGGCCGTTGAGACCGACGTTGTGGTAGGTACCTAGGTACTTAGGAGGTTAGTTGTGAGAATAGGGGGCGAAATGTGCCCAGGTGCCATCTACTTGGCTTGATTCAACTACAGCATTTGAATGGAAGATATCTTTCGGCTTTGCCGCCAGGTTGCTGTACCTGATCACTCACCTAGGCAACATCCTCACGCTTATGGTGTGTGGCTGTTTAGGTCGTGTACTTCGTAGTCGGTTGTGCTCTAAACACGAGACGCTGCACGTTTGGACCTCCTGAAATCCCACCCATGATCGCGGCCAATCGTGCGCTCATTCTGTACACATTTCCCGAGTTGCTATTAGATCCTCTACTTTCTGTACTTTTTTTTAAAAGAAAAAAAGAAAAAAAGACACTGATCTAGGTGATACAAGACCACAGCATCATCAGTGCGATGTATCGTCTGCCATTCTTTTCCTAAGTCGCAGACTCAGCTGCCTCCATCTTCTCTCTCACTTTGATCCTTCGGATTTCTTACTATTATGTTCGTTCGTTCGTTGGCAGGACCTTCGCTCTTTTTTTTTCTTTATTGCTTTTCTCAGTTCGTTCTTATTTTATTTATGTTTAATTTGTACCAGGTGGTAGGCATTTGCATTGAACATGCACTTTGTGACCTTTTTCCTATTGACAACGGTGTCTACTGTACTTGCCAAAGTCCAATATTTAGTTCGTTACAACCATTCGGTTCATATATAACATAACTAACTTATTGTCTTAAGGGAGTCGCTATAGCAGGAGGAGACTTTGGGTGCCAGATCGACGTAAGGGTTATGTTGAGATCGCGATAACAGTGATCGGCATTGAGAGCTTAGGCTAACGTGTATCAAGGGTTCATGTCCCACAGGCTCGACACAACTTCCACTTGGTAACGATGGGGTTGCGCAAATGAAACACTTTATCGAAAATGACAGCATTAACATCCTGAGGCTACGTATGATCATGACGGCCTGCATCACAATCGCTTTGATGAATACGGCGACTGACAACGCGGTATAGCGGTATCATGGCAGTTTCTTGTGAACAACCAACTTGGCGGAGATCTCGACAAGACCAATTTGGCGAAATACGACCAACTCATGAAGGCCTGTCTTTCAACTGGAGCATACTGTATGATTGACATACACAACTTCGCACGCTGGAATGGTGGCATTATCGGACAGGGCGGTCCAACGGACGCCCAGTTTATCAGCCTTTGGACCCAGTTGGCGTCCAAGTATGCTGACACGGAAAAAGTCGTGTTTGAGCTCATGAACGAACCGCACGACCTTAACATCAAAATCTGGGCGAATACTTGTCAAAAGGCAGTGACAGCAATCCGGGGAGCCGGCGCTGGGGCGCAAATGATTTTACTGCCCGGTAGCTACTTCGATAGTGCGGCGACGCTTCCCGATGATGGAGGTGCGAACCAGTTGTTGGACATCAAAAACCCTGACGGGACTACGGATAACCTGTTGCTTGATATTCATAAGTACTTGGACGAAGATAATTCTGGGACGCATGCGGAATGCACGACAGATAACAGCGATGCGTTCACTGCTCTTGCGCAGTTCCTGAGAGAAAAGGGGCGGAAGGGCTTTATTAGTGAGACTGGAGCATCAACGGATGCCTCTGTAAGTGCTTGGGCTTTTTTTTTTTTTTTTTTTTAATTATTCTTTCAGCACTAATAATTCTCAGTGCCTCACTGCATTTTGTGCCCAAAATAGACTGATTAATGAGCATTCGGATGTCTTCGTGGGCCTAGTTGGTTGGGGTGCTGGCAGCTTCGATACCTCGTACATCCTTAGCTTAACACCATTTAAACAGAACGGGGTTTTGATTGACAACGAAATAATGTCACAATGTCTCGTGGCAACCTGGGCCAATCCCAACGATACGGGAGCGAGCAATTCTGAGCCTTCGATAGGGCTGCCGTCTGTATCACCGACGTCTTCTTTAACCTCCGCCGGCACTGGATCCTCTACGAAAGTCTTGCTTACTGCGGCCACACCTGCAACCACAACTATGCCCAAGGAGTCTGAACAGGCCAAGGTCAACGAGCCAGTAATCACGGTCCAAATCGCGTCTGACATAACCGTACTGAGGACTGAATCAATACCGTCGACGTTGATAACTGCACCGGGCACGCCCGGGGATCGATCATACAGCATCACCTTAGCAAAGTCGACATCGACCACGCAGGCCCCAACTTTAACGCCGAGCGCGACTCCAAGCAGCGGGACATGTTTAGTGAAAAATAGGAGGTTGATATTCTGGATTTGCGTGGTGCTATCATCGGTGTTATAATTCACTGCTATGACCTATAAACGGTCATTGATGTTGTGATATTATTTCGGTATACAGGAACCTGAGGTGCAATTGTATAATATAATTATATAATTACCAGGTTAGAATTTAATGACTTTCCGTGACGAGAAATTAATTGACGATAATTGTAGCGAGGGAGGGAGGGGTGGGATTACGTAAGCAGTCAGATAACATTGAAGTTACAGTTGATAACTAACTAGCTGGCGGGGAGGGCGGGGTGCTATTTGTGATAGCTGAATATAATACTGGGCCCCACTATTATATGGCACCGTAACAACGTCATTGCACAGGAAGCTGCAAGGCACAACGTCCCAGGTTAAGCCTTTGAGATGATCTAAGGCAATCACCATCAATCTATCTCAAGCCTCTATCTTTCCTTTCATTCCTCCCTTCCTGGCCTACTTACCCTATACCTACTACCCTGTAGCCTCTCAGTCACTGCCTTTGCCTTTTGAAATTTTGTTCCAAGCATCAGGCTGTTCCAGTCTCAACATGTCTGATATATCCGAGTCAATCAAGGTCATAAAAGAAGGAGCCAAAGAAGACCGCTTTACCTATCTTACCCTCCTTCATTTCCATGTCACCTCTCCTGAGGTCTTGCCTACATTAAATGAGGTCCTCCAAGATGCCGAGCTCACCCAAGAGATCGGATGGGACCTCGTACAGATGCTCTTGGACATACCAGAGTCGGGCACATGTCTCGAGACCGTAGCTCGGCTGGGAAACCCCCGTGAAGTCGCCATTAAGATCATGGAGGCATTGGAGGGTCTCACCGCAGCTTGGAATAAGGAGTCCGACATTGATAACCCTGGTGATTCCACCATATCAGATAAATTCATTACTTTAATGGGCATGCTCGCTATATCGCATCAGCGTATCAAGACAAAGTACCCCTCGCGCTTTCTTGGCCCCTCTTTGGTCAAGGTGTTTGAGGCATATCAGCCCACCCCCGAAATGACAGCATCCGTCATAAACCTAGTCTACTCCCTCTCAGGTCGCAAGAGGCCACCCTTGCCCTCGCGGAAATCTAGCATCAACGTGGCCAACCCCGATCAGGACGGGGACGATTCTAAAAACGCACCAGACCCAGAGGCCGAGCAGGAGGACCCGACCGAGGAAGCTATGCAGCAAAAACTCCTGCAGTCCTTTGTTACCTGCATCCTACAGCGGTACGTGAACGCGTACGATATGCTCTGGTCACCGCGACTGCTCGAGGTCTACCACCCCGAGAAGACCGTACCCAACAAGACGTCCATTACTAAAGCGTTTCGAAAAGACGGAGATTTGCTAAAAAGGGATGGGGCCGTGGGACATCTTGTAGTAAGTTTGCCTACCTACCTTTTTCATTTTACTGAGTTCTTGACATTAATCGTACCTACCTATGAAGGCTTTGCTACGCGATCTTGGTCTAGATCGATGCCCGCCGGAATTTGTAAAGAGCATCTTTGAAGGCCCAGTACATACAGATCCTCTCGCAGCATTTGACGAGTTCTCTTCTGCTGATGAAATTCACTTATCACCCGGTGGAACGGTATGCCTAATCGCCTACTGGATCTTCTCCAAAGACGTCTTCGAGTCGGACAGCCCCCCTCCCCAGATGCACGTATTTCCAGACCACGCCCTGATGCTCGGCCGTTTTCTTGGCCAAGAAGCACAGTCCGAGATCATGTCCAGTCCAGGCATAGCCGATGCCCTAGTAGCCATCGGCCTCGGACTCGAGCAACGAAAACTAGTAAAGGCCACCACAGAAGAAGCAAACCTCATGGCCTATCACCACAACCTAACGCTCGTCTCCGTATTCCACCCCGACATCCACGTCCGGAACGCCGCCACATCCTACGCCGGCTCCATCCTGCACGCCGAGCCCGACGACCAGATCCGCCTCGACATCCTCGAAGACCTGCTGGAGAACTGCATGTTCGGCTCCCTCAAAGCCTGCGCCGTCACGTGGCTGAAAGAAGAGCTCATCTCCGCCAAGCAAGGCCACCAATCCAGCCAGTTCTCCTCCCCCGACGTCATCGAGCGGCTGCAGTACCTCCTATTCCCAGACATGTTCTTCCTGAACGAGACAAACGCCGACGCGATACTCGAGTTCTGGGCCCAGAACCACCTGTACCTCCTGCAGGTCGCCAATTTCGCCTACCTCCTCTTCCACGGCTTCAAGGAGCTTGTCCCTGTTGGCATGGGCGCAGCGGTTGGCCAGAGATTCGCAGAGCCTCTTGTGGCGGCTGCGGAGAGGCTGCTGAAGGAAGAGGGCGTAGATGCGGAAAACAACATGCAGCTTGGCATACTAGTAGACCGCCTTCGTAGCCTAGATCTATGATAAGGCTGGGGCTTATCAAAGGGGCAGGTTGGTGGGTAGGTAGGTAGGTATGTACCTACCTAATAGGTAACTACCTACTGTAGGAATGAGTACGGCTTGGTGGGTGGGTGGTTGAATCAGGATTAGCTGTGTGGTAAGGGGACATGGCATGTAGATAGGTATGACCTTATGACAAGATGGACCGCTTAAGCCGAGTTCCCATCATCTTCTTTCTATTTTACGCGACGACGAATGAGAAGATTCATAACTTAAGTTGAGATAACCTTGATATGATTCGCATAAACTACCACTGAAGTATGCCAAGGCATGTTGCAAAGTAACGCCCACATACAAGATATCTATTTGGTAGGTACCTATACAAAATCTACATAGATATGTAATCTAACACAAAAATATTTCCAACAATCGCGCTACTCGTTACCATGCAAATCCCATCCATCTCATATGCCAGTCAGTATGTAACACGCCCAACCACAGCCCTCCGCCCTGAATCCAAAAACCACGCCTGATCACAATCACAGCCTTAACCACAACTGTCCACCAGCAGCACGCCTACACGCCCAGCGAGAAGAACAAAGACCAGCCCCAGCCCCATCACGTCGATGTCTGAGTCGAGCCCGAAGGACCGGAAAAGAGGGAGAAAAAAAAAAGAGACATCAGCTTATCTCAACCTCGCTTCCGTCATCCTCCACGTAGACGCCGAACTCGATCTCCAGCAACGCCTTGATGGCCAGCTCAACGTGGTGGAATATGCCCGCGTACCGGGCTGGGAGCCGGACTCGCACCATCTTGAGATCGTCGATGGCCGTCTGCCGGGTGACCAGCACGCTGGGCATGTTGGGGGTTATCGCGCCGTCCCAGACGATGGCTGGGTCGCAGGGGTTCCAGTCCACTGTAGGTGATCCATCGTCAGTAAAGAGAGAAGGAGGGGTCGTCAATCTGAGGTAATGTCGGGGCACTTACTGTAATTAGCAAGCCCGTACAAGGCGTTCTCGGCCACAGGCTCTCCCACCAAGTCACAGAAGTTCTTGAACTGCTCGTGCAAGGTGAGAGGCCCGCCTGCAGAAGCGCCAGCACCGGCGTCGTTCTCCAGACCGAGACCGGGACCGAGACCCTGGGACAGCTCCTGCCGCATCTTCAGGAACCAGAAGTACCAGTATTGCTTCTCGATCGGGGCGCAGGCGTCCAGCAGTCCGGTCGGGGCGAACTCTTCCAGCGCGTGCTCCGACACGTACGTCTTCTTCCAGTAGATGTAAAAGTAGCGCTCCAAGTGCAGGCACTGGAAGTGGTCGAGCTGGCTCAGGTACTGACCTTCGAGAGCGAGGAGGCGCATGAGGGAGCTGCGGAGCCGTTGCAGCTGGGCGGCATCGGGCCGGTGCTCGTCGTCATCGTCACTTGCTGCCGAGTCGGCGTTTTTAGTGGCGGTGGTGGCAGAAGCAGCAGCATCGGTCGCTTGGCGTTGTTGTAGGTAGTGTTGCCAGCGACCGTACTCCTCGCTCAAGCTTTGGTAGAGAGCGCGGCCTCCGGGAGACTGTGGTCGCGTGTAGAGCAGATCCCTGGTGTGCTTCAACATCTGCAAGTCGTCATCCGCCACGGTTTGCTTGTTCTTGTTCGTAGCGGATGCATGTCTGCCAGAGTGGCTGGCAGTCATGGCTACAGGCTATTGAAGATGAGAGGGCACAATCGGGGAGAGGACTTGTAAGCGTGTATAGGTTATACTACCTAGGGCAAGGGATGTACACCTAGGTAGGCGGGTATTCAGAACGATGATAGACTTAGGAGAGTAAGTTGGTAATGGGTTTGGACTGTTGATGGAGTTGAAGTCGAAAAAAAAGAATTGCAAGTTAGAAACTCGATTCAGAGGGGGTCGATGGGTTTATATAGGTAGAGAATTCCTATGGAAGGAAACCACGACTACGACGAGGTGCTGGCCCTTTACATAGACGCAGGAAGCCTCTGACATCTCTGCTCATGAGGGGGTAGCTACCAACCTAGGTATGTCTAAGTTCTACCTACATAGCTAGGTAGCTATGGGCCGTTTTGGTCAAAGAGTGGTAAGCGACGAGTCTACCACTCTGGCCAGAGCGATGGCTTGCGAGGGATTTCGACCGAAACTGGAGCCGCGGTGGCGTACACGGCAAGGCCACTTCTAAACTCTCTATACTCGTCTGGGGCTCGAGCCTTCTCTCTTCTAGAAGGCACCTACCTAACCTAGCTAACATGGGGTCTTTGATACCTATAAGTTTCTGCTATGTGCCTGCGTCCTCTGACATTTCACTTGGGGGACATGTTAGGGCAGGTAAGGTCTAGCCAGTATAGTCGTTCATCGGCACTTCCCATCGTGCCAAAAAAAAAAAAAAAAACTCGCTCAATACTAATGGTTATATAGGGTTTGAAAACTATCTGTTGATGCACTCAAGTCTATCATCTTATGTATGCCCCCAATGCTCTTTCTACTCAAGTTCCTTATGGTTGTGTCTAAAGCTAACTACCATGGATCAAATTTGAACCCAACTCTAGCACACACGAGACTCGAGAGCAACCGCAACTGTAAAGCAACGTGCTGGCCTCGTTTTTTTTATCCTCCAATTTGTTCCCGAGCTGACAACCATCGACGGGTTCCTGGCTTTACAAGGCCAAGACCAAGTTGAACTTTGCACATGCCCAACTTTACCGGTTCATGGCCAATATAGCAGGAAAGCAGAACAGCTTGAGTGCATAATACTTGCCCAATACACTAAAACCCACCTTTAAAGTTATCACATATCAGCTCTTTCGCCAACTTTACCCGGCTTGAGGAGGTCGGTGAGAGCTTCCCATCGTCGTAGACAGGTTGGTTAAACTCTTGAAATTGCTGTGTACCTAATAAGTTTACATTGAGCCTTCATGAACTTGGACCATACCAGGTCGAATCGAAGGACTCACTCGGCAGTACCTCAATTCCTTTTTCCTGGAAAATTTGAGATATTGACATTAAAGAAACACCATACTGCTAATAATGTGTGTTTGAATAGGCAGGTATTAACCAGCTGTCAGCGTTCTCTACAACCATGACGTTGGCGTTGAGTCTTCACACGCCGGGTTTTCACCGAGCCAGCAGTTCGGCATCTCGGGGTTGGTTTGAATTTCCATACAATATCCCCATCCATACATGCCTTGAAATCATCTCTGCTCTTGCGTAAGATGCACAAAAAACACTGTATATTATGGAAAGCCTTAATTTCCTTGTCGCTATTGATCTTCGGTTCCTCTCGGAATCATACTCGAAGTTGAGGTTTATGCTCCATTTTCCTCTCGGCGCGGCTCGCAATTCATACCTAGGTAGGTACAGAACGCTGTCATGGTTCTAACCCAATGGGAATACAACTCGAAGTTATTCCCCTCCTTTTGACAGAACAGCAGGAAGAGCAGGTATGTAGCAGATAGCTGCTCGGAGGCATACGGGTTCTAAGTAGGTAGGTAACACAACGTGCTGTGGCGCTCTTCAGGACCATCTAGGCCGGCGCATCTCCATCGACGCTTACTCATGACACATACATACCATACGCATCTGTGAATGAATTGGGGTTTACACCGTGGGTGGGTTATCCTTCATCTAGATGAGGAGATGGAAAATTTCGCGCATTGTGCTCGACGTATAAAGAGGGTAGGCTGGTAGCCGTTATGGAAGAGAGACATGTCCTCATTATCAACATCAGTCCATCAAGTGAATCAAGGATATATCCTTACAATTACTTAACTTGCTTCCACTGTCGGTCTTCACTTAGTGAATCAAACCTTCTCCAATCCAATACAATCCTACCTCCTATTTATCTCGCACACCAAAGCAAAAAGGAGAGAATCATTAACGTACCTAGGAACCTACCCATCAAAATGAGCACCCAAGTCGAGTCCGTCGAGCAATTCGACTTCATCGTCGTCGGAGGTAAGTCTGTCTGCAGTAGCATTCCCATGAAGGGGGGCGTGACACGCAGTCCTTACCAAACCTTACCAATTCTCATTCTCATTCTGATTTATCTTCTCCAGGCGGCACCGCCGGCTGCGCCGTAGCCGGCCGTCTAGCCGAATCCCCCCAAGTCAACGTCCTGGTCATCGAAGCCGGCATCGGCAACCCGGGAGACGTCGACGCCATCACGACGCCCGCGCGAGCCTTCGAGCTGCGCGACAGCAAGTACGACTGGGCGTACAAGACGACTATGATCGACCGCCCGGAGTACACGCGCGTCGAGAAGCCCAACACGCGCGGCAAGACCCTCGGCGGCTCTAGCTGCCTGAACTACTACACGTGGATCCCGGGTTCGGCGGGCACCTTCGACGACTGGGCGGCCTTCGGCGGCGACGAGTGGAAGTGGGACAGCGTGCGAGAGTACCTGTACAAGCCGGCGACGTACCACGACGACAGCCACAGTTTCAGCGAGGAGCTAAGTTACATTGGTAGGGGCGGGCCGATCCCCGTCTCGCACTCAGACCTGATACCCGAGATGCAGGGGTTCCGCGACGCGCTGACGCAAGCGTGGACAAGCAAGGGCGGCGAGCTGACCGACGACGTGCACAGCGGCACCATGCGCGGCCTCTGGAAGTGCACCAATAGCATCTACAACGGGCAGCGCTCCTCCAGCTGGCTTTATCTCAAGGACAAGACAAACGTCACCGTGCTCTCCGGCACCAACTCCAAGCGTCTGCTCATCAACCCCACCACCAAAAAGTGTCTCGGCGTCGAAGTGATCCTACCTTCCGGCAGCGCCCTCGCCTTCCACGCCAAGCGCGAGACTATCGTCTCTTCCGGCGTCTTCGAGAGCCCCAAGCTACTCATGCTCAGCGGCATCGGCCCTAAAGCCGCTCTCGCCAAATTCGACATCGAGACCCTCGTCGACTCCCCCCACGTGGGCCAGAACCTCCTCGACCACCCCATCCTGCCGCACGTCTTCCGGCTCGCCGACGGCAACGGGCTAGACCAGCACCTGCTGCGCGCGGGTCTCGAGCGCGACGCAGCCGCCAGCGCGTACCGGTGGAAGAACAAAGGGCCCTACACGTCTGGCCTCCTCGAGCTAGTCGGGCTCCCGCGCATCGACGAGCGACTACTCAAGTATCCCGAGTACGTGGCGGCCAAAGAAGCGAACGGGGGGTTAGATCCCTTCGGGCCGGCGGGCCAGCCGCACTTCGAGATCGACTTCGTGCCCATGTTCAGCGACGCCTTCCAGTGGCACATCCCCACGCCGCCATCGGGAGACTACCTAACCGTGATCGTGGATCTGCTGCGGCCGCAGAGCCGGGCGGGGACTGTTGAGCTCAGCAGTAAGGACCCCTTAGTACAGCCGAAGATCAATCTTAATTTCTTCGCGAACGAGCTGGATATCCTGGCCTTGCGCGAGGGAATCCGCTGGGTGGATGATGTGCTGATGACGGGAGAGGGCATGCGCGATATGATTAGAGAGGACTACCCCTGGCCGATGCCGAGGACGTCGGACGAGGCGATGGATAAGTTGATTCTGGAACGGTCGCAGACGGGGTTCCACCCGTGTGGGAGTGCGCGCATGGGACGGGACGTGGAGCAGGGTGTGGTTGATGGCAAGCTGAAGGTGTTTGGGGTTGAGTGCTTGCGTGTTATCGATGCCTCGGTCATTCCTGTGATACCTGACTGTCGGATTCAGAACTCAGTGTACATGATTGCTGAAAAGGTATGTTTTCTCGTTAAAGCAAAAAAAAGGGCTCCTTATCCCCTATTCCCCTGACACAGGGAACAAGTGTAAAGCTAACTTGCTTCAGGGCGCCGATATGATCAAAGCCGAGTATCCAGAGCTATATGCTTAGGTAGTGGAGTTTGAGTCGGAATAGTCTTTCCTTGAGTATCATGAATTATGACTTGATATGAACAGAAGAACAGAAGAACAGAGGAAGGAGATGTTGAGATGAATTTGTTATCCTCACTTGATTGTTTGTCGATTATGTAACTATGAGGCTTTATTTGGCAAAGGGGGTTTCATTACATAACTAATATTTCTCAATGTTATTTCAGGAAATATACAAAGTACAAACGATCAAACCCATCACGAAGAATGCTCATTGTATGACTTCAGAGCTTCATGTGATTGCTAACTCACCTTAGATGATTGGTGAGTTCGTCTCAAGTCGCCGAGCCCCATTCGAAGTACCCGGCAGTCAGGTTAGCCCAGTTGACTTAAGATGACCCGATAGAATGGAACAGGGCTTCGGCGACATAGTAGCGATAATGAATCGGCATAAGGGAATGCCAATGGTGTCATGATCACTGGGAAATGTGCAGAAATAATTTTGCACTGCCTCTATTACCGCCAAGATCTGGCCACTCCATACGGTCGCTGGTGGGCGCTGGCAGTCGCTGGTAGTCGCTGATAGCCGGATGGATTGAGCGTTACTGAATTCGTTTAGCGCATCAGCATTTCGGAAACGGCCGCGATCCACTGACTAACGACATCACACGATCGTATCGTGATCTAACACAAAAAATACAGCAGAATCGTGCCACGCTTTAGCATTCTCACGACTAAACATGTCGTGAAGCGGAAGAGATGAGGATGGATGAGGATGGATGAGGATGGATATGGCTCAAATGGAGAAGTTTATAATGATGCTGTCAAGTCGGTAAAGTTTGTCTTGGGAGGAAGGTTTCACCACAGCACCATCTGCAACACACTTATCAATCAAAGCATACAACATTGAAGCTTAAATTTAAATACACTCATACCTTGATCCTTGAAGCCATACAGCCAATCAAATCAACCCCAAATTCAAAAATCATGGCCCCACAAGCTCTTCGCCCACACAACATGCACGCCGCCGCCAGGGCTGCAGTACCTGTAGCGCCTAAACTTGGCCCTGTCACCTCCAAAGTATTGCCAAGCTTAGCAGCATTAGGAGCTGGTACGCCCCCCCTTTCCATACATCTCTTTAACCATGAATAAATTAAACTCCCCTTTCCATACATATACCTCTTTGACCATGAATAAATTCAAATCTAACATATGACTGAAAAATAGCCTACGTCGTCGGCTCCTACGTCCGCTCCCAACTGGCCCGCGAGTCCGGCTCCTTCGACCGCATCTTCTCCCAGCAGAACACGCCCGAGGTCGAGGAGGCCCGGAAACGAGCTCTGCAGGTCGACATCAACGGCGACCCGCGAAACAACCTGCTCAACATGCTCGGCTGGTCCAAATAGAGAATAGAAAGTTTTCCTATTCTTTTTCTATCTATGTACATCCTACCTACCGATGTTAGGTAATCTACATATAATACGGGATATTTCTTAGAGGAGGGTTGCTTGCATATAGGGTGCATCCCCTACCCTAGATTTTTATCTTTATCTTCACGGCGACCGATAACTACACATTATATATCGCCTTGTCGCATGGTTTAGGGGCGTTTTAAGGGGGGGAGATCTGTTTGGTTGGATTAGGAATTATATCAGGTACCTACATGTTATTCATGTAGGCACATACCCGCTCTCGTACAGGGCGAATTAAAATTATTTATATGTTCATGTTGTATGTTCATGTTGAAGAAAAGAAAATGCTTGGAAGTGTGAGTGACTTGATTCGTTGACAGTTCACGGGAATCGAGCCGATTACCGCCTGGCGTACACAGACTACCCTATCCTACTGTAAGACCAGGACCAATCGATACTGGTAGACGCTACAATAAATACTAGTTGAGTCCTGTTGCACAATTGTTTGAATTTTTACTTCTAGTAGGCGCCCTATCTGATAATAGCATCATGACTGAATTATCTAGTTCTACCTTACAGTGGGGGGCTTGGAGAGGATGATAACTTGGGATGGGTATCGGATGTGGTGGTGTCTTAGGTACATAGGTTACTCACTGCTGGTGCCATCTTTCGAAAGGCGCATGCACGCATCCGGTCTCAACTTGAACGATGTCGTCGTCGCCATAATAACATAGCCTCCACGATTCTTTTCAGACCCCAAGGGCTTAAGCAATGTGAGCTTTGGAACTAATCTACATTTTCAATCTCCGCCCGTCCCGGATTTTCACTTCGATGAACAAGGTGGTGCAGTCTTGTACGCCGACTAGTTTCACGTGCTGTGCCAGGAATATTTGATCCTTCGCTCTCTCGCTCTCTCTCTTTCTCACTCTATCAAGGTCTGGCCTTCTTCTAAATCCGCTGCTCGGTCTGGGCTTGTGGAGTTTAGTCAGTTAGTCAGTCAGTCAGTTAGCAACAAAGCCTTGTATTTCGCTACACCAGCTTCAGACGTTGGAGGCTGATTCTGTAATTTCGAGTACGGTTACCAATTCATTCAACCCTTTTTCATATCCAACCCCTTCATCTCAACTTCACTTACTACACATCTCGGTATAAGCCACCCAGTAATATCGACAGATCAGTTCACGTAAGCTCCAAAACAGCCTACTATATACTTGTCGTCTCGTAGATATGCCCGCCACACCTCAATAAGTACCTAGTAGGTACCTACCTAAGGCCTAGTCCAATGCAAGGAACCTCTTGCAGGTACACAACCCATCATTTACTTGAAGAATATAGCGTCGTAACTGTGCCTGGCAGATGCCCTAAGCAGCACGGGCGGTTCTGTCAACTTCGGCCAAAAATAGTCTTAAGCTGTTTTGAATCAGGGGTGCTGTGCCCGTTTGATTGGCTGAGCCACTTGCCTGCGTCGATCCAGCTTCCTTTTTTTCTTTCTCCAATGACATGCACCTATCCAATTCCTACTGCCCTTTTAAGACAATTCGCGGGCTTTTTTTCTTTCGTAGGCTGACGATGATCAACACGATCTCTCTCCGCCTTCCCCCCCCCCCCCCCTGCAGGATGCAGCCCAAGATGGAGGTGGGTGGGTGGCTAACGTTGCTTCTGAAAAAGGAGGGCCTTTACTCATGGCCCGCCATATTTATATCTACGTGTATATATATATATATCAACATGGGGACGATCCCATCCCCCAGAATCTAATTGTACCATTCCCCATCTGTTGATTCTTCCTTCACTCTTTCGGCGAGAAATCAACAACATATAATATAGCGAGTTAGTGGCAGCAAGAAAAGAAAAAGAAAAAAGAACATGGCAAGACTACTCCCCAGCCTCCTCCTCAGCGGGGCACTCACCTCCGCCCTCTCGCTCGACGTAAAAGACGCCGCCTCCATAAAAAACGTCGCCGCGCAAGTCGCGAAGGGGATCTACTACTACCACGACGCGAGCGCGAGCACGGGGCAGTTCCGGCAGCCGCAGCCGTGGTTCTGGTGGCTGTCGGGATCGGCGTGGAACGGGCTGATGGAGTACACCATCTTCACGAACGACAGCACCTACAAAGCGGACCTGCTGGACTCGCTGGCCAAGAACGTGGGGCCGAACTACGACTTCGCGCCCGCCGAGCAGGCCAGCTGGGAGGCCAACGACGACCAGGTCTACTGGGTGTACAACGCGCTGACGGCGCTGGAGTACAACTTCGAGCCGCTGCCCTGCCAAACCGGGGGCACCGCCGGCGGCTGCAGCTGCGCCAACTCCTGGCTCTCGATCAGCACGAACGCGTTCGAGGAGTTCGTCGCGCGCTGGAACAAGGACAGCGCGACGTGCGGCGGCGGGCTCAAGTGGCAGTACACCGAGAGCGCCAAGGGGTACTTCTACAAGAACTCCGTGACCAACGGCGGCTTCTTCCAGACCGCCGCGCGGCTGGCGCGGTACACGGGGAACCAGACGTTCGCGGACTGGGCGACCAAGATCTGGGACTGGTCGTCCGCGGCGGCGGGCGTGGGCCTGGTGACCGCGGACTTCCACGTCTACGACGGCGCCGGCGACGCGCAGGGCGAGGACTGCAAGAGCCCCGACAAGACGGAGTGGAGCTACAACATCGCGTCCTACCTGCACGGCGCCGCGCACATGTACGCCTTCACCAACGGCGACGCGACCTGGGAGTCGCGCGTCCAGTCCCTGCTCTCGAGCGCGAAGCAAACCTTCTTCAGCCCGACCCCGGACGCGCCAAACGTCATGTTCGAGCCCAAGTGCGAGCCGACGTCGACGTGCAACATCGACCAGACGAGCTTCAAGGCGAGCCTGTCGCGGTGGCTCGGGAAGACGGCGGTGCTGGTGCCGAGCGTGAAGAGCACCGTCGTCGAGCTGCTGGAGGCGTCGGCGCGGGGGGCGGCGGCGAGCTGTACGGGGTACGAGAACTCGACGTGCGGCGTCAAGTGGAGCGCCGGCACGTTCGACGGGTACTCGGATGTGGGCGTGGAGCTGAGCGCGCTGGAGACGATACAGAGTCTGCTGGCGGTGGAGGGGCCGAAGTTGGGGGTTTTCAAGCCGAGTAAACGGCGGTAGATGGCATACGGCTTACATGGAATCTGGTTTGGTTTGGAAAAGGGAAAGCGATATAGGGTATTGCGCTTGAACATGTATCTAACTGTAGGATAGATATTCTAGACTGTATATAGGTCGCTTGTATTATTTGGCACTGGATTTTGAAGGGAAATAAATAATTAGGTACCCCTTATTTGATCTTCCGCACACGTATATATATCACATTATTATATTATCATATTATCACTTGAAGCCATAAGTAAGATCAGTCTCGTTGAGAATCGAGCAAACTCAGTTACTAGGTATCTAGGTAGGTATCTGGTTACAGGAGTCACTGATGGGACTAAGGGAGTATGCCACTTGCAGATTCTCGACTTCCTCAAAGCGGCAGGTCTAGCTTTTCAACCCTACCTACCTAGTTAGGCATCTATATCCCGTTTCCAAAGCGGTAGGGCCCCCCCAAGGTTAGTTGGAACGAACCGTACACCTCCATCCCTACAAAGATTCAGAGACCTTGAATCTACCCTATCTTCAAACCTCTACACGGATGAGGGAACACACTATCATACTACATATGTATGTCATCCATGGTACTTGGTATGACCGGCTTCGGTACTGCCTCCGAGTGATGGATAATTGCGATACGGACACGATGCAAGTATATCGTGATCGTGATCATGTTGGGAAGTCGGACAAGCCCAGGCCTGTTTGGCTCTAGAAGCAGGTAACAAACCCCCTGAAAGATATCATTGCTCGCCGCGATCGCTCGCTAGATGGTGATATATCCCTCGTTCCTACATGCAGGACCTGGCGTCCAGTCAATCTGTACCGCGACCCTCCCTCGCTGTTAGCCAAGTCTCGTGATTCTGCGATGCCAAAGTAGTTCTCTAGCGCCTCATACTAACCTCCGTGCAATTCTAAAGGGGGGATATACTTTGCGGCGACGGGACGATCCGATCCGATATGAGGGTTTCGAGGGTTTGAGGTCTATAGCTGAGTTTCACTCCCCTTACATACCTCCACATACCTCCACAGACTTACACAGACTTACACAGATGTCCATAGCATCCATACACGTACGGTTAAAGTTTACTATGTCTCAGCCAAACCACCGGCAACTTTGCGTGCTCCTCCCCTTAAACTAGACAACCAACTAGGTTACCCCCTTGCTAATCTCGCTGGAATCCGGGGCATTGGGGATTCTAGAGCGGACGAAACTGAGGCAAATAAGGACCGAAGGGGGAAAAGGAAAAGGAAAGGGCCTAGGGATGATGAGCGCTTCCAGTCAAATTATCAGACGGCCATATGCAGTGTGAGGTCAGGGTCAATATCTGGACGGGTATTTACATGAGATGCCGAAGCCGACGAGGCAGGACAGTACAACCTTTTATTATCCGGCTTTCCCTGTGTTCAAAATGTCAAGAATGACCTGCCTGGGGCTTTGGGGGAAAATACTTGTGACATCTATCTGTCTGGGGTCTCTGGCCTTGCCCGTTTATCCCCATGTCTCACGCGTCGATCGACGTTGAGCATGTGGCCGATCAACGCGACTATTCCACATACCACGTTTATATGTGCTATACTATCTAACCCAGATAAGTACCTCTTATTTTAGTCGATGATAGCCCCTTATCCCTATTCCCTTTATACTGAAAGACAATTGACTTTAGAGAGAGCCTTTTCATAAATTCCTCTGCCATAAGTGAAAGTCTGAGGCAAGAAAAGCGTCAATGTCTTCCGCTTTGCTATGAGCGATTCTGAAGCGCTTGTCGTGCAACTTTCTTTGAGCCGGTTGCACAACTTTGTCTCTATCAGTACCGGCGTCTGCATTACAACGCATACCTATCTCTCAAGCTTCGGCGGCTTTATTTTTTTATCCCTTTTCCATTTAACCCTTGAGACATGGAACAGAGCACAGTGCAACCTGAGGCTCTGCTGCTATTGCTGAGCATTCATCAAGATTTCCAAAAAGTGGCTGGCAGGCTAGAATATTGAGACCATGCGGTGGAAATAGAGATGCTTTTCGTCGAGGCCCCCTTCTCCTCCGACGGGGGTTTTCTACTCCTGAGCATTTTGCTGTCCTTTCTAATTCGTGCGTCGTTCCGTTCAACACTGCGCCTCTGTGTCATATGCTGCTCAACATGCCGATCTTCAGGGCCTAGATGATGCCTATCTTATAGACTTGGTCAGCAGCATGCCCCCCGTTGGTCGAGGGCTTGTCCCACTATCATTAGTCATGCTCTTGGAAGGGAAGCATATCGATAGGGGGCGAATGTTGACTTTGAGGTTGAGGCAAGTATATAGAGGGACTCTATCTTGCTCGACAAGTATAACCTCTCATCAAGATAGGCACACTTGGGCTCTTATCCTGAAAGCTTTGAGCGACTTTATTCTTTTTAAGACAAAGCTGAGCAGTGAGAACCGTCCTCATACCAATATCAGCCCAAATCTTAACTTGCTCTCCTTACTTACCTAGCAACCCCCAAGTAATCTAACGACAATGGGCTCGAGCGACGAGATTGACCGCGCAAGTGGGCGCAAGATCGAAGTCAGCGAAGTCAGCGAAGTTCAGGTCCCGCAGTACAGTGACAAGGAATACGATCACGTCAAGCGAAAAGCAGACAGATATCTCCTCCCTCTTATGTGGCTTTGCCACGGGCTCCAGTCCATCGACAAGTCCTCAGTCAGTACGCAGGCCATCTTCGGCCTGCGAGAGGACACCGGCCTGGTCGGCCAGCAGTACTCCTGGCTGGTTACTATCTTCTACCTGACGTACCTGTGCTTCGAGCTGCCGACGCTGATCCTGCTGCAGCGGTACCCCATGGGCCGGGTGCTGTCGCTGTACATCCTGTGCTGGGGGTGCGTCGTGCTGAGCATCGGGTTCGCGCAAAACTTTGTTCAGCTCGTCACGCTGCGCGCGCTGCAGGGCCTGTTCGAGTGCTGCATTAGCCCGGGGTTCATGCTCGTCGTCGGGAACTGGTACACCACGCGCGAGCACGCCTCGCGGTCCCTGGTCTTCCAGAGCGCGTACTCCGGCCTCGGGCTCTTCACTGATTCCGTGCTGTACGGGATCGGGACCATCTCGTACAAGCACCCTGGTGTTGAGGCTTGGAGATACATGTCCTATGTGAGTTTATATAATTGGTTAAGTGTGAGAGGATAGCTAATGGGGGTAAATAGTTCCTGGGCGGCATCACCATCGTGACAGGAGTATTCTTCCTCCTCTTCTTCGGCACGCCATCCGAAGTGCGCTGGCTGTCCGCGGACGAGAAGAAGATAGCGGCGGCGCGTATCCTGGCCAACAACGCCGGCCACGACCAAACAGGAACGCAGGAGTGGAACTGGGGACAGGTCAGAGAGTGTCTGGTGGATCCCATCGTACGTGCCTTGCAAACAAAAACACTTGCATATATCGTTTGTTTGACCATAGCAAATTAACCGACGAGTGGCGTGTTTGTAGTTTTGGTTTGCCGGCTTGAACGGCTTTCTGGGCTCGGTCCCAAACGGTGCGTTGACGACGTTCTCGGCCATTTTGAACACTACCTTTGGGTTCAGTAAGTTTTCCGAGATACAAGATATAAGATCTTCGTTCACAAATAAAAGTGTGGTGTGTGTGTGGCATAATCACTAATTCGACGATAGCAAATCTACAAGTGATCCTCTTGAACCTGCCACGATATGTGTTTACCCTTTTATACTTTGCCGCCGTTGGAGTGTTGGCTACTAAGAGGGAGAACGTTCGGATGTAAGTGTCACTGAACCTCAGCATGTACGGCGTACCTAGTTACTTATACTAACCAACATCATGTCTACATGTAGGTGGTTCATGATGTTTTCCGTGATCCCCGCCTTCGTCGGCTTCCTCGTGATGGGTCTTCTTCCAAACGAGCCGCAATACAAATGGACTAAGTGGGGTGGATATTTCATGACAAGTCCTTACATTATTTCCACGTTCCTTGCGTGGACGTTGATTCCGTCGAATGTGGCCGGGCGAACCAAACGGACCGTTGTGTCCTCGTTTACCTTCGTGGGGTACTGCGCTGGAAATATGGCCGGGTCGCAAATCTTCCAAGCCAAGGATGCGGTGAGTTGATCTGGAAATAATACCTACCACATGGCACTAGGCACTAGGCACTGACAAGGTGTAGCCCGGATACATACCGGGGATCATTGGATGCGCAGCATGCTTGGGAGTTCAGATACTCCTGATATTCCTCTGGCGAACTATTCTCGTGATGCGCAATGCGCGCAGAGAGAGGCGAATGAGCGAGCTAGGAATATCAGAAGAGGAAGGGGTGAACATTGGACAAGAGATGGGTCAACAGGACCGTACGGATCTTGAGAATCCATATGTGAGTTTTGAAGTTGAAATTTATTCCCAGTGCCAGTGTTCATGTTCAGTGTTCATGTTCAGTGTTCAGTTAAACTAATAATCTTTGTTTGTGTCTACAGTTTCGATACGTGACATAAAAAGTCCCCCATACCTGACTATTGACGTACCTACCAGGTCCTACCTAGAACCTAGTACCACTGTACCTACCCTATAGATGTACTACTAGGTACTGATAGGTAGTTACTACCTAGTAGGTAGGTACATAAGGGAGGGTCGATTAGGTACCGCAACCTTGTTCAAAAGGCGCTTGGGCTTTGTCTCGGGGGTTGGGAGGGGTTCATTGGGTTTTCATTTTATTCATCTCTCCCGTCTTCCAAGTTCCTACATGTTTATTAACCATTCGTACGCTGGAATCCCTTGGAATTATTTGGATAGACATCTACATAACATACATCACTAGGTACATAGATACACGATGAGAAATATGATGAGTCACTTTTACTTGTGGGGGCTGAAGTTCTGAACAACATTGAAAGACATGAGTTGCACACCAAACTTTCAAATCCATATCCAATTCATACATACATATATGTAGGTATGATTGCTACCTACTACCTACAACATACATATATGTATGTATGGAGAACTAATACATATTACATACATACATACATAGGTATATAAGTTTGTACTCCAGTCCCCTCAACTTCAGTACCCCTTATAATAAAGGCTTATATAGATTCAAGTATTACACACACGCGGCCTGATTGGGCTCTTGCAAGTTGCAACGGAAGTGCTTGTACCACACTTGACCTGACCTGTCTCGCAAGGACAACCCAAACCCACAAATACATAAATCGGAAGCCTTCCCAACAACAGTAACAACATCATCAACAACATCATCAACAACAGCCATCTCTTAGAAAAGAATTTTAAAAAACTAAATTCAAACTCAAACCTGAACCCCGAACTGAGCCAAGCCTTGCCGAGTTTTTCTTCCATACGGCTTACTCATGTCGGATCGTGGGAATAACTTTGGGCAAGGTCCACGAGGTGGTGGACGAGGAGGTGGGCGAGGAGGCGGACGAGGAGCAGGAGGAGGAGGAAGAGGTGGAGGTGGAGGTGGAGGAGGTGGTGGTGGACGTGGTGATGGAGGCGGATACTCACGAGGTGGTGGAGGTGGTGGTGGACGTGGTGATGGAGGCGGATACTCACGAGGTGGTGGAGGTGGTGTTGGGTACCGCGGCGGAGGAGGAGGAGGTGGACGAGGTGGTTACAAAGACTCTTCAAAGGATATTTTCAAGTAAGTAATATTTCATTAACCCTCTCCAGGGCTTGCTACGTTCATGTGCCAAATATCCATGACATATTACTAACATTCTCATCAGACCTCCAGGCAATGCCCCAGTTCCTGAGCCGAATAAAAATGTGAAGGCTATAGAAGATAAGACACTGAGTGAACCCAGCCTTGCCGGGCTCAGTCTAAAGCAAGCTTATCCCCAACGCCCTGCCTACGGAACCGGTGGCAGTCCTGTAACTCTATGGGCCAACTACGTCGAGCTGAACATAAACCCCAAATTGGTTCTTCATTCATACGAGATCATTGTCAGGCCTGAAAGAACTCAAGGAAAGAAACTTTCTCATGTGATCAGCCTGCTACTCGAGCACGCCGCTTTTGCCAATATCCGATCGAATGTAGTCACCGATTTCAAATCCATCCTTCTCTCGCGCGAGCCGCTACCCATGACAGAAAACGCCTATGAGTTTCCCTATCGCGCCGAGGGCGAAGATGATCCTAAAGAGGGAGCGACTGTGTATACCGTCCAACTCAGACTCACGCATAGTCTCTCCGTCGGCGACCTAGTAGGATATCTGACAGCAAAAAGCCAGGCCTACCCGGACAAGGAGGTTATCATCCAGGCTTTGAATATCTTTCTTCATCATTATTCCAAGACCAAATCCAACATCGTTACCATCGGTGCTAGACGGGCTTTCCCGGTACAGGCTTCCGCAGATAATATGATTGACATAGGTAACGGCTTGGCGGCCATCCGTGGATTTTTCTCTAGCGTTCGGGCCGCAACTGCGAGGGTTCTCGTGAATGTGAACGTTAGCTACGCTGCATTCTACCAACCAGGACCGCTACTAGACTTGATGACAGCATGGAGGGGCAGAAACACCCAGCCGAATCTGCGAAGGCTGGAGGCTTTCTTGAAAAATGTAAAAGTCACACGCACACATCTAAAGAGGAGGAAAAACAAGGCAGGAAATGAGGTAATTAAGAAGAGCACCATCGTGGGCCTAGCCTCGATGAGCGATGGCCGACACCTAGCTCATCCTCCTCGAGTAAGTAAACATGGTGCCAACGCTGATGAGGTCCAATTCTGGCTCGATGAACTACCGCCAAAACAGAGCACTCCTGGAAAGGGGGCCAAGGCAGGCACTCCTGGAAAGGGGGGCAAAGGAGCCAAGGGAGACAAGGGAGACAAGGGAGACAAACCTGGCGGAAGGTATATCACTGTTTCCAGATTCTTCCTCGAAAGTAAGCAACCATATTCCTCTACCCACATCTAGATACTAACAACCCATAAACAGCGTATAACATAGTATTGAAAACTCCCACTGCGCCCGTTATGAACATTGGCACCAGAGATAACCCGACATACGTCCCACCAGAAGTATGTATAGTCTTGCCTGGTCAGGACGCCAAAGTCAAATTGTCTGGCGATCAGACAGCCGCTATGATTAAATTCACAGCTCGCAAGCCTGCAGAAAATGCGAGATCTATCGTGAAAGATGGCATCGCCACTGTTGGGCTAACGCAACAAAACACATTAATGGTACGGAGACCCCATCTATCTACATACTTGCCCACCTAGGTTGTAATATATGCTTACAGGATGGTTCACAGACCCCCTTTGGCATCTCATTCGTCCCCAATCTAATCACTGTCAACGGAAGAATTATTGATAAACCCACGGTCACCTATGGAAACTCCAACGCCGAGGTAAACTTCACCTCAGCCTCCTGGAATATAATGAGAATGAGATTCTCAAAATCCGGAACGGTAAAGAGGTGGGGGATCTTGAGATTAAACGTTGGATATCAACATCTAGGACCCTTACAGGATGATGCCAAATACAGGCCAGTGATACAGTCAGTTCACAGAGTGCTGAAAGAAACCGGCATCAATATAGGTGACCCTATATTTTCAGACATTTGCGCCCTCAGAGATGACGATGACCTTAGGATCGAGGCGACGCTTCAAAAGGCTGCCAAAAACGTCGATCTCTTATTCATCATGCTTCCCAAGGATAACATGCCCGTCTACGACCGCATCAAGCACTTGTGCGATGTTAGATTTGGCCTCGCCACCATCTGCTCCGTGGGCTCCAAGCTTATGAAGCCAGCAGGCCAGGATCAATACATGCGCAACCTCGCCCTCAAATTCAACCTCAAGCTAGGAGGAGACAACCAAGTGGTCAAGAGCAAGATAAAGTTCTTCGAGGAGGATAAGACGATGGTGGTCGGTATCGACGTTACTCACCCATCGCCAGGGTCGAGCCAAAGTGCCCCCAGCGTGGCCGGAATGGTAGCCAACGTCGACAAGGGTATGGGACAATGGCCTGCCACTTTGGCAATCCAAGCGCAAGCTCGCCAGGAAATGGGTAAGTATCTTTTTTAGCCTTTCACCATATTCCCCCATCCACGACTATTGTATCCCCAGAGAATCCCACTAACCGCAAGTTTTCTCACAGTGTCCGGCCTCAAAGAGATGCTCAAGTCGAGACTCGACCTGTGGAAGACGAAGGGCAAACACGCCGCGTACCCCGACAACATCCTGATCTACCGAGACGGCGTGTCCGAAGGACAATACGACATAGTGCTGAACCAGGAGCTGCCGCTGCTCCGCGAAGCGTGCAAGGAGAAATACCCCGCAACGCAGACCAAAGCCGGCCTGCCACGCCTAACGATCGTGGTGGTGGGGAAGCGGCACCACACGCGGTTCTACCCGGCGCAGGATAACGACGCGGACAACAAGTCGAACTGCAAGCCGGGGACGGTGGTGGACCGGGGAGTGACCGAGGCTAGGAACTGGGACTTCTTCCTGCAAGCCCACTCCGCGATCCAGGGGTCCGCACGCCCCGCGCACTACTTCGTCGTGCTGGACGAGATCTTCCGCTCGCGCAAGGCCATTCCCGCGGGCAACCTGCAGGACTCGCTCGAGCAGATTACGCAGAGCCTGTGCTACGTGTACGGGCGGGCCACGCGCGCCGTCTCCATCTGCACGCCCGCGTACTACGCCGACATCGTCTGCGAGCGCGCGCGGTCCTACCTCAAGAACCTGTACGACCCGAGCGCATCGGACGCGGGAAGCGTGGCCGCCGGCGGCGGCGCGGCCGTGGTGAATTTGGCATCCTCGGTGCGCGTCCATCCGAACTTGACGAATACCATGTTTTACATCTAAGATGGGATCGAGGTGTCCCCGAGGAGAGTGGGCAATACCTACTAGGATGTCTAGGTACCTACTCAGTACCTAGGTAAGTCCATGTCGAGAAAGAGAAATGAGAAGAAAAGTAGAAGAAACAGAGGAGGATACAAACATGATGGGAAATTGATTATCGTTGCTTTATGAATCGAGACATGCCTGGATATGTAGACAGAGCCGGTGTATCTAGATACCTACCTAGTACCCAACTAGAAATAGGCCATGTTCTTCAGAGACTCATCTCTTGACACATATTGCGAATGTTGTATGTCAGGTGTAAGGTGAAAGACAACATCCGTGATAGAGCACCTCGTACACTTGTTCAGTATCATGCCTACCTAGGTAGGTAGATATCTAACCCTAGGTCTAAAAGGAGACGCTACAGAACATCGTGATAGGATACCGGAGACTACCTATTAGTCGAATAATCACGGAGACGTTTTAGTCTAGCCTTAGCAAATGTATCCTTTGCCCAAGAAGTATCCGTCATATAATGGTATCTGGAAACATTTCGGAAACTTGAGTGTCAAGTATAAGAGTAGATAGTTACTCCCTCGAAATCATGTTAAATCAGGAACTTATCCTTGACTTGTTCAGTGTGTCAATATGTCGTAAAAACATCATCTCATCCATACATCACCTATCACCACAAACCCCTACAACCTCCGTACCTATTCACCACCAACATGGCTCCAACTCCACCGACCTCAGACTCAAACCCAATCTCCTCGCAAGGCCTCTCTCGCTTCAACGACGCGGTCGTCATGAACCTAGGCCTCTTTGTCCTGGACGACGTGGAAGGTGCGGCACGGGGTCGATGTCATTGCAGGCGGCGTTCCGGTCGTGTAAGCCGGAGGATGGGTGGGTGTGGACGCGGAGTGGGGAATACGGAGGAGAAGGTTAGGCGTGTGAGTATGTAATCTCAGTCCCCACACCCTCTCCCCCCTTTTTGGCCCTCTTCGTCTTCGTCTTTTACTCCGTAGCTATAGTGGAGAATCCTTTCAACTTCAACGATATCGCCTACCTATCCAACTCCAACGAGCAAAATACCCACACACACCCATACACACACACACACGTATGTACAATACACAGTGGAAGCCGACAGCTCTGAAATCCGAAAATTTCCCAGACCACCCCCAACTTGGGAGTGCGGGTCCGAAAGCGGGGATCTAGCGTCGCCGACGTGGACGGGGCCCCGCGGTGGGAGAGGCTCGGCTCCGAGGAAGTGGGCCGCTGGGGAGACGAGATCCGGAAAGCAGCTGCTTGGGGGGGCGTGAGAAGGAGACGGGGATCTTGGAGGTGGCGGCTTGGGGTTGCGTTGTGCGGAAGAGTGCGTGATGGATGGGAAGGAAGGAAATATGAACACCGAGGCATGGTATCAGGTATACTAATAACGATAAACTTGAGATGTTTGATGAAAGATCAGCCATTTCGCCTTTTAGCGTAGCGGTATGCTCTAACATATACATAGGATGTTGGTGAAGATGATGATGATGATGATGATGATGATGATGATGATGATGATGATGATGATGATGCTAGGTAGTATTCTAAAGTTAGAGTAATAAGAGTCAACTTCCCTTTCTCATAAAAGCATTACCGTAGTGTATATTCACTTCCTCCTTTCTAGTTGTGTCTATTAATGAAAGGGCTGAAAGGAGAGCTGTCGGAGACACCTGGACCATGACTACTTCAGAATACCAATTTGGATGTTTTACGCGCGACGCGCCTAATGCTTATATCTATTTACCTACGTGACATTACTTGCTACGCTTGCTATCGTAGCAGTACTAGGCTCTATACCTACTCGTGACCGCTCGGCCATCGTTTTCATGTGTCTTCTTAGAGCATCGTACCCCGAGCACACGCCGAATCGCGCAAGCGTTTCGATTACCCGGCGAGGCACGCCGTTATTACGCATGTATATACCTATACACGTTGGCAAAAACTCGCTTTGTCTGGGCGCCACCCCATTTAACATTAAGGCGACAATCATATAAGCCCTCCTTGGGTATAGGAAAGTGTCGGAGGAGGAGGAGGAGGGGGTATCGGTTTGTACAGGAGGCTTGCCTCTTGGATGGAAAGTGCCTGTTATAAAAGCGGCGAGCTTAGGCGATTTGCGCACCAGTTGGGTCCAGGAATCTCCAATGGCCGTGTCAATGGACCCCGATGAGCCTACGTCTTTTACGTTGCTAGGGTTGTCGAAGGGTATGCCGAAGGACTCGGGCTCGAAGTTCCCATACGCGGGCTCGGTCGATAGCGCAGAGAGCTCCCGGCGGAAAGCCTTGGCATCGGCGATATCGTATTCTTCGTCGTCGAACCGTATTTCGATGCCGGCAGCTTTTAATCTCTCTCGTACAGCAGGATCTTTTAGCACGCTACGTAGCACAGGTAGCTTTATTTTAGCCCATAATCGGCCCTTGTCTGACGTTCCCAGGAGCCATTCCTTGAGGAACGCTTCAAAGCTATATCGATAACGCCAGTTTCTTCTCCAAAAGGCAAGGGTCATAGAAACGATATTTCCGTGTCGATTCGGCTCCGGGTCGTTATTATTTCCCGGCTCGTCTTCGGACTCCGGCTCATCCCCAGCTTCCGATACTGTAGGCGTAGAGTCAAAAAGGTCGGAGAGGTCGGAGAGATCGGAGAGATCGGACGTGGGAAGCGGTTGTTGAATATCCATGATTTTAGATAACTAAATCCGTCGAAAAAAAGAAAAAAGTAACAAAATTTGGGGAAAATTCAGATATATTTCAAAATTGTTGTTTTTTGATGTGATGTTGAGTGAAACTTACGGACCGTGGTCAGAGTTCACTGACATAAATCCAGTCGCTCACCGCCCTACTACAGCATCCAAGAGCTTACTAGGTACGGTTCTTAGCGTCATACCAGAAGCAAAACGGGGGGTTTTTTTTTTTAAAAAAATAAAAAAAGAAGAAAAAAAAAAGAAAAACATAAACGTACAACACCAGGGATTCGCTGGTCGTCACCGACCCAACTACTGATCTGGCGGTATCTGGCTTATCTATGGGAGAGCGGACGGGATCCCGAGTTGTCCAGATCCTATGGTCGTACGTAGAAGCATGTGCTGCCATTGAAGTATATATCTTATCCGCCCCAGGGGTGGTGGTGGTGGTGATTGTAGGTGGAGGAGGAAAAGGGGGGGGGGCCAGAACTTCAATTCGACTTCCCCAACCACCATTTCTAACTACACGATGTGGCCTGCTTATAAATTTGGCCTATTAAAAGACTTGCGAATTGATTGGCACATACCTTAGATACTCTTTGCCTCAATCTGGCATATTCGTTGTGCTACTGAAAATAGCGAGAGGCCGATTACGACGTCGAGACGGAAATTGAGGATAGACATAGCATGATTTCTATTGCGCATGAACTACTAACTACCTAACCTAGCGAAGAATAAATCTCTCCAGACTGCCGAAAACCTTGCATTTGATGATCATAGCTGAATCTACTACAACATCTAGCAACGTGTGGTTATCATCATCCATCGGTCTACTTGGGCTAGGTACCTATAAATACAACATCAAGACATCAAAGCGTGACCAGAATGTGCGCGTACATCTCACTGCATTACTTCTTCTCTGTTCCCTAAAATCTCACCAAAAGGATCTTCTGGCAAAGCGAAGACCCTGTACGTCTGCAAGTCACTTCCTAGCAAGCATACTCTAGGCGGTATCTTGCCTCGCGCAGAACTAGCTCCCTTGACTTCCATCTGAGCTGGTAAGAAGTTCGGCTCACAAGGCAGTATCATGTTCAGGAAAACGTTAGTAACCTGATCGTTACTGAGCATGTGAGGCGTCAGCTTGCCTCCCGGAGTGTACGATTGGTAGCCCAACTCGTCCGACTTGTGCGGTATCCTAACAATCCGTATTGGCTGGTCTGTCGGAGGGTTAGTAACAAAGCATGTATTAAGTTTGCTTCATATTTACCTCTCTGTGCCCATAAAACGAGTAAGCTATCGTTGTCTAAGAATTTGAGGTCAAGGACCTTTCCATCGCCGAGGACCATGGATGAGACTTCGGTGGAAACGGAACCACTGATCCCGTTCAACACATTCATGGTCGTTCGAAATACGTATACTATTGAACACACAGATGTAAGAAAGGGGAGATTTTGGTAGGATAATAGGGGTAGTTATCTCATACCACTGCTTTCGTCATTCTCCGTGGTAAGGGCCGTGTATGTCAGCCCCCGAGGAGTATCCTGGATCAAGGTTAGCATCAATGGGTGAAGGGTAGATGGCTGTAAATCGAAAATCATACCGTTTCACACATTTCAGCAGCCATCATGACATCGAATTTAGAGACATTACTCTCTAATACGATAGCAGTCGGTTGACCGAACCGTACGCTTCGCTTCTCTGCCTCTGCAATACCCTCAAAAACCGCACCGGCTTTGCTATCTAGATAATCACATAAAAAGTTGATCTGTGAGAACACCTCTTCATCGGACTGCTGGGAATCTTGCTTGTTGAGTTGTTTGCCAAGCAGATCTAATATAGAACTGCCACCTTCGGCTTGTTGGCGACCCCCCTCGGACTTATCCGCGGCTATGCTGCTAAGATAATTTTGTAAGGGGCTTGCAGCCATGTAATTTTGTATGTAGGCCAAAATCCTTCCATGGCCCATCGTTGCTTCTTTCTCAGTTAGCTCATCAGTTGACGAGGAAGAGGCAAGTCTATCGATCTCATGTCGGAGCCAGACCGAGAAAGACTGGAATAGCTCCAGCTCTTCCATGGCAAGTAGGAGAATTTTGTTGCCCACCAACATCAAGCAGGATACGATGTCCATGACCCTAGTAATTTGTGCGCTCGTAAACCCAATCTCGGCCTTCGACTCATGAAACCGGGCTACACCAAGGAGGCGGCTGAGGATAATTCCGATACGTTCAAGCGCTGGTATAAAGTTTTGATGTACAAGGCTACGAAGAGCTTGAAGACCTGATATTACTGCCTTACACCAACGTTTGTGGCCCTAATGTGACAGGTCAGTGTATACAGTCTTAAACAGGCCTAGATAATCGGGTGCACATACTCGCTCCGCCAACTGATCAACGAGCCATTCTTTGACTTCTGGAAATGTGTGGCCTGTCACAACAGAGTGATATAGTGCCTGGCCAATTCCCATCTCGCCATATTTTCCCGATTCTTGGAGCGTCTCATTAATACTATTCAAAAATCGAGTCGGAAGCTCGCGGGTCGATTGCCACTCGTGCATCATATGCATCTGCACTTGTTTAACATATCTCAGCAGCTTCTGTAGAGTTGTAGTCTTGGATGCAAGCAAGGATAAGTTTTCTGGCGATGAGTAGATGAAGGTTAGGTCCATAGGCACGAGATACGTAGCTGTTAGATTTCCTGCCCCGGACGGCTTGAAGATGAGCATGTGAGTTGACAGGTCGGGATGAGACGCATGATAGCATAATTGTAGGGAAGGGCTGCCCTTAGAGGACTGAGGCAGACTATATTTGAACGTCCCAATGACGAAAGAGTCGTAAATGCTGACGTGTATGTGGCCATCGTTGGTACCAACGATCATAACGTCGACATTATCACTGTCATGAGAGACGAAGGGCTTGAATAAAAACTCCAACGAAGCCCGCGTAGTAAACACATACGAGTCATCACTGAGAACTGGTTAGCACATAGTTAAGCATGGCAAGCCTGATATCCCGTCTTACCCCGAGCCCCCTAATATCGGTAAAGGACTAAGTTTCGGCAGAGCAGTCTCAACTTCGAGAAAAGTAAGTTCTCGTGGGAGGTCCACGGCGGCTTTCTTACCGCTTGGAAAAAGGTCGTGAGATATGATGTCGTCCCAGGGCATAGAGCTAGGCGAAGAGTCCAAGTCTACGCGTTTCCCTAAGTGATTACGTGCCCAGCCGATACAGGTGATTCGAGACTGGCCACGCTCGCATACGTGGATTTGGTGAACGGCCTTGTTGGTTTCCAAGCCCATCAGCCGTACAACCCCATCGCTCCAGCCTGCTGCGAGGAACTGACCTAATAAATGCTGAATTAGACTTATTCTTTCTTATTCTAGTGTAAAGGCAGCTTACCGTCGGCTTTCCAACAAAGAGCCTCGACGCTGTCCTGCTCACTTCGCTGGCTACTTTTTGTCACGATTTGGCCATTAGATCGCCAAATCTGAAGATTCTTAGACCCAGCTGCCCCAGCGAAGAGCTCGATAGTGGGATTGTAGGTTAAGAGCTTGTCGCGTGGCTTTGGGTCAAGTCGCGATTCGCTGAAAAGCTTGAGCTCAATTGGTTCAGGCATAGTCACTCTCAAAGATAGAGACTTTAAAAGTGTACAATTTGTATGGAGAAAAGTCGTCAACCATTATGTGGCTTATTTTGACATCGAGTACATGATACTGCTGCATGTGCCTGTTCAATGTTGTAGGTACATAGGTAGTTGCCTTCAATTGCGTCTAGGCACATATGTGAGTAGTATTGTTTAATGTTGAATCTTCAAGTTTTATATTACTAGGTAATCTTTTATATTAATCTTTTGCATTAATCTTTTTGATGTTCCATGTGTGTCGTGACTGCTGTGGGATTTTATGAAGAAGGCCTTCAATGTTTTCAGGTATCTTATTAGTAGTACAATACTAGGTACCTAGTACCTAGTACTGCCTAACATGTATGCAGTTGCACAGTGCGCCAAATACAAGGTAGCTAACCTACTAGGTTAGGTACCTAGTTAGCTCCCAGGTCAACTGTCACAAGTACCTAGGTAATTATCAATCATTTGGTATGCAAATTAGTGGATTGGCCAAGTAATGAATACAGTGCTATTATCAGTACAAAAAGACTGTATTTCTGTACTTCTGTACTTTGGGCTATAAGTGCTTCAATGTTCGTCAAGTTGAATCAGACAACATTATTCACAATTCTTTAGGTTAGCAAGCTTAATTTTGGACCTTCATAGCTCTGTGTGAACATATTTATCTCCCAACCCCTTTTGCTGGTCGTTTCCCCATCGCATCATGCTTAAACTCATTAATTCCAAGCCTCTTATCCTTATAAACCTCCTACTCGACCAAGTAAGAATCAGCCACCGATTTGATGTCCTTCGAGAAAGTCACTTCCTCGTTCTCCTCCACCAATACCACGGACAGAACCTATGATCAAATATTAATATGCTGAGGAGCCACGAATAGGTCGATAAGAATGCAACTCACATCAACATCAACGAATGGCGTAGTCTTCGAGAATCGCACTTGCATGGGGAAAAACTCATTCTCATCATCCGCCTGGGCTTCAAATTCAAAGGAGCCGTTAGAATTGTCATCACTGACAGTCCCGATAGACCATTCCAAGCTATCTCCCGTCACTTCGTAGGCAGCATCGAAGCTGGAAACGGATGGCTCGCTTGTGACGTACGGGATGACCACCGAAACATCCTTCAACGTATCACCGCCGGTTAGCTCGTATTCAACGGTAAATGTGTAATCGTTATTTGAGCCCTTGTTCACCCATACAGTGAAACTAATGGGGAGAGCGGTCGTGTCATCCGTTTTGGGCGTAGCTCGCCATCTCAAAACTCCAACGGCGTTGTTGACAGGGAAACCACGAGCTATATTGCTCATCTGGATGGCCTTGCCACTGTTGAAGTGGGAGCGGTCGACATTGGGGTGAGTACGGAATTGAGCGCCATGGGAAGCGTTGGCTGTGAGGTTGAGTTTGATCTTGGTCAAGTTAGGGTCGGAAATCTTTAGACTCAAATCACCGCCAACAGTCAGAGAGTTGAGTGAACCCTCTCTCGACAGTTTCGCACTGATGGCCTCATTGATGGTGACATGGATGGCATCGCGGTCCGAGGTTAGAGACGCTCGCGGAGCTGTGGGTTCGACAGCAGGCGCATGGGTGATTGGTACTAGGGGTGACTCGTCTACTTCGGCTCCCATATCTCCCCGCACACGTTCGAACATGTCTGTAGTTTTGGATTTCTTGCCTAACTGCATACCCTTGCCCTTCATGATAGTTGTCCTGCCACTTTGTTAGTGTAGAACAACACAAATATATCGGTGGTTCTTCGTACTTGTGTGACTTATTCTTCTCAGCTTCATAAGTGTCGTATGTATCCGTAGGCGTAGGTCGAGTAGGTGGTGTATAAGTCGGATACACGGGCGTGCGCGGCGCACTGGGTCGGCCGGTTCTCGCGGTTTCTTTTCGTTGTAACTCCAGCTGCTTGGCCTTTCGCTTGCGCTCCTCGGTTGCTTCTAGTTCCTTGTTCTAGAGGGGTGTTAGCAAAGCATCGAGGATTTTTTATCACAAGTGAATAGCATACTCGGGCGATAATCTCTTGGATGCGCTCCTCGTGACTTTCCATCTCCAAGAAGGTCTTGATCTGGCTAATAGTGAGGTTTTCCCTATAGCCAAGTGAAACCAACTCGTCAAAGGCACTTAAAAGTTCGTAGGCATTCTTCAATATTTCCCTCTCGTCCAAGGTTCTGCACGTGCTAGTCACCACTTGCGCGAACAAGTGAAGAGAGTCAATGTCCTGTAAGATGTTGGACTGGCGGTTGGTAATGAGAACCATGTATAGCTCATCCAGAGGCTGGTAGACGAAGCGAACATTGTCTTGTTCGACGGTAGTGTGCTGTGTACCGGAATCGGCGAGTTTGGGGAAAGAGGCGAGGAGGGCTTCGATTCGTGATCGGGGCATCTCACGGAACTGTCTAGAGAGGACAGCTTTCCCGCCTCGGGTGCAAATAGATGCTGCTAAGACAACCTACCATAGGTCATTAATTATTAGTCAAGTCGGCGTCGACATGGGAGGTGAATGATTACCATTTTGCTTGCGCTGAATCTGTAGGAATGCGCAAATTTGCTATGGGGTAGGAGGAATAGAGGAGATCGGCCCAGGTAAGAATTGCACAAAGGGTACCCAGTTGATGCTAATAGCTGTCTCTTTCACGATCAAGCCAATTCACCATAGAAAATGTGGTGCTGGGAACTTTAGTATTATGTAGACAGCCCCTGGTCAAGCCACATCATTGATGTTTAGGTAAACTTCTGTTTCTCGATTTACTCAGCTCCCCTTAGAAACCCGATATTTAGCCAAAGAGGGTACATATGTACATAGTTATGCTACCTACATAGTATTAGCGCGTACCCGATAAATTTGATTTAATGGGTCCCATGGGCTGCACGGACCCAATGCAAGCGCCTGTCCTACATAGTACACATGTAAACCTAGCCAACTTGAAAATGGCAGGTGGGGTCTCTTCCAGGTACCTTACCAACCTTACCAACTTTACCTTACCTACAACCATTCTACTAGGTACCAACTAAACCCTGCTGCGGACTTAGAATGATCATCATCATCAGCTTTGTACAAAATTCAAACTGAACTCATTCAAACACTCTATCAACCATCAACTTTGATTTAATCCTCGATTCTTCCTATCTCGAATCACTGACACGGGTCGCTCGTTTCTTTAAACTTATTCTTTTACCTGCGACAGATAATCCCTGACAAGGGAATTCAAACACCTTCCGGTCCCATTACGAATTTCGAATGCTACCTGAATCACGTCCTATTTTTTAATCACCGCGACTGTTGCCAAACTTGCAACACTTCAATCTCTACTGACACCCCCTCCACTTCCAGCAAACAGTGATCAAGTTCGCTACTTGTTACATGCTCTTTCATTAGAGTATCTAACCATCGCCTCGTTATAAACATACATTGTCCTTATTAGAGATCAAACATCCCACGCTAGTTGACGATTAAATCGTCTCGAGACGCGTCCACGCAACGCCGAAAAGCTACGACACGATCCGTACAGTTCCCATACGAATCTCCCATCGCTCTAGATGATTTCTATGATTTCTGTCAATCTATCTACATCATCTATACTCTTTAAACCCGACCATCAACCCGCTCCATCGACAACAATAAGACAATAGGACGCATTGCGCTCATCGAATTTCGCCGACATCGTTACCACTTAACCTCGCCCAGGATATTCTCCCCATATCCGTAAAATACGGTGGAGGAGTAGTTGTAGACGGCCTATCGTAGCCTCGATGTACTAGACAACATCGTGGCTAAAGTTTTGTCTTTCTCTCCGGAAAAAGAAAGTGTCCCTTGAACAGACGGCTTTGTTTGCCGCAAATTTTAACCACTCGCCTTTTTCCGTACTCTTTTCATATTATCATTTCTTTCACGCTCTCTGTGGAGCTGTTGATGATATTTTACCCGTTATCCAAAGATATCAGATCTTTATTTTCTGTTACCAATCTGACTCCAGCCACCAGTTGTGTTTTTTCAAGCAATACACAATGCCTACCGAGGAAATGGAGATCACGACCGACTTCGGTCATCCTGGTTTTGGAGAGGATATTGATATAGATTTGGATTTTGCAGTCGCACAACCAGACGAAGACCTTGAACTAGCAGATTTCGATCAAGCTCGGGAAATCCAAAATTTCAACTCAGACACGAGAGACGAGTTGATGGCCGAAGTTGACGATGCATCATATGGCATGGTTGATGCTGATGATATGGAACACAATGAGGCGGCAACAGCTGCCAATGATATTGAAATTGACTTGGGCGATCCTGATGAGAATATTTGGCAACAAAACGTTCCCCAGGAGGAAGCCCAGGAGGGAGCCCAGGAGGAAGCCTATGAGGACTTTCCGGAAATTGACTACACTGAGGACAACAATCTTAGCAACATGAATGCTGAGAACGTTGATGCTGGCGAAATTAGCTGGTTAGAGACGCCGGCCTACACCATAAACAAGTCTAACGAGGTCAATCTAGAATCGGTTCAAGCCGATCTTGGTTATATTCAAGCAACAGAGAACAATATCCTCCAAGGATCTGCGGCTGCTGTCGCAGCTGTAGACTCGAGTGGAATCGGGGCATCTGAGACTGGAAGTCAGGCTGCAAATGTCTTTAATGATAACATCCCAGAAAACGAAGGTCAAAGTACATGGGGAGAAGAACAAGAAGCAGAACTAGATGCTAGTCTTGCGATACCTGCGTCTCCATTCGCGGCCAGTGAAGGGCGTCAGCATGATACTAATAATCCCGGGCCAGAGAATGGCGCAAGCCCAGATAATGGTAGTCATGAGTCCCACGAAGATGTAGGACATCCAACGAGCCGCACAGAAGTTTCTAGAGAGGGACTCAGCCAGGACGATGCTCCCGTCCCAACGAACGAGCATGGATCCCCTGAATCCATGCCTCCAGAGGACGAATCGGTAGAGAAGCACCCTGCCGAAAACGAACAACAAACGGAACAACATCATCTACCCATATCTGAAATAATCGAATATGAGCAAGGTAGTGGGTCGAAGGCCGAGCCGACCAATGATAGTGATTCTATTGGCCAAGACTATGAAGGAGGAGAGCATCCCACCTCTGATGCCAGTGAAACACATAAACAACTGGATGCGTACGGCGCTCCGAATGATGACCACGAGAGCCATGAAGACCATGAGGACCATGAGGACCATGAGGACCATGAGGACCACGAGGACCATGAGGGCCATGAGGACCATGAGGAGGCTGATACCAGCAACGAGGAGCAGAATCTGCTTGCTAGCGTTACGCCCCTCGAAGATCCGCTCGTTGTTGCTACGCGCTATGAGATGTTCATTTCTTACGGTCGAACAGATTACAGACTCTTCGCTAAGTCCGAAGACGATGATCCAAACCACTACTTTCTCCGTGATATGACAGCCTTGGAACTTCCCCTCTCTCAACTCTTATCAAGTATACGAGAAGTTATTGCGGAAGAAGTATCTCCTCTCAATGAACTGGTGATGCATGTAGATGGGCTGGGACTTGAATTCTCCGAGGTATGTCTAGTCTCCCAAGCCTCTTTGCCTGTTCCAGGCTAACTAGTTTATAGTCCTCTTCGAGTGAAATGCTTGAACAATTTACGTTCGGCGATATTCTCCTTTTGCATGACAAACTCGTTAAGAACGAAGAAGCAGAAACATATCCCGATCTTTATACTTATCTCATGGTAAGGCCCAACTGCCACCAGCGCTTTATGGCACTTGTAGACAGCGCAGACGCGGGCCGTAGCCTTTCAGAAGTCGCTGTTTATCGGGACGTGACGCCTGATAATGAAGAAGAAATGGGTTACCTCGATGGCCAAGCCTTGTCTGTCTCAGATCATACTGAAGGCGGTGAGGTCTATAGCATCAAAGATGAGGATACCGCGGAGCTTGAAGTCAACGAAAATAATGCATATAGGGTGGAGTATGAGGCTAGGGCACAATCACCCTTAGACCAACAGTCTGCTGCGGAAGCAAACGTTACTGAGGAGCCTGACAGAACACCTGAACAGAATACCGACACAAGCAATGACAAAAACACCACAGATGACTTGATTGATTATGATGATGAGCTGGACGAGCTGGACGAAATTCCATCATCAAAGAATGGTAATTCCCACCCTTTCCCAACCTATACATATCTCTTTCAATGTCGTCAGACCCCCAATTGCCAATGTAACAGCTGCTTTGACCTCGATCTTGAGCGTCTTGAAGCGAGTTGGCGAGACGAGAGCTGGACCTCGATCCCTTCAAAGAGCACCGCTCAGAATATCCACGCCAACTACCCTAAAAGCGATGCAGAGTTGCACGCAACTTCTCCAGTCCGCCAACATTTTCATGTGCCTGGACCACAGCCTTTTGGAACCTTACAAATAGATACTAACACTGGCCATATTCAAGATCAAGAGAATATGTCTCTTCGGCATGACACTCGCGAGGCTCGAGGAGAGTCTGATGCGGTGGCTACCGATATAAACAACGAAAACCAGCACCCGTCGACGCCGCCGAATGGCACAGTGGATGCCCCCAAATCCGACGTCACTAGTGCTACTGCCACACTTACCGGTGACGATAAAGATGAGATCGACTATACGGACGATGAGGAAGATAACGAAAATTTTGGCGGCAAATATACTCCACCCAATATTATCCCAGATGCGGCTACAAAGATAAAGATGCCAGTGGATGATGAAATCACGTGGGAGTCGGACAATGAGGATGCTAAGACTGGACCCACACCGGCTCCCAAGCAAACGGTACAAGTGTCACCACCCTCCGGGAAAAGACCTCGGTCAGACTCGGACACGGCCGAGAATTTCATGCAACAGAATGGTAAGCATGCAAACTCTTCAGAAACGTATCTCAAATTTTTGCTAACTTGTCATAGATGTCAAGCGTCGTCGTCCATCTTAACCCTCTCCAACCCCCATCCAGCCCATTTGCTTTCCTTCCCCCTTTCCCATCCCATCCCCATCCCCCCCTCCCCCTAATATGGCCTGTTTCGACTTGCAGCTCATTCAAAAAATATTACTAATGGGCTGGTGTCGGATATGCACGCCTGCAACCAACTTACAGGTCTTGATATTCCCTCGTTTGGAACGAGGGTACGATTCCCTCCCGGAATACTAACATGAACAGCCTTGAGAACTACGGACGGACGGCATTGGTTTTGCCAACGGTAAGTTTACATCGATTTCGGACTACTCGTAATGACAGCTCAGGTCTCTCCATTACGAGTGCCCTAGGGCGCAACGATCACCTCCGCCATTTACTTCTTTTTATCTTGTCATTTTTAATACTCGCAATGCCCCTCGGCTCTTCGCAGCAACATAGGTGCATACTGTGTAAAGAGGATATACTAGGACGCCTTAGGAGTTTCGGGGAAAGGAAAATCTCACGGAATGGAGGATATCGATATCTAGGTACACCATAGGAGGCGTTATGGCTTTGCTAGTGATATAGTCGATTACACGAAGGTCTAGATTTCATGGCGCGGACAGGGTATCGCGGACGGAAATCTAATGCCGGTGGTGGATGCGACGTTGCCGATTTACTCATATTCCTTAGGAGCACGGAGATATTTTTTCACGGAGACGCTTCACTTTGCTTCAGCTTAGTAGGTAGTTGGGGATATCTTAAAGGACCTAATAATGAATGTACGGATTTTGTAGTAATACATTCAACGGATGCTTTTACAACCGCAGTCGCCAATCGTGATACTATCATACTACCTAGTACATACATACCCTAGGTAGGTACATACATGTAGGTATGTATGACATTGTATGTATACATTAGGCTATACTTACCTAGATATTATACCTAATAGGTATGTAGTATTTAACAGTAGCTCAAAAGGGATAAGGGAGAAGACGCCACGGCAAGCAAGTGGAGAGCATTCGTCATAGTTAATTCAGATACTGCAGCGGGTTCCGAGTTGCTACCAGGTACGTATCAGATATCAGATGTTTACATAAGATCGAACAGAACAAATGATGGTATCGAATTGTGCGGTCTTCATAGGTATCTATCGCTTCCGAGATACGAACATTAAAGGTCATACGACACACCTACATATGTACAGTACATGTACCATGCGCACTCGGCATAACATTGAATCTGCAAACATACATATGTACTATGTACTTTACTTCCTCCCTGCCTACACGCATATAACTATGTACATACATTATTCCATAGATAAGCCTGGTGGCTTATGATTGACAGAAAGGTCGATCGAATTAGTGCTGATCAACATTCAGGAACAGGAAACAAACAGGACCATGAGTGCAGGGAAGAGGGATGTTTTTCGAGTCTATGTTTTCCCTGTGTCTGCTCCCGTCGAGGTCACTAAAGCCGTAAACCCTAGATAGTTCGTTCTAACTTCTAAGATGGTCAGGCTGCGTACGTGTACAATACGGGGATATGTCTATGTAAGGAGAAGCACAGCCTCGTCGAAGTGGGTCTGGCTTTAAGAGAATTGCATGTAGGAGAATTGATTAGGAGAATTAAGAGGAATAAGACGAATTATCTTGTGATTTTGTGAAAAAGTTTCACAGTGTTCATAATTGTTCCCCATAATCTAATGTACTGGGTAGATGATGATACTTGAGTCTTGTAATGTGCTGGAACTTGGAAGAGATCAGATAATGATTCAGATTATTAAAAATAAATCTCGTTTTAAAAATGCGCCGTTGGGACTAGGTACGTGGGTAATTAGATGGACTCCGAATGGAGATTTTATTAGTGTACAAAGTACTATCAAAGCCTTTTCCGTGAACATTCTATATCCATGATAGTTATGTGAATTACACACATTCATGTCCTCAGTAGGTACATACATCATTACCTACATATGAAAGTGTCACTTGAAATTTGATAAGGATCAATGTACACGTGCAGTATGCTGTAAGTACCTAGGTTATGGATAATTACATATTATATACAATAAAGCAACGGAACAATTCAGACAAAAACTCTGATTAATACATTCATAGATCAGAAACATCATGACTTGAGAGAGGAAACCGATGATGCTGCTACATAATGGCCAGGATCAGGGGGGCGGGGGCTAGCTAACTATGTTGTACTTAGTAGCATATCCATTCTTGGATGCTAAGCGGCCAAGCGGTTAGGGTGCTTTAGCCAAGTTAGGACTAAGCCAATATGATAATAGACGTAACCAAGTATCCCACTCTGTAGGTTAAGTAGGTTTAAGTTAGCTCCAAGTACTCCAGTTGCGTACCTTGCTCCTCCAGAGTCTGAAACCCTCCCACTTTGCCCAGTACTGTACTAAGTCTAACCTACTACATGTACAATACATGCCTACTACATTTGATGTAATGTAAAATTGTATGTAGTGTACTTGCGATTTACCACTGCATGTCTGCATCTTCTGTATGTATTGTACCACTTGAGCAGCAGACAAGGGCAAGCTTTCAATCCTTTCAACCTTTTCAGATCTTTCAAACTTTTCATCAAGCCTCTTTACCTTTTACCGTAACGAACACGAACCAATAATTCATATCCTATCGCGAAATATACCCCCTTTCAATTCTACTCATTCACTCATTCAATCAACTTCTATCAGTTCGTAACGGCCCATCCTGCCCATCCTGCCTATCCAGCCTATCCAGCCTATCCTATCTCATCCTACCCCATCTCATGTGCCCCCCGATTCCCATCTACTAAGCGACGCTTTCCTTACGTACCGCCGTCAGCCACCAAGCTTTTTGGAGTGGGCGCAAGCGATTCGATCGTTCCTATTCGGGTATTCGTGGCATCTCCGCCGACTAAGGCGCAAAAAAAAAAAAAAAAGAGGATAGAGACCACCTGACTCCGACTCCGACTCCCTTTCGTAACTACCTACTTACCTCGCCCGGCGCGAGCCATCCACCTAACCTTTGCGACGACTCTCGTATTCTTTTTCCCTTTTACCAACCATTTTTATCAAACAAAACGCTGTGATCTCTCGGTCGCAGCGAGTAAATCTGTCTCCATGATGATGCTAGATGAGAAGTACGCATTACCCTACTCCATTGTATCCGGCGCCCTTAAGATGCACATTTTCCATTTACATGAACACATGTTATTGCGATTGATGGCATGACACTGGACTAACCTGGACTTTCTAACAGATATATCGGGTTAGCGTTAGCTATATCCTCGAGTTTAGCCATTGGTAAGTTCATCGAGCGCCGACAGGCGATCATGACGCTGGAATCGGGAAGCTAACCTCCTATATAGGCACAAGTTTTGTAATAACAAAGAAGGTACCGCAACCAAGCCATACTCCCGATCATCAACTCCGAGCCCCATTCTAATATAACGCAGGGATTAATACAAGTAGAAGAGAAACACGGCTTCTCCGGCGATGGATTCGTCTATCTTCGGAATCCCTTGTGGTGGGCAGGAATGATAACCAGTAAGAAGCCGACTTCCAACCATTATGCGGAAAGACAATTAACAGATGATTCCTTCAAGTGATTACTGGAGAGATATGCAACTTTGCTGCATATGCCTTTGCTCCAGCTATTCTAGTCACGCCCTTGGGAGCTCTGTCTGTCCTAATTGGAGCCGTCTTAGGATCCTACTTTTTAAAGGAGGAGCTGGGAACCTTGGGCAAACTTGGCTGCGCTATCTGCCTGCTGGGGGCCGTTGTCATCGTCCTTCACGCCCCCCCTGACGAAGACATTCAGACTATCGATCAAATTCTGAATTACGCGATTCAGCCCGGTGAGTTGGACCGTAGCTACGGTGTAATGCTTCAGGCATGGAGCTAATATGGAGACTAGGCTTCCTTTTGTACTGCACGGTCGTAGCCATCTTCGCGACCGTCATGATCTACAAGATCGCCCCTGTTCATGGCAAAAAGAACCCTCTGATCTACCTTTCGATCTGCTCCACCGTTGGTTCAGTCTCGGTCATGTCTGTGAAGGCTTTTGGCATTGCGCTGAAGCTTACTTTCGCGGGAAACAACCAGTTCTCCCACGCTTCAACATACGTCTTCATGATCCTGACAGCTATGTGTATCCTTACACAGATGAACTACTTCAACAAGGCCCTTAGCCAGTTCAGCACCCAAATGTACGATATATCCTGTAAAGTGTGAAGTTCATGGATGATGCTAACCAGTATATAGAGTCAACCCCCTTTACTATGTTACTTTCACGACCGCTACTCTCTGCGCTTCTTTCATCCTATTTTCTGGTTTCAACACCACTGATACAGTCAACACCCTCTCTTTACTATGTGGTTTCCTTGTCACCTTTACTGGTGTGTATCTATTAAACCTCTCGCGACGCGATCCCAATGGCACGAGAATGCTTGCTGGGCAGGGCACGGATGTTACGGGCACCGATATGATCTCAAGTATCCAAACACGTCTTAGTATGCAGGCTAGGCGTAGCACGGGTTCGCGGATAAGCGTAGGAAGCCGAGGACATTCCGATAGGGACGGCCTCATGCGCGCATACGACTTAGAGCAAGCAGCAGGCGAATATAGCCTCAACGATCTCACCGAGAGCAGCGACGATGAGCATCCCCCTAGAAGAAACGGCTCAGCCCCCACGCCCAAAGGCCATGAATCGATCGAATTGCAGAATCGGAAGTCGGCCGAGCGATGAGAAGGGCCAACGTCAAATTCTTTGAAGAGGATAACTTCCCACCCATCGTTATCCCCTGTCATCCCTGTCAACAAATTCTCAACCGCATTGTATATTTTCCAGCCTGGCGATGCCCAGCCCCCTTTTTTTCTAATGAATTAGAACGTTCAATTCCACGGCTGGACACGATTGATTTCACGGATTCATGTTGCGTATTCCAGACAGGGAAAGACCCCTGCGGTGTATAATGGCAATACATTCCCTTCCCACCGAAGAGGAAGGGAATGAATATCGGGGGCTCACTCAAGGAGTATAGAGGTCAACCATTTTTTATTTTGGGATTCTTGATTTTGTGACTGTGTCTCACCGCGGCGTTTCGGGGGGCATTGGAGGGGTTTACCTTGGAAGGGAAGTATAGCAGCCTTCCGGCATACACATTCGGCGCAGAGAAGGGAAGGATGGCTCCCAGTGAGGTCCAAAGGGAGCGAACTGAAACGGAATCGGGATAATCGAGATGGTAGCAAGCTACCCACATCTCCAGATAAAATTTTATCTCTTTTCAAAAAAGAAGCAAGCTGTTTTGCGATGGGAGCAATTTAGGTAAATTTTCTTTTATTTGTTGCTGTATGATTACTATGTGTGGAAAGAGATGACGACGGCATGTATACCTACCTATTATCCTTATCCTGTCCTTGCTTGTTCACAGTTGGTCCCCTAGGTATGTAGATGTTTACCTAGAGGCTCATAAGGCGGCAGCATGGATGGCGGGGATTAGGGTATACTGATATGTATCTGCATACAGCGGATAACGGGGTTTTTTGCAAGCAAAAGGAAGCAAAGCAAAAAAAAAATATGCCCCTAACGCTGAAGAAAAGAGTACGTGCCTATCTAGCAAATTTCAGATCGCGATTACGATCTAGTCATCGTATATACCCCTAGGTGCCTGCTGTGTTATGTATTTGTTGGGCGTGCGTGATGTGTAATGAGTGAGTGAACGAGCTGGCAGGTAATGGGCCGCACATGGATGGATGTAAGGTCTGTAATATAAGGTCCACTCGCCTATTCCCACCCATACTCCCTATATTTCTATGTCCAATGGATCTTCTATTGTGCGCCAGATATGTGGCAAGTGTCTGCAGGCGAGGGAGGTATACTATGCAAGAAGGTACCTAAGATAGGTAGGTATGTTGATATCATGTCACAAGACAACCACGGGGACTGGACTGGGTCTAGACGAGGGTTGGCACATAGTACATTCTATTTGTTTTATTGGGCCTGTAGCATTAACTTCGTTTATATGGGCACAAACCTCTACGATCTGCCCGGGGAGACGAAACATAGCATCCAGATGGATCCATCACTGTCATGTAAACTGACGCATACTGACTTACATGTAGGCACTGGGTACCAGTCACCTAACATACCAGGAGGCATCCATGAATATAGGACACTCAGTACGTAGCAAATTCTACTCGCAACATATTCACTAAAGATTACAGCCCTCGCATATCGGTATATGTGACAGTTGCCATATTGTAGCTCTACGGCTATTCATTAACAAGTGTAGAGAGCCGTGTCCTAGCATCATTCATGTCCGGTTTGTAAAGTTTCCTCTTTCCTTGCAAATGCACATGTGACTTGATGAATCGATGATTCATCTCAAAGAACGCCCCGAAGAAACAGTTTCTGCCCTTAGAAAAAGGAACAAGACCACCTTTCTCGTTCGTTACATACGTCCCTTTTCGTCCCTTTCCGCATTCCCAACCCACTCGCCTTTCCTTCGAATTGAGGAGTCCAGCACCGACTGCTCAATCCACTTATTCCTCAGCAGGAGGGGCCTCCTCGGCACCCTCCTCAGCGGCGCGGGCAGCCTCTGCCTGAGCCTGGATTTGTGCGGCCTTGGCACCATAATCCTGGCTCATGGGGGTGACGATGCTCGACTCTTCCTTGGGCTCGATGATAGTAACGGCATCAGGGAGAGACTTGGAAGGACCAGCCTTGCCCTCGGGGTCGGAGCCGCGCATGATCTTGACCTTGATACCAAGAACACCCTGTCGTAGGAGAACGTGACGAGTGGCGCTGTCGATGAAGTCGCGGGCGGGTTGACCGGAGTGGATCATGAAGCCGTCGGTGAACTTCATGGACTTGGCACGGGCAGCGCGCAGCTTACCGGAGACGACAACCTCGCAACCCTTGGCGCCGCTCTCCATGATGAAGCGGAGAACACCATAGCAGGCACGACGGACAGCAAGACCGTTCAGAAGCTTGTAGCGCAGGGACTCGCACTGGGCGACGGCGGACAGACCACGGTTCTGGACCTTGGCAGCGTATAGCGATACGGAACCCTCAGGGAACTTGAAGCGCTTCTGGATGAGGGAGGTAAGCTCGCGGATGCGGCGGCCTTGCTCTCCGAGAACCTCCTGGGTGTGGGTGGCGCGGATGATGATGTCGGTAACAGTGGGGGTAACGCGGACTTCGACACCAGAGTAGCCCTCCTCGGCAAGCTCGCGCTGGAAGAATTCGTTGAGCTCGGCGTAGAAAACACCGTCAGCAACGAACTTTCTGCGCTTGGAGCTATAAAGAAGAGAAAAATTAGTATAAATGTTGAATGCTGCCGGGTAATTCTATAATAGAATGTGGTCTTGATCTAGGAGGGGCAATCAAAAGTCCAAATGACGGCGATCCAGTATCCAACTGAACTATGTAAGAGACGAGGAAGAATACTTACATTTGAGTACCCGGAACGGCCATCTTGACTGATTGAAATGTGATTGATGACTACGAAGAATCGAAGTATGAAATTGACAGGTTTGAGGAGGAAAGTCGTTGAACAGCCGGGTTGAGGTGAAGTTCACGAAATTCCGTGGGTGGAAGTTGTTTGGCCGATAGAAAGTGGATACACACTCATATGGATTTTGGCTGTGAATTTTTTTGCTTAGGGTTGATTCGAGTTTTGTGTGCCAAAATCCGAGGAAAAGTTGTACATGCCAAGGATTGTTTGGTTATCGATAAAGAGATGTGCATAATACTAGGTACCGTTGACATTATGTAAGTATCCACCCTCAAGATGTATGTACCCTTGTACCTACTACTACTACGGTCATGGTCAACCTGGTAGGTAGTAACTATGTAGCTACCGTGACGAGGGCATGTGTGACGTCTTTTATTAATCAGCCACAACCATTCATTCATGCCACTGTTGAGTCTAGTATACTAGCGTACATGCAGTTAGTCTTTTTTTCTTCTTCAATAATCTCTTCTCAGCCTTGAAGCCCCCAGCTAACTGTTGCTGCTGCTGCCCGCCGTTCATACAAATGCCCCGCAACTATCATTTCAACTCAGCTTAAAGCAACGAGTAGAACAGTCAAATGCACCCACTTTACTTACATCCTCCCCCCCCCTAGCAACCCATCTAGGCTCTAGCACCTATCTCCAGGGCTAGCACTTAACACCTAGCACCTACTATAGTACGCGGCCAAGCATACCTACGCTAAGAAGAGCATTGAAGAGAATAATCCAATGTGACTTCTGACATATGATGCTCTGCCAACTCAGAATATTCCAGGATACGCTCCATCGTATTCCAGAATTTCCAGTCTTTGGTTAGGTACCTTCCAAAGAATGGCCCAATGAAGTTGAGCATACATCCTAAGGTTAGGTAGACTATCATTCCTCAATTTCCAATACCTACATCAATACATAGCTCTGTTCAGTCTTCTCTTCTCCCCTTCTTTCAACCATTTCTCTTCATCTTCTTGGTTGCTACGGTGTAAGCTGTGCAAGCTGTGCGGGCTCGAGGGCACCTGCAACTACTGCTCTGCCCTGAGCAAATACAAATGCAGATGCGACAACGCGACAACGTGCATCTCTTCACGTTTGATTCTTTATCTGTATAACTACCCACCTCCCTAGACTTACCACCTGTCACTCGTCTCCCATCCCGTAGTTTCAAGATGCAAATCAAGAAGGTAAATCTTCATCTTCTTCACTTATTTCTGTCAGATCTCTGTGTGGTCTTGAACGATCTCGAATGATCCGGATTATCTCGATTATCTCATCACTAAGCCTTAATAATTAGATACCTGATGTCGATGCCCTTAGAGGCGGCGAAAGACACTCTGGCGAACTCCATCTCACTGAACATCACATCATATTTATTTTCCCTAATGTACTTCCCGAAGGGGCCCAGCCGCAACCGAACACTCCGAAGACCCGCGAAGTCTACATCGCCTACCCTATCATTGCCAATTGTATCTTCCGAGCAAGTCCTAGTATATCAGGACGGCCTTCTTCTATACGACTACGATGCCGAGATTTTATGTTCATAAACTTCAACATCGTTGATGAGATTAATGCGCGGGATGCATTCGAGTACATCAGAAACCGCACATGCCGACTTGGCTCCATAGAGAAATTATATGCCTTCAGCTACCAACCTCTAAAAATTGAGAAACCGTTTGATGGATGGAATCTATACGATCCGAGAGCTGAGTTCCGTCGGCAGGGTATTAGCAATAAGTCTGTTGATAGAGGATGGCGGGTCTCGTTGATCAATAAGGACTATACCTTTTCCCCGACCTACCCAAGTCTCCTGGTCGTGCCCTCCAAGATTTCCGACAATGTCATCAAATATGCCGGTTCGTACCGATCTAGGCAACGCATACCCGTCTTGACATACCTCCACTCACTCAACAACTGCTCTATTACACGAAGCTCTCAGCCGATGGTAGGATTCAGGGGCAACCGCAGCATACAGGACGAAAAGTTGGTCAGCGCATGCTTTTCTGCTTCTGCAACTGTTGAGTTTAATAGTGTAGACGTTGCAGTCACGGAGACGGCAGATCCTAGTCCAGCGTCAAGTCAAACAGACCTTGGAGGTGATACCATGGAGGTAGAGACATCGGATACCGAACGCCTTGAAGATGAGCTCATCGACGGAAGCGATACAAACTATGATACAAAAACTGGGAAACGGTTGATATATGGTGCGCAGCAGAGTAATCTCATTGTAGATGCTCGGCCTACTATCAACGCGGTGGTAATGCAGGCTATGGGAAAGGGGTCTGAGAACATGGAGTACTACAAATTTGCCAAGAAGGCCTATTTGAACATTGAAAATATTCACGTCATGAGAGATTCACTCAACACAGTCATTGATGCCATCAAAGATGGTGACATTTCTCGTTTGCCGCCAAATCGCGAACTGCTGGCAAAGAGTGGTTGGCTCAAACACATTACCGGCATTCTCGACGGATCAGCACTGATTGCCCGCCAAGTTGGCGTAAAGCATTCGCATGTGTTGATTCACTGCTCGGATGGTTGGGATCGTACAAGCCAGTTGTCTGCCCTGTCACAGCTGATGCTGGATCCATACTACCGCACGATTGAAGGATTTATTGTGCTAATCGAGAAGGACTGGCTGTCTTTTGGACATATGTTTCAGCAACGTTCTGGCCTACTCAATCATGAAAAGTGGTTTGTCGTTGAGCGAGATACCCTGGCCGGCTCAACCTTGCAACCTGGCGAGTCGGACGGCCGTGCCGGTGAGGCCTTTGAAAGTGCGCTGGCTAGTGCAAAACGGTTCTTCAACAAGAACCGAAATACAGACAGCAATGCTGAGTCCGACGGTGATGGTACCAGCCCACCGCCAGATGATCCATCACAAGTAAAGAAGCCTGCCTCAAGCACCCCGGAAACTGTAGAAGTTACGCGGTTGAACGAGATCTCTCCCGTCTTTCATCAATTTCTCGACGCCACCTACCAAATTCTCCGACAACACCCCAACCGGTTCGAGTACAACGAGCGGTTCCTTCGACGCCTTCTCTATCACCTGTACGCAGGACAATATGGAACTTTCTTATGGAACAGTGAGAAGGCCCGGGCCGATGCCCACGCAAGCGAAAAGACGAGATCTGTATGGGACTATTTCTTATCTCGCAAACCAGAGTTCACCAACAAAGAATACGATGCAACTGTCGATGACCGTCAAAGTGGCCGTGAAAGGCTTCTCTTCCCCAAACTATCTGAAGTTCGTTGGTGGCATCAACTGTATGGCAGGTCAGACGCGGAGATGAACGAGTACCTCGACCTTGCCGCAGCAAGAGATGAGAGACTCGGTGGGTTTGCCATGGGCACTACAACGGCGTCTATGCCGGGAAGCTTCTCGAGTCCACCAAACTCCAACGGCGGCCGGTCACCAAAGCCACCTTCCAGCCCACAGCCTCCAAGCCTGCCTATCAGTAAGAGCGTGCTGACAGGTGTGGAGTCCGCATATGAGGCCCTCACACCCGATCAGCGATCAAATGCTGGTAGCCGTCCAACTAGTCTCAAGCACAGTGTCAGCGCCGATACCGCAGCCGCCTTCACGACTAACTTTGCTAAAATCAAGGACGGCGTTGCTGGGCTAGAGATCGGGAGAGGAATATTCGGGGGATCACCTAACGCGAGTGGTGGGAGTGCCCCGACTGGGAAGAGTGATACCCCTAAGAAGGAGCAAGAGATGGCGGACATGGCGATAAATGTTGACAAAGGCAACATGGAAATGACGTGACCCAACTCAACCGGGTCTTTACCTTTTTTCTTCACTTAGTAGGCTAAAGTGCACTGTAAGAATTATAATTCGGTGCGTTGCGAAGATGGACGCGGAGAGGCAAGAAAACTGAAAAAATGGTGGCACACTGTATCGAGGGCACACATCTCGCCTAAACATGTGACTGCAGTATTTATTCCCCTCCTCACAAATACTGATCTAGTGAGCGGAGCAGCGTGTAGGCAGATAGATGGCTGAGACACGCTGCTGTAAAAGGGGATGGGGCAGTATTGACTACCTACCTTCCGGGGGCTCCGGGATAAGATAAGATGAAGGGGAAAGGGGGCAGCGAGAAGAGGAGAACAGCGTACAGCTCCTCAGGCACATACATGCATACATCGTCCTGAGACGAGTACGAGTAGAAGGGGAAAGGGGCAAGGGGCAAGGGGCAAGGGAAGCAGAGTAGAGGGGATGGGAGAAAAGAAAAAAGATCCATAAAGGTTTAGGAATCATGAAATATGAAATATGAAAAGGAAAAAAGCTTAGGAAAATGAAAACTCATATACCCCCATTGTTGATGTTGTCTGAATTAGGTAGTTAGGTATGCGTTCCCTGCGTTTGTTTGCAGCTTCAAGAAACCTGGGATCTCAATTCATCTACCTACCTAGGTAGACATCTATCTATCTTACCCTACTGTGGTATTTCTCCAGCTCTTACTTACTTACTGCGTACACAAGCCTTGGTAAGCAGTATCATCATGGACAGACACGTTTGCATCTACATATCATCCCATATGCCCTGCACGTTTCATTTTTATTGTATCATTTTTTGAATTCATTTGGCCTCATTCTTTCCTACATTCTTTTATAAGAAAACCTCCAGGTTGATCTCGAGTGTGCTGACGGGATACTTCAACTCGAAGTTCTCCAGGACGGTGGGGTGCAAGATGCCGAACTCGCCGATGCGTACGGTCTTGCCGCCAATTCTGGCGTGGATGGCGGCGGCACGGCCGGGGAAGAAGGTGGGCTCGTTGTCGACAGGCTCGAGCCAGTAGCCGTCGCGCTGGAGGTGGGCGGGGGTGACTTTGTAGTCGATCGGAGCAGAAAGACCCTCCTCGTGAGTAAGGAAGGCCTGGCGCAGCATGGCCATGACGCGGTCGAGCAGGCCATGAACCTCCTCAAAGCCGGAGGCCTTGCCGTACCAGGCGGCGGCGAAGTGGCGCTCATTGCGGGCGCGACGCTCCACGGCCGCATCTTTGAACACTACGTCCGATGTTTCGAAAACACAAATCGGCACGCTGTGGCCTTTGTTCTCGCGGATTGTCTTGAGAAGGCCAGGGAGCAAGGACGTGCGCACAATTTGGTACTCGGCCGTTTTGGGGTTGGCTAACTTGACGGCGGTGTTACCATCGTCTTTGCGATTTAGCCAGGCGAAGTTCTCGTCGTGACTGCATAAGATTAGTGGCATGACTTCGGACCAGCCTGCCATACCACACTCGAGACGGACGATATCTGCCAATTTATTAAGAGTAAGTGGCGCGCCGACAGTCTTGGTGACATTTATCCGGGGCAACTTGTTGAAGCCGTAAGCGATTCCAACGTCCTCCATGATATCGCATCTTTGCAGAATGTCAGCGCGCATTGGGGGTATCGTAACCTCGATTAGACTATCCGGATCCTTTTCTGAGGGCTTGGCGACTACAGCCATCTTGGTCAGGAGCTTGCTAATACTCTCGGCGGTTTCGGATAGCCCAAGGCAACCATTCAAGTAGTCGACTTCGACGGTCTGGGTACGGGTCGACAAATTCGGGGTTATTCGGGTCTGACCATTGTGATCGGATATAACCTTAATAGGCTCGACGGTGAACTGGTCTTGAGAGTAGACGGAAAACATGGTGACCATCATATTAAGCACGATCTCTAGCTTGGTCTGGTCGGTGGCGGTACACTCTATAAAGATATTTTTGCTGTTGACCGAGATCTTGGAGTGGTCGCCATTAATGATAGGGGGCAGGGAGCAGACTACCCTATTGGCATCGTAGATAACAGGGTACAGAGGCTTGTCGCGAACTATGTGCAGATATCTGCCTAGATGCTTATCCTTTTCGTAGAACGACATCAGCTCCTCCCCGTTTAGCTTCTTGGTTTGGTTGAGCGGCACGAAGCTTATATCCTTCGGGGGTCGCGCCTCGTATGTGAAAGGGCCCTTAATGGTATCCAGATCGTGTGTTCCAATGGCGACTAAAGTACGTTGGCGCGCAAGATTCTGGTGCAACTTGTCTTGCAGAGCGATGAAAGATGCATAGCTCTTTGGAGTGAAGGTGATGTTGCGCAAGATGGCACCAGCGACTAAAGGTCGCACTTGGGTAGTGTCTTCGAGAACAGTGATGGTAGTTAAATCGCCGGACGGGGGTTGCGCCAATCTAAAGTTGGGAGTAGCTTGCTTTCCACGGAAGATGTTAAGCATAAGAGCTATCCCCTCGAAGCAGAGCATGTCATATCGGTTGGCGGGGATCTCGATTTTGAGTTGGGGAGGCTCCTGTACGCCATCCACGATGGGTCTCTCCTCATTTTCCGTGTCTTCGTCTAATTCGATGCCGAACTCGAAGCATAGGTCTTCAAACTCGGCGGTCGTATATCTGAGTGAGATCGTGAGTTAGCGGGGTTGAAATCTAAAGTCTTGTCATGGAGGGGCACTGCGTACTGTTGACCCAGAGCCTCATAGAGGTCATATTTGTCAACTGATATAGTAGGCATCTTCTACGTTAGCCCTTCGAGAAGAAGGGTTGTGATAGCCTATTATAAACCAGAGAGTATTGCGCAATTCGTAAGATATACTGTTGTTGTTCAACTTGAGTCACCAACATGGAACATTGAAGCGAATTATGAATTTCATTTTGGGTGTATTATTCGTAAACCCCACCATTAAGGTGGTTAATATCATATACCGTTTTTAGCCATATCTCATAGTTAGTGGAAAGACAACATTGAATAAAGGGAGACTTGATGTATTGATCGACATGGCCACTTTCATTTCAAGGTTGTATGCATGTCAAGTGTATTTCGTACTCGAAGACAACATTACCTAGTAGGTATTACCTGTAGTAATGTGTTCATATGTGATTTTGGGCATCTAGAACTAGAGCCATACAATGTACTTACAATCCGTTGTAGGTCCTCGAGTGACATCACACAGTAGTTATTAAGCTCACAAATATATGCATGAGCTTAATGGAGGCAAATGCCCCAAAAATTATGTAATTGACCAGTCCCTTTCTTGCATATGTATTTGGCTTACGTGATTTTAACATCACAACCTTAGAATGAATTATGCATGTAGCTGTTGGAAGGTACATGCTATTACTACTACATGTAAGTATCTGAGCGGGGAAAGCACATCTACGGATCCCTCATTTGTGTATTCCATGGGTTTATGTGAAATGGATATCGAGGTAGCCTGAGGTATGTATGTACGCAGTAGGGTGGGGCAGCTGTGGCAGAGATTTTATATGTATATGTATGTCAACGGTATGTACATCCAATGTCATCCATACTATGCCAAAGGCAGGTCCTACATCTGTAGGTTAGTACCTAACTAGTAGTATATTACTAGGTATGTAACCTGTAACCTAAGCCCCTTGTTATTTCATAACCAAAGAAAGTTGTACACCCGCCTACTAAGGTACATGGCATATATACATACATGTTATGCATATACCTAGGGTAGTGATGTAAATAAAAAGAAAAACCGGTACATAGTAGTTAGTTATTAGGTACATGACAAAGGTACTCAGTGCTGCATGCTAACATTTGCTCTAGCCCGCGTTAGACCTATTTCCACCAAAAGGCATCTTTCTCTTCTTGACCACAACACAATCCACCCGACCAAGCGACTTCTTGATGATACCCCTCGATAATCTAGTTTGGAAGAATCAAAGACCAGACTTAAAAGGCGAACACAAACCCCCTATTTAGATACGTGAGATTAAAAAAATCTTTACCTCTACCCTCCTGCGCGTCAAAGCATTTGTTTTTTCTTCTTCTTGGTGTTGGAGTTACGAGCAACGTCGATCTCAGTCCGGTCCCTACTCTCTTGCCAGTCGCCAAATTGACCCGACATCGACCTAACTCATTGCATCACTCCACCAGAACCACCAGAATAACTAAAACCACCCACGCGATCAGCAGCGCACCCAGCCAAGGCCTTTACTTTCTACATTCAACCCTCTTCGACAACTCTCAATACCTACAACTGCATAACATAATCAACTATACCTAGTACCTCATCATGGCTGACGCGCCAAATGCGAACGATGAGCTTTACCCCATCGCTGTTCTCATTGACGAATTGAAGGTAAGGCGGTATCTCGAAATAAAATCATGAACCACAACTACTGACACTTTTCGCTAGCACGACGATGTTCTTCTCCGACTAAATGCCATCCATCGTCTCTCGACAATTGCGCTAGCTCTAGGTGCCGAGCGCACCCGTGATGAACTCATTCCCTTTTTAGATGGTTAGACCCCCCCCTTCCATACGTATGAGCCAGAACAATATTTAACATCGGCATTAGAGTCGGTCGAAGATGAGGATGAGGTCCTCGTTGCTCTAAGCGAAGAGCTGGGCAGCTTCATCGAATACGTCGGTGGCCCTCAATATGGCCATGTCCTTCTCTCCCCCCTCGAGAACCTAGCAGCCATCGAAGAGCCCGTCGTCCGGGATAAGGTTCGTCAAACCAGCCAACTATATTCCCTGTTTATCATTCACTAATCATATAATGTAGGCTGTCGAGTCCCTGAACAAGATCTGCATCGAGCTTTCTCCACAGCAAGTCGAAGAATATTTCATCCCATTAACCAACCGACTTTCCAAGGCAGACTGGTTCACTTCCAAAGTTTCAGGATGCGGCCTCTACACAAGTCCGTACAGCAAGGTATCTCCTCCAGTTCAGGAGCAACTTCGCCAGCAGTTTGGTCTTCTGGTTCACGATGAGACGCCCATGGTTCGGAGACAGTCTGCTACTCACATGGCCAAATTCGTGAAGGAAATGCCCGCGGCTATCGTCGTCGACGAAATGATACCCCTCTTCCAGCATCTTGCGCAAGACGATCAGGACAGCGTGCGATTACTGACGGTAGAAATCCTTATCTCCATTGCTGAAGTGGTCCCCAAAGAACAACAGGGTAGCCACGGTGTCTTGCTCACATCGTTGCGAAACCTAATAGAAGATAAGAGCTGGAGGGTCCGATACATGATTGCCGATAGATTTGAGAAGGTACAAACCGTCGATATGATGTCTTTGGCATAGCTCTGGCTAACGATGAGTGACAGATTGCAAAAGCTGTAGACGAAGAGGTGGTCTCGCGAGATCTAGTGCCTGCATTTGTCAAGTTGTTGAAAGACAATGAAGCCGAAGTTCGAACCGCTATCGCCGGCCAGATCCCCGGCTTCTGCGGCCTGCTTGATAGGACTACACTTCTCAATGACATTATGAGTCCCATCGAGGACCTTGTCTCTGATACCTCCCAGCATGTTCGCGCTGCTCTCGGCACTCAGATCAGCGGTCTTGCGCCAATCCTGGGCAAGCAAGAGTGGGTTAAACTGCCTCGAGTTACCAAAATTCCAGTTACTGACATGTTCCAGGACCATTGATCACCTTCTTCCTATGTTCTTGCAGATGTTGAAGGATGAATTCCCCGAAGTCCGCCTCCACATTATCTCCAAGCTCGAGCTGGTCAACCAAGGTAATTATCCTTATTCTTATCGGACCTTAGAAAGTCCATCATGCTAATGGCTTTTAGTCATCGGTATCGATTTACTCTCACAGTCCCTTTTACCCGCGATCGTGCAGCTTGCAGAAGATAAGCAATGGAGAGTGAGACTCGCTATAATCGAATATATCCCGCTCCTTGCTAGCCAACTGGGTGTCAAGTTCTTCGATGAAAAGTTGAGTTCGTTGTGCATGGGATGGCTAGGAGATACTGTCTTCTCCATTCGCGAAGCGGCGACTCACAATCTGAAGAAGCTTACTGAAGTATTTGGAGTTGAGTGGGCAAGCGAAGCGATCATTCCAAAAGTGATGGCTATGGGCTCCCACCCGAACTATCTATATCGAATGACGACTTGCTTCGCGATATCTGTAAGTGGGCTTGTTATGTGAAAATGGCTTGGTACGGTTACTAATTTGTTATAGACTTTGGCTACTGTTGTCAGCCTAGATGTCATTGGAAAATCCATTCTTCCTATGCTGGAAAAGCTCGTCGATGATGAGATTCCGAACATCCGTTTCAACGTGGCGAAGACGTATGCTGTACTTATCGACGTCTTAAAACGTCTTCCTGACGAAGGCACTATCTATAGCTTGGAGAAGGCCGGGACGACGAGTACTACACCATCCCCTCACGCTTCCGAGCTCATCCAGCAGCGTATCTTCCCCAGCTTAGAGAAGTTACAGAAGGACGATGACGTTGACGTGCGTTATTTTGCAACGACAGCAGTAGCAGGCATTCCCGGAATGGGTGGTGAGCCCATGAACACGTCGCCGTAGATAGGAGGAAACTGAAGAGAAATCTTCATAACATGCGGCTATGTATTAGAGCGTTCTAGCTGCAGTCTCTCGCGAGATAGCCATCCCGAAAATGTCCAGTCGTCAGTCCGTATCAACAGAGGTCCTCCAGAGCCTAGTTATTGAGGATCCTTAAGAGTAATACAAAGACGTATGGGGTAGGCACAGCACACGGTTGTCATGCATTTTTAAGGGGTTCGTATTCATGCGTGGCACTGGATCCCCATTGGGCTTCCAAGTCGTGCAGGCTTCTATTAGGTGAATGACCGAGCCTGAGAAGCCGGAAAAGATGATGATTGTTCCGGTAGTGCTGCCGGGTGTGTAAGATTAAAAGAACCAAAAAAAGACACCCTATGATGAATTTTAATAGATTTTCAATTAAGACTGACAAGACGGTGACATGATTATCTACTGTTAGTATACTTTTGTCTATTTCATTGCTGGGGAATCTAAACTTCTTTGTCAACCTAGATTTGTGCCTGTTGTGCCAAAGTAGAGGATGATATATAGGTACCCAGGTATATTAAGTCTATATTCTCATGGCCGAGAAGCGTCAACTTGTGGAGATCCTCACTTTCCTGAAGCATAGACTACTAATAGTCTGCCCCTTGACGCCGCCGAAGCTGAAACTGGGATAGGCTACCCTGCCAACCTCCACAAATTTCCACCCCCCTCTATTACTGCCGTTCTTCTTCTCCTCCTCCTCCTCCTCCTCAACCCTAACCTCCCCTTCGAACCAAACCCGTAGCTCCTCCTCAGTCCAATTACAGCTCGTCACGAGGAAGATCCCGTTCTCACGGACCAAGGGCGTTATTCTGGACTTGTAGGATTCATTGATGCGTAGGCCGGTCGCGGGGTCGATGGTGGAGGATAGCGAGATTGCGTCGAAGGTTCCCTTGTCGAGAACTACGTCCCACCCGTTGGATTGGGCGCCTGTGAGGAGCGCGGATGGGGAGCTGAGAATGTCGTGCTCCAGGAAAGTGATTGGCTCTTCGCGGGAATCGGAGTCGGAGTCGGAGTTGGAGGAGGAGGAGGAAGAGGAGCGCGACTCGGCAATGCGCCGCGCGAACTGCACGCTCTGGGCCGAGTAGTCTACGCCGAGCATGCGGCCCTTCCAGTCGGAGTCCCGCAGCGCGAAAAGCAGGGAGCCATTGCCGGTGCCGAGGTCGAGGAAGGAGGTGGTTTCTTGGGAGAGGTGCAGGTCGGCGGAGGAGGATGAGAGGAATTCGATGAGCTTGGTCTCGGCGTCCGAGTCGTCGAACCAGACGGTGCCGGTGTTGGAGGGGTCGTCGGCGTGGTTGGAGAGCTCGGACTCGTAGAGGTTGTCCCAGCTATATATTGGGATGTTAATTTATGCGTCTGGGAGTATGTGTGTGTATGTGTGTGTATGTGATAAAGTGTTTATGGTTGAAGAAGCTCATACTATTCTTTGGTGCCCAGCGCCGAGGGCTTGAGGTGGGTTGGCTTGGACATTTCGGCGGACTCTTGAGGATTACAAGTCATTGTTCATTGTTTCAATGTTCAGTCTTTCCTTGGCATTATCGTGTCGCAATCGCTATCAGCTTCAAAGGAAGGAAGTTATGGAGGGGCATCCTGGGCATCCTGGGCAGAAATCGACAGAACGACAAAAGAAGTAAGCGGTGTGAATAATAACGGCCTAGTCAAAAACATCTTGCGCCAGTAGCAGCTGCCGTGTACCTTTAGGTGTGGACGTTATAAACTGCCCGCCACTGAAGTCGGAGGCTGATAAGACCGATAACCGATAAGCGCCTTTCCCATAGACTTTTCTGTCGTCACTTTTTAACTTGTTGTCTATCCATTTTCTGTTTGTCGCTAATAATTGCAAATTGCAAATCGCAAATCGCAAATCGCAAGTCGCAAAACTCAAGTTCAGATGCTCATACCATGTTTCGCGCCTGCTCGTCTAAACGCTTAACAAGAGGCATTGCCTCTCCTGTGCGAGCATCCGCCAGGGCATTCCGGCCCATTGAGACTCGTCGTACTTTGGCCACTGTCCAAGTGCCAACTCCAAAGGTATTGTAGACTTGTTACTCATTCCCTTTGCATCCTAGGTTTGACCAGGTAGAGGCTAACTGCTACAAGGAACCCACAGAGCTTGACCGAATCACGACGTTACCAAATGGCATCCGTGTGGCTTCGGAGGCTCTCCCTGGATCCTTCGCTGGAGTGGGCGTGTATATTGCGGGCGGGTCGAGATACGAGAACGCCTACGTGAGCGGAGTAAGCCACATAGTTGACCGACTGGCCTTTCATTCTACGTACACCCGAACACCTGCAGAGATACAAGATACGGTAGAATCCCTAGGAGGCAATGTACAGTGCATGTCGTCGAGAGAATCGATGATGTACCAAGCTGCCACCTTCAACTCTGCTGTTCCGTTAGCAACGGAGCTTCTTGCCGACACCATTCAAAATCCTCAAATTACGGAGGAGGAAGTGGCCAGTGAGCTTATGACGGCCGAATACGAGATCAATGAGATATGGAAGAATCCGGAACTTATCCTACCCGAGTTGGTACATATGGCGGCGTTCAAGGGTAATACCATTGGTAACCCCCTGTTGTGCCCCAGAGAGAGAATACCGGCGATCAACAGTTCAGTCATCCGAGCATATAGAGACACATTCTACCGTCCTGAGAGAACTGTTGTTGCATTTGCCGGTATACCACACTCCGAGGCGGTGCAATTAGCGACCGACTTCTTTGGCGACATGAAGGGAGCTGAGCTACCTAATTTGTCAAAGTCTGGGTCGGAAACATCATTGGATTCGCTATCGTCTGGTCAGACTGACTCGTCAAAATCTTCTTTCGCCTCCTCTTCTTCATCGACATCGTCTAGCATATTGTCCAAGATACCCCTTTTCAAGAATCTCTCTACTTCTGCAAGCCGCAATGCTTCCGTCCTTAGTACACCAGCAATCCCACCCACCCCCGAAGAAATTTCCAAGCCCGCGCATTATACGGGTGGTTTTGTCTCTCTTCCACGACAAACTATCACCAGCCCACATCAGCAAGCATTCACTCATATTCACCTCGCCTTCGAGGGATTACCCATATCGTCAGACGATATTTATGCGTTGGCGACCCTCAACACTCTCCTGGGTGGCGGTGGATCCTTCTCGGCTGGAGGGCCTGGCAAAGGCATGTATTCAAGACTCTATACTAACGTGCTTAACCAACATGCTTGGGTTGAATCTTGTGTCGCCTTCAACCATTCATACACCGATTCTGGACTGTTCGGCATCTCTGCCCAGTGTGCACCTTCGCACACGCAGCAAATGCTCGATACGATGTGTCAACAACTGAGAGCACTTACCATAGATACCGGCTTCGCTGCTCTCAACCAAGTGGAAGTTAACCGCGCCAAGAACCAGCTACGCTCTAGTCTGCTGATGAACCTCGAAAGCCGAATGGTCGAGTTAGAAGATCTCGGCAGACAAGTGCAGGTACATGGCCGCAAAGTCCCCGTTCAACAGATGTGCTACAAGATCCAGTCACTAAGTATCGGGGACCTGCGTCGGGTAGCGAAGAAAGTCGTGGGGGGATTGGTGCAGAATCCAGGCAAGGGAAGCGGTTCTCCAACGGTGGTAATACAAGAAGCACAAGACTTCTCCAACACCGCCAAGTCGATGACCTGGGAAGAGATTCAGGACCGGATCTACAAATGGGGCTTGGGCAGACGTTAGATGATGAGAGGCCCAAACATATTCGGATGACAGGGCTCCTGGTGGTCACTTGGAACCATGCTAGTATGACTTACACGATCTCGGCTCCTACGCGTTCTCGCCTCTAGGCGCACCTCAACGGATGTATAATGGTGTACAATAATGATTTTAGAAAAAAGTCGGATTCTACATGATAAGGACCAAGGATCGATTAACGAGCATAGCTGAGTAATCGAGGTTTTCTATTATACTCGGATTCGGAAATGGGAACACTGCGTCGAATTCAGGCCGGCTAATCTTCAGTGGAGGATATACGCCATCCCCTTGAGCACCGCGTAAGCTCTAGTGTCGAGTGTAGCGAGCCAAATGAGGGTCCGTTCTACCTCGGGTGTCGAAAAGTCAGGTACCTACTAGGTTGGTATGTCCGTACATAAGGAAGTGGAAAGGAATACCTCGAGGATGTAGGACAAACCCAGGTTCGAGTCCACCACAACGAAGCACTGCTTATTACGTCGCCACGTTCTATATTCATGCGGTGAGCTACATACTACAAGGTAGATAGGTAGTAGTAGGTACTGTAAATATGTAGATATATACTAGGTATATTCAGTATCCAGAGTCACATTTCTACTCGTCTACAACGTAGGGAGATCAAGTATCGTTACATGGTTATCTAGGCAGGCATCCAAGGTACGTAGAAGGCATTGCCGAATCTTGCTCGATATCTGATGTGCCACCAGATTCGCGAAATAATGTGGTTTGTGTTTGCTAAGCTGTCGCACCAGGGGAAGTATATATATACGAATCGGATAGGGGCTTACGTTAGGCGGTGTATTGTCTATGCCACCAGATAATGGGAGTAAGTTGGGCGTTGGGCTGTCGCTAGGTGTCGAGTATAATTGCCCCCTTTAATGGAGGCTCACGGTCACCTCGGCTCACACTATTCCTTTTTGCCAAGCTTATCAGAAAGCATAGGTAGATTAGAGGATATAGGGGGTAAACCCGAATACCCAAGACGACAATAAAGCCAAGCACCTAGGTAGGTAAAGCTAAAGCCAATGACAGACATCCTCAGAACAACCCGGGGCAGCGACGGCCGTCAGACGACCCAGACAATCACCCTGCCGCCCCAAACAACCCCCTTCGCACCCCCCCAACCCCAACACCACAACAGCAATAGCGACAGCAACAGCGATGACTCCGACAGCAACCAAAACACCGACAACACCGCCATGCCCCCCTCCTGCTCCCTCTCCGTCTTCTGCCCGCACGTATCCCAGCTCACCTTCTCGCGCGCCACCTCGGCGCACTGGCCGCACCTCCTGCAAAGCCAGGCGTGCCTCGCCGTGCAGACGACCACGGCCCTGTGGACCGCCGGCAGCACCGTCCGCACCGTCACGGCCGTCGGCTACAACGCGGACTGCTGGCCCCCGAACTACTTCAGCGTCTTCGACAACGAGGAGGGCGTGCTGCGCGGCGTGGGGCCCGACGACGACGACGGGGAGGGGGGGGGGGGCGGCACGGCGCAGGTGGTGGTGGTGGGCGACGTCTCGACGGCCGCGTTCCCCGGGAGCGAGTGTCTGAGGGGGTGGACCACGGCGTGCGCGACTGCCGTCACCGAGAGTAGTAGCAGCGGCAGCGGCAGCGGCGGTGGCGGGAAAACGTACCCGCAGGCGTGGTGCTGTCCCCCGGGCGATTGGAGCTGCGCTACGGCCAGCACTACCACTACCGCCGCCGCCAACGGTAAGAGAAAAGCAGGAGAACCCCCGCAGCGCCTGTGCCGCAGCACCCTCACGGGCCCCGACACCCAGATCTGGATGTCGTGGGACCCGCCGTACACGGACGCGTCGCGCGAGGCGTACACGTGGAGCGTGGATGTGCCGGGGGAGACGGACCCGGCGCTCGCGGCGGTGGTTTATAGGAAGGTGTTTCCGCTTGCGTTGACGGTGGATGCTGGTACTGATGCTGCTGCTGCTGCTGCTGCTGCTACGACGACGACGGAAACAGCAACAGTGACACGACAGCAGAATGGTGGTGGTGGGGATGGGGATGGGGATGGGAAAGTGGTAGCAGCTACGGCTACGTCAGGGGCGGGGGTGGCGAGGAGGGCGGAGATACTGCCGCTGCCGCTGCCGCTGGCTGGTGGCAGAGCTATGCTTGTGTCGTCGTCGTCGTCGTCGTCGCGGTGCGCGGCTACTGGATTGCTGGGGGTCGTTGCTGTGGCGGCGCTGCTGGTAGTAGTTCTGGTGCTTGGGTTTGTGGTGGTGGTGGTGTGGCGGAAGAGGGGGGTGGGGAGGTGTTGTGAGGCGGGGAAAATGAGGAAGGGGAAGGAGGAGGAGATGGTACTACAGACACGGGACGTAAAGTCTACTTGAAGTAGGCTGGTTGTAAGGGGAATCATAAGCTTGTTCTCTCCTTTCTCTTCTCTCGCTTAGCCTACCCCCTTTTCCCCAATGAGATCTGGGGCGTTGCTGATGGCTAGCTTGGTAAATGAGTCAATTTGTTTGTCAGTGATTTCAGAGAACATTGGTAATAGAATATGTTTTGAGTCTTATATTCGCTTCGGCGGAAAAGAAAAAGGTTTGTTGGAACTCAAGACTTCTTTTGTTTCTCTCTTCATAGGAATTTTGTGAGAGTAGGCAAATAAGTTACGCCATCAACGCCAAGTCGCCAGTTCATCAAATGTCCCTGGGAGAAAGAGTAGCTATCCAGGTAAAATCTCCGTCACATCCCCAACTGAAGTACGCCAAGCTATATATGCCCGAATTAGGAAGGATGGCACCGTCTAGGCCAATCATATGAAAGATCGATCAGTCTTGGTATTATTGAAGGAGTGTGAGTGTACAGCATATGTCAATAATAAAGATTCCACGCCAGTTGAATACGAGATCAAATATATGAATGCGTCTTTTCATAAAAAAGAATAACGAAATGCTTTTTGTAGTCAATAGGTGAATGACCAAGCCTGAACCTATCTATTAATACTTTCGTTCTTCCCACCCAGACGCCGTATAATGAGTGAAGAAAAGGAACATCGTAATTCGTCATTTCCCACTCTCCTCTTCTCAGACTTGTTACGTCCTCAATCCACAGTTGGTGTGACTGCGCTGTTTTGTAGTATCATATACCTTTTTTTTTTTTCGAAATCATCGCTTCCAACTTGTAGAAGATAATAAAATGAAAGTATGCAAAAATGATCACTTTTTTTTTATTCCCCGTAAACCCAAAACCCTTTCTTTTTCTCCCCCCCCCCCCCCCCCTTTTTTTTGCTGGTCCTTTCTACGGAGTGTATAATACGCTATCAATTATTCAATTTTGGACATCCTCTTGGACATGCTACACGAGGAAGTTAGTTCAAGATCGAAAAAAATATGAAGGATAGACTGGCAACTTACAAATCATAGAAAGCAAACTGGCTAGGGCTGCTGCCAAATTCATACACGAAACGAGACGCGAGGTAGCTTCCAAAGATGGCGCGGAGGTACGAGTCGGGCACGCGGCTGATGATCGTGTCCAGGCCAACCTTCTCAATGAGTAGGTTGGGCAGAGCATCCGCGAGGGTCGACTTGCGAATCTTCGGGTTGGCCCATAGGTCCGACTTCTGTAGTTCTTCGTCTAGTGTCGTGATGGCAACGGAGAGCGTATCGGAAAGCACAGAGCGTGGCACGCCGCTCTGCTCATGTTCTCGCCAGATTGCCTCAAACTCGAGCCTAGCGTTCTCCTGAATCTTTTCTTGCACATGCTTAACATAGTCCTTGTAGAACTGTGGCGCCTCGCCTTTGGCGTTGTGGCACATGTTCTCGACGAACCCTTGGTCATCGAAGCTGAGCGAGGCGAGAACTTCCAGAGACGATGAAGTCACACCACCCTTGTTGGCGGATGCATCCTTGAAGAGAACACAGCCGGCCTTCTCGAGGCGCAACTTGGCATCTTGAGTGATGAACAAGTTAGCTCCTTCGACCATGTAAGGTATAGTCGCCTTGCCATCCTTGATCAACTTGGAAACAGTGGAAAGATCAATCGACTCGGGACGACCACCGCAAGGGACAAAGCAGTCTGTGATGCCAGAATCCCTGAGGTGATAGAAGTTGCGGAAGGGCGTGCCGTTGGGAACCACTTCGCCAGTCGGCAGTGTGACATTGCTGTCGTCACACAAAACCCTATATCCGTCCTTGGACAGTTTGGATAGGTCGAACTGGGAGATCATGACACGCTTCTTGGCAAGCCGAATCAATTCCTCCTTGTCGATACCATTGGGGTCAACCAGAACACCGGATCCATCGACTATGGATGTGTACTTCTCGTTGCTTAGAAGAATCTCGTTGCTTCCAAGGTCGCCATCTGGACCTCCGGTTTGCATTTTCCTCACATTGGATGGGTCCAGGTTCAGCTTGCGGTAGATTCCCTTGACATACTCTCGCACGGACAATGTTGTCATGCCATACTCGTCGTGAGGAATACCGCCAAGCTTAGGCGACTTGCCGGTAAAGAATGATTTCCACCATGGCGCACCTCGGGCGCGAGCGTGTTCGGTAGCCCAATCCACAAGATCGGCCGTGTTCTCGTCGGGACCCAAAAACAAGATTTCTTCCTTCTTGTAAAGATCCACAATGGGGTTCTTGATACCAGGGGTTTTGGCGGGAAGAAGAAGGTCCAAGATACTATCGATGTACTTCTCAAAAGCTTCCCGAGCGCGGTCCTGTGACTTGGCATCGAGAAGGACCACGCCCTTCGAGCCACCTTCCGGGATGTCCTTGTTTTTGCGCTGCTGGGTACTGGCAAGCGCGTAGTTCTCGTCGAAAAGGCTCCTAGCATTTATGCTATAAGCTTCTTTGCTGCGAGACTTGACAATTCGAATACCACCTCGGGCAACATCCTTGAAGCGTAGGTGGAAGCCACGGGCCTCTGCGCTTATGACAAGGAACATACCATATAAGCGTCTAGGATATTCGATCTCCGGTAGGAATGATGGATCTAAGCGGAAACTGAGGGCAACCTTGGTAGGGGTGAAGTAGTTGGTCTTCATAACGGCATTGTTGAATATGCGGAAGGCTGTCATTACCATCTCCTCGTGTTCGTTGGAAACTTCCTGGGTGATGGCCTCCTTGAGCCTAGCATCCGAGAGCACCTCAACCGTCGGAGTGGGAGCGATAATGCTTTTCTCAAAGCCAGGGCCAACGCTCAAATGAATGCTGGCGAATGCGGCGTATAATAACCGCACTAAACTGGGATATGATGAGATGATTTCCAAGATGTAATCCGGAGTGAACGTCTCAGTGCGGAGCCGACGCTTTAGCTTAGACAAGATCTCCACATGCGCCGGGTTCCCCGAGTCTAAGGCTTGCTTGATAGATACGTATTCCGTCCCGAGGCGGTTCAAGAAGTGTTGGACGAAAACCCAGACACAGTGGCCATAGACGGTCTCTTGCAGACTCAAAGAACCAGATGCAAACAAAGCGTGGAGTTTGTTTTGGGGTATGCAGTATAGGAGAGAGATCTCCTTGGTGATTTGGTGGATAGACTGCTCGATAGGCATAGGCGGAGTGTCTAGGTTTGCCGCCGGCTTCAAGTAGATACTCATAACTGTGATGCCATTGGAGAACTGCTCCACGTACTTCCTGGTACTCGTTACACCATAGTAGTGGTAAAGGTCGCTCAAGGCACTGAAGATACCTCTGGCGGTACGCGAGCGGAAGGCCATGACGAGGCGCTTCTCCTCAGAACCCTCGATATCGAAGACTTCAATAACAGGTCCGGTCCTGTTTACGGCAAGTTTGATGATATCATCATAGATCTGCTTGGTATTCTTAGTTGCCTTGGTCAGGAACATTCGATCACTGATGATCTCAAGGCGTGTCTCGCCCGGCTCCGGGTTAGGATCTACAAACAGGCACTGATATACGAAATAACATCGTAGCGAAGCCTTAGATGAAGGATCATTCGATATCGTTCCTGGTGAGCGGAAGGTTTCAACCCGGAATCGCTTGCTGGGGTCCGCGTTATCGAGGTACTTTTCCTCTAATCTGTTCTCGAAGCGTGGGCCATGTAGAGAGCTTTGACCGGGTTCGCTGGTGTCAATGTAGATAGCGTGGTCAGTGGCCTCCATGTCTAGGCGGATCTCCTCGCGCTTGTCTACACGAGCGTATGCAGCAACCTTGGCAGCGTACATGGAGGTGATGTGAGTGGCAATAACATCAGCACTCTCCATTTGGAAGTAAACATCGTCAATGCCGAGCTCATTGTAGAACCACGAAACTTGGTCATCAAGATGCGACTCAGGGATCCACTTTTGCTTGAGGATGATATTTTTCACTATCCCAAATTAGAATAGCCGAGGGCGTTGTAAGGACTGCCAAACTTACCTTGTTGTATCTGTTCATCTCTTCCCTTGAACTCAGGTGCGATATATCCTACAGTAGCAGAACGCAGGACCTTATGTCCATTGGCACGAAGACTCCCCAAAGGCACTGAGAAGTGTGTGGGTTGAGGCGAAGGGTGCCGGGAAGGCTCATCGCCATTCTGAACCTTTTCCAACAGCTTGCTGGCTGGGGTATGCTCAGGGGCTGTCCCGTTGGTCGTCATGATCTGAGCTTTGGGTTCGAAAACCTCAAGGGGCTCAAAGGGGTCAGTATATTCAGGAAACCTATCCAGAGGCAGGTCAGTTGTCTGAATTGTCAACATCTTAACCACCATGATGAAGACACGAAATAGAGTTGCCTTGAAGCAAGGTGGGAGATAAGGTTGGCAAAGGGTATACAGCAAAGTTAAGAGACACCACAATAGAAGATAGGGCAAGATATAGAGGTCTGGGGAAAGGGATGATGCCTCATATATAGACAAATATGAGGCAGCACGGAAGGCGTCATTGTGAAGGATGAAGGCAATCTGTCTCTGTTAGGTATTGGGAACTACCCCAGGGATCGATATGAAGGCACAACGAGTCAGTAGCAGTATGAGGTTACCGCGGTATAAGATAAATGAAGAGAAGATGGGTACCGGGAATTTTTGGAACCCATATTACGCTTCAGGGGAACATAAAGCACCTGCAGACCGGGGGAACGGCGGGCTGAGCATAATATTGAAAATGGAAATGGAAATACGAGTGCCGTTATCGTGTCTCAAAACTGCACTTGACTAGAAAGTGACTAGGAGCTGACAAGGAGCATAATGGGATCTCCTTCACCGCTGGATGATTCGGGTAGCGTTGAGTTGAGTTGATATGATGTTGGATGTTGGCGCTCCTCCTGATAAGGAAACTAATAACAGAAACAGGCTGAAGGACAAAGAGACGTACCGAAAATAGTGTTTGAAGGATGTCTCTCCGGGACTTTAACTCAGGAGATACACAGATCCACAATTAAGCTAAATGGAGACTGGTCAACTTAAAGGAGTGAAATGCAAGATCTACCCTCGCGTTAGTTAGGTTGCTATCGGAAAGGGATAATACATGGAGAGAAAGAAGGGGGCGTGATAGTGTAGATGGTGTAGGTGTATGGGTGTGTATAGTAGTGGCAGATTGATTGGCTATTGCAAAGAGTAAAATAAGGTGCGAGAAAGAAGATGGTACAGATGGTACATACCTTAATAAAGATGATGCAAGACGATGCAAGAACCTCGACAAGTTCCAATTAGGGGTTTCTAAAAGGGTTGCTTTCTAATGGTGATAGTGGTGATAGTGAGTAGTAAATTTGAAAGAACTTCAACTTCAAATTAAACACAGTTTTGCCTTATTGTATCTCGGTAGACTCGGTAGATAGATAAAGAGGAATAAATTTGATGAGTCGAGTCATGCGTAGGAAATAGGATATTGAATTTTGAATTTTGAATTTGAATTTTGTAGAGTTGTAATAGATTGCAGATTGTAGATTGATATCAATACGATGATGACGGTGGGCAATGATAAGAATGGGGCGAAGAGGTAGGTACTATCAATGGTATGTATGTACTGCTACTGGGCAATGCTACTGGGTAGTAGGTACTAGGTAGTGATGTAGCTGCCAGCTGGGAGGTTAGGCGACTCCGAAGAATTGAACCCACAAGATAAGGATAAGGAAGATGTATGGGCAAGACCTATATATAGGTAACTTAAGCCAAAAGGTACGATTCAGATAGAATTGAGATATCGTTCGTTTGTTTCGTCCATAATAACTATAGTAGGTAACTATAGTATGTAGTTGGTAGCTTGATGCCAGTTGACGATGATCGTGAACCCCAGGAAAGGGGAGCCGGTGGCTTCTTATATAATGTACGACAAAAAAAACCTGGAAAACAAACCGTTGACCACTATTACACATCAAAAAGCATGGACGTTTTTTTTTTTACAATTGTGCTACTGCTAAGTATGTACTGCACTGTATATGTATGTATGTATTCCAAGTTGTATGTACATGCCAGCTCCAGCTCCAGTTCTAACGCCGGCGACGTAAATCCCTGTAAAGTCTGGGGCATAACGGGTACATCGATACAGTACCAAAAATACATACATGCGGACCCAGAATAATCCCAAAAATACTGAATAATCATGTATAATCCTGGAACAGTAAGAAAATCTTGTACAATATTTTTTTTTCTCTTCAGTGTAGATACGGGCGGTACATAGTACCGGGGCATGGAAGAAGCAGAAGAATCCTAATCGAAGATTCTTTTTTCATCACGGTGAACGCAAAGGGAACACAAGGGGAGGCTAATTCTGCAGCTAACTGGAACGGGCTGTGGGCGATGCTGCGATTGGCTCAATAGTCTGGGTACCTGAAAATCCGTACGCTCCGGGGTACCGGTTGGCCTTGAAGTGTATGGCAATGATACTTGTATACTTGCGGTGACAGGAGTTACCTGAGCCAGGGAGCAGCCAGAAAGGGGAGGAAAACAGAGAGAAAGAATTAAAATTGAAGCCATCGTGACCTTGTGCCTAGAACTTGTTGAATAAGGGCATCAGCATCACATGTCGTCTTTGGACCGGGGTTTAGTGGATCGTAATGGATCTTTCATGCGATCCAACGGTACAATGGTATGAATTTTACAAACTTGAACGAATCTAGGCATGTATCTAAGTATTTAGCTAACTAGTTACTATGTACTTGTACCTACGTACTATAGTAGTATTGACCGTATCATATACCGACGGCTATTCGAGGCTGAGTGGGTTTTGTAGTAGTTAGTTAACTTGTATGTATTTTTGTTTGACCTAATACCTAGTAGTTACCTACCTAGTAGTATCGTATCGCCTCACGCTTACAATACGGGATGGAATACAAGTTCAGCTGTACCTGTCTATTATCTACTATTATCTAATTACCTACATGTGTACATGAAAATGCATCAAAATACCATATAGGTATGATCTTCGCTTTTATTCCCTTTCTCCAGGAAGCCAAGGTAATATGCAAAACACTCGGTTGTTGGGAATGGGGGTCTAGGATAAGGCGTTATTAGTGTCTTGTCGTCCTACTATCTACGTTGATCTCGTCTATCAGTTGCCAGCTCACCTCCGACCGTTATCTTCAAGGTGAAACGTTCAGAACGAATGAAAGATCCGTTAACCAAAAAAGGGGTTGACAACTTGAACATCTGTAAACATACAATACCTATCTAGTACATACATATATGTCATGAGGCAGGCAGCCATGTAGGGAGGACGTCTCGCTGTTCAACTAGCGCAGACCTAGACTCAATAGAATCTCAATAGGAGAGAAGACGGTGTATCGTGTCTTTACCGCTTGTTAACGAGACCGATGGCGGCCGTTGCGCAACTCTCATATCCAATGAGTCAATGCATGTTGCCATATCTATCGCTATTGGTTTCAGAAATGGTGAAAGGTTGTCGATACGGAATTGGCCCACGATAATTCAGGAAGTTGAGCGAACAATTCAAGATCCATAGAGATCCCTGGATATGTACGGGCCGTCGGTCTACCGTTTTCTAGGCTTGTATTTTTATATTTCGTCTACTACAATGTAACTACATACTACTACAAGTACTACAAACACACATACCTCCCTACGTAGGTAGTATACATTACATTATACTTGCATATCAGACTTGTGTATGTACATACTTGAATACCTTCAACTTCCGTAATACCGTGATACTAATAGTACTTCATAGAACAACGCATGTATTTTATATACGAAATTGAAGGCATATACATAGTTATATGCATCAATAGTACAATAGATACTTGGATACTTCGTAAGTTTGTACGTAAAGTCTTGGAAATCCTTGTAAAGACCTTACGTACCCAAGCTCAGTGCTCCAGCTTCCAGTGTTCTTACCATGACTCTATGAGGCATAGTGCGGCAGCCCCGGGCTCTGCACCTCTCGGGTGACTTAATATAGGTCCACCTGCCCCGCGATTTCGCCAGCGTCTTCAAGGAACCACAACGTAAAAGTCCTGCGATGTTGCTTTTCTATTACCCCCATATTACTTGATAGCAGCGTCTATCGAGCCCAATGAAGAAGCACGAGGTCAGCCGATTTGACGCCAAACGATTCTGTCGCCCGCGTGATAGCTCAGCAACCCTCTCTTGGCCTGCCGGTGCATGTTGACAATCCCCAGGGTTCTCTTTCTCATTACTAAACTTGTCGCGAGGTCACTGGTCCAGCGCGCATATAAATTCCACTTGGGAAGTTATTCGGTTTTCATGGCGACATCTTCTCCGAAACCAACGTCATGAGAACCGGTAAAGATGTAGAGAAGACCATGTTATCTCCTTTTTTATTGCGGAGACCTGTGGACAGCTACAGTTTTTTTTTTTCTATTTACTATTCCTGCGCTGGGTGACACTGCAGGGACAATCATCTGTTGCCATCGCCGTCGTCTAGGATAGGGAGTTGTGTTCACAATTCGTTCGTTCGTTGGCTCGATTCCCACGATGTAAGCAACTCCATGTCGGGTGATTCTGCCGCCATCCCAGGAAGAATATATCTCACAAAGCTATCATAGGGATAAAATCCGAAAGAAATCACTGTAGAGTCCCACAACAATACGGAGAAGGCGTGTCCGTTTTAATACTAAGCACTATTACGGTGCATACTAGACATGCTTCTGTCATCAATACATACTACTAGTAGTACATCTACATTCAGTACCTAGTATCTACCTACATGTATGTACATAAGGTTAGCATCACCCAAACATTGAAACCTTCATCGATCGATGAATACGGTCCAGACTATGTACTAAGGTCTATTTTTAAACATCCACGCTTTCCACGTTTTCGCCCTATCTGCCAACAATTTTACGCATGCGTACTAGCCTGCTGTTATTGGCACATATGGTATCGTTCCCCTGGATTCAAGATAAGCACCGCCACGACTTGAGATTGTTGGTGTGGAGGAGTTATGGGGCCTTTATCAATACGAATGGGCGTGATATCCGAAATAATATACACACACGCCTACGTATATACAAATCTACCTAGGTTAGGTTAGTATACACTGATTTCCAATTCAAAGGCGGTTCGGCAGGTTTTGCCCCAACATTCAATTGTGCCTCCGGAATGAATGACAATCCATAGCTCGGCGCATGTGGCATTCATCAATTTCAGGAACGGGCCGTGCTTTGCAGCCAAGGTTGGAACCGCTGTACCGGCGTTCATCAAAAGGGGTGCCACGATCTTCTGTCCAGCACCACTAAATTTGCCGAGCGATGGAGAAGGCCACGCAATAGAATATTAACTCCAATTAACAGTAAGTAGTGTGTTAAGTATATAGTATGTAGGTACTTACTATGAATCCACTGTATACATCTAATACTCGGTACTAGGTATACTATAACTGATCACAAAGGAACCTCAGCTACAAATTCGGATATATAATTTGTCTCCTTAACCGCAAAGCTGTCGTAATTCATTCTCCTGTGGACTGACTAAAAAGAGTTCATGCCGTCGTTGCATTGCAGAGGTGATCCATACACTGTCACCATCCCCAATGCTCGTGCCCCTCCAAGGCCCGAGAGTAATCTATCCCGATCTCCAAGAAAAAGCTTGACGAAGCTTGTCGGGCAATTTGTACGACATGAGGGTAGTGTATTGTTCTCGGGACATCATTAACATGATTCGGTTTCCATCTCGTAAAGATGTAGGATTGATTTGTAGTTTTAGATGGATTATGACTAAAAGGCTCGGTTATTACTTCAAGTTCGACATTTACTATATGTATGATTACATACTACTATGTAGTAGTATAGCACATATAGTAAATGTTCAAACCGTGTTCACAACATAACCGTGACGGCGTCAGTTCCATGCAGTACATACCTAACCTTTACATGTGTAGGGTAAGGAAGGGTAAGGAAGGGTATGTAATAACAGGGTAGATACCTAGGTTAGGGTATTGTACCTAGGGTAGGTAATAAATACTGTAACTACGTAATTACTTGCATCGATCAACCGCAATCCCGCCTTATTAAAAAATGATGCCCCACCTACTTTATTCGGCATCAAACTTTCTTATGCCGCACACGCAAGAGCAAGGGGGTGGGGTGGATCGCGGGGTTTATCAAAGTTTACTACACTACATAATAGTACTAGGTTAGTTAGTACTACATATGTACTGTAGGTATGTAGTACTGGGTTAATAATACAATGGAAAGAAAAAAGAAAAAAGAAAAAAGAAAAAGAAGAAAGAAAGAAAGAAGTTAACTACGTCGGACAAGACTTGCCGAGAAGCAACTCATCACTCTTCACATCCAATAACGACCCAATAACACAACACAACCATTCTTCCTTGATCTTATTGAGTGGGAAACGGCCTACGCGATACGTAATAGCAACATTCTAGTATTTTAGTCAACAACTACTTACTACCTATACTACCTATACTACCTACATACCACCATCACTGTACCGCCAGAAACCACCAGAGGCTCATCAATCTCTACGTACCACCTACCTTTACTACACCTTAGAATGACCTCCTCTCCCGACCAATCTCGCTTTTCGAATATTCGTGCTCAGGCTAAGATCCTGGATGGGGAAGATGGTCTCCATCACTTGAGGGGCGAGTTCCATATCCCTACCAAAGAGGATATCAAACGGAAAACTCTCCAGCAGGAACCGCAGCAACAAGGTAAACTGAACTGCCTTTTTCGGTCTTGGGTATAATCGAGACAGACGAATATGAAAAATTAAACAAATAAAGACAAGAAAAAAACACTTGCTCATAATGAACTTCCGTAGATCATATCGATCCTACCCAAGTCGATCATACAACATCTTGCACATACATGTGCGGGAACTCCCTTGGGCTACAACCCAAAAGGACGGCAACTCGCATTAACCAGTATCTTCAAACCTGGTCCACTCAAGGTGTCCAGGGGCACTTCAAGCCACTTGACGATTCCCCTCTACCGACATGGCTCGACGCGGATGCCCGAGCCGCCAAATTGATGGCCCCCATCGTAGGAGCAGACGAGTCTGAGGTAGCTGTCATGCAAACCTTGACCGCAAATCTACATCTGCTGATGTCTGCCCTCTACCATCCGGACCCCAAAGGAAAGCACAAGATCATTCTTGAGGCCAAGGCGTTCCCAAGCGATCATGTAAGGGATGGCCCGCATGACGACGTAGAAGTGTGTGTTCGCTAAGACGTGATAGTTCGCTGTATTGAGCCAGATTCGTCATCATGGCCTCAACCCTGATACGTCCATGGTGACTATAGAGTCGCCTTACTCAGATGATGCTCTGATCACTACCTACGACATCCAGTCAGTGATCTCCAAACATGCGTCTGACACGGCCTTGATCTTGCTACCTGGTATTCAGTACTACACTGGCCAGCTATTTGATATCCCAACCATTACCGCGTTCGCTCACAAGCACGAAATCACCATTATCTGGGACTTGGCACACGCAGTGGGTAACGTTCCTCTCCATCTGCACGACTGGGACGTAGATGCAGCCGCATGGTGTACATACAAGTACCTCAATGGCGGGCCGGGCTGCATAGGCGGCATGTTTATCAATTCCCGAAAAAGCTTAGTGACTACGGCTATCACCGATGAAGAGCCCGAGAGGGGCTACGGCAACCGTCTCTCCGGTTGGTGGGGAAACGACAAAGCAATCCGCTTCCAAATGGCTACTAAATTTCATCCCGTGAAAGGGGCTGCTGGGTTCCAGCTAAGCAACCCCAGCATTCTTGACATTACAAGCCTCAGCGCGTCTTTAGAGGTCTTTGAACTAGCAGGTGGTGTCCAGCCACTTCGTGAGAAATCCCTAAAGCTCACGGCCTTCCTCGAGCAGTGCCTTTCCATCCTTTCCGAAGACGCGAAGAAGCTCTTTAGAATTATCACGCCATCTGACCCAAGTCAACGTGGTGCCCAATTAAGTCTATTGCTGGCGGCAGATAATATTCTGAACTCTGTAATGAAACATCTCGAAGAGAATGGCGTCATCGTGGATGAAAGACAGCCGAACGTAATCCGCGTCGCTCCGGCACCCTTATACAACTCTTTCGCAGACTGTGTCACGTTCGCCGAGGTCTTTGAGTCAGCGTTGCTAGCAGTTCAGAAGTAAGCCCAAGTTATGTCTTGTCCACGTCGATTACCGATACCATCTATGTCTTAACGCCAGACTAAATCATATCAGTTTGTAAATAGTGTATGATCGAATGTCGGATAGAAAATAGATCAGGTTAGATAGCTACTTGGATATTGTTGTCTCTTCAGTTGCTAGCTGACATGATATATGATTCATGATTCACTACTCGCGGTTATACATCTCTAACCATATCAATCGCTTGTGCCATCATATAACAATCCTGGCCAAATGAGGTCAGAAAGGATTACCTTCGTGCAGAATAGCATATAAATATATATGTACTTCGTGTATAGAATAGAAAAAATGGCTGAGTAAATATTTACATGAAATGTATCTTGATCATCTTGTCCACCCCTCATCCCCCCCTAATTCGTTTTTCCCTGCCTAGAACACAGACCATAATCTAGAATGCTCATCTGATTACCTACCTAGTAGGTAGCCAGGAAGCAAAACCCAGAAGCCATCCTGCAGCTTTCATGTTGCGCTGTGATGATCATCCCCATAAGAAAAGAACAAGCATAGCACCGGGTCCTACTACTAACCTAACGTTAGGTAAGTAGGTAGGTACCTAGTACTTGAATTTATTTCTTGCTTCAATGTTTCCTGCCAGCGGCCAGCAGCCTTTCTCCCTCTCCCTCTCCCTCTCCCTCTCCCTCTCCCTCTCCCTCTCCCTCTCCCTCTCCCTCTCCCTCTCCCTCTCCCTCTCCCTCTCCCTCTCTCTTCCCCCCTTTTCCCCCATCCTCGCCCCGTAATAATACATACATACCTACATACATACTTATGCTCATATCTCTCTTTTTTCGCAGACAGAGGCACAGCACACCACGCGCCCCTTACCAGTTCGTCAAAGTCTGGAAATAGTGGTGATGCGTAGAAGACGAAGACGATGAAGCCAAAGCGGACGGATGATGATGGTGGTGTTGGCTGAGCGTGGGGTAGTGGTACGTCCTGGTGGAGAGCGTGGTTGGGGGAGGAGGCGGCGGGGGCGCGTGCGGGCTGTCTGTCCCGGTTCCGGTTGGGGCTGCCCCTGAGTGTGCTCCTCCAGTTGCTCCGACGGCCCCGGCTGGATGGGGGGCGTAGGTGCTGTGGGGATCGTGGGGGGTGTGCGGGCTGCCTGTCCCGGTACTTGCCCCTGCGCCGGCTCCGATGGACCCGGTAGGGTGAGGGGCGTAGGTGCTGTGGGGAACGTAGGGGGCGTGGGTGCTGTGGGTGCTGTGCGGCTCGTTTTGCGTGATGGTCGTCGTTGTGGCGTAGCTGCCCGGGACGGTGGGGTGATGCCAGCTGTTGCTCGCGTTGGGGTCCGCGGTGGCGGTGTTGCTTGGTGGGGCTTGGGTTGATGGAGAGGGTGTGGTGGTCGGTGTAAAGGGTATGGCCGAGTATGATTGTGCGCCAGGGAGGGCGGAGGATACGGCGGCTAGGGCCGTGAGGATGAGGATCTTGGAGTGCATCGTGAGTGAGTGAGTGTATGTATGTTCTGTCTAGTGTTGTAGGATATAGAACGAGGAGATAGTGACAGGTATGAATTATCTGGATGGGAGTAAGAGAGAGTCGGTTGATAAATGAGTGTGGTTAGAGAGCAGAAGAGACTTTGTAGGAGGTTTGCAGTAGGTATTTATATTTGAGATGAATATTCAGTTATATATGTAATTATCTACATAGGTACGTACGTACTCCCCTTTCGCTGCCAGTTTGCTTTTGATGCCAAAAGGGGAGGCCCGGTAAGTGGATTTCACCTATAGCCACCAGCTAGGTATCCAGATTCTATTATAGGTATGTACGTATTACCTACTTTACATGAGCGATGAGTTGGAAGCAGAGTAGGGTTAGACGTTGTTGAGTCTACCTAGGGATAGAGCGTATAATCAAGGAAACAACTTCAGCCAACTTGACTTGTCAGTAACTGTATAATCCAATCGCAACAAAAGTCATCCATGAGAACCTGGCATGGGTATCTCCACAGGGCCGAACATCGATACCCTAGCTTAGTTATTTACTGAAGGAAGTTTCATGAAGATTGTTTGTTTGCTCTAGAGTAATTTTCAGCAAACCCCGACTGATCCGTCCCGTCGGGTGCGTTCGCCCCCCTTCCCCCTTTTTTGTCAAAGCTCGGCCCGCTCCCGTACTAACGGCAATGTCGTCTGTATATGAGCTATGCCGGACGGCATTCTTCCCCGATACATTTACTAGGTGGGTATTAATATGAATAAGCGTCGATCGCATCGATGGCGTTGCCGACAGACGACTAGAGGCTACCTGGGTTATCCCTAACTATGTAATTTGTTAGAGGCTATATGAAACGTGGAGTTGTAAAAATGAGATTGAAAAAGAATGAAGGCTGACGAGTTCAAGTAGAAAATCCTCTCCAGAGAGTTTTCAGAATCAATTGAAATTCTTACCATTTATCATGAGCATTTGAGCACGTCTCTCATTATCCTCAGTGAGAAGAATGATACCATAAGAGGCCATCTTGGTCATCTAACCCCTATTTCATAGAATTATAAGGTCGCGTTGCTTTAATGCATGCAAGGCTCTATCGCTAATAGCATCACGGATGATCTAAAGGTACTATATATGAGAACATTGCCGATCACCAAGTCTTGGATAGATTCTAATCAATTTTAAACCAACTTCCAGGGGGTTAGGAACCGTCAGCTGAAAAGCTGAGAAGGATCACTGCTCTGGTTTAACAGGGAATCGTTACTTGATTTCATGAGCATGAGAGAAAATACAAGAGCTCGGAGTATAATAGATCGAGTCTGAAAGACTTATATTATACTGAAGAAAGACTTACTGATAGGGGCAAAGTATTACGAGAAAATGCTAGGACAGCCCGGCTCGGTTCAGCTTGTGCAACTTATCTAGGCAGGTTGGGAGGTAGGCATGGTATTACTGGTGGTATTACTGGTCGCATAATCCTTGTTTCCACGGTGGACACGGCTCTAGGTAAGCCTCTAACAGAAGGAGCAGAAAGGGGCTACCAGGTTCAAGGGACAAGACATCAATTATAACAATTATAACAATTATAATTATACAGTGACATCATAATGCAAGCCACCCATTTCATCATCCTATTCAATGATTCAAGCGATTTCTCTCCTTCTCTATCATATCATTCATATTATGTATAATATCTATGGCCCTAAAGGGTCGTTATGTAGTGGCGATGGACGTCCGCGAAATGGACTATTTGATAGCTTGGCCGACTATGCCCAGGGTTTGTCCGGCAATTCTGATTGGTCTCCTTAAACAGTAGACTTTATCCACCTTAAGGCATTTCCTATAACCAGTCACTTACCCTTTCTTATCACGACCATGGTTTCATTCGGACGATCTGCGTAAATTGATACTGAGGCGGCTAAATGAACGTATGCTCTCTTGAGATCTTGGATTGCGTATTTCCCCGCGCCTTAATTTAAGAACGACAGCTTGCCCCCATGCAGGGTCTTTGCTTACCATAGCTATAAAGTCAAGGTGTATTCCACCGGATGCAAGAGCATCTATCGTAAAATTTTAACACTGCCATTGTCTGTAGTAGCTGTCAGAATGCACTTCCTAGTATCGCTTGTTGCCGCCCTGGCGCCCACCGTTGGTCTTGCGGCCCCATTTCCATTTGGACTCTTCGCGAGAGACAATCTATGCAGCTTGAAATCGCCGCCAGAGCTCTGTCAACCAGACCCCTCCGTGACCACGGAAGAGACAGCGCAGAGAGCCTATGACTTTTACCGCGCATTTGTGGTGGATGGGGATCCGCGGAAGATGTTTTCCCTCATAGATTCGTCTTACATAGTCAGTTTTGCCATTCCGATTCGACCTTATCCTCCACTACCTAGCTAGGCCAGCTAGGCAGGTCGCTAGCCAAAGAGCAATGCACTAAATTCAGACACAAAATCATTAGCAACACCATCCGGGGTACGCGTCTGGACCGCAGACCATCTGGAGTATCTTTTGCAGCGGAAGCAAGCTCGGGAGCGAGACCAGCACCAAATGGTGCTTCGATGCTTCCACCAACATGTCGTACGCGCAGTACTCGACGACGGACAGATGGCGCTGGCTCGACGGCTGCGTCCACGAACACGTAGGTTCACGCCTGAAATTCTGGCCTGCTGATGATGGTGCCTGGACGGGCAAAACTTGGTTCGTACTACTAACTAACTGCTTGATCCGATCTAGTGGGACCAGGGCGAGAGGATCCCGACGGAGAAATGCTACGAGTTGGCACCTGGGGCCACTTCGTTGTGGTAACTTTAACTTCGTGGGGAGGCGAGGGCCGTGGAATGGGCATTGTCACCATTGACGAAGTAGCGACTACTACCACTCCATGTATGGAATCTTTTGTCTCGCTTTAATCGGCCATGCTCGAAAGTACATATGTGTACTATTGGATTTAATAGCAAGTGAGAACTTAGCTCGGTTACCACAGTGATTTTCATCGTATCTGGGCTTTAGTTTTATGGAGAATAAATTGGTTTTGACTGTAGTGATGTAAAGCGTGAGCGATGTAACAACCACCTGGGCATTCTAAAATATTGTTCAAGCTCGTTGTAGAAGGTGGACACGTGACACACTTTATCCCACTCACATATGTACAGTACATCATTGATATATAACTATATAGTTTTCATCGGAGTAACCCGAACGCCGACACTTGGAGAAAATGATTATAAAAGTCCCGAGAAGTTGGGTAATGCAAGATGGATTAGGTGGTTATAGCTTTTAAGACTAGCCGAGCCAACCAGATAACTAAAATATAGAGTTCCTCCTACTGAAATAGTATCGCTCTTTAATTAACTAACTGCGGCTCGGCAATGTTTCCGAATTCTCTCTCTCGGTGTAAGTCGATACGACGAATGATTATGAAGCAACCCGCATGTTCCGCCTCAGTTGTGCCACACACATAACATTCAATGTTAAAAAGTTCGTCTAAACTTGGACAATCTGATGTACGTAAGGGAGACAGATCAATGTCCGTTATCAGTACAACTACGTAGTATAGGTACATACAAGGGTAGCCCATTTAGGTTTGCGCTAATAAATCCTCCTTTGCCCTATTCTGAAGGTTGCACAACACGAGAGCCAAACGATTGGTACAACTACAACTACAACTACATACATCTACTAGATACTCCGTAGGTATCACATAACAGGATTAGTACTGTAACTTCAAAAGTTGAATGTTCAAGTTGCAAGTTCTTGGAACATTTGAACCATTTGAACTCGTGCACATTGCATGATACATATCAATCTCTTTCAGATTTAATTTCATCATACGATTATTCAATTGCAAAGTTTTATACTCGGTCCTATGTTAGTACCACTACCTACCTACCTAGTAATCTAGTACTTAGTGACGTTGATAGCGTCAATTGAATCGAAATATCATATGGATCAGAATTGCGTGCTCGATTTCTCGTACGCTACCTGACTACCTAGGTAAGACTGGTAAGTACGCGGGAACTAGGTAGTCTAAGGGAGGATATACCGTGAAAATACCCACATATAAGTGATACTAATCCGGACAGAGCTGCCGAATACATACATACTACACATAGCAGGTCGTAGCACAGACTGCGACCCGCTTCGCTTCAAACTGATGATCCTGATCAGCTAGGTAGGTATCATGGATGCTGATACCTCGGTACGGAATTCTAGATCTCGTTGCATCTCTTGATTCATGTTGGTGTCGGGGTGGCAATTCTTGCCGGTCTTGGAATGCTGGGACGACCGAAGAGCGATTTAAAAATTTGGAATTGGAAACGAAAGACCAAGAATCGGCCTAGGCAAGGCTATCCTGCTATCCGTCTGGGCAGAAGCTTGATACCACCACCATCCAACCGATAAAGTGACATTTTCAGCTTGGCTTTGAAGCTTAATTGAAGCCAACAGATTTATGATCCTTCTAACCCTTCGATTTCAGCTTCTATGCAGCTCTTATCCCTGCTAAGGTATGTAGGCTACCAATGCCTACCATGACACCATGTAGGCATCCGCCGATGTCCCTCGGCGTCCCTCCCTCTTACATGCACATACATCAATTACATATACAGTACATATGTACCCTTGTTTGCATATGTATTATTACATGCATGTTCTCACCAGCCAATCTGTGTGATTCTTATGAAGTTATGATTATTGTTGAATCTGACACAATGTTATTGGATGTCGAGAGACAGGTAGGCGAGCATTCATGATACAACGTAGCAATCCGCAAACAACCACCTGCCAATTCCGGGTACATTCTGTATATGGAGTACATGTACCTATACTCGATCCATCAGGATACTAGTTAGGCGTTTTTTTCCCCAGCTGTGCTTAGCGGATGTACCTCGGCGACATGCATCAGGGGGGCGTTCTAAGTTCAACTTGCCTTTTGTTTCTTTTTGTTGCCAGTGTTATGGGCAAGAACCCATTCAAAAAGATACTGGGATAGGAGGAAGACCCGCACAAGTTACACAAGAGATAACAGCAATACTCGATCTGACTGGTCAGCCTCTTAAGCTCGAGACCATTTGGAATGATACGGTGGCCCCGATAGTATGGTCTAGCCTATCCCGCCTCTCCCTACGACAAGATACCTAACGTTAATAATATCCATAGATGTATCTGTATGGCATGGTTATCTTGATACGAGGCTCGCTCGTCAAAAGGCACCAACCGTAGTACCTTACCAGACTTACCTACCCTACCTACTACCTAGGGTGCCTTGCCTATATTAGTAGGTTTGAACAAGTGACAGGCATTACCCGTCAAACCTTACATACATCAATTTGTATGGTAGTAGTTTAACTATAGTGTAGTAGTAGCAGAAAGTATAGTTAGTATGTGGTAAAGTAGTAGTGCGCCACCCCACCCCATCCCATCCCATCCTGGGTCATTCTTATTTATCTTATTTAGCATAAAGCCCCCGTCCTCCCCTACCCTGCTCCCCTCTGTTGAACTCTTCTGAAATCTATGCGTTTTCCTGCACCGCAGCCATTTGCCTTAACTTTGCGAAGCGTCGCAGAAAAGGATTAATAATGGGTATGATCTCAACCCATGCTTACGCTTAGCTATAATATCCTTTTGACCATTGCTAACATAACTTACAGGTAACTCTTCAGATATCGAGCGTAGCATTTCGCCCACTGCAGAAGAGAAGATGGCGAAGACACCACCGGGTGATTCGCACGCCCCATATCTCGACCCCTCCGTTATGGAGGATGACTATGAGGGCAAGCCGACTGATGAAGAGCTGAAAACCTTACGCCGAGTACCCGGCAACTTGCCCGTTGTCGCCTATCTTATCTGTATTGTGGAATTCTGCGAACGAGCTTCCTACTATGGTGTACAGCCCTTGATTAGCAATTATGTTAACCGACCTCTACCTGTGGGCGGAAACGGCTACGGAGCACCTCCCGAGGGCACGCAGCAAACGGCTGGTGCGCTAGGATTGGGAACCGTCCCAGCCAATGCTGTTACCCAATCGTTCAGTTTATTAGCATACGCACTGCCTATGTTGTTTGGATGGCTCGCCGATGTGAAGACTGGCCGTTTCATGCTCATCTGCTGGGGCGTGGCTGTCTTTGGTCTTGCCCACGTCTTGATGGTTGCAGCTGGTGCCAAGGACCTTTTAGCAGCCGGCACGGCCAAGGTCCCCTATTTCCTTTCCGTCTATATTTTGTCCATTGGTGCTGGTAAGTTATCTGTTTCATTAAGTCAACACTTGGACCGCAGCAGCCGATTCTAATTTGATACACTTCAGCCATGTTCAAGCCCAACGTCTCGCCTCTACTTCTCGACCAGATGACCACAACCGTTCCTAAGGTCATAACCACAGCCGACGGTGAGAGGGTGATCCAAGACCCCGAGTCTACAACCGAGCGTGTTATGCTTTGGTTTTACCTTCTAATCAACATTGGAGGTTTCATGTTAGTAAAAAAAAAATCTCTATTTATTCTTTGTTAAGATACTTATGGTGCATTTCTAACACTGAAATTTATAGGGGAGTTGCTACATCATACTCTGAGAAGTATGTGGGCTGGTGGCTAGCCTTCCTGATTCCTCTTCTGCTTTACCTCCCTCTGCCGCTTCTTCTTTGGTTCCTGTACAAGCGTTTGATCCTTCATCCCCCAGGAGGGAGTGATCTTGGTAACGTCTTCCGAGTTCTCGGTATTTGCCTGAAACGGGGTGGTATTAGGAGAATCGGTCGTCGCGGATTTTGGGACTTGGCCAAGCCCTCGAACATCGCAGCTATGGGCTTAAACTACAAGACAACCTGGAACGATGAGTTTGTGGATGATGTTCGACGTACTTTCCAGGCCACTGGGATTTTCTGCTTCTTCCCTATACAGTACATCAACGACAATGGTCTCGGAGCTGCAGCCAGCTTCCTGTCGACTATGCTAACCACCAACGGCGTTCCCAACGACGTCATCAGCAACTTCAACTCACTCAGTATTATCGCGATGGCCCCAGTTCTAAATTATGGCCTTTACCCGCTTCTACGGAGGTTCAACATCCACTACGGCCCCGTCGCCCGTATCACGACCGGTCTTGCTATGTCTTCGATCGGCGGTGCTGCATACACGGTCTTGAACTACTACGCATACCAACAATCGCCTTGCGGTGACCATGGCTCCAGCGACTGCACAATTGGCACTGGTGTGGCACCCATTAGCATTTGGTGGATGGCGATTCCTTTTGCTATCGGCGGTATCTCGGAGCTGTTCGTCAACGTACCCGCTTACGGCATCGCTTACTCCCGCGCTCCCGTCAACATGAGAGGTCTCGTGTCAGCCCTTAACCTATTAAACACGGCTTTCGCCTACGCCATCGGATTGGCCTGTTCATCCGTCATTACGGATCCCTATCTGACGTGGGATTTCGGCGGCCCGGCCATCGCTGGTGGGGTTCTAACCATAATCTTCTACTTTACCTTCCGCCACATCGACGAGGAGGAATTTTCCCTCAGCCACAACAATGACTACCACCTAAAGCTAGAGGGCACCCTCAACGTCGTCGGCGAGAACGAGCTTAATAAGACTCCCAACCGGCCCGCACCTATTGCCGAAAACGAGGAGGTGATGATTTCGCAGAAGCAATAATTCTTCGTTTTCTGCATCAATAGCTCTTTACATCATGGGTAGCAGGGAATCATTTCGGGTAATGGCATGGATATGGGAGGCGTGCAAGAAAAGCTAGCCTATGCAGGTCGAATACTGCGGGACAGGGTTCCGATACTTTACATATGCTTATTCATATTTGGCTACTACCATGTGTAGATATGTGTGTATGTGTATACGAGCGACGCGGCATATGCTCGCTCGGCAGGTACCGCGCGTGGAATGACGGACTGCAATTAGTTCCTACTCTACAACACTCAAATAACTCTGGTGATTATTAGGGCTTTGGGAATAGGATGGTCGCATTTATAAGGACTCATTGTCGGAATATAATATATTGATACCTCACTCTATACAATGCTTCGTGTTTTATGATGCTCATTCATTTGTACGAGACTAGTAGGTATATGTAGCTATCATGTTCTCTATAGCATAAGCTTAGTTAAGCTATATGACAGCATAGCAAAAACGTTGAAGCTACTAGGTAGACCATAATAATGAGGAGAGCACCCTAGAAGGTGCAGCATACACCAAGCATCACCATTACAGGCTGACTTAACACTTCCATCAGCCCGGGACACAAGCTCGCTTGCAAAAAACCACTAGACACAACCCTAAGTTAAGTGACTTAAGTACATTCAACGAAGTTGTTCCCGCTGGCGCCGGTGTGGGTGATGCCCCCCTGGAAGGTGCCGGCCCTGTTGAAGACGACGCGGTCGGGACCGGGGCTGCCGCCGGTGTAAGGGACGAAGGAGCTCAGGATGGGGAACTCGTAGTACGGGGAGGCGCCGGGGAAGTCGAAGCCCTCGCGGTTGTTGAACTGGTGGGGGTAGTCGTTGGAGCCTGCAGGCGGAAGAATTGGTTAGTGTCTTGGAATGCGAGAGAAGTAAGACAGGGGTCCAACATACCGACGGTGTCGCCCGCTTGGTACAGCTCAAAGCCCTTCTGCACGGCCTCGTCGACGCTCTCTTGCCAGTAGCATATTGAGCCGCAGGTGATCACGCAGGCGTTCTGCCTCGGGGCTACTTTCTCCACTGCGAGTGCTGACACGCTGACGGCCGCCAAGAGGATGGTGGAGAGGATCTGTATGTAGAATGTTTAGTCCATCCGTGTTCAGGTACTCGCTAATTAATGATGCTGCTACTTGGGGGGGGAAAGGGGTTGTTGTCTTCGAGCTGCCGTCGATGCACAATGTATGACGCGCCCAAGTAGCGATGCACACAGGAAGTGGACGTACCTTAGAGCCGAGCATGATGGGCAGAGGTATTACGGCAAGATGTTTTGAGACGAGGTGGAAGTGCGTATAGCTACAGGTTGCTGAACAAGAGATGGGCGCTTATTCATGCCTCGCAGGTATCTGGCCTGCTACTTATAACCCGACACGACACAACCGCTCACGAGCGCAAGTTTACATGTGAATATCTCTAATCCTAGACCTCCGAACACACGGATAGGTCGATTCGCTAAACAAGTGTCTCTTGTGTGTAGATAGACAGATAGTTCCCCAGAAGAAGGCAGTGATGCGAAGTCGATCGGAACATGACCAGCAGGGGGGTTGTACAGCTTCCTTCCCCTTTCGGAAAGGCAGCGCGACCAGCGATGGAGCTGTCTACCTACCTACCTGCCTTGGTATTCATCTATCGCCTATTTATCGTATCGCATCGGCCACTACCACCACGTGGATCATCTCGGCACGGAGAGGGCCGGTCCAACTTGGATAGATACCTGGTAGATAAGTTATCCCCCGGTCGCCCAGCTTTCTCAGGTCCGTTTTCCTTATTTTAAGGTGGTACGGAGACGGGATTGGAATATTGAAAGGGGCTATATGCGGAGAGACAGGGCGCGGGGGATTGTCACGGGACAGCGACAACAAAATGGAGATTGACCATATGATTGGCAGAAAGCCACGCTCAGCTCGTCGGGCCTTACCGGTTAATCAGCAAAGAGTTGACTTATTACCCCTGAAAAAGATAAAAAGGTTACCCAACTCGTCACCTGCCTATCAACGGCAAGATCTGTGGCAGGTGTGTGACCGGCAGACCCTAGCGTATAGAATAGCTACCTAGGTAGCTTGGCTTGTGAGCTGCTGAAACTGCAAAGACAATAAGGTCACCAACCTAACGATGGTATAGGTGGAATTGTAAGCTGATGTCACTTGGCATCGTGAATGCCCAGCTACCTATATGGTAGTAGTCTCGCCGGATTAGAGCGTTGCATTCGCTAGGTTTCAACTAGAGCCACGGGCGCGAGATGATTGCCTTAAGTAATTTAGCCATTGATTTCAATCATTGATGTTATCCAGAGAAAAAGGAGAGCGACAGAAAAAAGAGAGCGACAGAAAAAAGAAAGCGAAAGGAAAAGAGAGCGCAGACCACGTTGTTAATGCTATAGGTAACTAATGGTTTGGAGAAACGAGGGGGGAAAGAAGGGCGGCTACAGTGGCCTAGCTCGATAAAGTATAGCGTCCGTCCGTATTGTACATATTTACCTAGTAACTTACATAAGTCTGTCGCAATGTCAGAAAGTTTGTATGTGAGGACTCTCAGGCGCGATGGACGGTACTCAGTGACCAGTCTGCTCATAACCCGAAGAAATCAATCTCCAGCGTTTGAGCATCAACCAATTCCCCGCAACTCCGAATTTGAATCCTTCGGCGCTGGGACCATGCATGACGAACGAATGGCGTATGGGACAGCTGAAAAAATGTCCCCATGGGTTTGGTCTTACTATCAATACTTCTTGCGTGGAAGTTGATAGTTGTCGGCAATGGAACTGGTTATTCATCTATTATTACTTGTCTTTGGTAGTATCAAGGCAAGATGCGCATCGTTTGACTACGTGATTGCCGGCGCCGGTACCAGCGGGCTTGTGCTTGCGAACCGGCTCTCTGAGGACCCGAATGTCAGAGTTGCCGTCATTGAACCGGGCCACGATGTCCGCAACAACCCCAATGTTACCGACGTGGGCGCTTTCCTTCGCGCCTTCGATACCGACATCGATTGGCAATACACTACAACACCACAGCCGGGGGGTAATAACAAGTCAATCCCCTTTCATGCTGGTAAAGCAATTGGTGGAACTAGCACAATCAATGGTAAGGATCGAATAGCCAAGTTCCTTCGGCTGTGTTCAATAACCAATCGCCCAGGCATGACTTACATCCGAGGCGACAAAGCCCAATTCGACATTTGGGACTCCCTTGGAAATGATGGTTGGAATTGGGATGCACTATATCCATACATGAAAAAGATTGAGAAATTCTCGCCGCCCACCACAGCTCAGCTAGCCGCTGGTGCTAGCTTCGATCCACAGTATCATGGTGAAGATGGCTTGGTGAAGACAGGCTACCCCTTTCGACTCATTAATGGAACTCTCCATAGGCTGGCTCAACAGGCTTGGGATATTTTGGGCTACCCTTTGAATCCGGATGTGAATGGTGGGAAGGTACGTGGGTTCAGCGTCTGGCCTCAAACATTAGACAGAGACGCGAATATTCGAGAAGACGCCGCTCGGGCCTATTACTATCCTATTGAAAAAAGACCGAATCTTGAGATCATCGAGGGAACAGTAACGAAGATAACATGGGCTGATTCATTGACAAGTGGCGGTGCACTTGTAGCCGATGGTGTTGAATATCAAGCCCCTGACGGGCAAATAGCTGCTATTGCGGCAACAAAAGAGGTCATACTGTCCGCTGGGGCGCTGAGAAGCCCACTAATACTTGAGCGTTCTGGGGTTGGAAATCATCGGTAGGTTACAATGCTAGTTGGGTATAAACCTCCTCGAGTATACATCCATGTTAACAATATTAGCATCCTCGAAAAGTTTGGTATTGAAACGAGGATAGATCTTCCGGCAGTAGGTGAGCACCTACAAGACCAGCCAAATGTGTCACTCCAATATTCTTCAAAAATCAATATCACTGGAACTGCCCCGTATGCAACTTTTGCAACAGCTCAAGATATATTCGGAAATCAGACTGCTGCCGTAGCAGCAGCGACGGAAGCTAGCTTATCTGATTGGGCCAAGAAAATCTCAGACGCGAATAATGGAATCAACACGAGCCAAGTAGAATCAATCTTTCGCATACAGCATGATCTTATCTTCAAAGCCAATATCACTATCGCCGAGACTCTAACGTCGGGTGGCGACAACGTTCTCGTTTCCGCATTTTGGCTTCTGTTGCCCTTCTCCCGCGGCAGTGTGCATCTAAGCTCGGCACAAGAAATTAACAATCCATTAATTGACCCGAAGTATTTTCTGATCGATTTCGATCTTGACCTTCAAACGAAGATCGGGCGTCTATCGCAAAACCTTTGGTACACGGGCCCTATTGACGATGTCGTTGTTACCAACTTGGTCCCCGGTGAGACCGATCTGCCGCGCAACGCCACAGATACTCAATGGGCGACCTTCATAGCGGATTTCCGTAGGTTCTTCGCATTATTCTTACAGATTTATAAGACATCGTAATAACCATGAATACTCTATAGTAACGCCGAACCATCATCCTATCGGGACAGCCTCGATGATGTCTCGCGAGCTTGGTGGGGTGGTCGATTCAAAGCTCAAGGTATACGGCACGTCTAATGTTCGAGTGGTAGATGCATCTGTGTTGCCGATCCAGATTAGCGGTCATTTGACTGCCACGCTTTACGCTGTAGCCGAAAGGGCGGCAGAGTTTATCAAGAACGTCTAGTATATTCCATCTCAAAGGCTCATGCGTGCGTACTACGCATGTAGGTACCTGGGTAGGTACTAGGTATATATATACTAGGTACGTTGAGACCTAGTTAACCACCCGCGGTTCATTTCATCTCACCCAAGTGCAAAGTGCAAGACATATATTGCAACGTTTTCTCTGGATCGGTTCTTTCGTATTGACTGTGCACCTGCAGGCCACCATATTCATATACACATAGGCCATGTAAAATTATACAATTGAATAGAGGGCCAGGTACAAAATCGGTATCATTGTATATATCCTGATATTCTTCCACCGACAATGGAAGCTGTGGGAATCTCTCAAAATACGACCTAGGATTTCTACGGTATAGTAGGTACGTGATTGCCTAGTAATTCCTTGCTTACCTCCATGCTTTGCTCTCCATCCGAGGCTTAGGTACCTGGGTATACATACATATGCATGCATATAGATTGAGACCATTCTCCAAATTTGGTCCAAGATGGGTTGAGTATTCCCGAGTGGCTGCTTACTACTTCCTTCCTGTATAAATAATGGACTTAACTTCCTACCTAGCACTTGACTAACCTAGGCATATCCATAACTAAGGACACTAACCTGTCTGTAGATTCCAATCTTACAGAAAGTGTCATGAGAATCAATCTTAGTTTCCAGCTGTTCTTGCTCTATATAGAGTCTATAGTTGCTGTGCCTGGCCTATACGATGCTGTCATTGTTGGTGGGGGCCCAGCCGGCTTTGTGCTCGCGTCGAGACTCTCGGAGGACCCAGACTTCCAAGTGTTGCTCTTAGAAAATGGGCCGGATACATATACCAACGAGACCATCACCACACCGCGGTACGCTGGTCAGCTACAGGGAACCCAGTTTTCTTGGAATTTCACATCTACCCCGCAGGCGACCCTGGGCGGGGAGGCACCGTACCTACACCAAGGCAACGGGTTTGGCGGCGGGACGGCGATAAACATCATGGCGTATTGCCGAGGGGCAAGCTCGGTCTTTGACGAGTGGGCGGAGCTCACAGGCCTAGACGGGTTACGGTGGGACAACTTGGTGGAATATTTTGGAAAAAGCACAAATCTCTTCGTGCCTCCGGACCACGATTACGACCAGGTCATCGATAGGACAAAGTTTGGTGACAGTCATGTCAATGTCAGTTACGAATCGTCTGGACAACGAGTTCCAATTGACAGCTCGTTTGTGAATACGTGGCTGGTCAATGGTGCGCAGAGAGGAGCCGACTTGACATCCGGGGACGGCATAGGGATGATGATTGGCGGACCCCGTAGCATTAATCCCACGAACTCGACGAGGTCCTATGCTCTTCCGGCGTATGGATTTGAATTGGCAGCGCGGCCTAACGTCAAATTAATGCATGTAAGCAGAGTTATTAAGGTGAATTTTGAGGGAACCAGGGCTATCGGGGTGGATTACGTGGAACTCTTGGCCAACAAGACTTATACCGTGAAGGCAAAAGAGACGATCGTGAGTGCAGGAGCCGTCAACTCACCTCGCGTGCTTCTCCTCTCGGGGGTTGGTCCGAGACAGCATCTTGAGGAACTCGGTATACCTGTCGTGGCCGAGAGTCCAGAGGTAGGTTTGAACTTCTTCGATCATCACTACGTCGTCACCATGTTCAACGCGACACCGGATATCATTACAGCGAAACAGCTGAGAGACCCAGCACTTCTTGCCCCCTTCTTAGCCGAGTATAGAGAGAATGCTACAGGACCACTCGCATCGACGGGCGGTTCCTCGTTCTTCGCAGAGAGACTGTCCGATGAAATCCTGGATGGCCTCGGGGTCAACGTCACCTTTCCGAAATCTTTGCCCAAGGACCGCCCGCATCTTTTGTATCAGTACACATCCTCGGCATCACTCCCAGCACCTGACGACGCCAATGCGATCTCGGCGTTCTCAGCTCTCGTACAGCCCGAGGCATCGGGATCTGTGCGCCTGAATACCTCCGACTGGCGAGATGAGCCGCTGCTCGATACGAACTACTTCGGTTCCGAATCCGACATGGCCATTGCCTTGTACGGCTACCGGCGTCTCCTGACCATGATGCGCTCCGATACCATGCGCTCGGTGAACGCTAACGAGATTTACCCCGGATCAAATGTCACCGCCGATGAGGACATCAAAGCCGCGCTGTATGGGGCGGCTCGCTCGTTTCATCATCCAGCGGGTACATGCTCTCTCGGAAAGGTTCTGGATCGGGACTTTAAAGTGAAGGGGACACAGAACCTGAGAGTCGTCGACTCGAGCGCAGTCCCGCGACTGCCTACTTGTCATCTTCAAGCTTCGGTGTACGCTCTAGCTGAGTTCGCGGCTACGATACTCAAGGAGGGGCTCCGTGGAGCGGCTGAGGTGGATATATAGTACCTACCCCTAAATCATAAAGTTACCTGGGCAGCTAACCTTAAAGCCACACACCAAATGTTAGTTGCCTGGGTAGGTAGTGAGATCCGTGCAAATAGATCACAGAGGTGTGGAGTTTGATCTAGCCTTAGATCTGCACTGTACTTGTACCTACGTACTACCCACAACACCAACAGCTATCGTGGTGTCAAATATTGATAGCAAGAAGGGTTAAGGTTAGCTATTCCGTACGGGGGTTGATGAGGATAGGCTATACCTATTAATACCTATATTTAGCTCAACTCTCCCGAGGGAATATGATCGTTCAAAGTGAGGTACCCAGGCATCTAGTTTCCCACATCAGCTTACTATGTAGGTAGGTAGGTACTAGGCAACTTAAAAGTAAAGGGGCACACAAGGGCGCACAGGGGCACACGATTATTTATTTATAGGGTTGAGTTTATAAAGTTTCGCGTCGGCGTCGCTTTTCAGGCACAGATGACAAGATGTTTATTTTGCCAAGTGTGTGTTGAAAAGTATTTACATTTAATCGAACAGGGCCAAAATGGAATTCCCAAAGTCAACCTAAGGGAAATCGTGAGATTAACTCTCTCTCCTCAAGGTGAAATTCACGCCTTTTCCCTCACCCTTTTTTTCCTTTTTTTCCTTTTCACCAGTACCATATTCCCATTAACTTTCAACCTTGATTAACCACATCCAAAAGAATAAGATGAAAAATACATAAAAAGATAAAGAAAAGGAACAGGGCGCCTTACTCACTCTGGGTGCTGACGAACTTTAAGATTGAATTATTATTTGTGACTCTTGAGTCTTGAGTCTTGACTTACTTCCTTTCGCCGAAAGCAAACAACAACCTCGTACCTTCCACGTACTTCTGAATAGCACAAGACGATAACTTCCTCTTCCATATCATCATCTTCCCTTTTTTTCAAGGTCTTTCTGCGACTCACATAAAAAAATACAATACAACAACACACCTTCGAGAAAGTCGCTCCTCGAAAATCACCTTACATAGGTATTCAAATCTCACACACATAAATATCCAATCCGCATCTGCACAATCCGACACAATGAGTGCTATCATTCGTACATTGACCCGTGCTGGTCGCCAAAATACCACGCGAGGCTTTGTCAATACTTCAGTCAGTCAAATCTCCATACCCAAAATATGATTCTCTACATGTACACTTCCACTAACCAGTCTTCCAGACTCGTGTGACAGTCTACCAACAACAGCGATCCACATCATGGATCGCCTGGGAGCAGCCCGACCCAGCGCTGTACGCGCGCCCTCTCAGCAACGGGCAGCAACAGACCGCCAACACCAACCAAGCGAACCGCAACGTTGGTGAATCCGTGACCGCGCCCTCGACCGCCGCCGTCGGCTGCGGCAGCCAAGAGGTGTCCACATCCGGCAAGACCGTCCCGCCCACCATCCAAGCCGGCAGCAGCAACATTTCCTTCACGCAGAAGCGCATGCTGCAAACAGCCTCTCCGTCACACAACGTCGAAGTGCAAGTACAAGAAGCAAAAGAGGACAGCTACCTCCCCAAGACTCTGCTCTGCATCCCGGGTGTCTCTTCGACGTGGCCGCACGAAACAGAACCCACGCCCACCCAGAAGCGTGTGCGCAAGCTCTCACTCACAGACGACGAGCCCCTTACCTTGAAAGAGAAGAACCAAGGAGAGAAGAGAGCACTGTCCACCATCACCGTCACCGTCACCGCTCCCATCGCGGAAAACAACAAGCCCACCATCACTACCATCACTGCCGACGCCAGCCAAGACCTCGAATCCCACAACGCCTTCCTCGCCGCTCTCAGGGACTACGAGGCCGTGAGCAGCACAGCCGAGAAAGCCATCCCCTTCCGCCGCATCAGCCGCGAGGACCAGAAGCGATACTCGTATCCACTCCTCCCCGACGACAACAACGACGACGATGACACTAACGGCAGTGGGGCCCAGGATAACGGACACGTGGCGGTGAAGGTTGCGGGACAGAAGAAGGGGGCGGAGAAGAGCCGAACGGAAGAGAACAGGATAGAGACTTAAGGTCGATGGGAAGATACCTAGGAGATGGGAGATGAGAGATAGGTGCTACTCTCCAGGAGTTTGCCTGATCGGTCCTTGCTTTCTACTTACGACGCATCACCGAGAATCAGCATCCTCGGTGCTTTGCGCGATGACACTACGATGCTACGGCGATGATCGCAGATAATGGGACATAATAGGAGGGAGACATTCGGCGTTTCTGTTTCGGTTTCTCTGCGTGAACCAGGGGGGTCCCCTTTCTATGGAAAGGGGGAGGGGTTGAAAAAAAGGGACGTCATGGTTGCGTTTTTTTTTTTTTATGGCGGATCCGGACGTGTGAATGTGTCACGTCACGCATTCAACAGTCCCTTTTTCCATTTCCGCGTTTTCTTCTTTTTTCGTTCTGGTTTTTTCTTTTAAAATGATACCCCCTTCCTGGTTCGGGACTAGGCTAACCCTACTACGTTGTCTTGGGGAGAAAAGGAGAGGTGGAAGTTCTACCTACCTACCTACCTATCTACCTACCTACCTAGGCTTTCTTTCCAATGGTTATGGCTAGGTTAGTTAGTTCTAGGTTAGGCAGGCAGGCAGGAGGGCAGATAGGCATACTGAAACTAATAAAAACATGGTTAAAAGATAATAGTTTTCTTCTGTTATGTGTGTGTTTAAGAAGAAGAAAGGAAGAAAGAAACTTAAACTACTTTTATCTTCAGGGTAACAGATAACATGGTGTGAAGTCGGCCTGTGTGTTATCTTACACAAACAGGTAGGCAGGTACCTAGTAAGCATTGCATCGTCATCATTATAGGCAATCTAGAATGCTTCAAATTAGATGCCTATAGAAAGTAGCCACCAACGAAAAGTGGAAAGAGGATTATATAAACACCACTGCTATCAATCGAAAAGCCCACCTACACATACTGCAGGAACATAAATACAATACAACAGGGTACCCTATGTACCTAGGCACCTTACATGTAGGTACTGGTAATCATACAAGATAGTAACATCAAGGTCGCCCAACTCCAAAGACCATCCTTCCCAGTTGCTAAAGAATATCTAAACCCAAAAACCCCCAAAAATGAATCTTGTCAATAAAAATCAACCCGGTGACGAGACTGTCGAATATCAATTCTAAGACGCAGGTGCTTAACCTACTTGGGTATAAACTCATTCTCGGGAAGGGAGCGTATAACGGACGAACAGACGATCGAGGAAGTGCGAGTGGCGAATCCCATTAGGCCTCGCAGTTGCAAAGGCATCGATCGCTTCTTGAACGCCGTATCCGCAGCGCTCTACTAGGTAGCATACAAGGAAGTAGCCAGTGCGGTTGAATCCATAGTGACAGTGCACGCCAATAACATGGTCATCACTCCAATCCGGTTCCGAGGAGGCGCGAATCTTTTGATCATCACGGATTGCATCCACCAGCTTGATGAATTGTGCCACCTCTGTGTCGGTTGGGGGAATCTTTGATACTGTGGGGAATTTATGGTACTTGATCCCCTCTCCGAAGCTCTTAGGGTCATAGACGGGATTGTCATGGCTAATATCAATAATATCCTTGATGATGTTTCCCCTGGATAATAAATTAGTTACTGGTGAACTCGCTTAGGATTGCGAGGTGTGATGGCACATACCAGTTGGCCGTGAAGATTTTGGGGGAATGCTCCTCGTCGACCTCGCGTAGAGTCTTCATGGCTCGGAATATACCGCCAATGGGATCAGAAACAGGTCGGACACTTTTCCATTTGGCCAAATTCTTGACATCCCACTTGCCGTCCCGAGAAAGATGCTGTAGTTGCCAGCCACTGTGTAAAAATATCAGTTTCACGAAATAGCACGAGATTTGCAAGACCTAAACCTACAGAGAAAACCGGCCGGTGATATGATCATTCATAAAATCGCCAATTAGTCCTGCTAAGGTACGAACGGTTGTCGACATGTACATCATAGCGTGCCCTGTAGGGAGTATTGAGGTTTTGACCACTTTGGCTGGATGTCGGGGCTGTGAAGGGATATTGCTAACTGATTCCTGATCTCTGGGCGTAGTCGGATCTTCATAGTGATCTTCTATGTTTGACATCGGCTGTTTCTTTCGCGCAAAATCTTCATCAGTAATAGTGTCGATCGATCGCGGCATGTGCTCCCCTGGATTTATTGTGGCATTTACTGAAGTCACGGAATCGATATTTACACGTTCTTCGGCCGTGGTAGGTGAAATAGCGCGGGCTTTGCTGGGGGAGCTGGGTGAAGATGCTTGATTGGCCGAACTCGTTCCCGAGTCAAGCATGCCCCGAATCTTTTCAACTTCTTTCGGTGATGTTACTGTGTCATGTTCGCCGCCGATCAGGTAAACAGGAATGTCAAGGCCGGCCCAAGTTGGTTCGCCAAACAGTCCGTCAGCCGGTTTCCCATCGACAAAATGACTGGGTAAGAGTCCCCAAGCCATGCGACGAAAGACGGGTGTCCGGCTCTGGCTGTTGAACTTGTTCTGAAGCTGCCGGGTCTCGAGGTCCCCACCAGGCCCAACGAAGCGTTTGACGCTTGCGCTCTCAGATCCGCCCCACCGATCCCACGCGCGCCACATGTTGAAGATGAACTCTGGAAGCCGTAGGAGCACGCGGAAGTTACGCACTGTTCCTGGAGATGGCGGTCCAGAGACGGGACAGATCGCGACCAGTCCCATCACATGAGAAGGAGGCCGCAGGTAATACGCCGATTGTGGATTTGCGATGCGAGCCGCGACGGCTGTTCCCATGCTGTGAGCAATCAAGACGACTCCTTGATCCTTCTCTCGGTAACCTTCAATAATGGTCTCGAGCAAGTCGGTCAGGGCATCCGAAGTGTAGGCGTCCCACGATGACGGGGCAAATTGAGAGAGGCCGCAACCAGGAAAATCAACGGCTAGGCAAGATGCGGAATTACTAAGACTGGTGAGAAGAGGATGGAACTGAGCGACGGATCCGCCAAGACCATGGATGAATACCAGGAGAGGTAGTGGGGCGGGATCTCGAGGAAGCTCATCTGCCTTGGGATGACGGCGATAAAAGACTCGGATGCCGGGATAGGTGATACCACTTCGGGAAGCAGTGTATGATTTCACCTCGGAGTGCTTCCGGAGGAGCGGGGGGTCAGCGGCATCAGCATCTTTCGAATCGGCGCCGTTGGCTCGGTTCTTAGCCATTCGTTGCCGTAGATACCATGCACTCCCCAAAACAACAGTGAGGCCTACGACAATATGTCTGGCCTTGTACAAAGACGACGCTGCAGAAGAAGAGGTCATGGTAAATAATCGATCTGGTATGTGACCTTATGTGGGCAGCAAGCTCGTAGGTGCATAGAAAAAGGATAAGAAGAGTGTGAATCAATTAGTGGTATGATGTGGTATGGTGTGGAAAGTGATGTAATGTGGTAATTTGACGATGTCGAAAGAAGAGTGGAAATGGAATTGCTCATCATGGTTCAGCGATTCGGAGGGGAGAGAGAGGGAAAGTGAAGGATAAGTGAGAGTGAGAGTGAGGGTGAGGGTGTGAAGTGAGCAGATAAGATGGATCAACTTTGATAAATGGATGAATTGCACTTACCACTTTATTTCAGTTTAAGTAGGTACCTGCCTATATCGATTGCAAACGGAAGCGACGACGAGGATTTTTGTAATTGTTGTAATTGTTGTAATTGAATACCATCAATTTTGCTAAGGTTGACTTCCTTTCTTCTCCCAACTCAGATAATGGATGTCTCAGGCAACGACCCAGCTTAAATACTGTAGGTATTCTGTCTATAACCCGTCGAGATAATGGTAGATCGCATGTGACTCCCACATGAGATATGCCAGCGATCGCAATGAGTCTCCCGTTTAATCCTCCTAGTCAGTCTCCTAGTCAATCTCCTAATGACTAGGAAATTCTTAGGAACCAAGGACGTGATAACCTAAAAACAAAAAACCCAATCACTCGTTGGGCTTCAATGATTATGCCAAATGATTAGATTAATAAAGCTGAAGTAGGTTATACAATATATATACAATATATATATGATGGAGTATAATGGCTCAACACAAACATTTGAGCAAAAAGAGACTTACATGTACTGGTGAATAAGGTATGTAGGTTAGGTACTTCCAAGGTTATTAGTATGATAATAGCGAAGATATCACCCGCCTAGATGTGTTGTACAGCATGTCGTTGAATGGATGCATGTGTGGGCAAGTTCAGCTAGGCAATTATCAGCCAAAGGTTTAGCACGCTGCAGGTAGTACTGTACAATACTAGAACGGGTAGCACGGGTAGCACGGGTACCTTTTGACACCCTGACACCCCTAACACACAGGCTTTTGGGTAACGCCGGTGAGAGAAAAATGCCATACCTTTCAGCCACTAACTCGTCATAGCGCCTCAACGTGTTGACAAAAGAGGCTATAATTGGATTGATTTTTATTGTCCAATCAGGAGTATTACTTCCAGCCACAAAATGCAAGGCTATACCTTGCTAGACACCTAACTGGAACAACCGCATGCAGATATTAAATAAGAAAGATTTCAAGATACACAGAGTCACAGACGTCATGCATATTAATTTACCTACTCTACATAGGTACCCTAGGTAAGATACATACCCCCGAAGCGTACATAATATCATGATGTTCTATCATGATGTTCTAGGTATGGTTGCGTAGGAAATAGGGGAGATTTCAACCCAGGTACCTAACTACAGTAAGTAACTATCACGATATATGTATGTGATGACATATCCAAGTACTTCAAGCTCAGCTGGCATCCTTTCAGGTTCCCACTAGGTAGCAGCCACAATGCCACATGTCTTAGCAATTATCATTGGTACCTGATCGTGTCTTTCAAGTAAGGTCACACGAAAAGTGAGTTTTCCAACCTAAGAATCTCTACATATTCACCACCAAGTCAACTGATTATGCCCAATGCATCTAAATAGTGCCTCCCCCTTTTTGTTCTTACGAACTCCGCAGAGTCCCATTCTATCCCCCCCGCCCCTTTTCCCCTTAAGCAAGCAAATCCTCTTTTAGTGGTACATGGGAAAATGGGCTAGCGGTAAGTGTTTGTCGTGGCGTTCCGTAGCTCGGCGACACAAGTTAAAATTCGAGTGCTGCCATCTCTACCTAGGTAGTTATACTGGCATCGTGCAAATGTTGTACAGCTTACCGAGCGAGTGCTCCGACTCCCTCTTTCCAGCCAATCGGTATCAGTGCAGCCGCAACATCGTCAATGCCCCTCTCCGTAGCAAGCAAGTTGAATTGCGACGCCGCATTCCGCGTATCTAGGACCTCTACCTTCATGCCCAGGCTGCTTAAATGCTTCCTCAAGTCGGGGCTTATCGGGCGGATCTCCGGGCCAAGGCCTAGTATCAACAGGTCTGAGTAGTGCCAATTAGTCAGTGAGCCTTTCTTCCGTCATGATATAATTCGAGCACTCCTCACCTGGCCGAGGCCAAATCAAACTTAGTAGACCGAATGCCTCTTTGGCCACTTCCCACTGTCCTTTCTTATTCAATAGGCGATTCTCGCCGCCGGGTAACCAGGGCCGCCAAGCGAAGGCTTCGCCGCCGACTAGTATGACACCCCCGCCATCGAGGACCCTAGAGCCGTTGTTGAATCGGAAGCCGTCGGGCATGCAAGCGTCGATGGCGGTAGAGGGAGCTGGCGTATTGCCCAACACGTCCATAGCTCCAAAGTCGGTCGTAGGTGGCTCATCACGCCCCTTGTTGTGCGAGGTGGTTGTATGGAAGGGTGATATTGTGCGCGAAGCTGGAAAATATCCGTGGCTTGTCGCGTTGCAGGCTAGAGATTTCTTTGCTGTTGACAGTGGGCGCTGGACCTGGCACCCTTCTTTTCGCAGGGCTGAAGCGAATTGGGTTGCAGGCCGGCATGCGCGTATTAAAGAAGCCATGATTGACTGCTATATATATGTACTACCTTGAAGTAGTGATAAATCCCATTGTGCTAAATCGACAGTAAGTTTGGAGCTGTTTTTCCTAACTTTTCTTATTGTCGCAAGAGCTAAGAGCTGGGAGTTTGCGCAAAGAAAAGATTGATTTAATGTCATCGTTTTTGGAGAAGCTTGTACAGTGGGGAAATAAAAGGTTTCGATACTGTACTATCCTGATGTACAATCATGTACTACTAGTAGTTGTACCTATCACAGCATTAAGGGGGATTCACTCATTTCATGTTAAAGTTTCAAGGTCATCCAGCAATTCTCTATTATAGGTCTAGACTCTATAAATAGCTAATCGACCCCTCGCTCTACACATAAGTTTCGAATGGGATGTCTACGAGAATACGCTGCCAGGTAATATAATGTTCTCTCTACAGTGGGCTAGAAATTGACAGTCTGTGTATTCTTGCACACACAAGCAAAAACTAGGTATGTAAGAAGTCGTGGACTGATACGGGGCAATAATTTGGTTAGCTGTTCATAAACAACACTTTACCACGTTCACGAAGTCTGCGGGAAATATTATCATGTATCACAATACATCGGGAATACGAAAAGACCGATAAAACACATTGGTAAAGTCCTGATGTCGTTGATACCATTCCGATCATCTAGACTATGAGAAGAAGCCTTAGAAACAGAAGCGGCTTTTCATAAGCCGTTCGCATGACATGCAGCCCTGTACCTCTTAACACCCAAAGCAATGACGACCGAACCAATTCATCCCTGAGTAGCCTTGTAGGGTTTATTTCTTCTTGGAGCCTTCACTTTGCTCCTTGAGCACCTTCTTGACGATCTTCTGCTCCTCGATCAGGAATGCACGTACGATGCGGTCTCGCACGCAGTTGCCACATCGCGAACCACCGTACGCTCGCTGGACGGTCTTCTTGGGGTGTGAGATCTGGGAGTATTCACGAGGTCGTAGGGCGGGAACCTGTTGTAAAAGAATCATGTTAGCCATGCTTTGTGCTCGATTGAATTCGCAATTCACAATAGCCATAACAAGCTTGACCCCGAAACAAAACCACCCCAGAAACTCTTTGTTTAAATAGAATCAAATCGTAAGGATATATAAACTTGATTCAGTCTCAGTCGCGTTGGCGCAAGTTGCTGTCATACTGAGTGTATTCGATTCCATTCCCATCTGGCCCAACGGTAACTCAAGCAAATAATAACTGAAAAACTTACGCCAGGGAGCTTGACACCGCAGTCACCACATTTCGGGGCAGTTCCTCGCTTCTTGATGTGAAGGGTTCGTAGCTCACCACCGGGAGTCTTGATGACTCTGGTCTTGTTGGAGGTGGTGTTGTACCTTGAACCATTAATGTTAGCATTGCGCGAATCTGGAGACGAGCAAAACTCGAATCTAAATGGTATTTAAATCGAGGAGGTCAACATACGGGTTGCGACGGCGATAGGTTACTCGGTTGTCCGGCATTTTGACTGATGTTGCTGGTGGAATGAGTTGATTGACAGGTTCCTTTGCAACTTTTTTGTGAGGGTTGAATTTTGGTGTTTTTTTTTTTGGTTAGTGAAGAAGTTTAGATGTTGTGGGATGGACCATTAGAGCCCGCTTATTGATTTGCGCCAATTGGATTTGACTTTACCATTTTGTGGAGTCTGCGTCTATCTAAGCCACATGATAAGCCTGCAAGCCACAGAAGTCAAAGCCAATCTCTTCACGTGACAGCGTACCCAGCTCCAGCCTCAACATCTTGTGGATCCGTGTGGAACTTGCGTGTATCCAGAAAAAATTGGCTCCGAGGGCGACTTGTCAAAGAAGGATTCTAAACATCATCTCATCAAACTTTAACTTCTTAATCAATTCAATCCTTTCGCGTCGGTCATTTTGGGGGACGTCGCGTATGGTTACGAATCTATCAACCTTTTCATATATCAGCATAACTTTTGACTTGACGTTTGCATCTGAGTGCATTTGTCATTTTTTAGCCTTCCTGCGCGGTAGATCGCGCCGCGTTAGCGACCGCATCCAAAAAGTCGTCAAATTCAGTTATTGTTGACTTCACGATGTCGTCCTTTCCGCCTCCTCCACCACCTCCTGGCTGGGGTCCGCCGCCGCCACCGCCTCCTCCTCCAGGTCCTCCATCAGATTTCCTTCCACCACCGCCTGGAGTACCAGCTCCCCCCCCCCCTGGATATCGTCCTCCAACCGACCCACACATCGCCAAATTTGCCCAGAAGAAGAAGGAATGGCTTCGCAATCAGCGCAATCGATTCGGCGAAAAACGAAAAGGCGGATTTGTCGAGACTCAGAAGGCTGATATGCCCCCCGAGCATTTACGCAAGATCGTGAAGGATATCGGTGATGTCTCTCAGAAGAAATACACGAGTGACAAACGAAGCTATCTTGGGGCTCTCAAATTCATGCCACATGCAGTCATGAAGCTGCTAGAAAATATGCCCATGCCATGGGAATCGGCGAGGGAGGTCAAGGTCCTTTATCACGTCAACGGATGCTTGACACTCGTAAACGAGATTCCTCGAGTTATCCCACCCGTGTTCCACGCACAATGGGCAACGATGTGGTTGACCATGAGGAAGGAGAAGAGCGACCGAAGGCTCTTCAAGAGGATGAGGTTCCCCCCGTTTGATGATGAAGAACCCCCCTTATCTTGGTCAGAGAATATTGAGGATGTAGAACCGCTAGAGCCGATCCAGATGGAACTCGATGAAGAAGAAGATAGCGCTGTATACGAGTGGTTCTATGAGCATAGGCCTTTGGTCGATACCGAGCACGTCAATGGGCCAAGCTACAAGCAGTGGAATCTCACGTTACCGCAAATGGCTGCACTCCACCGGTTAAGCCGTCCTTTGCTGAGCGAGATGGTCGACCAGAACTATTTTTACCTATTTGATCTAAAAGGTTTCCTAACCGCGAAGGCCTTGAACGTCGCGCTACCCGGTGGCCCCCGTTTCGAGCCCTTGTATAAGGACATAGATCCCAACGATGAGGATTTTGGGGAGTTCAATGCCATTGACAGAATCATTTTCCGCTTCCCGATTCGGACTGAATACCGAGTCGCCTACCCGTACCTTTACAATTCCCTCCCCCGTAGCGTCCAATTCAATTGGCACTCTCACCCACAAATCGTGTACACTAAATCAGAAGACCCTAATTTGCCCGCGTTCCATTTTGATCCTATGATCAACCCTATTTCCTCCCGTTCGGTTGCGCCGAAGAATATTACCATTAGCCACGAAGACGAAATCTTCGGGGTGGGAAATCTAGAAGAGCCCGAGGAGGAAGCATTTGAACTGCCAGCTAATGTTGAGCCCTTTTTGGCTGATGAGGATCTTTACACTGAAGATACGTCGTCTGCTATTGCACTATGGTGGGCTCCCTTCCCCTTCGATCGCCGATCTGGCCGCATGGTTCGAGCACAAGATGTTCCACTTGTAAAACAGTGGTATCTTGAACATTGCCCTCCGAAGCAACCAGTCAAAGTTCGAGTGTCTTATCAAAAACTCCTTAAAACATACGTGCTTAATGAGCTGCACAAGAAGAAGCCCAAGGCGCTCAATCGACAGAACCTCCTACGAAGTCTGAAGCAAACCAAGTTCTTCCAACAAACGACAATCGACTGGGTAGAGGCCGGTCTTCAAGTGTGTCGACAAGGATTTAACATGCTGAATCTCCTAATCCACCGAAAGAATCTTACTTACCTCCATCTTGATTATAACTTCAACCTGAAGCCAGTCAAGACGTTGACGACGAAGGAGCGAAAGAAATCGCGTTTCGGAAATGCCTTCCATCTGATGCGTGAGATATTGCGTCTGACAAAGCTCATCGTTGATGCCCAAGTGCAATATCGCCTAGGTAACATCGATGCTTTCCAGCTAGCGGATGGCATTCTATATGCCTTCAACCACGTTGGCCAACTCACTGGAATGTACCGGTACAAGTATAAGCTCATGCATCAGATCCGGTCGTGCAAGGATCTAAAGCATCTAATCTACTATCGGTTTAATAGCGGACCTGTTGGTAAGGGTCCTGGTTGTGGCTTCTGGGCGCCAGCTTGGCGAGTCTGGCTCTTCTTCATGCGAGGTATCATCCCTCTTCTTGAACGATGGCTAGGAAACTTGCTTTCCCGTCAATTCGAAGGTCGCCACAGCAAGGGAGTGGCCAAGACTGTGACCAAACAACGTGTCGAGTCGCATTTCGATCTTGAACTTCGAGCCTCTGTTATGGCTGACCTCATGGACATGATGCCTGAAGGTATCAAGCAGAACAAAGTCAACACTGTCCTCCAGCATTTGTCAGAAGCTTGGAGGTGTTGGAAGAGTAATATTCCGTGGAAGGTTCCTGGACTGCCCGCTCCTATCGAAAACATCATTCTGCGGTACGTAAAGTCGAAAGCAGACTGGTGGATTTCTGTTGCCCATTACAATCGCGAACGTATTCGGCGAGGTGCAACGGTTGATAAGACGGTCGCAAAGAAGAATGTGGGTCGCTTAACACGACTTTGGCTTAAAGCCGAACAGGAACGGCAACATAACTATATGAAGGACGGCCCTTATGTATCGTCCGAAGAAGCTGTGGCGATTTACACGACAACGGTACATTGGCTTGAGTCTCGAAAGTTCACCCCAATTCCCTTCCCTAGCGTGTCGTATAAACACGATACTAAAATTCTCATTCTTGCCCTCGAAAGATTACGAGAAGCATACTCCGTGAAAGGCCGCCTCAATCAAAGTCAGCGAGAGGAACTAGCTTTGATCGAGCAAGCTTATGACAGCCCTGGCACTACGTTGGAGAGAATCAAACGATTCCTCCTCACGCAGCGAGCCTTCAAAGAAGTACAAATTGACATGAACGACAATTACAGCACTATCAACCCTGTTTACGATATAGAGCCCATCGAGAAGATCAGTGATGCATACCTTGACCAGTATCTTTGGTATCAAGCTGACCAGCGACATCTCTTCCCCGCCTGGATCAAGCCTTCTGACTCTGAGGTGCCGCCGCTACTTGTTTACAAATGGGCTCAGGGAATCAACAACTTAGAGAAGGTTTGGGAGACTGCAGACGGAGAATGCAATGTCATGATCGAGACTGAGCTTTCCAAGGTCTACGAAAAGATCGACCTCACTCTGCTGAACAGACTTCTAAGATTGATTATGGATCACAATTTGGCAGATTATATCAGCTCTAAGAACAACGTGCAGTTGACGTACAAGGATATGAATCATGTGAACAGTTACGGCATGATTCGCGGTCTTCAGTTCTCCGGCTTTGTATTCCAGTACTATGGTCTCGTTCTCGACCTTTTGCTCCTTGGTCTCAACCGTGCTAGCGAGATTGCCGGCCCGCCATCCAGCCCGAATGACTTCCTTCAATTCCGGGACCGCGAGACAGAAAGCAAGCATCCTATTCGTCTATACACGAGGTACATCGATAAGATCTGGGTTTTCCTGCGATTCAGCGCTGATGAATCACGAGACCTCATCCAGCGATTCCTCACCGAGCAACCTGATCCGAACTTCGAGAACGTCATTGGTTACAAGAGCAAAAAGTGTTGGCCAAGGGACTCCCGCATGCGGCTTATGAGGCACGATGTTAACCTTGGCCGTGCTGTGTTCTGGGATTTGAAAAATCGTCTCCCTCGATCTGTCACCACGATTGAATGGGATGATACTTTCGCCAGCGTCTATAGTCGTGACAACCCAAATCTGCTTTTCTCTATGTGTGGATTCGAGGTTCGCATTCTCCCAAAGATCAGAAATCAGAATGACGAGTTCCCCATCAAAGATAGTGTCTGGTCTCTAGTAGACAACACTACCAAAGAGAGAACAGCGCACGCTTTCTTGCAAGTTACAGAGGAGGATATTCAAAAGTTCAACAACAGGATACGTCAAATCCTTATGTCTTCGGGATCTACCACATTCACGAAGATCGCGAATAAGTGGAACACCGCTCTCATTGCACTCTTTACCTACTACCGTGAAGCTGCCGTGTCCACAGTCGATCTGCTCGATACCATCGTAAAATGCGAGACCAAAATCCAGACTCGAGTGAAGATTGGCTTGAACTCAAAGATGCCGTCTCGTTTCCCGCCGGCCGTGTTCTATACACCAAAAGAACTTGGTGGCCTTGGAATGATTTCAGGGTCACATATCCTTATCCCCGCTAGCGACAAGCGCTTCTCAAAACAGACCGACCTTGGAGTGAGCCATTTCAGAGCTGGTATGACACATGATGAGGAAACGCTCATCCCCAATATCTTCCGATACATCATCCCTTGGGAAGCCGAGTTCATCGACTCGCAAAGAGTCTGGACGGAGTACTCTCAAAAACGACTAGAGGCCAACCAGCAAAATAGACGTCTAACCTTGGAAGATTTGGAAGACAGCTGGGATCGTGGATTGCCCCGTATCAATACCCTTTTTCAAAAGGACCGTAGCACCCTTAGTTTTGACAAGGGTTTCCGAACACGAAGCGAATTCAAGATCTACCAACTCATGAAGAGCAACCCCTTCTGGTGGACGAGCCAACGTCATGATGGAAAACTATGGAATCTTAATGCATACCGTTCCGATGTCATCCAGGCGCTAGGCGGTGTCGAAACGATCCTTGAGCACACCCTCTTCAAGGCCACGGGTTTCCCATCTTGGGAAGGCTTGTTCTGGGAAAAGGCCAGCGGTTTTGAGGAGTCCATGAAATTCAAGAAGTTGACTAATGCACAAAGATCCGGTTTAAACCAAATTCCTAACCGTCGATTTACACTTTGGTGGTCTCCAACCATCAACCGAGCAAATGTATACGTTGGTTTCCAGGTTCAACTCGATCTGACGGGTATTTTCTTACACGGAAAAATTCCTACTCTAAAAATTTCCCTTATCCAAATCTTCCGTGCGCATTTGTGGCAGAAGATCCATGAATCTGTCGTCATGGACTTCTGTCAGGTGTTTGATCAGGAGCTAGAGTCGCTCGGGATTGAGACCGTGCAAAAGGAGACTATTCATCCCCGAAAGTCATACAAGATGAACAGTTCTTGCGCTGATATCTTGCTCTTCGCCAGCAACAAATGGAATGTCACTCGGCCATCTCTTCTATACGACACCAAGGATACGATTGAATCTACGACTACCAACAAGTTTTGGCTTGATATCCAACTCCGCTATGGTGATTACGATTCACATGACATCGAACGTTATACTCGCGCCAAGTATTTAGATTACACACAGGATAGCATGAGTATCTACCCTTCAGCCACTGGCTTGATGATTGGCATCGATCTTGCGTATAATCTGTACTCTGCTTATGGACAATACTTCCCGGGCTTGAAAGTCCTTGTGCAGCAGGCAATGGCTAAGATCATGAAGGCCAACCCTGCGCTCTACGTTCTTCGGGAGCGTATCAGGAAAGGTCTTCAACTTTACGCCTCGGAGAGTAACCAAGAGTTCCTTAACTCACAAAACTACTCAGAACTATTCAGCAATCAAACAAAGCTCTTCATCGATGATACTAACGTATACCGGGTGACCATTCACAAGACCTTTGAGGGTAACTTGACTACGAAGCCAATCAACGGAGCAATTTTCATTTTCAACCCTCGGACTGGTCAATTGTTCCTCAAGATCATTCACACCAGCGTTTGGGCTGGTCAGAAACGTCTCGGTCAGCTAGCCAAGTGGAAGACGGCTGAAGAAGTAGCAGCACTCATCCGATCCCTGCCCGTGGAAGAACAGCCAAAAGAACTCATCGTCACTCGTAAAGGTCTTTTGGATCCCCTAGAAGTTCATTTATTGGACTTCCCGAACATTTCTATCCGAGCTTCAGAATTGCAGCTGCCCTTCCAAGCAGCAATGAAAGTTGAAAAGCTAGGAGATATGATTCTTCGTGCTACTGAACCCCAGATGGTCCTGTTTAACCTTTATGATGAATGGCTCAAGAGCATTTCTTCTTATACGGCTTTCTCCCGTCTAGTTCTGATACTTCGCGCTCTTCACGTCAACCCCGACAAAACCAAGCTCATCCTTCGCCCTGACAAGACCGTTATTACCCAGGTACATCACATTTGGCCCACGCTGTCAGACGAGGATTGGATCAAGGTTGAAACACAGCTGCGAGATCTGATTTTGCATGACTATGGAAAGAAGAATAACGTCAACGTCTCCAGTCTGACGAGTAGCGAAGTTCGAGACATCATTTTGGGTATGGAAATCTCTGCACCTTCGATGCAACGACAACAGGCTGCAGAAATCGAAAAGCAGCAGCAGGAGCAGCAGCAAATCACTGCCGTCACTACGAAGACGCAAAATGTCCATGGTGAGGAGCTCATCGTTACGACGACATCAAAGTATGAACAAGAGAAATTTGCCTCCAAGACAGAGTGGCGTACACGAGCCATCGCTACCTCAAATTTGCGAACCCGAGCCAACAACATCTACGTGTCCTCGGTAGATAACGACCTTGATGACATTACGTATGTTATGCCAAATAACATTTTAAAGAAATTCATCACCATTGCCGACCTTCGGGTACAGATTGCAGGATACTTGTACGGTGTCTCTGCACCAGAAAATGACCAAGTCAAGGAGATTCGCTGCATTGTGATGGTACCACAAATCGGAAACCTGCGCTATACCCAATACCCCCATCAACTACCACAGCATGAGTATCTCTCAGGCATGGAGCCTCTTGGTGTGATCCATTCCATGGCTGGAAACGAGCTTCCTTACATGTCTGCGGTGGACGTCACCATGCATTCTCAGCTTCTCGACCGTCATCCTACATGGGACAAGGAAAAGACAGTGACGATCGATGTCTCCTTCACACCAGGGTCCGTGTCCTTATCGGCCTGGGCATTGACCCCTACCGGTTATCGATGGGGCGCTGACAATAAAGACCTCGGCAGCGATGCGCCGTCGGGATTCACTACGAGCATGGGGCTCAAGCGCAAACTCCTACTCAGCCCGCGGTACAGAGGTTTCTTCCTCGTACCGGAGGATGGCAAGTGGAATTACAATTTCATGGGCAGCAATTTCATCGGCCTAGAGAAGAAGCCGGTGCATGTAAAGCTGGACACCCCCATTTCATTCTATAGCGACCAGCACCGCCCCGAGCATTTCCACGACTTTACCGAGATGGAGGAAATTGGCGTGGATAGGACCGATAATTTTGCTTAAGATTTCGGAGATGAAGCAACGTCAGCTCCGCGTGGTGGCGGGAGAGGGTTGAGATGATACATAATATTGACTACCACATACGTACCCAGGTAGCTAGTTACGGACAGTAAGAGATGATGATAATTGGAGAGGAATGAAAGTGATGCATTACATTGGCATTTCCCAAAATCGGCGAGGAGGCGAAGGCTGTGTGCCCTCTTTTAAAGGAATCTTATGCAGGCGTTTGAAGGAAATGGAATTGAGTTGCAACGTTCAAGGGGGAGATAAGAGGTTTAGCTCCCTTTACCCTCCACGCCATGAAGGCCTGTACTTTTTTCATATATTGTCATTATCACTATTACTATTATCTGCCTACCCTACGATTCGCATCTAGATATGCTAACCAGGTGCATCCCTATATATACCTACCTACCTAGGAGTAATATGATTGATGTATCGTCCTGGTCCGGTACAAGTACGTACAATACATACCGTGACCTCCCTGTAAACCTACTGCGTTCAAGGTTCGTATGGATATATTATTAGTAGTTATCAGCTTGTCTAGGCAAAGTACCTAGACCTAGCACGTATGTACCCTATCTAGGTCCTATACGAGAAATGTAATAATACCCCCCGCATCCATGGACTCGGAACCGAGTATCTGGGTTAAGTTAAGTTTAAGTGATATTTGTACGATGACTATAATTACATATATTCCGCATATCAGCGATAATACTATACTATAGTATATACATAAACTAAACTAGCCTACCTACCTGGTTAAGGATGGGGAAAAAAAATAAGCTTGGGCCCCCCCTACCCATCCCCCATTCCTTCTTCTCACTAAGAGGATTTTGCTATTCGTTCCCCAGGAATACTACGGTACGCCGCTGCCGAATCGAATCTTGCGCACACCTGTGAAATAAGCAAATGAGGCGAGCATGGGGGGGGGAGGACCGGGGGGAGGGGGGACGGGACCCGATGGTCTGTCAGCAGCGATTTTGACAGGTTGCCTACAGGGCGATGATCTGGATTATATGTACTATGTATGTAGGTATCCGTGTGTACCTAGACATGTATAATACCCGAACCTGGGGTTGGTTGATTGGAGACTTACTATGTAGTTGAACCTTGATAACGGGCCAGGTGTACTGCGTAGATAGGCGGGCAGGTAGATACCTACATATGATAAATATGATAAATAGCACATGTGAGCAAGCAGGCAGGCAACGACAGGAACTCATTGCACGATGCGTATTGGCTTCGAAGAGATCATATGGGGAATGTAGACGCGGCGCAAAAGGACGTATATCAGAGGCCTTTTCGTCCCTAGCCGTTGCATGGCATGGCATGACATGGACAAGGACATGGGCACACTCCCACCCATCATATGCGTCTATATGCAGGCACTCCGCATAGGCTACACATAGGTATGTACGTGTTTCCCTCGTTCAGCCATGCTTGGTGATAGATAGGTACAGCGAAGAATGAGCAGGAAAAGTAGAGGTTACCTATGTACTACTAGGCAGTGGCCTATACACAGTAGTAGTGCGTGCCGTGCCTTGGTCGCTACCCAATCCAGTCGCCTAATCCCGAGCGTGGCATTTGGGAGAACAGGCGAATAGGAAAAACGGAAAGTAAATCAAAAAGGAGCGGGGATATATTGGCTGATCTTCAATATGATCTCCAGCCCGTCCATAACCATGGGATTGAAATCCTCCGCAGATGAGCTGACGAGGTTCACCGAGCCTAGCTCGTCAGCCGTCTTCACTGGTTGGTTGCGGGATGGGTAACGTACCTAGGTACACTCCAAATTAGTAGCTCGATAATGAGCGGGAAGGCAGGGTTCGGCTCGTCGGACGAAATGAGTATTGGGAATTCACACGGGCATTGTGTCCAGGGCCCTGGATCTTACATACGTTTAGTAGTAAACGCAAAAGTCACGATGAGGGAAGAGGTGGGGATGAACAGTGCAGATAGATCATAATACTATCGTATCATGTATGTACATAGCTTAAGAAGGGAGGAGTTTGGCATACCTATTCCCTAGTGCCGAAGAAATGGCGCCGCCGAAATGGGCATGCTAAATGCGTGCAAAAATATAAGAAAGTAAATTGGCCATTATTATGCGTTCATGCGCTCGTGCGTGGTTCTTGGGTTCATGCGTAGATCAGGTTAGATCGTTAGTGGATCTTCTTCAACACTTGATTCATTACCAGCCCAAGGCTGGTGGTCACGCTAGGAAAAACCCAGTTCACCCACAAAAGGTGCGGTCCTAGACAGCTGGGGAAAACTTTCAAAGCCAGGGTGATGATTGTTGCCCGTAGATGTGAATTGAGTTCGTACAGTATGGTATCGTGCCGGATCTCTGGGCGAGCGAGGGTCCTTGAATGTTGCGGAGATTTTTTGAGACCAGGGGCCAAAGATACATACATGTAGTATACTATGGATGTACATGCGTGCTGGGTACCTATGTAGTGGTATGTATGTAAGTTATGTACATGTAGACAAAGTGATAGGCGTCGGATGTATTGTAGTTACATGTGCAGAGGACTAAATACCTGGGTAGGTAGTATGTATGTACATACACATTCCGTGCCGCCATGCACACATGCAGCATTGGGGGTCTACCACATCCCCACTTGTACCTGTCAAGAAGAATTCCCCAGTGCTAGGATGTTGTGTATCGACAGGGCAGCTTGTAACGCAACAGTTCGACACCATAGTACACCATAGTACACACCACCAGGAATGGAGCCAGCCTCACGCTCCGATGTATAATATATCACATCGGCATGCGGCATGCGGCATGCGTCTCTTAACTTTGCCAGAACACTAGTTCCATGTTCCACATGAAAAGGCGGATACGGCCCTCACCGAAAGTGGCAGCCATAAAACCGTAAGCCTTGGAATAACCTCAAATACTTGATACTTATGGGTACCAGTTAGCGGGATAGTGGACTCAAAAGCTCCACGCGGGAGTGGGGCGTGAAACGGCCCGAAACATTCAGGAGTGGAAGACGGAGAAGGTACCTGATTGTAGTACACCTGCCCATCTCAGTCATCTTACGTCTCAAGCATCATGCCGGGCTCCGGACGTCTTTCGCATACAACTCCATACAACTCCATACAACTCATATGTACATAATAAAATGTGTTTTCGGCAGAAACAGAAATAGAATCGCTTTAAATTAATGCGATAAACAATCGAAGCGATATCCAGAGTTGGCACACGATTGTTACTTCGAGTACTTCGAGCACTTCGAGCACTTCGAGCACTCCATCCCACGGCCCTGGATGCCACAGTCAGCAGTTACCTACTAGTAGTTATAGGCTGCTCCGAATATCGTCTGATGTTTGCTGTTGAGGTACCCGGCTGCGTAGATCAGGGGACTCGGATGCTGGCTATCTACAGCTTACGAGCGTCGCAGGGTGCCTAGTAAGAAAGAGAGCATTGACGAGCTATAAGCTATGCCCCACCAGGTCTGGCGCTTAGAGAAACTGTCGAAGGGTTAAGCATCGCGCGCAGTACCGTCCCTCTGCCAAGAAACAGATACTATGTAGGCATATCCGTAGATCTGTGGGCGGTGAGTATATACCCTACTGGGTCAATATGGGACTGCCTTATGCCCCCTCGACCGCCTCGGACCGTTGCACAACAAGATCAATTCTACTTACATACTTAGTACGACGAATCCGAGCTTTAAATTGGTTGCGTCGTCCCTGCACGCATTGCAGCGGTCCACCCAGGCTGTCGGATGCAGGACAGACGGGGGGGGTTAAAATTGACAGGGCTCGATAGATGAAAATAGAATCCTTCTAGAAGGATATCTAGACATATTTATCAAGGGGATCGGACTCAACGATGTGCTCCATACCTACCTACCCAGGTACTTCTACTTACCAGGTAGTCATTGTGGTACCAATGGAGCCTCCTTGCCTTCAATATTTGCGATGGGATATGCCGTGTGGTATGTAGATGCAAAGCGGTATGGAAATAATAGGTAATAGATAGTTAATGTAATTTGAGAGTTGCACTGAACTGGACACTGAGCTGGACACTGAACTAGACGAAGAGGAAGTAAGGTTCAATATTCAAAAGTGTTCTTTCTCGATTACTTATGATTACTTATCGTTGTTTTGTTTCTATCTACTATAGTTACTAGTAGTATTACAGCGTACCTGCCTAGAAGAGAAGAAAGAATCTAGAAGGAAGGAATTAGAGTTCGTATGACACATGTAGTTAATATCATTGATGTAATGATGGTTGGTGGTTCTTTCTCAAAGCTACAGTACTTCAAAGTATTGTACCTGTTTAGGAACATAGGAACATATTGATGCTTAATCCAGGTATCCCCCCGTTGTCTTGATCAATGTTACTAACAATGTTACTAATAATAGGATCAGTCATGATGAAAATGTACAGTACTTTGCTACATACGGTAACATACTATGTACCTAAACATACATACCCAGGTTACCTAGTAGTATTATATTGTACAATACATGTCAATTCTTAAACCTTCTTCTATCCAGATCGCTCGCAATTTCCGATCTTGCAGTTATTTATTTCTAGAACACATTTTCATCGTCCGTCTTGGCCGCTTTTTCGTCTCTACTTTTCCTTTACAACGTCATTTCAAACAAGGACCGACAAGTGGCTCGGACGTCTGAAACCCCCCTGGTCGCGCCCTAGAAGCAAATTTCGTTCTTCCAGAAGCAGACCTCATGAACAATGTGCATAACTGCTATGTACTCTTTTAATTGCTTAGAAACAGCGAAACACGTTACGTTCATGCGTGAGCTCCATACTCGACACTCCTCTCTTTCAGCTCTGCGTCTATTGTCGTGACCATGTCCAACCAGCTTCCAAGTCCCACTATCCATTGGGCCTCCCGCTTCAATCGCATTGAATCGCGCAATATTACGATGTCCTTAGGGCCGGGATCTAGAGAATTGGGACCACTTGCTCTCCATCTCTGGTCCCTTTCCTCAGGAATCTGGAGGCTAATAATCCCCTAGTACTAGACCGCAATACTAGGACGCTACCGCTTGAGATGAACAGAACAATAATACAGCAACATTGGATAGCACTACTTCGAGTCACTTGACACGTAGCTAACTACACTACCTACCCAAGGTACAGACGGTCGGTCAAGGCAATAAAGCAGGCCGAGGAAAGAATGCCAACAAAAACTTCTCACAAGTTCGAGCATTCACTCGAGCTGTCGAGGTCAAGGTCCCTAGTATGGCCCAATTCGTCTATTCCGCCAAGTTTCCCCTGCCCCCATATCTTCCCGCTTGGTGATCCAGGTATCATCGTCATATCTCCCGAAACGTAAGTCTGCCAATCTGTGTTGGTCCTTTCCTTGCAATTCTCCATCTAATTATCCTTGTACTTACCACGTACGTACATACACTACACACCTACATATGTATATACATATGTACTTACATACTACGGTGTGCCCTGGCACCTTTCGACATTTTGGCTCACATAGAAACCAGGTTTCGGTAGACATGGGTGTCGTGACTGAGGTCGTGACCAGAGAGCCAGATTGCCTGGAGGTTCCGTTCGTTAGTGGATTTAGTGTCATGTTTCCCTTGTATTTTTGCTCGGCAATCTATCCAGCGCGTTCAGTGGCTACTGACAACCTTACCGATTCCCCTGGCCCTATGGCGTGTCAAGGATCAAAGCTCTCCTTATTATAGCCACCCCAGTTCCAATATATCCCCTCCAAGCGGACGAGGAAGACAGCAATGTGCCATTCCTTCCCAACTGGCCAGCAGCCGAGCATGGGCGCACCATCTGTACACGTACAGTATAGTACATACACCCAGTCAACCAGCATTCTGACCCTCCAGTGGTAGCCACTGCTTTGGCTTGGCCTCTCTAGGTGAGAAAAAGGTTGAGCAGGGGCCTTTCTGTCATGAGTCTGGGTGTGGCCCACCTCGATTATTCGCTTGTCATGCTCTAGAGACACTGCCCAACTGCGTGGTAGGGCCTGTTTCAGCTTTTCTATTTCTCCATTAGGCGGTCTTGTTTTGTGTTCTTCTATGCGTTTTCCAGACGTTCCTCTCTGTGGATTACCTTGACCTTTGATAATCTTGTTTGGGGCATAGCTAGTCCAGGGTCACAAAAGTGAGCTGTACCTCTCACCCTGTCACCCTGTCACCCTGTCAGTGAACAGAGTACCTCACCCGTTGTGGGTTGTCGTTGCCCCAGTTGCATCATAACCTCCGGCTGGGGTATCTTCTAAATCCGGCAAGCTGACCATAGCATAAGATCACCAAATTATGCTACCGTCATCGCCAGACGAGGTAACCGAATCTCCACACCAGTTCAGGAACGATACTTGTCTCGCACGCACATGGCAAATCAGGTCAAGTGCTTTAACCTGTGGATGAAAAGAGAGATAGTCTAGGTTGTCTAAGTACTTGCGGGTCGTTCCCAAGCTCGTCCCTGCCTGGATAGAAACGAGAAAGAAGATCAGACGATATAATGCATCCCTTGCCCGCTCTCATTCATTTTCCATTTTGACATTCTGTCACCATATAATAGACTAGCTAAGGAATCCAAGAAAAAAAAAGGACTGCTCCCCATAATCACCAGGCATAGGTGGTAATGAGCTGTTAAAATCTGCGCGGGCTGTCCCGAACTTGATTTTTATTCCTTTTTTGGCTTACGGGAATTCGCTGCCCTACCAGACAGACGATCTTACCTTGGACAGCACATACAACCAACACTACAACATCCCGCATCTAACCAGCTCAACGACGACCACCATTACCATAACACATGAACCTAACAACTGAGCGAGTAAGTGCTCAGTCTACTAATTCCCCAACACCAAACCTAATCCGACAAGACGGGCGTCACCATCGATTATACGCGCGAAACCAGTACTTCCACCTCACAATCACCCGCACGTCAGCAGCCTCGAGGGGCTCCAGTCCATCAAATTCTTTCTATACAAACTCCGGCGACCGTCCAGAGCGGTTCGCTCTGGCGGAACCCATGTATCGAAGGCACACTGGCGGGCAACTATCGAGTAGGACCGGACTACAATGTCGATTACTCCCCTCAAGAATCGCATCCGGGCGAGCAGGGTCACACTTCACACGCATACGACACACATCACCATCGGGGAAATCCAATGCAGCACACGGGACACGGGAGCTTACATGAGCAATCACAGTCGCACTCTCATCACAGCATGTCGCAACATCACCCCGCTCACCATCACCAGATCCTTATGGATCCGGCGCATCTCGGCAGCCATCCGGCTGCTCGACATATGAGCCATCAACCTTCTCACTACGCCCCAACGCCGTCGCCCCATGCGGTAGTTGGTCCATCATTGTACTCGGCAATGACACCCACTCAGCCCCATAGTGCCGGAACGAAACGTAGCCGCCCTGACGACCTGGACTTATCGGTCCCTGGTATGTCAGAACTCGATCAAGGCGACCTCGATAGTATGCATTCTATGGGCGCCCCATATGCGCAACCTCCTGGTGCAGCACCAACTCACCATCACCATCGGCTACCGGATCAGGGACCGCCTACTAAGATGATGAGACGCGAAGGAGATGTGAGCATAGGGATTGCTGGAGGCGCACCGAGTGTAGTAGGACAAGTTGGAATGCCAGCTCCAGCGCCGAGACCAAGGGGACCAAAATTAAAGTTTACGCCGGAGGACGACGCGCTTCTCATCGATTTAAAGGAAAATAAAGCCTTGACATGGAAGCAGATTGCCGATTTCTTTCCTGGGCGCTCTTCGGGTACTCTCCAGGTTCGTTACTGCACAAAGCTCAAGGCAAAAACGACCCAATGGACAGACGAGACAGTAAGTTCTCCTTAGTTTATATATATATATATAAAGCAATCTACTTGGAGCTTCTGGAATATAGATGTTAACTCAAGGAACTACAGGACCAGAAGCTCCGAACCGCGCTTCAAGATTACGAAAACGAAAAATGGAGGTTCGTGTCCAATAAAGTTGGCCCCGGGTTTACTCCTCAAGCTTGTCGAGAGCGAGCTACACAACTCCTTGGAGGGGAGGTCGGAGAGGTTGGAGAGGAGAACTTATAGCAATCAGCGTCTCCGCCGGGAGTATCAGCTCCTAGGCCCGGGGACACCATATATCCGCAACAGCTTCAAGGATGACGAGCTTATAGAGAAGCGCACGGCCATCACCGATTTCTCGAACATTAATGGCAGAGAATGGCATACATGATTTAGCATGATTTAGCCTTGCTATCAAATGCCAAAACTACCCGTTACCGAGTATCGTGGCTCACGAGCTAGAGTTTGGTCATGATTATTATCAACTCTCAGCAGTAACGAACAAACGATTATTACTCTAACGGAATCACCGATCAACAACTCGGAACACACGAGGCTTACGCCTTCCTATACTTATTTTTACTTTGTTTCTGGATATTACTATCACCAATCGACCTCTGTACAACAACAGTAATGGGTGGAGATCTACATAACCTACTCTGTGAAGCCAGAGTAGGGAATTATTTAATATTAGAGATACCAAAGAACCACGACGGTCATGCCAGTAATATTTGACATTTTAACGACAAAACTATAGAGAACATGGAGAGGAATGAAGGCAACGGGGGGCAATTGCGTTGGAATTATTGTTTATTTGATTCCCAGAATACTCCAGTCAATACATATTTACACGCGTTCAAGATAATGGAACACATCTACTCTTTGTTTTCCATTTATCTTTATTTTTCTATTTTCTATATCCCCCTCCCCCCCTTTGGACTTGACCATGGTGACTGAGCTCTATCTAAGAGGAATGGGTGGGTGTTTGGATAATACGAAAAGAGGGCACGACAGGCTCTTGGACGTTGACCGCAATTTGGCAGTGGGCTCAGGAAAATTGGGAACGGAAGATCCGAAGGAGGGTTGAGATGGAAAATATAGCAGAGATACCCCGGACGAAGCATACATAGCAGGAGACGGAAGAGTTGCGTTTTGTGTGCATTCGGGAACCAAGCCTAGCTCTACTAGGCATTACGTTTCAGTCAAAAGTTCCTTCGAAACCCCATTCTGGCGGGTAAGGAAGGGGACAATAGCAAGACAGTTGGAGCGAATCAGAAACAAAGCCTTCGAAAAGCCGACGACTTTATTGAACATGGGGCCGTATAAGACTTTTGAAAAATAAAGAGGAACTAGGGGGGGTTCAAGGGCGATGTGGTGAGCCCAAAAAAGGCTTCCGTACACGATACTTGATGGTCGTCTAGGTAGGTGGGTAGGTTAAGTACCTAGTTACCTACTTAACTTTTGATCTATTACCTAGTAATACATAGAGTAATACAGTAGGTATGTAATTACAGCCAACCAGACTCACCTAGGTATTACCCTAGGTATGTATTACCTGTTACATCGCGACAAAGTTAGTTTGAAGATTTTCCTTTGAATCTCGTACGGATAAGGGATCGTGTTCCCTAATGGCAAACTGTGTATATATTACCAGCCACTTATTTGTATGTGCACGGGGCTGCCCCCTGGTATGTTGGGCGTAATACATCCATGGATCTAACCGATTCTAACGTGATGTGGCTCCTACCTCTACCAACTCCACAAAAACAACCGTTATTAAAAGGATGTGAAAGATGTCATAATCTTCATGTTTACCTGGTAGACATGTAATCTGCCCTAGATGGGTAGTCTAGCTGTTCTTGGAGACATATATTAATTACAAACTCTGTGGATGAGCAAGACTTTGTCGCAAGCAAAAAGCGGGAAGACACAAGAGACAAGGAATCACGTTTCCTACTGAACGATGCAGAGTACCTACAATGGTGTTGATGTTTGAATTTAGAAGCACAAATTTCTCAGGTTATGTCCTACTTCACCGCTTCACTCTAGTAGTATGCCTACTGTAATAGTAGGTACGTACAACCGTGCCAGAGAAACCCCTCCCTCATGGTTGTCGTTAACGAGCTATAACAGGTACCTACAACATACTGCCTACATACCTATCAGCATATCTATCTACCTATTTACGGGCTAGCTTTTAACTATCAGTAATATAACAGCTAACGACGGGGAGGATAAGGGTGTAAAGGGAAGAGAAATGGAAGGGTATACCGCACGTTCTGATCTAGGAACTTCGATCTACAGTGCCCTTCGACATGCATATTAAATCACGCCGGCTCTTGTTGCTTCTGGGGGTGGTGTGGCCTTCACTGGCGAGGTTTGCCACCGAGCCCTTGGATTGGCCTGACAAGGTTATCAACTTGTGTGCGTCTGTGTGTGCGCTGTCATTGTCACCATATATCACGGCTGCGATATAACCCCCCCTCCCATCCACCTTCTAGGTTCTTATGAGCTTTCCCCCTACCTCTGTCCTCCCCTCCAATGGGATCTTCTTGGCTTCGAATGCCCCTGGCACAAGACGCGGTGCGGTGACCGTGGGGAACTAGAAAAGACTCGAACGAATAGATACTGTTGGTTGGACAGTGAAGGCAGGTTGTCTCACGTAGATTCGACTTACACGTACATGTGTATTCGCGCCTTTTCACACACACTCACACGAACTTGCACTGCCAGCCTATCTACTTAATTAGGAAGTAAGTTAGTTGGGAAGTTAGGTACTTGGGTTACTGGTAAGACGCGACATAATCTCACTTACCTAACGTCTCTTATTCACAAAGAGGGATTTTTCTCGTTTAGCCATACTTAGCTATACACGTTGAGAGGATGCGGCACTAGTCGATGACTAGAAGAGCAATACAGACCTAAGACACGGCGGTATAGCATGAGAACTCGGCCGGATCCCCTGATCTAGAATCCCGGCCGAAGAGCTAAGTACAGCTAAAGCTACCTATCAGCTATGTAGCGCCTCGGCCAAGTTTTTTGTTTGGTGGTAACTTCCAAGGTTGTCATGCAAGTTTCCCGCTCGCAGAAAGCAACGTGATGTCGTCTTGCGGTGAGCAGTGACAGCGGTGTTTTGCATATGGCGGCAGCCGCCATCCTTTCCATGTTGGTAATAGCCATATGTACCTAGGTAGGTAGACTACATACGTATTGTACATACATAGTAGGTAGTATAGTGATAGTGGTAGCCAGGTACATTGCCCAGGTCGAACGCATGATGCATTCAATTTCATGCTTTGCCTAACCGTAGCATTTCATACCGCGTTTTCGACGGAGACCCAGGTACACACACACGTGGTACTAGGTAGGCACTATATGCTGTACCTAAGTAATAGTATGTAAGTATTGTAGGTAATAGGTATTAGTAGGGAACCACATAGGGATGTAGTCATAGGTGATCCCAGAATCCAGTCTGCTTTGATGAGATTTGGAGTCAACGTTACTATAGTTGGCTCATGTTCATTTGGGATAAATAGGCATTACCAAAAAAGAGAACCAACGAACCGAACCCATGTTATTTAGAACGGGTCAGAAAACAAGTTTGTATACTATTCCATAAAGGAAGAAACCAGCAAATTCGTTCACAATATACTATGTAGAAGATAAAGACAGGATTGTTGCTGACCATTCGGCCAGCAGTCATCCGTCTGAATTTTTCGATGATATCTACATATGTAGACAATTCTTAGAAAGGATGAAACATTATATTACATACATACACTACCTGTAAACACGTACATAATAATAGCCCTGGAGGTAATAGAAGTCCTACATGTAGAACAAGTAGGTACCTACCAATGGATATGTAATTATGTACCCTGTCACTGTGGACTCAACAAGATCTCCAAGACCAATTTCTATCTTGGCAGACAGGCAAGTTGAGGTACATGCTAACCAAGATGGATGTAGATGGTTTTGATTTACCCGTCGCGTACCGTGCCGTCCTTTGCTGCGAGTGCTGACGTGGTTTTCTTCTTCTTCTATTATTCTGCACATAAACAAACCCTTCCCCTTGTCGGCCCCCCTAACTAAAAAGAACGAAAAATTGGAAAGAATTATGGCTACCGAACCAGCTAAAGTGCAAGATATTCCAGCGGTGTGGGATCTCGTTTCAACTGCCGCTGCTCGCCTTACAGTGAGGGGAGGGGGCCCCCTAACCATTACCTAGGATTATGTACCCACCCCTGCTGCTGCTGCTGCTGCTGCTGCTTGCTTGCTTGCTGCTGCTATGGGAAGGAAACGCCATCCGCCAAATGTTAGGAGAATTCTTTTCTTTTCTTCCCTTTCCCTTTTTTCTCTCGCTCTATCCTTCGTTGCATGAAAAGCGAATCTACAAATGAGATGAGCGTGGGTTAAGATAGGTCCAGATCGGGTGAGCCAGCCTGCCTGCCAGCCAGCCCAGGCTGCCAGTCCAGCCCGTCCTCGGCAATGCAAAGCATTCACATTGCCACTTGATTAGCGTTACATACACCAGTTACTAGGTACTACACAGCTACCTAGAACCTAGTATTTACTGCATATGTAGGTGAGTTAGATACGCATACATACACTAGTAACTACCTAGCACATACCTGAACAGGTACACACAACTTGAACCAGGTCCCATCTAGGCCTCGCGTATGTAAGGCAAGGCAGGTGAGTAGGTAGGCATGTATGGTATGGTATGTATGTGTAGGTAGGTAGTTAGGTAGTTCACATAAACACACAAGACAGATCAGATGGAGCCGAAGCTCGGATCTTCCACGATCACCACTCCCTTCCCCTTCCCTTCCCGTTTCTACCCCTCTCCCAAGATAAAAAAGAATATATAAAATGTGACAGATATATATCCGATTTGGCCCTGGCGCACAAGCCCGATTCCGATCGATCCGGATCTTCCGTGTCAAATAGCGGGAGCACGGGAGATTCTTGGCTTTTCTTTTCATCATTTTTCATTTTTTTCTACGTCGTATCATGTTTTTTTGATTCTGTTTCTTTGCTTCACGGTTCATCCCTAATGTTCATAAATTTCCGGCTCAACAACAAGAGACGGACTCATGTATGATCAGCATTCCAATTTCTAAAGATTTGAGTTTCTTCTCTCTCTTACGGCACTCGCTCAAACCGCTTTATGCGAAATGCGCTCGAAATGCGCTCGCGACTCGCTCGCTTACTTAATTACACGCGTGTTGGGAGGGACCGCGTAAGAGCCGCGTCTGATCACCAGCCGGCTCGGCAAACCGAGGCCGGGATTTGGTAAGGAGAAAAGCCGTTTGATGCGTAGCGATGCGATGCAGCTCATTCGAACTTGAATTGAATCTTTAGACATTGCTGTTGCTGTTTCGGTGCTCTTTCTTGCACCAGTATTGCCGCAAGTTTGCAATTGTTAAATTGAGGCTGAAGAAAGGAAGATGAAAGAAAAAAAGGGGGGGGACTCTCCATCCGAAGAGGTCGTGTGTGTTACGTGATTGGAGGACGATTTGGCCGCGCGTGATACTCAGGAAAGGGGAAATAGGAATAGTAGATATATCTAGGTATGAATAGAGTCTTGGTGTTGATTAACCACCTTGGTACCTATCATTCATCCTTGAGGCTGATCGAATACACTATTTCACCTGCATTTTTGAAATCAATGTCGAATAGTTTACCTAGGTAGGTAGGTAGTATATTGACTCGGGTTTTGCAGTGTCCAATCGGAGATTTCTCTTCAACCTCGTCATTCGATTCGCAGGACCTAACATTAGTATTATAATAACTAGTGTGACTATAGGTTATAATATATAGATTATAGTATAGGCATAACTATTATTTCGGTATCGTGAAACATTCTATTAGCAAAGTGATTCTCTTTGCAGTCAAAACCAAGAACCTAATTTGTCATGTTCGACTTAATAGGTAGGAACTAATAGGTATATACCGAGTAGTTAAGCACCTTGGTCGAGGAAGATCCAAGACTTCAACCACAGAACAGTAGGATCGGTACAATGCCTAAGGAACCAACAGGGAATTGCTTAGGTTCTACCATCGTGCGTACATTACTTGGTGATCAAATTTCGGATCCTGGCAGAAGATCCAGAGTGCACCGGGGGTGGTTTATCGATGTTTTAGCCCTTGTGATCGATGAGATAGATGGGTCTGAGCTTGTTCGTCCAAACTTTGCAGAAAGGTCAAGCTCAGATTACATACCTAAGATGCTAAGATGTGTGTTAGCAGCCTTGCCGTTATTTGAGGTTTGGCCCGCGTGTTGACCTCTACACGTGTTCCGGAGGCATATTGGTAAATCAGCGCTCATCAGGCAACGGAGTCCCGCGGAGTCCTATTATGGCCATTGAGGCCCAATGGGCGAGGGTGGTGGTTTGACAGGTGAGACAAGTTCAGGGGGTTGGAGGTATCTCATCCAAGTAATCAGTACTCGTACGCCTTCATCACATAGTACAGCAGGCATGTACCAACATAGGTGTGTACATACATACAAAGTTCGCAATGTCCAAGTAGGGTAGACTGACAAGTTCGAAAGTCTGGATTGTGGGGAGGGGGGGTGTGATGACCCTGTCGTCGACGCCCTATATCGTCCTTCTATTATTGAACCGCCACGCTTCACCAAACGGCAAGCCAGATTGCAACCCGGGTCCACGAAAAGGCTCTCGGAATCCTGATTCCCTGAACCTACCTGCAGATGGCGAGAGATTTTCTCAGCGACTAAGATACCGCCAACGAGAAGAAAGGATGAGGGAGGGGGGGAGGGTTTGTTGCAGCTGCAGCTGAGCAATTGCATATTCAGGTTAATGCGATCACTATGCGGTGAGAATAACTATGCCCCCCCATTACCAGTCAAGTACGATGGATACCGGGTCGGAAAATCTGTTAGTCAGCCATCCGCAGTGATGGAACCTTGATCGGCGAGTGAGGAGTCTAGGAGTTTATGCGTGAGCAGAGAACGAGAACAGGACAGCCTTGCTTTTCTTCATCACCCTAGAGTTGCCGAAGAAGCCCATACATATAATTGGATACGCTTGCGTGTCGCCTCTGTCGAGGGCCTATCTCCATACAATGTTTCAGATGGAGGGGGGACGTTTTTGTGGTGTATGAGTCTTTATCCCTTGCAGGTGTAAGCAATGGCAATGCTGAGGAGGTATATTCTTCCCGTGGAGGCAATTGGCCATCCTCGAGATGTACCTACGGTTTCATAAGTTCATCCAATGTAAGCCAAGATTCCCCGGTCTACTACCTATTGGTCGGGTTAGTGATGGTACGGTATCTGCAGTTATGTACGTGCCGTAGGTGGTGCTTGATAGACCGGCGTATCAGGGGCGGGATAGGGAGCGGAACTGAGGTGAACTCCTCCGGGCGTAGTAGAAGTATACTTAGCATACTAGATCACAGAATAGGCACTTTACTGATTAATCTCAGTGACATATTTATCTGTGAGATGGTACATGTACTATATTTCTGATATACCGTTCAATGATTGTAAAATCTCAAAGGGTTCATAGCACTAGAACCCCCCCCCTATTCCTGTCGTGATAGATAAATATACCAATACTCTTACGCGGAATACCGCAAATACACTAAGTGTAAAAATTAGAACCCCTTGGTTTCTGTATATTTCCTGTTGTATATTTCCCCTTGTCAACAACCCAATCTTACATTTCGGTGTACTTAAATATGTAATTAAAGTAGCAGTAGAGATATCACCTCAATGGATATTGTCACTCTTTGGCTTGCTGCCCGACTTCGAACACACTGTCTAGATTAAGACTTGGGATATCCTCACGCGTGGGTCTCAGGCATTATAGTGATTCTACCATGTCTTTACTTCTTCTAAAATCTCGTAGGCGGTAACTCCACTGCTATCGGCCGCGGCCGACTGATATACACCACCTAAAGATGAGGTCCATGCATATTATTTACAGGTGTTATGCTTATACCTAGTTATATCTATCCTAAACGCTTGTCAAAAGTCTATACGGGGAGCTATCCGGGGAGCTATCCGGGGAGCAAGCTGGAACGGAGACGACTATATGTATATGTAGCCTCCATAGTCTCCGGGGAGGTGTTAGAGATCTCCGCGCAACAACGATGTTATTCTGCTTCTTCTAGGTTCCGCCTCGTGACAACGGTGAAGTATACAACACAAAATATCATAGTGATAGATATTATTGAATTATCCATCATCAACCCAGTCTTGTAGGTTAAGTACCTACTATCATATTGGATCTGTGGATTTCTGTAATGCAAGTAGAACGGTAGCTTCGTTATTACCTGCGGGGAGAACTACGGCCCCATATCCGGGGGTTTGCGGCTCTAACCAGTATTCGGGTGAGGGCCTAGATGTAGTTTGTAAACTCAAATTGGACGTCACCAATACTCGTCGTTACTGTGTGAAATCTTCATATTCGTGTAAGTAATCTTCGCTGTATATCGGCATACAAACACCGCGATATCAGGCACGTTACGAACCTTATAATCACGGAATAGGGTTGTTTAAGTTCTCTGTTCACATACTACCTACGGTTCCTTCGTATATATGATAATATCAAACTTCGTGAGTCTATTGTATCGGGAAGCTTTACTCGGAATGGAGAGACGATTATATAGAGGGAATACCATATTACAACACCAACCCCAAGAAAACATTATAACTTGGCCTAAGGTATGATTCTTGTTAGAGGCTCAGAGACTGTATAATTAGGCAGCCTGTGTTGTTATGCTCCTCTAGGCTTTATTACATGGGTAGAGAGAGAGAGAGAGAGAGAGAGAGAGAGAGAGAGAGATGCCTATCTAGGTACATAGCACGACAGCTCGTAGTTGGAACCTCTGTGCTACCGCTGAATTACCCCTGAACATATTGTATTAAGCAAGTCGAGGATACCACAAGCTTCCAAGAGCATCGATCACGTTGGTTTAAAGGCACGAATGCCGAATATGAGTTATCATGGAATTAAGGTTGAAGTGACCCATGGCATATATCACCTATGCAATACTTGAATGTAGGTAGTGAACAATGACATGAAGTCTAAATAGTAACCTAAATATGCTTTGTAACATCTCCAGTCTATTCTCTATACAAAGAGTCTCTTTCCAAGCATGAGGAGCAAGCCTTTCCATCGTCAAAGACCCCCTACTTGTGCATAGACAGAGTAATAACCTCACCCATTAATTCTCTGAGCTTTAGAACTAGAGATTGCCTCCGATCTCCCGTCATTCATATTTGGCAGGTGATGGCGTTTCCGGCGGTACACTCAACTAGCACCAACAGCAACACACTCACCCCTAAGTACCTAGGTTAGGAAGATACATACCCTATCCACCTACACGGGAGAATACATCGCACAGCTCCCTCCTTGTGAGCACCGCCTCGCCCACAACCAACGAGATCAACTTCTCATGAGCCGGCAGCCCGCGCACATCACCGAGGAACCTCGCAGTCTCCACGAGCCAGCCGTTGAAATCCTCCACCTCGGTCTTCTTGCCTGCCCGCACATCCTGCAGCATCGAGCTTGTGTTCTCCTTCACCTTCTCACCCACAGCATATACCATCGTCTTTAGTCGCGCGAAGGCGAATCGCTCTAGGAGCTCCTCTCTCGTAGCATCCCTTAGACTTAGACGATCCTTATCACCACCTTCATTTGGCGGCGGGAGGAGAATGTCGTCGCTGCTCGGGCGAAGAACTAGCGCGCTTAGCGTCCGACTCGCTTCCTGCAGCAGCAAGTCGATCACCCCTGTCAGCCCGTCCTCCTCCTCGGCACTATACGGGAAGAAGACCTCACCGTTCTTGCACCGCAGCACGGCCGTCAGCGGGTTGATGACGGAGTTGATGACCAGCTTCTCGAGCTGCGCGACCCACAGCTCCCTTGTGGGGACCTCCCGGGCAGCGAGACCCGGGGCCTTGGTGAGCTGCTCGGCTAGGTAGTGAGACCCGGACACGTCATCTCCGTCACTTTCTCTTCTTCTGACAGTCCCGAGCATGACGTCCGCCGGAGACGCATGGACGCTCCGGAACGGGCCGAGCGACGTGACGCCGTGGGTCGTCACGCATGCGAGCCACTCGGGGCCCGTGCCGGCGGGGAACCGGGCCGTGATGTAGGCTTCGCCGATCGGTGGCCACAGCTTGCACATGCCGTTCTGGGCGAACGCCACCGTCGACTCGGCGCTCAGGTATCGGCGAAGCTTGTCGACCTGGGGCATGGCATCGGTGGCCTTCGTCGTGATGATCAGGTTGCGTATGCTGCTGTTACTACTGCCGCCGCCGCTCTCCTCCTCCCCGGCCGGCTCCTTGACCGGGCCCAGGCTCGGCCGCGCATCGGTCCACCACTCGATATCGAAGTCGGCATTCCGGCCGATCTCGCCGTTGTTGCGCACGAGCTCGATACCGGGATCCGAGCGCCAGTGCTCCAGGAGCTCCCTCTTGTGGACGACGAGGGTGATGGGGGGTCGGCTGGAGTTGTTGGCGAGGAAGCTCGCGTATAGACGGCCAATGTTGCCGATGCCTAAGATGTATATGCGACGTCTCTCATCGTCATTTCGGCTCTGTGTCTCCTCTGACAACTTGTGGCCGCTTGGTAGATTTGCCAGTGTCCAAGCATATAGTCTGGGGGGCTCGTTATGGTCATTAAGCACCCTTCGCAGCCATTGCGCCTGGATCTGCGGCGGGCCTGTGGAATACGACTTCATGCGCAAAGAGGGTCCAGAGAGAAATTTGATCCTGGTGCTACTATTCCCGAACCACCGGATAGGGATCATGATAGCATAGCTCTAGGTTATACTGTGTAGCATTGGGGGCTATCGGTGACCCTACTGAGCCTCCCTGATATTACCTACTACCTAACCCACAACTGCCTAACCTACTTGTGTAGGCAATCAGCCCAATGTAATACAGCAAGTGAGTATCAGAGGTAAATAGCTGGGTCAGTAAGAGAAGATGAAGAGATGAGGAGAGTCTAAGCTTCCCACTATTCTCCGCTGCTGGGAACCAATCAAAAGGATCAATCGAGATCTGGAGTACTAATAGTAGTACCTCTTTTTGTTGCTTGTCCCGAGTTGAGGGTGGGGATGATGAAACCGCTAGGTTACCCAAACAGGCCCAAAGCCATTTTTAGTCTGCAGCTGGCCTGATCGGTGGGGAAGCTTATTACGAGGTACCTACCTAGGGTAGTGTGCTAAGTGTGGAAAAAACCCGGGGGAAGGTGTAGATAACTTCAATGTTATCGCTCCTACCCAAGTATCTACAATACTTACATCATTGATGTATATATCGAAACAACTTGAAGCAGTGTTAATCACAACCTTGAATGACATGGACAGGTACTAACTAGTAGTTACTAGGTACCTAATGCAAGAAAAAACATTGATGATATTACAATATCTAGCCTCTAGGCAGCTGCTACGTAAGTAAGTTGCATACCTACTAGGTACCTAGGGTAGGGTAGGTACCTTAGTACATTCTATTAGGATTTGATTAATCGATCCATCATGTCGGCATGGATGTCATTATTAGCAGCCCCCGACGCCCCGTATCTCGTTCCACAGACATAATTCAATAGTTTGTCCCCGATCCATTTATTGATCAGGTATTGCCACTTCCGGACCTTGATGACAAGTTGATGTACCACTTGCTAGGTACTATGCATCATTGCATCCACCTCGCAATATCAGACGAGGCGTTTCGGTAACATCCGAAATACTATCAGGTATGTATACTCACTATGTAATATCTGCATACCCATGTATTACATATGCAACTTCAAGCTGAAGTTTCCATCTTGCCTATACCGTCTTGTTCATGAAGCCTATGTCTTCACAATTGCGTGATGACATCCGGCACTCCTAGACCAACGCCTTCCTCTGAGACTGCAACGCCGTGGTCAACCTCTAAAGGCTCCTTGTGGAATCGTCCTTCCTCCATTTCCTCCTTCATCATCTGCGTCGAGCATTTGCGTAAATTGGCGTGCTCTCCCGAGGCTTTTAGTGGAATAGATTCTTTGTGGGCAATTGACCAAGTAGGACTAGTGTTTTCCTTGGGTGAATCATGGGCGGTGGACTTGGATGACTGGGCGTCGACGTCGGTGGTGGTGGCGGTAGCGACGCTGGCCTTTCCAGTATTCTCCGAGGTCGCTGGTTCACCACCAATGCTTATGAGTGAGGACTGCAAATTCGCATCTGCAGCTTTAATCATCTCTTCGTCACTGGCGGATAGGTATAAAGACGACAATGTAGACATAGAGGAAAAGCTGCGCTCGTAAGGTTTTCGCTATGCTACAGTTAGTGTCAGGTGCAAATATCATAAGGCCGGGGAGCCATACCAAGGGTATAGGCCGTAGACCAATGTTCTTCAATCGGTCTGGATGGATAATTGGCCGAGCTTCATTCAGGTGAAAGCCAAAGCCTAAAGCTGCAGTGGCTGGTATGTCGCCATTCACAATGCCGTCCAGACTCAGGAACGACCTTATTTCGGCTGAAGGACGGCAACGCGGACAGACTTTATACTGACACTCACGACCTCCGTCTGGGACCCACAACTTGGTCTCAGGGAGGTGCTCAAAGCCTGGTGGAGGCTTCGTTGAGCGCGACGATTGTGCCGCAACCTTGAGACACTATCTTTTGTTAACACCCGGCATAGCATACGGTACTACGGCTGTATCGTAGGTATCTATAGATGTAGTTGGGGAACGTACCTGCTCTCTCTGGGCTAAGATGGTGCGAACCTGATCAGGCGTGTAGGTCTTCAACTGCTCATCTGTAACCTCCCTGAAGAAACTTAACAGATCTGATCTGCTCTCTGGGCCTCGGTGACGAGGCTTTAGGTCCTTGCTAAACAAGTGTCCGAGCTTGTCAAAAGTCGTCTAGAATCAACAATCTTAGTCAACCGATACACATTCTGTAGGGAAAGGGGTGCTATTACCGGGTAGCCCTTTTCAATTTTATCCCTGATCAGAAGTTCTCGATCCTGAGTGCATCTCCAGAGCCATCCCTACTGGCTCGGCTCGCGACAGACGGAGCACGTCAGATTGGAAGTATACAGGCGCGTCATAGTCGTATGAGAACATGTAGGCTGGAATCGTTGACGGGTCCAGTTCTGATGGGAACGAGGAGGAGATCCTGAAGGTGCCTGGAGGGCATTGGTCTCTTCATTCGCCTTCTGCATTTGGTCGCCTGTTTCTTGATGGGTGGTGGGTGTTGAGGCCATGTTGGGCCTAAGAATATTCAGTAAACTTATTGTGATTCTGTTTTACTGTTGCTGTTGTTGAATTCGTGCTGGGTAATGGCAGAGAAGTTTCATATGCCGTTGCGAGAGAGAAGTATTTTGATAAGGGCCAAAAGTAGTTGCATCCAGTCACCATTTGCGGCCCGGAATTCGCAAACAAAATAAATCGATACTTTCGGCCAACCTACCAATAGTTAAGTACCAATAAAGCGAGGGATGATGATATTGATGGAGAAAATATAAAATGATTTTGTGCCTCCGATTGATATCAAAACCATAGCTACTCGCACTGGGAATGATGGTTAACGAAAACTTGGAATAGTTTGATAAAAGGAAGATGTTGGACAAGCGCCACAGTGTCTCAGTGCGAATAAATAAACATTCGTTGTCAGACGGTCTGACTTTAACAATGAATAGTCCACATCAGAAGGAGCAGGTGTTTACTGTGCACGTTGCCTGGGGTTGGTTGGTGGTGTTGGCAGTGTTGGTAGGTGCATCATCGAATAGCCTAAACAACACGTATCCTGTGTCCTGTGTCCTTTTCACCTGGTTGAAATTCCAATATTGGGTGTCCTTTCTTTTTCTTCAACACATGATATTCTTTGGCTTCAACATTGAAAGTTACAATCGGTACAATTACCTTTAAATGTTGGGTACATACCCACCTAGGTTAGGTAGGTACCTGGTAGGTAATTAGTACCTAGTACCATATGGATGGCATTGGATGCTGAGAGAGCTAGAGGTACTTGGTAACAATCGACTATACGTATGAGCCAATTGAAGCTATTCCCAACAGTGTCGTTTCCACCTCATGAGATTCTCGATTCATTTTCGATGTTAGAGCTTGTGGAGAGTGCGATCCGTTCGTATTACATAAGTATGATCTGGCCTACACCTGGCATTCATACCGTCTTTTTCCTGTCCACTCATTTGCGTAAACGGGATGCACTAGTGGCGTGACAAGCCCTGTGCTCGTACCTGAAGAGTCAAGACATCTGGACTTCTGGACTTCAATGTACATTATGTACCTACCTAGTTGAGTATGCGCAAGGTACTCTCCATATGTAAGGTAAGTGGGATATTTCCGGATTACCAATTGGAGGTTTATTTTCCTAGGCCTAGGTGTGCATTTAAAGCGCATTTCGGCTTTAACAATTGGTTTGTGATTTGCATGATTGGGGTGGTTTTTGAGGACCTGAGTAATGTATTGTACCTGAGAATCTTGACTGCACATAACAACATTGAACATTAAACTGTACATAATGTACATATATGTATGTATTGACTGCAGGTGGTTTTACATACAACATTAAATGTCATACATAGTAACCTGGGTAAGTACTAGGTATCATATTGATGTACATAAACTTGAATCATTCAATAATGTCACCATATGTACATGCAAATTCGTACTAAATTCGTACTACACTAACTAACTACTAGGTACTGATTTACCAATAGTAATCTGGCGTCGGAAGAATCACCTGTCCGATTAATCGAGCCAATAAAAGGCAAGGGATGTTTCGACTCCGAGCCTTGAGGTTAGACAGATCGAGCTTATCGAGCTTTGACCTTGGAAGAGTCAATGAGGTTTAGTGGGTCTGCAGCTGTCGTGCAGCAACGCCCCCCCATTTGACCCCTTTGGTTCCTCACTCATTAGCTCCTCCCAGCTTTTTTGCGTCTTTACTTCTGACCCCTAGGCTTCTTAACCTGGACATACCCTGGTCCACCCTGGGTCTATCCTAGGCTACTAGTGCCCATGTTGCCCTGACCCACCGTGTTATCCTTGTCGCGACAAGCCAGAAAAAGTAGCAGAAGTAGCAGTGGAAGTAGCAGCAGCAGTAGCACCTTAGTAGTGTACCTAGCTGGCTGCCCCAGACGCCCGACTGTTGTCCAACCTCATCTTCACCAACCTCCTCCACATCTACAGTGGGTGGCATTAAGTTTGAAACTTTTTTTTGTATTGCAAGGTGCCGCTGAGCCACAATATTTACAAACTAACCCATACGGGCTAGCTCTGCAAGTCCGCCACATTTGCAACTACTTACCCAACAACACCTGCCACACCTGATGGTGCCCAGCTTATTGAATGATCAATCCGTTTCAAATCAAATAACTTTCCGAACATAAGATGCGTAAACATAAATTGAATGGAATAATATATATATCTGTCTCAGAAGCATTTTGAATTTTGTTGCACTATATTGCGACAAGATTTGTTCCATCTGTTTAAATAGAAGGAAATACTTAAAGGAGATGGTGATGCCAGAGGTAGTCCCGTGATAGATGTAGCGTGGCTGCTTTTCAAATCAAGCGCTAGCCAATATTGAGCTAGACTCTGTCCAGAACCGGTCTAGCGGCTTGGTGCTACCTTGCTGTACAGAAAAAAGTTTCAAACTTAATGCCACCCACTGTATTACCCATGATTCCATCTATTATCTAGTTATCTGTCCATCTTCAACGACCGAAACGGATGAGCATCCAAGAGACCCGCATTTCTTCGCAGTCACTTTGTCCTCATCGATATGCAAGCTATCATCCTTTCCATTACTCTGCAAATTGTTCTTGGTTGAAATCAAGAAGGAAAGAAAGAAAAGATAAATTACCATCTACTAGGTATCAAAACATACAGTAGTAATCTAAACTAATCTACCTCGGCTGTGCCCTGACCCCCCTAGTCAGTCAGCAGAGATAGAGAGAGAGAGGAAAAGGAAAAAAAGGTAAACAAATCAATTGACTTTGCTGAAAATCCTCGTGTCAAAAAAAACCTGTCAATGCTCAATGCTCCAACCCTCTCAAAGGAGATTCCCCCCCCTCCACCGCCCGGACATATACTATCACTAACATATATCACTAACATTTTTTTTTTTAATTCCTACTCAGATTTTCGGACCGCTCCATCTATTTATTTAATCTGTCTACTTTTCTAGTATCGACCTAAAATATATAGCGGAACATGTCGGTCAAGATCGAGAGGGATACGATCCGCCATGCAACCGAGACTGTGCCTAGCAACAGTCTCGCGAGACTGCCTCGCGACGCCGGTGCTCTCCAAGGCCCTCTTCCAGGAACGAGCGGAAAGCATCCCGTCGCAGAAGCACTCGGCACGGCGATCACTGGAGGCAAGCGGAATGCCGGCACAAGAGGCTACCTGATGGTGCGTTCCCTAATTTATTTTGTACCTTGCTGTCCTTTTTAAAAATAAAAATGAAAAATGGTGAGACCCGCTGAAGTGCAGTTCGATTGATTGACCCCTCGGTTTCCCGCAGGCATACATCAATCATCTGGAAAAGAACCCTTTGCGAACGAAGATGGTCACGGCCGGAGCCCTTGCTGGTATGCAGGAATTTCTCGCGTCATGGCTAGCGAAGGACCGCAATAAGCACGGAAACTATTTCACGGCTCGCGTCCCAAAGATGGCCGCTTATGGCGCCTTGATCAGCGCGCCCTTAGGCCACTTTCTGATCTGGTGCCTCCAAAAGGCCTTCAAGGGCCGCACGAGTCTCCGCTCCAAGATTGTCCAAATTCTCGTTAGCAACTTAATTGTACGTACTTCTCACCAATTGCCCCCTTCCTGTCGCCCAATACGCTTTTGCAGAGCTGACGTGCATCTCCGCTAGGTTGCTCCCATTCAAAATGTCGTCTATCTCGTTGCTATGGCTCTCATCGCCGGGGCCCGAACCTATCACCAAGTACGAGCAACGGTACGCGTCGGTTTCATGAAGGTCATGAAGGTATCCTGGATCACCTCACCACTTTGCCTCGCTTTCGCGCAGCAATTCCTGCCCGAGGCTGCCTGGGTTCCCTTCTTCAACGTCGTCGCCTTCATCATCGGTACCTACATCAATACCATCACCAAGAAGAAGCGCCTCGCTGCTCTGCGCAAGAAGCACTTTGGCGATGGCCGATCCAGCTCGGCGGTAGGCGGAAGGCCCGAATCGGAATATCCCCCTCCTCCCGGAATGGGGCCTAACCCACCATACTAAGTCGGTCGTACTTAACTGGTCACTAGACTATCAGGGTGTGGGGGTTAGGAAGTGAATGCGGGCGGGAGGATGCTGGTGTTGTGTTGGACAGGACTGTGGAAAATTTCAATGTTATTGAGGAATGAAATGACGGGGATCTGGCCGGCTTTTGCTCGACTTAATAACGGGGGAGGCGATTTTTCACATGACGTCGTATACAATAACGAAAGGGAAAACCGGTGGGCTTGGGGTTATCTTGGGACGAATTGTGATGTGTTTAGGAGTATCCGCGCTTTTACTTACATCTTTGTTTTTTCTTCCTTGTTTGTTGTGTTTTTAAATATCAAAATAGTTTTCCTCGAGTACCCACCCTACCCTACCTACCTGTAGTAGCTTATAAAGAAACAGAAAATAAAGATTTAAAACGTATGGATTGGAACTTGCCCTTGGCCGGCGTACGGGACCGGAACTGCCAGCCGGTACTGCGACACGATATATGAGATTCAAGAATTACCAGGTACCTAGGTAGATCCGACACAGAACATAATCTTGGAACCCTTAACGATCCCCGAAAAATATTTATACGTATATATATCTACTTATCGACCTCATCCCCTACATGCTCTATCCCCCTTCCACATAGATTTCGGCTACACATGTCTCGTACAATTTTGTATATCTCGGTAGATGGTTTGGCCAGATACCTTAGGTATGTATCTAGACAGGCAAGATTCCAAGGCAACAAGAAATCGACCCGTACTCCCTTACGAAACGGTGAAATCGATACACGACTCGTACGTCTGTTTGGCGCCGTTGCCGAACCACCACCATTGGAGAACCTGGACGAGGGGGGGGAACATATGGTAAGTTTTCTTGGTTTGCTTACGTTTTTAGGGAAGGAAATTTACAGGGCGGGGGAAGGGGGAGGGGGGAGAAAGAAGAACTTACACAAGCACCAGCTTCGGAGCACTGCGAGCCGAGGTTATCGGGGATAGTAACGTTGAAGTTGGTTTGCTCGGCGGGAGTCTGATGGGCGTAGAACTGGCGCTCGTCGGCGTAGCCGGAGGGCCAGGAGAGCAGGGGCTCACCGATGATGGTGTCGGTCTTGGTGTCGACGATGGAGACGTTGGCGGAGCCGGCGTGGGGGATCGAGAGCTGGACTTGAATGTTGACGCTCTGGCCTGGCGTGTACTGCTGCACGTTGGCCACGTTGTCGGCGAACTGTAGACCGCGGCACAGCCATAACTTGCACAGATCAGCGTTGTATGCCGCGTCCTGGGCCGCGAGCTCAGGCAGTCCTTCAACGTGGGATGTCAAGTCGCCCTTGATATTGTTCACGACGGAGCTTCCACACGCGGCGATTGACGCATCGCCGGGCCCGCGGGGGGTGGGCTTCGTGATGAGGCCGTGGCCCGAGACCGTGGCGGCGAAGGCGGCGAGGGGGAGAAGTTGGGTTAGCATTTTGCCGGTATTAGATTCGAAGTCGTGCTAATGCCTGTGCTCTTAGCGAGGGAGTTTGATAGGTCCTTTGGAGTATCAAGAAGAGGATTCGTCAATCTCAGCTAGCTGATCGTGTCTGTCAATGTAGCTAAGCTGGGCTTCAAAGCTCTTTTGTACTTCTTCGTCCCTGAATTCCAAATACCTTCACCCTTCACCCTGCTCCTAGATTATTTTAATCAAAATTTGGAGTTCCAGATCTTGCATTTCCGCCTACAAGACAATATAATCGAAGGTAACTTTGTCGTGGGGGGTCGTTCCCTATCAGAAGCTTATATGGCCGGCAAAAAAGGAGAAAGTTGTTGTGCTGGGGCACGGCTAAAAAGGAATATGTGGAATCAACCCCCAGATTCATTTCCCTGCGGCACGTATCGCTCCCATGCGTTATCCCCATTGGGTCCCTGCATGAAGATGTTTCTTTCCTGCGGAACCATCTGTTTCCGGCGGGCTATGACCCGTGCAAGACATAGTTGTAGTCGCGACTGATAAAGAAGGTGCATTCCAACCCTCAGGACCGTATATGCTATGCAGATAAGAATAGTCTGGCGAGCTTCATGTCTGCTGGCACGTAATAGCAGAGTGGTTTTGACAAATTCTCCTCAGCTATATGCAGAGATATATGCTGGTCAAGGTTGTATCTATTGGGGGTTTTGAGAATAGCCACGACGGGATACTGATTTGAGAAATCACCGGGTCGAGTCAAGCCGTGCTGCAAAAAGAATAGTCCTCTTATTTTAAAAATAGCCTAGCAAGGGATGAGAGACAGAACCCCTATAAGATGCTTGTCGAGGCCATAGATGACGACATCGACGATGTTGTTGTTTCTCCTTGGTCCCTTTTTTGACTCAGTTGGCCCACTCTATAATGATCCGAAGCTTCGTTGTGAATTAGTTCCCCAATGATGAAGAGGGGACATATTTGGCAAAGTCTAGCATTCTGCGATGTGAAGTGTGGTGTTGTGATTCTTCCTTAAAATGTTGAAAAGATAAGAAAAAGGGACAAGAGCAATGGGAAAGAAGGATAGAAAAGATAACTTACTTATTGGGTATCAATCTCGTATCAATTCAACCTGAGCTAAGGAAGGTACAGTACTTGTTACGTGATTTCCCTGAATGTATCTTAGTCTTACTGTACATGCATAACATCTCTTAGTCTATTAAAGAAGCTGTCGTCTATCACATTCCAGGAAGCTACGATGCGGCGTTGTAAATCGCATTGGCGTAATTGGCCCATTAGTAATACGAAGTATATCATAAAATAGGTAATAACGCTAGTAGTGCAAGGTTCTGCCAATGTTCACCGGCCCGTTGGAACTAAAGGCTGGCTGACCATTGACATCATCCCACCTCTTCCATCTCCAAAAATTATTTTGCTTAGAAATAGTTAACTAAGTTAAACGTCTTTTTTTTTTTTTTTATCTTTTTAATCTTCAAATCCGTCCGTTGAACAAAATGCCTCCCCTCACCGTACGCTGCGCGCGTACAATCCCTTCGCCCTCCCCTGCGAGAGCATTTATACGAATCTTATGCGCATCTTCACCATCTACTTTTGGCAGCAGCAATAGTGCCTCTATTCTGGACATCTTACTGCCGCCGCGAACCCGGGCCTTCCATACCCGGAATCTTGCCGAGCCGGCAGCCCTCCGCATCCGACCACGAAGCATCCGTGCCCAAAGCCATAATGGCCACGCCGCTACCATTGCTGCCGTTGTCGCAAGTATCGCACAGCGATCTTTCAGTGCCGCAACACCCTGGCGCAAAACTCAGGTTATCTACAACCCGCAGAGGGATGAAGACGGGAAGGAGATGCTTCTGGAGATCACCCCGCGCGCAGCCAACGTGAGTTGTTCCTATCTCTCTCCTCTTCCCACAATTGGCCATGAGAACATTAACTAACTCATACCTGCCTACCTACGACACAGCGTCTCTCCAAACTAATGGCCGACGACAAGAACCCCAACCTTGCGCTGCGCATCTCCGTCGAGTCAGGCGGCTGCCACGGCTTTCAATCCCTGATATCCCTAACCTCCCTACCACCCACCCTCCCATCCTCCTCCTCCACCACCACTACATCGAACCAGCACCCGCCCGAAACATCCACCACCCCACCTAAACCCGCAACCGAAGGCGGCGCCGAAACCGCAGCGCACGTCGCGCCGTCCACGACTACGAGCGCCTCGCCCACCGAGCCCAGCATCGGCGAGGACGACACCATATTCGCCTTCGTCAAAGACGGCGATGATGACGCCACGGGTACTACGGGTATGCCGAAGGTGATCGCCGACGCGCCGAGCCTCGAGCTGCTCAAGGGCAGCAAGGTCGACTTCGCCATGGAGCTCATCGGCAGCCAGTTCAAGATCGTCGACAACCCGCACGCCACCAGCGCCTGCGGCTGCGGCACCAGCTTCGACATCAAGTTTTGAAAGAACCGCCTAACCCACCAAAGCTGTATTTTCATATACCTGAGCAATACCAATGCCGGCCTTTTTCTTCCCTTGCGCTATTCTTTTATCATTCTCCCGCTGTACATACTACTTCATACATACATACAGACACACATACATACTTAGATACTTAGATATCTTCCATCCATGGAACGGTTTAAGACGATGATAATGCTTTGCTTTATTATACCTACCTGTCTGCCTCTTCTTCGCCCTCGATACCTGTATGGACCGAGACCGAGACCGAGCTCTTAATCCCATATTGTATCGTATCATACGCATGCAGCAGTTGTACTTGATATTGGCGAATGCGGGAATTAAAGGAGGGGGTATTTGGGAGGACGGTATCATACCTACTTTTGCTTCACTGGGTATATTTTGACGTCTCGAGAGACGTACATTCATGTACAATCATGCATGGCACTACGGTTTGATTCTATCCAATGTCTTCATACGGAATAGCTAGGCACAGTGTCATCAAGCACCTACCTAGGTGGTTGTAATTAGGAACGGCTTATAGCCATTTGAACCCGAATTCGCTTTGTAATCAATGAACATTTCTCCATCTCTCGAATGGCAATAGTGTGTATGGCTGCCCTAGACTATATCTCATATGAGAAGTCGATGGCTGGAATATTATCCATCGTTGGCTTGAAATATCAAAGCCTTCTTATTAATTTACCTATGAAGAAGTGATGAGTAGGTATAGTTACTAGCAACAGGGAAATTCAGTCGATAGTCTCAAATTGGAATTCACGGGTATTATTTTGGAAGTCTACAACTGGGACTAGCATAATAGTAAGTGCACATTGTAGTATAGGGTTGCATGATCATCATAATCTCAATTCATTGATAGCATCCGAAGCTTTTATGAACGCCGTGACCCATGCACCTAAGCAAACCCCATCATACCAGACCCGTTGCCCCTTTAACCCTTGGCGTATAGCCTTAGTTCATCTGTCGGATCAGGCGGTTGATCTTGTCCTCACGGTTACCCAAGTCACCACCCTCGATGAAGTGCTTGAACTTGCGGGTTCGGAAACCACCGTTGGGGTTGCTAAGCTTGAAAGGCCACAGGAAGTTGGAGGCCTGCTTGAAGTTGGGACCAACAGTGTAGATCTCGTGAACGAGATCCTCCATGCAGACGATGCCGTACTTGCCGAGGCTCTCCTCGATGATAGCGTTATCGGTAAGGGGAATGCGCTGCTTGTTGATCTTGCCGTAACCGCGCTTGTAGATGAGCTCCTTGACGCTCTTTAGGTTGGGGTATCCGTAGGCAACCCACGGCTCAACGATCTTGATCATCTCAGCGGTAGCCTTGGTGATGCGAACGAAGACACCATTGTTGATCTGAGTCAGACGGAGAAGCTTAAGGATCTGGCGGGGCTTAGGGGCAATCTTGTTGATACTGCTCATCTGTTAGTAACTGGCTGATCGGTTGTTGATGTGTGTACATACCCCTTGATTCGGATAACAAAGAGTAGCTTGTCTTCAGCAGCAACATGGAAGCTGCCTTCCTGCTTGGCGAGACGGGTGAGGCGGACCTGCTCACGCTCGTGGGCGAGGTACTCGGCGACGTACTTCTCGGCACGCTTGAAGAAGATGCCACGCTTCTCCTTACCGAGCTGTATAACATTGTTAGCTAAGTGTAATGAACAGAGACACCTAAAATAGCAACATATATATGTTCGTCGATCAGACCCGAAAGATGGTATTTTGCAACGGCATTGACCTTAGTCTAGTCGCAAATGGTTGTTATGCATCACGTCGCTCTCCTCCCCTGTAAATAAATCGAGTTGACTAACCTTCTTCTGCTCCTGGGCCTTCTCGAGCTTCTCAGCGCGAGCCTTCTCCTGGCTCTTGCGCTTCTTCAGGAGGGTCTCGGGGACTAGGATCTGGTCCTTGGTCGGAACGGTGCTACGATCAATATTAGATTAGTACGTAGTCCACAAGCACACATAACGAATGCATGAGTTGAGCGCCGGGGGGAGAATTGCCGACTGTAACGCGACATTCTCAGCGGTGGCTAACTCGGTGGGAAATTTTTAATCGGTGAGATGCTTAGAAGCTTCGTTGCCTCTATCGAGAGCAACGAGGATTTCCATAGCATTCCCTCTCATCCGACAACGCCTTGAACAGTAGTTCAAGAGAAATGCTCGCTCTTAATCATCATTTCTCGGCGGGCATTTCTGCACCGTCGGGTGATGGTAGAAGCGGCAAATGAATTTAAGAGAGAAGGCCGAAGCCTTCATCTCCAACGCCCCAGGGAAATATCTCTCAACATTCAAACTATATTTCAAGCTTGAATTGACGAGGGAATAAGTCTAGGATAGATCGAGCTGGGTTGCAAGGCCTTCTCGCACCATTTTCAAGTGCTTAGTAGAAGGGCAATGTAGCCCAGCCGAGAGGACCACGACAATCTGCAAAATCCATGGAACCGGGCATCGATGCGATTCATGGAAGAAATAAAGGGGATCAAGTAGAGGAAGCATACGTTGAGGGAGCCATTGTGATTAATTAGGCGAGATGGCTTTGGTCGTGGGATGTCGACTTGAATTGTTGTTGATGGATGAAAAATCAAGAAGAAAAATGGCGAGAGACGGAAATTGGAGTGCACCAAAAACTTTTTGGACAAACTTTCCAGTGTGGAACATCTAGATCGGGTTAACCCGAAATGGAATAAAGTGGACCATTAAGACTGTAATCGCACACCGCCTTAAGCGAGAATTAGGATTAGTGTTAGGGTTATTCTACATCTTTCTGCCGACTGTCACCGCTGCTCATCATTAGTTACATACATATCTACATAGTATACTACTATCGTATGTAGTTTTTACTATATATACTTATTAGAAGCTTTGATAACGAAGAAGCGTCCTAGTAATCATCACCATAAACCATTTTAGTATCAGACTCTTCATGAATGTAAAAGTAATCGAATTCATTTCGCATGGCTGTGAAGCAACCGTGGTATAGCTAAAGCAAATGTGGCCCGCTCCTAAACACCTTATGAGTTTATATGCTACGCTTGAGAAGGTGGCCTGACGTTCAGTAATATGATACATAACTCGCTTGAGGCTCCGATATCCTATAACCCTCCAAATGGTACTCTTAAGTGTCCTCATTTGAGTGTCCAGTAGCCTACTGATCCTCTCTTCTTCATATCCGCAACGCGGTCTAACGCGGTCCTGAATGCATCGGATTGCTTCTTCGTACCACAATACTGGTCAAAGTGATCCACCAAGTGTTGTGTTGCTACCCGGCCGTTGTGCTCCCTGATGAACTTTGGGATCATGCCCGCAAAATCCCTGACTCCCAGGTTTGTAGTTCTGGCCGAGGAGGAAGGGCCAGGCCGGGAGCTTCGTCCCTGTCTGTTGGCTAGCCCGGATAGGATGCTTCCCGATTCGGGGATAGCTTGGCTGCGGCGCGCGTTCGACGGCCTGCCAGCTTGGCCCACATCCCCAGTCCAAGTTACGGTGCCAATTGGCACAGAGCGTGTCTGCTCCCTTGCGCGCTGAAGGGAGGCAGCAGCTTCCGCCGCTGCACGATTTGCCTCGTGTAACAGCATTCTTGGGTCTGCCCGGACCTGTCTTTTACCATTGACAATCTTGTCATGCTCGAGCGCTGAGTGTACACCGGAGCGGGAAAAAAGGCCTTGCATGATTCGATCCTCTTCCGTCGACTTGCCTGGCGTATCTTCCCCATCTGCATCAGGCTTATATTCCTCAACACCAGCCACCCCTTCAATGGTGTGGAGTTCTCGGTCATGGTCGTCATTGGCCGGATCTTCTGATGTCTTCGTCTGATCTCGTGAATCCGTTGCGTTCTGGCCTGGATCCTTAGCGCCATCCGCTGTCGAAGGCTTGCTGAATTGGACCTCTGAATCTTTAAACAGTTTCCCTGTTTCAGTCACCCCGTCTCCGGGTGTCTCTAGCTTAAAGAGGTCATGTAAATCGTTCATCTGGAAGGTCGCCAACTGTTTGGGGTCTTTCAGTACCTTATTAGACAGGAACTGCTTATAGATTTGGCGGTGGTACATCTTCTCTTCTATAGTTCCTGCGGTCATGAGTCGGTATATCGTGACTTCCTTCTTCTGTCCAAGACGCCACGCTCGCTCTCGAGCCTGGGCATCTGTCGAAGGGTTCCAGTCCGGATCGAAGATAATGACCCGGTTTGCGCCAGTCAAGTTGACACCCAAGCCACCAACTTTGGTGGTCAGTAAGAAAACGTCGATGTCTGGATCGTTGTTGAATTGGTCAACAAGGCTCTGTCTGCCCTTGATAGCGGTACCGCCATCCATTCGTAGGTATTTAATATACCCTAAACGCTTCACGAAGCTCTCTAGTACATCAAGCATCTGGACTCCTTGACAAAAAAGGAGAGTCTTATGCTTGAAGCGCTTCCACGTTTGGAGGAGCGCCTTCACAACTTGCATCTTACCCGACTTTTTTGCTGATCCCCAATGGTAGTCTTTCTTTATTTTCAAACTCGCGGATATTAAATCGGGATGGTTGCAGATCTTGCGAAGGATGTCAATCCCAAAGAGTGCATTCCTTTTACCAGACACAACAGCCTCCATTTCTTTCGACTGGAGGAACGTTTCATAGGCTTCTTGCTGCGGTCGTGTAAGGCTGCAAAAAAGAACTTGTTCCGTCTTTTTAGGGAGATCAGCCGCTACGTCAACTTTGAGACGTTGAATCAGGTATGGACTAATGGTATCTTTGAGGACTTCTGCACATTTTTGCGCGGTCATAATCTGAAGATTGCCGGCATTGGCATAACCTCCTTGGCGTATAGGGATTTCAAACTGATTGCGGAAATCGACGAGCGTCCCTAATCGCATGGGGTAGATGAAGTCGAATAAAGACCATAGTTCAATGAGGTTATTCTGCATGGGGGTGCCGGAGAGAATAACTCGGTTCGGTGTGCGCAACTCCTTACAGTATACAGTAACCGCGCTGTTCGGATTCCGAATCATGTGGCCTTCGTCCAAGACCGCGTAACTCCACTCTACGGGGGTCAGGACCTGTCCATATGTCTGCAAGCCTGCATAAGTGGTAACGAGAACATGGCCATGTTCCACAACTCTATCAACAATCTTCTTGGCGGCTTTGCTAACCTGCCGTTCGCCGTATATTTCATCCCATGCCTCATCGTCTTCTTCAATCCTACCCTCCGCCTTTACATTGAGCATACCACTGCCTGAAGAATGAAGGATCGATACGCGCAATGGGGGCCACCAGCGATGGAATTCATTCGCCCATTGCTTCAAAACGGTGGCTGGCGCAACCACGATTACAGGCTTCTCGAGTCGTTTGCTATGATGCAAAGCAGCAATAAAGGCGATGATTTGTATAGTCTTTCCGAGACCCATCTCATCGCCGACAATTCCCCCGACGTTGTTATGGTAAAGCTCGGAGAGCCATTGAACACCAGTCTTCTGATAGTCGTATAGAGCCGGGTAAATATCACCGGGTACTTTCAGACCGTTCTGGATACGACAGCTCGCGTGATCCGGAGAAGGTTTGAAGCATTCATCCTCATCTCCACTATCATCTTCTTCGGATCCTTGATCTCTTCTTTCCTGTCGTCGGCGGCGCCTAGCTCTACTGCGTCTATCAGCCCAGTCTGCAATCCGAGTTTGGTAGCTGGCCTCATTGCCATCATCAATTTTACTAAGATCAACTTTACTACCGTCCTTGGCGGCGGCCTTCTTAGGCTTCTTGCGACGTCGTCCATTGTCAGAATCTTCTGACTCTTGATCATCTTGGTCATCAATGAAATCTGCCTCGGATGCGTCAGAAGACGGTTGCGCGACGAAATCATCCGAGGAAGCGGATTTGCGCTGCAGCTTGCGCTTCTTTCGTGGTGGCAGTGGAGATTTAGACTCTGCGACGACGAGATCTGATTTAGGTTCTTCATCGAAACCAGGAGCACGAAGGTTCTGGTGAGAGCGTGCCTCGAATCCAAGTTCCTCTCCCAATTGTGCCGCCGCAGCTTCGTCCTCTGCATCGCCTAATGCATCGGCCAAGTCTCCCGTGTCACCTTGAGGGCGATTCAGTCCAATGTTCGCAAAGGGTGTGATCTTGCCCGTGCGGATGAGGAATTGACGGTAAGTCTCATTAGGTAACCTCCTGCTCCCACCCTGAGCCTGCTCGGCGTTGGCACCCTCGTGAATTCGTTGTTCAATACGAGCTCGTAAATCGGTAATGTCTTGTTGAGCGGTCTTAGTCTCTTCCTCTATGGCGGCGATTTTGGCGCGTATAGTTTGCTTCAATTCAGGTTTGCCAATGGCTTTGCGAAATTGCTCTTCTTGAGTCTTCTTTTGGGCACTGAGTTTCTGTAAAGTCGCTTCTACCTTCTCAATACGCTTTTCATCTTTCTTATTCTCTGCATCAATCAATGCAATACTAGCCTGGTGAGTGATGTCTCTCTCGAGGTCTTCCTGATCGCGTACACCTGTTGTGAGATTCTTGAGAGCCGCGGCATCGTCGGAAACGTCGGAGATGTCGGAAATGTCAATCTCTGCACCGGAATCAGGAGTAGAAGCTTCCTGGACAATGGTGGTGATCTGTTCGGCAATTGACACGCTGGGTTGTTGGGGTTGAGCGTCATTCGGTTTGGCGCTCACGCCATCGCCACTTCCAGAATCAAAAGCCATAGCTGAGTGTGGAGTGGCACAACAGCCGATGGGTTTGGGGGGTTTTATTCTTCCAGTTCGGATATTCTTCCAGTTCGAATATTAAGGGTCAAGGAGTGGTGAGGTTGGAAAAGTGGTGAAAGGCTTCGAAGTGTAGATGAGATTATTTATAATACAAGATGAAATGTAAAGAATAAAGGAAGGGTAACGAGTGATTATTGAAGTGAAGAAAAAGAATAAGGTAAAAAGTACTGGATAGTCAATATACCTCGTACTTCAACGTTGTTGTACTGTATGAGGTCGTGGGTACCTAGGCAGGTAGCTAGGCAACCAGTGCAGATAAAAGGTGAGGAAAGGAAGGTGACGAATTGAGGCTCCCAGTGCTGTAAGTGTAAGTTGGACGCCACGCCACTAGGATATGTAATGTGCAGGCAACCTTGAACCTGGTATGTAGCGTGCAGTACTATGTACGTGCAGCCTGCAGGAATCCCCGAATGACGCAGACGGCGATGCACACTGATTGGTTAATCTGTCAAGTTAGTTACTAGGTAGGTACAACAGGTCAGCATCGGAACGATAATGAATTGATTATCGATAAGCCCTACCAGATCCTAGTTCGTACTCCTAGTTCATACTAGGTACCTAAGCGTGTGACATGAGTACATAGTAAATCCCGGGGTGTATGCACAACTTGAAGAGGGTCCGATTTGTGGGTGTTGATGTTGGCCGTTGAAGAAGAATTGGTGCTTTACTAGTAGGTAGAAGGTGGGAAAAGAAAAGAAAAGTGTAGTTAACTATGTGCCAATTAAAGCTTATGGGAATTTCAATGTTAGAATTTAGACTTTAACCTTAGGTAATTAGGTACCTAGTACTAGGTACCTAAGTAGGTAAGCACCAGTGACCTACCTACCTAGTAGTACCTACACTTACAGTACATGTGTGCGCATGTATGCATTACATCTCAGCTCTCAACAGCTCACGTCACAGTATCACACCTACATCTGTCTTGTAGTCGAGCGTCTTGCGAAAAGCTCAACAACTTCCATGGAACCGCCGAATCAATGATGAAAGCCTACGTGGTCGCCGCCCATATATTACATCCATGGATGGCATTGTTCATCTGGGTGGTAAAATACGTAGTGGAGCTATACGCAGATCATCTACCACATCCCCATTGCAAGTTTGTAAGGTTGGCCAACCATAACGTGAAATGTACCTCTTTTGCGTGCGATTTCCATGGGTGAGCTCAGTCCATCATCATCGTTTCCGTTACCTGCGCCTCGCACTTACGTGACTTATCTCATACTGTTGCCCCCCTTTACAATTACCACCAGACATCACATATATATCTAGGTACCTACCTAGCAGTCAAGCCAGACATGTCTTCCTGACAGTCTTCCTACGTTCCCATTTCTTACCGTACTTATATCTTTTACCCTTACTCATCCGATCAGCAGCTACAATGGAGGAGCCAGCCCCCGCACCCGCACCCGCATCCAATGGCGACGGCCTGAAGGTGATCAACGCGAGCCTCTTCCACATGGCGAACAAGTCCATGGCCAAAGCCTACACGATCCTCGGCTACAGCACAGAAAACGGTCTACTCCAGGACGTAATGCACAGCTCGTGGGAGCTCCTCTCGCAAGCCGCCGAGGCGAAATGGCCCTCGGAGCCGAGCGCAACCCCTCGACCGCCGTACACGCGCGAGGACTGGGACGCGATCTGGGGCCCGTACGACGTGGTGACGGACCTCGCGTCGCCGTTCGCCCTCGACCTGATCAAGGCGTACCCGGGCGCCAGGGTCGTCGTCGTGCAGCGCGACTTCGACGCCTGGTGGCCCGCGTTCGCGCCCGAGGTGCGCGGCGAGCTCTTCATGCAGCAGCAGTCGTCGTCGCCGCAGTCGGCGGTCCACTCGCTCATCGCCTCCACCGTGACCACGACCCGCCCGCTGCACGCCATGAAGCGGATCATCCTCGGGTTCTTCGGCGCGGAGACGAGCGAGGAGGTCGACGAAGCCCGGGCGCGCGAGGCGTACGACGCGTACTTTGCGGCGGTCCGGAGTCTGGTGCCGCCGGAGAGGAGGCTGGAGTACACGATAGGGTCCGGCTGGGAGCCGCTCTGCGCGTTTCTCGGAAAGGAGATCCCAAATGTAGAGTTCCCGAGCGAGGAGGGGGAAGCAGTCACGGACCTGGCGGAAGCGGATCCGAGAGAAAGCAAATCGTGGCTTCAAGGCGCGCTACAATCCGCGCCCTGGGTAGTCGGGATAGCAGCGATTGGAATAGCATGGTTCTACTCTCGGCGTATAGCTCTTAGATAAACGTCGCAAGATATCGGGATCAAAATAGGGATATTACGGAGGAAAAGAACGAGGAATTTTCATTGATCTCTAGGTAGGCTAGGTAAAGGAGGGCTGGGGGCGCAATAGGTTTGCCTCGACAACTTCGAATCCGGCATTAATACGGTGTGTATATTAGCGGTTTTCTTGTATGGATAGTACAAACTCAGAGCTAAGAGAGGATATAGTAGTATCGTGATACGTACCGAGGTACGTAAGCATACTGCTAGTGTTGTAGATATCCCAGATCTAGGACTAGGGTACAAAATAAGCTTAAATTAAGAATGGGGATCTATAAGCCGCCCCCTTGTATTGTACAAGATGTACCTACTAATATGTTGAATTTGATGTTTGAACCTTCAAAGTCATGAGTCGCATGAGGAATGATTGGCTGTGTAGACACCTAAACGTAATTTGAATCGTATTTCGCCGAGAACTTCTCAAGCCTCAAGCTACCAAATACCACAGTAGTGGACACCTGCCTACTCCGGCCGTCCCGGGGAGTATAAGACATCCTCCTCAAGCTGAATGGTAAGGCGCTCCATACTATTGGTCTAAACTTTTAGCTTCTTGGACGATGTGGATCTTCAAATTTTTGGGTTGTCCGGAGTATGTGGAGGATTATAAGCGGAATTATTAATAAAGATGGCTTCTAACACTAGAATATTCAAAAAGTTTTTCTCACTAATATTGCCTCCTCGGAATATAGCTCTACCATCCTATCATCTAGCTAGGTGTCTGTCAGATCTAGAATTCGGCACGGAAATTTTTGTAGGTATTGTATGTACGAACATCGTGACCAAATTTTGGAGATTCTTTGCGCTGTTGGATTAATAGATATCTACTTACATATAGGTAGGTAGGTACCAGGGGTAACAACATCTGAACCACATAAATTTCGAGTCACTTACATACATACATCCATCCGTTTCCTCCCGGCCATCACACAAGTGTCTCCATCTATGGTTAGTATCTATTCGAATATTGACACGCAAGAAGTGCCCGCTAATCCATGGATATTTATGGAATCGCCAAGATGCCAGAATTCTTCAACTGCCTACCGTATAAGTAGACAGCGGCCTCGCCCTTCTGTCTCCATACTAAAAAGAAAAACATCGCGCGATGCGATCCATTATAATACACACGTATTACCTACCTACTAGTTAGTATAATTATATATAATAATAGAAATAACATTGGAAGCTTAGCGGAAGTGGGACCTATTCCAACAAACATAACCGAGGTCTCAAAAAAGACGATGTGCTGTTTTCGTCGTAGGTACTCGTAATGTAATAATAGGAAGAGTCCTTCTCAAAGGCCCTAGTCCCGCACCAGTGCAGAAACAGAAGGAGAAAATCTCTTCAAATTGCACGTTAATTCGAAACGCTCTATCCAGGTTACCTAGGCAAACTGAAAGGTAGTCTGGTCCGAGGGAGTAACGTAACATCACGGCGTGGTTCGACCTTCTATTCTTACCTTGGAACCTGTGAGCATTAAGTAATCGAATCAAATCACTTACATATATAGTTATCAGTGAGGGAGAAATTTGTAAATGATAAATCTGCAAATATGTACCGTATATTTTCGGCATTATGGTCCTCTTGTTAGCTCCACTTATCTGTGCGCCTTGCCCAATGTGGTTAGCTCAGTGCTGAGGCTCTAGTACTAGTGTTATCAAAACCCACGTGATCATAATTCTACCTATCTTATTCTTGTGTTTTTTCAATAAGGATAGGTCTAAACTGTTATGCATCAGTTAAGAAGCTTCAAATATCCATATATTTATTAACGAATAACAGATAAACGTAGATATTGGAGAGCAGGTATCACGTGTCGACACGTGACATTGCGTGCCAATATTGTAGGAATCGGATAAGAATCCCTCCGAAATGAGGTGTAGTTGAATAAACCTTGGGGTAAATCACCCTAATTAGGTAAAGCGCATTAATAAGTGGAGCTAACAAGAGGACCATAATGCCGAAAATATACGGTAGGTGTATAGTGGTTGGTTTGTTACAACAGTCTCGTGATCTAAATCATACAACACAAATTGCTAGCTTCTTATGCTTGGTGACGCATCTAAATTAACCTCACCAACCTCTTGGAATTCTAATGAAAAGATTTTCCTTGAAACAAGCACGTTGCCTTGCGTGTCCCTACGTACATAGGTAGGCAACTAAATAGCTCCTCCGATCTCCTGCCGAGTCGGGCATCCATGCAGCATGAGCTGTCAGACATCTCTTCCCGAAAATCCCAAAAAGTCCCTGCGCCATCCGCTAGTTCCCGTAATGCACAACAGATCAAAATTAGAGGGAAATCCCCTCGGTGCCGCACAATCCATAATACCGAATATTTGATTTCACGGAATTGCCGCCTCTAAAATCGCTTCCCATCCTGCCGAATGCATGGTATAGTCCTCCGTCCAACGCCAAACAATGCTATGGCCACTAAACTTAGCCGGAGAGGATCCCCCCATGGTGGTATGGGATATGGAGAAAAGACGCAACTCCCTCAAAATGTACACCGAGAGCCTGCAAGATAAGAAGAAAATATCATAAATGAATGACAAGAAAAAGATGTGGGAATATGTCGCAGAAAAGAGGAAAAAAAGGCAATAGAAACTGTCAAGGGTATTCTAACGAGTTTACATGAAAACAAGCAAACGCAAGGAATTCCAAAGACTGAAAACACAGGATAACACCTATCTCCCGCAAACGTTTTACGCTCGAAAAGTCTTCGAAGGCTCCAACTTGTGATAGTGTAATACCCTTCGTGCGCCCACTGTATCGAAGTGGTGGAGCGATTAAACCATTATAGACTTGATGCGAAGCTCTGCAAGATAACAATGCATTCAACCCTGCATTAGAAGCCTCGTGGGAATTGGATGTGCCCAACCCGACAAGGAAACCCGACAAGAGATGAAGATGCCCTAATTCATTAAATTATCGTTGGGACCCTTCTAATATCCGAGATCGGTCGTACGCTTGCATATCGGACGTCGAATTAATAGCTCGAGGACCCTTACTGAATGTTCTCCATCTTTTTGAAAATTATCATGACCATACTGTCGTAGGCCTAGCTTCTAGCTTCTAGCTTCCGGCTTCTAGAAGAATAATGTGGACCCAGTTCGATTGGCGATATCGGCAAGATGGAGTAATTCAATGTTTGGAATTTCCCGGGACTTGGAAAACCAGGGCAAGGTTCATGGCCGTGAACGGTTGACGTAGCGAGTGGGACAACCCCTTACCCACAGTTGTTGGCCCTGTAACGATACCCACACAATCATAAGACCGTTCCGTAGTGGCTTCCTAGGATGTAGTGTAGTCATCAAATCCTCGTCTCGTGGATCGCAGTGTAATTGGCGGTTTGGCGGTATTTGATTGGTGACGATGATAGTTGGCTAGTGCATGTGAAAAGGCCATGTCTTTCGATCTCAGATCACATCTTGTGATACAGCGACCCATCTCGAGGGAATACCATCAGTCCCAATTTCGTATGGCTTTGATGTGGTTTTCCTTGGCGGTAGAAGCCAGCGTGCATGTCCTTCGCGTTGGTCGTCTAGTTTGCCACGCTTGCGCATCAGGTGCTCCAAGACAGCAATACGGATGAAGTCCGAGTTCTCGCGCATCTCACGCTGGCGGGGACCCGAGGGAAATGCGTCGACGTTAGAGGACTTGCTAGAATTGCCCGTTTGAGTTGAAGCACGACTGCTGGCCGGGGAACTTCTCGATCTCTGTATTTTATATGTTTGCATTTGTATAGAAGCAGTATAGCTTCGTACAGATGATCGGACACGTGACTCGGCGCGTGAACTACTGGTCGGGTTCAAATAACGGCGCATTGCTTCACTAGGTTCCTCCCCTAAAGCAGGCGGCATTCTCTCATCAGTAAAAGGGACCCGCGGGTCAATCGTGAGTATCGATCTAGTGAGGAAATCATCAGGAGGAATTGATGAAGCAGTGAAGCTGGATAGTGAACGAGCTGCAGAGCGCAATGCGCGAAGTGATGCGGTTAAATTTGATTTAAAGGCAGATTTGAATGGCATCAATCCCGTGGCCCGCTTCTGCTCTCCTGAACCCGACTTTTGGTCAAAGACCCTGAAATCAAGTTGATCAACCTCTAAATCGCCTTTCGTAGAAAGTGGATGCTCTAGGCATTGGCCAGGTGGTGAAGATACCGGCTCTAGAGAACGTCTGGGCGGCCGTATTCTCCTACCGCGTGGCGTTATAGGAGAGTCGATGGAAGTGACTATGCTAGTTCCAATTGAGTCGCCTAGAGACGGGATGCTGTCGAATGAAGCCGCACGAGTTGAGAAAGCTGAAGTAAACGCACCGTCGCTATTTATGGAAGCCTCATCTTCGTCGAACTCATCCGGCGGACTGAGGAGGACTTCCAATGGGCTGCGATTGTAAGATGCAGGGCTTAGATCGCCTATATCCCGACCAAATTCCTCGCTAAATTCTTGGCTTAGTTCTTTCTCTGAAACCTGTGATCGTTGGACAATAGAATCTACGGTCATCCGTGAGTCCCTAGATGAGTCCCTAGATTGCCCTTGACGTGACCTCCCCCTTCGAGTGGGCGGAGGAATGCTGGTGATAGCAAGCAACGCGGCCACCGATGGGGGAATAGAATCAGGTGAGTGCGGTATTCGGCCATTTCGACTTGGAGAAAAGTGCTTCCGATGGGGATGCGCATGAGGGCGTGACCGGTGTTGATGCGCGCTATCTTGGTTAAATTTAATGGGAATCTCTACGGCGCTCGAAGGAGTATTTGATCGCGCGACAACGTTCGCTATCGTTGTACTAGGCGGGCTGGTACTTGGTGGAGATAGGCTTTCTGATTGTGTGATTTTCCGCTTAGCCATGGTTGGCTGTTTTGGTGGTGTGGTAGTAATAGTGGTAGACTTGGTGGGAGAGATGGCGTGCTTCTTCGTTGACGGATCATCCTTTCTTTTACTCGTAGCTGAAGATAGCTTGGGTGATGCAGCCGGTACAGAGGTTGGGGGTATCGGTTGTTTACGAGAGTAGAAAAAGGACCTAGGGACCATCATGATTACCTACTGTCGATTTCCAAGCTAGGCTCGACTTATAAGCGGTGCCTGTTAGTAACAGAAATAACTCGTCACCCTATTGCTGCAATCTATTAGTCCCGGCGGGTCCTATGGCCGCAAGGAACGTGGATATTGATAATTCTTTTTTTCCCTTTTCCCTCGTGGTAGCCACCGAATCGGAAACTAGCTACCGTGGCTGGTATCGTTTGCCAAGTGCTGTGTCGGATTGGTGGTCGTGTGCGGCCCTCAACCAGGGGTTCGCCGATTTTTGTACGTAACAGCGAAGCGTTTCGTCGAACGCGGGATGCAGGCTAGATGCACGACAGGAATCCAGAGACGTGGATCCACGATATAAAGTAATTGATGATGTCGCCTCGCAGATCTTTGCAGGTTGGTACTTTTCAACACTTGGCTACTAACAGACCGTCCTCTCGTAGGCGCAACGGCGTTTGGAGCAACCGGATATTGTGATAACAGTGAGGCATCACAGAACAGACGAAAGGTATACAAGGTATACGCAATACAAACTCTCAGATGCGATCGAGTCGAGTCGAGATGGAGCGCTGACGATGGCGGACGCTATGACGATCGATACATAACTCTAAGCGGGAAATGCGGTACGGGATTCAACGTTGCTTTGTTTTCTTTAGTGTCGCGAGCTAGGTTAATGGCGTTGTGTGTAAGTATATACGTAGAGTCGTAGACAGGTGGCTCATCTGTGCGCAAGGTACTAGGAACGTACTTGTGTAGACTATTCACACTAGGTAGGGAATAGAGAGAAGAAAGAAATGATGAAGTACCTAGGTTGGTAGGTAGGATATGTAGATAAATAATAAAAAAGGGCAAAAAGGAGTTGAAGTGCTTAGGCAGGAATAATATATTATACATTCATGGATTCATGGATACTAGGTATTCATTCATGGATCTCATGGGAATCTATCCCGATGCCCAACAAGGAATAAATAACACGAACCAGGTAGGAAACGGGTACAACGGATATTGATGACAGCCAAGACCAACCCTATCTAACAAGCGAACCAAGCAGATGATAACACGGGAGCAGCTCTTCCAGAGGTGTCATATTATCTGATGTTCTAATCTGTCTAGGGGTTTATTTGCTGAATTCTGATTGATCATCCATCATTTTGGACTTAAGTAATAAGAAGAAAAAGAATGTTAAGTCTGCCTGCCTGATTCGGGGCAAAGATAAAAAAAAAAGTACATCGTAGTCACCGTCCTTTTGGGTCTATTTGGGTCATTGAGTCAGGTAGTTCCTACTTCTAAAGGTTCTAAAAGTTGAGATATTAATACAGTACCTAGTACAGTCTGCACTCGTACATTCTGTACTTGCCCAAGTGGTATCTAATTTAGTGGGGTGTGCCAACTAGAAACCAGCTTGGAACCTTAAGGTGGAGTCGATTAGGCAAATAGAAGACTTTATAAAGAGCTTTAGCTTTTACTATTGTACTACCCTAGGTAAGTAGTCGCATCCGTACCACACTATGTACCACCAACTTGAAGCAAAATGCAAATGCAACCTGGGAAGTCTTGCAGATGCTGATAAGCTGTACCTTACCAGTTTCCGGTTTCTTCGATGTGCGTCACTTTATGTATGTACATGTCTAGACCATGACCCTTTCTCCAACATGTGTGTGTGTGTGTGTATATATACTTATTAATTACATATGTATATTTCACATCAATGATCTTTTCAACATTCAATGTTAAAATAAATACTTGAGCATTCAAAATACCTCCATTAAAAATCAACTCCAGCCCCAAAAAATTATAAGTGTGATCGAGGTCACATTATGTATTCTGTGAATATCAATACCAATTATCTAACTGCCTACGTGTTCTTTGTTCTTGTGCTGTCATTAGACTTACCAGATTACGTAGGCAAAATACCAACTTATAACCATGTGGTATAAGTGATCGGCTGATCCAATACCCCCTATCTTACATACTATGTATTAGCCCTTCGCCTTGCCGCTTGCCCAGGCGTGGCATTCTACCGGAACTCCACAAATCAGCCCTCACCGTATCGCAAGCCACTTCTTTATGTATGTACTACCAGCATACAATCCATATGTACGTAGCTGCGGCATGCCTAACCGACTACTCGCCGCTCGCCGCTTGCCCTTGCAGCACAAGACGATTGGGGGTTGGGGGTTTCGTTATGGGGGGCAGGACCCTGATCTTCGTTAACAAATTCACCTATTGAATCATAACGGAATCAACGAGATCCATTTCTGTAAGGAATGGGCATTGCATTCAAAGTTCATAAATCCAACATAAGCCTCATTTTAATTAATTACTTCACACCTAGTATGGATCTTATAATCCGGAACTTGGAAATCAGCCTGTAACAAGTAAATAGATAACGCTACGTTAACTAGGTACGCATGTTTTTAGTAAGTCTCTATCTGGACCTGATAGTAGTATAGCACGAGATAGGTAGTATTACATACCATTTGTCTAATACCGATACGAGTTAATTTTGTCTAGAAGGCACTCACTTTGTGGGGAACCCCGGACAACCTCTTTTGAAATAGATTCGAATTCTTACAAAGAAGACCAACCCTCATGAGTCAAGTCACGCTGGAAACGCGGTAGTTATAAGTACTAGACTTGTAATGTTGCACTTTTGCACACTCCCCCTACTTATGTAGCGACTTGTCTATGACTTCGTAATGAGAAAAGATAAAATTTCATTGGCGCCGAAGACAATGTCGCGATGTCGCGAGTTACATTTTGCCAACTCACCCACCCGATAACCCAACGTGGAAATACCGAACCATCCGCTCTTTTAAGCGCAGTAAGCTTGATATTGCAAACTTCAAAGGTCCAGTCTCTTTAGAGTCTCCGACTGTATCAATCTTGCATACCCGCAACCCATCTGGCTTTAGTATAGTATGTAACTTTGTACCCAACCCCCTACATATCACAAATACAAATCTGACTTTCCATGCTCTTACGTTGCCGCTGGTAAAATAGGTACGTACTATGTATCGTTACAAAGTTCGAAGCTGGGTTCGCCCTCCCTAGTAGAGTCCCTACATCATCCAAGAAAGAAAATGTCAAAACTAGTCGCATGCACCTTGAACCTCATACAGCATAGTTTTCACTCAACCAGTTTAATGTTGCTTATCATCTTGACCTGATTCGCTCCCCCGCATCTTAGCAGTCAAGGTGCCCATACACACATACATCATGGTATCTACTAGGTATACATAGTGTTGTATGGGTGGGCCTGGTACTAGGCTGGTAGCGAAATCTACTATTAGTAGCATCAAAATTCAAACACGCTTGTGAATCCTTAGCTTGTGATTGTGGTGTCCAAGAATTTCTTAGGAGTGCGGGGAACATTGCGAAAATAATTCTGATAGACATAGATCCTACTCAGAACATCTTGATGATCTGGGGGTCTCCAGGATTCATCTAGATTGATTGGCTTCTAGAGAATTACCCCCCTTGGATTATATTACTAAAAAGACGGCGTTGTTCACGATTCTCAGGACTCAGGAGCGTCATGAGTCTTGGGCATACGGCGCTATAGGCCTGACCGTTGAGGCGAACTAGCAAGGTAGTCAGGGGACCGAGAATACAAAGGGAATGACGTTGTTAGGGCCAATGCTAGCATTGATATCTACATTGGTATCTTCCCTTGCTCCGTATTCCGGGACACAATTTTCAAAACGAATACTCCTCAGGCAGGAGTCACCGAAGGGTGGCCCTGTGGATCATAAGATCAAACAGGTCTGGGATCTGTCGTGCGACAAAAAGGGCAATATGAATGCAGCACATCTGTAGCACACTTAAATGTCGTGGATGTCTAATCAAAGGATTGGTAATACGAGATGTGAAGGAATCTCGATTCTAAACGGCCCGGCATCTTCCAAAAGGTTGGATATATATTGCCTTTAGTCCCTCTTCATTTATCGCTCATACAACTTGTCATGGTAGACCTCCTGGAATAGAATTAAGCCTAACGATACCTATAGGTAATTGAATAGTAGCAAACCCTACCTACCTTATACTACCTACTAGTAGTAGGTAGGTAAGTTTTAAACTTGGTATACATATTCGTAGTTCCAAGGACTTAGGAGCTAGGAATTAGTAGCTTTCGTAGTTGTAGGATTCAATGTTGTAAGAGAGCCTTTGAATGAATCGATATGCTTTTGGCCGGTGCTAACATCATTCGTTGATTAAATGTTGTGAGAGGTTTTAGTTAACTGTGATTCTTCAATGTTAGTCTAAATTCGAAATTACTGTACATAGGATAAACTGCCCAGCTGTGGAGACTCTGCGTACAGCTGTGGTATTGTACATTGGCAACTGTCAGCCTTACCTGCTCTAATGGGTCCACTCTTGTTTGTCTTAACACCTGCAAAACACCTGCACACCAAACATCAGCTCCACAAAATTTCAATATCAAGCATCCAAATCCATAAGACTTGTCCACTTTACAATACATTCCACCAACACTAATAAGCTAACTCTAAGCTCACCTCTTCTCCTCAACGTCCCAATGGAATAACCAAAGTAATCTTGGAAAACCCTCAAAGCCATCACATTTCCCGGCCAAACCCCCCTCCCTTGTCCTCCTCCCTCCTCCATAGACCGAAAGACCCTCCCAAACCCCCCCCCCCCCCCCCCAACATACAAAATGGCAACCCCCGACACCTCCACCCTCACAACCTCGTCGCAAGTCTTCACCGCGCACACCCTCCCACAAATCCGCGCCATCCACAAGAACCTGCACGCGCAGATCGACGAGAAGTCCGCGCGCCTGCGCAACCAGGTCGGCAGCAGCTACCGCGAGCTCCTCGGCACCGCCGACACCATCGTCCGCATGCGCGTCGACATGCTCGCCGCCCAGGACGTCCTGGCTACCATGGGTGGACTCTGCGGCCGCGCCGCCATTGGAGGGAAGACCACTGCGCTTGGCCAGTTCCGTAGCGGTGGCGGCGGTGGTGGTGGTGATGCCGAGGAGGCCAGGCTGAGCCGTGTTGCGCGCCTCAAGCTGTTGGGTGCGTGTGGTTTGGCCGTGGGCAGGTTGTTGAAAGGGGGTAATAGCAGTAGTGGTGGTGGTGAAGGGAAGGGAGATCGGCTGGTGTTGGCGGCCAAGGTCCTCGTGCTAAAGCGGCTGCTGGTTTCGAGCTTCGGCGCGGTGGAAAGCTTGGCCGACGAGACGCGGGCTGCGGTCGAGGAGGCGAAAAAGAACTTGAATACACTGCGGAGGCGCCTCCTCCGGGCGGTTGAGAAGGTGCTGGAGAAGATTGGTGACAGTGTGGACCGAGGCGATGTCCTAAAGGCCCTGGCCGCGTACAGCCTGGCCTCGAGTTCTGGAGCCAAGGACGTTTTACGGCATTTCCTAAGCGTCAGGGCCGAGGCGATGGTGTACGAGTTCGACCCCGAAGAGCATGAGAACCAGAGAAGCGCCGAAAACGTCCTCAAGGGCCTTGATCTATACACGAGGACGCTGTTGGACGTGCAAGCCCTAGTGCCCAACAAGCTTTCAGATGCGTTGCTTCAGCTGAAGAAGCAGCATTTACTAGAAGACGAGTCGTTGCTAGAACTGGAGGGCCTCCGATTGGACATATATGAAAGGTGGTGCGGAGACGAGATACAGTATTTCACCCCTTTTATTCGGCACGACGATCTGGAGGGCAAGCATGCCAAGGAAATGCTCACGAACTGGGCAAGTAAAGGCGGAGAGACACTGCTGAAGGGTTTACAGGGGACTCTGGGACATATCCACGAATTCAAGACCATTGTGGATCTGCGAACGAATGTGCTACAACATTGGATTAACGATGGCGGGAAGGCCAGGGGCTTCGATCCTACCATAATGCTTAATGGGCTACGAGAGGCGATAGATGGCCGCCTTTTATATCTTATAGAGTCCAAGGTTGCCAAGCTCAAATTGATTGGATCCGAAGTAACGGCCACTCTCGAGGCGTGGCGGCCGGGCGCGACGGATCAGCACCGTAGTTTGTGGGACGAAGAGATGCTGGATAGCGATATTGCAGGAAGCGCGAGCCAGATCACCCACGAAATTCTATCCCGCCTATACGGGAGAAATGATGCCGTGGCTCGAGTGGTCACAAGCTACGAATCATGGCATCATCTTGTTGACAGTGTCAGCGAACTGATAGACCAGCTCAAACGCCAACACTGGGACGACGATGTAGACGAGATAGAAGATGAGGATGACATTGCGGCCCGACAGAAGCTACTGAGCCAGGACGACCCCGAGTTGCTTCAGAAAAAACTAGACGAAACTACCGAGGAAGCTTTCAAGGACCTAGACAAGCATCTGGCAACTGCCTGGCAGTCGAGGGTGGGGGATCCAGATAATGGCCCTATCGCCATGTATATATTACGAATCTTGCGGGACATCCGCGGCCGGCTACCGAAACTCGAGGGCATCAAATCCTTTGGCCTAGAGAGTGCCCCGTCTCTCCACGATAAGCTAGCAATCTATATATCGATCTCACCCCTGGAAAAATTTACCGCTACAACCTTGACAAGAAGACGAGTGGCCGGTCGAGCCCTGTGGGAAGGAGAGCCTGCTTTGCCAACACAGCCCTCTCCCGGCACCTTCAAGCTTCTACACAGTCTCGTTACGAATATGGGGGATGCCGGGTTGGATCTCTGGACACCCGTTGCAGTAAGCGTACTGAAGCGGACTTTTGGTAGACAACTCGTCCAACTATGGCACGGGGAGCTCGAATCTGAGGGAGCAGGTGGCCAGGCAACTGACGCCGTGAGTGAAGAGAAGCCGTCGACGCCGAAAGACGGCAGCCTAGATAATGCCGAAGAGGAGGAGGACAAGGATGCGTCGTCAAGTGAAAAGGTCCCCGAAGCAAAATCGGAGAAGAGCAAGGACATTTATATTCAGTGGATCTATGACATCCATCTCCTCCAGCAGTGTCTCGGCAGTGACGTGAGTTCGGAAGAGCCATTTAAAGCGTTCGTGGAGGAAGTGTTCGAAAAGACTGGCTTGGAGAGTGCGGCCAAGGAAAGACTGGCAAAGACGTCGCAGGAGTATTGGAAGAGGACGAGTCTGTTGTTTGGGCTGCTTGGATGATACCCTTTCCCTGCCCCCTGTCTGTCTGTCTGTGTTATAAAAAAAATTAATGATTAATGATAAAGTGACAAGATACCTATACTATATAGAATGCTCTCTTCGCCCCAAGGGGAAATATATCATTGGATGTTCTTAAAATATCAAACAAGTGCCTTCTATCTATCTATCTACCTAGATATGTAGGTATCCACTCATAGCTTATGCCTCTTCTTGCCCGTCGCAAGCTTCTCAAACTCCTGCTGCGGGATCCCCTTGACAAACCTATCCAGGCCCGCAAACACCTCCGCCACGTTCTGCCTGTCGAGGATCTCCCTGTGCGGCTTCTGTATCAGCGCCTTGACGCCGAGCAGGCTGTCGCCGTTGAGGTGCTCGCCCATCGTGTCGTCGATCTCCTTCAGCACCAGCTTCAGGAAGGCACTGCTGTCGGCCTCGGCGCTGCCGGGGGTGCCGAAGACCTTGTTGACGTAGCCGGTGCGCACGAGGTCGTCGCACGGGATGCGCTTGCTCTGGATGAGGGCCTCGTTCGCCTTGCTGAGCCCCAGGCGCTGGGCCAGCGCGTGGGAGGCGCCGCCCTCGGCGACGAGGCCGAGCGAGGAGAAGGGCAGGAGGAGGAAGGTGTCGGGCGTGCAGTAGATGAAGTCGGCGAAGGCGGTCAGCGCGGCCGAGAGCCCGATGGCGGGGCCGTTGAGCGCGGCGACGAGGATCTTCGGGTGCGTGTAGAAGGTCCGCGTCAGGTTCAGGTTGTTCGCTACGAATCCCTGAAGGGCTTGCAGGTACGAGTCTGACGACGCTGCGGGCGGTTGGTGCTTGGAAGTGAGCACGGAGGATGTATCGGCGCCGCTGTTTTGGGGGGGAAGGGTTGTTTGCTAGTATCAGGTCTCTTTCTCTCTCTGCTTGTGGTAGGGGTGTAAGGATACACTACACTAGGTACTGTATGTAGGTGACTAGGTATGTAGGTGGGTAGGGTGTATGTGAGTAGGTACTTACGATGAGAAATACCGTCCCTTTCCAGTCAGGACGGTGATGTAGACTTGGTCGTTTTTGGCGACCTCGAGCAGGGCTTGACTCAGAGCGTAATAGCCCATGAGATCCAAGGCGTTGAGCTTCTTCTCGTTGTCGATGGTGATGATGGCGACCCGGCCGGCGTACTCGGTTTTGATTACGTCCGCCATGGCTGGGGAGTGTGAAGGGAAGTGGCTCTCGCTAATGTAGACAAGCAATTCTATGGGTATATATCTAGGTTAGATCGATCAAAGAAAAAAAAACACATAAGATGCCGAACAAAACCGTTCGGTAATTTGTAAGTTAGCTATGAGTATTGGTAAGTAGTCAGAGGTTAGCTACGATTCTACTACTAACTATGTAGTTAGTAGTACTATGTAACTAGTAAGCATTGAATTGTTCGGGGCCCGCACCCCCCCACTAATGGATAATACGGGGTAAGGTTTAGGGGCCGTCAACCGGTAACCTTCATAATAGTACCTCGGCTTGTGGGGAAGACCCGCAGAACTGACTAGGACGAATTCTCATTGGGCAGCTTGGTGTGGTAGTAGTACACGATTCAAAAGATGAGCAAGGCTCCACTACCGTATAGCTACATACACTATATATATTCCTAGGGCCTAGGAAGATATTCAGGCACCTTAGCGGTCCGCCTCACGATCCAAGGACAGCTACATACATACAACTAACCACATAATCTTGACAACGACAACCCAAATTAGTTAATAAAAGCACAGAAAGAAAGAAAGAAAACCCGGTAGAAATTAAATAACTTCAAATCCTATCCATGAACAGCCTTCAGCCATGTTGTCTCGCCAATTACTCCGCCATAGACCTCGTCTCACTACGCTGACACCTCTGTCTCGTCCCGCCCAGAGACCAATGGCGCGTTTCTCAAGCACAGAGACAACCGGAAAACCCTTCTTAACCCGAAATGCTGCTGTTGCTTTCGCCGCAGGGTTAGCCTCCGCAACGCTCGTGTATTGGTTTACCACCTCCTCTTCCAGCCAGCCTACCTCGGGCAGCCCCGCCAAATCGTTCAGTGATATCCTGGAAGACAACAAGGCTCGTCGTGTCCCGGATCTCAACAAGCTAGGCCTCTCAGACAAGATCGCCTACAGCCCTCCACTATCCTTGGAAGACGTTACCCAACATCTGAACGAACATGCATTCTCCCTACCCGGGGGAGGGGCAGCAGCAGGACTCGTCACGAGATACGACGGCACGCAGGTCGCCTCCAACAGCCCCTGCGAGGACGCCTTCATCCACGGCACCTTCACCAACCCCTTCGATCCCAAAGGAGACGAGTGGTCCGCCTGGGCCGTGTTCGACGGGCACTGCGGCTGGCAGCTATCGAACCTCCTAACGAAGCAGCTGATGCCGTACGTCCGCCGCGCCCTAGGCGACGTCAAGCCGAAAGACGGAAGCAGCCAGGTCGACGAGCAGACCCTGCAGCAAGCCCTCAAGTCCGCCTTCACGACGCTCGACGACGCCCTCGTCAAGTCCGCCCTCGCCACCATCGAGAGCAGCCTGCCCTTCGCGGAGAAGGTGCGCCGGCTCGAGGCCGCGTACGCCGGCTCGTGCGCCCTGCTGACCCTCTTCGACCCAGCCAGCCGCAAGCTGACCGTGGCGTCGACGGGCGACTGCCGCGCGGTGCTGGGGCGCAAGGCGGCCGACGGCCAGAAGTGGGAGGCCCGGGACCTCTCGACGGACTGCACGGGCGCGAGCCCGTCCGAGGCCGCGCGGATCCAGGCGCAGTTCCCGGACGAGCCCGAGATCGTGCGCGGCGGCCGCGTCTGGGGCATGCAGCCGTCGCGCACCTTCGGCGACGGCATGTGGAAGTGGTCGTCGAAGCTGAAGGAGAAGCTCCGCAACGAGTACAACGGGCTGAGCCTGCCCTCCGCCGTCCGCTACGGCGCCTACAAGGACGGGCCCTACCTCACCGCCGAGCCCCTCGTCACCACGACCGAGATCCCGGAGTCCGAGCCTGCCTTTCTGATCATCGCCACCGACGGCCTCTGGGACACGATGTCGAGCGCGCAGGCCGTCGACCTGGTGGGCAGGTGGCTCGAGTGGCAGGCCCAGGCGCGGCGGCAGCCAGTCAAGCCGTCGAGATCCAGCCTCGGCGGCCCGACGATCCTCGGACGCTCGCGCGCGTGCGGGTACGAGGAGCAGAAGACGACGGTGCAGGACGACAACGCGGCCGTGCACCTCGTGCGCAACGCGCTGGGCGGCGGGGACGAGGAGATGGTCAGGGGCGCGCTGACGTTTCGGTACCCGAACTCGAGGGATATCAGGGATGATATCACGGTGCAGGTTGTGTTCTTTAATTCTGCCAAATAAGGGGAGATGGTGATATAGAATTAGAAAGAGAGGGGAGGGGGGTGAAGGGAAAGGGGGGGGGGAGTGCGATGTATTAGGATCATGGATCATGGATCATACCCAAGATGATAAACAGGGGCGTTAGCTTATACCACCGGTTTTGGGGGAAGGGCTTTTCTTAACGACGACATGAGCAGAATAGATAGATAGATAGATAGATAGATAGATACGTGATTATGACCTTCCAAGTTTCTTCTGATACCTTGCGTTTGTGAGCGATGCAGCACGCAGTCTTTGTTGATTACTGATCTCACCAACCAAAACGTCCATCCAGCAGTTCAAGTAGATTTATAGGTTCCGCATCTCCTCCACCTTTCAAAGCAACATCCTTATAGCTACGTCTAGACAACCTTGAATCCCCTGATCTATTGGTATTGTTGGAATACACCTATTTGTTGAGTTACCTAGGTATATATAGGTAGGTATAAGTAGGTATAAACTTAGCATGTAATGTACCGCCTCCAGATGTCGGACTCGGGGTAACACATTACATAACCTGAATGCCTCCATGTACATGCTTTAACACAACCGACGCTCCCCGGTCCAATCACAAACCCCCCTTTTCGCCTCTAACGTATATATACTTATGCCTGTCTCGGAAGCTGGCTGCTTATCAACTACATAGTTATGCGCTACATGTACCTACACAATGTAGTGAATTTATAGCAAGTACCGTATTGTACATAGTTACCTAAGTATACTATGCTATGCTATGCACATCGTATCTAAGCAAGCGGGGGCGGGGACTGGATCCCCAGGCCAAGGCTTCCTTCCATCTTCACTCAGTGTATGTATCGATAGTGTAAGTGAGTAGGTACCTGGGCATGTAGGCAGGCAAATCCAAGTAGGGTTGCATACATACATACATACCTACCTGATACATCCAGCTCTACATGTGTATCGCCCCCCCCTAATACCACATACATTGCACACACACGATTCTATTTTCGGTTCCCAAGGTCCAAGGTGTACGTGCACTGCATATGCCTTAACCAAGATACCTATCCCCCCATCACATTATGTGCTGTATACTGTAGTAGTGTAGTAGTGGTGACTCTAAGGATTACATATGTCTGCCTACTCATTGCCAAAACAGGTAACGCTCGATCCAGAACGTCTCCAATCCACATCTCTAAATGCAACCCCGGTCCCGAAGTCCCGGCTACTAGGCATACATGGTAGGTATACATACTGCCAGACTGGGTAGTCTCCCAAGCCTCCGGGCAGTGTGCTAACGTTTCGCTCCCGAGTGAAAAGGATATTCATAGGTAGGTACCTAGGTAGGCACCATTCCACCCGCTAAATAAAAGGCGCTTGATTCTATGTATCATATGTATCTAGGCCGCAGGTGTACCCTTAAAAGCAATGCAGGCTGGGGAAAATACACACCATCGAGTAATAGAAATACACATGCTGTTTCCATGGACGCTTCTTTTTGTTTGTACCCTTGACGGCTCGCTGCTTATTTATCCCGTCCGAGACCCCATGCCGGATGCCTTATGATCGGTCCAATATTCCCTACCCTTATTCACTGTACACCATACGCCCAGCCCTGCACGAATCGAACGGGCCCTCTTCTCAACCAGCTACAGCCGCCAATAAAACCAATACAGTTAAAAAGACACAGCAGAAGGGAACTCGTGAATGCAGAACAGACCATTAAAATCCCCAAATTATGTAGCATGTTTGTATGTTTGTATGGCATCATGTAAATCGACCTTCGACGTCCCGCACCTTTGTGGTAATCCCCTTTTGAAGATGCATCAAGATTTGCCCACAGTGAAGAACTATAATACTCTATGAGTCGTCAACCTCGACCGTTCGGTAAGCTTGGGCAATAGATGGCGTCTTAGCATTCTTTTCGCCAGTGGGCTCTTCCATGCTGGCATTGGTGCTTGGGGGACTGCTTGTCTCAGGACTGTTCTGTTCCATCGTGAGTAGTGGAGTAGCTGCCGCTGAATTGACTTCGACTAGTAAGCTGGGCGTGATAGGACTATTAGAGGCACCGGCGGCCCCTCCGTTTGACGAATTTCCCGACGTGGCCAACATTAGTCGTTCAAGTGCCGTGATCTGCCGCCCGGTGCTGAGCTTTTTTAGTCCGGCAAAGTGTGGCTTCATCTCCTCCACCAACGCATCACGATCTGGACCCTCGAGGTGCTGTATAAGCTTCTCTATAGATTGGTTAGTCTGGGAATATGGTGAGCGGATCAGGACATGATGAAGCCGAACTTACGAATCACGTAGTTTCCAAATTGATCCTTCATCATGTGTTGGAGTGGGCTAGTTCCATCGCTGTGGAGAGCCATGAGCTGGGTCGTGATGGCCTTCCGGTTCTCAGCTGTACCAAATTCTATCGACTTTTCCACCACGTTGGATGCAAATTTGTGCTTCGAGTAGAAAAGCAGTTTTTGGAGGACAAGCTGAATAACTTGCTGTCGGTCTTCGGGTTCGCCCTGGGAGATGATGTGCTGGGTGACATAGTTGCCGTACTGGTCTGTTATAAGCCTGGCTGCGCAGCCATGCAAATCCGTCATCAAGATCTTCTTCTCCGCTTCTGTCCCGTACTCTAAAATTCGTTGAATAACTCGGCACCCATAGTTGTGAGATGCCAATGGCTCGATTTGACTTTGGAAAGCCTCCATGATGAACGGTATGCAGAGACGAGGGACCATCTGGATAATCTTCTGAATCACATGATTGCCATTCTGATCTTTCACAATCCGCATGATGTCGGGCTTCAGCTCCTCCACGATTTCAACCTGCTGTTCGACTAGCACATGTTCAAGTGCCTAGTGATCCAATTAGTGACTTAGATGAGGTGGGAGTATTTGGTACAAGCTTTTACCTTTTGAACGACACGGCAAGCGTACATCTGAGTTGAGAGCTCTGCCACCTTGCCTTTCATCTGCGCTGCAATCATCTTCTTCTGTACTTGGTTTCCGTGCTCGAAGAACTTCTGTATGACATAGTTTCCAAAGACGTCCTTCATTAGTTGAAGTGTATTAGGCTCAATTTCTCGGAACACCTGATCTTTCTCATCACTGTTTGCAGTCTGGAGTTTTTCCTGAATGAACCGCGAGCCATGCTGGTCTCCACTGAATTCGACAACGTGGTTGTAAATATCCTGATATCTTAGTTAATATTGTACCCAACTGCAGAGAACTAGCACTTACTTTGAGTTCATAGCGTTTATTGGATTTGGCATTGCTTCGGAATTCCTCGAGAAGGGCACTGCGCATACCCTTACCAGGATCTTGGTCCCGGCTGGGTCTCACGGGAACCGAGACACTGGGAAGGTAGTTCATTAAGCCGTACCCTGGGAGTTGAATTTGGGACCGTAAGTTGGGATTTGGTACATAGGGGTCGTAAGGGGCTGAGAACTGGGGCAGGCTGGCGTTATAGTAGGCTGGATGATAAAACCCAGCTTGCTGCTGCAAGTACTGTGAGCCATGTTGTGCTCGGTCTAACTCTTGGAGGATCCGGGGGTCTCGTGATCCTGGCCGACTCCATGGGTCGGCCCTGGGGTTTGGAGTTCCTGGAAACCCTCTTGGACTATTGACTGTGGCGCGATAGGAGCTTCCAGCTGGCGAACTTCTCTCACCCGGAGCCCTCTTAGAACCATACATCGAGGGCGCCAAAGGTTCCGTCCATGATTCTTGCAAGGTCTGATTAAACCGCGAATTTCCCAGTTCATGTTGCCAAGCTTGAGAACCAGGGTTGGATTGGAAGGGCTGACTGGCCGGGTTAAAGTGTCCGTTACTCGCATAACCATTGACCAGAGTGTCGGAGTTGTCTTCCAAGGACAGAGCTCGGTTGAAACTCTCTTCAAGATCATGGCCTTGAGCATCTGCCGTGCCAAACGCAAAGCCATTAGAGCGGTTCGACTCTGATGGCAGATTTCCGGAGACGCCCGAGATGGAAGGGCGTTGACCTTGTGGTTTGGTATGGGTTGTTGCTTTGGTAAATGGATAGTTTGAACTATCATAACGATGAGACGATGTCGATACTTCGTTATCGGGCTGTCTTGAAGAGAGAGTAGGTTGTCGACTATGCCCCAGGTTAAGGTATGTTGGGTCGTTCGAGTTGCGCCGGTAGAGCGCAGAGGTATCAATGTCTAGCTGAGCATTATTGTTCGAGGGATATAGGCTAGAACTTCCTCGCTCATCACCAACCGAATCTCCAAAAGCCGTGGGATATTTGAAAGCTGAAGTTGAGGAATCCGAAGGACCCGGCGGTAATGTCCTGCTCGAAGGAACCGTTCCATTCTGGGCTGCCTGCTGTCTTAGTGGGAATATATGGGCGTTACCTGAGGCTTCGGAAAAGTTGTGCTGAAACCCATCCCTTGTTCGCGTTGGCGAGGTGCTCCCGGAGGATGATGCAGCATGCTGTGCACCAGCTGCCTGGTTCCATATGCCACCTCGGGAAGCCCACGGTGCAGTTTGATGGTGTGAATTTAGTTGGGCGGATGATGTAGTAGTGCTAGGGGAGTGTTCATCTGATTCTACAGTATTTATTAGCCCCATCCAAGCTATGTAGCTCTATTTTGTCAAGACAAGCCTTTACATACCTCGAGAAACCGGCACATCTCGCCGGGAGTTTAATGAACCACCAATCATGGAGCTATTTCCCCAGATGCCACTTGATTGCCAAGTCGGGTGACTGAAAGTCGATGTAAGAGGCTGTGAAGCCTTGTCACCGGTAGGCTGCGCCATAGCGAAATTATAGGGGCCGTTTGATCGGGTCTAGTCACAGAGAGCCCCATTAGCAATAGGAACGAGCAAGAATGCAGTTGGGCGAGGGAATGAATAAACATGAAAGCCCACACCGCCGTGCTATAAACAGCGCCGCAGAGGGTTTGAGGCATACGACCCAACGTAATTGTAATGAAACTAGCAAGTACGTACAGCAGTAGTCATAGCTCCGCCTACTCAAGGTAAAAAAAGACCAGATATCTACCACAAGACAGCGGCCAGCGAGGTGGAGGGGAACGCTGTGATGTGTCACACCGTCTCGTTCAAATGTCCTATGCACAATGCCTAGTGCTTTCGATAAGATAACTGTAATGCCGAGCCGCTTTATATGAATATCGCAAGGGAGAAAACAAGAAGTTTTTATTATATATGGCGTATGTATGCGAGGTTGGCTTAGCTATATGAACCTTTAGGACAAAGAATAGGTTAGGCTGCAAGCTCGGAAAGTTTGAGGAGGGTTCAGGGTAGAAATTAAGAGATAATCATGGATGATGATGAGGCTGACGGGATGCAGGAGGACAAGGTCAAATACTTTTAAGCATTGGACCAAGTTGGGTAGTAAGCCACTAAGGCTATTAAGCAGTGACGACTTACTCAAATTGCTTTGCTATGTATTTTCTATCGATCTTGCCAAAGAGCTAGTATTGGAATTATCGAATGCCAGACGAGTCCGGTTCGAGGTAGACTCTAGTATAAAGACGTCCCCTTATGCATATGTCCGGTAGGTGGTGTTGTTCGGGCAAGTCGAGTATCGTCATCCGCTAAAAAATACGATGATATATCAGAAGATGAGAAAGGTCAAATTTGATAAATATAAAAGATCGGTTTATCAGAGGGAATGAAGACTGGTTGAGTTGATAAGTAACTAGGAATGTAGAAAGATAGACAAATAGGTCGAAGAAAGGGTCGATGTACGTGATGATATATGTACGTATGAATTTGGACGTTGTGCGCGGTCGTGGACAAGTGGAATAACAGGACCTGGAGGAATGAGAGGGAGGTTATCGGCAGCGAGCGCGGGAAGTGATGGTTATGAAGGAAGTCAGGTCGTACGTAGGCCGGCCCCAAGGTAAGTAGGTAACAGAGGATAGATGTTGGCGGAGCAGGTAAGTACAGTACGTTGTTGAAGATGTTGCACCGCTGTGAAAGGCACTGGGATCCTGTTCTCAAATGTGAATATTGTACAGCCTAACGATAGTTGGGTACCCTGTGAGGGCTGGCCTCAACGGAGTAGGTATTTTCAAGTAACGTATAAGAGATGTGTTGTATGTAGGAAGGTAGATAGATGGGTTTGTAAATGTTGAAGGAACACGAAGGGGAGCCTTATTCAAATGGGCCCCACGGTTGTGAAGGCCGATTGGGGGCGTGTTTTGCGTAAAGCGTAAAGTTGTAAAAGCGCAAAAAGCGGGAGGTGGATTTTGGTGCTATTAGATTGGCGGGATTGGCTAGGTAGTGACTGGACTGGGCTGGGCCGGGCTTGGATTGTAAGGGTACTATGTACTACATAGTACTAGGTAGGTTCAAGTTATGGTACTAGGTACGAGGTTTAAGCTTGTTGGATTGGCTGGATTAAAGAAACCGAAAGAAACGGGGCTAAACTCTTAGTACTCTGTGCTTTTCGTAAAATAAAATATTATTATTTAACAAGACAAGAGTAATAATCCAGTCTTTTTGCCTTGTGTAAGTGGAAATGGGAAAGGCTATTGCAAAGTTAGTAATATGAACGTACCTGTTCTGTCTCTGTGCCGTCAAGTATATATGTAGCTAAAACGATAGCTAAAAATCCGAACAGGGGGCTACTCTAACCCCCAAAAAGTAAATCAATTCTAAACCAACAGAGCCCGGAAGTCCTAGGTCAACCTTCTACAGTGGTAGGGGCCAAACTACTAGAATAATAGGTAAGCTAAGGCGATAATGATGTAGACAGGTACCTTATTTAGTAGCGTGGTAGAGTGGTATTGGAAAGTTGTAGTGAGGTGGTAGTGGCAGACAGTAGTGCACACATACGTAGGGGCATTGGACCCCATTAAAGGAGGAGCAACTCACGGCACTACTAATAGTAGTACTTCAATTTTTGGTGTAGAAGATAAATCTAAGTTAGGTATCTGACAGATTTGATACCTGGGTAGATCTTGGGGATAACAGAATGGACGGTCCGGGGGGTTGAGAAGGGTTGCAACCAACTGGGCCATGAACTGGGCCATGTAATGGGTATGGCAGCGCAAGGCAGAAGAAGCAACAGGCAAGGCAGCGCAGAATGCAGAATGCGGATGCGAAAAAAGAAAAAAGGGAAATGGTTACCTGAATGAGGTAGGTACAGATGTACCTCCTTCTTTTATTAGGCGAAGTGGGCAAGCAACTTGACTGCCAAAGGCTCAAGTAGCGACTTCAGTTGGGCTGTTAGGTGTTATCAGTTACGGGTCCTAAATGTGCTCTACTCGTGCTTGTGCAACAAGGAGACAGGCCTGCTCCCTGCTCGTGTAAGTACCCCCGCGGTACATGTGCAGGCACTGAGTTATGCCGTTTGTCTTTCTTGTGTGTACTTACACTCATGAAGGTATGTATGCAGGAAGCCTGTGCAGGTAGTTATTGTACGTACCTCTCTGTACAACGATCTGCCCAGCCCAAAGGCCAAGGATTGAATCTGTCGAATGAACTGAACGAGCTTCTTTAAAGATTCCAATATCTCGGCGTGACTAAGCTTTCTGGTGTTTCCGAGATGCAGATAGAAAGATGGGTACTAGGTCATGGTAAGCTAAGATTCTCAATCGGTCCAGGACTCCAGGTAGATGGATGGATGTAATGGCAGTTTTCAAGTTCCTATTAGTAGGGAGGACAGGGGGATATGTGGAGAAATAAGAAGAAATAGAAAACAGTAAAGTTATAATAGGACGTAAGGCTATTATGCTTCCTTGCTTCCTTTTTCTTTCTTTCTGCTCTTCCCCCCCTTTTTTTTTCTTTTTCTTTTTTTTTTTTTTAATAACTTCCTTCCCTTTTTTTCGTTCCTTTTTTTGGAGGGGGCCGAACTGGCAGATGGGGAAGATGGGGCGATGGGTCCGTGATGGGGCTCCCGCTCCCGCCTTCTTGCAGTCACCTAAACTCTATCCTTTTTTAGCGGCCTCTTTCTAAGCAACACTGAATACATACCTAGGGTACTAGGTAAGGTACCTAGGTTAGGTAGGTATCCAATGTATTAACAACACCACCCATATCAAATGTATGCACTTACTACTTTCTTTCTTTTTGGTATTCTTCTTCCTCTTCTTCCCTTTCCCGTTCCTCCTATCTAGACAATTCTAACGTCTTGATGTCCTGGACGAACGAAGAGAAGCTATCGTTTGATCGTGGTTAATCCTGATAATCCTTGTGATGTAACTTTTGCACCAAATGGTATATATATATATAGGTATATATATATATAGGATAGGTACTTATAAAACACCTCCAAGATGTAATGTGATTCGTGCAAGTTGGGAGCGATAGATGTGCTTCTGCAGTGGGGCTGAAGATTCTTGAAGGCCTTGGAATCGTTTGTTGTTGGCAACGTTTGCTATTAAAGCCAAGACCAAATATTATCTTTCCAGGGTTCTAATGCTTGTTGTGATTTTCCACCTTGATTGCTTGTATATCCGAAGGTTGGAACCTGGATACTGTTAAACACAGAAGTCAATGAGTGACCTCCCGTTTCAACTATCACATCACACCACATCTGAATATAAAATAGCCAGCCTACCTATGTAATGGCAAACGCCTCCTGTAGCCTGCCAATGGCCTATCGATGTCTTTATACAGATAACCAGGAGGGTGATCGTTGGTGGCGTGGCGGTGTTAGTTTGTTGGCCTGCAAAACGATCCGATGATTGTGTTTCGTAACAAAAATATGTAGATATGTAAGGTTGACGTATATGAAAAAAGCAACCACCGGCTCTGTTGTTGCGCCGTCCAAGGTATATGCGTTTAGGGGCTGTGTAAAGATTTCTGTATATAGGTAGGTAGGTAGGTAGGTATATCTTAAATATTCTGTATTGACATCGCCCCGATTTGATACAACAGAAAATGGTCGCAGTGGGTGGAAAGGCAGAAAGTTACTAATAAGGAATGAATGGCTGTTTTATACGATCTTAGTTCGTTTTTATCGACATCTCCTGTCCTCGAGTCGCTCCCTTTCGTTCAAGGGCTTCAACTATTCAAAAGTAGGAAAGGAAATATTATATTCAACTTGAGAGGGAGCGTTCAAGGTGAAAAGACGATTGATGATACTAATAGTTTTATCTGTCTCCCTTAGTTGTTATGGCCAAGATGCACTATTGCCGCAACTACCAGCAAAGTATGTATAATAAAAGCTTGTAGTACAGGAGCGAGCGTGGATGTACGGGGCAGATCACTTATGTGGCTCCCTACATGTCTTGGAGACAACCACTTGCTTATCGCACATCCAATTGGACGAACTTGACGAGCCCGAGAATCTGGAAAAACGGCATATCCTCTTTAAAGATACCCGGTACGTGGAAGGACCGGCAGGGTCTGCAATTCTCGGAACTCGCTGGAGATAGGTATGTAGTCAATATGAATGGATAATGGCTGTCTTGATGTAAATTAGAATCGTTTAGGTTAGTAATGATTGCCTATGTATGTACCCAATAGTTCTCCCTCACCCAGCAGTGGCAGCTATAGGTCTTGTATAGGCTGTATGAGAAGCATGGCAATATGTACTAACTGAACGGTAGGTAACAGGTAGGTAACATTCAATGTAGTAGACACGCTTGTGGCATGTTTGGGAAGTTGGATAATACAAGTATGCACCCAAGGAACACCGAATGCAGGTCCCGCACGAGCCCCCGAACACCTAAGCCTTAGGAATGTCGTAATCTTCACCATCTAGCAAAGGAACGAGGGTATCTATCCTGGGGAATGTGGACCAATGTCAATCTCCGTAATGGAACGACATGTCGCGGTCTTACCCATCACATATTTCGCCTACCACTGTGTTGCCCGTTGGTTTCGGTATGTCGAACTGTTGTCAACTTCACTGACACGCTCTAGAGGTCACACTGCAGATAAATTCGCCTCGATGGCCAAAATTGTTGGCCGGATACCCTCCAAAGGTCGGGCGTTCTACTATCGATGGAAAGAGTCTGATGGCTTTGCTTTACCTTCCTCCCGGTGTGACCCCAGTCCCACACGGTGTAGTTCCAGGTCATCCCTCTAACCCTCCATCTCACCGAGATGGATGATGCTCGTGTCCCTTCAAGCAGGGAAAACTTTTGCAGCACGTTGGATGAATCAATGCTGAAAAGAGCACATATATCCCTGAAACATCTGCCAAATTCACCAAAAAACGATACAGCATGGACTCTCGTCTATAGCCACCTCGCTTTATGCGCCTACAAACACTCGACCTGGTAAAAGAGTATGAGCGACATCTGGGCGACACGGCAAGGCCTGTATTAGTACTTCCATCAAGATACCTACCTGCACCTCTTGTTGATTCGTACAACATGTAGCTTGCGGCTTCCCGGTCGAAGATCCGAGCTGTTACTGAATACCTGGCACTGCATGTAGACATATACTATCAGATACATATGTAGTATAGAGATTTGGTAGGTGCTGGTACTATGAATACTTACAATACTTATGTATGTATATAGTACATATGCATCGTGTTTGTCAATTTCATTCTCGTGCGTCCAACCCGCGCCTAAGAATGAGACATACACTACAAACACCAACCGCGGACCATCCTCTGCGGATAGTTGCAGGAGTTGCAGTCTCTGGAGCCATAGAGGAAGCGTCTTCAGCCGATTTCTGTGAGACAACTGACGTGGGGTAGCCCATAGTACATGCACGAGACTGCTTCCCGGACCGGGAAGGAAGTCGATGGAGCAGCAAACCTAGCGGTCGGGCGAGGGAGCACCTCAAGAGGTACAGCAAACTCCGTGATAATAGGTTCAAGGAGATCAAAGAGGCCCAGGAGAAGATGGACCTAAGCAGTGTGTACCTCTCTCTATAGCAAGTCCTGCTATAGCCAGGGTAGTAATTAAAAGGTGTTATCGGTACACCATTCGGCGCGACGATCCTGCAATGTCTCAGTTGCCACCAAGCACCGACGCCGTTGCGGGGGATACTGAGTGTGTTCCAGATCATGTATATGCCTACTTACATACATATGGACCGGTTGAGACTATTTGCGTATTAGTAGTAGGTAACTTCATATTCGCCAATAAATCTTCGTTATACCGGTAGGTAGCAGAGAGTTCACAGAAGTGTTATCGTTTGGGAATGCGAATGCTTGTAAGCTATCGATATATAGAAATGAGGAAATAATATAGAAATATAAAAAAAGGTACGTACGGCGTAATAATGATAAAACTTCAGTTTCATCCATCTCATCTGTAGGAGTTATGACCTGCACTTTTTTATGAAATGTCCACGGGTACATTACATGTAGGTGTGAAAATTCAAAATAGAACATTGAAGCTTGGACCATTTAATATAACCCTAGTGCATAGTACGTACATAATTGTACATATGTACCTAGATCCGTCATCCATGGATGTTTCTAAATTCAAAGAAGCTTCCAAGCTCCAGCGCTAAGAATAGAACAGAGTTGCTACCTACATACCTACATAGTAGGGACCTAGGGTATGTAATTTCTTGTGATCTGTCCACCAAAAACACGTTATCGGCCGTCAGCACATGGAATTATTAGAGATGATGCTGACACCGTGCTGTAGCAGAACCATTTCGAGATGTTCACTGTATGAACTCTGGAAGAGCATTGATCACAATGTGTCTTGTTAAATATCTTGTGGATGCTTTGCATTGAATTTTGAAGTGAATCGAGTCCAGGGCTGCATGGTATCTACTAGGTTTAGGGTCTTTAAAAAAAGAGCTTAAAGATTTCCCCTTACTATGGTAAGATGTCTGTTCCGACTTTGTTCCACAGAATATTTGCACATGAAGCCAAAAGATTCAAAAGTTGCATACCATCAATCGAATATGATTGGTCGATTTCCCAAAAACAAGTTTAATCTGGTAAAATCCATTCATTATCCCCTGTTGAAACCCCCTGCTGAGCGATTATTCCCGCCCCATTTTAGGAAGTTAGCACCATTGCGTCTCGACCGTTTCTGTGCAGAGGTGTCCGCTTTTAGCTGTGCACTCCGGAGATTCATTGGATGATCTTGAAATGAAGCAGCGTTTAGTTGGAGCCTGCTAGCTATTGTGTCCAGTTAAAATGCTGTGCCTGTCCAAAGTCCCTGTCAGCTCCACTACGCGTGAGCGACAGCTACCAGACCCTTGCTAATAAGATTCCTTGTCAGCCAATCACTTTGGCTTGTTCCTAATGATGAGCTCCACCGTCACTTGATCTCTCTTATCCTCTTCAACTCAAGACTTCCCCCCCTTCTTTTCTCTCTCTCCACGATCTTCATCGTCGTTGCTGTCGTTGTAGTTGTTGCTGCTTTGTCGGTTCAGAGAGTCCATTCATTCGGCTTTCTAGCCACAAACCTCCTCTTCGCTCATTTGTTGGATTCAACTTCACTCTTTTTAGTTGCTTCCGTCCTATCTTTTCTTCCTTGAGTTCTCCAGAAACCAGAGACTCTCACTCCCTTACGTAGGTTCATCAGGTTCATCAGGTTCATCGATGTCTCGAAGCTATTTAGATATTTAGATATGGGTAGGATGGTGATGCCATACTGCTATCTAGATTTTATATTTTCGCACGCTATTGACGCAAATATCTAACAATTGTTTCAATCTAGTCGAGCCATTCATTGATATTCTTCTCTACTGAGCCGACGAATCCCTTGACTCCCCCACAACATCTATCAACGACTATCTCTATACTTTCAGATCAGCATCTTTCGTCAATATGTCTTCTTTCAGCAATATTATTGCCAGGGGCAACACCATCCTCTACGGAAGGGACACGACATTAGGGGTTGAAGAGTCGGATACCGCCGTCGACCTCATGATCGCTTTTCTTGGCGTCTCGTTTTTCGCTCTCGTCATGGTTGCTCTGTTGCTTGTGCTTCGAAGGGCAAAGCGCGAACGCCAAATGCAGAACGAGACTCTACCGCATTATAACGATATCAAGCACGACGGTAACCACACCCGTCACCTTACCATTCAAACCGCAGACGGCCGATCCAGTATTTTAGTGCTAAATGGGCGCCCGATGTTGGCTGATCCCAACTCGCCACCTCACTCCCCCAACAACGTCCCCGAGATTCATATTACCTTTCCCGACGAACAGGACGAGAACGGCCGCAGCAAGAAGGGGAGCGTTGTTGTCGTACGCGTTGGCGAGACCTCTGTCGGTCTAGAGCCTGTGAAGGACGAACAGCTCCCCGCATATGAAAAGGAGAGCAGCACCGGCTTCTATTCCATCGACATGGATCAAATCGGTGGACTGAAGGAGAAGGATCGATCCCAGTTTTCCTAAGCTGCTCGTGGCATGATCTTCCCGCTAGATCCTTGCGAAGATCAAAAACACCACTCAACCACTACTAGCCCTTTTATTAGCACGTGTTGGAGGAGTTGGACGATATACATAAACATGCATGAATAATGGTGTACCTATACAAGGCGAATGTTTTTCTACGTCATACTCCCATTCGCCTCGGGGACGAGGCGCGGAAGTTTCAAGGACGGGCCGCAATGGAGAGAAGGCTTGGATGGTCGTTTCGTGACTATTTGAAGCTCAGGGTACACATAGGTTCTGTATATAACGATACCCCTTGTTTTTTTGCTCACCCGTTCTTGAGGCCAATGGGCGATCAGCCTTTTTCCCACGAAGGGACAAAAATCGAGGTCCCGGTCGCGGTATATATTCTCACAGTGTATAGCTAAAATTAATTCATTGTACAGGCCGACAATACCTATCTTCAATTACTACTCTAGGCTTTTTATTTCATACTGCTCACGTGACTGGGTTATTGCATGAATCTTGCGTCCAAAGACAGGACATTGAGAATGAAGAACTAGACATATGGAAAGCTAACCTGCTCCTCGGGATTGCTCTGTTTCGTCGCTTCTCAGGCCAGATTTGTGGCAGGTATCCGGTCAAACAAGAACAGCATATGTCAAGGCGGATCGAAAATGGGAAGAAGTCAGTAGCTACCGATTCGGAACCTACCGAGTTCACCCACCTCGTCACATTCCTTGGAGTTGTTGAACCCGTCTGTCGAGAGTGGGGAGAGGGGTATTGAGACAAGCGGCCGTTGTTCAGTTCAGTTCAGTTCAAGTTCAAACTTGTCAGACGTACAGACATGTCAGTCAGCGACATCAGGTCTCACATTACACACCCTACCTGCCTATGTAGGTACATAAACGCGCGTGAGACACATGGTGGTTTATATACATGTTTATTCGTCCCTAGTCTCGAAGATACATAAAGGCGGCGGTCGTGGACATTGGCAGATACATTGGCGGCTAGGTATAAGGTCCTTGTGTAGGTAGGTATGTATACATCATCCCGCATGGGCCGTGCCGTGTCACGCGGGTCATCGAGGGATTGTGGCTTGCGAGGGCGAGCGCCCTACATATGTACATACAGACATAAGTACCCGGTACATGCCTACCCAATCGCCCGCGTTCTGAGTCATCGAGCCGGCAGGAGACCTACTTTGCAATCGTATGAGGCGACCTCTTATGTGTGCGTATTTCTGTCCTGTTGGCATATGTGCATACAGACGTCTGCAGGCAAGCTTGTTAAGAGGGTCAATATTCAGTCCGGGATCTCCAGCAAACCCCGAACGTAAATCGTTGTTTCTGGAATTAAGATTGGTTATGGCCGCTTGTGCAGTAGATATCTCTCTCCGTGGACCGCCTCTTCAAGTTTAGGAGGAGGGGAGGAAGGGCGGCGCCTTAAGAGGCTAGGGATTATATTAGAGAAAATTCCGCGGACGGGTATCTATAGATATATAGGTTAGGTGCGGTGATGAGAGACAATACCTCCTAGGTAGCCACAGCCTGGTGCTTTCAACAAGGCTGATGCTTCCTTTCAGCTCACGCCGGGGACTGCGCGATGCCCCCTATAATAATTCCCTGTAATGATAGTAAAGTCCAAACACCCCCAAACATTCAGCATCTTATGTAGACATCAGTTCCTCTCTGGGAGCTTACTTATTCCTACCTATTGTAGCCCTGCCTCGCAGTGAACCTATGGCTATTGGAGATGAACAGGCCCAGTTGTCAAAGCCAACGCCAAGAGATAGGAGACCCCGCCCCAACGCTCAAGGCGAACAGACCCTCGAAACCTTCACGCTGTTAACGAAATAAAGTCCTAAAAGCGGTCCATGGCTTTCGTCTTGAATCATCCTGGACGGACTTTTGTGAGTGGGGGGGGGGGGTTTGGCTGAAGATGCTTTAGTCGGAAAAGGGTTTGGATTTAAGGTCCAGAGTATGGACGGAGCCAGGTGTGCGGCAGATCAGGATCAGACGGTGTGGGGTTCCCGCACTTAGCTTCCGGGTTTAATGGTTATGAGCGGCGCTCTTAGTATTGAAGGACAGGACAACAATGCCTGATATACTATGTTGGTGTGTCGGTATAGAGTACTAGGTAGAGTTACCCTACGTGCCCAAAACAGTAATACATAACGAGCATGACAAGAATTGACGAGGTTTTAGTGCTGAGGTTTCATAGAGAGCACTCACGTGTGAAATATTTGACATCTGCCGAAATGCGCTTATCTCTAGAGCGCTGTGCAGTATGATCCAAGCCGCTCGCTATGGGGTTGAAGGCCAGCTACAGTCATCTGGCCTATCAAAACTATGATATTGTAGCACTGCTGAATCATCACCTGGCCTTGCTCAAATCGGATTGAGCCCAAGTGGTCGACATCTGGATTCCTAAACCCCGCTGTAGATATTACAAATACCACGATCCATACATTCGATGTGACGAGAGTTGACAATTAGAGCATCCCGGGCACCGCATCGGGGATTCTCACGATTTCGGGGATCTGTTTCCCGGTCCGCTTATATCCGCTTAAAGCCAGCTGGGCATCATCAATAAACAGTTGAATCTCTGAATTAATCTTGTCAGGACTGCCTCGAATCAGGCCATACGTAGAAAAGGCGTCACATATCATGTTAGTTTTCAGGGTTAACCTCCTTGTGTCGCAGTTAAGGTTGGGATAAGTCCATATATTTTCGGCGATATGACGTTGTTGAGCTAGGCCCAACTGATACCCCTATCCACTCCCACTGGGAAGGGGTGGTTCTGTTACGATGAATGTCGATGATACCTACCCAGGGTATACTGCCTTGTTGGTATGTACACGGATGGGGGTAAGGATGTCGTTATGTCCGTCTCTGACTATAAAACTTGATCGGGCTCTCCTGCATTGGTAGTTGTTAGACAGGCACCAGTTTTTTAAGCTACGACCTACAACTTACACGATCAATAGCATCAACAAATCCATCAACAAATCCATCACCATGTCTTACGGCTCGGCGTACTTCCAAGCTGTCACTCACCTTACTGAGACTATATACCACGATACATACGAGTTTATATCCCCAAAGAAACTAAATCTCCGCGGAACATCGGTTTTTATCACTGGAGCGTCCAAGGGAATCGGGAGGGAGACAGCCCTTAGTTTCGCTGTAGCCGGGTGTGCTAAGATAGGCCTCGGAGCTCGGTCTGACCTATCAAAATTGGAGGCCGAGGTTAAAGAAGCTGCAAAGAAGGCCGGTCACAAGGAAGAGCCCAAGGTTGTCAAGGTCAAGCTCGATGTGGCTTCGCAGGAATCCGTGAAAGCTGCAGCCGAGACGGTTTCAAAGGAGTTTGGAGGAAAGCTGGACGTTTTAATCAACAATGCTGGGCACCTAGAGCGATGGGTTCCTCTCGGCGACGCAGAGCCAGATGCGTGGTGGAAGACATACGAGGTCAACGTCAAGGGTGTTTTCCTATGCAGCAAGTATTTCATGCCGCTAGTTCTTGCGGGTGAAGTCAAGACCAACATCATCGTCTCGAGTATTGGAGCGATTGATACCCAATTCGGAGCTTCCTCGTACCAGAGCACCAAGTTTGCAGTATGTCGGATGGCGGAATTCATCGCAGTCGAATACCACGACAAGGGTCTGGTCTGCTTTGCTGTCCATCCCGGGGGCCTCAAGACCGAGTTGGCAGTCGGTATGCCCCCAGAGTTGCACCATTACCTGGTTGACGAGCTGCCGCTCCCGGGACATTGCATCACATGGCTAGGAAGCGCGAACCGTCCATGGTTAAACGGGAGATTTGTCAGTGTTAATTGGGATATGAAGGAGCTCGAGGCTAAGAAAGATGAGATTGTTGAAGGTGATTTGTTGAAGTTTAGATTGATCACGGCAGTTTAGTTGTTTGTATGTCTAGGGAAGTTGTATGTCCAGGGAAGATGTGTAGGTAGTAACATGAAGATGCATAGGTACATATATGTGAACACATGTGCACACTCTTTAACAAGATTAAACATTGAATCGCTTTAACGAAGTGGATATTGGAGATTAACGGGGGCATTACACATGGTCAATGTTTTAAGGTTTCGATCGTCATACCAGAACTAAGACTAGCATTACGCTAGTACATGTAGGTAGTAGTAAGTACCTGCGTAACTACTAACTAACTACACGTAACTATCATTCAAATGTACCTACTACCTCAGATTCTCAAGGTTCCCACTCCAATTAACTAACTAAATTCAATTTCAAGTTCTTTCTTTTTTAACGACACCAAAACTCCAATAGCTTCACAGCTTCACAGCTTCACAACTTCACAACTTCAATCAAGCTAGTTGTGTTTTCTATAGCATCAATGTTGCCTTCTTAATCACTCTCTTACAATCCTTTTCTATTTCTAATGCTTATTTCTTGTTCATTTCTACTTCCGGCGAAATTTATACATGTCAATGGCTTAGATAGATCCCTAGGTTACCTATGCGATCCGTTCATCACCAAACATGCCCTCTCGTAATGCTCGACCGAAACCCTCCCAACCCAATTATAAGGCCATTGTAGCTGAATGGGCCCGTGCCAAGAGACAAAAAGATCTCCACGCTACTGCTAGCAGCATCAATGCCTCTACAGCCGACGATACGAAGCATACTGCCCTCGAAACTCGCCGAAAATCTGCATTTGAGAGCCGCTGCATTTGGACCTTGGGCTTCTGGGTCTGGTTGTTGTCAATACACATTGTCGGAATATTACTCTTCACCAGTGGCTTCCTCTTGACTCGACTAGTTTTGGACGAACGATCAGAATGTGGCAGACCACCCATCGAGCCGTTATTGGACTGGGAGGGAAGAGGAACAGTTGAAGGTGGTTGCTGGCATCCCAAAACCTTTGACAAGGCCGTTATTGTTCTAGTAGATGCTCTGCGGTATGACTTCACTGTCCCCGTAGACGACGGGGATCATGCCGAGGTGTACCACAATGCGCTCCCTTTTCTTTATGAATCTTCGGTCCAATCTCCAGAGAATGCGTTCTTGCGACCTTTTATTGCAGACCCTCCAACTACCACCCTCCAAAGACTGAAAGGCCTTACTACTGGAACATTGCCTACATTTGTCGATATGGGGTCCAATTTTGCTGGAACCGCTATCGAAGAGGACAATCTCTTGATGCAATGGAAAGGTCTGGGGAAGAGGATTGTTCATTTGGGCGACGACACCTGGACCGCTTTGTTTCCAGGCTACTTCCAGCCAAATATCAGCAGGGCATACGACAGTCTCAATGTCTGGGACCTACATACCGTAGACAATGGGGTTATAGATCATATATTTCCGTTACTAGAGCCGGAGAAAACGCAGGAATGGGATATCCTAATAGGACACCTTCTTGGGGTCGATCATGCTGGTCATCGATATGGACCCAACCACGCCGCCATGACCACTAAACTGCAGCAGATGGATGGTTTTATTCGGAACCTGGCAAACGAAATCGACGACAACACACTATTGGTTGTCATGGGCGATCATGGAATGGATAGCAAGGGGGACCATGGTGGTGAGAGCGATGACGAAGTTGAGGCTGCACTGTGGATGTATTCCAAACAGCCAGTCTTTGGCCGTACTCAACCAGAGTTTTCAACGCCGCCAGCAACCGCTAAAATTCGGCCGGTGAATCAGATCGACTTGGTTCCCACTTTGGCTCTACTCCTAGGTATCCCTATACCGTATAACAATCTCGGCCGCCCAATTGAGGAAACCTTTATTGGTCCGAAGAGTGATGCCTGGGACCATTTGGTTGCTGCCTCCGGCGTAACGTCTGCGGGGATTAGGAGATATCAAGCATCCTATTTCCAGGCTCGGGGTATCGAGCAAACTACGAAGCCTGGGTCGCCGGCTTCACTGTGGAACAACGTTGAAGCTCTTCTTCAGCCCAACACGGAAGTTATGCCGTGGGAAGCACTATACCCAGCCTATACTGCATACCAGGAGGAAACGCTGAGAATCTGCAAGGACCTCTGGGCCAGATTTGATGTGCCGAAGATGGTACTAGGAATTATCGTAATGGCCTCAGGTGTCATTATATTATTATTCTACGTATCTAGAGACGAGGACGAGGACTTTGCGGTTCTTGACGATGCTGAGCTCGACTTCGCCGAGAAGAGTTTAGAACTACAGAGTTCTGCAGCGGAGCCAGACGTTTCTTACAAAGGTTTGAGCAGATCTTTGACTACGGCAGGATTCATAAGCAGTATCTTGATAGGAGTCCTGAGTTTTGCGGCTGTCTTCATAACAGGATCCGATGAGTGGCTATTAGCCACTGCCGCAACGAGTCTTGGAAGCATGATTGCCGTAGCCGGTACTCTGTTCCGGGTCCGAGGAGCACATATACTCAATCTTCTTCCGAACACCTTTTGGGGCTGGTTGTCTGTCGTATTTGCATTGAGCCAATCTATTGGATTCGCTTCTAATTCGTACACTATTTGGGAAGATTCGATTTCGCTATTCTTCCTGTCGACTTTTGGTATTGCAAGTGCGGTGGCTGCCCTTCAAAGGCCTTCCATTGGCGACCGGACTCTAGGTGTTTATCATTCCATCCTATTCGTTATTCTTGGTCGAGTCGGTTCATTTTCAAAGCTTTGCAGAGACGAGCAGATGCCTTACTGTACATCAACATACTATGCCTCGGCCAACTCCTCAACCTCAGCCCCTTGGCAACTAGTCATACCATTTGCTATATTCCTCATTCTTCCCTCTATAATAAAATCTTATATGGGGACTTCGCGATCGTATGAGGGCCTAGCGCCGATGTGGATCGGTTACGTATTCCGCACCGTCCTCTTCCTTGCTGCGGTATATTGGACTCTGGATACGGCGGACAACTCAAACTGGCTCACGTCACTTCTCGAGGAGAAGATGTTGAAGTCTATTCACGTCTCCATCGCGCAATTGGTACTGGCGTTGGCAGTGGTAGCTGGCACCACGGCTTTCATCTGGGCGCCGCCTTGCGTCTCTATCCTCACCACGTCAGCCAACAACCGCACAGCACAGATCACCGTTCTTGGTTATGGCAATGCGAATGGCGCCCGCTACCTCCTTCTACCGATCAACATCGCAGGCGCTTGCATTCTTTTGTCGAAGCCGATGGGCGGCGGCGCCATTGCCCTCATGCTATGGCAAATTCTCTCACTCGCTGAGCTCATTGACCTAAACGACATGGCCACTGAGACCATCGGACCCGCAACCCTCGCCTTGCTAGGGAACTTTTACTTCTTCAAGACGGGCCATCAGGCCGTTCTATCCTCCGTCCAGTGGGATAGCGCTTTCATCCCGCTCCTCACTATCCGCTATCCCTGGAGCCCGCTCGTAGTGGCGCTTAACACATTCGCGGGCCAGATCCTGGCGTGCGCCGCCGTGCCTTTACTCGTACTTTGGAAAACATCCCCGAAACGGAAGGGCGTGCTGGAGACCACGAGCCGTGCCCTCGGCATATTCGTAACGTATTATGCCGTGGAAAGCCTGGCCACAATGGCTTGGGCCGGGTACCTGAGACGACACCTCATGCTATACCGCGTGTTCTGCCCCAGATTCATGATGGCGGCGGCTGTGCTTTTGGTTGTTGACCTGGTAGGCATTGTGGTGGCGCTTTTGGGCGTCAGGACGAATGTCCTTGCGATCAGCGAGGTTTTTGGGTTTGCAGATTAGGTAGTTAGGGGCTAAAAGAAGTAGGGTGGTGAGAATTATACGATGTAAGGGGTGGTGGGCATCTTTGCATGGCGTAACGAAAGGGGAGTGAGGGTGGGTAGGCAGGTATTGAAGGATGAATCAAGGGACAAGGGGCGGATTAGTAGATCGCTTCTTCTGCTTGTTTTTCATCATCTTGTACATATGTGCGACTGTACAAAAGATATTTTTATTTTTTTTGTAAAAAACCTGGAAGACAAGGAAAGAAAGAGACGTGTTAGATGAATAAGCAAGAAGAAACATTACATAGTACTAAACCACGGGTACCTATATTCCGAGTCAAATAAGTGAAGGGTAACTTGATGTCGACGTGATTATTACTACCTATGTAGTACACGTAGTCGGATCTTCAGCATGGAATAGGGGTTCAGGAAATATTGAAACTTCGTCATACGCTGTAATTCAAATCATGTATTCGTATGTAGGTGGACGTCCGGGGCTGCATGTGTATCATGTAGCTAGGTACAGTAGGTACCTTACCTAGTAGGTAGGTATGCCAGCTCCCCATCTTCCCGCACCGCACCCCAATCGCCGTCGCGGAAGGTGGAAGAGTGGGTGGGTGAGAACGTGCTTTCTTGCAGATCGCTGATGTACCTAACCTAGTAGGTAGGTAGATAGGTAGGTAGATAGGTACATGTAGGTAGATAGGTAGGTAGGTATGTAATGTCCATGGCGTAGGATGTATGCAATATGTAATGAAGCATGGCTATACACATAATCTATCGACGTACTATACATATAACCATCGACAAGCGCCATATTATTTTATCTATATGTTACTAACCTAATCATCTGTATAGTTACATACTTAGATACATAGCACCTATTTCAAGCCTTTTACTTGTGTAAATTACATCAATGTATGTATGTATGTATGTATGTATGCAAGAAAAGCCACAAGATGTTCATATGTAGGTATGTATGTATGTCTGTATGTAAGTAAGCACATACTTGCCTGCCTACAGACATACATTACAATGGAGTTTTTCTAATTTCGTAGAAAAGCGTGGCGTGATGCAAGCACCCAGCCCTTCCGCCCCCAAACTGTCTCACATACATACCTACACATGTGCATAAAACTAACTTCGCCCCCAGATTAACGACGACGGGCCGCCGCCACTAATAATCGGCCGCCCCCCTCCATAAATCTAAGCCCTTGTGATCGGAAAGGGGGCTTTTCCCCATGGGTTCGTGCCTACCTAGGTAGGTAGGCATGTGGCTTTTATTATCTAAGCGGTCCCCGTTGCTTTGTGTCCACGACAGTTGGAAGGAAGGAAGATTAGTCGAATGATGCGGTAAAGTGACGGCAAAAAAGAAGAATAAAATATTATATACACCTAGGCACCCAGTATGTAGGTAGGTAGGTATATAGGAGAATGTCAAGTGGGTATCACAATTGCGCCGCTGTGTTGTATCGCCGGTTCGTAAACAAAAATTATCCCCCATCCCCAACCCCAACCCCGTCTCCGTCCCCCATCCTGATCCTGTGTCCAAAGCCCCATATCCAAAATTGAGGTTTGTTGTCCGCCCTATCCTTTTCCCGAAGACGCCGTTGAAATCCTATGCCTCAAGTGCCCAAGTACCAAGGTTTGTGGTATGTAACTGATCGCTGGTTGGTGCAATACCTACTAGGTATATACCTACTAGGTAGTACATATGCAGACTGTAGGTTATATAATCCATCGGGAGATAGTTGCAAATAGCAACGATAGCATGAGCAATGATGGTGCCTGTGCCATCGAAATCGCGGCACTTTCGGGAAGCGCGTCAGGAAGCGATGCGCTGACAAAATCGGGACCACAGTCTGAATTGATGTGGTTGGCTGCGTCAACGTACGTGTTGGCAATACATTTCCTCCGGTCAGCCGCTGCTGCCTGGTATATCTTCATAGTCTCGCTAGTGCAATAGTCGCATGCGGGCAAGGCCTTGCTGGGTATGGTAGAGTTGAGGGGAAGATTGTAGATGTAGACGTTGTCATAAGTTGTCTGGTTTGTGACAGCATTGACAAAACAGTAATTCGAAGTATTCGGATCTGTCAGACACGTGGCGCTGTAGATTTCCTCGTACGCCTTCATTCCCTTATAAGCTTGAACAACGACTGGATTATTCTTCGCATAATCCTGCCCACAGTTATCGTCAGATATGAGTTGGTCGGCGAGATCATTGAGATAACTGGTGCAGGAACCCTTGTCGGCCTTGCAGGATGCTTCCAGGACTTGTGTTATTTTGACCAGGGATTTCATAGCCTGGAAGAAAGAGTTGGAATTCTATTTCATCTGTTAATGGTAGTCCTATGGGTTAAAACGGAAGAGTAGGGCTTGATGGACTTGGTTAGACTAGCCTTTAAAAGGAGAGAAAGAGGATAGCACTCTTGAAAGGTGGAATTTTGCAAGAAGCTGTTGATGAAATTCAGACAAGTTCCTCCTCCATCCTCACCAGAGAAGTTTGCGGCAAGCGCGCCATCGAAGGGAGTGGGAAGGGGACCAGTAGCCGCGATAGATGCGGTAGCCGCGGCGGTGGTCACGGCGGTAGCAGTTGAGACATCAATCTCAAAAGTCTGCGTGTCTGGTAACCTGCGAACGAGCTGGCGATGCTCGGCTTCGGACATGATCTGCCACTGACCATTGACGAGTACCGGAATCCGCGTATCAATCAGTAGGGTGGTCTCAGTCGATCGCGGGGTGTCGTCCAGTGAAATAGCAGTAGTTAGGGAAGCCCAGCATGAAATGATCAGGATGATCATTGCCCTATATATCCAAGGTTTGTGGTAAGGTGAAACGGCAGGGTACTTGTGCTGAAAGTACTGAGGGCATGGAGTACCACACGCGCGGCGTAACCAGCGATGGGGCCCGAAGGAACACATTATATCGCCGAAGCAGGTAACCGATCAGCAAAATCTTCATACATCACTTCGTCGTACTAGCCTCTATTCGTAGGAAGCCGGTGTACACTACGATATGTAGTGTAGTATATAACCCTTGGGACTCTTGGAACTTCTGGAACTCTTGAGATTGTTGTTTCGAAACCTCCAACGTTGTAAATGCTTGTTGTTAATGTTGTATGTGTGTTGGTTGAGTGTAGGAGGAAAAGAACTGTAGTCGTTTCCGTCTTACACACGTATTTTATTCCAACAAATCCAGACCCGATCCCGGTATTTGGCTTGGTGGGCTTGAGAGATATAGGCACAGATCCGTTGTGGAGAGGGGGGTTAGTTAATATGATAAATGGACGGTTAAATGATTTATATAAAACATGAATGGTGTGATGTTTGGTAAGTATAGGTATTGTACCTATTATACGTACTATATACTAAGAATTAGGATTAAGAATAAGACGATGAGGTATATGATGTATATGAGGGATGTGGCATTGAAGTCGGTATGGAAATGGGAGAGACTTCAAGGACGACAAGGACGACTAGGGGAAATGAGCGGGAAGGCTGCTTTCATAGTAAAGTGGTATGAGCGTTTCCTGAGCGAACCCATTTCTGGAATACCCGTCCGGTTGGCTCGTCCGAGAAGTAATCCAGTAATGCTACTATTAGTACTAGGTATGTAACTCTACTGCTTTAAGGAGGGTATGTGTGTAAGTGTTAGTAGCCTGCCGTTATCACAAGTGCTTAGGTTATACATGGTAAGGTCTGCCTGTCTGCCTGTCTGCCTGTCTGCCTGTCTGCCTGCCTGTCTGAACTAGGCTCCTCAGTGCTGTCAAAAAGTAAGTACCTACAGTCGCTGGACATCATTGGGTATATAGGAACGTGAGGATGAAATTAATGATTGACTCCAAGATCTTATTTGCAGTGTTATGATGCGAGGTGATGTGACGCGATGCGATGCGATATGTGTAGCGAATACGGCTGCATAACAAGAAGCGAAGATGTTTTTTTTTTTTTGGGGGGGGGGGGGGGGGGGGGGGTTTTTTCAAACTTCCAAGGAATTTCAAGGAATTTCCAGTAAGTTGACCAGGTCTAGAACGTTCAGTGTTCACTGGTCCAGGTCTGTGGTCAAACCCCCTTACCTATAATACATACAGTATGTACAATCCATACATGCATGTTGGTTGGGAACCAAAGGTGGTGGAGGTACCAAAGATGGTGGAGGTCAGGGTTGGTGCCTTGGTGGAGGGATGTGAGAGATGTGAGAGGAGGAGGAAGGATGAGGATGAGGAAAAAAGACATATCTAAGCGAGATTTCCCACTTGGAAGTGCTTGGAAGTTGCTTGGGAGTGCTCAATACGTGCTAGGACTTGGATTTAGCTTGAACGCTAATGCCAGGTACCGCCGCTGTTCCCTGTCGTCTTCAACCACTAGAGGGCACACGCTCGCGCGCGCCACAAATGCCCGAGTTTTCTCGGACCCAATTTTAATGTTACTAAAGGCTGCTTTCGGGCTAGCGCAACGCTAAGGATTTAAGGTCTTGATAAGACGATTTGATTGGGTGGAGCACCCTTTAGATCACATGACCTGCTTTTTCAAGTTGTAACTCTTTTTTTTTAGATGGTAGGGAACACACGGGCCATCAACACTTCTTATTCAACCCTTCCAATTCAACCCTTCTAATTCAACCCTTCTTATTCAATTCAACTGATTGAATTGATCGGATTGATTGAATTGATTGAATTGATTGAATTGATTGAATTGATTGATGGATTGGTTGCTTAGATAGCTGATCTACATATCCTGTTGCAAGCCGGCTGGCTGGCTGGCTGGATAGCTGGCTGGATAGCCCGGGCCAGCTCCTCCAACACTGGATCCAAAGCTGGACCTAATAGCTGCTTGAATAACAGATTAAATACCTGATTAACGACTTGATTTGTTGATTGATTAAAAACCTGATTGAATATTGAATCAAAGGGATCAAGGGATCAAGGGATCAACGCAATCAAGGGGATCAAAGGGATCTAAGAGCTGATCAAAGATGTTCCGATCATGTGATCAAAGTCTCGGAACATCTTTAATCAGGTCCTTAATCAGTTCCTAGATCCCTTGATCCCCTTAATCCCTTTAATCTAGTATTCAATCAGGTCTTTAATCAATCAATAGGTCAGGTATTTGATCAGCTATTCAAACAGCTATTCAAACAGCTCCAGCTTTGGATCCAGCGTTGGATAGGCTGGGGTATTGTACATCCTCTAGGTCCCCTAAATCTTCAAATCCGGGCCCCTAGCCCAAACCACACTCAACCTTTTTTCCATCTTGAATAACTTTTGAATCAGATATTGCACCATAGTGAAACCCGTCCCAAATGAAAGTGCATCTAATTGCCGATTGATTGATACCGGTCTTGAATTGATGTGATATCTGGTCATGAAGTTATTCAAGTAAATAGGTGGCAGAACGGGAGGCACGTGATCGCCCTTCAAGCCACACTAAGGGCCCTTAGCGCCCTTGGAGCCCTTAGAGCTAAACCTTATTCAACACTTTCAACCTTAAATAACTTTCTGAGAAATATAGCTGCAAAGGAGCAACCGGATTCAATTGAAAGTGCATTCAATTACCAATTCATTAATACCGCTCTTAGATTGGGGCGATACTTGGCTGAAAAGTTATTTGGGTATATATAACTATTGAAAAGGGCCACGTAATACTGTTTAGGATGACCCCAGGTGGCTTTTAGGGCTCTTAGGCGGCTCTAAAGGCCCTTAATAGCTCTAAAGAGCTCTTAATGTGGCCCCAACGCTAATCACGTGCCCCCATTTTGCCAACCTATTTACTTGAATAACTTTGCAACCATACATCGACTCAGTTCGAGATCCAAATAAATCAATTGAAAATTGAATGCTCTTTCAATTGAATCCGGTTGCATCGTGGTGCCACATGTGGTTGAAAGGTTATTTGATTGGATTGATGTGGGCAGCTGGGGGCACTCACTGGATCACATGACCTGGTTTTTCAAGCTGCAACTCTTTTTTTTATATGGCATGGAATATACAAACCATCAACCCTTCTAACTTAACCCTTCCAATTCAATTCAACTGATTGAATTAATCGGATTGAATTAATCGGATTGAACTGATTGGATTGATTGAATTGATTGATTGATGGACTGACTGATTAAATGCTGCACCTTTCGGATCACGTGACTGCCTGCAACACTTTTTTTGGTATAGTAGGGGCCATCAACCCTTCCAACTGAACTCAATTCAACTGATTGAATTGATCGATTTAGATTGAATTAATCGGATTGGACTGATTGGATTGATTGAATTGATGGATTGATGGATTGATTGATTGAATAGCTGATTTACATATCCTATTGTAAGCTGGCTGGATAGCTGGCTGAATAGCCCGGGCCAGCTTATCCAACGCTGGTTCCAAAGCTGGATCTAATAGCTGTTTGAATAGCTGCTCAACAACCTGATTTATTGATTGATTAAAGACCTGATTGAATACTAGATTAAAGGAATCAAGGGGATTAAGGGGATCAAGGGATTTAAGAACTGATTAAGGACCTGATTAAAGTCACATGACCGGAACATCTTTGCTCAGATTCTCGATCAGCTCTTAGATCCCCTTGATTGCATTAATCCCTTGGTCTCTTTGATTCATTATTCAATTAGGTCTTTAATCACTCAACAAATCAGATCGTTAATCAGGTATTTGATCAGCTATTCAAGCAGCTATTAGATCCAGCTTTGGATCCAGTGTTGGATCCAACGTTGGATGAGCTGGCCCGGGCTATTCAACCAGCTATCCAGCCAGCCAGCCAGCCAGCCAGCCAGCTTGCAACAGGATATGCAGATCAGCTATTCACTCAATCAATCCATCAATTCAATCAATCTGATCAATTCAATCAATCCGATCAATTCAATCAGTCGAATTGAATAAGAAGGGTTGAATAAGAAGGGTTGAATAAGAAGGGTTGAATAAGAAGGGTTGATGGCCGGTGTGTTCCCTGCCATCCCAAAAAAGACAGTGTTGCAGGCTGTCACGTGATCCGAAAGATGCTGCATTCAATCAATCCGTCCATCAACCAATCAACCAATCAACCAATCAATCATCAATCCATCAATCAATCAATCCAATCAGTTCAATCCGATTGATTCAATCCGATCAATTTAATCCGATTGATTCAATCCGATCAATTTAATCAGCTGAATTGAATAAGAAGGGTTCAATTGGAAAGGTTGCATTAGAAGGGTTGATGGCTCCTACAGTCCAAAAAAAAGAGTTGCAGCTTGAAAAAGCAGGTCATGTGATCCAATGGATACTGCACCCAATCAAATCATCGTGTCAAAACCTTAAAAATCTTTTGCGTGGCACTAGCCTGAGAGCAGCCTCTGGGACCCACAATTCCAGTGATTCCAGCCAATCTCGACTTTCTTGCACGGGCTATTGAGGTAATTGAATACATATATTTTCCATTCTTATAACAGCTGTAATAGGTTAATCAGATCTTAATGGCCGCTGACGGATCTGAATGTCTCCAGGGCTTATAATAATATTAAACCTTCAATATTCCTTATTTGAAAGCTTAAGCACTTAATGAGACTTGAAGCTTAAGCACTTTTCCATACGTGTGGCTGCATTTGTGGCTCCCCACGTGGCTTGATAGTCTTGGCAAACCTTCCTCTTTTGCAAAGCCCAAAATTCCTCCCCTAGAGACCCACAAGCTTACGTGAGCAACCATTTGAAGTCTTGGCAAACCTTCCTCTTTTGCAAAGTCCAAAATTCCTCCCCTAGAGACCCACAAGCTTACGTGAACAACATCCCCACCTTCCTAAAGTGGAAAGAGTTTCCTATTTGAGCCTAGCGCGTCTGCTTAGTAAGCCAAATCCCCTTGAGAAAAAAACCGTACAGTAACCCTCGAAAACTCGGGCATTTTCAATGCTCCTGCCTGCTAGCACATATCCATAGCAGTGATAGCACTCTTAAGAGCCACTAAACTCGGGCTATTTTCTTCAGCCAGTAGCACATACAGATACTAGTAGGTAGTAATCTACGGGGCATTAGCGTTGTGATTGGAATCATTGGATACCTAGTACATCATTGTAGGTACCAATTTTATTATTGACCATTATTATTGACCATTATTATTGACCAAAACAACTTGAGCATTAAACAATAATTATGTCTCAACTTCAAACATAACATGGAATAACTAAGTATAAGTATACCTAGTATGAGTTTAAAAAAAGAAGCATTGCTAAGCATAATAGCATAGACATATATCGAGATGCATAGTTGCATACACGATATTAATCCCGGGACCATGAATGCTACATAATAACGTAGAAGGCTTCGGTATAGCAAGTGGAAAAGTAATTATGAGGTGCCTTTTTATAGAACAACAGGTGTCAGGTGGTATTATACTACTGTATGTATAAATCATACTATGTATAAATCAAGACTAATCAATCTCAACACTCAACATCTACCAGTGTGACCACCACTCATAGCCATAAGCCCAGTACACATATAAATCTTGTAGGTTAAGTACTTCCTCCCCTCTTACCAATAAGACATCGAACCCTGGCAGTTCACTCACTTATTGATAAGTCGGACGCTGGAAACAATTTGAACTGCTGTAGATGACACTCTTCCTGGTGACTCGCTTCAAGTCCCCGACTACATAGTATCTGTACCTACCTATTGCACATGAGTTTTAATATAGATCATACAAGAGGCAGATGCAAGCAAGCGGCATGTCAAGGCACTACTACCACCACCACCACCTCCACCACCCCAACCTCCTTACCCTCGCCCCAGACACTATACGCACGCTTTGATTTGCAATATTCGTGAGTACGTTTCACAGCCCGTCGTCTACAGCAGCACATACAGAACCTAGGTAATAGTCCCCTGCTATACGAACCCGAGAACTGAGGCACATATTTCTAGAAAAGGGGGGAAAGGGGGGAAAGGGGAGGAGAAGCATAAATGAGAAGGCATCGTGAAAAGCCCCAGCATCTATATATATCTGTCTGCCTCCTGTCTACCTGTTTCTATACCAGATGTATATGATATAAAATACATAGTTATCTACCGAGATAGATCTGGTAGGTGGATCGATTGCCGCGACCATCGATCCCTACTAGCCGGCTGATCGACAAAAAAGCGATCGACGAAACGAAAGATCAAAATAAAAAAATAAAATAAAAATCAACCACTCTTCGAATCCTGAAACGCGGTTGCAGCCCTATATAGGTTGCCTCGCACGCCCTATGTGTCTGTAATCTTAGTTACAATCTATGATATGAACCTTTGGAATTCTATCATGGGAGCTACGCTGATCAATTTGGGGTCTTTGTTGCTGCTGCTGCTGCTTGCTCTGATCTTCTCAGAACCATCGCAGCTACTTACATACATACATACCTACCTACCTAATGTTGCACCCACTTACTCCCCTTAAATGGTATTGTATTAACACAATGCAACACAACACAATACCTCCAGCTTAGAGCTGTTTCACACCTAACTCAGAGCCCGGAACATTCCCAGAAGTCTGACCTCAGCTTTCATTACATATCTCACCTACCTACATGCATACGAGAATAGAACGACGACAAAATACACCCGAAACCCGACAAAGTTTCCAGTTGTCGAGACGTTCGTTCCCGAACCAACATATGTATGCATTATTGTCTCACACACGCGTGCGTATATTCATGTATGTATATACGTGCCTATGTAATGTAGGTACTAAGTAGGTAAGCAGGTAAGACGGTATAAACTATGACAGACATCATACTAGCCCCCCCCCTCTCTCCCCTATGGTGGAAAGGAGCCAGTACATGCTTAGGTTAGGTAGGTAGGTACTTACTTACATAGCGCCTCATGACAAGACGTGAGACAGCAAACCTCACTGTTCGCTTGCCTCGCCTGAAGAATCTTGAGACATATTGATATTTATATATAGGTTCCCCGTGGACAAACCTTCCAGCTGCAAAGTCCCCTAATCAACCGTGAAACGAGACCAAGTCTCAGCCCAGCTACAGTAGGTACCTACGTACCGTGGTCACATTCATCACGAGATATCTGATGTAGTTGGCAAAACTTGACCGACCCCTATACAAACATGCCAACCTACAACTTTAACAAACGCTATAAATACTTAAATACATAAGGTAGAAGTTAAGTATCTACCTTAGCGTCAAAACCCACTTCGTAGATACCGTATATATACCACATTTATACCGCTTATACCGAAATATCTCTTAAAAAAAGTTAAGGAAATAGATAGGTTATATTTTAGAACGTTCTAAATCAATTAAAACGTTTTATTGATTTTAAACGTATTTAATTAGAAGCGGTATGTTTTTTGCGAGCGGTATTTAAATAGCAGCGGTAATTTTTTAATTAAACGGTAGCAAATTAATTACCGTTCCTTATATATTCCTTTTTTACGAAAAATTAAATATTTACATATTAAGGTATATGTATATATTGCATATATATATTCCTATATTAGATCTTTCATATCATATCAAATCTATTTTCTTTATTTTTTTGTTATTATTTAAAGATATTTTAATTGAAAATTTTACACATATACTAAATTAAACCATGGGCCTATTAACTGATTTACTAATTTACTAATTTACGAATTCTACGAGTTTTACCACTACGCTACAAGGCATTTATTTAATTATTTGCGCGCGCACGTAAGTGGTTTGGTTGTTTTAATATATAAGGGTATCGTGGGCTGGGTCGGGGCCTAAGGCAAACACCAACATTGCCGGCACCATTAAAAAAGCTAATACCATTAAAAAGTATATACATTTCTCCAAAGGTTCAAACAGCTGGAACGTTTCTAAAAAGCTAAAGGTGCTAAAATTTAAGCGGTATATATACTAATATCTATTTAAAGAGCCGTATATTTACGGCTTTACTAAGCTATCTAGTATATATACGGCTCTACTTTTAAGAACTGTATATATACCGGTTAAATAAATAAAGCGTTTTAAGACAATAAAACGTCTTAAATAAAAGTAGTAGAAATATTGGTTTATTTGGGAGTTGTTTAATATTTTAACATTTCGAAATGGATGCGGTTTTATGAAATTAAGAAGTATATTTACGGTGGATAATTGCAAGCGGAATATATGCGGTAAACGCGAACCCCCCATACTCCCCTATGTATCATATACATCACTGCGCAAAAATACATCTAATATCGCTTGTTCATGTAGGTATATATTGGAGGAGAATACCATCATCCTTTATATTTGTGGCGAGAACTGTCTAGATATATACCTAAATGCTATATATAGGTAGACTGAGAAGTACATTAATATTCAAGCTAGTTCTATACCCGGAACGCCATACAATGCAGTGGCGTATAAGCCGTCCGTCTTCGTCAAACGACATAGAAGCATCCGACTCGTGGGGAATCTCTTTTTAGACCATGGAAAAAAAAAACATTAACCATGACAGCGTGTATAGGTGCCATTATTTTCTTTCGTCCGTTTCTTACGTATGACGTATGTCATATGAAATATATTATCGAGTCTTTTCCAAGCTCTGCAAGTGGACCAATTCGGCGTATCTTCCATTCTTCCTCATTAGCTCAGGGTGTGTGCCCTCCTCCACGATCCTGCCTTGGTCGAACACATAGATAATGTCGGCCTTCTGGATCGTGCTCAAACGATGCGCGACCGCGATCGTAGTCCGGCCCTTGGCGGCCTTGTCTAGGGCCGCCTGGACCACATGCTCCGACTCGGAGTCTAGAGCACTAGTCGCTTCATCTAGGAGCAAAATCTTGGGGTCGCGGATCAGCGCACGCGCAATAGCGATACGCTGTTTTTGGCCACCTGATAGCAAGGCACCCTTGCTGCCCACTATCGTATTGAAGCCGTCTGGAAGGGACATGATGAAATCATAGATATTGGCTTCCTGACACGCGAAATTGATCGCCTCGTCAGTAACGTCATCCCGAGAGGAGCCGAGAATAATGTTTTCCTTGATCGTGCCTTGATACAAAGTTGGTTCTTGGGAGACGAGCGCGATGAAAGATCGGTACTGGTTCACGTTTAGAGAGCTAATCTCCTTGCCATCGACGTACACACCACCGACAAGCGGGTCGTAGAATCGTTCCAAGAGAGCGATTGTCGTACTCTTTCCGCAACCAGACGCACCAACCAACGCGACATATTGGCCGGGACGGATTGTCAAATCCAAACCACGTAGCACAGGTTGCTCAGGTCGAGTTGGATACCGGAAATGGACATCTCGGAATTCAATAGTGCCGTCGACCGATTCAACCGGGGCTCCATCTTCGGACCACGTATCAATAGTTGGCTTTCGATCGAATAGCGTCTTGAGCTCACTTGCCGCCTGGTGCGCCTTGCCCATATCAGGAGCAAATGAGAAGATAGCACCAGCTGACTGGGCGCCATAGATGACGGACATGAAGCAGACAAAGAACTGGAAGAGGTCGTACTCAGCCTTGCCAATTAGAGTACCGCCGTACCAGAAGCCAAGGGCAAAGGCCAGGAAGAGGAATGACTGAGCAGCAGCATAGAGTAACGATGACTTGAGAACGGATATCAAGCTAGATCTCTGCTGAAGAGCAAGCGAGTGTTTGTACTGCGCCAAGACATCATCTTCTCGGGTGAGAGATGCAACGGTGCGGATCGCGGATATGGCCTCAGATGCAAACGAAGCGCTTTGCTCATACGCCGTTCTGGAGCGTCGTTGAAAGTGTGCAAGCATGTAAAAGCGGAAGAATCCACATGCAAGCAGAACCGGGACTGTGGCGATACAGACGAGAGCCAATTTCCAGCCGAACGACAAAGCAACAACCATTGCGGAAACAAGTGTCGTGGTAACCATAAACAATGTCCCGAGGGTAATACCACTGAGGCCAGCTACGTGAGTGGTCTCAGTTGATAAGAATGACGTGAGAGCACCAGCAGTATTCTCGTCCTTGTCGAAGAAGGCCACATCCTGGCGGAGCATGGTCCGGAAAGCCCGATCCCTGACACGGTGAACGAGTCTTTCGGAACACTTGGCAAAAGCAATGCCATGCGACATTTGACTTATGAGCATGACGAATGCGAGCATAAGAAACATGGCACTCCAGAAGTCGCTGTCTTTTTTGACCTGTGCACGATTCTCGGGAGTAAGGGGTACAGCCAAGGTCTAAATCAAAGTTAGTCAAATGAGCTATAAACGACAACATTCGCCTGCAGTTAAGAACACTCACTAAAATTTGCTTGGCGAAGAAGAATGCTTGAGTCGGGTTGCCACCTCCAGAGATGATGGACCAGAACAAGCCCCATACCATTAGTTTCCATTCTTGTTTGTTGAAAGATGCGATGAGCTTGATCAAAGTCCATAAGCCATACTTGGGTGACTCCTCAGATTTGCGGCCTTGAAGAACCTTACTAGAAGCGGACCCTTGAGTGGCTGATCGGTTCAGTTTGTCGTGAATGTTGTCATCGGGGTCTTCGATGTAGTCGGTCTCGGATCCCTTTCTGGAAGCTTTGCGAATAAGAGTCTCGTCACGAGCGTCAATTTCCTCTTGCTCCTCCACCGTCAGCTCATTTACCGCAGCGATATTTTGTGCGCTGACTAGCTTTGCATATGCCCCGTTGAGTCCCAACAGCTCGTCGTGTGTACCCTGTTCAACGATAGAGCCATGCGACATGACCACAATGTTGTGAGCATCCCTGATAGTAGAAAGACGATGAGCAATGGTAATGGTTGTACGACCCTCTGCGGCGACTTCCAATGCTGCTTGAACGACGCCTTCTGACTTGGTATCTAATGCACTTGTAGCTTCGTCGAGTAGGAGGACTAGGGACAAAATTAGAAAATTAGAAAATGTACACTTGGGTTGGTTTGGTTTAGAGGCGCTTACTTTTAGGATCCGAGACAATGGCTCGAGCAATGGCAATGCGTTGTTTTTGACCACCAGACAGTAAGAATCCACGTTCACCAACGTTTGTCTCATAACCCTCTGGCAAGGCCGAGATAAAGTCGTGAGCGTTGGCCTTTTTGGCTGCCTCGATAACTAGTTCTTTCTGTTTGTCCTCGCTCTCGTTCTCGAATTTTGTGCCGATGAGACCATGGCATATATTCTTATAGATTGTTGTACCGAATAGTGTGGGCTCCTGGCTGACGAGGGACATTTGCTGGCGTAACCAACGGAGATTCAATGTGCTAATGTCATGGCCATCCAAGAATACCTTTCCTGCGACGGGATCGTAAAATCGTTCTACCAAGCCCACGATTGTACTCTTTCCAGAACCAGAAGTTCCAACCAAAGCTGTCGTCTTGCCGGCCGGGACCTCTAGTGTTACATCCTGCATGACCACAACTTCTGGCCTGGACGGATAAATGTGCTTCACGTTCTCTAGGCGAATTGTACCAACAACCTTCTCCAGCTTTTCTCCATCTTCCCTACTAGGGTCCAATGGAGACATGCGGTCGATGGTGTTGAATATCTTGGCGGCAGCCGCAAGCGCAGTCCCGAAGGCCTGGAGGTTGGGCGCAACGTTGCCCAAATTGAAGGCACCGATCATGATAGACATCATAATGATCAGAACAGTGGATAGAGGGATAGTGCCCTCGACATAATATTGGCTGCCCATCCAGAAACTCAATCCGTAGTTCAAGTATATAATCCACATCATACCAGCGACCATGATGGCGATCGCGGCAGCTTTTCTGAAGCCGTAGTACTCGGCTCGGATTAGATGGGTATCATATTGCTTTGATAATGTGTCCTGGGTACCGAAAGCGACGGCATTTCGAATAGAGCTGATGACCTCCTCCGCAACACTGCCTCCTGTCGCATAGGCCTGTATCGAGTTTTTGGTAAACTTGACAACGAATCGAGACCCAATTCCCATATCCAAGATCAGGGCAACAATGACGCAACACAGGATGAGGGTCAATTTCCAATAGAAGACAAAGCCAATGACGAAGGCAGATATAAAAGTTGCAATGGCCGTTAGCGTTAGTCCTACCTTCTCGGAAATGCCCTCCTGAATTAGGTTCGTGTCAGCGGTGATACGGGTAGTGACTTCGCCAGCACCAAGCTTGTCGAAGAAACCGATATTTTGACGCATGCAGCTTTCGAGGTAATGCTCCCGAATCTTGGCACTGATGTGCTCGCCAGTGTAGATGAAGCCGACAGTGGCCACGTAGATAGTGATGAACTCGCCGATAGCCAGGTAGATGAAATACAGCACGAGGCTAGTCATCTCGCCCATGAAGTCGTCGTATGATACGGTGCCTAGGAAAAACCCCTGAAATGTGTTTTGAAGATTACCAAAAATGACTGTCATGAGTGGCAAGGCGGCACCACCAGCAATAGCACCGATAGCGCTCACAAACATGATAATAAGGTCATTTCTCGAGGAGTATCGGTAGAGAGTAGCGACACCTGTCTTCACCTCGGGCGTTATGACTTGTCTCTTGAGGATCTCGGCCTCGTTAGCAGGCAGGTGGCTGAAGGGATCGTCTGAGTCTTGAGTCGGCTGGATGACTTTGGAATCGGCCTTCTCCATTGCGTTTCCAGATCCTAGAGAGCCTTCTTCCTTTCCAGGAGCGGCATCTGTAGCTGAGTCGCCATGACTGGAAGTGCGAGCCGAGGGACCATCGGCGGCTGCCATCTGAGGCTTCTCTGATATGTCGTCGGCCATGGATGAGTTGCGCTCAGTAGGCACGAGCTTGAGTCGATAGGGTCAGATGGATGGATGATTTGCGCCGGGGGAGAGTAACCAAAGAATGATAATAATAAATTAACGAGAGAAAAAAAAAAAGGTCGATCCAAGATCGGTACAAAGGCGGCAAAGAGCAAGAACCAGGCGGGAAATGTAATGCGCCCACACCCTCTCTTATTTATTTAAAGTTTTGTCGAATTTTGTTTCCTTGTTCGTTTGTTTCGGATCGTTCCTTCATCAAACACTCATCCACTCACCAGATATACCTTGAATATACCTTGAATGCTGTAGTCTAGTATGTATGATGATGTATTAAGCGCGGTCGTCTCTTCGCAGGTATGTACATGTACATAGATCCTATGCACTATGTATTAATACCTATGTATGCAGCTCAAGCCTCAAGTGTGTTCAGAGTCTAGTACCTATGTAGCCTACTTCAATGTTAGGATTCAAGTGAACCCCGGTTTCTGGGCATTGAAGTGTCGGACGCTGGATCTCTTTATACTAGTTTATACAATTGGCGATGGATACTTTACAATCAAAAAGTAGGTGGCAAGAACCCGGATTTCATGAATCAGATATAATACGAATTCCGAGCAGGATCTTTCCAAACCACCTATCTTATGAAACGGATAGATATAATGTCCGAGGATTGAAGATAGCCTTAGATAGGGTAGCTTGTTACCTAGGTAGCGAGGGAGGTATGGGTGACCCAATGAAATTTTTTTATTTTTTATACAGCGGAATGTCAAAATACCGAGCACAACTTTTATCTTTTATGTGTACTATTGTAGCTTTCCCTGTAGCTTTACACTCGGCATCTTTACTCAAAAGGGATGATAGTACCGAGCTCTGTCCAATCAACGCCTCAAGTTGTTTGCCTGTCCATGGATGTGCTACCTACTGGGTACTTAGTACTTACGAATAGGTGTACGAATAGGTACACACATATACGAGCTATGCGACACTACCTAGTAGCTTCACCATTTCCATGCTGTTTCTTCACTAATCAACCTTGTTTTAGCGATCTCATTTTACATTAATATCATTGATCTACTATGTACTATGCCGTACATATCTAACTAGTAATAAGTAAGGGGCGTAAATTAACACCAGCATTGAGGGTATTCGGCCGTTATAGATTCCTGCAGTTCTACCACTGCTAGACTTGGAGGATTCAATTCGGATAGAAACCACCTACCTACATCCACAGGTATGTAGGTAGGTATGTAATATGTAGTTAATCATACATCGGAAACGTTGCATGGACCTGTAGCGGTAGAAGTTATAGGCGAAAGAGTCACACACCGCCCATGATCTTCTATAGTATTCTACAAACAGCAAATGCCGCGAATGATGCGGCATACATTACGGGTGATAAAATAGGTAGGTGTTATCTGCGTAAGTCGGATTGCTTACATTGATTGTATGTATGCACATAAGTGCCCCGATGTAGATGATGCATTCTGCGTCAACATTCGAATCTGACATATGTACATAGGCATCTACAATTCTACAGTACATACAGTACCTGATCCTACATCTGTCGCCCGGATGAGTCTAGCTAAGGAAGCGAAAGCGAAGTCGGTTAAGTCTAATAGCTCAGAACTTCAAATTAGCATACCTAGTAGTTATGTACAATAACTAACTAGGTAGTTTACAAAATCACAAGATTCGGCATTCAATGTTGTTCAGGTAATTTCTCAACAATCATTGAACAATGATTCCAAGGCCAATCAATGTACCTAGGTAGTTTGGGGAAGTGGGTATTGATGTTCCTCGGTTCCAGAGTTTTTTTGGTCTAGAAGGGTTCTTCGTTTTCGTATATTACAATTTACATGTAGTGTATTTTACTTGTATGCGGCTAGCATGCTGCATTGGGACTTCAAATGTTTATACTTGAACGCGCGAATCCGCAATCGTCGTATACATGTGGACCTAGGTAAGTATAAGTACATAGATGCATATATGATATTATGTATTATGTAATGATCAACCTGACATTCAAACATTCAAAAACAATTGATTTGAAGTATTCAATGTTGATACTCAAGTGCTATCAACATGAATAACTACTAGGTACTAGGTATGTCTACATACACACATACATATGCATAGGTACATATATGTACATACTACGCCGTATTGTATATCATGCTGTGTCACGCAACGTCAGATCCTGGTGATAGAAACCCGGGCATCGGCATAGTGGGGAATGACCGGACTTTCAACAGACTCTGGACGCTCCGTTCGGTACCTACTGTACTATTAGGTATTTTTCAAACACCCCCTTACTAAACGCTCATGTCTTTTCAACAATACAGTGGATAGTATCTAGTAATATATATTATTTTCCTAAATCCTTCATTGGTTTATTATTCATTATTCACTTGGTCCCGGGTACGGCATGATCCGATTATGAAGGATTCCAGGATTCTAGCTAAGAAAACCTTATCTTACATTACAACCGAGATCCTTCAAGTTCTTTTAATCTGTAGCAGATAACTAGGTAATTATGTAATCCAAAGTAGAGTGCGGCTGACATTTCAAGTTTCAAGACGTTACCTAGTAGTTATGTACATAACATCTATGTACTGGGTACCTAGTTAGTGCACGCATTCAAGTCTTTCAGCTGATACATTAAGTAAGCGTCTACAATTCGTACTAGACTACTAGTAGTATATTACCTAATATCTACAATTCCACATGAGTCACATGCACTCTATGACGAGGCGACGAACAAAAGAGAGATCAATAACTAATCGATTTCAGCCTCGCCTAAGAAGTTGCCAGCTATAGGTCACTGTGTACTTCCAATCAAACAATTCAAGCCTGCCAACTGTCCTTTTTCCAACTCAACAAAAACCCATTCTGGCCTGACACTAACACCTAGAAACTCATGGCTACATTCGGTGCGCCATCACCCTGCGCAATATGAACACAGAGCTCAGCAAGCTCATCTCAGCTTAGCATTATCCCAGCCAACAAGCCACTTCAATACAATATATATCCATAACGCCTGGCACGATCGATCGATACCCAACCTCACCAACCATGCCACGCCTCCACGCCCCCTCGACCCTCCTCTCCCTCCTCCCCCTCCTCCTCCTCCTCACCACCCCCGCCCTCAGTGCCTCCAAGCCCTCAAACGCCATCCTCCTCTCGGACGTACAATCCCTAACCCTCCGCGGCAGCGGCGCGCAAACCGCTCACCGCCGCCTGCCCTCCGTCCCCCAACTGCGCTGCGTATCCTCTCCCGCCATCTGCAAGCTGCACGAGATCGACGTGATGCGCTGCACGAACCAGGGCTCCGCCTACGACGCCGAGGACGTGCAGTGGTCGTGCGCCGCCTCCTTGCCGCCCGAGCTCAAGCTCGGCAGCACCGACGTCGCCTGCGAGGGGTACTCCCGCCCCGACGACGCATACGTGCTGAAGGGCAGCTGCGGCGTCGAGTACCGCCTCGTGCTCACCGAGCACGGCGAGCAGAAGTTCCCCGAACTAGCCAATGGCGGCGGCGGCGGCGGTGGTGGGTGGTGGGGGTCGGGCAGCAGTAGTAGTGGCGACGCTGGCAAGGACGAAGAAAAATCAGGCCCCGCTGCCATACTCTTCGGCATCATATTCGCCCTTGTTTGCTGCTGGATCGTGTACAGCGCGTGTATTGCCGCCAATGATAATAGACGCCCTGGTGCAGCGCGTAGACCGGGTAATAATAACTGGTTTGGAGGCGGAGGCGGCGGCGGCGGCGGTGGATTCAATCCTGGGTTCGGGCCAGGGGGAGGAGGTGGTGGTTGGGATGATCCTCCGCCGCCGTATTCGAAATCTACAACAGCGCAAAGTCAAGGTTGGCGGCCTGGGTTTTGGTCCGGCATGGCGGGGGGCGCAGCCGCTGGGTACGCGGCAGCGGCAAGCCGAGGCAACAACCGACAAGAAACACATAGTTCCGGCTCCGGCTGGGGAGCAGGTCCCTCCAGCTCACCGTCTTTTAGCAGATCAAATTCCCAGTCGACATCCTCTGCGAGATACGAGAGCACCGGGTTTGGTTCAACAAGCCGTAGATAGCTTGAGAAGGATTCAAATACGTAGTTACTATTAGGGTATGAATGGATTTTTACAAAGCATTCGATGAATTCATGTCTTCTACTTCTTATCCTGTGACACACACAGCTCATTTGCAAATGCGAGTGATGCATGTACATCTTATGAGAGTTGTTCGACCTCTCGTACACGCATACCACCGTAGTCTCCTTCCAAACTCATAAGCAGGTCGCAATTAGTTCAAACCAAATCCCCTGACTGGACATTCGGATATCTGAAATCAAGGCCGCATCAATTGGCTCTCGTGTAGAACTCCTCCGTGTGAACCACTATATTATGTACATCAAGTTACACAAGACAACGCCCCCTTTCTCTTCAAAGTATTTTACAGTTTCATGGTCAGTTATTCTGCAGATGCTTGCTCGGCTCCCTATAGATGGACCGTCATCGCATCTGATTTGTCGAATGATTTGCTGCAGGCTGGGCACTTTCTCATTCGGTTAGAAAGTCTGTCTTCGACACATCCTCGGCAGAATATATGTCCACATGTACGTAGAACCGTGTTTTTGAAGTCCTTCTTACAGATAGAACAAGTTGCCATACTCTGATATAATAGTTAGAAAATAGAACCAAAGTACTATGGGGATCTTTTTTTGGACATTAGACTTACTCGCAGCATTTCCTCTTCCTCGGAGGAGTTGCTCAGGCTCTTGACCTTCCACTTATCGCGATCCTTTGCGGTAGAGTCGAGACGCACCTTCAGCTTCTCTACTTCAGCTTCAAGTGTAGCGGCGCGTTCTTTGGCAACAGCAGTGCTGGAATCTTTTGACTTGGCTAGATTCGCTAGCTCTACAACTTGCTGCTTTAGGGCATCAAGTCGTCGTATCACCTCGTTGTTGGAAACCTCAAGCCTCTTGTTGTCGGCCACAATTGAAGCGTTCGTCTGCTTCAAATCGGCTAATTGCTTATCTAGATTGGTCACAAGCGTTCGATTATGTGCTTCGACCTCCTTCAGTTGAGAGATGATTTCTGAACTTTTACTGTTCTGAGTACGCAACTTTTGAATTGCTTCACCCTTCAAGTCGCCATCTTTGCGCGCCGTGAAATACTTCTGGTCTGCCTTGCTCTTCTCCGCAATGGCAAGAGCGATACGGTCTTCCATAGTAGCGAGATCCATGACCTTCTTGTGCGCCAGAGCCTGGAATTTCTTCACTGCACTCGTCATGCCGGGCAATTCACTCTCGATCGAGTCATAGTTCTTGGCCAACTTTTTGTATTTGTCTCGGAGTTCTTCGAAAGAGAGAGCCTCGATTTCTGGTCGTTCCGTCATATCGACATCTTCGGTGGGTCGCAGTCGTTGCACTTCGGATTCCAATGCCGTGATTCGATCTTCCTTGGCACTCACAAGTTCCTTCATGTGATCATAGGATGTCTTCTCTTGTTCCTTACTCGCCCTAAGCATTGTCACGTCTGCGTGAAGCTCGTCTCTCGCGGATCGTACTCGCGCAAGTGTGGTATCTGCTTGTTGAAGTTGGTCCTCAAGTTCCGCAATGAGAGCCTGTGCCTCGTTTTCGACCTTCCGACGACTAGACTCTCGCTCAGCTTCCAATTTCTCAGCTGAGGCTCTCAGGCTCTTGTTGTCTGCTTCTAGGCTGTTAACCTTGCGGATGAGTTCCTCCATCTGGGATCTAAACATCTTGAAGACTTCTGTGCGGGAGTAATCCTCGTCAGTTAAGTTCGTCAGCCTAGTTTGCACAGCAGTAAGCTCCTCCTGAAGACTTTTGTTTTGCGCAAATGCGGACTCAAGCTGCTCCTTCTGTCGTTCCACGACTGCACTAGCCTCACGAAGAGCTGTTTGTAACCCCTCGTTATTCGTGTTGCTCTCATGTGGCGCCATGCCATTTTCCTGGTCACCACTCATAGCAGGTCGGACGGTGACGTGGTTCAATGCTTGTTGTTCTAGTTTTTGGACTTGGGCACTTTTAGCCCGGTCAAGCCGTCTCTCGGCCTTCATGTATCGAAGAGTTGCAGTGTTCAGCTGATCAGAGAGACTGTCCTTATCAGAGGCAAGACGATCGAGCTTAACTAAGAACTCTTTCTGTTGGGCTAGAAGAGAGTTGACCTGCTTTTCCAGGTTCGCGATATCGGGGGCGACCTGGTCACGAGATGAGCCAACACGACCAAGTATTGTCTCAACCATTTTCTTGATAATCGAGGCCTTCTCGCTCAAATGGGACTCGAGTTCCTCCAGGTCTTTAAATTGGGTTTGTGTGGGAAAGGGGTTGCCTAAGCATGGTTTCAGTATAATACGAGACATATAAAATATCGGGGGCTCCTACTATTGGTTCCTTGCTGGAAGGGTATGGTCCCTTCGATCACCAACTCGATCTCTTGTAGCAACTATCGTCAAAATCAGCCTTATCCTGTAGTTCCTAGGCTTAGGGAACCAGACGCACCTGTAACCACCAGTTGTCGATAACTCGGATGTGGTCATCATGATATGCAGATCGTTTCTGCACTTCATCAAGGTGAGACTCTAGTGTGTTCTTCTCGCGTTTGTACTCAAGCATTTGCCGGTAAATGGCATCCTTCTGGTAGTCCTATCCATTCCAAATCTGTCAGCGACTCTATCTCCTTTGTATATATCAAGCGGGCTAGCGGGAATGTACGTCATAACGAGGCAACTCGGATCAGGCTGCACGGTAAAGGGCGGAAGGATATCAGAATATGAGAAGGTGGTAGGGTGAAACGCCGATGACAGCAGAGCCGCGCATCAGTACTGAAAAGGTGAGTATTATGTCCCGACGATGACGTGAAACAAAGGCTACAAATGATCTCGTGGCTGGGGTGGAGTCGTATGATGCTGACGACAATGCGTTTGGCAGCCGTGATTGTGAAGATAGAATTGTTTCAAGGAAAATAAAGTCGCGACCGTGACACTTACCTCTATCCAAGCCTCGTCCTTCGCGTCGCCGTCATCTTTGGATTTGCTACCGCCATTGACAGCCTGTCGCTTACTGGGAGGTGCGATGTCATCAGTGTTGCTGAGGGCAGGACGCTTACGGTCCTCCATCTTGACGCGAGTCGATAGAGGCGCAGTAGTAGGCGAGGTCGACAGAGGCATCAGAATATAAAATTATAAGCGTGGATAGTGTTGTTGGCCAAGTTGCGGGAAGATGAGCGAGAGGTAGAGAACGGTCAAGCGAATGGGGTCGGCAAAAAGGAGAGAAGTTGGTGTAAAAAAGGGAAAAAAAAGGTCGAAGGTAATGCAAAGCCAGATCAGTCACTACAGAGTTAGATTCGATCGGAACTTCAAGGAAAATAATAATAATAATAGTACAAGTGCCGCCGCAAGTAAAAGGTCGAGATTGTATAGAGATAGGGAGGGAGTACGCCTTGGCGCCGATGGAAGGCAAATTGTCGTCAAAGGAACGTAGGAAGAAGGGATTGGGAAGGAGGAGAAGAAGGATAGGACTGGGTGATGGTAGGTTTGTTGAACGAAAAATCGAAGTTGAAATCCAGAAAAAAAAGCCACTAATCTAGATTAGGACGAAGACATATGTAACGGCCAGAGTAAGTGAGAGCCCTGGAGGGATTGAGAGACTGGAGCACTCCAGCAGGGCTCTCTGAGTCTCTGGGAGAGAGAGAGAGAGCCCCATAGATTAGGTACAGTCATAGCATCCATGATCCATCCATGGGTGCCCCCAGGTGACTTTCTAGGTGACCTTTCAGGCACATATGTAGTGACTGTAGTAGTAGAGAAGTTATGGCAAGTATTTTGCTTGTATCATGTGCTATTAGCTATATATATCAAGTACTTATAGACTACTTAACGCACATGTGTATAATACATCATGGATGGATTCAACGGTAAGGAAACGTTTAACTTTCAAAATTCAATGTTGAAGTACATACATACTAACCTTAGGTTACTAGGTAACTACATACGCTAGTACTAACATTAAAAAAGACATGCCTCAAACTTTAGTAGAATAAGTAATTTCATCCCACTACCCCCACCTACCATACCACCTACTAAATAGTTCATGTATTGTACAGTATGTAGGTTAGTAGTTACCACCTTCCATCAAACAAATCATTTCAAGTATTTCGTTCTTTTTCATCCTTCATCCTTCAACCTTCGAACTTCAAAATTTTGATGCTCCTTCTACGGCAACCACTTAACCAACATTAAACCCTCTTCCCACTTGAGGTTTCCTAATATCCAGTGTCGAATACCCAATTCCATAATCGAACAGGAAACCACTTTCGTCCAGCCCACCATCATCAAGGCAATGTAAGGAATGCGCAATCGGGCATAGTAGCCATGAGTTCTATGTTCAAGAAGACTGGAGGCTTGTCCTTCAAGCCGAAAGCTGCTCCTCGCCGACCTGGAGCTGCTGCATCTGCAAATAAAAATACAGCCCAGACTCCACCAGCCGATTCATCGCAAGCATCAACTCCCGCACCTTCTTCCGTTCCTCCTCCTCCTGCTCTTAGTCCCGATCCTTCCGTTGCCCCATCGGTTGAGTCATCTAGTCGCGAACCAGGAGGAACTACTCAGGACGCTTCGAAGGAAACACCCAGAGAGGCTCTACCAGTAGAGACAGAAAAGTCGCTCGTCAGAGATCAACAAACTCCTGCAGTACAAACCTCGCTCCAGCCAACCGCGATCCCGCCAGCTTTGAAAACCTCGGAAGTATCTTCGGCACCCATTGCTAAGCCATCTGATCAGGTACCTTCTGCACCAACTACACCATCTAGCGAGGAAGCCACACGAACAACCCCAGATCCCAGTGCAGAGAAGCCCTCCCGGCAGCCGCGCCCAGTCTCGATCCCGCCATCGACCGAGCGAATCACACGACCAACACCAGGACCAGTTGTTTCTGCACCAGCAAATCCACCAACTACTCGTCGAGAGGCATTTAGTCCTACCAGCTCTGTAGTTGAATCCGGCACAACTACTCCTGTTCCTATAGAGGCAACGAGGCTGCTAACACCAGCTCCTTCTATTCCGATACAAGACGCAGATGCACCACCAACAGCTCCTCCCTCTCCAGCCCATGTTTCCGACACTATTGCCGTATCTGCCCCGGTTGATGAACCTCCCGTCGCTGTCCCGAAGAAGAAAGCCCCTCGCAAGCGCAAAACCCCTACGACTAATGGTGATGCTGGCTCAGAAGGACCCGCGCCGAAAAAGAGGCGTCCGCGTAAGAAGGCTCCCATGGAGAGCAATGGGGCATCGCCCGCAGGTGGAGGTGAGCAAAATGTTCCTCAAGCTAAACCAGCCCAAAGGCGTCGCAGACGCTCTCCCACTCCAGAGGACCCGGAGAATCAGACAGTCGATCATGGTACTACGAAGATGGCCGACCTAACGAGGGATTTGGGAATTGGGAAGAAGTTTAAACATGCAGATGCTGTGGAGGAGCGTGCGCGAGAAGCGAGAGAGAGATTCCGTCAGAAGAGGTTAGCAAAACAAAAGCGTGCCCTAGGACTAGACGATGTATCAGCTTCACGTCAGGGCACTCCAGCCGAGGGAGAGGAGAACGGAAGAGACTCTGCTGTAGCCCGAGCTAGAGAGCTGGGAGCCTCGCTCGGGTCAGGGGCGTCACAAACCGTTGGCTACGAAGTCGTGGATGGGCAGATTGTGATCAACCAGCAGTCGCTTGTGGTAGACCGGCATGCAGCCCATCGTGATATGTCAGCTCTCGAGACCGTTGAAGAAGACGAGTTCTCACACTTGACTACCTCAGCATCTTACATGCGGGAAAGCCGCAAAACGGGCCCGAACCACTGGACTGATGAGGAAACCGTAAGCAGCCCATTTCTCCTTATATATCCACGAAAAGTTATATTAACCTTGAGGACAGGAAAAATTCTACCGCTTACTTAGTATGTTCGGCACGGACTTCGAGACCATCTCAGCCATGTTCCCCGAGAAGACGCGACGCGCCGTGAAGCTCAAATTCAACCGGGAAGAAACCCTGCGCCCCCGGCGCATCAACGCCACCGTCATGGTGCGCGGCGAGAAGAAGATCGAGATCGACCTCGAGGAGTACAAGGCCCACCAGAACGAATGGGAGGAGAGTGAGAAGATTCTCGCCGAGCATGACCAGCTAGTCCGCGAACACAACGAGGATATCCGCCGCCTGAGAGACGAGAGACGCGCTGCTGGTCTCCTTGACGATGATGACGAGGAAGATACCCCGCAGAAGGAGGGCCAGGATAAAGATGCTGAGACTGCTCCCGCGCACGCAGGCGCAAACACAGACGCGGAGGCGGAGGAAGGGATGGATGCAGATGTGGACGTTCCAGCCGTAGATGTTTCTGCCTAGGTAGGCAGAGTACCTACCTACCTTAGCAAGACATTCTACCTTGACAAACGACCGTACAGGCTTATGTTTTTCGCTTTGTTTTTTTGATACCCCTATTTCCTTAAGCTTCTTATATGGTCATGCAGTCAGTCAGCCCGTCATCGGTTACGCCAGGGTAAATGGACGATTGCAGATGGGGGAAAGGAAGGAAGGAATAAAAAGAGGGCAATATGGCGTTTGCAGATCACTGATATGGTGTGCAATTTTCAAAGGGGAAAAATAGAGGAAGAGAGGAGTACTACCAGCACTTACCTAACCTACTAGGTAGGTAGATAGGGTACTTATGCACTATGCATCATGAATGGAAAATGAGAAACTCACGATTCGAATATAACAATAAGCATAAGCATAAAACCATTATATACATTACAGCGTAGATAACATGGCATGGCTATAGTCATTATTAGAGAGGAAAGTTCATGATAAAAGCTTCTTCCGCAAACCGCGGTGAAATCATTGTGTGCAATTATGAACTAAGCTATGGACTTGGTTCATCTGACCTCGTTCTCCTACCTTCCTCACGCCTAGGACTATGCGTATTCCAGATGGCGTAAAAGACAACCCTTGTATGTGATGCAGAGAGGAAGGGAAACCACCCAACCCAGCTCAAAGCCTTCCGATTCTCATCCCTAATGAGTTCGAATCATTATCGGGTGTTACAAATAGCCATTATCAGAGGGGTTTTGTTAATGCAAAGTGTGATAAAGCGACACATCGAGATATCATAGAGAGATCAGCTTATCTGGGCTGTGAGTGTATAGACTTGTGAAGATAATCAAGCATTCGGGTCATGTGGATCAGTTCTGAGGGGGCTCATCATCATCTGGTTGATCGAACAAAAAGTTGGCGGCCAATTCCTCATTCTTGTCGCATGCGAAATATGCTTGAATGGCTGCATCTCGGTCGAAGCCCAGCCGGCACAACTAGCCATAAATTAGTTCCGTGTACGTCATAGTTAAGGGAAGCTTTCACCTACTCGTTCAATAGCATCTCGTTCTTCCTCGGTTACGGCGATAGTCTGAGCACCAGGGGGAAGAGGTGCATCGTCATCCCCGGCTTCGCCCAACAAGTTCAAGAACTGTTCAGGGTTCTGAGATATCAGCTGCGCAAGCTGGGGGTTGCCAGCACCGAGTTGTTGTAGGATGGGCTCGAGCATCTGTGGCTGTTGTTGAACAACCTGTCTAAGCTGCTGGAACTGGGCATTGTTGCGCAGCCAATCCAAGTTCCCCAGGTTTTGGCCACCAGCAGCGGCGGCGGCTGCGACAGCAGCTGCTTGGGCACTACTGCCAGTTGGCGCGGTAGGTCCGCCGGCTCCGCGACTGCCACCTCGTCCCTGTTGTGCAGCTAGATCAAAAAGGTTAACGTTACCTCCCTCGGCCTCAGGTTCGGCTGTTCGGGCGGCTGCACCACCGGTAGCGGCAGCGCCTGTGGCAGATTGGGCAGGCGCCTCTCTCTGCGGCTCCGCCTGACGAGCGTTTTCAGGAATACCCTATGCGAAAATTAATAACTCGTTAAACGGAAGGCTACCGGTATAGCTTTGTTAAACTCACGTTCAAAAGATACTCAACGGCACGGTCTGGGTTGTAAAAGGCGGCGCGCATGGCAGCCTCGATCTGAGATCTCTCGAATCCCATGGCCTCCATATTCGCAATGATTCCAGCTCGGGCCTCGCCCATGGCCATAGAAGTATCACTACCGATGGCAGCACCAGCAGGCGCAGGAGATGGCGTGGCGGGAATAGCGGCCGGAGCGGCAGATGATTGAGATGGAGCGGCCGGGGCAGCGGGAGTTGCAGCGACGGGTCGTGCGGGAGTCGCAGGGGGCGCGCTCGATGATGAGGCAGCGGCAGAAGAGCTGCTAGCCTTGGGCTGTCTGGTGTTAGTCTGCATGAAAATCCTTGGACCAACTTCATTATACACATACCTTGCTCACCATGCAGACAACATAGCCCTTCTCTTCGATCTTGTGGGCTGCAACTGTATCCTCATCCTTGAGGATTTTACCTATACATGGGTAAGTATGTACGTGGGAGGCTTAAGCCGTAGTAGATTTGCGGACATGTAGAAGGCAGAATATAAAATAAGAGGAATAGCGCATACCGGAATAGATAAGCTTTAGAGCCTTGGCATCCCAGCCCTTCTCTTGAGCAACTCGTTGCTTCAAAGTAGAAACCTTTAGAGCAGTCAGAATTAATGAAATTAATATTTTGGTCGATCATGGAGCTCAGGTGGGGGGTAGGTTAACAAGTTGGCAATGTTAGGATGACGGCATACAAGGTCAGAAGGCTCGACATCGAGCGTAAACTTCTGGTTGGAAAGTTCCTATAGACGAGGGTGAAATATTAGCGTCTAAGAGCAACGAAGATGGGGGGGACAGGATTAGGATGTGATACATACCTTGAAGGTAACCTTCATCTTGACGGTAGGCAGCTTTAGGATAGCTGCTAAGTAAATTAACGATTATCGTGTGTGGTAGATAAATGAGGTTGAATGTGCGATTTCGCAGACCGAGAAAGTAATTTGACAAATCCGTTGTTGAGTAAAACGAACGGGTCAAAAAAAAAGGTTATGGTGAGAGTGTTACGAAGAAAAGAAAAAAAAGAGTATGGTTGGTGGTGGAAATCGACGGGAGTGGAAAGACTGTAGTTGATTAAGAGTCTTGAAATTCAGGTAGCAGTTTATGATGTGTCGCGGCCGGCGGGCAGTGGCGGGGTGGCCTAGCGTTACTTGGGCTGCTTACAAGTTACCACACTTTAAAATCCAGGCAATCCAATCAGGAATACCGGTATAGAGTAGTACTGCCTAACGGTTAGTGGCTACTATGTACCATCAATGATGTATATCCAGGTACTCAAGGTATCCAATGTAATACACACATCTAGATAGGAAGTGATACTTACATAGTACTTAGTAAGTTAGTATGGAGGAGCTTATAGTACTGAAGCAGCCAAGTATGCCAAACACTATGTACAATACAATACAATACCTACATATGTATGCTAGTAGTATATACTAGCTAGTACATACTATGTACCTAGAGGCTAATACTACATACATATAGTACTAGGTACTATGTAAGTATATGTAAGTATATGTATGTAGTATGTACGAATAGTTACTACATTATGTAGTAGGTACTGATCAAATGCGGGGTCTACTGCCCAGTGGTAACTGTGCTACATGGTGGTGGGGTTAACTTAAAATTGGATGGAACCTCAAACTCTTTGCTGGCAACGACGTGAACAATACTACACCTGCATCTGCATATACATACATACATACATTGATGTATCAGTTGATCTTCTTTTTCCTCTCGCTTCTTCTTAAGTCAAGATACTTGATGATACAATGAAGTCCCTACGTACTCCTTACCTACTTATACATAGCATGTGAGCATTATCCCCTTGCTTCAGCCTCACCTAAAACTTGTATCGCTAACATTGGATGATTTTTTTAGATTTATTTTACTATTTATTTGAATATTTTACTCGGTTCGTCCCATTTCATGTCATATCTTTCTTCTCCCCTATCGTGTCCATTGGGAGAAGATGACAAGAAAATGAACGGGAATGACGAGAGAACGATAGAGAATGATAGAGCCTCTATACGAGGTTCAGACTGTGATTCAACGCCGCGCTAAATAACAATGGTATCTTTCTAGTACCCCCAAATCCGATTTCACGTCCAGAGGTCCCCCAGAAACAGCGGCCTGATCCATCAAGAGTCATATTTTATCATTATTCGTAGTGTAGTGTAGTGTAGTGCCTCGTCAGTTGATGTTACCGAGGTCTTTCGCCGCCTCCCCATCTCGCACTCCTTGGGTCGGAGTTTCGGCCAAACTTGTCTTGGATCCAGAATTCAGAATCCAGTCAGGAATAGGAGGTGTCATCTTCCTCTCTGCGGCTAGATCTTCCGCACGAAGGCGGTCTGTATTAGGACTCGGTGTCTTCCGGAAACTGTCGTAACTTGCTTGCCGACTCAGAGGACCTGGTCCGGTAGGCAAACTACCGCTCCGCATCCGGGTGAGAGATCTCTCTGAAATTATTGTCCCTGCATTAGGCGCTGCGATGACCACGGTCCCAGGAGTGGCTGCTGGCGGTGGCACAGGAGAATCAGATCGGAAAAGTGGATGAATGTGCAACTCGCTTGGTGTCAATTGTGGTGTTACGCTGCGTTCGTGGTGAGCCTTGGGTAGTGGACTGTAGCTTCGACTCCTCCTGTTAAGTCTTGGGGGATCAAGGTCCAAGGGACATCCAGGACTCGGACTTCTACTCGTTGTCGGGCTAGCAGGTATAGTCTCCAAAAAGCGAGCCCGGCTGGGCGGACTGCTGTCTGCAACAATCTGTCGGTTTTGAGGGTCAACCGATGAGGTATCCCAGGAGTCGAACCCTTCCTCCGTTACACTCGACCGCTCCCTATAACCATTCGAATCGATTGACCCAGACCTTAATCCAGATCCAGACTTTGGAGTACTAGGCAATAACCTGGTTCTGGACCCCGCTGGGCGAACCACATGAGATATAGACGTCCGAATAGAGCTCATGGTCTCCGCCATTGAATGACCACTATTCGACCCTGGCCTACTCGAATAATCCAGCAATGAAGGTTGGTTGCTCTTGGGTTCGGCCGGGGGTGCCGTTCGAGTATAAGGGATGGATTTGACTTTTCCAAATACTGGCGGAAATCGGGGGCTATCCTCATTGGTGTGAAGAGACAAGGCTTGCTCCGAGTCGGGCAATCGATGAGTGACAAAGAAGACAACGATGAAAATTAACTGTCCCAAAAAGGCGCAAACGAGAGCAATAGCGGATCCAACAAGAAAGGTTGACGATGGGATTTGAAGAATTTTGTTTAGTAGCTCCTCCTTTTTCCTCATCAAAACCAACATGACAACTGACGCAGTAGACGCCAGCAAACTCGCAATGAGTCCCAGCGCAAACCAGACACCATTCGCTTTCCTTTGGCCGTATTCAGTGGTTCGTTTAAAACATCTAGAAAGAAAGGTTGTCAACAGGATAAGCATTAGACTTTGCCATGCTGAAGCGACGACTGCAGCAGTCTTGACAGATGAGTCTATGGCCCAGGATCCATAAGCTATGATAGCCTCTAGGGCTAGCGTTGCCGCCGTTGCCAATAAGGCGATAGTGCCCAGTGCTATGGCAAAGTGGCGAGACCTTGCCATTGCTATACTGCTATGATGGTGTGTTGGAGAATTTTAGTGTAGACTGGAACAGATAAGTTTCAGCCCGTTACAATAATGTAAGTCGGCGTCGGCCGGACGTTGTCAAAGAGAGATGCGCAGAAATGCGCTAACGGTCGGTGTGTCGTAAGGGCAGCAAGGCCCACCACCGTCCAAACACCGAACAGTGATCAAATTGGACACGGAACCTTGGTCCCTAGTTCTACTAATCGAGCTAGGAGAAGGGTAGGCGAGGGACAGATGTAAAATCCAAGGCCAAAGTTTTGATATTGCCTCTTACCAGCGAGGCTGCAACCCAAGGCTAAGAGGCAACCTGAGTAGTCAGCTCTCCAAGATAGGGGCTGATAGTAGGGCAAAAGGATCGGGCCGCGGCAGAGAGGATAATGGTAAGTTCTTAGAACAAAAGGATGGGCGGTCTGGACAGTCGGTAACCGCCGGGCAGGCAATGTTGGTATATATTAGATGCAGTTGACCAACCAAGATATACATGAGGCGATGTATCCCGGGAGAATGCAGAATCTCTTGATAAAAGGTAAGAGATGCAGAGGTAGATGTCTAATGCCGGACTAGTTAAAGCAAAGCAGCAAGACTCCCAAAGCAAGACTCGGGAACAGGAACTGTAGCAAACGAATGACGTGGTGTGTTGTATAAGCGAGAGAATATACGCGAACGAACGAACGAACGAACGAGCGAACGGATACGACAGATAAGGTGTAGGGCCACTAATATCGGCCAACTATCTGACGACAGAAAGAGAGAGAACAGAAAAAAAAGCAAGTTGCCTTAATTAAGCACTTAGGTAGTAGTAGTGTTTCCGTTGAGCGAGAGTGAGGTGAAAGATAGGATAGGATAAGAGGAGAGAAGAAATAGAGGGTCGAGAAGATGGGCCGGAGTAGGTTTTGTCTGCTACCCCCAGATGTCGACGAGCGAGCCAGTCAGGATTAAAAGTAAAAAGAATAAAATAGGTAGAAGAGAAAGGTTTGAACGCGTCCTGGGTCTTTAGGGTTATTGTCGCGCGTGTGCGATTGGTGTGTAGGTGGTGTGGTATTGGATAGGATGGGATGGATGGATGGATGCATATATCACAACATACCAATCGACACGACCCTTGTCTCCCGTCCTTCTAGGGGGTAGGAGTACCTACTACCTAGTAGGTACTAGGTAGGTATGTAACTAGGGGCGCTTTATGCAGGTACATACAGCAGCGCATCCAACGTATCATCGACGAAGGATACACGCTACACACGCTTCTTGCCCCTCCTTTTTAGAATGGCTGATGCTCTTCAGTAATAGGACTTTTGTAGTTGGACAAAGAAAGCGGGTGAGAATGACAGGATTTTGGTTGGTAGTGGCTTTCTGGATGGGCTCTGTGGATGGGCTGAAGCAGAGAAGATATGATTTGCAGCTTTCAGGTAAAAAACGAAGAAGACCCTGGCGTGGATCGATCTCAAATCGTTCGTCTTCTTTCCTGCTCGGTAACTACCGTCCAATCGCAATCCTTTTTTTCTGTTCTGTCTGTTCTTTTTTCTTTTTCTGTTCCTTTCTGTCGTTTGAGCTTTAAGCCTCAAAACCAAGCCCTACAAACTTCCCCCCTTTTCAATTTTAGTCAGTCGTTTCTCTTTTGAAAATATATCCCTTTCTCCTCAAGTTGATTGAACCTAGATATCGGCGCAAAGGATTCGATTGAAAAGGGCTTCAACTCTGTCCTATCGGATCTCTAGACGTTGGTTGCTGAATGGGTAATGGACAGAACTGCGAATTAGCCAAGCAACCAACATGCACTGTTTTGCCGTGGCTGATGTGAATTTTAATCAAAAAGATGCTGCGCCGATTTTTTACTCAGCCTACTCAGCCAATGCCGGAGCGAAGGATTGTAAGAATTCTAACGAAGGAAGGCGAAAAGTGAGCTTGTTCGACGGTTGTACCCGAGACTAACAGTAAAGAGTGTAAGAATTAAGGAGGCAAGAGGGGTGGAAAGGGTAGCAAAGATCGTGAGTAAAGGAATGCAAAAATTTTTATTTTTATTCATCTTTTTTGTTGATATATTACTCGTATTACACATTGCATCCAGCATCCAAGCTCCGACAAGGCCATTATTCTTCTCTTCAAACTTCGCTAGGAGAATCCCCGGTACATCATAGCACTGGGCTGACTAGGTTGGTAATGATATGGATACCTATGATGGATATGGGTCCGTGAGGAAAACCCCACTCGCTGTCGTGGCCTTTACGATCTCCTCCAGGGCTACGATACCCCTACTACAGATCCATAGGTGCTAGGCAAGTAAAAAGCCTCTTCAAGGGGAAAAAAAGAAAAAGAGGAGCAAAACACCTCACTGTTCCCTGACCTTTGGCACATCTACTGTCATCTAGTGTTGAATATTTTGTTATTTTGTTATTTTTTCATTGTGCTCGAAGGATTAGCTTCTGTTGGAATGGGTTGAGCAATCATCTTATGCTGGGGTCATTGATGTTTGCTGTGACTTCGTTGGCTTACTAGCCTTAGTTATGTGAAAGAGTTTTTTTCTTTCTTTTTTTAACTTGGGTCTGATCTTACAACAGATCATTCCAATGGATTGGTAATGGGCTATGGACTGAGCTCAACAGGGCTAGGGTTTGTTCCTGCTAGGCTATATAATAACCCTCGAGTTATAAGACGATACCTCGGTTCTTACACAATATGTCAATATCACATACCATACAACTTATATTATGGTATGTAATAACACGGAATATTGCCCACCAACACGCTGTATGTAGCTTTTACATAGTGTAGATGTAAGTGTAGATGTAAGCATACCTTTGCATATGTGTGGCTGTATTACCTCTACCCTACATAGTCGTGCAACATCGAATGTCTAATTTTTAAATATTACGACGATGAAAAGGCGTTAAGTAATTTACAACTCGTCATCGCTTCATCAATTGGTAACACTATATGTAAATATACCTACATATGTGTGTATATATGTATTTATATATGTATGTATATATGTATGTATATATGTATGTATATGTATGTATATGTATGTGATGCACATGCAAGAGACTGGAGGGCAAGGGGGACAGGGACAATCCAGGAACAATCCAGGGGCCTGGGTCCTTGGGATCCCTGTTCCTTGCTCAGCCTGGTAAGGACCGTAAGGGTAAGGTAAAGAGACAGAGAGAGAAAAGGAAAGAAAGCCCTGGAGAAAAAAAAACAGTGAAGCAACTAACTAAAGATAATCTCCGATGAGAATTATTACACCAATGAGCTTCCAGTTAGTTAGTTAGTTAGTTAGTTAGTCTGCTATCCTGCCTATCCACGCCCCCGGCTCATAGGTTCCGCCTAACTCGACCCTGTTGACCCTGTTGACCCTGTTGACCCTTTTTAATCCACCCGGGATTTTTACCGTCGAATTCTCAACTTAATTAAGGCATGCCTAAGTCGTATCGACACTCGACGAACTGCCTCAAGACGACGTTGTTGTTTATGTCGATCTTTTTAACTCCCAAGCATATCACAAGGGGCTCTATATCATGAGCCTCATTGCAATTCAGCATACATACCCAATCCACTGGCGAGAGGATCTTATCGAACGCCGATGCTCGAGCGATCATCCGCTAATCGCACAATCTATACCCATGGACATCCAAGACTACGCAAAGTCTGGTTCCAAAAAACTAAAACTAGCCGTCTCCCGAGTCCCTACTAGACTGAGAGTTCCATGCCCAACTTAAACGGCCAGAGAGTCTGTAACTCCATAGTTCTTGAAGATATTTAGGTACTATTCCACCAAGATAAATCGTCAGTGGATTTCACGCGCTTGACTCGCCGAGACAGAAGGGAAAAAGAGCCGCATCGATCTACATGCCAGCGGAACCGTATCCTCCGTCAAGCTCCGCATATCACTTACTTATGTAGACAAGGTGCCACGAGGTCGATGGAGATATATCCAATATTATCCATATGTCTCTCTTGTTGCTAAACAAGCTATTAAGGGAGACATCCCCCGCGAGACAAGTTTTGACTATCCCAGATGGCCAAATTTGGTGCCAACTTTCCAAATTCCAAGACATCTACAGCGGATTTGTTCCAGCTAGCTCAGACGTCTCACACTCACCGCTGGTAAATATAGTTACCTACTACTCATATTTCACGTGCCTTCTTCAATACGAGACTCTCCCCCGTGACTATAAGCTGCTGCATTAATGTAGGTACGAAGCTCGAAACTTCGACAACCAAGATCAGAATCAGATCCACTTGCAATTTCGTTTTCCTAACTTCTCCGCAATGGCTAGAAATTCTACCTAGCAGTCCTAGACTCCTAGCAGTAGTAGTCTAGGTTCTAGCCCGCGGCATTTCACCGCTGTCTTTTACGTACACGATTAGCTCAGCGCCTACCTTGTTAGGTAGTTTGATTGACTTTGCTGAAGCTCGAGCGTTGGAAATGGCGTAACTAAACTATTCTCTGTTCAGTTGATACAGTACCTAGTAGTAGGATTAAAAGGTGATGTGTATATATATGCACCTGTAACCGAATTACCCAAGGCCCCCTTTGTTTACTTTGATACCTATTACGGATTTATGCTGACACAGATTGTAAACAATTCCTATCGGCGCCGAATGTATATAGTATTCATATATTTATATTTACACATAACTACTCCTACATTCCTGTGCGTAGGTACGATCCCAAACCCCCCCACCCCCTCCTCTTCTCCTCTTCCCCCCCAAAAGAAGCCCCGGGACCGTTACGCGGCCACGTTTTGCGCATGCTTACCTCGTGGGATGCCATTCCAATCTCCGAGAATCCCATCAGCTAGCGTGCCCACCAGGGAGGTGCGTGCCTGTATGTGTCATGTGTAGGTACTCAGGTATAGACATACTTGTGTACATATATACACCTATATATATATATGTAAGCCTAGTCAGATCGTTCAGGCTGCAAGGCTATCCTCCATAACTATGTAACTGGGTGACCTCGTCGGTGGGTAGAGGGTATTCCGTGTTGCTTCAGGGGCTGTTTCATGTTACGAGAGTGGTTATTGCTTGCGCAATGTTGGCCCAGCGTCGTAGCAAATACATAACGAGTTCCAACAACCGTAAGGTAGTAACATATATAGATCCTCGTGGTAGGTAGATGATGGAATGACCTATGTAACTTGACGGATTTTCAAGATTGTGTCGACCAGGTGCTAATGATAACTTTGAATGACGAATGACTAAAGAATGGATGGTGTTATAAAGAATTATAAGCGATGTCGGGAAAGAGGGAGAGTTCATGAACTGATGAAGTGGATACTGGTTCAGAAGATCTCGCATGGACTTTCCCTATTCTATAGCTTATCCTGATTCAAGCTTCACCTAAATATCCCTAAACATCTTAGGTAGTTGAGCATCTGGGGCTGATAATTACCTTAGGTCAAGTTACGTAAGTCATACCATACATAGTAGTACTAGTAACTACATAGGACAGTATTAGGAATTTTAGGACTAATAAGTATACTGCTATGTAGTATGTACTACAGAGTAATTCTCAAAACTTGCCCGAATATCGCTGACGTAGGTCGCCATTCTCCAATCAAGGGCCCGCACCATAACCCCGCAAAAGCTATCTACCCAGAAGTTAGTTGGTTGATAGACCGATAAGCTCGACATAACTAGTAGTACATACATACATAGTAGTCGTTGCTTCTCTTGTTTAATATTCTCTCTTCATTGTTTCCCCAGAATTCCCAGAATTCCCAGAACTTTGTCTCTCTTCCCTTATATTTCCTCCTTTCATTCAAATATTCTTACCTTCTTCCTCCCAAAGTTGAAAAAAAAAACAGTACACAAATTCAGGGATCAAGAGACAACAAAGATGGCTGCCCTTCGTCATGGGGCCATTCTGCGGCCACTCGCTGCTGCTTCGAGGTCGATATCTCGAATTCAAACTCGTGCCTTTACCAAGGTCTATGGTGCTGCTGAGCCTAATGCAGAGCCAGAACGCCCGATATTGAAGACAGAGATACCCGGCCCTTTAACCCAGACGTTCATCGATAAGTTGGACAAAGTTTTCGATACCCGAAGCTTGAACATGCTAGCAGACTACACTAAGAGTACTGGCAACTACATCGTTGACCCGGATGGCAATGCTTTATTGGATGTGTAAGTTCGCCGTTGAAGTTGTTGTTTAATCTACTGGTCTACTCACTCGAAGAAGCTGACCGTTTTCTTACCAAGCTATGCTCAAATCGCTTCCATACCTGTTGGGTATAACAATCCACATTTAGCGAGAATTGCCAAGGGCGCCGATATGTGCAATGCTTTGATCAATCGGCCCGCCTTGGGCAACTTCCCCTCCCACGACTGGGCTCATATCTTGGAGACCGGTATCCTTAAGGTAGCACCCAAGGGACTAGACCAGGTCTTCACCGGTATGGCCGGATCCGACGCAAACGAGACGGCATTTAAAGCTGCCTTCATGTGGCGCCGACAACGCGAGCGTGGTGGTCCCGATGTTGAGTTTACAGACGAGGAGATGGAGTCCTCTATGCTGAACCAGACACCCGGCGCCTCCGATCTATCCATCTTGTCTTTCAAGTCTGCTTTCCACGGCCGTCTATTCGGTACGCTGTCGACAACCCGATCCAAGCCCATACACAAGCTCGACATACCTGCCTTTGACTGGCCGCATGCCACCTTCCCTCAGCTCAAGTACCCGCTTGAAGAGCATGTGGAGGAGAATGCCCAGGCCGAGGCCGACTCCCTCGCAGAAGTTGAGCACCTCATCCAGAATTACCACATACCGCCAGCTGCCGTTATTGTTGAGCCTATCCAGTCCGAGGGCGGCGACAACCATGCCTCGCCTGCCTTCTTCCGGGGTCTGCGGGCATTAACCAAGAAACACGGCGTCCTGCTCATTGTAGACGAGGTCCAGACGGGTGTCGGCGCCACCGGCAAATTCTGGGCGCACGAGCACTGGGACCTGCCCGATCCCCCGGACATGGTCACCTTTAGCAAGAAGGCTCAGACCGCAGGTTACTATTTTGGCGACCATTCTCTACGCCCCAACAAGCCATACCGCCAGTTCAACACGTGGATGGGCGACCCAGCACGCGCTTTACTCTTCCGTGGTATAATTCAAGTGATTGAGGATCGCGATCTCGTGACCAGTACAGCGAGAACTGGTGATTACCTGTACTCCAAGCTCGAGGCCCTCGCACAGAAGTACCCCGGTCAGTTCAATAACCTGCGTGGCAAGGGCCAGGGCACCTTCATCGCCTTCGATAACCCCGATCGCGACGGCTTCCTTAAGAAGGCTAAGAAGTTCGGCATCAACATCGGTGGAAGCGGCGCCACCGCCGTTCGACTGCGCCCCATGCTTATATTTGAAGAGAAGCACGCCGACATCTTAGTTGAGGCTCTAGAGAAGATCGTTTCGAGCTAAAGATCATAGCTGGACATGGCACCGCGCAAATCGGGAAAGTAAATAGTAGGATTGTTGCTGGGCTGTTTAGTTATGGGATACGAATTTATGAAAAAAAAAAATACTATCTGAAGGGATAACCTGCCTACTTCGGTATCTAGGTAACTACCCAGTAGGCACCTGTATCTCAGTGTAAGTTTTGTTATTTGGAAGGTTGAACGAGGTAGAGAGATAGGGAGAGATATGGAGAGAATCCTGGGCCGTATGCTTTTATAGCTTTTTATCGGTTTAAATACCTAACCTACATATCTAGGTAGACTAGTGACGGGCCATCACCACCACCTACGGAAAGGAGGTTCCGATAAGAATCGCATTCAACGTTTTGATCTACAAAGTTAGGATACTACCTACCTATCCTATATATATATATACCTCCCGGGCTTGCCCAACATTGAGTTTATCCGGTACCTACCAAGGTACCTACCTAGTGCCTACTAGGTACAGCTGCTGTGAATGAATGTCCGACACTGAGCGTACTAACCTAGGTTAGTAGTATGTCTAACCTACCAGAATTTGATTTGTCAATTTCATAGGTAATCACATCGCATACATAATAGGCCCTCGTCACGTTGTGCACACTGCACCCCGTTTGTAGGCATGGACGTAACCTTAGGAAGGTATGTACATAGGTTAGACATGTACATGTAGGCACATACATACATACATACATACCTAAACACCGTCCGAAGTTCTGCGAGTGGGATCAACAAACCGGGTGGCATATTGGAATTTTTTTTTTCAAATAGGGGTATTTCTCTCTCTCTCTCTCACCCACGAAAAACCCCTTGGATGTTTTTTTTTCTATTCTTCTACAGCCTTTTCAGTTGCTTTGCTCCTGTACACTTTGAAAAATGATTCGGCATCACAGTTCTGTTCTTCTGCTTTTATATACTGGACAGACAGACAGACAGGCAAACAGACAGGCAGACAGACAGAATTAGGTTTTGCCTTTTCCTCCCTTTTCATCGCTTCATCCCCTTCATCCCTCTTCCTCGCCCTTATTATGTCACAGAAAAAAACCCAGCAAGAATTGTTTTCTTTGTGTGTGTACTTCGTACTCGTGTCCGTGCCTTTTACACCTTTTCCGTCCCTATTTGACTGACTGACTGATTGACTGACTGACAAACCATATGCCTCGTAGAGAGATCTTTGCAAAGGGTTTTCCATTCAAGCTTATTACTTACTACCCTGGTAGGCTTCCCTACCACCTGCCTTATCCTTACTATTCCATCATATCGCCGAGGCTAAAAATGCTCACGATCCACCTCTTCCTCTTTCATTCGCACACATCGCTGCAGTATACTCCTATTAGTCGGGTGGGTGATGTGTTGATTCTTGAATCTCCCCTTTCTCACAACGTTTTTTGTGAAATTGGAATGGTAGGATGCAAACAGACGAAGCCCCTATCTTTACCGAACGCCGTTGAATGAAACCTAAACCCCCCTTTCAAAGAGCCATAAATCCCTTTTTATCCGGGAAAATGCAAATCAAAACACCTGTATAGTGTTGGACATATCGACCTTATACTCCACATGAGAAATGAATTAGGTATTGGATGCGTGGAAGGGGAAAGAAATTATAGTAAACATGAAGGGCCGATGAGGGGAATGGCCCCAAAACCTGGTCGCCCAAGTTCATAACGTGCAGGAAATAAAAAAGCTACTCGACAAAAATGGCTTGTCGAATGCTGCGTAGCCAAAGCTTAAAAGCCACGTGGGAAGCGACAGTAGAGGTGAGAGTTTTCGAATGTCGTTAGGCTCCTGGTCAATGGCTCATAACCTCATGCTTCCTGGTGTTATGTTGAATAGGGGCACTATCTTCTTCGGTGGAGGACAGACCGCCGTCTCCATTCTTGTGTGCTCGAGGAAGCTCTTTAGGATTAGCATGCTCGAGGCCGTTCGCCAACTTATCCTGTTGCTCTCTTTCGAAAGCGAGCATGTTAAGCTCGTTCTCTCGCTCCAAGGCAGCTTCTTCTTCCCTGAGCTTCTGTCGTTCGGCTTCCGCAGCTATGCGTTCGGCTTCTTGCGTCTCGTGTGCCAAGGCATCGCCGACGGTCTTGTTTTGCTGCTCGGTCGCGATGTCTATGATAGCTTCTCCGTCGAGCGGCGGAGGAGGAGGAGGTGGAGGGCTAGGAACATCGCCATCATCCTCCTTTAGGCGTTTCATGGAAGGAGTCTCAGAAGGGGTCACGCTGGGAGAGGCCACTGCATCCTCCACACGCTTCCGCTTTCGGTCTAGACTGCTTGGGGTCGAGTGAACGCCCTCGTCGTCTGACATGGCAATGTCTTCATCGTGTTTGACGGCAGGCGGCTCCACAGACTTTGCATCATGAGATACTTGGGGTATGTCATGGCCGTTTTTGGCCCTTTCAGCCTTCTTTTTCTCATGGGCCGTGTATTTCTCAAACCCGCGTTCAAAGTAATCCCTGACATACTGCTTGACCTTCTTTGCCTGTTTTTCCGTAATGGTAGTTGGGTCATCAACACGATTGTTCTTGTAATCAGACGCGACAAGCTTCTTATTGACCTCTTTGGCAAACTTCTTCAATTCCTCTTTGGGGAGCTTTTGGCGAAATTTATCCATAATGTACTTCACATGAGGGAAAAGCTAGAATGGCGTTAGCAATCTAGGGGGAAAGGGGGTGGGTATGACAAGTTAATGCTTACTGTGTTTTCGTAGATCTTCATTTGCTTTTCAACAGGTAGAGAACGCCACTTTTCCTTCTTCGGTTCTTGAATTGGTGTGCTGCTCTGCGGTGTCTGAGTTGCCGATCCTCTAGGGGCATTATCTGGTTTCGTAAGGGAATCGATGATATTTTGTAGCCTCTGCTGCTCTTGCGCAGCCTTGGATGGCCCCTTTGGCTGCGAGGCGTTCTGTTCAGGGGGGGCAGTTGGCCTTTCCCACGTTGTAATACCTGTCTTCGTATAGTAATACGGACTTCCACGCTTGTCAGTAGCAGTAAACCAACCAGGGGGGAGATTTTGGACAGGTGCGCGTCGATGTCGTTGGTTGTTATTATTGAAATAATTATGATTCCTTTGGGGAATATTACTTCGTGGACCCTTGGGAGTATTATCTGGGAGGGTAAAACTAGTCTTTGCGAGCGGCTCTTCTGTGCGATTACCACGACGTTCTTCAATGAAATTCGTGGGCTGCTGCGCACCCGGTGTTTGTTGAGCATTTGGATCGAGCTTCTTTCGTGGGATTCGATATGCAACTTCCAGTTTGCTCCATTCATCCAACAGTCGCACAGATTCTGCAGCTACATCCTCATGCTCCGACTTCGTCAACGGTTGTATGGCGGATTCGATTTTGGAGTCGGAGATTTTATTTCTAGTCAAACGAGGGAACTGGTAGAGGATGTCTAAGATTTGAAGGACAACATTGTTATCATCCATAAAGTTGTTCAGCGCCGTTTTGAGAATTTGATAGCCGTGCATTTGCACAACTCGGTTACGGGCTCGATCATCGTCGCATCGTCGGATTCTCTCGAGCAACTTGACTGCAATCCATTTCTCCTTGCACTGCATAAGAGTGGCCATGACTTTTGTGACATCTTTTTCATCTAGACCACGAGCTTGTACGCTATTGACGTACTCCTCGTCATCTTCTGTAATCTTCTTCTTGCGAGGTTTCTTTGCAACTGTAGTATCCCAACCATCACTGTCGTCAATGCCAAGTGCTTCAATGGTCGCATCGGACAGTTTAGTGGCCCGCTCCGTTTGGGTCTTGCCTCCGATGAATCCAATGCAGTTTGGTTCCCCGCAGTAGCAGGGTTGGGGATCAGCTCCGTATCTGTCGACGTTGTAGTTGAATACCAATTCTTCACCTGGTTGGATACTTCTGCTGGCGAAGATGCCCATGCGAAGCTTATTGCCAACCACCCATTTGTCCACATAACAATTTGGATTGCATGAGTGATTACAGAATCGGCCAAGGTTACCTTTCTTGGTGGCATCCACAAATTCGTTCTTGGTCAGGGACATGAAATAGAAATGCTTGATACCTTCCTTGTCATATTGGATCATGCGTCTTCGAAAGGTTGGCTCGTTGATAACCTCTCCGATGTACTCAAAGATGAAATCATTAGCTTCAAGGGATGCGTTTGCCCGAAGTCCGAAGCCTTTCTTATCCGTTTGGATCACTGACACATCAGCGTACTGCTTGCGCTGGAATCGTTGATTCTGACACCCGTTGCCACAATTACAGTCGCCATCTACACATTCCATTTTAGTTGCTCGATTAATGCAGTCTGAATCGTCGCCGCAGGCATGGTTCATGCCATCCCCTAAAATATGTCTGTCAGCACTCCACAGTCCTTCCAAAACTACTAGATCATCAGAAAATATTGATACATACGCCATTCTTCGTTACAGTCACAATCAAGAGAATCATGATCTGTAGATCCAAGTGACTTAGAGCCATATAAGCAATCTGGAATAATCTGAAAGTGTTTGCATGAATCTGACGAGACATCAGGTAGATCGTTGTAAAGTTGAACAAGACGAGGCACGATCTTGTGAGATGCTTTACGAGTAAGCTTCGGCGGTTGGCCATCGGGGGTTGATGCACTGTCACTTCGAGCTTTTTGATCATCAGGTGATAGAGTCCCTAACCTAGAGTCCTTGCTGGCATTAGGGGATGAAGCGGTGCTATCGCTTTCCTTTTTGATGATGGGGTTCTGTAACTGCGACGCCGATGTATTGTCAACAACAATACTATTCAAACCACCTTTACCATGCTCTTCATCCTCCATGACGGCAGCGAACCCAGATATTCCTTGGTAAGTGTTGTCGCCTCAGGAAGGTTAGTGGTGATAGGTAGCAGGTGACAGACGATAGGTGGCAGGGGAGTATGTTGTTAGAAGGCGGAATTGACGAAGTTTCGGTCGCAGCAAGAAGGGTAAAATCGGGTTGGAAAGGCTAGAGGGAAACGCGAACTTTTTGGTGACGTCTCTTGTTGGCGAACATATGAGAAGACAGAGCGACTGCACAGGAAAAGTTGAATAAAGGTATGGTTGTAGATGTAGGATGGCGGGTTAGGATGTGCTATCTCGCGTACTGTGTCTGTGACATTGCAGGTAGATTAATACGCCAATTACACTCTCATACAGAGTTAATGTATACACAAAGCGCCGGCGATGTATTTGGGTGGTGCACGCAGAAACTTGGACGAATTTTTGAGGGTTCTTGGACGTGGGTTGTTGTAAAGATAGTTGTTGCGAAAGTAGGAAAATATCGTGTCGGCGTTGTTCATGGCCGAAAAAAAAGAGGTGCAGCGCAAGGTGCAGGTGCGGTTCCTCTGTACTCCGGAAGGTGCGCCGCGCTCAAATTGCTGCATTCAGTGCTGCACTGCACTGTACGTGAATATGGGGTGGCGCGCCTTTTGCAAATTCGGGGGTAGAAACTTAATTATCCGAAGCCTAAGAGCTTTGCGGCCTGTCCCACATTTCCCCTTCAGTGCTGTAATGTATTGTACAATACAATACCTACCAACTACTAGGTACCTACTAGGCTACCAGTGCTACCACTAACTATGTAGTTATAGGTATCAGGAGCCAATCACCATGTGCTAACCTTTGGTGTCACGAACGCAAAACGAGGGTTAATTACTACTGGAAACCTTACTGAACTCTAATCACCTACATGTACTATAATAATACCTGTCACTAACCTAGGTTAGTATACTACTACTACTACCTGTCACTAGGTAGACTCACTACCGTTTACTATGCTATCACAGGTACCTCATTTTAGACTTCGGACGAGCGAGACGAGTGAGACAAGCGAGTCTATTGAAGTGCTTGATAAATCACTAGATTCTATCTAACCAACATAAGGAGATAACAATAGAAATCTTTGTCAGAGCCAAAAGAAAAAAAAACCTCAGCAAGCCCAAGAAGAAAAGGAAGAAGAAACCCTCTTTCGTCTGTCTTCCCCTTCAACACTATCGAGATATCATCTTGCTTCATTTGGAGAATCTTGTTCATTACCATTATCATCTCACGATTCCGAGTTAGGTAATTACTTACTTAGATGTGTATGAAGAGAGAAAAAAAAAAAAAAAAAAGCACAACTGGTGTACATATGTAAGTCTTGAGGCAAGCGTTGAATAGTAGCCCAGGCGAACAAAGGCCCGAACATGCGTCACTCGAATGGTCATCCCATTCTATCTACCTGATTGTGCAAGTCCGGACTTATCAATTCGAAGCCAGTCTGCGAAATCGGGCCAGTCGATATGAAAATGGCTTGGTATATTTCGATGTGTGTGATACAGATACCACATACTACTAGGTTTGTTCGTGAAGCCATGCTACTGGTTGCACCAACGGATTGAAGGATGACCATTTACTATGCCCAGGACGCTCAGTTGTTCGGCACTTATATCATGAATCAGTCGGCGCCCTGCTGGAAAACATCATCGTGCCTGTCTTTAAGCACTTCATCGTGTCCGGATCACCAGCTAGGATCTTGCCATGCGGGCAATGACGAGTTTTACTTGCTTGAGTGGGTGGGTCCCCTATGAGAAACTGCCAACTCATTATGCATGGAACAGAGCCTGAAGTTGAGAGGGAGGGAAAAGGCGGTATGGGGGATTGGTCCGATGTATACCTAAGTAGGTATATATAAGGGTTGGCGTCAGAAGCTATGCAATCCCCAGCTTCCAGAATGTTGCTGCTCCGCAAAATGGTGCAATTTTTTTTTTCTGAAATATTTCTTTTTTGTTTCGGAATCAAACTCCAAAAGAAAAAAATACTGTTCTCGAGGCATCTCTTTATAGTTCAGGATGGGCAGGGCAGAACTACTACCCCCCGGTGCGGCTCAGTAACCCGTCATATGTGACGAACTCATGATCTGTGCTTATCGCATCACTATAAGTCTAAACGTTCTGGAAATCCCTCCTCCAACGCTACGATTGGCGAGATGTCAGTGACTCTCGGCCAGTCAAAGGCGGCCCCCGACGAGGCCCGCTACTGAGAGTGCGAGCGAACGAGACTTCGAGGATTACCGGTCCCTACAAAGCCCAGCGGAGAGACAAGGGAATGGCGACCAATGAGATTCATTATGCTCTCCCAGATATTGCCGTGGTTGTACGGGAGCTAATGGGATTTTAGTTCTCTGCTTACATTATGCCATTTTGTTGTCTTTTCGATCACATTACACTCTTTTACACGCGAATGGCGATGGCGATGGCTTCTAAGGCGGTGTAAGAAACCGCTAGTAGAAGAATTGGGGATGAGGGTGGTGTGGGAATTGGCCTCTCGAAAGAGGAGGGAAATTCAATGTTTCTCAATTCTTACCAGCCCAATGCAAGAGAGCCCAGTCAGGCGACCCGATTTGTCTAAGTAGCCAGCGGGATTGGCTTACAACTAACGACATGGATGTATTGCACATCTGCAAGAGGGAGAAAGCTGCATGTTGCCAGTCCAGTCAACAATCAAGCCGAAAACGTGATGGTTGCAATGACTATGCACGATACTCCCTAATGGCATATAATTCCAGCATATGACCTATATGGCCTTACATGGCTACTAGCGGCAGCAACGCAGCACCAAGCCTACGCTGCTTTCAAGCTCACATCGTTCTGCTTGTGTGCTGGTGGTTGTATGCTTGTGCTTGTGCCTGTACTTGTGCTGTTGCATGGGCTAAGGTGAGCCAGAAAAGCCTCCGAACCCAGATCTGGGGATGGGCGGCCAGCTCCAGAGCCAACAAATTCTCCCGATCACTCGTTGATCCCGATCTAGTACCGCAGTCCACGACTCATGCGACCCTGATGAGCTTGGCTTGGAAATATATACCAACCAATATATCAATATATCATCAAGTGATACAATGAGGATTTTGATATCATCAGCGTATAGACAGTTGTGTTTGGACCTTTTTCTTTTCTTCTTTGCCTCGGTAGGTATTTATTCATTCGTTCATTTAAAGAAAGACTTCAATGTTGTCTTATTTTTATTTTCACAAATCACAAAAAGGACACAATGCCCCTACGCCCTGCTGGGTATAAAAAAGGAATAAAAAAGACATAACTAAAAATAAGAATAAAAGCTTGGGTCTCTTTTTTTTTCCCTCCCGGCAAAGAACAAAACTGACTAGGTAGAAGGTACCGAGCTGGAAGGTACCTAGGTTAGGCAGGTTATTAGGAACTTAGGAAGGGGGGAGGGGATTGCTCTCTCTCAGTCCATGTTAACAATTTGATTATTCATTCCCAGACAAAAGAACGAAAAAGTACATGCCAGTACCTACATATACTGCGCTACCCTGGTAGACGGTCAAACCTAAAGAGATCGCCGCGCACATTCTCTACGACCAGAAGCAGAAAGGGCCCCATACTCCTTCGTTTGTACAACTTAAACTTACCGATTAATCATTACCTACTAAACTGAGACACACTCGCTTTACTCCTCGGTTCCCTCTTGGTCCAAAGACGCGCGCTTGGCTTGTACTTTTTTTTTTTTGCGCGCGTCTCTTTACCCTCTTGCGAGACTTCCACACCCTCCCCTACCTTTTACTATCCCGGCTTGGTACACCACTTTGCCTGGCTATCTGAGGTTTCCAAGGTTACTTTGCTCGTTACTCTGCCCATTACTGCTACCTAGTCAACTGAATTACCGGGCACAACAGGCTTCTGTTGCGATTCTATACTACATCTACATTGTTACTACATTGTACATTGTCTCGACACCTTCCTTACGACTACTTGTTTTTGAGTATCCTCTTCTGTCGTTGCTTGTTTTCAAATGACTTACTCGCAACCCTGCGGGCATCTCCCTTGTCTTTCCTTCCCTTCCCCTCCTCACCTTCGCCGCTTTCAGACTTAGCCGCTCACCATGGATACATCATTTTCGGACGACGAGAAGGTAACATCATGTGGTCGCCACTCACGCCGGCTAACTAGGTGGCTAATAAAATGTTTATTATAGCGGTTCGTTCTGGGTGAAATGATTAAAGTCAGCACCATAGACATATCCACTCTCGTCGACTTTATCAAAGTTCACCATGTGGACCCCAACTGGATGTCAATGCAGCTCCCTGGTGGTACGTATCTGGGGAACGCCTTTACGAGTATTGTCCCCTAATGAAAATAGGCCGTAATATGAACCAGTGCCTTGGTGCTGTCGAGAACATGTTTCAAACCAAGTACACTCCGCCGACCTTGACTTCCATCAAGCGCAAATCGTTGAGCGACCTGGTCGACCATCCCGCAAAGAGACAAGCTATGATGGCCCCTATCGAACCTTCCCTAGCTCCAGCACGAGTCATTCAGCCGCGGCCACCTCCAAATGGTTACCCAGCCTCTGTACCTGTCAGCATTAGTCCGCCGGTGACGTCGACGGGAAAGAAACGTGGTCGACCCTCTAAGGCAGACAAGGAAGCTCAAGCTCGTGCGGTTTATTCACGAATGACTGAATACCCGCCCATCACGCCAGCTCCGTTGGCACCCATCGCAACCCCGGCCCAGCGCGAATACATTTCCTCGCCTGGATACGAAATCTCGAGCAATCCAGGCGACCAAAAATCTAAGAAGCGCGTACACGGCGCAATCGACAGTCCACAGCAAGCAAGCAGTGCATTTCCATTAGCATCGCCTGCGCCGTCTACGGATACTCCCCGCGCCTTTCCGGAGCCTTTAGAGCATGTAGATCGAGCTACATTGTCACCTCGAGACCGAGGGCTTATGGCCTTAGATTCGCGATCACCACTCCTCGCGCCTATGCAACAGCAAGATTCGTCACAAGGACATGCCCATCCGCACTTACAGCCTCGAACGCAGCCGCCCCCTCCATTCTCGCCCACACGACGAATCCCACAGGTATACGAGCACCGTCGAAGTGTTGATCCCATATTTCCGGACAGAGACAGGACGAGAAGCATGCCGGATCAGCTCAAGGACGTCCCTCCACCCGTAACTACGGTAGGAAATCGAAGCTAGAGAGAAGAGTGTACCACAATAAACGAATGGTCCAGTCAAGTCATAGGATAATATCATAAAACTCCATTTACTAGTGTCTCAGACTTATAGAGGAAATGTCGGGAGGCTGCTTTGTTCTTTTACCCAACCTTTCAGCGCTTTAGCGGGGAGGAATTCCTGTTTCATCTTCAACGGGTTACGGGATGGTTATCTTACGGAATACCCACATGGTTTTTATCCTTCGATTTTTCTACGTATTTACGATACGGGACATACGGGGCGGGGGCGGTTATTGGCAACATTTTGCCATTAGTTTGCTATTTTATCCCTCTCTTCTCTCACACTTTTAGCAAATATGCATATCTTGTCGGCAAGCTTTTTAGCTCTTCTTCTTTTCGTCTCTTTATTCCCACATGGCGTCTGGGCACAACGGACAAGTATATTTAAGATTTGACCCCCGTTTTTTTTCTCTCGCCTTTTTCTTCTCTTAGGCATTTTACTAGCGCAGCCGGGCCACGATTTGTCACGCTCCCTGGGCGGTTAGAAAATGTTTCGATATTCATGTACAATTTACCTTCTGGGGGCGTTTTCGGTGGGGATATATATCCGGTTAGGCGGGGGGGCTGGTAATGGGTGGCTATGATTTGACATGTACGTAGGGCCGGCAGAGTGTAGGCTTTTAACAGGAGAGACGGAGGAGGAGAGAAAGATGAGAAAAAAAAAACTATTGTTAGTGGTAGATATTCTGCAATCCAAGCTGTGAGGGATTTCTGATTTGTTCGAAATTTAGTGAATCTGGTATACTAGGTATGATATGCTCTGACCTGTAATTTTTATCAATTTCTTGAAGATATTCAGCACCTACCTAGGCAGTCATCAAGCCAATACCTTGCTACATAAGTCAGAAATAATCTTGTCAAGATCACGCGTAAGAAAGGGTTTTTGAAGGCTCGCTTGGGTAAAACGAAAACCACCTTTCTACTACCAACCCACCTACATACCTAGCCTAACACTTTGGGAAAAGACGATTTAACTCTGCATAGGTGGCGCCGCCTTTTCCCAGCTATTCCAACATCAAACACCTAATCTATGGATATGTTTGAAGCCACCGATCTTACTACATACATGTAGCCTAGGTAGGTTATGTACAATATCGCGAACTTACCTGCCAACCCAACACACACCACCAAAAAAAAAAAAAAAGAAAACATACACACACAACAACGACAACAACAACAACAACAACACCTAGACAACATGGGATGTGAGGAGATGACACATCCAAACTGTTGTTGGTAAGCGGGAAGTTCCTTTGGGAATATAAATAATTACTATGTAAGACTTTCAGAGCCGGGGACTTACTTACACAACGGGCCAATGAGACGACGCCGGAGTTTAGAGGCGCGATAAATCATTGGGACGCTTTGATAGGTTGGGGGCATCCTGATGTAGACAGACATTTGCCAATTATGTAACTATATGTATGTCATGGATATAGTTATGTGCTACATAGCTAGTATACCTAATGTGTATATGTGTATTATCAGCACGGCAACAATTGATGCGTATAACTATGTAGATAGATGGACGGATATAGAGGGGGCCAACAAACAATCTATCTCGCACAAGTAAGTAAGCCGTGCTTCATCATGGGTAGTAACGCAGTTCCTGTGAGGGTCTAACATCTGTATTGGATCCCGTTGGTAATTATATCGTGTGAAAAAAGAAGAAGAAAAGAAAGGATTTATTGAATTTCCAATAGGAACGTCTAACAGGGTACCTGTGGTAATGTAGTAGTACTTCTAACTACCTCAATCCATCTATGAGTACTCCAGCCGTATAGCCCGTATTGGATATTATTCAAGAAGTCCTCGAGCCAAGTATTACTCTTGGACGAGGAAGCAATCGGCGCCGACGTTTTACAGTAATACTTGAGTAGGTAGGTCCTAGGTTAGTATAATTCTGCCTCGTCGTACATAACATCCCAAAGTACCTACATATGCGCCTACATACCTACCCTCAATATTTATTAGAGGAGGGTTTTTACGAGCATGTCGGCCGATTTTCGCTTGTACAGTATGTATGTAAGGTGTAAGCAAAGAAAACGTAAGACGAGGCCAGAAGAAATGAGGTGCATCCTCATCTCATGAATACCGACTCTACAGGTACATATATATTTCTACAAGGGAATATGCTTAGATTTATGCGTAACTAGTTTGTTGGTTGGAAGGGGATCCCCTCTCGTATTTGACAAGTGAGATTATGTCTATGTCTGGTGCGCATGTATGGTACTTAGGTAGGTAGGTTAGCGCTGACTACCTAGGTAGAAACCTATATAACAATCGTATTATGAATACAAGCGAGTTCATTCTTAGTATATGGCTTCGACATGAAGGGCGCTATAAGTGTAGGAAGACACCGGAAAGGGTAAAGACGCCCGGTGAATATCCAATCTCCGTTACGCTATACGGGTATCTCGGGGTTCGGGGTCGGGAGGAATATACGAATCCGGCATTAGTCATCATCTGACGAATCACCATCCGGAGCCCTCGGGCGTTTCTTCGTATTTGTGGGCGCGGGCCTAGCGTGGTCGTCTTTCTGGATGAGAACATAGCTCCTCGCAGGTCGATCCTCGCCCTTCCAACCGCCGCCCACCTCCCCGTTCTTCTTGCTCCGCACCACCCCGAGCGTTCGGGCGTGGTGGTACCCCGGGTACGCGCTCGCCTGGAACCGGAAGCTGCGCTCGACCAGGAGGCCCATGTGGCGGGCCAGGTCGCGGATGTTCCAGAGCGTGTAGGGCTCGCCCTCGAACAGCGTGACGATGATGGAGCCGCCCGGGGCGAGCGACAGCATGGCGCGCTTGAAGAACTCGACCAGCAGCTCCTGGTTGTAGCGGACCTGGCGGTTGACGTCCGTGCTCTTGCCGCCGACGTGCGGGAAGTTGAAGATGATGCGGTCCATCACCCCCGTGCTGTCCTTGCCCTTCTTGTTCACGAAGGGCGCCATCTTGGTCGCGTCGATGTTGTACAGCACCGTGCTGCCTTCCGCCTCGACCTTCGTGATGTTTTCCTGCACGTGCGGGTACTTCTCTACGAGCTCGTCGAGGGTCTTCTCGAGAACGGTGGCGGTCACGTCGGCGCAGTAGTGGTGCTCGACTAGGGAAGCTGCGAAGCTGAGGTCGCCATCGCCGATGAGGAGGATCTTGTGTTCGGGCGCGAAGGGTATCGTAGGCTCGTCGTGGTGTGGTTGCGATTGCGATTGCGGTTGCTGCTTCTGCTTCAATCCCTGCTTCAATCCCTGCTTCGATGAAATACCTTTCTGTGGCTTTTCGCTCCTAGAGCCGGACTTCTGCGATGGGCGGGCATCATGCACGACTTTGCGCCGCTTCCCCATAATCGCTTGTTGTGCGTGGTAATTAGTAGTACATGATGTCTTGGACAGCAAATACTACAAAGACGGCTTGTAGTCAAGCGGGGAGTGTAAATTCCCGATATTTTAGGAGGTTTGTCGAGTATGGAATAGGATGGGGGGTGTTGCTGTGGTTCAAGTTGAGGTTGAGGAAGTTGAGGTGATGTCGGTGAAAGCTGTAGCTGCCGACAGGAGGAAAAGAAAAATTAGTGGCTCGCGGTGCTCCGTAACCGCGGGACAACCCACTTTCTGCAGCTAGGGCCCTCGCGGGACCAGGGGTTAGGCACACACTAAGCTTAAAATAGCAATTCCGGGGTTCTGGGGCGAACAGGGGCTTTAATGGCTTGGAACCAATAAGCGATGAGACACCACTGATACAAGATTATGTACGGAATACATGACTGACTGACTGATGTTACCAGGTACGTACAGATATATATAATGTTGATGTGAACCATCAATATATATGTATATATACATATATATATTTATACATACTTCATTGAACCGTACACAACTACATATACGTTGGTATTTCTAGTTTTGCTCCAAAGAGAAATACCACATTATTATGAGATTTACTTATGACCGCAATGAGCTATTTCGTTCTTGAGCCTCTTCTTGCTTCGACGTTGGAAATTTGCCTGCTACGCGTGATATGTCATCTTACCATCCCGAGCGCTGTACCGCCAACGTATCACACGGGTAAAACATAAGGCTTCGGTTCTATTCTGACCCATGACAATTGACAGCCCTAGGTACATAGTCCATACGTTGGCAAGCTTTCTGGGCGGTAAGTCAAGTGATTACCTACTGGGCCAGTAAGGTGTCATGGTCTAGATGTCCTAGCTTAGCGTTGCAATCTGTCAAAAGCTTATTTTATCTGTGTACCTGGTTACACACATTGGTGGTAGAACTTGAGGGACTGATCTGACTGAAGATTCCTTGCGCGTTCCCTAGACGATACCGTGACCTCATCTACTGCAAAGTGGATGCGTGTCGAGTAGCTTTTGGAATTACAACCTTTGAGTGAAGGAGAAGTATATGAATTATATAGAATTATATACTGGACATACAGTATGCACCTTGCGGTAGTTGTAGACGAGGGCACTCGATATCTAAGGTGCATGGGTTTTAAACCACCTAGGCATAGAACGCGTTGATGACACCATACTAGGTGGAAAAATCCACGGTATTTCGCAAGCTCTTAAGCTTTTAGCTTATTTTGAGTCATACCTGCTAAGTTGCCACTACCTGGCAGTCCGTTATTTCGCGTAAATGGATACTATTGGGTAGAAGTTGACAATGCAAACAAGTGAGTTGTCAGTGTAAGGGGAGAGGGGAAGGAGGAAGGGTTCTTATGTACTACTAGTAGTATGTAGAGAGTGATATCAGTGGTTGATACTGACCGGCTTTGTTATATATGATATCTACTATGTACAGCTGTAAACACCCAAGTATCCGGAGGTACCTACTTGGTAGGTACCTTATCTACCATTTAATCTACGGATGCTGTGCTTTTACTTTAGGGGTCAGTGTTGCTGTTGGCACAGATTTACTAGGTACTTAATTTCAATGGCAGGGCAAATTAAGTACTACTAATGTAAATACCTCAGGTACCTAATCTTCCAGTGGCCGAGACGCGACTTGGTAAGTTCAATGTTGGCTTCGTTACTACTAGTAATACTTTATTTAGAGTTGTAAGGCCAACAATACTAAGCTACCCTACCTAGTAGGTATGTTAGTAGTTAGGGTAGTTAGGTACTTAAAATAGGCCTAGAAATTGTTACTGTAGCCCGTCTAAGCCGGAAGCGGAAGCGGACGAGAGGTTTCTCCGAACCAATCAGAAGTAGAACTTACCAAGACGGAAGGCCAAGTACGACTAGACAGCACAGGCACTTGACTGTATCGGGCAATACCCAATACTACCTAGTAGGTACCTGGCAAGTACCCAGTACCAGTACAGGGTTGCCTTGGTGTCGTGCTGTTTAATTCGCAGCAAAAGAAAATCTCATAGGGAAGTGAAAGTCGAATTGTTCCTATTCTTATTGTTACGATCAATTTGATAATCACTTCACTTTACATCTTGGAGCCTCAGGACAATCCAAATTTTTAATGAGCTACTATACTATTGACTGCTGTCCTCTAAATCTACTTAATCAACCTTTTCCCTTTTCTTCTTCTTTTCATTCTTCTCGTACCTTTATTTATTCTTGTCTCCAACATTGGCATTGGACATTTGCACATTTGACATTTGACATTTGACATTCGACATCTGACAATTAGCACTACACACCTTTAACACCTTTTACACCTTTTGCACTTGTACCTTGTCATCCGTCTATCCATCTTCTTCCTTTTTGCCAACACCAATACAACAGCCATTCACTGTCTAGACGAGGCAGGCTTCCTCACCTGTTGTATTCCCTTTTCTTCCGTCAAGAGATACTATTTTCTAAACCGCTTCACACCAACTTATTCTCGGGAAAAGAAATTTCTTCTTACACTGCCCAACTATTATTGATTCCCCCTTCGACTTCCACCTCTACTTCCGCGAAGCAGACCGCTTTCGTCCTTCTGTAATTCACTTCCTAATCCATACTTCTCTACCTACTTAGGTAACCCTATATAATTTCACGCAAACTTCCACACATCCATACAATTTCTTATTCCCGTACCTATCTACTGCCTTCATATCATCCGCTACCACCCTCCACCGCCATGGGGAGCACTCCCAAGGCTACCCAATCCCCAGCGGGAAGCCCTGCCAAGGGTAAAGCTGGTCCTCTCGTTCTCGTGAAAGCTGCTGCCAAAGGCGTCGCTAAGCGCACTGCTAAGAAGCCCGCTCCTAAGAAAGGCGGTACGCGTGGAAAAGGACGTGGACAGAAGAAGGCCTACGATGAACCGCGTGCCCAGGCAGCTTACGAACGCCAGCGAGAGCTAAGAGATCTTTACTCACAAGTTTCGTTGGCTATCAAACCGGCTCTTGACGAGATTGCCGACAGGACTCTCAAAATGCTGATCGAAGACCCCGATGCCCACAAGGAGGTAGAGGAGTACTTCGCCGTTCAACGACAACTTGATGAGCAGCTCGAACTGGTCATTGAGAGAAGTAACCTGGAGTATCAAACGAGAGTCGACATCACGCGCCGCACATTTGAATTAGATAACGACCTTTCGCAGAAGAAGTATATGGTATGAAATATTCTCAATCTGTCTTCCATCCTAATCACGTCTCGTACTCACACCCATCTTAGGACTCGGTCAATGATGTGACCACAGACTTTCACGACGGCGCCATGAATCGAACTAGTATCTTGGCAGAGCTTCGTCAAGAAGGCCGAAGTGTTGATGTAAGTTATAGTTTTTGCTCGCCAAAAATCGTTCTTCATACGCTCTGGCGAGAATGCTAATCGATTTTTGCAGACCCCCGATCTCACGTACAATTATGTTGAGAATATACCATATATCTCATTCCTCGGCAAGTCGGATAAGTTTGAGGCTGTCGGTGACCGAATCCGTAACACGAAGACTGTTGCCAAGCGTAAAGCAGAAGGCCAAGCTGATGAACAGCCTGATTCTAAGAAGCCTCGACATACTGGCGGCTTACTTGCGTCAGAGCAGCAGCCTGATGGCGTACCGGAGTCCAACGCAGCATCACCTGGTGCGATTGAAGAGCAGGAAACCAGAGTCGTGTTGCACAAGGATCTACCCGATCTTCCCAATGGTGCTTCCGAAGTAGATGAGTATGGCGTCCGAAGTGTCAATAGGCGCGCCAAGAGCCCGGCAAACCGGTTCATCGTTCCACCGATGTTCTTATTTGCGGATGAGCAGATAGGGTTCCGCGATTCTACCAACGACTCGACCAGGAAAGCGACTAGAGCAACGCGAGGCAGATTTCTCGATACACCAAACTCTAGTACATGGCATCTGGACCATACTGTCAAGGACTACGACTGTCGTGAATATAAAGACGACACTCTGGACCCCAGTACCGTGAAAAAATATGGACTGCACCCCAAGTATGGCTTCTTTTTGCCATCTTCTCAGAATGAAGCAGAGTTCCCGGATGAGCGTGTTGACGGAACACGTCCTATCGTACTAGCGCCGAACCAACACACTCCTGTCCATGCGTCTCGTTCCGCCCGAGACAAGAAGATGGATATTGCACTCCAGGAAGACGCCACGAAGGGCCTGATGGCGAAGATGATCGGAAATTATTGTGTTTACGAGGACATTGAGCCAGAAGAAGTTGTTTCGAAGGAAATGCGCGATCGCGAACGTCAAGCTATCGAGAGACTAGCTCTACCATCGAATGGTGGCGAGGGTCCAACAGAACAGGCAGAAACTGACCACAGCAACCTTGCTAAGGACTGCATAGCTCTCCTCCTTCAAGCTGCCGAATATCTGGAGTCTGAAAAGCCAACATCGCAGTTCATAGCCTCACGACCATCTCGCCCATATGATGCAGTTCGAGATGTCTTCACTGGCGCAGAACCTGCTCCTCCCCTTCCAGAACAACGCCTCCCAGAAGCAACCACTAATCCGCTTGATATACTGGCGGACATGGCCCTGGGACTTGAGGCCAGGGGACATCCGGAACAAAATGAAGCATTGACATCAGGCGGCTCTTCCAAGATAGGCCAACGCCTTATTAGCCCTCCCAACCAGCCACCTCCACCGCCTAGCACGTTCTTACAGACTGCGCTGAATCCTCCCCCGACTTTTGCGCATATCGCGCCAGCTCCTACCCCTATGATGGAAATTGTGCAGCAGAATCACCTCCCTAAAAACCCCTTTGTTAGCCAGGACAATGGAGATAGTCTCCCACCTCTGCGGCCTAATAGACTTGAAGAGGGGCAAAACACATCACAGTTGCAACGACCTCTCCCTCGCCCTGCGCACCGACCTCAGGAATTCGGCTCCCCGCGTGGCCCTCTTCGCTCGAATTCTGGTGCTTTCTATCCCCCAGCACCACCACGGGCTTATCATCATGGTCTTACTTTTCATGAGCAATCTATGATGTCGGTACCTGTTCAGCAGATGCAGCCCATGTCTGGGCCTGGCTTGATGGCAACCCAGACCGCCTTAGCTCCTCATACTCTCTCTCGCCATCCCATCATGTCCCCGCCACATCAAATACAACCACATCTAGCTCCAGTGCCGACACAGATGGAGACACCTTTGTCTTCGATATCACCCCCTAGTCCACTTATCAACTTTCCGTCACCCGCTCATGGACTGCGTCATAGACCAGAGGTCACATCCAATAGTAACGACGGTAAAAACTACCGCAGGATAGCCGCAGCGCCTCTTCCTCACAACCGTCCCTGGACGACCAACGGCGGCACGGAGCTGCGCCTAGCCCACTACGATCATAAAGAAGCGATCAAGGATTACATGGCTAGCGAACCCCCTCCCCATAGCGGGCCTACAGTAATCCGGGGCTGGAACAACAAGTCGGTTAGTAACCCGAAGGGGCGAAATAGGACCTCGAAGAAAGGCGACTCTGAGGAGAAGGATTCTCCCAAGTAGGTCTCAGACGACTCTTCTTGGGGCTGTTGTATTGATTATTATCACATTACAGCATGATATCCCCATTCATGAACAAGTGGAATGCCTCGGAGAAGAGCTGAGGCGGTAGCAATCCAACTTTACGTCTCGACGGACCCACGAATACCCACCCACGATTTACCTACCTTACGATTAGAAGATTATAAATCCACATTAGAGAAGGACGGATACGGAGAAAGTTTACTACATGCAGTTTCTAGATGACTTTCATTATTCGATACCCATACATACCCATTACCCATTACCCATTACCCCAGCTTCCTTGACTTACCTGGTACTTACCTAGGTACTTACTTACACCTTACTCCCGCCTTATCTCCCCCTTTCACCTAATACGCTTTTTTTTTCATTCACCCATGCATAGCATCTCACGGACAGCATTTGCATTGGAAACGTCATCATTTGGGAATCTGGACTCCCCTGCTGGAGGAAAAAAAAAGTTTTGCATCGTGAACTTGGAGTTTAGGAAATGCACATGGCTGGATCTTGCGTACTCGGCGGTTGCAGATCATGATCAGACCTGCATGGAAATATTTTTTTCCCTCATGGATGATACAGAAGAGATTTTTCACGTTGTGTGGTTAGGTACGCCCCCCCCAGCCCAATCTGGGTTAATAGGCAGTCACTAGGTAGTTAGGTATAATTCGCTTCCCGCGTCACGATGGATGTGAAAGGGAGCATTAGGAGGAGGATGACTACAAGGGACCACGGAGTTTGTTGCAGATACAATACCTACCTACATACCTAGCCTACCTTACTCACTAATGAATCAACATTAGTGTTGCATATAACTAATTTCACGCGGTACTTGCCTACCCATATGAGTAGTTTGCCCCCATTGCGTAGGTGTGATTGTTGGTATTTCTTGAATGATTTGGTAGTCTCCTTTCGCCTCGTAGTAGTAGTATTCCCTTCCCCTAACCTAAGCACCTTTCTGATACATACCTATGCAAGCCACCACCTACCTAGATACCTAACTTAGGTGGTATACATTTACTTTCCCCATCATACAATTTCATCTATTTATGAACGAGAGACTACAGAAAGACGCAGCGAGAAAAGAATCAATGGGGATACTTTCAAAAGACCAATTTCACTAACAACAACAGTATGCATCGATTCGCCTATTTGTATGACAGAGTTGATTTCCCCCCCTTCCCCTTCCTCTTTTTCTCTCTTTCTCGTTTTCTACTCCTTTTCCCCTTCGGACCCTTCGGACTCTTTTCATTCTATTTTAAGCATCATATCATCTCATCATTTTCCACGGAAGTGTGCTACATAACTACTAGGTAACCTTAGGTGGGTAGGAAATACACCGCCCCTAGGAAAAGGATAATCAACTGAAATGTGATTTTTACTTTTGCTGGAATTCGTCATAGCGTGTCTGCTCCAAACAGAGCATAGATGCAACTATGAAAAAAAAAAAAAAAGAGAAAACGCCGGGAGGTTCTTTGCCAATATGTCCCATTTACCACCACCAATAAAACCGACCTTCTTTTTAATCATTTGCGTACTTTTACATTGCGGCACCTATCATCATGCCGTTCTGGTCGATGGAGAGCATCTGGGGGGCGTCGACATGGGACATCGGCATCATGGAGCTTGCAGATAGTTCCAGCTGGGCCTTACCCAGGTTGCCCTCGGGGTGGAGTGGATACATCTCCGCCTCCATCTTTTCTCCATCAAAAACCACCATGTTTTGAATAGGCTGCTGGCGCTGGCCGCGGACATTGATGACGTCTTGCGCTAGCTGCCCGCCGAGGATGGCGGTAACGGGCACTATCTCGCTACCGATATTCTGTAAGAAGCTGCGCAGGAACTCGGATCGGAGTGTTTCCGCCGGCAGAGACAATATTTGATGATTGTGGGTGGCGGATCTAGTGAAGGCCTCTAGGTCTTGTTTGTTGTGGTCGGGGAAGCGGTTATCATGTGATTGCTGGAAAGCCCAAAGTGCACGCAAACAAGATAGAGCTGGTGTGACGGCCTTGAGACGACGTTTGGACTTGGTGTATTCCGGAGGTAGTAGACTGGTTTCGGAGGACAAGTCCCATGTGGAGTATAGCTCACGTTTCTGGACCTTCTCGATGATTTTGCCACCCTCCTTTTGCTGCTCCACTTGAACGACGCTGCGAGTCCGAGTCTCTTGTCCGACAGTCGTCGGCACGTTAGGTTTATCACGCTGCAGTACATAATCATGCTCGATCAGATCGCAGAAGATGTAACCATAGAACCCATGGGTACCGGCTGCGTAGAATTGGCGATTGTGGAGACGAGTGGCGGTGTTGATAAAAGCGAGGATGGTGGGACCAAGATCAGTCGCAATGACAATGTCGAAATTCGCGAAGAAGGATGCGCCTTTGGTCATGATACTCCCAGAGTCAGCAGCCACCCTCACTCGTGGGTTCAGCTTCTGAATGCGTTTGACAGCAGCCTCGGCACGATTTTGGCCGACATCTTCTTCCGAAAGAAAGAATTGGGCGCCCAGATCAGCTTCGGTGACTATTTGATCATCGACAACGGTCAGCGAGCCGATACCCGCCAGTACAAGATTTTTGGCAATCTCATTGGCCAGGGCTTTCATGGTAATAAGAACAATGTTGGCGCTCTGTATCTTCTGTTGCGCTTCCATGCCCCACAGCCGCAACTGGCGATCGTACAGAGCAATATCATCTGGGCGTGTCATTAGAAAAGAACTCAGATAATTGAGCAAGGAAGGTATCTCACCTGCACTTAAACTATTTCCGTTGGTTGGCTGGCCAATAGATGAGCCGTTGAGGCCCGTGGGCTGTTGAGTAAGTGGTACTATCAATCCTGGATTTGCAAAAGCGCCATTGCTGTTGTTATTATTGTTGTTGTAAGTCCGCTGTAATGCCGCGAAAGTATCATCTGGACTTGGGAAGACTGAAAAGCCATTGTTTGAGATAGAATGTTCAGGCGGCAGGGCCATCGCAGGAGCTGTGAATGGATGTGCCTCTTGTCCAGCTAGTATACCTATACCATTTTGAACAGGCTGACTCGTCTCCGGAGCTTGAGCCTCATTATGAGCGGGTTGTTGAGGCTGCTGACCCGAAGCTGTAGTGGATTGATCTTGGGTCTCCATATTCAACAGGTCGTAAGAGGTTCCAATTATGATGACGAGGCTATTGATGATGAGTTGGCAGTTGAGATGATTTTGAAAATTTTTTTTTTAAAAAAAAAAGTAAACAAAATCAAAGATAAAAAACCGAGATAAAGCTATTCGGGGTGTGAGGAGCGTGAAGAGTGTGAAGAGGTTGAAAGTATTAACTATAGCGCGAGAGCCTTGAATTTTGTAGATATATGCCTACCTCAAGTCTGTATGTACTATGTAGGTACACAATCTCGAAGGCTGAAGCATGTATTGTAATAGGTAGATTGAAGATGATATGACCGCCTCGCCCTCGCCCACGTCGCCTGTTGGCAATACTTTGAATGTGGTTTTATGATTCCAAGTTGTTTGCAATGGAATGAAACCTACAATATGTAGTAGTGCCCAGTAGGTAGTGCCTAGTAGGTAGTGCCTAGTAGGATGTAGGTACACCGTACTAAAGTACTAGCAGGTACACAATGTCCAGTGCAGTTACGTAGATGCGATGAGCCAGCCTCGTCTCCCTGTTTAGGGTAACACTACAGGGGTAACCTGCATTATATCGATGTGGCTTAACGCTTAAGATAGCAGGATAAGCCTAGTACATACAGTAGGTCCAGTAGCCTGTAGGTACATTACAGTAGGTAGACATGCACATTGCACATACATATCCATGGATGGATTAAAGGTCAGCAGATATATCAATGATCTTGAAGGCAAGTTTGACCTGTTAATATTACATATATCTACCTAGGGTACTAATCATGCACTATTATCTCATTAATGTAGGAGGAGACAAAGGTGTAAACTCAATTCATTAGGCAGGAAATTGAAAGGCTACACGAGAACACTGAAGGTGTGACTTGAAGTTCTGAATTATGTAACTACAACATGAATACTAGGTACTGTACTGTATTGTACAATACTGACAGTACATGTACATATGTAGCATGCATAGTTACATAGGTAGGTTAGGATACAAAACTGTGCACATGTGTGGCCTCAGTTAAAGTGGTACTTCAAACTACATGTAATATGACAGTAAATTCAGTAATATGTAACCCCTCCTAAACCTTGATACTACATAGAGGTACTTAGCACCGGCTACATTCATGTACTGATACTCCTTACATACTAATAGAGGCATGTAAAAGGCGCATTGAACTGCATGTGGTACCAGTGTCTACAAAGTACTGGGTACGTACTTAATACCATCTACCATGTAGTCGCTTGATCTTCAATCAAATGTTCAACGTTCCCAATAACTAACTAGTACATCAATACCCTTTCGCACTTTCAAGTTACTTTCACACCACATCCCACGCTACATTTCTCAATCCTATTTCCATCAAACTTCCAACTACAACTAACTCACTTTACTCCTCTCTCCATCCACCTTATTGCCCATCCATCTTGAGAACTACATATCCATCTCTTCATCTACTTCTAAAAAGTTCTTGTCGAACAAGTAAACTTGCTGTTATATTTCTACTCTATTATTCTGCTGCTCTGCTGTTCTTCTTGGACTGGTTGTGTAGCAGTTGCCATCTGGCCCACTGGAGTGCCGCCCTGGTTCTCTCCACCTATCCGCCTTGATCCTTTTGTCTCTTAATGGTGAGTGCCATCTTCACTTACCATACTTCACCGGTCATGATATCTCCTGTAGCTAGCTTTTTCTCTTGATTTTGATTTTGAAACGATGCAGCTCATCTGTGTTTCTGTCCAGTTTCAAAGAAACTAACTATGCCTAATTATCCAATAGTCGGGACATTACTCTGAGCACTCTGAGCCGCCTCCTTCAAATACAGGACGCTATCGCACCGCGGACGAAATTGTACGTTCCATACTTGATAGTGATGCTTCGCCACTCGACATTAGCCCTTCCGGAGAGTTATATCGGGCTATAGAGAGGTATTATCCATATCCACGGCCTCAGAATAACAGACGGCCAGACCTCTTTCGGAATAGCTTAAGACCCTTGGGCCAACGCTCACCCTTGAGGAACAGCATGCCATACGAGCCTAGCCCGGAGACGCAACGAAGATTCTCGAGAGAACCGCAAAGCTCTGACACATCGCCATTATACAACTTACCTTCCACTACTCCTTACCTACCGCCACTGCGGTCCTTGACAAGTTCTCGACGACCCTCGATCATGCCTACCTCCCGTGTGCCTAGCGGGCGAAATGCGCCGACACGTCCAGCTGATCGCTACCCATCGAGGCTTCGGGGTGCGCATGAGAACCGAAGTGAGCCTATTGAAGATGCTGTAGAGTTTTGGGAACGTCTCGAGCCCTTTGATCTGAGTTCGCGAGGTACCCGAAGGTCAGCCACAGCTCAACTCAACGATTCTCAGTCATACCTAGACGATGAACGATTACGGGAAGATAGATTACGGGAAGATACCAATTCACAATTACGGGCACTCGCAGAATTCACCAACTCCCCCAGCCACCCTTATTCAGATCTTGCATTTTCATCACCACCGCCACCTCAAGACTCTACAGAAGAGAGCCGACGAGTTAAAAGGCGCAAATTGGATTCGGATCGCCTGTCCAGTGGATTTCAAGGCTTTCGATACGGGAAATACGGACAGGTCGAACCTGGTCAGCTGACTATGGAGCTAGTCAGCTGTGATGGTGGCATCTATTCGGATGACAGCCACAAGTATGCCGCCGAGAATATCCTCAAAAATGATCAGACGGTCTACTGTACTGAGGGGCCGAGGTGTAATATTATCCTGAGGCACCAGGGAGCCACCGTTTTTACGCTAAAGGAGTTGGTTATAAAAGCACCCAGGTCGAACTTCACCTCTCCGTGAGTGGAACTTACCCTTTGTAATTGCTCTTTTTCGCTAATGTGCCATTCCATAGTGTACAGGAGGGCATGGTCTTCGTTTCGATGACGTCTGACCATCTCCTAACGCGAACAGCCCAGTACCAGATTCAATACTCTGCGACATTACCTGGGCGCACAGAGCGGGAGTCTCAACCTCTGACGCCAATTGTGTCTATTAGACATAATGAAGATGGGAGCACTATGACCCATGCACAGATCCGAGCAAGGCGTCTTTACAATATCGGCATGGAAGATGAAGACAATAGTGTTCGAATTGCGCAAATTCCCTCGGAATTTAATGTCTCGCCGCCTCCTTTTAGAGTCACTACGGAGTGTAGCGATGACGAGGGAGATGATCCGACCCCAGGGGAAGATTGGCCGCCACATGTTGGCATTGGCTCATTGCCATTTGAAAGTGAGTCGAGTGATGAGGAAGAAAACTCACCGGACTATTCGTTCAGAGAGGCATTTCGCCGGTTTCGCCGGCGACGTAATCGGCCTAGCAACGCACTCGCAGAAGCGTTGGAAGCTGCTCAGGTAGCTACACAGGAAGCTGTTCGTGCAGTGGGGGGTGAGTTAATGGTTCCGCACGCGCGATTCTTCATTGAGCGGAACAGAAGTAAATGTACCATCAAGTTTGATCCGCCAGTTTCTGGGCGGTTTATATTGTTGAAGATGTGGAGTCCTCGTCGCGACCCGAATGCAAATATCGACATTCAAGCAGTGGTCGCTAAGGGCTTTGCTGGGCCAAGATTTTTCCCGTCTGTAGAGTTACGATGATAGACTTGCACAAATATTGGCGCGAAAGGGAGTAGTAGCTCATTGATTAATAGGATTAGTTGCCTGAAAAAAGGGCAAATGGACTAGTTTTATTACACCTAATATCTGTGTGTATTCTTTGAACTTTATGCTATCTCCTTTCTTTGAAGATGGGATATTTCCCCCTTTATACAATTCAAGTCTCTACATATGTATTTTGAGTCATACATACATGTATATCTTCTATTGATGTACATAGCCTGGAGGCATTATAATTTGCTACTAGGTAGTTACCTAAAATAACTACTTGATACACATTGCCCATCCCCATAAAATATCATGTACGTAGATGTACATACCTCTTCCTTTCCAAGTCTTACCTACATATGTAATATACTACTAGCAGTACCTACCATTAATTTAAGATATTCTTAGAATAGCTGCTAAAGCTTCTTATTTACAGTTTAATTTAATCCATTCAAAAAAGTATATAACATACTTTAGGCATAAGCCTTAAAAACTCATAATAAGGGCTTTATAACTTTATACAAAAAAAAGGTGCCGTTTTTAAGTTAGGGGTTAATGTGGGTATTTACATTAAAGTTGTCTGCAAACACTACGGCGTAGTATGTACATCTAGCTGCATCAGCGCATCCGCATCGAAGGTACTATGAGATACATGTACATGTGCAGCTGCCGCAGCAACTTAGCCTCGATGATTGAAAATGAATCATCCCGGCTAAGGAATTGTCATGTGGCAATGCAGTTTAAGTTGAGTCACAGCAATTTAGGTATGCTAGCAGGGACAGAAAACGTATTAGGCCCCCACTTAAGCATTTCAGATTAAAATGGTGCGTTATGCCACTATTACTACCTACTACATGCCTAAATTAGCAGAACACACCTTTCAAACCTTACAAGTCCTTTAAGCTACGATACCCATTTTTTTCAACTAAATATTGAATTACATATCTATTTTCTTACTCGACAACAAACATTCTTATTCAACACCTATATCATCTCTCACCCTCACCTTCACTCTCTTTGAACCAATCCAACATTCCCGCCCTTCAAATATTCAACAATCATCAGATACTACAGGGAATCATGGCTGTCCGCGCACAATTTGAAAACTCCAACGAGTAAGTATCAACCCCGCCATCTGTAATCAGTTTTGACCAGGAACCCCGCGAATCAATTTTGTGCGATAAAGCAGAGTGAAGCAAGGCAAGGCAAGACGCAATACCGAGACTTTTAACTGACCATGTAACTTCGTTATATAGGGTTGGTGTTTTCGCAACACTCACAAATACCTATGCCTTGACTGCCGTAGGCGCAAGCGAAAATTTCTACAGCATTTTCGAATCGGAACTACAAGACGTCATCCCCATCTGTCGCACTACAATTGCCGGCACACGCATCATTGGTCGATTAACAGCAGGGTAAGGATAGCTTCAAGGCTTTGTTTCGTCCATTTACTACTGGTACACCAATCTAACGAGGGGTTTTGCATCATTATAGGAACCGTAATGGCCTTCTCGTACCCACTTCTACAACTGATCAAGAGTTACAACATTTACGCAATTCTTTACCCGACGCGATCAAGATACAGAGAATAGAAGAGCGGCTTTCCGCTTTGGGCAATGTTATCGTATCGAATGATCACATAGCGCTTGTGCATCCGGACCTAGAGCGTGAGACGGAAGAGATCATTGCAGACGTCTTAGGTGTCGAAGTTTTCCGGCAGACAGTTGCGGACAACGTGCTAGTCGGCAGCTACATGAGCTTGAGCAACCAGGGTGGACTGGTACATCCCAAGACAAGTATCCAGGACCAAGATGAGCTGAGCAGCTTACTACAAGTACCGCTGGTTGCGGGCAGCGTGAATCGGGGTAGCAATGTGGTCGGGGCTGGCATGGTAGTTAACGACTGGATGGCGGTGACGGGGCTGGACACCACGGCGACGGAGCTCAGTGTCATAGAGAGTGTGTTTAGACTAGGCGAGGGCGCAGCACCTGGTAACATTGGCGGCAACCTGAAGGATACGATGGTGGAAAGCTTTTACTAAGGGGTTTGGTCTCCTTATGGGTGAGCAAAAATTCGCCGTATCGAAGATGGATGCTCCGGGATGCCTTCTTAGGTATTGCCCATCTTTATTTCTCGGGAACGAGCCGGTGCCGTCATGAGACGGTTCTAGCGATGCCTGAATTGGTATAATGGACAGCTCAAAGGCAGCTTTATGGTTGTTATACCAGTGTATTAGCATGGTAACTGCTTAGTAATTCATTGAAGCATTCCAGCTACGGTGCTGTCAGTCACAAACAAGGGCTTAGAAAACGGCATTGGTATTGGCATCAAATTTGTTTCCAGCTTGGGTTGGGAAGTGAGCCGTGGAAAACGAAGATGAAATGTGGATAAGATATAATAGTTGTTGTCTATGGATGTATATGGCAAAGAGCCATGAACCGTACCGTATAATATGTAGGTACCTAATCTAATTCTGCTCACATTAGTATTTTCTGTACGGAGTAATACCTACATATGTACCTAGGGTACTCATACTTCTACTTAGAATCTACTATGTACATATGTAGGTATTTACACAGGCGCTCACTTGTTAAAAAGTAAAAAAAGTAATTAACTATTTTCATCAAGTTTTCTATCGATAATAAAATCGGTTAGTTGAATTAAATTTTAACTACTCCTTATTACCCCTTACCTGCACTGTGCACTGTGCATTGAGTTCAGTTTATTTTTGTGGGGTATTCTTATCTTATCTTATCCACCCCAAAAAACACGGCTCGACGCGTCAAGCTTTACTTTCTGTATTCAATCCCCTCCCATCTCATCCCTTCTCGCTTCCCGCTTTTCCACTTCCCACCAATCTATAGTTATACCTTACCTCCTACAACACTTACATTTCTTACCCCCAATTCTGTAATCACCCCAAGTCATACCTATCAGGTACTCAGTGACGAGCTTGTGTAACAACATCTCATCTTTCAATTCACATCGCGATTATTACAATCAATTACTAGGTATAATCAACCAATCACCATGCCGCGACCCAAGAGAAGTCGCGTCGCGTCGACTCGAATAGTCGCAAAAGAAACAAGTCCAGTACCCATTGCAGTGCCAGGAAAACCCATTCAAAATGACTCGGATATTTACGACCTGAGTGACCGCGAAAAAGATAAAGCCAAACAGAGACGGGAATCATTACACGGTGTAAATACTACACGAACGCGATCAACATCTGCACACCAGACGAAGGCATTAGATGCTGCGCGACAGCGACGCGATTCTGCAATGGATCGACTAGAGAACATGACATCCACATCGAGCAACCAACCGGATCGACCCAATGAAGATTTAGATTCCTCCATTGAATTTGGGCGCAAGGTTTCCATAACCCCACAACGTAGGAGGATTGGCGACTTGTCGGGACTAGATTTGGACGACGATGATTTTGACGATCTCAATACTACTTTTGACACTGCCGGCCCGGCTAGTGCACAACGATCGGCTGACACGTCTTCCATGTCTGCGAGCTTATTCAAGCGACGACCTCGCGCAGGAAGCTTTTTAAGCAGAGAGGACGGCTACATTCGACCAAGCAGCCGAACCGGTCCCAACACACCCGGCCTTAGTTCAACGTTCAACATTGGTGTCTTCAAGAGGAGAGTTCGGGAGCCTAGCATTCTAGGCACCGCACAAAAGCCGCGCCCACAGATGATTGAGCCTGAACCTGAGTCGCCATCTGAGGAGGAAGACGAAGAAGAGGAAGAAGAGATCGCCAACCAAGACGGGTTTGCACCTGAAGCTCAGTCAACTCCTTTGATGCGCTCTAAGAGACGCTCGGGAGAAACTGAAGCCAACCCTACATCGCCCCAACCCGGGCCAAACACGGTTTCTCGCAAGCGAAAGTCTTCAGAAGGTCATGAGCGTCGCGCTCGATCCTCGCCATTCCAAGCGAAAGAGCCCACCGAGGATGTAGTACAACAAACAGACTCAGAACTCTCATCCCTGCCGTCCACTCCACCTCGGCAAACCAGTAGACCGGTGACACCTATTATGGACGAAGAGCTGATGGCCCCACCCTTAAGCAGTAGTTCATCCGCAGGCGACTCCGAGATCTGGCCGCCTCTACAATCACTCGCAAGGGGTCGCACAAAACGCCCAGTCTCGGGTCTTCGAAGGACTCCAGTTCGCGACGACAATGTCTCCGACATTTCCTCCCCACCGTCTCTTACCCATTCGCCAAATTACCGCGAGCCATCCCCACCACCAAAGCGGGCAACGAAATCAAGCCGCAGAGCCGCAGCTTCCAAGTCAGAAGCAAAAATTACTACTGCGGATCTAGCCGGTTTGCTACCTCGTCGTCGGCGTAGGAATGTGACAGTCGATGAGGATTCAGACGCTGAAATCGACATTTCTGGCCTGGGAGATAATGATGATGAACTCTCGTATCTTGACGTACGAGCTCGGGCGCATCCGGCGCGATCATCATCGCGTCCAGGAAACACCAGAAACCGAAATGGCTCGAAGGGGGGATCGACTTCGCGCGGCAAGGGGAAGCAGGTCTCTAGCTCGGCTAATAAAAAGACCGCCATAACTTATAGTCGAAATTCGGATAAAGAGAACCAAGAGGAAGAAGATGTCGAGGGAGAGGATGGTGGCTTGGGCCCCGAGGTGGATGACGACATCGAGGAGGACACCCAGCAACTGGTTGCGAGAGTGGGCGAGGAGCTTAAGGATGCGGCCCGCAAGTTCCAGGAGGTTGACAAGTGGCAGCTGGATTACGAGGAGATGACACAAAGTAGTTCTCCACGAGATGCTCGTTGAGCTGTGTTGAGCTGTGTTGAGTTGTGTTGAGTTGCGGCGTGTTGCGAGTAGTCTTGGAGGAAGAAGGAAGGAGTTGAAGGGGAAAAAAACGGAGGCGTACTTATTCATGATGGACGACCATTTTTCATACATTGTAGCTGGGTCACTGACGGATCCATGTGCTCTCAGTTATTGCTTCGCAGTTCTAAGGCGTCAGTCTACGAGGGCTATAAGATATTTAGTCACCTAAATGTGCACAGGTGACGTTTTGGAGTGAGCTGTTAGCTTCGATACCTAGGCATGATTATCGAGTATCAATCAGCGTCTAGTTTGCTATCCAGAATCAAATCGTGGATCATGCCTCGGCAGGTAGCAGGTTAGCTAAATATTCATATAAATGCAGAGTTTTGCCTCTGCCCTGGATGCTTCTTTGCTGTCTCGAAATCCTACAAACAGTATAATGCAGTACAATGCAATACAATATAGTACATACGTTAGTTTAAACACCTTCATCCACTTAAAAAGCTGTCTTCAAGCGTATTTGGCCGATGTCAACAACACAAACTAAGAGACAGCCTCGCAGGCGCAAAAAGAGAAGTATGCGCATCTCGATCTCGATCTCGGAATTCTGCCCAATAAGTCTCGCCCCTCCCCTATCTCTATCTCGAATCCTAGCCCTCTGTTCGCACGCCGGTCTCGCATTTATTCGTTTGTACTAGGACGATGGCGTGTACTCATCGGTTCATGATCATACGGTGATTGCTCTGGCTATGGCACTCGATCCGGGAGGGGAGGGGGGCTATTTATTACTAGAGTTGAGAGAGAGACTTTCAGACCACGTACCTAACGTGTCAACTCGTCGCCCCCTTTGTTTTATATTGTCTATAGCAAATGGAGCAAACACACCAATGGAGCCTACACAACAAATAAGTTCCTAGGTACAGTGTTATACTTCAAGACTTATTTGTTTATTCCGACTTCTCCACGACATCAAATCCTATGATATACATGTGACGTTCGTCTTTCTTTCTCCCGCTCCCCTTCTCTTGTATGCCTATAATCATAAAATCGCAATCGTCTAACCACGATTTCAGAGCCGAGTTTTTCGTACCCGGGCCTCAAGAACGCCAATATCATGCATCCAGTCATAAACCTCGTCAGTATGCTACCTAGGTAGGTATCTACTTACCTTCCTTCCCGCCTGCCCTGCCCGCTGTTTATCCAGCGAAACGGAGCCGCCGCTTACTTCTGCTCTCTCTCTCTCTCTCTCTCTTTGTTTTTTTTTCTTTTTCTTTTTTTAACTCGGGTCAATATTTTCATCTTACGACTTTAACGAGACACTCTCTAGCGTCTGCTCAACGATAGGAAGCAAATCGGCGATTTTATTCGCGTCGCGCAACGCCGCTGTAACGGCATCGGGCACCAGTCCCGTCATGAGGAGTTTCTACAAACACACGCATACGTTAGCATCTCCTCTACCTACTGTCTTTCCACGTACAGAGGTATATAAAACCACAACAACAATATACAACAGGAAAAGTAGGAGGAAAGAAGTGCACTTGAAACATACAGTGAAACATAAAGAAGAAGAAGAAGAAGAAGAAGAAGCGAAAAGAGACAGAAAAACACTCACCCTCTTAACCTCCTCAAAGCCGAGCTCCTTGGCGGTATACTCGCGCGTGACCTCCTCCTGCGCGAAGTCGACGTAGACGCGGGTGTCGCGGATGCGGGCGACGACGTTGTCGAGGCGCATGTAGAGGCGGGCCAGCAGCAGCATGCGGTGCTCGTGGACGCGGACCTTGACGCTGAGCACGCTGATGCCGTTGTCATCCAGCTCGCTCTCGTACAGCATCACCTCGTCGAAGAACAGGATCGGGTCCCGCCGCTTCAGCAGCTCGATCGGTATCGGCCTGCTGCTGGGCTGGAACTGCAGCTTCTTCCTTCTTTCGCTTTCTTCTTCGGTGATTGCTTCTGGTGCTGTGTCCTCACCCCCATCATCGCCTACCCCACTACTACTGCTCTTTGCTGAAGTTTCCGCTGCACCGGGACCAGGCGGCGGCGGCGGCGGCAGCGGCAGCAACGGCGAAGACGACACCACGGTGCCCTTATACGTCGTGCTATAGCTCCAATCATAGGGCTTGACGACGTCCCTGATGCCCGCGCTCGTCTGCTCGCGGCTCGCGGACCAGCTCTTGGCGTAGGCGACCTGGAGCATGTGGCGGTCCGTCTTGTCGACGGCGTCGAGCGCGTCGCGCGCGCTGAACTCGATCCCCCAGCCCGTCGGCCCGTGCCGCACCGCCACCACGTTGTCGCCGAAGATCATCTCCGGCACGGGGATCCCGAGCGCCTTCTCCATCGCGTCGATCGGCCCCGCCTTCGAGATCGGCAGCTTCCGCGACGAGATCACGAAGTTGCCCTGCCGGTGCGACGTCGTCGCCTGCGCGAGGTGCTCCGGCCGCGGGTACGGCTCGTTGGGAGAGGTTATGTGGGATGCTGCCATTTTTATCTTGGTTTGATTACCCTTACAAAAGAATTCAAGGTGGTAAGGAAGGCTGGCTGTTAAAGGTTGGAATGAAATCAAGGCTGAGGTTGAGGTTTTGAGGTTGAAGTTTGGAAGCTTAAGCTACAGTACCAGTAGGTAGCATGCATATCTGTAACCTAGGTTAGTAGCATATCTGTAGCCCTATGTTGCACTGAGAAGCCCTACTACTAGTCCTAACTACTAGTACTGCTGAAGACATGGAGGGGCAGGAGCTTCGTCACAGTGGGGCTGTTACCACAAGCGATAAGTTGGTGGTCTAAGCTTCTACCGATTTACTGGGCACGTATTTACAGGGATGCTTGCAGGGGTAATGGTATGTATGAATATCAACCGGGGATACCTATCACGTACGAATACCTATCCCATTCGAAAGACCCAATTCGTCCTGTGACCAATCTAAGTACCCTCTCGACCACCTATTCAACCTATTCAAGTTGACGGAATTCCCACTGCCATCGTCTCTTGACGCCAAATTTCGCTATTAGACCATTAGCTAGGTACCTAGATAGGCTGCCTCCTCGGGTACCGTTGCCTGGCTTGGACGTACTTCTTGTGCTACTCTACCCGATATCATTGCCTCATCACCCCTAAGTTTTCATGACAGTGTGATAGCTAGGCAGTTGTTTCGAATCAACAACTCTCGCTTCATCGGGGGTTTCCTTGAAATGCTCGATAATTAAGTATAATAACACACATGCTAGTAATTGTGTTTAATCTCCATCAGTAACGATCCGAATTGTGGTTGTTGATCCGAATGACGGTGATGCAGGATTTTTCAAACGCGTCCAGCGATTCTGGCTCGTCTAGCTTCCTCTTCCTTGTTAATCGCGACACGGTCCAAGAAGTCCTGTCGGTTGACATAAGACTCCTTGGATTTCCCAGCTAATTCGAGTTCGTCTTTGATGCCCTCCTTGTCCACGAATCCGGCCCAGTCCATCCGGCTCTTCTCGACTACATTCAATTTCTTTGCCTTGGCCTGCTCGCGTAACTGCAACCTCACATCCATGCCAAGGTTCAGATCCGAACGTTGAGTCAAGCCTTCAATAACAGGCTCGAATATAGATCGGAACGCCTTTCGTGGGTTTCTCTTGAGTTGGTCGTCCTCTGCTTCGACGGGTTCGACCGCGTTTGGGTCTTGGGATGCGAGGTACAGTCTTGCTTCCGCCGAATCCCGGGGTACTAATTTTTCCTCCATATGCACTTTTCCCGCGAAATTGTATGTACGTTTTATCTTGATCATCACAGGTGGTTCGGCTACGCTCGGCTTCTCCGTTTGTGTCTTGTCCTTTTCCGCCTGGGGTTGTCCGTCAATGCCATCTTGTGTCGGTCGTTGGCTTTCCTTCGTGTCTGAATCGGACTTGGAAGGTATTAAGGGACCAGCCGTCATCTTTGCCCATAAGTCATCCACATCGATCGTGACGGGACCAGTATCTACGCGCGACTTTTTCTCTGCCTTCTCGACTGCTCGCATACTCCGAGTCTTGATGAGACCACCCTCGCCACCTACATCTTCCAGGTCGCCATGTTTTCGCTTCTTCTTTTGACGTTTCTTTCCTTTATGTATAATGGCTTCATCGCCCGAGTTTTCGAAGCCGGTGTCGGGATCTGCATCAGCACTGAGCTTCGTACTGGATATTGCGACTAATTGAACTTCGCCGTCTGATTCGGATAAGTCTGAATCGGCTGCTACTGGCGCCGCGCCGGGGACAAAGTCGGAGTCCTCATCAGAGGCATAGTCTTCATCTAAGAGTGGCTCTTGCGCCATGATTCTGATGGTTTTGAAGCTTATGTCGTACGCGTAGGTGGGAGATTGAAACGCGATTCAATGTTATTCAACATTGTTCAACATTGAAGTTGTAGGGTACTAGGTACTAGGCTAGGTACCTAGGGTACATTAAAACTTTTGAAGTTCAGAACTGACAGAACATTAATTCCCGCCCCACATGTATATACACTATGCACGTGCCACTAATTGATATTCTTTAAGTTCTAGGCTGAGTTCTTAATCCACAACCCAGTTCCATGTATAACGTCACCACTATTCAGTTCTACACCTTTCACAGTTCTACACCTTTCAACACAAGAGCAAATTTCATCTTATCTTGACAAGCTAATATAACCCTTACGTTTATATACTATATAATATACTATAAAATTGACCACATTTTCCCCCTTCATCTTACAAGCCCCAATATTCCTTCACGAGGTATGCAGCATACCCAGCCAGGCCTCCAATTGTGACCATAGAGCCATAGTAGCCAACGGGTCGTCCAATACCCATCCCAGTGATAAGACCCAGCTCCGCGTGAATGATTCGGAAAGCCAAGAAGGCGCTGAGAGCTGCAGTAATCACTTTCCGGCTTCCTCCGTTCAGCTCAGCAAACGCTGCAAGCATGAGACCGAGTGGGGCATTCTCGAGGAAGTTTACGTGGCAACGGGTTGCCAAGTAGAGCTTGTCGGTAGGGTCGGCATTCTTGGAAGCGTTATCACCCAAGTATTTCTTTTCCTTGAGACGATGGCCGACGACGCGGAGGCTCAAGAACGTGAAATACGCAGAGAACGGAAGTGCGAAGGTGCCGGTCACAGCTATCACCAAGTCAACGATATGTAATCAGTAAGGCGTTTCAACTGTTATGTAGGTATGGGCTGGCTTGATCAAACTCACGCACGAGGGGCCCAATTGTAGCTCTATAAGCCATGATTCAACGATATATAGGTACTAGGTAGGTGGAAGTACAGTAGTATAAAGTGAAGTGAAGTGAAGAAAGGTGAAAGGTTAAGGTTTTTCTAAAGCCGATGTCATTCTCTGATACCATGCCATGTGTGGTGTAGTAATCAACATTGAACTACTTAACCTAGCTGCCTAGCGACCTTGGGTGGATCTCGTCTATCCGACAAGGGGACCATGTCTATATACTACGTCTGAGGGTTACTACTAGTACAGCCTCCTGTCTTCCGTCCCCTCATTGCATAGTACTGACGCAGCTATATTGATCTAGCCATGTCAGTAATACATGCTATAAGATGCAGTTGGAGATTTGAAGATCAATGGTCAGCCATTCTGCATGAGAGCGATCTTCGATGCCAAGACTCTTCCCGTCGTTGACAACTTCAATGTTCCCCATATCACGGAACCCCACAACTCCAAAGTGAGATAGATCTATGATCCATATCTTCGCTTGTAACACAATTGTGTCATGGTCATGTACTTGCTGACGTCACAGACTTGAGCCAGGCGTGCGAAGCAGCTCGGCACTTCTCGAGTATTTAAAGAAAGAAGAGCCCTTTGTGACTAGGATAGGTAGATCTATTTACTACATGTATTTCTTATTAGATTTCTTATACCATACTGTTTTGTAAAGCTCACAACTATGTCTTCGGGAAACAACCCACAAGCTTCTCTTATCGGTGGCCACGCCGAATACGTCAAGGGAACCGCGGAGGTTAGTATCATACCTAGTATGCTACTCTCAAAAAATGGCAATGCTAATGTCACAAGTAGTCGGCCATTGGCAGTGTCACAGGCTCGCAAGCGTGGACAACCTCTGGAGAGCAAGCCAAAGCCCACGCCGTCGATACTATGAAAACAGCGGGCGAACAGCGCAATGCCTCGACTCAAGGCTTTGGAAAGGTTGAGCAGAAGTTAGGCCAGGCCACTGGTTGTGAGGGCATGGTCAAGGAGGGAAGTGCTAGCAAGAGGCAACAGTGAGATGCATACACATGTGTTCCCACTTACCTATGTACGTAAAATACGTACGTACAAACCAATGTAACAACACTTGGGGGGTAGAATATGGTTATGTGGATTAGTTTTGAAGGCGTCAAGGGTTCTCGATGAGGAGCTAAGTATCAGGGTATGTTACATATACCTAGTACGACTTATATACAGGAACAGTTTCATTTTCAAACACGCACGACCTCAACTTTTCATATTCTATAACATAATTGGATACTATTCTCTTTGTCAGAAGGGACCTCCAGATGTCTACAAGGCTAGTGATGTGTACATTTATATAAACCTCTCCCTCTTTCTCTCTCCTTACTCGACTGTGTCATATATGTGGCGCTTCCTGTGCATTTGGGACGAACTACCAGGTGCCTAAATAGGTACATAGGTAGGCACGCACTAGTCTTCTATCTTGTACGCCGGGGCACTTAAAGCGGGTATCGAGATGCGCCGGCAGTTGTCGGCGGCTGACGCCTTAGGAGACGAAAGACTGACCGCATCTGGATTTCGGCTCCGTGGTCGAGTTTCGGTTAGGCGTGCCGGAAAAGATGTCGAGTTCCGTGAAAATGGTAATAAAATGGTGCACATGTGGTAAAATGGTACCTAGTAGTACGGACCTAGGTATTTAAGATACTCCGCTATGCCTACCTAGTACTTAGGTAGTAGCGCCTTATGGTAGCGTCAGACCGGTAAACCCCGCAGCGCACATCCATGTATGATTCCACTGGGCATAGATCCATCTAGTACCTACTAGCAGGTACCTGTACTACCTACATATCCCCCAAAAGGACCCTGAATTTAGAAGCATCAAGGGTCCTTGAGGGTCCCGAGGATCCCTTGAGTGATCGTTCCATCCAGATTTTTTAACCTTGAGTTTACTCCACTCAGGGCACTCAAGGTCGTGCCACCTTCTAGCTTGGCTTGCTTGGGCACACACTTTTGGAGGGGCTCGTCGGACCTGTACAACTTTTTTTTTTTTAAAGGGCAATGAAGATTCCTTTAGATTTGCTTGTTTGATTTTAGTTGTAGGTTTTTTTTTTCTTTTTTCTTCTTCTTTCGTTTTCATCAAGTACGATCTCTAGAATTTGATATCTGAAATAGCAACTTGCTTAAGTATATATATTACTTACTCATAATATATAATCCCGATCGACATACGGCTAACCTATAGAGCATACATCGCGGCCCCTCTTAGGACAGACCTTGATCGCAACCGAGATATCGGAGACGGGAACTAAACCGAGAACGAGAACGGGTGTCGTTGATCGGCAAAATCTTACAGCGTTGCAAATTTGTCCCCCAAAAAATCTTGACTCAACCTTCAAAAATAAACGTCGTACCTTGTGCTCGTCTCGCATACCCGAAGTAACGACGATAATCTGCAGGCAACTAAGCAATGACGTGCCCCTGATCAGAAGTGCGGTTTCAACCCCCCACACTGCTGCTCAGTTACTTCAACGGTACCCATCTCGATTCCTACCTATAAAGCACTAAACCGTGCCTTTGGGGCGATGGACGAGTCCGAAGAGGAGTTCGATACTCGAATCGAGTTGCTCCTACGTCAACGCCAATCGTTGACCGATGAGTTGCTAGCTAGCCCATACGACCTCATCCTTTATATAAGGCGCGCATTGGTCTACGCTGACCTAGCATATCCCGACTTGGCAGCTAGCGATGCTTACCGCGCCCTTTTGTTAACCGACGAGGTTCGTGACGAGAGCTTCGAATATCACAACCAAGCCCTCGAAGCGCTGACATCCTACACCCATGATTCATTCTTGGAAATCCTAGAGCATGGCTCCTTATCCGGCAACCTATCTCGTCTACCCATATCAGACGGCGGTGTAAAGGACATAGCCGCATTTGCTACTCTCGCATCTATCCGTTGTTATCAAATATTGGCCTTGAGCCTTCTGCTATGCGGCTGTCTCAAAAGCGCATGCAAGTTCTGCGAGCGAGGATTAGCTATTGCGCCGGATAACCAGGAGCTTCTAAACACGCGGGGTTACATTCGAACCGTCGCCGAGCGCCGAACCCGCAAGCCAATCACCGGCGTGAACGACCTGCCGGACTGGGGCATGGTGCGTAGGGAGGTTTATCCGTGGAATTCCTACGAACCCGATCGATTTTCTGACGAGTCTTTGGCTGTCCTTAATAACCAGCTTGCCAATATAGCACCAAAATGCACCGTCAAGGTGGCCCAGTTGCCCGTATTACTTGGATGTCCGAGCAATACTGATGATTACGATGTGATTCCGACATGTAGCCAGCTTGGCCTATTCGCCCGAGAGGATATCGCGCCGGGAGAAGATGTCCTGGTAGAATACTCACTCGTGACAGCGAATAATCGACTAAAGGAACCTGTGTGTGATGCTTGTAGCGGCGAACTTCCGCCGTTAGCAAGCGGGTCTCCCGCTGTCAACTGCCCAGAATGTTACGATACCGTGTTTTGTACGCAGTACTGCTTCGATAAGGCCCAGGAACTTTACCATCCAGCTGTTTGTGAAAAGGATGTGGATTCGATCGCCAAAGACGCCGATGCGAAGGAAGCTGACGAGGCACTTCATCTTTTACTGCTCGCGCGGGTTATAGCTATGGCAGCTCATCAAGAAATACACCCGCTTGAGGTCAGCCAGGTCAAGCATATTTGGGGAGATTTTGTCTCCTCGCAAACTAACGAGATTGATCTATCGCCTAAGGCCGGACCGCCTCCGGAGTGGACGCTGCCTTTTTCTTTTACTTACAACATCGAGACGCCCCTCCACATCCTCGAGAAGATGGACATTGATATCTACGCCACTCTTTCCAACTATGATACATGGGTGTTTAATACACTTTACAGCAAGTTTCGCGGTACTGCGTCAGCTCGCCAAAACCCGAGAGATGGACGACCTGATGTCGCCGCTGTTCATCCTTTCTGGTGCCTTGCCAACCACGACTGCGACCCTAATGTTAGTTGGGAATGGGGTGGCCGAATGGTCTTGACGGCGCGCGAGAAGAGGGTGGTTGATGGTGCACCAGGCGGCATAAAAGCGGGAGAGGAGATCCTCAATCATTATTGCGATGTCAATCTACCCGTTCAACAGCGTAGGGAATGGGCAAGCGGCAGCCTTGGTGGGTGGTGCATGTGTCGTAGGTGCCGCAACGAAGCCGGCTCGAAAGACAATTCCGCTGGATAATTATTTTTAAATACCCCTTTGAGCTTTCTATGAGGCTGCCAACTTTAAACCAACACGAACACTGCGGCGATGGGTTTGGTTCTTTCATGATTATACACGTGTCATGACTGCCAACCCGGCGATTCCTCGCCTCTCCGCTTCGAGCACTCTGTTCTATACCCGAAATAAAAATCCTCGTCTACTGGTTAGCAGGTATTGCATTCAACATCCAAGGAGACATAAGCATCAAGACAAGCCGAGATGCCTAGAACGACTAAGTCCTCACTCTGCTCCAGCTCATTGACAATATATTGGGCGATTCACGGGTCATACAGCAGCAGCGCATTCGAAGTCGGACGTAAAATGAGAATCACCATATACGCCATCTCTTTCGACATCTTTTGCTCTTTTGGATTTTATCTATCTTTAGTTACTCTTTTCCTTCCGCATACGAACAGAATCTGAGCATCTGCTGAAATGAACTAACCAAAATCCATCTCCTGTCCCAGCTCTACATGATTTGCATGGCCCGTCATCATCATCGTCATCGCATAGAAGGGCATCGTTGTTTGAGCTTGAGTCAATGAAGGATGAATGGGTATACCTTTTTTTTCTCCCCTCTTCTCACTTTTATTCTCTCTATAAATGGACTATTTATGTTGAAGTGCGATATAATAATAGCCGCCACCATTAAAGTTCTATACATTTAAATCAATAAACGAACGATACGATGAATTAATAAAAAATAAGAATAATTACGGATATTTTTTTTGCAGGTACTTTATGATTTCTCTTGTGTTAATCCTTTGGTTGCGTGTATCGTGTGTGATTATGTGCCTACCTAGGCACTTGGTAGGTACCTATCTGCCTAACCTACCTATGCAACCATATTGGTCCCAGTGAATGCTTGGTGGTGGTGGTGGTGGTGAAACGAGATGTTTCGGTATTTGATAAACATACTTGCCTAACCTAGGTACCACGGCACCCTACGGCATACGTCCTTACCTATAGTTATACCTACTTTGCTCAAAGCCTCTCTCTCTCTATATATATATACATACGAAGTATTATCACCCTAGATCTTCTTACCCCCAGTCATTAGCTTAGTACAATACCTAGGTAATATGTTAGGTTAGTTAGTAGTGGACAAGAAAGACAATCATGGATTATTACTTGGCGCCCGACGTCCAGATATTTACCTGCTTAGGTATGTAATGTACCTACCTACCTCTTTACGATCTTAAAGTAAGCAGCTCACCAGACTGACATACATATGTATGTAAAGCTATCACACACACACACACACACAAAGAACCTGTCCAACATACCTACCTACTGCCTAGACTTGTTAGTACGAAACACTTCATGCACCACTCAACACAGATGCAGATATCTAGACAGGCGGACGTACAACAGCCAGACGGTACTCATTAACTCATAAGATCACTATGTACTAGTTACATAAGGTTACTGTAGGTACAAGTTTGTATCTGCGTGCCTGGGAAGGTAGGCACTCCATAGGAACATTGAAGTAAGTAGTTATAGTTTACTGAGGGGACATTTTTTGTATCTACAGTACCTTGCCTTGCCTACTTACAATGTACATATGTAGACAGACTTTCCATTCTCCCGTTCTTCCCCCTTCCCCCTTTACAGTAGGTAGGTAGGTAGGTAGGTAGTAGAAAAGCAAGCAAAGAACAATTGATCGATGTAGGTATGGTATTGTTGGGGTGAAACAAGACAGGCCTTAAGCTTTTTTTTTAAATAAAAAAAAAACATCTCAGCCTTCGAATAAGGTATCCCTTTCTCCCTTCCCTGCTCCCTCTCCACGAATACCCTACCCTACCCTTCCCTTCCCAGCCCTATCCTACCGTATCCCGTCACCTAGATATTCCTCTCAGAAGAAGAAGGAGAGCACTAAACTTGAAACGAAAAACCACAACAAGAGCAAAGAAACAGTGTCTCGAGAGGCCACGATTTTGTTTTGCGAAAAAAAAAAAAAAAAAAAACCACCCCAAGAATCGGAAGAGAAAAAAAAAAAGGAGGAGCGAAGAAGAAGAAATGAACATGAACCATGAAGAAAAACCCAAAGGGGCGATTTTTCCACAACCATCTCCAGCACATCAGAACGCCACTTTCCCTTTGTGTTTGCTTTTATGTACATCCCTCATAAAAAAAAAAGGCCACAGCTATTTGCGTTTGTTGCTGCGTTGCATACCTGCCTACCTAGGTAGATGCCTAGATACTGCCCTTCGCGAGTTGCTTCTTCAACATTCTAGATAGGAAGAGCAGGATACGCCGGCTGAGATGGCGGGCGAACAGGCGAGTCGACATCCATATCGCTGCCTGAGTGCGAGCCGGAGTGCGAGTGAGAGTTGTTCTCCTCGTCATAGTCCTTGCGCTTGATGCGGTCGATGACGTATTCGCGGAGGTATTCGATGACGCGGATGTGTTCCAGCCATGCCTCGTATGCCTGATCCTCACGAGCCTCGGCACTAGCTTCAGACTCTGCAGACGGCGAACTGACGGCAGAAGCAGCCGGCTCCGGTTTGGGCGTGCTGGTGAGTTCACGGTCGAGGTGTGGTCTAGGGCCGGCGTTGGCGCGCTGGAGCATGCCACCCGAGTATCTGCGGCGGGGATCCGAATCGAAGTTGGGCCCCAATGTGGATGTCGCGGATTGGCCAGGGTAGCCGGAGGTGACGGCGGGAAGAGTTGGGTATAGTGCCGAGGTAGTCGAGCTGTGGCGTGTGGACGGTGACAGACCCGAGGAAGAAGCACTCGGCGAATGGCCAGACGTGTATGACATAGAGCTAGATGGTGGTGTTACGGCGGGAGTTCCGTTCGAGTGTGTCGAAGAGACTGCAGTTAGCGGCGATGCCACGTGTGCGGCCGAGTATCCACTATTGTTCATGGCATTGGATTGATGCGCCCCGGAATGCGGTGGCGATTGGCTGTGACGGAAGCCAAGGGGCACGTAGTGTGACCCAGGCTGGTGTACTCCGGCGGCCGCAGCTGTGTTAGAGCTCTCGTACACCGTGCTCTGCATTTGCTCTAGCATCTGGTCGATCTGAATGAGATCATTCTTAGTGCGCACGTTAGGCATCGGTGGCAATGAATAGTGCTGCTGGTAAGGACCATGGCCAGCAGGGCCGTCCACAGTCATGACGGCGGGGCTGGGGAGGTACTCGGCGCCGAGGGAACCTGAGTGGATGGGTAAAACGTTGTGTAGAGGCATGAGTCTCTGTCCAACCTGGGCATACGAGTTTGGGTCCATTTGGCGGCGCTTCGCGTCACCGAAGAACTCGTTCAACACATCATAGGTGCGCTTGCGGTTGTCGTACTCCGCAGAAGCTTGGTAGCCCATATGATCACCTCGGCCACCCATAGGTTGATAATACATGGGACCTCCGAAGGAAGGCTGGGAATGGTGCTGGTAATAGCTACTTGGGTGGCTTCCGGGGTGAGGCTGTTGACCAAAGGCGGCCGAGTTAGTACGGATTTGACCATTATGATCATAGTAACTGGACGAAGCTACGAGGCAGATTAGCCTCTCTAACTGAGGAAGCAACAAAGTTTCAGATAAAGCAGAGTGACTTACCTTTGCCTTGGTGTCGATAGCCGCCATTCATGGGCCCGTGCTGATCTGGTGAACGGACCAGAACGGAATCATCAGCATGAGTCTGCAGATTACGAATTAGCAAAACGAGAACTCAAATCGACGAGGACAAGCGTTTAGCTCGAGCGTAATGTGTGTGATATGTATAATTATCTCACATGCCATATTACACCTATACGATGACGATATAACATACCTTGACATGCTTTTTCAAGTCCTGGGGACGCTTGAAGGATTTACCGCAGAAGTCGCACTTGTGTGGCTTCAGAGGTACATGGACACGAATATGCGAAGTGATATGATCACGCTTGACAGTGGTGGTCTTGCACTGATTCCACTGGCAAGTAAGGTTCAAGTTGTTGGTGCTCTTGCGGCCAACATGCTTCTCACATATGTGCTCCTAAAGGTAATTATTAGCCTAATTTATGGGTATATTAATGGCGGATAAAGCAACACAACAACGTACATAGAGAGTTTCGGCAGTGTTGAATTTGTCGCTGCAGCCGGACCAGCGGCAGGTGAGAGAGTCATCCTGGGCTGGAACGCTGGACTGCGAAGTGGCGGTTGTCGCGGTGGATGGCGCAGGTGTAGTGCCGTTGGAGGCTGAGCTTTCGCCCGATTGCGTCGAACTATTCTCCGGTGCGGCTGACATGACTTCGATTGAACCTTTGTTCTTCGAATAAAGGGTTCAAATAGGGGGTTCAGAAAAGGGGGTGTGGTGTTCACGTGATAAAAAGTGATGATAACCAGAATATTGGCTTAACGCAGTATGTTAGTAAATGAGGAAATGTTGGTAAAGGAAAGAGTTCACGTGATTTAGACAGGAAATAAATTATTGATTTGAATCAGGCCAAGGTGTCAGGTGATTGGGAAGAATATTAGTCCAGATGTGGGGTATTTCTTGTTTCCTTTTTTTCCTCAGGAATTAACTTTTCCCCTTTTCTTTCAATTCTTTCTTCTGCTCTTTCTGTTCTTTTCTTTTCTTTCTCGTGACTGGATTTGATTGTAATATAATACCTAGGTACAACTTGGACGGTCCAAGCTTTGTGACATGTGACTTATGGGGTGCCAAGAAGAGCTTGAACAGGAACTGGATCTCTTTCGAGAATGATGAAGCATAAAGAAACCGTGCTTCTCTCGATTTTAAGCAAACAAGCAATATTCAGATTGGAAATCCCAAAGAAGCAAAGGAGAGAAAAAGGGCGTATTTGTCTGAAGAGAGGAATGCCCAGTTTATGTAAATCGGGTGTCGTGCTCGCTCCTTATTATGGACGTTTGACCTTGGCGATATCCAGGCGGAAAGTCTTGGCGATGGGTCTTGGGTGTTGCGGTTGATGTTGCATGATTGGTTAGGGGGAAATGGGGGCAAACGGTTCAAGTACCCTGTGCCGAGAGTTACTCAGGTTTGGTAGTAAATTTCTACGGAGGAGCGAGTTACCCCTCCTCAGTAGTGACTTCCGTGCCAAGCAAGTGCCAAGAGCTTGGCGTGCTCTTGGCACTTGCTGATTGTCTCGATATCCAGTACTATGTAGTAGTAGGTAGTAGGGCAACTACCTAAGAAAATGCTTATGGTTGCTCGTGGTTGCTTGGAAAAACCTTGGCCGCCGGTTCCTCCTGCGCCGAGACTTGACTGCGCCCACTTTCCTAGCAACGGTTTTCCTCACGTTGGATTATTCCTTCCCTTCTTTACACATTGTATTTCTCAACCTGGTTACTGATCGTTGTTGCATTACGTACCCAAGTACCATGTATTATTATCAAAACGCAATTTTGTAGTAATCACTTACCACATACATATGACTTACATACATAAATACTATGTAGTATGTATGTACTACTAGTAGTAACTAGTTATGGTACAACATAATAGCATGTGCCTACCTAGGCATATAGCAGTTATGCATGCTAATCCCATTTTCGTTCAATTCATGCTACGTACAGTACTTTAGGTACATATCTCCTTTACCTGGCTTGCATACTACTACATATAGTACCCCTTTTTATATCAATGATAGATAATCCAACATTGTCCAGTTACTTCAACGTTTGTTTAATACATTTATGATATGTGTAAGTGTTTCCTATCTATAACACATATAACACATATCTAGGTAGACGGCAAAGATGCAAGACATACGATATAGCGACATCGTACGACAATCGCATCCAATCTTGCCCTATCATTCTCTCGACATGGCATTGGATATGGCATTAGATATGGCATTGCACATTGTAATTTAAATGCCATTGATACCTATTATGGCAGCGGAGGAAAAGTCTTGGTATCAACCAGTACAAGGACAAGGTGTTCGCTTTTCAGGCCTGTCATCTGGTTCAGGAGAGATAGACGCTGGGCACTCCGCCGGTGGCCAAGCCTTGGTTTCTTTTCCGCCCGCCAAGTCCTTGGCTATGCACTTGCTAAACTACCTACCATCTGCCGGCAACGACGGCAACAAGGTAACTACGAATCAAACGACTCTACAAAATGCCTAACCTACTCCATCCAACAGTCTACACTAGGGAGTAGGGGAAGCACCCTTGGTTTCTTCTGGTTCAGGCAGTTGGAACGGTACTCGGACGGTCCAATCCGCTAGAGTTTCCAGAACCCTTCCACCTATCTACCTGCCTACCTGCCTACCTGCCTACCTGCGAGGTACTAAGCTTTATTTAATGGCTTTCAATGCAGGCAGTCTATCTTCCGAATGGCCAAAATACCAAATCAACCGAGTCGATCACAAGACAGGATATGGAAGTTGAATTCGCCCCTTACCATGTTAGGCACTGGGGCCGTCAACTGTTGCGACCGAGAGCGCAGTTTTGGTTTGGGCCGTTATCATTCGTCATTTTGATTTCGGTGAAGGCTTCCCATCCGTAATAGAAGAAAGCCATGGACGGATGGATGGATGGATGGATGTCTTATCACTGTGAGGCTATACCTACCCTTTCGAGATGTAACCTCAAAAGGTTCATTATATTAGCATCTGATCAGGCAGGCTTTTGCATCTGACTCAGCCATGCCGCGAGTGATATCCGTGCCAATACCTAGTTTGATGCCCTCTCAATAACAAATATTACAACTGGGCGACGATCCTAAGAGGTTCAACGTGATATATTGATAGTATTGCACTAGTTTCTCGACTACTCTTTTGCCTGTGCTAGCTCTGTAGAGTTTCCTATTCGTCATCTCAGGGCTCTGATCACCACTTCTTTGCTAAGCTGATAGAAGAACTCGGTAGGCAAACTTCTACCTAGCTCCAACAGTAAATCAAACATACCTAATCATCGATGTTCCTTGAAAATCCAGGGTGCTTTGGTCCCGTGTTAACAAACCGTTCAAACGTCATGATAAGGTATAATGTCATAGCAACATTAGGTGCTCTTTGACAATAGTTAATACTTGTCAAACTCTTTTTCTTTTTTTCTGTTCATTTTTTCCCTTCCTTCCTAACCTAGAGGGGTGTCATAAGCAAGACCGTCAAGTGATATGTTCCGTCATCCAACCGTAGCCTTAAACCAGGACGTTGGAGCTACTCTAGTGTAGCCCATGGGTGGGTGTATCGCCTCAAACATACCACAAAGAAGCCGTTGGAATTCGCAAACATGGCCCGAGAATATGTACCTAGCCCTAGGTAACTGTTGACAGTGGACACTGTCACACTGTACTAACACCACCTACTTATGTACCAAGGCGCTTTTCTTAGTTCGAGGTATCCATTTAAAGCTCAGCCTTGGTCTAATAAATGCAAGAACGAAGTTAATTAGGGCATCCTTGTTTTGTTTTCGAGATAGCCTTTCAGAATGCAAAAAGAAAACGCATCTCGAGATCCGCGAGCCGATGCTTATCTGCCGTGCCATGGCGATGCTCGATTTCGCTTCCGCTTTGAGCCTCTTTGTCCATGGCTATTACGACGACGACCCTAAGAATAGAAATCAGTCTAAGGTACGAGCGGATGCACCTAATTATACCCCCCCTGCTCGAGGTAGTTATGTCTAGCTAGTTATGTCTAAATCAAATCAAACACCAATACCTACCAACTAATTGCCGAAGTATAGTTATATGCTACATACATACCTACCTACCTCCAGAACAAAGTGTGTGAAAGCATAACGGGAAAGGGCAGAAGAAACATAAACATATCGATATATATGTACCTTACATATGGAGAGTTGCACAAGTAAGGCAATGCCTTTCTCCAACTAAATACCTACATACCATGCAAGTAGCCTGGAGGTTAGTTAGGCCACGCCAGCCACAACAGCAACAACAACAACAACATCTAACGCCTTGTGCCTAACCATGTCATACCTACCAACCCCATAAACATACACTTCCAGAAGACCGTCCACCTGATCAATCCGAGTTTCTAAGCTTATATCATCCCAAGAAACACAGCGACGACATGGGTCTGTATTATCCAACCTGACCCAATCCAACAGCCTCAGAAGCAACACATCTTCTACATACCTTGCCTCCCCTTACAGCCTCTTAGGACCCGAATACGGCATTACCCCTGACCCCTGACCCCATCTGCCTAAGCCCCAATGACTTCACAACAGGGTGTACGTATGTCTGTCTGTCCATATTTTCCAAGCCTTCAGCATAAGCACCACGTGAATACATTACAGCGAAAACACGTTCACATCACATAAGTCACACCAGGTCAGGCCATCAGACATTAGTTTTTGTCAATTGTTTCTTTATTTCTTTCTCTTTCTGGAGTGGCGATGGCAAAAGCGCCATGTGAAAGTAAAGTAGGCTACCTACTACTACAGCGGTAGTAGTGCAGCAGATATGTAGGTAGCCTAGCCTGGTAGCAGTAGCAGTACATCCCCTATTCTCGTCTCCAATCCCACTACCGCCACCTTTCTTTGAAGCTTTAATTCACTACGTAGTAGTAGTAGCACTACTTTCTCCTTTCCCCAACTTCCACTGCCGAGTTATTCGCCGTCTCGAATACTCTATATCAGAAGATACGCATATGAACGTAGGACATACAGACATGTAGACGATCAGTCGGTTGCTAGTCCATATATTGAGTGACGACAACCATCGCTCTTACAATGCTTGCTCACTTGCCATGCAACACTAGCTCGCTCCCTGTCAATTTGGCTACTTGCGCCTGTCTACCCAGGTAAACATGCCAACCTCGTCTTGCCTCGTCTCCTTCATTTCCACTTCCGGGTCTTGATCGCGTGGGCAAGGTGGCCCCTTAATTAGGTGTTTATAATGAAAGAAGCCGCTGCGTCATATGTATGGGATACAGGCGCTTCCTTCGTTTCCCGCTGATTATGGAAGAGGTTTTGTGTGTTGTCCTCCGCGGATGGTGTTGAAGCGGAGGGAACTCTCTGCCAACGGGTAATAGAGTTGTGATTAAAAAAAATGATATATGTACGTCGCAATGGGGTATAATGTGCAAGCGAAGATGCTCCAGTTGCCGAGGAGACCTAGAATCAGACCGAGCACGCGAGGCGAGGTTAATAGGTCCCCTCTGGATTGGTATTGGTATCGATGTTGGTGAGTTTCTGATAAGAGTATACCAGGCAACTTGCCGTGAGTTTCGTGAATCGTGTAATAAACGGGGGAAAATGAAGCTGAAAGACAAAACTCCAAACCGTTCGCAATCGCGGAGATGCGACCAACCTCCAGGTTAAGAGAAATGCCATGCAAATTGGTACCATCAACAGGGAGTGAACATTCCGAGGTCGGGATATCTCCAGATCGAAAATAGTGGAATGTCCTTGGTCGATCCCAAAAAAGCCAGACGCCGAATATCGGAAACAAAAGATGCTAGGCGATGATGTGGAAAAAAATGATCCAGACGAAAAGGTGCCTTGATCAGGGATGGAAAACGACGATAGCCAGCCCAGCCAGCCCAGCCAACCAAACCAAACCCGTGATGAAATGGGTTGTTCCTAAAACGCCGCATATGCTAAATTATTATACAGAACCGAGTTGTAAAAGTGCCTGAATAGCCTCGCGCTCCTGCGCGTCTGACGAAGCGGCCAATGCATCCAGATCGATGTTATCGAGACGCGGCTCCCGAAGCATGCCGGTATTGCCGGAGAATGATCGGAAACCACACGAGTTATATACACGAGAGGAAAGATAGTCTGCACCTTGACGTACATCGGTTGGGCTCGAGTATGATGCTGCTCGCAGTGCGGCAGCCCCTACGGCAGCCCAATCTTCGTCATCAGTGGCATCTTCGGGGTCGTCATTCATGATCATATCTTCGTTATCAGGGGCCGAGGAGCAAGATGCCGAGGCAGGCTCATCGAGAGAATCGAGAGACATCTTATCGGCCTCGTTCTCCATCATGGTAACGTCCCGGTCGTCGTGAGAAAATGCCGCCGAGTTTCCAGTGCTGATAGCACGTGGGTTCAGTCGGGATCGGTCAGCACTCCACCCTGTGCCTTTCGAGATTGGTATGCTAGCTGGATGGGAGCTAGGGTTGACAGCGCCTAAGTTTTGTCGAGATGAGGCTTCTCGAGTGGATTGGCCACGTCGCCTGGCGTCCCATCGGCCCCATCCGACTTTTTGAAATTCCACGTCACCATAAACTCCTCCACCTTCGACGCCGTGTCCTTGTCCACGTCCTTCCAGCGCTGCCACGACTAACCTTCGTGCCTTCGGTGGAGGAATACCCGCAAATCCGGGCACCGAGGTCGTCAGGTACCCCATGATGTATCGAATAGCCAAAGGCCCGTGGTTCAGTAGAATCTCCGGAAGGTGGAATTTGGCGAGGAGGGCCGGAGTGATAGCACCTGCGGACTCGAAGGTCGGTGAACCAAGAGGACTATGCTCAGCATCGTGGAGGTCAAGATCCGAGTCGACAGGTTCGAGCCTGGCCTTTTGCAGCTGAGCCCTTAGGCCGTGGGGTGGCAGAGTAGGGGATATGGAATTGGGAGGAGTCGGGAGGGAATGAGTTCGTGTCACAGGGACGCTCCGAGCAGCCGCTACAGCAGTTAAGTTGTCTCGGCTGAGAGAGGAGGTCTTGAGGATATCGCGAACAGCGGTAGCCGATGCCATGGTTGCCATTTTGCGTAATTGAAGCTTCGAGACGTGTCTATCAAGATAGGCGACAGCCAATTAGACAATGGTATTTATGATATGATAAAATGGAGATAATGACAGTTTATTAAATATTATGGAAATTGTATGATTGTGTGTGATTTGTATGTTTTTGTTATGATTTTGTGATTTTAAATTGATGAAGTTTATGTAGACCGCCGCGATGCAGGGCAAGGCAGGGCAAGGCAGGGCACGGCTTGGCTGGGGAGAGGGTCAAGAGGGTAAAGAGGGTAGATCGCTTAATGACGGTGTAGGTGAGTCACTTACATAGAACCAGTCCGAAGTTAGGGGGTTTACAAATACGGCAAAAACCGAATTATTATTTGTTTTCTGATCTCTGTCGAGGAAAACAAAACAAATTCAATGTGCAATTATTGTAGTGAAAGGCGAATTGGCAGTGCTGACGCGATTATCTTTGACTGTGACAAAAGATGACTCTTGGGGGGGTGCAAAAAAGATTGCGGTGTTGTTGATTTCTTGTTGTTGTTGATGTTCCTTGACGAAAGGAAAGATCAACGTAAAGTCAAGAAAGAAGAGAGCGACGGTTATGACCTACTAATGTAATGAACTGTTCGCTAAGACAAATCAAAAGGAGCGCAAGGAAGCTTCTACTGGCTGGACAAGGGACGTAAAGGGGGGGGGGTGCGTTGTGTTGTTCAGCATGGTCAGCAGGGCGTAGCACAGCGCACAGGGAGTAATGCAAGAACCTGATTGATCAAGAGGGGGAAGCCACGCCGTGATCCTAGCAAATTAGGAGTGGTGCACCTAATAATAAGGAGCACTCTGAGAAAGCATAGGTACTTTACCTAAGGTAGGTACAATACTAGTACATACCTTAGGTAAGGTGAAGAAAGCCAAGACTAACATTGAAACGGTATGTACATAAATAAGTATATATCCATACCGTTTATGCTTGGTGTAGGCAGGTATTCTCTGTTATGCTTATTACCAACGATAACTAACAATTATAAAGTCCTAGAACTCACATACACATCAACTATAACAGCACTATTCGTACCTAACATATTATCTACCTAGGTAAGTATTATGTTGGTGTGGTTGATGTTGTACTGTGGCAACATTTGAAGTTTCGTATCGTGTCAGTCTAGGTACATACCTCCATATAACTATGGCCTTATCATCGACAAGAACTTGGAGACCACCAGCCAGGCCTACATGTATGTTCTTGTTGGGCTATGATAGGCATTGGATGTTTCGAATCTACATTGGGATGCCAACCTTTTTGCCTGTCAAATACATACCTACTAGGTACTGTACATAATGTAATCATCACTTGAGTCATTCAGTCATTCAGTTGGTTACCTATGTACAATACCTCCAATGTTCCAGTCGCTACATAACTGAACAAGCATGCACCTACCTAACTACATACTACATGCATGTATGTAAGTGTAAATGTAAAGGTAAAGGCATGTAGCCTTCTCGCAGGTCTTTGTTGTCTTTCAATATCGCTCTTTGTGTGCCTGGCCTGTTCAATGTTTGTCTCCATGAAGCTTTCGGTGCATTCCCGACAGATCCAGCTTATTCCTAGGTCGGATTCCGATCCATATGACGTGGGCCACATGCTTTCGGATTACATGGACATGTATGTATACATGCAGGGAGAGAGACATACCCAAGTATTTTGATGTCAACTGGTAGGCTGATAACGGATACTTTGTATACTTTGAATGAATACATGTTTTCGGGAATGTCCCACCAAGAAACTCGTGGGACGCATGTCGGGCTGCTTGGGGAACAGCATGATACTAAAAAGTCGCCATTAGACCGAGGCCAGGAAAGCCATTCCATGTAGCCACCGGTCACGGTATCTCACATGTTGTGGGATTGAGATAGGCCATTGGACCATTGCCTAGCCGAGACTAGATTCCGTTATCAGCATACTATACTTGTACATATAAGAAATCTCACCCAAACCGCGAAACGTCTCCCCAAGTCTTTATCTCCCTCCTTACCTAGGCACAACTTTGCGTCACATCTTTTGCGGCCTGATCACAATCAGAACCAATGAAGACACCTTCATGTAGTTACCTAGATTGGGCAAGCAAGAGGCGTAGCAGTAGCATCTCAGTCTTTCTAATTGATTTGAGAGGGAGAGAGAGCGACACACTGAAGATTTGCTGATCATGTATTGTACAGCCGCACCCCATGTACATACCTACTGTACATACCTAGTAGTCTGCTCTTCGGCTATGCTGGTGGTTCCGTGTACCTACATACACATTGCTACTAGCATAGACATGATTGACAAGATTGACAATGCTGCGCACGCATTGGAAAGCGCTAGTTTTGAGTTCGAGGTCAACGACTGACTATTCCGTACGTAGCTTGGATCCAGTACCACATGATTCCCAACTTTCGAACACCATGGTCCCAGGAATCTCTCACGTTGTACATGCGCTCCATTGTGATTGGATAAGAACAAGCCGTGATGCGCGACTTTGCTCCATTCCACCAACGCTCAAGCTAAGCCGTAGTGCTAGCCGGATGCACAACGGATCGATGGAGGGGGCATCAATGTTCCAATTGATTTGTTTCTGGGGCACGGATTCTCGAAGCTAGTACATACAGTTAAATCCATAGATATATGTATATTTAGTCGTAAGCCGATTTGATTCCCCTCTGCATGTCAGCAGCTTAATTCGTTCCAAGATTGGCTATGATAGATCATAGTATCACAGTCCGGCAGCCACAAAAGCGAGGAAGCAAAGCAGACTAGTTGTGGTATGTGGTACATGATCGTGAATGGTTGTATTGGCTGTATCCGAAGAGGGGTTTTGTTTGATTTCGTAAAGCTCGAATAGAATACCCCGCTACATGTAATGTGTGCGTGTAGTGCACATAGTAGTGAGGTTCGAGGGAATAACCCATCATCTAGTATGCTTCCCCCACGTTTTGAGATACTGCGATCCGACGACACGTCTTCATAGGTGTGTAGTTTGAGGGAGCAGGCTGGCATCATAGTCATGTCTTTGCTGCTTATCACCCCGATACCTGAGAGCGGCCTATGCACGAGGTAGTCTGTCCGTGTAGACGTAGCTCGACGAAGAATTAGATACTACTCTTGTTTCATCCAATTCACCAATGCATCCCTTGCACTCGTCTCAAATACGCTTCGTTTTGTTTGGCCCATGGCTGTTGATGTTCGCTTGACTTCAAGTATATCTTGCTCAAGTATTGCAATATACGTCTTCAATTTGAGTGTTATCGTCAGAGTGCCATTTGAGTAATTAAACCGCCGATACTCGGAGTAGACCAGAACATAGCAATACCTAGGTAGGTACCTACATTTCCCTCCATTAGCGATAATCTTCCAGTAGGGAGTCGGTCCGTGAAAATCTTGTGCTGTATGCGTACGTGCTACTACCCTGTGGTGGGATATGGATGAGCACGCAGATTCTTTGGGATTCTTCGCAGGCCCCAATGATACTTTGGCCATCCCGACTGGCAACGTCGAAAGTACATTTTCTACTTCATCCACCACGTTGCTGAAGATATTGCCGACAGGCCTGTAATTTGATTAGGACCTTGTGTTCAAGTGAGGCGCTCGAGTGAGACACTGGGATAAAAACTTACCGCCATGAGAACATCTAGTTTCTGTTTTGATTGCATGTAGACCTGTCGGTATTGCTGAATGCTTTCGTTTAGAACAGCCTCCTTTGTCGCACGCCCATCGCAGATAGCCTTCATTTTTGATTCCATCTCCTTCCTTAGAAATGGTTTTCCAAGGCTAGTCTCGAAATTCATCCGATCAAATCCTTCGATTAAAGCCACACCTAGCTGAGTAGGAATAAACTCCATCACCCCTTTTCTCCCACCGGTAGCATTTCCTCCGCCTCGGCTGCGGCCGCCACGGCTACCGCGCCCTCCTCGTGCTGCCGGGGCATTAGCCCCTTCATCTCCGTCCTCCGCTGCCTGCCCGGTCCGGGGCACTAGACGGACATATGATCTGTCTTGAATTTTCTGGATGTGCTCGGCCATCGTGGCGTCAGTTCCAATCCCGTTAGCATCCATGAGGGCAATCAAGTCTGCCTCAGTCAGGTAGTTTGGAGGTGCAGTCTTCCCCTCCGTCATGAGAGCTTCAGTGGGCTCGAAGCGCTCCCCAACTGTGAATTTGGGAAGCTGTGCTGTCCCAGTCCACTTATCATACACATACACCTCTAAGTAATTCCGCTCTAATACGACAACGCCGTGGGCGTGGAATGATTCCTCTCCGAATTGAATATCAACATCCGTAGCAACACCTTTGGCATCTTCTGAGCAGCAAGCTAGAAACCGCCTGACGACGAATTCGTAGAGCTTCTTCTCCCTATCGTTAAGAACGGATGGCGATGCAAAGGTGATTGGATGAATTGGAGGATGTGCCTTGTCATCATTACGCCCTTGCCGTGGTTGCTGAAACCCACCGTCGACTAGATTCTGTGCAAATCCTCCCCAGGAACTAGACTGTATCTGTTTCTGCACCAATGCGCGAAGATTCATACCGGAGTCAAACCGGTCTGTCTCCGTTCTGGGATAACTGATGAATCCCTTATTGTAAAGGTGCTCTGCGGTCTCCATCGCTTGCTGACCCGTCATATGTAGAAATATTGTCGCCATCTTTTGCAACTCAACCGTAGTTAATGGTAGTGGCCTCAATTTCTTTGTCGGCTTCTCCTGGACCCTGACTACCTCGGCCGTCTTTGCCGTGAGACATCTTTCGTAAAGAGTGATAACTGATGCCCTATCAAATAGACGATGTCGTAACCAACTAAAGTGGACATCTATACCCTCTCGTTTGTGCATGACTTTGATGGCCCAAAACGATTCGGGCTTGAAATTTCTTACTTTGAAATATCTATCCACCACAAACCCTAGAGTTGGGAATTGGCAAGATCCTGCAAAGTCAGAACGGTGCTATACATTAGGCCTCGGGGTGACAAACCATAACTTATCACAAGCTCCGAGAAAAGTCCTCCTAAGCTCCTGATATTTGTGGTTAGAAACCGACTAAAAGCATAACCTATCCTGAGATCCAGTTCAATCCGAGAGGCTACAGCGTTCACCTGTTTGTGGTCGAGATTGATAAGATTGCGAGACGCATTCAATATATGCCTAGATTTACGTTAGCCAAATCTGTCCACCTACGATAGGGGTTAGTAACTGACGCTCTTTCGATGTTGCTGAACCTTGCTCTTTTGATATCAAGGGTTCGGTTGCCTTTCTTAGCGGCCTCGCAAATCTCATGCCCTATGTGCTCACCCTCTCGGTCACAATCCGTCCATATGCATAATGCATTAGCATATCGTGCTTGCTTTTCTATGTTCTCTGCTACCTTCTTCTTGTCCTAGGGGCTGTGTTTAGGAATTGGTTATGTTGAGTGTTGCAGGAAGAATAACTTACATCTGAGACGACTATGTTCACAGGCGCATCAAACAGACTCTCGGGGGGTGGATACTCCCATTTCTTGTAGTCGGCAGGGAACTCAGCAGAAGTGAGATGGCCTAATACAGAGGTCATCGTAACCTGACACTGGCCCCAGGGACGCCCAAAGTCGTAATCAAAGACATAATTCTTGATGTACTTCTCAGGTGTATTGTGCTGCATTGATGTTAGTGAGCCAACATCCCAGTGCATGATCTAGAAGCCGAAAGAAATTCACGACTAACACTTTGAACTTGACCACCTGAGAGATGGCCTGCAACGGCTTTCGCGATAGAGGGCTTCTCAGCGACGCAGAGAATTCTCATGGTAGATTCAAAGCGAGCAAGAAGGTGTCCGATGTGGAATATCGGTGATACCGCTCGATGTATCCTTCTTGTACGATACATGTATCTAGGGAAGCATGTTATGGACATTGGTTATGAAGAACGACTTATGGGTGAAAGTGATGAATGGGGTTATGTGGAATCAAGTTCCATATTGTGCAATTCCTCTATTCAAGGATAAAGTTCGAAGACATCAGATCTATAGTGGGTTAAGAGCTGACATGAGGTAGTTATTGAGTGTTGTCTATTCCTAAATTTTCTCTTGTTGTTGTTCAATGCAAAATTCACAAAATTCACGGCTGCCTTTACAAGTTTGATATTTCATTACAGCACTATTGGCTAACAATCAAGAATTCTCATTGGTTCAGACACTGTAGCTACTTTAAAATCAATTAAAATCAATTATTTAATTGGGTTGTAGCTTCTGTTTCTATCACCAATGGATTAGTTAGTGCATAATGCCCTTGTTACATGGCTGCAGCATGGGTGTCAGGGGATTCTGAGGGGATACGTCAAACCATCCATGGCAGCTGAGCAGGTCTGTGCACGAAACCCCACTAAGAATTGTAGTTTCCGTACTGAACATTGTAATTTGTAAGGGCCATCTCAACCTACCAGGCACTAGACAGCTGCTAGCTACCCAAATTAGGTACTAAAATTAGGTACTATTAACTATTAGAGCTGCCGAGTTAAAAGTCATGACGTTCCTTACAACATTGAACTCCAGCTAACAAAGATACATCTTCTTGCAACTACTACCTACATACATGTATGTAGGTACATAGTAAATAAACAACAACTTACCGTCTCCCTAATCCGACATTGCCTACATACCTACACACCTACACACCTACATACCATCCATCACGTCTAGCACTGAGTCAACCATGGCATTACCATGGGTGAAGACCCTAGAGGATTGTGCAGATTACTCCCAGGTGGTCGAACCATACCTACCGCAGCTTTACGAACTACCTACGAAGATAGTCAACGCTATATCGAGCCGTGATTCACTTTTCGAGCTGTATAAAGATACCAACCCTTTGTTGTCTGGCTTTAGCTTCTCTCTATTCCTCGGTGCTATCTTCCTCGTTGTGTCCGAAATCAACCGTAACTACTCCCAGGTTGACCGACTGTGGAGCCTGTTGCCTACGATATACAATGCACACTTTGCAGTTTGGTCTCGCCTTAACGGTCTTCCCAGTCGAAGAGTAGACCTTATACTATTCTGGAGCGCCATATGGAGCGTATGTAGAGATATGACGTAGTGCTGTGCCTCGGCCACCGGTAGCTAATATTCACACAAGGCTCGATTAACCTTTAATTACGTGCGTAAGGGGGGTTACAATATCGGGTCAGAGGACTATAGATGGTGTGTTATACTTCAACAAGATTGATTGAATCATCTAATCCCCAAGTACAGGTCTATAATACGAAGCAAGGTGCATCCGGCCTTCTTTTTCCTACTAAACGTCACTTTTATTTCGTTTCTCCAGAGCATACTGCTCTTCCTCCTTGCCGCCCCGACGTATATCGTTCTACTTGCCTCCAAATTCGAGCAGGATATTACAGCAGCGGATATAAGTTTCACGGTAGTCCAACTTGGACTTATAGCCTCTGAGTGGTTCAGTGACCAGCAGCAATGGGGTAAGTTGTTTCACCGCAGTGCTCACACAGAGGAAAAGGTGGAGAAACAACTGCTGACGACGTTCTAGACTATCAAGCGGCAAAGAAGCAATATCAGGAAACTGCTAAGATCTCGCGCACAAGCGGATTCAGTCTGGAAGATCTTGAACGGGGATTCATCACAAATGGGTTCTGGGCGTATTGTAGGCATCCAAACTTCGCGGCCGAGCAGACAATTTGGTTTCTACTATACCAATGGGGTTGTTATGCAAGCAAAACGCTTTACAACTGGGCTGCCTTGGGCCCCGTGTTCTTGATCATGATATTCCAGGGATCGACCTGGCTCACTGAACTGATCAGTGCCGGAAAGTATCCGGAGTACGAGATTTACCAGAAGCAGATTGGAGCCCACATACCTAGCTTGACTCCGTACCGAGCGCCAACCGCCGCCACACCAAAGGTGATTCGGACGAGCGATTTAGCAAAGAAGCAGAAGGCCAAGCAAGGGTAAGAAGGGGGATCTTGTATATAATCGCCGGGTGGCTTTTGTGTGTACATGGAGGATGGTTACATTCATGAGACCTCCCTAACAGAACTGCGTTATACTGCAATATGACGCAGTTGTGTATCCCTACTAAAAATATTTGAAGGTCAAGGTGAATTGCGAACATCTATTCGACCTCGGTAGGGTGCGGGGAAATTGTCTCAATACGTGGGATTGGGTAGGTAGGTAGGTAGTCGATCGTAGGATAGATATTTTTCTGAAAATAAAAGCCATAAATTCAACAAAATAAGAACAGCTTGCAGGTTAGCCAACAAAAATACAGTTTAGTCATCTGCAGGTCGATGGGTGTGCATATGTGATATCTGCATTGGCTTACGTAGGTGTGATGCCTGAAGAGCCCAGGAGAAGAGAAGTTCGACGCCCGCTGCTCTCACGAATGTCTCGATCCTCTAGCCCCACCACCAGAACCGGACACCCGGAAAGAAGTTTTTGAGAGAGAAAACCTCGAGACCGATGATGATGATGATGATGTTAATATGGGCGGCACAACAGCATACATAGGCATGGAGGCGGCGCCCCTTTCGCAATGTTTCAAAGTTTTTTGTTTTTTTTAATTCGTGCTGTGCCGTGAGACAGACAGACAGACAGACAAGCAAGCAAGCAGAGTCCCGCCATTGATTCATGGATTCATACAGCCGATCATGAATGAGTAGGTTAGGTTAGGTAGGTAGGCAGGTTGACGTCGTATGCCCTCCTACTGTAAGTAGTGTGTACATAGTCCTAACCTCCTCGTTAAACCCCTCCACCCCTCTTCCATTCCGGGAATCTGGAAAGTCGATCTGCTTATGTTAGGTAGATACCTACATGCATAGGTACTTATGTGTAGGGCCACCACACCACACTATGTATGTATTGTACAAGTACTACTAGGCGTGCTTATGGGCCATTTGTCATGTTATTTTGATATTGGGATGGGGTTACAATTGGAGTAGAGCATCGTGGCCGGCAAATTGAAATACATGATGCACAAAGGGTTTGCAGCTTTTGGGGGGGCAGAGGGGGGGAGGGGGTTGTACCTGGTAGGTAGGTAGCTTTGCATTTAATGCTTTTCATCGACACGAATGAATTTCGCCGTTCGGGTTCTGGCAGCCACCAAGCCTACATATGATTTAATGGTATGTGAGGTAGGTATGTAGGCGAGCTTCGCTTGCTTGCGTTTATTTGCTTGCTTGCTTGCTTCCTTGGGAGAGTGAGTGGTAGGCTACTCTAGGAGGCAGGTAGGCAGGTAGGCAGGTATGTGGGCAGGCAAAGTAGGTGATTATATTGTATCTCAAGGCTGTTGTAACTTGTAACTACTAACTTGTCACTTATTATTCGTTGGTATCATTTTGTTCCCGTCATACCTATCAGTTCTGGTGCTAATGCCTACTACCTAGAACATCCATGGATGCATACATGATGCCTGCCTACATACATATACTAGGGACTTAGCATTGGGACTAAGTGTATTGCCGACGAGGGTAATCACGTGTCCCCCTCCAGGACCCTTAACCCTGGCTATGGTTTCAGCGTGACAAGCTTCTTTAAACGAATTCCCAATCTTCCGGCTCGGCAGGAAAATGAGAGAGAGATAGGATCTTGGTAGATTACTAGATTAATAGCGTGGTATTAAACTCGTAGCTTAAAATAGTGTCTGTCTAATTAGTTGATTAGTTCCAAGGTTAGTTGTTAATGTAGTCACAAACGAAGAGAGAAAAAAAAAAAAAGAAGAAAAAAAAAGGAGCATCCACAGATAGCGCGGCTTGCGTTCCTATCTATCTATTTTCCATAGATCCGTTACACTTCACGATGCCATGCATATGTATACACTACACCTACCTACCTAACCTAGTAGTAGTTACTAGGTAGTAGTATAATACACTACATACTACCTAACTACTACCTAGTCGGATGGAGTTCTAGCTCTTCAATGTTGGTATCAGAGTACAATACATATGAACCGTACATAGTAAACCCCGTAGGAATGTGGGGCCGAGGACCCTGACTGCAGCTAAATAAGTCTAGGATGCTCAAGAAGGTAATAATCCACCGCTGACGATCCCTGGCCTGCTGCTGAACTCGGCGGTGAATGGCAATTCGAATTGTACGTCGTACAGCATATCCCCTTTCCGGGTCTAGATGGATGGGAGTAGAGAAGGGAGTGGAGAGCTTTGGAGAGTGGGGGTCGTAGTTAATGGAGGGAAAGGTTAGATTCGATGTCTTGCTTTTCGCTTGGTTGCTTCGTCGCTTGGTCGCTTGCTTGCTTATTCCACACATGGGGGGGGGGTTTATTACATTATGGTTAGTTATACAGATAGTTATACTTACTCACAATACCTACATACGTACACACTTACATAGTCACTCACTTTCTTAGTACATGCGTCCCTACATAGGTACACATATATGTCTCGTGCCCTCCTCTTTCTCTCCCCTTTTGTTCATTTTCCCTTCCTTCCTCTCCTCTTCACTTAATCATCATCATCACCTCGTCCGAAAAAACCAAAAGGCTCTTGTAACCCTACGTAAGCGGGAAAGACGACTCTTACCTAGCAATATATCAACTTACTCAACACACATATTACCCGCATACAACCTAGGTGACTATTACCTAACTTAAGTGTTCTTGACCGCCTTCTTCACCTGTCTATCCTACTTCCCCACGGACGACCCAAGGATCGAGCCAAGGGCGAGCCAACCTACCTAGCTATTCTATCCACCATCCACCCAGTTCCCGTCACCGCCATGTCTATCTTTGGAGAGATCCTGAGCCTCTTGATGGGCGATCGCGCCTCATCCCCCGCAATCAAGCGGCGAACCTTAAACAAGCCGCCGCCATCCGAAGGATCTAGCAGCTACTTCCCGTCACCATCCCCCGTCTCATCCAATTCGCCATACTCCCTGGCCTCGTCATCCGCCTCCTCTTCGGAGACGGAAGACGAATCCCCCTCGCCATTTTCTCGAGGTAGTCCGATGATCGGCGCCAGCTACCCGATCCCGCCACTGGAGCGCGAGTATGCAGCCCCGACGGAAGAGCTCGACGTCGCGCGGCAGCTAGCTAAGAAGCCGCTGCCGCGTTCACTGCACAGCTCACTACAGCGCGCTGCCACCTCGTCGTCCCGTGTGCCCGCAGTCGAGGACGACGAGACCAGAGCTCGGAAGCTAGCGGCTGCTAAGAAGGAGCTACTGGCTCTGGCCGGCCACGTCTAGATCATTCTATGACGGTTCTAGTGTTGGCGTTGGTTCTTTAATTTCCTCTTTCAAATCAAAAATGATCCACTCCGGCATTTGGGAGGGTCTCTTGGCAGGCTGAATCATGGATAGGAGGATAAACTTGGCAGGGCAGGGCAGAGCTAGCTAGTATCTGTGGTGGGTTTTGCTTTAGGGCATGTTGTGCATGTTGTGCATGTGGTGTCACTGCCGTCAGTGAGTGACTGAGTGAACGAGTCTGAGGACTGAACTGGAGCCACCCGCATCTCTTTTGTCACGGGCGCTCCTTTTTATGCGTGTGCATTGTACGCCATGCATTATATACCCAGGGATCGGAGCGTATTTGGATACGCTGATTGTTTCGGATCGTTTGAACGGCGTACTATTTTACTATGGAGAATCATATCCAAACCATCGGGAATCCAGGCCCCATTTTTGGAAATGTTATGCCTTTTATTTACAGGGGCGAAGGGGAAGGGGTGGTGGTTAAGATGAGGCAAGATGGGTGGTAGAGTTTTGATTTGAGTAATTTTGAAGGGAAATTTGAGAAATTCGAGAACAAATTGATAGAACATATTGCATGGGTTGATCCATATTCATATAGTACGGCGTAGTATATGCGCGTGATTCGTTCGTAATCCACCGACTGACTGCATTAGAGATCTCTCATAGATTCTTTCATAGATTGTCCCTCCACAATATAGGACCTACACCAGCCTCGATGATAAATTGACGCCGTAGATGACGCTAGCAACTAGTGTCGCGAGGTTGAGTAGAGATGAGATGCCGTGCAGCTGCCCGAACTGTTTGTTCAGCGCAGCCATTTCTTTTGAGTACGGCGGGCCGGAGAAGCTTGCTTTGCCGTCTTCCTTCTCTATATCATCCATTTCAATTAGCCTTTGCCTACATATTTTTGACAGTTCCAACCACTATAACATAAAGCCTTACCTTGAGCACGCCTTTTGGCAGTGACCTTGTTGGTTTCGGGAAGTAAATACACCAAATTAACCAGGCCCGCCACCAGTGCGGTGCCAAGGGGTACCAGAACGCCCCAGCGGTTGGACGCGTGGAATACGCCAGCGAGGCCCGAGGGCACGCCCAGAACACTTCTATGGCCTGGGTATGTTAGGGCGAGGATAACGGGACCTGCGCTCTGAATGCCGAAATACCAAGGGAAGACGGCACGCTGCAAAATTCCGAACTGAGGTCGTTCCAGGACTCGGAAGGAGGTTATGGAGTTGATGAAGGTCTGATTTTGTTAGTACGGTGAATACTTGGTAAGATCCATCAATGGGCAGTTGATGCGCCTGGGTGACCTTACGTGGAAAACCTGTGTCCCAAGAAAGGTGCCATAGCTCCGTGGAAATCAGCCTCAAGTTTCTAAATATGTAATGTAAGTGAAATGGGAGCCAACTTACGATAAAACGTGGTACGGAGCTAGGGAGAAGAGAATCGAACTGTCACCCATATTGAAGATTGCGTTGTGCTACACTGCTACGGTGATGGAGTCTATAAATAATGAATACTAATAAAAAGCAAGTAAATAAAGTAAATAAAGTATATGCATGTGCAACTTATAGGAATTATGTACTACCCTATTATGACGTTTAAAGTTTGAAGATGTCGTGTCGGACCTGTCGGATGGCAGCCCCTCAATCAATCATGCCATCACGGTAGATGTATCTAGGAGCTTGGGCCACGTACATAGTTACCCTACATAAGTATTGTACCTAATTCTGCTTAGGCGCATGTGCACGCGGTCAGGTGCTCTCGCGCCTGCCTAACTGCCTAAAGTTACCTGTCGACAAAAAGAACGCGCTGCGGAGCACATCTGCCTAGTTATTAGTTACTCTCTGCCTATTACAGTGTGTCAGTGCCTATGCCTAGCATTAATACCATTAATACCATTGATACCCCAGATACTAGGCAGATACAGCGTCTCATAGGTCAATCTCAATGACACATGCATTCTACCTACCTACCTACCTAAGGGTATTCATTCATTCAACATATGAACCCTCAATGATACCTACATATACCTACTTTACCTACCAGTAGTCGGTAGAATGACCTAGTTTTCAACAAAAATTAAAAAGGTTTCTACGGCACATATTTCATCAACTTCTTTTCTCAATTACCAGTCATCAAGTACACAACCTTCGCCACCATGGCAGACAAAGAGGCCACGGTTTACATACTTGACCTAGGGTCTTCGATGGCTGACTGCCACAGTGGAAGGGTTGAATCAGACCTCGACTGGAGCATGCGCTATGTATGGGACAAAATCACAACCACTGTGGGCGCATCAAGGAAGACATGGACCGTGGGAGTAGTCGGCGTGAGGACCGACGGAACTGATAATCCCTTGCAAGAGGAACATGGTGAATCCTACGAGAATATTTCTGTCTTGCGAGAGCTTGGCCCCATGAGCCTGGGTGATGTCCGCGACCTTCAAGGCCTTGTGAAACCCAGCAACACCGAAGCTGGCGACTGTATCTCGGCTATAGTAGTAGCCGTAGAGATGATCGAGAAGTTCACAAAGAAGCTAAAATACAAGCGTAAAATCATTCTAGTTACTGACGGCGAGGGCTGTATCGATCCGGATGATATCGATGACATATCAGCCAAGATCGACGGATCTGGTATTGAACTCATAGTCTTGTAAGTTCCCCTATCTTGATGATTTGGGGCCTCATACTAACGCTTCTTGCAATTAGAGGTGTGGATTTTGACGATGCCGAATTTGGCTTCAAGGAAGAGGATAAGTCCAGTCAGAAAAAGACCAATGAAGGCATCCTTAAGGAGCTCGTTGAAAAATCCAATGGGCTATATGGCACCATCGCAGAGGCCATTGCCGAACTCGATATACCGAGACTGAAGCCCGTTAGACCATACAAGAGCTATGATGGAGAGCTCACCCTTGGAAACCCCGATGAACACCCAGACGCTTTGAGCATTAGTGTGCAACGATACTTCAAGACGCACAAAGCGACAATACCGCCCGCAAGTCGAGTAGTGCTTCAGACCGAAAATGATGAGATGGAGGACATAGAGCCTACTGCTGCATTCGCTTCTGTGAAGAATGCCCGGACATACAAGGTCAATGATCCCGAGGCACCGGGAGGGAAACGGGATGTCGAGTTTGAGTCCCTAGCCAAAGGCTACGAATACGGAAGGACAGCTGTACATATCAGCGAATCAGAACACAACATTACCAAGCTTGAGACTACCAAATGCTTTACTATCTTAGGCTTCATACAACAAGAGAAGGTGAGTCGTTCAACCCCCCCAAGCTCCGGCCCCCTTTTGCTTTCTAACAGCCCCAGTACGAGCCATTCTTCAACATGGGGGAAACTGGTGTGACAGTTGCTCAACAGTTAAACGACGCGGCCTCACTAAAGCTTTCATCACTCATACACTCTCTTCAGGAGCTAGAGTCCTACGCAGTGGCGCGGCTAGTAACGAAGGATGGAAAGGATCCAGCTCTTGTCCTTCTTGCACCTCACATTGAGCCCGAATTTGAATGCTTATATGACATCCCACTACCCTTTGCGGAAGATGTCAGAAACTACCAATTTCCGCCACTCGACAAGGTGGTTACCGTCACCGGTAACAAAATATACGAAGATCATCGACTTTTACCAAGTAAGGATCTGTCAGAAGCTATGGATGACTATGTCGATGCCATGGATATATCTCATTGGGAAAAGGATGACGAGGGGTAATTACTCCATATCCATAGGAATGGTACAATGTAACTAACTAACCTTTTAGGAACCGCACCATGGAATACGCAGCAGTCGAAGATGTGTATTGTCCTCCGCTTCATCGTATTAATCAAGTTGTGCGGCATCGCGCAGTCTATCCAGATCAGCCTATTCCCCCGATACCCAAAATATTGCTCAAATACGCAAATCCACCAGAGGACCTAATGTCTAAGGCCAAATCAAAGCTTGAAGAGCTCATCTCCGAAGCCAGCGTCAAGAAAGGTATTGCCGAGCCCTGTAAATATACATATCTCAACCATCCTGAGCTAACATCTACATAGTGCCTCCTAAAGCCCAAGGTAGGAGAGAGAAGGGAAACAAACCCGAGCCAATTTCGGGTCTAGACATCGACGCACTCCTCAACCAGCCTCATAATAGGCGAAATAAAATCACCATAGAAAATTCTATCCCTGAGTTCTGGCAGATGATGGATCGCGCGAGTGAAGATTTCGAAATCGAAGATGCGGCGAAACAAATGGGTGACATTATTCGCTCGCTTGTGAAGAACAGCCTTGGGATTAGTAACTACGACCGAGCCATTGAAAACATCAGTGTCTTTAGAAAAGCTATGATGAAATGGGAGAGGCCGGATTTGTTCAACTCCTTCTTAAAGGATTTCAAGGAACGCTTGGACACTTCCGAGTTCAACGGCAACAGGCGGGAGCTGTGGCGGCAAATAAAAGGGCAGGGAAATAGGCTAGGTCTGATTGATCAAGATACATCTGAACCGTCTAATGTGACCCGTACGCAAGCAGCAGAGGTAAGCGCAGTTAATCTCTACCAATTATCTGATAAGCTAGGTTACTAATCTCTTTGGCAGTTCTTTGCTCAGTAGGTTCTGGTTTTATCTAGATCCGCGATGTAGGGCAACAAAACGTTGAGACCTAGACAAGACCATAGATAGTTTGGCAAGTTAGTACTAACTTAAGCCAAAGCTGCTTCGTCCCTTGAGAATAATGAAGTTCGACAGCAGTTGATACCGTCTTATACTTGTAGCATGCATGTTCTAAGCTGATATATTAGAGTATATTATGAAAGCACCGTAGCCATGTAGCTAAGAGACAAGCCGCCATCCAGTCTACTGAGTGACAGGAAGCTAGAGAACATCATCACGAGGGTGTCGTAAGTCCGGCTATAAGCACTATGTTTTATCCCCGTGTTAAGACTTTTTGTGTCAACTTGCTTTTGCCCTTGATACTAGGTAGAGAACGAAGATAAGTACTCTTACCGTCTTATGTATTTTCTATTATTTGCCTCTGCATTGGCGTTTTGTCTATTTTCACTTTCCCCCTTTTAACCCCAACCCTAGTACGGCACTCCTTTTCGTTTCTGCGCACGCTCCTTAATCCCTTGAGATATATCTTTATTATATCTACAGGATCTTGAATATAACACATTTACTTGAACTGTCCCCTCTATACCCAATTTTTCTCGGTATTGGAGTTTCACGGCTTCTTCTTTTTCTCTTTCTTCCCGTAGTCGTATTCACGTTCTTTCCCTTCTCCTCACCCCTCATATGCTTTATTTTATGGAATAAGGTAATTCGAAAGCCCACTGTTGTTCATAAGCTTCCCATCGTCTAACTCCACAGCAAGCAGATCAATCCGCAGAATTACAAATAATAAGTCGATTTGTAGCTAGCTTCCTGCCGTTGGGAAGGCAAGTACTATATTTTACCATGTACCCTAATACATAGAAGTTCATTTGTAATACTAGGTATCGACATAGGAGATGGATAGGTACTAGTCAGGTACTAGGTACCCTTCCTTAAATCATTGCTTGTGTATATACTTCCTCTGGATACCCAAGCCTTCTTCTCCTTACAATTGCAAACATGATATTTTCACCCAGCTTGATGTACAGCCTGACTCACTATAAGTGCTTAAGGTATCACGTATACCTTATGATTTATTCAATACACTTCTAATACTTGAATCTTCTCAATAACCACCCTCCTCTCATCATCTTACGAAGCATTCACAAACTACCTAGTAAGGAGCATCTACTAGGTACTTACGAGACCTGTGATATAATCAGCCATGGCACCTCATTATACCCGCGGAGAGCAGAATCCCCATCCAAGGTAAATTGAGGATCATCCATGTATTCCACACTTGTGCTCCAGCTAACTGTCGCAAGTTCTCGGGGCGGGATACTCTTTTTTGTTATGCCTACAGGAAAGTGCTATTCGGTTCACGCGCATCTTGCTGCCCATTATTCTGACCACTTCCTCGAGGTACTGAACTTGAAGGAAAACGTCCAGATGGTCACCCGCTGTAGCAGCAATATCGCCAATAAGAAGAGCATCGAGTTGTTCGTCGGCTGGGTTTACTCTAGAAGCGCCGATAGCGTTGATGACGAGCTCTCCTCATCCTTCGTCTCCTTACACTCAAACGAGCGTGACGAAGATCTAGCGAGAGCCTGGATCTACGGATGCAAAATTGAGGCCCCCGGCTTCCAGAATGCTGTTCTACAGCTCCTCGACCGCAAGTTCGAAGAAGCTACCTACGAGACAGTTGCCAACCTGACTGTCAGAGTTTGGGATGCCGTTCCTTCGGAAAGCCAGTTGCAATGCTACTTGGTAGCTATGCTCTGCAACACGCTCTCTGAGAGGGAGATGAATGACATCGTACAAGAGCTTGGGCGCCTTCCAGGCAATATTCGACACGAAGCCATGGATCTCTTAAGATACCTCATACGCATAATGAATGAAACAGAACCGGGCAATTTTCGCCGGGTAGCTGCTGTCGGTGTAGAGGACTTTCTGGAGGAACCCCTGAGGATTTAATAAACTCTCACACATGGAAACCATCTAGTACAGGCTGACTTCTCAGGCAACGCATGAAGGAACTCACCATAGCTGAAAATTATCACGGCCTCCCCCGTACTAGGTAGTAATGGCAATGGTTTAACTCAACACATAAAAATCACAAGGCAACTGTCCTACACAACCACTGCTATATGTAATACAAGGTATGAGGCTAGTACTTTGTAGGTGGCTACTAGAATGCCTATTGCTACATCGATGATGGTATGTATGTACACAGTACTACGATGTACTAGGTAGGTCAATATATGCAGTAAGAGACAGGAGGGCCTATTAAGCACGTGGTGATTGTCAAGCGTGCTTTCCTACAGTTGATGGCCAGGTACAAATACTCATACGTGGTTGCCCTCGGAAAACACTTTCTATCCATTCTGGACGCCTAGGCCCCCCTGTGTAAAGAAGCTACTGCCTACTTAGGTACGTAGTATGTAGAAGTAGTACATAGTACCTAGTAGTGGTCTACCCTAAATCATCTAACACTACCGATACCAAGTACAAGGGGCCTTGTAATGCTAAGGCTCATACACGCGCTCTTGCCTTGTCAAGAAGCGCAGTCTACAGGTGACACCCACGTTAGAATGACTACTACCTAGGCAGGTGCCTATTGCTCGCCTATTACTCATACCCTTTCGTTTCTACATTCCTGTTCTTCCAAAGTTGCAACTTTGAACCCACCTGCAGTTTACAATATTCCCCTTCCTCGTTACAACTTTGTACGCAAAGTTAGTATCATACATAGAACATTCGCACACCAACTCCAAAGTATTGACTCTTGCCTCAAGATGGCGGACTTAGCCTTCTTTGAGGGCAGCACCCCCTCAGACGAAGGTAGGAATCCTCTTTCCTCTTATATTATATTCCTAGGCTCACAGTTTTTTCTGTTTACCATCAAAGCTCTTGCCGCCTTATGTATCTGACATAGGGTACACAAAGACATACTAAGTAGTATCGCAGATCATCGAGATGAGTTTCTGCCGAGTTCGAGTGGTCTTTCCCCGGAGGACAAACCGAGCCCGGGCCCGAGATCCTTCGACCTGGAGATAGGCCAAGAATCTGAGGAAGGCCTCGAGTTTTGCCCCTGGAGACTCATCCGAGCATATCCACAAAAATACCTCTCAGAACACCAAAGAGAAGTAAGTGTGTTCACCATAAGATATGAATGGTGTCCAAATGTTTAATCCTCTTGCTTATAGGTCGCTTCATTCTTCGACTTGAAACTGATGAAGGAACGCGCCTGGGACTTGTAAGTCTTTTTTTTCTTTTTTAACAAGCCCCTTTTAATTCTCTACCTAACCTGGAGTTAACCCATCTATTCCGATCCTACTATTACGATTGTAATACTAAGAGAATCATCATAGTTTCTTTTTGTTGGATCCCAACAAGAATAACAGAGATCCTATATTATTCGTACCCACATTCCAGTTCCAGAAATTCCTGGATTATGCCAACTCTCGAAGGAGTTGGTCCCTCTCTATCCCACAAGGCGAGCACCGGGCAAAGTTTTACCTCACTTTTGGCGAGTTCGATGAATCGCGTCCGCGCTTCTTAGGTCGCGTGGATAGTATGGCAGAAGTCGACTCATTGAACCCAATGATCAAAAGGCTTCCTATCCATTCTTCTAAGAGCCAGAGTGCTATTGCTTTTGAACAGTATAGAGACAAAGTGGATAGTATATATACTTCCATCAAGCCACACAATAAGAAGAACAAAGATTCTGAGGCGCATCGGACGAGGAGAGCAATGCGACAGAAGGGCTACGGGCGAATGGTCAAGCGTACACAGAAATACCTCGGGCTTCGTGACAACGTTGCTGACCAAACCAATCCCAGTCAGCATTATTCAACTTACCAGAATTCGGATTTGGACGGACCAACACTTTCTCAGGGAAACTTGGTTGCGGATTGGAGCGTGGATATGCTGGTCCCTTTCAAGGTGAAGAATTCCGTACGGTTTATCTGCGTTGATATTGAGGCATGGGAGGATTCGCCAAACATCATTACAGAAGTGGGACTGGCCGTCCTCGACACGGAAGACATCATGGATATTCCACCTGGTGAAGGCGGACACAACTGGTTCTCTTCGATGAAGTCGTACCATTTCCGCATTAAAGAACATGCCCACAATATTAACCATAAGCATCTTGAAGGATGCCCTGACAATTTTAATTTCGGGTACGGTTTCTCCGCCGATCCAGTCCAGAGATTCGAACTGACATTTTCTAGCAATTCCCAGTTCGTCAGTATTGGTGAAATCAACAGAGAGATCGGAGCTGTCATCGGAGACCATTCGTCTGAGGATCGAAGGCCGGTAATCATGGTTGGGCATGACCTTAGTCATGATCTAAGATACCTCAGGAAACTGGGGTATAATATATGGCGGGTGCCACAGTTCTCGGATGAAATAGATACGCAATCTATGTTCAAGAGCCTAGAAAGAGAGAGAAATGGCCGTGGCCTGGCGTCAGTCTGCAGTGAGTTGGGGATCCAGGGATATCATTTTCATAATGCAGGGAATGATGCAGCCTATACATTGCGTGCTATGGTTGCCATGGCAGTCCGACAGATGAATGAGAAGTGTGGGAGGATACATCACCGAAACGAAGAACGGTGAGTGTGAAGTATATCACAAGTCCTTATTCGAGGGTTGATGAACTGACCACTGAAAATAGCGATGAAGACTGGAGCGAAGGTGAAAAGGACGATGGAGGTCTCCCCCAGAAGTCACCCGAGCAGGTTTAGTGGTAAGGAAGCCATCTGAAGGTTGTTTTACACGGTGTTTAACGCGGTACGACAGACTCGAGTGCTCAAATTTCGGGATGGCGAATAGATATCACTGAGAATACTATCCACACACCATGCTCATCCTCGACACTGCACCCTCTTGTCGTAAACTATAGGATAGGGCTTCACCGGAAAATCATCCCAAATACATGTTGCCCTTTGAGGATGTACTACTACGGAGTTTACCCTGGCTATAGGTGTGGATCGTTCTACCTTTCGGAGTCTAAATATCCAACTCCCAATGAACTCTTGCTAATTTTCGTCTATTGCCCCCCCTTTTAATGTCATCCCCACGATGATTTACTGTCAAAAGGTCGGTCGAGAAGAGATTTCGCCCGAGAGGGCTGGATTTGTATTGAAGGTAGAGTGCACAATCGATACATGACCCAATGCAATGGCCCATATTAAATCATGCCCCGAACGCCATCGCTCCCTGTATGCTTTAGTAATTTACATTTCTTTTTTTCTTAGTCAGGGCATGACCGTGACCACTTTACAAGCTGTATAGGCAGCATCCAAAATGCTATCCATTTTTCTCCAGGAACTCTTTTGCTTCGTTTACTTTGGTGGCTAGGTACGGGCTTCCACCTCGATCGGGATGATTCAGGAGCATGAGTGTTCGGTGGGCTTTTCGGACCTTTTCCTTGCTAAGAGACCCCTCCCTGTTATGAGTTTTAATTAGCAAAAGAACATTGAATTCGGTTATGAAGGATGGCAGGAGTTCGTACTGGAGGGATAATATCAACGATGCCTCCTTTTTTGTCATGCGCGGCTCAAAACCGCCCTTGTAGAATGCTTTGCCCAGCGCTCCAACGCCACCCCGGGATCGCCGCCATGCGACAAGTCCTGCGCGGCCCTGTTTCGATGAATTATTAGCATTTTGGTTCGGTAGATGTATATAAGGGATTTTGGGTAAAAGGGTAGGTAGCGTACGAGGAAGGCAGCGACTGCGACGCCTGATCCGATAGCGAGTGCTGAGGCCATGGTGATTGGTAGATTTGCGGTTGACAACAAGGTGGGAGAATTGGATTTTCTGGGATGAAGTCAATCGCGAATGATTTCTTTTTTAAAATGCGCACGGGCCACTAGTCTTCAAGGTTCTAGAAACCTTGAAAAAAAAAACCTCTAGGGCTGACTTATCGATAAAGTAGTTAGTTAGTAGCATCTAACCACAGTAGGTTTAGATCGAATATTTAAATCTTGTTAAATCTTGGGGGAAAAGAAGTTAATCCGCCCCTATCGGATCAGCGATAAGACTTAGAGATCCACCAAAATTTTGCATAGTGTGTGTGAAGTTTCTGGAGGGGCGGAAATAAAATATCACGGTTTAAAGATTTACGAACTACACATACCAACCATCATCTCTGCTAACTCACCCAAAGCAGAGTCGAGTATATCGTCAAAATGGTTAGGTAAGTTATTGATCAATTTCTCTTTTTGATACACTACGAAGATCAGAATGCGAGGATCTCTTTTATCATTTGCATCTGCTGTTGCTGCTGCCCGATCGAAACTATCAGAGTCGTTCCCAAGATGGCCTTTGACAGCTTGAAATCTGGCCGGTTTGCCTTACTCGTGGACGAAACAAGAAGAGAGACATGGTTTACTGACTGCGCATTCATTGTAGAATCGAGACGTGCTATTTCTGCAGTAGGCCTGCCTACCCCAGCAAGGGAATAGTGAGTAGTTCTTTTCCCCCAACTTCAAGCGACCCTTCCAAGCGACACCCAAAACGAACCCAACATTGCCTCGCTGCACACAATCCATGTACCTCCCAGCTGACAGTATCAAAATAGACCTTCTGCCGCAACGATGCCAAACAGTTCCGCTTCTGCCGCTCCAAGTGCCACAAGAACTTCGTCATGAAGCGCAACCCGCGCAAGCTGAAGTGGACGAAAGCCTTCCGCAAGGCGGCCGGCAAGGAGATGACGGTGGACAGCACGCTGCAGTTCGCGGCGCGGCGCAACGTGCCGATCCGGTACAACCGCGACCTCGTGGCCAAGACGCTCAAGGCCATGGACCGCGTGTCGGAGATCCGCTCGAAGCGCGAGCGCGTCTTCGCCAAGCGCCGCCTCGCCGGCAAGCGCGCCCAGGACCTCGCCACCGACAAGAAGCTCGTCCAGACCCACTCCCACCTGCTGCCCCGCATGCGCGGCAGCGAGAAGCGCCGCCTCGCCGAGGAGCAGGGGCTCACGGCCGAGGAGATCGAGGAGCTCGAGAACGCCGCCGTCGTCGCCACTAAGAAGACCACGACCGTCTTTGGCAAGGAGAAGATCCGCCAGCGCGTCCGTGTCGACGGCGGCGTCGAGTTCATGGGCGAGACGGCGGAGGGCGAGGGTATGGATGTCGATTCCGAGTAAAGGCAGTTTTGAGTTTGATACCATTGAGGGAAATTCGCTATATACCATATACACTTCATACCAGCTACATGCCTCTTTCTACTGCGGAGGCTCTACGAATGAACGAAGAATCGAACGGCCAAAGGAACGGGAGGCGTGGGGAAAGAAAGGGGGAGAAGGAGGAAAGCAGAAAGGGAAAGAAGGGGTCGAAAAAAAGATGGTCGACCAAAAACAACGATAACGGCGACTATGGCGTTCGTGTCATGTACGCATGGATTGCTTTACTACTTACTGCCTTACCTACCGATTATTCATTCATCCTCCTTCGATATGCTGCATGCCTTGGCGTTTGGGTCGGATTCTAAAACAAACCTTGGTATACTTACCTAGCAAGTACAATGCATGTACATACATACATAGGTTAGGGTGTTCTAATTGACTACCTAGTACCTACCTACATTTAAACTCGGTACAAACCAGTCCATGTACTACCTAGTAATGTAGTGCTGGTCTTGAGTAAGAAATAAATCCCCCTACCTAAATCTATGTCGATAAAAGTGCTGGAGCTCCTTCTAACCTAGGTACCTAGGTTAGGGAATTAGGTATATATTTGAGTTCATACATGGTTTTCCTTCTCAGACTCGTTACTACATATGCGTGACTTGAATTGACTTGACTTGACTTGACTAAGTAGGTAGGTATTATATATTATGATTATCATTATGAGTAGGCACCATACCTAGTACATGGACGAGGCTCTTCTCCGGCGTGAAGGGAGGGGGCGCTTGTATGGATGTGCGTAGGTAAGTAGGTAGGTACAGACAGGCAGGCAGGTATGTAGGCAGGCAGGCAAGCTGTCATGTATGTAGGTTAGATACCCTATCGCCATCGACTACCTATCCAGGTCTCCTTTCTCTTCTTAGCCCTGTACGACTTACACAGAGCCCTAACCGTTAGAATATATGACAAGTAGGCACTTATGTATGCTGAACTTGCCTACCTAGGTACCTTGCCTCCCTACTATGTAGTCACTCTGCTTTCCATAGGTACTCACCTACTCACGTAGGCAACTGCTCCGGCTTCCTTCCCCGCCCCGGACCGTGCATGTAGTGGATCTTGGGGGGCTGCGGCAGGGATTCGCGGATGTCCTGCAGGATGTGCGCGTCGAGGGCCTCGCGGCGCTTGCGCTCTTGCTCCGGGTCGTACTCTTCCCCTTCTTCGTAATCTCCCCCCCCTCCTTGTTGTTGCCGTGATTCTTCTTCTCCCTCCGGAGCCGAGGTCCAGTTCCCTGCGCCGCCGCGACCGGAGAGCCCGCTTCGAGGGGGTGGGTGCTGTTGTTGAGGGTATTGTGGTTTTGGCGGTGGTGTTGGTGGTGGTTGTGATGAGGTGGGGGATGTGGGTGTAGATGTAGAGGAGGGGACGACATCGACGAAGTTCCCCGCGCCCCCGCGACCGGATCGCGTGTATGCTGGTGCGCTGCCGCCGCTACCACCTCCGCCAACCGTACTCGGGGCTTGGGGCGGTATATGCGCCGGGTCCGTTATGTCATCGTCTGGTCGTTGCGGTAGCGGTTTCTGGGCTTCGAGATCCTGTGGAGTGAGTTTAGTTTGCTTAGCCTGAAAAGAGTTCGTTGTAGGTAAGGTAGGTGCATAGGTTGACCGACTGGGTGGATAACGTCGGTCACATCTCTTTGTGGCGTCTACGAACCTTGGGTGAAGAGGCATTGGTCGCCTCATTAATATCCTTTTGCGAATAGAAGTTACCGGCGCCACCGCGCCCGCTCCGGTAGTATGCTTCTGACATGGTGCTGTCTGTGTTGGGTTCGGGTGTATAGAACGGTAGGTAGGTACAATACAAAGTACTGATAGGTGGAAGACCAAGCAGGCAAGTAAGTAACTATACTATCGACTCGACTAGAGGCTACGTGTGAATAATGATAGGCTGGCTCGTCTCTTGAGCGCGTATTGCATGTAATGTAGGTATGTAAGTAAGGAAGACCGTAGACTGTATGGTTTCCCCTTTGAACGTGGCAACAATCCAGAATGGTTCATCTAGTTACCTATTTAGTTAGGTCAAGAGGGCGTGTCGCTTGGCTAAAGATGAGGCGGGTGAAGGAAGATTGAATACGGTACAAAGCTATATGTAGTAGTGATGGGCGGTTAAGAGTATTGATGTAATTGATACATGCATGATGCATATAATAGCCATTAGCCACCTATATTATAGGCCACATACGTACCCATTTACGTGTAACTCTTCCACTAATTTTAGGTGCTACATGTATGCATGTAAATATCATATTGATATGTACATGTAGACAACATTTGAACCTTGTCACCTTCAATGACAGCTACTAGTATGTACCACCTAATATATTAAACGCCAACTAGCGAAAGACTTTCTTGGATGATGGCAACATTTGAACTCAGTTTTTAAGCCGAGCGCGCGTAATTATGTGCATAACCCTAGGACCATGTAGTTAAGTTGAAGTTACACGTAGCGGGGTTGGTATGTAACTTGGTTACATTTGCTAGGTATTACATACCTACATATCTCAAGTGTATGTATTGTACCTATTATTTCATTTAACAGTTAACTGAGAAAACCCAACCTATTGGATAAGTAGCGGCTGGCCGCGTTGTGTAACTGTCTTGTGAAACCTGACAGTATATTAGGTTTATTTATGTATTGAAGACTTTGAAGTCCTAGCAGCGACGTCACTGAGGGGCATCATAAGTGATCGTCCCATTTCCTTTGAAATAGAAATAAAAGTAGAACATTCATAAATTTGGCCGGGGGTTTTTCCCCTTTAAAATGGCCATAAGAGATCTGATGATGGTATGTACTTCTAATCACTCAGGAGACTTCTACGTACCTAGGTAGGCAGGTAGGTAGTCAGTTGACTCAGTTCCCATTACTGCCTGACTTTCATATCATGGCTTCTAAAAACATACCTACCTTCATGCTAGACAGTGGCAGAGGACTACTTATACTACGCTGGTCCAAAAATAATGATGGGGCCATTGGAAGATTATTTATGGAAAGATATCATTTTTTAAATAAAAAAAATGATATGTGAGTAAACGTGCATTAAACAGGAGATCTACCTTGATGTGCATAGAAGACACAGCCATGAAACACTTGTGTCTAAACGTGGCCAGCAAGGCAGGATTCAGGTACCAAGCCCTACGAAGTCTGAGAACTTCTAGGGCTTGCTCGTACCTGCGTCAGGCCAAACACGCACCGGCGACTACATACAGTGTAGGGGTAAGGTATTGACGTACCAGCCCTAGGAGAACTCCAAGCCCCAGGCTTCCGGGTTGTTTTCCACCGCTGTGTTTGGACAGAGCAAACCCTGAGTGGCCGACCAGAAAAGAACGGGGCATTTTGCGCGGTTCATCCTAGATATGTATGTCACATGTAAATGTACCTACGTACATACATGTTTGGCATGATCGGTATCCGGGAAAATCCCATCGTTCCCTCAGCTCCGACATACATATGTATACTATGTATGTAGGTATGACTGGTATGTAGGTATGTAGGTATGCAGAGCACAATTGTCCGCAACATGGCCCTGATAAGGTATCGGCGTCAGCTTTTAGTGAGATCATATACGCCCACGGGTAAGGCGGACCAGCCTGGCAGTGCTGATCCTTCGGAGAATAGTGATACCTAGCTGTCCCGTCCCTAGGCCTTTCATTCTTTTATTCTTCGTTTTTCTTTGACCCGCGGGTCAGGCAACTTGGAGCGGCTAAAGATTTGCGGTAATTTTCTTGATTGAGACGCTCGTATTCTTTAAACCGTACATATAAACTTGAAAGACTAAACCACACAGGGCATGTCGACACGTAGTCCGTTGTCAGCTGCTTCTGGTGTTATCCTGAAGAGGTATAGTATGTAGAAGTTCATGGAGTCACTTGATTTTGGGGACTTGCCACAAAATCTCACCTGATTGCTAACCTGATTGCCATTCGGTTCTGAAGGATTTCAGAAATAGAGTGCCCCAGGAAATAAAACCAAACTCCCCTACAAGTTGTGGACATATTCCATAATTTTGCGGCCATTGAATTTGACTTGAACGCACGGGCGGCCTTGTTTGAATTGAAGGTGTACAGGACCTGGCGGCTCAATATTTTGGAAATTCCATGCAACAAATCATGTGTGATAGCCGCGATGGCGGCCTGCCCATAGCAAACAAGCTCCTTCACAAGGACTGGCTAGTTTGACAATTGCTTATGACTTGACATTACACCAACTGTAAATGGATAGGTGCTAATTAGGTAGAGAGCATTGACCAAACACCTGATGAGGCCTCAGAGCCTCACGGAAAAGATGGAAGCTAAGTGCATGGATTGTCATCTTCACAGCAAAGTATTCCTATCATCATAGACACAAAGTCACATTTGCCAATGACTAAGGGCTTTGTAGGTATACATACATTGATGATCGATATAACGAATCATGTGGGGCGGAATATAGAGCGGGAAAAGTAACAAAGATACAGACTTCATCCCGTGGCCTTTGGCTATGCTATTCTGTTCAATGGCAAGTGTGTGGCAAGAGGCAGAGATACATGTATGTATGCAACTACATAGGCAGTGAATGCCTACACTACATGTGGCCAGCTTCTAGGCCCTCATCGCCTGGCTCGTTATATGGCAGCTAGATCATCGCGGTGATAGCACTATGCTTCACTTAGGATGAGGGAACGAATCAAACCACGGGTTCCCCAACCCTAACAGCACATACTGTAGATATTCTTTGGGGTACGTGTTCTTCGTGGCCTAGGCCATTGGGTTCCTCAACATTGAGCCCATTCTGTTGAAAATTGAATTGCCTACACTAGTAATTAGACCAAATAATTGTTGTGGACATTATGAGGTTTAAGGCACTGTATGCCCTTATGTAGGTGCATACGAGAATTTGGAGTTTCCTCCCTTGCTTCACGATTCTTCCCTCTTGGACCATGATATCCAATTGCTTAGCAATGTCTCGTTCGAACTATTTCGTAGACACGAAGAAAGTCATGGAAGAAGAAGTGTAGGGTGTCTACTTACCCCAATTGGGGATACATGAAACCTGTATGTATCATAATGTATGTATATAGTTAGTATACCTAGGATGTGTAGGATACTGTCCAATAGCAAGAGTCTGCAAGACAGCTCGAACTTCAAATGGAAGGACGACAAGGGCGTAAGTATAGGCGACGAGGGTGTGCTAATATAAATTCATGCACGAAAAGGACTTGGTCCCGAAAAAGCAAAGTGACCTGCTGATCTCGTGGAATTTACCAATCCATTCAACGAATGAGGTTGAAGATCCGGTGGTATCACGGTGTACTACTATGTAGTAGGTTTGTGACTATAGCAAAACGAAGACGTCTCTTCTTTCTATCATCGGCAATGAGGGCCTATGGTTTGATAGTAGAGCACTATGGATGTCATTCGAAGTAACTCGGAGAATCCGATTGGGGAGTAAAAGATAGGTAATTTGGAACTTTGGATTATAGCAGTTTAAATGTTATTTTAATACGAATCTCTGTGTCCTATTGCGTACGTAAGCCATATGTATGTAGGTATACTAGCCTACTACATGTACATATGTAGGCATTACTAGGTAGGTACCTACATGTAGGTATCTACCTAGGTATTGTACATACATACATGATGGAGTGGATCCTTTGTATGAACCCCTCTCCAAACTTTGAACTTTATTCTACATGTATTGTACATATAAAATGGTACTCATTCCTTCCAGTTCTCCGAACTGCATTCTAAGCTTCTGTCGATCTTTACATACCCTAGGTGGTATACTACATAGTATACATATCTTTCTCTCTTTTCTTCTTATTTTTTATCTTCTCCTATGATGGTAGCTTAGCGAGGCGTGCTCTCTACATTGAACGCCTGAAAGAGGAGTATACTATGTAACTATATACAGATGTGCGCTTTATGGAGAGGTATGCTCAATATATATCCAGATTCTCTGAAATTACGATGACAGCTATTTACAACTATGTATAGATAGAATCTGATAGATATTCTTAGTATTATGGACATAAAAAAATGCTAAGAATGGTCATCAGGGATTAACCCTACCCGCCAGGTGACGCGCTTGCGATCGTAGCGTGGATGGGCTTAGTCTGGGGTCGAAATCGATAGTCCTTGAATCAATTTATAGATCCGGGCCGGTCACAAGTTTATCACTAACCGAAAACGAACAAGCCCTAGTTGTTACCTGCCTGTCCGTCAGTGTCCGAGAGACATCAATTACTTGTTGTATTGTGCCATCTTCATATACTTATCTGTCTGCTTTGTAAGCTCCAAGGCTTGTATGTTGTACACTATGTAGTTATGCTTTACGTGTCAAGCCTAAAGTTAACTCTCTATGATAGTCCCTAAAAGATTCATTGGCACATCAACTTTGCAGCGTTATTGGATGACAAACTCTAGATTATATAACATTCAGATTGTATGTCTAATAGACACACACATGCATGTCTGTATGTACATACATACATACATACATAGTATGTTGCAGTAGTTATGAGTACCCCTAGTTCCCCTCGTCTTTTCATTGCGCGCACGCCCTCATGTACACCAACAGTCCAATCCAGTCGACAGGCAGGTGCTCCAACATTGCCATTATCTAATTACCGTACTTAGTACTCCGGAAATCTGTATGCCGTGAGCGTTTCAATGTTCCTTAATAGGATTATTCGCGAATAACATCAGAGATATGCCACGTTATACTGCCACTTGTCCACTTGTCCATTGCGATAGGCACCGCGAGTTGCCGCTGTCGACCTATGACGGGTAACGTTGACGCACGGGAATTGCTTTCTCTGTCATGTGTATAATAGATCGCAAAATGCTATATAATAGTGATGAACCCGGCAGCTCCCGGTGAAGGTTGCGCATATGTAGTTACATATTAACCTCTATTTGGTATTTATGCAGTTATATCCACGTACATATATATCATAGGTAGGCTGGTTTGTATGTAGGGAACATTGAATATAATAGAAGATGTCTAATGGCTTTATCCTACCTGTCAACTGCTAGCTGCCAGCTGCGGAGGTAATACGGACCTAAATAGATCTATTTGGGATTGGATTGCCTCTTCAATCGACTTCTATTTCTATTTCTACACACTGTGGTTGAATATAGACGGCTGCTGTTCCACGTTTGAGCAGCCTCATCTTTTTTTTATTCGTCGCCTAGCGTAGGCAGAATTACACGTACCATTTGGATCGAGTACATGGTCTCGACTCTCTGGTATGGAATAGGTTACTCGTAAGGGGGTTCCCAACGAAATCTGCCAAGGGGTATTTTGGTCCCTTTTTTTCTTCTTCTTATCGGATCATTGGAAGACCATAGCTTGCTAACTATTGCCTCATCTTATATAACCACACACGAAATCATCGCATATCTATGTATGTACCTACCTCAAGTGCTATCATCGAATCGATGTTGACTTGACTAACCTAGAGTCGTTTGGCATTTCTTCATTTACAACTCAGAGAGTCATCCTTATATCGGAGAGTCTGGCCTCAACCTATTGAAGATTATCATGCCAGATGATAGATGTACTGACTAAAAAATCGCCAAGCAAGTTTGTACGCGTGAAATTGTGCCTGACTTGAACACGGACCTAAATTGTAATCCACTAATGGCAGACAAGAACCAAGCCCTATTCCTGCATTATGCTCTACTATGCGGTACACTATGTATTGAATTATACCCATCAAATGTATAACAAATTCAAAGTATGGATTGTACCTACCTAAAGCACAGGGGGTTGCAGGAACTTGACATGCAGCGCCTACCTGCCACTCCCAGTCTCCCACTGTACTTTTGTGGATTCTAGTAGGTGCGAATGGGTCTAAGATAACTAGGACGGGGGAAGGAAGATGGGGGGGTGGAATTGAATGGGGGAGGGGAAAAGGAGAAGTCCCCAAGAACAATTAAAAACAACCCACCATGACTTGCCTACCACACCATATATCAACGGTCTACAACGCACCACATGCACAAGCTCCCTCTTTTTCTCTTCTTCTCTTGTTCTGGTCTTGTTTTCTTTTTTTCTTACAAGTTAGTTACCATGTATTATGTTATGTTAACCCGACTCCTTAGAAGCCTAGTAGCTTCCATCTAAATCTGCGTAGGTAGGTAGAGATACATACATCTGTATGCATGTATGTACTGCACACCATGATCTGTACATCCATGGGACAAGAATTGTAAGCAGCTAGGTAAGATGAAGGCGCAGTCTAAGCCTATTTCCAATATTGTTCGAGTCGGGTCGACCACCTGACGCATAACCGATGTATGGATCACTGGGCCATTCAATGTATATGAGTATCTGAGTACATGTACAAGATGTACAATAACTACATACATTTTATGATTTGACTCCATGTTGGTACCGTCTGTACCGTCCGTACCTGCCTAAACTTTCCCAGTAGCCAGTGGCCCAGTGCAGTAGCTAATCGCTTGATCGAATCCATAAAAATTATTTTTTTTGTGCAATTGACTTACCTTTGTCCTTTCCTCAAGGGTTAAAGAAAATGAAATAAAAAATTATTGAGCATCGGACGGCTTTTCTTTTTACAAAACGTCCGCCCTCCACTACTACCAACTTGCCCTGACCAACTGACCAATACATATCATAGTCCACCCACCATTGTCCATAGAATACCTCTCGCTTTGCTTTGCTTATTTTTTGTTGCTTCCTCTTGCTTGTCCATCTTTCAATACATTCTTCAACGAAGTAGGTGAGACACAAGTAAAAGTCATAGTGAAGAAGGAATCATTCGCGAAACCAACGTTTTGTCGTTCTACTGTTTACGTGTTCGGCAATGGCCTCTTCCAAGGTAATCTACCAACCTACATTTACCCTATCTTACCTTCTCAGCTCGATTCCAAGAACAGGGTATTGATGCTGATCTTTTTTTATGCATCATCATAGGAAATCCAAACGTCTACGAGGCCATTGACCCAACACCGCCAATCCATCTCTTCGGGCTCCGCGTCTTCCTTGGGCGCTACGAGGCCATTTTCTCACTCACGCAACAATTCCCATACCTACTCCGCTTTGTCCGGCGCCCTGAACGCCACCCACCGCGTAACACGTCGGAAGAGCATGACGAACAATACTACCAACGTTGCAGCTGTCGCAGCTGCTCTTGAAGAAGCTGGCGATATGGTCGGTCCCCTGCCCATTGCTGTCAATTCCCGACGCGGCACCATGTCCAAGTCCGCTGCCGCTCGATCCACTATCATAGGCAGCTTGCCTTCACCACCCGCTAGCCTGCCCACACACCGATTCTCCTTGAACATGAATCCCGAAGGTCCAGAGAACGCCATTGACGATTCCTCGAACGAGATGTCGGCGGATGAAGGGGAGATGGGGCCCCACGGGGCTCGCATTAGGCGAGCGAGCGATGGCCAGCCTCTGACAAAGGAGGGTAGAAAAAGCAATCGTGTTGAACTTCGCTGCGACAAGTGTGGAAAAGGATACAAGCATAGCAGTTGCTTGACTAAGCATTTGTTGGTGCCCTTTTTCTTGCCCGCTGCCTCTTTTATACATTCCATTGCCCAGGCCGCTGGATAATAAGCCTCTACCTACCTTGAGGGGTAATGGACCGGCCGAGATTCCCAAGACCCTAAGTGATTAAATTTGAACCTTTGTTGACGATTTGCTTGCTAGGTGGGAACATACTCCCGAGTGGTCCCTCACATCCAAGCTGCTTATATCCAAGCACCAACAAGTTCAACTGCTCGAAGCGGCGTCGGTTCTCGTTGCCATGAACACGGACGCAACTACACCTCCAGATTCAGCTAAGGACTTCGCCAGCGATCCCGAGTCGGCATCTCCCACCGCTTCAGGCTACTCAGAACTCCATAATGGTCATAGTTCAGCTGATACCACACCCCCGCCGCAACCAGAAGGGTTTGGGTCTTTGAACATGCTTGGCTATCGTACAGCGCATAAGAGGAACAGTAATGGAAGCGGGGTCTCGCGATCTTTCCAGTCCGCTGCGTCAGGATCATTCTTCCCAGGTAGCGTACCGAACGGGAACGGGTTTGTGTTCAGCCACGCTCGACACTCAAGCTCGGACCATCGTCCTTCATCTTCCGGCATGAACAGCACCGGCCAAGATGACCGTGATCTTGCAGCTGCTGTTGAGCTGCTCAGTTGCAGTTTCAACAGTAACGGAGGTGCGCGAGATGCAAGGTTGCCGCAGGATGCTCCCCCCGTACCACCACTACCTGCCCAATACCTCGACCATGCTGCCTTTACTAGCACGAGCTTTATAAATAGCTTCCCGTCAGGGCAGATGCCAGAGAGCTTTACTCGGGGTGAGCTGCGGCAGACCGCTGATGTGAAGATGGAAGATAGCGAAAGTAGTATCATGGATGAGGATGAAGTTGATCGACAGTCTAGGGCACGCAGCAGCGAGGAGGACGATGAAATGATGTTTGGCCTTATGGAGGACTGAACACAGGATCGCTCGCTCGAGACGACGTGAAACGAGTCATGGCTTTCGTTCTTTTCCTTTTGTATCACATGTCGAATTGTGTTAATGAGGTGGTTCGCTCCGCAGCCGGAACCTCAGCACCGAAGAATGGGGGGCTTCAGAAGAGTATACTCATAGGCACTCTCCAAGAGGTTAAAGTGAGGATCGGAGGGAGCGTCGAGCGAACACCCAAGCTGTCGAAATTTTTGGAGGTTGAATTTCATGAGGCGGAGAGCGGTGTTTGGGATAGGACTTGATAGCACCCATTTGCTATTTGTAAATGAAACCCCGATTCAAATGAAGTTAATTTACTACTTACCTAGGACCTAAAGATACATAAGTATCATTTTGGAGATCTAACCGACAATAGACTTCTTCAATGACTCGAGGAGAAGGAATATGAGATGTGTATGTGGATTTTGGGGTTTACATGTAAAAGATTCAGCTTGTGCCGTAAGAAAAAAAAAGAAAGGAAGACTGCGGAGTCATGATGCCAATGATATTGATGATCTGCATGTGAATGCAGGTCGATATAGGTTGTACGGCTACAAGTTCAATATTGGAAGCAAACAGCTTCCACGGAGCAAAGACGCGTGAGATGGTAGTCGAAGGGTACCGCGTCAAGATATATAGGAGATGGCTACTTACTTAGGTAGCGAAAATCTAAGGAAATAGGTTGGAATAGCAGAAATAAAATGAAGAAGGATAAAAGTTTGCATTTTGAGAATGGAAGATCGAGAAAGTCGGGTCCTCTTTTGACAAGCGAGGTTTGTTGTCGATCAGTTAGGCAGTGGGGTTAATAGTTGTGTATTTTGCAGAGGCTTCAGAGACGAGGCGAGGAGATGGACGAGACGTCACTGGTGGTACCTTGAAGCTGCAGAACCTTTGCTTTTCCCCACATAACAAAAAGTACTAACAGTTGGGTACTACTAGTAACTATGTACTGTAAGGTGCGTACGCCGTACGGTAGGGTAGGTACTAGGTAATAAGCTTTCGATTCATTTTCATTTCAATCTTCAATCTTCAATCTTCCCCCCCGCCATCCATATACCTCGAGAAGAAGGTACAGCTTTTGTTTAGCTCCCTTATCTACTTTTTCAATACTTGACCTTAACTCCTTACCAGGTACTAATTCTAATTTTAACACCTCAATAATTACCATAAATCACTGTTTACCTTTCTATCTGCTCGGTGAGGTCAACAGCACCTGAGTACATCAGACTCGACTCTCATATTCCCTCTCCTATTCTATCATAGTGGATTACATATCACACCTTTTTTTCTCAACCTGTTAGGGATCTACTACTTCATACAGATAGATTACTACAAAAAGGAAGACAAAATGCGAACTAGGAAACAAACTCGCGCAGAAGAAAGCTTTGAAGCTTCGCCTTCTACGCCGACTGTTGTGAGCATCACTAAGATCGAGGGCCCGACAACTTCAACAACACGCGACAAAGCTCTGTCCAGCCAGCGATCCAAGCTCCCGAAGCTGGTCCAGTTCCCCTTGGTCGTAGTCCTAAGCCTAGCTCTATCGCAACTCGGCTACACGTTGTCATGGCCTTACACCAAGGGTGCGTTAGTTACGCATGCAAGACCCTTGACCACCTGGGAAGATTGGGGATTAGTCGTGGGATGGAGAATGTAAGTATTATGCGCGTGGGATTTCTTCAACGATGATTGTGACGTAATACTAATGATCGGCGCCTTCAACGCTATTTTACAGATTTGAACTTGCACTAGGATGGTTTGGCAATTACGACGGCTACGATATCACCGCGCTCAACCTCTTGTCGAGTGGTCCTCCTGTAAGTCATCAAGCTCGCGCTTGAAAGATTTTAGGCCTAGGTGCATTGTACTATGAGACTAGGAAACTAACAATAGCACACAGCTCTATCTCCTATTCGCCTTCTACGAGACGCTACCGAGTGCCCTCTTACTAACCATCACCATCGAAACCCTCGCAACCTACATTCCCTTCCGCCTGCTTCGCCCGCTTTCCCGAGAACATGCTGACCCAGCCACTGCCCCCAATGCCGAGATTGTCACGGACCGTCCCATTGCACTCCTCACCACGCTACTTGCCGGCGCCATATACAGCGTTACTTTGTTCTTTGCGTACACAACATACCTACCCGCGTACCTAGTCGTGTATTTCACTAGTCTACCGACAATTGTTGCGGCGCACGAAGTGACATATGTTGGCCTGCTACCTGTGACTTTAGTGCTCGGGTTCGCAGCGCGCGCCTTTATCTTCACGCCGGCCGGAGCAACCCCCCTCGTTAAAGAAAAGGAGTTCGACCCCATGAGCGCGAGTTTGTCCGAAACAGTGCGCTGGAACTTCTGGGGTTGGAGTGCTCAGACCAAAGTGGCAATGCGACGTACAGCTCTCCTGGTACTAGTTACGGGCGCCAATACTTTCCTCCAGACGCGCTTCACAATTCATGGCGTCGAGACAATTGGTGCCGTGGCATGGAGCAGCGTCTGGGTGCTTGCTGCGGCGCTTACGGGATTAAGTCTCTGCGCCGTTGGTAGTGCCTAGAGCAGTACGAGTGATGGGCAGGCGAGAAAATGAGGTGTATGATGAGCATATCAATGGTGATATTGGAGGATTTGTGAGGGCCGGCAGAAGAAAGTAGTATGATACGGAAAGGCTACGCAAGGGAAAGGGCGTCTTATACAGGAAATGGTATTTGCAGTACGCAAGTGGCAGAACTCAACGTCTTGATAGGGCAACCTACCGAAATCTATATGTTTCGTAATGTTTATTTTATTCCTCTGAGGCAAAACTAAGTGTCCAGCACCCACCAGCAATAGCCCGGGTGGCGGTGACCATTACTTGACTGAGTAGATACTAGGTTCTTACTACCTAGGTGAACCTTTGTCAGTTGAGATTCGTAGATCTTCTGCTAAGTACTCACTTTGATTCCAAAAATTGATAGTAAATAGAATTGGCCCATTTAGAACCTACCAGGTACATGAAGCGGTGTTATGAACATTGAAGGCGTTGCAACTCGGTTTGAGGATAATGTATATAATTAATTAACTTGAGTACGGAGGCATAAGTACATAAGATGTGGTTCACTTTCACTTTAATGCAGCTAGCCATACTGGATAGCCTGTGTAACTTATCGGGAAGGCATAATAGCAACATTGAAGTGAATTGATTGGCTTTTTCATTGACATCGTTGTAAATGGGACGGTCTTCCGGGCCCACTATACCGGATGCATAGGTACTAGGTAGGCGGCCGGAGTGGGGAAGAATTCGGAAAGATCAAAGATTGATGGGGCAGTGGGGTTCCGTTCCGCCATGATGAGTCAGCCCCATTAAAATCATTACTCCGTATCGATAAGATAAAAGTGCTCCAAGGTTGAATTTTATTGAAATTTTGATGGAGCTGCCGACCTATCCTACTTACACTTACACTTTCTCGAAATAAAACAAGAAAACGGAAAAAAAACACAAAAAACCGGTAAAACGGTCAATACGAGTTCAAGCCAGAACTGGCAGGATGCGCAGGATGCGTTCCTTCGTATCAGCACCAATATGTCCTTCCTGTTTATTCGCAACGAGAAGTCGAAATGCCATTCAATCTTTCGCCCCACGATGGCCTGCGCAAAGATTCGTATATACTCGAACGAGAGACGGCCCCTCGAGAATGGTACTGTCCGATCGCGTGGCACGCCCTCCGCGTAGAGACTCACAGGATGGCCGTAGCGATAGGCCCCAGAGGAGATCAGAAGGGCCATTTGGGGGTATGAATCAGACTTATGCTAATATACGGGAACCGACGTCAAGAAGAACGTCTCGAATTAGCGATGACAGAGGTAGCGGGGATAGGAGGGGTAAAACAGCCGAACGACGGACCAAAGCTATGAAAATGCAGCATGCGCTATCGCCAATACCATACTTGCAAAGAGTACAGACAAAGTCGGCCTTGGCTACGATAGAATCGTTTGATCAATTCGCTGTTCTACCTGCGATCAAAGAGGCCATGTCCAAGGATGTGTTAAGGGGCATGGTAGATATCAAGCCCACTCCAATCCAACGACTTGCAATCCCAGCCTTGCTAGGCCAAAATATTGGCCGGCGAAATTGGAAAACTGAGAGTCAAGGGAGGCAAGAGTTCCTGCTAGCGGCAGAGACGGGCTCTGGAAAAACTCTAGCTTACCTTATACCCATTATCGACGCGTTCAAGAAGGCTGAAGCTGCCGATCCTGCCATCGCGGCCTACCGAGAATATTTCTCGAAGCAAATGGAAGCGATGAGCGAGAAAGGATACACGGGTCCTCGCGAATTCGACCCGCATCCAACAACCGCCCGACCCAGAGTTGTTGTGTTAGTACCGACAGCCGAGCTGGTTGAGCAGGTAGGTAAAGTTGTTAAGCGGTTGTCGCATGAGGTCAAATTCAAAGCCAGCATGTTTTCCGCCAACGTTTCTGCCAAGGTCATCAATGCGAACATGTATTCCCCTACGGGCATCGATGTTGTTGTCTCAACGCCGCATCTATTGGCATCCATAGCAGACTCGTCCCCCAATATCCTGTCTAGGGTCAGCCATTTTGTGGTTGATGAAGCTGATTCGCTTTTCGACCGTGGCTTCTCGCCCGTAACAACATCCGTCCTAGACCGCGCCCTACCTTCTATCAAACAACTAATCCTCTGCTCTGCCACTATCCCTAAAAGATTGGACAACTACTTGGCTACCGAATTTCCAGATATGACCCGGCTCACTACACCAAATCTCCATGCCATTCCTCGTCGTGTGCAACTAGGAGTCATTGATGTCACAAAAGATCCGTACCGGGGTAACAAAGATCTTGCTTGTGCAGATGCCATTTGGTCTATTGGTCGAGATGCTGCCCGACATGAAAGCTCCGTGCCAGGGGAGGCAGACGTCAAACGAATTATGGTGTTTGTTAACGAGCGCGAGAAAACTCAAGAGGTTGCAGAGTTCCTTGTTTCTAAGGGTATTGATGCGGTTGCTCTTCATAGAGACACCCCAGACCAGCGGCAGTCGGAGATGATGGATTCATTCACAAGCAGCGAGCCGCTAAAAACCAAAGATGTGCCCCCTGCTGCCGTGCCAGCTCCCGGTAAGGGACGTCGGGTTTTAACCAACACCAAAGTTATCGTGGCTACGGATCTGGCCTCGAGAGGTATTGATACCCTGGCCGTTCGACATGTAATACTGTATGACGTACCGCACACGACCATCGATTTTATACACCGCCTAGGTCGTGCAGGCCGTATGGGCAGGAGAGGAAGGGGAGTCGTCTTGGTGGGCAAAGATGACAGACGGGACATCGTGGCCGAGGTTCGGGAAAGCATGTTCATGGGCCAGGCACTTATATAGAGGCAAGATACCCGTAACTTCAACCCATACGACTTGTATAACTATAAAAATACACAATTTCAGCCAATTATACCACATAGTCACTAAGGTGTTGAGGTGACTTTGTTCCCCCATAGAACCTCAGAAGGCTTTAGAGTAGATAGGCATTTGCCCATGTAAGTAGGATCCTAATAATATTGCCTCTCTACACCCAGGAGCATGGTCGAAACCCCAAGAGAACATGATCAGACACTACCTAGGTACCTAGGTAGACACGCCCACAAATACAGTATTATGCTATTGATAACATTTAGGATGATTGCACGTGGCTAGCTCGGGAACGAAGCTGTTTGGGATATCTCCAATCAATCATACTAACGTAACCTAGGCACTTTCTTGCCACAGGTTCCTGTGGCAGTTGAGTTGGGAAGACAGTAGACACGAAAATAAGCACTCATCTATGAAACACCAGTATGCTATTCTTTCTATGACGTTGGAATCCTATCTTCTGAGTGCTGGTATCTCTAACATCTCCCTGGCGACTATGGAGACCAAATATCCATATATGAAGCCGTCTTTCCGTATAGTCTAACCTGCCCTGGCTGGCCCCTAGGTAGACCCTTGACAGACTTGGATATATGAGATAGTAGGGTTCATGGGTGAGTGTGTATCACTGATAGGGGCGTCACCAGAGCTAGGTAGTATGTATGTCACGAACTAGCTTCTCACAAGATCAACCGCAATGGCGTAGGTTGAACGGCCTACCACATGTTATCCCTCATGGATGACTCGTGGCATCGACATGGAACGGAAGAACTCGAAAGAGGCTATCTACCTAGCCTAGTAGGTAGGTGGTAGTAACATGCCTGGGGGCGTGTTGAATATTGGCAACTGACCTACCTACCTAGGTTAGGCACTCAAGCCCGAAGCAGAGATGCCTACTAAGTAGGTAGTCACTGCCTAGTAGTTACTCGATGCCATGTTATCCTTCCTCGTTGCTTTTTGTAATATTGGCACTAACTATATTTCATTACGATTGAGATAAGTTCTTGGTCTCTGTCTGATCTAGATCATTGGTGTTGCCATTGCGGCAAGAATGGCTCCTCACTAGGTGCCTACCTAGTAGGCAAGCAAGTGAGTAGAATGATCTATCTAGATTGATGCTGGTTCAATAAAACCGCCATGGGCTGGATGGTATCTAGTATGTGAACGTGTCTTGTAGTTGGGCTTAGCATTGAGAAGGGGTCAGAATATAAAAAATTCTGAATATAGCCATTAACTTCGAATTCGCGATGGAGCAGATGTGGTGCTAATCTTGGTAATTAACTTTTGTCTTGGACCCTTAGATTTTGAGGTCTTTACAGCTGGAGACCTCGGCAGGCGGATCGATGTCTTGGTGGATCTCTTGTAATGGCTCTTGGACACTAGTTACAGCAGATATGTAGGCATTCTGTTCTACCTGGGTTCCATGTTTGATAACCTGGTTTTCCCACATTGAACCCGTCTCAGCCAATATAGGGTGGCTGTGTGGTTGTTGGTTGGAATACCTACCTAGGACACGACTAGATAGATCATACATAGATGTCTCGTTCAGACGGGAGGTTCGGGTAGCAAGTTCCTGCGGAGCATAATAGGGGTCCAAAGGTCTACAGAAGCTGTTCTCGACCACGGGGTCTGAATCAAAAAAGAAAAAAAGAAAAAAACCCCCCAGGTCTCCATGAAGTAGACACACTTCTACTGGTTCCTCCTCGACAACAGCGTTGGTGTCTTTGCAAGGCCTCATGGTGGCCATAGCTCTGGATCCGATGTCCCATTCTAAAGCAGCGGCACGGATCCGTTTGGCTGTGGTCATAGTTAATGGGAATAATGAAATAATGGAAGATACATAGGATGAAAGCCGAGACAGTCTGTCCGCTAAAGGCGCATAATTACTCTAAACTACTGCACTATATGCGAGTGAGATTGTGAAATCGTCTCTTTAGGTATGCAGTTTCTCCTAGACCACACAAGGAAGATCGTGGACATATGATTATCAAAGCATAACTAGTTATCATGCACAAAATCTTAGCGCTACACTTTCGACTGACTGAATAACTACTCGATCTGATCTTCTGATTGGTGATTATGTTTCAAAAAAATGTATAAAATGTTTGCTTGAATTATGGAAGATTATCAATTACTCATACACATCGTTGTGCGCTCTAGAGTGATGTAATGTGATGGAGGCCTGCACACAGTATGTTATTCTTCATCGATGCATTGCGTGCGTCGGGGGACATACTCAAACCGTATATAGTGTATTTGTATTCTTCCAACATAAATGTAAGATGCAGACATAACCCTAGTTGCTATAAAATGAAGCATTGCTACGACGCCATGGTTCCAATCCTCGATTTGGCTATAACGAACCAAGATAGTCGGGACTATTGTTCCAGGCCCTAGCCTACGGAACACCTACTAACCTACATGTGTAAACCTCCACCAGCACTTATTTTGTAAATATAGCAACTACTATGTAGCTACCGTATTCTTAACCCCCAGCTTGTGTTTGATCGACTCTAAGGCTAGCACCTGGACTAAAACTGAAACATACCCAATCAGCTAGCTGCGGACAAATGAATTTCGGTGCGCCCTCCCAGTTCCAGCATTCCTTTTGTGGATAGTACTATGTTAACTTAGGTGGTTGTTAGCTTCAGCGGCTTGTCTATCGTGAAGCCCAGTTCCTTGGTAAAAAGTAAAAGCAAAATGCCAGTTTACTACTGCCAAGATGCCACATGTCTATCGACATGTGCCAAACTTGCTTCAAATTTGACCTATAGGAGGTAATTGCTTCAGAATCTAACTGATAGTGTATTCGAATCGAGAGAGTACAATACCTACCAACCTACATGCCTAAGCAGGCGGTGTGCCGTACATAGGACTAAGGTAGGTAGGTAGGTAGGTAGGTAACTAGGTATGTCAAGCACGAAGCTTCAAGTTGAGATGCTTGAATGGTAAATGTGATCGGCGCAAATCATTGAAGCCCCTGGTAAATATAGACCCTTGCGTGAATCCCGGTAATTCTTAACTTCTTCTAGTAGTTACCTATTCCATACCGCAGCACATTAGGCATATCCCAAGTCTTGTCTCACGCCTTGTATTGAAACTGGCTATCCAAGAAGACAAGTCATAAAATGGCATTCTCAAGTCGCGAAAGCGATATTAACAATGTCAATCTATTTTTAATTTGAAACTTGGGGGACTGTTAGATAGAATACGAGCCTCGAGGTCGGTCATCTGGTATCATAACTGTGATAGTCTTAATTATTTGCGGGATTTGCAGTCGGGATCTGTTGGGTAATGTGACAATGCCTGTGTTGATTTTCCTGGGCGATGGAAAATCGGATCTTGGTGATATGAGCGAGGATTTACGGGATTTACAACACGGCAGATTGCCAAGCAATAGAATTGTTCGCGAATAGAATGCCAAGCCTACCTATCTGTACCGATGCGCCGTACTTGGATGGGGATCTAATAAGGAGCTATGTAATAGGGTGTAATAGGGAGGAGATGGTTGTTCACCCCTGGTATCTCGCACGGTGACCTGGAAATCTTCAACCATGTTGAACCAATTCCAAGTCGGCGTTAGCGGTAAAGCAGACTGGCTTGAGTATGTACATGTTATGTACATGTAGTTAACTATGTATAAAATCTCCAGCTCACCAACTAGAGATCGACATGGAATTTTCTTGGTATAGACATATGTACCCTATGTGCCCAGGTATGTACTAAGGTAGTACTATGTATGTGAAGTCGATCAATGATAGGAGGCTTAATAGATGCATGTGTCAGATCGTGACTCCATCCCCTAGAGATTTGGGTTAAACGATCCAATGAGAAGTTGAGTAGAGCGCTAAGCATTTGTACCCCAGAATATGGATGTCCCGCCCTGCCTCAGATCTCGCTTGAAACGTCGCGAATTCCTGCCAGGTCTCTTTCCCGTCTAAATACCGCCAAGCCCTTCCAACCATTGCTGAGAACAGTGAGAAGAGGAAAGGTCCAGTATCAGTAGTGCGACGGGAGTCCTGTTTTGTTCGTTTTGCACCCTGTCAGTGACGAAAGAAAGCATTTCGAACCTCAACGCCTCTCCCCAAGCGAGGTCTCATTTTGCCAGAGTCCCATTTGGGTGGATTGTAGAGGTAGGGCAGGTAATTAGTAGTTACCAGGTATCCAAAGCTATCCAAAGCTATCCAAAGCTACCCATGGATGTAAACTCCACGGTACCAAGGTAAAATGAACGTTGATGAAGAAAGTTGTATAAGTAGCTAGAGAACTCGCCATGAATTCAACATGATTTTTCTTCTTCATTCCGTTCTTACACATTAAAACATTCGCCTCGTATCCTCTTCATTCCATTTCTTTGCTTTGCTTCGATTATTTTTGGTGGCTGGACCTCCGCTTTTACCAACATTCATTATTCAGCTTGATTCATTCAGAGGACGTCCGAGACTCCCAATTCAGCCCTTCGTACTATTTACACTTTTTCAACCAGTCAACATGAAGTTCCTTAACATCCTCCTCCTTGCCGCCTCGGCCTCCGCTTTGGTCCTGCCTCGTCACCACGCTGGCCAGAAGGCTAACGGTGGCAACGCGAACGGCAACAATGCCGTAGCAAATGCAGCAGCTGGCAACAACAATGCCAACAACGGCAACGCAGCCAATGCCGCTAAGGCAAACACCAACAACGCCGCTAACGCCAACGCCAACGCCAACGCCGCCAACACCAATGCCGCCTGCAACAAGTAAGCCACAATTCCATCCTTAAGATGACCCGTCGTTTGTCTACTTATCTAGTATCCCAATACTAACATCGGGTTTAGCAACAATAAGCGACACCACGCCGGGCAGAAGGCAAATGGCGGCAACAATGCTGCTGCCGCTGCTGACAACTGTAAGCTACCCCAATATACCTACAGCAAAGAATATCAATCTCCAACAGGTGACTAACCACAATCCTATCTAGGCAACTAAGAACTGGCTGTCTTACACATTATTCGGTACTGGGAACGCGAGGAACAGGATTATATAGGGGCTTGCAATTGTGCCCACCATGGGCCGGCCCTTGGTTGTCAACTTACGAATGACACCGTCTCATCAGATTGTTGGATAATAGCGCAAAGTAGCAGAGTGTATAGAATATGGAATGAAATCGGATTATGAGCAAATACTTTTTTTTTTCTTCTTCATTTGCAATTGTGACGATGCGCTGGGTGACTTGCGGTAATTACCCAGTAACTATATACCTATCTAGATTAGTAGGTACCTAGGTAGGTATCCAGTTCGAAGTAGACGGGCATATGTATCCGTACCAATATTATTCAATGGCTTTCAATGTTGGGAACAGATACTTCTTCCAACGGCAGCCAAAGTTGGCTTGAGTTGAAAGGCTTAATACGGTAGGTGGGCGTAATCTCCAGCGGAGCGTTACCTACGGCCCGGGCAATGACTCCCGGGGGTTATTGGTCTTTAGTGAAAAGCCTCATTGAATAGTGTAACTATGTAAATATGGATGGAAGGATAAAGGCTACGACAATTCGAATGGTTAAGATTTTAGCACCTTTATAAATAGGGGAATCTTTTAGGGGGAGTTCCTATAATCCTATTTATTGATATAATCGTTTTGTCGATAATTATGGTGCAACTAAAAGAATTGGCCATAGGAATTCATTACTACTAGTAGTATATCCATCATAAAGATTAGAGTTATGCACAATAACACTCACGCACGTGATGCGCCTTGACATCATTTCGCATGGATGATGTGCCTCGGCTCTATTCCCGATTCTTTACTTACCTCCTTACATATACATACATGTATGTGCATGTAGTATTCACTACAACTTCTACATAACTACATTATATGTAACTTATACTGGCTTCAGTCCAGATCTTTTATTCAGCCCCAAAATTGTCAATGTCTGTCCAAATCGGCCTATCATTTTTATTTTTATATTCCAATTTCGGCTTCTTTGGCTTGCCTATGGTGGCGCATACGAATCGTCAACAATGTCGCTAGAGGTCATCTACGTGGTCCGGCACGGGGTAAGCAATGAATGCCTACGTTGATTAATATTGCCCCCTGTTTCTCCATATAAGCCACATAATGCTTGCTATTCCATTGGAAGAAGGCTTACCTCGTTACCAGTTCCGCACATCGTGGTCGGTTGATCATTCTACTGGCAAATATACTGCTACTATTCGTTCTCCTACAAACTTGCCCACCGACCCAGCTCTCACGTCCCATGGAGTTGAACAAGCAAATGAATTAGCAGTTCACTTACGACAGCTACATCCACCGATAGAAAAAGTGTATTCTAGTCCTTATTATCGATGCATGCAAACTATCCAGCCGTTCGTTCGCCATCCCAGACATTCTCATATATCCGAGAATGTCTCAGGAGACTCTACCATCGGAATTTGTGTAGACCTTGGGCTTAGTGAATGGTACGGCTTGGCGCACTTCGAGCATCCGTCATCTGCGCCCCTGGATGAGTTGCGGGGCTTTTTCCCTGAGCTCGATGCAAGCTATGCATCTACCCCAGCGCCAGAGCGCCACGGGGAGTCTCTGCCCCAGCTGCACGATCGCGTTGCGAAGGCCATCGGATCTATTATCCGACGCAGTGACCGAGAAGGTCACAAAGCTGTGCTCATTTCTACTCACGCAGCAGTGGTCATCGCCCTTGGGCGGGTTCTCACTGGCCAAATGGAGAAAGACTTTGGTGCATTTACATGTGGATTAAGTAAATATAAACGACGCAGTTCCGATGACGGTCAACCCCCCATAGACTTAGGTCTGAAGACCGGCCCTTGGGGCATTACTTCGGCGGCGCGGGGCAGAAGCCAGATCGGCGAAGTAAGGCCTGAAGGCCATTCGGATACTGAGCCTGCAGGCGATGCCGATCCCCATCGATACGACTCAGAAAGGCCGGGTCTCGGATTATTAATAAGGGACAACCCTGAACGTTATGGAGGTTGGATTTGTGAGCTAGACTCTGATTGTAGCTTTCTACGTGGTGGCGAGGAAAGAGGATGGTAAGGACCTGTTGTAGAAATATGCTTCTTTCTTGGGGCCCTTACCCGCAATCAGCTAACCGACGACAGGAAATTTTCCGGTGACGAGTCATTCATCGAGACTGATAGTGATGGCAGCGTATGGCCATCGAACACCGCATCTACTCCTGTTACGGCTGTTGACAGGACAGGGTTAGAAACCCACAACAGCCACAATACTCCAAATGTCAGTACATCCAAGCTATGATCTTTCATTGATCTGAAAGACCATGAAAACTAGGTGCCTTAGCTTTACTTGCCACCTGTCGTTGCAGCTTACGACATGCACGTAAGCAACGTTCCCGCTTGTTCATGTCGATCGCGTGTCCTCCAACCTAGCGGCGTAGTGACGCCTTAAGGCCCGTTATTATCATTGCAGACTAGCCAAATCACATCGCATCATTGAGAATAGGCCACACATTTCACACACATAGAATCCATCGACTCCCCTTCTGTCACACAGAAGCTCCAAAAGCCTTTTCGCGTGCCAGTGTAACTGTTGTACGAGAACGGCTTCAACTGTTACAGAGTAAGTAAGGTAGTCAGCATTGTAAGACCAGCCACTAGTATACTATGCATCGACAATGGTCATATGGCATGTTTCATATGTTAAGGAGCCTCAGAACTATTGAGTATAGATACACCTTAGAGTCGTGAAAAGGGATGTATATCATAGCAAAAGGACAGACATCTCCACATCTAGATTGAGTCAAGTCTCACACTCTTGGCTTGTTATGGATGGATGATTCGGCAGCCACTAGGATACTAGGTACAAATATGATCTGTCACAAAATCACGCAAATCACTGGCAGAATAATGAGGAGTACTCAGTAACTAAACCATCATCGAAACCCTAACCTTGACTGCCCTACCATCAATCAAGAGTTTATTAAGATGTTCAAGTTCATACTAGAGCGGACCATGGCAGCCCGTAATCTGAATTCTTCCACTACAGGACTCGAAGCAGATCTAGGACATTTCATCTGGTGGTTACAGAACCCTGGAGATCATTCCAGCACCTGGGGTCTCACTTATCATACCACTTAGCCCAATGAGATCATTGAATCCATACCGACACTTGATATCTCGGGCCTCTATAATTGCTCCGATGACTTCCAAGGTTCTCTGTCTATACCGCCTTCAGCCCCTACAGACACTAGGTATGCACCATATTTGCGTTGGGTTATTGGCCAGCGGCCCGGCAAGATGTTAAACACGGGAAAAAACCCTCGAGAAAAAGAAAAAGACCGGCAAAAAAAATAAAAAGGGGAAGAAGCAAATTGAAAAAAAAGGAAAAAAGAAAAAAAAAGAAAAAAGAAAAACTGATAACATCCGAGTATGATTTAGAGATAATATCACGGCTCCCATCCAGGTTTAACTCTTACGATATATTGTCGGCTGTTAGGACAGATCTAAAGAGTACCTAGTAAATACAATACTAGGTCGGTACGACCAACTAACAGAGTTGGACAAGAAATGTAGAAATAATACTCGAGGATCTCAGCCCTGCTCTGCCCTACTATACAATATATTTAGATCGGGGGATCAAATAATAGATACCCAGTAAGCGTAGGGAATGTTTCATGAGCATCTTCCAACCAACATTGGAATATGATTCGAGTGCGATTGGGTAATTGTTACAGATTGGTACCTAGAGAGTAAGGGGTATCATCTATGGAGTACGCAAATCGCCTAAACAGCCTATTCATCTTTTATGCTGACGTCTTCTCCCGCCCTCAGTCTATGAGTGGCTCATTTCGTCCCTAGTGTTATTTTTGTTCCTGCACAAATGTTCCAATAGGGCAATTTGCAAAGTCGTTGGGTCATAAGCACAAGGCTGTCCTGCTGGTACAATACTATGTAAGATATCTGCATCTGTAAGGAATGGGCCCGAACTTATTAGGCAACGATCATCCCTGGGCCGACTTAACATCGCTGTCTTGACGGGCCGAGGGACAAGGAGTCTCGACCACATCACCCCCCCACGATACCAACCATCCAATGGTAGCGTCCATGGCCATTCATCCTCGCGCTTACAAGCCCCCAAAAGTATACTTACCGCGCGCGGACGGTTGGTATACATAGTCATACAACTGAAGAGGGCTTGTGGAAAATCTAAGCCACTTTCACTCACGGGACCTGAGACGACGTTCTTCTAAGTGGTTGGCAACATACGCAGGGCTGCCGCCTCTATGTAGGTCAATACCTAATCCTTCTTCACCGCCGCCCAACATGATATTTTACACAAAGTAAGAACAGAAAAAATCAAAAAAAAAAAAGAAAAAAAAAGAAAAGAATAGATTCTTGCTCACACACACGTTATGTTATGTATGTATTTTACATTTTGTTTAATGCATAACCGGCCCGCAATTTCCCAATCCTTCCTCGGTTCGCCGTCTCTGGGATTACCCTTCGCTTCCATTGGTTAGACGGTACCGACAGCTTGGGTAGGCCTCAAGGGTTACGAGCAAATGGCGTGCCTTGGACTCATGGGATGCCCGATTCACAGTGCCAGGTCCCCGTAGTCGGGGTGATGGTACCGAGCCAGGGAAAGGAGCAGCGTTGGATTTCTGGGGCTACTCTTGGTTTCCCGCTCGGGCAGGTAGGGAAATAAAAGAATACCACTCTCTGTAAGGGTGCTGGAGAACTGTCGTCGACGATCTCCATACCACTAATGTCGACATCGTATTTTAGCACCTGCAGCTAGCTCTGTGCTTCCTTCATTGTTCAGTGATCAGTCTTCATCGTCATGCACGATCGGAAAAAAGTATTCAATTTTCGGTTACATTGTGCGTTGAAACAGGCGCCAGGGTTGTGCAGGTTTGCATAGAAAATAGACGTAAACTTCTCTCCCCCTTGCGCCATGGTCCATCCATCTGGGCGTCACACAATGGGGTTGGACGGGCAGGAGTCCTTGACTTGGGAACTTGGGAACTTGGGAACTTGGGGCCTTGGGCATATCGCTACTGAACTTCCTAGTTACCTAACATTTGGCTGTTCTCCAAGTCATCTGTACGCCATTCTGTCCCTACTACCTACCTACCTACCTACCTACCTACCTACCATAGCTGATATGCTCCGCAAGGGGGTTTATCATGTCTCTCAAATCGCCACCAGCATCTCCACTAGTAAAATCAAGTCAGATCCTTAATTACACTCTGAGAGACAAGATTGCTTCTCTTTCGAGCGTGCATTATATATCTTTTAGCCAAGACACAGGCGGCAATAGTCTCCACCTAGCCCACACCCGGGGGTGTTTGTGTGCTCTGCCGCTGTTGTGGTTATGTGACCGCCTGTCTGCAAGAGACGACGCTAGATACTCTTCAGTAGATTTAACCCGCGTGTTGGGACGGTTGTTGGTCTATATTAAATATCTTTCGGTAAGGCCCTTCACTGACGCTGGCCTGAGGCCTCTACTACTACTATTACTTGCTCGCCTTCTTTGCCTGTTACCTCGATACAGAACTAATAAATACACTTGCCTCCCTTCAGCCCTGACCCCACCACTAGTCGTCTCCTGTCGTCAAGGTCTTTTCAACTTATTTATTTTCCCTTGCTTTCTATCTATCTAGTCTTCTTCTGTTTGTTTTTCACGGGTGGCATGCTCTTTCAATACGATAACGACACAACAAATATGGAATCCCAAACTACGCAAAGGGAAATCACCCTTAACTCACCTCCTTCCCTACGCCCAAAATATACCCAGTCATCTCAACTCAGTGTCGGCCCACTTTCAGACATTCTTTCTCATAAGAGAATAGACGGCTCGGCTCTTGGCATATTCAGCTTTGAGCCATCTTACTCCTCCATCAGCTCCAGATGCGGCTCTTCGTTCTCATCAGAGTCCTCCACAGAATCCTGGGGACTGATTTCATCCCATCCGTCCCCTGAAACGCCGAGGTCGAAGCACGAACTGGAGGATGACATTCCTCAACTGGACTTGGTGCCTCGTCATGGAGATGTTCTCAAGCGTAAATGTGATAGCCCGGAGGGAGGTGGCAAGAAAATGAGACTTTCAACGGTACAACTGCCTAGTTTTCACGACCTGCTTTCGCATAGCGGGAACAAGGACCACCACGAGAAGGTGTCCCGCACGCCTATCCCCAGTCCGGAGCTAAGCAGCAGCGAATACAAGCTTGCTGGCAAAGCCAATGTTCAGTCATCAGAAGACCCCATTATCCAATGGCTCAACCTCCGGAGAATGGAGTCCAAGAGCGCGAAGCCTCTGCTCTCTCAGCCACGAGAACTAGGGAATTCTTCTGTGAACGTTCACTTAGATATAGGCAGCCCACCAGTGTTTTACCGCGAGAAGCAACAACACCACACGCCTCAGCACCGGGGCCACTATCACCGGCAGCTCTCACCGCCGAAGGACATCGTCAAGCGTGTGCGCGCCAAGGGAGGGAAGCCGTTCCACAACAACATCAAGTACACGATCGAGGAGACGGACTACATCCGCTTCAACAAGTACGAGATGAAGCTGTCGTGGGAGGAGAACAAGATCCTGTTCCGGCAGAAATTCCCCATGGCCGACCGGAAGCTCGACCGCGAGAAGCAGGGCATCCAGGGCGTCCACTACCGCGACAACCTGCACGTCCCGCACCTCCAGGGCAAGGGCAGGCGGCTCGTGTTCCTCGACAACGGCCACATCGAGGCAGTCACGGTCAAGGTCCGCCGCCAGCGCGAGAACAAGTCCTACTTCAGCCTCACCTACCTGTACCCCGAGCGCGCGCTGCTCTACGACTGGGTGCCGCCCAAGTTCAAGCAGATCGCTGCCGAGCTCGGTGAGTTTGTTTCTCTTTTTCCCCTTAAACCCTCACCCCCCCGTGTCTTTGGGGGGGGTTATCTAGTACCTACTTACTAACATTATCAACTTAGTCAAGGAACGCTACCCGCAAATACAGCAGAAGCGGCGCGAGGCCATCGCCCAGAACTTATGGGTCGAGACCCTGACGACGGGCGAGTGCTCTTGCTGCCCCAAGCCCGACCGGGAGCGCGACAACCACAAGCGCTCTGTCGGCGAGTCCCTTATCATGGAGGCTCCCAGCTACGATTCGCTTGTCAAGAGCGAATACTCGCAGTTTAGATCTCTGCTGTGAATGAGTTTTCTCGGAACGAGACTAGACTTCTCCTCTACCTAGTTAACCCGATTGGTAAAAAATGTGACGACGGGAAGATTGGGAGCAGATACACACACACACACATCACATAAACACATATACATACTGGACACACATTGATACCTACGTACACACACACCCTAACTCCGCCTCAACAAAGAGTCGCCAACTCTCACCCCACTGACTCAGCCTATCTACAACCACAACTCTGACATCCGCGCACTTTCATCACTTCGCCCCCCCCCCCCTTCCCCCTTTACGAACTCACTACTTGCTTGCTTTTTCTTCCCTATTTACACATATATACTACACACATAACTACACCCACAACAAAACGGAGGAGACGATAGAATTATTAGGTACACACAAACACAGGAAAGGGGCTAGGTTTACGGGATCTTTCAGGGAATTATGGGAACTTCAGATAAGGAGGGTTTAAAGGGAACGGGAAAGGGGTTGTTGGTTGGTTGGGGGGGAGGTACTTTTGGATGGGCTGCCTGTCTTCTCCACCTAACTAGGGTTAGTAATTTATCTCACCAGCCGCCGGCGTAGGGAAACGAACCATAATATTGATATTTGTTTTATTTATTTTTTTTGGGGGGGAGGAGATTGATTACATAGGTACCTAGTATAGAAACAATACCCCTTAAGGGAAAAAGGGGGAAGGAAGGAAGCTTTTGATTGATTGATACTACTTGCGAATGGGATACGGGAAACGGGACTTATGAATTCGAGGATTATGGATTAATGTACTACTATCACTATTACTACCGCTTCTATACAACCGGACGTTTTCTTTTGTCTTATTTTCTTTTGTCTTTTTACGGTTTTCACGGTTGGGCGGTATATACCTGGGTTCGGTAGAGGAGGGGAGGAGGCTTTCTGTTGTCTATTCGTCTGTTCAAGGGGCTTTTTCTTTTCTCTCTTTCGATACCTCACCTATCTACCTACCTAGGTAGATACATATCTACGTAGTTATTTCACGCTTTATGAGTTTCTGCTTCTGAATGGTCTTCATCTACATACTTGATCCGGAGGATTCAACGTCGTTTTGTTTGGGTGCTTACTTACCTACCTACCTACCTTTCTAGGTAGATAACTCGTACACGCAAACAACTACCACAGCATAGCACAGCACAGCACAGGACGCAAATAATCAAGGGAGGCAAGGGTTGTCCTTTCTTCTTCTTTTATTTCTTTTCCTTTCTTTTTTTGGTTATCGACTGATATGCGAAAAGCAACATCGGTGTCCTGGTTTGGGGAGGGTGGGCGAGCGGGCTGATGGGTTTGACCAGTTGGTTACCTAGTTTGAATATAGATGATTGATCACGAATCACGATGACCATGGCATGTCACTGTTATGTTCAATAACAATAAATTTTTGAAGTACATATACCTGTCTAGGCCATTTAGTGTCTATTCACTCACCTCGGTGTCATGGTACCTACCTACCCAGGGTGCCTACGCACCGCAAATAGCATGGGACGAAACCAGACTAACTACGAGCGGAAAGGGCACGGATGGATGTGTGTGTGGATGGATGGATGGATAAATGGATTTTGTGATAACCATCCTACCGGGGCGCCTGGGCAACAACCACTTCAGGATGGAGGTAGGGTATATGTAGGTACTTATTGAATAAGCACTATGGTGTAAAGAGAAATCTCGATACCTATGATACATGATTACCTAGTCAGAAAGAATGTTGGTAATGGAAAATGAAAGGTCATGCAATTATATCCGAGACTGGCCGGATTGGCCAGCGTTTCCAGCTCTGTGCTACCTCCAGCTATCTACACGAGAAAATCAGGCCTCAGTTTGCCTGAACAAATCTACCGCACCAATGATTGCCGTTAGAGCATTCGATATTGGCGGGTGTTTTTAAGAGTCTAGGTACTTGGGTAGGTGCGTGAGACTTGCGATCTAGGATGCGATCTCCGGACCATGCGGATTTCACATGGATATCGAGTGCTTTACTAGGTACTACATACTTAGGTAGATTAGTAGGAAGTTGGAAGGTGATAGGTAGGTAGTTAGGTAGGTGTGTTTGCTTAACCCCTGTTGCTGTAGAATACCTACTTACTCGGCAAGCAACACCCGTCCTCTTCCCCTTTCACTTCTCCCCTTCTCGGGGGCTTCCTAACTTCATAAGCCCGGACCATATCCGCGACTTATTACCCTGAGCATATGTGAAGGCGGTGCGGTGCCAAGGTGCTGGGCTTTGCTGTGGAGTAACCGACGTTCCACCATGCAAGTTAATCATTCGCAACATATTACATAGTGCAGTATGCACATACATACTATGTAGGTAAGTATGAAAGCTAGCGCGAAGTCACGCCGGCCACGTTCCACAGACTTGCCGCGCGGTATCAGTATGACGACTCCTCAGACGACGTCCTTTAGAGATGGTTCGTTTTGAAACCGCCCCGGCCAATGTATGTCTTGAATCTACTTGCCGGGTCATTCTTAGCGTCGAAAGTTGTATCATTGTTATCATAGCTTAGATCATATTCCTCAAGATCTGAAGCATTGCCAGTTCGGAAAGAATAAGGGTTTTGCCCGAACTCGTCATCCGAAGCGACCTCGTCGTCGGGATAATCCGCCGCATAGTAATTCTCCGCTGTAGATTGATTAGAATTATATCACGTATATAGATTATATAGAGTGAGAGGGAAGGAATTAAACATAAAAATAAATATAGAAAATCACTTACCATTCTCATCTTCTTCATCCTCGGCCCATTCGTCGTCACTATCGCCGCCTTCTCCGTGGAAATACTCGAAATCCGGCTCTTGGTCAAATACGAGGACTCCGATACTCTGGGGTGGTATATGCTCTCCCATTTTGCTGGCGGGGACACGCTCGTAGGTTTCAATGATGTATTCACCGTCGTCGCTATCGCTGATGTAGCCATCAGTGTCCATCATGTCCTGATCCGCTGGGCCATGGGCTTCGGGGTATCGCTCTGCGTATCTCTTAATTTGCTTCGGCTTGTACTTAGCTTGGGCATGGACCTTGGCCTTGGCAGAATGTTGGGATGCCGCCTTCTCATCATCGACCTTCTGGAGGTTGAGTCCGATTTGCTCCAGTGCGTATGAGTTCATTTCGGCAGTTAATTTCTCCGCATCTACGTTCCATCGTTCAGTCAAGGACTTGGGGATCTCAGCCTTGTATTTCTCTCCGTCTACCTTGTGCGCAAGCCTTGCTACACCTGGCTTCTTGAGTTTTCTCGTCGGTATGGGTGGGTCCACCTCCATGTCCTCCGTCGGCGCAAGCGCCTGGGTAGCGGTATTTGCGGCCACATTATTTGCGGCCTGAAGCTTTGCCAGTGGTCTCGAGGAGATGCGCTTGATTCTGCGCTCAACGAATAGCGTGGGCGCAGAACGCTTTTTGGGAACACCTCCTTGTGCTCGATCAGGCTGAGAGGCAGCAGCGAGTAACATCTCCCTTCTCGACATGTGAAATCGGCGTGGTTCGGAAATAGTACTGGTACCAGAATTACTACCAGAATCGATGCCGGTAGCTGGAGTAGAGTTATCGACACTATTTATATCGGATTCGTCATTGGCGCCGGAGTCTGCGATCTTGGGGCTCTGGAATGCTGGGGTCTTTGTGTTCGGACGAGAGGTATGGATTATGGGTTTCGAAATTGAGTAGGGAACGTTCTCGGCGACTTTAGCTCGTTCTTCCTGTCTCTGATAGACAAAGGCATCACTACGATGTCTCTTACTCTCCTGGACCCCTAAGAGAAAGAGAGTAATGTTAACCCCCAAGTTGCTAAACATTTATTCGGTGCGTATACTTAAATGGGCGACAACTTACGTAGGAAGGAGATGGGGGCCTCCTCAGTGGCCTTTCGCTTAACGCGAATTAATTGCGGCGGCATAGACATGATTGAAAACCAGATGAATCAGAGTTTGTGGTGGGTGGGTGGGTGAATGAGCGAATGAGTGACTGATGAACAAAAAAATTGGTATTGTAGGTATTGTAGGTATTGAAGGTATCGAGTTGTGATAATGTAGGATGATGAAGTTGTGAGTGGGTATTGTTGACGTTATGTACCTGGGTAAGTAAGGTACTAGGTAAGGTACTAACTAATGCGACAGTTTGGTTCCATCACCGATCTTGTCGGCTTGTGTTAATTAGTGTGTTTAGTGTGTTAGGTACAAAGCATAATTGGCATATGACGAACATTAAAGGGAATCCACAATATTATACCGCCCGGCAGAAATGTTTACTAGTGTACTAACCTAGTAGTAGTTATCATATGTTAATTTTTTTGATCGATAAGATATGCTGACTAGCGGCGGACATGGCCTGCACGGATCTTTTCCTCCGTGGGGCACAAGTGAGCTTTGGCAGTACCTAGTTACTACCTACAACTGTCAACCAGACATTCTTTACAACAATCTGTCCCTTCCATACCTCCGTCTGTATGGCTTATGCCTAACATGTCCGAATTATTCTATTCTGTTTGGTCAATTGATGGTATAATTTCAATAAATTCTTAGTAACAGCCTAGCTGACTAGGTCTCTAGCCAACCTATTACATCAGCCCATACTTCCTTAGTCCATCATCCATCCAACTGGACTACTACTAGTAGTAACTATATGGATATGGATAATGGATATGGATACGGATGTTGCCCTGCTTTCGTTCCGTCCCGAGTCAATAACAAAGAATTCTTTCTTCGAATTCTTTCTTCGACTACCAACTTTTTACCTTTGGCTATGAGCTCTAGTGCTCTCAAGTTGACTTTCACACACACTTAGAGCTTTATATACATAATAGTACCCCGCGCGGTTCGCGTTGGTGGCACTCGGTAACACTCGGCACTATCCATGTATCAAAGATAGCACTGAGCACCGAGCACTGAGCATGAGAACCTGGAACTTGCATAATAACTTCAAGCTTACATACTTCCAGAGCTATGCTACATACATGTAGGGCTGCCAGGTATGTAGGTTAGTAGGTGCTGTATGGTGCTGTCTGTGTGTCAGGTAAGTACCTATCTAACCTACATACATGTACCTAACTGCCTACACATCCCTCATGCAGCTCCTGATAAGGATTCAATTTCCAATGCATTCAGATGGAGAGCCAAATACCGCAACATGCTCACCTCAACGGTACATACCGTGGATATCCCCAAGAGGTGCCAGCTAAGCCAACTCAAGGAATTCTGCAGTCCCAAGTGGGAAAAGTCAACAAAAATAATAGCGACATATGTACTTATAGATACGTTGATTTGACGAGATGGCAGATGGCTCCAGATCCAGAAACTAAAGCGGTGGCATACCTATGGAGCCTTGGCCTGCTAAAGCTTGGTTCGTTCTCTTCTGCAGTGGCGATATTTTAAATGGAACGGCCCAGGTGGGCGTAAACCATGCGTCAAGACGACGCAGTGGATTGGAAAAAGCCCAACAAATTATACGTACCTTTTCTATAGGCAAGACTCAGACCAAGCTTCACACCTCCCTACCTGTCTACCCGTCTACCTACCTACCTCCCCTACCTCCCTGACTCTCTAACCAACCCTACTTCCCGTTACACCTCTCACCTCCCTCTTCCTCTCCCTCTCTTTCTCACCACGCCGTTGGTCAGTATACCCTAACAACCGTCCATCTATCTATCAGAGTTGGCACTTATTCATTTAATTGCTTTCTTTCATTCTTCATTAATGTCTAAATGATTCACTGAGCAACGCCACTTCTCTTAATTTGATACTCACATCTCTTACCTGGATATTTCCAAACGGCTTATCAACTGGCCGCAATCTGTAAGTTGCCGGCTTAGCACTCACCGCATCTTCACTTGTTTATTTGTCTTCATATTCTATGTGGAATTGGCATCCAGCAATTCTCATGATAGATTTTATACCAACATGAATGGAACTTGCTAGCTACCTAGCTACCTAGCTACCTAGTTACCTACCTGGGTGGCTACTGTGTATTCATTTTAAACCTTCAATCTACGTTATCTAATGGAATGGCTGACCACGGAAACTGATAGTTACACGGAAGAGTGTCTTTCGTTGGTGGAATTGAGCTGTGACGGTCATAACAGCCAGGCTCCTAACTTCCCTCAGGTCCTCTTGAGAGCCCCCCCAAAGCTCTTACCTGATTCCACGGCACACCTTGCTTGTGTCGTACAGTAGCAACTGAATAAGCACTAGCCTTGTCTGGATCAATGGCTTTGCAGCTATATTCGAGACCTTAAAATTTATTCCGTTATATGGACGCCACCATCGATCCTAAATTCGACCTTCGAGACACCTCTATCGGACATGAACTTGTGATCACACATAAACTTGAATCTATCTCGCCCAACATGTCTCGCCAAAGAGTTCCAATTACCTTCACTTACCAGAAGAGTGGAACCAACCCTCCTCTCTTTGTAGCTGGAACCTTCTCGGATCCGCCATGGGAACCACAGGAGATGGACATCTCCATCAACCAACACGGAGAACGTGTTTTCACGAAACAGGTTATGGTTGACGATGCTTCCGAAATTCTATATAAATTCCGAGTAGGGTTGGGAAATTGGTGGGCCTTGGATGATAACGCAGATACCGGTAACCCTCCCCGCCAGTCTCAGTCGCCATACTTGCTGTGATCTCAAAGCTAATAACTAGAATTAAGTCACGGATGATCTAGGAAATGTGAACAACATTCTTAGGGTGTCAATCAAAAATCCCCAAGGAGTTAATAAGAAACCATTGATTGAAGAGATAGAGACCTCAACCACCCCCAGCGGTACGCAAACTCCTAACTTCCTAGAGACAGCGGATGAGGTCGCAGATTCGGCTCGCATTGTAGATCCTGAGACACCCGAGCCAGAAATAGCCGATGACGAGGCTGGGAAGATAGGCCTTCGGCGTATGTCCTTTACTCCAATTAATGAAGTTGCCGAAACGTCTATGGAAGTTGCCACTGTCGCCGCGGCACTGGATAAGGATGAGGGATATTCTGATGATGATAACGACGACGACGACGTGATTGACGAAGAAAATGGTGCGTGTCCTGTATTTGCGTATGAAACTACGGGCCCCCCTCCTCATGAAGAGGACACCGAGCGACTGCAAAGTACGACCTCTCCGGACATTGCTGATCCGGTCTCAACGATTGAAGAATCAGACTTTGATGACCCTCAATTGGAATCATTTCCGTCAGATAATCGTGACTCAATTTTATCTGCCATGAGACGCATTTCTACTAGCATCGATGCAGATCGAACAGTTATCGAGGGGTTTCCGCCTTCGCCTGTCGTCACCATCAACCAACAGCACAAAATTGTCAGCTCTTTCGACGATGCCGGTTCGTCACGGGGATCAGTTAGTGTCACCTCGATGGATGAAACCAGTCTTAGGCCCGAAATTGCCAGGTCGTCAAGTTCTACCGGGTCCGGCACTAGAGCGTTGTCCATGAGCTCGCTAGGGTCGATCGTTGAAGATGACGAAGCCCGCAAGTCGGACGATGAGTCAGATGAGATTATGACTCCATTCATTCAACATCCTGGGCCTTCTTGGGGTTCTATGGTCGAACAAGCTATTAGCGAGAACGACGATGACGAAGGCATCTCCATGAGCACCGGATCTAAAAGGAGAGGAGGATCGCGAGACTTTTCATGGCCCGCTGCCTCTAAGCCCATCACATCGTTTGCTAATGACTTATCGGAGACAGTTGGGACAGATGTTGCTAGGAGCAATATTTCTCAAGAAACCCCTGAAATCGCACCAGGCACCGACATCAGCAGTTCCAACGAAGAAAGCGAAACTCCAAGCCCAGCATCACCTGATACGGTCGACAAGGCAGAGAAGCGGATGATCGAAAAGTCAGGCCCTAGCCATTCCCGTCCCGTCAACAACAATTTGGGGTGGCTCGAGGCATGCTTCCGAGTGTTCTTCGTGAAATGGCTGGGAGGTCTCGCTACATGGCTGTACAGCCGTAGACACAGGACGTAAGTAGTAGTATTCCTCTTCTAGCCGTGATTTAATTCCTAATATGACGGGCTAACAGGAATCTAGGATTATGGTTGCTGGTACAGCGGCCCTCGTCGTTGGCGTTGGCATACTTTGGCAGAACCCCCCAACCCGCACGTAAACCGCAACGGCAACCAGAACCGTGACCGGTTGTTGTTGTTGTTGGGAATGATAAAAACCTTGGCGAGGCGATGCTGGGCGCAGATTGTTCACGAGTAGATCCAGATCTCTCTATTCCTAGATCCTACCTAACCTAATATCCCTAACGGATCCTTTCAATGTCAGCTAACCCATAAATTCTGAGGCCTTGGATGGTTGGATCGTTTTGTATGTCTTAACTACTAGAAGGAAAACTGTGCAAGATGTGGTGTCCCGTAATAGCAAACATACATTTTTTATTTATTTTTTGTTGCCTTTTCTTTGGACGACCATCGCGTGAGATGAGTCGGCCCGAGTCCGTAGATGCCTGTGGACCTATTGGGTACATCCATTCAGCTAACTCACTCATTCGTGGCCGTAGCCTGGGTTTGAAGAGGTCTGAGTCGATTGAGTACCAACTTAACTACCTATAGGAACGTAGTAATCGGGATATATGCCACACCTTCGGTACATGAAATAGGAGAGAATAGAAGGAATAAGCGCCTAGCAACTTTTTCTTTTCTTTTCATGTGCACTGTAGTGCATTCCTGAGCACATTCCTTCCTTCTTGCCTACTTTAGGTATATATACCTAATATTCTTCGTACGACCAACACATCTAGACATCTAGGTACCTACCTACCCACCTACCTACACACCTGGGGTCCTGGGCAATAATTAATGACTTATGTAGGTACAGATATCTTGAGCTTTTCACACATAACGTTTAGACTGAGGCACCGATGATATGTATCCTGCTCATCGGAACGCGTAACACACACACACACACACACACACACACACACTCACCTGTAAGATTAAAGCGGCCAGTTCCAGTTCTGTGATTAATCCCATGTCCAAACCGCTGACCCGGTAGACTGGAACCGAGCCTGTTGTTGTTGCATATCGGGGATTTCTTTTTTTTCTTTTTCTTTTGCTCGCGTTTTTTTCCCGACTCCAACGCCAAGGCTGGGTGTGAATATGCCTCTCTTTATGTAAGTAGTTATATACCTATGGAGAGACAGACGGAGGGGGGGGGCAGATAGATACATGTGAAGAAGCTGCTGCCAAGATACTTAAATACCTAGATATGTATGTATGTAGATTATGTATGTAGATGATCATCAGCTGCCTACGCCCCTAGCCCACCGGAAGAAGGGGAGAGGGAGAGGGAGAGGGCAGGCAGGCAGAAACGTAGGGAAGAGGGGCCGCCGGCCATGCATGATGACACGTGGAACACAGTCAAGGAAGAGGTGAGAGTTGCCTGAGCAAGTTTACCTAATAGGGGACGAAGATGAAAGGGGTGTGCAACTAGGTATTGAAGGATGGACGGGTGGGTGGGAAACACCAAAACCCATGAAGCAGACTGGCTAGTACGTACGTGCGTGCGTGTAGGCATCTAGGCCTACCTACAGACATCCTTAATAAAAATAGCCTTAGCCGGCTGCTTTCTACGAATTTTCTTTGCTTTTGAGAAAAAAAAAAAGAAAAGAAGGAGAAGGGGGTGTTGTTTGTGACACCTACTGCCTAGAGAATGCAAATCGCGAGAGGCTAGGCATGGTAGGGGATGATGGTAACGAGGTTAGTTTGGAGGAGCTTGGCTTGTGCCATAGGGTCCGTCCTCGCTGGCCTGGTATCTACCGAGCTACCCTCACGGTTGCACTCGTAAGCATACACATACATACCGCACGAGACAAGAGGACCTGTGTTGATGACTACCTGGACGAAGGCCAGGGAACTCCATACCTACATACCCGGGCACAGGTCAAAGTATCTACGTATCTATGGCGTAATGAGCAAGAAAGATCCACACCAACAACTCACTCCATCCACGAGTCATGCCAGTGCATACCTGTAGATATATACTGGGTACCTACCTACCTGCCTAGGTACCTGTTAGCCAAGCTTAGACCTGTTACCCAGCACGGGGATCTTCGTTTCGTAGGAAATCCCTAGTCTTATTTTGATTTCCAACGCTTGTACAACGTCTATTCGTACAAATCCCACCTCTCTATTACCGCCCCCTTTTCCAGTGTAACATTCACCGAAAGTCTAGAAGATGCCTAAGCTAACATCATAAACTCTCAGAAGAAGAAGGACTCTGTTCTATAGCTGATCTACCAAGTCTTAGGCCCGAACGTCTGGCCCGGCGGCAATACAACTTGTACGGCGTTGCCTTGATAATCCATCGTGCTGGAGACCACATCGTTGCCCCACCACCGCGGTGCCTCAATCTCATTCAGCGTGAACACGAAGAATACGACTAATGTTCCGAGCGCGAGACCGAGGTCAAGTCCAGCGGACGTGAGGTAATTGAGGCGAGTCCACCAGCGGAAGTTGCGTTTCTTGATTTGGAATTGGAATATGTAGCCCACGACGCCCCAGGACAGGTAGTTGAGGGGCGTGGCAGGTGGAATAGCGCCTGCACCGCCGAAGATAAGAGGGGCCATTAGATATTTGGCGGGGGACCTGGGCCAGCGTTTTGCTGCATACCAAAAGATGATGGGGGCCACGGCGCCGATGACGAAGAAAGAGAGGAGACCAGAGTAGATTTGTCCAGGGGAAAATACACGGGCGGGTCCTATGAGACCCCAGATCACCGAGGCTAAAGAATGAAGTTAGTCGGTTTTTTAAGGATATAGCATGTTGGGGACTGTTAGACACATACCTGAGAAGAAAACTCGCCCCCCTGGACATGTGAATCGCTGTGGCTGTGTCAGTTCACAAACGCCATCGATATTGTTAAGCGCGAAATTAAGGACTGCGATTTGGATGAAGCACGAAAACGTGGTGGAGACGACTTGAGCCATGAACATTGTACGTGGAGGAATCTTCATATAGTGACCGAATTTGAGATCGGAAACGAAGCTTAAAGCTTGTGACCTAGTAGATATACCCAGTTAGATGCTATAGCTTTCACTTAGGATAATAGGGGACTCTTACATCGTAATGTAACCATACGTCTTGAAGCTATATTGAACACTCTATTAGTCATATGTACCCCTATATACTGATGCAGTTGGCAAGCTTACAGCATAAGAGCTAATGGTCGACCAGGCTGGATATACCCGTAGATGAACTCGGTCAAAACGTTCAGACCAATCTGATGGTTCGTAACCGCTTGGATGATACCAATGGGTAACGAGAAGACGAAAGATATGCCAACGGCTAGCAAGAAAGCCCACCATGTTAAGTTGGTTGGGTATGCTAAAACAGAAACAAAGGCAAGTGCCAGGACCTGCGGGATGTTCAGCGACCAGTTTTGAGGCTGAGCATTAGTATTAGGGTAACTCACAATAAAAAAGAGTGAGAAATACCACCACGATGGCGCTTCCTTGTACTTCTGCATGAGTTTCATGTGTACTATGTCATATAGGTTAGTAACTATAGTCTGTAGCAAAATTCAGGCTTGATTCGATGTAAGTCAGACTTGAGGATTCATGAACTCTAACAAAGATGAGGTGGGGGTTGTTTGCCGTAGGTTAAGAGCAAAAGGGGTATTGAGCCATGCCAGAAAATGATACATACTATCAGGTTTCTCGTTCGTGCTATTTCTATATTGCGCCCAAATCGCCTTGCTATGATGTAAATAGGTATATACTATTAAGGCGGAAATGGCTGCGAAGGATAATCCATAGGACAACGCGAAGGTAGTGCTATGCTTCACGTGAGTTTGATTTCGAAGAGAATACGACGAGAGGGATCAAACCTAATGAACAGTGGCGAGTATGACTTATACGCCTCTTCATCCAGCGTGAATTCTGGGGTCAATATTCGCGGCACATCGTATCTTGCACCGGTATTATCGTATGTGGAAGAATCACTCATTGGTAAGAACGGCGCATACCACACGCCTGTGAAATGGAAGGACGTGGCGAGAACGATGTAAAAAACAACAACACCGATGAGAGTATTTGCGATGGCGTGCCTAGATGCTAGTCAGTAACTTGACAATAAGCAGTAAGCAATAAGTAAGGCCTATATAGACCGGAGTGCAACTAGCTGGTATGACGGACCATGGATACATGAGGGGCGACCCGACGAAGCCAGCGATCTGTGTCCAGTCAAAGGTAATCGGCAACAGGGATAGGCCAGTGATTCCGCCGAATAGTTGATTCACCACCGGGTTCTGGGGGGCCATCCATGTTGCGAAGGCAAAGACACTTAGAAATTGTGCGAAATAGCCCGGGATGAAGTAGTACGTGGCAGATATAGCCGTTATGATACCGAACCATCTATAGCGTGGCATACGTCCTCCAATGACGGACGGGTCTGGTGCTTGATGCTTTTCATACATTGCATTCATCAGAGTAACACCCACCAGGTTACCTGGCCATATCATCGAGGCCGGATAGACTGGGAAGGGGTTAGATGGAACAATATCTAATAATGTTGGGCTGTACTCACCTAAGAACTTCCGCATCATGCCTGCGATGCCATACCCTAGAGACTGCGTCGAAATCGTTAATACTAATTGGAAAACTATGCCGAAATTTTGCTTATAGAATACAAGCTGTGCAAGGATAATGTCGGTGGCATAAGCTACAGAGAAAGACACACTAGCCATGACGACAATAATTGAGTGCTCCTTGATGTTGAAAGGCCCCGGATTTAAGTCAATTATCAGACCGAAGATACTAATCTGTCGATCAGGTACCACCTTCTCCCACCCGCGGCCAAGAGGCCAGGCAACGATCTGAGCAATGAGAGCCCCTAAACCAATCGAGGGCTGTCTCAGCGAGAAGAGGGTATTCATGGATGCGCCTACGAGGACTAGAGTAAGGCCAATAGTCCAGGCTCGAAGGGTGTTACACGGTAGATCCTCATCGTAGTTGCGCACAGCTGCGCGCACCTCTTCGTAAGGTGAGTCTTCTTCTCCTTTAGAGGCGGTATCATCGTCGAACGACGCCTGACTCCCCGAGTCCATTCGATGTAATTCTATAGCCTCTCCATCTGGGAGATTAGGGTCTAGTAACTGTTCATATTCTTCGCCATCTTCGTATTCGTTGTCGTTCCGAGCACCGAACTCTGTCCCCTCCGAGAAGTGTCGCTTTGAACTTTTGAGGGTGTCGTTTCCCTGTGCATGTCCATTTGAACCTGTGGTCCGGTGAGTCATCTCCATCTCCTCCTCATAGAAGTCATCCTCATAGTCAGAGGTGTGATTGTCTTCCGTCACCCTTCCCCTGGCAGCCGTGCCAGCCGGCTTTAATAAGGGCGACTTGCCCATTTAGTGAGAGTGTATTACGTCAGCTGGTATGGGACTGAGCTGAAAGTCATCTGAAGCCCTGAAGAGGTAATGATGAATTGGCCAGAACTGATTAAGGAGCTGTTTTATGTAACCGCTAAATCTCAATGAGAAATGTTGAACCCGAAGTGAATATAGCTTGATTAAGATTTGCTAATAGGGTGATATTCCTATTCCCCAATTATGGAGTACACGGATTGTCCGTATACGTTGAAGCAGATGATCGGCCATAAACCAATCCAATAAGTTTTTGAGTCTTGACGGTTTCTTCGTTTCTTTGACGTGATGTTGTACGACGTAGTAACGCGAAAGCGTCAGCTCAGCTTGGCACTACACCTTTTAGATGCACGTTTTGAAGTTTGAAACGTGTTCGAATATCTATGTATTTCAAATGGTCAGCGACTTCATGATCTAATTCGTCAACGACTTAGATGTGTTATACCAAAATGAACTAAGCTTATTAGTTAATAGACACAAAAACCCCAATGGCTTGCTGTAAGCTTCTTGCAGTTATTTTCTTGCCGTTCATTAGAAGAGGGTGGAATTGTAAAATATTAGGTTTGAGAGCTGTCTCGGAGGTATTCCGTAAGTTTAAGTTGAAGGCTTGGGTAATACAGTTTTGTAACTACCCAGACCTGGCAATCGGGACTTGTAGCAGCACCCCCTTAACTTGCATTATGCAGCCTGCCGCATCTTAATACAACCTTGAATAGCGCCCGGATCATATTATGGCACGTGCAGTCCCCATTCTTTGGTTTCACCAATCAGAAAGATCGGTTTAACTACTTCATATTCGCATATTTCATTCGCATATTTCATTCGCATATTTAGTTCATCTCATCTTTCTCTTCATGCCATTTTTACATTTGACTGCTCAGGTGCTTCTCATTATCTCACTACACTAGTGAGCATCTTCAGGTAAGCCTGAATATGGCACAGAATGCGCCGAGTTGTTGTCACAGGCCTCGGTGCTATCACGCCTCTGGGCGTGGGTGCTAGGCATACTTGGAATAGGCTGATAGCTGGCCATTCTGGGATCGTGAGTGTCGCAGGCTTTGAGCCTCAAAAACAATGGCGCGAGCTTACTAGTACTGTCGCCGGCATCGTACCCAAGTCAGGGATGGCCGAGGACCAATGGCGACCAGACCGTTGGCTATCTGCCGTAGACCAACGGCGTATGTCTACCTACACTCAATATGCAATAGCCGCCACAGAAATGGCCCTCGAGGATGCCGCGTGGAAGCCACGCAAGCAAGAGGATCTAGAATCAACCGGGGTCTGCTTTGGAAGCGGCATCGGAAATTTGGATATGATGTACACTACCAGCCTCGCGTACGAACAAGATGTGAGATACATTGCAGTATACTATAATAAACTCACTTTTGCTAAATTACAATGGTAGGGCTACAAAAAAGTGTCGCCGCTCTTCGTGCCCAAGATACTCATCAATCTAGCAGCAGGACATATTGCGATGAGATATGGGTTCCAAGGCCCCAATCACGCCGTGAGTACAGCTTGCACTACAGGGGCACATTCTATCGGAGACGCCTCTCGCTTCATTGCGTTTGGAGATGCCGATGTCATGGTGGCTGGTGGCGCTGAGTCCTGTATTCATCCTCTCACCTTTGCAGGATTTGGGAGGTCGCGTTCGTTATCAACAGGCTTCAATGATGATCCGCCCTCGAGCTGTCGGCCTTTCGATCATCGGCGCGATGGGTTTGTCGTTGCCGAAGGTTCAGCCGTGGTTGTTTTAGAGGAACTAGAACACGCCAAGGCCAGAGGTGCTCATATTTATGCCGAATTGAAAGGCTACGGGTGTAGTGGTGATGCATATCACATGACAGCTCCCCGCCAAAATGGTTCAGGGGCATATCTCGCCATGAAAAAGGCATTGAAGCATGCTGGAATCAAACCTCGTGAGGTTGGTTACATTAATGCGCACGCGACTAGCACTCCGGTTGGCGATGCGGCGGAGGCGCTCGCTATCCGATCCCTAATGGCGGGCGAGGAAGGATATTCCAACGAGGGCCAAATCGCCGTGAGCAGCACGAAGGGATCTATCGGGCACCTTCTTGGAGCTTCTGGTGCGATCGAAGCCCTGTTCTCAATACTAAGTATCACCTCGGTAAGTTTTCGTCTTTGACCTGTTACTATCAGAGCACTTCATACTAGTCAGGGGTAATTAACTCGTAAACAGAATATACTTCCTCCTACACTAAATCTTGAGGAATCTGACGTTGAACCGAAGTTCAACCTTGTGCCTCTTAAAGCGCAGGAAAAGGAAGTCAACGTTGCCTTATCAAACAGTTTTGGCTTTGGAGGTACCAACGCAACGCTAGTCTTCTCTCGACTCAGTTGAATTTGCTTGCGAGCATTCAGCTTATCCAAGCAAAGTTTGTATGATGTCATTGTAAATAGGTAGAAACGTCAATATTCCACCTGCACATGTCGATGTTGGGTGCATATTATAGTAGTATCATTGATGTAATACATACAGCCGCAAGTCACAAAGTCTGCATACATGTATGTAGGTAGTTACCTGGTACTACTAGGTACTGTACTACTGTACTATGTATTGTAAGCTGTACCTAACCGTTAGTAGGTAGTACCCTATCCAATATTAGATTCAGAATCCCTGTCGCAGATCCCGGGTATCGAGACAGGGGTCTAAGCTCCACGATTTCTTTTTTAATTGTTAAATTTTCAATCTTTACTATTTCTCTGATGCGTCGATATGCATGTCAATGACGTTGAACTCCAACACCACACTTGACATTTTCAACTACCAGGGTCCTAAACACCGCATACTTCCAGAGTCACATACCCGAATACGTACGCCTTGGATAAAACGGTAGTAAATGGCGTGCCAAAGCTGCAGACGACAGCTTACGCTGCTGGCGCGACAAGCCAACACCTTCGCAGAAATCCAAAATATCCAAAGTGTTACCGCGATACAACACTTCACCCCTCATACCTTGAAAATCCAACCTCCGTCACTAAGCCAGAAAAGGGGCTTCAGCAATACACCTCGCCAACTAGGCATCCGCGAAACCTTAGCCAAAGTCTTCTCCCAGACTGCCGAACCCTACCGCATTGTCAGTGCTACCGAGGCAATATACAAGACATGCGCTGCTGAGGCACTGTACACAATACCCGAAAAAGACAGGAAGAATGACACGATAAAGAAAACGGCAGAAGGCGAGGATATAGGAGATGGAAATACAATGTGGCACGAGGGTACACTCTGATTCCTTTTTCCCAGCAAGCAAGCTATCTATCTACCTCTCAATGAGCTTTGACTCCATTCCATACCTGAGGTACCTAGTACCCAGCAAACAGGCTCTCGTTGCTGACAGCCGTCTCCCGGGTTTTTAGATTTCAAACTGCAACCAACATTCAGCACATGGTCGCAAGTAACGATGCTGCACCTGTACCTCGTGTTCGCCCGACTGCGCAATCTCGAGCGCGACAACGCGCGGGCCTGGCAGCGGCAGCTCGTCGACCACTTCTTCTTCGACATGGAAACGCGCATGGGCCTGATGCACGGCATCAGCTCTCGCGGCCTGCGGCACCGGTACCTCAAGGACATTTTTATCCAGTGGCGCGGTGCGATCGCGGCCTACGACGAAGGCGTGATAAAGGGGGATCCCGTGCTGGCCGCAGCCGTCTGGCGCAACATATTCAAGGGTCGCGAGGACGTCGACGTGCGCTCTGTCGCCGCCATTGTCAGCTGGATGAGGCTTTGTTTGAAGATGCTGGATCAGATCCCCGACGAGGCGCTACACCTCCAGACTCAGGCTGTTTTCAAGTGGCCGGCTAAGAACGAGCTTGTGCTCGTCGACAAGCCTGTGAAAGAGCTTCACGATTTACTGGCACACACACCACCACCGGTTCATAAGGTCGCTCTCTGAAGGCTGTATATGTATAAGTAGGTACCTAGGCCACGAAGCTATCATGAAAATAGCACGTGGTTTCAGGGTAGTATAAAAGTTGGCGCGGCGTAATGATTCATGAAAAAAAAAAAGAAATCTCACCAATAAGTCACCGTCTCATTATTTTGAGACTCCACGACTCCGTGTATAATAGAACAAGTGCCTACTTGCCTGCCTATATACTATATACATACATATAGGTACATAGCCGTAAGAAAATGCCAACCCTCAATCAACTCTCTCCCACATCTGAAACTCATACCGTGTCCCATTCTCCTCCTGCACGCCCTCCGGCACCGTCTCCCCCGCCCACGCATCAAGCTCCTCCTTCGACCTCCTCACCCAGCCCCCACCACCGGCCTCGGACAAAACCAACGGGAAAAAAGTGTCGCACGCAAAATCCGGCTCCAGCACCCGCGTAAGCAGCACCCGCCGCGCCTCCCGCAGCTGCAGCGCCGCGGCGTACATCTGCGCGCCGCCGATGACGAAGGCCCGGCTAGGCCCGGGCGCATCCGCCGAAAACGAAGAAGCGGCAGCGTGGAGGTGCGCGACGGCCTGCTCCAGCGAGGACACTCTCACCGGCCCATCCCCATCTTCTTCTTCTTCTGCCCTGGCTGGGCTAGTGGCGTGCGAGCGGCTGACGACGACGTTCACGCGGCCCTTCAACGGCCGGAATCTAGGCGGGATGCTGTCCCAGGTTTTGCGGCCCATGATTACGGCGTTGTTGGTGCTGGTGCTGGTGCTGGTGCTGGTGTGGGGGTTGGGGTTTTGGGGTACGCGGCGCTTGGTCACGCGCGCAAAGTAGGCCATTTCTTTCCTGAGGCCGGTCCACGGCAGGGTGCCGGCTTGGCCGATCCCCATGGTGCGGGTCGCGGCTACGATGAGCGTGAGTTCGGGGGGAGGCATGGGGGTGGACATTTGGGTTTCTCTTTTCTTCTTGTCTTGATATTGCTTTTTCTTATGAGGTGTTGTGGATGTTGGGGTGGAAGAAATTTAGTAGTGGATGAATGAATGAATGAGTGAGCAGTGATTTTTAGATGTGAAGAATGAGGAATGAGATGAAATTTATGCCAATTGTGGATGAAGTATTTAACAATCATTTTTGAAAAGCTTAGCTACTATGGTTAGTCCGAAGAGTATAAATAGTGTCAATTACATACCTACATGTATGTATGATTTTATTTCATTTTGTACCTAGGTAACTATTCTACACTGGTCAATACCATCAATGTCAAGTTAAATGCAACTGCAGCTTCTGTGATACCTACAGGCATTGAAACAGCACTATAGGTACCCTGTCAAGTTTATTTCAAAATTCCATGTCCTTCCCCTTTTCTCGCAACCCTCTCCCTCTCCCTCTCCTCCTCCTCCAACCTCCTCAACTCCTCCCTCTTCATCGCCTCCTGCACCCTCACCCGTTCCGGCACCAACCTCTCCCTCGGCCTCGTGATCCTCCACCCCTTCAACATCTTCCTCCCCTTCCCCTCCCCACCCCCACCCCCACCACCCACCGCATCCATCGTCTTCCTCTCTACAAGACTATACTCCCCCTCCCCCTCCTCACGATCAAAACAAAACGGCTCCCGCAGACTAACAGGCGGATTCGTGATGATCCGCACGGCGCGCCGCGCGTTGTGGGTCGCGCTGTGCATCATCAGCGGGTGCAGCAGGTACACATCCCCCACCCTCCCCGTCGCCTCGACGAAGCCCTCCTTCTCAGCACCGCCACCGCCACCACACCCCCGCGCTACCGCCGCGTACCACTCCAGATTCCGCTCCCTCCCAAAGTCCGCGTGCGCGCGCGGCACCATGCGCGGGCTCACGCCCTCGGGGTGCTCGTACAGCTGTCGCGCGACGCGGTTGATCGCCGGCGGGCAGAGCATCGTGCCGCCGCCCTCGGGCTCGACGTCCGTGAACAGCGGGATGACGAGCAGCGCCTGCTCGGGGCTGTCGAGGTAGTGGACGAAGAAGTCGCCGTCGACGTGCCAGTTCGCCAGCTCCTGCGGCGGCACCGGCCTTCCCTCGCCGGCCGCGGTGCCCAGGTTCACGATGAGCGAGTCGCGCCACGTCCGGGACGGCTCGGCGCTGACGCGGTCCTCGCCGCCGCAGAGCTCGCAGATGGCGGCCCAGGCCTTGGGCGCGAAGGCCGCGCAGTCGAAGGCGCGGTGCGAGGGCATGTTGGTCCGCTCTTTGGTCCAGGTGCGCTTGTCGGTGGGCGACATGCCGAGGCGCGTCCACACCCCGTCGATGACGTCGGCGGCTTGGGCGCGCGTGAAGCAGTTGGTTAGTTTGAGGTAGCCGTGCGCGAGGAAGAAGGCTTTTTGGTCGGGGGTGAGGGGGGCGGGTGGGGATGCCATGGTTGGTGGTGAATGTTGGTTTGGGTAAGTAGGTACGTAAGTACGTATGTGTCTAGGTCAGGCAAGTAAGACGGCTAGCTTGCGATACCTTAGTATCTCATGTTACAATGAGATACCGATGACCGATTGCGAGTATGTTCGTGAACAAAACAAATGAAAGGAGAAGTTGAGAACTATTTACGGGTAGCAGTAAGAGGTGGTGGCCGACCTAATAAATATCATTTATTAACCTTACTCACCTGGGTATTTATATTACTCTGCAATGGCACCGTTACGGACGACAACATGCATGATGACTTCAACCCGTTCATCGAATCAGTAAACACATATTGGGTACCCCAGCCCCTCACGAGCTCTATAGCTAGGTACGCGGGGAAGTCGGCACTCCCCTCATCCTATAGCCTGTTTGGCGATTTCGGAGAGCGCTTGGAGAAATTCAGCTTTGCTTGTTTGCCGTTGGTCGATATCGCTGCACCGATATTTTTGGGGTCGGCAGGTGGTGACGGGATGAGAGTGTGAATGGTAGAAAGATAATTCAGGCGGGAAGAGCAATATCTTCGTAGGTAGGCACCTTAGATAGGCAATTTACCATTACTGTGATCTAGGGGAAACGCATTCTAGGCCTCCAACCACTCTATCTAACGCATGCTGGCTTCCCTTCAATATCTATAGTGTATTACCATGAAAGCCCCAGATGTAAGAAGATATGCGCAAAATACAGGCGATTAGGGGATTTGGAGACAGCTATCTCGTCCGTCATGACGTCGCACCCCGGAGATCGCTCAGGGCATCGACGTAATATGCCGGCACGGCCACCGCATCCTCAGCCTCCCAATGCTCCTTTTTACTCACGCCCGTCAGCACAGCCAGCGTCCCGCCCAATTTCCCCTCGACACCGAACTGGATATCCGTGTTCAGTCTATCGCCAACCATGCAGGTGCGGGCGCGATCGAGCTGGAACTTGCCCTCAATCGCGTCCATCATGGCCTGGCTCGGCTTCCCGAGCGCCAGCGGCGTCTCGCCGGTCATGTTGATTAGTGGGACGGAGATGGAGCCGGCGCCGGGGAAGAAGGTGCGGCTCATGGGCAGCGTGCTGTCGAGGTTTGTCGCGAGGAACTTGGCGCCCCGCTGGAGGTACTGGAAGCCCATCGACAGCTTCAGGTAGTTGATGTGGAAATCCAATCCCGCGAGGACAACACCGACGTCGGGATCCAGCAGCGAGCCATTGGCCAGCCCGTCGAAGTCCGCGGGCGTAATGTCGCGCCGCAGGGCCGGGTCCGTGCCGCCGATAAACGGCACACCCTCGGTGCGCAGCTCAGACTCGATGCCGCTCTCGCCAATGACGAAGACCTTGTTCTTGGGTGCTGGGAGCTTCATGATCCGCGAAATGTAGATGGCGGACGAGTAAGCTGATGCAAAGATCTCCTCGACGTTGCTAGGGATGCCCATAGCTGTCAGCTTTTTCTGATAGTCGGGCCTGGACTTTGTAGAATTGTTCGTGACAAAGACGATACGTTTCCCTGAGTTAAATTAGTCCGTGCTCGCTCAGGACGTTTTATTCGGTAAATTTCAACATCACACCAAACCTACCTCGCGATCTTAGCATCTCTAAAGTCTCGACGATGCCTTCGAAAAGGTGGTCTCCAGACCATAAGACGCCTACACATGTTTCAGCCTTCAGGCCTCCTTCTAGAATGGCTGTTCGTTTCTAACCATCGCAGTCAAGTAGAAAAACCTATAAACATGATGAGATATTGCATGGTGATGGGAAACGGTGTTTGGGTAAAATGACGCACATCGAACTTATCAAGGAATTCATTGAGAGCGGCAGAGTCGCCACTTAGGTACTTAGGTGATTGTGGCATTGTAGAAGAAATGAAGAAGTACAGCACAGTTTTTTTCTATAAAAAAAGAAAGAAAGAAAAAGAGGAAGGGCTATCTATCTATTTCGTCTGGTCTGATGTATAAATGATCGTGAGTAAGGAAGGTTCTTAGATGTTCTGAGCCATGTTTCGAGACATCAGCCTGAGGGCCTACCCTACTAGGTACCGGTAGGCCCGGTAGGGTCCCTACCACCACTATACAAGTACCTACCTAGCACTAACTTGAAGTAGGAATCAAAGCGCTAAACCCCCGATATCGTGGTAATTGCATTGGTTTCTTGTAGCGCTTAAGAAAATATCTGACAGATTACCCCTTAACCACAAGCAACACATGGTGTGTCACATCGCTATTGATACCTCTACCAAGCTGGGACTGTAGGCGTGTGCGTGTGCGTGGGAAATACAACTTTCTTCTATAACTACCTTTTACATAAAAAATTCGTGTCGCAATACCAGGTATCTACCTACCTACCCATACAGTGATATAACAGGCCTATCTATCACTTTAGCCAATGGAAAAGGAATCAAAGCCCGCATTGATATAACTTATACAACTTCTGACATGTACTCTCGCGGGAGATCCGGCATAGGCTCCTCGCTCGTCTTCGCCCCAGGTCGCAGATGCTGACGGCTCGAGCTGGACCGAGCCGAGCCGCTTTCTTTCCCATGGTACGGAGCCTCCGTCGAGTGGTTAACATGGATGGTGGAGTTGCTCTTGGCGTATTTATCGAGGCGCGAATTCGAGGAACGAATGCGGACGAGTGATACTGTCGAGGAAACGACGTCACTCCATGTCATCCCGTGGAAGTGGCTTTGAAGGGTCGGCAGGCAAGCAGCAAGCACCCCCACACCGCACTCAACGACGGCCCAGTATAGGTAAGTGGTGACGCGGTCTAATGTGTAGTTAGGTATATATCAGCTAAAGTGAGAAAAGCAGCATACGATCAAAGGGGGTTCTCTTTACATGTTCGATCACTGTTTTCCTCGAAGGTTCCGTGAGCTAACTCTATAGTCATGATGAGGCGAGCTAAAGACGCCCCAACAGTCCTTAAATAGGTAGGCATATTATAAGTATATGTACTTGGGGGCAAACTGAAGTACACTTCGAAAACTTACACTACACCCAGGAGGAAGATGCCTATGACACTCAATCTCTTGGGCACGGACAAGTGCAAACGCCAGACCTATCAAGATGATAAGTAATTAGCATCGTACCTACAAATATCAGGGCTAATACACAAGAAATTCTTACCAGAGGTATCGGAATGCTAATGACCACCAAATCTTGCAGGAAGTCCGATCCAGTGAAGGCCATAGCCAGGGAGCCGGTATCGACGCATTGGGATAGGAAATTTTGATCACCACTTCCATATGTCCAGAAGTTCAGCCGACACTATATTTGTATATGGTTAGCTCGGAGTCAGGTGTACAGCCATGACGGAAGATAGTCCTACCTGGAAGAGCGTGGCAAAGAAGAAACTGACGACCCAGAGAAATATGAGCACGACGAACGCAACAAGGAACGTATGCGTCTTGCTTCGATGATTAACGGAGAAGATCCGCATGTAGAAGAACAAGAAGCTAGCCTTGGTGCACCCGTAGGCTATCGGCAACATGAGAAGCACGGCATATTGGACCTATCCGCTTGATTAGAACGAGCCTCCCCGTCCCCCAGATAGGTATATAAATCGAGCCAGGCTGGTACCTTATTAATTAGAGCTCCTTGATTCCTCTGCACTTCAAGGTTCTCCTTTTCCAAAGGATATCCGAACGCCTTTTGCGAGACGCCATATATCAAAGTGCAAGATACTGCCACCCCGAATATCTAAGAATACACGTTAATAACTAAGCCTCCCGATATATGGTATAGTGTGTAACGCACAGTCGCAATTACGACAAGCCAGTCGTCAACTTTCAAGGCTACCCTCATCTTCCGTTGTGTCCAGAATCTCAGTGCTACGACGATGATATCGAGGACTGCTAATGCGATGCATGTAGCTATAGTATGGCCAGCTGTTTGGTAACTCTTGACTTCGACAGGCATCTTGACCGCAGATTATAGTTATTATCTGTACATCTAGGTAGTAACGATTTCAAACTATTGGGTTGAGTATCAGTATCAGAAGCTCATCGGCCTGCAGTAGTGTGAAAAGGGGAAGGGGGGGGACAACTGAATTTAGAGATTTGTCAAAATGGATATTCTCAAACCACCCAAGTTAGGTGACACAACGAGTGGAAGCACTGTTCTTTTGTTAAGAGACCGTTCTCTGTATAGTAACTCTTATATGACAAAGAACGTTTGGTTTTCGACAACCGTTGTTGAAAAGCCAACGCTTAGGGCAATAAGAACTAAAAGGCCTCCAACACGTCATTACATTGATGTCTTACATGCCCAAGTAAGTGTCTTACACATTTCTAAGACCATCCTGCGAGAGGGTATCGTTTAGCCGTTGCGCTGCATCCCTACGTCGAATCAATTCCTTCATCTAATATACCCTACCTATGTAGGTAACTTAGGGTAGGTGCCTAGCAATTTGAAGTTGAAGGATGCCAGAACTTGGAGCCCTTCAGTAGATTTCAAAAGGAAGCACGAACACGAGTAAATGGCAAGTAAAATTAAATAAGAACCTATTAGCGAACCCAGGAGCTAAATTATATGAGTGTCTAGGTAGGTACCGACATATTTATGTAGGAGCAAGCAGGCGTTATAGTTCCAAGCTTGTTTCAGTCAAGCATCAGTAGAACTCTCACGTATGCATTCCCCATGCCATTCCCCATGAGAGACATAAGCACCTAAGGTACCTCTAAGGTATCTACCTACCTAGTAAGCATATGAGCAGTACCGTTGACCGCTTGCCAATGACTTTTTCAAAGTGAACCATTCCTCCTATAAGCCGCCTATTTTGCCTCCTCATCCACAGGTAGGAATAAGATCCTCCACGTAAGGGATACGCGGAGTATTATTCAGCTTTCGGATGAGCAGGACGGAAGGATTGTTGACCCCACTTTATCTGCAACATCAAGCGATGCCGTCCGAGTAAAATCACGGCAGAGATACTGCATAAGTATTCCGTATTTCAGTTAGTTATGTCTTCCACACTACCCTATTTCCTTGCCTCCAAACGTGAACAAAGATATCAACACTATTATGCGGACCCATATTCTATGTGCGGCCATTGCCATTTCGGGTGCTCTGAGCCTATTGATTACACCTACCCATCGCCTTCCTGACAACGTAGATGCGTTTACTGTACCGGTGACAAGAATATCAGATGCGCATGCGCAAAAGCCCCTGAGACATAGCAACCCAAAGCTGGGGGCGACGGGTAGGAAATTTAGAGTCAAGGAGCAAACCGATGACATATGCCGAGCTGGCAGTCGTCAATGGACTGGCTGGATCGATATCTCGGAAGAGAAAAGTCTCTTCTTCTGTGAGCTTTCTTGAGCACATACCCGGCCAAGGAAACATGTTTAGTACCGAAGTCGGCTAATTTGTGATCTAACCCAGGGTTTTTTGAATCTCGACATGAGCCTTCCACGGATCCAGTTGTAGTTTGGTTGAATGGGTATGAACCGAGCTAGTCTCACTTTATAACCGTCAGCTAACATCCTGCTTCGCAGTGGCCCAGGTGGCTCGTCGTTGAGTAAGAAGTTCTGCTGTTATGACATGATCTCTGTCCCTGGATACTCGGAATTCATGATTTTGGCTAATTATTGTCCTAGTGGGATTATTCTCTGAAATCGGGCCATGCTTGACGAACCAAGACAACAACGACACCATCTTGAACAAGCACAGTTGGACGAATTTTGCCAGTGTGCTCTTTATCGAGTAAGAACTGTCTTGGCCAAACGGTACAGCTGTTGCTAATATGCCTACACCAACACAGCCAACCAGCCGGTGTTGGGTTTTCAAAAATAAACAACGGCACGACTGGGGGACCGGACAATGAAGTCGAAGTGGCGCAAGACCTAAATATATTCCTGCACAGTTTCTTTACAGAAGTGTTTCCAGGATTTGCTCACCAGCCATTTCACATCGCCGGCGAGTCATTTGGTGGTACATACGTGCCAGGATTCGTCGACTTCGTCAGCCGACGCGCGGCTATGGGCGTCCCCGGAATCATCTCGCGTCCGATCCAATCCATCATACTTATTGATGCCGTTATTGATATAGTTGGCTCGGGGGCCCTCGGCGAGTATGACCACATGTGCCGTTTTAATAAGGATGGGAGGAATCAGCTTAAACTGGGACTTAACCGTACAGCGTGCGACGAAATAGAAAAATCTGTTCAGGAATGTGAGAGATTGAACAGGCAATGCATCGATACCTACGATGGTCACATATGCAAAGCGGCATGGTCGTTTTGTGACGTCCATATTGAGTCACTGCTCCAATCCGGCCCTGTAGCCCGGAACGTGTATGATGATCGCGAGCCGTGCCACGGCGAGCTACCATTCTGCGGCAAAGTAATGTATGACACTTATCTCAACTTGCCGAAAGTTCAAGCGGCTCTCGGAGTCGACTGGATTTTTTCGGCCATCAATCGCGATCTAAACACTCGTTGGGAGGCAAGCTTGGGGTTCTACTTGCCTACAACACGTGAATTGCAGTATATCCTCGATAACACCGGTACACGAGTCCTAGCGTTAAATGGCAACAATGATATCATCGTGTGAGTAAACCTTGACCCCAGTTGTAAAGCTATCGGCAACTTCTAACCCGAAGAGTAGAAATACGGAAGGGCAGAAGCGCGTCTACGATCAACAACCTTGGAATCATCAGGCTCGGTACCGTCTCGAGAAGTTCGCTGAATGGACATGGCCTGACGAATCGGGGAATTTGACGAAGGGTGGCGAGGTCAAATCGGCAGATAAGCTGACTTTTGTGTCAGTCGATGAAGCCGGACATACGTCTCCAGGGGACCAGAAACAGGCCGTAGGATGGATCATGAAATGCTGGCTGCATCAGAGAACGGACGCGACTTGCGTGGTCTAGCATTTGAATCTGTTCCGGTGTTGTTCTGATATTCGGTTGGAAGCGGAAACTGTCCTGGGTTATGAGACTCTGTACTGAAATAAAGCCGCAAAGACGCAGTTGTAAAATGTACTTCGTTGCTTTCTGTCCTTGCCAAAAACCAACCAAATTGATATCAATACCTGTTTACTGTGCGATCCATTAATTGACGTTTCAAATATATCGATTTTTGTAGGTCAATCAGTCAATTCTGTTCTTCACACCACGCAAGGTACCCGACGATCCGGATCTGCAGCTCTGCAGCTCTGCAACTCTGCAAGTTTATGTAGCTACTAGCACATGTGTGCCAAGCGGGCTTCCGCAAGTTTTCCGCGTTCCAACTGCATACCTATTGCAAAGGAATAAGTACCACAAGTGACTCAAGCTTTGGAACTTGGACTATAATGATGCTAAGTTATTATTATGTATGTCGAGTTTCAAAGTTATCAAGGGACAAAAATCCATCACAATGATCGCACCTTTCTACCATACTCCCATGATTACAGTGTGTATCTGAGTATGTACCGTGGCTTATATTGCCATAAGTGATCCATGCCGTATTATCAGATTCTATCACGCCTAGAATAGACGGTGAGCTTGTGGTCGTAATATTTAACGCCGACCAAAATGACTTGTCATCTTTCAGCAGTGTGTAGCTGCTCTGGGCCAATCAATAATATATTTAAATAGAATATTGTTGCCCAATGGCCCCATTGTGTGCTACTTCGATTAGGTAGGGGGCACTCGAAATGGATGTTTGAATGGACAGAATGGGTTCAATGGTGGTATAAAACACATGTTTAATCGTGGTGCATAATGCACTGAACAATAACATGCCTAGGTAGGTAGTAGCTAGTAGGTAGGGTAGGTAGAATAGTAGTAGTACCTGCTAGGTAAGCCGGTAGATGGTAAAAAATATTGACGAAAATAAGATCTCTGGTGACGTCAGAATGGCCACTATCAACCAAGATATTCTTAATATCGGACTAACTCCAATGGATGTTGGCCATTACATACTACCTAGGAGGACTAGGCAGCTAGGTAAGCGTTGAATAAGCTTTGAATATGTAATTATTCATCGCCTCCTGGGCTACAATGTAAGGTACTATGCAACATGCATGTGGTGAGTGAGCATCATCAAATTTTGGGAGGCGAGGGAGAGAAAAGGTAAGAGCTGGTGGTGGGGTTCTGCGGGTATTAATAAGACGCAAGGTGAAAGGGGAGTTGGGCCATTGGCAAGTTGCAACTGTTGGAACAGTTGGATACGCCGAGATGTTGCGCAGAACCCCCACCTATCCACTATCGCGTACCAGCCTTATCCTTGTCCCGCCCCTCCGGTCCATCCCAAGATCGGTAACTCATACGTCAATCAACCTTGAACACCCCGCCATGACTTCTTTTTTTTTACTTCGTTTCTCTTATCCTTTTCATAACGACATACCCTACATGTAGCTATTATACAACCTAACTTAGAATCTACAACCTTCCACCATATGTAAATGAATAAAGCCTAAAGGGTTGACAGTAAAAAGGCAGCATCTTTGTCGTATTTGATACTCCGTATTTGATACTCAAATTGTTCCTTTTCCGAACAATCAAGCAACAATTCTACTTTTCATGATATCATATATCAAAGATCTCAACAATCTGAAACATTCAACCCATTCTCTTTTTCCTCCTTTCCTCCTTTCCTACAAACTCACAACCTCGCAAACCTGCATACTTACATACTTACATATGTACGGTACGCATTGCTTACACTGCTACATTACCAAGGTACCTTAACCTAGCTACATAAATGCTAGGACTTGCCATTCGCTAGTCTTATCACGAAAATTACCAAGTCTTTGTCGCCAAGCATCCTTGTGGATGATATTTTCGTGACAAGTGGACACTTAGCAGCCCTAGGTACTGGGTACCTTGCCCTTCAAGTTGCGATATCGACTATCGTTGTGTACATGTCCTAGAACCGACATTGCGTGGACACAAGACTCAACATATGCCCAACCACCTAACCTACTTAGTAGCACGGATCACATCAATCTTATCGATACAGCTTGTCTTAAAACCCAAGTGTGTCTAGGGTCTGAATACGGAGGTAGGTCACCTAGCTACCTGACTAAAAAAAGAAAAAGAGAAAAAGAGAAAAAGGTTAGCAAGAATAAAAAATCACTCGTGAAGCTGCTTACCCCACCGCTGTCCACCGTCAACTTCTTTACAAACAACTTTAATCTATCTCAGCTTCCTACAAATTATCCTGTCTCAGTATTCATACTTATTTCTATATACAGAGATAATACAATCCGCATCTACGAGCCACAATGCCGGGGAAGCAGCCAAATTTATACGCTTTTAGCGACCTTGAAGCCCTCGCGCCAGCGTTGCGATCATACATAATCACATGCCAAAATGCCGGTATTACACGCCATGATGTTTTCAAGGTCGCAATTTCAGGCGGCTCATTACCAGAGATACTTGTGAAAGCTCTCCTTCCAGCCCCAAAGTCCGACGAGGATACGATCAAGCTCGATAAGTGGGAAATATTCCTCGCAGATGAAAGGGCCGTACCTCTAGACCACGAAGACAGCAACTATGGCTTACTGAAGAAGGAGCTATTGGACAAAATCCCTCCTGGACAAGGTCAACCCACCATACATCCTATCGACGTGGAGTTTTTAGAGGACACGCAGGAGTTGGCGGATCAGTATGAGAAGAAGTTGGTCAACTCGTTTGCAAAAGGCGACTCGGTCAAGCTCCCTATATTCGACCTACTTCTACTTGGCACCGGACCGGATGGCCATACTTGTAGTCTTTTCCCAGGCCACCCACTGCTCAGGGAGACCGATGCATGGGTCGCGCCAATTGATGACTCGCCTAAGCCACCGCCTCGACGAATTACACTCACTCTCCCCGTTGTTACGCATGCCGTCAAGATCGCATTTATTGCTACGGGCGATGCCAAAAGAGACATCATGAAGGAGATATTTGAGCAAGGAAATGGACTCCCCTGCGCCCTGGTCAACGAAGCAACCGGCGAACGCTGCAGCTGGTTCACTGACGCCGCCGCTGTAGCAGGCGTCAGCTTTCCCCGTCGAAGTTTTCTATAATCTCATATCATACGCAAAATGAGTCAGTATGCAAGCATACCTACACACGCAGTATGCGACCAAGCATTTTATGGGCGAGGGGGGTTTAGGGGGCAAAGATAAGAGAGCAATCTACAAGTCCCTAAAGGGCTGGGGAACATTGCATGGTTCGGTTTATGGCTTTGATTGCCGAAGCAAACTTGATGAGTGGTACTTATGAGAAATGAAACGCGTAATTGATGTATTGGAGCAGTGAGGTGCGGGAGAAGAAGTCTTACTACATGAATTTGATACCAGACAAAAATCATCTAGAGAGACAACATACCCCTATCCATACAGAACCACTATTTTAGTAAAGGGGTGATGTTGGATCAATGATCATATTTTACTGTGCGATTTGTTTTGGAATTATTATATGCATTGTTTTGGTTTATCTCATGTACATAGCCCCAAGTGGTTATTTTCGATATCAGGTACCGTGCGTGTCTTGCAATCGCAGACTTTCTAAATACTATTCCAACAATCCAAGGAAGAATGACCTACGATATAAATTTAGCCTAGGCACCGAATTAGCCAAGTTCCAGTCCATATAGGTGTACCTTGAGCCGTCTGCCCCCATCCCTCCCCCTTTATTTCCTACACCACCTAGCCCCCCTTTTCATCAAGAAATACTGGTACCTCCTCAAGTCCAGCTCACTACCCACCCACATCTTTACCTCCCCTCCAACTTCCTCTCCCGCATAAAAGCCGCGGACAGTAGCGCGCCAAAGCCCAGCACAGCAACGGGGAGGAACGCCCACTGGACGGCCACGGCGTAGCAGTCACGCACGAGGCGCGCGACGTCCGGGTCCAGCTGGCGGATGTAATCAAGGCTCTGCCTCACGCGCTCCTCGATGCGGCGGGCCGCGTCGTCGTCGCCGCCTAAGGAGGCCGCGAGCCGCACGCGTAAAACTTGTTGTAAGACGGCGGTGGAGGCGCTGATGCCGATGGTGGTGCCGAGGGAGCGGAAGAGGTACTGGCAGGCGATGGCGATGGGGACGTCGGTGGGGGCGGCGTTGGCGATTACGGAGATGAGGGTTGTGGTGATGGCTATGTTAGGGTGTTAGCTTTTGTTTTGGGAGGGATATTATGGAATGAGGAATAAAGAAGGGGGGGGGTAAGGGGATAGGAAAAGGGGACAAATCATACAAATACCCGAGCCCATGGCCAGAATAGACAGCCCAACCACAACGCCCGCCGTCGACTTGACCGCGGCACCAGCACACAGCACCATGGGCACTATGCCAAGAAGCAAGATAATATACCCGTACAGCGTGAGCCAGTAGTACTTCCCCGTGCGCCGCATGAGATACCCCCCAGCCAGCGAACCAACAAGCCCGAGCACACTACTAGAGACATACATAAGCCCGGACATGCTGGCCGACAGGCCCATGGCAGCCTGGAAGAAGAGCGCGATGAAGAAGTACACGGCGACTTGGGCAGCGACGCCGCAGAAGTTGGACAGGTACGCCGCGAGCAGCGGCGGGTCGAGGATCACATGGCCGGGCGCGAACGGGTCGCGCGCCACCTTGACCTCGACGAAGACGAACAGCGCGAAGAGAGGCGGGGTCAGGGCGAGAGGAACGAACGTCGCCCGCCGACCCCACCCCTCGTTGCTCCCGTTGTCCAGCCCGAACAGCAGCGCGAACACGGCCGTCTGCAGGATGAAGGCCCCGAGGAAGTCGATGCGCAGGACTTTCGCGGTCCAGTGCGCGCTACTACTACTACTACCACCACCATCACCATTTTCGCGCCCGGCGTTCATCCCCGGCAGGCGCAGACACACCGCCACGAACGCAAACATGGCGACGGGGAACTGCCCGGCAAACGCCCACCTCCAGCCCACGCCGTCGGCGAGCAGGCCGCCGACGGGGCCGCCGGACGCAACGCCGCACGCGTACACGATGTTGATGTAGCCTTGCCAGAGGCCCCTGTCGCGGAGGGAGACGAGGTCGGTGACGAGGATGGTGACGACGGCGTTGAGGCCGCCGCCGCCGACGCCGGCGACGGCGCGGGAGACGCACAGCTCGGCGATGTCGCGCGACAGCCCGCACCCCAGGCACCCGAGGCCGAAGACGAGGCTCGCGAAGAGCAGGCAGTGCTTGCTGCCGAAGACGGCGGTGAGGCGCCCGTACAGGGGCTGGAAGGCCGTGAGCGTCAGGAAGTACGAGGTCGAGATCCAGCTGGTGTTGTTGAGCGCGTGCAGGTCGCTGCCCATGCGCGCGTAGGTCGCGACGGTGAGGGTTTGGTCGAGGGCTACGAGGAAGATCTGTTTATTTTTAGGGGGGGTTTTTTTTTTAGGGAGTTTGTTTATTTCAGGTGTTTAGGTATTTATTTGGTCATGTTTGATGAGCGAGGGTCTCTTTGGATCATGGAGAGGTAGGTAGGTAGGTAGGTAGGTATATATCACTATGAACAGTTCACGGATAGGAACCTAGTACAGGCATGTGGACAGGAGGTAACTGGGCTAGTCGGCAAGGCGATCATGAAAAGAAAGCTTACTTACACCAATAGCGAGCACCGGTATCAGCGTCTTCATATCCGCCTTCATCTTCGGGGCATCCCCGTTTGACGCAGCAGCACCGTTGATATCCTCGACCTGGCCACTCTCCACGTCCGTTGCCGCATCGTCGTCGTCGTCGTCGTCATCATCGTCGACGGCCGATTTGCGTTTACTGACGCTCGGGAATGTGCCATTGTCCTGTATTTCACCGATGCTGTCGGTAGCGGAAGTGTTGTTGGGACCAAGAAGAGGTGCCGTCTCCAGGACCGGATCCGGGCCGGCTCCGGCGGGGTTCGGACCCTTGGCGGACATTTTTTGGACCAGATAACGTCCCTTTTTTTTTTCGCCTTTTCGGGTCGACTATCTAACCTAGCCTAGTTCCTAACGAATCTGCCACGAGGAAAGCAAAGGCAAAATCCAACCTAAAAGTCTTAAACTAGAGCGTCCCTACCCGTCGGCCAGAAGAAAGGTAAGGGGCTGGCACTTAAATGTGGACGGTTGATGAGGGGGTCCACCAACGCCCTGCCCTGCCCTGCCCTCCTCCGAGAGACGGAGATGGGAAGAGGAGCGGTCCCTGCAGCTGTGCGTATCCCATCGCCAAGTATTCCAATTGGCTTATCGGCGGTTGGGAAGCTAACGGGACGGCTTACATGCAGTTCCTTGAGCCGTATTTTCGACCTGCTAGGTAGGGTGACAGTGATGGGGTCATCATCGCTAACTTGTTATGGCGCTGTGGGTATGGAGACTTAGCACGCAATATCGGTGATAGTATCAGCATGTCTCTATGCCTGCTCCAAGTCGCTATTTACTGATAAGTGCCTATAATGTAGAGTGAATTGTATCTCTCGGGATTAATTGTGTAAAGGGTTTAGCTGAGCTATACATACTTACTATACTCCCCATTCGTATTCCCCCCTCATTTACTACGGCCTCTTATGTAGGTAGTATAAGCGTTCTAGACAGGTTTGGTCCGTAGTACGTTGTGGAGCGGGAACCCACGATAATATCCCACCCATAATAATATGCAGTGTTGCCCCCCCCATCTACCGAGCTTACACCAATGTAAATACTAGAATAAGAGGAACCAAGTAGTTAATGCGTGTAGCCGTAGGTAGTGTGCAGATTAGAGAATCCGAGCGTGTGGAACTCGCGTTGCATCAAGTCGGGTGAATACAGCTTTCGCTTCAATGATCAGACTTGCTATTTAAATATGTAGGTGGCAGCAATACCTGGTTTTCTAAGACATGCATGTGGGAACGAGGAACGAGAAACCGCCTGCCACCCAAGTGATATATAGTATGTATGTACCTACCTTTACATTAATATCATTGCCATCGCCATTATAAGCATTATCGTCAGGCAAGTCTACCCGGATCTTCAACCAGGTCAGAATGATGCGAGCATAGGCACTTGCAGTAGTTATCCATTTTCAACATCTATCAATAGTAAGTCGCCCGGGTCTTCTACATTGACCTGCCGCTGCTCCATGCACGTGGATATCTCTATCACATCAATACATACCTCCCTACATCAGGGACGCTACATATGCGTCGCTACCTTCTTCTTCACCTAACCCTGTAGGACCAGGGATTTCGATCCAAATTCCCGAAATAGCTTCACGGGCCCCGTGCCCCGGTTTTTTCCTTTCTTTCCTACAATGTAGGTACATTACATGTGTAGTAGTAGTACATATGGCCCTGGGTAATCAGACACATGATAAGCAAAAAGGGACGATATGTAGGTATTCATTTTTCTGAAGAGATGAAGGTTTTAGACCTCGAATCATGGATCATCCATTCATACCTATGTAGGTAGGTACATGTACCAAAGGACCGAGGCTAGGTAATTGTTAACTTGGATGGACAGTGGACATTGATGAGCCCTGGTTCCAGATCATGAAGCTCAAACGTTAGAAGCACCCGCTCTAATGAGTCTGTGCGATAATGATATATGATCTCATCTTATACTACTAGTACGTAGTACTAATGTTACGTGTACTTTTTTATCTCTTTATTGAAAGCTCCCTACCTACATAGGTGGTAGTTATCTCATTGCAGCATGCACTGAGAAAACGTAAAGATGCCCAATTGGTACAATACATACCGGTGAAGCCAGCCTACCAATCCCGAAGTTCATATGATTATGTGCAGTAGCATTACATACGACTAGGTAGGTAGTTACTACATAAGGTACATAGTCACATCTATTAAATTTCCCTGCATCTTCTGCATCTTCTGCACGTGAAGGCACAGATAGGGTTCAATGCCCAGGTGTTCTCCTGAACTCCTTGAGTCCCGATTCGACTCGGGACGGTTTTCTTTGCCCCCCCCCCCCACTGGTCAGGGGGAAACCTGGATGCTCATCCGGTCTTAGCATTGTACGTAGGGCCAGCCCAGCCCCAGTTTGAAGAGCCAAGTCCCGCCGTCATTGTGTGTACATTATGTATGTAACAATGCCTTATCCCTACCAACTGTTTGTCCATGTCCATGCCCATGTCCATATCCATTTCCCCGCGCATTTTTCTCATGACGGAGGCGCTTTTCGCATCCAAGGTACCTAGGTATGTATGTATGTACGTAGGCACACGAGAGGTCTTACTATAATGCCAATCCATCATTTCCGCAACGGCGCAAACGCGTTCAGATGTTGTCTTGTGATTGAATTCACGCACACGCTCACATTCCAGCTCACAAAAAAAAAAAAAAAAAAAAAAAAAAAAAAAAAAAAAAAAAAAAAAAAAGCAAGTGAGATTTCTCAAATTAAACCTATTTTCGAGATCTCTCTTCGCACAACTGTAAGCACCCGCATCCGACGGCAAGGTCATGCCCATGCAAACTAGGTACAATACATACAGTACTATGTAGGTATATACCATGCATTATTATACCAATCTTCTTCACATTGCTCTTGTTCTTCTTCAATGATTCATACATATTCAAATCCTATTGTCCATAGTTTCAGTTATATGATATAGTTATTAGGTACGGGGACTATGTTGGAATTTAAAATTATACTCGAGGTCAATTTAACAAAGGCACACACACACACACACACACACACACACACCATCGGGTCAGCAAAAATCATGACTTCTACATACATAGGTAGGTGCCTAACCTAATGTATGTACTGTGATAGCTTCTGACGGAGAAGAAAGGCTAACTAGTGAGGAGGATGAAAAAAACCCAATGCGATAGCTCTGTCTCCACAAGGCTTGTCAAAGTTGACCACCCTCCTCTTCAGGACGATCGAGTGGCTGAAACGGTCGTTCAGGGGGTCTCTCTGTCATTAATCTCTACAAACTAGTTACGTATGGGGGGCGAACGCGGCCTGTTTGTATCGTACCCAGGTACCTGCCAGCCAACCCAAGGCTGTCCAGGTACATTGGATACTATGCATTTGCGTAGTATCATACTAACCTACTACCTAGTAGGTAGTAACTAATGTACGGCAGATTCGCTTCTTCGGCCCTGTTCCTGGAGGGATAGTCAGGATTTGCATAGCGCAAGTGCCTTGATACGTAACAGATCGAACAGGCCTCCCACTTACATAGTAAATGGAGGACCCTTAAAAGACTGCTAGGAGTTGGGATTAGTTGGGATATATCTCCGAATCGTTCTGGTCCTATCATCTGACCTGTTTTTCTCTGCATTGGTCCTTAGCTAATGTTGAAGAAATCGATCGGAAAGTCTCAAAAGACCGTTGGAACCCCCCGTGCATGCAGAGAGCCATTTATCCTTAGACTCATTCAAATTCTTCCCTGTGGATCCTTCGAGTTCCGGTACCTGCATCAACTGTGTTGTCATTCCTGCTAATCCAGTAAACCACCTAACCTACTATAGTACCCTACTATACCTACCTGGTACCAAGTCTATGTACACTTATTAGTAGGCAAACCCGTAGAGCAGGATCAAAGTCAAGGGTATCAAAAGTATTAAGGGTACCAGCAGACATCACTTGGCGAACCCACCTCCTTTGGTGCTCATTACATCTGCAACCTTGATTGTGCCCCCCCGTCTCATCTTCCTCTACCTTATCGGACGAAACGATCGACCAACCTGAACGACTAACAACCTATCTTTCGATATTCATGTATGACAGCATCTGTCGCCTCGCCATACTCACTTCTTTCCCTATCAAACCTCTTCAATCAGCCGAAAATACGTAGTAATGGACCGTACCACCCTCCAGACCCCCAAGATGGGTCGCTCGCGTTTCTCAAAAGCGCTGCCTGCCCCTCCACGCGAGTTGGAGAATGATGTGCCACGGATGGCGCCTCAAGATCCTTCGTCTTTTCTATACTCACCCTTTCCACCTAGGCAGGACAGTGTTAGTGTCAACAGTGTCACTAGTCCAGATACTAAGCCAAACTTAAGTAAATCGTCTCTGCCTGCGTTGCCGTCGAATAATACCATGGAAGGCACTCGCCCACAAACAAGAAAGAACTCGATTCCGAGGAAGCCGGTGGGACTGCCGGCAAAACCCACTCCAACGGCCGCAGCGGCCGCAGTCGCAAAGAAGATGAGGCGGGTTTCTTCCATATCAAGCCTCTTATCGGCATATTCAAATACCTCGTCGGATTCCGTTCAAAGATCTTCGCAGGGAAGTATCTATACAAAGGATAGCGAGCCTTCAAATTCACCAGAGCGGGAGGGGATGAACGATGTGCAGAAACCTGCGATAAAGTATTTGCCGGAAATCCCAAGCAACCCTTATGCTGATATGGGAATGACGGATGAAATGTTGGCAGCTTCTTTGCCGTCTCTGCCACCTCTCATGGATATGGCCCGCTCGAAAACGCCTCCGAATTCTCGGCCGCAGGACCAGCTCTCGGCATCCGGGCCTGACGCACAATTAGGAGATCAATCGGCATCGTCACCAACCCTTGGAGGTAGCTCGCCCCAGAAACGAGAGATTTGGCGTCGCCGAGCTTCGTCCAAATCAGATCATAGCCTACTCGTCTCGGAACTCAAGCTAGCCGATTCTCATGGTTCAACTGCATCCACCACACAACCCATCAATTCCGAATTTCTCCCACCGCCACCAACATCAGCACAAGCACCATCACCATCACCGGCACCACAAATTAGCAACGCCACTTCTCCATTACCTCCCAGAAACGCATCACTTCCTGGAAGAAATATTCGCCCAATCCGTCAACCAGAGCCACAAGGCGAAGACGAGATGCGCAAGCTTTCGTCTAAACTCAAAGAGCTCACCAGCCGAGATGAGGGTGGTAGAGATGAGCCTGTCAAAATGGGTGAGTACTCCGGGAGGTCTAGGCCTAGAGTGCCATTTGGGACTGAGACTAATCCTGCGCCTCCGAAAAAAGAAAAGCCAGCTGCAGAGAAGTCTTCTACCAACACACCAAAATCTTTGACAGAGACGACGGTGGAAACTCCTCTTCCGTCAGCACCGCCTGCACCACCCGCGCCATCCGTACAATTGTCGGGGCCCCCAAATCAGTCCGCAGAAAAGTTAAACACGCGTCGCCCTGTCGGAGCTCCTGCGCCTAGCCAATCGGAAGTTCATAAAAAGGGAAGTTCATCCGATATGAGGAAACAGAATCCTGGACTACCGCGATTTCCGCGACCATCTCAGAGCAACTCATCCTTGCGCTCGCCTTCAGCTTCTTATAATGCGCAAGAGGCTATGAAGACCCCAGTTCTGCCGCAGCTGACTCTTTCGACACCAACGCCCTATGCGCTACCAGCAGACTCGAGTGAACCTATCAAGAAGTCTGACCTCTTCAATATTGTGACAGCGTTGAACGAACCCAGTATTTCACCGGATACAAGCAGCAGCCGCAAACCCACGCGCAAGGTCTCGAGAGATGTTGATGCGACCGCACTTAGTGACATCGGCGAGGCTACGGAACATATGACTGCCGAGCAGGTGGACCGAATTAATGAGGCCCTCTCCCGTTTTCCTCGAAGCGCCGATCAGACAGGTTCCCCGGCAGACACGGTATGGCAGGCACCTCCCCTCGCCTCGCGACATTACAACTGCTATGTAAGCCATGATAAATGGGTTGCTGTTAAGAACACGCATTATCCTCTAGCTTGCCAAACTTGCGGCGTCAAGGACACAAGCACACGCAAGACATGTTCATGGTGTAATTTGCGCATCTGCACCAAGTGCCATGAGCGACTTACTGGTCCCTATAAGTCGGACCTAAGAATCCTCATGGAGAAAATGAAAATCGATCAGTATGAGGATAAACGTCGCGAGAAGGGCAAGCAGACTGCGGCCACTTAGACTATTAGTTCCGCGCCTGCTCCTTGCGACGACACAACATGAGCTTATAGCCTTACTTACCTTACCTTCTTATGTGTCTATTCTTCAACTTCCATCTGCTCTCTTATTTTCTTATTTTATGCTAGGAACGACAGGCGGGAAAGACAAGAGAGAGAAAGACAGAGAGAGAGAGGATATTTGCATCTGGACACAGGCGTTTACTGGTATGATGATACCACTATTGTACAAGATATATACAGCAGGATTCGGTTACGGAACTGGTCGAGTTGTACTCTTATGTTTAAGGGAAGACTGGGTGGATATGGAAACACGAAGCTGGGAGTAACAAAAAATGGAAAGGTTGGGAAGCAAAGGAAAGGAAATGATGGATCCTGGCTAGAAGCCGGATAATGATGATACCTACGTAGTTAGTGCAGTTATTGATGGAAGTTGCAATGCAACCTTGGAAGTTACCTTTCATTGATTCATTGATGCCTTCCTTTTATGACAATGTATGTAACTACCTATAGGTTAGTACTTTAATGAATGTCTTCTCTTTAGAACATGTGGACATCTGTTTGCTTCGGTAACAGTGCCTTCCCCTTCCCGTTGATAAAGTTTGATGAGGTAATAATTCCACTAATTCCACTAATTCCACTAATTCCACTAATTCCACTAATTTTCACTAATTCCCCACACTTCAGCTGTCACCTTGCTTTGTTGGTCCTGTGCACGGTCAGTAAGACATACACCCCTGATTCTCACAGAAAACAACCCAACCTTTTTTCTATGAAAGAGGCACTGTTTTAACAACCCATTACAATGTCGTCGTCAACTGGTTTGAGCCGTATGCGCTCACTGCGCAAGCCTACTTCCGGAAGCAATGAATCAACCCAAAGAACTCAAAAGGATGGCCCTTCAACTCGAAATAGTGAGCTTAGGACCACCTCTCCCAGCCGACTACCGGTGAAGCCAACCATGACAACACGATCAGCCGCTGCAGCCACCTCGTCCACCACCGCCACCCGAATTAGAACGGCGAGCTCTACCACTACAGGAACTACCACAGGAAGATCGGTGTCGGGTGGTTATAGTAGGACTACACGTCCAGATAGTACTAGCAATCCTGCACCGAGACCTCTTGGCAGAGCCGCTTCTACACGCCAAGCACCATCTTCCTCAACAGCAACAACCACCCGTTCCGCTGCCGCCTCCGCCTCCGCCGCCACCACTACCACCACGAGCACCGGGCGACCGCGATCATCAGGGGGCCCCCCTCCTGTAGCTTCCAATCGAGGAGGAACAACAGCGAGCCATTCACGCTCTAAATCTACCGTAACAAGCCTAACAGCTGCAACGACCCTGCGCCCAGTATCCCAAGTATCTTCCTCTTCTTCTGGCCGCACAAGTCCCCCAGCAAGCACAATCACAACCGCAAGCTCCAAGACAGGAATCTCGAAGCCGTTAACGCGATCACAAACGCATGCGCGTGCGAAATCCCACTCTGTCAGCACTAACAATAATACCACCGCCGCACAACCCCCGACAACACATACCAGCCGGCCCGCTTTCAACAACCACCAGCAGCATTACAGCCCCGCCAAATCTTTAGCTCCCAAACCCCTTACTTCGACCTTCCTTGCGCCCCCCACCCCCTCCAAGCTACCCGCCAATGTTGCCATCTCCGCCGAAACGAGTCGTCTACAAACGGAGCTCCTCCAGCTATCCCTCCTGCACCGCGACGCCCCCGCCGTCGACGCCGAGTGGCATGCCAGTGCACGCCAGAAGCTCGGGACCCGCTTTTCACGGCTAGCCAACGACAACGATGCATTACTCAGTCTCGAGAGATCAGGTGTCGAAGCACGAAACATAGCCGCACTCGTGCGGTGGGGTAGCAAAGGGCTAAGCTTGGAAGAGAAGGTACAAATCTTAGACGAGGTACTGAACGGCGTCTGGCAGCTCGGTGAGCCTGGCGGGCGATACCAACGCGTGGCCGCCGGGTTCGAGGCCTGGGCCTCGCGAATGGCGGAAGTCATCGCAGCCCAGCGAAGCGGCGACGTAGACGCCCTCGTCGACGGCGACGACGTGCGGTTCCTCGCCGACCTCGACCGCGGCTGGAAGCACGACTGCGCCTACCTCCTACGGAAACTCGAGGGCTGGCGGAGCTCGCTAGACGATCTCGACTCCTCCGACCCCGACCTAGACCTAGACCCAGACTCAGGCCTCGCCCGCATGCTCGACGGCAGCCGCTCCCTCGTCCACGACATGCTGGCCGAGCTCGCCGTGATGCAGCGCATCGAGCGCGACGCCGCCCGCGCCGAGGACGACTGGATCGAGCGCATGAACCGCGCCATCGAGGACGAGGACGACGATACCCCCGCCGCTAGGGCGTACGTGCCGCTCTGGAAGCTGGCTTTGTAGCATTAGTTAGTATATTAGTAAACGGCAACTGGTAAATAGTAAAGTAGTGGTAGCAGCAGCAAGCAGAACAAACAAATGATCGGTACCTATTGTTATTTATGCATTTCCTACCGACATACCTAGGTTAGGTAACCTAGATCGCTTGAAATGATATGATGTACCTATGTAATATATCCTTCCTACCTACCTACCTAGGTAGCCTAGGTAGTCATTCAAGTGTCATTAAGCCGTAACATTAGAAATCTCGAGTCTGATCTACAGTGCCCACATACATACATAGTTACATACATAGTAAAATAGTACGTAGTAGTTACCTATATTCTATTGGTATCAAGCAAGCAAGCAAGCAGCAAGCTAAGCTAAATAACACTGGAACCAACAGACAAACAGATAACTAACATAGGGCTAACCTAGCTTACTCCTAATCCTCGAAGTCAAAGATGTTATAGGCATGACTACCTATAGCCCCCATTCCTATCATCCTCTAATCTATGTAAGTAGGTATCGGGCATCTAGGTAGGTGGTCTCGAATAAAGCAACCCCTCGAACTAAAGCAAGGGATAACCCAATAATATCCCACCAGTACATGCAGGTCCCTAGACATAACCCCTAATGATAATTCAACTCCGGATTCGCCCTAAAATTGCAGCGACAGCGACACTCGGGGACAGGACATTCGACATGTCTCGCAAACCACTGGCGAGCGTGATCGAGATGGAGGACGTGTTCGCACTTGAGGCAGAAGGTTGGGAAGCGGGCAGCGATGCGGATCTGGGGGTCGGGTGAGGCCTCGGGCTTGTCGGAGCGGGGGATGCCGACGACTTCAAGACAGACGACGCAGCGGGGGAGGTGGCGGCCGCAGTTGGGGCAGCTGACGCCGGCGTTGATGTTGGTCGCGGTCAGAGGGTTCATCTGGTGCCCCTTGGCGCCTGACGACGGGCCTGCTCCCCCGGTCCTGGAAAGCTCGTACTCGGCGTCGCAGTATACGCAACGCAGAGCGATTTGCCTCGATGGTGGTGTGATGGTGGGTACGCCGCCTCGCTTACTCTTCTTTGTACTTTCTACCTCAAACTTGGTCCGTTGCATGAAGGCTTTGTGTCGTTGTAGATAGGCCCTGTATGCATTGCGCCACGTACGACATCTATAGTCGTTAATGTATCGGGGTGCGCATATCGACAGAACAAGCGTAGCCGTCTGGACATCATTAAACTTCTCGATATACTTGGCAAAAATATCGACAAGCCTGTCTGTTATGCCCGTGAGAACTATTCCTTCAATGTCTCCCGTCTCGATTGCCTTCGTCACCTCTTTCTCGAGCCATTGTGTTAGTTTAATGTCATCGAAGTATCGAAGTGCTACATATGTACGCTCGCGAAGTGGTAGGGATTCTTGGTTTGCAATGACCTCCCAGTTGTTTGTTGCTATTAGTGATGATATCGCGCGAAGGTATGGGTCGGTTTTCGAGGCCACAGCATCATCGAAGTCGAGTTCCTGGCCGAGACCTTGGTTACCTTTGCTTTTAAGCTGCAATGCTAAAGACACGAACAAAAGTTCTGGGTATTCCGTGCTCGCCCCCTTGAGAATCTGTACAGCCTTGTCGAAGTCGCCCTCGAAGAGAGCGTAGGCAGTTGTCATGGTGTACCACGAACAGTTCCGCTCAGAGGGAAGCAATTTTGCGTAATCGCTGAAGTTGGTATCAGGTGATCTACCCCATTGACAGATCCATAGCGCAGCCTGTCGATAATGTGATTTTCTAGACTCCACGCCATCATACGCTGGATTTGCCGACCTCTTGTTTAAGTTCTGAATACAATGATCCCATCTCGTAGCGTCTGGGAACCCTGTACCGTCAGCTATTCTGGCCCTGTTATTAACCCCTGAGAAATGCGTTAGCTCATATATGATATGTACCTAGAGATGGAATTTGACATTACGAACCGAGGTCGCCCATCCATATGCTGTAAACTCCCATATAGCTTAGGTCGATACCTTCTTCTACCATTCCCATATCAGAAGCGGCATCGTCAGCCCCTATCGAACAATTAGCGCATGCCCATGTATCGTTAATATTTTGAAATTATATACCAGCAATCCAATCCCATAACTCCCGTAGCCAAGGATCATCAGCAACCAAATCTCTATTCGCAGCGTAGTCGAACAAGTATTTTTCCTTGGAACGAAGGAGCATGATATGGTCAAGGACGACTTGGGCTTCTTCAGGAAACCCCCTCGTATTTAGGGTCGACATGAGTAATCTCTCGTGCAACTGTCGATTCGATGGTAGCTCGTTATCTTCATTTACTGACAAGTCTGCCAAAGATTGATCTAATTCTTTAGACGACTGACGTTCTTTGCTTTTGAGTTGTTTCGTGGTCTGGAGAACTTCCTTTGAGTATTGTCGGAGACCTCGTAGCTTGTCTGCTATTTTTGAAGCATCTGTGAATAGTTCCGGCAGCTGCTCTGTGCTCGCCTCGTAGTCGTAAATGGGATTACCTGTGGGCACGGGGGATTTCAAAGCTTGTTGTACGACAGCATTGACAGGCTCCTTGCAGCTCCCAAATAGCGGTTTATCCACAAAAGCCTTGTCGACGTTTAACGAACCCATTAACTTGGAGTACTGTGTTACCTCGAATTTCACTAAGGAGTGATAGCTACTACCTCCTTAAGACAAGTTAGTATTCATCGTCTACATTTAAGGATAAGAGTACCTTCTAGTCCACGGTGAGGCGCCTTCCATGGTATCATCTTATATATATGTTCCGACGTATAAGATGGCTTCTCAACAATGTCAAAAGTTCCATTGGCGCGTAGGACTATTGCCCGTGGTGTCAGGGCGGGCGAATCAAGATTTAGCCAGTCAAAGGACACAATCCTGTCATCCTTTCGTTCTTTGGCATAGCCCATATCTAGTTCGTACGATCTCCTGACCTCAAGGATCTCGGGGCTATCTTTCGGGTGGACTTCAGAAGGACTAGTTTCCTTCCTGGTATCGAGGACTCTGAGCTGGCCAGTGCGGGAAAGTACAGCAAGTAAGCCACTACGGTCTCGGCAGAAGCGTAAAGACCGTATTAGTGATCCCCTATCTTGGAAATTGGCGTCCTTCACATCGATTGCTGTGTCAAGATTAAGAGCCGCCCCCCACGGCAATTCGTCTGTATCAACGGCTTCAAGGTAGAAGCGAGAAGACGATGGCCGTGAGGTAGCACGCCGATCCCAAATCACCAAGCCCGGTTTATCTAAGGAGGATGAAGCAAAGTAATTTTGATCCGCGTAATCAACCGCCAAGTTGTTATTACATTTGGTCTGATAGTTGATTACGGCACCTTGGGGATCTGGAGCATAGTTAGTAGATGTACCAGAACCTCTTATGTAGGGAGATGACTACCTCGGAGGTCATAAATGCGGATACCCTGATTTTTGATGCCGGCGATGAGCACTTGGGGGCTGTCTTCGAAGAACTTGGTGCTCGAGATAGAGATACTAGCCTCAAGACTGATCACTGGGTTCATCGAGCCCTCGAGAGATGACCACGTAGCACCTGACTCGAGTGAAGTAAGGCGATTTACGTCGAATATTTTGAGGCACTGATCATTCCGTACACGCTCTAACCCGACGGCGAGTAAGGTTCCCGTATTAAAGGCTACCGCCTGGCAGTTGCGGCTGATTCTTATGGGGAGCTCTAAGTGAGAACTTGAATCACTATGGAGGTTTATAAGATCCACGGTTCCAGTAGCAGTCCCGATGGCAACGAGACCAGGGTGGGCAGGAGACCAATCATATGTAGTCAACGGAGGGATCTCATCATATTTGGACGATTTTTGAAACTCGAAGCCTCCAGCCTGGGCAAGGCCTGTGGGCTCATAGAGTTGTACGACTCGATGCTGTAAATTAACATGGAGGAATGTGTCGTTAGCTGGGTTTGGAGACCATTTGATCAAGCCTGGCTCTGGCCTATCCATCTTAGACGTTGTATATTGCGACATGGTTCCAGGAATGACTGGATACTTTTCTCAAGTGATAGGTACACATACGTTCAAGCCTTCTCATGAGAGACAAAGCGAACGTCTTCTACGAGAGATGAGAAGGACTGACATAAGTCAAGTGCCATAACTTCGGAGAATTCGCATGTCCTTTAGAGATTGGAGCTTCAATGTTGTCTGCGGTTTCTTCTATTGTGCCCGATGGTAAGAGGAAAGAGGCTTTTGTAAAGTGACTGAGCAAATCAGAACAAAGCAGCTATCCCCCACCTCAGTTTAGTACCTATATAGGTACCTAGGTAGGTATCCAAAATGATGAACGTTGAAGTCGGTGCGCCGTGAATATCATCAAGTATGTATATGTATGTAAGTAGTAGGTAGTAGGTAGTAGGTAGTTAGCAGCTTCACTGTTAAAGATTCAGGCCCGAGCGGTAGCACATGAGCCCTGGAGGTGAGCTTTAGCTGCCTTTTAGCTATGTATCTCTAACTAGGCAGTGTACCTAACCTAGTAGATAAAGCTTCAACCCCACTGAACTATTATCCATTGACCAATCAAGAGCCGAAATGCGTACTATGCATAACTAAATTGCATTTAAAGATATTGTACTAGTTTGTCTTATCGATAAACGTTATTTTTTTGGTTGTCTTGAAGTTCAACTCTAAACTCTGAAAAACACGCCGAACACCTCCAAGGCTACATTTCTTGCGATAAATCCAACGGCTATTATTTCAACGACGACGTTTCACGACAGAAATACATCCGAAGTAATGAATTCCAAAAGAAAGTTCTCCGACTTTAATGCAGACTCTTCTGCGCAAGGAGAGTCTCGCGAATTTATCCCAGGGTCTCATGCTTCCAAGAAGCTTAAGGAAAAGAATGGCAAGAAGAACAAAACGAAGCCGGGTAGCATGAACTGGGTCAAGAAACGGGTACGAACTATCGAGCGAAGATTTAAGGCTGGCCATAATATGCCTGCAAATGTCCAAAATGATTTGGAAAGGGAACTAGCACATTATCAGCAGACGATTGTTGAAACCGCCGATGAGAAGAAGAGAAAAGCAATGATCAAGAAGTACCATATGGTCCGTTTCTTTGGTGAGTCTAGCTCCTTTCATTGCATCACAAAACCTCGTACTAACCATACTGCTATGCAACAGAGAGAAAAAAGGCAGACCGACTCGCGAAACGGATCGAATCCCAGCTCAAGACTGCCACAGATGCTACAGAGATCGAGAAGCTGAACGCGGACCTACACAAAGCGAAGATAGATGGCATCTATACTAGATTCTTCCCTTATAGGGAGCGCTACATCAGTTTATACCCAGCAACATCGTCAGGCCCATCAGCGGATGGCGGGGAGAAGGCAGAGGATGCGAGTTCAGCAGCAGCACAAGCTTTACATACCGATCGGCCACCACTATGGGAGGTCATAGAAATGGCATCAGAAAAGGGCACACGAGCGCTTATCGATATCAGGGAACGGAAAGTGAGCACGGATTCGAAGGACTCCTCTACGAATACTGGAAAGGATCCTGCCCTCACAAAGTCCAGCCATGCCAAAGCAAAGGACTCAGAAAGCTCAAAAGATACAAGTGGCCGACCAGGCAAGGGCAAAGGAAGGCGGAATCAACCCCCAAGTTCTTCAAGGCTAAAGAATGATAGTGATAGTGAAGGTGGATTCTTTGAGGAGGAATGAGGGAGACTAGAAATTCGGTTCTCATACAGAGTACGCAGCATGATCACGATATCATTGCTCTAAATCGTATGAAGCATAATGTGTAATGCCTAGTATGTATACTGTACGAATAAGGATCCTATCACGAACTAATGTAGAGTACCAACTTTACACAAGGTCATGTGTACACTCAACACTACTCAACAGGCAACTACTCGATGCAGTGTATTACATATGCAGACCAAGGGAAACGCGGGGTGGTATTGGCATGATGAATGGAGTTTTTACTCCCTAATGCACGATTTTATTCGTAAGCTCATCTAGTTACTAATGATAACCATCAGCCACAAGCGCTGACTACTGTAGGCCGAGCCAGTGAGAGAGGTTGCATAGGTTGCATAGGTTGCATATGATTGGGTGAACGTACTTGAGGTTTACCTGATTGGTCATTTTCAAGATGAAGAAGCAGGCTCTAACTGGTTGAATGAGTCTTCAACAGCACGTTATGGTTTCTCAATTAAAATATAATTGGCCAGTGATTAGGTAAATATTAAGTGTTTGCATATGTGTTGTACATACAACGTGAAGTACTACATATGTAGGTAATGTTGAAGTAATGTTACATACTAGGTATACTCTCACGATGTTTACTTGTATCATGGTTTATGCAACTGTTTTGGCCTCATCTAGCAAACTTGTAGAACTCAACATCGTTGTTCTTGGACAACGAGCAGATTAATAATTAGCATTTCATTACTCAATAAACCCGAGTTTGCTAACAAGAAGGTAGTATGTAATTAGTGTAATTAGTATCTATGGTTCAACATGCAATAGGCGACGTGCGACACTTTTAATGAACTTACCCACTCCAGTTTAAAGCAGCTCAAAGCAGCTCAAAGCAGTTCAAGGACCCATCACGGATGATTATTCCAAGTTTTTATGATTTTATGATCGGAACACTACCACCGTTACTAACGCTCCGTACCGCTGTGGCGTCCGGCTTACCCCGATCGTATGATTCCCAAGAACTCTAGACCCAAGAACATGCCATACCACGCCCACTTTTTAATTCCGGTCTTTACTACTAGTAGTAGAACGCGTCCAAATGCAATAAAATGCAATGAAATGCAATGAAATGCAATGAAATGCAATGAAATGCAATGCGGGTGTAGCTTTGAAACCCCAGATGTTTGTTCAATGAGACGAGAGTGGCCCGGTCCTCATGCTCTCAACCAACTGAACTTGCTCAACCTACAGTTCATACTGTGTGTACATGGAAATTATTTTCTATCTTTTGTATCACGCGAATGATTTTAATCGCAATCAAGGATCTTGGCGGACATTTTAAGATAGGTATATATTCCCGTAGATCTAATCGTAGAACACCATCAGTCCTTATCATCATCATACAAGACACACACACACACACACACACACACACACCAAAGCATTGAAGATCAATGATATAAGATATAAACCTTCTTCACTCTATAACAATCATCATCATCAAAGTGTACAGACCCCCCTTTATATATATAAGATGGCGCAAAATACCACTCAAATCCACACCACCCGAAGTCAACCCATTCCCATCCCAGCATCCAGCAACAAGAGCAGAGACTTGTCAGACTTCCATCTATACACCTTCGAGACAGGAAGCCCAGCCTTCAGTGACTGTGAGTCAGCCTTGGACGAAGATGAGACTGCGTACGACACGTGCCATCTACCCTCCCACCACCGGAGGAACGCACTGAGCTTCGAGAACGGGTTCGAACTTCCCGCATTCGTACACAGACGAATGTCGTGATCAGCCATCCCTGCAACAACGGAAGTCGACATTTCAACACTTACACCACACTACTACTACATGTTACCTATATTACCTAATTATCGATGGGGGGAGAATGTGGGGTGTGGGGACACACAGCACCACACCCCATCATGAAGAGATGGAACGGGATGCAATATCATCATGATTGCATTCCGAATATTCACGACTCGATGACGATTCTTCGAACAACATGAGCGAGAGAAGATGTTTGTTACGAGTACGTACGTGAATCGGTTGGGTTTGGAATTTTTGATTTGAAAACAATGGCGTTTTGGGGGTTTATTAAAAAAGTCCAGGGCAAGGTTCTTAACAGGTTAGGACCAAAAAAAGATATGGAGGAATACAAATACCCCTGGCGTGTACGAATGGGTTACTGCCTCCTACCTACCTAGTAGGTAGAGAGAACGGCATCTGGAGTTTGGTGGTGTAACAATATTTTTAGTGTTTGGCCTGCTTTATTCCCGCCACTCTCACCGAGGACAATTACCAAATCAAATCAAATTTGAAAGCTATTAATCCTTCATCGATAGTTATGTCTTGATGCAATTGTGATTGTGCTTGATCTTCCTGTGACTGGATTCTTCAACGATGGTAGGAGCCTAGATCTTGGTACGGATCTGATGTACCATCCGTTCATGCATTACTTGATCCTTATTGGAATAATTCTGGGAATCTGGGGTCCGGGGTAGGGGGTAGGGGGTAAGGGGTAAGGGGTAATCTGACTGTCTGGCAATCTGACATTGATGGTAGAACAACATTGATGAATAACTTAAAACCTAGGTATCCTAAACGCCGTAACCTCAAAACGCTGGGTATCTTACTACTTATGATTACCTATCAGGTAGCCCCCAAAACAAATCCTCCGACTCATCAAGCCAAGACCTTTCCCAAGTATGATCCCAGCCAGCTTTGTACTCCTCTACCACTGACATGCTCTCCAAGTCCCACGCCTCAATCCGCCTTGGTGTGCCGTAGCTCCTACAATCCATCAACGCTCTTCCCTCGCCCCACCCACTCACAATCCATACCGCCTGGGTCCTCGTCCACTGATACCAGCAGACGACCAGACTCTCCAGCGGACACCCTTGCTTCAGCGAATTGATACGCTGGAAGAGTGTCAAAATGTCACGTCCGTCTATTGGTGTGGCATCAGTTTTTTTGCCGCGCAGCAGGACATGGAGTTCCTGCAACGGCCGCAACTTTGCCAGAGCGTCGATGAACTCCAGGGACCGGTCAGGCTTGTCGTCTTCGGCCTTGGGGAAGTCGGTGACTTGCAAGTCTAGCCCCAGCCAGACTAGCCGAGGACATATACTCAGCTGTTCTATGTGAGATGCCAGAATCTGATTCCTGGGCTCCCTGGCGTGGAACCGCAGTCTGCGGAGGCTGGTGGCATTTCGTGGATCACGGTGCAGGTATTTTACAGCGGTCTCTGGGTGGTAGCCAACTACGGATAGCTCCTCCAACCCCTGGATAAACGGAAGTTCCCACGTCGCTGGCTCTTCTACCAGGGGGGTAAACTGATTGACATAGGCGCATAACAGTAGTGTCCGCAAAGACGGTAATGACTGCTTTTCAAGCCTGGAGCCGAGTTCGCTGACGGTCGTATCAGTACACAAAGAAAGTGTTTCCAGTTGCGACCATGGCATCGAACCCCAATGAGACCAAGCCGTGTCCGACATATAGAACTCCCCATGAAGAGACAATGACTTGATAGGGAGTCCAGTCGGATCGATATTCTCCAAGGCGTGCTTGCTCTCGTAAGAATGATCATCATGAATATACCCCATCGAGCTCGTTCCTGGCAGTTCTAGACATAACGTTGATATATCTCGATGCTGCTTGAGCAATGCAGCCACCTCGCTCGACGGACGTACTCGATGCTTCTCGGAAATATACATCACTTCATGAACCAGCATGACCCGTAGAGCAGTGAAAAGGGGAGCGGGCATTGCTTCTCGCGATTTAGGTGAAGAAAAGAGCGAAAGATCCAAGTCTCCGTAGTCCAGTGTATGTACATAGCGTCGTAGAGTTACCTCGACACCCCTTTTCAGAGTCTTCAACGTACGAAACAAGGAACCCCTAAATCCGTTCATGGTAGCTACGTCCCGATCATAGTTTATATCAAAAAGAGTTGAGTGGACGTTCGTACCCCCGCCAATGCTGTTATCGTGTAAGCCTTTTCCCTCCAAGGTGCTGAGATGCTTTGGTGGCTACCTGACATGTCGAAGGTTGGGGAGCTGAGGTAACAGTTTTTCGCAAAGAGCAACCCATTCAGACAGCACATCGTCACAATCGCCGGAAATAGAGAGGAAGCGAATGCTGGAACGCAGATGCTCGTTGGAGATTATAAATTCTATATGCTCCGTAGCTTTTGGGCAAGGCTTAAATTGAGCTTCTATCACCACTCTCCTGAAGAGGAGGGGCACGACCAGCTGACGCCATGTTTTGCAGACCAAGCTGGCATTCTTGAGGGTAATATTTGATCTCTCATCAAATTCATACAACTATAAACGGCTATTGGCTTAGCGAATTGGGGGCGATGAATGCCTGGGGGTTGACTTTAGCATTACCTTGCTGATTATAAGTTCCTGCAGTTCGATGCATAGGCTTAGGAACTGTGGCATGGTGTTAAAATGGAATTATAAAGCTTTCGAGGAAGTTGTAGGCAAGTTACCAGATGTAGATGCTCTATTATTGCAGCGGCTAAATATATAAATATATAAATATAAAGGTACCTACTTATCCAATCGCGGTTTTCCCGTACCGCGCCGTACACCAAATCAATGAAGGGATTCATTGGACGGCACTACGATCAACTGCTCCAAATAGGAAACTCGCAGGAGATGAGTCATATCACATCGAGCCAAGTAACATGACAGCTGCAGCTTATAGCCTTACCGATGCGTTGTGCTGATATCAGATTACTAACAAAAGTAGTCAGAACTAACATCCATCCAACACACGACTTCGTTAGGCATCAAGGCATCCCCTCACAGCCTCTTCCGCCAGAGTTCAAAGTTTCAAAAGTGGCTGGGGGCTGTGCCTTTTTATCGCTAACTCGACTCCATACCTAACCCCTTTTTCTTTTACCATATATTATCCACCCATTGATAGCCTGGCAAAATAGCAAGACGGGGACCAGAAAAATCGTCGCTGTCATGGATATACGCAACACGGAACGGGGATCCCCCGAAAGGCGCAATAATTCGACTGACTGAGCCGTACAGATGCAATTATAACGAGGCAGGGAGGCGCGAAAAGCTTCGACATCTTTGCTGTCGGCTTGTTTCAGCCCATCGCCGGATAGTGCGTATTGGGGCTTCCGACATATCGAGCTACGAACCCTCAAAGGAGCCGATGACGATTGGCAGATAGGTATTGCTCTCAGCCAGCTCCTTTATATGCACGAGCACGGCAATTGTCTCCGATGCTAAAAGCCCGTGTTAGCCTTGTTTCTCGAGCTGACAAGGAGATGGTATCTACCGTTAGAGGTGTGTTGAGGTTGTTTCCGCGCGGTCTATCAAACTGAATAGATGCTAATATAATGGGTAGACCTTCGCATACTACTACGCAGATGTCCATCTGAACAAGCCTCCATTTGCTGGAAGTGTGCTGAAACTTATACATAAATCCACTGGCGTCAATTGGACAGAGACAAGAATTTTCGCAATGATGGTGGCAGAGATACTTTGATCAATGTTGGATACCGAGCGAGCAGTTATTAGGGTTAGGGTCAGGCATAACCCTAACCCTACATAGCATTGAGGTTACCAAGTTGAGTTCTACGAGCTACTTACCTATCTACCTTAGGTATCCAGGCACAAAATGGAGAGTTTCAGTGACCGACCGTCGATGATAAATATATTCATGTTGAGGGCTATTCAAATGCATTTTACATAAGTCTACGTAAGACAAGATCTTATCAATCTATTTATAACTCCCGAGATGCGGCCCGTCCAGAGCCTAAGAGCACCAGACACTAGGTTAGTCAAGTCCTCCCGTTATCTGCTAGCCTCGGACTCACAAGTAATATGATTCTTTTATGAAAAAAGACTCCCAAGAAGTGAGCTAGGTTACTCTACGGCATAGTACTCTTATCCAAAGTATTTCAGGCGATGCACACGCCTCACATTACCCAATGCCTGCACAATATCTTCCCTGTTGTCTGGGGTCCTAGATTGGGTTACTAATTTGGCATAGTTACTAGGGTGCCTAAGGGTAAAAGGGGCGGGCTCAATCATGGCTCATGCTTTATGGCTCCTGCGCCAACCCCTGGAACAACTTTCACTGGGCTCGTTGCGGGGATAGCTTCCACCATCACCTTCAAATGTCTGATTCACGGAGACTACGTACATCGTATTGTAGTAGTTTTGAAGAAAGTAAATTAGGAATAACTTGTATTATAATAGTCGACCAACTTTGACGATTCCAAAGACCCGCAGATCTCATTGACTTCTACAGGGCTACTGGGTATTTAACGATGAGCGACGTATTATCCAGAAATCGCACCACTTTGCCGCTGCGAACCCATACCTAGGAAGGCTTTGGCTTCAGAACCCGTAGAAAGGCCCACTTGCTTGCCGCTACCTAGCACGAAATCATCTCATATTGCCACGGTCACCTGCACCAATATGACTTAGATCATCTTAGAAACCATTGTTGCTGAAACTACGTCAGAGAACAGCCGCCATCGACAACGAGCTCGGCGCCCTGCATGTAGCTGCTCATCGGCGACGCCAGGAAGACCATGCAATCCGCGATCTCGTCGACCTCGCCAGCCCGCCCCATGGGGGAAGTCTCGATCTCGACGGCGAAAGGGGTCTCTGATCCCTGGGCCAAGACACTCTCGACCATGGCGGTCTTCGTAAAGCTGCACGCTTGTTAGCTATCGCACATATCACGATGAGAGGATGAGGTCGAAGGCACGAACCCTGGGCAGATGGCGTTGATGCGAATACCATGTTCGCCGTACTGAATAGCGTCGGCCTTGGTCATTCCCACGACGCCATGCTTAGCAGTGACGTAGGCCGTGTGCGGCATGCCCCTGGGCGCTCCGAACAGCCCAAATATCGAGGCCGTGTTGATGATGACTCCGCGGCCATACCGCAGCCCCTTGTGCTCCTGCTTCATGAAGATCGAGAGCACTTCCTTCTGGCATCTCCAGACGCCGTTCATGTTCGTCTGGATCAGGTTCTCGTACTCCTCCTCGGGAACGAGGTCGGTGTTGGCGATCGGGCCGCGGATGCCCGCGTTGTTGACGGCGATGTCGAGGCGCCCGAACTTCTGGACTACCTGTGCTAGCACGGCCTTGACCTGCTTGCCGTCCCGCACGTCGAGCTCAAGGGGAAGGAACTCGACGTTGGGGTGCTTGGCCTGCAGCTCCTTCACGGAGCTGGCTAAAGCTCCCGCATTGAAATCGGTGACGGCGAGGCGTTCGATGCCGTGCTTCGCGAAAGCATCTGCCGTGTAATAGCCAATGCCTATATTTCCTCTGGTTACTACTAGAAACGCGAAGTGACGAATACATCTTCTTACCTGCGGCGGCACCGGTAATGAAAGCTGATCCGCTAAGAAGCTTTGCCATTGTGTATCTAAGAGGTAGGTATGAAGCAGTCGCAATGGTAAACGGGTAATGGGATGGTGTCGGAGCCAACTGCGAGACATAGATTCATCGCCACCAAGGCTTATATATAGAAATTTTCACCCTCATACCGTCTGCGGATTCCGATCCTCAGCTGAAAGGCGGGGATGGTAACACACACCATCTTCACTGTGCCTCCAGTGTGCCTCTAATAGTCGTACGAACTAGAGATCCATCATCCACGTGTATCGGTGGGAAGCCATGAAATATTCCAATGCAGTTGGTTCAATAGTGCTACAGACATCGGAGGCTGCTTGGTTACAGGGATGCAGTATAAAAAATGCATACTACTGGCGCGGCCACTGTTGCTACACGGCGTGAAAAGGCCACATACCGCACCGTGCCTCAGTAGCTAAACACCAAGATAAGGGTCTTATAGGTGATCCATCTACTATAGCTTAGAAGGCTTACCGCTATATTTCAGCGAGCATATCGCTAAAGCACGGTGCGCTATACTCTTTCCCACACTATACAGACCCAGCTTCTGATGTGTATCATTTCTGGCCGCACCAGTAGTATTCTGAGAGAGTAAAGCCACCTCCGTAGAGTTAACTATATGGTGCGCTTTTACCATCGGTAATTATTGCTGTCCCTACTGGGAATGGAAATTTCCCCATGGGTGCTGCCACACTGGCCCTCTTTTGGCCTCGTGCCGCATGAATCGGGAACGGGTGCCTCGACGAAGATTGCACTATGGCAATTTGTACCAGCGTTGAGCAGATTTGGGTAGGGCAGATTATTTTGGTTTGGCAGCGTAGAAGGTCTCCACGCGGTGGATGTTATATAGTTACATAGTATGATATACATAAAATGTACGGGATTATTGCGTGCCAAGGTTGTGTCTCGAGTGGAGTGGATAAAAAGGGGCAAATGGCTTCTCTGTCGCATTACTCCCGCTACGCCACACAAGCTGGATGGTAGAGTTTTCATCATATCTCTTAAGTTTTCTTGTAATAGCTGATATTTCTTACAGATGGTCATACTTTGCGATGCGAGTGATCGGGTTTGCCTGTGTTTTTTCCCGTTTCGACTCCAACCCATCTCGATCTGGAAATCTTGGGGGTGTTACAACAGACCAAACTACTATGTCGTAAGGAGAAATTAATAACTACCAAAGAGCCTTATCAGCACCAGTTATTATGACTATGACCTTTCCTAAGACTTATTCTAATGTTATTGATACTCGCTAGGACAGCTATGTAAGCCTCCTTTTAATACCTACATACCTAACCTAGGTATGTACCTAGGTGCAGTACCACACCTACTTGCTAGGTACTATGTATGCTTCTAAAACCCTGACACTCAAAAGAGAAACCCGATTCGACGGCTGCATATTTCCTATGAAAGACAAGACCAGGTCCTAGGGTTAACAACCCCACATCACCCCGTCCCGGCCCAGGATATTAATCCTACCTATTTAAGCCGCATTCGTCTACGTCGTACTCCATACGATACACATGAGAAGCTAGGTAATCCTATGACGTAAGCGACGACAGCATGTGGGAAGACGACCTGATAATTTGTTCACAACACTTAACTAGTAATTGTAGGAAATAGCGAAAAGGCTCAGCTGCTATCAAGCTCAAAGGGTCAACCATGAATGCCTACCTAATGTGGTTCATAAAAGAAGTCGTTATGGTTACCAAGCAATAGAACCACCATATCGGCAGCTTTGAAGCCGACTTTTTTTGATAAATCTAGTAGATATCTGCTAGGTATGTTACCGCATCCGATACCTATCGAGCGGCCCAAGACCCCAGGTAAACTGGATGGAAACCCCAAACGCAGCCAGGGACCCTGCTTTGCCGAGAATCGGCCCATGGATGGATGGATACCCCGTTGAAGAGTGGCCAAGGCTCTTCAACCATCGTACTATGTACTCTCAACCTCTCTTGTTCACTGCGTAGTGTACTGTAAGTAACAGATCATGCTTGACATCTTGTACCACCTGCAAATAACTGCACATCATATGTGATAGATACATCAGCACTTTAATTCTGATCAACGAGGTACTAAAAACTACTACCAAGACAATGAGACGCATACCACATTTCTATCTAGGCACCTTCAAGACCTGGATGGAGCCTACATCAGCATCTACGAATGTTGAAAGATTATTCTTCAGTGCTCATATCAATCCTAAGGTCGGCGATACGGCAGATATTGTACATGGTTAAAAAGATTCAACAAGGATATCAGGTTTGACTTGCTGCTTGGGGACTACTCTCTCCACGAGAGAGGGTATGGGCTTTCGTCAACTGCTGTCGTTCTCTACTAAAAATTCGTTCGTACCTAAGGCATGAAATCCTGGGCATGCACGTCGCTAAGTTACACCTATTTACTTACGACAGTGACGGCAACATCCGTAACCACCTTTGAAAAGAACTACACTACTAGGTAGAATACCACAGTACCGGTGCTTTTTCAAATAACTAACTAGCAGCTATTGCTATTAAGCTGGGTATCTAACCGAAGCGCCCCAGGCACCTATCTTTGGATCTCTTTAACTTAGTTATTCTCCGTCCGCTGGTATTAACTACGTATGTACTTGATTTGAGCCCGAGCAATCCAGTGCTTGTTTCTATGTGTCCGCAAATTACGATGCGAACGAACCTTGTCCGCCACTTTTCCCCGAGCTGCTATGACCGCCAAGCCGTGTCTTTTTTACGGGGGCCACCAGGGCCTTTTGCTTTCGTCTACCAGCCCTTGTCTCTCTGGCCTCTCAGGTTCACGGAAAAAGAAAAAAAGAGAACAGGGCTGAAACGACGTAAGAACACGGTAGTTGAAGGTACTCTTTCGAAACTCTGCTATTACCCATGGATTTCTTTTTCCTCCGGGGACTTATGACTTGCCTATGTAAGGGGGGAGGGATGTCACATCCGGGTTCCTTATTAGTACTTGAGCGTTGGCGTCGGTAAAATCGACGCTCTTTTAATGGCGAATCCGCATTGCATTGCTCTTCACAGTTACCTTCCGTTCTTTTCTAGCGCGTTTGTTTACCCATTAGCTTCCATCGCGAGCTGAGCTCTTCACTATTCTTCTATCTTCGGGTGGGGTTAGGAGAGTGCGAGGGGGGTTTGGTAGAATAACGAACGGATTGCCTTCTACTTTTGACGAAGACGAATCTGAAGAAGAAGAATAAAAGTTTAACGACGACGACGACGAAGCCGCCCGCCATGGATGAAATTATGGCGTACCAGATCGAAACGTGGATCGAGTATGCCTTCTGCACAACAGTTATGGCTCTGCGCCTTTTCGTGCGAATCCGGATCCGAGGGCGGAAGGGACTCGACTGGGACGACTATCTGATGGGGTTGGCTTTTGTAGGTGGACGAACTAAAGGGGGCTTGGTACCCGAATACGGCCCACAGTCGCTAACCGCAGCTCACAGGCAACTGTTACGGTGATGTCGGCCGCGGCGCACATGGTCTCGACCTATGGCCACAACAAGGTCCCCGGCATTGGTGAAGCATCGAATCCAGCGAGGCTGAAGCTCGTCACCGAGAACCCCGAGTTGGCTGAACAGCTGGCGACGGGCTCCAAGTTCTTCCTGGTAGGATGGTTCATGTACCCCGGATTCGTATGGACATTGAAACTATGTATGGTTTTCTTCTTGAGGCGGCTTGTGGCCGGCATTTGGGTGGAGAAGTTTATCATTCCAATGATGGTTTTGGTCTGTACATGCTATGTCATCATCATCATCGTAGTCACCACCAGCTGCCGACCTTTTTACAAATACTGGCAGATATACCCTGACCCTGGATGTAAGTCAAAAACGGCATATCGCTGATGCCACGACGGTTACTAAAGTCCTTCCAGATAACTGTTACCCAGACACTCTTGGGCTATATGTAGCAGTTCTAGTCATGAACCTGTTCACAGATACTTGCCTTGTTCTAATACCGCTACCAGTAAGTCGTCGAAACCCGCCCAACAACTATCAATTAGATAGGTATTTATATGATATGTACTAAGCGCAGGTAACAGATTATCCGTCGAGCCAGCATGTCTTTTTGGAAGATGGTGGGCTTAGGCGTCCTCTTGTCGGCAGGTGTCTTTATCATGGTCGCCGCCATTCTCCGAGTCTACATGTCTATCACGGTAAGAATACCTAGACATAAATAAGTATCCTATCAGAAACATTGCAGGCTGACCTTTGACCATTAGAGCCCCAGCGGCGCCACCCCTGCCTTCTGGGCCTGTCGAGAAGCAACCGTAGCCTGCTTCGTGGTCAACGCGCCCCTGCTGATCCCCTTATTCAAGAAGGAGTTCTGGACCGGCGAACTGAGCGAGTCGAGCACGTACAACTACAATTCGCGCGAGGGCAACCCTGCCCATATCAAACTACCAGAGCGCAAGGACCGGAAGAAGTTTAGGCATCCCACCGACATGGAAACGTACATCAAAGACCGAACCATCGTCGATGTCGAATCATCCAGCACTGAGTATATCAATCGCCCATCTGACTCGAACATCCACGTGAAGAGAGATGTGGTTATCGATTCATTTGCTAACTGGAACGACCCCAATATCGAGCCGATACCAAACCGAGGGTTTAATGGTTAAGGACATGCTGCATATGGAGGAGAACACGTAACGATGGGAGTCTTATCGAAATTAAAAATCCAGCCTGGCGGAGCTGCACTACCTAGTCAAGACAGACTCCAATATCCCCACGCCCTGCCGACATCAACTGCGCCGCCCCCGCCTAACTTGGCGGGCCTAATAGAAGGTGATGGTTGAGGATCCAATAGGCCAAGATAGATAGTGCATCGATAGGTGATATACAGGAGTAGGAATCGGTTAACCGAGTCAACAAAACAAGAAATTAAGATACAACATGAGTCAATAGTAATAATTCTTTTGACCAGTACTGACCGGAGAGCAGGTCCACGTACAGTGATGAACCACCAACCAGTTTTCATCAATCAACGGTGCTAGGTATACGTGTTGCTGAAACTATTCATAGTACGTGCCGCGCCGCCGAAGGTCAAAGGCGTTTGATTGAGTTCAGTCACCGACATTACCCCATGCCAGCCTTGAATGTGTAACTGATTAAAAAAAGGGGTAACGTATCACGTAAACTACCAGTGAAGCTTCGGAAGTGGAACGATATCACGAGCTGTTCTATGGAACGCGGCGCGTAATGGGCCACTGTCAAACATGTCTGATTTTCCACAAAATATTGAATAGGTAGGCATCGGCATCGTGCTGCCTGAACACTATCAGTGGCACAGCACCGCTGGATCTTCAAATATGTTACGTACTCACTACCTACCTGAGGATGTCTCATTTTAGATCTGACATCCATAAAATGTATGGATGTCGTACGCCCCCGTATTACCCCATTCGAGGACTTGTTTTTCTCTCATCGTCAATCAGGGGCATCTTTGAAATTTTCAGTATCATGTCTTGAGGGAACAGGGAAAAGGGGCTACTTAGATCACGTGGATACGGCGCCGGGGAGGGGGGGACAAGTCACGTGATACCCCCTGAGTTGGACTCTTTACTCGCCTCAGGCAGACATTATCAAAGCAGAAGACAAATGTAAGGTACCTATCCATTTTTGGAAAAAAACCCCAAAAGAAAAACGCCTGTCGTTTCATTAACCCGCTAGTTACTCGTAACCACTCAAACTTCGCCATGGAATAGAAACAGCGCCCTTACCACCACCGCAAACCCCTAACTCAAGGATCAAACGCGCCAACCCTCGAAACACTCAGCGCCGTATGAATATGCTCGATGGCGAGCAGCTTCTTCTCGTGGCTCGCGAGCAGCTGCGCCGTCTTGAAGACGTTCTTGATCTCGCGCCCGTTGACGACGACGTCCTGCAGGGCGTCAAAGTCCGGCGCGCGGAGCGCCGTCGGCCGGTGGGCCGTCGCGTCGAAGCGGGCCCAGACCTGGCGGCGGGCGGCGGCGTCGAGCCGCGGGTAGTGGATCGTCAGGTGCACGCGGCTCTGGAAGGCCGGGTCGATGGCCTCGGCGCGGTTCGTCGTCAGGAAGAGCATGCCGCGGTAGTACTCGAGCAGGCGCAGGAAGATGGCCACGATGCTGTTGCGCCCGAGGTCGTTGGACGTCCGCTGCGCGAGGAGCACGTCGCACTCGTCCAGGAGGAGCACCGCGTCCCACTTCGCCGCCGCCTCGAGGATCATCTCGAGGTTCTCTTCGACGGCCTCCGGGGTCGCGCCGAGCTCGCCGGCGCCCATGGCGTAGAGGGGGCGGCGGAGTCGCTCGGATACTGTTGGGGGATGGGTTAATATACCTGGATATTATGGATGTAATGACAGTGTTCAGGTCTGGGGGCCGCGGGAGATACTCACCAGCCTCCGCCGTCAATGTCTTGCCAACCCCCGGCGGTCCTTCTAAAAGCATGGTAATACCTTGGCCTGTGTTTCTCTCTTGTTAGCATGAACCCGGTACGGTACCTACCTGTCTAGGTTACAGGTAAAGCTAGACACGATACCTTTTCCTTCGATGAAGTCATCGAACTGATCCTTATGCTCAACATGGCTCTCAACGAAAGCCTTGATGATCTTCTTATACTTGTCCTGCAGCACCAGGCTGTCAAACGCGTCGTCGTGCCATTGGATTTCCCGGACGTGGTCGATGTGGAATATGACTACCGCACAGTCAGAGAGAGACGGTCAAACAAAGGGGTGGTTGTTCCACGCTTACCCCACTTCTTGATCTTGAAGCAGTATCCACGAACGTAGGCGCTGCAGAGGTGTAGCAGATTATCCGGAATATCTTCTGGTTTCCTCGCTTTGGTAGGTGTGTTAATTTATGTGTTCTTTTAGGTACCCAGATATGTACACTAGTATTCAAAAACTTACAATACTTGGAACCTCTCTTCGGGTGGCTTCCCACGGCCATACCCGGTGGTGGCGGCGGTGGATTCGGCGGCATCATTTGCGGTGGAGGGGCAGGAGGTCGGCCTGGATAAGGGGGCTTTTTCTCACGTTAGCTTGCTAACTTGTGCATCATGTCTAGGTACTAGGTATATTCAGCTCAGCCGTGCACATACTGGCTGCGGTACTCGCCGGCCCCTTGGTCTCGGGCCAGGAGGGGCTTGCACGGGATGATGTGGTTGATCCGACACGTCAATCTCAGGTTTCAAGGAGCTAGAATCGAAAGGCATCAAGTTGACGTGACTAGTGGTAAAGTCTGCGTGCGATAGGGGGTCAACTACAATTCTCCCATCAACCTGCCGTTTCATTAGCTCAGAGTCGATGTTGTTATCACATACCTACCTATGCAATGGCAAAGGGGAGTTTAGTACTCACATTCCGGTTATTGTGCCCATCCATGACAGTGCCCTTATAGGCACCATAAAAGTATGACTTGAGATGAACATTCTTGAACATTTCACCGCGTTGCCTTAGGGAATTCTTCACTTCTTCTAGTCTGGGGTGGCAAGAAGCAGGGAATACATCGAGGTCTTGGACCTCTTTCGTGCCCGAGAACTTGTAAATGTGGATGAGCTTCGGTTGGTAGCCAAACCTATCCCCGTCACATGAAATCTCGTGGACTGTTAGCTGCAAGAATTCGCCACTGATATTGGATACATAGGTGGCCCTTTGGAGCCTATATATGCGGTCATAGCCGTCTTCGAAGGTATAGACGTCTACGCCAGGCTTGAAAATAGTCCAAAGATAGTCGTAAGTGATGACCCCATTCCGGTTCAAATCGTTGCTCAGCGAAATGGTTTCTCTCAGCTCGGACCTCAGCACTTTCTGTAAGAGGCGCCCGTGACTTCTACCTATGGGGTCCTCGACCTCGCGAACAATCTTCTCAAGGCGATGCCATTCGTGGAAAAAGCAGTCGAATGGTGCTCGGAACACGAGTTTCTTCAAGGTTATCGTGATACCGGAATACTCTTGAAAGACTTGGCCTAGAATGGATTTCAAGTAGGAGCTTTGTATCACAATGGAATGCAGCACCATCGGCTTTCCGTCATTGTGGTTTCTGCGCAGACGAATCAAAAGTGCGTGGCGTCTGTTCTCGCTCTCTTCTTCCGCCGAAGGTCGGAGATCCTTGGGCATCTCATCCACCCAATTAATGCAGCAAGTACATGTTGTCTCGCCTTCAAACAATGTCTTGACGCCGCAATGCTGCCCGTTGTGATCATCTTTTGCAATACCCTCGTCCTCCGTGGTAGATGCATCCACGTCAAGCTCTGACCAGTCGGCACCGACAGTCTCCATAGACCCTTGTAGCTAAATGGATCGTAATTAATTATTGTCCTGATAGCTAGATTGGAAATCTAGATACGTAGTTACTTACATCCTTGTGGCGATCTTCAATAAGTGTGGTGTCCATTGCACTTGACTCCATCGTGAATAGTAAAACTTGGTTAGGGAAAAGGAGAGAGGGAAATGGAAAGGTTGCTGAGACTCCTTGTATACCTACGCCTGGCACTGTAGGTATATACGTAGTAAACAGTAGTTAGTAGTACCTCTCTAATAATCTTATTGTTACATGAAGAGCCTCACACAAGATAAGTATGCCGCCATCTCTGAGTGGGGACGTCTTACTCGCCCCCGTTTATGCAGGTCATCATATCCCCTTAAGTGGCATAAAGCAGCAGCAGACACACCGTTACTAAAAATAACACCTAGTACATCGTTTTCAATCCACTATTCCCACATTTACCCAAAACCCCATATATTGATCCATTTTTTCTTCAAATACAACGCGGTACAATACAAAGCTGGCCGGCGTTAGGTTATTCCGGCGTTTGGTGTAATTGTAATTGAGTATGATCTCGATAACTAGTTTTTTAAGGGCGCCACCTAAACTGACGATACCAATCTAGCTACACGTCGTCCTAAAGCTCCTTCCAATCCTAAAACCGGTACGCTATTTACTCCGATAAATATCCCACCGAGAAACACCACGATACGCGACCTGGATAAGCCGTATCTTAGATGAGGCTATTCCCTTTTACGGCTCGTCCGTACCTGCACGCAAAAGCGGCTTTCAAACGATTTGTAAGGGGCAAGCTTGTCAAGGAAACCATAGTTATTTGGGGACGTTCTCGTCGAAGATTAAAGCTGAATGGTAAACAAAGCTGATGCCAGAAAGTATGGTAAACATTAAGCCACGATCTCGATGTGGCACTTGTAATGTGGCTTTATGTAATTCTAAGTACTGTTGGTACAAGTGGCATACGCCAAAATAAGTGGTAAATTAAGTACCTATAGAATTTGTTGATTTTATTGGATAATAGATTTATGGGGCGGTGGGTAAATTGGCTTGGATGTATCTGCTACTAATTTTAGTAACGGTGTGTCTGCTGCTGCTTTATGCCACTTAAGGGGATAGTTCTACTCGGTAGCTGTCTAGGCGACCACTTGGGTAATGCTTATTGGTCCCACATGTACGCGGAATTGGGCGCCTCTCTCCAACAGCAATCCTGGTTCTCTACCCAGTATCTAGGTTACCTAGGTAGGCAGGTACTTCTCTTAAGGCTCTAGAAGTTGTTGTGATATACGATAGAGAAAGGTTAATGATTAACTAGAAAGTCTTTGCTCTACATGGGTGTCTCTTCAAACGATAGGGATGTGTCGTATAGTGCAAATAGTTCGTCGTATAGTTTGTCAAATAGTCTTCCTTTCATCTTGCCTGGGGACAAAAGCCTAGACGTTGGCACTCGTGTTGCAGTATCTAAGGTTAGTAGATTCTTTCATGACGACATTTTGTCTCTTGATGCTGCTTGTTGGTGCTTCCGACTACTCTTCCCATGCACCATATACCTCCACCGCCTCCTCGCTCGTTGGATTATATATTAATCACGGCTTGAGATGCCACGCGACCTACGGAGCCGTAATGCGTTTATTCCAACTTGTGTTACCTAATACTGGCCAATGTCAACGTTACTTAGATAGCCTACGTTAGTACATCTAGATGCATCTCGGTAACTATTGGGTTGAGAGCCGAACCCACACATCTGGCTCGGTCCATCTTGACCCTCGATATCCCACGTCAAATCCGCAATACACGCGGGAAAAGAGAAGAAGGCCAATGATACCATGTTATGTCTACTGTTCGTATAAGAGATTTCGAACCTCGCAACGTGTTTGAATATGGTTACCTCATAAGATCAGCCCGGGACAATTGTAATTGGGATTCAAAGAATTCTGAAAACCCGCTTGCTTCATGTAATTCCCCCATATGGCTGAATGGAAATGGGTGACCAAGTTTCATCGACGTGTTTCGGTTAGAACGAAAGTTGTCGGCTGGGGAGACTATAAGCAAAGCGAGTTGAACAACTGAGTCTCCTGGTTGCGGTGACATAATCTCAACTTATATGGGTAGGCATTGAAGGAAAGGTTGGTGAATACTTACAACTACCAATGCCTACCTTGGTAGGCTAGTAGGTGGATAGATAGAAAGCCAGACACTGGATCTGGGGTTGATTATTCAGGTGGTCAATGATTAGAATTTTAAGAGGGACTCGCCTGTTAAATCAGACGATAATTATATTCTAGATTCGCAAGAAACCACCTCAATGTGGGTGAAGAAAGGAATCATTCCACTCACACCAATCGTAACAGTCTTGCTAGATTTGTAAACTCCTATTTATAGCCGGCTGCTTCCATAATCAGCATCCGACTAATCACGCTCTGTTCTCATTCTGGAATAGGAAATCTAGTACTTTTGATACCTACTTAGGTTTGATAACCTTGCAACTGGCGGAATCGTAGCTACTAGGTATGCAGGCCATGTGCTTAACAATGGCGACGACGAGTACGACGGGTGCATCAAGATCAATCTCGCCATATGAAGGAAATGATGGAGACAATGGTCGAAGTAATTGGCGCCGAGCACGTAGGCCGTCATATGAGCTCATGGATCACGTTCCCGGGGATATATAATGGTGTCGAGCCCGAGCCCGATCTCACGATGGTACCTAGTTGAATCATGTATCTCCGCCGAGCGTGAGATCTTAACACGCCTGTGGGTTACGTACGTATAGGTAGATTATTCATTCGTCAGCGAATACATGGAGATTTGAGATGTGGTAAGAACCTTGGAATTGTAGAGTAATTAAGGTAATTACTATGTAGCAAAAAGGCATATCAATGATCTGACTTCGTGTGAGATGTATCAGTGCCATGTATTTAAGAACCTAGGTTAGTAGGTTAGGTAGATACAATGACGCCAGTGGCGCCATCCAAGCAGTGAACATCTGCCACCCAAACATCATGACTGCACGGGAGCATACCTGCATAACATTGAACGCCTATCGCATAAAATGATATCTCTATCATCTATCTACTGCGGTCTACTGTAGTCCTGTAGTCTAGCGCTGTCTAAAGTCTACCTACCTATTTGCCTACCCAATACCCGATACTTATTTCGCTTAACCCCCCTTTTACCCTTTTTACTTCATCGCACACCACGAAGCCGCAACAAAGCATCCACTTAACAACATCATACAGCCGGCCCATATCTGCATGTACAGATATCTACCCCCCGCAGCATCGATCAGCGCCCCAGCGATGGGCGGGCCCGTTAGGGCGGCGAAGGAGCCGACGGTGATGATCATGCCAGTGCGCGTGCCGACTTTGGTCATATCTGTAGTCAGGCACGGCAGGCCCGCCATCGAGATTGTTTGGACGCCGCCGTTTACTATTCCGCTCAGCACCGCGAACACGTACAGCGAACTCGGATCCCGCACGCCGATCCAGCCAAAGTACAACACGCCCGAGGCCATGGTAAGGGGTACGAGCGTTCGGAATGGTCCGAGGTATGCATCGGAGAGGAGCGAAGGTAGGATTCGCCCGGGGACGCCGACTGCATTAGCAATGAGAAGAGTATTGAGTGATGCGGTCTCATCCATGCCAAGGACCACCCTTCCGTAGTGATTTATCTATTAAATATGTTAATAAAGGGGCTCATGATAGAAGAAGAAGAAAAAGCTCTGCAGAAAAGAAACTTACGTAGTTGTAGATCAGATACACGGCCATCAGGAGGGAGAACGCCCCCGCCGTGTAAAGCGAATACGACAGCTCCTTGAACGCGGCCCACTCCACAACCGGACCGCTTGACCGAGGCGGCAAGCGGGTGCGCGCGAACATCAGCATGAGAACAGCGTTAAACAAAACCACGAATCCCATTACTCTCATCGTCCAGGGAAACCCAATCTTGTCCGACAGTTGCTGAGCGATCACAGGAAAAATCGTCCCTCCCGTCGCACCTCCGCTCGTGACAAGCGCGATAGCCAGCGCACGCTTCCGGGAGAAGTAAGTGGCGACGCACGAGATGATGGGACAGTAGAGAAGGCCGGCGCCTAGACCGCCACATATGCCCTGGGCGAGAAAGAGTTGCCAGTACTCGGACGCAATGGAAGCCGTGAATATTGCGATCAGCTGCATCAAGGAGCCCATGGCGATCAGGGAGCGGAAGTAGCCTGCATCGAAGAGGCGGCCGGTGAACATGCTAATAGCAGCGAGTAAGAATACCTGCACACTGCCGGTCCATGACACGACAGAGAGCGGCAGATTCAGCTCAGAGGTGTAGTAGTCCTGGAAAAGGCCATAACTGTTGAACCAGCCGAAAGTGTTGAACAAAGCGAGACTTTGGGAACGGGTTCGGTTAGTAATTGGTCTTCGGTGATCGGCTTATCTGGCAGGTAAGGGAGGGAGGATTCCTTACTGTCCGACAGCGACCTGAACCCATCCAAAACCACCGTCAGGCGGCGGCGGGTGGGCGAGGGCCGTGGTTGGTTCGATCGGGACGATATCCGTCTCATCACCACTCGGCGGGGATGTCGTCTCTCTAAGAGAGGCCTTTTGTTCCTGATACATGGTTTTTTGACTACCTAGAATATACCTAGAATATCGCTACTCAATATGATTTCTTGGAACTGCGGGGGTTGCAGTTTGGCGGCTGAGAAAAGAGAAGAGAGGGATGAATATGAGTATGGAGATGGAGATGGAGATGGAGATGGGGAGAGGAGCAACGCTTGTCTTATTCTGGCTCGACTCGGTAATACCGGTAGGTGGGACTCGGCAGTGGCTCCCGCACCTCCTGCACGAAACCTACGGAAGAGTGGAGGGCATTCGCTCCCTCGACGGCTTCCGTTGGTTAAATGAAGAAGGTGCCTATCCGCTTACATCGATGCAGTAAAATAATACTAGGCACCTAGGTAGGTAGGGTTCATGCAACGTCGGCTAAACTCTACAGGTTAATGTCTTTGTTCATTTCTAAGTGGCTTAAACGTCTTGGGGATAGCACGTATGCTATCTACCTAGGGATTCGTTGGCATTTGGACAGCTTTGACAATACAACGTATAGGTGTCAGATCATATTAAAATAGTTGAAGCAGTATAGTAAGTAGGTACTTACCTAAGTACACATGTTTCCAAACACACTTTGAAAAATTAACATTCACAGACCTAGTTATGTATTAGTGGCGTACCAGGAAAGGGAGGAACAACTTGAACAAGTCACATATTTTCATCAGGGGTTAAAGTTGACATTACCAAGGCATGTGCTACCTACGCTTACATGGTCTGTACTAGGTATGGGATCCTTCCGGTTGGAATTTTGCTAGTGACCACTGACCATATGTAAGATCTCGGTAAAAGATGTCTGTCTGACATGAAATTGGTCCAGTTTACGGGCATGACCCTGGATTGACTGCCACATTTGTCCAACCACACATATTAATATCCATAACATAACTAAATTATACTGAGCTTGCTTAGGTACCTAGTACTGTGGTAACACGCGTCGTCTATAATCTTGTAACCTTGGTACTTCGTACTTACATTTGTAAGAGAACACCCTCCAATGATCATCATACATAAGGCTTGACTTGGTCCTCCGTCCACTCCCAAAACTTCTGTGCAATACCGGTGCCTCCCTCCGACTGGGGCTTCGAACCCTGCAGCAGATCTTTTCGAATATCGCTAAACCGACCCCATGGAACAACTGTCAAGGGGGCAAGATGTCAGCATCTAGACACCTACTACTTAAGTAGGTAGGTAGGTAGGTATGTTGGTTGTATAAAAATGGCTAAGAGAACAGAAAACAACTCACTCCAACTACCCGACTTTTCGAGCGTGACCTCGTCCGATAGGCCGGCGAACAATTCCGTGTACGCTCCATAAATGCGAGGATGCACGATGGAGCTTATGCAAAGCCCCGTAACTGTATCGCAATTCCGAACCAGATCTGTATTCAGATTGCCTGGATTGAGCGCCTAAGTATCATATTATTTATTGTCAGAAACATACTCATCCATTGCCGTCGATAGGTTGATAAAAACGTGGAAGGGGAAAAAAAAGAACAAAATAAAACTCACGACGCTGACGATACCGTCCTTAGTATGACGTCGCGCGAACTCGGTCGAATGATAGTAATTGCCCGCCTTGCTAACCCCGTACTTGTTCATGTAGAAGATATCGCGTTTGTAGTCGAGGTTGTCGAACTCGATGGCACCATTCACGGGGATGAATAACTCAGCCGCCGATGACGACACCCAGAGGACGCGCACGCTGCCGGGCGGTGATTCCTTGGCCGTCTCGATTAGGGCCGGCGTCAATAGCTTGGTGAAGAGGAACGGCCCCAAGTTGTTCGTGCCGATCTGCAGTTCATAACCCTGGGCCGATTTGCTGCCGGCCGGGGGAAACATGACGCCGGCGTTGTTGAACAGGACGTGCAGCCGCTTCTCCTTCGCGAGGAAGGTTTCGGCCGAGTCCTTGATGGTGCTCAGATCGCTCAGGTCCAGGCGCAAGAACTCGAGCGTACCCTTCGACCAGGGAAATGCTTCGCGAATGGATTGGATCGCATCGCGGCCTTTCTCCTCGGTGCGCGCCGCGATCCAGACCGTTGCATGCTTGGAGAAGAGGATCTGGGCAACTTCTTTGCCGAGGCCCGTGTTCGCACCAGTAACCAAATACACCTTGCCGGACAAGTTTGGGATATCTTTCTCCGTGTATGTCGGCTTGCCAGGAAATATCTGGCGGAGTGCTTCAAACGGTGATACCCTGAACATCTTGGTAATACGTGGCGTTTGCTTGTTACCGAGGTACGACTGAGGTATCTAAGGCTGAGTAGGTATGTAGGTGGGTAATGTTAGGTAAGTCTGTAAAGTTGCGGGCAATGTCTCAACGTTAATAATTCGCCCGCCCAGGTGGAAATTTTATCTTTTTCCACATCCATTTTATTTATTCAAGGAAATCGTTCGATGCATTCCAGGTTGTTAGAACTAGAGCAACTGTGCCGTGCCAGTATGCCAACCAACCTACATAACCAAGATAATAATAATGCCCCTCCTATTCTAGACCCATCTTATTGATACAGGCGCACAGGTGATTAACGAGAGTAGGTAGATTGATTTCCTTGGTTCTGCTACGCCGTTTTTTTTTTCTTTTACACCGCTCGTAGTACTCCGTTGACAATGGTACATAATAGTAAATATCTGGTCGACGTCACGTACCTATCTACCTATATTAGTCATAGTGCACATATGGATAAATATCATTTGGGTGCATCATCGTCAAGATCCATTTATATTGAACTTCATTAATGCATTCCGATGGGTAAAATGATGTATGTATGTATGTATGTATCGTTGGTTGGTTTGTCGCTTTAACAACGAAGCCCTCCAATAACTACCTCCAACTCTTTTATTTTATTTTTTTCGGCACGTCGACTTAAGCCACTTCCTCGGGGCGGTTCCATTACTTTATACTACCTACCTATTGTAGGACAGGCATGTAGGTCGGTACCAATAGCAAGCCTCAATTACTTACATGCTTCCACCAGTCCTCAAGCACGGCTAGGAGTATCATAGCAGGATTGTGTCCCCCTCCCCAAGGAGTCCGTGGGCCGTGTGGTGGCACTAGTGCAACGCTGATAGCTACTGGCCGCATATGTAGAGAATCATTACTAGAATGCCTACCTAATAGGGAAATACTCAAGTATGTCAGTCTGCGAGAGCGATTTACAATCTGATAAAAGACGCGTAGCGAGGGGGGAATATACATGTATCAATTGACTTAGATTGAAGTGAAACAACAATGCTCTTCAAAGATATACCCTGAAAGAATTGTAACTGATCTCGTAAATAGCTACCTGGGTAGGTGACAACTTTCGACTTGTGGGGGACTCCGGTGCGGACTGCATCACCAAACATTTCCCGACGAAAGAGGTCGTGCAACAAACTCACGCTTCACTGAAGGCAAAACTTCCTTAACACTAGTAAAACCGCCTCTTTCCACGGAGAGAACGGATGCCTCGGGGTTCCGGAGACGGGAGTAATTCTGAAGCGGTGCGATATATAAATAGTAGTTAACACCTGCGCAAAATGAGGCGAACATCGAGACTGTCCCACGAACCAAATACTACAGAGCTGCGGTTACCATGTCTCCTGAAATAGTCAAAGGAAATATCACCTTCGAGGGTATGCACGACATCCAGGAGACTAATGTCGAGTATCAACGTATTTGTGCTAACAAAAATTAGACTACCTCGGCCTCAATGCGTGTATGGTTGAGTGGGCGGACAGCTATGACACCAAGGACTGGGATAGACTAAGGAAGTGCATTGCGCCGACCCTACGAGTGTGTCCAATGGCATTATTGCTCAGCCCAGCCGCGGACTAACCAAAGCTACTTTTAGATCGACTACCGTTCCTTTCTGGATAAGCTCTGGGAAGCGATGCCAGCCGAAGAGTTCGTGGCCATGATCTCGAGCCCGGCGGTGCTCGGAGACCCGCTGCTCAAGACACAGCACTTTATCGGCGGTACCAAGTGGGAGAAGATCTCGGACACGGAGGTAATCGGCACCCACCAGCTGCGCGTGCCGCATCAGCGCTACACCGACGAGACGCGGACTAAGGTTGCCGTCAAGGGCCACGCTCACTCTACCAACGTCCACTGGTACCGGAAGGTCGACGGCGTTTGGAAGTTCGCCGGACTCTACCCGGACATCCGCTGGGGCGAGTACGACTTCGACAAGGTTTTTGTCGGCGGCCGTGAGGAGTTTGGCGACGCCCTTAATGCTAAAGTTGAAGGCATCCCAGTTAAGGCCCCATTACTTTAGATGGCCCCAAGACCTGAGTTGAACCCGGACGGGGGAGCGGAGATGCTGAAGGTATTTACCAGCCTACTAGGTATGTAGGTGAGAGGCCAACCCCTCTACGTAGACGAGTTAGTTATATACTAGGTATTGTTGTTATAGAATTAGTAATTAGCCCACGATTGGAACGGCGCCTTTGAATTCGTCTTTCGATTAGTCTAGTTTATGCCGTGAACCTCTGATTTTTTTACTTTGAACTTTCGGGGTTTCCTAACATTCTGCTTACAATAGGTATGAGGCACGGATGCATGTATGGGATCGTGGATATGATATATACCTAGGTTAGGTGTCTGATAATGGGAGGTTTGCACACATGTATGTTGCTCGTGCGACTTCAATGCTTAACAACGCATGTTTAGTACTGCATGTACCTGCTAAGGTTAGTAAGTTGGTAAGGTACCTCCATGTGAGACTGAAGAAATCGCCACTCTTCTGGAAGTGAAGGCTTATTATACTGGGTTCATCTAACCCACATGTGCCAAAATCCATGTGACTTCATACGACTCGCAAGTTTCAATAGATGGGATAATAGTCTTACTCATAGTTATATGAAAGTAACCCGTAGTAAGCGGTGTGCCAGTTACACGATCACAACACTCAATTTATTCCGGGTACATGGAAATCGCTTCTTGGCGGGGACCTCGCAGGTACTAAAATTAAAAAGAAAAAATTGAGAAAATTCTGGAAACAATATATTTTCGGATAGAGCCGATTTGTCCTCGATATTGCGGTGCCTGATCGATACCTGGGAAATGTCTGGGCCCTGAAGAGGTGTTGCGCCGTGGACTTTGAGCGTCGTAAGAATGGGTATACATGCCTATTTCCGAGATACCTCCGCTAGATGATATCAGTTATGTGTTCTCATCAGAACCGACATCCAATAAGAGGCTTTGTTTAATGTGAAGATATTAGTTGAGATGATATGAGAATTAGACGATAATAGCGCTAGGAGTCAATTGGGCTCCGTGAGCCAACCCACACCACATTCGAATAAATATGATATGCGGTCATCATGAACTTCAATCGACTCAACGGACATTTAGCATGATGCTGAGTGGCCGCTATCGCATCCGCAAATGTATGTGCACCCAACAATTCACAGTCAGCCCGATGATAATATGAAACGTAGAGCCATAGGATTCGCATCGAATCATACTTGGGTACGCATCTGCTCGCCGCAAACGGACGTCCAATTAGCCTCGTGACCTAACCCTATGCAGTGCTGCGCATTGTGAAAGACCAACCTGTGTAGTGAAACATGGCTTTTGATACCCCCACGTGCGCCGGCGAGACATCCGGGCCCCGACAGCTCCGGGAATCAAGTCGGGGAAGCGGTGAAGCGAGGACGAATGCGGCGGTGGAACATCCCCCAACCTCCAACCCTGGTACCAGGTTTTCTATGTGCAAGTACCTTGGAACACTGGAACCTTGGGTCCAAATCAGTCCCCTATTAGGTAGGTGGGTAGGTAGGTACCGACATCTCACGGCATCTCGCGGCAATCCATGGCATCTCGTGGCATCTCGTGGCATCTCATATTATCTCAGAGTCCATTGGTTGACTTGGAAGAACAGATCGAAGAGATTACTCGGCAGACTCTTGTGAAAAGCTTGAGACCGTGCAAGAAAGCTTGCTGTGATGTCTGTTCCTCTGTAGATGGCAAGCGATTACAAAACGTTTCTCATTCTGTTTGCCAATGTCTTGGATTCCTGACGCCGAGACTGCCGAGTCCGTGGCATGCATTAAAACCGTACCAGGTCGGCTTGGAAGTGGGTAACACGGACGGCTATGGACATGGAAGCGAAGGAGGAAAACGACGTCATGTGATGGAGATTGGTTAGTATCTCGTACAATACGGCATAGTAGTGCAAATACTTGTATACCTACCTAGGGTAGGTACATAGTAGGCAGTGACATAAGGTCTGGTAGCAGTGGTAGGCAAGAACTTGACAGTCTTGCAGAGCCAAGAAGGCTAAACATGTCACGTTGGACATGGAACACGGTCTCGCCGGTACGTCGCGACTTTCTTCAACGTCCATTGTTCTATTATTGTGCCATTGCAACGAGTCAACCTCTTAAAATTTGCCATAAATTAAAGGTTGGTCTCGTAGTGATGGCCAAAAGTGGTCCGACACATTCAATCTGATAGGTACAGGTTAATGATGGTTTGGATAATGGACGAGAAATGTTTCGTTTCGGAAGATTTGAACGGTGAAAACGATTTAGGAAAATTGATGAACACTGAAGAAATAATGAGAGACAAGGGTCTTGCGCGTCGTACTCACCCATGGCCATTGAAACATCATTGGAAACTTTGGAAAGTACCATACATGTACTTGGGCGATAAATACTTTCCTACTATTTCTTACTAGGTAAGTAAGCTTTCCGACTTGAGTTTAGTGCCACGCCGCTTTTATCATTTCATCATAATCTTGAATACTAGGTACCTACTACTATGTGCGTAGGGTACTCTAGTCTCTAGACTCTCTACTACTCTCGCTAACCTTTCTCGAACTTATCTCGTCTTTCTTTTCCAAAAGTAAACACTGAAGGTATGTCATCTTGCTTCGCATATCGTACGTCCGCAATGCAAGAATTTGAATGTAGTAGGTGGGATCTTCGGAGGATCCCCCTCTTTGCCGTTCATCTACTATCTTCAACCATAGTATCTATCACATGCGCGTCTCTGTTTTGTTTTACTTCACGGGAGTTCGATGCCGTCGATACCTACCTAGAGTACACCTATGTGCTAGGTGTGTTGGAGGCGTCCTGAGTATCTTGCGGGAATGGACGGCATCTCGGCTCAAACAAGAAGGCAGTCTCAACATTTTACACCCACCAGGGTAATTCACATAACCTATCAAGTATCTAGGTTAGGTAGGTCAGTAAGTGATGATAATAATAGATGCGGATGATAGTATAGTTCCACAACATCGGGGGAATCAGCCGTCGTCGACATTCCGGATCATTTCGATAATTGTCGGGGCATCATATCACGGGTAGGATGATTGGGCAAGCAAAAACTTATGTGCCTCCAGCTGCCTACCTATCTTATATCCATCTGCAAACAAGGACGGTTGGGTTCAACAATGGCTTACTGACCTCATTATCATGAACCCCCCGCGATATCCAACCCTCCGCATTTTCATCTAAAATTTCTCCCCGCTTTGGACGACGATCCCATCTTCGTCTAAGTCTCAATTGTGTTGTATCATTGGGTAGATCATTCTTCTTCCCTTTTTTTTCCAGGGCAGTTGGAGCATAAGCCGGCTATCTTCAAGCTTCGTCTGTGCGGAGGAATGAGATATGGATGAGTGCTGAAAAGGCAAAGGCGGCAAGAATTTAACCAATTCTAAGTACTTAGAAGATACTCGCCTCTTCTAGGCCTATCATAGGCCCTTTCCGGCATGCATGGTATACCCCTGCAGACCCACGCCTAAGCCCCCACCACGGCGCACTAGGCTCTCCGGGATCCTTAAATCGGACCCATTATATCCCTAAATCTCATCATCACTGTGGGCTACAAGCCTGTTGCTGAGATGAACATTTTCACTAGAAAGTACAAAAACTTTAATGCTGCCAGTCACTTCTCCAGTTTGGAATTGTTCTCTGTTGTACCGCAACATTCCCCATCTTTGTTAATATTTTTATTTTTTTTTATCTTTTACTTTTATTTTTATTTTTCTGTTAAACTTCTAGTTTTCTTTTTTCATTCCATCCCTTTTCATGATCCCTCCAGCTGGGCATCAAGAAGAGTAATACAAACCCTGCATCATCTATTTGCTTGATGCTCGTGCCGCCGGCGCATCCCTCATGAGCGCCAACTACGCGTAAAAAAATGTGCTAGAGGTTGGCTGTGGCTGTATGAGTCTCACAATCTTGCAATCAGCGGCTATCTCGGATCTATTTGTGTCGTCGTGGTCCTGTTGTATAACTACATATTAGGTAGTGTTGCCAGTTATTTGGCATGCCATCATCCTGAATGCATCTAGATCAGAATTTCCCTAGGACCGTATCCATAAGCTGGGGACTCACAAGTTCCGCTTCGTCTCTAGGACTCTTTTCGCCATTTATAGGAAAGCTAATTATCACGCCTTCGGCCGACAAACGTCCTCCTTAAACGATCGTATCTATATTACGATATCTATCGCCTTCCACCTGTCCTCTCCCCCAAGAATCCACGAACACCTAGTCACAAAAACCGGGTCGCCCACGAGGCTCGGCGATAAACAATGGCGTGGGATCATCTCTCCATCACAAAACCCCATCTGGTGTACATCATCTTAGGGGGTTTCACTTCGCTTTTTATGCTTTGTTCTTCCGTTATCAAGGAGCGCATGTATATTGGTGAAGCTACTGTTGCCACTTTGTGTGGTGTCATCTTTGGTCCTCATGCCGCAAATTTAATCGACCCCGTGTCCTGGGGGAGAGTCGACGAGACCACCCTCGAGTTCTCCCGAATCGTCTTGGTCGTCCAGTGTTTTGCCGTTGGAGTAGAGTTGCCCAAATATTACATGGAGAAGCATTGGAAATCCGTCGTCTTCTTGCTACTCCCCGTCATGACTGCGGGGTGGCTAATTACTAGTCTCGTCATCTGGTGGATGTTCCCAATTCTGTCTTGGCTCGAGAGCTTGGTGGTTGCTGCTTGCGTTACAGCTACAGACCCCGTCCTTGCATCTTCAGTTGTTGGTAAGGGAAAATTTGCGAAGCGAGTACCAAAGCATCTGAGGGATCTGCTCTCTGCCGAATCCGGTTGCAACGACGGCATGGCGTTCCCTTTCGTCTACCTTTCCCTCTATCTACTGCAGGAGAATTTGGACGCTAAAATGACGACTTATCATTTTCTTGTCTACACAGTTCTCTACGAATGTATCTTCGGGGCGATTTACGGGTTCCTCATTGGCTATATCGCACGCCACGGGATTAAGATTGCTGAAAAGCGCGACTTGATCGATCGCGAAAGCTTTCTAGTCTTCTACTTTACCTTGGCCCTCTTCTGTGCAGGGTCTGGTAGTATTCTAGGTGTAGACGATCTACTGGTCGGATTCGCTGCCGGTGTTGGCTTTTCAAACGATGGTTGGTTTAGCGAGAAAACTGAGGAGTCCCACGTGTCCAACGTTATCGACTTGCTACTCAATTTGACATACTTTGTCTTCCTGGGCACCATCATCCCTTGGGATCAGTTCAACAATGCAGATATTGGCCTTTCCGCCTGGAAGTTAACCGTCATGGCTATATTTGTCATCCTGTTCCGTCGAATCCCGATTATGATGATGCTTAAGCCAGTAATACCTGACATAAAGACTTGGCGAGAAGCTCTATTTGCTGGGCATTTCGGTCCAATCGGTGTCGGTGCAATATTCGTGGCTTTACTTGCTCGTGCCGAGCTAGAAACCGAGCATAGCGTTCCTATGGCAGAACTTCCGCCGCCCGGGGTCGAATTCTACAATGTTATCATCCTTGTATGGCCGATCGTTACTTTCATGGTAATAGCCTCCATTCTTGTCCATGGTTCGTCTATAGCAGTATTCACCCTGGGCAAGCGTATCAACACTCTATCAATTACAATGTCGTTCACGACTGCTCTAGACGATGGCCCTGCTTGGATGAGTCGCTTGCCCCGAATCTCATCTCAGTCACGATCACAAGCCCGAACGATGTCAGATACGGATCTCGACGATATAAAGATACCCGATTTCCCACCTGGCACACTGCCACCCACTGGAATGCCCGGTCAGTTCTTGCGGCGCCAGCGTGAAGAGGAAAACCCAAGCAGAGCAGGAAGTCGTGCTTCATCTCGTCGTCGCAGCAATAGGAAGAAGTGGGACGATGGAATTGGACCCGGTGGCCCTGTAAGCCAGTCAGCTATCTTTCCCCAGCGACGAAGCAATAGTGAAGCAGAGCCGATGTCACCGTCTGACTCCGTTCCGCCCATGTCTCCACCCATGTCTCCGCGACAGGAGAGCCCTGCCTCGCCATCAGATGGACTACGTGAGAAAGAGAGCGAAAATGGTCTCGAACAGCACGGTGCTGCTAGGGAACGCGAGCACGGAGGCCGTACAGGCCGTCATCGAACACGAAAACACACTGAAATCGACGTTTACGATGAGGGTGACCACATTGTGGTTGAAGACCAAGACGGTCAAGTACTGGCTGTCGAGGAAACTGGACAACGGCCCATGCATGAATTACATGAAATGAAGGAGCAGGCAAAAGCTGAAATTCAGAGGCCTGGATGGACATATGATTCGCTTAAGAAAAGCATTTGGAAGTGGCGTGATGAGGAGGCCCAAAAACGCAAGGAGAAGGCGAAAGCCGAACGGAAACATGAGCCGGCTCGAGCATATCAGTTTGGCAATACGGTATGTCGCTAATCTGGTAATTATCGTTGGTAACAAGATGCTCAAAACTAACCGATGCGTATAGATTATTGTCGAGGATGAGGATGGAGAAGTTGTGAGAAAATACGATCTGCCAGCTGACCGTGCCGAAGGTGGCAAGGATTATGTTGCTACAGGCTTGAAGTATATGGGAATGGGTGGCCTCGTTAAACCATCTGATAAGCCGGTTCCTGAAATTGAAGAAAAACCCGAACAAGAAGGTTCTCAAGCAACTAGCAGCCAACCTGGATCTCGGGCGAAGATGGGCGGATGGCCAGGTTTCGGTCGCGGTGGTGCTCACGAGCAAAAGAAGGACGCAGCCGTCACTCCCGACGAACACGACGGAGAAGAAGAGGACGACCGCAGAATTCGATTTACGATTGGTGGTATTGGACGACGTATGAATAAGGACGACTTTCTCAGCGAAGTGCGAAAATTGGATGCTAGGACGCGCCGTGAGGTGGTGGATCAGTCTACCGCAACTGCAGCAGTAAAATCAATGGCAAAGGACCAGCCCCCGGCGGACACGATACGCAGCCAACAAGTTTCTGCTCATCCGCATATTAGTGTGACTCAGGCAAGCGACAGCACTCGTGAAGCAAGCCAATCACCCGACCAAGAAGAGCCTGCTCGTGGGCGTAGCCCAACGACGAGCGTGGAGCAGGCGCCATCGGATACTCCGGAAACGGCAGCTGAACGACGGCGTAGACTGGCAGCTTTTGCCACCGTCCGCGAGGACACTGATACAGGAGAAACGCCGGCAGAGCGCAGGAGGAGGGCGGCAGCGTTGGGTGTGGACAGTGACGCAGCCGAAGACAGTGACAGCGATGACGATGATACCCCTAGAGTACCTCCCGCGGTAAAACGAGGGATCAGATTTGCGGATTCCCCGGCCAACAAGGGATAAAGCCGCATTGATAATGCTTGTTGTGTTTTTCTTTTTCTTTTTAATTACGATATGACTGAATTGGCATGGCGACGACAAGAATCAAGTGGAATTATTTGCATGAGGTAGAGTAAAGTATTATTCTTCCATCTAGAGCAGGAAGTGTTTCGTGGTGTGTCGATGTCTAGGTATGAATGAACAGTGGGAGGGTGAAGGGATAGGGAGATGATGGTATATATACGACGAAGAGGCCACGATGTAAGCTACTTAATATCCTGGGAAGTATTTATTTACTAGTTAGACGAAGGACATTTTTTACCTACCTACCTACATAGTAGTAGTATATGAAGATTAAAATCAAAACAAGTCTTTGAACTACCTGTCGTGTATCATGTGATCGCTGTTTTCCTCGTTCACAAGGGTTGGCTTGCCTCATTGATATGATATGTGCGCTTGTCTGTTATAGATAACATTGAAATTTACATATCTAAACATTAAATCAGATTCTATTCAGGTACCTGTGCTAACCAGTACTGGGGTCACGGGTGATCATTGAATCAAATGTTGGCACCTCAGGTACTCAGCGGGGTTCCCCCAGGTAACCTTTCAGCGATGTCTTGCGACCAAGATACCCATTGTCGCATCTCACGGTACTTCTCTCTCTAGCGTTCTTCAAACGTCGTTTAGCTGCTTTAGCACACATTCTTCAAATGTTCTTTACGCACGGAATGAGCCACCAATCAAATTCCAAGTTGGACTATAAGTGGACCAATGCATCAGGAAGACAAGGATGGATGACCTAATCTTTGGAGAAGAATTTGAACAATTTCTTCCTTCCAACCCAATCCGATACTCACTTCGTCCTCCACCACCATCACCACCACCAGCGCCACCTCCAACACCAACATCAGAGAATCCTGACCCCCGTAGTCTCCCCTCTTTTCAAGATATCAACAGTTTTCGATTTCCTCCTCCCACAATGGTTCAACTTACTGAGGTTGTCGACGAGCACTTCCAAGAGGACCAGGCTGGTCCCGAGGACGAAGAAGATTTCACTGATACCGGTACGTCACACGACTGCCTTTTTTTCCTCTTTACCTCAAATATACTGCGCAGCTTTAGTAGCTTTGGTCGTTCTAGGTAGCTAATCATCATACTTGATCCAGACTCGGAGATCTCGACCGAATCTGATTATGACCCGACGAATGAGTCCCTCAGTGAACGTCTCTATGCCCTCCGCGACATAATCCCCCCTCAGACCCGCGCTTCTATTGCCAGCAAAGTCAACGCGACCACAAGTGCGATAGGAAATGTGCTCTCCTTCGGCGGCAAGACTATGTGGGTTATCAGCACCTCGGCACTGATCCTAGGTGTACCATGGGCCCTCGCATGGGCCGAGGAGCAGCAAGTCCTCGAAATGGAGAAGGAGATGAAAATGCGCGAGATGGGCGGCGAGGTGAGCGCTAATCCTATGCTATGTGGCATAGAGAAGTATTGAGAATTGTGGCTAACTAAGACGATAGATCTTGACTACTGGTGCCACCAACGGCAGTGGTTCTATGACGGCTCAGCAGGTTGGCAACGCACTCGGACAGGAGACTAAGCCTGCTCTATAATGGAGCATGCTTGCGCCTAACTACTATACTGTCTCTACGCTATTTGCGATGCGTTCCGGAATGATCCTCGAACGCTGGCGCAAAATACAACTTGAAATGTCCTGTACCCCACCATCTAATCCGTACCCCGCGAGGCGAGGAACGCGCGCGCATCTATTCGCCTCACTCTGGAGGACGAGTTAGCGCATACTTCACTATGAGTAATGATGAAGCAGGGGTTTTATGGTAGGGAAATACATACTCATACTCTCAGCTCTCACGCCGATTTGCGACGAATTTCCTTCCCACCGTCTTTGTATCATAGTTCGGCAGCATAACGTGCGGTTGATGGATATGGGAGGGACTTGCTTGGGTTGGTCGCATTTGGATTGGGTAAAAAAAAGTCCCCGGTCATATGAATTAATGTGATAAAATTCCAACCAACCAATGCCTACTTTTACGATTCTTTTATGATCCGAGAAATATAATCCTCCAGTAGGTAGCCAGGTGTGCAACGTAGGTACCTGAACCTGCTACGTTGCAGTAGTACCTGTGAGGATCTTTCCGGGACCTTACTATATATGCAGTGCTCATAAGAAAACTAATCCCGTAGGATCTTCCTTAGGGTTCCATCGCGCTGTTGTGGCAATTTCAAACATATATTCAATCCCAATAGGCACACCTGGCTTAAAGTGACGTCTAGCCAAGACAGGAGCTCCTGGGTCTGGGTCTGGGTCTGGACTGGAGGTGCGCGCTGACGTCAATTGCATGACTGTTGCCAGTGAAGAAACTCGGTATAGTTACTTACTACAGTACCTACTTAGCCTAGGTCGATTCGAATCGAATTTTGAGGCTGTGTTGTTGGTTGGTAGGTAGGTAGGTAGGTGGGTAGGTGGAATTGCTTTTCCTGATACCTAGGTAGGTGTTTATCATTTGGTTGGGCTCTGGCTTAATCGTGGCGTGTTGGTTAGTTAGTTAGTTAGTTAGTTAGATGGACTTGTTTCGACGCCTTATGCCTCGTGTGTGTGTATGTGTGTGTGTGTGTGTCTGAAAGGTAGTGATAATCTCTTTTGTATTATTTACTACTTAGGTAGATTTATGAGTGTTTTCGCGGTGGTTTTTTTTTTCACCTTTCCTTTTTCCTTTTTCCTTTTTGTTGGTCTTCCTTTGAATTTGTTATGGATGATTGATATATCGGGGTGGTGGCACATATTCTTCTTCTTCTTCTTCTTCTTGGGAAGGATCTTGTTGTCGTTGTCGTTGTCGATGTGGTTCTTGTGGCTGGTGTCGATATGTCCTCCTCGTCGCCTCATCTATTGTTGTTGTTGTTGTTGTTGTTGTGTCCGAGCCCGCCTGGCTTGCCTCCTCCTCCTCCTTCTTCTTCTCCGCAGACGGCACCGTCACATCCTCGCTCGTTGGAACGTGACAGCGCAAATGGTCGTTCCAGATCTGCGGGTCCGCCATCGCGAAGTCCGTCGCGTACGCCTTGTCCAGCTCCGCGGACTCTTTCCGGTCGCGGTGGTGGTAGCAAGACGCCGAGTCGTCGGGGTAGATGGGCGAGATGGGCGAGATGGGCGAGAACTGCTGCTGCTGCTGCTGCTCCTCGTGCATCGTGCGATCGTCCGAGGACCGCGATGACGCCCGGTCCCCTGCCCCTGCCTCGGCTAGTGCTGCGTTGGGCGATGGGTAGTAGTGGCAGTAGTTGACGAAGGTGCGGTCGGAGGGCGGGCCGGATAGGTCCGGGTGGTGCCGCTCCAGCTGCTGTCGTTGCCGTTGCTGGGCCTCGATGTCTTGTAGCTCGGACTGCACGCTGCCGGAGGACTTCCCTCTGCGGATCTGCCAGAATAGGAGGCCGGCTAATGCCCCCAAGGCGATGCCGCCGATCCCTGCTACCACCCCGATCACGACGTGCGTGTTGATCATTGGGTTATGCCGGGGAACTAAGTTGCCCGGTTCTGCGTCGGCGGTGGGGGCTACCGCGGCGGGTTTTTGAGGTGTGGTTGTTGATGATGTGATACTGGTGTCTTCTGCTGCTGAGATTGAATCTGATTGCTCAGTTACAACAGTTGTCTAATTCTAGGTTAGAATTTATAGGAGACTTCGAATGAGAAAAAAACGAAACGAAAGTGGAAAAAGAAAGGTTGGACACACCTGACTGGGCTCAGTCGCTATATAGGTGAAAGCCGGGCTGCTGACACTTTGGAAATCCCTCTTGTCGATCGAGTACAGCTCAAACCAACACGGACTACCATTTTCAAATGACAAATGTATGAATGCCGAAGAATTGTAGCCGTCCACCCTCTCTCTGCTTTTTTCTGTCGTTCAGGTCAGTTTTTAACGCTTCTTTCTCTTAAATAAAATTCTCAACGAGTAGAAGGTCAAATCAAAGAAATGATGTCTGACCTCTCCGGAAGAAAAAGACGCCAACAACCCACCTTGTGATAAACCATCGACCTCGCACCACGTAGATATCCAGGGCCTCGCGAAATCAGACTCGTATGCAACTTCAACGGTATCCTGATAGTGAAAGGTTTGTTGCGCCCCTGGCCGTATAATCTGGGCCGCGCTTTGCTCGCCGCGTACACTGGTGACGCCGGCGACGAAGAGGTAAAAACAGAATGTGGTTACGCGTCTGAAGATACAATTGGGGGATGTAATTGCAACTTCCATTCTTTCGTACTACCGCAGTCGTCGATCATCGGACAAGACAAAGGGGATGAAAGCTCTCCGTTACGTGGGTAGACAGGCGGACACGAATAGATATAGTTAGGTTAGATGGGAGTTCTCAACATAAGAAAAAAAGTGTTTATCGTTAATCGGCAACTGTTAACTTGGCTCAAGGTAGAACTCGATGAAACGGCAGATGGCTAAGGCTTGTATTTGATTGCCGACGAACTATCCCCCGTTGCCACATTGTACGGTTACATAGACCTCTTCGGACCCCAGACTAAAGGATCTCATCTAGATACAAATGGGTTAAGGATCTGGCTCTGCATCGTTATTCTATGCATCAGACCTCACCTCTCATCCAATCCCATTCCCCCCTCCCCCTTTTGGTGGCTACTTGGGTGGCTACTTGGGTGGATGGATGGATGGATGGCCCAGGGAAGTCTGGGAATACTTTCCCCGTGTCTAAATCAGGGTACATAGTTATCATGGGCAAGTTTGTTTATAGTCTAGCGGCCCCTCCATCGAACGTGGCTGCGCCAATGTATGTAACTATGTTGACCCAGGAAATCCTTCCCATCGCCGTCGACAAGACTAAAGGAGCAGGGTACCTAAGCAGCTTATCAATATGCAGGAACCGTATCCTTTGTCAATTAGGAAAGGAAAAGAAGAGAAGGGCGGAGAAGTATGGTCCATCCATACCACTCAACTTGATGGGGATTCCTTTTCATCCAACCCCAAGTTAAGCCAGAGGCACTTTGGAATTGCTGAACAATGGGCAAGTACAGTACGCTTTGAATTTCCCCAGGTTGCAGTCAATGCCTATTCGGCTAAGGTTAGTTAGGTGGCACGCCAGATATGCATGCCTGGGTAGTATTATGGCAGTTAAAGATATATTTAGCATCGCTCCTCGGCAAGCTGGACGAACGCCTGCCTGCCTGCCTGCCTACCTAGCTCTTGTTACCCACCCGCAGCTCTTTGCTGACAGACAAGGCGGGCGCGCATATGTATTCGTTCCATGGGCTTGCGCTGCGGTCGAACTACGCCGCAAACTTGTGCGCGCGATTTGTTTCACGTTTCTTTTCTCTTCTTCCATAATATCTACCTAACCTACTAACTAGGTGGTATGCATGATATGCCGCACAATAATTATAGAGTTGCATACCTAAGGTACCCTACCTACTCACCTAGTATAGATGGGGAACTGATGTTACATGATCAGCCATTTTTTACTCTTCTACTCTCGTGCGAACCTACACTGTACTAACTCCATATGTATTGACGTGCCAAGGCAGGGTGGAATGTACCCAATGGGATGGCCGAGGGGCGCAAATGGAAATTCCCGATTTCGAATGTTACGATCTTTTGAAGGTTAGTTATGATTCGTTTCACGCGCTGTGGCCCTACCCAGCATCGTACTTATCGTACATTGTACGACAGGTATGTAGGATCATTTCCAAGATTGGGCAAGAGGCAGAGACATCAATTGTGCCATTTCGGACTTCTCCTGTGTACTAATAAAATCATAGTCAGATCCTTATAAACCTACATACATACTTAAGCTAGGCGCGTCTAGTAGTAACGACAGACCTATCTATTTATGTGTGCATATGCATATATTTATATAGCTTCCCCCACACTGTTTAGTTTAATCCGCTACCTTACTCGGCTTCCGGCGTCTCACTGGCCTTATGATGGATGCTGTCATACCTAACCAAGGGGAGTTTTCAACATCTTGGAATTATGTCACAGATGTGTTGGCTCGGGGTATCCACGTGACCCCTTTCTTCCTTTGCCGCCCGTCGCGTTGGTTCACTCTTAAGCCTGCCCTTTCTCGGCCGCTATTGCTACTAATGTATATAGGCCATATTAAGATGTTTGTAATCAATTCGCTATCCTCGGAAATGGGGGCCGTCTTCTGACTTTGTGACCTACCTAGACCTACATCTGGAGCTTGGAAAATAAGGGGTATGTGAGAATGTCAATGATGGCCCTCGAACGGCAACTATTGGTCTATCGGCAGTCACTAACTGTCCACGAAACGAAAACTATGGGCGGCTGTCCTGTGCCAGTGTTGAGAGAGTTGGGTTTGTAGTTGAAACTGTGCCACAATATAAATAGTCGTTGTGGGTTATATGGCGTGCATAGTATCAATACTATGCACCTCGTGCGTCTTTACGGAGTCGAATCCTATCGATGTATAGGTATTCCCATGGTACTCATAGTGCTTAACTATTCTCATCACAAATGTGTGGGTGCTTAGGTACAATTTTAGCATTCGTTAACCTTAGGTACCTAGTAGGTAATTGGTGCTATTATTCTTAGATCTCTCTCTCTCTCTCTCTATTAAAGTACCCAAGGCTTCTATACCTAGATTTTACTACCTAGGTATTATCCAAACGAATATAGGCGAAGCTCTAACCCCCTTGAGCGGAACCTTGGGTTATATTACCGTGTTCTCCAATATTCATTAAGCTCCTCATTAACATCATCCCAGAAACTACACGAGGTGTAGTCCACCACCGCAGCATTCATCGCATCCTCGAATACCACACCCTTACTGTCCACAGACGTCCAGCTCGGCCACACACTCTGCTCAGCGGGCCTTCCGAACGCCGCCATGTCCGTCCACGCGCGGCTCATCGTATGGGACAGAGCCTGTTCCGCAGCCGTGAAAGTACAGTTCCCACTAGGCGGCGGCATGCCGCTCGTAAAGTTGAACACAAACGGGATCTCGCTCGTGTGCGTGGCCCCGAGCGCAGGCAGCCACGTCTGCTCGATGCCGAAGTACCATGCACACGTAGGCTGGTGCGCGAACCTATAAGTCCAGACCGGGACGCCATTCGCCTCTGCCCGTCGCAGTGCTCGGTACGCGGGACACTCGTAAGACACCTCGGTGACAATGGTGGCCATTGCAGCAACTGTCGAGCCGTTGTTGGCCAAAGCCGAGTTGACGGCTACCACCGCAGGGGCTTTCATGGCCGATGCGGCGATTTGAAGCGTCCGTGGCGAGGCAGCGCGGAGACAGGATAACTATTATCATACAAATAGGTCAGTGCTTCTACTACGTACCACTTGTGTAGGTTATCTGGCACGCGCCAAGGGCAGTTTTGAGCAAGAAACATACATCAGGAGTGCTGCAATTCATCGCACTGAGGAATTCCGAATACCAGACTTTCGCGTCCGCAATCGTCGCCAAGTCTCTCCCGGCGCCAGACTCCAAGGCAGCAGCACGGATCAACCGCGGTGATTCCGGCAATGTGGCAATCGCGAAAGCGTCAGCAGCGCCGGCGGATTGTCCAAAGAGGAGGACTTTCTCCTGCGTGTGAGAAATACTTTCGTTAATGACCTAGCATAGCAACTTTTCATGATATAGGTAGGTACAAAAGACTTACCGGATCGCCACCAAACTTCGCAATGTTCTCTTGCACCCAATGGAGGCCCAGTAACTGGTCCATGAGCCCATAGTTGCCAGTGAGCCCAAGATCCTCCAGCGCCAGAAAGCCCAGAGGACCCAGGCGGTAGTTAATCGAGACCACGACGGAGTCCAGGGCCGAGAAGCAGCCGTCGTAGGTAGGGTCCGATACCCCGCCGCCTTCGTTGCTCCCGCCGTAGAGCCAGGCTTTGACGGGGAGCTTGGAGTGCGGAGCTGCGGAGGCCGGTACCCAGACGTTGAGGAAGAGGCTGTATCTCATTGTAAGCGTGGCGCCCCAGGTCAGGGGGGGGGGGGCTCTCGGATGGATGCCGGGCTCACCAATCTTCACTACTCGTGCCCAATTCACCGAATGCCTCCGAGAACTGGATGCATGATGGCGCGGGTGTCGTGGCGTTAGTGACCACGTGGTAGGAAGAGTTGCGGTGGTATGGCTTCGGGGGCGCAAACCGTAGCTCCCCTACAGGCGGTTCGGCGTACGGGATCGAGAAGTAGTAGTTGACGTCGGTCGAGCTGCATTTGCCGCCCTCGAACGCGCCGCTCTGCGTGTGAACTACCGTCGACTCCGCGAATCCCACGAAGGCTAGTAGCCCGGCTGCTGCTGTAGTGCTTCGTAGATACATTCTTGATGATCTCCCTGGGCTACGCACTAGACCATGAACGGGGGATGGTGTCAGATTGGATGTTGAGAGACGAGGAACTTGTCAAACGGACTTGTTATTAGTTCGTTGTGAAGCCTTCCCAGTTGAATAGTAGGTAGGTAGGTAGGTACCTTTGTAGGTAATGGATGAGTTCAATATTGTCAAGGATCGATCTGACTGAGCCGCATCTAAAGCTTGTTTCCTCATCCGAAGGCCTGTGACTTTATATACAAGCTTACCGGATGACGTGGGAGATGGTACTCCGTTTATCTATCACAGCCAGAGTGATGCTGAAGCTATTTTTGACCATACTGTGTTTCAACTTGCACGTGTACCTGCATTAGTAGGTATGTAGTAGATATCTACCTACAAGTAGCATCCATGATGCTTTTCAGCTGATGGCTGAAGGAGCCTGCTGACTGTTAGGTGCTGTTACTTAAACTCGCATTCGGATAACACGACGATCTCCCCTGCCGCACTTCCGTAGGCAGCCATCGAACCGGATTGGATTGGGGGGTCTGATGCGATTGGCTGGGGAGTAAGTGCCTAAGATGCCGTTAAAGGGGCTAATCCTCCATTCCGCTTTCAAGTTGCAAAGATAATCTTGTGGTGAAACTTCGCAACAACCTCGATGTTCTAGGGCTTTGATTGAATTGTTGCATTGATTATTGTGCATGAGGTAAACCACCTTAGGTAGGCTGGCACTTATTTCGTCAATTGAATACATCCATCCATATGTTCATGATCCCAGATGGGAGTCTTGTTTGTAGCCGACAACTTGTCACATCTCACCAAGCTCCCCCCCCCCCCATCTACCTGCAACTTATTATTTCTTCTTATTTGCGAGTCCCTTATCCTCATTTTGACGGTTGATGAACAGGGATGCATTGTGGAAGACTTTGCTATCTATTGTGAATCCTGCTACCCCTTGAGCATGAAAGCGTCAAATTCATCCTCTGTCACATCAGTGGCTCTGCAAAAGTCTTCTTTGGACATGCTACTAGACAAGAGGTAATCTTTGATGTCTTTCTTGACTTCGACAGGCGGTACGTATCTTCGATCAAACGCCATTCGTAGCATTGCGTAAGGGCGACCTATTCTGTCCAGCTCATCCTGCGCGCGCTTCAGGTCAGCATCGTAGACAGGCAAGTCATCGTCGCTAATCCGTTTGAGACCGGGTGAGTGGGCTGGCAAGACTTTCTTGCCAGTTTTAGAGTTGACTTCATATAGATTCAAGACGGCTGCTTTGACGTCTCTCCGCTTATCTGGGTCCATCTTTCTCATCACAGCTTCGATGTAGCGCCGAAGAAAGGGCCACGGAATATTCTGGAAGGTGAATGGCCTGCCGTTTTTTAACTTGGGTTCGTTCGGATCGGAGAGGTCCAACGCCACAACATTCTTCTCGTGTATAGCCATCCTTGTGACGCATCGCTCTTCAAAGTGCCTCGCCTCCTCAACATCCCACCCAGCAGCAAGCGCGACGTCTGCTAGAATTCGTCGGTTGCGAGAGTAGGGTCCATATGAGTAATGAGAACTCCCAACTTTGATGGGCTTGCCCCGGACACCTTTTAGGCCGGTGATGCCTTGGTATTTTGCCCAGATCTTATCGTCCTCTTTCATGGGCGAGTCGGCGTTGGCGATTTCCCTGTCATCATCGTTAAGAACTCCCTCGGCTCGACGAACATCGCGCCTGTTCATCTCCCGGGCGGCTTCGAGTACTTCGTCTGAGATAATCGAGATCATGGCTGTTGTATGTTTGGTTAATAAATAAAAGGGTTCATATATTGCAAAACGGCCCGTGCATATCACCACTTTATCCCTCCAAGATATGATAAAGCAAGCAGGTAAGATATTGAAATTACTTAGTATGTACTGATATATGTAGGTGCCTATGCTTTAGTGTGTAGTAATAAGTAGTAGACTGTAGTGGTACTCTTAAGAATTTAAGTATATATTTACATGTACCCAAGCTACCGCAGTTTTCGCGTCGCGTAGCTAGTTACTGGGTACTACCTTGTATTGCAATTATTTTGAATTCGTAGTGTGTACTACTAGGTAATAACTAACTACAGGTGGGGGTGGGTACTTACATGTGCATACAGAGAAATGTGCACGTGATCGCGTTGGCTCTTACATCCTTAGGTACTAAAGTACCTTCTGGCCAAACTTTAATGTGCCCGAGTTTTCGAGGGTTACTGTACGGTTTTTTTCTCAAGGGGATTTGGCTTACTAATTAAATGTGTTAGGCTTAAATAAGAAACTTTTTCCACTTTAAGAATATGGAGATATTGTTTACGTAAGCTTGTAGGTTTTTAGGGGAAGAATTTTGGATTTTATAAAAAAAAAAAGTTTGTTAAAACTTTAAAGCCATGTATTAAATTACATATATAACCACATTTATAAATAAGGTTTAAAGGAATTTTAAAGTTATAAAAAAAAAAGGTTTACTAAAATTTAAAAGTTATATAAAAAGTTATATATGTAGTTATATATATAAAAAAATGTTTAAGTTTTTAAATAAAAAATATTTAAAGTTTAATATTATTATAAGCCTTAAAAACATTTAAATTTATTAATAGTTATTAAAATTTAATTAAGTTATTTATTATAATTAATAAAAATAAAAAATATATATATTTAATTATATTAATAACTTATGTAAAAAAGTTAAAATTAATTAAAATTATTAAAATTATAAATCTTAAAAATTACTTTTAAATTATATGTATAATATAACGTAAAAGATTTAAGATTTTAACATAATAATTTAATTAGGTATAATATTCATTAAATCACATAACTTATTTTTTTAAGTTATAACTTTTTTTTTTAAATTATAAGAGTTATTAACCTTTTTAATTTAACCTTTTTTATTTAATTTAATTAATTAAATTAATTAAATTAAATTAATTAAATTAAATTAATTAAATTAATGGATTAATTAATTAGTTAATTAGTTAATTAATTAATTTATTAATGAATAAATTAATTAAATATAATACCTTTTAAATTATATAATTACTTATAACATTTTCTTTTTTAATATAATAAAAAATATATTAATTATTAACTTTTTTAATTTAATCTTTTTTATTTAATTTAATTAATTAAATTAATCGGATTAATTAAATTAATAAATTAATTAATTAAATAATTAATTTATATATTTTATTATAAGCTAATTAATTAATTAATTAACTAGTTAAATAATTAATTAAATAACTTAAGTTAACTTATTTAATATTAAATTTAACATTAAATTTAATATTAAATTTAATAATTACTTAAATAATTAATTAAATACTTAATTAATAATCTAATTTATTAAATAATTAAAAACCTAATTAAATATTAAATTAAAAAAATTAAAGGATTAATGTAATTAAAGGGATTTAAAAGTTAATTAAGAATTTAAGTAAAAATAATTTAATTTTATAACTTTAATTAAGTCTTTAATTAATTCTTAAATCCCTTGATTTTTTTAATCCCTTTAATCCCTTTAATTTAATATTTAATTAAATCTTTAATTAATTAATAAATTAAGTTATTAAGTAATTATTTAATTAATTATTTAAATAATTATTAAATTTAACTTTAAAATTAACGTTAAATAAATTAACTTAAGTTATTTAATTAGTTATTTAACCAGCTTATAATAAAATATATAAATTAATTATTTAATTAATTTAATTAATTTAATTAAATTAATTTAATTTAAATTAATTAATTTAATTAGTTAAATTAAATTTAATTAAAAGGTTTAATAGTTTTTATTATATTAAAAAAATATTATAAATAATCATATAATTTAAAAAATATTATATTTAATTAATTAGTTTATTAATTAATCTAATTAATTTAATTTAATTAATTTAATCCGATTAATTTAATTAATTAAATTAAATTAGAAGGGTTAAATTAAAAGGGTTAATAATTTATATATTCCTTATTATTTAAAAAAAAAAATTATAATTTAAAAAAACAAATTATATAATTTAATAAATACCTTTAACTGCTTATATTAATTTAATTAAATAACTTTTTAATTATATATTATATAATAATATAATTAGATTTAATTAAAAAAAAATTTAATTATTAATTAATTAATATTAATTTAACTTAGTGTATCTTATCCACATTATATAAACTAGTCACGTGACCTTAATCGTGGATAAAACGCACTTCTTAAATTAAGATATTTAAAACACATGCCACTTTTAATACACACATTCACGCGTAACGTAATAATTAATTATTATTTCTATGAAATGCCTTCTTTCTAATTAAATTAAGTTTAACATTTTAAGTTAAAAGAGGTAAATAGCTAAGGAGCTTTAAGCTTTTTAAGTAAGTTTATCCTTTAACCTTAGAAATTCCTATTTTTAATTTAATATAAGTCTTAAAATAAAACGATATAAAATTATAAAATTATTTAAATAAATAAATTAATAAAATAAGACATATAATTAATGTTAAAGATATATTAAAAACCTTTAAAGCCGCTTAAAAACGTTAAAACTATTTAAAATTACCTTAAATAATATTATATAACCCTTTTTAATAATTACATATATAAAAATAACTTTTTAATTATATATTACCTTAATTTAAAAGCGGTATTAATGGATTTATAATTAAATACGCTTTTAATTAAATCTAATTATACCCTTATAATTATATATTTTAAAAACATATTTAAAATTAAAAATATTAAATAAAATTTAACTTTAAAGGCTTTAAAGGCGTTAAAGGCTTTTAATATAACTTTAAAAATAATTATATACCTTTTATTTTACCACTTATTTACTTAAATAACTTTATAATTAAATATCGCATTAATTTAAAACTAACGTTAATTAATTAATAATTAAATACGCTTTTAATTAAAACCGGTTATAATATAATATAATATTTAATTTAAAAATTATTTAAAATAAAAAAAAACTTAAATATAATTTAAGTTAAAAACATTAAATTAAGCTTAAATTTAAAAATTTAAAAAACTTAATAAATTTATAATACCTTAACTTATTTAACATTAAATTTAAAGTTAAAATTATTTAAATAATTAATTAAATATATAATTTATTAATTAATTAAAAACTTAATTAAATATTAGATTTAAAGGATTAATGGGATTAAAGAAATTAAAAGATTTAAAAACTAATTAAAAACTTAATTTAAAATGTTTTAAAACTTTAATCACATAATTTAATTAAAATCATATAATTATAATATTTTTAATTAAGTTTTTAAATCCCTTTAATCCTTTAATCCTTTAATCCCTTTAATTTAATATTTAATTAAATCTTTAATTAATTAATAAATTAAATTATTAATTAAATATTTAATTAATTATTTAAATAATTATTAAATTTAACTTTAAATTTAACGTTAAATAAGTTAACTTAAGTTATTTAATTAATTATTTAATTAATTATTTAATTAATCGATTAATTAACTTATAATAAAATATATATATAAATCACTTATTTAATTAATTAATCCATTAATTAATTTATTAATAAATTTAATAAATTTAATTAATTAAATTAAATAAAAAAGGTTTAATTAAAAAAGTTAAATAAAAAAGGTTAAGTTAAAAAAATTAATAACTTAATAATGTTATAAGCAGTCACGTGATTTAAAAGGTGTTACATTTAATTAATTAGTTTAAAAATTAATTAATTAATTAATTTAATTTATTTAATTTAATTAATTTAATTTAATAAAGTTAATTAATTAAATTAAATAAAAAGTGTTAATAACTTATATATCCCTTACCATTTAAAAAAAAAAGTTATAACTTAAAAAAACAAGTCACGTAATCTAAAAAATGCTACATTTAATTAAATCGTTTTATTAAAACCTTAAATTCTTAACGTAACGCTAGCCTAAAAGCAGCTTTTAGGATAGATACGTAGTAGTAATATTAAAATTGGGTCCAAGAAAACTTGGGCAATTGTGGCGCGCGCGAGTGTGTGCCCTCTAGTTCAATGTTTCGACTTTCGATTCCTCACTTTCCATTTTCCATTTCCTACCTAGGGTATATTTCATCTTCGACCGCTCCTTTACCACTTCTCCCTCTCTCACAATAATATACAAATTATTTCTCCAATCTTACGCCCATTCCAGGAATATCTGAAAAAATGGCTCCTCCACAAGAGTCAAATCTCCTAGGTAAATTGATACAGTTCTGTCTTTTTTTTTGTTCTGATATATAGTTCACATCCTCATATCACCAATATGCACCTGTGCCTTTCATATCGAATTTGTTGGACAATGACCGGGGCCATTGGGATACCTTTGAAGGTATACCCTGCGACAAGGCATACGGAGCAAGGCATCGATGACGAGCACCAGGGCTAAGACATGCCATGAGGCCTTGAACTTGTCGAATCTCTGCAGGTGGTCTCCTCAGAAACATTTCGAGGTGCTCTCTGTTGCCAGTGGGGTCCAGAATCACCTGTCTTTAAATTCGACTTCTACTTTACCACATGTTGTTTTCCATTCTTATTTCTTTCTTTCCATCTTCACTCTCACCTTTACCATCCCAGTTTCGTGGCTATTTAAACATGCATGATGGCTTCACAGGGGCCGGCGGGTGGTCAACCACCTCAACAAGAGCTTCCAAACTTTGTGAAGAAGCTGTTTGATGGCGAAATTACTCTGGAAATGGTCCTGGAAAATAACCAGGCGGCCAAAAAACGCAGAAACGTGAGAGATGGACGAGCTGATGTTGAGCTTCTAGACCGATTGAACCGCGCAGTTGCCCAGGTTCTCACGCGTTATAGCGCCATGGTCATGGCCGCCACCGCTCCTCTACCCGACACTGGCAATATCCTTGAGCAAGCAGCTCTGAACCGAATGACCATGGAAACAGAGAGTTCCGCCTTGGTAAGTGCCCCTTTCCTCCTTTCCTCTCCCTCCCCGTCTTCCATCATCTAGGCATCCATATCTGCTTGTCTTTCAATTTTGCCCCCTCGTTAACCACTGCTACAGATCGCAGAGGTTAGAAGTCTCCTCGCTATCAATCGGGAGATCAAAGCTCTTTGGATTACTGGTGCCCTTCGTAGCCCAGAGGGTCATGATAGTGAGTTGGAGGCTGAATTGGAGCTCCAAGCCCAGCGCGTGGCGACCCTGCACGATTCGGTCATCCATTTGCGCTCCCAAGCTAGTAAGTACCACCGGATAATCTTTATATATCTTTCTAGCCTACATTTGAGGCCAGTTTCTCTTGATCGAGTCTAGTTCGGAAAATCTTACACCTGAGCTCACCTCAGCTCAAACGTCTTATAATTCGGACGATGTTTGCTAACTTTTATTGCTACAGTCTCGAAGGAGGCCCGCCTTAAGGCTCAAGCCAAGGAGCTGCACAAAGCCCAAGAGGAGGAGAAGGCTCAGGCGTTGGCTGCCCTCGCCGCTTAGGAAGACGAGCCCGATCCTGTACTCAGGCAGCAGAAGAAAGAGGCCTATGAGAAAGACGTGAAGCGCCGCGAGAAGGCCCGCAAGAAGTCCCAGCAGAAGCGCAAGCGCCAGGCTCAGCGCAAGAAGGAGCAACGCGAACAGCAGGCTGGAAATGAAAACCCTGAATCCGCCGATGCCGACGATGAGATGCCTGCAGGCGGTGACGAGTACGAACCTGTGCTAGAGCCCACCGTCACTGAGGATCTCAACCAATTGAATATCTAAGCCTACAAGCCAATCAACAGCAGCAGCAGCCATCCTGAGATGAACAAGAAAACCTCGCACTCGGAAACAAACAAAACGCTGGTGCTCGGAAATAATAGGCGATTTTGGCAACGCATAAGATGGGCGAGAATAGGTCATGTTCAGTGAGGGTAATCGCAAACAAGGCATCACGGCGGATGTGGAAGATTACGACGACGAAGGATAGCAGATTTGGCACACAACTTGGCGGTTATCCCGGTTTTATTCGGCTTTTACCGATACTTCATAAATCACCAGTTGGAGGATACAAATCTTGTTCTTGTTTTTCTCTTCTTGTTTCCCGGAAAGCAGGCAACGACCATCGAGTATCTAGCAGACGTGGACTTACATTTTATATATGTAGTTCAAGGTCTATCTGCACCCACAAGGGTACTTATATAGGCTGTCTGTCTACGAAGGAATGGATTTGGAGGCCTACTTGACTCACTGGATAGTGTTTGGGGGTTTCTAATAGTGCTTGATCATTCTGGCAATCCTTTTGCTTGCTATCATGGTCTAGTTTATAGGATCAATAAACAGACACATCTGGTTTTACAACAGTAAAAGAAAACAGAAAAAAGGTCTTCTATTTTTGATCTCGTAGGTGTGATTGTGATTACATTCCTTGGAGAAGCTATCTAGGCGCCTACCTAACCTAGGTGCTTGCTAGATGATAGCTAGGTACCTCGTAAGAATCCGAAATTGGATCTAGAATCGAATCTACTACTACTACCACCTAGGTACTACCTAAGCACATATGCCCACCGGCACGTAAATCAAAATATGCATAGGTATAATATATCGGGGCCTACACATACATCATCATCATCATTAACTCAGCCCTCACCATTCCCAGACCCCTCGTCTCCATCCTCTCCCAGCTCATCATCATCTAGTTCCTTGGGGACGGAACTCATGGGGCCGTCCCTGGGCTGAGCAGCATACATGCCGCCGGCTGTGACCCAGAGGAAGTAATTCGTCTTGAAGTTATCGATCTGGTGGAAGAATGTGTGGAACCTAGGAGGAAGAAGAAGAAGAAGAGAAGACGTGTTAGTAAGAACAGGTAAGTAGTGTAAGTTCAGTTCAAGAAGCATAGGCAAACGTACGAGTTTTCCCTCTCCTCCATGTCGAAGATGCGGCGGTAAATGTGCGCATCCTTGAACTCCTGGATCTCCTTCTCGTAGTTGGCGTAGTCGAGCTCGGGCAGGCCGTACTGATCCTTGGCGCGCTTGTTGTAGTTCTCGAACACGGGTCGCTCGAGGAGGAGACCCAAGCTTGGGGCCTTGGGGATGCTGATGCGGATGTCGCTGTAGCTTTCGTCGATGCGGGTTAGAGGGGTTGCGCAGCGGGTAGCTAGAACGGCCATGGCGACCATTTTGCGGATTTGGTGCATCATGAAGGATTGTCCGTGAACCTTGAGGGACAGCCATTGGGTATCGTTGATTTGAACTGGCTCCGGGTTTGCAATGAAGGACTTGATGGTTCGTTTCGCCGAGGGGTCTGAGTGGGATTTTTGAATGGTGTAGTTGTGGTAGTTTTTGGTGCCGAGATATTTGTTAAGCGCTTGTTGTAGTTCTGTTAACCGCTCTGGCGTGACTCGATAACGTCGTTTCGCAGCTACATAAGCGGCCTTGATCTGCCTAAGCGCTTGCTCTACTGGGTGTATCTCTTTAGGCTTCGTTGCCTCTGTGTCATCGGTAGCTTCTACTCCTTCAATCGTAGCATCCCCAGGTGACGAGGCTAGTTCTGCTGCTATGCTTGAACCTTCTGCAGACTTGATTTGGTCTAACTCGGAAGTAGTCGTTCCATCACCATTGGTATTTCCAGTGTCTGCTTGCTTCTCGGATGATTCACTGGTAGGCTCCATATCAGTGGGATCATCAGGCTTGATTGCTTCCTCTGCAGATGTAGGATCACCAGATGCATCTGTTACGTGCATACGACGCAAGACCGTCTCTCGCACATCGGGATCCAGGCTGTCCAAGATGGGTTGGATGTCATTTTTCTGCACCTCATCCCAGTAGTCTTTGACTTCGTTCAGTCTCCTTGCATATTCTTCCTCAACACCATGCTCCTTAACAGATTCCAGGACTTTCTTGCCCAAAAAGCTCTCAGGGTGCGGGGGTAATAAGCAGTAGCTAGGCATCAAGTACTCGTACCATCGCGAGTCGCAAGATGCGTAGCAACTGAAAGAATTGTTCGTTCGTTGAATACCCCAAACTCTGATTTGGGGCGGCAGGTTCTCGTTAATCTTCTGCACCACATCTTTATCTTCAATGATCAGCTTTAGGGAAATCATGTTTCCAGCGGCATGGACACCCTTGTCGGTCCTCGCACATCGTACGAAGCTTGATTTCCTTGGGTCGTCGGCGTTGGCCTTGGAGATAGACTTGGCCGCTACGAGGGCGGCGAAGATATCGCCTTCAATTGTCTTCTCCTTGTGGTTGATCTGTAGACCGTGGTACCCGGTGCCAGCATATCCAATCATGACGGCGACTTTTTTCTTGGGCCTGCGCTCTTCGGCAGCAATCTCTGCCTCGGGAAACTGGATATGCATATAGCTGGGCTCAGTGGGAACGGCATTCCCATTCTCATCTACCTTCCTACGCTTTCGCTCTTGCCATCCTTTTTCATTCCGATCGCGTCGGCTGTATTCGGAAACTAGTTAGCAGGTATTGGCTTGGGCCTCGAGAAGGAACCAATTGATGTGGACTATAAATGACTTACCCTTCGAATTCGCGATCCGAGCCCTTGCGTTTGAAATCTTGTCCTCGTCTGCGGCCGTTGGCAGTGAGCTTGCGATTTCCGTTTCTGTCATTTCTGTCATTTCTGTCGTTGTTGTTGCGTCGACTTGGCCCGGAAGTGTCTGTATCCCCCGTCGGCTTTGCATTTGCAGATGCTTGGGAAGCACTCGTTGGGGGGTCGTGAGTATTGTTGTCGGACACCATCTTGAAATGCGACGGTAACAAACTCGCATTATTGTCAAAAGACGGATTCAAATTTATGTGGATTGAAGGTGATGAATTAGAATTCCGACTGCATGTCTTGTCTCTTTTTTTTTTTTTTTTTCTTTTTTATACATAGTTATGTATTAACTACCTAGTACCTAACTAGTACCTACCCTGGTATCCCCTCGAGACCCAACACCGGGCTTTTTAGCGCCCCCCACTAAAACCTCACACGGGCCAGGCTCGCTACCAGCTTTTTACCATCGACTATGTACCGGTTCAAATAATAGGCGCGTTTTTACGTGTAGCAGCAACGTGTGGTATTTAATTTTTTGGTTCCGTTTATATTAATCCTTTAACGTTCGAGAAACTTAATGTAAAAAAATTAAGGCTAAATTTTATTAATAACGATACCGACGGCGATAAGTTTAACGATAACGATGTGACGTATAGATTAGCGATATATAAACTATTAATTTATTTAAAATGTTAGGTAATTCTTTATATGAAAGGTAACTATTAATAAAAGTAATATATATATATATATGTTTTATATTAAAAGAAAACGCGTATAAGTATTAAAAGTTTAATTAATTTTTCTTAGAAATAATGTATAAAATGTTTAAAATAAGCTTAGATAAATATATGGAAAGTAGGTCCAAGCTCTTGTATTTTATTCGCCAGCGAGGCTTAAAATATGGGGGGCGCTAAAAAGCCCGGTGTTGGGTCTCGAAGGGATACGAAACTAGTATTTATCGATAAGGGAAGAAGTGGGGGTGGGGTAATTATGCATGCTCGTGTAACTAAGCCCGTCTATTATTAGGTATCACACCAAGACATCACACTTGAACCTCTTTCACATTCCAATCACTCCAACTTACACCTTCACATTCCAATCACTCCAACTTACACCTTCAATCATTCTTCAACATACATACTCAGGCATCGAAGACAACCTCGATAACTGAGTCCTGCCCACCCTTAGGCGAAACAATGCTGACAATGCTGAATCTCTCGTCTGCACCCGCTAGCATCCCTTCCCATCCCTCCCTATTTCTCTCCTTTGCATTGAACCCGGACATCATGAACATGTCCATACTCCTACAATCCCCATTAGGCACATGCTCATAAAAGCAAAGAAGAAGAAAAATTGATTCTTTGACATACCTCGTGAACTGATCTTTCATGTGACTGCCTTCACTCAAGTCGGGCACATTTGTGTCGGAGATCCATATCCTGGTCCCCTTCTTAAGCGCCGGCACCAAGTTCCTCAGAATCTTGGCACAGTACTTGTCGCTCCAGTCGTGGAAGATGTGGCGGAAGATATATGCATCCGCTTGGTGCGTCACCTTCTGGGCGAAGAAGTTGTAGCTCAAAAAGCCCAATCTGCCCTCAAGATCCTCAGGGGCTTTGACGTCAGCGATAACCTCCGGCAGGTCTAATATTGTCGCTTTCTTGATGTTGGGAAATCGCCGAAGTACTAGGTGGGAGTTTAGATGTTAGTGACATGCTAATACAACTCCGAATAACTACTAGGCACACAGGACCCAGATGACAGCAACCTGCAATGGCGGAGAGGTAAGGCGGATATTTTCAGGGAATGGAAATAGGGGTCTTACTCTGCTGGCACAGTTCACCACCAGCCCCACCAACATCCGCAATGGTTTCCGGACACTGACTCTTGTCTGCCCAAGGCACACTGTCGATAAAGTACGTTGCTTTGAAGCCTGCTATTTTCGTCGTGAAGCCCATGATAGAACGGAAGCGGGCAACCCTCTCGGGGTCATCCGCCATGTACTCAAAGTACGTCTTGCTCGGGTCCGGGACATCCTCCTCGTTGACCCCAGTCTGCTTGATGGCGATCTGCTCCCTAGCCGCCAACACCGCCGCAGCATGTCCTGGCTCGCCGCTGCCCGGGTACCGCCTCATACTCTCGGCGAGCTTGCCAAAACTCAAGGCCTGCTCCTCGACGAGGAAGCCTGCTATTTCTTTGATCTGGGTGGCGGCTAGTGCGGACGACAGGGCGTTGTGCTTCACGGACACGTTTGGCTTCGCCTCCTCGAACACGTGGAAGGCGATGGCGGCTTGGACCAGACGGCGTGTCTCGTCTTCTGGGATGCCGCATCGTGATGCAAGGTCCCTGTATGAGATCTCCCCGCCTTCCGAGAGAGGAACGTGGGAAGCGATGTCAAACATGTATAACGTGCTGAAGACGCCTAGCAGGGTAGGCTATACATAAGTCTTGGTGAGCTCGCTGAATTTGTATAGCTAGATATACAATCAACACAGAATAAGGGGAATTGGAGGATAGGTATGACTCCAGTGTCTTACGGCTGCTAGTAGAGTGGGAATCAAATACCCCAATGGCCCTGCTACGCGGACACGCAGTTCGTCGACTGTCTCGAGTAGCTCGCTGCGGGCAGCCTCGAGGGAGGGCGACATGTGGGCTTGTAGCTCAGCTCCGAAAGCAACGGAGAAGTCGGCTTCAGCGGTCCCTTTCAGCCCATCTTCGAGACTACGCGCGTTGCGCTCGATGATGGTCGCAAGCTCGGAAATGGGTCTTGGAGGTGCCATGGTGGATGAGGATTGATTGGTGGTGTTTCAAAGATAGATAGATAGGTACCTATTGCGAATGTTTAGGCAGTAATCAAACGTGGGCGAGGACAGACACAGACAGTATGAGTATGAGTACGAGGCTCTTGTTTGACACTCTAGCGGAAGCTAAGCTCTGCCTAGGTAGGTATACTTTATATAACACAGAGCTCCATCACATCCGGCCAATTCACCGAATCTATATATAGGTGGCATTCCTAGGTACGTACCTGCATAGAAACTTGCTGTCCCCGGCCCCGGCCCCGACCCCGACTTTTCCAATCTGAATATGCCGAGTCCGAGATTCCCGCTCCGGCCGGCAAAGCAAAAGGTTTATGAGTCAGTCATACCTGTGGATATCATAGGGTCATAGGGCTTAGCCATTTCCAATCGTTTCTCCTGGTTCTCCTGTGACAATAGGTATATAGGTATGTACATGATGATGATGATGATGATGACGAAGCCCCGTCTATCCAAACAAGCAGTTTGCACTGCTACTTCTTCTTCTTCTTCTTCTTCAAGTCAAGCTTGATTAAGGACTGTGGTGTGATGTAACTAGGTAGGTACATAAGTATTTGTGATTTGTGATCCATGTATGGCCTCTATTTGTGTGCATTATAAATCACATCTCATTTGTTGTTTGTAAACATACGTCGATCTTTTTCCAAAACGACTTTCTCTCTCCCCTAGTTACCTATCTATCTACTTGGGGTGCCTGTCACTCTTACTTAATATGTGTACCGGAAGTTCGGTTGGAATTCCTCCTACACGGCATTGTTAGCTCCGGGTTCCGGCATACGCAGTGTGCGTTATGTGGATGGGGGTGGGTGGGTGGGTGGGTAAGTGTTACACATACGTCTTGCGTCTCCAGCTGCTTCTCCCCGCGGTCCGCCTTCTTGTTGTCGAAGTAGAAGGATATGTCCAGGATGCACACGATGATGATGACGCAGATGCAGGCAACGATGCACGTGTACAAGCCGGGCTTGTAGCCCGTGGCCGCGTCTTGGGACCTGGTGGTAGCTTGTTAGCAATGGGCAGGGTCAAACGCAGCCAAGTGCGAGATAGGTAGGTTAGGTTGGGTTGGGTTGCTGCACTGTACGTACCTGAAGACCAGACTCCCCGCAATACCACCAATACTCGCCATGCTAACCCACGCCGCACTCGCAAACGCACGCTTCCACTGCCCACGGATATTGTTCGCCTGGTACGCCAGGGACGCCGGGATGTTGGTGGTGGCGCCCGCGGTGACCAGAAACGCGCCGAAGTAGCGCACGCCGTTGTCGGGGTGCCAGCCGAGGATGGGGATGCCGATGAGCGCCACGACCATGTTGGTGACCAGGATGGGACCCCGCACGTGGTACTTGTCGCCGAGCCAGCCCATCAGGTACATGTACACGCCCGCGAAGGCGTAGGGCGGCGCGATCAGGCACTGCGACTGCCCGCGCGTGAACCCCAGGTTCGTGTACAGGATGAGGGGTAGGAAGTACGCCAGGGAGTAGGTCAGGGTGTTGGAGCAGAAGGAGATCATGCCGTACGACCTAGAGGAAAAAAGAAAGAAGTGGCGTCAGCCTTCGATATACCGACCGATGCCCAGATTTGCTCAGTTTTTAGAGAAGATTTGTCGTCACATCATGTTCAGACTCTCTTCAGAACACAGCAAGACCTCTCTCCCTTCCAACTAACAAAAAGATGATAAAAGAAAAAGACTTACCAGACTCTCCAGTCCATACCGCCCCTCAGGAACCGGCTGATCTTGAACTTAGGCACCACGACATCGCCGCGGTCGGCGTTGACTCTTCTCACGATCCACGCGCGCTCCCGGTCGCTCAGGAAGCGCCACGACTTTCGGTCCGAGTCCGGGAAGTCGACTAGGAGCCAGTAGCCTAGCATGGCGAGGACACAAGTTATCACGCCTGAATCGATGTTGTTAGTATCATTAGACAATCGTCCAAGTTCGTTGATGTGATGGGGGGTCGGTTTGCTTACCGCAGATGATGAAGATCCACCTCCATCCGCTCAGCCCCTGGATGCCGTCCATTTGCATCAGACCGAAGGCAAGAATACCGCTAAGAGGTTTCGAAGTCAGCAATGCCCTCGATATGATATGAATATTAAATGATGGAGAGTAAAGGAGGGAAAGGTTCCGGCTATATGGAACATATGAAAGAAATATACTCTACTTACGCGCAGGCAGAGGCAACACAGCCCAGGAGGTAGAACAGCGAGTACCTCCGACCGACCTCATCTACAGCACACTCAATCAGCACCCTGCCTCTCCAATCTTACGGAATCTCGGAGAGCAACTAGGGGAGAATCAATTACATACATCGCGTAAACCAAGTCGACAGCAAATACACGCAGCCGGGGAAAAAGCCAGCCTCAAAGACGCCAAGGAGGAGGCGCAGGCCGGTAAGGACCTGGAAGGACGGGGTGAAGCCGAAGCCGATCATGACGACGCCCCAGCAGAGGGTGATGGTGGACAGGAAGATGCGTGGGCCGATCTTGCGGATGATCACCGTCGAGGGCGGCTGGAAGATGATGTACGTGATGAAGAAGACCAGCGTGATGATTGACTGATATGATTGTCAGTATAAGAGGAGACCGGGATCAAATTCTTTTTTTCATTGGCGTTTTCTTTCAAGTTCAACGATGACGATGAGATGAGACTCACGTAACGATTACCCGTCAGATGGAGCTCCTCATTCATGCCCGCGACAGCTGCGGCGGATATGTTGGTGCGGTCCATCAGACTGATGCAGTACATGAAGCCGACGAGGACGACCAGCCGGCGGTCGATCCGCCGCAGGATCTTCTTCCCTTCTGCCTCGGAGAACTCGTCGTCGAACGCATCTGAGGCCTGTGTCTTTTCTCGCTCGATCTGCTCGACATCGAGCTCTGCCTTCTCGTTGTCTCGATCCATTGTTGTGGCTGTTGTTGTCGAGCCTTGTCTACCTAGGTAGGTAAGTCTCCCTCTTTTTATACTTCCTCTTCTCTACTTTTTTTTCTTTTCTTTTACTTCTCCAATGTTGCGAGCTGGGGATGTGGCCTAGTAATGGTGGGAGCAGCAGGGAAGGCCAGCAGGTCAGGCGGCGGTGTAAAAAGGGCGAGCAAGCAGCGGGATTTTAAGAAGTTGCCTCCCTTTTATAAAAGTTTCCCTTGTGTTGCGTGGCTAGCTTCGCGTTAGTGAGAAGAAGAAAAGAAGTAAAAAGTAGAGGTACCTAAGTAAGCATAGGTGGCGTTCGAAGGGCGTTTTGAAGGGGGGTTTTTATTAGGAAACCCGGGGTTTACTATCGGGGCCGTTGGAGAAAAAAGAAAGGAGGAGAGGGGGGTTGGCTGGCCAGTCAGGGAAGCAAAGACGGTCTGGTGATAGATCCCAGCCCACCCCTGCCTCCCCCTTCTGCCCCCAAATCCCAGAGTGGTGGTATACCTAGGTATACATGCCTTACTTACATATGTAGTAGTATGTACCCCTTTATACCGATGTCTCACCCGACTGGAATGGACGGCAGGTTGGTTAGAATCAAAAGCTGCAGGTAAGGTGAGCTAGGCAAACCAATGTCTCGGACACTAGTTCTAGACCCGGGTAGGACCAATGGTAGACATCGTGCTGTTCTTTCAAGTCCTCTTTGTTATGCCCACTAGGTACGTGTCTAGATGGTATCTAGTCGCGGAATATAGGCCGGGGATTTCTCAAGATAAGCGAGGTGCTTTGTCCAGCGTTACATGGACTCGGCGGTTTTATTCTGAAATGTTGGTATATATCCGGGGCTGGGGGTTCTTTGGTTCAATGTTGTTCTACGTACTGACATCATGAAGTCAATAATCGAATGGTATCAAGATTGTGTTCCGTAGTACTATGTATGTAAAAGATCTACCGAATAGATGTAGTGTTAGATGTAGTGTACCATATAGGTACCTAGTGTAGCTACAAACATAAATATTAGGTTAGTACCTACATAAGCTTAATTACTAGATCAAGATTTCCACATGTTTGCTACATTGCCTGCCCTAGATACGGGGTAGGTACTAGGTAAGTTGTAGTCTGTAGATACACTACTAGCACGGCATGGATAAAGTTCAAAGTTGTGGGAATGCGGGGGAAACCCGCTGTACTATGTAGGTGTCCGCTTTGTTAGCCACTTCAGGTTACTTACCGTGATAGAATGCGGGGTTGGCCGGGTTCTAAAGCCTGATGGGGATCTGAGGATCTGATTGTGTGGGGTTAAGGGCGAGGTATCCATATCCCTTTCTTCGATAAACTGTTCAAACCTCCTTCTCACTGGACAAGAGATATACCTCGGCTTAATACTATCATTCTTGTATCCTAAACCGAAGACTCGTTCTATTTAGTAGGTATACCTGAAACCCTCCACACCCTCTAGGATAGCCACCCCCGCCGCAGCGCGTTTATTTGCGCGGAAGAAGTGGATGGAGAAGACAACCACAATACCGATAATTAAGATGTGAGACCCAATGGAGACCCAGACAGCGGTCATGTAGTGGGGAGCCTCCTGAGAGCGGACAATGAAGCTCCCAGCAATACCGCCCGCACCGTTCATAGCCGTGACGGCGGCAGCAGTGAAGGCGCGTTTCCACTGTCCGGCGATATTGGATGCTTGATATGTGCTTAGCGCGGCCCAATTGCTCACATAAGCCCCCGTCGCGAGGTACGTGCCGATATAGCGCACGGTGACTTGCTCGGAGAAGCCGAGCATGCAGAAGCCGACGATGAGGGTCACGCAATTGAACGTAATGACCGGTCCGCGAAGTTGAAAGCGGTCGCCAATGATGGAGGACAGGAGCACCGGGATCACGGCATAGTAATAAGGCGGCGCGGATAGCAGTATCGCCTGGTTGTCGTCAAAACCCATGCCGCCTTGTAGGATGATGGGTAAGAAGTACGATAGCGCAGTCGACACTAGGTTCAGAAGGAAAAACATGCAAGCGAAGCCGTACACTTTCGGGTCCCGTGCATGCACAAACACTTTGCCCCAAGAAAACGTGTCCGGCTCAACATCCTTACGGTCGGCATTGATCCGAGCCACGGCAAGCTCCTGTTCCTCCGGGGTGAGGAACCAAAAGGATCGGTGCGCCTCCTCGGGGAAGTCCACAATCCAAAAGTAGGTTACCAATCCTATGACCATCGCAATTATGCCCTGGACCAGGAACATGTATCGCCAGCCAGCGATGCCACCTTTACCATCGAGCTTATTGAGGCCGAAATTGACGATACTACCCGTCGCTAGTATGACGACCTCTCCCGTCTGCAAGAAGGCGAAGCGCGTTTGTTGTTCCTTTCTTGGGTACCACGTGGAGATGAGGTACGTTAAACCCGGGTAAATGCCACTCATCGATATGCCTAATAGCACACGTAGCGCAATCATTTGCCGCCATGTTTGGATGAAGGCGGTGCACATGGTAATGAGGCCGAAACAGAAGGTGATAAAGGAGAACCATAGGCGTGGACCGAAGGTGCGCACAGCCAGTGTCGAAGGCAGTTGAAAGGCGATACTGGATATGGTGAAGATGAAGATACTGACGCTAAATCGATTGCCGGTGAGGTCCAAGTCCGATATCATGGAAGTGACCGATGCGGAACTAATCACACCGGAGTCGAGCAGATTCAGAGAACAAAGTATGCCGGCAATGGTACATAGTCGCAAGTCGACCTTGAGCCTGAGACGTCGTTCTAATGAACGTCGAGTGGCAACAAAATCTACATCGTTCTCGTTAATTACGATATCTTCCTCCTCCTCCTCCCCCCCTTCGTCCCCACTAAGAATACGTTCAGAAACAGTGTCTTCATTGTTCGCAACCTTTAATGAAGACAACTTTTCTTTTCGCTTAGTGTCGACGTTGTGAGCTGGAGACGAAGCCATTGCCCGACTGTTTCGATTTAGAAAGGTGAAAGTAGCGTGGAAGGCATACTATGTAGGCAGCGAGGTAGTGTAGTATTTATCTAAGACCCGACTGCGGAGCTGGAGTTTTTAAGAGAAAAGAAAAGAAACATTTCAAATGTATACTAAGCAAAAGTGGAGATGAAGGCTTTGTCTTACCAATCAGGGGACCCTTGATAGCGATGGATGGAAAGTACGAAGTACCTTCTTTATTCTTGATGCTGAACATTTGAAGTTTCTTGAAAATATCATGACTCTAATATCAAAAGTAAGCATATACATATCTTGTTGTTACCCTAATATACTACCTACCCTATAAGATATCCTATAAGATGGCGATCAGATATAGGCGTAGAAGGGGATAGGCTGCAAGAAATATCGAATTCGTCATCCTTATTAGTTCGATTCAATCGTCGCTAAAAACTTTTGCCCTTGAACATTGAAGTGCCTAACCTTAGGTAGGTATCCATAAATTCAACCGAAGTTGATCACGGGAGTTGCCGATGACGGACGCAATTATCGTCAACGTTCGAAAAGGAATTAAGCTCAAAGGTCAACCGTATTTACCTATTCCATAGAATGAAGGTTTCTTTTTAGCAAAATTGATTCAGGGGTACGAGATTCGTTGTTTCGTATGCCGACTGTTTAGCTTCTAATGTACCTGGATGGGCACCCAATACGTATGTATTATCAAGCTCTTAAGTTCAATGGTGCCTATAACCCGATCGTCCTAAACCCAATTATCCTACTTAGAACTACCCAGTAGTTCAATAGGACCTCGATCCTCTCGAGGTAATAGTATTGCGCCGCCTCGCTTCGATAGATGTTCGTTAACCTCACAGTAGCAGCACTCCGTGTTCACCCAAAAAGATCATCTTTCTAGCCTAGCATTACTGTCAGTGGGTCATCACCTTCGTATATATATACCACCTCTACCGTGAGCCACATCTCTAAGCTCCGCTCTTGAAGTACGAACTCCAGCCAAATGCAGAGGCACGCTGTCAACTCGTTTCTGTACTTTGGTTCGAATATCAACATATCTCTCCTCAAGAGACATAGTACTCATTTCTGTCTTGACCCTATGAAGCGTTGTATCGCACTGCCAGTTCTCGCGGTCTAGACTAGCCACAGCTGTCTTGATGTCTCGCGTGACAATAGGAGTATGTGCGGCACGTGGCTGAGAGCGATCGACCTTTGGCATGGACCTTAGATATGCCATGATGACAACCTGTAGATTGGCGTTGAATAATGCCGTTTCGCCAAAGTCATGGACAATGTGAACCGCGACTACGTTCTTCGCAATGACCTGCGGTGGCCCATATGGCGATGGACCGACGGTAATAACTGCCGCATGCCATTCAGACGAGATGTCTCCAAGTCTGTCCTTCCGCTGAATAGCAGCCCAGCCAATATAAATGCCATTCAGACGGAGCAGTAAATCGCTTGGTACCCCGTTCAGATTCGCAGTTGGTAAATTGACTTCCATCTTACTTCGGCCAGTTCCTAGGACAACTTTACCAGTGAAACGGACAGGGTATGGCTTCTCAGGTCCACTGTCGGCCCCAATAATCACAGGTGCTGCTTCTAGGTCCCCTTCCGCACGTAATGGGTCATACGTAGCGTCTCTTTCTGGCTCAAAACTTTCTTCTACAGTTTCATACGCCATAATCCCAGCTTCCTGCACGATGAATCCTGGCATATACGGCTCCACCTTAGTTTGCAATCGTTCAACTTGACTTTGTATAGCATCCCTCGCAGGACCTATGTATCTTTCGACGGCAGTGGACCCAACTACGGATGCTACCTTCAACCCGAGTTCAATGGGCATAGTGGACAGGCTTGCTCCCCGTAGCACGCTAACGTCAGAAGATGTACTCGCTACGCGAAAGACGGGAGAAGGACAAAGCACCTTCTTGGATCCTTCACCCGTACACATCACAACGCGGAGATAGCCGTCCTCAGCCAATACCGGTATTCGAATGATGCATGTCTCGCGGGTGGTTTGCTTGGACAAATTCTTTTGGGATGCAGCTTTCTTTAAAAACTTTTTGATGTCCCTTTGCCAAGCTCGCTCGTCCGACTCGGGGATGTCGGATGCCAAGGCTTCAAGCGTTGGCGTTACATCAATCCAATTTCCTTGGGTGCGTAGTAAAGCACTAGCGGCCATGCCCATATTTCCAGAGAAGCCCTTTCGTTGCAACCAGAACGATCGATCAGCTGGTAATGGTCCATCTGCAAAGATGGTGATGGCGACACTTGTAGATGACCCCTTATAAAAGACCACAGCGGCAGAATGTCGAAGAATGCTGTAGTGCTTCGTTGACTCATAGGGATGTGAGACTAACCCTCCAGCAAAGTAGATGGTCTCATTGACAGCTGTCTTCCATAGTGACCGGTTAGGAAGGGGGCTACTTGGCGCGGTGGCACTAGAGTTGACTGAGAGCTCTGAAGGGCTCCTGACGAGAGGAAGAGATAACTGCCTGGGGGGGTCAGGGCGATGAGTAGTCAGTGTCACTGCCAGTTCCCCCTTTTCAGAAGCAGCGTCATGGCCTTTGTTGGGGTTAGGTGGTTCGTGATAGTCATCTAGATAATCATCAAGGAGATCTCCAATTATATCGTTGGCATCTGGAGAAGATTGTGGGATGACCGTTTGTGGTACTGGCTTCCGTTTGATGCTTGGAGTTGTTGATATATCCATCTGCTCGCTGACAAGATTTGAGTCACTTGGCGAACAATGATGAGGCCTTCGACATCATTAGGGAAGACAGCTCGGACTGAAATATTTTGGTATTGGTGGATAGATTAGGTATGATTCTTAAAGTGTGAAATTCATTGGTATTGTATGAAGCTACGATAATTAAAATTAGAGAAGTAGCTGCAATAACTGCAATAACTGCAATAGCTAAATTGAAAATATAAAGTATATTAAATGATGAAGAATAGAAATGATTAATTGATGAAAGATTAAACGGTATGTTCGGATGAGACTTCTGAAGATATGCCATGATTTGATAATATCAATCTGCACAATATGTACAACATGCACAATGTTGAATGTAATAAAGGGGTTTATTATCGAACCGTTCCATTGGGAAATTCCACTGTGGGCCACGCTGTGCATGCAGCCATGTTACAAGTAATTGCATACTAGGTATCTAATGTAATAAGTTCCACTAGGTTTATATGGGGTTATGCACGTGGAGGATATCCAATCGGCACTTAAACCCAGGTTAGACCGTTATTTGTCGATCGCAAACGAGCTAAACTGCTTGGGTTCTTTTTGAGCTACCTAACCTTAGTACCTAGGATACCTAGGGTAGGATTATGGTTCACCGCAGAGGCCACTAACTCTAAGGTTATCTACGGCGATTCTATGCCCTACCAACATTGAAGCTCCAACTTGCAAGGCTCCAAGGATCCAACCTGGAAGGCTGTCTTTTATTTCATTTTTTATTTTCACTTCCGTCATTCATAAAACGACATCAACTCTTCATAACCCAGAAAATCTATACCTTATTCATCATCTGTTGAAATGTAGATGACATGTTCCTTAATACAGCCAAATACTGTAGCTGTACCGTGATTCTAGATCAAAGTATCTAGTATCCATATCAACAACTTCGATATCATTCAACATGGCATCATTCATCAGTACAGCCTCGTCTACATCCGTATCGCGATCTGGCTCGCGTCATGGCCCTCATTCGTCTTCTAAATCCATATCCGTCGAGACACTAGTCCAACATCTCCTTGATGCTAAGCGATCACTCTCCTCCATGGGCCTTGTCCTACGCGCCAATGAACTCGTCTACTCGGCACGACAAGCTCACGAGGAGGCTGCCATCCTTACAGCACAATCCGATTTTATTCGCCAGGCCATCCTTGACCAAACCCTCCTCTTGAATCGTCTACGAAGAGGCATAACACGAACTTACGATCACGGGAAGCGGGAGTTTAAACAGATTCTTAGGACTTTAGATGCCGCTGATAGCAGACTCCAAGATACGATGAACGTCTTGCGAGATCAGTTTGTAGATAAGTCCTTTAGACCTGCTGGCGAGGAGCAGAAGAACTTGTTAGATTTCATAGACGAGTCTCAGGTTGATGGAATAAGAAACGGGCTGAAGGATCACATTCAAACGTTGCAGGTGGGTGTCATTTGCGTAAATCAAACTCGTCTTATTATATGTTTTATGCTAAACAACTATGTGCTTCCTTCTTAGAACACTCAGAAATCGTTCGATGGCGACCTATTACGTTTCGATACCGATATGCGCTCACTCGACAAGATCTTGTCTACCTCTTCCTCCCCGTCGCCATCCGCTTCGTCTACAGTGCAAGTCCTACCGCGGCTTCTCTCAGCCATGATTGGAGATTCTCATGCCATGGCCCAACTTCTTTCATCCTTAACAAAACACTTCGATCTCTGCGCCACTGCAGTTAGGACAACCGAAGGCGGAGCAGCCTTAGCTAGGATCAAAGCTGCCGAAGTCACAAGTTCTCTGAGTGGAGAGGGGGTGTCGATTTCTGGCGTAATAGCGGAACAAGACTCGCACATGCCCGACTACGATCCCATATCCGCCGAAGACAGGGCTCAGATGCTCGAAGTTGTTATACAAGACGCGTCTGAAGTTGAAGACGTGGTTCGCGAACTTACCGAACGTCTCCATTCTATAGAGGAGCATTGCGTGGGCGTTGACAACCGAATAAATCAAATCAGAGAAACTTACTCCTCCACTATTGAGGCGTTCAGAGTATTGGAGGACATTGGATCACGACTTCATAGCTACATATCGGCCGAAGTGGAGTTTCGCGAGAGGTGGAGCGAAGAATGCCAAGCAATCCATGACAAAATGGCCGAGATGGAGGATCTACGTATTTTCTACGATCGTTATGCCAACTCTTACGATGGCCTAAAATTCGAGGTCGAAAGGCGGAAAGGACTGGAGGACAAAGTCTTGGCCATATGGAAGAAGGCGAAGGAGAGTGTAGACAAAATTGTCGAGGGCGATCGTGTAGAGCGAGAGCTATTTCGACAAGAGGTCGCGGAATATCTTCCTACTGACCTCTGGCCGGGCATGGATGATGCTATGCCGAGCTGGGAAATCGTGCCTGTTAAAGACACTAGGCCTGTTAGGCAAGCCGGAGCTGGAAGTGCGTCGAACCTCGAGAGAAGTGTTGTTCAAGCACCCGCAACCAAACTTCATCGCTTTGCAGACCGGCGATAATCACTGGAGTTGTACCGTTAGGTCAGCATTATGTTTTGTCGGAGTTTAGAAGGGGCAGGTCTTGATTTGGCGGTCGGTATGTGTGAGGGTTATTATTTCCTGGCGGCGTTCTGCGCTTTTAGTCTCTTGAACTTTTGTTGTCAAATACTAAGCACAGATGATAGCCAGAGTTGGCAATCTCAGTTTATTGTTTTTTCCCTGGTCGGTGGTTCAGTCACTTCTTTATTCAATGTTGTTTCTACACGCCTCCCGATTCTCATCTATCCCCTTTTCTCCCCTCCCCGAGCTAAATCTTGAACGGCCCAAACAGCAGACCTCCTCCAATGGGATGTAATGTTTTCGCCGCCGGTCTTCAACTTTCATTGAAGAGCATGGAAGGCTTATTGTCGTGTCGTGTAATAGGGCTGTAGTTATAGGCATGCTACCTAGTATTTACTGGATTCTAGCTAGGTACCTGCCTACCTAAATACTCAACATGACAACCGCAGAGCTTGTCAACTCTCCCATGTACTAGTACGCTTTAACTCACCTTCCTACTTAGCTTCGCAAGTAGTCATGAAGCCAAGCATGACATAGCCACCAGTAGCTAATAGTTATACCTTCAACTCTTCACACTTGATGATATCCACCATATCCACGGTATCGATCTCGGACATGTATGTACATAACCCCCAAAGCAGGTAATGGGGTACCTACATGTAAGAAATCGAGAACCGTATAAGTAGGTATGCACATTGAATGCGCCTGCATAGGTACCTATGTAGAAGGTAGTAGTAAGAGTGGATGGGGGTCTAGTTAGTCCTGACCGTCCTGTGAATAAATAAATAAATGCACGATTATTGCAGCTATTATACCTTGCTAGTGAATAACTATAGGGCTGTGTCCACATTCAAACATACCTGCCTACCCGTCCTATGTACAGTACCTGCATGCATCTTCCCAGCTTCGGGGTCATCTCCAATTGCTTATGATGAGTCTCATACCGCCTACATATGTATATACTAGTCGTAAAGCAGCGAGCATGGGTGCAGTTACTGCAATACGCATGCTACTAATATGAAATGTAAGGATGACAAGGTAAATCGTGTAAAATACAAATATGAGACTACCTAGGTCTTATTAATCTAGTAGGTACGTAGGTTAGGTAGATACTAAATTTGTTGCTAACATCATACATATCTAATAATATCGTACATAGGTATAATCGTTTAGGTGATTAACCCTCCTCTCCTAATATACAAAAGAAATCCGCCCATGAGTCTCGAGGACAATAGGGCTTGGATGCCGATATGCTACCAATACGCCTGAACAATGCTGATGCTGATGCTGATGCTGATGCTGACAACATTGAAATGTTATTGCGGTACAAAAGAAGCCGTGGTTACAACGTCTCGCGTGGATACAGTACATCTATTGCTACACCTCGACGCTTCTTCTCCATTCATTTCAAAAGAAATGAAGAATAAAAAAGAAACAGTGAGCTCAAACAGTTCTTTAACCGCGAGCACACAGCTGTTTACTTGCGTCGAATCAACACCGGGGCTGAGCGGGGTGCTGGGTATAAAGAGGGCCAATCCGCGCAGCGACACTGCGACATATGAGTGGTCGAGATCCCGAGGGCATTCGGGGGATCTCATATGTGGATCTGTTACGAGCCGTCACCTAGCACAATCCACGCTTCCCCGGTGTTTTCTGATGCATCAATAGAGACTGCCACGACGGTACCGGGTCCGTTTACATCATCGGCCTCTAACATCGCCCAGTCATCAGTGAAGTCATCTTCTTTGTCGTCTTCGCATCCTTCCTCCGAGTCAGAGGCTAAGTCAGGACAATCGGTTGCAGCCGGAGCTGGGGCCGGCTTATCTGATGAAGGTGCTGGCTTCTCTGAAAGCTCGGGGATGGCTGAAAGGATCATGTGTCTGTAAGATCGTCTAGAAGATCGTCTCCGAGAAACCTTATCCTTGCCACGCTGTTCATCTATGAATTCATCTTCCGTGGGAATTGAAATCTCGACGGTCTCTGGAGTCAGGGGTGACTGAAATGCCCCATCTGAGACTACAGAGGTGACTAAATGGTCAAATTGCAGATGAAATGTTTCCCGGTGCTTCTTTGCACGCTTGGCGGGGCGGGTCGTATATACGGGGTCCGGATGGTCGATGGTGCCCAAGTTGAAGTCAGAACTGAGCACGTGAGGATCGTCGTAAAGAAGGCCTAGTTTATACAAATCCGCATCGTCCTCAACGAAGTCAAAGTAGTCCCAGGCCTTTGGCTCACGAAACGCATCCTGACGTTGGAGTCGGGGCTTCCTTCGGCTGTTGTCAGATGGGAGAAAGAAGTTGGGGTCAGCCGCTAATTTGTAGCTGTCTTCAGTGTCAGGTTCCCATGCCGGGAGATATGCGTGAAACGCTCGTGGCCGGGATGACTGTTTTGGGCGGCGTCTAATTTTGTTAGACCGAGCTGAGCGGCCATTTGTGGAGCCCCGACGACGAGGACTGCCACAGAGCGGAAGTGGAACTTCTGAGAAAACTGAGAAGGATGTCATAAAGGGCGGTTTATATAGTGTAAAGATTCTAACTAGCACGATGGCGTAATAATACTCGCAAACGCGTAAAGTAATAAGCAATAATAATAATCGGAAGAAGAGAAAGGTGTAGTGGATGCCACACGCAAGGGCGCAGTGGGCGCGTGAGTACAAAAAGTCTTAGTGAAGAGCGTAGTCAAGTGGACTTTTTCGAGAAGACCGCGGAAGACGATGGTGATTTATAAAGGCTAGATGAATCATGGCCTTGCTAATTTGGTATAGAAATTTACCCGTAGAGTCATCGCGTATGATAGGCCTTGACTTGATGTCATCTCAAGGTGTGAGTCACTTGATCCCGTTATCATTATTCATTATTAGTACCACGCCTACCTAGCAAGACTGCCTGGATAGTAACTCGGGTGATGATGTTTTAGGTGGCGGAGCCTATAAGACCAAGGCTGGTAACCAAGGCTGGTACACCTCATATAAATCACTGTGATTGAATGATTGTTCGAGTAACAACGTGGCGCTGGGGCGGGATTCTGGGGCTCTGGGGCTCTGGGGCCCAAGGTCTAGGCAATAATGTGAAAAACAGGTCCATTTATGGATAGACTGTCAGATGAGCAAGATTGTATCAACGTGGTGTGCTAGGTAGGTATACTCAGTAGGTAGTATGTAACGATAAGTATGTATGAGCCATAATGTGTCATAATTTAGCAATGGAGAGGCAAATGAGCCGAACTTTAGGGGAAAAAAAGCTCCAGAGTGCTCCATTAGAAATTCATAATCATGAATCCCGGAGAGTTCAAGTTCAATGTTTCAATTGATTGATTCATCAACATTGAAGTTCAAAGTTGTCTAAAAATAGGTAAGTAGTTAACTAGTACCTAAGTACAAACTTGGCAGTGGAAGACTCGGACCATGTATTCGCGTACCTCTCTACACGGATAAACTTAAGTACTATCTGACCCACTATTATGTACCTGCGGCATGAACGGTATCATATTCCATAACATTCATACCGGGTAGGTACTAACTATTTGCATATGTACAATTAACTACCTAGTACCTAACCTAGTACATCAAGTACCTATTCAATCGTGAAACATGTATGACATAACTAATGTCCTGTCTCTCTCTACGTCAATTTTACATAGAGAATTTAGCGATACATAAAACACCAAAACCTTTACCACTTACATGTAATAGTAAGTACATGTAGTTATTAGTAGGAGGAATTCCAGTTCTTAGTTTCTATTGAAGGATTATTTATCCGCACAAACTCCCGTTGCAACCAAGATATCAGCAAACACTTATGCAAGCAATCAAGACGTGCTTCCGAACGTGACGATCCCCCAGCAATTCATCACAAACTAATAAATAAAGGAGCTTCCCCAGGGACTATCAGTGGACTATCAGTGGACACCAGTGCCACAGTATCCGACCCTTCTCCTTCTCTCTCCCTCTCTCCTTCTCTCTTTCTCCAGAGTTATCTCCATATTCTATATCGAATTCAACTAGATTTTCTTTCAATGCGATACTATCACTCATTCTCATCGTCTTCTCATTCCCTACTTTCTTCTATAGTCCCATTCTTCATTTTACGACCCGGTTGAACGAAATTCGCATCAGGATGCCTTCGCCCATGATGAAGGCCACGCTGGCCGCCGCCGCACTCTCTAGCGCATCAAATATTCTCGCTCAGTTTCTTGAAGCATACCGAGACGGTCTCCCCTTTGCGTTTGATATTGTCAATTTTCTCCGATTTGTCACTGTTACTTTCATCACTGCTCCGCCAAATTATATGTGGCAGCAATTCCTCGAGCGCAGTTTTCCCGCCTATGAACGAAAACTACCGGTTAAAGACGTCGAAAAACAGGACATGAACACGGAAGATTCCAGTGAAGGTGTGGGCGCAGAACAAAAGCCGAAGCTAAACTGGCAAAATACATTCACTAAGTGGTTCGTCGACTGCATTACGCTCGGCGCTATCTTCAACACGGTCGCATTCTTCGTGCTCATGGGCTTCCTGAAACACCAGCCTTTAGACCAGATTGGGCAAAATATCAGAACCGAGACCATCCCTGTCATCTTCGCCGGCTATAAGATTTGGCCGTTTGCTTCCATCATCAGCTTCACTTGCATTCCGGTGGATCGGCGGATCGTCTTCCTCAATTTTGTGGGACTCTTGTGGGGGATTTACATGTCTCTCGTCGCCTCCCGAGTGTAGAGCCGTGGATCGATCACGATCGGCATAGATATGTGCCCATGCGAGATCGTAACGGTGTATCTTGAACAGTGCACCGCCCTAAGGCTGACCATATGAATTGGATCTTCCGCAAGGTTATTACGTGCGAGATCACGTATACCTACCTAGAGTTATAGGCAAAAACACATCGTTTCTAAGGAAGTGCTCCGAGAGTTGGCTTCTATATCAAAAGTCCGCATGCTTCATTTGATGAGACTATGCGCTTAATAGGGTTTATTGGTTTATGTATATACGAAACCAGTTCGATATTATCATGGAGATTATATCCTTCTAGATCTACGAAGTTTTAACCAGGTACAGGTTCTTTCAAGATGAAAGCTATCGACTAATGCGTTTCGTCATTACGAGCTGGCCTCTCTAAACGACGTTGCACGAATAATTAGTATCGCATGCCTACCTACCCAGGAGGTTGGTGCATGTGGAAATCACAATATTATACGATCCACGAAAACTCTACATGGCTTTACACCTACCCATCTCACCCAGATCGCAAAGGTTGACGGTATCCGAAGCGTGCTGAGCAAGTCCATCAAGAACCTGCATATGCCTTAGGCCAGTGAGAACAGCCCTGTTCGAGTGCAAAAGCCTAGCTCGATACATGCCCCGAATATACTGAGAGATTATGTCTTAGCTGTGCGCCCGAATTCGAAAGTCTTGGTGCATTTCATCAGTGCATCTCTGTCTCTCTAACTACCTATAGACGTGTATAGGTTTGCACTACAGCTAGCGTTTTACAGAAATCCGCAATAGGGGTCAAAGCTGCTACCATAGTGGGATTTGATATCGACACCGATATCTCTACAAGTTGCACAACATAGAATGAGAAGAAGGTGGTGTAGTTGTGCTCTTTGGGCTTTGCTAACATATTGACAATTGCTCTCAGTTTTACTAATGGATCAACAGGGGCATATCATGACTCCACGACGAGCCCATGGTCAACCAAAAAGCTCGGATCGCAATGAAGCTTCGAATGGCGCATCATTCTGGCTTTCACCGCATTGTTTAACTATTGCAATATACCAGAGATGATGCTCATCTTAACAAAATGGTTGATTTGCCTACATAAATTAAAGCAAATGAAATTCAGACGTTAAGTTGATTGAGCGACATTAGATCACATGTGGTATCATTCACTACATCGCCCCCCTGACATTTGGAGATCACTTTCCACCCCTTCAATACCGGACGCCCAACCCAAACAATCATAAATTCCATGAGGTGCGCTTGTTCATCTGAATTTCGTAATTCAAAGCAGCCTTAAAATCCATTATCCAGGATAGACAGTAACTTCTGGTCCCTTTCCCACATCAACCACACAACCGCTCCAACGGGTCCCGTGAGTAAACTCAGCGCCGTGATCACGAAAGCTAGCTTGACCCAGCTCTTTATTAACATCCGGTTTTCCCTTGAGTTCACATACAAGGTCGACGACCAAATAATAGCAGCAGTTGAGCCAACGTACTGGTCATAGAGGAAAAAGTCGTGCATCCCAGATGCCATCGAAACCATTTTCTCGGTTGACCAGAAAGGAGGAGGCACGAAAACATTAAAGAAGGTCCAAGCCTCCTGCAAAGAGGATGGAAATGCCGAAGGATATAGGTGAACGGCCACGATTAATGCAAGCGGAATGATCTGGGATATCACACACCAGACAAATGCAAATAAGTAGGTCCTGGCGAGCAGGTCCTTTTCCTTTAACCTCATCCAGGGCATGGGAGATTGCGAACCCCTAGCAAAGGGCTCCTTGGAGTTCGGCTGGGAGATGCTGCGAGCTCGTCGACGTTTTTCCAGTCGTGATGCCAACAATATCTGAATGGCCATGCTCCAGATAGGGGACCCTTGCCAAAGTCCGCCGAACCATTGGTGTAACCAGTTTGGAAACACGGGGATGCTCATGAGAATTGCCGGGACGATATAACCGAGCATGAACGCAAGTGGCATCGTCGATACTTCCAAAGGTTTTACTATGGAGGCCGCTTCCAAGAGCACTGGGCCGACTTCCTCCGCTACTGGCGAAGTCAATAGGTGAACCATTCCGTAAAGGGGCATCGTGCAACCATAGCTAGCGGTTTGCATTAGACACGCCCATACGGAGAAGCTATATTACGACTATTAGTTAACGTGATGAGGTTACGAGATACCAGTAAAGAGCTCTTACAAACGGAGAGAGTTGGCTTGGTTCCCACTCCTCAGTCCTTCTATCGCAATAACCACAAGCAAGGCTAGATATTGCCCGCCAAAGTGGAAAGAATATAGTGACAGTTGAGGAAGACTCCCATCGGTGACGTTGGAAAACATCACTGTCGCCAACGTCAGAAGCTTATCCAGGGGGGCTATCCTTGTGTATTGCGTGAGGATAAAATTCGAAGAGCCCGGGAGGTAATGTGGTCCCTCGTTACGAAGCCGAACCAGGGCTTCGTAGTAGCCATTCCGCCATAATAGCCCGTACAAGGCACTTGTGCCGAAACCATAAACCAACAAAAGTGCTACAAAAACAACCGTCTTTCTAGACTTTGAGGACGCCGGTGACAAGAAAAAATCATCCATTATGATGAGATATGGTAATACACGAAAAGGGGGGCGTAAGGAGATGACAAGGTCCGAACTTTGCACATACAGCAGCAATCATCGCCCCTACCAGCGACTATTTCTAGTCAGTGGCTTGAGCCAGACATAGACTTGGTGTAACCAGTCGTGCTCCCAGGAGACTGGAATTATCTGGATACATGGCTGTTGTACGGAGGAACTATAAAGTGACAGAGCTGCAGAGACATGCATTTGCATTTGCATTGCAGGAAGCATCAAGTCGTATGCACTGCAAAGAGTAGAAGATTTGCAAATATGATACTAGAAGAAGATGGATCAACCTTAATCCATCAACTAACTGCTCTAACTGCTCTAACTGCTATACTGTTGATTACATAGGCAGGTATAGTGATTATAGCCATCCTGGCCTGGACATCCCACGTACCAAGGTAGTCCCGTCAAGGTTCCAGAGTTTCCAGACAATCGGCTTTGCATGGCTACTAATTCGGAAGAGTCTCGACCGGTCTTCTTGGATGCCGGCCGGCCAATCCCCTGACCGTTCTTGTATTTCCCCCCTTGGGCCTTGGGGCCCTCCGCACTAGCATCGATGACAATGAGACTCTACCCCAACGATATTCCGCCTCCCCTACAATCAATTTTCGACCACGAATCTGCAATCGCTACGTCTTGAGAGGGGGGCCCTTCTCTAGGACTGGGACACACTACTAAAGTAGTTGCCTACCTACGAACATGTTCTATTGCTTAATTGGGGTGGGCTTGCTTGGCTTTGGGTAAAAAAAAAACAACCAAAAAATAACTGGATGTGACGTGGCGGCGTTGCACATCTTTAAAAAGGAAAAGAAGGTGGAGCTTTCTTTTTCGCCCATGCAAATCAATCAGGGAGCAAGCAAGCTTTTCGGGACCAAGAACTTTTGTTTCGATGGCTTTTTTTGTGGAAATCCAAGCCGATCAAGTTAAATACCTACCTTGCAAGTCAGAGGCACGCAAGCGGCGCAATAATGACCATTAGATGAATACCGAATACCCACCTGAAATAGAAAAGGTTCGGTCCGCTTCGACGCTTGCAAGCTGTTTCCGGCTTAAGGGATTCGCAAAAAAATGTGGATGGAAACATATGCAGACAGAATAGACAGAACTAACAGACAGTCAGGCAGTGCAGAGCAAAACGACTCGCGACGAAGGCTATCTGGTGAACGGAACTAGAGCGCATCCCCGTTGATGCCCAAGGATGCGGGCGGGAACATCGAATGCCGTGATATGATGGAGGGACTATACCTTCTCCTGCCTAGCCTGAAGAGCTACGCACTTGATACGCGAGACTTGGACCATGTGGCCTCTATCTTTTAGACTCTCACGATGCTAGTAGCCAACTAAGTCTCCCTACCGAATCGGAATGTGACGGTTCTGTATACTACAGCACGCAAAAGTATGTAGGGCCTAGGACAATCTCAAGTTTACCTATATGATATGCTTATATATCCCACGCGTTGCCTTCGTTGCCCCTGAATCACCTGGGTATGTACACCATCTCCTGCCATTTCATTTCAGGGGAACCTTGGCCTGCTCTTTTCCCAGAATTATTCATCCAAGCAATTACCTAATATGAGGTAATGGTTATTTACTTCCTTCAACTCATAGTCACGTTGCTACACTGATAGGTACTTATCGGTCTTAACTTAAGGTGATATCGCATGATATCCCAAGAGCCTGAGAAGAACGTAGTAATTTCTCCAATACCATCAACGTCTCTCGACGATGACAAACAAGAAATGCCCCTGCGTATCGAAAAGACCTATATTTATACCAATGAAAAGATCTCTAATATCTCTATGTAGGGATAAGTGGTCCTTGTATAGAAGCTGCTGCTTGGAGGAGGATCAGAAAATCCCCTGCGAGCAAATTCAGTTCTTCGTATCCGGGAAGCAGGAAATAGTTAGTTTCATGGGCTATCGGGTTCATCAGAGTTTCTCTTTATATTCTCCCAACTCTTTGGGCTTCTGTTATAGATACAATACATGCCCCAATGCTTAACAGGCATCACATATACCAAAAAGGCTCCACGAACGGTTGCTTAGCTGCCCAAACAAGGAGTGATGTCGGCCGAACTACAGAAGCTTTTCCAACCCAAGGAGGGCCGCCCCCCTCGGGCTTGGCTAGGAGTTTCGGTGAGTTCTATATTTATAGTCACACGTAAATTCATGTCATGAATCTATTTCGTCAATCTATAGCCTGACCGCTAGGTTAAGCAACTCGCCCCCCTTTCTTTAAACAAGTCCGACAGGTTGGCTCAGGTTAGAGAAGTCCTAACAACTTAGGTCTCAATGACAACGATGGATACCTAGGACTCTAGTTTTTCTTCCTACTGGCCCTCATATTCGCCTTTAACGGACCTCTTTCATGTAGGTACGTTAGGCAAGCTTAAGCGAAGGGCTGTGGCAAGCCAATGATGGTAAGCCGTAAGCAACTATCTACTGCTGTTTTGAGGCGTTAGCATCCACGACACTGCGGTTCTATACCGCATAGATTGTCGATCTTTTTTGAGGTTGGCTAACTATATTCTCTTACCAAATCTCTTGCCTAGGTACTTATAGGTAGGTACCTAAACTACCTACCAACATACATATCTTCATCAATACCCATGCGTCATATCGTGGAAGTAAATCCAATGGACCCTTCCATCTAATGTTGGTTATCCAATGGCACCTCTCCCTGGTTTGGGACTTACCGACGTAGGCCACATGCATATCATAAATTGGAAATACAGGTACCCATATATAACCCAACCTACCCAGAGTCCCAGATAAATAGGTATAACTACATCCATGGATGTACTTGTTCTGCTAACGAAGAAGGGAACAATGCTTCCTAACCATGTGGGTTTAGTGATATCTACGCTACCCTGCTGCATATTATGGTACATATACATACCTACATATGGGCGACCTTATCAACGGTCCCCATCCCCATCCCCATCCCCATCCCAACTAACCTACCTAGTAGATCTCGTTCCGCACGTACATGTACGGTATGGTGGGGAAAAAAAAAAAAGGGCAACTTCGATCATCCCTCTCTACCGAACCTCGAATGTGACAGGTAACACTGGGATCTATAGGCCGCTACGTGCAGCTTTTGGTGGAGGCCCGGCCCCCACGCACGTACTAGGTACCTAACCTATGGAGCGGGTTTTTATATGTATGTATGTATGCATGCGTGCGTTCCCTCTTTGGTAGCCAACAAACGAAAACGATAACCCAAAGGGCTCGTAAGAGTTTATCTACGTAGATGATGCCTATTCGCCACACCAGCGCACTGGATACGTTAGATGTGTGTGTGTGTGTGTGTGTGTCCTAGGGCTTCAGGTAATCATCATTACGATAGGCAACTAATTACTTAGGTAGGTTACCTACCTACCTACCTACCTATGTGTGTGTGCATCACGTAAACCGGTTACCTGCTGCTGCACATAGTAGGTACCTCTACCTACCTTAGGTAGGCATTCCTTCTCAACATTCCACTTAGGTACCTAGACAGGCGCACAGGCTGTGTTGAGGATGAAGATAAGATATGAAATTACTTACCTAAGTAAGTTGTCTCTCTCTCTCTCTCTCTCTCTCTCAATCCAGAGAGAGGGGGGGGGGGTGACAAATCCATATAATGACACCATCGTGTAGGTACTAGGTAGGCAGGCAGGCAGTGTCCGGTCCGGTCTCGTCGTTAGGTATTACCAACAGGTATGTATGCAGCCCGCTTTAGCTTCCTTCGCGAAGACGGATGCATCAGTAAACCCATGCATCCCATGTGACAGCAGCAGAGACCCAAGAAAGACTCTTGCCCGGCTGGTTCTCCGCAACTGGTTATTGGATAAAGGGCATGTCACCCAGAAGATAGATGGGTTGGGTAGGGATCCTGCAGGGTGTCGTCGTTGTTCGAGGACGCGAAGGGCGCTGACGTAGGTATGTAGGCCTCGAACTGCCATAGGACTCTGGGCTTGCTGGCTTGCTGGCTGGCTGAGCGGCTTTCCGAGACATATATCTATCCACGAAGCTGTCGAAAACCAGCCTATCTGCCTAGGTACCTAGGTAAAGTAGCAGCCAATCATCGTCGGGTTTAACATTGGAAGTAGCTTGCCTCGGACGAACTCTTCAGGAGAGTTGCTATGCCGCGAAAAGCCCAAATGCGTAGGTAATCCCGCCTGCGCGGCTTGCCAGATAGATGTAGGTAGATGTAGACCGGCTCTTTCCTTCCATCCCACGATACATAACTGTACCCTCAAGGGGAGGTAAGTAAGTAAGTAAGTAAGTAAGTAAGTAAGTAAGTAAGTGCTTTGATAGCTCGCCTCGGCTGGAGTCGGAAGCGATTTCCAATTTGGTGCAGGGTAAGCAGCGATGGTCTATGTTACCCAAACCAGAACATGGTCGTCTGGATTTGGGCTGTATTGCATAACCAAGGCTTGCTGTTTCTGTGATCATTTCTCATCATTACCTAGTAACCTAGCTGTTGAAAGCTTACCGTTGGAAGCTTATTCGCGTGCTTACTCGGAAACTCGTGGAATAGGTGACTGACTGAGTTGGGTAACGAAGGGGGGGGGAAGCGCACATACATATGCATGGGCAACCCGCCCCCTTAGTCACCCTCTGTCATCATGACTGATTATAACTATTCATGCAGCCACAATGACTAGGTCCTGGGGTTTAGAGCTGTACGTTGTGTTTTGAAGCATCAGGCTCCAGGTACCTAGGTAGGCTTGGTATCGCTGGATGCCCTCATTGAGATGCACATCTAGTAGCCCGATTATGTACAGGTCAATGGGCGCACTCCGAGGGCGATAGTAAACATGATAGTAAGATGTATGTCTTCTCGTGCATATAAAACACATATAAATAGGTACCTATGTGAACGGTATCCACCATCTAGTCTAAGGGGCTATTCCTCGAGCCCGCCGACATCCACGAACTCGAGAGCAAGCCCCCCACCCCTGAATCGTTCAAAAATGAAGTTGATCCCAAGCTCCATCATTCTACTCGCCTCAGCCATTTTGGCTGGCTGACGGGTTTACCTACGAACGATTAGACAAAGACAATGCTGTGAAACACATCCCCCTACCCCCCCCCCCCCCAGTGCTCCGTCGAAGGTACACATACTGATTGTGCATGTCCAAGGTCCTCCTCATAGCCGACATGCAAGAGGGTCTCTTCAGCCTCGCGCGGGACTTCGACCACTCTACCTACCGCACCGCCATGTTCGCGCACGCATCCCCGGGCCAGGCCTTCCGTCTCCCCGTCATCATGACGACCTCGTCCGAGACCGGGCCCAACGGCCCGCTCCCCGACGAGATTTGTCGCCACGTACCCCGATGCGCCGCTCATCAGGCGCGAGGGCGAGGTGGGTGCGTGGGATAACGAGGAGTTTCCGGACGCGGTGGTGAAGGCGAATAGGTCGCAGGTTATTTTGGCGAGGATTACCTACGACGGATGTTTGTATGTATGTTGGGAAGCCCTCCCCCCTCTTCCCTACCTTTTTATGCGGTGTCGTAATGTCACCAGGTTTGTAGTTGTAGATACAATCCATTGTAAAGCTATCAGAACCCGTTGGCTAACATGAACCCCATACCTAGGCACGACCTTCCTCGCCCTCTCCCTGCGCGCCGCAGGCTACAGCGTGTGGGCGAACCACGAGGCGTCGGGCACGACGACGCAGTACCTCCGGGACATGGCGAACGAGCGCATGCGGGCCGCCGGGGTCCAGGTGGTGTCGTATTTCGCGATCGTGTGCGAGCTGATGCGGGGCTAGAGGAACACGCCGGGGGCCAAGGAGCTGTTCCCGGTCTTGGATGAGTATCTGCCCATTTACGGTATGGTGGCGAGGGGACACCGGGCTGCGGTACGGAATGGGACGGTGCTGCCAGGGGAGGATGTCTTGCCTTGATTGGCTTGTTGGGTTAGGGGGGTTACCTGGTGCAGTCAAGAATATTGGCACCTAATAAGAGCAAAACGAGAACAGCGGGTTTCCTTGGTATAGAATAGTTCGTTGATTAAAGACTCGTATGACGATGCTGGTAGAAAAAGAAAAAGGGCAAAGAGAAACTAAAACATAAAGCATTTCTGACTTATTCAAGACCCTCCTATATCATACCCTCCACCTCCTCTCTGAGCAAGCTAAACGTGATCATATCCCTAATCTCCCCGCCTTTACAAACAGCCTTTCTTCGCACCCCTTCCTTGGTGTAGCCCGCTCGCTCTAATACCTTCAAGCTACCTTCATTTCCACTGTGCACGCCAGCTTCCAACCGAAGTATTTCGGGGAACTGCTGAATCGCCCACACAGAGAAGGCACGCAAGGCACTCGTCGCGATGCCCTTCCCCCAGTGCTCCTGCGCAACCCAATAGCCAACCTCCCAGGTGCGATACTCGACATCCCGACCTTGGGTCAAGCCAATGCCCCCGGCCGGCGTGCCGTCAGGGGCGCAGATGCAGAAGTTGACCATGGGGTTGCTGGTCAGGCAGGAGTTGATCCAGAAGTTGGAGTCTTGTAGCGTATAAGGGTTGGGAAAGCTGTTGCGCATGTAGTTTGTGATCACTTGATGGTTCGCTGCGGTCGCTAAGGGGAGAGCATCGTCGAGTGTGTAGGGCCTGACGAAGCACTTGTCTGTTTTCACTATTGCGACGGGTGCTGTTTCTGATGTAGGAGCTGCCATGGTGGATTGCAGTGCTAGGGGTTGAGTCTTGCTAGGGCGAAAGGCTGACACGCAATTCCAAATCCAAGTCTAGCAGGACTGCGATGATATCCCCAGCAGCGATAATATAGTTACTTATGTTCTGTCAGTGAACAGGTGCTCATGAATCCTTCCCGGATGACTCATTCTTGAAATCTGAAATCGGATGCACAGTTGCACGGCTGAGCTTGGCCCCACCTCAATCTCACCATCTCTCAGACTCGCCAATCAAAGTCGATGCCATCCTTTGCTAGATAGATTAGCTAGGCAGTTTTGGACCTTGGGCATCGTTTGCTAGTGCCAGTGCCACGGCTCCTCCTTGTAAGAGCCTCCTTTGCAGCTTCAGCAAAGCAATGTTTGAGTTGCTTATGTAATTCTTCTATCTCAGCAGCTTCAAGTATCCTCCTCGCCCTGGCGCATAACGCCTTTTCTCTAGATCGCCTTATGATCTGCCGCCTTTCGGCTGCTGTCAATACTCTCTTTGGTTTCGGGAAAGGCTTGAGGACAGAGTCAGGAATATCTTGGAGATCGTCATTGTATCCGTGACGTTTAAGAAAACGCGAAGCCCAGTTCAATCCTATTGTAGGAGAGGGCTCAAGTGGTGATGACCTCTGACGGAGCATGGAGTTTGCTTTATCTGTAATTAATTCGGGCCGTATAAATACATAGCTCGAGGTCTAGTCGATAGTCTCGACATAGCGACATAATTCGTCCTCTTCGGCGGCTGAAAGCTTTGTATTTGGTGTTTTTGGCCCCCTTTTACCACCACCGCCCCCTTGGACGCGTGTACGAAGGCGATGGCGCGTAACGTCGAATTGTCGCGCTACTGTAGATAACTTAGCATCCGGAGTTAATCTTATATACTCGCAAGCAGCCTGTAATCGTTCCTCCATTTCTTTCGATTTACACGTTGCAGAATTAGGCGAGATGATTTGACTGAAATTAGTTCCTTTTCTCTTTTTCTATTTTGATTTTTTTTTTAAATTTTCTTTTTTAGATATGCGTTCCAAAGTTTGTACACTAACAAATGTGGTGATTGCTGGGGACAGTGGGGAGCACCAATATGCCACTTACAACCAATCAGAAGATCTTGGCAGGGATAATTCAACCCGTAGTAACGGCGTAGTTCCCTGTCAAATGCCCAACTTAGTGGGTTGTCCTACCTCAGTCCCTGACATACTACGTACATACCCGTTAGATAGTATGCTAGTATGATGTCACACTGCCTAATACTGCTTAGTACTGCAGCCTGCCTAGTACTGCCGGCAACAAGATTTAGCTTTACACATGCATCCTTAGTCGTGATCTGAGTTCGAAATAGAGCTAGGTATTGACTTATTCACCTGATCTTACGAAACCTCCCAATTTTATCTGCTGAGTAGGTTAGAAAACCTTAACCTTGGGCATATTCTCTCATCTTTCTATCTAATATAGTTTTAATAAACACCAATACTACCAGTAGCAAAACAAGCGAAATCAAATGTCGTAGCACCATCCTCTAACACGCCAAAGCGACCTTCGCACTGGCTAATGTGACTATGACTCCGATGGAACTCGACAAACCGTCGACAGCAGCAATTAATGTTGAACAATCCGAACAGGACCGAACCCAGGGCCATCTGGTCTATCCGAGTCATATCCCCCCAGACGCTGAACTACCAACCCACCGTAATAGAGCTTCTTCCGTGGGTACACCCAACCATGCCAACCATGCCCAAACCCTTGATTCTACAAGTGGTCCTAGGAAGACTAACTCAGAACCAATCAACAAACTACGCCCAAAGCTGACACAGTCTTCAACCAATGGCTTTCATCGAGTTCGCCATAGGACATCAACCTTTCCCGCCTTTTCACTCTTGAAACGGGCTGGGACGAATGTTTCCATGCTTGAGACAACCCTTAGAACCGCGCACGACCACGACAGTGATGATGATAGTTCAAGTTCCTCTTCGTCTGAAACGGGTGATGAAAGTGAAGGTGTAGATAAGATGCCCGGTCAACCAATACGAAGACCACGGCGGAGGACGTCCGATGACCAATTTCGACGATTCCGAGTAGCGAACGATCTCTACCACACAAAGGGTAAGGTGTCAAAAAGGGATGGCCGACTAAGCATCACGGTAAACGACACCAGTACTACTGGATACTTGGCTAAGGCAGTGGGAACGGCCGTGAAGAAGGCTGTAACTAGTAGGAAGGATGATAGAGAACATACGAAAAGCCGCCCAACCTCTGAGCGAGTATCTTCGGGTGCTACCGCTACCTCTGGGAAGTGGAAACAACCGAAACTGAACATAGTCATTATGGTTATCGGGTCGCGAGGAGATGCACAGCCATTCCTGAAAATAGGCAAAGTACTCAAAGAAGAATGTGGTCATCGCGTACGAATCGCCACACACCCTGCATTCCGCGATTTCGTCGAGAAGGATTCTGGGTTGGAGTTCTTTTCTGTTGGTGGCGACCCAGCAGACCTGATGGCCTTCATGGTCAAGAATCCTGGCATGATTCCCACCCTGGAAACGGTGAAAGCCGGCGATATTGGGAGGAGACGGGCCGCCATGGCTGAGATGTTTGAAGGATTTTGGCGAGCTTGCATCAATGCAACTGATAATGAGAAGGATATCCATAATGTAAAGATGATGGGAGAAAAGGACCCATTCGTCGCGGATGCTATCATCGCGAATCCCCCTAGCTTTGCGCATATCCACTGTGCGGAAGCCTTGGGCATTCCTCTACATCTCATGTTCACATTCCCCTATACCCCTACACAAGCATTTCCTCACCCCCTAGCAACTATTAGGCGATCCAACGTGGACCCGGGCTACACTAATTTCATATCATATCCCCTGGTTGAGACGATGGTCTGGCAGGGGCTTGGGGATCTCGTCAACAATTTTCGGGTCAAGACCCTAGGATTGGACCCGGTATCAACCCTCTGGGCTCCAGGGGCGACTTACCGTCTTCGTGTCCCATTTACATATCTATGGAGTCCGGGCTTAGTACCTAAACCCGAAGATTGGGGTGACAACGTTGACGTGTCAGGCTTCATATTCCTTGACCTGGCCTCTTCTTTCAAACCACCGAATGATCTTGTCAACTTCCTCGACAGTGGAGACATGCCAATTTACATCGGCTTCGGGTCCATTGTTGTCGACGATGCCGATCAATTTACGCAGATGATTTTCGAGGCCGTGAGACTTGCCGGAGTCCGTGCCCTAGTATCCAAAGGATGGGGTGGCTTAGGTCAAGATGATGTCCCGGAAAACATATTCATGCTTGATAATACTCCGCACGATTGGCTCTTCCCAAGAGTTCGGGCATGCGTCATCCACGGTGGTGCCGGCACCACGGCGATCGCCCTCAAATGTGGTAAGCCGACCATGACTGTCCCATTCTTTGGAGATCAGCACTTTTGGGGTTCGATGATTGGCAGTGCAGGTGCTGGTCCTATGCCGGTGCCATACAAACATCTTAGTGCCGAGAAGCTCGCAGATGGTATCAAATACTGCTTGACCGATGAAGCACTGGAGGCTGCACAAAAAATCTCCAAGGACATTGTGCTTGAGGGCGACGGAGCTCAAAATGCAGTAAGCTCATTCCACCGGAATCTGTCATTGTCTGGTGAAGATTCTATCCGATGCGCGCTGCTAGATGATCGGGTGGCGGTCTGGCGAGTTAAGAAAACTAGCCTCAAGCTGAGCGCTATAGCAGCCGACTTTCTTGTTGGTAAAGGCTTGATACCATGGCGGAAATTACGGCTTATTCGGCATAAAGAATGGAATGACTTTGAAGGACCAGGCGAACCAATCACCGGTCTTGTTGGTTCATTGATGGGGACCATTGGCGACGTATTTGGAGGAATCGGGAGTGTTCCCTATCGGTTAGCTAAAACTTCAAACCAGCGAGCAGAACGAAAGAAGAAGAAGAAAAGAAGGAGGCGCGAACATCTCTTGAATCACACGCCATCTACACCTGGGTCGGTTCCTCTTGAGTCTGCTCGGGATGCCTACTTCGACGACATAGAGGAAGGGATAGGGAAAACTGGACGAGCCTTAGTTCATGCTCCTGTTGACATTTCTCTCGCCATAGCTCAAGGTTTTCACAATGCGCCCCGTCTGTATGGTGATGAAACCGTTAGACGTCCCATTCGTGTGACCGGAGTCAAGTCAGGCCTCAGGGCCGCAGGGTACGAATTCATCTACGGTATCTACGACGGATTTACTGGGCTCGTACGACTGCCAATCTTAGGTGCCAGACAAGACGGCTTCAAAGGGGCGCTGACGGGTATTGGCATGGGACTTACCGGGTTCGTGCTGAAGGATATCGCGGCGGTCCTTGGACCTATAGGCTACACCCTCCAAGGCATTGCTAAGCAAATCGACCGAGGCAAGCAGCCTATCAAGTATCTGCGTCGCGCGCGTATTATTCAAGCGCAAAGAGAGCTCAGTGCCATGACAGAGGCAGAGCGTGAGGCCTTATTAGGGGCGACTCTCAGCGGTTGGAAAATCATGTGCGAACTAGCAGATATAATAGCGCTAGAAAGGGGCAAAACACACGTCCTCCCACGTTTCGGTCGGAGGTCAAGGAACCCGAAGAAGAATTCACTAGGCAAGTACGGAAAAGGCCCTGCTTTTGAGACCGCGCAGACCGCAGAGCGAGCCATTCAGTGTATCACCAATGGCGAAAACATCGATGTCGTGCTGGGGAAGCGCATGAGAAGTTTTGATATGAGGAGATTTTCCCACGACGAGGAGAGAGTTGATCAGGCTAGGGCAAGTTTATCGCAGAATGGATAGGGGGCGGAGAAGTATTTCCCATTGAGAAAAGGGATAGGGCTTGCTAAGGATGTGAATGAGGACGGGCAAGGAAGGTAGTTCTGGTATTGATGTCAATGAGTGTTCTGTGCAAGGTTATGGCGAGCTAAGCAAGAAAGGGAGAAGGGGATATAATTCACTGGATGGATGGATGGATGGGCCCAATACCTAGGGACTTATTTACTTACCTCCTACGCTACACCACGGCACATCAAAAGGAGTTGGTAAACGAAAGAGTAGGACTCGAGACGAATAAAGGATGGATATAATGAATCATGGGTCATGGATACCTCACGAGCGCAGTAAATGGGGCGTTCTGGTTAGCCGGAGTTGGCGATGGTGTTTTTTTTTTTTTTGTATAGATAGGTGCGTATAGGTATATATACCTATATACCTAGGGTATACATACTTAGGTACCTGGTATGTGATAAACTGTAATTCTTAATGTATACCTAACTATTGGGTTCTCTTACTTGGGTTAATGCTGTAGGGTTGCATAAGAGGTTTGCGGTAAAGGTTGCTTATACCATGAAGGCGTACGTACGTACGTACATACCTAGGTTAGGTAATTCTGTAAATATACGAAACTCCAGAGGCACTTCAAGGTGACAGGCAGTTGTCTATGTAGGTACCTTAGGTAGGTTAGTTACCTAGGTACGTACCCCGTGATGAGTGGAGGTGTTTTAACTTACCTACATACCAAGGGAGAAGTTTCAAAAAAAAAAAAAAAAAAAGGGGGGGGGGGGACAACAACCTTCACGAATGGCTGTGGACCTAACCTAGGTGGATACTTTACTTTAATAAATAGGTTTATATTGAATTCAAGATACCTAGGTAGGTTAGGTAGGTATTATTTATATGACATATCAAAATAACGATGAGTAGAGGTATGTATGTACACTCAATGCCCAAAAGGGGGGTATAATACCTATGCTAGGTTAGACAATGTAGTAGTGTACTGTAGGTACCTAGTGCGTTGTGCAGTAAGTGCTACCTACGGCGTATCCTACTTAGGTACACAGGTATATAGGCACCTAGGTATGCAGTGCCTGTTCTTCACTTTGATATCCGAAGAACTCAAGTTAGTAGGTTAGATAGGTACACTACCTACCTACCTACCTACTAGGTATACCGGAAAGAGTGGCACCCAACTGACTGGAGCCCCTTTCCTCCTTGACGGAGATACTCGATCCCACCTAGACCTTACGCCCCAGGCCGACTAGGCAAGGGCCTAGGCCCAACGATCTGTCTCCTGTTAGCTCCAATGCCGGTAGACCCCTTGTTCTGGTTGTCACCGCCGGTATATCCGCTCCATTGACTAACATCCCAGCGACCGCCGATGCCTCCGCCGACCCCATCCACACCGTCGCCTGACCGCACAGCCTGTGCCGTCTCCTTCTGCGACTCTTCCCACTCTTTCTGCCTCTGCCGCTCCATTTCCATCTCGCGTTCTAGAAGCGACTTACTGGTCCAGCCGCCCGCCTTGGTCTTGGCTTGGGATTCTACCCGTCGCCTATCTTCGGCATCACGTTCTGCCGTTGCTCCGAGCTCGCGGGAGTACGTCTGTTGCGGGGCTACCGGGGCCGGGGCGGCTTTGGAACCGTTAAAGCGGCCAGTGTAACTGCCGTTGGAATTCGCCGAGGGCGTGGGGAGCGGCCGCGACGGTGGGGTCGACCCAGAGCCTCCAGTTGCCTGGTTTCTAAGCCGGTCAGGAATGGGAAGGGGCCTACCCTCTCCAGTTCTTTGAGGCTTTAACGGTTGTACGGGGGGCGCTCTCTCTCCTGTGCGATGCGTCTTTACTGGTGCTATCGCCGCACCAGGTACAGGCAGCGGGCGCGGAGGTGGCGGAGGGGCGATATCTTGGGCCTGCTCTTCCTGTGGTTGTTGTTGTTCTTGCTGCCTGAGCCACTGCGTACTCAAAAACTCGCGCTCGTCCCGCGGTCGCCATGAGTCCTGACGGCTAGGTGGTCTCGGCTCCGCCTTTCTGGGTCGGCTACGGGACCGCGCTCGGTTGTGCGACCGCTTCTGTCGTTCTTCCTCGTATTCTTGTTCACGCTTCCTTGCTAACTCTAGCTCTTGTTCTAATTGTTTGATGCGATCGCTATAGCCCCCTCCACCACTTTTCTGTGGGACGATGCCTTGCTCTGCCTGATACTGGCTAAGAAATTGCCCTTGCAACCGGCCGTCGATTTGGGCCTTTGCCCGACGACGTTCTTCAGCTAACTGTCTTTCGGCTTCCTCTTCTTCCATCCGTCGCTTTTCCTCCGTCAACTTCCATTCGCGTTCCTCTTGTTCCCAGCGACGTTTCTCTTCCTCGGCCTTGCGCTTCTCCTCTGCTCGTAGCCGTCGCGTCTGTTCCTCCCATCTACGCGCTTCTTCTAATCGTAAACTTTCCTCTTCGGCTTCCAGCTCCGCCTTACGAGCACGTTCTTCTTCTTCTGCCTGCAGTCTTTGGCGCTCGGCCTCGGCCTCCTGCTCTTTTCGAGTACGCTCCTTATCGGCGAGACTAGGTACATGAGGACTGGCGCTGGTGATTTGACGTCGCCCCCCAAAGGATATCCCCATATTGCCCTGGCTTGCGCCACCCATATAACCGTACTGCGCAATATTCCAGGCCGGGCTCGTAACACCTTCGTGCCCTCTCTTGCTCCAGGTCGACACATTTGGCGAACCTACTCGATCGCCAGAAGTCGGGCTCTTCGTAGGACTCCAGCGCCCTGAACCTGAGTCTCCAGTTTTCGAGGGGGTGAGCGCTGGTCGCGACCCATAGGTGGAAGAGGAATTGCTGACGTTAGACATGCCTCGGTTCCTCGGGGTTGTCAGGCTGCCTGTGTTCTCCGGGCTCATGTTAGAACCTCTTGCTTTGGGTCCAATTGGCGATGGAATCGCGGAGGGGTTAACGGCATGCGCGGCACGAGAGAATGCGCCGAGACACTGGAGGACTTGGGCTGGATCTTTTCGCTCGTAAAGATCGACGGTCAGAAACATATCATGGTCTTGAAGATTTAAGGGCGGCGATTGGCAGGCACGGAGAAAATGCGATATATTTTCCATCTGGATGAAAGGCATGGCAGACTGCTTGAACTTTACACCTGGCCGGCCGACGGCTAGATTGATAAGTCTTTAGACAAATAGAAGATTAGCTAAACCGAGATAAGTGACGGATAACATTGCGCATGCTGGACACTTACTTGCAAAGAGCAACACCATCTTTAAGCCCGTCGAGGAGATCGTTAGATGGCAGTCTATCCCCCAGTACGCCTTCAATCCAGGTGCGGGCTTCGTTCGCAGCGGCCGGAGTATATTTATCCAGTCGCAATAGGCGCAAGTCCTTGTCTAAGGACGTGACTGAGGCCATAGTAGTCATGCGATAAGCAATAAGTCTTATGAATTATGTAGTAAATGTAAGGTCGCGCGCAATGCAGCATCCCCCGGTGAAAGTCGATTTGTTTCCTTTTGTTTCGCTTCGTTGGTACGGAGACTTATGTATAAGCTGAACAGCGGGTAATAGATCCGGGTTGCGACTCGGAAATTAATTAGAAAGGTTGGAATGGAGGAATAGAGGGATGGCGGATTATTGCGCGGGATGTTATGAGAATGGAGATGGAATGGTAGACGACGTCACTAGGCCCCAAGTACGATTATTATTATTAGGTACTAGGTATTATTGGATTACTAGTATTGGGCAACTGACAGCAACAGACGATAGACGATAGACGATAGACGATAGAGTACCTAATATGTGGGTATGGTATAGTATAATAGTAGTATGTAGGTAGGATACCTTAGGTAGAGTATGGAGGTATTCTACGAAGAAGTTCAAGGTTGAGAGAATATTAGTAGGAAGAGAGAACGTTTAAGAAGGGGATTAGTTAAAAGTTAAAGGATTCAAGTTAAAAGCCGTAAATTCACCTGGGCTATGTTGTTTCTCATTATTAAACATGGAAATTACCTAACCTACCTAGGTAATATAGGTATACATTGATCCATGGACATATGTATGTAGGTACATTACTTGGAATACAACTGTTATTACAACATTAACCCAGGTGAAGTACATGTATATGTACCGTAACAATTAATGCGTTTCGTTTCAAGAAATGCATGTATTCAAAACCTAGGAACCTTGAAAAACTTGAAATCTTTCCCCCACCTCCCGCCATCGCACAATTGAAAAGAGGATCGAATATCGGATAGGCTGTGTTGCGTGATAGGGTGACGCTAGCCTAAGAGATACGCTAGACACATACCCCGGCATTGATTGGGCGCCAATGGAAATTTCATGGGGGCCCGGGGCTTGCGTACTTCCCATGGGTCCCTCAAATTTTGATGGTTGATCTTGGCAGGGCAAGCACATTGTGGCGTATCAATGCTTTAGTTAGTTAACTAACACCAAAAAATACTAGGTACCTAGGTATACTCCAGTGGATAGTCGCGGTCTGACAGGTGCATTAGTCTGCCACTAATACAGATCCGACTGGATAATCCGTACATTGTGGCGGTGTACATACATGTGTACATGCCGTATCTAGGCGAAATTCTTATCCATTCATCTTGATTCTTGACAGCTTCAATGCTTACGGCGTATGTAGCAACCTATACAGTTAGTATAGGTATTCTATTCAGCCAAGTATAAAAGATAATTACACATTAAACCCTTTCAACCTACCTAATTAATACAACCTCATACCCAGTGCCCAACTCCGGCAGGGCTGCTCCAAATTTTACATACTCAAATGTCAACGGCAACACAGATAGGCCCGATACGAAGAGCCTGGTATCAATGGAAAGCGCTACGGTTTCCATGGCGAAAACAGTTCCTAGTTGGTGAGTAGTCCTCTGCTTTTGCTGCCTTATTGCTTTCTGTTTCAGGCACTTGGGGGGGTGGCTGGCTTCTTAGCCTTCCTTCCCCCTGCCTCCGACTCCAACCTCCCCCTTTTCCCCCTTTCCCAACTTCTATAATCATACCTACTCACACTCACAACAGGCCTCGACCTCCAAGGTAACACGTACTGGGAGTTCCGCCTCAGCCGGGGCGACCCCTCCGCGCCGGACTCGCGGTTCCGCCGCATAGTCAAGTACCCGCGGGCCTCGCACCTGAGCGATGTCGCCGTGCCGCCGCAGTGGCACCAGTGGCTGCGACACCAGCGCCAACGCGCGCCCACCATCCAGGAGCTGAACTCGGATGTCGCGCGCCGGGAGCGCATGAAGGTACTCGCCGCCGACGCCGACGCTCGCTGGGAGGCCAAGCCCAGCTTCCTCGATGCGCCTGGCAAGGAAAGGGGCCAGCCCGTGCCGCCCCTTAACACGGCCCGTACCATGCAGCTACCGTCGCAGGAGGAGCGCGCCGCGGCGCCGGAGTCTGCGACGCGGAATGCAGCACAGAGAGAGACGCCGCCTGGGAAAGAGGATCCCTGGAAGCGCGCAAAGGCTACCGCTCCTGGAGAAACCTGGCAGCCTGAAGCCTGGAGTCCGACGTCGACGAAGAAGAGGTGAAATTGTGTTGGGGTGTTTTAGATGACCGCAGCTGGCGCAGCGCTGTGTTATGTTATTATGTATAGCAAGTGTAAAATTATCATGCTCATGCAGACAGGCTATTCCCATTATGGCCGTTTAAACGGCCCTATTAAAGACAAAAGTTTTCAGTGCCGGTGCATCAGTTTTTGAAACTCTACTTCATCTCGCAGATTCTGCTGCTTTACTTCCGCGCCCGTTCGAGGCTTTCGAACAGTCTGGGCACAGCCACATGAATTCGGGTACTGACTTGAGCTTGACGCATCTCCAATGAAACCATTCATATGGACAGGTGCTGTTGTCACATGCTATCATGTCACCCGACTGCTTGCGCCTGCAGAGACAATAGATTTTATCGTCTTCATTACTTTCTTCGTCCTCCCCATCTTCGTCCATTGGCTCTACTTCAATTTCTTCCAAAACTTCATCATCTGCTTCAATTAGATCAACAAGTGTGACCAACCTTTGGCCAGACATCTCCAGTACGGCACGGGCTTCCACATCGGGATCTTCTATATGAATTCTTCCCCGCGCTGAAGTCTTCTTTCTCTTGACCTTGGCATCCCTCGCCGCAATGCCCTTCTCTGTGGCCATTCTAAGGCCCTGACCAAACTTATCAGTTGAATCGCGCCACATAATCTGTAGCATATTCTCTAAGAGTATCGATACCTTTGCATTATCTTCCAGTGCAATGGTGTTAGCAGGGTAGGGGAGAAAGCAACGCTCAAGAATCTCAGATGTGAGCCCATCTGCATCTTGCCACGTACGGTCAACTTTAGCTGGCGATAAAGCTGACGCGGGCATCAAAAGTAGCGTTATGCCTTGGAGTGTAGATACTTGCGACTCTAATCTCAGGGCAGAGCTCGTATTGTCTACGAACGCGGTGAAGATAGGTAGTGGTAGCGATTTTACCGTCCTCTCGTATCTCTGATATAGATCCGAAAAATCAAGCATAGGGCTAGGGAGATAGTGACAAAGGTATGACAACTATCGCAGTTAGCCTGTTAGTCGAGTCGGTCACACGAAACACCATAAGCCATGACTTACCAAGGAGAAAAGACGTTGCCGCAAGGGGATAGATTCCACATAGGCGGGTTCCAAGGCTTGAAAATCTGAATCACGCAAATTACCCGAATGAGTTTTGCGTTTTTGTGGCGTTGGAGGTTCCGATGTTTGGGAAGAGTAGACGGATTCGTCGTCAAGATAGCCCCCAAAGTTACCCTTTTCAATGTTCACTGTTTCGCGCTTCCTCTTCTTCGCAGCATCTTGGGGGGCTTCTTTATGCTCTTTTACCCATATTTCTTGAAAATGGGAACTCGCCGTTACACTCCCATCCGCGAATATGGCCTCCATGATTATCTTCAACCCCCCTGTAGACCGGCCGGAACGCTGACTAACGTAGCTCGCAAGAATAGAATTGCTAAGCATCGGATAATCAGGCTTGCCACTTTCCATGTCGAGTTTATGACGCTCGGCCAAATCCTGCTCTAGTAAGTCAAGCATGAACTTGAGCCAATTCTTCCAATGCCGCCAGCGATTCGGGTAGAGGACAGAGCAGTTGAAGGCCCAACCAACAACATGGAAGAAGTCTTGTCCTCGTCGCCAGAGACTGTCCAGGTGGTAGCTGCGTTTTATATGCGCATAAGTGGCATCGCCGCCATCATCATCGGTACTATGATTAGAATCATCCCCAGAATTATATTCGGGGGAGTTGTGGCGCGACACAGTTATGAAGCGAAAGGCCTCCTTGAAGCGGCCATTGATAGGGCCAAGGCGGGCGAGAAGGCCGCGCAAATAGATGAGGGATTCAGCAGATACTTCATCCCAGCCTTCTTCCCGTGGCCTGGTTGTGAACTTTGGGTGGACGATGGCACTGCTAATCAGCGACAACTGGCTTGTGGAAGGGCAATAACTAGTGTCATCTGCATTATGGCAAGTTGACGACAATAGACTATTTAAAAGATTTAGAGTAATGAGATCTTGACAATGAACAAACCAAGTCAGCGAAATCGGCTCGGTATTGGTTCAAAAGGAGGAATGTCAGTGATAACCTACAAAGGTTTTCCTCCAAATAGACTTGGCAATGAGTCTTAAGCTCTAAGGGTAGCTTGCTGGCTTTGGCAAATGATTCAATGGTAGTATTAGTAGTATCATCAGCTTCGACGGGAGTGCTGAGATCCATGGGGGTATTAGTGCCCAAATGATTCTGCGGAGACGCGGTTGCTGTCGCATATGAGTTAATGGACGATAGAGGCGATGAGGTCAGGGGTACAGGAGTTAGTGACATAGTATTTGAACTTTTGGGATTGGGGATTGGGGATCAGGGTCTAGAGCTTGACGCGTTACATAAAGATGTCAAGTAGAAACGCGACAAAGCGTTTGGAATTATGGAGTAGAAATGCAGGATACAGCCCTGGAGGATTAACTAAGATCGATTGGCGGGGTGCCGGAGTTCGGTAGCTGTTAGCGTAAAAGGCTTGTGGGACTTAGAGAGGTCACCTTGTTATATGCATATTTATACCTATAAGCACCTATGCAACATAGTTATACAGAATGCGAAATGGATATAGTTAGTTACCTCCAATGTTTGTCATGGCAAAAGTAGAGCACAACGATTGATCATCATAAGTATGTCCTAGCATTGTTCAAGCTTCCAGATTTTGAGCTGCCTATCTAGTAGGTATGTACCCGAAACTCGTTATGACAGACTCACAGTACATCTTTGGCATGTACTGATTCTCTGCCGCCTATCTGACGGTCACTAGTGTACTATTACATATGGGCCTTGATAGCCTGGAAGGCATCGTCTCGGCTTCCAACATAACGCGCCTCCGCCGTCTTCCAGTTAATCACCTTCCAAATATTATCAACGTAGGCGGCCTTTCCGTTGAGGTACTGCAGATAATATGCGTGCTCCCACATATCCACCCCGAAGAGGGGAGTGTCACCCACCACCACCGCCTCTTGGTTAGCGAGAGTCACGATTCGCAGCTGTCCTGTGCCGGCTTCCTTCACAAGCCACTATGATATCAGGAATTAGTACTTGATCAGCATCAACCCAAGGCTTACCCCTTGGCCTTTTAGTTAGTAAGAGATGTAGACACTTACGCCCCAACCACTTCCCTGGATACCCAACAAAGATGCGTTGAAGGCCCCTTGGAACTTCTCAAAAGTTCCCCAGGTGTCCTTAATGGCGGCGGAAAGCTTGGGTGCTGCAGCCACCTTCGAGTCGGGGGAGGAAGCTGGAGCCAGGCCCTCCCAAAATAAGGAATGGTTGATATGGCCACCGCCGTTGAATCGGATGGCTGACAGTTGGGCCGCGGCATCCGGAAGCTTACCATTGGACAGGGCCTTGGCAGATGCCTCTAGGGCTTTGTTGAGGTTGGTGATGTAGGTCTGATGGTGTTTTGTGTGGTGCAGCTCCATAATCTGTTTCGAGATACTGGGCTCCAGAGCCTGGCTCGTTCACATGGAAGTTAACATGAGCTGTTCTATATGATTGTTTGCAAAGGCGTCCATTTCGGATCAGTACTCACGTCATAAGCGTACGGAAGTGGGGGAAGAGAGTAGCTAGAAGCGGCCATTTTGATGGATGTTTCAAGTACTGTATATACGCGGTATGGATGTAGGTGATGACACCGTGGATGTCAGTAGTTGAATCGGTAAAGGTTTGGGTGCGACTTGGAGTAGTTGTATGATGGTCTCTAGTATGTCCTAGGCAGCTCAAGGAAGTTCAAGGCAAAAGAGTTCGAGGATGTGTGTAAGTAGCTGGTTCTAGGTTTAAGTGATAAATTGTCCTGGAAAACTCAAAACGATGAAGGAAGGAGCGGTAACCATCAAGGTTCTTCTCCCCCGCGTCTTTACATCATTCATTGTGCCTTCCGGGTTCTTTCCATTTTGCCATATGTGCACTCTACCATGGCCATCTACGAGCTACAATCATCTGGATCCCTACACACTAGGCACTAATAACACTAAAATGCTGATTAAAGGTGGACGTTCCCGAAAGCGGGCCCCGTGAAACGGCCTCAAAGAGCGCAAACTTGCTCACCTTTCGTAGTACCTAATACCTATTTAATGTGTCTCGGATAGTGTCATCCAATGTACTTGCTACGCCGCCAGTCAAATACTTTCATGGTTTTGTAGATAAAGTCACGCGTATAATTCCTTGTGTCAAGGGAGGACGCACTTATTGAGAACGTTTTGGAATCACTAAATTATCGTGTCAGAACAACAACCTTGGATACAATGGAGCAACCAATTTTCCTGGGTTCGTTTCTCATGGCTACATCGTGGAACCTTGAGGACTGGCCTCCTTCATGTTTCTGGTTGCATGCCTGCTTAATTACTTTATCCACCAAGGTATATAGTACCTAGTATTTCTAGGCTCTTGGAATCGTCGCCTGACTTGTAAGGCATCACTAGTAGCAACATTGAAGTTATACGTATTATACATATAACTACTTGGTACGCAGGAGGTAATGTAAAACTTTGACAACTCTACTACATACCTACAAAGAATCTTGCGAGTAATACACTTAATACACCCAGTATCTGTTCAACTTGTGTCTGAACACAACCTACCTATCCAATACCCTAGTATCTAGTATCTTTATCGCCCAGTCGGACAATAATCGCCATTAATATCACCCTCGTACAATACTTCAAGACAGTATTGACCTCGATCTCACCTACACCAACTAAGAGGATCAACCTTGAGAGAGCCGGCAAGTGACCATGTGTGGTGATCACTCGCGACAGTCTAGCGGTGGTGCTCTCGCTGTACTCAGTCCCCCGCTTCGAAGCACTCGGTCAATGTCGCCGACAATGGCCGGTCGACTCACATTTCATGACTGTGGAAAGGGAGGTTCAACAGCCACTCACGCCACGTTCACACCAGGCGACAACGACGTTAGCAACAGTCTAGTCGACTTAGACTCGTGTGTAGTTGGCATCCAGTAAGAATCCCCCCTTTGCTTATTTCCATGTTACTGCTAGTTAGGTAAAAGAAGAGATAAACCCGTATGCTAATTATATATTCAATAGTGAGACCGGCGACTTGACCACATCCGCCATAATAAGTCCCTTTATATATAAGTTCAGTATGGCCCAACAAAGTCGGATCCTGGCAGACAATCAACAGGAGCGGTCGATGGAAGTGTCTCTAGCCCACCCAATGAAGATCGAGGTTGGTGGTGAAGGGATAATTGGTCGAAGAGTCACCCTCTGGTCGCAACATGATGCCGATCCCATCGCAGAAGGGATCATAGGATACAATTAAACAAGGTCGCGCGAAGATCGTATATACCAAACGGAGTCCACGGATACGGAGCGGGAGTTTCACGGGACCGCACCCAAGGATTATGGGATCTCAATTCCTTGCGATGCTCAGTCAGGGTTCTCTTAGCTACTTAGGGAGGAAATCCGATTGTTCAGGCCGCGGCCTGTTTGGCGGTGGTAATTCGACAGTATTGTATCATAGAATACCCTTAATGAAGCATTGTGTATGATAATTAGCTTGATTCTAGCACGAGATAACTCAATAGCTGTTGGCGACAAGTGTTGACTGCTGAATCTGTTCTAGCTACGCGACTGAAGCATCACTTGACAACTTGTTCACAAGTTACTCATTAGTCATAAGTAATTCTCGAGGGGACCAAACATTGTTGTTGCAAGATCATCAAGCTGGATACCTACCTGGGTACCTAAATAAGTAGCCCAGCTTCATTTCCCCAGGTTTCAAGAAGCATCGGTCTAGAACAGTCTAGCAACATCGGTTCAGCTCCACGTATCTCAATAAGCGAACGAACAAAAGAAGGAAAGTTGCGTTTCATAATTCCAGCCTCTCTAGGGTTATACATACATGTACAAGGTCAGGTCAAGTTCGTGAACTTCCTGATTCATACCTAGGTACCTATGTAGGTAAGTAGGCCGAGTAGCCTAATGACGATATTGAAGTATTATACCTAGAGTAGTTCGGACTAGCCGTGAAGTCACAACCGGTTACGGATTTCTACTGGTGATGTCGTAAGATACTAGGCACCTAATGTAAGTATGTTGCATAGCTATCGTGGGCTCCCCACATAAATCAGGGGTCGTAGTCTGACGGTAGGTAACTAGATTCACCGACTAAGCTTCAGCTGGTCTTTGGAGGGAGGGGTACGGGAGGGAGGTAATGGTACACTGTAGAAGGGGATTCGTGCAAATGCGAATATGAACTAACTAATTATTGGATACCCTGGTTAGCGATATAGTGCTGGTATTATTATATTCGAGTGCATCATGACTATATAGGTACTTGGCGGGTAACATCGCGGCATCGTTTTGCTGTAGGTTAGCTAGATTCTTGCTTTGGAGTCAGTACAAGAACGCAAAGGAGTTAATAGTTAGGTAGTTGTTAGGCGTGTAATACTTGGGCCACTTACAATTTCAGATCAGGGTCTTCGTGTGCTAGCTTTATAAGCCAATATGTCGGTAGGAAAGATCTTTCATAGTCAATTCAAGTGTCTTGATCAAAGTTAAGGGCGCCCTCATTACCAGGTAGGCTAAGTATGCAGTCAGCAAGCTGGCGCATTAAGTAAAAAAAGCCCTGGAGCCTATAGCATGTGGCGGACAGGGGTTCTCAAGCCCATGAATGATAGAAGCCCCTACCTCCGTAGAGTCACATACAGGTAAGCTCTGCGTTGTGAGGTAAGGAATAACTTGATTTTTTTTTTCACTTCTTCTCAAGACGGGATGGTTTCTTCGAGAACGAACGGTAGGGCTGAAGGGTGTCTGCTGTTTTCAGGGTTCTTTTCTCCCTCATATCTACCTAAGCACCTACCTTCCCATGCCTACCTTTCTTCGTTACCATTGCCATCTCTGCCCGGCTTGTTTAACTAAGACAGCCCCAATGAGATCACGAGGACATCGGTGAACGCAAATACGAAGGGAATCTCGCCAGCATACTGATATGCAAACACAAACCAAACACAGAGGGAATGTCGTACCAACTACGCCCGCCGCAGCCGTCGCCGCAGCAAGCCGAAGGGGGATACGATGGGTACAATGCGTTCAGCCACGAGCAACAACAGGCGTACGCTGCGCAGATGCCGCCTCCGCCGCAACAACCAGCACACCCACACGACGGCTTCGCGCGCACGCAGACGTGGCTCGCTAACCAGCCACCGTCCACCATGTCCAGCACCGTGGCGCCAGGGACCAAGACATCACCCTCGCCTATACATGAGGGCTACCCAGACACCACCACCACCGCCAGCTTTGACCGGCGCACGCTCGGGGGTTACTCGGCCACGACGACGGCGATGATGCCGCCGCGACCGCCGGCGGGGAGGATATGCGGGGTCGAGCGGAACCACTTCTTCGTGGTGGTGGCGATTGGGACGTTCTTGTTCGTGGTCGCCATCGCGGTGGGCTTGGGGATCGGGCTGGGCACGAGGACGAGCGGCCATGTCTCTGGTAGTGCGGCTGCGGTTTCGGGGTACGTTTTTTTTTGGCGATTTTTCTGTTTTCTTCTTCTTCTTCTTCTCCGCGGTTGTTTTCATTGCTTCCTGCTTGTGGTTAGGGGGGCGGCTATCTGTCATACATAGGTGGTCACCTGGACAATTCTCTCTCTGTGTTATATTTACGCTGCCTGAGATTGTGGGGGGGGGGGGGGTTTCAGAGCCCGAAGTTGGGTATCATGGTCGCCGTTGATGACAGCGATGGGCGGTGGATACTAAGGCAGAGAGGGAGAAGAAAGAGCGGGAGAGACCTGAGACGAACTTCCACAAGCTCTCACGTCAGCATGCATGTCTGGTACCGCCACCACACCAAACCTCAAATTACTAACACCTACTAGCAGTAGCATCTCCTCCTCCTCCTCATCAGTCGCCGCCATATCCACCACCCCAACCCCAACCACCGCACAACCCTCAACACCCACCCTCGTGTCCCCCACGCCCAGCTTCACCGGCCTCCTCACCACCGCGCCCATAATCTGCCCGCAAGCCAACAACACGGTCTACGTGTCGCGCGGCAGCTCGAAGCCGTTCAACGTGCAGTGCGGGCGCGACTACAACGCGGACGCCGGCGCGCGCGACATCAGCCACGCCCCCGCGAGCACCATGGCGCAGTGCATCAACGCGTGCGGCGACCGCGACGACTGCGTCGGTGTCGGCTGGGGTAACTATCAAGGCACCTACCAGTGCTGGATGAAGAGTCGGCTCGGCGAGCCGAACTGGAGCCGGCAGTGGTATTTTGCGCAGTTGCAGGATCTGGGGTGAGGGTTGGGCTGGGTGTGGATTCGAGTTACAGTAGGGAAGGGGGGGTCTGGTCTGGTGTGGCTTTTTTTTCTTTTCTTTTTCTTTTTCTTTTATTGAATCTAGGTAGGTACTAATATGTAGTGTCACGTAGGGGATAGGGGACGCATTGGTATTGTACAGGATCTTGCATTTAGGCGTGGCGTTTTTTTGGTGTTAGGAATTCCCCCTCAATACAATACAATACATAAGTGCCTACCTACCGTAATAGGCATTGCCCAATTAGGCACATCCATATCCAGACACCGTATGCAGCAGCTAATGAAGCGGTCTGAGGTTACGTAGGTAAGATATCAGGGATTCAGGGGACCTCGGAGTCACTGGAGTTCACCCCATCTGCCCACTCGGCGACTTTGACAGAGAGGGTTTCGGCGACCCCTATACTTTCGGGGTCCATCGTTTATTATCGCCGGCTAAGAACATCAATGCCGCACACCCCGGAGATGATGGCCGAGCTCCTTACATACCCACATACCTACATACCTGCCTGGGCATATTTCCCAGAACAATAGGCGGAAATATTTTGTTGCAATTTACTCCCAAGTAACACAGGTAGAAAGGCTGGGAAACATTCCCGGCAAATTTGATAAACATCTGGAAGCTTCTCCAGTATTAGTATTGGTAGTGGTAGCAGTGGTAGCAGTGGTAGCAGTGGTAGTAGTATTAGTAGTAGTCTCAGCCCTATATACGGCTTCTTATTCTCACATCAAGTCCTGCATACTAACTATGTAATATGTATTGTCAAAGCCCGGCGACCTATGTAGCACCTTTGATTAGTGTAGCCCGTGGGGTCCAGGACCACCACCCACGTTTCTGCTAGGTACTGGGATAGAGACATCCATTATTAATAGGTAAACCGCCCGGGCGGCTTTCGGGGTAAGGATCGGGCGCTTTTATAGCGTACCTAGTATCTACCTACCTAGGTTGGGTCTTTCCATTGGGACAGCATACTTGGGTCGGGCTAAAGCGAGACGAGACAAGACGAGCCCCACTAAGGTTAGAGAGACCGAGAGATGGAAGGGGGGCCACTGCTTTTCAGCCCTCCCCGAACTTCAACCATTCCACCGGGACCTTGACCTGCAGCTGTCTAGGTATGTATTGTACGAACAGCTAAAAGCCGACGGCCGCCGACCATCGCGCATGAATACTGGCATGTAAACGGCGACCTACACTCCTCCAGTTCCCCGTAGGCCCCAACTAAAAGAGACTTGTGTATGTCTGTGTGGTCAAATATGAGAAGAAATAGCACAGGCCTCCAGAGCCATCTACCACATGTATGTAGTTAGGTACAATACAGGTATTATTGCAGAACTGGTCCCCCTTCAATGGATGTTCTACGCCAGTTGTAGTTAGGACTTGCATTAGGTTCGACGACTTTGAATGCTTATTAGTACCATGTGGGCGGTGCCCGAACAATCTACCTAAATATGAACTACAGTACCTAACCTAGGTAATAAGGCACTGGGCTGACAAGGGACCACACCACAGATACTATAACAATGTAAACAATGCCCATCTACATTAGGTGCCCTTCCCCTTATTACTTTGAGTTTTTAAAAAAGCAGCAGAGAAGGACGAATATTAAAAAAAGAAAAAAAAAAAAGAAAGAAACTTATTGGAACGAGAGACTCGTCGTAAATACATCGGCTTCCAAGGTACCGTCATCATGAGATAGCCTATCCCACCTGCAGGTAGCTGCCTGGACTACCTCTTCGACTATGTCATGCTGGCCGGACCTTTTCCTTTCCTTTCATTCCTCAGTTCATACCAAAACTTTTCTCCCTAACCCAACTCTGGCGGCTTCGGGAATGGTCTGCCTAGGTAGATACTAAAGAAATGTAGCCGTATCTGCATCCTATACAGCTCCCTCCTCCCCTTATTAAAAAAGTTCCAGATCGTCCTACTCACAACTTACCCAAACTCCAAGCTAAAGGAAGATAGCAACAACTCCGTACGTATATCCCATTTTCACCATGTCGTCCTCGATTCGAGTGTCCCCGACTTATACCACGGTTCCAAGGACTCGTTTTACATGGCCCAGCTCACCAACAGCGTTCAAGGTGCGCTGGCAGGTGCACTCGTCAACATCGTATCGATCTCGGACATGATGCCCTCGTCGGCCGCCATGCTGCTGATGATTTCCTCCTGCGTGAACCCGACCCAGAATGAGGGGTTGTTCTGCTGCGCCTTCTTGGCTCGGTAAATCTCTTGCGCGACGCCCTTTACTTGGCCCGAGGCCCTGCTGGCAGCCTTCCACACATTGCTAAGCTTGTTGAGAGCCCCGATGTTGAGTCGGATTTGTTGTCTTAGGTCGTCTTCGTCATGAATGAAATACTCGAGGGACCACTTGCTGAGATGGACGATGGAAGACAGCGTTAGAACACAGGTGAAGAAGTGCGTGTGGCTCGTGATGGGCACATTATAGGTCACCATCTTACTGATCTCGCACGCGGCCGTGATGATGTGTCTCGTATGGAGGTTGAAGCGGTCCCCGCTTTGGATCCTTTGATGTGGTGCGCAGGCCGTTACCTCACGCGCCGGCGACGAGTCCAGTTGGGAAAGAGGCTGGTGCAAAATTATTGAACAGCTAGGTGGCTCTCATGTCAGCCCGAGAAGAAAGGTCACGTACATAACAGGCAAGGACCACTTACGCATTGTTGATCATAAAAGCTTGAAACATCATCTCGTCAAGCTGGAAGTCCTTAGTCAAACAGTCTCGCTTCGATGCTGGCAGGTGCATTCTCCAATTCGATAGCAGCGATTCCACCTTGCTGACACTCTCCTCGTTCGGGAAGCCGCTGTTTGGCATTCGCATCATGCGTCCCAGGTTTCTAATGGAAGCCACACGATATGCGAACGAGGAGAATTCCCTTTCTTCTCCGGAGAACAGCTGATCATCGAAATCCTCTAGGTACATCGGACGCGGGATACTCTGCCATCGTTGAACGATTAGTTAGTAATTCTAGACACAGAAGTCAAGTGCTCAAGCATAGAAAACCCACCCCTGATGTGTACTCGTGCTCTTCGCATGGAAGACCAACGTCTGCCACGATGTCAAATAGGAGAAAGTTGGTTTGTCGATGAACTCCCGCAACCATTCCGTCCACGACGAACAGATCCCACCAGGTCCGACGCCAACTCTCTTCCAACCTAGGGATACCGCGCCCGTGCATCGTAGCGAAAGCTCTGGTGTAGAGCCCAATTTCTATGGCGATTCCCTCGACATCGGATAAGATATCGCGCGCTTTTTCTTGCTGGCAACTACCATCTAGTCCGATGAGAAGGATGACCATCGCTTGAACCAGATAGCCATCCTTTGGGACATCTGGAGCATATACCAAGCGCATAGCCTCCTCGAAGAAGGTTGCGCGAGAGGGACCAGAGTCGATATACAAGGAGCCGACCCATCTCATCGCAGCTAGTAGATGGTCTAGGTTCCTTTCCTTGGCAGCCTTGAGTAAGGGCTCCTTCTGTAAGACGGCCGGATGGCCGGGGTAGAAATAGTAATAAAACGAGTCGATGCAGCGCTCTGGCATCGTCTGTGGTCGTGAACCGTTCTCCACAAGAGCACCGGTAGTTCCGTTAAGGTAGGGGTCCCTGTACAATTGAAGGCTGTGCAGACCGGGAGGCGCAAAGGGCGTAGCCGGCGAATCTGAGGTTCCTAGGGCCGGATTGAAGATCGCCAGAGTGGGAGCGGCGGAGGATGAGACCGTCGCGCCTAGCAGCATAGGGCAGCTATCCCCGCCTGCAGAGGCCGGCGAGTCTGAGGCATGACGCTTATTTGGGTTAGGAGCCGCGTTTCGCCGTGGTCCTTTATAACCACGGCGAGAAGCGACGTAGACGCATTCAGACTCTGAAGATTGACAGCGCGAACATGGCGTCTTCCCATCACATTTTAGATGTTTGTTCCTCTAAATTTATGTAGCGATGTCTTTAGTCAGCATAATGTTTTTCATCTCATTTTTAATATCAGAAGGTTATGTTGTAGGATCACTCACACAGGCAAGGCAGGCTGCCTGCACAGTATTCGGGGGTGTGCCCGAGACAGAAGGATTCGGCGTTGGGTGATTAGACATTTCCGAGCCAAAGCCATTTAATAGCTCGCTTGGAGACGCATTCGACATTGATAACACAGTACTGGTCGGGTGTGAGTAAGAATACATGATGATGGATTGCCTCACTTGTTCGAGGACCGAACAAAGAAGAGGCAGAGAGTAAATGACCTTGATTAGATCTTGAAGAATGGAATGTCGAGAGTCCTAGGTTGCGGTGTGGGAAGGGGATATCGGGAGGCTGATGGAGACGATACCAATTATAATTGAGTGGCGACTCCTCCCACGGTCCGAGATATACAATAAATACCTACCTACCTGAGTTATGTATGTAGGTAGTATGTATCTCTCTCTCTCTTTTTCTCTTATGCCTGTCTCTGTGTCTGTTTCTCAGTCACCCTTTATTCCCTTTCATACATAGATAAATATACACCTACACATACGCTTTGTATTTCTTGCTTGACTTCTTACCTTTTTGCTGTGGCTCTCCCTATGGAGGGTGAGATGGGTGATGACGATATAAAACTTTTGTTCCAAGTATTGAAACTAAAGATGACACTCAAAACGAAGAGGCTTATTTGGTCTCTTCGTTGTTATGTGGTAAAATTGATAAGGACAAGAAAATAGTAGCGTGGTATGTAGGTATGTAGGTATGTAGGTATGTAGGTATGTGTTCTAAGTTGTTAGTGTTATTGTGTGTTATGCGTGTAAAGAAGCTAGAAGATCCGAGATGGAATTTCCGGTAACAACGGCACTGGGCCTTGAATACCTATCTAGGTAGTCAGTTACTTAAATTAATGTGACTGTTAAGCATTACATAGTACTGTATAAGAAGGTACTCCCCCAGCATTTAATCATGGCTAACAGGGAAAGGGGGGGCAGAGAATGGAGGGGTGGACGGCCTGGGTAGTAACTGCCATGATAGGTAGCCTATTTTCTTTTTTAATTTTTTTTCTTCTCCTTCTCCATTATTTTCCCTTTTCCCTTTTCCCCTTTCCCTTTTCCCTTTTTCCTCTCCCCTCCCTCCGAGGAGATTAGTAGATTAGCGAAATAAAATTTAGATGAATAGTGTACACGCATGTGTGGTGAAATGAATAGAACAGTTTTAGAACTAGCATTTAGGTAGTTAACGTCCTACTAAAGAGCCAAGTAACCTTGTACCTATTAGTTTTCAAGGTGAGGGGTTGGATCATGGAATTCGTTGATGGCGTTGGACTATATCTAACGCTACCAGTACTAACATAGGTTAGTAGGTGCCTACCGACCTACTAGGTAGGCACTAGGCTAAGGAGGTATTAACATTGAAATATAACTAAAATACAACTAAAATATAACTACATAGTAACTACACATGTATCCATACATGATGTATGTAGATCCTTGTCATAAATCAGGGAATTATCTTCAATTTGTAGAGTTACTAGTGCAGTTACAGGGATACAGGGGTATAGACTTAGCTCCCGTTCGTCGAGCTGGGCCCGTGTGATAACCGAGCTCAGCTACTATGTAGGTGTCCAGTACGCTATCTAGATCCATTAAAAAAAACATTAGTTACCTAGTTAGATTTCACTAATTTTTCTTTGGGACGATGCTAAGGATGCTAAGGATGCTTCGATCATTGAACTAATTACAAATAGAGCTACTCTCGGCATACGAAGCGTCTTTTCTTGCTGTCAATTAGTCCTACCTACTTACGGATCTGTCTATTTGACAGCTGAGATGATTGTTGACATTTTGATTGCATGTCTTAACTATTTACACTTACAGGGCTGCTGGGTACGATAAATTCGATCATATGAACCACCCCAGGCAATATATTCGAGTGGAGGTCAATATTTACATCGTAAATTCTTTTACGAAATATCTCAACATACATTGCGATTGCGAATGCGATCGCACCCTACATGCTTCAACAACAACAACAACAACAACAACAACAACAATATTCTAGTTCCGAGGAGTTTGTTACCACCTTGCTGCTTCTCAACGGGGCTATTTATATGTGGGAGGCTACTACTATGTAGCTACCTACCTAAGGTTAGGTTACAGACTTGAGATCTAGACGACGAGCGTGACCTGCGGTCAACCATCGCTGGTACATATGTACTATGTACTAGTAGTACTACCTAGTACTCTACATATGGGACTAGGTAATTAAAAATGAGGCGTAGAAGGCGTATGATACCTGGGTACCTCCATTATATACCCACCACCCACGCATACGATAGATGCTGATCAACGTTGAAATAAGGGGTAGCCTAAAAGGCAACGTCAACTAGTACCTTGCCGGACATCCATTTACTCTGTCTACCAGGTAGGTTATAATTCTTCCGTTTCATCTCAATACGTAACCTTAAAGGTAAGTAGCTGGATGTTGCAGGATTCTGATATCAAGAAGCCCCGTATTTTGCCAGGCACTCGCTGATGTGTACGGTCATATTGCAGATACATATAACTATCACTACCTACCTATCAGGTGTTGCACCACGGCTACTAGCATCACAGCACCCATGATGCATACATGATGTAGATAGCCTACATAGTACTGTTACCAGTAATATCATTGATGTCGCAAACCCCTTTTCCTTTACCCCAAGGAAAATTGTCCCCAATGCTGCCTCATCTTATTATTCAATGGTAACGATTCTCAGATCCCGGTGTTGTTATGCAAATCTTAGTCGCTATTAACGACAATGACTCCCTACCGTATTCTCGGAACATTTTGTACGACTGCCTACCCAGGTAGACATTCATATACCCAGAGAGCACACGTGCTTACTTCAAGGTACATACCTCATGTCGCGCGGGTGGGCAAGTAACGGCCCGAGAACACGATCTCACTTATGCTTACGAGTCTCAGATCTCCTTGTGGCACCCTGTGAAAAACTACGCAATAGCGCGGCATGCCAGTGTAACAGTCGCTGGTTTCCTACCTATGTAGCCTACTAGGTACGTAGACACATGTATGTAGTTTGCTGGGGAGTCTGTTCCATGTATTCCCATACCTCCCGGCGACCACCTCAATTACCACCTACTAACCTGGGAATTTGAGTACCTAGAGGTAGGATTATGTGCGTTCTCGGCCTGCCATTCAATGAGACTGCACTCCTCATAATAGGGGTTAGCTGATACAGTGGCAAGAGCTTTTATAAATCCACTATATTAGTGGTTCGTTCGCGCTCGCCCATGTTCGAAGCCCCGTCTCCCTGACCATGATTCAGCTTCCCCTTTCCATAAGGCGGGTTGCAATCAGGGAGTTTCTATGCCATTCGCCGTTCGATTCAGGAATAACACTGTTCTACGTCTTCGCTTCGTGCTCACCACGTTTCGATGAACCCCTGCTCGCAGTACCAAATAACCCGATAGCTTCCCGCTAGCCGCCTGCTGTTTACCGATCATGATCGAGCTCATAGATCTTCATTATCGAGATGCTACTAGTCGCTACCAATCCAGGTTCCTACTTCCATGAAGGGCTTGGACTAAGACACGTTCACTGGGATCTCGTGGCATGCTAAAGCCGTGCAAGTGATTTAGCATCTGTTCGATGTTTTCAGCCGGGAGCCCAGACCAATATTGAGCTCGACTTGTTCGTCTGCTAAAATCTGACAAGTACGCGTCCATCCCGAGGCAACTCACATGGAGAGGGAAAGCAACCGCGGAAGTACCTATCCATACTGACGAGCGTCTTGTAGCGGAGCAGTATTCCTCGGGGGCATGCTTCACGTACCTAGCTAAAGCGGCCACCTCTATATTGCGACTAAGGCTCAGCCCGGTGACCCACAGTAAACGGCACTGCATATCGGAATAGAGGCTGTTATATTCATCTCGTTCACCTTTCCTACTATTCTTAGTAGACAGTAAATTCATCGAGATCGTCAGCTGCGTCAAGGTAACGTTAAGAAGTAGGCAATGCGCTAGTGCTGGGGGGCGGAAACGACCTTAACCTACCCTCCTCGATACTCCTATAGGGGCTATTTAGGTAGCAAGCCTCGTAGTGAGATCTGAAAGCGTTCGTAAAGTCAAAGCACCCACGCTAAAGATCTTAAGTATTGGAAACTGTTGAGTACTACTATATACCACGGATCAGCCGCGTGCTAGAAACGGCCCCGGTGCTAATGAACAAAGACCAACCCTAGAAGATACATAATGAACTCATCGATATTAACCGAAACATATCTGATTCCAGGTCCTTCAACCCTTACGTTCAGAAGGCGACCGTTATAAGGGTAGGTACACCATCGACCTTTGCCACCCCAGCCCGGGACCGAGAAAGCTGAGCTCGATGATACCCCTGAAAATTTCATACATATCTTCCCTTCCTCCTCCACGTATATAGGTAAGTACCTATATAACCTAGTAGAGTTAGTGAGACGTCCCTACATGACGAAAGGGCATAGGCACCTAGTCAAGCACCTCGTGTATATCAAAAGCTAAGCTCAATTTACTACCTAGCCGATACATACTTTGAACAGAGATGAGAATAGATACTTCCTACACCTTTGGTACTTGTCCCCCTAAATAGGTACCTAACTAGAAACCAGAAACCCATCATGAATACCTAGGTATTATCCAACCGGTATTAAGACTATAAACGAACGTCATCACAAGAACCTTTTGAGAATCCTAAAATTCCACAGCACGCTCGAGACTGGGCAGGTAGGTATACCCAGAGACATACTAGGTTGGTAGCAGCAGTGCTTGCTTGCTTGCTTGCTTGCTGGCTCGCCCCTTACCTACTCATCCTCCTCACTTGACACAAACGCCCTGCGCTTCTGCTTCTCTTGCTTCTCTTCCTCGCCCAATCTGCGCACCGACGTCGACGCACAACAACAGTCTGCATCCACATCCACGCTGTCTCTTTCCGACTCAGTACTGCTGACCACAGATAGCACCGAGTCCGTCGTCATGGAACCCGCCGCAGCACTAGTCTCGCTGCCATGATCACTGCCATCATGATCATCTTCGTCCGTTTCCGGCGCCAGCACGTCTCCATCACCTCTCCTGCCATGACCACCATCTCTACCAGCAGTGGGTTTGTGTACATGCTCCACCATCTGATGCCTCTCTTCCTCCTCGTCATCCTCGCCTTTCCCCGTCTCCCACATCTGCCTCAGCTGCGCCTCCTTCCCCTCGCCGCGCACCGTCGCGTCGAACTCGAAGGGCATCGGCTTCGCGATCAGCAGCGGCGTGTAGTCGTTCCAGTGGACCGGCACCTCCACCTCCACCTCCACCTCCTCCTCAATCTCCTCTTCCACTTCTTCTTCCGCACCCGTTTCCGTGCCATCCGCGCTGGACGTCTCCACCACCGTCTTCTTCATCCTCTTCTTCACCTTCACCATCTTCTTCTTCTTCCTCAGATCAAGCGCCCACGCGATCCCGCCCATGGCCAGGAACAGGTCCTGGTCCACGATCGGCACGCCCTGGCACGTGCGCCGCCCGAACCCGAACTGGCTGTACCCGTGCAGGTTCGGGTACACGCTCAGCGGCTCCTTGTACGTCGGGTAGCTGGGCTCCAGCCAGCGCGCCGGGTTGAAGGTTTCGGCGTCTGGGTAGACGGCCTCGTTGCGGGTGATGGCCCTGGGGAGATGGGTTAGTTAGTTGAGAAGAAAGGATAGGGGGGGGATTTATGGTGCCATGATGCTCCTCTACGTGGACTTGCCATTCTAGCGCGTGGATGGTTGCACCCGCGGGGATGAAGTAGCCGTTGTAGACGTCGTCTTGTTCGATTGCGTGGGGGATGCCTTGGACGAGTTAGCAGACTGCTAGGTAGGTAGTAGGTAGAACCCTAGTTGCTAAGTAGATATTCCACTTCCACAGCTAGAAAATAGCTGCACGAACCTGTAGGAACCGGCGGACGCCATCTTATGACCTCCTTAACCACAGCCCTCAGCAGCGGCAATCGTTCGCGATCACTCCACGCCGGACACTCCCCCTCGCACACAGAGTCAACCTCGCCCTGCAGCTTCTCCTGCCAGTCCGGGTAATGCAGCATGGCCAGCATGAAGCTCTGGATCGGGCTCCCGATCGTGAGGGCGCCCGCAATAGCCATCTGGCCGACGACATAGGTCGCCTCCGCCTCGTCGCCCCACTTGCTCCGATCGCTCTGCCGACTCAGATTGCTGATGAAGCTGTGCACGAAGCTTGGCTTGGCGTTTCCCTCGTCGATCCGGTCGTGCACGTACTGCACGCTGCCCTTCAGAAGTCCAGCTTCGAGCCTGTGCCGCGCGGCCTCCTTCTGCTTCCAGGGGCTCAGGAACGCGGGGATGTGCCGGAGCCAGGATATGACGTTGGGGAGGGCGCCGGACGGGGAGATCGTCTCGAGCAGGCCGAAGGTCGTCGCTCGCAGGAGCTGCGCTGGGTGCGGACTGCCCCAGGAGAGGCGGGACACGGTCCGTGAGGTGAACTGTTCGACTAGCTCTCGGTATTGCGAAGGGTTCTGGGAGAGCAGGTAGAGGAAGCGGTCTCGCTCCTTGGGGGGGTAGCCGTGCAATGAAGAATTAGACGATATAGTCATCAGCTGCTGGCAGAGTTTCCGCTGACGTTTCCAAGTTTCTGGTCACACATTAGCGAGAAAATCACCCTCTTGTGATTGTCTTCATAGTCTAGAGCATCCCCTACCGTTTCGTCCCGAGAGCGCTAGATAGTGCCCGCTTGTCCGGTTGTCTGGAAGATTGGGGATCTGTGGCCGATCCGAGTAGTTGGCGGCTCGTCGCGAGAGCAGATCATGGGCGATTTGCTCCGACGAGATCCACACGTGGACAGAGCCGAACATCTCGGTTTGGTATATGGGGCCATACTCCTTGCTCCACTCGTAGAACTTCAGCCACGATGCTTCAGCCGGGACATCGTGTACTCGGCCGACAAGAGGGAGAGCTATGCGTAGGTTAGAAACATAAAAGGCACGCCTACGAAGGCAGAACCTCCGGAGACTAGGTATAGAGGTCGAAGGGAAGATTAGAGATGCTTACACTTGGGTCCTGGTAAAGGCCGGGCATCTAACGGGATTCTACGACTACCGCGTGTCCTCCTCACCAAAAATACCACACATGCCAGCAGAAAGGAAGAGACAGACCAAAGAAGGAGCGCCATTACTGTCGGTGTTGTAGGAGGACAACAGGGGTAAAAGGCGACAGTTGGAATAAATATGGACGCTAAAAAGGGACCTTGGAAGCTTACTAAGTAAGCAGCAAGCAGACCGAGTCACGCGGTCCTCTTTCTTTCTTTTTCTCTCTCCTTTCTCGGCGACCTTCGAGGGCCGTTGGGTTTGCTTGCCCATCCTGGGCGGCCAGCCTACCTTTCAATGATAACACATCCTAGTAAAAAATCCCCTACTTACCAGTAAGAACCGCCCTAGACCTAGCTCAACACATGGTCTGACGAGCGGTATGGTCGGTAAGGTTGGGGTTGCATTCCGGGGGTGGTTTCGAGTCTCATGATTCAGCCTGCCTCACGATATAGAGCCCGACTAAGTAGAGCTTCGGAGGGTCAATCGTAGCAGGGGCGGGATGACCAGACGTGCATACGACTTACTTGCAGGAGGAGGAGGTTTTCAGATAAGCTTTGCGCAGACCAAAAATCAATCAAGCTAAAAGCTTGGCCTTCAGTATTTCAGCGAAAGAGAGCCAAGGCTGCGCTTTTAAGGGGAGGAGATGGGGGAGAGATTGAGAGCTTTTGTCTACAAGTTGGAGCGGCTGCAACACCTTAATCAGAGCAATTAAGGTTCCTTTCATGATCGCGGAGGATGGTCACGCTGTTTTTGACGTTGGGAATTTCGGAATCTAACTCACGGTTAACCGTTAGGTTCCGACCTACTATGGTGCCTACCTGCCTAATATCTACCTAGGTGTGGGTAGAGATCCTATGATATTCTTGTGATTAGTAGCTATGCAGCAGGTATCTATATCTCATGACATTTCTTCTCTTTGCTATTACGAGCTCAACGAGAATGATGGAATAGATAGGTAAAATAGCACGCTGGCAAACACAAAGAGGCAAATGGGCTGAAATCCAATATCAACAACATAAGTCCCCAAGCTTGATTTACCTTTCACATTAGAACCTGCGCCTCTGCAGGAATCGGCAAATGAGATGGGTTAGCGCCGGTGAAAGATCAGGGAGTCCCCCAAAAACCCTAGGTTAGATATATGAGTTGGGCTGATACATACACCCAAAGCTTCAATCTTCAAATGCACATGTGGTTGCATTCCAGTATGATTTATTGCAGACTATTACAGGTCGCTTATCGCTTGAGGCTGGATAATCATACCCCTTTTCCTCCATGTCCCACTCCAATTGCCCCCCCCCCCCCCCCCCTTTTTCTTACAACGTTGCTCTGTAACGAGGCTCTCGAGGCTTAAAGGTAAACTTATCACTTATTATCACTTATTATCCTTTAATTTTATATTTTACATTTGACCACCGTTTCACCTTTATTCTTCATTTCGCCTGATTCTCTTCGTCACATTCTTCCCTTCTTTCTCTTTCCCTTCCTCCATCTAAACACGACAAGAGCACCAACAGAAAAAGAAACTACGAGCGACTTTGCGCAATTAACACCGTCCATTAGCATCCAAAGAGCGCATTTACTGGTGATTGGTGATAATGAATGAGGTAGGGGGTAGTAAGCGAAGGTGACTGCTCACAATTTCGGGCCCGAGCAAGATACATTTAGATTACCAACCTTCTAACCTACCAATCTACGCACCTAGAACTACTATATGTGAGGTCGTACTTTAGGTCACCTTTTTCTTGTCTTCATAGATATCAGCCGGTAAGTTCACAAGAGTAGGCCTAACCCTCCTATTGATTCTCATGTGAGGGAGGGACGGATCATCAAGAGTGACGAGTGTCGACATAATAGTGTAGAATAGTATTGTTGGATTGAGAATTGAAATACTAGTTAATACGAGCTTTGAAACATGAGTTGGCCGTTCATCTAGTTAAATTCAGCCAGAAAGGTGTTAAAATAACACAAAGTTACAAACACTTGGCATCCGTAACTAGGCAATGCTGTAATCAACGTTGCTCTTCACATATCTCAATGCTCTCTCCTTGCAGCTTCTTGTTTCATTATCAAAAGGCATACTCTTCCGCAAACAGGGAAATTCCCTGAGCACCGGTGCCCTTATGTACTCCTCTTTCGTCACTCAATTTGGCGACGCTCGTTCTTACTTTAGCCACTAATGATGGTCCACCACATACGACGACACCTGTTTCTCCTCCCGTAGCCTCAACTGCACCTGTAATGAATTTGCTCACATCAGGGCGCATACCTAGATAATGCATATGCAACTCGGAGCCTGCGTCGGAAAGTCGGATACGGGATGCGCCCATCAATGGTTGAATAATGCCTTCGGTGTTCGCTGCCGCTCTGACTTCTTCCTCCAATACTTTCTTCTCGTGGGTCGTTGAAGATGCCGAAGACGGTGGGAACGAAACGGCAGCCAGAGCCTCAAGTTGGCCATTCCCAGTCACCGCAATGTGTACAGACAGTTCAATTCCTACTGACTTGGCCTGCTCCATCGCCTCGTGCAAACGTTCGCGGTAAAAACCGACTTCCTCGCCCTGCTTAGCTGCTAGCATAAAATCCACCCGCTTGGTGCAAGATGCTGCCTTTGAACATAAGACACTCTCTAAGATGGGAAGGGTAAAGGATGCGCCGGTTGATGCTGAAATTAGTACCAATGTTTCGAAGATATCCCATCGGGGTGGGTTTCCATACGGGCCTACAACCAATGCTGTCAGGCTCTCTTTCTTTCCTGATTCCTTCTGCTTTTTGGCAAACTGGTTGAGTCGTTTCGAGAAGCCCGAATGAGAACGGACCACTAGCTGAATGCTGTTACAAATGCAAGTCTCCGGCATTTGATGAGGAGAGGCGATCGTGTAAGGGTGAACTTCGAATGGCGACACTTTCGGTAGCCAGAGGTAGAGGTGTTGTCCAGCTCTCCACTTGAAGTGGACATCCTTGATTGTCAACACTGTTATCGTATCACCTACGGGAGAAAGTTGTGTCTGGTGGCCAAATCGTTTTCCGCCCTCACAATCTGATCGGACTGGGCGTAATTTGATGTTCTGCCAAAACAGAAGGCCAAGGCGGAACGCACGATCGAAGCATAATGCAGCAATTGAAAACCAGACATTATGCCTAGCCTTTTTGGGGACATGAACGTATACGGTCCACAAAAACATGACGGCAGATAGGATGTGCTGAATGAGAAAGAACTCGTATGCCATGGATCGGAAGGGTTTGAAGGACGAGACAGTCATCCACAAGAGAATGAACCAAGCTCCAATGCCATATACGACGATAGGCATCATAGACAACTCCATATTAACTATGTCGGATTCAACCCAATAGGCCCAGAAATAGGCACCATGTACTGTAGCGGTGATGAACATAGTGCGTGCGACCCAGCGATGAAGCCAGTTGAGTCTTTCGTAACTCGTACCAGTGATCAATGCAATGATGTTGGTTTTAGAGGCCAAGAGGTAAATTAGCGGTACCTGCGTAACCGTCACCCAAGCATTACGATAACCAATCTGCTCCTTGGAATAGGATTCTCGTATGACGTCCTGGGCCATCATGTATATGATGACGGACCAATAGACAATAAGAACCAAGATGCGGCCCATGGGCGGGGGCGTCATCCAGGAGAGATATCGAATTGGGACATAGAGTTGTGGATAACTGATCTCCCGGATAACAGCAGTTACGGTCGCCCATATCTGCCAGAATCGGGTTGTGGGTTTGGTAGGGAACTGTACTGAGTGTGTCTTGGATCTGCGGAGTCTAGGCTAATGAATTAGTATATTGATTGGTGATGATGATGATGATGATGATTATAGTATCAAGAGAAAGACATCCTAGCCATGTCCAACAGGATTAACATACCTTGACCAGTTCTGAATGAAGTTGACGACGCGGATAACAAGAAAGAGTCCGACAACGGCGGCAATGAAATACCAGTAATCCTGGGCATAGTCTTGGTTGGTCTTAGAGGTGCTGGTAGGACTCATGTCCATGCCACCCATATCGTCCCTGGTGCTTATATCCATCTTTGTGTATTGTCATCAAATTTCACTTTGTTATCAAGCTTTCAACAATCACCTTGGATACAATAATATGGTGACAATAATAAGTGAATGGGAACCTTAGACAGTCCAAGATGTGACATGGAATATCAGAAGACGGCATGAATGGCACATGGGAATTGCGGGCTCGGATAAGTGATCGACTGCTTTAAATAAGAGCCCTCTCCTCTGCTGGAAAAGAACGAGATAGTCGTTCTGTGTGGGCTTTTGCTTGTCAATTCGTTAGTATTCGTCTTGGACATATATATGAGCTTTTTGGAGAAACCAAAGTACTTACTCTGATACGTAACCAACAGTCTCGAAGGGGTGGTGAGGATGATGAAATTGAATACAATGTTGGAAGTTGAGAATAATAGATAGGTACTGGCTGAACCCTTGCTATTAATCAAGGCAAGGACGCTCAGTAGGATGGTACGTATCGTACATATGTATACATCCACTTGCACCTTACTAATGTAGTAGAACAGTACTGCCTACTACTATGTATGCACATATGTGTACATGTAGCAGACAAGATGGCCTTCGAAAGTCCATTGGGCAGGTACTAGGTAGGCGGGTAAGTGGGCCGCAGGTTGTAGGTGAAAGAGCTCGACGAGAAAGAACGAACATGCGGGTAACCTTATAACTTAGGCTAATACGCGGTGTGTACATATTGCCCTTCAGGACTGAATACCTCCACTACTCAATGTATTATCATTAAATCCATACCTCATAACGAGATCTTAGTAGTTCAACTACAACATTGACGATTGATTGCACATGGACACCAAATCAATGATTAATCATTCATCTAATTATTTGACATCTTAGGTTCCTATCAGATGCGTACATGAAAAATAGATAATTACTCACATGCTCATAGTAAATATAGCATCACAGCATCAGTTCCGCAAAGACATCCACAGGCACTAGCTACCATGTAGGTAGGTGATGTGGTCAAAGACGCGGTGTGTTTGCTCTTACAGTCCGCCTAGGTTGTCGCCTTGTTGTACATTGCCTACTACAGACATACATAGAAATTGGCAAGTAAAGGGCGGTCTGTCTAAATATCGACTGGATGTTGCACTTTAGAGATATGAAACGGCAATCCGCCTCTGTCATACAAGTACCTAATCTCCAAGGTTCATGTTATCATTGATCATTGATGTATGTAGTAGTCGCTCATATTAAGTACCCATGTACCTATGATGTAGGTTGCTGTACTAGGTACTACATAGTACTGAAGGTAATTTGTTTTTTTTTTTTGTTTAGGGAAGCCAGTCGCTATTTCCTCAAAAGACCCTACATATGTACGTTCCTAAGCAGCCCTGAGGCATGTACATACTAAAAATATCACTACAACATGCTCAAATAGCCTCATTTGGAAATCACCTGAAGACCAAAAGAAGCAGGTGGGTTGGTGGGGTAGGGCTAGACGACCCGAAGTTGGGGAAGCATCCCTCAAATGTAGGGGACCCCCTTGTGCGGCGTGTGGGGTATAAGCCCCTGAGATAGCGCTAATGTAGGACCCCGGAAACCAAGATACACCTACACGATGACATCGACGGGAACGACATATGTACCTAGGTATATAAAGAACATGCATAGCTAGTACATAGTATGTATCCAATATCCAATTACAGTAACTCTTGAATTAGCAACGCTCGTTTTCATTTGATCGGAACTAAGACCTTTTGTGTGTAGTATCAATGGTGTTTGTTGATGTTTTAATTTGCAGTGAACGGTGTTACTATCCACCAGGCGCTTGTATAGATGTATGTACACACGTTTGTATGATATAGATAGGTAGCAGGTGCGCTGGTTACAGATTCCAGATTGAACGTTCCTACCTTTTACTTCAAAAAACTGTAGGTAGGTAGCTGCTAGTAGGGCAGGTACGAGAAATATACATATCGTGCCTAAGACTCGAGATACACTCGTGACCTACCGAACTACGTTGACAGTATCCACATCTATTCCCAAGGTTCTTAACCAACACGTTCTCGAGCAACGGCCGTAGGTTACCTTGGTACGCTCTTTCCAGCAATACTTGTGTTTGGGCGTGCGTCAACCTGACTTCTTTTCGTGTTTCCCACACATCCCACTTCTCCGCCATCTTCACACACCTTCGCCCACCTTCGTCCACCTTCGCACATTTCATCCTTCGCACACATCCAAAACTAGCCAAGATTTCCAAAAAAAAAAAAAAAAAAAAAAAAATCCTTCTCAAGTCAACCTAAGAAGGCCCAGACTTGCAAGTTTAGTGTCTCCAGAATCTCCAGGTATGTAGGACATTTGAACCCTTATTTCCTTGATAAATTAATCAATACCGCCTTGTTCACTTGCTTCCATCCCGTCGTTTCACTGTCCTTCATCCTCCTGACCATTTCCCATCCAACTTGCATCAACGACCTACTTTACACGTACCACAACGCGTCATGCTTTGATCCCTTATTTTATCATTTTACTTCATACTGTTCCTGTGATTGATACGACCCTATTCTTACCTAGTAGTCATTCGACAGCTTGTCTCACTCCATACACGATTTCAAGTCACAACGATAGGTATGTACTCTGAATATTATTACTTCACTCATCTTTTCCCTTTGAAGCATGACAAACAAACACGATAAGTGGCTGTTATTCTACTTGAAACTGACTCAATCATAATTTGTTAATTAGGCAATCAACCACTGAACAAGATGCGATTCATTGCCTCAGTTGCGTCGGCGATGCTGCTCCTTGCGAGCAGCATTCATGCCCACTTCACCGTCCAGCATCCTCAGGCTGTCGGTGAATTCAAGGACGAGGATGAAAACTCCGCTCCGTGTGGTGGTTACAACCCTCGCATTTCCGATATTCCAATCACTGATTTCCATGTTGACGGTGATGCCATCGCCACTACTTTCACCCACTCTACTGGCGAGTGGCTTTACCGCATGACCACGGATCCCGAGCTGAAGAGTAACTGGACTCAGATCTACCCAATCTTCACCCAGAATGGTGGTGGCCAGTACTGCAGTCCTCATGTTACTATTTCGCACGAATTCATTGGCCAAAAGGTTATTATCGGAATCACTGCTCATGCAGAGGACGGCTTTTTGTACCAGGTATGTCGTATTTCGTCTACACAAGTCTACGATATATTCACGCATGCTGATTACGTGGTGTCTTTCTAGTGCTCTGGTGTCCACTTCGTTGAGGGAACTGGTATCCAGCCCAGCGATTGCAAGAATTCATCCGGCGTCACATCTGAGTGGACTCCTGACTCAATCTTGACTTCCCAGCTCGGCCATCCTTCTGACACTCCACCTTCGGCGCGTACTCCTAGTGTCGGTGCTTCGAGTAAGGGCGAGGTATCCAAAGGCTTAGGTGTCATGGCCATAGTCGGCACCATGGGAGTTGTAGTAGCCATTATGATGGTTTAAGGTCCAAAAAGAATACATTGAACAATAGTTTGGTATTCATATTTGTTACCTGACTACAATTGGGGCGGGTTGTCTATGCATCACGCAACAAAAGGAGGCGTTCAACTTTTACGATATGGCTAATATTTCCATAATGGCTGGGCGATTTCTCTCAGAAACAAGGAGCCAGACTGGAACTGCCAGGGCTTGATTTCGTTTCTTTCTTCTAACCTTGTTATAATTAGCACCGGGTAGATACTAAGAATGAACTTGAACGCTGTTTTCACATAATCGATGATGCTTTGTTACTCATCTCACAAGGATGAGAGACTACCTACATAGGCACCATGTATAATTACACCAGAACAGAAATTGGCAATTATTGAAATAATCCTCTGTCACGGGGCATCCAGTGTGCTTCGTTAGCAAGTTAATAAGAGGAAGAATATCATCAGGTCTCTTTAAGTAATCCAGAGATGAATGCTCGATGGCGCACGTAACTAATGATCATGTGGGTACCCTACGACACACCCCCTCAGCTCTGCTTATTCATTTTGAGCAGGACTGTATTCGTAAAGGTGATCTCAGTGGCGGCTTACAGGTCGGAATGGCTTTTGGTGGTTAAGGACGAATATAGCAGAACGATCACCGCTTGCAACTTGAGAGAGCAGAAGTCAGGAGCACGAACAAATGTAGGGGGTGATCGGGGGTGACCAGAGGTAGGTTATGAGCGCCATGTTTAAAGAACCTGTGGACTATTTAAGTAGCTATGTAAGATTTTATTTGACATAGAGCGAGCAGTCTTCGCAAGCAACGGTATGAATACCTTCTTCTTGACCCCATCTCTCGTACCTATCCTGTCATCCTACTATGACAGGATACGAGAGATGGGGTCAAGAAGAAGGTATTGATCTTGAGACCCCACCAGCCCACACACCAACGAACCAGTGGGAGGAGCAGAGAGAGCAGGACAGGATATCATCAATAGATCAATCAAGATGCTTGCTCGCAGGGGGCAAATCTCCCAGGAGAGCTCTGGCCTGAGACTTGAGTCGACAAAGGCAGCAGCTTTCCTGTGCAACAGGAGTCCCAACGCAGCGCGCAACATGCGCTCTCCCCTCAAAGTGCTCCATACATGATGGTTCGAAGAGTATTTCAGGTGGTAGTTATTCCCCAGCAATAACCAAGGAGCGGAATATTCGCTTACGGCTGTAAATCTTACCAACAATTAAAGCAAGAAAAGAAGGTAGGACATCAAAAGGTAGTTATAACCTACAGCCTTCTTTTCCTGCTTCAAAAGATATGACTTACAGCCATAAGTGTAAATTCCGCTCCAATCAGGTGTCAGGCCGCTTATCAACTCTTTGGTTATCTCTGGGGAATAACTAACTACCACCTAAAATATTCTGTCGCAGGATGGTAGTCACGTGATCCATCACTGGACTACGTAAGCAGGATCTGAGTATATATTCTCAATCCTAATTGCCGAGCTCCGCTTGTCCATCTATCGATAATACAGCACTCTTTCTAAGACCTGGAGATTTTCTTGCTATTATTGACTAGCCACACTGAATACCACATGATAGTTATAAGCCCGGTTCGCGCCTTGCACAGGCTTCCATAAAAGATCATCCAAAGCGTTCACCCTAAACAGTTCTTTCCAAAAATTCTTTCCCAAAAATCCCAATGTTTGTTTAAAGCTCTGCACACTTTGAATATTCCCATTGATCCCTTCATTACTATACTCACTCGTCTATACAATCCAAAATGTCTCAATACCAAGAAACCGATCTCGAAAGCTGACCTGAAGAAGGGATTTCATCGCGTGGATCACTGCTCTAGAGCAGAATGCCAAGCATCTATCAGTCTAGGAATACATCAACCCAAACACCTACGACAAAGACAAACCAACTTTGCCAGACAAGACAATAGATATATCATAGGAGGATTTCCATGATCGCGAAGTTCTCAGACTCAAAAACGAGTATTTTGAGACACGCCTCTAGACGATCTTTTCATAAAAGCTGTGTAAGGTGCGAACCGGGCTCATAACTGTTATATGGTGTTTACCTAAGGTTTGGTAAAAACCGTTACAGTAGAAAGAGAAATGGACGACCGGAACTTAGATATATGCTCTAATCTTGCTTAAGTAATCTAGAGATAAATGTGTTCGATGGATCACGTCACCCCGATGTATGTATAGTAGGGCACATCTTCAAAATTACACGCTAATAAGCCCTTGCAAGGATACCTTTAAGCACATGATTTACACGTAAATGTTAAGAATTTGATTAAAACCTTAATAAGGGTATTCCTTTAGGAGGGGTTTACTCTTTTTTTTTTACACCTTTCCTAGTGTAGCCACCGGAATTATATAGGCATGCTACTTAGTAACTACCTCCCTGGGTAGGGCCTGGTAGGCAGACAAGTAAGTACTTTGTACAGGATGACGACTACCTATGGAAATGAATCAAAATAATATTTAAAGGGTATCTTTCATCTTGACTCATTTCATCCATACATGTCATTACATTTAATGTTGTCTGGGTACCTATGTTTAGGTAGATACCCTTATCCCTTATCCCTTACCCCGCACCCCGCACCCCTTTTTTCTTTTGCGGGGGAGAAAACCCCCTTCCCCTCCTTTTCTAACCACTGGTTAAATTTCACCTAATCGATTATCATAACTGCATCTTCTCCACACCCGTAGCCAGCGACCCTCCTTCGCCATTATCAGGTTCCTTGCCGCGTTGCTTCTTCTGCTGCTCGCGATTGTGGAAAGAAAACCTCTTGGACGGATCATCCTTGGATCCTGTTCTCCTCAAGCTACCGCTTTTCCCTCCACCTCGCGCCTCCTGCTGCATTTCGCGGATCTCGTCTTTATCCACGATGCTTCCGGATTCGCTCCAAACCTCCGAGTCGGAAATCTCGACGACCTCGTCTTCGTCGTCGCCGTCGGGTCCTGCGTAGGTGACGATGGCTTTACCGCCTGGAAGTCGGATGTCCCTTGCCTCTAATGTTTCTGCGATGTCGAGGAAGAGGACTTCCATTGGACATATGTAGGCGACCTGTTTGCGTTCGCTCCAAGCCAGAACGTGCCCACAGAGACGACCGTAACGTCTATCTACAACCCACGCGCCCGAGTCGCCTGGAACGCCCAAAGGAAGTTTAGATCGGGGGTACATCTTGGGCGGGTCTTCTGTGGCGGGGATGGGTGCATGTGCACGAAGATTTGCGCATCTGCCACTGATCTGGTATGTATGACTAGGCGATGCTCGGCCGTAAATCTTGACAGAGGTCATGGCCGGCATAATTTGGCCCATCTATTCGGAGGGAAACATGGTCAGCTGATGTCTCGCCAATAATTGCCGGTGTATATCCTCATCCAATGTTACTTACTTGTAGCCCGCTCGTCCGTGCCATGCACTGCACCTCTAGTCCTGGGAGGGACTTTGCTGGAACAACTTCCGTGGGCTGGATGATTCCTACCGAGGATGTAGAACGGGTACCGCCAGACGCAGCACGAGGAATCATATTATCTGGAGGAAGTCTCTCATCCTGGAATTCAATCAAGGCCCAGTCAATCTCGTGGACGAGACCGTTCTCGGTGCGCCGTCGTATTCCAGACGAAGCGTAAATTTCACCAAGCCTGTATGTATCGGTATGATCCTGTGGAGTGTATTAGTCTCTCTTCATTGGGAATCAGTGTTGGGTGGTGAAATTTGCGAGAACAACTAACCTCATCCATTGTTTCTTCCGAAGGGTAGAATCCTTCGGGCACATCGTCAAGGGCAGGTTGGGTGATTATGTATCCTGCGCGCATTCTGTTTAGCCGTAGGTCCATGGAATGAGGAGTATTGAAAGAAAATGGTGCCCATGGCTTGGATATTCCACTACACATGGAATACCGAGAAAGTACTGCTCCTACGTTTTGCTTCCATCTGAAACTGGGGTCCGTAGCTGAAGGGGAACCTTACGTACCGTCTCCACAGCCGGGTTCTACACCTGGTATATCTCCTGGCTCTGTGAATTCTTCATCAGATTCATCGTCCTCATCGTCATCGCTAGTGATATCCGTAAGCGATTGTTCTCCGTCCGAGTCGGAGAATTCCCCAGCGTATTCATCACTGTCCTCGTTTGACGACTCTGTTTCGTTCAGAAGCGCCATGTGTCCGGCCGCCGCACTACTTCGAGTAGGTGCACTAGCTCTCCTGGTCTCGTCTCCTTGGTCCGTAGGCGCCGATTGTACAGCTGGCTCTGGATCATCTAACATGTGATGGACTGTCATTCCGTAAGGCTTATCATCCACAATAATGAGACCCCCGAGGCTGACAGGTGGGAGGTGCTTGATGCCTATCCACGCGCCAAGACTTGCGCCATTATGCGGTTTCTCCTGGAAATCGGGATTCGCGGCTTTGCAGTCGTCCGTTTCGTCTTCACTATCATTACTGCACTCACTAGGAGCAGTAGGCTCTTGACTCTTGTCTACGCCCTTCGTCGGTCCTTTGCGGGACCGCACCATAGAACCGCGACATACTTGCAAGCCAAATCCGGTTGCGCCATCGAAGAATGCGCCGAGTCTCTTCCTCAGTATAGCTCGTACCATGCTTACTGAGGTGCATATCACCAAAACAGTCGGCTTAGTCTTCTGAGGCGATTCGCCAACCGATTCCAGAGATATCTCGACAGATTCGGGGTGCTTTCTGTAGAAGTGACGCAAAGCTAGGTTAATTTGAGGCATGAGAGTCTCGTGCCATTGGTCCACGCTCTCAGTGGAAAGTGGCACTTGAGGATATAGACGTAGCTTCTTCCGTGATTCGTTCGGGCGTTGTGATGGGGCTGCCTGTGGTTTCTCGGCTACTGAATTGTTAGCAATTTGAATATTCCGAGAGATATAAAAAGTCGTTCTTTACATTGTGCGGATTGTTTAGTATCTGCGCCCTGTGGTTCGGAGGCTGAAGAAGCTTTCGAACCAGATGCACGAGCCTCGCGCCTTACAGATGGGCCTACTAGGGATGCAGACGGAATATCTCGAGTTACTTCCTGTATTGGCGAGAAGATATCGTGGTCGTCGCCCAATCTGTCATCTAAACTGCCTATTCCGTCTAAGATGCAGCAAGCTTCGAGGTAGCGGCTAACCCTGATCTGTACTCGGCTCAAGATCTCGTCCGTCGAGCCGGGGTTCGCAAGCTCGTGATCAACCGCATTCCAACATGCCTGAACTGACTTCATGTACGGCGTACCGCAACGTATTGCCAACTGTTGTAGAACAGATTCTGAAATGCTGGGGGACGCCAAGTTCGGAACAAGATTCTCGAGCTGAGTCCACAGGCCAATAGAAACCAACATCATCGCTAACGAATACAAGTCAAGAGTCCTCTTGTCATTGTTTGAAGCGAAAGGTGACTGACTGGTCGTTCGGGGGTCAAGTGGGTGACGGTGAAGCAAAAAGGTCTGCGATGACTCGCCAGGGGTAGGCTCTTGGGGGAAGAGGTCAAAGGATGATACAAGTGGCCTTCGAACGTCTATTTCGCCCGTGTGAAGATCTATTTGGTTCCCGGTAGAGTTGCAAAAGGATATTGCAGACGTGTTTAGATTGCCGTGAGTGATACCTCGGGCGTGCATGTCGAATACCGTATTGACCAAATTATGAGCAAGGCGGAACTTGACTTCTAAAGTGGGTTCGAAGTCCGGCCGATTAAGAAGCTCATTCAACGTGCTCAAGTTGTCGAGAGGATTCTGGGTCAAGCCCTCAAAGGTTACTGGATTGAAACCGGCTGGAAACTGATAGATCAAAGCCAGCCTCGAATTCTCCATATCTTCATGATACCCAAGTAAAAGGGGTAACCCAATCCACGAGCCAGGAGACCTTTGCGAATCTGTTTGGATACCAGCACTCAGCTTCTCGAACTGGGTCATATCTGGCATAATACCAGTTGCAGAATAGATTGGGTCAAACGGCGCATATTCTACGAGTAGAGGAGTCGTTGACTGCGGTCCTTGATGTTGAGTTAGGTCGCTAGAGGCATTTCTGCCCATGAAGAAAATCTCTTGGGGTCGGTCCGAAGCTGCCCTGGTCTCCGATGTGGCCGAAGTTTGCAAAGACCTCAAGCTTGTGAGGGTTTGAAGGTTGATCTGCTCAGGCGCTCGAATTCTGGTGGAACTATAGACTCGCAGGTCTTCGGTTGATGCAGTAGCCTTGGATGACTTGGCCAGGCCGGATCTCGAGGTTACTGACGCAGACCGCGTTCGAGACAGTTCGCAGAGTGTGTCGATAGATGTAGTCAAGTCCTTTAGTAGGTCTTCAAACCTTCCCTTATCCCAAACGACTAAAGAAATCTTTTGGTCACCGGAGGCCTTTTCCGATGACTTCCCACTCCTAACAGTTTGTCTCGAAGCAAGCCATAAAGGCTCGGCCTCGGCGAGGATATCTTTGATAGTAGCCATGATACTTCCTACCAGATCGCTCAGGCCTGCCTTGGATAGGGATTCGTCAATTTCGGCAGCTTGATTTGGGTCAGACCATTCCAAACCCCAGCTGACCAAGCGATCTTTTTGTATCCGTAATTTGCGGTGTAGCGCTTTAATATCGGGGTCATCTTGACTGTGGGCTGAATCCTTGACGAAATCTGAAGATTTCTTGGTATCATTGTACAGCCTACTGAGTCGACGCTGGAAGGGCAGTTGAAAACCGCCAAGAGGAAGAAAGGACTCCATGATGGGCGATAGCTACGGCCTCCAGATGGGTTTGCACGAGATCGAAACCCTCCAGGCGCCAGTAGTGCCTAATATAGTAAATATATATAATTAATAGGAGCAAAGATGGTAAGTATATTTATTCTGTTAGCAAGATGAGAAGAGCAACATGAGGCTTGGGGGGTTCAAATCTTGCGCCACTCGTGTACGAATAAAACAAAAGGGTATATTTCCTAACACCGAGTTGTAAGGGATGAAGGAGGCTGAGAGGGTTGAAAAGCTTATGCGTAGATATTGTAGATGTTGTAGATGTTGTAGATACTTGATAAATGATAAATCAGCCTCGGCCGAAGTGGTAAGAGGGCTCGCCTGACCGCTTAGAATCCGAGTATATTATGCCTAGATGGAGTTCATCTAGGCCAGCAAAGCGAGACAGCTCGCATGATACAGCTTCCAACGATCTAGTGGTGTAGCAGGCAAGATACTGTGAGTTATTCGGCTGCCTTGAGCTTGAGGACGGACAAGTTGAACCAACAACAGTAAGAGTACTTGGGTACTTGTGTTAGTATGTAAGAATAATTTCGGTGCCTAGCAAAAGGGCACGACAGTTCGGACCCACGACGGACATGAAGCCGCTAGTCTTGATCTAAAGCAAAGACCAGCACGAAGTAGTTTCCCAGGTGGTTCAAAGTACAGCAAAAGTCCCTTCCTTATTTGCTGCAACTGGACAGTTTAACGTTCGGGAGATCCATCCAATAGACGAGAATCCGAAGTTTAAAAAATGCTGCTGCCTGGTCATCTTGGTTCCGGGAATTTTAAGCTAAATAGTTTAACGTACTAACTGCATTGGTAGTAGTTAGTACTCAATAAAGCAATTTGAGGTCAGAGACAATTTTTGATTGGTCAACACACGTGACCTATCCACCAGATTCAAAGGGTCATGTCAGCTGGCTAACAGCTGCTGCCTTCTCTCTTTTCTTCTGCTGATACTCATTCATTGTTACTTTACATGTTATGTATTGTACATGTCCGTCAATTGTGATCTATCCTACTACTACTACTAGTAGTACTTCGATGTGACAGGTAACATCATTGAATGTAACATCTCTTTTTCCTTTCTTTCATTTTTGTGCTTACTGAAAGACATTTTGTTCCTCGTTGTCCAACCACAACAAATCCCATCATATATCTCTTTGACCAACTTTGAATAAATCAAACAAATCGAACAATCCCCTATGTCATGTCTCTCTTTTCACCGTACCGTCCCAAGTTGGTATTTGAGGGGGTCCAGATCTGCCACAGAACGAGCTAGGTCCGGATTGACCGTCGCTAATCTCTACTCAACCACGATCAGTGTCCCCTGGCTTGCATTTCCCCCCCCTTTCCTGGCACTGAGGCACTGAAGGCCTAGGTAGACGAATTATCAGATCTGCTTACTATCATCTAGGTTAGCCCACTTAGTCTTCTCCATTCTGCTAAGTTAGTCAGATAGGTATTCGGACAGAAGCTTCTCTGGTAGGTAGGTCTGATCGTCTCTAGGTAATTTTCACTTGTTTTCACTTGATCAATATCTCCCTGGTACCTTTTTCTTTTCTTTCACGAATATCTAGGATAAAATCTACGCCTACTATGGCTTTGGAAGTGGTAGTTGACGGCATTGTCCTTACAATCCGCCCGGACTACGGGCGGCACTGCTGGAAATTCAACATTGTGTATTCATGCGGCCACCCCGTCACCGAGCAGACCTGTAGTCATGTCCGCAACAAGGTCATCCTTGTCAAGGAGAACAACCATAGAGGACCGTGCTGGATTCGGAACTGTATCGTAGCAACGCAAACCCACACACTGCCAGAAAAATGTCATAGGTGTGATATGTGGGACGTCAACAACGTCGAAGGCAGGCATTCATGATTCTTTTTTTTTACTCCACTACTAGGTAGCGAGCAATGCAGCTTTCGTCCCATATCGGCACCGAGTAGGTATCCAGGTAGGCAGATATATTCTTCCAGAGACGATCGTAAGCTCGGAGCTTTGTTTTCAGGCTTATCGACATTCATGTCTACCTACCTATATTTCATTACCCAGACAGTACACAGGCAGGCATCTTATTGGTTCTATCAGGATAGACCCAAGGGTACGTGCTCCTTTTGAGCACCAAAACGCGAGGCGGCGATATTACATTCATTGCCATATCAGTCAATGAAACCATATTGAGGCTGGCTTCAATAAGTCTTATCATTCAATATCAACATGCATACACGCAAAGCACATCACCATCAGGAACTTCTTACTAGCTAGCACCAGAGGCAGCAGCAATGCAATCAAGCAACCTTACTAGCATGATTTTCAATATTTGGTTTCGGACTTGGAGGACATTAGGGTCAGTTCCGATGGCGCCATTACCGTTGGGGTGTGACTGAGGTGCAAAATGCTTCTGCCTAATTGGCATGCATAGGAGGCTGCTGACGCTCATGTGCCAGCGAAGCTATAATCAATAATTTGCCCTTTTGAATATACACTTTGGATGTTTTTTTTTTTTTTTTTAATTCTTGGTTTGGGTGTGAAGTATATCAATAATAGGTACGGTGTGATATAAAGCAGGTAAACCAGGTATCTCATAGGTAGTCGCTGCATGCTTAGATGGTCAAAGAATTGGATATCAAAATATACCTCTCATTTTCCAAGTTCCAATTATTATATTACATGGCTTATATTAACGGTAGCTCTCGTTGTTATGCCAATGTCCTGGAAGATAGGTACCTACCTAACCTAGGTAATTATTACAAGCACGCCATCCATGTGATTTATACTTGAATATCTAGGTATCTGCCCAGGTGGTCACGCACCACAAGGCACCCTACTACGGTAAGCTTATACCTACCTACCTACCTACCTACCTACCTATATGCAGAATCTTTTTTGGTTTTGCCATTTCCTTTTCTTTTCTGCACACATGCACGATTCTTCCCTCTCGATTACTACGTGTAGAATCCCACACGCACCTCGTGGTTACTAAATGAATCATTGGCTCTCGGGATCTAGTGACGTTTCAGGGGCAGCACACGGCATCGATTGAGTCGATAGTCAAATCGACAGGTCCCCCCCCCTTTCTTTATATACTTCGTACTTTCCCGTAATACGTTGAATGTTCATACATATGTACTAGCAAGGCCTGATTCTTCACTTCAAACTACATATGCGTACCTGTTAAATCATGAGCCAAGAAGCGCATAGAGGATGTGAATAGCACCACATACCTAGGCAAGTGCCCCTGTCCCACATGACAGACCAACACACCTACATAATGTAACAACATAACTCAAAGACTATCGCTGCAGGCACTGGCATCAAGGTCTCTTCTACATATATGTTTGTGCCCTACTTCTAGCTTGCCTACATGGCTCGGGGTTATATGTCACGAGGGGGGGCCTAGAAGTCGCAGAACAGCATCGTTGTTGCGCGGGGATCTCTAACATCTCCCCGAAGACTATAGAAACTGCATAGATAGGTACCTATGTAAGCTGTCTTTGTTCTGTCTAACTGCCCATCTAGGCTCCATTTAGGACCCTTGACATTAGACATCTATCGTATGACTTCGATAATGATGAGAACCTGCAACACTGAGGCTTCTACCACTAGTGTATAGGCATCACTTACCATATGCCCAGTAAATATGTGAATAAATTACATACATGATGCATTGGCAATCCCGAGATTATGTAACTGTCCATAGAAGCAGGCATATGTACCTAGGTGTATATATGTAGGTAAGGTGAAGGTTCCGACGTCGTGCGAGCCCACACCTCGGGATATCCGGCGGGCCATGGATGTCAGGCGCTGGGCTTTAACGGAGACTGTGAGCCAGTCAGGTTGGATTTCCAATCAAATCAAAGATATTTCGAGGCAAATGAACGTGCTTATGCCGGTACGCGCGCGGCGGAGGAGGGGGAATGTCGTATGATATGGGGCTGCCGCCGGATAACTGCAGAGCCTTGCAGGAAGCCCTCGTCGTCGCTGGTATCGGCTGTCATGTTTCACAGATTTTTCCATACTGCTATTGAATGCCAGCCTATCTTATCTAGACAGAGGATATGTGTCTATGGTTATAGTCTGTGAATGCGTAGTTAGGTATGTAGGTAGGTAGGTATGTAAGCATAGATTCATTCCCGGATATGCCATATGTCTCTACCACTATGCAGAGGATGTGCTACCATAGAAGGGAATGTACCGCTTCTCGCGCAACCTTTGGTTGAGGAAACAACTTGTTTCTGTATGGCTCGTATAGACCTATATGTACATGCCATATTCGCGTCTCAAGGGCCGTTGGGTATGTATAAATTGCATCGATGGGTTACGTACTTAAAGACGGAGGCGGGCGGGCAATAATAGGCTCGTTGCCTTCTCGATACACAGACATGTCTCGGGAAATGGAAACGGGTGAACGAAGATGGCCTCGCATGATTCGTGTGTTGATGTGAAAACCGGTTTCGTACTTCACGACAAACGCAGAACCCCCGTGGCACTAGCAAAACAACATGGATAGGTAGTATTCCTGAGATTATAATATTCCGTATCGTAGGTCGATTATGACTACCACGCCGCCACACAGTTTCGGTCACCCACCCGGCACTTGACTAGACAAACGTCCTTGTGAAAAGCGATATGGCAGATCAAACGATCCGTACACAGACCATTGTTTGGCCTGCTTCCACGTTCATCACAACTTGGACCCTAGGAAGTGGCTCCGAGCCGACTGAAACACCCGCTGTAGTCATTCCGGCAGCGACCTCAACCTCGACAGGCGATCAAAACGTTGGTCCCATCTTAAGTGCTCTCGTTGTTTTCGTAGTGATAGTATTGGTCATGTGGTTCTATTGCCGGCGACGTGAGTCAGGTTTCGGATTGTACAGATTCGAGCAGTACTGACTACCCCTATATAGGTCACTCGCGTGGTCATCGTTCGAGGCGTTCAAGTCCACGACGGGGCTCAAAGCACTCAGGCAAAGGCTCTCCGAGCAGCTCGGCTACGTCGGATAGCACATCTCAGAACGATGCCAGCGTTGAATCAGTGGCAAGTGAGATAGGTGAAGAGCACTGGGACCATGCTGAACCGATGCCTGACGGGGCAATACCGCCAATGCCGGGGATGCCACCGCCAGCTGCAGGAAATTGGCCGGTACCACAGCAAGATCCGGGTATGGGGCCGGCGCCGCCGCACCCCCCTGCGATGGGATTTCCTCCTCCTGGCCAGGGCGGACACCCGCCGATGATGGGGCGTGGAGGCCCAGTAATGCTTCGGGGAGGATTACCACCGACGATAGGCCGGGGAGGTCCTCCCCCTGGAGTGATGTAAATGATGACTTGATTGGTCTTGTGATCAGAGAGAGCTCTCGATCTGAGCCGACAGATGAATCCTAATTATAAGCCTTGTTATGATGCTCTCACGAAAGGACCATAGAGTGAAAGATCAAGCTCCTTAAACAAGCCCTTAGAGACACCTTATTACCTTCGAGCTCACCATGCATCAGGATTCAGGGGCTTCTTTGAGAGAGGAATGCTTTAGGTTAGGTCAAAAGCGTAGGGTATTCATGCTGCAATAAGGCTACAATAATAACTTACTACACAACCTCCTCGAAGAGCCTAACACATAAAACAGCAGCAACGGCAGCAATACCTCCCATGATAACCATCCGCATGCCTTCCCAACAGCCACCTTTAATCTTGTCTCGCGTAGCTGTCTCTGTTCTCGTATTTCCGTCTTGCGAACAACCATCTTCGACGAATCTATAGCGAAGCAGGTAGTCTTTGGCAAACCCAAATATGAAGAGTGACACTATGCAGACGACGAAGCTCCATCGCAGTGCACTATCTATTTGGTCGACGAAGAAATATGGGCACAATGGCAGTAAGCCTCCAACCAGGTACCCGAAAGATATGAACAGCCCAACAACAGCGGCAGGGAATCCATTTTCTCCGTTTATCGATCGATCGCTTATTGATAATAGCCGCTGTGCTGCGATGGGGTGATTGTCAATATGAGCGATGATACTCTGGTAAAGATCTGGCGGAAGCTCTAGCGGACTGAGATACTTTTGGATATAGTCTTGTTCCACAGTCTCTCGTTTCTCCCTCTTTTCGCAGTCGCCGGTTCCTGGTCCTGCGGCTATTTCTCTTTCGCCTTTAACTGCAAGATATCCGCTAATGCCCATGCTGATACATCCTGCACAGATCTCGGCCGTGCCGGCATATATAACTGTTCTGGTTTCTCCCAGTGATGACAATCCTGCCGTTAAAGCGAACGGTACCGTGAGTCCATCAGCAAACCCCAATGTGAAGTGGGCAAGGAATTGAGGGAGACGGGATGAAGTTGGGGATAGGTGGCAATCATTTTGGTGATCATCAAGACCGGATCCTTCACCAGCGCTTTCAGCGTTCTCTGAGTCGTAGACTAGACTAGTTGGACTTGTTGCCAATGGTGAATAGGTGGGTAGATGTTCCTGGCCTTGTTCATCTTGTAGGCCTAGCTGGACGAAGAACGCCCGAAGAAGCTCGATTTGCATGTTGATATGCCTAGGCCCTCGAAGATGTTATGATGGCTAGTTCCAATTCCGTAACCAAGTCTTGTCGGAGCTAAGGATAGAGAAGTGCTTATCAGGTACGGAATGGGCTATTTTAATATACGTATTACTAGTAGTTAGTATGTAGTATCAATTTGATGTACATGATAGCTTCGATACAATTTCCGGGTTATGTGTTGAGATGAGACATACAATGGTAGATCTATGTTGCCAGTGGCTGACTACATCAACTAAGCATACCTACATACATGTATTGGTATGTACCTACCCAGTACCTTTAGAGTACCCTTAGGTAGTGCCTACCTCGATGTCCTATAAAGTTATTCAAGGTTAGGTCATTAGAAACTTTGGAGTTGAAACATCACATCTCGACTTCCGTGTGTACATAGTAGAACTCTTCTCTAAGTTCTCTTGAGTCTTGCCCAGTAAACTAAGAGAGTATGTATCCAATTAGGGAAAGGATGACTACCACATGCATGTTTTTTTACGAGTAGGTTCCTAGTCAAAAGACAGGGGAATGCAACTAAAACCCGAACAAGCATTTTTATTATTATCGTGACGTTGCCATTTACTAGGGTACCTGGTATCCATGGATGTACCTGGGGCAGGCACTGTTGCTGTCCCACCACACTATCATGTCCCACTGTCCCACTATCCCACTGTCCCACCATCCCGTTGTCTTGTCCCGCTTTTCCACGATACCTTCTTCTATCCAACGATCCAAATGCCAATTCTCACTGCCTCGTCTTTAAATTGGTTTCCGTGTATATCTATGGATACCTACTACGTATTGTTTACAATAAACAAATCATCATTGGGAGAACCATTACGAGTAAGGCTGCAAGTTGGTTCATGACTATCAAAAGCCCCCCCCATTTGCGCCATTTGTGTCTACATACATCTAGTTACTGTAAGTAGCTATCGGATACCTACTCGGATCAACAGTTGCTGTTCGCTGATCATCGTCAAGGTCATAACCCTTGCCCCTGTTGACCCCGCCTTAGTTGGCGATGATCATCAAATCAAGCTTTCGGAATCGTCGTCGTCTACAACTAGTACCTAGTACGTATGAGGTAGTAGACGATATAATGAAAGAAACATATGTGCAGCACTCATTCGAACATGATACGGCAATAAGAGGTTAGATGGTTGATCTCTCGCTTTAGAGCGGCATAACCAACACTGTAGGCGATGGACTCATCAATCGGAACGTGGCGACAGCAACGTTGTTATATACAGTATGAAGCATTATATCTTCGCCCATGTCAGCTTACAGGCCTGTACCAAAAGCCTACAGCTGCCTACCTAGGTACCTAGTAGTAGGCTTACTTAGTGTGTTACCCTCCCATCCACCTACAGGGAGAGCCTTATCCATGACCTTCCCAAGTAGTCCAAGTAAATGAAGTAGATGCAACCTTGTGCCATTGAGATTTCTCGGTCTCTAATTCGGATTGGCCGAATTTACCAATGATTCTCGTCGGCTAGCCCATGTGTGCCGATTATAGCGCTTCTGTTGGTTCATTGAACGAGCGTAAACAGGATGGATCATGGGATAAGAAGTGTTGGACTCCTCTACACGCCAAGTACACCACCGGCAGTGGTTAACCTTGGCTTATTCTCACCTCGTAGTGATTCTCCGTTTGTCGTGAGCTTCGTCGGCTCGTCCTAAATCAGATATGCGTTCAATATTTTTACCTATTCTGACCTTCGCAGCCCATGTCGCTGCACAGGCAGAAAATACGTATACCGCAACGGCAACTGACGACGTTGAAAAGGCTAGAGCTACGGCAAAGACTTTGAGTCCTACTAGTCATGTCCAAGGGAAAGCCTTCAACCGGCTAGCTATCATATGGCTTGAAAACACAGACTATGACATGGCAATTGGTGATCGTAAGTCAATTCCTCAACAAGGAATATGAAGACCCCTTATACAATAGGAGACAGTTATTGATTATCCTCAACAGCCAACTTGGCATGGGTAGCCAAGCAAGGCATAACGCTTTCCAACTACCACGCCGTCACGCACCCTTCACAACCCAACTACATGGCGTCTATTGGGGGTGACTACCTAGGCATGCAACACGATGAATTCACCCAGGTAGACAAGAACGTATCGACAGTGATCGACCTACTTGAGGACAAGGGGATTTCGTGGGGGCATTACCAGGAGGACATGCCGTATAGTGGCTTTGAGGGCATGGCGTACGTCAACCAGAAGAATGGCAAGAATGATTATGTCCGGAAGCACAACCCGGCCGTCTCTTATAACGCGAATGCCGGCATCATTGATCGACTTGCTGTCATCAAGAATTTGACTAGTAAGTTAATTTGCTTCACTCATTCTTCCATCTTCCATCTTCCACATTATACGATCTAGCGGCACCCCCTTCCGAATATCAGGGGCCACATTTACGAAAACAAGTACTAACTCGACATAAAATAGCATTTTACAAGGACCTCGAAGCCGAGACGCTCCCGCAGTGGATGTTCATAACGCCGAACATGACCAGCGACGGCCACGACACCTCCGTGACCGTTGCCGGCACGTGGACCCGCACCTTCCTCGAGCCTCTCCTCAAAGACAAGCGCTTCATGCAGAACACCTTGGTCCTAGTCACCTTCGACGAGAACGAGACCTACACGATCCAGAACCGGATCCTCGCCGTCCTCCTCGGTGACGCTGTCCCGGCTAACCTCGTCGGCACCACCGACAACAGCTACTACAGCCACTACAGCGAGATCGCCACCGCCGAGGCCAACTGGGACCTGCACACCCTCGGCCGCTTCGACGTCGGCGCCAACGTCTTCAAGCTCGTCGCCGACAAGACGGGCGATACCGTGCGCCCCTGGTCCGGCGACGTCCCCCTCAAGGACATGTACTTCAACTCTTCCTACGCCGGCCCCCTGAACGACGACAAGGGCGGCAACAAGCGGTACCCCGCCCCCAACGTGGCGCTCGACGGCTGCGGCCTGCACAGTCGCACCGTGCTGCCCGCGATCAAGAAGGCCTGGAAGGGGAGCAAGGCGCCCGTGTATTACACCTCTAGCCTCGAGACCCCTGATGGACAACATCCGCCTAAAGGGTACGCGCCAAGTGATTAGATGGGCAAGCAGATAAGTAAGTAAGTACAGTAAGTAGGACTTGCATTGATGCCTGCAATACTTGAGTATATACAGAACTAGCACTACAGAGATATATAATAGAACTATTACGAATACGCGTCCATTTGTACATACATGCATACCTTCTCAGATGTACACACGAACAACACATACACAACAAAATTACTTCAGCACGTAATTAAAACACACGAGACAATTTGAGTGACGGGAATAGTATATATGTCCAGGATCGATCGAGTCAATTCCAAGTACCCTTAGCTTTTATCTTGTCCGAAGTTACCCGGACCGCCTATCGTAACTTATTCGTGTACCTATCTGTTTTGATTTTTTGCCTGACCTTTCCATTTGCCACCCTTCCTATCCACCCTTCCTCATTATATACCTGGTCTTATAATACATGCCAGCACGATTCGAAACGTCCGAGATCGTGCAGACGGCCCTGTAGCATGAGAAACGACCACCCCACCGGATGAACATCACCAGACGTTGAGGAGCCGAAGCTACGATGCATTGGACAATAATACCTCTTACAATACGATTGAGCAGTAATGCAAGGGCTAACGTATTTTAAATGCTACTTCATAGCAATAAACCTGTACCCGTACTGTCAAGACCTCTATCCTGTCGCAAACATGATTTCAATCACGATAACCACCGCGCGTCATGATGAAAGAGAGGGATGCTTCGTTCTGCGAAACTCCCCGTGCCTCCGCAGTACCTTCAAATCCTTCGACTGTTCCTCCACTGTTGCTGAGATGATAATGTTCCTTGCGGAAAAGGAGGTTCAAGGTGGGTAAAATTATGCATTAGACCACAACCTATTATCCACCAATGTCGGCCGCCATGTCGTAACATTTCGTAAAGCAACGGAAGTCGTGAGTCGTAAAAAAACGGTCGGCTAGTCACTTTTCCCTTCCTACCGTTCCGTGTACTCGGTGGTATCATAAAATGTCGCAAAACGCCTTGATGCAGATTCCGGGACGCCGTAACATGAGTATGCATCGTATGTATGTATGTATGTACTGAGGAAACGAAATTGAAAAAGAATAAAGAAAAAAATATAAAAAAAAAACCACGAGTTGTACGCCGATTCCAGTATTGCATTGCGGCAACGGCTTAGGGAACCACTGCGATCCACTTATGGTCTGGGGCTAGTTTGCCCTTGGCGAAGATGGATATCGTCTTGCAAGATCAACCTCTAATCGCTGTCAAACTATGAGCGTCTGATGCGAGTGAAAATGGGCGTGAAATGGAGCCGTGTCGGCAGGGGACCTAATCGGTGACGTACCAGCAAGAGGGAGGAAGCTAGCCATCGAACCTGGGGATGTTCCTTTGCCCGTGGGAGTGGGGGTGCCACTTAGGCTGAGATTCTGCTGCGATAACGGAGATTCTGCCGGTGAGCCACCGATGGCTGGTATATACGCATTGCTGAAGTAAGGGTTAAGATGGGTTCCGAGTGAGTGGTGTATCGCGGTGGTGTTATGATACGGTTGGTCGGTTAGCTCTGGGCTGCCATTGGAACTCGAGTGAGTGCTATTGGTGCTGTGAGTTAACAAATCGTCCACGCCATCGTATCGGCCATTGCGCAAGGCTCCATCCTTTATCTGAGGGCTAGGTTGTTGGCTGGTTGGCTTTGATCCGTTGAACTACAGCGAATATAAAAGTTAGTCAAGGTCTTATGGAATTTTATGTCTCCGGGCGTAATCCGCATTTCGAGTGGAAGCCACGTTATCACGAGGTGCACGTACAAAGCAGTATTTGTTGAGGATCTCTTCGTACGAAGCCGATGCTATGCTGGCGGAAGAAGAGCCTGTCGTAGGAGCCATAGAGCTATTATTGGTAGCAGCCTGTGGAGTAGACGAAGCAACTGATGAGACAGGGTCGGTCTGAGATCCTTCAGATGTCTGAGTACCGCGGAATAAACCCTTCTTGTTAGGCTTCATGTACAGGCCATCATCTCGCTGGCTTGAGTCTCGACGAGCTTGCTTGGCGGCATTGAGAGATGCTCCGAAGTCGTACCGATTAGCGAAAGCCTGACCACTCGGAGATGATAGCCGGCCTGGCAGGTTGTCACTCGGAATATTAGACGTCGACCTAGAACTCTTAAGGCGTAATGCGGGAGGGTTTGGTTCCCCGAGAACTTCATGAAGGGGCTGATCGAAGCCAATGAAATTCGAATTGGCTCCAAAATCTTCGATTGCACCAGCAGGCATAGACCGTGGGCGCGAGGCCGTCGAGGGGTTTGCCCGGCGTGTGCTACGCGGTAGACCAGTAGCGGTGCGAGTTGAAGCCTGTGTGGGTCTCTTGCCATCTGCGGCGATTACCTTCTTGCGGAAGTCAACCCTGAAGTTTACGCCATCGTTGTTGTCCCAGTATTCACAGCCACCAACGTTATATCGAATACAGAAAAATAGTGTCTTGGTTTCGAGGTTAGCGATGTCGGACAATTTGATGCTGAATTGGAATCTGTCATGGCTGATCTCTGCCTCTCGCGGTCGAATCTCGTGGTGGTACTCAGCAGCCACCTCCGAAGTCGTCTTCCAATAGTCGAACGTGAATCTGCACACCACGGCCTTCTGAAACGCCAGATTGGCTACGGCTATTGACCCTATCAGACTTTTTTGGTCAGGAGACATCCAAACCCTCTCCAATCGTGCCGGGAGAGCCTTGCGAATCGGCGTCTCTATGGGTGGTGTGTGAACATAAAGTTCCCATTCATATGATGGCGACCTTGGAGCAGGCTTCTCAGGAGCTCCAAAGGGATACTCGGTCTCGCTCTCGTAGTTCTCTGCTGGAGATGTACCAGCGCTGACGGCGAGGGGCCTGTCCACTTGGAGGAAGTGTCGAACGTGCTCCAAATGTGAGTCGAAGTGCACAGCCTTTGAAAAGGTCGGCGTCCCTGGCATACTTGAAGGCCTCCTGTTTGCTCGTAATGCTGGGCGAACAAGCTCACCAGACTTTTTCCGCAACATCGGCGGTTTGACGAAGGGCTCATCCTGTTCAGAACCGTCTTCCGAGGTGGAAATAGACGCCTCCGCTGACTTGGACATATATATGTGAGAATCTGTATTCGATCTTGAGTGGGAGATCTTGCGGGCTCCAGTATTGAGGGCAGGCAACCCGGCGGTGAGCAATGATTGCCGTGACTCTCCAACCATGTCCTTAACTTGCGATGGCAGTAAGAGGATATCACCGGGCGTTGGTCGGACTGGTGAGGGAGCACGATGCTGTTGTAATCCACTAATAGCTTCCTTCAGCTCCTTCATATTTTCAATCTCCCTACCACGGGTCGCCAACTCAGTAACCCCTTCATCTTCACTAGACGATTCAGGCGGGGAAACTATAGCCCCTGGAGGCATAGCCTTCGCATCAGCAACCGGGGGAGGGGATTGTCGGACGGCAGGTTGATGAGAAGATCCCATGCCCTTCAAATTATCCGAAGTTCCAGGAGGGGTGATGTCAGGGGTTTGGCCACCTACGACTGAAGGTGATGTAACCGAAGGCACACTCCCAGCGGAAGCGGTTCGACGGTGCCTAGAAAGATACGAAGCGGAACGGGGTAGGGTAGGTTTCGTCGAGGTGCCGCTTGGTGAGACGAGGGAGGATCTTCGACTAACTTCGGGTGTAGAAGGAGCTGAGGTAGCGGGGGAGCGGTGGGACGGAGGTGTGTAAGGCATCCCCAAGGATTTTGGCCGCCGCTGTAGGGGCAAGAAGGTGAAGAAGGTAGCAAGGTGGACGTCCACAAGCTCAACGCTGCTGGACTTAGGGGTAGCGGGTTTGGGGCGTGGCAGACAGGGAAATATCCTCTTCCACCAAACCTCCGACCACGAATGACGTTCAGGACGAACAGCAGTAGTGGCAACAGTGGCTTGCGAGTGAGTGATAGGATACTCACAATAACCTGGGAAGGAAGATTGGTCTATTAGCATTGTCATTGTTTGACTCGGAACAAGTTTCCATGGTAAGATAAGGTTAAGACTGGTTTGTGAATATTTGCTTCTGAGCTATTTCACCCTTGAAAAGCAGATGCCCCTTCCATGGGTCCAACGAAAGCGGCAATGACGGTTTTTAACACGGCGGATTCCCAGCAAACCAAGAGACTTCAAAAAAAGGGTCCAAGGAATGTGTCATGACCCATAACAAAAGAGACATTTCAAAGCGTATGGCGTTGTCGGGGGTGACGGCATCTGGGGAACGCTGGGGAAATGACATCTCACATACCTAGCCCACCCCCCTCTTGCCTATTGGTGTTGCCTAATATAAATCTCCACGTGGTTCACGAAGAGGACAAGGAGGAGTGAAGCTATAGATGGGACTGTTGATGTTGGGCCATGTTGGGTCACGTTGGGCATGTTGGGAAGGTAGGATAGAAGCAAAGGGGGAAGTTTTGAAAGAAGAAATTCAGCTTACACGTTAGAGAATGTAGCGTTCAATGGCTCAGTTAGTGACCACAGATTGATTCTCAAGGTATTTCAAGGTATCTCGGGGTATATTGTCCAAGGCAAGAAAGGAGAAAGAGATGCAACGGCAATATTCCAGCAACAGTGCTAATCTCTTCTTCCTTCTTCTGCCGACTCAACCAAAGTCGATCGACGGATTAGGATGGGCGTTTGGAAAAGGAACCCAGAGTACCGAAGAAGCAAATCTCCAGTGAATGAGGAGGAGGGGGGATGTTTATGAAGTGTTGACAAGGCAGCGAATTCGTCGAGCCTTAGTATACGAGATAATTATCGCGATTGTACGGTGAGACACTTCAACATACAAAGGTCAGTTATTGTTGTCTATAGGGCGAGATTGGATCGTTCAAAGCGTACGATGGTAGGAGGAAAGGCCGGAACTTCTGATGATGGTTCTTTGTTAAGGTTAGTTGGCTTTGTTGCAACGAAAAAAAAATTGAGATCCAGACTGGTTGAGTTAAGCAAGAATATAATACGTACCTGGGTCTCTACCGCCTCTCCTGCTATGTGGCGTTTCGAGAGCCTTGGGTTTCAATGGGGCGACAGCAATGTGAGAGGACGATCACTGGTCGAGGCTACTGCAAATATGACGGAACCGATGCGATAGCCGGGGAGAAAAGCTGTCGATGTTAGATTTCGTGTCGGGTGCCTGTCCAAAGACCAATACCAAAAATACCGGAACCAAATCCAAGCTCAAATCCACAAAAGGGCAAAGTGAAGGCTATTATTTCTCTCTCTTGTTCGGCAAAACGAAACGCAATGAGAAAAGAATAGGGTACTGCAGATGAGGAGGCCAATCTACAATCCCAGGCCTGCCTTTGACTGTAGGAAGCGGGAAGAGTGGGAGTGGCGGTGGTGGTAGTTGGTATGTAGAGGAGGTGGAGGTGAGGGTAAAGAGGTGATGAGGGTTGAGCGTAGGACGAAAAAGTCACAAAAAAAAATCGGCCGTGACGGACGAAATGTGGGCTGGGTACTAGCTTAAGGTTTATTCCACTCTAGGTAAATCAAGCCATTGAGTGGTCAATGTTGGGACCCATGGGGTTATTGGCGAGACCGGCCGGGGGTCCTGGTATACCGTGATATACCGTGATATCCAGACCTAGTAGTACCATAGTACCATAATAGGAACAATAGAACTTGGTTTAGCGGACACGCACGGTGATTTTTATCTTTTCTTTAGCATATAAATACACTATGTAATACCAACTCACCTACCAATTTATACCTAACCACTTATGTATGTACCTATTACTACATAGGATGTACATACACTGTCATACAGTACATATAATCATCAATTGATGGGTCCCCCGCCGGTGCTACCAGTCCTGCTCTTGGAAAGAACCCCCTAACGTCCACTAGGAAGAGGCTTTGTCACCCGCTATGCGCCGCTTACCTAGGCTTGCAGCTGCTAAGCCCACCATGTCCATGGGGCGATGGACGTTGTTAGACAAGGAGCATGGGCCACTGATTGAGGGGAGCATAGACCATGATCAATTGGAGGGGGGGGGGGAGGGGCTCTCTTACTTCTGACCAATCAAAAATTCAGTTCTATGGGCGGATTCCGATGAATTGATAACACCACCATTCAAGTTCATTCAGTGCGAAAGTACTTAGCACTGTATTGATACTACAACTCATTCACGTACATGTAGGGGGGGAGGAAAAGGGAAAATAAATACGATTACACACGCCATACCATGATATACACACCCATACACCTACATATACGTGCATCTGCACTGTGTTATTCCCAGTCATTATACCTAGCAGTTTTCCGTTTCTTAAGTCGTATAGGCGGCTACATTAGGTACAGATAGAAAAGATGGAAAGGTATTAACCTGAATACACGTATATTAGTAACGATGGATGGATGGGTTTATACATCAATATCCTAGGGTAGGGATGTATTTACATTCTACTCACGCAACAAGCATCACCGGCAGTCTCAGGATAGGTAGTCCGAGATCTTGTGGGTTCTTATCAGTTGGTTCATCAAAGGTCGTTTAATGTTGTTGCTCAGGCGTATACTAATACTAGTAGTACTTACATAATACATACCTACCTACATACATGTACAAGACATCAAATTTTTCTTACGTTAGATGCATGTACTTGTCTGTTCTTACTGTTCGGGAGCCGACTTGGATGATTCGGATCTGAATGGGATATTACCTACTACAGAACTAGCATGCAGGTGCGTATGAGTGCTAAGCGTGTTCACTAGGTACCATACTACCATAGTATGCAGTTTGGCATGTAGGTAGAGCGCTAAGTGTGCTGTGTAAAGACATTATACTTACATAGTATGTAGACAGTAGAGCAGTCAAACGACGATGGGCCCACCTGCAAGAAGGCATTCCCTAGCACTGTACATATCCATACATAGAAACACTATCCGAAGTCTTGTCGTCCAGTCCAAGTTGGGAGTTGATGAATCCGGCACAGTGTCGAGATAATATCTCCTAGTATCTCTGCTACCACCTATCAAGGGCCTAGTCGCAGCAGACATGGACATGGATTATGGATTAAGAATACCTCCCTTGTACTTAGTAGATGCATTGTTACCTGGTAACGATAAATAAAGCGGATACTCGGATACGCAAGCTAGGACCATGTGGATGTCAATAGGAGATATTTCTTGCGCACAGCTTGGCAGGTGAAGTTAGTGTTCCTAGTGTTGTCGTCGCTAGTGATGCCGAAGAGGAAAGGGGTATTTATTTAGGACATTTTTTTTCATGACTACCAGAGGCGTGTATTATTATGATGACAATGACGTAGGTGGGCTGGACGGGTGGTGGGACAGGCTAAGTACATATATACAAGTACCATGTAATAATGTCAAGGTAGTACAGGTACCACATAGCAAAGTATCCATAAGAAACTTCAAAGTTCAAGTTCGTTAAAAGTTCACGATTCAAGATTGAGTTAAAGATTGAAGGACCCCACCAACCTTCAAGTTTAATGTTCAAGTCATTTTTTAACGTTCAATCAAATGTTACTACATGTATGTATATATATACATAGTACTACTAGTCTACTACTACTACTATGATAGTACTACATAGTACATACATATACACTATCTAGCATCGAGATGTAACATTGAACATCCATCCAACATTGATACAGTATCTATCTACATATCTACGGAAATTAGTAATACCTCCTACGCAGGTAGGTAGGTAGGTAGGTAGGTAGGTAGGTAGCAGGTATGTAACATCATGGTTATCTCCTTACATCTTAAACATTGGCTAAATCCAAGCCATTGTTGCGAGGATGCGATGCGAACCGAACTCGCATATGCGTAAGCACGAGCCAGCAGCTGTATCTGTATCAGTGCATGTAAGTATCAATGCATGATGGGGAGGCGTTATAGACTTGCAGCAGGATCATGCACTTGATTTATTAAATGGCAATATGTGAAATATGTGAGGAGCGAATAGAAATAACTCATCTCGTCGGCTGTATGTTCTATGATATCTTCTATGACACGAATTGTCGTCAATTTCTGGCTTGATATTACATAGTACATAGGTATGTATGTCGTGACAGACCTCGAGATAAGTTTGCTCTCCCCTTTTCTTACTAACAATGCTACGTACCTGACTACAGAGGTAGGGAGGGATCCATCCTTCACCGTGTTATCTTTATTACCATAAATAACTACATGAAATTGCCTACCTAATAGGAGATTTAATCTAGCATCTATGAAGGTATGTATCCATCTTCAAAGCTTTGAATGTCTACCATGGAACTTCCACTATTAAACCGGTATCAGACGCGGTGCCTGTCCTGAGAATTGTTTTAAGAAAAAATTGACATCTACGCCTGGCGCCATCTTGACCCACCTATCACGGTCGTCTTTCCTCTTATAGCTTATTCACCTTGCAATTTGAAGAGTCTTTAAGACAGACCGCTCGGGCAGTACCACTAATATTCATATTAACTTAAACGAGCCTCCCTAAGTCTGCCCCGCATCGACAGCCCCCTGACAGAAAAATGAAGCTCTAACCTAGTACTATATCATATTACTACATACTTAGCCTTATGAGTTCAGGTAGCTTTTTTTTTTCATATCCATATGGATGGCATTGGTTTATTACAGCATAGGTAAGCAGTACGCTTCACATAAGAAATTAGCACGGAAGGCGCCGGCTTTCAAGGGTGCGGTTAAGTCGCTAGAGCAGGCATATAACTCTCTATACACACTAATGACC